CCGAGACTCGCGTGGATCCCTCTCGCCGCGCCGCCGTTCGCCTGAACCCCGGCCAAACGCCCTTCCACCACCGCCCTCCCACTGCGCGCCGCGCCGCCATCGGCACCGCGCGCTGAACGCGGTATCCGACCGGTCCGCGCGCATATGGCCCCAACGCCATCTCCAGTGTGGCCAGCACCAGCGCCGCCGGCATGAGCCAGAGCCCCGCCGCCCCGCTCGCCGTGCCTGCCCTCTACGGCGGTGCGCCGATGCCCGGCGGCGAGCCTCCACGCATGGGGTGGGCCGACCGCCGCCGCATCACCACCTCTCCCTCGGCATCGACCGCCAGCCTCCCCGCCACAGGCGCCGTGGGCACACCCTCGTCCGCATCGCCCGCGACCAACCCGTACGCGTCTCCGATCCACTCGGTCGCCACACCATTGCACGTGCCCAACCCGCCCGCAGCCCCCGAGCCGCTCGACCCCGAGACCGCCGCGCGGCTCCGCGAAGCGCGCATCCTCGCCGAGGCCCCGCCCCCAAAAGTCCCCTTCACGGGCGCGTGGGAGGCCGAGCTGGCGGCCAACCAGGCGCGTCTCGGCCCCCTCCAGCACGCGACGGCGCGCGCCCAGGCCGCCATGCGTGTCGCGGCGGCTGTCCTGGCCGATGCAGAGGCCGAGCACGCCGCCGCGAGCGAGCGCCGGCGTATCACAGAGGCACAGCTCGCGGCCAGCTCGATGGACGGGATTATCGGTGTGTGAGGGCAGGCCAGAGAGAGAGAGTGTGTGTAGCGAAACGCGTCTGTACAAGTATGTGATGATTGTGGTACAACATGCATTTGTGAAATGAGGTTCTCCTGTCGAGTTGGTTTTCTTTTTGCTGTTGGTGTGCTGGTCTACTGTCTACTCTACTACTGCTGGGAGGCGGAGATGGCCTCAAAGTACGCCTCGTACTCCTCCTCTGTCATGACGCCCTCGTCCGCGTCCGTCACCTCTGCCAACGCCTTGGCCACACCGGCGACCATGACCATGACGGCCGGGACGGGCGTGTCCTCTGCAGTCTGGACAGGGGTGGGCGTCGCCGCGGCGCCACCATCGCCCATGTCGGCCTCCTCGAGCTCTTCCTCGTCGTCGTCGTCCATGTTGGCATAGTGCGCCGCGAGCGCGTCGTCCTCGTCCTGGCCCTCCTTGGCGCCTGCGACGCGCCCGCCGGCCGCGAGGAGCTTGGCCTTGTCCGCCGCGTCCTTGTTGCCCAGCGCCGTCGTGTCGCCCGTAATAGTCGAGTGCGTGTACCATACCGGCAGGGCGTTCTGGGCGCGCTGCTCCTCTGCGAGCTTTTCGCGCGCCGCCGTGTCGTCCTCGGCGCCCATGACGACGTCAAACTTGCGTCCGTCAGCCGACGCCGCCGCGGCGTCGGGGATGGCCTCGGTGGTGACGTTTTGCGCAATCCACGCGACAATGTTGATGGTGGGCAGGCGCGCACCCTCGATGGATTTCAGCGCGTCTCGGATCGGCGCAGTCGCGACGTTGAACCGCTGCATACGGTCCTGCCCGCCCGTGTCGTCGCCGTGCAGCGCTGGGTCGTCCTCGACCAGCTCGGTCGAGCACACCTCGCACAAGAACGCGTTGCTCGACGGGTCAAACGTGTGCGCAATCTCCAACGGGTCGTACTGCCGCTGGCAGTTGGGGCAGAGGTAGCCGCGCTTGCCAACCTCGTTCTTGATCTTGTCGTCGATCGCACGGCGCATCATCGCAATGCGGTATTTCACCACATCGGCAAACTCGCGGTAGTCGAGGAACCAGTAGATGACGTCGCGCGTCTTGTTGGCCTGTGGGCCGGCAGCGCCGCCGCGCGGCTGCCACGCGGTGCCGGTGCCCTTTTCCTTGTTGACATAGCTGCAGCAGAGTAAGCATGGGGGGTGGTTGAGAGGTAGTAGCTGCGACGTGGTTGACAGTCACGCAGCTGCGACTCACCGCTTGACGAGACGGTGCACATGCAGCATACCGAGGTACTTGCGCACGTCGTTTGGTCCCACATTCAGAATCTCGCCCAGCCGCTTCTCTGTGATGCTAAAGGGCTGTCAGCTTGAGTCCCCAGCAGGTCAGGCATCCAAAACTGACACATTGTGGATCACGAGGACGCGCAGGAGGATGATGTACGGCGAGTCGTAGAACGAGTAGGCGACCTTGTAGACGAGTTCCTGGCAGCGGCGGGCCACTTCGTCTCGTGTGAGCTCGGCCATGGTCGGGCAAGGAAGGGGACGGGGGTTGTGGTGCACGAAGAGAGTTGGAGGTTGTCAACTGAAAGTCGCTGGTGCGATCTGTGATCTCCTCGTTGATCAAGAGGGAGGGAGACGGCCGGCGGAACTAAATCGAGGTCGGCCACGTGAAATGGATCCGGGGACCCCGGGGATTTCTCCACACCCGGCCTCGTGCGGGGTATTATTTCCAGGCGAGTACGTCGGATCGGCCATGTTCCATCGCTGCGAGGTGGGCCCGGTGTGTGTCGTCGTCTGGTCTGGGTCATTTTGCTCTCTCTCTCTCTCTCTCTCTCTTTACCACCGTTTAGACCACCACATAGACAATGTCCGAGTACTCCATCAAGCCCGCCACCGAGGCCGACGTCGTACGTTAGCCGGTCTCTGGCCGTGGCACCTCGCATCCGGTCTGGTAAACATTGCCTTTGGCTGAATACCAGACCAAAGCCGTGCAATGACCCTCCATACACGTCCACTGACGACCTCCTCCCAGCCTGACATGCTCAAGCTCGTCCACGAGCTTGTGAGTAGACACTACCCACCGCGCACGCCATGCCGCGTGCTGTGAAGCCTCTGATATTGCAGCAGCACTGACCCCCCAGGCCATCTACGAGAAGGAGCCCGACGCGGTCATCGCTACCACCGAGACTGTGGGTTGCGCCGCCTCTTTCGACGCTAACCTGCCAGATGACCAAGTCCATGTTCGGCGAGAACAAGTACGCCGAGGCGTTTGTCGCGCGTACACCCGCCGGCGAGGCCGTTGGCATGGCCCTTGTAAGCTCGGCTTCATCGTTTCGTTCATGAGCTTACCCCAACAGTACTTCTTCACCTACTCGACCTGGCTCGGCGCCCCGGGCCTCTACGTGGGTCAGGTACCTCACGAAGCAAGACTAACCCTCTCCAGCTCGAGGACCTGTACGTCACGCCCGACCACCGCGGCAGCGGTCTCGGCAAGCGCCTGTTCGGCTACCTCGGCCAGGTGGCCAAGGACCGCGGCTGCATGCGTGTCGAGTGGCGTGTGCTCAAGGTGAGCTGCAGAGGCTTCAATACAACTGACACGATTACAGTGGAACACCCCCTCGATCGACTTTTACGAGAAGCGCCTCGGCTCGGTCCCACAGAGCGAGTGGGAGGGCGAGCGTATCGAGGGTGTCGAGGGCATTGAGCGTCTCATTGCCCTCAAGAACGCCCAGTAGGGTCCATACTCTTGTACCCCTGCACACAGCCAAAAGCTCTACTGAGAAAGAGAGAGCAGAATAAATGTATACAACACGTCTTCTACAATGCTAGAAAGAAAGAGGGAGGGGGAAGAAAACAAAGTACACGCGGCGACCGGTTACTGTCTGTCTATCGGATGGTGGTGTATCCCGAGCTCTGCTTCTCCTTTACGCCATCGACGGGCTTGTCCGCTGCATTCTGGGCAGGCACCTGGCCGAGCTTGGACATGTCCATGCTCAGCTGCTTGGCGTCGCCCTTGAAGCCGACGAAGAAGACCTTGGACCGGGCACTTGTCTCGGCGTCGCTCTGGAGAAGAGAAGCAGAGCGGTCAGCTAACGCTCGCGACCTAGAGGAGTGTTTAGCTGCGCTTCTGCACTCACAAACAACAGCGTGACGCTAAACACGCTCGCCATCTTTTGTACCTTGAGCCCCCACTCGTCCACCTCGCGCCTACCGCCGATGTCGCGCCGCTGCACGGCCGGCGCACTGACGTCAATGTCCATGACGGGGTTCATGGCGTCGACGTCGGTGAAGTCTGGCGGGTTGGGGAGGTTGACAAACACCCTCAGGCGTCCAGGACGGTGCGGGTGGGACGGGGACGGGAGGTACAGGAGCAGCGTGCGGAGGCGTACCGACGTGATGAAGGGGATGTGCAGGATGAGCTGCGGGGAACGTCAGCTGTGAAAGTCGGAAGCGTTAGACCCAGCGCAGCTGACCTCGTCGTCGACGCCGCTCTCGATGAATGTGTCCTCGTCCAGCCGCTCGTCCCAGACCTTGATCACTTTCGGCCCGCTCTCGGCCTCGACGAGGTTGACGCCCACGACACTGCCGCATTGTCAGTCACAGGTGGCGTTGGTCAGCAGTGTGTTTGGACGTACTTGTCCCGGTCTATCCAGCCCCAGAGGTTGGCGTTGCTGCCCTCGCCGGCCGACACGCGCTCGAGGACTTCTGTAGTGACGTTGTTATTGAGGTCGTCTACTGTGAGGTCGTCTGCGCAGCTCATGGTAGATGTAGTGGTTTACAACAACAATCCGACATGGAAACGCGCGTTCTGGCCGTTCCGTCATCGTCGAGGGTTGTTATCAAAGTCGCCGGCAGTATATTAACACGTCATTTATTTCCCCCTCCCGGCGACCAACGCCATGTTCGACCATCCAAGTCAATACATCCCAATACATCCCTCATCCCTTATCCTCCTCTAGACAGCGACAGAGCACACGTCAAATGGTGGGTGGTGCTGTAATGTACCTTGGGAATCAGCACTGACGTCCCTCCAGCTTCCGCTCGCGCTCCTTTCGGCTGCCCAGGGCAAGCCCATGGTATGTTGTTCACGCTTCTTGCGTCAATGTTCGTCCAACTGACCTCGTGCTTTCTTATCCCCTGTGTCCCATCGACGCTGTACGCTTCTGCAACTGTCCTCAACCACCTATACCGTAATCGATGCGCAACCGTCACGATGTTCGCCCCTCTCGCTCGCTCCCACGGTCATCTCCATCCCCCGCGTCACTTGTATCAACAATCAACAAACCCCTCACGCGCTCATCCTCAATCCAGCTCGTCGAGCTCAAGAACGGCGTCACGTTCAACGGCCACCTCGTCGACTGCGACAACTTTATGAACGTCACCCTGCGAGAGGTGTATCAGACCAGTGCGGACGGCGAGCGGTTCTGGAAGATGAAGGAGATGTTCATCAAGGGTAACGTGGTGAGTTTGGGCGCATGTGTCTTGGGCTTGTGGTTTTGTGCGGGCAGGAGAGGGGAGAAGTTACGGCGGGATCGTTTTGTGGTTGAGCAGCGCTGCCAGCCTCTCCTCCTCCAGCGGCCGGCCGACTGCCAAACGACTTGCCGTGGCGTGCGTGCGCTCGAGGGGCGCGAGCTGCGGCAATCGCTTTCCACTTGCAGCTCGTCCCGTCTCCTTGCCTACGCGCACAGCCGAGCTTCCCTCTGTAACGTCTACCACCCATTACAGCTGGTCATCCACGTAAATCCAGCTGTCCGGGTCACGAGACTGGAAGCGCGGCAACGATCCAGCTGTGCCGTCCACAGTCCATTCCCGTCTACATCCTTTGACCTCCCCTCGTCGCCCCTCACTCCGTTCCATTCCCCCGCTGACACCCTTCAGATCAAGTACTTCCGCATAGCCGACGCAATCCTCGACCAGGCCGCCGAGGAGCAGGAGAAGAACCGCGCGCTCGGCAGGCAGCGTGGCGGCGGTCGCGGTGGCCGCGGCGGCGGCATGCCCGGTCGTGGTGAGCTACCATCCCGTGACCTAACACTGGGACCCAGCTGACAACCACACAGGAGGACGTGGCGGCCCACCCCGTGGTGGCCAGGCGGGCCGAGGTCGCGGCGGACCCGGCATGCGGGGCGCGCGCGGAGGTGCAGGTGCCGGCGGCCCAGGCGCCGGTCCCAGGCAAGCCTGAGCGACAGCGACGAGCTAGCCCGAGAGGTGGGCGCCGACAGCAGGCGCCCCGAGACCGATACGCACAGAGAGACCAGAGATATATATGCATATGTGGCAGTAGGAGGGAGACGTCAGGGCTAACAACGTCGATGATGCTGACGATGACAATGACGGGGAGAACTGACCCGCGGCGGTGGAGTATGGGGACATCTGTCACTCGCCCAGACGTCATAAGGGCTACACATGATCGACATGCGCCCACCGACTTGTCCGACGCCGCAACCCCGACGTCCCGACGCCGAGTCCGAAGCTGGCGCCGAACCCGACGTCGAGATGGCCATGCCGAAGCCGATGAAGCGGCGCCGCGCTGCGCTGTGTCGCCCAGATCGATGGCGAGTGTGTGTTGGGACGCAAACGAGGACACGACCGGGAGGCGGTGTGGACTGCACACAGGCTGGGCGATGGGACCGCAGTGGTCGAGTGCATATTGACCCCCGGCTGTCCGCCGGCTGTCTTGTCGACGCCTCTCGGTGGGGTCCGTACTCGACGCCGGCGAGCGCAGCAGCCACCTATCCAGCAAACGTCACCTGCGCGCGCCTACCGATGGGATGGTATGTGCGCAGCACCCACCCCCAGTGCCAAGAACACCTAGCTCATTCCAGGCCACCAGCCTGCCTATTTGTTCGTGTTGTCATTTCAAAAACAGAGGGACGTTTTGGCAGATCTCGTGGCGGTTCACCAGGCCACGGCCTCATCCTGAGCGGATTGACGACCACCGCCGGATCTCAGGAACGGCCACAACCACACACACACACACATCCACACACGCAGTGTCTCACAATTTCCGGCTCGCTCGACCACTACTCACAACCCATTCCTCTGCAACAAGCACATACCAGCACACACGAGGGGGTTGTACACGCTGGCATGGTGTGAAATGGGCCGGGCAGACAAGACATAGGTCTTGGTCCCGCATCCGCAGCACGGTGGTGGCGCCGACCACCCCGACACCACCCCCACCATCCCCACCACCCCCCCCCCCCACTCCGAGAGACATTGCCGTGGGCCACCTGAAATGCAGGAGCAGCAGTGCTGTGACGCGGACGACTGTGCGCCTGGGCGTTTGGTATGTGCGGGCTGGCAGGGGTGGCGCGGTACGCGGACGCAGGCGGCGGTGGCACGTTTGGGTGGTGGGGCGTTGGGCGGGCCGGAGGGGTATGGGGTTGGGGTATGGGGAATGGAGATGTCAGAATGGACATGGGGATGGGGATTGGCATGACGACGTGCGCACACACGAGTCGAAACGGCGCGGCGCGGGCCGCCTCATTGATCACTACTCGATTGGACACGGTGGGTAGAAGACAAAGATGACAGAATGGGACGGGACGGGGGACGAGGAGACAATGGGTGGTGCTCCGCCTCTTGTGACGGTTACGATGGTGCCTCTTGAGCAGACAATAAGGTGGTCCTGGTCTGCACGGCTATACAGAGCCCACACCTGTCCACTGCAAACCGTGTTGATTACAACATTCCATCTTCTGACGGTATTCCAGTACGGCAAGAAACCGTTGACTGGCTGGTTGGACGATTCCGGGCGCCAAAGTAAGCGGGTTGTGGGAATCCCAGGCCCACGGCCCTGCGGTGCACGCCGCCGCCGCCGCCGCCGCCACGCGCCATTTAATCAGCTTGTGCTCGATCTCGCTGTACACATGTTGAGAGGAGTGCCGAATGGCCAATGGCCAGTGGCCAATGGGTGCGGTCGGTGGTGGACAATGCTGCACTGCTGCCACGCACGCGAGCATGCCAATCGACACGCCAGCACCGGCGCTCTCTGGGTGTTCCACGTTCCTCGACGTTCCTATCCTCGACTGGCCACAACCGGGGACTGCTGGCCGCTGGATCCTGGACCTGAGCATGTTGGACCTGAGCGACCCGGAAACGCAAGACCCCTGTGCTGGCTGCTGGCTGCTGGCCTGCTGGCCTGCTGGCCTGCTGATGGCGACGAGAAATGGGCCGAGACTGGGGCCAGTACCGGCGCTTTTGCGTGGGAGGGTGACTCTGTTGACTTTTTTGCCTCCTTCTGCTGACCCTTGTTCCCCATCCTTCTTTTTTGGGCTAGGTGGATTAGATCTGGTTTGCAGGAGTACAGATGGAAGCATTTGGCGAGAGTAGGGCGGGAGACAATACGCTGTCAGGTTGCAGGTGGGGTCAGGGCGGGGACACGGTGGGAGATCGAGGGGGTGGCCTGGTGAGTGGTGGTGGTGGCGTCTGCTCGCCGCCACTTTCTCTCTGGGTGTCTCGCTCGTCCTCCTGCCCACACCCGAGTACCGGGTGTGTTCCACGCCGGTCACCAATTCAATCATTTTCTGCCTCCTCCCTTCCCGGCATGCTCGGATGTTCGGATACGAATAGACTTTCGGGTAGACAGTGTTGCGCAGCGTTGTGGTTTGTTGCTGGGAGTGGCCTCCCGCTGTTGTCCCCAGGTGTCCGGGAACGATCGGCGCCACAATCCTCGTCTTTCCTGTGTCTCTCGATCTGAGAGATGGGCGTGCACTATTCTCTCGAGGGGGAGGATGCTGGCCCTGCTCTATGCTGCACTACCGTGCACTATGCTGCACCATGGTGGTCTCCATTGCCAAGCCAGTGCGCACAGGCCCCGCCGTTGTCCAACCCCCTCGTTGTTCGCAGCATACCTGGCGCCGTGCGGATCGACCAGACGCGCCCGCAGTCGACAGAAAAAAAGAGAGAAAGAAAAAAAAAGCCATCCACTGGTTGTTTTTCCCTGTACACAAGGGATGCCCCACCTTATATGGCTGTATGGCTGTTCCGGCCCCCCCCAAGAGTACCGCGACACTCGTGTACATACCACAAGAGTCCCTTCTGTGGGTGCCATTCAATGTAAACGCCAAAGGGCATCCGTGGGGGCAATCCGACAGCGGGATCTCTCACATCTTGCCTCTCGCAGATGGGCAGCACACGCCGGTATCCGGGCATGAGACGTCGTTTTCCTTTGGAATCCTTGGCCGGCGAGTGATACGCGAGTGGTGTCTCAACTCGCCATATGTATCCCACAGCTTTTGAATGAGCAGTCTCTCGTCTCTCTTGTCTCTCTCTTTCATCACATAAGACGCATCCCCGACTCTCGCCCTCGACGTCCGTGAACAACAACAACAGCCCAGCCCCCTCTTACCCGGAAGCTCCAACCTTTTACGCCACTGCCGGGCCGTCCGTTGGTGTCTCTCGAGATCCCTCCTGCCCACACGCACACACCCTCGCGCCACCACACCCACCAGCACCACCACACCTTCTGGCACGTCCTCGTCCTCTTGGCACAAGCGCCCACGACGAGATCCCGACAGAACAGTCTCACCAGCCCGAAGCCACACTCCCGCCCAGCGCCCAGCAGTCGTGTGTGTCTAGCTAGACACGACAGGAAGAACAGGAAGAAACGACTTGGAGCCAAAAAGTCGGCGCACCACTAAACGCCACCCACCGACACCCAGGTCCCACCGGCCGCGCCTTGCAGTCACCATCAGAGCGTCTCTTGTCTCTCTCTTGTCTCTCTCTTTCTCTGTGCTTCCTCGTCGTCGCTCGAGCACAAAAGCCACCACCACCACACACATACTCGTGCGCGTGTCTGTTCCTGTGCACAACCCCCAGGAACCCCCGCAGCGCTCGTTGCTTCCTCTTCAAAAACAGCCACACGTCTCTCTCCACACGACCACACTTCCCCACCCCCCCCGTCGCCGCCATCAACAAATCGACACACCATGTCGTCCTCTCTCCAAAGCCAACACCTGCCCCAGCACAACATGTCCATCCCGCTCCACCGTGATGGCCGCATGGTCACGCTCAACGCTCGCCTGTGTACGCCCGCCGGCACCGAGAACCCCACCGCCATCGACCCGGCGTACCCGACCATCCTGTTCTGCCACCCCATCTGGCTCGACAGCTTCTTCTTGTGAGTCGACGCAAGGGGGTGGAAGTGATGGGAAGGAGAGAGTGAGGAACGGCTTTGCTGATGGCAAACACCCAGCTACCCGCAGATGGAGGACCCGCTGTTCGCAGACCACTACAACCTCGTCGCCTTTGACATGCGCGGGCACGGCCTGACCACCGTCGACGGCAGCCCGGACGACCAGTACGACGCGTGGACTGCCGCCCAGGACCTCGCCGCTGGCCTGGTGAGTACATCCGGGAAAACACATGTTCATCCACATGAGCCTCTCGGCTGACCACTTGCATAGGAATTCCTGGGCGTCACAAGGACACACGTCTTGGGAACGGCGTTTGGCGCGTCGGTCGCTGCCCGCCTCGCCAGTCTCCACCCGGCGCTCGTCGAGACGCTCATCCTCATTTCACTGCCGCCACCCCAGGACAGCCCCGAGATGGCTGCCGGGTATGCCGAGTGCCAGGAGGTGAGTTGGGGAGAGTGTCCAGTGCAGACGTCATACTGTGCATGTGGAGCGTGGAGCTGCTGGGGACACGGACGATTGCACGGCGCTGTGTGGTGGTGCCCACGCCCGTCGATCAGTCTCAGGACGAGTTGGCCGCACAGAAAGGTTTTGTACTGACACACACACCACCAGGCGCTCATCGCTGCGACCAAGACGGGCGATGTCGACTGCCTCGACGCGATCACGACCGCCACGTTCCAGTACGACGCCAGCACCCCGCTGTCCCAGGCCGTCCGCGAGATCCGCGACGAGTACATGACCCTCGCGCGCCAGCGCTTCCCGCCCAACGGCACCGAGGCAGCGACGGTCGAGCAGGCAGCGTACTACATCTGGAACCCGGTCACCACCCGCGAGGCCCTCGGCGCACAAGAGATGGGGCGTATCACCAGCCCCACACTCATTCTCCAGGTGAGCCCCAGCGCACGCCCGCGAGGGCGATGGGACAGTGTATTTTCGTGTGTCGCTGACGCTTCTCTGCAGGGGTGTGGACAGGAGAACGACCACGCCGACGACGCCATCCACTTTGCGGCCGTGTTCAACGGCGCACACCACGACACGGCCAGTGTCCGCGCGTCGCTCCGCCTCATTGCCGACGGCGGCCACTACATGACGCTGACGAGTCCCAACGTGTAGGTAGTCGTAACACAATGCGTCGCGTACCTATACTGACCAATCCCTCCAGTGTCAACCCGCTCATTGCAAAGTACATTGGGACGCCGTCCAGCGCCGCCTTGCCACCGCTGCCGGCCGACGGGTCGCGTATCGTCGGCCCGGCCATTGCCCGGCGGCCGAGCACCCCGCGTGAAGTCCTCTTTGACATTCCCCCCATCCCGCGCGTCATCCCGGGCATGCGTACAGTGGGCGACGAGCTCGACCGGCTGCGCGTGGACGTCGTGGTGGCCACAGAGGTGTCGGCGACATGAACGACTGGCTGTTCCGGAATGTCCGACCGGATGAGTGTGCCACTTTGCACGGCATGTCCGACGAAAAACGCTATCTTGGTCTTGTAAACCGGCCTTGCGCACCGCTCCCATCGCCGCCGCCCCCCGTCACGTCTGGCCCAGGCCTCTTGAGGTGGACGAGGCGGTACAGGGTGGCGCGGGTTTTTCCCATTCTAGCACCACCCTAGGTGCCCATTTTTGACCCAACATCTTCCCGCCACTTCCAATCATAACAACAACAACAACAATAAACCTGGCACCTCTCATTTACGCATTACATTGCGTCATCGCATACACTGCGACCTCCTTGCATCGCATCCTTCCGTTTTCTTTTGTATATTGTTCCCCCCCATATCCAAGTATATATGCAGGTTGTAAATAACGCACCAGGGAGCGGCCCGTGTGCACCGTGGACCGTGGACTGCGGCCCGGTTCTGTAGTGGTGTTCAAGCGGTGCGGGGCTGGTGGCTGCGGGCTGCGGGCTGCTGGCTGGCATATGGCGGCCGCCAAGACCTTGACCACGGGGGCGAGCCGAGCCGCGTGTACCCGGCAGCCTGACCCCCCCCCCGGGATGAGCTGGCGCTGGGTGCATTTGCTGCGACGACGATGAGCAGATGGATGATGGCAGAGAGCGTGCACAGAGATAGGGCAGGCTGCGTTTGGCGGGCCGTGATATGCGTGACGCGTGGGGGGCGCGGCCTGCTGCGGCAGGAGAGCGGCGGCGGACGGCCATATCAGTCAGCCCGGGCGCGCGTGCAGAGCGAGGGAGATAGTCGCGAGTCGAGTGGGATCCCGCGCTTTTGACAACGAACACTTGTTCTTCTCGCTCTCTCCCCATCGCAGCGCTGGCCGCTTTTCTCCTCGTCGTCGGCTGCTCACTCACTGCTCCTCCCTCCCGCTCCCCCTCACTCCCCCACCATGCCTCTCGGCCCCCTCAAGATCGGCAGCCACCGGCGCACAAAGTCGCACGTCGATTCGCCGTCGACAATGTCCCCGGTCATTGTCGTCAACGATACCGCCGCCCACCAGCCCACGTCCATTCTCAAGACATCGTCCCACTCCAACAGCACCACGCCCACAGGGCACTCGCAGCAGGCGCCGTCGGTCATGAGCGACATGACGGGGTCGACGAGCTCGGCGTCGGGCTTCTTCCGCCCGTCGCGCGCGCTGTCGGCGACGTTTTCGCGCAGCGACACGGTCGACTCGCGCTGGTCCATTGGCGACGACGACTCGACGCGCTCGCCACTCAGCACACCCGCGACATCCCAGTCGTCGCTCGGCGCACACTGCCCCCTGCCCGAGTCGGACGGGACGGGCACCAAGTTTCCCTTTTTCGTCCTCACGCTGTCGTCCACCTCGACACTCCAGTTTATCGCCCTGCCGACGGCGATGCGCGCGGGCATCACGGCCGCCGTCACCCGCGCGTGGAAGAAGGGCATCAAGTCGTCGGGCGGCGTCGAGTACGCGCCCGAACTCATGTCCTGGCACCAGCGCAAAGGGTGCGACGGTGGCGTCTGGGAACTGGTCCTCAAGGATTCGTGTTGGAACCCAAAGTCAGAGGACAAGGTCTCGTGAGTCATCGCCGCCCGAATGACGAGAGAGTTTGCGGAACAACTGGGGTTGCCGTGGAACCGGCCCCACGCGGTGGACAATGGCCAGTGCTACCCGCAACGCGCTACCTGTCGCCGCTGCAGGTGTTCGGCACCGGCAAAGCTTGGCTCGCCGACGGCCTGAGACGCCTGCCCAGCGACGCGGACGCTTGGCCACACACGTCCACCCTTGCGCCCCGGGACATGCCGCTGACACACACTCACAGCTCCAAGCGTATCATCCTCAACATTATGACTGAAGTGGCACACCACGGCTACAGTCTCGAGTCCTCCTACCGCGCAAGTGCAAAGGGTGAGTGACCGCTGCTGGGCTACAGTCTACGCATGTGCAGACCTATCCCCCCACCCAGCCTCCACCTTTGTTCCCCGCTGACCCGTCCGTCTAGATTCCGGCAAGGACACCCTTATTTTCAGCAAGGGCACGCCAGACCCACAGGCCGTGTTCTTCTCGGTGTGCTTTTATTCCAGCGACAGGATCTGGATCATTGACGCGAGCGCCGACGTCGGCCAGGCGCTCGAGGAGGGCATCAAGGCGACCTGGGTCGACGGTGTCCGAGACGCGCGCGTGCGCGAGCGACACTGTCGCGAACTCCGTCTGCGCGGTAACCCATGTACGTCACCAGTCACCGCACGCCCGCTAAGGCTGCGGTGTTGGTTTGTGCCACCCGAAATACAAGACTGACAGTGCAAAACAGGGACGTCTCATTCCGCGCAAGCCCTTATCTCCAGCCGTGTCATCAACGTCGTTATCATGAAGGTACGCAAAGACACCGCACCCGCAACCCGCATCCGCCCGCTGACAGACCCCCCAGCTCGTCCGTATGGCCGGCTACGACTATGTCGGCTCGGTCCAAGTGGCCGACAACGACGAGTCGGCGATTCCCATGTTGATCTTCCGCCTCAACCCGGACAAGGAGTTCAACTCGCACCACATCGAGCCCATCAGCGAGGCCGCGGCAAAGTCGATGACGATCGGTCGTTGATGGCGGGGTGCTCGCCGTGCCCGTGGGCTAGAGTTCTGTGGGACGCTGGAAGTTCTGTAATATACACACCTTACTATATGCTCGGATGACATACCATTGTTGTTTCAAGGATGCTCCGGGGGCACAGTCTGGTCCGCGACGACGACCACGTCGTTACAGGTGTCTTGCGTCCTCGCACCGGTGGCTCTTGAGACGGTACATATGTACAGCTACACGCATTTTCCCCAGAAGCACTAGTGGGAGAAATAGGTTGCCAAGTGAGATTTCAAACACCTCGTATCGATCGTATCTCGCACCGACTTTACCTATGTACTGTACCTCGTCTCGTCGCGCTCCGTCCGTCCACTGTGGCGTTTCTCGTCGCCCAATTGATCACACTCGGGAAATGGCAATGGACACGCCATACGCCTCATGAAACACGCTGCTGCCATGCGTGACATGCCTGGACTGCTTGGGTGGGGGCAGCGGGGCAGTGGGGCAGTGATCAGTGAGGCATCTCGGCGTGCGTGTGCACGAGCATGGTCAAGTGAATCAAGTGAATCTAGTGGTCAAGTGATCAAGTGGGTCTAGTGGCTGCGTGCTCCCAGCTCGCGACGACGACGACGACGACGACGTGACGGGTGTGTATGTGTGTGTGTGTGCTCTGCTCTTAATCCCAACTAACTGCTCACGTCGACGAACCCAACCACACCACCACGACCACCACCAGCCATGTCCCAGCCCAGCACGCAGGCAACGTCTGAACTCTTCCAAGTACGTCCCACCTCCCCAGTGTCGCTGCTCACGACAGATGAAGCAGGTACGCCCCCCCCCCCCCTCCCACACACTCCCTCGTCACTCACTGTCCAGAGCGTGATCGACCTCGCGGTCGAGATCCGGCAGTATCACCTGCGCGCCGAGTCGCCGCCCACCGAACTTGTCGAGGTACGTCCGTCCCCACGGGCCCACGGGCCCGCGGGCAGCCGAGTGTCCCACCCGCTGACATTCACGAAGCGCGCCGAATCGCGGTTGCTGGAGATCCATCTCCTCGCGCAGCGGCTCGAGGGGCAGCGCGAGAGTGTATCAAGTGTATCAAGTGTATGGACGGGAGCGGCGGGAGGCTGGCGTGTGCTCGCGCCCACACCAACTCGTCAGACTCACACAATGTAATATAGCCAACCTGCCAGCCAGCCAGCCAGCCAGCCAGCAGTGCCGCCACCAGGATTCAGATACCAGATAACAGGATGCCATTGCCAACTACAGAAAGCTAGCTCGTTCAAGACGATGGGGGGAGAGAGGGGGGTATGGAGCGCCCGAGGCGACATTAATACAACAACTACGTGCGGGGGAGGAGGAGGGAGGAGCAAGAAGGAGGGTGTGTGCCCCGCCCCGTCTATTCGGTCGCCTCGACGGCAACGGCAGGTGCCTCGGCAGGGGCAGCGGCAGCAGCAGCGTCGACGGCGGCGGCGGCGGCGGCGGGCTCCTCGGCCTCGTCCTCCTGCTCGACCTCGGCCTTGCTGACCCACTCGTCGAGGCGCTTGGCGGCGGCCTCGATGAAGCGCTTCTCCTGCGCGTCCTGCGCGGCCAGCTCGGTCGCGGGCCTCCTCCGGTGGAAAAAGTCCTCGGTGCCCGGGGTGTAGAATAGCCGGTAGTTGCCCAGCGCGACGCGGAACTGGAGGCCGCTGTTGGTCTGGAACGCGCCCTCGCTAATGTCCTCGGACATGTCGCCCAGTGTCCTGTTGAGCAGGGGCTGCTCGACGCGGTGCGGCAGGCCTTCGGTCGCGTGCGTCAAGACGTAGCTGTCAATGTACTGGCGCCAGCTCTGCTCGGCAGTCTCGGCGTCGTCGACGGTCAGGTCCTCGCGAGCAAGCAGCTGCACAGCGGCCATTTCCGAACGAGGAATGTACTCGATGCGGTAGAGGTTCTCGTCGGGGCCGAGGACGTTTTCAGCGTTCATGCGGTAGGCAATCTGCTGGCGAGTGGTCGTGCGCTCCGAGATGCGGTCACGGTGCAGCAGGCTCAAGAGCTCCTGGCTCTTCATGTCGCCAAGGATGGTCTGGGCCTGCTTGACAATGGCGCCAATCACACGGTCAACGGTGAACATGGTGTACGCCTTGTTGCCAAACATGAGACGCAGAGTCTCCTCGTAGGTGGGGGCGTCAATGTCGTTGTCGAACAGGCGCTCGGCAAGGGCGAGCAGGTGGTCATAGTAGTGACGGCTGGGGTTTTCGCCATTCTCCACGCCAAAGTTTTGCGTCGCGGGCTCGGCAAGCCCAAGCTTGATGGCGACCGGGTTGATGGGCTGCTTCTTCTGCTCCGAAAGCCTCAACGCGACAGTCTTGCACAAAAGGAGACGCGAGTAGAGGATCTGAACAAGACGGATAAACACGTAAAAGTGGTTGTTAGCAAAGAAGTTGCCCGTGCGGGTAGGCTTGGGCCTGGGCTCGGCGTCGGCGTCCGAAGCAGAGTCACGCTCCTTGTCCAAGGTGTCGATCTGGACCCAGGTCTGCTCCGAAGCCTCGGCGCCGACCTTGTCCTTTTCGACAGCCTCGGCAACAGCCTCGGGGTCGGCAGGCGGAGGGATGGGGGTCTCGCCGCGGTCGGTACCGTCAACAGAATCGGCAGCGTCATCCATGCCCGGGGTGCCAGTGCCCTCGCGCTTGTTGCGGCCCTCCTTTTCGCCGGCGGCCTTGAGAAGCTGCTTGCGCAGCGAAGGCTGCGAGGCCTTCTTCTTCTTGGCGGTAGACGACTCGTCCTCGTCGGCCATGCTGGCGTCACCGTCAGAGTCGACACCGTTCGACTCGTCCTCGCTGCCGTGCTCGGCGTCTCCAAAGTCGGCGTCAAACTCATCCTTGTCGTACATGAAGAAGGTGGGGATAAAGTCGCGGATCTGCATCTCGATGCGCTCCTTGTCCGTGGCGTTGACGTTGGGGACACGGTCAAGGTAACCAAAGATGAGCTTGAGGGCGTCCTTGAGGACCTCAATGTCCTTGAACTCGAACGTGAACTGGTGGCGGGCACGGGGCGAAGCACGCGGGTGCAGAAGAGCGTTGCGCTGGTTGGTCTGCTCACGGCGGCGAGCCTCAATCTCGGCAATAAGACTCTTGGCAGCAAGAGTCTTCTTGTCGGCAGACTTGAACACGACACCCTGGTGGTCCAGAGCCTTGTAAAAGTTCTTGGCATCCTGCTCGCGCCAGACACGGTTCCACTCGCGCTGGGCCTTCTTCCACTCCTCGTCCTTGGCCTTCAGGCGCTCGAGAACAATGGGCAGGGCGACAACGGGGTTCTCGTGGAGGGCACGGATAATGTCGGGACCAAGCTCCTTGCCGTACACCTTTTTGATGATACGCTGGTAGATCGAGCGGCTGTGACCGCCGAGACCGGCCTTGAGGTTGAAGTGTGCGCGCTCCTCGGGGTCCATGGTCTGGATCTTGTTGTTGAGGGGCTCGAGGAGGGCAATGGTACGGAGGTTGGCCTCGATGTGGAAGTCGTACTCGTGGCGCTCTTCCTCCGACTTGTGGAGGGCCTCCTCGTAGGCGTTCTTGCGGTGGGCAAGGAAGGGCGCGGCATCCTCGGCGGCCCAGGTGGGGTGCGAGACCCACTCGTCGTTGAGCACCTCCCAGCACATGGCGTCGCGACCAGTGCAGTTGAGGTTGATCTCGGTCGAGGGGAGCTTGCGGTAGCTGGGGCCGTAGGCCTTGACACGCGGGTTCGAAAGCTCGGGCCTGACACGCTCCAGCATGGGCGTGTTCTCGGACATTGTGTTGTCAATGTTGATCATGCCACCAAAGCCAAAGCCGCTCTGGGCCTGCGTAGCGTGGCCTATGTGGCCGAGGTCGTCGGCGCCGACCATGCGCTTAAAGGTCTGCCAGACCTCGCCCGAGTCGCCAATAAACTGCGAGGCACGGTCAAGGAGAACCTTGGCGTCAATAATGTCCTGGGTGAACAGGTTGATGAGCTTGAGGAACTCGTGGTAGGTGACCTTGTCGTCGATATACTTCTTGACCTTGTCAAAGAACGCAACCTCCTCGGGCGACGCAAGGGTCTGGGGCGCAGATGTCGAGACGACGGGCTCGTCCTCGACGGGGCTGTCCGCCTTCTTCTTCTGTGGACACCTGTCAGCTTTCCTGTCCGCACACACACACAGAAGAGTCCACTCACCCTTGCGGCGGCCGTCTTCTCAGCGGGACGGCTGCGCTTCTTGGGCGGCGCATCCTTGGCATCCTTGCGCTTCTGGCCAGCGACTGGAGGAGCAGGCTGGGTTCCACCGGCAGCCGCCTGGACAAACGAGCCAAAGCCGAAACCACCGCTCTCGGGCAGGAACTGCTTAAACTCAGCAAGGAGGTCCGGGGCGTGCTTGAAGAGGTCGATGACCTGCTCATAAACCTGAGGGTTTGGGTGTCAGCATGCTACGTTAAAACCAGAGGCTCTAGCCAACTCACCTCCTCAATCTTCTGGTCGCGCTGGTACGTCTGGAGGATCTCCAGGAAGTTCTTGTACGTCTCAGGCTCCGAGTTGAAGCGGTTCTTGATCTTGTTCACAAACGAAATGGCGTGGTTGAACTCGAGGATGGGCGCGCGGCCACCCGAGTTGGCAGCAGGAGCCGACGACTGGGTCTGGTTGTGGAGACCAGACGCGAGGAACTGGGCGGCGCCGGGGGTGGATGGGCCCGAGGCAGGCAACGGGTGCTGGGGGGGCATGCTGACGGGAGGGGGAGCGGCCGCTGTGCGCGACGGAGGCTGGGCAGCCGGGGGTTGGGTCGGGGCGCGCTGGCTGGGGTAGGCAGTCGAGTGCTGCGAGGCCGGGGCAGCGGGGGGCTGCTGGTAGGGCGAGTTTGCGGCCGGAGGTTCAGCGGCAGCGGCGGCGGCAGCTGCTGATGCAGCGGCAGCAGCCTCACGCTGCTCGCGGTCGCGCTGGTCCATGGCCGCTGCCAGGCCGCCGGGAACCTGGCTCACAGTACCGGTGGGAGTCGTGACGGTGATCAGGCCACCGACGTCACCCTCGTTGCCGTAGCACTCGATGCGGTATCCGGGAGGAAGGAAGGTGTTGAAGCCTTGGATGAGCGACGGGTGGCCGCGGAAGAGGGTCGACACGCGGTCAATGACGCCCGGAGTGTCAATCCTGCGAAACAGTCAGTGTGGGCCCCCCCTCTCGAGTCATCAACACAGCAGTGTACATACACCTGGCCCTTGAACTCCTTCATGACATCGAGGAAGCGGTTGTACACCTCTGGCTGGTCGGCGAATTGAATCTACGGGCAAGTCAGCATCGGCAGTCGCCGCGGGTAGCCGGGTGGGGGAACACCACCACCACCACCACCATCGAGGGCGGTGGATGGGTGCCGTGACCCATCTACTCACCTTGACCTGGTCGAGGTAGCTCAACGCGTCGCGCACGTTGAGTGGCCTGTAACCAGCCTGGTCACGGTTGGTCCATGACCCGCCTGGTTGGCCCGATTGCGGGGGGTTGGACATGGCTGGCTGCCCCAGAGGGAAGGGGTTGCGGGGGTGATGGAGGGAAGACGCGCTCGTTGAGCTTCAAAAGGCAAGGCAGGGGAGCTTGTAAAATGTGGTGAACGGGTGCTCTGGATGGCAGGGAGCAAGGGAGGGGGGGATGTGTAGCTTGTTGGGTAGGATGGATGGTGGATGAAGTGGGGGTGGAGACTGGTGGGTGTGGTGGAGAGAAGGACCCAACGGTGCTGTTCCCCCCCTCTCTCCCTCCATTCCCCCGGGCTGACGCTCAAATCGCGCAACACCGTGGGAAGGCTGGTCACGTGATGGCGATAAAATGGGAGAAAATCAACCACCCTAGAGAAAAATCCTTTTGCGGCCCTCCCCCCACGCCCCGCGCGCACAGATTAGGGGACACACAACGGCCGTGCATTAGGGGGAGGACAGTTGGGACGGTGACGAGCATGGTGGCACACACAGCACAGCGACGTGTGCAGTACCATTCTCAGCTGCCTGCACTGCTCAGCAGCCGGCAAAGCAGGTCATGCAGTGGAAGGTGGAGGTCGTCCATTGCTTTTTCCACCGCCACCTCGCCAAACTCCGACGGCGTCCGACGTTCGCCGGCTAGTTCGCGGGGTCGAGATAACGCGTGTGTTTTGTGGCGCTTACGTCATGGATCAGATCACGGTTGTTGACAGAATGGGGACCAAGATGGTGCAAAAAAATGTATGACTCTACTGAAAACAAAACAAAAGTCTACGCCTCTTCAGTGGCCTCGATGGTGAACGGAAGGCCACGGCCAACGTCGCGGCGCTTCGAGTAGATGGTCATGTTGGGGCCCTGCTTCTTCTTAAGCTTGGCAGCCACCTCCTCGGCGCCGTGCAGGACGCGGAGAATGTTGCCGCCAGCAAGGCCGCCAATCTCATGCTTGGTCCAACCGCGGCGGATGAGCTCGGCAAAGAGGTAAGGGTACTTGGACACATCCTCAAGGCCCTTGGGAGTCTGGTGGGTGAGTTCCAACACTCTGAAGCGCGCACCTACCTTCTCGATGCCGTCAAAGTCGGAACCAATACCGACGCTGCAATGGGTAAGATATCGTCCACAAGCAGACTGGAGCACCCACTATTGGCGGCCCATGTAGTTGCCCATGTACTCGATCTCGTCAGCAATGTACTTGACGTCGACCTCATCGGGGTTGCTGGAACCGAAGCGGGGGTAGAAGCTGGTGGGTCAGAATATGTGTGTCACTTGTGGAGACCCTACTTGACCATGACGACGCCGTCAATCTGGTGGTTGCGGGTACCAATGCGGTCGAGAATCTCGTCGGGAACGTTGCGCGAGATGCTGTTAAAGTGGCGAGGGACCGAGTGAGAGAACATGACAGGAGCCTTGGAGTGCTTGCTGATGGGTTAGCGAAGGTGTATACATTATTCACTCACATTGCCTGAAGAGCAGTGCTGTCCGAAACGTGGCTCAGGTCGATGAGCATACCGAGACGGTTCATCTCCTTGATGAGCTCCTTGCCAAGAGGCCTGGCCATTAGCTTTATGACTCTTGGTTTAGACCTCACGAGAGACCATGCCACGTCGCGTTGGGCGCGTGCTCAAAGCCGCCCGAGTCGGCAAACGCGTTGTTGCAGCTGTGGGTGAGGGTAGCATATCTCACACCCAGGTTGTAGTATTGGCGGAGCACTGGGGATGTCAGCTGCTTGCACTTCAGGTGAGCTGACTCACCGCCAAGAGAGTTGCCGAGTTGGTGGGCGCCCTCAATGCCCATAAAGCTGGCGACCTTGCCCGCGCGCATCGCAGCCTCGGCCTCGGCAGCAGTGCGGACAAAGGTGAAGGTGTCACTGTACTTGTCCATCAGGTTAAGGGCCACATCGATCTGCTCGAGCGTGTCTGCCGGGTTAGACGGTATAAACAACATAACACCCACCGCGGACATGGTGGCTAGGGTTGAGGAAGTCGGGGCCGTCGATATCGGCATGGCAATCCGTGTAGCTTTGGTGTCAGAGATTACGGTCAACCCGTGGCACTTACACAGACCAGAAGAAGCCACCGAGGTGGCCCTCCTTGATGCGGGGAATGTCAAGGTGACCGGGCTAATGTCAGCTGGGATGCTGTGAATCACGAGGCCACCCACAATCGCCTTGCGGAGGTCAAACTTGTTGATGTCGTTGCCATACAGCTCGCGCACGTAGATTGGGAGGTCGATATGGCCGTCGATTACCGGTGTGCTACGTCATGAGCCATGGCTCGCGCGCGTGGGGGCGGTGTCAGTGCTCACCTCTTGAGGTAGTAGTTGGCGAGCGCCAGAGGATCCTTTGGCCGTTTCTCGCCAAAGATGAGGACAAACACGGTGGCCGCGATGAGGACCAAGGGGACAATGATGGTGATGACACGGCGTTTCCGGGGTGTGGGAGCTGCGCCACCTGCTGTGGGAGGAGGGAGGAGTGGCTGGCTAGACATGCTGGCAGCCTCCTGTATGTGTGTGTGGCCGGGGAGTGTGTGAAGGCAACAACGACGGAGGGGAGGTCGGCACTGATACACGATGGAAGGACGACGACGACGAGAGATAGAGAGAATGACTCGGACATGGCCGCCCCGTGCAGCGCGTGGGTGGGTGAGACACAGATGGCGTGTGCGCGCACAGGGCCGTTGGTGGGCCCGTGCCTGGGGACCCATCGACACGGAGATGCATCTCCGTAAAATCCGCCCTGGGTGAGGTGGATTTTATGAGCGCAAAGGATTTGTTGTTGCCGCGCCGGCTTCTGTCTTCTGCATCATCCTCATCGTCTTCGCGTCACAATGGGCAAAGTAAGTCCACACAGCAGTCATTACAGAGCGAGGTGGGTATTGGGAAGGGTGCTGACATTAAACAACAGGCGTCTACACCGGGCAGCAACTGGGAGCAGCTCAAGAAGGTACGTCAACACCATCTGCATATGAAGCTTCCTGCTCACACCCTTGCAGAAGCTCCCCGCTTCCGAGCCCAAGAGCAAGACCCAGTACCACCCCGCACACTCCAAGAAGAGCAAATACCGTTCTTCTGGCATTGCATCCTTCTCGAAAGAGCTGGTAGCGGAACCAAGGTGAGCTCGCTCAGTTCAATGCTTCTCCACGACCAGAGCTGACAAGCCCCAGCACGCCCAGCACCGAGGCCGGCCCCTCTCGCCCCGTGAAGGAGTCGTTTACCCAGGTCGAGGGTGTGGTCTTTCTCACCCCTCCGTCTGATAAGCCGCTCCTGACCGAGCTCCGCACCATGGTGTCTGGCCGCATGGTCTTGAACGAGGCCAAGAGGGCGTGAGTCGCAACGGTCCGGAGCCTGCGTGAGAACATGTCTGACGTCTCCAGCCCCGGCAACTATGTCGCTATCGATTGCGAAATGGTGGGAATGGGACACATGGGTTCCGAGTCGGCACTTGCGCGTGTGTCCCTCGTCAACTACCACGGCCACGTCCTCCTCGACACCTTTGTGCAGCCCCGTGAGAAGGTGACAGACTGGAGGACGTGGGTTTCCGGTGTCCGCGAATCGGATATCATTGATGCTCCCTCGTTTGAAGAGGTGCAGAAGCAAGTCGCCGCGCTTGTCAAGGAGCGTATCCTTATCGGCCATGCCGTGGAGAACGATATGAAGGTGGGTTTCAATCGCCTGACTGGGCAGAAGCTAACCCATTCAGGCGCTGCTCCTCAGCCACCCCAACCCCCTTCTCCGCGATACCCAAAAGTGCAAGCAGCTTCGCGAACGTGCCAAGACCAAGCGTCCTGGTCTCAAGAAGCTCACCGAGTCCGAGCTGGGTCTCAAGATTCAAGCGGGAGCGCATAGTTCGGTAAGTGCTGGGGCTCGTCACGTGCGTTTCAGCACTAACCTTCAGGTCACCGACGCTCGCGCAACGATGGCTCTTTACCGTCTTGTCAAGCCCGAGTGGGAAGCGTCCCTCCGCAGTGTCATGGAGACATACCGCGAGAAGGCCGGCCTGGCACCCATGGCCAAGGGTGGCAAGAGGAAGCGCCAGGAGGACGCCGAGGACGACGACGACGAGGACGCGGCCGAGAATGGGAAGAAGGGGAAGCGTCACCCCAAGGAGTTTCCCGGAGGAGGCCGCAAGGGAATCAGTAGTGGCCTCAGTGTGGTGGTCAAGAGGTTTGGCAAAAAGGTCGAGGACGACCAGCCAAAGCGCCGTGGACCGGCACCTGTGGCGGCGACTGGTGGCAGCTGGTGGGAGGAGGGGGCCAGCTAAGCGAGGGGTGGTGTAAGGTATCTGTTCATAACTGGGACTGTCGGCGCATCGCATGCATATGTACTACAATGTACCAAAGAGAGAGAGAGAGAGAGAGACTGGAGGGACCCAAACGTTGCGTCTCGATAGTCATTCGATCGCGATCGAGGATATCACGCCGCGTGCACAAAAGATCAACACGCGGGAGCAATCTTCGCGCCGCCACCCACCAACATGAACAGGTAGGTCACTTTGGAACATTGACCTTCTGTGCTTCCTCTCCACTACAACCACCTCCGGCAGCACTCTCGCATCTCCATCCTCCTCACACACCTGCCTCTTGCTGGTCGGAACAACCCCAGTCTCTTGTGTCGCATCCGCATTTGTAGTGCGGTGCGACCACCGCGAGCGCGTCGCGTCGTCTCATGGCCGTCCTCCCAGACGCGCCGGGGCCATCGCCGTCCAAGCGGAACCCGTTTGCACGACCTCACGCGACCGAGTCGACGTCATTCTCCAGGACCTCTCTGCTACCTACAAGAGTGTCTGTGAGGAGAATCCCCGTGAACTGTGACTCTCAGCCTGAAAGCTCTTCAACGGCAGCGAGCACCAGCGCCACCGCTACCGCTGCTGCTGCTGGCCCCTCGTCAACACCGTTGGCGAACCCCTTTGCGACACCCAGCGAACGCGCTCGTCCACGGAACGCATGGCGTCTGCTCTGGCGCGGCGGTCTGGAAGTTGGCCCAGACGGCTGGCGTCTTGATGGTGAGCTGCGACATGTACCAATGAGTTGACTCCAGGCATCACCTTCTTCGCCCAGCTCGCCTTCCCTGCTGGCGGTACGCCGAGCACCAACCCGTTCGCGCCTCCCACGCCGTCAGCAGCGTCCAAGATATCACCAGCTGCAAACACCGTGTCACTGCCGGGCATGGACACGGACCTGTGTCTTTCGTTCGAATCCATGCGTGGAAGAAAGTATTTCCAGGTCCGTGGGGTCGTCCCGCTCACCGACGAGGACATTGACACCGATGACAGTCCTGTCCAAATGTAAGTGGTAAGAGTAACGGGCCTCGCTGACCACGACAGGTCCATCACTTCGCCTCTCCTCTCTGCCTTCTTCACTGGCATTCTCTGTCGGGCTCCCAAACTCTCGCCACAGGGCAGGACAACCAGTGGCGTCGTCATTGGCCTCGGGGACGAGGGTATCGGTGAGTGTACTGTTTCTAATGCTCGGTGCTGACTGTAGACTCTAATGGCTCGTCTGTTATTGTCTATGGACAGAGGCAGACCAACGACTCGGCCGAGCCAACATTGCGTTTGTGTGTGGGTCGTCGGCGTATCATTGCACCGCCCAAGAAAGTTCGACCAGGAGAACCCCTGCCTCGAGGTGAGCTGCAGACGTACTTTCCACCACTGACAGCTCCCAGCCCCGGTCTACATTCCTGCCAAGCCTGTCCCTGGACGTGGCCTCTCCCGTGCTCCCTCTGCCGTCGAGATCTACGGCCGGGCGTCATCTATCGCTCCCGAGTCGCTCCCCGTGGCAGCCCTCACAGGCCGTACCGGTGGTCGCCACGGCGAGAAGCGTCCACGAAAGGACGCCGAGACCGTCGACGACGCAGATAAGCGTAGGAAAGCAGGCCGGATCGTGCCAGAGCGCCTACATGTGACAGCGAGAGGACGCGACTCTGGCCCAAGGTCGGCACCCCTGCAGAGGTCCGACGACGAGGACATCTTTGGCCGTCGATCGACGTCTCTGGCTCCCCGTGCGTCTTCTGTGGCACCACGAGCATCTTCGGTTGCATCTCGACACGGCTCGGTGCGAGCACCATCAGCTGCGCCATATGCCGATGCGGCTCATTCCGACGATGACGCGGGTGCCGCAGGCTCGTCGACGATGCGACCGAAACGTCCTCGTGTTCCTCAGCAGGTGCTGGACAACAAAGCTGTGAGTGGAGTATTGGTTGAACATCACTCATTAGATCAGACTATCCGCAAGCAGACCCACTTGCTCCTCGACGCACGAGGCTGTCCCCGCGAACATGAAATGTTCAAGGACGTGTTCGGCATGACCACCAAGGGCACTTACTTTGCTCTCGTAAGTCAGCTGGCCAGTTCTTGTAGGTTAAGCTGACATCTTCAGCGGGCTGTGATGGAGGCAGGGCCTGTAGACAAGACTGCCACCCAGGACATCATCGAGCGCCACCTCGACATGTACCTCCCTGCAGCCCGGTCTCACGAGAACTCGCCTGCCCATGTCCCGGATGAGCCGACCGACGTGGATGAGGCGCCGAATCCTAGACCCCAGCTGGAGGCTGCCATTGACCTCACGTCTGAAGCCAACCTGCACCTGATGCGCACTCCGCCGCCGAAGATACTCAAGGCCGAGCACATTCCAGCAGCTCACGGCTTTGAAAGCAGCCCCTCATGACCTCCCCACTGGCTCATACCGACACCAGGGATGCCTCAGACTCTTCACAACACCAAACCATGCCAACTGCTACATTCGCGTGTGGCGTCATTTGCACACTTTTCCCCTCATGCATTGTTATTCAGGCTATCAAGTGCAACGAGGAGCCGGGTGGGGGAGACTGGGCACCTCAGACACACGCAGCAGGGCAGTGGCCACGTTGCCGAGGTACCGCAGAAGGAGGGAAGCAGCAGAGGGTGCACATGTGACCGACGCGCATCTTCTACGCCGTGCACGAGGTGGCAGGACACCGTCGACGTCAGCAAGCAAAGCTAGTTCGATGGGTAACTGCAATACGCGCGACGTGTACGGCCCAGCGACACGGCTGGCAGCTGGCGGTAACCGCCGGCACACACGGGCTCCAGGGGTCCGGCCCGGCCTCCGCCGCGTGCAACCCCCTCATCCCCACGGTACATCCGTGTGCACACTGGCTGGGCAAAAGAGACTTAAGAGGAGGTATCGTGAGCGACCGTTCTCTGGCAAAACAGCTGCAGAAAGCTGCTGAACGTCCCCCCTGCCCTGTGTTGCTGCAGTGGTATTCAACCCACCCCCTGCAGGCCAGGCGACAGAAACTACCAACATCTGTTGGGCGGACTCGGGATGGCCGTTCCCGAGCCGAATGGTGGCTCGGTAGTTTAGCAGATTTCCCCGCGCATCAAAGTTACGGCACCGGCCCGTTCGGCCCGCAACGGCCAGGGAGAGACAGCGTTGCGGTCGATGCGTCCATGGTGGGGGGGGGGGGGCAGGCATGTGGCGACGGAGAGGGGGGTGGGGCTCGGTATAAAGCTCTCCCGCGGGTGCATGCCATGCCCCTTCCGCTCTCTTTTCTCTGCTCATCGCGCATCTGTGTCTCTCTCTCTATCTCCCTCTAAAACGAAAATGTCGCCCAACTTTGTCGCTCCCCCCAACGGCGTCGCCACTGGCTACGCCATCACCGACCCCAAGGACTACCTCAACTTCCAGAAGACCGAGTACAAGCTCGAGCCCCTCGAGGACGACCGCGTGACTGTCGCTGTTGAGTGCTGTGGTGTCTGCGGCTCGGACCACCACACCATCACCGGTGGCTGGGGTTCGTGGGAGACCAAGTTTGTCGTCACTGGCCACGAGGTCGTCGGCCGCGTGGTCGAGCTTGGCAAGAACGTCACCCAGTTCCAGATCGGCCAGCGTGTCGGTGTCGGTGCCCAGGTCGGCTCGTGCGGTACTTGCAAGTGGTGCAAGAACGACAACGGTGAGTGAACGGTTTGCACAAATGTCGTCCCAAGCACGCTGCCATGGGTACATCTCCATGGGGCTCGCCGGTCGACTTTGTGTCGCTGTGGAGCGCCTTTTTTCAATCCCATTTGCTGACGCTCCACCCTCCAGAGAACTACTGCCCCGAGCCCGTCCACGGCTACAACACCCTCTGGCCCGACAAGTCGGAGCACCAGGGCGGTTACTCGACCCACATCCGTGCCCAGGAGCTCTTCGTCTTCCCCCTCCCTGAGGAGATCCCCTCGGTCGAGGCTGCCTCGATGCTCTGCGGTGGCTTGACGACCTACTCGCCCCTTGTCCGCAACAACATTGGCCCCGGCTCCAAGGTCGGTGTTGTCGGCCTCGGTGGTCTCGGCCACTATGCCGTCCTCTTCGGTGTCGCCCTCGGCGCCGAGGTCACCGTCTTCTCGCGTTCCGACGCCAAGAAGGCCGACGCCCTCAAGATGGGTGCCACCCGCTTCGTCGCCACCACCCCCGGCTTTGAGAAGGACCTCTTCCGCGAGTTTGACCTCATCATCTGCGCCGCGTCCGGCACCAACCTCCCCATCGACGAGTACCTCACCACCCTCGACGTCGGCAAGAAGTTTGTCTTTGTCGGTCTCCCCGACGAGGGCCTCAAGGAGGTCAAGTCCCAGGCCCTCATCTGGGGTGTTGGCCTCTCGGGCTCGCACATTGGCTGCCGCACCGAGGCCCTCTCGATGCTCAAGCTCGCCGCCGAGAAGAAGATTAAGCCTTGGATCAACGTTATCCCCATGGCCCAGGCTGCCGACGCCATCAAGTCCATCGAGGACGGCAGCGTCCGCTACCGCACCATCTTGACGACCGACCTGCTTTAAGAAGCTGCAGATGGTCTAGAGCGGGCGATGTGTGGAAATGAGAGATGTTGGGGTGGACGAGGACAGGACTCGTCTCGGAGGTAAAACTCGGTGTAGCTAGCAGAAATGCACATATTAGATGATTACAAGTACTGTGGAAGTGTTGTGTTGTGTAGAGATGGGGCATCTGAGTACAGCAGAGTGGACAAGTGGACCGGACAAGACAGAGACGTGTGGGTGCCACTTGGGGCGTCGATCGCCACGAGGGCTCTGTGACGGAATCAAATTGCCACCCACCCGCCATAGATCAGCTGCCCACACCCCACTCACTCTCCCTCTCATTCCATTCCACTCATCTAAAGAGGTCCTACGGCACCTCTCGCGCCTGCAAAGCGCAACCCCTCAACCTCCTCGCCAGCAAAGATCTCGCACCATGTCGGAGCGTAAGGTCCTGAACGTAAGTCGCCCGTAAATCCTGTGGCAGTCCCGTCGCTGACATTGCTCTTTCTCCCTTCTTCTCCTCGTCTTTCTTTGCCACCCACAAACAGAAATACTTCCCGCCGGACTTTGACCCGTCCAAGCTCAAGCGCCGCAAGGGCGGTGTCAAGGAGACGCAGATGACTGTGCGTCTCATGGCACCGTTCTCGATGCGCTGCTCGCGGTGCGGCGAGTACATCTACAAGGGCAAGAAGTTCAACGCGCGTAAAGAGACGGCCGTCGGCCACGAGTACATGGGCATCAAGGTGTTCCGTTTCTACATTGTAAGTTGCGATGGCTGTCATTTATCGTAAACATAAAGCAGCGTTCCTGACACTTGCCCGCCCACGCGCAGAAATGCCCCGTGTGCTCGTCCGAGATCACGTTCAAGACCGACCCGAAGCAGGGCGACTTTACAGTGGAGCACGGCGCGACGCGCAACTTTGAAAACTGGAAGGAAAACGACCCGACAGGCAAGGCGGGCTACCTGCCCGGCGCTGAGGAGGACGAGGAGTTTGACGACGAGGGAAACGACAAGGCGTCACGGGACGCCATGGCCGACCTGGAGCGCACGCAGGAGCAGTCGCGGCGCGAAATGGAGGTCATGGACGAGCTCGCCGACCTGCGCCAGCGCAACGCCCGTCTCGAGACGACGCGCACCGCCGACGACCCCGAGGCGCTCCTTGCCGCGCTCCATGCCGAGAAGGAGAGTAAAGAGCAAGAAGAGAGGCGCAAGGCCGAAGAGGCAGAGGACGACCAGCTCGTGGCCAAATACTTTACAAAGCTTGCACCCCCCAAACCTCCCGTCGGCGCCAAGGTTGCCTCCGCGGCCGCCAACGACAACGACAACGGCGAAGACGACGCCGAGGCCTCGGCGCACGCAGAGTCATCGTCAGCGCCGGCACTCACGATCAAGCGCCGTGCCGCCGAGGGCGCTGGCGCACCCTCCGTCTCGTCCATTCTTGCCGCCAAGGGCAAGACGGCCGGCCCCGCCCCGACCCCGGCCGCTGCGACTCAGCAAGTGAAGCGTAAACGCGAGGGCATGCAGAAGCTGCTCGGCATCAAGAAGAAGACCAAGGCGTAGAGTAGATGTTCTTTGTGTATTAGTAGTGCGATGTGACAGGTATAACCAGTGCCGGATGCAGGTCAAGTTGGCAAGCTAAAGTCGTTGCCGTTGCTTTCGCTGCCCAGCTCAGTTCAGTGTTGGTTTCACTCCGCGCTCCGCTCCCAGTTGACAGATGTGGACGTGCCATGCATTGCAGTGACTAGTATACAAGGGCCTCGCTCACCACTCGCAGGCCCCGGCCGCGGGCTGCCGGGCGGGGGGAGAACGAAGGTGGTGACAGCGACCGCATGGGTCGCGGCTTGGCAGGCAGTTACAGACGCTGACGCCCCGCACATAGAAATAGTCATGTGGCGGGCGACGACAGCAGGGGGGGTATTCTCACGGCAGGCCCGATCTCTCTCTCTATATGCCGTGTAAGAACTCTTGCGCGACGGAGGTTGGTTTGGTGTCATGACTCTTGGCGAGTCGTGCTTCTTGGGGGGGTTGGGATTGCGAGGTGGGGGCAGCCGCTCCGCGACCTCTGGAAAACCAGTCGAAGTTGAGCCGTGGTGGGGGGGTGGGGGGAGGGTTTGGGGGGGATTCTACTGTCACAAACATGAGAAAAGAAATAGCCGGATGCTGCAAAGACCCAGAGACGGGGCGAGAAGCGGTATGTGGTGTAACAGGTTGAGCGCAGATGATGAGCCCGGGATGATTCGATGCTGGGGTGGGTTGTCAGTGGCGAGTTGAAAACGGCATGCAGTTGAGTCAACTCACCAGTTGCAGCCTAGTGCATCTGCGTGCCGAAGTTCTCGCGCGCGCGACGGAACATCATGAAGATCTCGTCGTCGGCCCGGACGAACGTCTGATCCCAGAAGCCGTACGCGGGGTTTTCGAGAAGCTCGACAAAGGTGACGATGAGGCCCCACGGGTGCGGGCGAGCGACAATGACGCGCTCGAGCAGAACGCGGGCGATACGCTCGGGAATCGACGAGTCGGATGTCACCTTGAACAGGTAGAGCATGAGCGACGCGAAGAAGAGGGTGTGTGCCGACGGGTAGCGGAGCTGGTCGGCGATGACCGAGAGCATGAGGTACTGGCCCTCGGCATCGAACGAGTAGGCGAGGCTGACCAGAAGGGGCACAGCGGGGTCCTTGGGGTCAAACTCGGCGACACCCGACGACATGTAGTGACGGTGGATGGCCGAGGTGCCGAGGTAGAAGACGGTAGCGTGGAGCAACGTGGTGTTCCACACGGTGGTCGACGTGCCGTCGGGGAGGACCTTTTGAACTGCGATGCGGTTCTTGAGCTCGTTGACAATGACGTTTCCATTGGGGCTGCCAGTGTGGACGTATTGGTCAATGGCTTGCTTGACGTTGCCCGAGCTGAGCGCGCTGACGTGGTCCTGGCGGACACGCGGGAACGACTGCATGTCCGGGATGAGCTCGTCGAGACGCTTGTACCAGTCGGGCAGCGGGGCGTCGGCGGCGGGGAACGCGGCAAGGACAATGTTGCGAAGCTGGACGCACTGGGCCGGGATGGCCGTCGAGAGTGTGTGGTAGTACTCGACAAGGAAGCCCGGGAAGTCGTGCATGAGCACGAGCAAGATGCGCAGCGTGGCGCGGTAGAGGCTGCGAGACGCAGGAGTCATCTCGGGCGCGCTGGTGCCGATGAACGGCGACACGAAGCGGAGAAGCCACATGACGCAGCGGTGGTAGTCGGCCCATCCTTCCTGGCGCGGGGCGCCGAGGAGCTTGGACATGAAGAGACGGTGCGAGACAATGGAGATCCAGCCAAACGCAAAGCGCGGGGCGTAGGTCGGCTGGACGATACCAAGGACGTTGGCAATGCTCTTGAGGCAGCCAATGGCAGTCTCGGGGAGGCTGGTCTCGATGGACGAGATCTCGGCGAGCATGCTGGTGAAGAAGCGCGACCACGGGCGCTGGTCAAAGGGCTCCTCGGTGTTGAGCTGCGCACGGACAAGGCTGTACGACATGATGGTGACAATCTTGTTAAAGTAGTAGACGGTGCGGGTCACGCTGCCGGGGCCGCTCTTGTCGCCATAGTTCTTGACAATAAGGATGATGAGCTTGGCAAGCGAGTCGGTACCGAACCACTGGCCAGACTCGGACTTGGTGTCGCACTCGACGGCAGACTTGATGGCAGTCGTGTAGAACGCGGTTGAGACATCCTCGCCGCCCAGAATGTTGTCGTTCTGGAGCCAAGTGATGTAGGGCACAAACGAGACCTCGGGCGAGTTGGGGTTCTCAGTGAAGAGGCGCACCCACTCGAAGAAGTAGTGCTGGAGACGCTCGTGGGTCTTGGGGTCGATGGGCGTCTGCTTGCCGTCGCGAGCGTCGCCACGCAGGTCCTCGAGGAGCTGGTCGGCATCGGTGGTCGACTGGCCCATCTCGTGGGCCTTGAGGAGCGCAGCGATACAGAGCGTAAACGCGTTGCGGTTGATGAACGCGTTGGTAGCGTCGAGCGAGCACTCGCGGATGAGGTGAGCGACAAAGTCGACGAGGTCGCTGGCAAAGCTGCGAGGGATCTGCTTGGCGAGCTGAGCGTCGAGCTCGGCAACACGGATAAAGCCGGCACGGATGAGGACCACCGTGACGTCAACGTTGTACTTGCGCGGGTCCTCGGCGTAGACGAGCCACGACTTGACCTCGCGGTCGACCTTGGGCGCGTGAGCGCAGAGCTGCTGGAGAAGCACGACGTAAATCTCGCGGCCGAGTGGCGAGTCGGTCTTGTAGAGCAGCTGGACAATCTTCTGCGCGATGGCCAGGGTGGTGGCCTCGCGCGACAGCGACGAGTGCGCGAGCACAATGATGGTGCGGCTGAGGGCACGAAGGTCGTGCTCGGGTTCGAGCTGCGAGATCGACTTGACAGTCGTGTGGGCGAGGAGCTTCTCAATCTCGCCGACAATCTCGTGGAACTTTTCGATCGTCATCTGGGGCGGCATCATCGACGGCTCGTCCGGGTAGCGCGGCGAGGGGCCACGCTTGACCTCGGGAGGCGCGAGAGTCTCGCCGGCAAGGCCGAGCTCGCGGTAACCGGCGGCAATGTAGCTGTCGTCGCCGCCGTTCTGCTGCGCGGCCTGCTGCTGCTGCTGTTGCTGCTGCTGCTGGATCGCACGTGCCGACTCGGCAAAGTCCTCGTAGACGCGGAGCTGCTGAGGAGTAAGACCACCCGAGCGGAGGCGAAGAGGGTCGGGCAGAGCAGTGTGCGAGATGGCGACACCAAACGACGCGCCGTCCCAGAAGGGAGCCTGGCTGCGCGAGTCGCGGTGGGCCTTGCGAGCAGCAAACTGCGGCTGGAGGTTGACGTCAATGTCGCGGATAGCCTTCTCCATGGCAGCCTTGCGGATAATGTCGCAAGCGACGTCAATGTTCTCGTTGACAACGCCAGCGATGACGGCGTCGGGGACGTTCTCCTCGGTGAAGCCGTTCTGCGACACGAGAGCGCGGATGTGGGCAATGAGGCTGCTGCGGAGGGGCTCCTTGCAGGTGACAAGGGCGAGGTTGCCAGCCAGGTTCTGGACCATGAGGTGGGCAGCCTTGCGCATCTTCATCGAGTCGCCCTCGGTGCCAAAGTCCTTCTGCACGAGGTCGCGCGACGAGATGCCCGCAATGGTGACCGAGCGCTCCACAACGGGCGAGACAATCTCGCGGATCGCACGCTCGATCGAGTGCAGGACAATACGCTTGAACGTCGGAGCCTGGAGGACCCCGAGGTCCGAGTTGAAGTGCAGGTACTCGGGAAGCTGGCGAATGAGGTCGTCGACGTTCTGGAGGAACTGCTCGTGCGCAGCCTGGGCAGCCTGCTCGCTCTGCATCGCCTGCATGCGCGAGAAGGGGTCGTCCAGGGGCGCCTCGGTGAAGCCACCCTGGCGGCTGCCGTTGGTGACATCGCCGGTGACGAGCTGGCGCTGGAGCTCGAGCTCGAGGCGGTTGGCTGAGTGCTCCTGGGGCTGGGGAGGCGGCGTGTGCGTGCGGATAATGTCCGAAGGCTCCACCGACTCGAGCTGGATCTCGAGCTTGCTGAAAAGCACCTCAATCTCAAACTTCATGTTGAGCTTCAGGTCACCAAAGTGGTAAAGCTCGACGAGCACGCGAATGACAGCGAGGAACCACGGGTTGGGGATGTGGAACACGGTCGATCCCTTGCACGCGACCATGAGGTTGGCAACGAAGGGGATGGCGACGATGAGGCGCTTGTTGTCGTAACCCTGGACAAGGACGTCCTTGACCGAGAGCTCACGGTGCTTGATAGGAAGGCCACGGGCGAGCGTGATACGACCCAGCCAGAGCGCAACAGTCTTGAGCGTGGTGCGGTCCGACGCAGACGTGAGGGTCGACTCGGCGTTGAGGAGGTCACGAGCCTTGCGGTACGTCTCCCACAGGACGTGACGCTCGAGGAGCGGCAGGTTGAGGAGGTCGAGGAGCTGCATGTAAAGCTCGTGACGGTTGGCCTCGAGACTGACGCGCACGTCGATAAAGTAGTGCGCAAACCAGCGCGAGTACTGGGGCTCGAAGAGCTTGAGCAGCTCTTGCGACTTGGCCTCGTAGTTGTTGGGCGCAATGTTGTTGATGATGAACATGATCGCGTCACGCAGCTTGGGCTCGGGCTCCTTGAACTCGTCGTCGCCCGACTCGATGAGAATCGGGAGCTTGAGAGCAGGGAAGGCAAGCTTGACGCCACCCTGCTGGTCGAGCTCCTCGCGCTCAGCAAGGGCGGCGTGGATCTCGTTGATGTAACCCGGGTGCGACTCGTGCAGAGCAGGGATCTCGAGCAGCGAGCGGCAGAGACCGGGGAAGTCGACAAGAGAGCCACGGAGGACGCTCAGGGCCGAGACACCAAACTGGTACGTGGGCTCGTGAGGGGGAGACTTGCAGGCGTCGAGGACGTAGCGAGTCGCAACGAACGCGGGCGTGTCCTTGACAAGACGTGCGTCAATGATGGCACCAAAGAGGATACCAGTCATTGCCAGCTCGCGAGGCGGGTACGTCTTGATAAACTTGTACTCGTCAAAGAGCGAGTGGAGAGCAGCCGCAAAGATGTCACGCTGACGACTGTCGTCCGAGACGGCGTACTGCTTGAAGTCGTCAACAACCTTGTCGAGAGTAAGGTCATTGTCCTCGCTGTACATGCGGCGGTACATCTCGTCGACCTCGGACGAGACGCTCTTGTTGTAGGCCGCAACGGCAAAGCCCTGCTCCTTGGTGTCGCGGGGACGAAGGTTGAGGAGACGCGGGTGGAGGATGAGAATGTCGGTGCGGAGGGTCTTGAAGCGCGCGATGTCCTCGCGGTCGAGGTCCTCGGCGTTGCGAATGACACGGATGAAGATGGAGTAGGCCTCGTCCGAGAGGGTGAACATGAGAGGCGGGACAGACTCGGGCTGGTGCTGGTTGTCCATCTCGAGCTGAACCTTGTGCTCGACAAAGTCAAAGACGGCCTGGAGGAAGTCTTGGCCGCTGACGGCAACACTGTCTGCCAGCCAGTTCTCGAGGTTGAAGAACTCCTTGCTCGACGCGAGCGAAGCCACGTCGAGGGCAAAGTGCAGGTTGTCGCTCTTGAGGAGCTTGTCGAGAATCTGGAGCTCGAGGGCAATCTCCACGACCTTGCCGAGGTTGTTCTCGTCCTCCGAGTAAAACTCGGTGAGGAGTTCCAGGAGACCCGTGGGGTTGAGCTCCCACATCTGCTGGAAGACGAGCGAGGGCGAGGCCAGAGCCGCGGGCGGGTTGGCGATGTAAATCTCCGTAATCTTCGAGTGCATGGCAGCAATGGGCACGGGGAAGGGCTTGGGGAGCTTTTCGAGAGCAATGAGGACCAACTCGGGGGCGAGGTTGGCGGCACGCTCCAGGAGCTCGGTGGCACGACGCCCAATGTCGACACGCTCCTCGCGATCAACAGCGTCATCGGCATCAGCGAGAGCGCATGCCTTGATGAGGACCTGAATCAGACCAAGACAGTTCCAGAGGCCCGCAGCCTGAACGTCCTTTGCCTGCTGGCGCACAGCCTTGCTGACCTGCGCCTCGGCAGGGAAGGGCTCCACGATGCGCGCAAACGCCTCGAGAGCAGGCGAGGTGGGGAGAGTGAAGATGGGCAGCGAGTCGGGCGCCAGGGTGGCAAGGTTGCGGAGAACGTAAAGCAGCGCCGACAGGTGGTCCCAGGTGGGCTCCTCGGGCGACGCAGGGAGAAGACCGGCGATCGAGGGGACGGGAGTCTGGGGAGGGACCAGGAGGAGCGCAGCGGCCAAGTTGAGCGCCGAGGGCTGCGCCAAGACCGAGTTGGCAGTGTCAAACGACTTGACAACGTCCACCCACGACACTTGAGGGGCGGCGGCGGCAATGCCGCTGATCACACCGCTAAAGTCGACGTTGCGACCCTCGTTGAGACCCCTGGCGAGGTAATGAAGCGTGTGCTCGGCCTCGTCCTGGATAGCAGCCTGGTCGGCATCCTCGAGCAACCAGGGGCTCCACCAGCGCCTAACAACGGCCTCGACCGTTCCCTCGTCTTGCGTGAGCGAGTCGCCGAGCTCGAACAAAATGTCCTCGAGGGGGATCGCACCCGGGCTCCGCGGAGCGCCGCCAGGCGACAGAGCCGACAGAGTCTGAAGGATGATGGCTGGCGAGGAAAACTTGATGGTGAGCGACTGGAGGAACAGGCCACGGTCTGCCGAGTTGAGCGGCGAGGGGTGAGGCGGGGTAGGGTTGGTTGGCGTCGGGGGGCGCGACGCGCTGCCGCCCTGCGTAGAACCGCGAGGGTAAATGGCCAAAATCAAAGTGCGCGCCTCCTGCATGGTCAAGTCGTCCTGGGGCTGGTCGGGAATGACAGTCGTCCAGAAGGGCATGCCCGTACGAAGAAGCTCCATGGCGGTCGGGAACGTGTCGTGCAGCGTCTGGACGACATGGTCGTGTGAGGGGTGGGTCGTCGGGAAGACGTGCGGGTTGGCGAGGGTGAGCGCCGCCAACGAGAAGAGGGTCGGGGGCACGAGGTTGAAGTAACGCAGCGAGGGAAGAGGGAGCGGCGTTCCTTGCGATGGCGAGAGCATTGTGAGGACAAAGTGAGGCGCAAGTGCGACATCGCGAGCTGCACGAGCGGCCTCGGTCGCCAGCAGCTTGAACGCGAGCGCGGCAGGCCCAGTGGTGGGGACTGGGGGAGGCGGGGCGGACATGTCGTCCTTGTACTGCTGCGTGTGCTGGACGAGCACCTGAATCACTGGCGATGCGACGACGGCGGTACGGCGCACAAAGTGGTGGTACATCTCGGGACCGTGAGTTGATGCAAGCTATGATGTTCTGTCAGTTACAAGCAAACGGCGCACGCAAACCAGGCGCCCATCACCGTCCCTCTGGCACATGGCAGTCAGAGTACGTACCGTCCTGATCTCTGCAGCCGACTTGTCAAACGACTCCTCGGTGAATGTCGTGAGGAGGAAGACGATCTGGGCACGCACGATGGCAGCGGTACCGGCAGCTGTAGCACCACCGCCTGTGGTGGCACCGCCGTTGCCGCTGCCTGCAGGCCCGCCGGCATTGTTGCTCGATCCGAAGCCGGGCGGAGGGCCGGTCCTGGCGACCCCGCCTCCCAGGCCGGGAGGAGGGTGTGACATGGACGGGGGGGAGATGGAGGTGGGGAGGGGGGGGAGAGAGGAAGGAGGAGGAAGGTGGGGGGGTTGACGGGGGATTAAGTACGATCCATCCCCTTGCGGCGGGGTCGAGGAAGGAAGGAAGAAGGGGTGGGTGGTTTCGCGAGGGTGAGAGCGGGAGGGGGAGGGTGTTGGTACAGGCGAGACTGTTGGGGGGGGAGGATTGCAGTGGTGGACTGCTTTGACTAGGGATGTGGATGATGATGAGCAGAGCCGGATGGAGAGACGGAGAGGGGGCTGCAGAGAACAGGCGAGCGAGCGAGAGCCAACGGCCAGGCCCAACAGCCAGGCAGCACGCTGGGGGGGGCTCTGCTGGCGCTCTGGGTGTGCGCTGTGGGTGGGCGCTGGGCGGGCGGTGGCTCTCCTGGCAGTCATTCCCGGCGTTATCCCATATTCCCAGTGTGGCGCTCCCGTGGGCTGGGCCAGGATGGCGGTCGTATTCACCAGGGCCATGCCCATCCCACGCATGGCGCCGTCTTGCATAGGAGGTGCTGCTCACTGACATGCACATGCTCTCCTCGGTGTTGAAACAGTACAATAAATATGCATGCGGAAACTGTAATCTCTCCTCGTGCTACACCTACTCCACCCTCTACTTGTCCTCTTCGAGGTACATCTCGTCCCACTCGCCGCTCTCAATCATCTCCTTCAGGATATCCAGTCCACCGACAAGCTCGCCGTTGAGGATAATCTGCGGGAACGTGGGCCAGTCGTTGACACGCTTCATGCCCTGGCGCACGTCGTCGTCGCTCAGAATGTCAAACCACGCAAACTCGACACCCTTCTCGCGGAGGAGGCCCACAGTCTGTCGAGAAAAGCCACACTTGGGCGCAGAGGGGTTGCCCTTCATGAACAGCACAACCTTGTGCTTGTTCATAATCTCGTGGCAGCGGGCAGTGATCTCCTCCTCAGTGCGGGGACGAGATGGCTCGGCAGAGGTCAGAGTCGAGGCGGCGACGTTGGACGAAGGTGCCGAGGTGGTGGCAGAGTGCTGGGAGAGGAGGGAGTTGAGGAGGGAAGCGTCCGCGCCAGAGTGACGGGCAAGGAGGCTGTGACCCTGTTTGTGGTGAACATTCCCAGCAGAGGAGGGTGCGAGTAGCGGCCAAGTGGTCGATCCAGAGGGTCCGGTTACGTGCGCAGATAAGGGGGATCCAGTTCAGGAGACGCAAGAGTACCAAGACATGGCGTGGAAGGGAGAGCAAGCGTCAGCAACGTGCTTCAAACAGGTAGGTTGGGAATGTGGCCAGACCAGTCACAGGCGCATCGTTGCCAGTTGGCCAAGGAGGTCCGCACAGACAGTGCCCTGCGCATTCGCCACCACCATTGGCGGTGGTCAAGCACAATCAGGCAAGCTAGTGCGGGTCCTTGCCAAAGTGAAGCCTAGGCCACAAGCATTCGTGACACGTCACAAGCTCTCCAATGTGTATCATCACTGTACACATGGTGTGTGCACGCATGGCGAACGGGGAGTCACCAGTTACTCACGCGAAGGACAATGAACGAGGGCACGGCCTCAATGTCAAACGACTCGGAGATGTCGGCCTGCTCCTCGGCCTCGACCTAAACAAGAGTCAGTATATATGATACGAGGGGGGTTGTGTGTGCGCTCACGTTAAGGAAGAGGACCTGGGGGTAGCGGGCAGCAGTCTCCTCGACGACCTTGTTGAAGGCAGCGCAAGGCTCAGCCCATGGTGCCCAGAAGTTGAGGAGGGAGACGCGGTTGAGGTCCTCGGAGAGGAGCGTCTTGAAGTGCTCGGGCGAGGTAACGTTGACGACGTTGGAAGCCATCTTGGAATGAATTAGGGGGGCCGGGGATGAAGAGACAAGTGCAGAACGTGAATGTTGTGTTTCCACCACTTCTGTTAAGCCCTCGCGCTGAGCAATATCTCTGACAAGAGGAACACAGATCACGCCACGGGCGGCCCATATGAGTGCTTAGGTAAGCAAGTTATGATTACGTAACAACACGTGACTGCCACAAGCCCGTCGTGTTAATTCCCGTTGGCCGCCTTCGTTGGTGTCAATGCTCGACGTCTGGTGTTATTGACATTCACAAGATCCATAATAGAGACGTCCACCACACGCATCAAGGCCCCTCGCGACCTCCACAACACGCCCACATTACCGAAAGCAGTACATACTGCAGTCTAGACCAACACTCGGCGTGAAAATCGGGACAACAACCCCTGCCCAGAAACGACCCCCGCCCTCACACACCTTTCCACCTCCACCTCTACTTGAGAGCTATCCACCATGGCCGACGTTGACATGGGATCTGACAGTGCGTATTACTATAGAGGGGATGGGTCGCTGTAGTTGTATACGACATCCTTCGCCAGGTCGGTGGACAGAGCTGACGAGCTACAGGGCGACTGGATGGTTCGTTTTGATCCAATGTTAGGTGGCGAGGCGACATGGTGCTGACACTTGGCCTTTCTAACCTCCATCTCCTACTCTGACTTGGGACTGCCGTGAACGTACAGCTGGATCTAACGGCAAGGACGGCAACTCGTGGGCCGCTCGCTGTAAGTGGGAGGACACAGGCCACCGACTTGTTTTTGTTTGTGCGCACGTCAGTGCTGACATTTGTTCAGCCGTCGAGGGATGGATCATTATCGTGACCGGCCTGAACGAGGAGGCTACCGAGGAGGACCTCCAGGACCAGTTTGGCGAGTTCGGCGAGGTGCGCAACCTCTCGATGGCTCTCAACCGTCGAACGGGTTATGTCATGGTAAGTGGAAGACATGGAGGTGGCGGGCAATCATCAAAATGCGTCTGCCATGTTGCGAGACAGAGGCCGGGTGCTGAATAGCCTCGTGCGCGCCGATGGCTGTCATGTACTGGCTGTGAGCTCAATCACTGACGTGTCTAGGGATACGCTCTCATCGAGTATGCGCTCAAGAGCGAGGCGGAGGAGGCCATCAAGGCCACCGACGGCACCGAGTTCCTGGAGAAGAAGATCCACACGTGAGTTTGACGTACACCGTGCAAGAACTGACAGATTCCAGCGACTTTGCGTTCGCCAAGGCGCCCGCGGGACGTCGTGGTGACGGTGGCAGGCGGGGTGGCCGCGACCGCTCTGTGTCGCCTAGCCGTCGTTGACGAGGAGAGGAGTTTTACCAATTACTGTGTAGAGAGACTATATGTGGCAGACGTTTTCGCAGCCGTGTGTGGGCTGGCTGTATGCACCAGGCATGATGAATGTACCAACGGACGCTGAGAGGGTGTGTGATGTGTAAGATGGGAGGCGGCCCGCTTTGACGGGGGGTTGCGACGCGCCTGGCGAAGGGGTGTGGCGGGCCGAGAACTGGGCTGCAGCAAGCAGCAGCGAGGGATTGGTGTCTAGGAACAGAGACGACGAGACCTATTCATTGCCTGCATTGCCTGCAGGAACACTGGCATGCAAAGAGATTACCAGAGAAGAGGGTGCTCGACGCGCACGCAGCAAGCAAAACGAGTAATGTCGCCAGCGTCTCCCCGCGTTTCACTCGCGCCGCAGGATCCCGCCCTTCCCGCAGACCATCGCTCCCTTAGTTGTTGGACCTGTTGGGATGGCAACCGGGCCGTCGACCACAAAGGGGGGTGGGTGGGTTCCTGTGGACGTTTGAGAGTCTGATGATGGGTGTCATGTTCGACACGTTGCATACTTGTCCATTGCATCATCCCATCCCATCCATCCATCAACTGTAGACCCGTCGTCACCCATCGCCCCATCCACAACACCAGAGCTGTGGGCAGGGCTCCCTCCTCCTCCCCCATTTCAAGCTTCGACGTCGGATTTATTCTGTGCTCCTGGTGGTGGTCCTGACATTCCCCACCCACCCCCTGGCGCGCGTGCTCGGCTCCTCTTGTCTCGTCGCACCTAGCGCCCGCACCAGCAGCCCCAAAAACGACCCACAAGACGACCAACCGAGTACGGCAGAGTATCGTAAAAGCCGACCACAAACATCCGTCTTGCACAAACCGACACACCTATAGCCAGCAAGCAGCGCGCGTTGCTGGATGCGTTCTTACCATCGCACCGCCCTCCTTCATCGCCTCTGATCCTCTGAACCCTTTGGCAGCGAACGATCGACACGGCGCCTTCTGCCTCTCTCTGTCTGTGCGCCGCCGCCGACCGCCCTCAAACCACCCCGCCCAAGTAAGGCCCCGCAACGAAACCGCACTCTAGAATTACAGAGTGCCATTTTGCCACCCGGCGCCGCGCGAGAAGCTGCTGTGTGAGTTGAGCGCACTAATCGCCCCGTCCCCCCTTTTACACACACACAATCGTGCTGATGATAATGCTCTCAGCACCATGTCCTCGTTCGCATACGACGAACACTCGGACAGCGAGGTCCCCACCGACACTGCGCCAACGTCCATCTCTGAAAAGCACAGCAGCAGCGACATGAGCACCGCCCTCGCCGACCTCCGGACAGAGCTCACGGCCGCAAACGAGGCACGCCAGGCATCAGAGACACGCGTAAACGTCCTCGAGACCGAACTGGCACGCTTCAAGGACCAACATGCCTTTGCCACCGCTTCGAAAGAGGCCATCCAGAACCAGCTCCGCGAGGAGACGGCACGCCGTGAGGCCGCAGAGGATAAAGTGGAGCTGTTGCGCGGCCAGGTCGAGTCGGCACGGCGGACGGTCATGCAGCTCCAGAAACAAGAACAGGAGCGCGCCGCTCGCCGCCAGAGCATTGGTCGCGACGAAGAAGATAAGCTCGCCGCCAAGCGACAGAGCCTGTATGGCGGTGCCAGTCGCAACCGCCCCGTCTCCACCCAGTCTGCAACCTCGGACTCTGCCGAAGCCCCTCCCCCTCCCCCACCAGTCCCAACCCCCAGCGGGCTCCGTGAACTCCGTTTAGGAAGTGGACAGGCGCGCCCCGCGTCAATGGCCCTCCGTATTGCGCCCGACGGCACCCTCAAGTCGCCCCGTGGCGACAAGACATTGAAGTCTCCACGCTCGCCGTCGCGCCCAAAGCAGCCCACGCTCGGAAGCGACTTGTTTGACCCAACAACGACTACTACCAGCGGCGGCGACTCTCCTACAGACTCATCACCGCGCTCGCCCAGTGGCGCACCGGCAAGCCTGCTGTTGCCCATCGCCTCGGGCTCGCGTTCGGGATCCCTCGATGCGACGGCCTCGAGCGCCACGGTAGAGGCGGCGGTGGCTGCTGCGTACGCTTCCTCGGCAGCAGACGCACAGGCCTCTAGGGATGAGGCGGATCAGTTGCGTGCGCAGCTCGAGCGTCTCACAGTCCAGTTGACCGAAAGCGAGGAGGCGCGCGACGCATCCGAGTCCATGGTGCGAGCACTACGCGAGTTTATCGCGTCGGATCCCGGTGACGCTGCCGGTGGACCTGGATCGGCGTCGATAAGTCTCCCGCCACTCCCAACTGAGGATCTCGACGATGATGATGAGGACGAGGAGCAAGAACCTGCACCAAAGCCAGCTCCAGCAGCCAGCAAGTGGGGTTTTAGTATGTGGAGTGGCAGCGGCGCGGCTGCAACTCCCAGCAACGTACCCGCGCCTGCACCGGCTCGCCGCCGCTCCTCGGCAGCTGCAGCTGCAGCTGACATTTACACGACCCCCTTGTCGCCCCGTATCGCCGTTACACCGCCCGACTCGCCGCCCCAGACCAGGCAGGCGGCGCAGCCAGCCGAGCCCCCCGCCCCCGCCCCGGTCCGCAGTGGCTTCATGTCAGGATGGACAAAGCAGGCTGCTGCGGCAGCTCCTCCCCCGACCACTGTCGTGCCCCTCGAGTCGTCTGCCGACCTCGACCCCGACCAGCCCATCGGTGGTGCAGCCAACGCCGGTCTCGGCCGCAGCCTCACCTCCTTCTTTGCCCGTCGCGCCCGCTCAAGCTCGCGCTCATCGACGTCTGCCCCGGCCCCCATCGCTGAGGTTGAGCCGATTTCCGAGCTTGCGTCCATGCCCGAGGAGTTTCCCGTCATCGCACCGGTGACGCCCATGGCTGCTGACAATGTGACCATGATGACTTCACCGGAGCAGCTCGCCGACACTGCCTACTCTGGCATCACAGACGACGCGTACGGCGGCATGACGGACGCGGCATACGACGGTCTCGAGGACACTGCCTATGGTGGTCTCCAGCTCGAGTCGGTGCCTGCTCGCAGGCAGCCGCAGCTTGTGGCCCGCGCCGTGGCTGAGACCCCCGTCATTGAGCTCGCCGACCCACCCAAGAAGGTCGAGCAGGTCGAAGCCAGCCCCAGGCCCTCGGTCGAGCAGCCCATCCGCCGGTACACGTTGAGCGACGGGCCGTCGCCCTCTTCGCACAGGGACGAGATGGTCGACGAGCCCATGGAGGTTGTGGCCGACGCCAAGGACCTCGCTCCCATCGTCACCTCGTCCCTCCGTGCGTCGCGGTCTTCGTCGCTGTCGGGATCGCCCGTCCCCGGCATCTCGCCCCGCTCGCCCGCCCGCTCCGCCACGACCCCCGTCACGCCCAACCACGTCGCTGGCGCGTCGCCAACCGTGACCGTCTCGCCGCCGGACGCGATCCCCTCCCCACGCTCGCTCGTCGCCGGCTCCCCCGTGTCCATCCACTCGCCCCACTCGCCCTACTCGCCCAACCCAGCCTCGCCCGCCAGCGTGCCCCTCCCGCGCTCCCCGCTCGTCCACCCGCGCTCCCCAGCCGCAAGCGACCGCGAGCAGCCCGGATCCCCCGAAACGGCCCACTCGGACGAGCCCGAGACGCCCCGCGACTCGCCCAGCCCAGCCCTCGCCCACGCCGAGACTGCCGGTGATGGCACCGCAGACGACAAGCCCGTCTACAAGCCCCACTCGCCCGCACCGCCCAAGCCGGCGCGCGCGCCGCAGCGTAACAACGCGTCGAGGCGCGGCCGCGGAGCAAGGAGCGGCGGAGGCGGCGGCGGCGGTGGTGGCCGCAACTATGTGTAGAAGACGAGAGAGAGGGAAGAAGATTGTCAGTGATATCAGTACGGTATCTGGTCTGCCAACATGCTTGCGCACAGTATAGTTTTTTAAAAACGTAGATTACATGCACTACACGTGCCACGAGACTTCGGGGTGGGGTGGGGTTGGGAGGGGTCTGTACAGGAATAGACTTATATACGGTGGTCGTTTGGGAACAGGCAGGGAAGAGAATAATTCTTTTTGTGGGTTTTTTGGCGGCTTTTTAACATGTTCAGTTTAGACCCAGAGAGTGTCCTCGTTGGCGGTCCAGACGATCCAGCGCATCTGCTTGGCGTCGGTCGCGTGCACGGGGGGCAGGGTCTGGTCCGTGTCCAGCGTGATGCGGCGGTTGACGAGGTTGGTGTCGACGAGGTACTGGAGGACGTCGCACGCCTCGAGGCGGTCAAAGATCGGGGACAGGCGCTGGCGGAGGGTGTGCTCGGACAGACCGGGGCGCTGGAGAATGTGGCCGAGCGCAGCCTTGATGGCACGGCGCCACTCGGCGGGGATCACGTCGCCCCAAATGTCGACCCAGCGGCGGGGCTGGCAGCGGTTGAGCACGCCGGGCTGGGGGGCGACGCGGCCGGGGGCGCGGGGCGACACGCCAACAGTCCACGAGGCCAAGTGCTTGCCCGAGACGAGGCGGGCATTGTCGTAGCCGGCCCAGAAGACACGGGGCGTGTCCTCGCGCGCAAGGGCCGCGAGCACGCCGTTGATAGTGTCGTGCGAAAGGCCAGTGATGCGCTGGATCTCACCGCGGAGGGCACCGTTGACGCCGGCGAGAACGACAGAGTCCAAGACACTGTCAATCTCGCGCTTCGTGACGGTAACGTTCATGGCGGGCCAGGCGGCAGGGCGAGGGAACTCGCTGGGCACAGGGACGGCGACCTTGGGCTTGACCGTCGCGGGGTAAGGAACCAGAGCAGCGTCAAACTCGTACTCGAACGAGTCGTCGTTGAGCGCGCGCGTGTTGTAAGTAAGGCGGTTGGTACGCAGGATGGTCATTTCGTTGACGTCAATGTTAAAATCGACCTTGTGGTTTGAGACGAGCGACATGAGCACGCCAATGTCACCAGAAGTTCCGATAATGGGCCACGTGGTACCGCGGTCGTCGTTGTCAAAGCGACGGAGCGCATTGTCGACCTCTTCGTCCATGTCGACCGGAAGGGGGCCCTCGCACGCAGTCAGCCACGAAGTCGTAAAGGCGTAGTGACGGCCAGGCGAACGGTTGTTGAGCTGCGGGTGCTTGAGCAGGATGCCCTCGTTGACAAGAGCCGCAATGTGGGGCTCGTACTCGGCCTTGGGGATGACGTTGAGCAACCTCTGGGCGTCGTTGATGCTGTACGTCTCGGACGGGGTAGCAACAACCATCTTGAGGAGCGCACGGATGGCACCCTGGCGACGCCACGCGACACCAGTCTCGGGGGGCGTGTACCTCTTGTCGCCGTCATCGACAATAGAGGCGAGCGAGACATTGTGCAGACGAGTGTCCTCGGCAACCGCACCACTCTCGACAAGCTGGTCAAAGCTCGTGTTGATGGGCTTCAAGTACTCCCACTGGTATGCAGCCACAATGTCGCTGGGGTGCGTCGGGAGATCGGGGACGTCCTTGGTGGCCACAGGCGCGGCAGCCACAGGGAGCCTGAGAAGGTTCTTGTTAATCTTGGCACGGAGGAAGTTGACGTGGGTCAAGAGGTCAAAGTCGGTGTGGCTGGCCGGGTTGGGGTCCGGGAGCTCGGGGTGACCGCGGTGCTGCACCCAGAGGTGGTAGAACGCCTCTTCCAGACGGCGGTAGTATGCCTCGCGACCGGGCTGCTCAAAGAGCTTCTTGAGCTTGGAACGGAGGACCTGGTCGCCAATGTTGGGGAACACTTGGGTCATGGCCAAGCGGCCGCGGTGGCTGGTGCCACGGCAACGAGCACGAATGACGGCTTCCGAATCGATAAACAGCTCCTCGTCTTCCTTGCTCCAGTGGTGGCGGTAACGGCGCAACTTGACGTTGGGGTTACGGGCCCTGACCTGCTTGGCGCGCTTGGGGGGGCGAGCGGTGACGGCGCGCGGCGCAATCTTGACGTGGCGAACAGGAGCGTAGCCAGACTTGAAGCGGAGGTACGACTCGACGATGGCCGTAAGCTCGCCATCGCTGGCAATCTCGCCGAGGCGCTTCATGGGACGGTTGTGCGTGATGTAGTCGAGAATCTCCTGAGTAACCTCGACGCCGGCACGAGTAGCCGCAGCACGAACGCGCTCGTCGTAGACATTGCGAGCGGCACGGATACGCGACGCGAGCTCGTCGCGGATCGCCTCTTTTTCCTTTTGGCGCTTTTCGCGCTCGCGGAGGCGCGTCGCAGCGTTCTTGTCGGCGACCATACGGGGAGCAGCAATGCTCTCTCCCTGGACGGAGCGCAGGCGGCGATCAAGGTAATAATCCACATACGACGGCTGGAGGGCATTGTCGTAGGCGACCTTTGCGACCTGCTCGGGAGTGGTGACCAGACGCGTACGAGTGGCCTTGTCGACACACGCTTCGAGGTTCGCACGCTGTTGGGGGACGAGACGGACCTCGTGACGCCAACGGTTGTTACCGCGGAGCGTCTTGGGGTGGTCAATACCCACGTCCAGCACACCGCTGACGTCGGGTGCATAAGGGAAGGGTGGGACGTCTTCCATGCGAGAGACGTGAGGCGCCTGAGTCTCGAGAGCGGATACCTTGATGGTGGCCCAAATGTTGTCCACCTCGGTCGGGTTGCTGGCTGGCATGAAGCCAAGGAGCGAGAGGGATGGGTCACTGATGTGGTAGACGGGGACAACATCGTGGAGCAAAAAGTACGAGCTGGCAGCAACGTCCGAGCTGCAGTCAAAGTGCGCGAGGTGGCCGTCGCCACTCGAAATGTCTGTACAGTGGATCTTGGCACTGGCCTCGTCCGAGGGCGAAAGAGGAACGATGAGCTGGAGGAACGACAGCATGGTGAGGAGCGTGCGAACCATGCTCTTGGCACCCGAGCTGCCGCGACCGGTCAAGGCGGCCTTTTCCGCAATCTCGCGAGGCATGTCGCGCAGACGGAGGTCGAGGTTACCCGGCGTCTGAAGCCAGTCGTACAGCTCCTGGTCAAAGCCGCGAACCTGCACAAAGGCAAAATAGAAGCGCACACGAATGTCCTCGAAGACAAACGGCAAAGCGAAGATGCGAGGCGTACGTGAAATGACCGACTTGGACTCTAGGTTAGCGTTAAATGCCTCGACAAGGGCGTGGTGGAGGATCTTGGTCCGGAGGCAGCGACCACTCTGGAAACCGTAAAGGTAGGCGACCATGTTGGGCTCGGCGAGGAAGACTTCACGCTGGGAAAGTCCACTGGGGCCGCCCTGCGGGGTAGACGGCGCGGGGCTCTGTCCGGGGGTACCAGACCCCATGCGCATGCTGCTGCGTGGACCGGTGCGGCGGTATGCCGAGTATTCGAGCGCAGACTTGGACCTAGCAGTAGGAACAGGCGAGGACGCCGGTCCGGCAGAGTTGGCGAGGCCACGGACGTAAGATTGAATCTCTCCTTCCTCCATACCGGAAATGTAGAGCACGAGGACCTTGACCCAGCGACCAGTGGTGGTAGGAATGGTGGCGGTGCGCTCCTTGAACCTGCCGTCGGCGATGAGCTTGTTCACCGTGCGCTTGAACACCTTGCGGTCCATGGCTGCACCAACTTGAGGCGCGTTGGGGTGGTCTGTACCAGCGTACTTGTGCGACCAGTCCTTTTGGGCAATGTAGAGCTTCTGGTCCGAGAGGATGCTGCCGCTGTCGAGTAGGCACTGGTAAATCTCGTTGGCACGACGCAGAACGGCAATGTCTACACGGACGACACGTTGGGCGCCGCCGCCACCACGGTCGTGGTGCGCAGGCTTGATGTCCTGGGTATCCTCGATGGACTTGAGGGGCGGCTCCGCCTCCTCATCGGTAGGCACCGTGGGAAGTTCTGCAGCAGGCGGCTCCTCGATGGTAGCCTCAACTGCCGAATCGACTGTGGGCTCGGGCGCGGTAACAGCGGCCTCGGGCGCGGCCTCTTCGGTGCTCTCGACCGCGGCGGCGACGGACTCGACAACCGGCTCTGGAGGCCCATCAATGAGCGACTCCACCTCCATCTCCATCACCTCCTCCTCGAGGTCCGCCTCGGGAACCGGCGTGGCGGCAGAATCAGCGTTGATGACTTCCTGGAAGCGTCGAGGACGCTTGGACGCTGGCACAGGCGTGCCCGCGTCGTCCTCCGCCGCAGGAGCAGAGAGAGGCGTAGTTGCTGTAACGGACTGATCGACTGCCGCCAGGAGAGTGGAGCGACGAGGACGCTTGGACTGGCGCGTCGGCGTCTCCTGCACCTGTGCGGCGGCTCGGCGGGTTGAGGTGCGGGATGCACGAGCGCTGGTGGGTGGTTCGGGGGCGGTGGCGGGAGTCTCCTCCGTGACGACATCTGGGGTCTCGCCGGCAACCACTGCAAGGGTGTCTGGAAGGATGGCAGAGGCGGTAACAGGCGTGTTCTCGGCATCGGTCGCAGCGGCAGGCTCGGAGTCGTCGGCCATCTTCCTGCGCTTGCGCGAGGGACCGGCGACGGGTGATGACGGAGCTGCCTCGGCCTCATCGTCGTCACCATCCGTCTCCTGTTGCTTCTTGCCCCTTCCGCGCTTGGCCTTGGGGGTGCTTGTAGTTTTACCTCCCTTGGCAACAGAGAAGCCGCGGTAGAACGCTGGGGGTTTGCCTTCGGCGATCTGCTCGTCCGTAAGAGTAGGAGCGGGGCCAACGCCAGAGTAACCAGCAGGTGCCGCCACGAGCTTGTCCGCCGTGCGGACATAGATAAGAACCGACGGAAGCTCGGGCGAGTTGAGCAGGTTGCCGACAATGGCGCGGTTGCGCGAACCGTCGTCGTTGACAATAAAAATGTACTTGCGAGGACGACCGCGTTCCTGGGCTTGGTTGTCGTACTTGGTCTTGGACTTGAGAGGCTGCTCTTCTTCCTCTCCCTCTTCCTCGACCTCGACCTCGATATCCTCGGTGTCGCCCTCGGCCGCTTCGCCTGCGGCGGCATCAGGGGCAGCCTCGGAAGCAGTAGCAGCAGCTGCTGCCTTCTTCTTTGTTGCCTTGGACTTGGGAGTGGCCTTGGGCTTAGGAGTGGCCTTGGGTTTGGGAGTGGCCTTGGGTTTGGGGGTGGCCTTGGGCGTGCGTGGAGTGGCTGTCTTGGCAGCAGCAGCAGCTGCGCCACCTCCGCGCGCGCGCCGGCCACCGCGAGGAGGAATAGCTTTCGGTGGGCGCCCAGTAGCCATCTTGCCGACGGGGACCATGGCTGCAGCAAGGATTCCTGCCCAGCGATAGTAGTTTTCAGGCGATTCTGCAAAGATGCGGAAAGACACGTCGGCAAAACGGCCTTGCGCGTCGTTGGGGGGGTGAGACTCAATGGGCTGGCCAAGCTGCTCCATGTACCTGAGGTACGCGTCGGCAGTAAACACACGCAGTCGGCGCATGCGCTGGTGGGACTCGATGACACAGCGGATGGCGTGGTGCTGAATGTGGGGAGGAAGGTATGCCAAGTCGTGGCGGTTGACAACGTGCTCAAGGGTACGCTTGAACATGCCCGAGAGACCCTTGCAGAGGTCAGCCAGCGTACGGCCCTTGACGGCCGATTCGGTAATCGAGTTGAGAATCTGCGCCTCGATGCTCTGGACCGACAATGCGCCTCCCGAGGACTGGAAAGGCTCCGCATAGTCATCAACTGTGTGTGTATGTCAGCACACAGAAACAAACGGAAGCGAGAGTAAATACGTACGGCTCATGGGAACCTCCTTGTCGTCTCCAGGTGCTGCCTGGTCATGCTCGACCTTGGGCTTGGGTACATAGTCGGGGTTATACTTTGTGAGACGAAGGCACGCGCGAGCTGATGTACCAATGTCGACATATTCGACAACGCCATCCTCAATCAGAGTTGTAATGTGGCGCTGCAGTTGACGGCGGTGGCGAACCTGCCAGGTGTTTTCAGGCCATCCAATGACCTGGAGGAGGTGGTGGTTACCAAGAAGATGGTTCTTGAGGTTGGGGTGGTGGAGAACACGGACCAAGCGGTCCTTGGGGATACGGCCTGCGACAAGCTCGAGCTCGGTGAATGGAGAGAAGTTGAAACCGAGCTCCTGGGCTCCACCGTGAGCCTTGGCTTCCTCTGAATCGACTTCACCGTCGGCTTGCGTCGCAGGGGCCGTGGGCTGAGTCGGAGGCATCGCGGTACCGGCATCTCGAGCGATGTACGCGCGGTAGTGAGGGTTTTGTTCGAGGAACCGACGGTAAACGAGCACACTGGTCGACGAGCCGTGCATCGAGGCGGGAATCTTGGCACAAAGTCCCAGCTGAACCAGTACCTTGATGTAGTGGAAGGCACTGTTCTGCGTCGTGTCCGTCATGGGGCCGAGTTCAAGGGCGGAGACACCCTTCTCGCGCGATCGCGCAGCGAGTTGGAGGTAGGTGAAGATGGTGGGGGTGATTTTGGCAATCTGTGTTTGATCGTCAGCTTCCTGGGTCCCCATTGCACCAGTATAACCCACTCTTTTGCGCGAGCCTGTGAGGCGATAGTAGATCTCATCCTCGGTGCAGCGCAGACGAAGACGGCCGGGGTACCGCGCGAGAAGTGCAGCAAGATCTGTCGTCGGGATGGCCGGGCCGCCGCCATCGTCGTCGCCGAGAACACGGAAGAGCTCGTCATCAAAGCCCGCAGTGCCGGCCATGGGAACATCCGACTTGATGGGGAGTAAACTGGGGAGTGCATCCGTCGCAATCTCCACCTGGAGACACTTGTGGCGGGCGAGAAGGGGCCACAGGTGCGCAAAGTAGGCATCATCGACGTTGGAGTCGAGTGTCTGGAGGTACGAACGGACCGCGGGAGGATCGGCGCCTGTGGGGGGGGGGTTCATCAGCTCTGAACTTTTCGTCGCCGCCACCGCCATCCATCGCCGCCAGCGACGCGCATCCACCTCAACGCGACCACGACTCCCTCCCGGGGACACTGAGGATGCCTCATCGAGGCCTTGGATGTCCTCCACCAGGGGATTGAGGGCGCTGAGTTCGATCCCCGCATCCACCGGATGGCGCGCAGACTTTTGCCCAGGAGACAGACGTTGCTTGGGAAGGGAGGGCCTAAAGGTGCACTTACCGAGGACGCCCTCTACGGAGACGTACTCGAGACACGCCTCGAGTAGCTCGTGAATCCTCATGGCTGTGGAGTCATGCAATTGCGGGGGTGTCGGGTGTCGGAAGGAGGGGGTTGGTGGTGCGAGGGTTGAAGAAGTTGGGACTAAATGTCACAACAGAGGGACGAGTGGGTGAGTTGGCGAGCGGAATCAAATATTGCCGTGTTCCCAATGCGTCCAACGGCTCAGCCGTGTACCGTGTGTATGGTGTGTGCCGCCGCTTACAGCGCATACGCATGCAGGTGTGGCCTGGGAATGCAGCCGTGGTGAGAAGACAAAGAGTGCTGTACAGTTTACAGCTCACGAGAGCTCTGCCAATGCCTCAACGACTACGTGCTGTCTGCCCTTTCTAACCAAGTGCACGAGTGTATACTGACGAATTGCTCAAAATACAAAAATACAATATCCATCGTTAGTAACCTGCCCTGGAGATTAGAAAACACATGTGCCAGCTATTATTGACCGGTTGTTGTTGACAAGACTTTGCCTGGGAGCGTCGCCAGATGTCCTGCCAGACTCTCCGTGCTGTGGCCGTCGGGGACGTTTGACGCATGCGGTAACGGCGAGCAGGCGGCCAGCCGGTGCTGCCGGCATGTGTTGAGAGCAATCGATATATGGTAAACCGCGTGTGGGTCTCGTCTAATGGCCCCTAATAGCTTCCCCTAATGGCCCCCGGGTGTTCCCTGGGTGTGTGTCTCTGCGGCGGGACGGAATATGCACGCGGCGACGCTGAGATTCAAAAGTGTACGCTTTGACCTCCTTTGTATCCCGTCGCCCATTTCGGGCATCCCGTAGTCTCACCCTCACTCTCTCTCTGTCTCTCACTCACTCTCTCTGGCGTCTCACTATCTTTCACTCTCTCGTCACTGTCAATGGCCTTGTAGCCGCTCGGCACCGACACCATCCCCATACACACACACACGACACACAACACACACCCCGCTATCCCTTTTCGCCGCCATGACCTCCCCTCCTTCATCGCATCCATTCCTGCGTCCCGCCGTCGCCGTCGCTTCAGCAGCGTCCGGCTCACTCGACGGCCAGCAACGCAGGGCATCGTACGGCTTCACTGGCGCCTACCAGTCAATGCTCACGCCCGTGACCGGCAGTGAAGACACCTCCTTCGCCAGACCCACGTCTCCAGCATCGGCCGCAGCAACATCATCACGCGGACCATCTCCCCGCCCCCCTTCCACCACCCGCACGCCCTTTGACACCACCATGAACGGCAGCGCCGAGCCGTTTGCAGACCCCTCCGAATCGCCTCGCAAGCTGTCGCGGTGGGAGGAAAAGGTCCAGGGTGACTTGGCAGGCTGGCGTGGGGGCGAAGGGTGAGTTTTGAATGCGCGCGCCTCATAGTGGGCGGCGGCGAGAGGCGAGCGGGGTGTGCTGACGGAGCAGGACCCCGCGTTCCAGCGTGCCCCAGGCGGGCGTTCCCAACGAGACATACTATGGCCAGCCTCCCACCGGTGTCGTCGGCCGTGATCTCCCAAAGGAGATTGTTCGCATCGAGCGCGACTGGTCGCTGGGAGACATTTGCCAGTGAGTCCATGCCCGGCGTCTGTGACGCGACGACACGCCACACAACCCCCCTAACGCCACCCCCAACTGCAGGTTCGCGACCGCCTTTCCTCTCGAACTCGAGTCCCGTCTGTCCCCCGCCAGCTTCCAGCTGTTCGTCGAGGCCATCAACGACCCATTGCGAGAGGCATACTCGACCAGTGGTGCGGTGATTGACAACATCATCGCCATCGTCACGTGGTGGACAAGCCTTATTTGGCGTACGAGCCACTTTGAGAAGGAGCTGCAGCGCGCCGAAGAGGTCATCCGCATGGCAAACGAGACAACGTTCAACCGCGTGGGTCTCAACATTCTGTCGCCTCGTGAAGTCGCATTGCAATACGTGAGTTTAAAAGCGGACCTGCCGTTCTGTGCCTGTGCCTCGCTGACCTTGCGTCCCACAGCTGGAGATTGAGTACTACTGAGCTGTACGACGGAGCTTGGAGACCGAGTACTGCGCTGCTGCACGAGCGCACACGATACACACAGACACCGTAGAGACCTTTACATGAGTATAATGTACCCCCTTTTGTTGTGATCTATCCAGATTCTCGGCCGCGTGGGGCACGGCAGGACGACGCTCACTGAGCACGATCTATGGAGCGCATTTGAGTTAGGCGTCGTGTTAAAACCCTTCATGAACCGCTTGGCCAAACCCTGTACTTGCAATGGCACACGACTGCAAAAGGGCTAGCCCAGCTCTAGGACCAGACCGAATCGGAGCGAGCCGAGGTCAGCACCATGGACCGGCGCGCAGCCTCAGCTTCCCGCGCGTGTCTCTTGCCCAGTACAACTTAAGTACAACTCAGCCGGCAGATGCATGTACCCAGCCCAGACGTCTACGCAAGGGTAAGACCAACAGCAACGCTCGCGACCAGCGCGTCAATGGCAAATCCCTTGTCGGCGTATTCTGAATGTCAGCTGGTTGGTTTCACTTTGACGCCCAGCTCACCTCGAAGCACTTGGGACAGCTGAGTGAGGGGCACGAGACGCTTGACAATATGCTCTCCCTCCTCGAGCTTGGGCACTGGCTCGGGCGCGTCAGGAGGAAGACGGATGTCGACCGTCACAAGGTTCATGTTGGCGCCGGTCATGCTGTTGGGTCAGCGCAGGCCTAGGAAAACGCTCACCCACCCTGGATCCTTGACCAAGACTGGTGACACGGAGCGAACAGTCACCCCTGCACCGGTGTATCCCGTCTCCTCGTGGAGCTCGCGGAGAGCGGTGGTGGCTGCGTCCTCGCCTTCGTCAATCAAGCCGGCGGGGAACTCTGCTGGGTCAGACACGGACGCACATCTTGTACCCACCAATGACTGTCGCGCCTGCGGGCGGGCGGTACTGCTCAATGAGGACGACCGACTTGCCCGCCGAGTGATGCACAAGAGCGAGAATGTGACAGCCTGCAAGTCAATACACTCTGCTCTTGATTCATTTGGGTCTTCAATCCACCAGACTCACTGTCGACGCCGCCCTTGGACCGCGTGCTGCGGTTCGCAACCTCCCAGAAACGCTGTGCATTAGCTCATGCGGAAAACGAGGCCGAGAGCTACCAACCTCCTTGCCTTCTTGGTCTCGCCACTTGATCCGTTCCAGACGCAGCCACTTGGCCGGGGTGGAGAACTGCTCCGTCTCGATGATCTGGGGCTTGTGCGACATGGCGCGGGACAGGATGACGGTCGGGCGAAGGGAAACGGGATGGGTGCGATGCTTGAGAGCTGGCGTTGAGAATCGGTGCAGTAGAGCCGTTGTGCGTGTGAGGAGTGGACGGCTGGCCAGATGTGGACAGCCCATGGGGTGGTGGGTGTTGAGAGGTCAACGACTGTGGGACGTCGCGTAGGTGAGCGTAATGGCACGACGTCATCGGCGGTTGTTCATTTGAAAACTGAATTAGTAATCGAATAGGAAACGCTTAGGGTTTGTATTGCGATTTGTAACCTTCTAATTTCGCGCACCACGTATATGACGCTAACCCCAAGATCGTCCCAGAGATCCCAGAGATCAAGCGTTGTAACTCACTTGTCCCTTCGTGCGACAGTAACTCACGGGTCACGGAAACGTTGACAGCTCATGGATCACGGATCACGGAAACGTGAGAGCAACACCCGACAGCAAACAGAGTGGCCACAAGCCACAGACACTCGGGAGGGGATGGCGGAACAACCCGGTGGACGGTGAGCGGGTTGAGAGCAACGTGACGTCAAGCGACACATAAGAATGCTTTGACTGACCCCCGCTGTCTCCATCGTGCCCATCACCTCTTCACTGCACTCTCACCATGACCTTAAAGCCCACAATCATCCTGGTCCCAGGCTGCTGGTACCCGACAGCGACCTACGACAAGCTCGTCGCGGCCCTTTCCACGCGCGGCCTCAAGTCCGTGCCCGTCGTCCTGCCCTCGTCCTCGACAGGCTCACGCGACGCCTCGTTCCTCGACGACATCACGGCGGTACGCACCGTGATCCTTGCCGAGACGACGGCCGGGCGAGATGTCGTCGTCGTCGCGCACTCGTACGGCGGCATGCCGGCGTACAGCGCTTCCAAGGGGCTGACAGTCGGCTCTCCGTCGCCGTTGACGGCCGCTGAGGGCGGCACCGGCAAGGTCATCGGCTTCGTGCTCCTCGCTTCAGGCTTCAACCTCCCGGGCATGTCGTTCCTGGATCCGTTCGGCGGTGTTCCCCCGCCCACATGGAAGGCCAACACGGAGACGGGGTTTGCCGAGCTCCTCGCCGACCCCGTCGACATGTTCTTCCACGACCTGCCTGTGGAGGAGGCCAAGGCGTGGACCGCGCAGCTGGGGAAGCAGAGTCTCCTCGCCCTCTCCAAGGGCGGCGAGCACTCGTACGCATCCTGGACCGAGGCGCCAAACTACTACGTCCTCACGGCCGAGGACCACGCGCTACCCCCGGCTCTCCAGCGTTTCGGCATCGACTTTGGAAAGCAAAAGGGGGTGGACGTGACCGTCCACGAGCTCCAGACAAGTCACTCGCCCCAGCTCAGCAAGCCGGACGAGACAGCGGCCATCATCGCCGAAGCCGCGGACGAGTTTGTGGTAAAGAAGGCCAAGCGGACAGAGTGAGCATGGTGAATTTATGATCCCCTATGTAAAGCAGAGGTCATCCCGAGCCCTCCAATTGCCCGATGCCATCTTCTGCAGTGGCCACCAGATGTAAGGAGGACTCACGCAGCCCATTCCCAGATAACGAGACATCAGAAGTGAAAGCATGTCAGTCTTGGGCTCCCGTTCGCCCATAGCACGTCTGTGGCCACATTACGACGAGTACGACGGTCTCTGCTTCAAAAAGCTCATGGGACATGTGTCTGCATAGCGGGCGACCGTACCTTCCTCGCGCGATCTTATTCGCGCATATTCCAAACACTAACACCCCTGGCTGACCCAACAAACTCTTGGCTACTAGCCAAGCATCGGCATGCGGACGAAAGGGTTACATTGACGCCGACGTTGGCCCCAACCCAGACCGTTTCGTTGTGCCACCATTGCCAGACAACGCACAGACAGACTGCCACAACGAAACTTTCGCCGTGTGGCCATGTTGCAGACCTACTGCTTCTCAGCACCCTCGTGGGCCCTGAGAATCTCCTCGTCCGCATCATCGGAGACGGTTGTCGAGCTAAACTTGCGAGCCGGGACGCGGCGCTCAAACAGGACGTCGAGCTCACGGTATGAGCGGCCGCGAGTCTCGGGCAGGCGGAAATAGACCCACACGGTGGCGATCAATGCGATACCGCCATAGAAAAAGCCAGCCTTGCCTGCCCAGCCCCAGGCCGTGTTGTTGATCATGTACGGATTGAGGATACCAAACACGAGTGCCGCAACATTGTACATTCCGCGCGAGAGGCCGATGGTCTTGTTTCGCACGCGGGTGGAGGACATTTCGCCAATGAGTGTGAACGCGAGTGGCCCGACGGTGGATTGGTAGAAGGCCATCCAAACGAACAGCATGGCCGCAATTCCCCAGAGAGCACCGGGGTGTTTATCGGAGACGCAGGCGAGGATACCGACAACGAGAAGGGCGGTGGTCATGCCGACCATTCCGGTGAGGAAGATTGACCGGCGGCCAAAGTATGAAATGAGGACCCATGACGCGCAGGTGCCACAAAAGCCCATGGCCATCATGCCAAGCACGAGCTTGAAGGCGTCCGAAGTACCCAGACCAGCTTGCACCTAGAGCAGAGAGTGAGTGGGTAACTAGGCACATTCGTCATAAGCCGACTTACAAAGAAATAAACTCCAGATATGCCAAGCGTAATTCCACTGAACACTTGGCAGCCATATGCCATCGTGGAGATTTCAGTGCGACGGAGGTCTGTGCCCTTGAAGCAAGAAGCGAAAGAGCCCCTGTTCTCGGCAAGCTCCCTTTCGAGGTTGTTGGTACGGACCATCATGGCGACGTTGTTGTGGATGTAAGTCGCGTCGGGCTGGCTTGCCAGGCGACGGACACTCTCCGCAGCTTCCTCAAGGCGGCCTCGACGGACGAGCCACCATGGTGACTCGGGTGAGAAGAAGATGCCAACAATAATGGGAACAGGCCACATAAACTGGATACACCAAGGGACGCGGTATCCGTTCGTCTCGTCCAGGTGCACGACTGCGTATCCGTTCAAAACGCCCTGGCAGATGAGCTGGCCAATGACCCAGGACAGGTTGACGTATGTCGTTAGGAAGCCACGGAGAGAGATCGGGAGCACCTCAGAGGCAAAGGCAGTGCTGAGTGTACTGAACACGCCCCAGGGGATAGAGCAGCATGCCTGCCCGACAATAAGTACAATGCGGTTGGGTGAAAATGTCACCATGGCTGATTAATTAGAAATTAATTATTTTTAACATTTGTCACTCACCAATAAATGCGTTGAGGACTGTGAGGTGGAATATGAGGGTCCAGCGGTAGCCCCACCTCTCGACTTGCCATGCCCCAAGAAGGACGCCCACAAGGGACCCGACAGAGGTCACGACAGTGAAGGCCATTTGCCAGTTGGCCGGAACGGACCAAATACCGCCGTCGTGGGCTGGGTAATAGTCGCCATACTTTTTCTGGAAAGCCGGGAGCGTGTAGAAGCTTCCCAGGAGCATGGTGCCGTATCCTTCCATGATAAGGGTGGAAGACGCAACAAAGGACCAAAAGACGGCCTGCAAAGTCAGTGATCAGCGACGGGTGTACGACATGATCTACAAAAGAAAAGGAAAAAAACTGATTTTTTTTTACATACCTTTTTATACATCTTGAATGATGCCCACACCCCGAGGTTGCGCTGGTACGCCTCGGCAGCGATGGCCTCGTCGTGGTCGGCCCATTGAGAGTTGGGGTCAGCGACAGCCTCCACATGAGAGTATTCCGGCTGCGCCTTGTCGTCTATGACTGTCTTGTGTAGGTCGCTCATGGAGTGCAATGTAGTCAGCCAAGGTTGTTGCGATCCGGGGATGAAGTTGGAGGCCGTCTGCAGTGGTTTATGTACCTTTCGAGACACAGACTAGCATGTTGACTGCATCCTACAGACTACAACTGCGGCCCTCAAACCAACACGGGTGAACTGTGTCGATCCCCGATGCCATTCCATCCGAACTGCCGCGGTGTATGGCACCCAACCATATGCGAAAATGGCAATGGGAATGTTCATGTGTGGCATGAGAGGAGAACGGAGATACCAAGGCGGCAATGGACACACTAGATGCATTAAAGACGGCAGTCCATGTAGTAGTTTAATTGACGTATGCGGTGTGCATGCCTTCTTCTCGCCATCTGTCATTCGCGTCGTGGGCAGCTGCCCTTCGGTGATGTTGGATCCGGTTTGCCTAGTGCAGACTCGTTGTGCCGGCGGGAGACTGTCTGAGCTATCATGCCCGCCCACGGGAGGACAGTCTTCTTCCGAGACGTGTTCGTTCGGCGACCGCAGTGCCACTTGCGTTAGGCTCGACTTGGCAAGTGGTAGATGGGCTCTCCGTCGCGCCGTCGCTCGGCCGCCGCACGTTTCTCGGACGAACCCGATGGCGTCATCCGATGATTATCCGGTAACCCACGTACAAGTTGCCGGTCGGTCAACCGGCGCCGGCCCTTCAACCGCCAGAGTGTGCCCCATGGGGGCGGGGAGATGGGTTGCCAGCCGGGGATTCCGTCGAGCAGCACGTTAGACCTTTGTCAGCCTTAAAGCCTTTGTCATCGTCGTGCTGTTGTGGCGTTCCACTATCGCCCACTAATGCTCATCGTGCAGAACGTATAAGGTCACCCCACAGAAAGAGCCATCCACACAGACCAGCATCGGTTTAGCCGCACCATCTTCACGTACAACATGACTATCACACCTGCACCAAAGCTCACGTCAGCGGGCAAGGCGGCTCTCGACACCCTCCTCGAGACCAAGGTCGCGGGGCGCACTGTCCCAGCCGTGACCTTTGGAGCCACCACGGCTGAGGGACCAATCTACTTTGCCCAGAGGGGCGAGCGCGTCTTTGGCGAACCCGAGAAGGGAGACATCGGGCCAGACACTCGTGAGCTCCTGTCCGCCCACATTGACCTGCTGAGCTCATACCGCAGTCCTGCAGCTGTATTCGACAACCAAGCTCGTGACCACCACGGCGGTTCTCCAGCTCGTCGACCGCGGCCTGGTCGCCCTGGACGACCCGGCCGTGGTGGAGAAGTATGCTCCCGAGCTGCTCAAGCTTGACATTCTCAAGGAGTACAACGACTCGGGGCCCGTGTGGGCCAAGCGCCAGAACCCCATTACGCTCAAGCACCTCCTCTCGCACTCGTCTGGACTCGCGTACTCGTTCACGTCGCCCAACGTCGCGCGGTGGACGGAGGAGACCGGTGCGCCTGGCCCGTGGGGCGGTACGATTGAGGGCTTCTGCGAGCCCCTCAACTTTGAGCCCGGGACGAGCTGGGTGTACGGTATCGGTATCGACTGGGCCGGAATCATCATCGAGCGCGTCACCGGCCAGACCCTTGCAGAATACTTCCAGGAGAACATCTTTGCGCCGCTGGGCATTGAGAACTTTACATTCTACCCTAGCGACCACGTCCGCTCGCACATCCAGCAGGTGGTCGGCCGCAACGAGGACGGCAGCCTCAAGCCCGTCCCCAGCATCCGTTCCCTGGACACCACCCCCGGCCAGCTCAGTGGCGGCGGTGGGTTGATTGGCACGGCCCGTGGTTACCTCCGTTTCCTGCAAGGTGTCCTTGCCAGCAAGACCGAGGGCAACGGCGGCCTCATCTCGCCGGCTTCGTTCAAGACGCTGTTCACGAACGCTCTCCCTCCCCGTGGGCCCGACAACACCTGCTACCAAGGTATTGGCACCATGACCAAGCGTCAGGACTACCACGACCCGGCACACGTTACCAACGGTACCGCCGAGGGTCTGGAGCACTCTGTTGGTCTCCTGCTCAACATTACCGACTCGGTCTACGGCCGCAAGGCCGGAAGCGGCTGTTGGGACGGCGCGGCCAAGACGCAGTACTGGGTGGACCCCACGACGGGCGTGGCTGGTATCTGTTTCTCGCAGATTCTTGCGCCGAACCCGGACCCTTTCATGAAGGTGTACAACGCATTCGAGCGTACTCTGTACGACAACCTGGAGTAGAGGGATAGCACAAGAAGAATAAGCGGCGGAGGGTTAGATAAGGGGTTGGTGTTCCTCACACGCGTCGTGAGGGCCTAGACTCGTGTAGACTTTCCCAAGGATGCAAAGAAGTAGTGGACCCACGTATCCGGAAGCACTGTTCACTCTGCAAACGTGGGAGCATGTGCAGGACAGGCCCAACCGTGCCCGAAAGTGCCTGCTGGGCCTGTTCGGTGTCCATCGAACAGGCGTGCGGAGGAATCGACCTATTCACCGGGTCGGTCTTTACGATCCATCTCGGACATGAGGAGGCAGCAAACCGTCCAACAATGGACCTTTGCTTTATGTAGGGCGTGTACCAGGGTGCATACGGCGTGTGGCCACAAGTACAGTTTACACGGCGCGGAGAGTTGGAACGAATGAGTGAGCTTCGCAGCAGCCATTGTTGTTTTTCCGAGCGGACCGTTGGCACTTTCGGGCCGTTGCCGATGCCGCAATATGGTCCGATGGGTTTGCCCATAACGTCCGCAGGCCGCTCCGACTGCCGGCCCCAGCCCAGACATGCCAGACAATAAGTCTAGACGGCGCTTCTTGCTCCACATCATCTTGGTCCCCCCTTCTGACATTCTACTCACTCACTTTCGCTCGTGATCCCCTCACAATCAATGGCTCTTCGCACTCTCTCCTCCGTCCCCGCACGCGCTGGCGGCGCCCTCCCGGCCGTCGCGACTGCCGCGTCGTCCAGCGCGCGCTCGGTGTCGTCGTCGGCACCTCGCCAGACCGAGGCCGAGCACGACCAGCACCGCGTCAGGGTCGCTCCCAACACGGCTGCCAGCAACGGGTCGCACAAGGTCGAGCACAAGGTGTGTACAGTGTGAGGCGAGAGCAGGTGTGGGGAATAGTCCGTGGTCGGAGGGCAGACGGGGCCCTTTTGTGGGGCTTTAGTCAACACCTCTCCGGCCTCTCCCCTAGCTTCCCCTGAGCGACCTACCGAACCGCAGCTGACGCTTGACCTGTAGACCGCTGCTGCCGGTGGACACTCGAAGCGCACGCTCCCCAGCTTTTCGATGGACGGCAAGGTGTGCGTGGTGACTGGTGCTGGCCGCGGCCTGGGCAACGAGATGGCACGCACTCTTGTCCAGTCTGGCGCCAACGAGCTCGTCGTTCTCGACCTCGTCGAGGAGCAGGCCGCCGCGGCTGCCAAGGAGATTGAGGAGTCGTTTGTGAGCCAGGGCCTGGCGCCGCCTGGCGAGATTACGGCTGTGGGCATTGGGTGCGATGTCGCCAACGAGGAGAGCGTCAAGGCCGCGTTCCAGCGCATCAAGGACCTGTTTGGCCGCGTCGACGCGCTCGTCACCGCTGCTGGCATCGTCCACAACTACACCGCCGAGGAGTACCCGACCGAGAAGATCCGCCAGCTCATGGACATCAACGTCATGGGCACGTGGTTCTGCGCACTCGAGGCGTCCAAGCTCATGCCCAATGGCGGTTCCATCATTCTCATCGGCAGCATGAGTGGCAGCGTGAGTCGAGTCTCCGGTGTGCGTCTGTGTGCAGTCCTGACGACCGTCCCAGATTGTCAACATCCCCCAGCCCCAGACCCCGTACAACTTCTCCAAGTCGGCAGTTCGCCACATGGGCCGCTCCCTTGCTGTTGAGTGGGCCAAGAGGGATATCCGTGTCAACGTCATCTCGTGAGCTAGATCGAGTGTGCGTTAGCTGACGTTCAGGCCTGGCTACATGTGCACTGCCCTCACCAAGGCTGTTCTCGCCACCAACCCTATTCTCGACAGTGCATGGCACAGCGCAATTCCTGTTGTGAGTACGAGTTGGAAAGGGAAAAGGGACAGCGTAGCGGCGACCTGCTGTCTGCTGTGTCTGGCCCGTATGGCAGCCATTGCCGTTGCAGGCGTTCACAACAGAGCCGGGCAGCTGCCCGGCCACCGCTGGCGTTCCTTGGCAATATCTGGCGGATGAACAAGATCACTGACTCGACAGGGCCGCATGGGAGACCCGGCCGACCTTGGGGGGGCTGTCGTCTACCTCGCTTCGGATGCCAGCAGGTACACCACCGGATCGGAGATCGTCATCGACGGCGGCTACACTGCCGTCTAGTTTTCTCAACAAGGATAACGATAAGGGCGGCGGCAAGGAGGCAGATACATTTGGCTGTGCTCTAGCGGACTGGGACGGCAAGGCGTTGTTAATTGGGCGCGCGCCCACGGGAATGAATGTCACAAAAATAAGCAACAAAAATGACTCGTTCGAGGCGTTGCTTTCTAGTTTCTGTCGCGGGCGGAGTCACCGTGCTTGCCATGTACTGCCAGTGCCGTGTACCGTGTGCTTGAGGGCGTCCGTTTCAGCAATCCGCAACGTTTTCTTTCGTTTCGCTTCATACATGAGAGGGGGGGGGGGACGGTCCGCTTCTGTCACACGTGTGGCCAATCGCTCATAGATCTGTCAGTTGCGTACCAATGGCTAATGTACCAATGTGGTCAGCCGCGACAGCAGCCGGCTACCGGGTTAGGAGTTTAGCGGCTGGGACTGCTGTCGACCATGTTTTCAGCTATGCGTTGTCGCTGTCTGTGTTGGCAGTGGAATGCCGTTGACATGCCGGCGGTCGGTTGGAGAACGCGTTGCCACACCCCTTCACGCACGTTTTCGGATTCGGGCAGAATGGAGTCACAAGAGGACGATGAATCTCAACGTTAGATGTACAACATCATGTCGACCTGTTCAATTTTTAGACAAGGGGGCGACGGGGTACGGCGACGCGTCCAACTTGTCACACAGCCAACACGGCCACTTGTGCCACACATTGGCCTCGACACCCCCTTGGTACACGCCCCAACTGTGCCCAGCTGTTTTGGCCAACGTCGGCCCCTCGTGGCCCGTGGGCGGGTCCAAGAGAACGGAAACAGCCCGGGGCACGCTTAGAGTATCGCGCAGGATTCCTCCTCTGTGCCAGACGGCAGGTGGGAGAGAGGGGCCGTCTTACTCGGGCGCGCGGGGGCGTGGGGTGACCATGTGGCCCCCTGGTGCGGAGGGCGGCTGTGCGCGGTGTGGTGCACATACGCAGGAAATCTGCCTGTTTCCCGACGACGCACAGTTATCCGATGTGACGGGTGCGCGTCTCTCTGTTCTGCAGCAAAGCTCAGGCAGAAATCTGAGACGACAAACAGTTTGGAGCGAGAGAGAGAGAGAGAGAGAGAGCACACTTGATGGACGGCGCTGGCGCCACTGTTGCGTGACCGCTCTCAGGCACCATCGCGGACGTTGCCGACCGGCCGTCTTCCGTTGCGGGTCAGTCGCTTTGGTGGTGTGGGGTGGGGTTTTCGATTAGTACGCGTGTTTAGCAACCATCTCTCTCTCGTCGTCGTCTTCGCGTTCTCTCCGTCTTGTCATCCACCATCCCATCTGTCCCTCATCCTTTTCTCGCCGCGCACACTACAGCCACGTGTCCACTCTTGCTACGCGACAGCGATCCCCATCGTCGCCTCGCCTAAACCACACCTTTGCCTCCTGTCCTCCTCCCTTCCATCTCCCCCCCCCCCCCCCCCCCCCCCCCCACCCCCCACCCCCATCTTGCCCGCCATGGCTCTCATCTCCGCCAAGCCCTTCCGCCTCGCCCTCCTCCAGCTTGCAGGCCTCAACGCCTCCAAGGCCAACAACATTGCCGTCGCGCGCAAGGCCGTCGCCGCCGCCGCCGCTTCGGTCCCCAAGCCCGACCTTATCGTCCTCCCCGAGGTCTGGAACTCGCCGTACGCGGTCACCGCCTTCCGCGAGTACTCGGAGCGCGTCCCCGCCGTGAAGGATGGCGCCGAGGTGGCTGGTACCACCGAAGGCGAGAGCATCACCGCGCTCCGCGAGATGGCGCGCGACGCCGGCGTGTGGCTGATTGGCGGTAAGTCATCATACCTACGCCTCGGCTAGTGGCTCCTCTTCTTTGGCTGCTTCGCGCGTTATGCTTGTGTGTATAGATGGGGTCACCATACTGCCAAGCAGCGCGTAGCTGTTGGAGGGCGCACGGCTTGTCCTTTTCTTCGACACCGTACACCAGCGCGACACTGACCCGTCTATAGGTTCTATTCCCGAGATCGAGGACGGCACCGAGAACATCTATAACACTTTGACTGCGTACAACCCAGAGGGTGAGGCCACCGAGTCTGGAAACGTACTGACGTCGCAGGCAAGATTGTTGCCAAGCACCGCAAGGTGCACCTGTTTGACATCGACATCCCAGGCCGCCAGACGTTCAAGGTGCGTGTCCTTTTGCCTTTGCTCAAGCAGTGGCGAATGCTCTGGCATGGTGTTTTCGGGATAAGTGCCATGCGAAGGGCATGTTTTGGCGCTCGGGGATATGCCGATAACACGACCTTCCTTTGTGCCAAAACGCTTCTGTGACATCTCTGCGCCCCGGATCACGGTGCCGGGTATCCAGGCCCTTTCCCTCTGTGCGTCGAGCCTGGCTGACCACTTCTCACAGGAGTCTGAGACTCTCTCGGCGGGCACCTGGCTCACCTCGTTCGAGGCGCCGTTCGGCAAGATTGGTGTTGGAATCTGCTACGATGTGGTGAGTGGTGAACAATGGCACCACCCTTCCTTTCGGTGGTGCGGGATGGGCCCGAACGACACGCTGATCCCCGAAAGCGGTTCCCCGAGATGGCCATGATCGCTGCGCGCCAAGGTAAGTGTCCATGCACCGCGCAAGGACAAGGGGCCTCCTAGTCTCCAGCTCACACGTCAGGTTGCGTGGCCATGATCTACCCGGCCGCGTTCAACACTACCACCGGCCCCATGCACTGGACTCTGCTCCAGCGCTCTCGGTGAGCTTGCCAGCTGTTCCTCCGTGGCCCCCAAGCTCACTTTCCAGCGCCAACGACAACCAAATCTACGTCGCAATGTGCTCGCCCGCTCGCCACCCCGGTGCCGCGTACCAGGCTGTAAGTTCCAGAACCCATGTGCGCTCGTGCCTCATCGCTGACATTGGGTCGCAGTACGGCCACTCGTCGGTCGTCAACCCACTGGGCGATGTCGTCGCCGAGGCAGACGAGACCGAGGCGATCGTCTACGCTGACATTGGTGGGTCCACTCTTGCGGTCACGGGCCTCTTGTGCTGACAAAACATTCAGACACCGACATGCTGGCGACCACCCGCCGCAACCTGCCAGTGACTATCCAGAGGAGGTTTGACGTGTACGACGACGTCTCCAAGTAGAGAGGAGGAGGGGAGACGCGGCGGGAGCTTTTCGTGCGCTGCCTATCTGAAATCGCGTCGTATCATACGCGACCTTTTTTTGTTGTTGCTGCTTTGATTGTCGTCTTCTTGCATGCACACATGTATGTGGATCAGAGAAGAGCCCCCAGGTGCAGAGCGACAGGATGATGCAGGAGAATGATACCACGATGGGTGGATGGGTTAGGACGCGCCGATCACACAGCCGCGGCTGATCGGCCACTTTTTTTCGAGACACGGTCAACACATCTTTCCAACCACTCTCAAGGTATTTGCATATGGAGGAGACCCAAAAGAGTGTTGGGGTTTGCCTAGGGGACTTGGGCTCAGCGCTGGCTTTTCAATGCACTGAACCTAGGACGTTCACGGAAGGTCACAGCAGAGGTGATTGCAAGCCACCTCCCGCGTGCCCAGTGCCCGTAACTTTTTGAGCACTGAGCCACGTATCCGTGAACCGAACCCTGGTTATAGAGCCCCGGTTATCGAGCCATGAATTAATGGATTTGAATTAATTTACGACACAGCTGCCTGTAACCACTCAGCCAGCACAACCGCTAATCGGCTGAGGTTAGTAGAAATTTTGATACCCGTAAAACACAAAAATCAACGTTTCCTTCAGAGCTACAGACTATGCCTGCTTCGAGAATTCGAGGACTCTGGTAAAGCCTTTATGTCTACAGATACTCTGAGAAGCCATACAAGCAACCTCCAGACCCCCAAAGGCCGTTGGCCGCTGCTCGGCCTGCTCATCGTTTCCTTACTCCAGTGTGGCGGGCACATTAGAAAAAAAAACGTAAATTGGGCTGTGCCTCCGGTACTGTGTCAATGTGTGGACATGTGGGTAACTGGTGTGCACATGCTGATGACATCCAGTGCAGTGCCGCTGTACCGCTGTCCCTCTACGACCGTAGCCTGAGGACATCAACCTGTTCATGCTGGATGTCCGTGGCATATGCTGGCAGAGACGGCATGGCCCCCCCCCCCCCCCCCCCCCCTCTCCTCCTGGCTGCTCGGGTCCTGTGCCACACGTGAAAACCCGCGTTTACTTCCGCTCATGGCCCACCCCTGGGTGTCTCCGCTGGCGGCGGGGGTGGACTTTTGAGTGTGCTCATTGCCACCAGCGAGACGACGAGCAGTTCGAGACAGCACACTTGCATAGACTCATCCCAACAGTCGACAACGACAACAACAACAGACTCCGCTCCCTATCGCCACAAAAAGCCGCAGAGACAGCGCGGCATACCCACCCCCGACTCGCATACGCTACATCAACAACACACCCCTTAGACTTACATATCCACCATGTCTTCAAACGACGAGGTGAGCTGCTTCTACGCAACGTCCCTCGCGACCTTAGCTGACACTCCAGACCGACCACGCCATCGAGGTACGCTTAACAATATGCCTGACACATGGGGCTTAGCTGACGATCACAGGTCTGGCGCTACCGCAAGCTCCTCAACATGCTTGCTGCCTCGCGCGGTGCCGGTACTTCGTGTATCACCCTTATTCTCCCTCCTCGTGAGTCGCGTGATGGCTGGGACACAATGGGTGCAGCGAGCTGACATGGCCAGGCTCGCAGATCTCGCAGGCGAGCTCTATGCTTACCACCGAGTACGGTACCGCCTCCAACATCAAGTCGCGTGTTAACAGGTGGGTGGCAACGAAAGGCCTCGCGCTCTCCGATGGCTCTCTTCGGCCGATGTCCCGAAAGAGGAGCCCTTTAGCTGACATTTGCGTTCCAGGTTATCGGTGCTCTCGGCCATCACCTCGACCCAGCAGAAGCTCAAGCTGTACTCGCGTGTGCCCGACAACGGTCTCTGTGTCTTTGTCGGCACTGTGCTGAACGAGGAGGGCAAGGAGAAGAAGCTGTCGTTTGCGCTTGAGCCCTTCAAGCCCATCAACACTTCGCTCTACATGTGCGACTCGCGTTTCCACGTCGAGGCCCTCGAGGAGCTGCTCGAGAACGACTCCAAGTGGGGTTTCATCATCATGGACGGTAACGGATCGCTGTTCGGTACGCTTTCCGGAAACGCGCGCGAGGTGCTGCACAAGTTCAGCGTCGACCTTCCCAAGAAGCACGGTCGTGGTGGTCAGTCCGCGCTGCGTTTCTCGCGTCTGCGTGACGAGGCTCGTCGTAACTATGTCCGCAAGGTCGCCGAGCTTGCTGTTCAGCACTTTATCACTGCCGACAAGGTCAACGTTGCCGGTCTCGTTCTTGCCGGTTCCGCCGAGCTCAAGACCGACCTCTCGGGTTCGGACCTGTTCGACGGCCGTCTGCTCGCCAAGGTCGTCAAGATTGTTGACGTCTCGTACGGTGGCGAGAACGGTTTCAACCAGGCCATTGAGCTTGCTGCCGACGCCCTCGCCAACGTCAAGTTCATCCAGGAGAAGAAGCTCATCCAGAAGTACTTTGACGAGATTGCCCTCGACACTGGCAAGTACTGCTTTGGTATTGTGGACACCCTCAAGGCGCTCGACATGGGTGCCGTCGAGACTCTGATTGTCTGGGAGGGTCTCGAGACCATCCGTCACACTCTCCGCAACGCCGCCGGTGACGAGGTTATCGTCTTCTCGCAGCCCGACGAGAAGGACCGTGAGAAGTTTATGGACAAGGCGACCGGCCTCGAGATGGAGGCCACCGCCGAGGCCAAGCCTCTCCTCGAGTGGTTTGCCGAGAAGTACAAGGACTTTGGAGCCACCCTCGAGTTCTGTACCAACAAGTCGCAGGAGGGCTCGCAGTTCGTCCGTGGCTTTGGTGGTATCGGTGGTCTCCTCCGTTACAAGGTCGCGTTCGAGGACCTCGGTGACCTCGAGGACGAGGACGACGAGTTCTACGGCTCGGACGAGGACAGCGACATCTAAACGACCACGCCGGCCGGCAGGCCGGTCGGTGCCGCGCGCGGTGCCAATTGCACACGCACGACGCGGGTGCGCCTTCTTGGAGCTTGAAGCCTTCAGTCTGCGTCTCCTCCCAAAACACAGAGTCGATAAAAAGGGAGACGCACGGCACGGCCGTTGTTCTAAAGGAGGCCCCTCACGCCGCGCGCCGATTGTGCGTAGGCAGGGCGGCGCGCCAACGGACACACCCAACCTTTTCCGCGCATGTTGTGCCACATTTCGTTATTTCAGAATGCATAGATACCTCTGTATGCTATCCCCCCCATCATCTACTTGCACTACGGACGCATGCCTAGGAGTAATAAGAGCCTGCAGCCTGGCCACGATGATGCCTGCCCGGAAATCATGCCGCTCAAGAGGCTGCTCAGTGACCATTGTTGTCTCGAGTGACCTGCTGGTACAGCGAGTTGCCGCCGCGCATTTCGTGCGCGCGTGTATACTCTATCAAGCTGGTCGGGAGGAGGGCTGCACCCCACTCGCGCAGATCAGTCGGCTGGCCACGGTCCTCAATCGCCTTGCGGAGTCTGGAAACGAGTCAGCTTTCAGCAGCGGCAGCAACCCAGACTAGTCCCATGGTGTACGACGTGCCAGAGGTTATGGTGAGATAACGCCGGCGTCTACGGCCTCAGATACAGATGGGTCGTACTCCGTTCCCCGCTGTCGTCTTCTTCTTCTTCGGGCAAGTATCACTCACTTTGACCTGACGCCGGCGTACAAGAGCAGACCGCACACTGTCAAGACGAAAAGGGTGACGATGGCCTGGTCACGAGGGGAATCGCGTTCTGGGGTGGTTGGGTCGCGATCAGCTGACGGGGTCCTATGATGCCGACGTGCTCCAACGACCAACTTACTGAAACAGCGGGCCTCGACATCACCCTCTGTGCCCGTTCCAACGTCCGTGTCCAGCTCGGGAACTTGTGCGCCTGCATGCCCGGGTGGTGGTGGTGGTTAGCGGGACGAGGCTCGCGACCATGATGGAGGAGTGTGTAGCGCGCCGCCTACGTCACGTCCACGACCGTCCTGTTCTCACGCACCTTTGCAGATAGCGAGCTTTTGGTCCAGGCAGAACTGGCGTGTACAGGAGAGACAAGGTTTTGAGGGGTCATCGGGCATGTAGAGGGGGATGCTGGACGAATTTGTGAAGCAGATGCCTGGGGGAGGAATTAGCATGTTGGGTGGCGCGTGGAATGGGGACGATGCCGGAGGGCCGTACATTTGCAGTAGGACAAGCTGTCGCTCCAGAATTTGGCCTGTGCCAGTGGCAAGAGGGCGACGAGGGCGAGGGCGATGAGCAGGAGGAGTCTTGGTGGAGATGGTGGACGCATGGTGTGTTGTTGGAAAAGAAGAGTTGGATGGACGCCGAATGAGACAGCATGCCAAGCGGGGGGTGGAACCAAGCGACGCCGCCGCTCGCTGGCCGGCCTGGCTGGGCTGCTTGGGCTGCCCGGCGGGTCGTCGTTTCGTCATGGTGCCCGTTTTGGCCACTCCATTCATCCTATCTCTCTCTCTCACTCCCTCTCACTCTCCCTGCCGCTTTCTCTTCTCGCTCAAAACACCCACATCGAGCTCGCCCTCCTCGCGCCTGCGCCGCCCTACATTCAAGTGCAGCAACGCTTCTGGGTACGTTGCTGCAGTGTATCCCCAATTCCATCGCCCTATCAGCCCCCCCATCACGCCCCGTCCTGTCAACTCTGCTAACCTTCTGCTCAGGTCCTCTCTGTCCGGGTTCCAATCCCCCCCTTTCTCCCTCTCGCTTCTCATTTCGTCTCTTCGTCTCTTCGATCTCTTCTCGACTCTTGCTATCTATCCTCACCCCGCGGCCGCAGATAGTTCGCACGTATGGCCGACCGCGAGCGTGCTGCCGGCCAGAGGTCCGACCTCACGTCCGCGAACAGCACCAACGGCACCCAGCCTACCTCGTCATTGTCCGCCGTCGGCGGTCTTGCCTTTCTTCCCAGCCTCTTCGGAAGGCGAGCATCGTCCAAAGCGGCCGCTACCGCACACCTCGATGGTCGCAAAGCGTCGGCAAGTAGCGCCGTCACGCGCGAGAGCTTCGATGAGACTCGTGTCGGAATCACATCGCCGCTTAGCGGCACGGTGATGCTGCCCTCCACCAGCAGCACCGGCTCAGCTCCCACACTCTCGACAACCACCACCACCACCACAGCCACAGGACAGTTTGACATTGCGTCGGCGCTGTCCCTTATGCAACAAGGAGGGACAAAATCCACGGCGGAGCTCGTCGAGATTGTCAAGGCGACGTCGGTACATCTCGCCAACGGACTGTTGGACAATTCAACGTCAGCCGGTAACGCTCCACCACTCTGCGACCTCGATCTCAAACCCGCCGACGTGCGCACGCTCTATGATCGTGCCATGAACTTTGCTGCCCCGTCCTCTGACTATTCCCTACGCACAGCCGCTATCCGTTTGCTGGCAGTGCTCCTTGGTCTTGCTCCACCTCGCGAATCGGTCCGCGACGACAACCCGGCCGACCTGCCGGCGAACGTCACACCACGGACCATCTACAAGCTCATCACGGCCCCCAGTGGCGGTACCTCTGGTGCGGCGTACACGAACCAGATGTATGTCGAGGTCGGTGCGCTTAAAGCCCTTACCCGCGATGGCGCGAGTGTTGAGGGAATGGACGGCATTGTTGGGTGGCTGCTCCGGTCGCTGGGCGAGCTCACACCGGACTGGCTCTCATGGGCGTCCCTCCACGGCGACGCTTCCGCGGGTGACCTCGACGGCCGTGAGACGCCGTTTGGTCCCATCAAGAGTGCCACACCAGCAGCAACCGCCGAGGCCATCATCGACCTCGTGTCCGCCATTGTTCACCACCGTACGGCCCTGTTTGGTCCAGCGGACCTGACCCACATTGTGCGTCCGATTGTCGAGTTTCTCTGGCAAGGGATCCTCGCATCGGCCACGCCGGCACCCACCCCTACCCCCTCGTCTGCGCACAGCACTATCGGACGGAGTGGTCCACACACTAACCCCAACTCGCCGGCGTCTGTGCGTCGTACAGACTCTACATCTGTGCGCCGTGCTACCAGTTTGACTGTGGGTCGTGTCGAGGCATTCCCTACCATGACAAAGAAGGACAAGGCGCCCTCAACGACCCCACACGACCCGGAACGTCAAGTCAAGTGGGGTCGTCCGTTCATGTCACTGTGTGCCCTCGTCCACATGTTGTTTGAGACGACTACCATCAACGACGACTTGTTTGACGAGGTCTTTGAGCTGTTGTGCTTTGCGTTTGGCCAGGACGACCACGATGCCATGATGGAGGTCGCGGACGGTACAGTTGGCGCATACGAGCTCATGCGTACCATGCTCGGTGCCAAGAGCGGCCGTCGAGGAGAGCTCGCGCTACGCAAGGCACTCGAGGGCAAGCTTGTTGTCACCAAGAACGCTGCCCGCAAGACGATCAGTGCCGAGCGCAAAGTCACCCGCGGAGCCGTCATTATTGCTCGTCTTTGCATCGAGGACCACGAGTTTGTCTCACACTCCGGCAGCCTGTCGTTTTCGTTCACCAGCCTCACACCATCGTTTGTGGCGGCCGAGTCAACATCGCGGTACCCCGGATCGGCTCGCGTTGCCGACTGGTCGAAATGGGCCCCCGTCGACTCTGAAATCCTCACACTCCTCGACGTCCACCTCAGCGCGCTGGAGGCTGGTACCGCTCCGGACAGCAGCACTGACGATGCGTGGACCGAGGGTGAAGCTGCATGCGAGATTCTCGACGGCCTGTATCCTCTTATCCAGTCCATGACGTAAGCCCAGCACCCACCCAAGTCTTTCATCTTTCTGACACTAAAACAGGCCCGATACCCCTCGTACCCTCCTGAAAAGCGACGACGAACCTCTCGCAGCAACATTCGGATCCATCTTGTTACGCATCCCCCGCGCGATTGGTCGTTTGCATTCTCGTCTGCACACGAGCAGCGCCTCATCTCCCACATCTGCGTCTGCCCCGGCCCCTTCATTCTACCATCCAAAATACATCGACTTGCTGCTCGAGCTCAGCGACCACGTCGACGAGGACATTGCCAATGCGGTGATCGACTATTATCAGCGCGAATGTCTCTGTCTGCCCTTTACGTCTGGATGGATCAAAAACATCTGGCGCCTGCTCGAGGCATTTGGGTCATCGTATGACTTGCCGGCGGCCCGAGTCCGCGTCTCGACTCTTCTCTACCAGGACGTCTACGCGTACGTTGACGACCTGCCCGAGCACCGCGCCCAGCTGGTGGACCAGGTCATTGTGCCCTACCTCCAAAAGTGGCTCCCACTGGAGACTGACGAGGCTGTCCTCACGGAGGCCCTCGATGTGCTTGTCAACGCGGCCGTTTCCGAGACCATCCTTCGTGACGAAGAGGGACGCCGTTCTCGTGCACAGCACTCTCTGGACGACCAGGAAGCCGAGGATGCCCTTATCGAGCCCAGTCAGGAGCTGGTGGCCGCAGCTTCCGGAGGCAGCTTCACTGCCATCCGCGAGCTCCTCACCAAGCTCGCGTACGAGGCCCCATGCAAGTCGAACTCGCCCACTCCCGCACCGTCGATGCCGACGTCGGCAGTGGCGTCGCCGGCCTCCCAGTCGCCTGCACTCCCCGAGGAGCGTGGTGGGCGTGAGCGCACGCGTGACCCGTCTGGTATCCGCGGTCTGATCCGCACCCTCTCTCCCAACCGTGAACCGTCGTCTGGTGCGGTCGGCATGACGCAGCTGCTCTCTCCTCCGGCCGAAGACTACTTCGGCCCGGGTCCTGCAGGTCCTCACCAGCACCTGCGTAACATGCAGCACACTGCGTGCAAGTCGCTGCACGGTGTCAAGTCGCTCATTGCCATCTTCACCCGTCTGGCCTTTTCAGCACCGCACCCGCTCGTCAACGGTCTGCGGCCGATGCGCACTCCCGCGTCGTCGCGCTGCATCACCATTTACCGGGACCTGCTCGCACTTCTCTACCCCTTGTCCGAGCCTGGCCAGCCGCAGCGCCTGCCATCCAAGTGCCCTCGCGCACGACTCTCCATTCTCCAGTGGGCGATGCGCCTGCGTGCCGACCGCAAGCACCGCGTTCTGTTCCGCGACGACATTAACCGCTTTGTCGAGCCGTTTGCCAAGATTCTCTTCCGCACGCGCAAGACTGAAGAAGAAGTTCGCGCCAGCATGGAGCAAGATGAGAACCGCCGCCGCGCACGCGAGACAGCCCGTCCTCCTGGAGGTATCGCTGCGTCGAGCGCGTCGCGCGACGACGAACGTGGGCGCTCGGCGCGTGTTGGCGAGTCGTCGACCCGCAGTCGCTCTCGTTCCAAGGCTGCCGGGCCGGTGATTCGGGCGTCCGCGATAGTAGAGACAGCCCAGTACAACCCCTTGTGGTGTGTGCCCGAGACGCTCTCGTTTGAGACACCGCCCGACAACCATCCCAGCGAGGGCCTGTTGACCTACGACCCCAACCACCCGTCGCTGCAGGGACGGGGCACGCCGTTTGTCGAGGGTGTTTGGCTCCCCGTGTCCGAGTATGTGCGCATGCTCAACGGCTTGTTGCGCTGGGAGCAGGACTGGGAGCTCATCTCATACGTCCTTGTCTTCCTCCCTCAGCAGCTCGGCAACAAGCACTTCTTCCACGGTATCCGTGCCACCCGCGAGGTCAAGGGTTTGCTGCGCATGTTGTGTGATGGTATCCTCGAGCCTGATAACCGCTGGGAACGCCGGTTCCAGGTCCCGCCGTTTATCAAGCGCACACACATCAACTCGGCCGCCTACCAGTCCATATCGATCCTCATCTCGTATCGATCTGTCTTTGACCGCGGCGAGTGCGAGCGTATCCTCCAGGCACTCGTGTTTGGTCTCGAGGGTAACGCCCTCTTGGCCAGGCCGTGTCTCCAGACTCTCACCGTCTGCATCTACGAGATGGAGACGTACGTCGCCAAGGTTATTGGCTCGATTCTCCAAAAGCTTCAACAGATCCTGTCCACGCCTGCTGTGGCCGTCCACATTCTCGAACTGCTCGTGGCGCTCGGTAACAGCAGCTTGTACCGCAACTTCACCGAGGACCAGTACCGTCTCGTCTTTGCGGTCGCCATTGGATATATTGCGGAACACAACGCGCGCACCGACCAGCCCATCGACTTTAGCGGCAACCGTGACCAGTTCACCCTCTCACAGCACGTGATCGGTCTGGCTTACCATGCCATCTACCTGTGGTTTATGGCGCTCAAGGTCATGCAGCGACCCCGTCATGTCGGCGAGCTTGTGCGCGGCCTGTTGCACGCCAAGAGCCAGCGTGGTGCCATTGACGAGCGTATGGAAGTATGCTTCGACTGGCTCGCGCGGTACACGTACGGAAACGCCGACCCCAAGCCCGCGACTTCGTTCCTCTCCGAAGTTGTCATGCGCGACGGTGCTGAAGAACAGCCTGCAAAGGCCATGTCGTGGCTCCTTGGCGGCGCCATTGTCACGGTTACTTCGCACCAGCGTTCTGGCTGGGCGACAATCGCTACCACGCGTGCCACCGGCTCCACCTCGGTGGTTTGCAAGCTCGAAAACGTCCCGCTCCTTGACCTGGGCGAGCCCAACGCCGACATGGCGTCCCTCCCTGCCACCCTCATGGCGAACCGCGAGCAGATCCGCGATGTCAACGAGACGCCTGCTCAGGAGGGAGACGAGGTGAAGGAGGTCGAGTCAAAGCGCTTCGAAGACCCAGACAAGGCAAAGGACCCGGCTGGTGCCATTGTGGCTGTTCCCTCGATCGCGGCGCCCGAAAAGGACACTTCCATCTCTGGCTACGTCTGGTCCGGTGCCGCACCGTCCCAGCGTCGCAAGGACGTTATCGTTGAGCCGTCATACATTGCTCTCCAGCTGCTGTCGTCGTACCCCAACGCCATTCCCGAGATCCCCCGCGGCCGCCTCATCCCCAAGGAGCCCAGGTTTGACCGTGCCCTGCGCGTTTTCGAGACCACGGCCGTCATCAACACGTTCAAGATTGCCGTGCTGTACGTGGCTCCGGGTCAAAAGACCGAAACCGAGATCTTGGGCAACCAAGGTGGCTCGCCATTGTACCTCGACTTCCTTGCCGGGCTGGGCCGTGTCATCCGTCTCAAGGGCCAGGTGGATGTGTTCACCGGCGGCCTCGACCGCGAGAGCGACACGGACGGTCTGTACGCGTACGCGTGGTGGGACGACTTGGCGCAGATGATCTTCCACGCGCCGACGCTCATGCCCAACCACCCCAACAACCCCGAGTACACCAACAAGAAGCGTCTGGTGGGCAACGACTATGTCAAGATTGTCTACAACGAATCTGGAAATGATTTCAAGTTTGACACGATCAAGACGGCGTTCAACTTTGTCAACATTATCATCTCGCCCTATGCCACCCGCGACGTCGCCGACGCGACGAGTCTGGTCCGCGCGGCCGACGCCGCCGACAACAAGCAGCCAGGCGGCGCGACGGGCTCGTGGGGCAACGTGGACGCCTGGGGCGGCGACTCCGAAGACTTCTTCAAAGTCACCCTCCAGCGCGCAGATGGTATCCCCGAGTTCTCGCCCATTGGCGAATACAAGCTCGTCTCGAAGCGCAACCTGCCCATCTTGGTCCGCCAGATTGCGCACTACGCCAACTCGATGGCCATGCGCTTCCAGCACACCAAGGGCGCGGCGGATGTGGCCTCGGCAGAGTTCATCACCATTTGGCGCGCGCGGTACCGTGCTCTCCAGCGGTTGCGCGACATGTGAGTTGGGCTTTGGAGTTTGGCTTTCCGTACGATTTTTGCTGACAGAGTGTGCAGGCTCCCAAAGCTCGATATCCCCGACCCGAACGACACACAGGCCACCGAGGAGACACTCAGAGAGTACGTATTGGCTCAGTTACGCCTAGCCCACACAGTAACTGACAATGCCTTTCCAGCTTTACGCGCACTTTCTCGCCACCGGAACAGTAGTCATAGGGAGATCGTTTGTATTACGACTAGCAGGAGCCAATGCATCAATGTGGGGAAGTACAGGAATGTAAATGTGTGGGGGAATGGGTGGTGGGCGAGCGGGAACGCATGGCGAAGGTCTGCCTTGGCGCCACGCCAAATGGCCGGTCTCGATCGTGCCAAGGCACTGGAATCGGCGAATCTTCCAGTCCTGCGCTCGGCTCGGTCGTGAACGTCGGCCTGGTCGGTCTAGTCGGTTCTGCATGTATTTTCCCTCGTGTCGCTCGTCGAAATGTGCGGAGCGAGCACAAGAAGCGACGCGCAGTTGCGTTGCGCGGTTAGGAGGCGTGATGCCAAGTGAATGGCGAGGAACGGAAGAAGATTACAGGGCGCCCGGATGCCATCGATTGTGCAAACGAAAGACGGATAGCGCCCCGTGCCGGCGGCCGTCGCACATGATTTTTCGAGAGGCTCGTCCTCGTTGGGCTGCGCGAGTGTGTCCAGCGGGTCGTGGGTTTGGCTTGGCATGCATATGCATGCACGCGTGCGTCGCTCCGCTCGGATACACCGGGTCGGTCGTGAGTGGCAGCGCCGTGCGTAGCGAGTAGCGAGCGGCGAGCAACTACCATCACGGCGTAGCGAGCAAGCATGCTGGACGACAACCTCACTCGCTACTCGGTACGCACACGATCGGCTCGCACGCATCTAGGCTCTCGCCTCGCGCATTCGCAACTCGCGAATGAGCTCCTCGGCCTTGTCGCGCTGCAGGGCGTTGCTCTGTGCAACCTTTTCGAGGTACGTTGCTGCCAAGGCCCAATCGCCACTGGCCGAGCCGGCGCGCATCTCCCACTCTGCAACGGCGATATAGCTTGCTGCGAGCTCCTCCACTTCCCTCCCATCCTTGGCGCCCAGAGCAAGAAGCTTGCGGTGGTACCCTGTTCCCTCAGCCGACGCACGGCCACGCGATGCGTCGAGCGTCGTGTGGAGGTTGGCCAGCTTGGTGAGGATCTGGGGAGTCTGCTGCCTGTCTGCACCGAGGAGAGCGCGCGTATGGGCTGCGATTGCGTCGGAGAGGCGACCGAGACCTTCGTACACGGTGGCGAGGGCGGTCCACATACGGCAGTCATAAGGTCTGGACGTGAGCTTGGTTCACCGCGACTGAATCGAGCTTACCTCAGAGAAGTCGCCTGGTTGTAGTACTCGATGGCGTACATGGGCATGTCGAGAATCTCATACGCCTGTCCGAGACCGTACCATGCGCGGTAGTCCTTGGCATTGATGTCAATGGCCTTGCGGTACGCCTCAATGGCCGCATGTGAATTCTTGAGCTCCACAAACTCGTGGCCCATGAGCGTCCATGCCGTGAGGTACTCGCGGTTGAACATGAGCGCGCGGCGGAAGTAGGTGATCGCCTTGGTGTGGTCTGCGCGCGATGAGTAGTAGTTGCCTGACGTCAGCTCACGTTGCAAGGAGGGAAGCTCACCTATCAGGCAGCACACTTCTGGCCTGTTACGGTCAATCTCGGCGTATTCGTGCGCAAGCTTGCCGAGCTTGGCGCGCTTGTCCATGACGTAGAGCATGTTGGAGTAAATGTCCACTTCTTCCATACGGAACGGGTCGGCAGCCTGCACTTCGTCAAACTCCTTTTCGGCAGTTTGAAAGTCTGCAAGTCAGTTGGCTGTCCCCGCAGCTCGTAACAACCTACCTCTCATGTGGTAATACACCAATGCCTTCTGGGCCTTGAGGTGCACGCTGTTGGGGAAGGTCTCCTGAAGCTCTGATATCATGGTCATGACCAGGTCTGTTGCCGTATGGAGATCGAGCATGACGGCAATGGCGAAGAAGGTAAGCATGGGTGAGGACGGGAGCTGCTCCTTGAGCTCGATGAACTGTCGAGTTAGCGCATACCTGTGAGCTTTTTGTAACTCACCTTGTCTGCCGAGTCGACGAGCTGGGCGAGTTGGCTCCAGCAGCTCCAGTTGTACGGCCTGTCCCGAATACTACGCACAAAGCATGCGATCGCTTCGTCGCGCTGCTCGAGACGCATGTGCACCATGCCCCGGAGGTACATGAGGTATGGCTCCGTGTCGTCTCCGATATCGGCGAGAATTGTCGAGAGCGCGGGGAACAGTGCCAGGCGTTCCTGCTTGGTGTCCAGGAAATGGTGCAGAGACTCTTGTGCTTTGCGGTCGGCACTCTGTTTCACCGTCAGCTTGATGGTCGATATTACCCAGCTCACTCACCAAGAACGCAGCATAGTACTTGAGAAACCGCGCCCGGGATCCCCTGGCGTTCTTGAGCGTGTGCACGACTCGGTCCAGCTCGTGAATGTCAAAGTAGCTCTTAGCGAGCTGAAACTCGTCTTCGTCCAGCACGTCGTCTTCTTCCTCCAGCTCGATCCCGTGCCGTGTGCGGGCGCGGCTTGGTCCCGCTTCGGCGTTGGTTGGAAACACCTCCATGTCAAAGCGGGGAGGGGAAGGCATAAACTCGGAAGCGGCAACAGAAGGACGGGGTGCTCGAGGGGGAGTGCTCAAGCCTACCTGGTGCTGGGGTGGGGAGAAGGGGAGGTATGGTGCTGTGCGGTGCTCCTTTGGGAGGGCCAGCAGGAGCTCGTTCGCCCTGGCTGTCAGCTTCCTTGGACGATGATCACGGGGGAGCTGATACGCACCATTTAGCTGCAACGAGCAGTCCACGGTCCTTGAGTTCGCGAATGGTGGACCTGAGGTCGTGTGCCATCTGGACCTTGGCCGCTGGGGACGGGGAAGGCATGGTTTGGTGGGTGTTGTTGTCGCTGTCAACCACTGTTGATTGATCTTTGTTATTGAGACGCGTCCTGGCAGGGTGGCATGACGCGCCGGCTACCGGAAATGCCACACCGACCGGAGATTGCGGCGATATGGCCGTGGTGCAGGCGGCGGGTGGAGGTCGCCGATCTCTCTTGGATTCATGACGCTCAGAAGGAAGACGAAGTCGCCACCAACAACACAAATCACACCTCTCTCTTGTCGTCCAAAACCACACCCACCCACGAAGCTCTGCCACTCCCAAGCGAGTGCATCACACCCGTAAACACCTTCCCGCAGGGCACATTAGTTTTCTCACACCATGGCCGCCCCGCCTACAGGTACAAAACGCACACACGAGCGTGACCACGAACGCCGCGACCGTCCACGCGACTGGCGCGACGCCTTCCTCGACGACGACCGTAGCGGAAGTGGACGTGACCGCGAGCGCGAGCGTGAGCGTGGAGGAAGCTACCGTGACTCGCGCGACCGCCGTTACGATGACCGCGACCGCGACCGCCGCGCGCACGATGACAGGCGCGCAGGAGGAGGTGGGAGCTATCGTGAGCGAGAGCGTGAGCGCGAGCGTGCGGGATTCCCGCAACGTCATGGTGACCGCGACCGTAGACACGATGATTCGCGCCGTGGAACCAAAGAGGAGGGCGAGTGAGTGGCGATCCACTGTTCCACACGTAGCTGACAGGACAGGATTGAGTCACCCCCGCGTGGTGCTAGTTCCAGGTTGAGTGAACGAGACGCCCCAGCCTCACCCAGACGTCGTGACGCCCCGCCATCACCCCGTAAGGGATTCCAGCCCGTCACTGTTCCCAGCAGCTCGAGCACTTCCAAATCCGCCGCACGCCCAGCGCCGCATGTCGCGTTCCAGCAGCCTGCACCTGCCGACCTGCCCGAGCCCGAGCCAGAAGAGGACGAGGAGGAAGATCTTGAGAAGAAGCTCGAGGAAAAGCGCAAGCGTCGTGCCGCCATCATGGCTCAGTTCCGCGCTGGAGAGGGTGCCAAGCCACCCCTCCCGTCATCTCCTATGGAGCCCCTTGGATCCGGTGCAGACAGCGTCACCAGCAACGGTGTGCACACAGAAACTGGTGAGTCCAGTTGGTTGCAAGTCAGGCTGACAGCAGGCACAAATTCTTTGCTCAAGACTCTTGGCACTAGGTCGATAACCGCTGCACTCACTCCTGTCGGCCACTCGCCGACTCTTGCGAGCACGCCTCTCGGTAAGGACTTCGACCTCGAGAAGCATGGCGAGACCGGCCCTTCGAGTGAGGGCCAGGCGGAACAAGATGTCTCAGCCGCCGACTATGACTCGACTGTCGACAATGATAAGCGTACGAAGAAGGAAAACGGCGAGACCAAGCCTGAACGTGCTGTTGCCGCCGCCGCCCCTGCGGACGATGAGTGGGAGGAAGTGGAGATTGAGGTGGAGGAGGAGGCCGACGACATGGACATGTTCGCCGCGTTTGGTGACGAAGAGCCTGTCAAGAAGATGCGCAAGGTCACGGTGCGCCGTCGCAAGGGCACCAACGGCGAGGTGGGCGAGATCATCGACAAGCCCAAGTCCAACGCCGCGGCCGTGCTCGACATTGTGGACAACGTCGACGACGTCGAGGGCTACTACCGCTTTACGCCTGGTGAGCTGCTCGACGACGGGCGCTACCAGATCACTGTTACCCTCGGCAAGGGCATGTTCTCCGCCGTCGTTAAGGCCACCGTTCTCAAGGCCGTTGGGCAGGAACGCCGACAGGACGTTGTGGGCAAAGAAGTTGCCATCAAGCTCATGCGTTCTCAAGAGAGCATGTACGTTGCTGGTCGCAAGGAGGCCCAAGTTCTCAAGCTCCTCAACGACGCCGATCCCGAGGACAAGAAGCACATTGTCCGCATGGAGCGCACGTTTGAGCACAAGGGCCATCTGGCCATTGTGACGGAGAGCATGAGCATGAACCTTCGTGACGTCATCAAGAGGTTTGGCAAGGACGTCGGCCTCAACATGCGTGCCGTTCGCGCGTACTCGCACCAAATGCTACTCGCCCTCTCGCTCATGCGCAAGTGCAACATCGTCCATGCCGATATCAAGCCTGACAACATTCTCGTGTCGGAGAACAAGGCTGTCCTCAAGGTTTGTGACCTGGGTACCGCCGCGGAGGTGTCCGAGGGCGATATTACGCCGTACCTTGTGTCGCGTTTCTACCGTGCACCAGAAATCAGTGAGTCAGCTTTGGGCTTCTTAGTGTATGAAAGCTGACGGGCAGTCCTCGGTCTGCCATACGACACTGCCATTGACATGTGGGCGATCGGCTGTACCCTCTTTGAGCTGTACACGGGCAAGATCCTTTTCCCCGGCCGGTCGAACAACCACATGCTCCTGCTCATGATGGAAGTCAAGGGCAAGATCCCCGTGCGCCTGATCAAGAAGGCGTCGCTCAAGGACCACTTTGACGAGAACAACAATTTCATTTCCATCGAGACGGACCGCATCACCGGCGCAGAGGTCGTCAAGACTACGGTCATTACCAAGGCCTCACGCGACCTGCGCTCGCGCCTCATGCCGCACTCGAGCGTCATGGCCAGGATGCACCAGGACGAGCTCAAGCAGCTGCAGCATTTCGTCGACTTGCTCGACAAGTGTCTCCAGCTGGATCCTGTGCGCCGCATTTCGCCCAGGGAGGCGCTGCTCCACCCCTTCGTCACTGGTACGCAGTAGCACAGAGATGGGAGCGAGGGAGACGGGAAGGGGAGAGTGAGAGAGAAAGAGAGGGAGAGAGGGAGAATACAAAGAGAAAATAGAAGATAGCACGAGCCCCACTGAAGCTCTTCGATTTTTGTACACACCACAGCATGAGATGGCATTTCGACATTAAATAGGGTGCGCATCTAGTACAACAACGTGACAGCAAGGTCGGAGCAAGGGGTGCAGGTCAAGAACTGATGGTGATGGTTGGGAAGTGCGAGATGACACAAGACCGATAAAACTAGACACTAAAGACCCAGGATGGACAAGAGAAGAAAAGGCAAGCAGTGTGCTAGTGTTTCAACACCCAGCGAGCGAGGACGGAATCGTCTCCGCCCACACCCATTTCCGGGTGGAGCATGACTGTACGCAGAAAGCGCTGCAACCGCGGTCGTCGTTCTTCCAGAAACTTGGGGTCAAACTTGGCTGCAACAGGTCCGTGTCAGCTGCTGGGTTGCCACGAAGCCCTGTAGCTGATGTCGGCTTACCCATGTGGTTCTTGCCTGGTAAGGGGGGTATTGTCTTCTTGAGATGCTGTGGGTGTCAGCTAGATCTACCGACAATGTTTAGCAGACTCGAGACATGTGTCTGTGGCGTTGTTGCCGCCAGCGACGCCGGATGATCGACATTCGCCGAACGCGTTACAGAAATCACAGGTCGTTTGGATTGATGAGACCCGTAAACCTGTGGTCTCTGTCCACGCGTGCGGTCTCCGCACACACCGATACGTACTGGGAAAGTCTTGTTGAGGTCATCTCGCAGCCGGACAAACTCTGTATACCGCCGCAAGATCGACACGGTCGTGCCGCTGCGTAACGAAATGTCAATGTCGTAAACTGTGGAGTAGTTAGCAAGGGGGGGTGCATTTAGATAGCAGACGTAGGTTGACAGCTATCTGCCCTCGACCCTCTGTGGAAGGCCGTTCACAGCTCGGTACTCACCGACATACGCGCCGAGCTTGGCGCCATCCGTCCAGCTCTTGCCGCCGACGACCTGCCAGCCCTTGACAGCCACCTCTTTCGCGAACGGGTCTCGTGCGTGCGCGTGCATGCCCACACTGAGCGTGACTTGATGCTGGGGAGCGGGGGCGCCGCGCGGCCACCACCGCGCAGACCCGGCTGCTGTCCCTGCCACTTCTTCGGCACTCGTGCTGGCGCGCGGTGATGCACCAGCCATGGCGCCGGCGCCGGTGCCGACGCCGGCTCCTGTCGCGGTCGCAACGCTGCTACCCGTCGCATGGTGCACGTCAGCCGCAGCGTGGTAGGCCTTTACCCGCTCTGCCTCGCGCGACTTGACCGACGCGATGCCGACGCACATCCTCGCAATGTCCTTGAGGCCGCGGCGGGGCGGCGGGGCTTCGTCCGAGGCATCGGTGTCTGAGAGGGACGGGGTTGGGGAGGGCGGGAGGCGTTCGAGCACGACCGAGGAGCTGAGCGAGGGTGGCAACGGGGGTTCGTTGGGAGAAGCGGGGCGTAGGTCTGGTGGCTCGCCCATGGTGGACAAGAGCGGGAGATGTGTTGTGGAGAGGAGAGAGAGCGAGATGGCCATCAGACAGACACATGAATCGCACTTGACCGACCAGCAGAGGCGCAACGGCCGTATGACGCATGCCGCAGCGCCGTACCTAATAATCCCATTAGAAAATGCAGAGGCCTACATTAGACCTCCACCGGCCCCCATTTCCTAATCGGGCTCTAATCTCGAGCTCTCGGCCCCTCCCTGCTTCCTCCGTCGTGCGTCGAAATATCCGACATCGCCCTTCTTGCAACCACCCTCTGTCCCAACAACACCCAACCATGGTCTTCGGTTTCGGCTCCTCGTCCTCGTCCTCATCTTCGTCCAAGCCCGCAGACGGCGCGCCCCCTACCCGCCAGGAGCGCCAGCGCTGCTGGACCACCCGCGACGCCTACTATGCCTGTCTCGACAAGCACGACATCATGTCGGCCGGCGAGGGCGACGGCGCCGGCGCCGCGCTGGGCGACAAGGAGGGCGTGTGTGCCGATTTCAGAAAGGCATACGAGTCGAGCTGTGGCAAGAGCTGGGTGAGTGCTTGCTTGTGGGAGAGGGGGTGCCGACGGCGGTGACGGTCTTCCTGCTAGACTGCTGTGGTAGCAGAGAGCAGGTACACAGCGTCCGACATCCTGGGCGCGGCAGACTGTGGCCTTCTATCACCCTGCCTCTCCACTCCCCCCTTGCACACGTACTGACAACCAGATCGACTACTTCAACAAGCGCCGTATCCTCGAGTTCCGCCAGGCCAAGACCCTCGCCGAGGCCGCCCGTCAGCGCGAGGAGGCTGCCAGGCGGTAGATGACCACCGACCACACACTGTATCCACACTACACCGGGGGGGCCTCAGCCATGTCCAGCAGCACCGCTGCGCTGCCGACAGTGTGTCTGCATCAAAAACGAAAAACATGTAACTCGTATGCACCCTTCCATATAATCTCATGAGCCCGGCGCCATGTTGGTTGCGCGCGGGATGCAGGCCGCGTCCGTCTGATCCAAACAGTGTTTGTTGCTCACTTGAGGAGAGACTCGATGACCTGGTTTTGGGTCAGCCCGCTGTGGAACGCAGTTTACCCACAGTGTTCTCGTTGATATTGGACACATTGTTACCGCGGTAGTTGAGCTGTTTGAGAGCTGCGATAACCTGGGCGCGAGGGAAGCCCATGTCGGTGAACTTGACGACGCTGTCCTCTGACAGACCGGCGAGCTCGGCGTCGGTAGCAGCGCGTCCGCCCTTGACCTTTGTAGGCGGGGCCTTGGCGTACGACTCGGCCCAGTGCTTCGCGGTAGCGTTGAAGCTCTCGCGCGAGGCCAGGAAGTGCTTGGCCACTGCGTAGGTGTGTGGTTAGTGAGGAACACGCAAAGTGGAGGTCCGTGGCGCGCACTCACCCTCGGCGTCCTGCGGGTCGTTGGGCTCTGGGCTGCAGAGCAGCGACTGCAGCGAGATGAGTGTCGACTTGAGTGTGAGGACCTGGATGTTAGGGCTGTGGACTTGGCGTGTGACATCGACAGCACGCACTGGTGACCACTTGTCCTTGAGAATGTCCAGACAGATCGCGCCCTGGGGGATCAGCTCGGCGCCTGGCAGGTCGTTACTTACACTTGCCGACGAGACGTTGGGGTCTGATGGTCAGTTGGCACCCTGTTTATGACCGGCAAAACTCACGGTACACCTTGCTGCTCAGTCAGCTCACGACTCTCGTTCAGCACTCACGTAATAAACTTCATCTTGACAGGCTCGAAAGGGTACGCATCTGGGATGACAATGTCCACCTCGTAGTATCCGCCTTCATAGGGGGTTTCGGCCTGGCGTCAGAGCTTGGCTCCATGAATCGGCAAGCTCACTGGTCCGGGGAACGAGCCGATGAGGTGGAAGGGGCTGTCATCAACCACTGGTGGTGATTAGCACGTCTTGTAGTGCACGTGAACGAGGCAGTTGGAGCAGTGATTGGTACACTGTCCAGCTGCCAGCGAAGATACTCACGCTCAATGGCAATCTGCGACTCCTTGTCCTGCTGGCACGCTGTTGTCAGCATTGGAAACTGTCGGAGGGCCGTAGCTCACCCTTGATCTCCTTCTGGACTCGTCGGAGACGGGCGGCAGACATGGTAGTGTGACTGGGGGAAGTGGAGGGGGGATGGATCGGGGAGGAGCGATGCCAGCGCTGAGAATGGCGGGCGAGAGTGGGTATCTGGGAGATAGGTGTAGCTGGAGGAGACGACCACGGCGGTGCTGTTGAGCGACGGACGAGCGACGACGACGAGGGGGTTGATGAACGATGTGACGGACGGAGATGGAATGGATTGGTGCCTTCCCTCGTCGCTCCCGTGCGCTCCGCCGCTTGGGTGGCAACCCGATGACCCGGCACAATCTATCGCATCGCCCGTGGGAAAGTAAACAGGCCAACGTCCTCAAAAGTCGAGATGACCACTTCCAATCGTCCAGGTTGCATCCACAACAAACCCCATATTCCCCACAATGGAAGCAGTCCAGAACCCACTCCTCGACACAACCCCAGAGACTCCCGTCGCTGGACCATCTACGGCCCCCACGGCCCCGGCTGAGGGTGCCGCCCCGCTCTCGAAGAACGCCCAAAAGCGCGCCGCCAAGAGGGTAAGCTGAATGGTACGGTTAGGACAGCTAACAACCTGCAGGCTCACTACGAATCCGTCAAGCTCGAGAAGCGTGCCGCAGAGAAGATTCGACGACGCGAGCGCCAGGCATACCTTACCGAAGGGTATGCAGCCGGCACACTGTCGACCGAGGACGCAGCCCTTGTCGACAGGCAGCGTGCTCTGAAGCGTGCGCGCAAGGCGAGCTCTAGGGGCAGCGACGCGGCGTTTGGCGGCGCAGTGGTCGTCGACTTGGGTTTTGACGAGCTCATGACCGACCAGGAGATTTCGAGCATGAACTCGCAGCTGGGTTACGTCTACAGCATTAACCGCACGAGCAAGGTGCCCTTTGGCGCTGTCCTCCACACCGGGTTTGGGCCGACCAAGAGCCCCCGCTTGTGGGAGAAGATGGCCAAGAGTACCTGGAACCGCTGGTCCAGGATGCACTTTTGGGAGGAGGACATTGATTTGCTCGCCAAGGTGATGAAGGAAGGCGCTGAGGCCAAGGTCGATGGCGCGGCTGAGGTCGATGGCGACGCTGGAGCCGCTGTCAAGGGACCTGTCGACCTCGGACCGACCGATACCAAGAACATCAACCCCGACGAGCTCATCCCGTTTCTTTCGGGACCCAACCTGCCACCCTCTATCCCCGCGACTCACAAGCTCGTGTACCTCTCGGCCGACGCCGATGAGGAGCTCACCACGCTCGCCGACGACGAGGTGTACATTATCGGCGGCATTGTCGACCGCAACCGCCACAAGGTGAGCTAGCCGATTAACAGTGTACAAGCTGACATTGCAGATGCTGTGCCAGAACAAAGCCGACCGTATGGGCATCCGTACTGCCCGCCTGCCAATTGGCACATATCTCGCCGACCTGCCGACCCGCAAGGTCCTGACCGTCAACCAGGTAGGTCTCAGCTGTCAAATGCAGCGTGTAGCTGACAATATCCCAGGTCTTTGAGATTTTGACACAGTACCTTGCGCTCAAGGACTGGGCGGCAGCGTTCGAGGCCGTCATCCCCCAGCGCAAGTACTTCTCGGGCAAGAGCGAAAAGTCCAAGGCCAACAAGGCCAAGGGTGCCGCCGGAGACGCCGAGGGTGACGGGGATGAGGACGAGGACGAGGACGAGGCAGAGGAGGACGATGAGGAGAGCGCAGCCAATGGCCAGATGGATGTGGACGACGAGGAGGCGGCAATGAACGCCTAGATGTACGGCTTAGCCCTACCATGCACTGTTTAGCAACCCCTTACACAATCGGGCTGTGTTCCCAGCTAATGTATGCAAATGCAGTCTACGGAGTGGTGATTAAACAGCGCGCACTCTCTACCCTATGCTAAAGACTCGCCACCAGTGGTCCACGAGTCAAACTCCTTTCTTCTCACCTCCTGATCCTTACTGGCCAAGCTAGGCAGCCCTCTTCCTGGCCTCAATCTCAGCCTGAAGGACAGACGCCTCGTCCTTCTTGCCCGCAAGCTTGAGGAGCTTCAGCCTGCGCTCAGCGATGAGCGCGTCGACGGCCTGGCGACCCTTCTCGGACCGGTTGGCAATGTACTCGAGCTTGAGCTCGTCGAGGCGTTCCTCGTTGACCCTGGAGTAAATGTGTCAGCTGAAGCACGAGAAGGATCGATTCAGCAGGCCAGTGCAATGGCAATGGACGGAGATGAGGCTGAGGGACAGATGGAAACCGCCTGCCCCCTGCCACCATTGACAGACTCACTCGAGCTTCAGGCAGTCGTTCAAGGCCTTGTACTGCGACGCGCAAGCAAAGGGGACAGTGAACGTACGGCCAGTGGCGCACTCGGCGAAGGCTGAAAGTCAGTACAGTGGTCATTATAAAGGTGGAGCTTTTCCGAAGGCTGCAACACCTTGTTCATGCTGCGCAAGTGCAAGTCGACGCCTGCTTCTCGGGAAGTCGAACTCGCTATAGCAGCCTGCGACCTCCACACTGTCTGCACTCACCGCGGACCTTCTCGTCGCACTTCTTGAGCGCCTCATTCTTGGCGGCGGTCTCAATTTCCTCCTCTTCGCGACGCGAGAGGGCTTCCATGTTGGGCTACGTCGGCGGTGTTGTTGTTGAGAGGACGAAGGAGAAGGGGAGATTTCGGAACATGGAGACACTCGTCGTCGGTCGCAGCCGGGCGGCGAGAGATTAAACCGGCACAATCTGATTCCGCGTCCTGGCGAGCACACACACTTATTTCTGAAGTTCTGCGAGATTATGACGACAACAACAACCACATCCACCAGTGTTCAACCCGACACCACAGCAGCAAGCAGGCAGCAGCTTCTGCAAAACACACGCCATGAACCCTCGCCAGAACCACAGTCTGCCCCCACGGCCTAATTTCGCTGCGGCGTCCGGCGGCGCCGGTCCCAGCCGTGCCGGTGGCAACCACCATAACAACACTGGCGGCGTGAACCATGGCGGCGGCGGCGGTGGTGGTGGTAGCGGCGGGTACCCGACCCAAGGGTTTAACACTACCAACAGCGGTGGGTATCCCTTTGGCACGCCTCTGCCTGGATACAACGGCAACGTGAGCGGCGGATACCCAAGCTATGGATATCAGTCGTATGGCTACGCGTACCCACAACAAGGGTATGGAGCTGGGGGGTACAACTACGCCGCTGCTGCTCCCCAGCACAACGCATACGCCTACGGCACAGTCCCCCAGAACCAGCAACAGCAACAGCAGCATGCAGCCCCTCCTCCACCTACCGTTCCAGCCAAACGTCGAGCACCACCCCCGTCGTCGTCCGCTATGCCATCCCACAAGCCATGGCGTAACTGCTCGCACCCCGGGTGCAAGTATACAGGTTCGGGCGAGGACGTTGAGATCCACGAAGGCGACCGACACCTAATTTTCCCCAACGGGAAGCCTGTCGAGCGCAGCGAAGAGGAAGAGCGATACTTGAAGTCGCTGAATGGTGTGGCGCCCACCATCCAGGGAACGGGGATCAAGCTAGAGACCGAGGAGGAGATTGCAAAGTGGATCGAGGAGAGGAAACGCAAGTGGCCGACGAAGAAGAGGGCCGAGGAGAAGGTGCGTATGGTTTTGCCCAACTGCGCTCTCGTCCCAGCTGGAAGAGGCTGTGTCCACGCACCGTTTCGAGAGCTGACTGTCAGGCCAACGAAGACGCGGCAGCCATCGCGCGCGGCGAGAACCCGCACAAGCGCCAACGACCACTGGACCCCGCCCGTGCCGCCGAGGAATGGGGCCGTGAGCCCGCCCCCATCGTCCAGCGCGGTACCGCCGACCGTGGTCGGGGCAGGGGCCGTGGACGCGGCCGTGGTGCTGCTCCAGGTCGTGGCGAGCGCGAGCCCGCGAGGGAGGACAAGGAGACCAACGGCCCCAAGCCTGCCACCGACGCCGCACCTCCCGCTGGGTCTGCACTGGTGTCCTACGCCTCGAGCCAGGCTAGCGACTCTGGCTCATCGTCCTCTTCCTCTGACTCGGATTCGTCCGACTCGGACTCGGACTCTGATGCCGACGAGCCCACCCCGGCCAAGGCCAAGCCCGCAGCCGCAGCCGCACCAGAGGCGCCAAAGGATACCCGCCCAATCTGCAAGTTCTTTGCGCGGACCGGCCGGTGCCGCCACGGCGCCAAGTGTCGGTTCGCACACACCAGACCCGACGCTGCCGGGCAGGAGGGCAGTGCCGTGGCTGCCGCTGGGGCCGGAGGCGAAGATGGCCCGCCCAACGACACGGCCAAGACCAAACCCGCGGCGACGGGCGCGCCGCGCGTTCCTCCACCGCGCCAACCGCCTGCCAAGCGCGTCAACCCGTTCGCAAGGCCCAGTATGCTGGGAGCAGTAAGTGGAAACGCTTGGTAGGCCGTCACAGACAAAAAGCTGACCTCCACTCTTAGCTCCTGGCCAACCCGATCGAGAACACGCTGTCCCAGCTCACCCAGACGATCCGCTTTCTCGTCGCCAACGACATGTTGCGCAATGTGGAGATGAAGCCTGGCGAGGCGGAGGAGCAGGAGAGGGAGAGGCAGAAGGTGGTGGTTGTGGAGCCGGTCGAGGAGGAGGCCAAGGAGGAGGCCGAGGATCAAGCCCCAAAGGAGTTTCCCAAGGTCGTCGAGGAAGAGACCAACCTCGACGCGGACGCAGCCCCGCCCGTCCAAACTTAACCCATTCATTTATTCATTCTAGCATTCCCACACGGTTTTTCTCATACACCATGCCATGCATCATGCCACGTATTCTGATTTCTGTTCTAGAAGCGTACATATCGTCACTGCGTTCACTCTCCTCCTCCCCGAAAGACAACAACGACCGCGGCGGTTTTCCCGCTCACTTGAGCGGGTCAAAGTCGCCCCAGTCAGCAGACGCAGCCTGTGCGGCTCCCCATGCAGGCTTGGGCGCGACGGAGGGCTGCATGAGGCCCGTGCCGGTGCCGCCCCAGCCTGGAGGCGGGCGCGGGGCTGCTGCCATGGCCGGCTGGAGCGGCGCGGCAGGCTGCACGGGCTGCAGCGGTGGCGGAGCCTGGTAGGCTGGTGCGGGGATGGCGGAAGGCGTGAACGATGCAAATGACCCGGGGTTCATGGGCGGTGACGCCATGCCTGTGGGCGAGCTGGGGGAACGCGATGGTTGGAGAGGGGCAAAGGACGCGAACGTCGGGGAGGTGGCCTTTGGCGCCTGGGAGGGGAGGTTGAGGCTGTAGTTGGGGCCGTTGGAGGGTGCAGCTGGTGCTGGTGCTGTGGCAGGTGTGGGGCGGTGGGAGGGCTGCAGTGAGGCGCCCGAGAAGGATGGTTGGAGAGGTGGGGACTGCATGGGCGACTGCATAGGTGACGGCTGCATTGCGCTCATCGAGCCAAATGATGCTTGCCGGCTGGACGGGGCAGGTGGTGAGGCCATGCCGAACGCGGACGAGTTGAACGACGAGGCCGGGACAGGCTTGGCGTGCAGCTTGCCAGAGGCGGGGCGGGGCGAAACCGTCGCCGAGCTTGGGTTAGAGGGCGACGGCGTGTTGCCGAGGCTCAGTCCAGGGAAGGTCGATGACTGGGGTTAGCTTCCAACGTCTGGTGAAAAGCTCACCAAAGACGTATCCATGTTGGCACTGCTATCAGCCCATCCCTCGTCCCATGGGTCGACGGCAGCGGCCGTAGGAGCCGCAGGTGCAGCAGAGGACTGGCCCTTGACAAGAGCCTCAAAGTCAACCTCGCCAGTGGTAGCCGCGTTAAAGTCAAAGGTCGATTCGGCGCCGTTGGCAAAACTGGACGTCTGCTCCTCCATCTTGCGAACCTCACGCAGATGCTGGCTGTGCTCCTTCTCGACACGCGCACCCAGCGACTTGATGGCGGCCATGAACCGGCCAAACTGGTCCGTGTTTAGCAAGGGGCCCATCGACATGACCCAGAGCTGCGGCAGGACAAGTGTGGCGATCGCCTCGAGACTGACTTTGGCGCCCATTGCCTCGTGCACGGCGAGAGTGGCCATCATGACAGCGGGTTCTGTCGTTAGCTGTGCTCTTAAGAGGGAGCTAGCTCACCCTTGGTTTTGATCTTGGCAAGAAGAGGAACCAGCTTGGTCGTCAGGGTGGTCGCATCAAGTGTCGAGACCATGGCATGGAAACACTCGAGCGTCTGCACCTTTACGGACAAGATGCGCGTGTGAGAGAAGAGGATCTGACGATTGTCAGAGGCTGCAGACGGTATCCCAAACCCACGGCCACTTTGACGAGCAGAATGTTCTGCACCGTCCCATAGTCCAGAATGTCGCAGAGATGGGGTACTGCCTTGAGGGCACGCTCCTGCACAGGGAGGTGCTCGCTTTCAAGCGAGTTGTAGATGAGCGGCATGACATCTGGTCGTTAGGATGTTTACGGTGTGGAAACGACGTACTCTCGCGGAACACTGCGGGCGTGGTCTTCTCCTCTAACAGGGTCAAATTGTCGAGGAGAGCTGGTGGGTCAGCACAAAGGTATCAACGGGCCACCCACTAAGCATGTTCTGGGGTGGGTCCTTGAGGGCAAACAGCGGCTGGAGCTTTGGCAGGACAATTGCAAAGTCCTCCTTGCTCAGCCCCTTTGAGATCTCGAACACGTTGGGAAGGAGGAAGGGCAACAGGTACGAGTCCTTCATCTCCTCGAGCAGACTGAGTAGGATCTTGCCCTTTTTGAGACGCTCGGAGAAATTGGGCAGGACACGAACAAGACCACGGAGAAACGTAGCCTTCTCTTCACGAGGCTTGGACGCGAACGTGGTGGGGTCGAGAAAGTTGAGGGTGGAGATGGCGAGGGACGAGAAGAATGGGTGGTTTGCGAGCGAGGCGAGAGAGATACGGCCGTTGGCGTTACGAGTCAATAGCCGTGGCAGAAGGTCTGGTAGTGTCAGAGCCTTGCTCGCAAGATCGCACCTCACCTTTCAGCTCGTTGCTGCAGCGCTCCCACTGCTGTCCACGCGCATACTCTCTCCTCATCAGAGGACCCTCGGCATTCTCGCGCAGACTCTGTGCAGAGCCCCGGTTGTTGAATGGCGCACGACCGCCCATGTGCACCGCGTAAAGAACACAGCCGAGCGAGTACAGGTCGTTGGCCGGACTGAGTTGTGAATCGAGAGCATATTCTGGTGCTGAGGGTTAGAGTGGCTGCGAAATCCACGATCAACCCACCCAGGTAGTCAAACTTCCACTGGACCTGTGGCGGAACACGAGTGTCGACCTCGGGGAACTGATACTTTGTAGGGCTGCCATCGGGCTGCGTCAATGGCGTGGTGAGGTTGAGGCCAGACAATTTCCAGTCGCCCTGCTGGGTCAGTACTGTTTAGTCGTCGAAGTCCACCCACCTTGGCGTTGACGAGAATTGCATCAGGCGACAGGTTGAGATGAACGCTCTTGGCCTGCTGATGAAGGAACGCGAGACCCTTGGAGATCTGCAGGGTGCCCTTTTGGATTTCGACCTCGTCGAGATCAATCTCGGTGCCGCCTGCCCGTGACTTGCCACTCTTGGCGGAAGCGAGGACGTTTGCGAGGCTCGACGTCACGTATTCCGTCACAAAGGTGAGCTCAGAGCGAGAGTCCTCGAGGGGCTCGACCATGTGCAGGATATCAGGGTGTCGGAGACGCGAGAGAGAGGTGGCCTAGACGTGAGCTTTCAATTGCCTGACTTCATCTCACCTCCTTTTTGAGCTGGTCGAGCGCCCACTCGCGTGCCGTGCCGTTACGGATGCCGTCGAGGACACGCTTCTCAAAGACCCACACCGAGACGTCCTTCCCCGTCGTCTTGTGTGTGGCCTGCATGACCTTCCACAGGCCGACGTTGAAGGGTTTGCCATGCGTTGGGGCTGGCGAGTTGCGACCAGAGTTGGGCAGGCCATGGATATTGACAGACGACGCCGAGGGCGATGGGCCATTAGAGTGGACGGTGTAGGCCGATAGGGTGGACGTTTTGCCGAACAGGTTAGATGCCACGGCGAGCATTGCTGTGCACAATGTCCCTTGGACTGTTGATACTGTTGTGAGGAGCTAGAGACAGATGAGAGGAGCAGCAGCAACAACAACAACACCATCTATGCACGTCGCACGGTGCGTGCGCGCCGCCGTCTGTGGGCGGCTCTCGGACACGACGGCGACCGCTACCCAGGTGGAGGTTGGCCCATTTCGTATTTTTTTATTTCCACCCCCGCGTTAAGAAAGTTGTTCAGAATCGCTCATCTCCACCACAAACCTTCAATCCACAACCACAGCCCAAACCACAAAAACAGATCCCACATCTCTCTCAGCTACAGCTCCCAGCAGAGAACAGCAAGAGAGCGTGACCTGATTCCTCCAAGCGTACTGGAGGCCCCAAAACAGCGGTCCATCATGAACGGCCAGTCGTCTAGGCGTGGGCTCAAGACGAGGTAAGCTCGTGGTTACCGGCTTGAGCTGACATCCGCTCCCAGCTACCGCGCCTCACCCACTTCGATCCGTCCGATCTACACTGGCGGTCCTGTGCTCCTCACCCGTGATGGCGAGTGGCTGATCACCACAATGGCCGAGGAGGTGCTCGTCACCGAGGTCCGCACCGGCCGCGGCGTTGCTCGTGTCAAGGGCGTGAGTTGCAACATTTCTCTCGGAGCGAGCTAACTCGTCTTAGGACACCACGGCCATCACTGCTCTTGCGCTGTCATACCACACCTCCCCTCCCACCCTCGTGACCTGCCACCAGTCCAACACGGTGCGGTACTACCCCCTTCCCGAGTCTGTGGCGACCACGCCCAAGCCACCTCTCCTCACCTACACCCGCGTCCTCGCTCGCGCGTCTGGTGCCCCGATCCTCCTCGCCGCCGTCTCGCCCGACTCGACTCTGCTCGCCACGGGATCGTCCGACGGTATCGTCAAGGTCTGGGACCTGGCCGGCGGATACGTGACCCACATGTTCCGCGGCCACGGCGGTCCCGTGTCGGCGCTGCACTTTTCGTTCCCCACCTCGACGGGCGAGGACCGCCAGCGCATGGAGCTGTGGACGGGCTCGACGGACGCAAAGGTCCGCGTGTTCGACCTGCGCGATGCTGGCGCCCGTGTCGTTGTCGGTGGTGGTGGTGGCGGCGGTGCCAAGCCCAAGGCCGTGCTCGAGGGCCATGTGAGCGTCGTCCGCGGCATTGCTGTCAGCGACGACGGACGCTGGGCGGTCACTGGTGGTCGTGACAAGGTTGTGCTGGTGTGGGACCTTGGTGCGCCTGACGATGGCAAGAAGAAGGGCAAGGGTGCGGCGCCCAAGATTGTCCAGACTATCCTTGCCAACGAGCAGGTCGAAGCGTGTGGCCTGTTGCCCGTCGACCAGGCTGTGGTGGGATCGAGCGAGGGCCGGTTGTTGTGTTACACTGCCGGCGACGCCGGTACCGTGCGTGTGTGGGACGTGCTCAAGGCCACCGAGGTGGCGACCATGAAGGGCGTGGAGGGCGTTGACGAGGCCGATGACGAGGACGACGAGCAGCGTGGCGTCATTAATGTCATGTGAGTTGAGGGTTGCTTTCCCTTGGGACTACCAACTGACAACACGCAGGTACGACTCGACAACAGCTTCGCTCGTGAGCGTGCACGCCGATCAGAACATCATCTTCAACTCGCTGTCTACCCTGTCGACAACACGGCAAGTGGTCGGTTTCAACGACGACATTGTCGACGCCGTCTTCCTTGCTGCCACGGGCGGCGAGACCCCAACCCACGTCGCATTGGCATCCAACTCGTCCCTCGTGCGCGTGTACAACACCTCGGCATTCGACGCTCGTCTCCTGTCGGGCCATCGCGACATGGTCCTGTGTCTCGACCGCTCGCCTGACGGTCGCTGGCTCGTCACCGGTTCCAAGGACCGGACGGCGCGCGTGTGGGCTCCCGGAGGTCCCAGTGGATGGCGCTGTGTGGCTATTTGCGAGGGTCACGCCGAGGCCGTGGGCGCCGTTGTCTTCTCCAAGAAGATGGAGTCTGGAGCGGGCCGTTTCCTCATCACTGCCTCGCAGGACAGGACGGTCAAGATGTGGGACCTGACGAACGTGGACGAGGACGCCGAGCAGCCCATCAAGGCCCGTTCGCTTGCCACCCTCCCCATTGCCGACAAGGACATCAACTCGCTCGACCTGGCGCCCAACGACCGTTTCCTCGTCTCGGGATCGCAGGACAAGCTTGTCAAGGTGTTTGAGGTCGACTTTGTGGCCGACAATGCCGTCCAGGGCGCGATCCGTCATGTGGGCACCTGCAAGGGCCACCGCCGCGGTGTGTGGGCCGTCAAGTTTAGCCGCAACGACCGTATTGTCGCTTCTGGTGCTGCTGACCGCACCATCAAGCTGTGGAGCCTGGACGATTTCAGCTGTCTCAAGACGTTTGAGGGCCACACCAACTCGGTCCTCCGTGTCGACTTTATGTCGCAGGGCAAGCAGCTTGTCTCGTCTGCCTCGGACGGCCTGGTCAAGCTCTGGAACATCAAGGACGAGGCGTGCGTCGCCACCTTGGACAACCACGAGGACAAGGTGTGGGCGCTCGCCGTCTCGCCCGACGAGGAGACGATCGTGTCTGCCGGCGCCGACTCGGTCGCGACGTTCTGGGAGGATTCGACTGCCGCCGAGCAGGCCGAGAAGAACGAGGCTCTTGTCGCTGCCGTCCAGTCCGAGCAGGACTTTGCCAACTTTGTCGCGGTCAAGGACTACCGCCGCGCCATCCAGCTCGCGCTCGCCATGTCCCAGCCGGGCCGCCTGCTGTTCCTCTTCCGCACCGTCATCTCCGAGGTCGTCGAGGACGCCGACGCGCACGAGACGGCCACCACGGCGTCGCTGTCGCCCGAGATCGACGAGGTCATCCGCACCCTGTCCCCGCTCGACCTGGTACGTTTGCTCAAGCACGTCCGCGACTGGAACGCCAACGCGCGCACCGCGCCCGTCGCCCAGTCGGTGCTGCACGCCGTCTTCCGCCTCCGCGCCCCCGAGGACATTATGGCCGCGTTCGAGTCGGCCGCCAAGCCCCCCGTGGCCGACGACGACGAGAGCGCCAACTCGGACGACGAGGAGGATGACGAAGCCGCTGCCCAGGCGCGTAAGCGCGCCGCCAAGGCTACCGCGCCTACCATCTCCATGCGCGAGCTCCTGGACGGCCTGATCCCCTACTCGGAACGTCACATGGCGCGCGTCGACCGTCTCGTCCAGGAGAGCTACATGCTCGACTACACCATTGCCGAGATGGACGGCGGCATGTTCGGTACCGAGGTCATGGACGTTGAGTAGACAGCACACATCGCATCACTGTTGGGGAGGAGACAGGAGAGAGGGGAGACAGGGGATTTTTCTTCGGACGGAGTTTGGACATACATCACATATGCATGCATAGCCTCGTATAGACCCTCCCTAAATGGACAAAGGACAACGACGGGCAGCGAGTACAGGACAGAACGTGTGTGTGTATGTGTGTGTGGCAGGGAGAGAGGGGAGGGAGTGTGTGGCGGTTCGTTGCGGGGAACGTGTATGAAGAAAAATGAATGCGGATGTATACAGATGACGGTATGACATGATGGGCTGGGTATGGCCTGGCTCTGACGTTGGGAGCAGATAGGGCCACCGCATGGTTTGTGAAGGATAGAGGTGGGAGCTGGGAGGGGCTCGCGAAGGGGAGGCCTTGGGGCTTGGTCGAGCAGATGAACATTCCAGGTTCCTGGGCAACCCATAACAGGAGGCACCCCTCACAAGGTCAACGGCTTTGTCGTCATAAAGACATGTCGGCATGGTTCGTCGGTGCGAGTGCGACGACGCACTGTCGCCCAGACCAATCAATGATCGCAGCCCGCAGTCGCGTCGTCGTCGCTTGCAGCCTCGTGCCCGAGCTCCAACGATCGGTCTGAACCGTTGCTGCAATGTGGCCATCGATGTCCTGATCACACTGCGTTCGGGTGTTGAGGGTGATACGGAGCGGTACGACGGACGGTTTCGAAGATACGGAACAGGCTCAGTACCATGTTGCCGCAGTAGAGGAGGAGTGTGACGAGTGCGATGGAAAAGCATCCGACCTGGCGGCGACACACGTCATGGATGACTTCCGAGTTCTTGACGCTGGCAGGCACCGTCGCCTCGGTCGCAAGGCTGACGGCCGTGGTCACGGCTGCGACGGCAGAGCCATTGTCTCCAGACGAATAATAGTCGACACCCGGGGTCCACCAGGGGGTCAGCGGGGTGCAATCGAGGGGCGTGTCGATGTAGTCGTTGATGGCCAGCGTCAAGGCACTAGACCACAGTGCCACAAACAACAAGTCGAGGCACACCCAGAGCATTTTGGAACGAAGACCCCACAGGCCGACCGGTCGGCCAAAGTACTCGCGAAAGATGGCGGTCATGACGTGGACAACCGTGAATGAGGCGTACGAGATGATAAGTGTCGTGGACGAGCCGAGCACTCCGCTGTACCCAATCGACTCGAGTTTGCGCCGAATGGTGATGGCAAGAGCTGGACGTCAGTTTCGTGGCAGCAAAACGCCTAACTCACCAAGCAGGACAACCACGGTCGCGAGGTTCCACAGACGAATGTAGATAGTCACACGAGCATCCAGGAGGAGCATGCGACGGAAGCGCTGGCGCCACGTCAGATCGTCATAGGCCGTGCGCGGCCGCTTTCGCCTAAAGCGGGACAGGAGGCCCCAGTTGCCCTTGCCCTTCTCGGACCGAGTCTGCTGAGGCGACAGACTCAACTCTTCGTCAATGTGGTCAAAGTGATCGAGACGGTCAAAGGGATTGGTGTTTGGGTCGGCGGCAGGCTGAACGGTTTCGTTGTGGCCCCAGTCGTGGGCACCGAGCTCTAGGCTCCTCCCGTACCCATGAGGTCCCGGGGTGGGTGGAATCTGGACTGTGGGTCGGTAACGGCCGGGCTTGCTCTTCTTGGTCCTCCGCTTTGCGTGTTGCTTGGAAGAACGCGCACTCGGCGTGTAGTATGGGGCCTCTGAGGATGATCGAGTCGGAGGTGGAGCGCTGGTCCGGTGGTGAGCTGACGGCCGGACAGGATGACGAGGAGTGGCAGCGCCAGTGTTCGTGCCGTCCGTGTCTGTGCTACCCGCTTGACCGGCATCGATGTCCCGTGATAAACGCGAATGCGCGGCAAGCCCGTCGTCGCTTTGAGTCGTTGGCAACGGAGGAACAAGCCCTGTTGGCAAACCGTTTGTGGGAGTCTCTCTGCTGTGACGAGCAAGGTCGTCATCAAACATGCCGCCATTTCTGAGCGCATCCTGCCATGAACCTGCGTGCGGCCACCCGTTGACAAAGTGCTGAGTGATTGGTGGGGGCAGACGGATACGCAAGTTTTGTGCGTTCATGCGTTTCTTGCCCGACGGCGTCCCCGTCGTGTCGGAAAGGTCGTGTGGTGGGTGGTGGCCTTCCTCGGGGACGCGACTCATGTAGTCCCACAAGTGCTTTTGCAGTGCCCTTTTACGAGGTGAAGCAGGCAACACTTCCGAGTCGGTCAGGTTGCCATCCATACTGCTGCGACGAATGGGCATGGACATGAGGTGACGCATCGTGGGCCGCCTGGGCGAAACGTCAGGAGCGTCAGACTTGTCGGCGGATGGTCGCCGGGTCTCGGGCGACGACATATGCGCGCCGGCTGGTGGCGGCGTGTCTGTTCCAGACAAACTGATTGGGATGTGACGAGGGGGTGAACCTGTGACTGGTGATATGGGCGCCGAGTTGGAACGCGCCATCTCTGGCGCAACCTCGCCGCCAACTTGAAAGGCTGGTGGGCCCGACTGCTCAGAGGAACGTCGTCCAAACGCGGACGGCGCGACACGAAATGGCCGCGGGTGGAACAAACGCGTGGTGGCGCTGCGTGCTGTTGGTGTGGAGACGCCGCTCGCAGGTCCACCACGCGAGGGCGATCCCCCCGACGAACGCTTCTTCTCTTTGTCGGTCCTGTCGATGCGACTCCGGCGCCGGCGCCAGTCTCTGTCTTTGGGTGGGCCCTCACGTCCAGAATCTGGTTCAGTGACTGCGCCGTCTGCGGGGTCGGCCGATATGGATCCGCGACGCCCTGCGCCAGCTGCACGGTCGCCCATGGCGCGCAGTCTTGTCATGCCTCGTTGCGTAAACGTCCACCATGGCGGCACATCGTCGTCGCTCTCGTCGGCAGACGACGAGGACGAGGCGCCTGACGATGACTCGTAGCGAATCTTTTTCCTTCGTGGTGGTCGAGGCCGATCCTGTTTTGTCGGGGCGGCCGGGCGGTGGGTGTCAAATGTCGGCTGTGTGTCAACCGGCGGGGGTGTTGGAGGTTCAAACACGGCCGAGGCTGCAGCATGTCAGAGGGATGCAAGAACAAGCGCAGAAGGAGGAGCACATACGAGGAACTGTGCGGACTTTACGCGTCGAGGTTGACGGAAAGGAAGACGCGACGGGGGATAAGGATGCCAAGGAAGCAGACGCGGCGCCAACTGAGGCTCGAGCTTTGCCTGGACGGGAGCGACTGCGCACCGTGTCGAGCTGGGTGCGGCTCGAGGACGCCTCGGCGTTGGCGCCGTGCATCGCGGGTTAGGTGGCGATGGCGACGACGAAGAAGAAGATGATGGTGGGATGAACAAAGAGTGGATTTGGACCAGAGGTCGCAGTTGTCTTAGGGGCGAAAGGGATGTTTATTGAGGGAAGGGCGACGTCATGTTTCTCGTTTCGGAACCAGAGGGCGGTGTGGTCGAGGTGGGTGGGAGATAGGAAACGAAACAGAAGAAAAAAAGGTTCTTGCTGGCCCAAGAGGCGACCAGTGTGTGTGTGAGAGAGAGAAGGGAGAGCGAGCGTGGAACGAGTGCAATATGAAAGAGATGGGTGGAAACGTGAAATGCCCGTGCATCTCTGGGCGGCGGCCGCGACTATGGCTGTCCCGGCGCGCGCGGGTCTCCCGTCGTTACGCGATGGCAACAACCAGGGAACAGAAGAGGGCTTTGGGCTGGTCGCCACCACTGCTGTGGGGGGACGACAGATGCACCCAGGTGCCGCACGTCTGGTGTGCAAATGCCATCCTTGTCTTGTGCTAGAGATCTAGAGATCTAGAGACCCCCTCACGGTATCACGGTAGAGCACACTCGTTACACTTGTATGGTGGCAACGATGGAACGATTTGCCGTGGCGCGTAAACCTATTTTGAATTGACGACGATGACGACCGATGATGACGGATTAGAGATTTAGTATTAAGCCGTTTGCCCATTAGACTATTTGCCGCCAATTTGTTTTTCCTAATGGGCTCTTGCTTTGGCCTTTGGCCGTTCTAGACCCGCCCACGGTGACGCACATGGAGGCATTTCTCGTCGTCGTCTGCAGTTAGCCGTCGGTCGTCTGTCACCCCCCAGGACGGGCCCTCGCCATCGCCGCCAGCGTCCACATCGCCGCCAAACGCTCTTTCACCCCTCGCTCATCCTCGGCACACCCCACATCACCACCCCATCCACTCTCCACACACACACCTCGACCCCCTCTCCTCCAACCCAGGGCCACCCCAAGCCCCCCACTGTGCTTTCCATCGCCGCCGACGGCGCTTCGCCTTGTCTCACAAAGCCGAGACACCCTCTCTCGCCGTCACTTTGTGCCCCCCGGTCCGTCCCACACACACTCCCTCTTTCGTCTCCCTTTCACTTGTCCATTTTCTTTCTCCGCAGCCTCTCTCGACTGCCCACATCGACACAGCCTGCATGCGGCGACCAAGGAGCGTGTCGGCGGCCACACACTTTGCGTGACTGAACAAGACCACACTCCACAAACCAACCCACCACCCCCCGCCTGGCTGTTAACGCACCCCCCAGCATGACGTCGAGGGACGGCGAGGAGGTGCGCGTGGACGATGTTACGGTCGGCCACAGCCACGAGGCCACACGCCCACCACGGCCAAGCCTCGACAGCCTCGTCGACGGTAGCATACCACAACCATCATCCACCGAGGCGTCCAGGGCCGGGTCGCATTCACCAGTCGACCGACGCCGCGGCAGCCAACACCGCAAGACCGTGTCATTGACCAGCCCACCCCCGCCGCCAATCGACTTCAACCCCCCACCAGACTTTACCTCTGACACACTCCTGCATGGCATCGAGACGCCGCTCCCACCCTCGTCGACCACGACCGCCGCCAACAGCACTCGCACAAGCCCGGCCGTCTCGAGCCCAACCGTCGTGGCCAGTGTCTTGGTGGACGAGGTGCCGGTAAACATGCCGCCGCCGCCAGTCACGCTGCTCGCGGGAGAGCAGCAGGCGTTGTCGCAACAGCGGCCTCACATCCGTGCCATCCAAAGGCTGTCGAGCGAGTCGGTCCACCGATCCACCCAGTCGTCGTCGACCCGCTCGACATCGAGCCAAGGCGGCCACGGAGGCAGTAGTCCGTCGGATGGGAGTGATGTCCTCGCCGCACGACGAGACGAGCTGGTCACCCAGCTGCTGTCCGGCGACAGTGCAGAGTCGAGTCAACGAACGTCGACGGCATCGTCTAGCCCCACAGCAGAGACGACTCTGGAGGTCCATGTGATCAACCCGACGCCCCCGACCACCACGGTGCCGCTGACGGCAGATGCCCTGCGCTTTGCGGCTGTCCAGACGGCCCAGACTGCTGGAGAGGGTCGGCCTCCTACGCCACACCGTCGGTCATTGTCCTCGTCCTCGAGTAGCAACAGGCCATCTGAAGACGCGGCAGCACATGCCTGGGACAGCGTGGTGGGTTCCTCGTTCCTGATCGCTGCGCAAGGACGCCTCGACGTCATCCGTTTACATGCTGACCACGCACAGTGGCCGGCCGCCAACGCTTCGCACCGTGTAAACTACCCGCCAGAGACAAGCAGCACTCGCTTTCCTAGCGCTCCCATGTCTCCCTATGTCACGCCGTCGTTCTCCCCAGCCGTCATCCAGGCGTCGGCGTCGGCTTCTCGCCGTCTATCGTCAAACTCCCCTCCCCCATTCGAGACACCCCTGACAGAACGCCCCGGATCAGTCGGAGGGCAATCCAGTTTGTCCTCGACGTCGGTGGCTCACCGAATGCTGCCCCAGGGGGGTGGTGGTGGAGGACAAAGGTATAACACACCTTTGGACGCACAGCTGCTCAACCCTCCCCGGTCTCCTCGTCCGACATTGGGTGCGCTCAACTCGGACGGTGCAGCGCTGCCGTCTTCTCCCGGCGGGTTGGGTCGGACACGAGCCATTTCAATTACCTCGTCGCCCGGTCCTAGTCGCGCCGTGCTCGGAGCGTCACCACCAATTACCTCCATCCTCACGCCAAGTGGCCGCCCCCGAGGAGAGCGCTCGGGTTCCTTTATCAACCAGTTCCCCGAGCTCGCGCCACCGTTCATCTCGCGTCGCGAACTCTCCATACGGTCACCACCACCAATAACGCGCCGGCTATCAGAAACCGCTGTTATTCGCAGACCTGATGTCCCGTCGCCCCTCCTGTCCACCCCACCCCTCCACCATGGCGAGCTGGAGCCGCCGCGCATCGACATGAGCGGTGTCGCCAACATTATTGCTCCAACACCAACACTGCGGCCCGATGGGCCCCGCCGCGCTCGGTCCGCTCAGGAGGTCCCCCATGGCGTCGCTTGCCGCGAGCTGGCCGCCCCCGCTCTTATTTCGCTTCCTGCCCCTCCTCCGTCCACCCTACCAACCGACGTGTCCCCAGCGGCCGACGGTGAATCTGATACGCCCCGGCGTCGCCAGTCGGATGACCGGCCGAACGACTCTCGCACCGGCTTTACAGACGAGCTCGTCTTTGAGATGGACGAGTACGCCATTGCGGACGACGAGGACGACGATGAGTCCGCCACCCCAACACGGCCCACCCCCAACCACGACATACCCTCACTATCCTACAACGCTCTGTTCCCTTCTGGCTCGCCGCCGCCGCCCACCTCGGTGTGGACGGAGGCTACGGTCATGCCAGGGGGTCTCGTTGACGAAGGCGACCTCCTACCGACCAATGTTGAAGTCCTCCACGACATGGATGTCACCTTTGACGACGAGGGGCTCAACACCTTGGAAAGGATATTCCTCCTCAGCAGGAGCGAGTATGCGTTCCACCGCGCCTACGTCGCGAGGGTTCTCGGCGACCTGTTGGGCGATGTCGACCCATGCGAGTCGGTCGAGTACGTCCTCCCACTCATCTCTGCATTCTCTCTCGACGAAGACGATACTGTCAAGGAGGCCTTCGCCGCGGACCTGCATCGTATATTGTGGTACTTTTTCACAGTGAGTCGCAGCAGCAGCGACATTTTGGAAAACCCAACAGGGAGGAGACCTGACGATCATTCTCAGACGTGCCTGCTCGTCGACAACACTGATGGCTCGGAACAACCGATGCCAGACGGCGAGGTATACGACACCCATACCACGGGTCCTAGCCCATTGCCCGAGACGGTCAACCAGTTGGAACACCACCACTCGGCTCCTATCGATCTCCCCACCACACAGCGCGTTCCCGACGGCCAGGTGTTTGGCAGCAGCCCAAGTCGAGACTCGATCAATTCGTCGTCCACACATTATGGCACCAGCTCATCGGCGACCCACGGCATGGACACGCCGTTGACCAGTGTCTCCATGTCTGGGACGTCAGGAGAAGAGGCCTTTCAACAGTTTGTGGAAGAAGAAGACGACGCTCAATTCGATGAGGACTGTGCCGACGAAGCCGACAAGGTTTGGAACGAACCGGGTGGCGCTGTGGAGCATGACGACACAGACTCGTCGCATGTTGTTGGCGCCCCCGTTCTGCATGTGGGCTTTTTCCGGCCACTGTTGGGTACGATGCTTCTCAGCCACAATCCGCAGGTGGCGAATCCCACGCGAGACGGCATCATTGCTCTCGTTGCTCGCTTGCGCTGCCACGGCCCGATTACCGTCGAGACATGGGGTTCCACAGCCGAGACCTGCCAGACCCGACAAACGTTCCTGTCTCAGACTGGCCCGCACGAACACGACCCACTGTCGTTTGACGATGACGCACGGTTGCTTGTCGAACAGGAGATTCTGTACGGAATCGTCCTGGGCATGGGCATGCTGTCGACGGATGTCGCCGACCACATCATGGACGGCACTGTCGAGATCCTCCGGGAAGACGGGCAGGAATACGACCTCCAGCTGCAGCTCGAGCAGGAGGCCACCCTCGGTCGCGCGCTGTCGCTGTCGCTCATCGGCAGCATGTCGGAATTCTACTCGCCGGAAGAAGTCGTGCACTATGGCTTTGTCGACGAGGTGATTCGTGGACTGGACGGCGACGTCTCGACGCGCGCCGAGGCGGCCTTGGCGATGGGTAATGTGGCCAAGGGCGCGACCCTCGACCAGCTCGACCGGTTGTTGGGTGTCTTTGACCAGTTTGCCAACGACCCCGACCCGCAGGTCCGCCAGTCGGTGTGCGTCGCCCTTCCCGCTCTGTGCAAGCGTATCCCCGACGAGAGGCACCGCCGCGACTTTGCCGTGAGCGTCATGACGGCGTTTGTGGCCGACGTCGAAGACGTGCGGTGTGCGGCCCTCGAGGTCCTCGGCGAGGTCATCTATACCTTTGTCAAGGACTCCCGCGGACCGCCCATGAAGCTGCTGGAAATCTACCTCAACGACAAGGATTCGACAGGCGCCGACTGCGACTGGGACATTCTCGCGAGCTTCAATTTCCCCGGTGTATGCCTCACGCTCGGCCCGGATAGGTGGGACGAGATCAGGAACCTGTTCCACCGTCTCGTCGACCGCGCAGGTGACCGCGTCCTCCGCACCATTGCCGCATTCCTGCACGAGCTGGCCAACATTCTGCGTCCAGAGCAAGTGGCCGAGGACGTGCTCCCCGTCTACCGCAGGTGTCTCGAAAGCACCGACATTGTGCGCGGACGCATCTTCGAGCACGTCGACGTGGTCATTGCACACCTCCCGCTCCCTGTCGCGTGGGAGTGTTTCTGCCAGCTGCAGGAAATGTGGGACAATGACACGCTCGGCGGGTGGCGCGCCCGCGAGCAGATTGCACTGCATATCCCCAGCTTCCTCGAGACGTTCCGCTCGCAGGACGAGGTCGTTGGTGTGGTGGACATGGCCAAAAAGGCCCTGCTCGACCGCTTCGCCGCCGTCCGCGACGCCGCGACGTATGGTGTCCCGCTCTCATACGAGATTCTCGGCCGCAGCCACTGCTCCCAGAGCAAGATGTGCGAGCTGCTCCTGGACCTCAGCCTCAGCTCGGCATACCGCCAGCGTCTGACGTGAGTTGCTCCATTGCTCCATTGATGACCACAACTGACACTCGCCAGATTTGTACGATGCCTCCGCGAGTTCATCCGCCCACCGCCCAACCGCGAAGCGTTTGAAAAGTTCTTTGTGCCCGCGCTCCCGCGACTCACGCAGGACATTGTCGACGTCCGCATCGGCCTCGCGCGCGCCATCGGCGACCTGTTCATCGTCGGCGCGTTCTACGGCGACCATGCCGTCCCCGTGCCTCTGGCGATCAAGAGCGTCGCGTCCATGCTCGCAGAGGACGACAGCCCCGAGGTCCGCGAGATCATCCTGCGCATCGGCGCCGACCGGTGGACCGAGCAGTTAGCCGCGTCCGCACTCGTCGAAGCGCACCGCAACTCGGACGAGCCCCAGCTGCTCGCCGACACCGTAAGCGAGGCCCTGGACCAGACGGGTCCGGGTAAAGTGGCCGAAGACAGCACGATGGGCATGCATGACCGCGCCGACATTCCGTCACCCGTCGCGACGGCCATCCCGCCCGAACTCCAGCACCTCCGTGGCGAAGACGACGAGGACGACGTCGACACGGTCGGGCTCGTTTCGGACCCGTTCGAGCTCAGTTTCGCGGCGGCAGCGAGCGCGCTGCATGGCGTGGATGGGGACGGGGATGGGGAGGCGGATGGGGAGGCGAATGGCGACGATGCGCGGTGGGCGGAGATCAAGAAGGGCGTGGAGGACGAGGCGCGCGGACGCGCCGAGGAGGCACGAGACGGGGTGCGGGAGGGATGAAGGAGGGAGGAGGGGAGGAGGGAGAAGGAGGGGAGAGAGAAGGGGAGAGAGAAGGGGAGAGGAGAGGAGAGGAGAGGAGAGGGTCGGTGCTGCTCTAGTATAAGAGCCGCGTGCCGGTCCGGGGGAGGGTCGACGAGGGTGTACTGGTGCGCGCGCATCCACACACACCTGGTGTCGGGCCACCTCCCTGGCTGTTTTGTTTTTTGCCGGCTTTGCGCACAAATGGCGTTAAACGCCCCCACCCAACTGTATCGTTTTTATAGCATAGACCATTGTGCGTAACTGCAGCTAGAGCCTTTATGCAGTTTGCATGAGAGCTGCTTCGTTCAAAGGGGACCGGAAGAGTTGGCCGGAGACATGCGCTCCCGATGAGGGAAGATGGGGCATAGTGGGGGAGGAATAGTGTTGTTGCAGATTGTTGGCCCGAAACCAAATGTCTGGCCGCAACCACGTCTCTGGTTGGACGATCTTGCACAATGCGGCAGTGGTCATGGGCTACAGGTTCTCCCCATTCCTGTAGCCCATGTGCACGCGCAAGACCAGCATCCCATATCAGTGTGGCAAGCAAAAATAAATGTGGCACGGCGTAAAATGTCACTTGTAAGTCCGACACTGGTCATTTGTCGCATCGACTTGAGGTCAACCTGTGTGCAACGGCCCCTCTCTGGGGACTGTTTACACTGCTGTACATATACCAAGAGGTGGACTTGCATAAAACAGTTCAGGAGGTACACGCCGTTGAGTACTGTGCGCTTTCAACAGCATAGCCAATTAATATTTACCAACCATTGTGGTAACGCTTTGCCCTTCAATCGGTGTTACTTCTTCATCTAAACACGCACCATATGTCTCACTAATTCCCACACCTGTATCAAAAGGCGATATTCATGGAGAAACGCGCCTGCGTCTTGCTGGCCGACAGGGGTGCCACATGGCTGAGTACACGTTGAGCCTTTTTTGTCACCCAGGAGTAAACCCGCGGCAAGCGACACTCGATGGCCCTTCTCTCATCTTCATGGCCACGTAAGTACTGGAATGACACTACCGTATCGAGGGGGTGTTATCCCCGTGTGGCAGACACTGTAGATGGAGCGTTATTGAGAGTAAAGGCTTCGTGGCCCACCATCCAACTCGGCGTCGGGTCTCCCCCACACCACACCGATCACGTCCGCCTCGACATTGCTCCGCCAACTCTCGCCACGCAGAATCAAACCGCACCCCACACGCCGCACCGTTCACACAGCAGCCTCTAATCCTATGCCATATGCCATACATTGATACGCCAGGACCACAACAATGAGTGTCGTCGTCGTCTCCCAGCCGCCGTGTCGCCCCCCGACCTCTCCGTGTGAATATCTAATCTCCGCGAACCGCGGCGCAGCTTAGAAGCCGCGCGCCTCGAGCCACTGCTTGATCTCAAAGACGGCGCGGCCCTTGACCTCGACGTGGCCGCTGGTCGGGCGGACGGTGACGGTGGGGGGAGGGGTGAGGGGGTCGATGTGGCCGTCGGCGAGGTACTGCTGGAGGTCGGTCTTGAGGGCCTGGGGATTGGGTCAGGTTCTGTCCAGACAAGCAACTTAAAGCTGAGAGAGGAGAGGGGATTGGGCATATCGGTGAGAGGGAGGAGAGAGGACGAGGCGACGAGGAGGGCAGAGGAGGAGGAGGATAGACGAGGAGGGCCGAGGACCAAGAGGGCCAGGGAGGCAAGCCGGCCGGACTGCAGAGCCAGCTAGCTTGCGACTAACACGGCAGCTGGCATGTACTGCGCGCAGACCGGGCATCCCTTGTCGTATGACTGCAAGCGGGGCAAGTCAAAGGCCTAGTCGGGTTTGCGAACCCCAGGTGGCTTCTAGGCCATGACGCGCGCGACCAGGACGACCGAAACAATGGGTGGTACCAGGTACCAACAAAGCAAACGCCTTGCTCGTCACCCCACTTCTCTCGTTTGCAGCTCCCACTCCAGCTACCGACAGCACTCCTCCTCTTTACGTTCTCCCCGTCTTACGTCCTCCTCCTCCTCCTTCCTCCTCCCTCCTCTTCCCCATACGCTTCACTCCAACAACACACCACCCAAGCCTACTCACACCGGCGCTTCCCCTAATCTTGCGGACAATGGTCTTGACCTGCGTACGTCCATTCTTAATGTCGGTGTACACGGGGAGCTCGCCCGAGCTTGTCCTCTCGACAGTGTACGGCAGCTTGGCCGCCTTGGCCGACACCTTGTCGAACGCGGCGACCTGGGCCGCCTGCACCTCGGCAGCGGTGGAGTTGGCGCGGCGGGCGAGGGGGAGGGCCGAGCGGCTGACGGCTGTGCGCGACGACGAGGCGAGGGCGGCGAACATTGTGTGGGGGGAGGATATGGGTCGGGGAATGGAGTTGCTTGGGTTTGTTGTACTGGTCGAACTTTTCGATGCTCGTCGTTGGTGGTCGAGAGAGAGCTTGGACGATCTTGTCCGATTTCGTCCACGTGGGTTTGATCCCGTTGGGCCAGTCAAGCAACCGGTGTCTCTGTCGATCAAGCCGTGCCCATATTTCCTGCTACACACACCGCTGTTACACAAGGCACACATCGCTGCTGCTATCTCTGCATACCATTATTACGGACCGCTACGGGCTACAGCTACACTCCTAGGGTGCAGACCGGTCAACCTTTGTTTCGAGCGTAAAGATAATCCGCGACTAGACACTAAACAGAGCGTGGCCACTCGTCAACAAGCCTGCTGGTGATGTGTGATGTCTATCTACAACTTGCTACGCTCGGCATCGGCTGGCGGCTGCGCCGCATCCTAGAGACGCTCAATGACGATGGCGGAAGCGGCACCACCACCGTTGCAGATGGCGGCGACACCCTTCTGTCCGGGCTTGAGGGCGTGGATGAGGGTGACGATGATACGGGTGCCCGAGCAGCCGATGGGGTGGCCGAGCGCGACGGCACCACCGCGGGTGTTGACGATCGAGCGGTCGAGGCCGAGGACCTTCTCGGCGGCGACGGCGACGACCGAGAATGCCTCGTTGAACTCCCAGAGGGCAATGTCCTCCTTGGCGACGCCGGCGGCGGCGAGGGCCTTGGGGACGGCAAGGGTAGGGGCGGTGGGGAAGTCGATGGGGGCAGCGGCGGCGTCGGCGTAGCCAAGGATCTTGGCGACGGGCTTGAGGCCGTCCTTGGTGACAACGTCACCCGAGGCAAGGACAACGGCGGCGGCACCGTCGTTGAGGGTCGAGGCGTTGGCGGCGGTGACCGAACCCGAGCCGTCACGGACAAAGACGGGCTTGATGCCACGGAACTTGTCCTTGAGGAGCTTGGTGTAGTCCTCGTCGCGCTCGACGACAGTGTCGCCCTTGCGGCCCTTGACGGTGACGGGGGTGATCTCCTCCTTGAAGAGGCCCTCGGCCCAGGCCTGCTCGGCACGCTCGTACGACGACAGGCAGTGGTCGTCCTGCTGCTCACGGGTGATGCCGAGCTGCTTGGCAGTGTGCTCGGCGCAGTTGCCCATGGGGAACTTGTTGTAGACGTCAAAGAGACCGTCAACAACGAGCGAGTCCTTGACCTCGTAGTGGCCAAAGCCGGGGAGCTTGCGCGAGGTAAGGAAGGGGGCGTTCGACATCGACTCCATACCACCGGCAACCATGACGTCGCGCTGGCCAAGCTGGATAGCCTGCGAGGCCATCATGACGGTCTTCATACCCGAAGCGCACACCTTGTTGATGGTGGTGGCATCGCACGACTCGGGGAGACTGCGAATGGTCAGCAAAAAAAGTCGTACGTCGTCGGGTCGGCGGATGGGTTCTGTGGGCCGGCCGGTAGACTCCGAGGAGGCCGATGCTGCCAGCACCGAGGTGCACATGGACTGGGAAAAGGAGAGGGGATAGTCGTCGCCAGCGTCACCAGTTGTGCGCAAAGTCCTGCTCGTCACCGAGGACGAGGAGACCCACAGTGGAGGCCCACAGAAAAGTCGTCGGCAGAAGCGGACAACAAACCTCCACGTCCCCGGGTGAACCAAACTCGGTTTTCCGCGGTCGCCCACCCCGAAGCAATGCAGATAGCTGCTCCAGTCGCCTGGGTTTTGCTGTCATGCACAGAGACAGATGGCGAAGGAGGACGCGTAGCAGAGCTCTGCGGAAGAAGCGGAACACCGGTTCCGTTACAGCTGCCTGAGGGGGCCGCGCAAAGAGTTGCGCGGACCTCTGCTGGCGCGTCGTTCCGTTCCGACGACGAATTGGCGCGCGACTTGTACACCCTCCCCTCGCACAGGCGATCGGCCACAGAACCCAGAGAACCCACAGCGCATGCAAAGAACTCACCCAGCACCAATGCCGACCTGGCGGGCGGGGCTTTGGCCCACACCGGCCTGGACGACGTTGCCCATGTAAAGCTCCTCGACGCGCTCAGCGGGGAGGCCCGACTTTGCGACGGCGCTCTTGACGGCGACGACACCGAGCTCGGGGGCGGTGAGCGAGGCGAGCACACCGTCCTTGGCGCCGATGGGCGTACGCGTAGCGCTGAGGATGTAGACGGGGTTGGAGGACTGTGATTGGTCAGCACGGTGTTGGCGAGAAACGGAACATGGGTCAAGGGCGAGCGAGAGCGAGTTTCCGGGGGCTAGGTCTCCGAAAGCCGATGTGGCTTGCGGAGTTGGGGGTCGCGTATGCACAAGGGTCACGAGAACGCTGCGTGGGGATGTGTGTATGGCAGGGGGGATGTAACTGACCATGGTGCGCGTCTGGCGGGCGATGTTGGAGATGGAACGGAGAGAGGTGCGGTTGATGAACATGATAATAAATCGAGGCGACGGGGCGGGCAGCGGTGTCAATATCGTACGAGGCAGATGCCGTGGGGGGATCGCGTCAGGGTCGGGGCTGGCGGCGGGGGATGGGGGGAGGGGGGGGGGATGGGTCGACGAGCGAGCGTACGATGGCTTGCGCGCGTGGCTTTGTTGATGAGTAAGGAGGAGGAGAGAGAGATGGGATGAGAAGAGATGCCAAAAGCGACTGGCCGTGTGGTCGACAGAATATAGGGGATGGGAGGATGCATACGCGCCCACTCACCGAGAGACGGAAGGTCCAAATGGCCCCCGGTCACTCGGCCGTCTCGCCTAATCTCCCACTGTCTGCGTTCCCACCCAGGCTCCGGCCGCTTGCATCAACCGGGCCACCGGAAGACGCTTGACCCGGTGCGAACAAAGCCGATCAAGTCAGAATTAACAGGTTGCTGCTGCTGCTGCTGCTGCTGCTACATACGCGAGAGAGCACAGGAGCACAGGAGCACAGGAGCATTCGTGGCCGCCCTGCATCAGGATCCAAGACAGTCAAGTCAGTCCAACACACTCTCTCGATCGAGTACAACTCTCAGCGGGGGCCGAGACCGTGGCAGCAACACATAGGCAGCAAGGCAAGGGTGTATTGTCTCTCATCACAACCGGCCTCCAGGCAGGCTTGTGGGTATGTGGTATACATGCGGATCGCGGTTGCCACAATAACTGCGGGCAACACAAGAGTAGAAAGAGATGGAGTAAGAGTAGGGAGTGTGTGTGTGTGTGTTGTAGAGATGGAAGGGGGGATGATGCTACGTCGACGCCGCCACCATGAGTGGCTTAGACGTACTTGCCGAAGAAGGGGATGAGCGACTGGGCAAGGGTGTACGAGAACACGAGCTTGGGGCCGACAACGAGGATCTGGGAAGACAGAGTCAGCACATGGCGTTGACATGATGGTGGCAGCAGTGCGTGTGGAGATGTAGCCCTCTGCAGTTTTCTCAAATGCGATGTGAGACGGCATGTGGCGCGGTATCGGCAATCGCGCTTTTGCGGGATCGCCACAATGGAAAAAAAAGATCAAACACGATACGGCAGTGTGTCACCTCTGACACAATGGAGCCGAACTTCTTTTGGCTACATCCACAAACTGCGCTTTTGGTACTCACCTTGGGAGTAAGACCCTTGAAGAACGAGGTGATACCCTCCTTGGCGACCATCTCGCGGATAATGGCAGCACCGCCGACGTTGGAGCCAAAGTTGGCGTTCTGGATACGGGTCTTGACGACGTCGAGGGGAGCGGCAACAGTGATCGAGGCGACGGCACCGGCAATCGAGGCAACGAAGTCTGGAGCGTAAGCGACGGTTTTCTATAGTAGAACTTACTCTGCGACCAGGTGGCCTGCGAGTAGTCGGAAAGGTGGAAGAGGTGCTCCTTGGTGAGAGCCGAGCCACCGAAGAGCTGCAACTGTCAGTTGTGTTCGCCTCGGGTAGAGAAAGCCTAAACTCACAGCGAACGAGCCGGGAGCGTTACGGGCCATGGTCCAGCCCCAGCCGCGGTAGAGCGAAGCGATACCCTCCTCGGTGATGAGCTTGACAATACCACGGCCCTTGAGAGCGTCGGGGTTGGTCTGCATCTTGATCTTGAGGACGTCAAGGGGGAGGAGGACAACCTCACCGATACCGGTGAGCCTGAACGTTAGTTCTGGGCTTTACGCAACGAGCAAGACGGCGCTGAGGACAATGGCCAAAGGCTGGGGTCCATGCCGTTGTCCTAGCGCGCCCTCGTGCCACTCACGAGCCGGCAGTGGCGTGCATCAGCATACCACCGGTCTTCTTGCCGAATGTGTCGCGGAACCAGCTACCAGAGTTGTTGTCGATAATGTCACGGAAGTACGGCTGGCCACCGAACTTGTAGACGCGCTGTGCAATCTTATAGCCCGCTGCGTATCCCAAGCCCGGCTTCAAGCTGTCAGAGCGTGTAGAAGAGTAACAATGGTAGACTTACGAAAAGAGAGATGAACTTCTTGAGGACAGGGGCGGTGGCAGCGTCCTTGAAGAGAACGGTGCTGAGGTTGCCCATGTTGACGTGGCCGCGGTTCGACATGAGACGCTTGGCGACAGTGTCAACGGGGTGGAAGACCATGAGCTCAGCGATACCTGATTGTCAGCTCCAGGTCACGCCAAAGGCAGCAAAGGAGGAGTCATTGCGATAGGCAAAGGAAGTGAAGGAAGTGACTTGTGCGATGAGACAGGTCTCCGACGCTGGTGCCGGGCCGTGCGCAAGCATTCTCAAGCATAATGCAAAGATGGAGAGCAGAAGCAGCAGGTGTAGATGTGTCCAACATGCTTTGCAGGTGTACACCGTCCTTTGCGGTTGAGGGAATCGCTTTTTGCTGCGGCCGGGCGTTTTGCTTTCCTTTGCCTTTTGATATGTGCACTCACCCGAAGTACCCGAGCCAAGGATACGGGCGGTGCCCGACTCCTTCTTGAAGTCGCCAGAGGGAGACATTTTTTTAGGTAGTAGTAGATGGGGGTGGAGAGAGGTTGAAAGAAGAGAGGGGGATGGGGGGGTATCGATGTCTACCCAAAGGCGGCGAGAGAGATGGAGGATGGCAACAAGCGATAACAAACCCGCATGTCCCCAATCAGGTCGTCCCCAGTGGGCCAACTTTTTCCCACCCAATACTAAACCGAGCCGCCGGCCCGTCCACGGAGTAATAGGTCCCTTTTGTAATGGATATTAGGAATGAACATTCTCCGCAACCGCCCGATATTTTCAGCCAGACTAATGAGTGGTAATCGCCAACACGCTGATCGTCCCCCCTTGGTCCATCCTGCCAGCACATGCATGCAGCCTCATGCACATGCTTCTCCAGACCTTGCATGTATCCGCAACTACTCTTTCCTATGCATAGTACCTATCCTTACCCCGCTGCATGCATCCCCGTATTCCCTCCTGCCGACCACCCCACCTGGGTGCCACCGACCGATTTGCCGTAAAACCCCGGGCGAGTGCCCCCGACGGGTCGCTGCCCAGTCCCCTGCAGCCCCCTCCGCCCCCCTCCGCTGGCGCTGGGCTGCTGCTACTCGTCGACGTTGGCTGAAGCAGTGACCACACCACCTCACCCCTCCTCCCCACTCCTCCTAAAATGTTCGCCACCGCCGCGCGCCGCTCGCTCTCGGGTCTCATCCCCCCCAAGATCGCCACCCCCGGCGCTCTCGTGCGTTTTCACCCCCGCGCGCGCCAGCCCACAACGGCGGCAGCAGCGGGTTGTTGAAGATGTTTCTTGTTTCTGACGCCGTCCCCCCCACAGTCGTCCGGCTCGACCTCGGCCCGTACCCAGTCGGTCGTCGACTTCTACTCCAAGCTCCCCAAGGGCCCCATCCCCGCCTCGGAGCAGGTCGGCGGTGTCCGCGGCAAGTTCTTCGAGGGCAAGAACGCCTCCGGGTTAGTGTTCTTGTTGCCAGGATCAAAGGTTGTTCGCGGGGTTCGAAAACGGCGTGGACAGAGGGGTTGTGTGCGATGGGGAGAAGAATGACAGCGACGTCCTGTCGCTGTGCGTTCTGGAGAGGCAGAGGCAGGTGGAGAGAGAGACCAAGAGAGTGGAGGAGCGCGTCATGGGCTGTCGGGACAGAGATTGGAGACACGATATCAGCGGAGCCAGTCTCGTCCGACACGTTCTCTACGACCTACAGCTCTCCCCCTCAATGCCATGGCGTGCTGGAGAACAGCGCAGAGGATCTACAGGCAGCCGACGCGCCGGCCCGTAGTGGCACCAGCCACTGCAATGTGCGGCCGACAAGGCACAACACCCAACCTCCTCCTCCTCCGCGAACATCCACGCCAACAACAACCTTCCCAACCTTCATCTCCTTCCTTCCGCCCATACGCTGACAACCTCGCAGCAAGCCCCTCCTTGCCACCATCTTCATCCTCTTCGGTGAGTTCACGCGCACGAGAGTGGCACTTGGGTTTGCGGATGGCCGGAGCGGAAGCAATTTGAGTGGCGGTGTGGCACTTCCACCTCCCACTCGATTCCTCCTCGTCATCTGCAACTCTTCTCCTCACCGACGACAAAGCTAACAGGTTAAGGCATCGGTTACACTATCGACTACCAGAGTGATTACGTAATCCCTCCAGGTTCACACGCTGGATGCTGGGGGGACTTGTCCGCGAGAGAACTACTGCTGACAACCGCCTCCTCTTCCCAACTCGAAAACGAACTTTGTTTTGATCTCTCTCCTCCTGGCGTGCTCTCACAGTGCACCTCAAGCACCACAAGAACGGCCACCACTAGAGGACTCCCGAGCTGGTCCATTCTTGAGGCTAGTGGCGAATGCATAAAGAATAAGCGTGATGCGCGTTGTGGACATTGCCACGGGATGGAGGACATGGCGATTTCGCGGATCCAAATTTATCCGTGTCTGGTTTCTTCTTACGTTCTACTACTGTTCTCGCCTGCTGCCGTCAACTTGGATAGATGATAACAATAGCCTTGGGCCAGCTGAAGGGAAAGGGAGTGTGCTGCCACACGCTCGCTGGCGAATGTTGGGACTGTGCATTGATCGCAAAGGCGCCACTACACAATCCATCCCCCAAGATCAACATCTAGAGCTTCTGGGGTCAGATACTGTTCTGCAGCGCAGGTACCTCCCCGTGCGTGAGCACCCTTGGGGAGAACAGTCTGGCTGAAAGCCAGAGTCGATACGCCGGGGAAGAGGCGTTAAGAGCACGCAACGAGGAAGGCACCCAGTCTGGGTTCTGTCCGTAGTGGGTGACGACGACGGGTGATCGCACATGCATGGCAACTGTCCCAAGTCTCGGCCTTTGCTTTCACCCCCACTGGATTTCAACCCCCACTGGATGTGACGGGAGGCTAGGGAGAAAGATTGGCGTCAGTGTTTGTGTGCACTGCCAACCAGTCGCTGCCATGTCGCTGCAAACCATATCGCTGTAAACCATATGCTCAGTGGTTGGACAAAATAAGGGATCCATGTCCCTGCGCGTTAATAGCAACTCATAGGCATAGTTAATCATGTTTAATGGCATTGGTAACCGCGGCATACCGCTCGTGTAAAGTATGTACGAGTGATGAGTTCTTTCGTTGGGTGGTATAAAGGCCATGCGGCGCCGGTTTGACATTTGCAGCGACCTCCAATCGAGGACCGAGACCGGGGAATCCCTGGGGTGGTGAGACGTTGGGGGGACTAAGCAATCTGGTCGTTCTCGTCATCGAGGAGGCTGGTGACGGCCGCGGCATGGGTCGACACCTCGGCGGCAGCGGCAGTACCGTTGGTGGTGGCAGCAGTGGGTGGATAGGGGGGACAACCCAGACAGGAACCTCCTGTTAAGTCAGCACACACAGATGAGTTTATTGACCCACGTCTGCGGCAAGCTCGAGCCGGGCAATGAGCTGTTTGAGGTCACCTGTAGAATCCACACCTCGCTCCTCGGCCATGACTCTCAGCTTGGTGACCACTTGCGATTCGCTGAGGGGCAGCGAGACGCCAAGGAGGGTGGCAAGCTGGGCGCGAGTGGGTGCCGCGCGGTGCTTGAAGCCTTGCTTCTTGGCTGCAGCGAGGAGTCCTGGTAGAGAGAAATCCACAATATTCAGTCCTGGAATAGTTGTCGATGCTACGTACGCGTCAACTTTATCCTGCCATTGAACTTACGGTACGACAAGCCCAAAGTACGGTTGTTGCGCCTCTCGACGCTGCCGTCGGTCTTCTGCACGAGCTTGGATGATGTGTCTCGGCCGTGTTGCGCGAGAGCCGAGAGGTCAAGCCCGTCCAGTTGGGTGTAGCGGGCCGGGCTGAGACGCCTGATGTGGGAATAGTTGAACGCCATCTGCGAACGTTTCAGCATTTTACACTGTGAGACACTCACGGTCTTCTGAGCAGCAGCCAACACTTGAGACGACGCCGCCGTGATGTGACCATTTACCCAAGAGAAGCCATCCCAGGCAAGGAGGGTGCGGGCAGTGACAAATATACCATGGAGCTGGACCCATCGTTGCTTACAGGCGTTTGCCTTGCGCGTAGGGATTGCAGTCCATAGGGCAGGTGATGCCCAGGCTTTGTCGAGCTTCTGGCCATGCTCGTCAAGGAAGGTCGAGACATGCGCGATAAGAGCCAGCTCTTCTGCCGTCGTCCAGTCCGTGGAGTTTAGACGGTTGGGTAGGGACTCCTTGCTTGTACATAGCTTGGCGCAGGGTTGGGAAGGAGTGGGAAGGAGCCGCCAAAAATAACTAAGAGCGGACTTATCCAGTCGCGATGCAGATAGCATGCGGCATTGAGGTGTACCGGGCTAAGCTGAGATGTCAGGTCTTGTTCGCACATGCCTTACTAACCTCCGCAGACGCAACTGCAGCAGCCCATTCGCTGTTTGTCGCCCCGACCTCACCAAGATCGGTCCATGCGAACGTGCTGCTCGCTCCGACGAGTGTGCGCAGATTCAGCAAGCCAGACTTGAGCTTCCCGAGCATGGCTTTGCATGCCGAGACAGTCTTCGTGAGACCCTGGACACGCTGCGTCTCCAGCGCCGCGATGATCTCATGCCACACGTCGTCGGTCCAGGCGGGTCCCGATCCCTTGGCCCTTGGCCTTGACAATCTTGACACCGTCATGCGACACCGTCATGCGACACAAGAACCGAGAGCAGCAGCTCGACATCCGACATTTCCCATTGACCTTGCTGGCGTCCGAGGTGGAGCTTGCTGATGAACCGGCGGCCACCGCACCATCATCGTTGTCCTCCTCGGTCTTGATCTTCCGCTTCTTGGCGGCGGGAACAGGAGTGGCCTCGAACGCCTCGCTATCGCCGTCGACTGAGCGAGCACGGCGCTTGCCCTTGGACTTGATGGGATCGTGGGCCTTGATACCCTTCTTCTCGGTCTCGCCAATGACGGCGCTCGTGCTAAGGTGGTGCTTAGTAGCGGCACCAGAGAGGGCCAAAGCAGTTTTGGCCCGTGACACATCGTGCGTTGGACTAGCGAAGAGAGCGTTGATCTTGTCGAACGTGGGTAGATACACCCAGCGAACAACAGCAAAGGGGCGCTTCTCGATTACTTGGCGAACACCTCCCCACGCCTCAGTGGTGCCGTCGACGCGGCAGGTCGCAGGGTTCCAGTTGATGCCCTCGAGCTGGATGACACGCGTGACGAGGTTGCGTTTTTTAACAAGGAACTTGAACACCTTTGCACAAACCTCAGGCGACTTGAACATGTCGGCACCGGGTGAGCGCGGGAGCGAGGCTGCAACGGCAGTGTAGTGGGCGGGTGTGAGTGCACCAATAGAGCTCATACCGTTCGCCAGGAGAGTGCCAATCCTGTCGAGGAGCGCGTCGACGTCGGCGGAGGTCCAGCCAGGAGCGAGATTGTGGTCGTGTTTGGCAGCAGCAGTGGCCACTGCAACCTCGCGCCGGTTGACGACGTCGAGGCCAAGCGAGAAGGTGGCGAGAATGGTGACGGCAGCGAGCTCGTTGGCGGTAAGCAGGCTCTGGTCAACGCCAGCGATGAAGCCGAAATAGTCAACAAAGGGCAGGGAAGAGGTGGCGCGAAGGCAAGCGGGGGACACGTTCTGGTTGGCCGCGGCCTCCCACAGCGCTGTCGACCCGACGGCGCGCTGGAGAATGGGGTCGAACCCAAACGCGTGATGTTGGAGGAGGCGGCGCACGCGGAGTAGTCACCGTGGAGCGTCTGCCACTTGAGCATGCACTGCTCGAGCGACTTTGGCTGGTCACCAACAGCGTTAACGGCCTTGACCACGGACGCCCATGCCCTCTCCGGGAACCGATACCTGTCTCCCCAGCGGGCGTTCTTCGCGAACGGTGCCAGCGTCTGCACCATCTCCTGGATCTCCTGCTCGATCCATCTCGCCTGGTCCTTGCGGCGCTGCTCGTGCGTCTTGCGGCGACCATCTTGGCCGCGGGTGTGTGTGGCGAAGTTGACCACTGTAAAAGTGGCAACGCTGGCCGAGGAGGAAGAACTGGAGACAACGGTCGCGGCGGGGAGGACGGGACGGAAGGAGGCAGGGCCGGTGCTTGCGAGCCTGTCGAGAGCGACACTCAGCTCAGCCGGAACAAGGAGGTCGGAGTCCACCATGCCCTTGACGGGGCCATTGTGGGAGGTGAAGAGCTGGAGCTTGTACCCCGGGACCGCGTTGAACTGGAGAAGAGACACGAACCGCTCGTCGGGGACGAAAGGGGGAAGGACGACTGGCTCGTCGAGGACACCTTGAGCGACGAGGACGTCGAGCACGCGTTGCGACGTCTGGTGGTGCTCGCCAATAAAGGGAATGAGGGCAGACAACGGGTACGAGAAGATTGCAAAGTTGGAACCGTGGCCCTCGGGGCGGACGTTGCAGGTGGCAGCGTTCCACTGGCAGAGGTCGGTCGGGAACGGGCTGGAGAAGCCAAAGTTCGCTGGCAAGCCGTGGCGGATGTGGGCCAGTGGGGACAGGAAGAGGGGGTGGGTCACGTCGGCGTCGAGCTCGTATGGCAGGTCAGTGTGGGGGTCGACCTCTCCAAAGACGGCAATGTTGATGACGATGATGGTGATGACGCAGATGGCGGACCCGTTGGGGTCATCCTCGTTGCCGTCGTCACACTCGTCCATCAATATGATGAGGATGCGGAGCGCCCATCGCAGCAGGTCCTCTGTCGCTGTAACCTCCTCGAAATATGCGGTTGGCATACCGTCCCCGTTACGCCGAAGCCGGCAGCCATCGACGATAAGTAATACTTGATAGCTTACCCTCCAACAGCGTCTTCCTCGTGGTCTGAATCATCCGTGACGAGCTCGGGGAGCCGCTGTCCTCGTCATCCTCTGGCTCGTCGTCAGAGACCCACTCGTTATCCTGGTTGTTGTGGTACGTGGTTTGTGGTTTGAAGAAGTGAAGTGAAGTAAAGTAAAGTAAGAAGAAAAAGAAGGAGTAAACACGCTGGTATGGGAATCGTGCCCCTTCCACGTCGATCCTCGACAATCCGCAGGTAAGCAATCGGACATTAGCCATTCCATTCACTGTCCCATACTTGCACTTCTTGGTAGCTGTGGAGCCACTTGGACCCTGTTAAGCCTGTCGTTCCAAGCGCAAAGGGTGCTCTACAGCCACCAAAAAAAGAAAGTATGGGACAGTGAATGGTCACTGTCCGGGTTACTTTTGTCATCAAAGGGGTACCTACAGTCGGTACTTACTGTACATCTTTGCAACAATGACATTATCTAACGTACTCGTTCGTGTGAACATTACTCTGCCTAGGCAGCAAATCCCAACATACGGCGGATTTCCACACCTTCGTAAACCACCCTCTCTTCATCAGTAGACGCTTGATCAAAGTCGATCAACCGGAACGTGTCTGGGTGTCGGAAGCGTACGTGGCGGACCTCGACGTCGCCGTGCGCCACGCCACGCGCATGTATTGTGTCAAACAGGCCGAGCACATGAGGGCTGCACATGTCAGCGAAGTCACGATGCGTGGCTGGAGACGTACCGGTCCAAGTCATGCACATCCTGCCATTCGTGCGCAATTGCGGAGCCCACATCCTCCATGACACTTAACCAAAGTGAATCCACGGCATCACCAGCCGCACCAGCACGACGGAACAGGCCAGCGTACGTGGGGACGACCTGGTGTAGATCCGCCAACGGGCCTCTATACATGGCGTCCTCGTTGGAAATACGCTCCAGAAGCTTGACAGGCGTAGTCTCGGGTGGGCAGTTGTACGACGGAATGCAGGCCTTGACAATAACGCTCATGTTGCCCGCGACCAGCGCAGGCTCGGTAGCGTGCAGGTCTGTTGGAAGATGTGGCCACGCGGTGGGGTCGAGTTCGACTCTGAAGCCCGCTCGGAGTGAATCAAATGTGCCATTGAGCGTCGCCGCAAACGTCGTCCACACGGAGCCGCTTCCTCGCAGCGCACCGAGTCGAAGGACTGGCTCGGTGTCAGGGTTGGAAGAAGGCAGTGACGCCGGATGAAACTGTCGGCAGAGTATAGCTGGGGCGGGGATGTGCGCTGTGATGGCAAACCAGGTGTCAAAGTCGACAGTTTGTTCTGTGATGGTGGGAACACCGTGGCGCGAGTGTTGCACCGGCAGTGGGGCTGGGGTACTACTCCGTGGAAGCGACTGCTGTCCCGAGACCGACTGAGAAACAGCTCCACTCGCGTCCTCAGAGCCGAATCGCAGGAATGTGATCGCCTTGTCTGCCCCGTCTGGGATTTCAGTGGCGATCGCGGTGGCAACGAGCGCGCCGGCGACGGTGAGAACAGGCAGGAAGCGGCCATCCTCCCGCTCAATGAGATCGCCCATGAGGAGTCGGTAGGGTGAAGCGAGGAAGAAAACGGCCATAGTGCTGGTGTTGTAAAGCAGCCCCCATCGACATTGGTAACGATGCAGCTGAACCCAGACCTATTTTGGTGTAAGCACGTTCACGAGTACCACGACTTACTTGAAGAGTGCCTTTGAGGGCATTGGGATGGAGCTGCGGGTGAGGAAGAACGGGAGTAGGAGACAGTGTTGTCGAACCAGGCGCGGCAGTGGCTGCAAACGAGAAGCCACTGTTCCCCAGTGCGGCTACACGCCTCAGTCCGGACAGTTGGGCGTTTGAGAGGACACCGTGCGTCATCCACTCGTTTACGGCCTTGGAGACGAGTTCATCCCTGTTGTTTCCTGTCACACACACCCAGTCTGTTACCCCCCGGTCCCCCTCTTGTCGTGCTCTCACCCAGCGGGGCGTAGAAGCCAGCACCTTGCCCGCGGCATACGTCGTGGTGTCAGCAAGGACGGCGTTGAGGGGCATGGCGAGGGTGGCAAGTGCCAGCGCCGACTGGTCATCCTCGTAGGCTAAAGGGGCCTTGTTGACTAGCTCAATGGACGACTCGGTGGTACGAAGGAACATGTCGAGGTTTGCCTGGCCCTCGCTTGTTGATGGCGGCGAGGACGCGATAGACTCCCGCAACGTCGTGGAAAGTGTGCTGGTGACCCCCTGGCTGAACTGCACCCGTATCTCGTGACCTTGAGGTATCAGGTCCGCCAGATCGATAGATTCAGTAGAATTTGGTCCATGGAAGAGAGGCAGACGGGTTGCTAGGAACTGGGGGCAGACATGCCTGTGTAGAGCGTCGCAAAGGGTTGTTGGCGTCGTGAGATATGGCGACCAGGACGGCTGAGCCCTGCGATCAAGTGCAGCTGTGAGCTCCACGATGGTCTCTTGTGATACGGCCGACGAATTGTTGAGTGCTTCCAGAACGGCTGCTCGCTGCTCGGGATGGATAGGCATGTTCGCATGTCGTTTTGGAGTGAGGACATATGCAAGAGGGGTTAAAGATCAAAATAACTCGGGCCGCCCTGCCCGAGTTCTAATGAGCGGCCGCTCTCTTGGTCAACACTGGCCGGTGTTTTAACGTGTTCGCCCTCCCGGATTCGAACTCTGACATTCCCAGGTGTGCAGAATCTGACAATCCAGGACCAACTTAGCCGGGAAGCTAACGAGGTTTCACTGACAGTAGAATTCCCGCAAGGGGATGTTCCTTCCGTTGACGGGACGGGCAATTCCGAACTGGCCGTCGGGTTCGGAATAGTCTAATTAGTTCTAATGTGCGAGATGAAGAGGATGCGGCAAACGCAGGACCGCAGCCGTACGCCGTACATTCGCGTTTTCCACCATGGGCAGGAGGCACATACGGTGGCCGGTGGCCACTGTACCACTGTGGGTGTGGGGGTCCGAGCTTTGCTTGGCGCGTCATTTGGCTTTCCCGCTTGACACCCGTAATAGAAAGGGACCATTGGGTTTGTGAAATGTCCGACATGCCCTTTGTGTCCATTTCTCATCTCTCTCGCAAGGCTATCTCTGTGTCTCTCACCGTCGCTCGTTTACCCATACCCTCGCTCTTGCTCAACCCGATATGGCACCCACACCTCCTGCCAAGCCCGTCGTCGCCCTCATCCTCGGTAAGTAGAAAAAAAAGTTTGGTCCAGCCGTGACCCGCTGGCGGGGCCCTTAGCTAACATCATTAAGGCGGCACGAACAACATTGCCCGTACGCTGGCAAAGTACCTCATCGAAGGCGAGCCAAAGGCGCAGGTAAGCTCCAAGACGAAAACTGATGGGCTTAGCTGATCGCTGACCATCACCAGTTTGTTCGTCTAGGTGCGTAGAGCTCCCCGAGCCTTTGTCCCCAGCCCAACACCGATGCCGCTCGCACTGTGTTCATCGCCGGCCACCTGCCCCGGCCAGGGAGCGCCGTCAGGAACTCCTCCACCGGCCACCTTGTCGTCCTCCACCTCTCCCCGCAACGTTGCATTCGGCCATCATGCAGAGCATGCACTGACGCACACAGCCGACCGGTTCAGCGTCAAGCCGGCCACGACGTGAGTTTCTCGGACTGGGAGAGAGCGGGTGTGAAGGACGGAGCGCATCGGAGCTCGCCGGCGCCCGGAGGCAACATGCACATGCCGCAGCCAGGCCACGATGTCACAGGAGGCGCGCACTGTCCTTTGGCCTGGCGCACCAGGCGGTCCTGGTAACTGCCAGTTATAACCGGGGCGACGGTCGATCACTTGGTCCGATGGCGGGTCGCCGAGGAGCGCCGCTGCTCCTTGGTTACCCTTGCGCGGCGCCGTTGTCGGCGGTGGGACACGACTGGCGACTGGGCTGGCCGCCCTCTCAGCCGCAATAGGCTGTGTGGCCCGGGTCTCGTGTTCTGCATCACTACCTGGCGACCGGGGTCAGCGGGGGCGCGGCGGCGGCGCGGCGGGTGTGCACAAACCCTGTGTTGGGACTTTCCGGCCTCGGCCTCGGAATGCGAATCCGCAGAGTGCAGATAAGGAGCTGACCACTTCTAGGTATATTGACGCAGCATTCCTCGCCCTCCTGGATGCTCCTGAAGCCGAAGCCAAGCTCGAGTACCGCCAGGTCAACCTTGCTGTTGTTGAGCGTCATGCGGATGTGTTCACTCCTCCTGCTCAGTGGGGCGGCGCCGAGACAGGATGGACGCGCTTTGACGTCGTGTTTGACCTGACAGGAGAGACGGGCTTTGACAAGCCTGAATTGGTGGGTTGACAACAAATCAAACCCCGCTCCTGACGCCCGCCCAGCTCCAAATCTCCAACACGTACCAGATGGCCCTTGCCCTCGCGACGTCGGCGTCCAAGCTGTCAGACGAGCGCAAGCCAACAGCCTACGTCCGCCTGCAGCAGCCCTACTACGAGATGAAGTCGCCGTCGTCCTCATCGTCATCGCAGGGCCACAGCGAATCGGACAAGCTGAAGCCTGACGGAGTCCGTGGTCGGTGGTGGCAGGAGACGCTCCGTGGCGTCGCCGCCGTGGAGGGTCTCAACTTTGGCATTGTGAGGTCGTCGGCGTGGTACGGTCCCGGAACATGGGATGCCGAGGTCGTCCCCCGTCTCGTCGCTGGTCACGTCTACCAGTATCTGGAGGAGGAGATGAAGTTCTTGTACAAGTGGGTTTACCTTGCCGGCCTCATCCCATCTAACCCTCCAGCTCGGACCTGAGGATCGACACTGTGCACACCGTCGACGTCGCCCAGGCGCTGTACCGCACCGCGCTGTGGCTCTCGCAGACCCCGCGCGCACAGGTGCTCAAGGAAGCTGGTGTCGAGCTCGCCTTCCCTTTTGCCCAACCAAGTAGCTCTGGCTTCCTCGGCCTCGGCAAGCGTGCCAGTTCGTCCCCCGATACATGGAAGACTGTCCAGACCGTGGTCCCTGAAAACACCAAGGTCGTTGCGCCAATGTTCAACATTCGCGACGATGGCGCCAGCACACAGGAAAGTCTGGCCAAGTGTGTGGCGGAGGTGTGGGGCATCAAGTTTGGGTTCATGAGCTCGACTGTCGTGTTGCTGGTGGAGAAGTTTGCAAAGGTGAGTAAAAGCGGATGGATGGCCGGGGAGCTGACAGCCCACAGACCGACTTTAATGAAATGGTCGAGGACGTGAACGAAAAGGTACGTGGTCTCGCTCCACTCTCCATCTGACAGCGCAGCACGTCGAGGCGTGGTCGCAGATGCTCGCAAAGTCCAACCCGCCCATCATCTCGACCCCCATCTCGCCCTTCCTCGATGCGCATGCTTTCCGCAGTGAGTACGACAGTTAATCTGGACGACCGCCAAGACCCAGGCTTTGGGTATGGCTGCGCGCCAACGTCATGCGGGGATAATGACTGCGGTTTTCTGGAATCGTTCTGGAATCGTATGCTGACAGGCCCAGAAATGGCCATTTGTCTTGACGACTCAAAGGCACGCAAGTTGCTGGGATTCAAGCCCACTAAAGCGCGTGTGACTGCCAACGAACTGCGGGTAATCGCCCAGGGATTCCAGAAGGATGAGATTTGGTGAGTCTTGAGCGTATCCTGTTAGGGTCCCTGGCCCAGTGTGTGGAATGTGAGCTGGGGGTGTGGATGTATGGAGAGGAGGTGAAGGTTTCTCAGCACGCCAAGGCATGCGAGTGCGGACAGAACGAGCGCGCATGCTTGGCGTTTGTCGTTTGTCTTTCCGTGCGTGAAGCCAAGCATATGAGAAACGAGCGCAGCTCGCAGTCGTGTGAAGTGGGCAAGGAGCGACACCACAGAAAAAACCGTGCTGACTCGGTCCTAGGCCTACTGTTGACTTGTGTATTTGGGCCGGTGCGAGGCCATAGGCGCCATAGAGAAGGGACACTAGAGAACCTAGACTGTGAGGGGGCATGAAAGGGGGGAGAGAGGGGATTTCTTTTCTTATTTTTGCATGCATCAGGCCATCAGGAGAGATGGCATTGAAGGACGTGTTTGGGGTTGGGCTTTCAAGGCCAGGGGCATTTCTGGATCTCTGGGTCTCTCTGGGACCAGTCGCAGCAAGCTAGCAAAGCCAGCACGCCTGATTGCTCCCTTCAAATGATCCAAACCCGCCAACGGCAAATGGCACTACTCTCTCTGTCGGGTACGCGGTGTTGCCGTCCGGGGCATGCAGAAAACAAGCTTTCTTCTCGGACCGCGTCTTCCGATCGGACGGCGCCGTGTCTCGTCGAGTGTGTCGGATAATGGGCCATATGCTGCTGCAGGCAGACGCGTGGGGCCGTGGCTGAGACTTGGGTTGTTCCTAGTAGACTTCTGTGCCTGAACCTTTCACTGTTGCGGGGCGGGGGGGGGGGACGTCCAAGCGCACACAACCCACCAAAAGAGAGCAATCACGGACGGTTTCATCCATCCTTCGATCCTTCCTCTTCACTCTCTCACCCACTCTCTCTCTCTCTCTCTCTCTCGTCATCGCCCTCCTCCTTCTCCCTCCCCTCTATCAGTCGACGTCGTCTCACACTCTCTTTACACCCCCCGTTTCTAGTCCTCGCCCTCCCTCGTTGTCCCCTCTCCTCCCGGTCTCTATCGCCCATTTAACCTTGTCACTCTCGCATGCTCTAACGCCCTTCCTACTGTCGTCCACCATGGCCACACACTACCCACGGTCCCCCATCGATGTTGTGATCGGCGACACCACCATCAACCTCTTTGGCAGCTCTACAACAACCACTTCGTCAGCGGTCGTCAGCTCGACGACAACGTCATCGACCACCACGCCCGCCGTCGCCGCTTCTTCGTCCTCGAGCGCCGCACCGGCCGACAAGTCGAGCTCGGCAGCGGTCAAGGTCTCTTCCACGCACGCCGTGTCGCCCGTCGTCGCTTCAGCAGCGGTGAACTCTGCCTCTGCGCAAGCCTCGACGTCGAACCCCGTGGCAGCCGTTTCGTCCAACCCACCACCCGCATCCTCGACCGATGCCCCTGTGGCGTCGACACCAACAAACGAGGCACCCTCAGCCACCGAGCCAACAGCTTCGGACGACCACGCGACCCAAGTCACCAACACGGTCTATGAAGCGTCCTCGTCCTCGTCGGCAGCGGCTGCATCGGCGCCGGCCCCCAGCTCGTCGGACCTCAGCACGCCTGGCATGGTCGGCATCATCATCGGCTGCGTGGTGGCACTCATGCTCCTCCTCTCTGCATGCTTCTTTATTGCCAAGATGCGCAAGCGCAGCGACCGCAAGGCCCTCGCAGATGACGCTCTTGACGGCATGGGTGGTGTAGAGTGGGGCCGGCGTGCTTCGCGCCGCCTGTCCCACACAGGGTATGCCTCCACGCACCACGATCACATTGATGATACCCTCGAGCCACTCGAGGCGTTTGCGACACCGCACGGGTACGACATTACGCGTCCAGAGGCACGCGACAGTGTCCAGATGCAGATGTATGGCGCTCACGTTCAACCTGGCCACCATGGTTCAGGCGCGCTCTTCGCACCACCTCACGCGCCGTTTGGTGGATACCGAGGTAACGACCGCTCGTCGGGATGGACCGACAATTCAGAGATGGATGCGTTTGCCGAACGCGGCTCGACGATTGCACGCACCGCCTCGACAGTGACGCGCGGCAACTCGGAGTACGACCTTGAGCGCGACCCGGGCATGGTCATGATGCAGGCGCCTGGACCTGCCTTCCACACACACACCAGCTCGCCGTCCAACGGTACGTTTGGTCGTTCATCACCCTACACTCCTCGTGCACCGGCACCCTACAACCCCTATGCGCCGGCAGCAGGCAGCGTCCTCTCCGTGGCATCGGGCAACTCGTATCCCTCAGCTATTGCCAACACGGCCATGGCACCGTCGCCACTCGCGACCCAGGCGTCGCGCGGCTCTGCTTACGACAACAACCGCGCTCAGTCTGTGTACGACTCGCGTGGATCCACCTATGACACGTACGAGGCGTACCATTCGGCGGCAGACAACAGTGGCCGTGGCCAGTCATACTACGAGACCGATGCGGCTGTAGCTGCAGGTGGTCGCATCCCGGCTCCTCGTCTCCTGGTCGACACCAAGCAGGCGATTTCTCAATACGAGGACTCGCCCTCGGGAGCAGGACCTTCTGCAGCTCGCCCGCCGACCGCCATGTCCGTCCACAGCGTGCATGGCGCCCGCGGCACCGGAGCCGCTACCCCGCCCACTCCCGTGGCCTCGTCGCCTGCCTCGACACTCAGTGGAGCCTCGGTCGTGCGCCCGCTCGTCTCGAACAGGCAGCAGAGCATGTACGTGATGGACAACGAGGAGCTGGCCGACTCGCCCATCCAGCAATCTGGAGCCAGCGGCCGTCCCGCGACCATTGTCATGCACGCCGACTCTGGCATGGCTTTCGAGGACGCCGAGCCGCACACCGACCAGGAGGGCAACCTCCACTTGCCACCAGCGTACGGCGACATTTACGGCCCGCCTGAACCTGAGCGCAGGTAGTTTCGGTGGGCATGTTCAGCCCAACTGCACGAGCCCCACAGCTCAGGCCGCTGGCGTCCTGGTCTCCGCTTGCGCTCCCATGTCGTTGTGTGTTTGAAGCTCCTTCCTGCATGCGCTGCGCGCTAGACGCTGTCCTTTCTTACACCTGAACGCCTAGGGGTGGCTGGCCGGCGCCGGCGCCACCGCACAAACCTCCCCTCCGCTCCCTTACAACCTCCCTGCTCCGCACCACCATACACGAACCCACCAAGCTCCACGCTCGACATGATTTAGCATGTACGCCTCCCCCCGACCGCATCCGACAACTTGGCGCAGTGCGCCAGCGCAGAGCGCACCACTCCCTGGGCCTTTGGACTACTATACGCACCACTTCACCCCTTTTTACCTTACTACTCCGGACAGCTACCTTGTCCTTATTGTTGCCTTACACTCCCCCACTCTCCCACACCGCTTCGTGGACCATGCGCCTGCGCAACCCCCACCTGTGAGAGCTCACGACCCGTCGACGACTCCCCAAACCACCACACACATAACTGAGCCACATTCATTACCACACGCACCTGTCTCCCTTGGCCTATTTTCAGCCGCTTCCCAACAACAACCCACCAACCTACAGCCTACCTTTTCAAGTTTCTTCTGTACGATGAAAGAGAGAATTGCGCCGCCGCCGCCCGATTTCGCGGGACTGGATCCCGCGCGTGCGTGTGTGTGTGTGCAAAAGAGGTGCAAGGCACTGTGCAGCCATACACGCGAATGCATTGCCGATGGCTCATGTAAAAAAAAAAAACAAAAACAAATGAGCTCATTCTGCCAGGTATTTACGGGGACTGATTACTAATTTGGATCGCTGGAACCCCACGCGTCGTGTGATCGAGCTGGTGCCAGAGAGGCACCCGTGCCATCCCCTCATCAATGTCATTTCGTCTGCACGACCGACGGCTCTCCGCAGGCGAGTGCGAGCTGCAAGGGGGGGGGGGGGGGGGGGGAGCATGCTCTCAGCTCTCGGACAGCGCTCAAACAGCTGGGGAGGGAGGAACAAGGGAAACCAAAAGCAACCGGGGGGGGGGGGGGGCTGAAGTATGAGGGGAAAAGGAGCTAAAAGATCAAACGGCGCGGTGTTTCCCGTCCTCACAAATGGCTTTTCGCAATTTGGCACACAACCCACGGCCCTGCACGCGTGTGGTCGTGTAAGCCCCATACGCAGTGGGTCCAGTGACACGGAGGATGTAACACATGGGGCGAGCTGTGGGGCTGCAGGGAGAGGGAGACGATCTTCTTTTTTGGACAACAGAAACGGCGTCCTGTATACGTCAGTGCGCAGTGCGGGCCGATCCACCACAATGTGTGCGTTTCGAGTGTGATCTGTGACGCACGAAGCACCGTGTGGGCCGTGGACCGTGGAGGTGTCTGGCGCTGTGGAGGCCCAGCACCAAGTGCGTCGTATGTCTAGTGTGTGTGAAGCGTGATGCCAACCGTGCGGCCCGGTTAGTGGCTGTGGGATGGGTCGTGTGGCTCGCTGGCATCCAGTGCTGTCGGGCCGTCGTTCCGCAAACTTCGCCAGCTCGCCGGATGGGGGTGGGGGTGTTGGGACGCAGTGAGAATCGATCGCCAACGCGTGACGGACCCTACGAAAACACACTATGCCGGCGATAATTCGAGTGCGGTTCACGTTGGTTGTTTCTCCCGAGGGCTGACAACGCACTATTGGAGTTTTCAGAGGTGAAAAGTGGAGGAATACTTGGTTAGCAGCATACAGCCTGGACGGCACGCCGAGATGACCGCAAGAGAGACCCGGCATGCTCTCGTCACGGCGATCAGCGCAACCACACACTCTCCACGTCCTGTGGTGGGCCACAAGCTGGGTTGCTGGTTCGCCGCTAAAGTTATGAAGCTGAAGCCCAGGAGGCCAGAGGAAACGCGCATCTGCCAAACCCCGACAACAGCGCCGACGACGACCTCAAAGCAGCAGAGGGGTATGCAATACATATGATAAAGAGAATCTACACCACCTGGAGACGTCAGCTTCGGCTGTGTACCATACTTGTTAAGCAGACACTCACCTTGGGCGCAAGAGACAGGATCTTGCTCCAGCGGCCGTTGGCGTCGGTACCGCCGACAGAGTCACGGAGCGCGGCCGAGACCACACCGCTGACACGGGTGCCCATCATCTCGCCCTTGTTGTTGAGCAGGACACAGGCGTTGTCGTCAAAGCTGGTGGGTGTTAGTGGGAGGGAGACTTGTAAAGGGGAGAGGGACGGTGAGGGAGCAGGAGGGTTCTGGCGGCGGGCATCCCATAGGGCGGACAGAGAAAAACAACGCAAGACAGTGTCTGCTGTGCTCATGTGTGCGACCGACACAGCAGTCTCTCTCCCGTCCTCAATCTCGACCGATAACGTTTCGTGCCAGACTTTGCCGTTGGCATAGGTCATGGGGCGGACATGTACTCCCCTTCCCAAAGACCAGCCCTCGCGTCTCCAGCCCTGCAGCGTGCACATCCCTCCCAAGGCCAATTCCAACTCACCGAACAACACGGCCATCGGCGCGCATAATGGGCTGCTTGGTGCGGACAATGACGGCACGACGGACGTCACCGCGGCGGACCTTCTGCACGTTGGATGCGCCACCGGGGTTGCTGGTCTGGGTAATGGGACGAGCGCGGTTGATAACGCAGACAATCTCGTCACCTGGAAGTGTTAGCAGACGGGACGAGAAACAGGGGTGCGGCGAGGGAAGGTCATGTCGGAGAACGAGATGGTGGGGTTGTACGAGGACGGTGGTTGCGTTGCCAAGCCTCCGCAAAACCTCCATGGTTACCCCAGCATGAATGTCCTGGCGTCCCAGAAACAAACGTGGAACAGCGCATCCCGTTACTCGCGCTGACGAGCCCACGGTTCTCAGGCATGGTCAAGTTGAGACCACCAACATCCCTCGGATCTACCCGGACTCTTTCGCTTCAACCCAACAACACTCACCAACAGTGCCGAAACCGGTCGACTTCTTCTTGCTCTTAACCTTGAGCACGTTAATGCACTCGGCAATGAGGGCGCCAGAGTTGTCAATGACCTGGGGGAATCAGACAGTCGTTCACACGAAAGACAAGGACTCGGGTTGGTCCTTGACGCGGGCGGCTCACGTTGAGACGTCCCTTGAGGCCGATCATGGCGACGGAATCGGGGGGGAGGAAAGGCGGAGGGGGAGGGGGATGGTCACGCTGGGGACCGTGTCGCTGTCGACGTCGTGTGTGTGGTGGTGCTCGCTGTCGGACGACGATGAGCTCGTTGAATCGTTGAATACCACAGCGTATGTCGAGGGCCGACTTTTCGCCGGTCCAGGCTTGCCATGTGGTTTAACGGAAGCATTTTGTTGATGCCCCGGTGCCTGTCTCCAGGTGGTCATGCCAACTCGCGTCCACTCGCAACACACCTTGCAACTCATTTCTCACCATCACTCACTATCCATTCCGCCATCGCTTATGCCTCCGCCGTTCAAGTCATCCCATCCGCTGTTGGTGTGGCCGCGCAGCGATGGCGATCCTTCAACATTTCCTAAGGAGGGTCCGGTCGGCAACCCAACTGGTTGGTGGGAGAAGCTGCCTCTTGAGTGAGTGATGACGACGGGGGCGTGTCTTGGTACCATAATACACCCTTCCCTCCCTCATCCAATGTAATCTACACATCCTTGCACCCAGTTTGCAAGATTGCGTCTACCGCTTGGCACGCAGCTGATCGTCATACTAGCCACGCGAAATACAAACTCTATCGCACCAAAATCGGCGCCTACCTAGCCAGCGAGGTCTACCAGCTTCCTGGCCATGGTGAGTGTCATTGCTTGGAAGGTGTGGCTGACACGAACAGTCTCCAAAGACGCCTTCATTGATATGCCCGAGAAATACGCGCTCTTCAGCTTTTACAAACCTCAAGAGGGACGTTCAGTACGCGAGGACACATACCTCTTTGTGAGTCCCAACACCATCAGCGGCGACTAACGGCAGGGCTCTGTCCACGTCCACAAGTTCCGCGCGACGCCAGAGTTTGAGGAGCATGCGAGGTGGTTGATGGACACTTCGCTGCCTCTCAATGACCACAGCCAGGTATGTGTCGTTGCGTCTTGGGGCGTACGCTGACGACCAGTGTGGGTGCAAGTGGAACCCAAAATCCGACATTGCCAAAGCCAAGCGTGCAGCTAGCGCTGCTAACAATGGTGGAGGTGCTGGCGGTGCTGGAGCCGCTGCTGGCCCCTTGAAGAAGCGTAGCACGAGTGTGGACCGTGAGCCTAAAAGGCCCCGCAACACCGAAATGGACGACTACGACGGTGTCGTCACTGAGCGCGCCATTGATATTCGCACCAAGCGCCGTTTCCGCAAGGGCGAGTTGGTCTTCTTCCGCATCAAGACCATCCCGGCTCCCTCTGGCACCAACCTACCTGACATTACACACTGGCCCGGTCTCGTTTCGTCTGTCACCTCAAAGTCCGACGTCGTCCGCAATGGTACCGACGCTGCGGCATCTGCCTCCGTGGCTTGGTCCATGGCGGGCGGTGCTGCGCCCCCGACGCTCCAAAAGGAAACGGTCAAGGTTTCCTACCGGCACGCTATCCGCGCGCTCGGCATGTTCTCGAACTCGTACGAGGTGACCGACGTCGACACTGCCGACATTCTTCCTTGGGCGGTTGGACCAGAGCTCCTGGGCGGACCCGAGGGCTGGGACAAGATCGGACAAGAGTCCGAGCGCACGCTTGTCGAGGGCGTCCAGCGCGAGGCCAAACTGGATGCTCCCAAGGTAGAGGACCTGTCGGGCCCCAAGCTTGAGGAGAGATGGAAGAGGAGGTGGGGTGAGCGGATCAAGTTCCCTGACATGCCCGCCAACTGGGAAGCGGCAGTGCTGCGCCTGGGTGTAGCGATTAGGACTGCCAAGGTAAGGCTCATTGGTTTGTGGGGTTACTGACGCCCCCAGAACATTGCCGGTTCGTGGTCGCAGACTGACAAGATTGAGGTTGTTCCACACAACTCGATCATGTCTGCCGAAGACGTCGAGGCAATTCAAAACCGGAAGAAGACGCTCTTCCAGGGCCTGTGGTTGCAGGGCGAGCGCATTTGGCTGGATGACATGGTGATCCTCCGCAAGCACCGCTCGTCTCTTCCTGTGGGCCCCCTCCTTGCACCCAGTCCTGGGTCCGAAAACCGCGCCGTCGTCCTGCACATTCGGTGCATCTGCCTCGAGATTTACCAAGACGAACAACCGGCGGCGCAAGTTGACGCGGACAACTGGCGCTGTCTTCTTTACGGCGACATTTACGAATTGTCGTCCACCCCGGTTGACGACCAGCCCGAGCTCCCCGAGAAGCCACCCGCAGGTCTCTACTTCCGCCGCCTCAACGACTCGGGTAGTGAAGTCACACTCGATGTGTTCGATGTCGTTGGCCGTACTTACCCCGACCTGTTGGACAAGGACGCGGGCTACTTCTGTCCTCCCACCACGACCGACCGCAAGGGCCGTGTCCCAGCTGGAGAGCGCGTGACGGGCCTTCTCGGTCTCCACCCAGGATCGGACGTCGAGGCCTACGCCACTGTTTGGAAGGGTAAAGATCGCCTGCTATCACTCCTCAAGCTGACTCCAGACGACCTGTATGTAATGGTCAGGGACGCCACCTCCATGGCCGAACAGCAAGTTCGCGAGCACTACGCCAGCTGCTTGCGTGTTGCTCTTGGATACCCTCTCCCATCTCCGACCTCGACCCAGAACCCGACGCAAAAGTCCAATGGCGGCACCTGATGTGCAGCAGCCGCGTGTGTAGTATGTAAAGGAGATTTGAGGCGTCGCGAAGGAGTAATAGTTGTGAGGACAAGGATGAATGGCCGTGTGGCTCAAACCAAACACAAGAGTACTCGTGACCTGTGCCCTGTAACCGTCCAGCATGGTCAGTTGGATTGAGTGCAGAGGGATAAAGACAAACAAATGCCAATTAATGCGCGCGATTATGCCACTAATGCGCAAAGGTGTAGGCGTTGGATGTCAATGCGTCTCGCCACCCGGGACGATTCAACACCACGTTTTCGTCCCTTCAACGGCATGGCCTCTTCGACCTAACAATGTACTCTGCAGAAATGCACAGTGCACCACCACAATCCAGTGCATAGGCCTCTCCGTACAGCCACCATTCCCTGTGTGCTGTATACATATGCTTTGGGCTATAGCCAGCACACAGACCAGGAGCCATGGGCCTGGCGTGGACATTGTTGGCTTGTGGACGGAAGCATACCCCACCGGCTATGACGCACGATTGACCGGCGTGCACCCACTCACCCCCGCTTTCACTTTCCCGCGTGTGTGGTTGAAGTGGACGTCTCATTCCATCTCGTGTCAATCAATTGCACATTTCATCCAACGCACACTGGCACGCCGAGCGACCTCGCGAACCAATGTCCACAACAAACCTCGCCCGCAAGGGCGGCGGAGTGGGCGCAGCGACAGTGGCAGCGTCGACGGCAGCGGCAAGACTCAAGGCCCGCGTCCAGCCGCGACTCCGCAGCGCGCTCGACACATACCTCTCGCATCGAAAGGGAGTGCAAAAGGCCTTGACTGTGGGGTTTGTGATATACTGCGTGTTTGGCGCAGTGTATAACATCTCGGGCAAGGGACCGAACAACAAGGATGACCTCAACAACACGGGACGAGGCAAGCGGGGTAAAGGCAAGCACGCCGGGAAACCCAGAGTGTCCGCGTCCGACCCAGTGTTCCACGCCCGCCTCAAGAAGCTTCTCCGCATCGTCATCCCGGGGATCCGGTCGCGCGAGGCCGCCATGCTGGCGGTGCACTCGTGTTTCCTGCTCGCGCGTACTGCCCTGTCGCTCTACGTCGCCGACCTCGACGGAAGGTAGGTTAGCAGGGCTGATGTGAACACTAACCGGCAGGATCGTGTCCTCGCTCGTCACTGCACAGCCGCGTCTGTTCCTCAAGAACCTTCTGCGCTGGTGTGCCATCGCCATCCCGGCGACGTACACAAACTCCATGCTTGGGTACCTCCAGAACGAGCTCAGCCTCGCTTACCGTACTCGGTCAGTTCTCGTAACTCGCATCGGACCCGCCTGAACTGACGCCTGTGACAGACTCTCCAAGCACGTCCTCACAGAGTACCTGGATACGGAAAACTCGAATGGCGAGGACGAAAAGCTCTACTACAAGCTGGCCAACCTCGACGACCGCATCAAGAATGCCGACCAGTACATGACGGTCGATATCCAGCAGTTCTGCAACAAGCTCGCTGAGATTTACTCCAACATTGCCAAGCCCGTGCTGGACGTCATCCTCTACAACTACCAACTGTCGCGCAACGTCGGTGCCGAGGGTCTGGTCGTTCTCACTTTCCTCGTGCAGTCGTCGGCGGTCATTTTGAAGGCCATGACCCCTCCGTTTGGCGAGTACGCCGCGCACGAGGCCAAGCTCGAGGGCGAGCTGCGTTTCACCCACTCTCGTCTGTTGGAAAACTCGGAGGAGGTTGCCTTCTACCACGGCGAGGAGTTTGAGAAGAATGTCATTGAGCGCGGGTACTTTGCGCTCATCAAACACGCCAACCGCGTCCTCCAGACCCGCGTCTGGCACGGCATGGCCGAGGAGGGTGTCATCAAGTGGGCGTGGGGAAGCTTTGGCCTTGTGGTCTGCGCCATTCCCGTCTTCCTCGGCGGCGCGCTCGGTCTCAGCACCGGCGACCTCGGCAGCCGTACCGAGGGCTTTGTCACGAACCGTCGCCTCCTCCTGTCCTCGAGCGACGCGTTCGGCCGCGTCATGTATTCGTACAAGGAGCTCGCAGAGCTGGCTGGCTACACGGCCCGTGTGTCTGACCTCTTGGACGCCATGGACGACGTCAAGGCCGGCAAGTACCAGAAGAAGCTGGTCAGCAGCGCCAGCACCGAGGAGAACGCCAAGATGCTCGCGACCCGTGGCCAGATTATCGAGTCGGACGAGATCCGCTTCGACCGCGTGCCCCTCATCTCGCCCAACGGCGACGTGCTTATCAAGTCGATGAGCTTCAACGTCGAGCCCGGAAAGCACCTCCTTGTCGTTGGCCCCAACGGTTGTGGCAAGTCGTCGCTCTTCCGTATCCTCGGCGGCCTGTGGCCCGTCTACGGCGGCATCGTGTACAAGCCCCGCGAGAAGGAGTTTACGTACATCCCCCAGCGCCCCTACCTCTGCACCGGCACGCTCCGCGACCAGATCATCTACCCGGACGCGCACGTCAACATGCTCGCCAAGGGCATCACCGACGACGACCTCACGGCCATGCTCAAGGTGGTCGACATGGACCACATTGTCGAGCGCGAGGGCGGGTGGGAGGCTGTGCGCGAGTGGCGCGACGCGCTCTCTGGCGGCGACAAGCAGCGTATCGCCATGGCCCGCCTCTTCTACCACAAGCCCAAGTACGCCATTCTTGACGAGTGCACGTCGGCCGTCACGCTCGACATTGAAAAGGTGTTTTACGAGTACGCGACCGAGCTGGGCATCACGCTCATGACCGTGTCCCACCGCCCGTCGCTGTGGAAGTACCACAGCATGGTGCTCCAGTACGACGGCCAGGGCGGATACATCTTCACTGAGCTCGACGCGGAGAAGCGCCTCGCCCTGCAGGAGGAGAAGCAGGACCTCGAGCACCGTCTCCTCGAAGTGCCCCGCCTCAAGGCGCGCCTCGAGGAGCTCAAGAACATCAAGGCTCACCGCGAGCGGTTCGGTGGCGCGCTCCAGGTCCCTGCAGCCCCCGCGGCGTAGCGGAGAAGGAAACACTGCCACCGCTCTCGCAGACCCGGGACTACGCGTCTGGCTGGCTGTTGTACACACGTAGACGTCGATAGTTGATACATTACGCATCGTTGTGAGACCCATGAGACCCATGAGACCCATGAGACACATGCCCTTGCCCCATCTGACGGTGGCCCGCGCAGCTACGTCCAACTATCTGTCTGTGTGCCTTCCGGTATCCACCCCCGGCTCCCGTCGCGTACACTGTCCACTTGATCTCAGCCATGTCTATCGTGCAAATGCACATCTGCCAGTCAGCTTTGTGCTGTGGAAGACGCTCAGCTGACGCGGTAACGAGCATTTTTGGCGATTATTTACCGCCCGCGACGACAGTACTCACCCCCAAATGTACGGTCCCATGCTATCATGTCATGCAAAATCTGTCTTCCTGCTGGGTCAGCTACATCCTTGAGCAATCAACCCACCCAACGCAAAATCGTCCCTCTCTAGGCGCTGACGGCGCTCTTGCGGATACGGATGGGGCCCTCCACCTTGTCGCCGACGGCAATGACCTTGCCCTTGTCGTCGCCGATCGCCTGCAGGACCACCACACGGCCCTCCTTGGCCTCGTCCCACACCACCGCGTTGGTGGCGGGAATCAGCACCGTCCAGTCCGGGTACGCCTCGGCGTCGGCGGCCGCGAGCGCGCGGGGCACGCGCGAGGGGCAGATGGTCGCGTCGTCGGCCAAGGGAGCGAGCAGCTCGGCGAGCGCGGCGCGCAGGGCGGCCGTGAGCTCGGGGTCGGCGGTGACGGCGGGCACGGGCGCGGCAGAAGCGGTACGCAGGGCGTGCACGCGACCCTTCTGGCGTGCGCGGCGGCGCGAGCCAGTGCCAGCAGCGCCGGCGCTGGCGACAAGCGCGGGCGCGGGCGACGCCGAGCGCGAGTGCGAGCGCTGCTGCTTCTTGCCGCTGGCCGGGGTGGCGGCGGCCGAGGCGGTGGCCTTGGTAGGCGTCGCGGGGACCTCTGAGGCGGCACGGCTTCCTGCGCGGGTGGTGACCATTGTGGAGTGATGTGGGGGGTGGGTGTTGTTGTTTGGTGTTGTTTGGATTAGACGAAATAGTTTTGCGGCCCAAAAATCAAAATCTCATGTGCGCACAGGGCAGCCACCACGCGCACATGCGGGGTCCCCGAGGTGGCAAAAAAGGGGGGAAATTGGGAAACAAACAGCTGGGCGTGGCGGACGTCATCGAATACGTCAGATAAATTGGGACATGGGAAGATGCATGCATGTCCGTGGTTTCAGCGCTGCACGCACGCTGTATGCAGGCGGGTGCAACAGGCTTTAGTATCTTTAACTACGGACTGCCGTGGGGGACTTTGGGTATCTGTCTTGACGCTCGTTTCCGCCGCCATGCTCTCCGGCGGCGGCGAACGCGGAACGGCGGACGGGAGTACGACCTGCACGACCAGCTTCACCGCACAGCGGTTTAGCTTTTTGCCTCCTTGAGCCGTTGTCGAGTGCGATATCCCTGGTCCTGGAGGGGAGAGCCGGAGAGCATTGCCTCGTTTGGGCACTCCGCCGGCGCCATTTCACTTTGCAGGCCAGGCAGCGTTGCACAACTGGCGTTTATCCGCGTCACACTCTGTCTACGTTCACATCGTATTTGTCCATTCATTCTTGCGCACTGCCATTGCATTGCACTACACACCATGCACACCGTCCTCCGCCTCGTTCTCGCGATCGCGTTCACGGTCCAGCTCGCCCTGGCCGCCAAGACAACATACGTCAAGGTGCGTACGAGGTGGATGGTGCTGGTGGATGGATGGATGGCTGCGGATCGTACGCCACGGGCCACGGGACCACACACGACACGAGTCCACAACACGCCGATCCACCCATCCACCACATTTGGACACGCTGACCATCGCAGGGAGGCGAGACCGTCGTCGCCAGCTTGACAGTCAACAAGGACGGCGCGACCAAGACGCTCATCCTGTAAGCTTCCCATGGCGCGTGGTTGTCGGCCCACACCGTGTGATCGCGACGGCGGGACGGCGGCAACGTACCATTATAGCAACCACCACGTCTTGGCAACTTGGCTCCATGGCTCCATGGCTCTGCTGACACTATCTCCAGGTCCACCCTTGCCGACGGCAGCGGCGGCGACGCTACCGCCGACGACCCCAACACGGTTCCACCCGTGTTCACGCGCACGCCCGTGACGGTGGTCACTGCTACATGGGCTTCCGGGACGTGAGTGCCGTGCGGTACACGAGTCACCACAAGCTGACATGCTCGGCAGTATCCAAGACGACTCTGCGTTCAACTCGCAGATGTCGGCAAACCATGCCTCGCAAGTGAGCGTCTATGGCGCGGCGACGACAGGCGTCGACAGCGGAGCCGCGGCCAACTCGGCCGCCAGGGGAAAGACCGGTTCGTCCTCTGGCGTCCTCCCCGTCCTCCTCGCCGCTGGCGGGATCGCGCTCGGCGCCTTCCTCATCTAGACTTTGATGCATTGTAACGGACTATGTCATGGCCATGTTGATACACACATTGTTGGAGATCCGGCGGGTGAGATAACAACAAGGTATAGGAGATAGGGCGGAAATCCACAGACGCGGGCGGGGTCACACCATTGAACCAGCGCCACCTGCGACTCAGCACGAGCTCGGTGCACGGGACCAGGCCAGGGCTAGACACACGGCGACGAGTAGCAAGACGGCTCCAAGGATGGTCCTTAGAGCAGACTGCTGTCGTCGACATTGCCTTCCCACCACCCACCACCGCCGTCCTCGTCGTCCGTGAGGTCCTCGCCTCCGCCCATGACGTAGCGGCCGCCAGGTCCGTCGCCGTTGCCCAACACCTGCTCGTGCTCGTCAATGGTAGGCGAGCTGGCGGCTGGGTCACGCGAGTCGTAACCAGTCGCGCGGAGGCCCGAGGCGAGTAATGGCGCTGTCGACGGGTCTACAGGCATGGAACGGCGGGCAAACGTCCATCCATTCGAATATGGGGGCACGACAAGAGGGAAGAGGAGCGTTGTCAATGGGCTGCGTCAAGTCAGCCTCGTTGTTTGTTTAATCATGGACATGACCCACTATCCGCCACGTCCGAGGTTGAAGAAGATCTCGAGGTTGCGGCGGCGTCCCATGTCGTACGGGTTGAGATAGATCTGATGGGTCTCAGCGCCAGCTCCCAGCAGCTCTTAATACATACCAGACCGTCTTCGCGGGCCTTCTTCTCAAGATAGTCGTTGTCGTGGGCCTCAATCGACGTCTCGCCACGCATAATCATGAAGACGTGCCATCCACCGAGGACCGGCACCGCGACGCCGATGGCGATACTGAGGATATACGCCAGTGTCCACCCGACAGGCGGCGTGAACGCGGCCCACTGTGCGATCTGTCAGCCGGGTGTGTCGCTCGCGGTTTGGGAGACGCCACCATACCGCAGTCCCATGTGGGTATGTGTGCGCGTACGTTCCTCCGCTCTCGTCAAAAAGGCTCACCTCGTCTCTGGAACCGCCAAAGAAATCAAGCGATTTCATAAAATGGCCCCAACCGAGCGCGACGACGATCCAGCAACCAAGGCCAAGCCATGCCCTGTGACGGGTGTCAGTTGATGTGAGCTGTGGTGGGGGACCCATTGCAGCTCGCGACTCACATAAAGAGGACAAAGTGGCGCTGGTTGTGCAAGCCGACGCACGCGTTGATCCCTGCGCTGTCAGCTCACGCCACGGGCCTCGATCGAACGCCGGCGCAAGGCCCATGTAAGCCATGTGCTCCACGCAGCAGGGGTTACATTGATACGTCGGTTACTCGGCATGGCTTCCACACGCAGTCAGCGCGTGGGGCCGCTCCGACCGAAATGTTCGCTGCGCAAGCGGAGGAAAGAGACCGTCGGCGACCACTTACAAGGGCAGTGGTGGTCCATAAGCAGCACGCAGCGCTTGCAGACCGAGCAGTGGTGGGTGCGCTGAGTTGTGTCAGCTTGGACGGGAGAGACGCAGCGGCGGCGGCTTGCTGTGTGCTGTGCAAAGAGCCGCGCCGGTTTCGGAAACATACCTCTGGCTTTGGTCCATCGCATTTGCGGCACCGCCTCACACGGTCTGGCATCTGTTGCTGCTGCTCGCCACCACCGACGACGGGGGATATGCCATTCATCATGGCGTTTCCGCCAGCAGCGGGTGAGCGATAGAACCCCCAACGCTCGGGAGCGACCAGCGAACGGGGGTTGTGTGAGATCCAGCGCGAGTCCTTCTCCGTGCGAATGACCGGGAAGCCGGGGGAGACGTGGGTGACGAGGTAGTACTGTCCGTACATGTTGAGCGGGACGAGAATGTAGAGAGGGAGCATGAGGACGGTTCCCAGCCACCCATAGTTGCGGGCAATGACATCGACTGAAGCAGAGGTCAGCACAGTTGACAGGCGGCAACGATGAGAGGAGGCGGGGACTTACAGAACGCGAACGCGACAAAGCCGGTGAGGGCCCAGGCGAGGACGATAAAGTATGGGCCAGCGGCGCCTGTGATAACGTCGGCTGCCTTCTCTACGCGGCGAAAGCAGCGGATCACGAGTGCCGACGCACCCCTTATGAGGGGCATGGTGGAATGGGGGAATGCAAGATGTGGGCGGGGTCGGGGGGTTGGTGGATGACTCCTAAATCAAGTCAATAAACCACCCGGCAAATGCATCCCATCCCCCCCCGCGCTCTGCCGCCGCCCGCCGCGATTAATGCAACCGAACCGTCGTGACACGCGGCCAACACACCATACACACCATACAGCAACCCGCCGCAGCCCAACTTTACTCCGTCCAACCCACCACCCAACTCCTCCACGTCACACACACAGCACCACCACCACCTCGTCCGTCGATGGCGAGCAACGACCACGAGCATGCAAACGGCGCCAGCGCAGAGGCAGGGCCCGGCCCCTCCTCGGTCGCAAGCAGCGGCATCCTGTCGCCCTTGTCGCCCCGCGCGAGCGCCGAACTCCCCACATCCCTTCCTCGGCTGTCGTCCTCGCCCGCAGGCCTCGAGGCCGAGCTCGAGCGCACGCGCGCCGAGAAGGACCACCTCAGCAACCAGTACCGCACGCTGCTGGGCAAGTTGACGGCCATGCGCAACTCGCTCGGTGAAAAGCTCAAGGAGGACGCCGTGGGTTGCAACCGTCCCCTCGGGGGGTTTATACAGTTCGCTGACGGGCAACGCAGGAGGAGCTCGATCGACGTGAGACCGTCATCACGACGCTGACGGCGGAGAACACGGCGCTGCAAGAGTCCATGGCGACACTGCGGAGCGAGCTCGAGAACGGCGGCGCCGAGAGCGCTGCGCTGTCGGCCCAGCTGCACCAACTGCGGAGCCAGAGCGACAGCTCGTCGTCCGACGTCCTCTCGCTGACGCGTGAGATGCGCGAGCTCCGCGGCGAGATGGAGCGTCTCCGTGCCGAGCGTGAGGAGTGGCAGGCCGAGGCGGAGCGCGAGCGCGAGCGCAGGGAGAGTATGGAGGAGGAGGTGCGCGCGACCGAGCGCCGCGAGCGCGAGGGCAAGGCGCACTGGGACAAGGCCGAGGACGAGCTCGAGGCCGAGCGTGAGCGCGCAGCAAACCTCCAAGAGGTTCTGAGCGAGTTCCAACAAGGTGCGTACAGACCGCCCCGAGGGAGTCATGGGATCTCTCTGTCAGCAATCGGCGCCGCGAGATGCCGCCGACAAGAGACACGTCTCGTCCACTGTCGGCGCCAATGCTGCGTACACCGGCCCGATTCTGCCCCGCAGCCCAAGCCGGTTTCCTCTCACTAACATCCACAGCCAAGGACTCGGAACTGCGACAGGCCACTGCCGAGCTGGAGGGCCAGCTCAAGATGGCGGTCGGACAGCTGAGCGAGTTCAAGCTGCGCGCGGCCAACGCCGAGAGTTCGCTGTCGTCGGTGTCGTCCGATGCTAGCAAGTGCAAGGCCCTGGAACGTGATCTGCGTGACAAGAACGCCATCATTGCAAAGCTGAGGCATGACGGTGAGCTCAACTTCTCAGTTTCGAGCTAACCATACAGCCGTTGTGACAAACGAGCACTTGACAGAGGCGCTGAGACGGCTGCGCAAGAACACGTCGGACAACAACGTCGACCGCCGCCTGGTGACCAACATTCTCCTCTCGTTCCTCACCACGTCGCGCGCCGACTCGAAGCGCTTCGAGATGCTCTCGCTCCTTTCGACCATTTTGAGCTGGGACGACGGCGAGCGCGAGCGTGCCGGTCTCCAGCGAGGCGCCAAGCGACCAGCTGCGCCAAGGCGGAAATCCTCCGGACGGCCCGAACGCACCGCCGACGAGGAGTCTGCAATGAACGAGGTGAGTACGGTGGTGCAGTGTGTGAACGGCCACTACGACAGGGACACCCACACATTGCCCCAGGAAACAACTGCTCACACCCCGTCCCAGTCCTTCTCCAACCTCTTTGTCGAGTTCCTCCTCAAGGAAGCGTCGCACGGCCAGCCGGACCCGCACCAGATCCTGCACGGCGAGCCCGCCAACGCGCGCTCCCCACCACCGTCGTCGTACCCTTCGAGCCTGACAATGTCCCCGCCGACGAGCGGCGCCGCCACGCCCGTGAGCGGGCACGGCCGCAGCCGCAAGCTGAGTTCCTCGTCCAACGCGTCTGGGGGTATGGGTTCGGGCTCGGCTACCCGGGCGCGTCGCCCACGCCCGGCGGCGGCGACGGCAGCACGGCCAGCCTGGACGGCATGGTGCGCGGGATCGGGATTGGCAGGAAGCAGAGCTTTGGCTTGCAGGAGGCGCTTGGCCGGCCACCGCAGCAGTAGGGGTGGTTGGTCATATAGGAGTGAGAGTAACGGTGGTGGGTAGCCTAGCAAAGAGGTAGTACAGCAGCAGCAGTGCACTAGTAGTCACAGGAGATGCATATTTCAGTCACTAGAGGCGGTGTGGCCGTTGAGGCGCCGACATTAGCGTCGACATTGGAGCCTAACGCAAGCATAGCCAGCGGGCCAGCGGGCCAGCGGGCTTGGTTCCGACTGCTTTTCCATATCTCGGCCACCCCGCTCGGTCCACCCTTCGGCCCGCCACATGCAATGTCTGGCTCATGTAGCTCATGTCTGGCTGGCTCCAGCACCTAAATTTCTCTCGGCGGGCAGCTAATATATGCATACGTCGTCACGCCCTCTACTGGCGGCACCCGCCGCCGATCGACCCCACACCGAATGCAACCAACGCTACAAAAAAGCAGCCAGACCAACAAGAGCAAGAAGCAAACAGCTACAGAACACTGTTTACTGCGACTTGCCACCGGCCTTCTCGGCGGCCTTGATGGAGGCAGCGTCGGTCTGGGGGCCCGAGGCGCCGCCGGTGAACTGCTCCATGAGACCGGGGGCAGTCTTGAAGGGGCGGGCGAGGGGGCCCTCGGCCTTCTGGCCCCAGATGTGGAGCTTGGCCTCGTTCGACTCGAGCACGCCCTTGAGGGTGGTGATGCCCTGCACGAAGAGCTGGGGAGGGGGGTTAGCAAAGAGTAAAAAAAAGGCGAGGACAGGTGCGCTGCACGCAATCTCTGGAGCGGTGGACCAGACCAGACCACAGCGGCCACAGCGGCCACCGAGCGGCGGCTAGCGGGGGAGTTGGCGGGGGAGTCGGGCGCCGGGCGCGGGGTGTGGGCACCGGCGAATGGGCCGACGCAGCCTGCCCCCCCTGTGCCCCGCCCACTTTCCACCCACGCCGAATCCGCCCCAGCTGCCAAGGACGGTCCGCGTGCACCTCGGCGTCGCGATGCACGCGTCCACCGCATACGCGTTTCTGTCGTACTCACAGGAGGGATGTAGCCCATGTACAGGTGGAGGAAGGCCATGAAGGCCATGCCGGTGAAGAGAGCCTTCATGGCCTTGCCGGTCTCGGCGAGGTCGTAGTCGCGGACAGTGGTGGTCACGAGCTCGTCCTTGGCGTCGGGGTTCTGTACAGGTGAGCAGGTGGTCCACGCGGGCCGGGCGTCCGAGGACAAGGTGAGCGGCGTGCACGCGAGCTGGTAGTTGCTTCCCCTATCGTTGCCCCAGCTCCTAGCACACCGCCGTCCTTGTCCCGCGCAGTTGTACTCACCATGGGCGACTTGGGCTGGACGTACTTGATGACGGTGAGGTCGTTCTTGGAACGGATCTGGTACTGTCAGCCATGGTGTTTTCCGCTAGCCCGAAAGCGATGAGAGGCGGTGACAACAACGATGTGGACTGTTGGATCGCGAGCGAGTGTGGGCTGTGCGCAAGAGGAGCGAAACGCGGGCAGCCCCGCTGCGTCCACACTCTCCACATCGTCATTGGACCCGCCTCTCCGGGCGGCGAAGGACGGCTGTACACACCTTCATCGTAACGTAGTAGTAGATGAGGAACGAGAGGGCCTGGGCACCAACGTAGCCGGCACGGAGGTACATGACGACCTGGGGGTCGTCGGTGGGGAGACGACGGGCGACTGGGACGGGGTCAGTGTGAGGTTCATGAGCATGGTGTTGCCCTGTGAACGTTTGGCGTGTGCGGTGGGCCCAACACGAGCTGGAGCAAAGTGCACACGACGACGACGCGTGGCCGCCGGGCGTGTTCTTGTTTCTCTCATTTGGGCTCCACTGTGCACAGCAGCTCTCGTTTTGGTTGCAGCGGGAGGGCGAATCCGACGACAGTTCTACGCACTCTGCATCGCGCCGAGCGAGACGGCGAGGTTGGTGATGGCGGGGTTCATGATTAATGAGTGTGGGTAAAGGGTGGTTGGTTGGGATGTGAGGATGGAGGATGGAAAGAGATGCAACGGGAGACGACCACCTGCTGCACTGCACTGCGCGGCGCCGTGGTTCTGGAAACGTCGGTCCACGTCGCAGATAGCCGCGCCAGGCCGTGCCCATGCGGGGAAATAAGCAGCCAGACGGTCACGCCACCTGCGACCACCCAAAAAAAGTGCCACACTCGACCCCCCATCGTTATCGCCGGCGGCCGGAGAGTGAGCCCGGCGCTGTCCCCCTCCTGGCAGCCTGCAGCTCTCACCGCCAGTGCCGGTCCTGCCCGCACCCCGGCGGACGAGGAGGCCACAGACACAGGGGGTGTGGTTTGCTGCTCTCGATGCCATCGTTGACCACTTCCTCGCTACCCTCCTCCTCCTCCTTTCTCCCCTCCCCCCTTCCCCTTCCCCTCCCACCCTCCTTCCAAAATGCGCCCCCAGCTCGTCGCCCGCACTGCCCGCGCCCTCGGCCGCCGCGCCAACTCGTCCAAGGCCATCGAGAACCCCCAGGTCAAGCAGGCCGTCGAGCAGGCCGACGCCGTCCTCAAGCAGGGCACCGCCGCCGTTAAGAAGGTCGTCGGCCCCATCGGCGACCGCGTTGGCAGCCTCCTTGGCTGTGAGTAGAGCAGCCAGAGCGCTGCAGAAGCTGCAGCCGCAGCCGCAGCTGGACACACACGCACAAATTGGCCTGCACACGATATTGGCCCGAACAGCCGAACACATGAGAGCGGAAACTAGGAGCCATCGCATGCGCGCACACTCGGGACGGCTGTGGGCGGGCTGCAGAGTCGACGGACACCAGTGCCATTGCCAGCCGCATGGCTGCGACGGCGCTGTTGGTCGTGCGGAAGACTCTGGAAACGGCTGCCACACACCCTCCCGATTGGCGATTCGGGGGCGGGGGGCACAAAGTCAAAGTCTCTGGACAACGACGGAATCGGGTGGGCTGGGCCGTGCCTGCCGTTCTCGGCAAAGCTGGCTCCCCCCAACCCCGTTGAACCAATGTCCCGCCTTTGTGACTCTGGCCGCAATGTGCGCGATATCGCCTGCCTGTGCGTTCTGCACCAGGCTAGCGAACGGCGTTGCTCGAGTGTTTTGAAGAAACGCTGGGCACTCTGAAATCAATCGTTCCTTCCGTGTGCGCGTGTTGTTTCGGTGTATCGGCGTCATTCTCGTGTGCGGGCCAAGTGCGGTCCAGCGCGGCAGCGGCAGCAGCAGCAGCAGCAGCAGCGCTCTTACCACCGCCAGAATACCATTTACTGACCACAACCCCTTACAGCGTACCGCCAGCCCCTCTCGTACAACTGGAACGTCTTCACCTCGCTGTGTCGCCAGGTCTACCAGGCCGAGAAGCTCGCTCCCCCTACCCACATTGCCCAGTGGGCCAACGCCTACGCCTCCATCTTCGCCAAGGCTTCGTCGGGCGCTTTCTGGCGCCAGGCTCTCTCGTCGGGCCAGTGGGCCACCATCGCCGTTGCCGTGAGTCGAGGGAAGAGAGAGCGAGGGTGTGGGGGGGATGGTGGGCGGATATGGGGGATTGCCGAGAGACGGCTCTTCCTGTGACCGGATTGCGAGCCGTCCACCTACGCCTCCTCTGTGTCTCCACAACAGCCCCCTCCCCGGCCTCTGCCAGCTTCGAAGGTGGCTTGTAAGCTGACCATACTCCCAGGGTGTCGAGGCCTACGGTATCTTCAAGATTGGTGAGATCCTCGGCCGTCGCAACCTCGTCGGCTACAAGATCAAGGACGAGCACCACCACTAGAGCGGAGTAGTTTAGTGGGCGTAAAACGACCGTCGGCGGACAGGAACATGTCGCCGGCGGGGCTGTAGCATGCACATTTGCACGGATGGCGAGAGAGGGGGGGGGGGGGGGGCAAGCTTCTGGAGCGGTGCCGACCTCCAGGTCCTGGGTCCTGGAATTGGCCAGTCGCTTTGGAGATCTACGGACAGACATCGGCAGCGGTCGGTCGCCTCGAAGCAGGAGATCAAGCCTGAGCCAAAGATTGCGGTCGCACGGGTCTGGTAGCGACCTCGCCAAGGCTCTGACGCTTCTGCTCACTTCAGATCCCTCCACTCAAGCTTCATTGGCAGCCATTTTTTGTTGTCCTGCTGCACACTGCGTCTCACATCTCCAGACCTTGCCTGCTACGCACACGCGACTGCTTTTTTGCGACCTGAACTACACACATGTACCAAAAACGCACTCCCCCATTATCAAGACTACACCAGCTCTTGTCGCCTGCCTGCTCCTGCCCCTGGCCCGAGACTCTGTGACGCACACAGTTACTCGCTCTCGCTCTCGCTCGCGGCGACGACCTTGCGCTTCGAGACGGGCTTACCCTTGCTAGCGGGCTTGTCCTTGGACGCAGGCTTGCCCTTGCTAGCAGGCTTGCCCTTGGACGCGGGCTTGCTGCGCTTGGACTGGGGGGTGTGAGCTAACGTGCAAAGCCACCTCAGCTCACCTTGGGCTCGTCGTCGTCCGACTCGGTGTCGTCGCGCTTGCTCTTCCTGCCGCCGGCCTTCTTCTTCTTGGGCTTCTCCTCCTCGCTCTCGCTGAACGACTCCTCGGGCTCGCTGTCGCTGAGCTCGGGCTCACTCTCGCTCAGGTCAGACTCCTCGTCCTCTTCCTCCGAGGACGGGGTCGCGGCCTTCTTCTTGCGGGGCTGGTGGTCAGCTAAAGTACCACCCGAGGGACTCCGCAGCTCACCTTGGGGGCGGCCTTCTTGGGAGTTGCCTTCTTGGGAGCAGCCTTCTTCTTGGGCTTCTCGTCCTCCTCGCTGTCGCTCGCCTCCTTCTTGGCTGCCGCCTTCTTGGGAGCAGCCTTCTTGGCGGGAGCCTTCTTCTTCTTGGGGCTGGCATCAGCGGCGTCGCCGTCCTCGGCCTCGGACTCGGCGGGCTTCTTGGCCGACTCGGGAATGTCGGCGGGGTCCACTGCTGGGTCAGCGACAGCAATGGCGACCTACACCCACCGTGGCCCTCCTGCCAGGCCTGGCGGATCTTGCCCTGGTTGGTCGCACTGCGCGTCAGACATTTGTTCTTCTCCTGGATTGTAAAGGCACATACTCGAGGTCCTCGAAGCCGTCGAGCTCGTCGGCCTCGTCAAACGACTCCTTCATGTTGGCGATGATCTTGGGCGTGGTGCCTGTCGGGGTCAGCACCTCCCATATTTTCGTGTGTGTCCCGCTACACACAGGTTGTGTTCGCACGGATCATGGTCGATCACGAGGCCACACACACGCCGCGGTACGCCGACAGCTACTCACATCCCCAGTGACGCCACTTGAAGGTGCCGTTACCGTTGAACTCGACCCAGGTGCCGACACGCAGCTCGCCCTTGAGGATTTTGGTCTTGTTGCAAGGCTTGGGGCCATTGCACTGTGAGCGGTTGGACGCGGCGAGCTCGAGGCCTGCGTTTCAGTCGAGTCAGCTGGGGACGGGGTTGAAAAGGAAACGCGGCGGTGACGCGTGTGGGACGCGTTGTGGGACGCACGGTATCCGGGCATTGTGTTGTGAGAGTGTGAATGGAGGTGGCAGATGTAAGAGAGAGAGAGAGAGGGAGAGAGAGGACACGAGCAAGAAACGGATATGAATGGGGGATGGATGGGAGAAAGGAAGGTGGGTTGTTATTGCCAAAGAGACAGAGAGGCGCGCGGATGACGGGGACGGTTGACGGGTTGACTGGGCGCACTTGGACAGCAACGGTGGAGGGGACAAAAGATCAGCCTCGCCACCGTCGGCACAAATGATTACGTAAATGAAGTATTTTGTAATGCCATTATAAACTACATTATGAGCATTAGAGCCTCTCTTCAGAATAGGGTTCAAAGGTAACTTTAAGGGTGATTTGAAACAGGGAATATGCCCGATTAGGACTCATTTTGGGTCTGTCGATCAATGACGTTTTCCCTTTGCTGTTGCACGCCTTGTCCTGAGAGCAGCGCGGCATGAGAGAGAGCGAGAGCCTGGCTGGGTGCAGCTGGGTGGTGGTTGCCAAACAACTCTGTGTAACTGTGTGCTCTGGGTGGGTGGGTGGAATATCGTCGTCGTGTGCCCAACTCCCCCCTCGTTCCTTCTTCCTCTCTTGTTTCTCGTCTTGTCATCACACACTCCTCCCTCCCACCACTACGGCCCCCTATATACGCACCACTGCACTGCGCCTCACGCGACTCGCTCTCACCATCTCGCGCTAAACGCGCGTATTCGCCACAGCGCCCACGTGCCTCCCCCCGCATAACCCAGCGGCCAGCGGCCTGAACCCCCCCCCCCGTCACGGCCCTCCCCGTTACAATCCCCCTGTCCAAGGCGTCCGCCTTTGTGTCCAGCCTTCATCGTTCGCTCGCTCGCATCTGTCAACTGTACACTCGCTGTCTCTTTGCACTCGCACGCGTTTGGCATTACTCCGCATCTTTCGGACACACACCACCACCACCAGCATACACCGACGCGCCGACACACACCGCCCGCTGCGCGCCCAAGCTCCCACAAGCTCCCCCACAACACCCCCCGACCACGATAACATCGGCGCTGCCCGACAACACCGCGCGTCGCGATGGCTGACCCCTCTCCGCACAGGCAGGGACTCGCCGCCGCCGCCAACACTGCGAGCCCGAACACGGCCGCGTCCCCTGCGTCCACTGTTCGCCCCGTCAGGCCACCCGTGTCGCCGCTCGGAATCGGGCCCATTTCACCGGCCCGGGTTGGCCTGGGACGACCCTCGGCGACAAACACCGACTTTGTGAGTTTGCCTGTTTATTTAGCAAGCGACCGGTGGCGACCCCACTCTACCCAACCCATCATTCTCTAACCATGTCGCAGAGGCTAGGTGGTACAAGCCCCACCACGCCGCTGTCACCGCCAGTAGGAACACCCACCGGCATCTTCGTGCCGGGGCACGGTCGCGCTGGGTCGATCTCGAGCATCGACGACTCGGAATACGACTATGAGTCACACGCCACTCCTCGCACCACCAGCTATTTCCCCCCTCAGCATGAACCGTCGCGTCGTGTCAGTGAGATGCGCGGGACCGGCACTCCACAGGGACCAATGTCCCCTCCGTCTCTGAACCCGGCCACCGCTGGGTCCGGCGGGCTTGGTCGCTCGGCGCGCCCACGGATGCAGCATCTCAAGGACGGTGAGCGCACGGCTCCCGTGTCCCGCTCGGCGTCGCGTGTGCGTCTCCCTGGGCCACACCAGCCTCAGCCAACAATCAAAGACAAGGACCTCGAGGACGATGAAGTCCAGGTCATCGACCGTGGAGAGGACCTCATCCGCCGTCGTATCAAGGAGCGCAAGCGAGCCAAGCGTGAGCGTGAGCGTCGGCTTGCTGCTGCCGAGTTTGCCGAGTCGGAGATGGATGAGCCCGGGGCTGTCACTACGGTGACGGCGGCCAACACCAGCGCACCCTCGTCTGCTGGCGCCGATGCGTTCACCATCCCGTTCCGTGCAGCAGCCTTGAGCCCCGTGCGGGCGCCACACGGACAACGTGCTGCGTCTCGCCAGAGGGCCGCAAGCTCGTCCCGCCGCTCGTCCAGCGGCTACACGCGGTCGGGCAGTGTCAGCGACATTGACCGTGCCGAGTCTTTCCTGTCTGTGCCGACCGAAGAGAACACGGACGACTTGGGTGACGAGGAGGTTCCCGAGGAGGAGGAAGACGCGGACATGTTGGTGCATTCGGACGACACCGATGAACAGCACGACGACGATGAGGATGAGGATGGCAGCAACGAAGACGACGAGGGTGTGACCGTCAAGGATCGCCAGGACGCCATCAACCTCGAGCACCCCTTCGGTCTGCCCATCTGGAAGCCTGCCCTGTACCGCAAGTCGCGTTCCGTTACGCGCAATGCCGAGTCTGCCCTCCACTCGATGCCCTCTGCCAGCGCCGAGCGTCACCTCCTTCCCGGCAACCTCCTCTGGACGCTGCTTTTCGGCTGGTGGCTCGCTCTGTCATGCTTCTTTGTCGCGTTGATCGTCAGCACTGCTGAGCTTGTGGCTGGTGGCCGTGGCGGCTATGGCAAGACCCTCCGTGGCCTGGCTTGGTACCTCGGATGGCCATTCGGCAAGTATGTGGAAGGTGAAGGTGCCCCCGACGAGCCCGAGAACGATTTGGTCACCGACGAGGAGAACGCCAACACCAACGGCGGGGCCAACTATGGTAGCATCCCGACCATTCCTCGTACGCTCACCGCTTCTACCTCGTCGTCCGGTACGGTCCGTGCCGTCGGTGTCCAGGGCCTCGTCGACCTGCCCGATGAGCCCACGACTCCCCACGGTCCTTCTGGGCTCCGTCGCCCTGTCGGTGTGTCGTTTGCCGAGGGCGTCAAGCCCGCGTCCCCGTCCCCGACCCCTTCACCGACGGGCGAGACCGCTCCGCTTCTCAAGAGCAGCAGCGCGCCGCCCATCGGTTTCCGCAAGCCCGTGAACAGCAGGGCCAAGTTTGTCGGTTCGCTCTTCTACTGGCCCGGCTTCCTCCTGATTGTTGCCCCGGTCATGAGCCTGGTCTGCATCGTCTGCTGGTTCCTCGTCATCACCATCCCCATGGCCAAGCTCACGTGGGAGCTCCTTGTGCTCCTGTACACCCGCCCTCTCGAGATCAACTTCCGTTCCGCGCCCGAAATCTCCATCGCGACCTCGCCCGAGTCGTCGCCCGAGCTCAGCAACGGCGGCAGTAGCGATGGTCTCAACACGTCTCCCAACGTCACCCTCAAGCGCCAGCGTCTCAAGGCCGGACAGGTGGCGCCGACCGCTGGCCCGACCTCGACGGTTTTGCTGTGCACATACCGCGCCATTGGCTGGCAGTACTACAAGTACACTGTCGGCGGTGTCAACATCATGTTCATCAACCTCCTCCCGTTGGTCTTCTTTACGATTCTCGACGGCATGCTCCTCCTGCCTGCTGTGGAGAGGGCGCACCACGAGGGACGCCGTGTGGCTCCGATTCTCGACGTGCTTGCGTCGCAGGCACTCATCTTTGTGCTGGGCCTGGCGTCCGTCATCCCCCTGTCGTACTTTATCGGCATGGCTGTCGCCTCGATCTCGGCCCAGTCGTCCATCGGCATGGGTGCCGTCATCAACGCGACCTTTGGTTCGATCATTGAAATTGTGCTTTACAGCATTGCGCTAACGCAGGGCAAGGGCCGTCTTGTTGAGGGTTCCATTGTCGGCTCGATTCTTGCCGGTGTGCTCCTCATGCCTGGCATGTCCATGTGCTCGGGCGCGCTCAAGCGCAAGGAGCAAAAGTTCAACGCTAAGAGTGCCGGTGTCACCTCGACCATGCTCATCATGGCCATCATTGGTACCCTGACTCCGACCATGTTCTACCAGACGTACGGCACATTCCAGATCCACTGCGACGGCTGCCCCGAGCCCGGCGAGGTGATCCACGACCCGAGCCAATCGTGGAAGTGCAACTCGTGCTACTACGAGTACCCAGACCCGATCACCGATCCGTTCTACCAGAACCAGGTCAAGACGCTCATGTACGCGTGTGCCGCCATTCTCCTGCTGTCGTACCTCATCGGTCTCTGGTTCTCGCTCCGCACCCACGCGTCGCAGATCTGGCAGAACCCGCAGCAGGTCATGGTCAAGGAGGAGCTCCCGGCTATCCCACGCACCCTTGCGCGCATCACCCCAGCCAACATTATGAACCCTATCCTCCCCGTCCACAACAACCGCCCGGCCTCGGTCCGCGCTCAGTCACCCCACCCTGGTGCGCGTACGCCTACCCACTCGCGTCCGACCTCGCCGTACACCCAGCGCAAGGCTCTGCCCCTGGAGAGCGACAACTCGCCGCATGCGTCGATCCACGCATCGCAGCAGCAGCAGCCCTACCCCTCCACGGGTTACACGCCGCTCCTTGATTCGTACAACCCCAAGCCTGGCAACTCGCTCGAGCCCCTGCCCCTGCCCGCGCCGCTCACGCACGAAGAGTTCCGCCGTGCCGTGCACACGCTCACGGCCGTCGGTGCTCTCCAGGCGCAGCCCCAAAAGGTTATCAAGCACGTCGAGGAGGAGGCCGATGGCCACGGCGGGCACGAGGCGCCGAGCTGGACGCGTGGCATGTCTGCTGCAGTCCTTCTGGGCTGCACGGTCCTGTACGCTGCCATTGCGGAGATTCTCGTGGACGTGGTCGACGTCGTCCTGAACGGCAGCGGCGTGGACGAAAAGTTCCTCGGTCTGACGCTGTTCGCGCTCGTCCCCAACACGACCGAGTTTATGAACGCCATGTCGTTTGCCATGAACGGTAACATTGCCCTGAGGTGAGTTCCGTGGTCAACCTTACGGTCGATGAACTGACATGTTTCCAGTATGGAGATTGGTTCCGCCTACGCGCTCCAGGTGTGCCTGCTGCAGATCCCGGCCATGGTCGCGTTCAGCGCGTTCTACGACCCCAGCCGCCTCGGCGACGCCGTGGACACGTTCACGCTCATCTTCCCGCGCTGGGACGTCATCGCCATCATCCTGTCCATCTTCCTCCTCACATACACGTACATTGAGGCGCGCAGCAACTACCACCGCGGCTCCATCCTTGTGCTTGCGTGAGTCGGAATGAGTGGGGGTAACGAGTGGCAGGCAGTCGCTAACGCAAACCTACAGCTACTGCGTCCTTGTCATGGGCTTCTACTACGCCCCGCCCAGGCAGGCGGACACGGAGTCGGGCGGCGTCGTCGTCGACGTCAAGATGGCCGCACAGGTCGCGTCGGACATGTCGTCCAGCATGTACCTCCAGCTCACCAAGATGTGGGCCGCGCCGTCCCAAGCGTAGGCTTAGGCGTAGAGGCGTAGACGTATCCCTGCCGAGTGGCCGAGGAGATGCGGGGACACAAGTGGCACAGTTTACTTAATATTGGCGCACAGACCTATCGCGCGCCGCGTGTGTCTCCTCTTACAGCGTCGCGTCGCCTCGCGTCTCACACCCGCGCTTCTTTGCATTTTTAAGGCATTTCCGGGCCATTTTTATCATACCCCCCGGGAAAGCGCATCACGACATGACGAACTCCCCCCCAAAGCTTTATTTTACATGCATTGATTGTACTTGCGTCGTTGGGTGTGCTCTGGGCCTCTGGCCGCTGGGGACAGGAGTGAGATAGGGGTGTGGGGGGTGGGCTACACGCCACAAGTTCCTCGGTGGCTGACATCTTTTCCTTTGCGGGACACTACACGGAGGTTTGCCTACGCCGTGGCCATGGTCATGGCCATGGCACCAGCTATGCAACTATGCCCCACTCGTGGCGATTATAACCGGATGCATATCTGCCTCGCATTAGATGTCATGTAGCCAGCTAGAAGAACATGGCCCCGCCGAGCGCGAGGAGCACACCAGCAAGGGGCGCGGTCAGCGCGCCCGGTGCGCCGCTGTTGGCTGTGACGGTCACCTCGGCGCCGCCCGCTGCCGTCGACGTCCAGGTATATACGCTGCCGGTGATGGGCGGCGGGGTGGTGGCCTGCGTAAACGACGTGGACGGCTTGACCACTATAGATGTGTAGAGGGACACGCCCGAGTCGTCGATGGTCTGCGCGGTCGTCCTTGCCGTGGTGAGCACGCCCGCCACGGGGGTGGTCGTCGAGCGGCTGGTCGTGACCACCACCACGGCGGGGTTGAGCGTCGTGCTGGTCCGCGTGGTGGTGGACGTGTCGGCCGCAGAGGTGACGGCGTCGAGCGTGTCCACGGCCGTGGTGGCCACGACGGGGGAGGGGGTCGTCGTCGTTCCCGTGCGCGTGGCCGCGATGCCCGTGTCGGCGGCCTGTGTGCCGGCCGTGACCTGGGCGTGTGCGCTCAGCGCCAGGACCACCGCGGCGAGGAGTGGTGCGGGGGACAATGAAAACAGCCGCATATGGGTAGGGGTATCGATGACGGAGAGGTGTGTGTGTATGTTGTGAGTGAGAGGTATGTGTGTTTGTGAGAGTAGAGTTGAGAGATCACACGCCAGCCGTTGCGGAATGGCGTGCAGGCAGCAGCTGTTTATCTGCATCAACCATGACGCAGGCTGGAGGCGCTCGTTGCGTGTGCCGGCGGGTCCCTTGGCGCGCTTGGCGGCCCGCCGGGACGGTGTGGTGCAGGCACAAGCATAGGGGGGTGGTGGGTGCGCCGTGCACAGCATGGGGTGAGCGTACGAGCGAGCGAGCGTACGAGCAAGCGTACGAGCATGCATGCTCCCGTTGTAGGCTGCCCGGTCATGACGGCGACCTGGTGGTGGGCACACCAATTCCTCGCGCAAGCGGTCGTGGGTTGGGTGTTCAATGTTCCGCTGGAAACGCCACATTTGGGGGGACCGACCGCCAGCCATCATGAATCAATTCTTGACTGTGCGTCAAAACGATAAAAATACGACACATGCGACCCATCTGCATTCAATCGACATGCATGAAGCGGCTGGTAGACCCTGCTTTACTGATGTGCTGCAACGGCGTGGACGTTATATACCCATATGTCTCGTCCAAGTGGCACTGCCAAAAGGATTCCCGGGACCGCTCCTTTCTGCCACTCGGATGACACTGGGAGGAGAGAATCTCGGCACCCGCAACCTATGCGCTAAGAATACCAACTCACATGTGGCTGCTGCGGTTGTGGCTCTTGACGAGGCAGTGGATACAGGTCTGGTCATCCCCCTCAATGTAATTCTACCACGCATGCAGTGCTTACGAGCCTTGTCGTGGTGTGGGCGCCCCAGCTACCAGCTGGACTGTTGTATCTATATCTCCCCTGAAACGAACTCACTGTCACTGCCGGCCACTCACCGATCACCCTGCAGACTTCATCCTCGTCCAAGCTAGCGTTTATGCGGCTCCTCTGGGTGTTGTTCACCGACGGCTGTCCGAAACGGCCGAAAACGGTCTTCCGAAACGGTCTCGCTGACGCAACAAACGTGAGCCACTGCCGAGGACGAGACGTCGGACGTGAGTAACAGCGGCAACGAGGGCGAGGCCGCAACCGTCAACTGTCGAGCGTGACCCAACAAGCCAAAGTGGTGGTGCTTTACACGAGACTCCACGCGACACTCCATGATGAAGATTCAGACTCGGTTTCACTCGATCAGCAAGGAATCAGCCAGCAGGCGCTCTGGCACGTCGATCAGTGAATCCCTGGTTGTACGATAATGTACCCGCCAATGGCCGTGTCAACGGCGTATATCGCTTTCCTGGAGCCGCTCTCTCATTGAAAGTCCGCCCAAGGCGACACTGCTTGCGCCGGTATTCGCTGGGATAGGAAGGAAACGGTGCCAGTAACGCATACCCGCTCACCCTCGCAGGCTGAGGTCGTCTACAGTACCAGCGACGGGGACACAGCACGCCAGAGAACGACGAGGCCAGTGAGACCCCAGATACCGTGCGGGTCGCCTGACCGCGCGCACTAGTTGATGGACCGTGTCTGACTAACATTGAATGCTTCGCAGGGCCTCGAGATGCCGCCTCGCAGCGTTCTGTCGGTCTCCCAACCACCTCATTCCCGTTGGTCGTCGTCCCCAGCTGACCGCAGTGAGGCTGGACCGTGGGTGAGGTACATACCGTTGAGTGAATGTTGATCCCCGGGGCGCCCTAGACTGGTGGCCTGTTGCTGGTCTCAATGAACTCTGAGGATGGGGATGGGACAAGGGGTGAACGTGCGACTGGAAGCTACATGAGTGGGTGAGTGGGTGAATGAGTGAGTGCATGAGCGAGCCATCGAATGTGTGAGTGTACAACAACCAGTCATAGCGATAACGGACCGGATGAACGGCAAGTGCACCGCCCCACGGCTTTGCTGATAATGATAGTGTGCACGACTGCGCGTCCGAATCTTCTCAGATTAAACTCACACCCCAACGTTTGTTTTTTGGTAGTGTGATTCGTCGCACCCCGCCAAGAAGGCGCCACAGACACCAAGGGACACGAAACGTGTCTCCTTCTGTGACACTCTGGCGTGTTGTATCTCAGCGAGGTTGGCGCGCTGCGCACGTTGATGCGCGACGGGCGATACTGCCTATGCACGACGAGTAAGCGTGTCCCCCCCCCCCGAAACCACGCTTCCAAGCAAATAAGGGATCACCCCCGAAATATCGTTATCGCTATCAGATCGGTATCGCTCGCTGCCAAGGCCGCGAGCTGCGAGGCTGCGAGGCTGCGAAGCTCGGCGGCGGGGCTGGGGACAGGAGCAACGTGCCACTATGTACGTTGGTTTCGCTTCTCGGCGGTGATGACCGGTGGCCTCCATGACAGACAAAACACCTGCCAAGGCTGGATCCCTGTAGCCGTGGCTATAGTGGCTTGGGAGACGCCGGGGAGACGACTCGAGAGACGGCCCGGAAAGGACGTTTCCCGCAGTCCGTCGTCTCTCATCCCATGTCCACCGCCGCGCGCACTGGACAGCTGGGCACACACACGCACACACGTTGGTACACCAGGTGCAGCGCGCAGCGCGCAGTGGCAGAAGACGCTTATGGGGCAACGGATGGCGCCACGTCCATGCGTGTACTGCACTGGGGGGGGCAACCCCCGCCCGCCACGACGTCGCCACAAGCGTCCCAAACGTGTGTTGTCGGCCCCCGCCAGCTGAGACAGTCCTTGTTGGTAGTATAGCCGGCTGCAGCCGGAACGCCGTGGAGTTGAAAAATGACGTTTAATGTCGGAGCCGAAAGCACCAAATGGTGCACTAGGTAGAAATCCTTTGTTCCTCCCTCCCCCTTTTTGTGCGGCGTCAGAGAGCCTGTTCCGCGTCACTGTTTGTGCGTATGCTTTCTCTCTCTCGTTTGCATTTTGTCGTGCTCGAGGGCAGGGGCCAGGCATTGAGCGCAGTCGAGCGAGAGCGCCAGGGAAACGACAGGTGATCGCGGGGACCCACAAGGCCACAGGCACACGCCGTGTCTCGACACCCCACCGCACAGTTCGTTTATTGCCTGTAAAGGGGGAGAGGGGGGGCAGGAAGGGAGCTTGTGCGGGGAGACGCGGAATGGGAGAGACATGGAGAGATGGAGAGATGGAGAGAATGGTAGGCCCGACGACGACGCGGGCAAAAGAGCAGAAAGCGAGTGGCCAGAGTGGGAAGCGAGCAGCATGGCAGGCGTACGAAACCCCCCACTCCTCCTCCCCCCTCCGGCCTCCTGTACGACTCTGCCAACACGGCGAGGCACACACCAGACGCTGCCCGCTTTCCAAACGCGCTTACGGGAGAGCAGGACACGACGCACAACGGCCACCATTCTGCTTGCTGCTGCGGTGCCAAGACTTGGTGGGATGTGAGAAAGGATTTGGCTTTCTTGCATCCCTGAGGGCCCAACCTCCCTTTTTTTTATTTCAACCGGCCAGTCGGCGCCGTGCTGGCGGCCGGTGGTGGTGTCGTTGCGATCGCCGGGCTTGGCATGGTCTTTTATGAGTCCAAAAGGTTCCAGGCCACAAGCCCCCCCACCCAGCGCTCAGTCATCGTGTCCACAGTGCCAGAGATAGCGGCGGGCAGGGAGAGAGAGAGGGAGGGCTTGCACAGCAAAAGTCCGCGACACATCCACCACACCATTATTTCATCTCTGATCTCTGCATATCTCTCTCTCTTCTGTACACACCCACTCGTAGAAAGAGCAGGTGAGACAATCAACAAAGCACACCCCATTGCCCAGCAACCCCCCCACCCGCGTCGTCAGACACCACAGCACACCACCACCAAACCTTACAGAGCAACCCCCGTGTCGTCACCAGACGCACCACCACCACCTGACCTCCCGCTTCCACCCACGTTTGCACCCGCGCGGCCCCCCACCCAAGCCATCCCATCCACTTCCATCCTCCCGCATCGCACATCCCACCGTACAATCGCTCCACCCCTTCAGAACACTCTCCATCCACACATTCTGACCCAAAAGTCGCAACAGCAGCGACCAACAACCATCTGGCCCTCTGGCACCCCCCACGCACCCCCCTATCGACCACCGCCCACCCTCGCCGTCGCCACCCAACCCCGCGCTAATCGGCCCCTTCCCTGCGCTCCCCGCCTCCACACCGCCCCGCCCCCGCGCAACACTCACTTCCACCACCACACACCAACCCATCTCTCCCACCCCCTCCCAAGCGCCGAGAGCGCTCGTTTAATACAATGGCATCGCCGCTATCCCATGCACCACGCCCGCTCATGCTCTCGCAGCCGCTGCCCGGCGGCATCTTGCTAAACGGCGATGGACCAGCCCCACTGGCTCCCCCGGGCCAATCTGGCGCGGGCCAGGGCCGCGAACGCGGCCGCCCTGCGGCTATCATCACTTCCCGGAGCAGTGCAACATCCCGTTCCCCCGCCGCTGCAATTGGCAGCACCGCCGACTCTCACGCGGCCGCGGCCGCTGCTGACGCCGCCTCTGTCGGCAACAACGGTAGCTCGTCGCCGCGCATCCGCTTCGCGCCCCTGCCCGACCCGGCGCTCATGAAGCCCCGCAGCCTGTCGACGGGCCGCAACGTCGGCCTGACGGCTGCCGAGGGCCCTAACGGGGAGCGCGAGTACAACGTCGAGCTCCACTACGGCGACCACGAGCACGCGCTCGACGACGGCGACGACTCGGATGAATACGACTACGACCCCAGCGGCCGCCGCCGCTCGTGGGTGCCCAGCATGGGCTCGGTGCACCTCGGCTCCATGGCCTCGGTGGGCTCGTGGATGGGCGGCAAGAAGCTCCTCGGCAAGCCTAAGGAGGGCTCGGGCGACGACTATGGCGCTCCGCTCAAGAAGAGCGTGTCGGCAGGCAGCATGTCTGGGACGTGAGTGACTTTGGGCTTATCAGGAAACCAACACGCACGTGCTGACACACGCCACAGGTCGCCATTCCGCCTCGCCGCTGACGGCGGCAAGAAGAGCCTGCTCTCCACGTCGCCCTCGTCGTCCGTGTTTGGCAGTCTGGGCAGCAACCGCCGTCCCAGCGCCAGCGTGCCCCAGCCCAACGCCCACCGCCGCGGCGGTTCCGGTGATGCCGGCGCCAGTGCCCTCGCCACCTCGGCGCCCAAGGTCCGTATGTTGAATGGACGCGTGTACGGTGCGCGCCGCGCGAGCGAGGCCGCCGCCGCCGAGGAGATGCGCCGCCGGCGACTCGAGCCCGAGTTTGTCGAGTGGGGCTCTGGACACGGTGCAGCCCCCGCAAGTGTGGGGTCTAGCTCTGTACCGAGGCGCAGCAACGACCCGGACGACGACGACGGAGGCGGCATGGCGTGGGTCCGCAGGCGTCGTGAGGAGCGCGAGCGCCGCGAGCGCGAGGAGAAGGAGGCCAAGGAGAAGGAGGACGAGGAGAAGGAGGACGCCGCCGAGGCGTCCGCCGACGTCGACGTCGGGCCCATGGGCGAGCGTCTCGAGCCCAGCACAGGTAGCGCGCCCGCAGCCGCCGTGTCGCCCTCGGACCGACCTGCGAGTCTCAGCAGCTCGGCGTCGTCGTCCCCCGCGCCCGCCAACGGCCCACTCACGCCGCACGAGGCGCCCGTCGACCTCGGCACCTTCCCGCCCGTCATCAGCATCACACCCCCCGTCAAGCGCCATGCCACGCCCGTTGGCGAGAACGCGCATGTCGTCCAGGCCATTGCGATCCCCGGATCGGAAAAGCGCATGGCCCGCCGCGCAGACTCGGAAGATGGCGAGGAGGAGGAAGAGGACGAGGACGACGGCGACTTTGACGATGACGACGAGGAAGAAGAGGAGATGGGCACCAGGTGAGCCAACCCATACCCCATAACACGCCGTTGTGGTCGCTGACGAAGAACAGCCGTTTGTGTTCCGAGGCCGCCGGTGTCGAGATTCTCTCGCGCCACAAGTCGCCGTAGGCCAGAAGCGAGCGAGAGGTGCTCTTAGAGCGCGACAAGGAATGACGGCGAGAATGGATCCACCACCACCACCACTACCAAGAAGCGGGCAGCGTATTACCTACCTACCTTACCTACGCGCCCACCCACGACACCCACCAATCACCACTATTTCGAAGACGTTTTTTCCTGAAGTTTATTGTAAAGACGGCCAGACCGAGCCCACCAAAGAAGAGTGAGAAACGTAAACCTTTGTATTTGAACCCCCGTTGTGCGTGTGTAGTGAGTAGTGTTGAGAGTTTAGTTTGACGGAAATGAATGCATGGGGTATCGCTCTTGCGTTCTTGGCTGGCTGGGGTTTGGTGCGGGCTGTGGGTGGGATCGGTGGCGAGCGAGCGAGCGAGGGAAGCGGGGGTGGGAAGAAGGTGGGAAGGAGGTGCGAGCGCGAGAAGCGAGAGAGAGAGGCCGCGGCCTTCCTATGACCTGTTAGCCGCTCGTCACGCACAGACGTGGTGCCGCTGTGCGCTGCGCTCTGCTGGGAAGTGAGCTCGCCGAGTGTCCATCAACACCGTCAACGCCGTGCGTATTTAGCTCTGTGTTCGTTCCCCACGCCCCAGCCCCTGATAAATGGCCAGGTGGCCAGGTCGGCGGGTGGCCGTCCACCGTGTGTCGTCGGGAGACGGGACGAGTCTGGGATAGTCAAGTGCATGTGAGTGATATCGTTTAATGGGGGAAGAACGACGCACATTCTGGATCCACCGTCTTATATACTGCACCCCCCGTCACTCGCTTGCCCACGCCCACGCCGGCCCCGGCGCGAGGATGGTTACTGACCGAGAAGCTGACGAGCGATGAGTGGACGACTGCGGGACTTGCCGGACGCCATTGATGGATATGCGCCTTTCAGGCGTCCAGACAGCCGAGCGAGCCGACGTGGGCGTGGTGGGTGTGGTGGGTGCTGTCATGTACCGGCCGTAACACGCAACGGCCTGCGGGATCGCGTGCTTTGATTTGAGGCCACACACATGCGTCTTGCAGATGGTGGTTGTGGATGTTGTGACACAGGAGCGCTGATGGTTATGGACGAGAAGACAGGAACTCGCAGCGAGATCAGATCGCCTTTTGGATGTGTGGGGTTCTTAAACCAGGCCCGCGTAAACGGCTTCTTGCAGCCACTGCACGCTCCGTCTAATTACCCACGCGGCGTCCTTGCGCTGTTCGGGACTCGCCTCGCCTGCGTAGATAGCCGGGGCCGGAGCATGCGATATGCTGGTGGTTATCCGTCGGGTGGAGAGTGTAGTGATCTGGTCAAGGGAAGGAAAGGAATCGACGGATGGAATGGACGCAGGGGAAGAAGGTAAGGTAGGAAGGAACGATGGAGGGCAAGTCACGAAAGCACCTTGCGTGGCACAACGTCTTTAAGCTAGACACTCTCTTCGCATGGCCCATGACCCATGAGTTTATGAGAGCGGCTCTTCAAAGCTCGGCGGTTGTTGCGTCGGCCGCCGATGCTGACCACAACAATACGCGTCAGCGAGACACAGTCCTTTGTCGGTGTTTCATTTGGCTGTGTGCCAGCCATGCCGAGATAATCAGGCTGATGAGGCTGCTGCGCGCATATTTCGAGGACAAGCTTCAATGCTCTTGAGGGACAAGGTTACGGTGCTGCTGGTCGGGGTGAGTTTGCTGGACACGCCTGCATTGTACCAGGGACACTGCTTGCTGGCGATTGGGGGGTTGGGGAGTTTGGAGGGTGGACGGCGGCACATATAGCACATCCGGTGACCTTCTTGCTGCCGAATGAGGCTGGGGCTCCCGCACAGATATCAGCAAGTACTGTACCACTCATTGTTCTCGATGTTATCGTTTGAGACAGTGTCGAGATCTCTCTTGGCGTTGTCTCTTCATCGACGACAACGGACATGGACGGCGAGTCCGCGCATTGATCGGCGCAACAACATGGTCCACTCACCCGCTGCGCCCTTCACTCATTCTTCCTTGCTTCCCACACCTCACATTCCCCTCATAACACAACCACATTCGCACCTCCACTCCCACCATGCCCCGCTGGGCGACAGCACCCATCTCCCCAGCGGCTAACACCCGCTCGACGCGCTCCTCCACCGTCATCATCAAGCCCGAGCCTGTCGAGACCAAGCCAGTCATCAAGCCCAAGCCCAAGGCTAAGGCTGACAAGACCATGCCGGCCAAAGCGGCGACAACGAAGACGACCAGCAAGTCTGCCAAGCTGAAGAAGACCCCTGTCAAGGCTGAGGCCGCGGCTCCCAAGCCGTCCAAGGCGAAAAAGGTGGCCGCAGCTAAAAAGGTCAAGCAGGAGCCTGCGCAGATCAAGCAGCAGCCCTCACCGTCGCCGTCGCTCAGCCCTGCCCCCGAGGTCGAGGAAGACAAGCCGGTTGTTTCGTCGCGCTCGGCCCCAAAGGCTCCCAAAGCGGACAAGGCTCCCAAGGCTCCAAAGAAGAAAGCTCCAAAGCCCAAGGTCAAGAAGGAGGCGTCGCCGTCGCCGTCGCTCAGCCCAGCTCCCGATGTCAACTCTCTCACCCAGGCAACGCTCCTCCAAGCCGAGGCCTTCCCTCACATCTTCGACGCCATCCTCGGGTCTGCATCTATCAAGACCCTCCTCGCTGTGCGCGCGGCGTCCCGCGGTTTCCGTGACGTTGTCGACTGCGTGCTCGCATCACATCTCGTCGTCAAGTTCAAGGACCGCAACGCTTCCCTCGTGCAGGTCACCCCACGCGCGTTTGATGGCAACTTCAAACCCTGCCCCACCGAGTGGGACACGCTCGAGCACTGGCTACACTACGCCAGCAAGGTCCGTGTCCTGGACCTGTGTGCTGACGTCGCGCCATACGTCAAGGCCGAGCACAAGGCGCTGTTCACCAAGCTCCAGGTGCTCCGTATCCGCGGCGAGCCTCACATGCTGGCCTACTACTCTGGCTTTACGGCACAGACGCTCGTGGTTTGCCAGGGCCCGTTCCACACCTTGATGCCGCCCCGCGCTCGTCAGACCCCGCTCCCCATCGGAACGACCAAGCTCGTCTTCAACCTGAAGCACCGCGCAAGCTACGGCAAGCCTTACATCGCGGTAGCGTTTGGGCAATACGAGCACCCGGAGTCTCTCAAGGAAATCGTCTTTTATGTCGACAAACTGCATCAGAAGAAACGCCCGCGCTATGACAACGGCCGCGGTCCCGAGGTGACCGAGGACGAGCATTACGACCTCGGGGGGCTGGTAAACGTCATCGTCCCCATGGCCTACTGCCAGGACGGCGACGACGAGGAACCAGAACAAGAGGACAAGGATGAGGACATGGACATGCCAGCGCGTCCACCCCGTACCGACACGGTCAACGAGAACCCCTGCAAGATCACGTTTGTCGACATTGCGCAGCACGTCAACCCCTCGGGCCAGTGGGTTGGCGACACGACCGTCCTCAACACCAGTGCCGAAGATGTGTTTGCCTCTCTGAAACAGATCGAGATGCTCAAGAAGATTGATGACCTCGAAAGTTTTGTCCGTTTCCTCCCCAAGGACGAGTACCGTGCCACCCTTTCGCCCGAGGAGTGGGACGACGAGACCAACTTTACGATTTAGTGGCGCCCGGCCACCAAAGGAGAAGGATGAGGATGGCGTTGACGCCCGGGATGTGCATGGGTTACAGTTGTGCATGGTTGAGTGTGGGTGTGCATAGTACAGTAGTAGCATTGTAAGTAGCGTTTTTGTGTCATGTATCATTCAGTCCCTGTGTCCCAGCAGACATGTCCGCGACCAGTGGCCTGTGGTGCAGTTCCTGTCGGCGTCACTTTTGGCTCTGGCCTAATACCCGGTGTCAGTCACAACGGCCGCTGTCCCCGAGGCCTGCACATGTGTTCGTCGGATACACACTAAACTGTATACACCCCGATGACGAACTCTGATGGCGACGGGGGCACGCCAAAATGTGTCACACACGAAACCACCGGCCTAACACCATCGACGTCAACGCACACCAAGGAACCAGAGATCCAGAGAGAGATTCCACTGCTGGAGATGAGCGGCAACGAGAAAGCTGTGCCATCCCGTCAGACTAAACCTGTCGCTCATGTCCCATCCGTCATGCATCCGTGACTGACCTCCCCCACATGCAACCCCTCGCGAGCGGCGGAACAGAGTCACTACTGGAGACGCGGACTGCGTGGGTGCTCTGCGGACAGACTTTTTCCACTCCACCGGTTTGTTGTTGATGGCAATGACGTCACCCGCCCCGATCCTCCCGAAGTGGCAAAAAGCGCCTGGAGCCCGAAATTTGCTCCCGTTTCGGGCTGCCTGCCCGTATGACGCTCTCGAGAGAGAGCGCTCCGTCGTCGTCGTTTACGCATACAATCCCTCGCCTCTTTGGCTCTTTGTCTCTCTCCAACAGGCCCCCCCCCCCACACCGTCTCTCTCGCCAACTCTTTTTCTTTTCACTCCAACCCTCTCGCCACACTCTTTACCACCCTTCATCTACATCTAACCCCTACCCCGCAGCGGGACGTCCCCACCATGTCCCACTTTGACACCCTCTCGCGCACGACCTCGAACCGCGGGTCCACCGTGTCGCGCTCCCAGTCTCTCGTGCGTAGGCAATGGTCGCATACGCGCGTCAAGGCCCCACACATGGGAGGAGATCACTGACGCTGCACTCACAGATCAAGAAGAACACGGCCCCTCATGAGCTCAAGCCCAGCGACATCCTCATCGAGCGCTTCACCGCCTGGAAGCAGATTGTCAAGATGTTGATCGGTGAGCGGGGGACAATACTCACTCGAGGGAGAATGCCGAAAGCTGACAGTTGCACACAGCATACTTTGAGGGCGTTGCCGACATTGAGGGCAACACGTCCAAGGAGCTCACCAAGCTCGCGGCCGTCATCCAGGTGCCCTTCCGTCCCGGAAACCAGTTCCTTGGCGAGGGCGGTATGCAGGATGTCTTCTACACCATCCGTGACAAGACCCGTGTGATTGCCGACTCGCACGCGTCGCTGGCCCGTACCATCGAGTCGTCGATTGTCCAGCACCTCCAGAAGCTCCGTACCGAGATCAAGGCGCACATCAAGAACGTCCAGAATGACACTGGCAAGCTCGCGGCGTCGGTCGCCCGCGAGCGTGAGCTCTCAACCAAGGCGATTGCCGACCTCGCTCGCGCTATCGGTGCCGTCAACCACACGCCGATGCAGGTCTCGTCCAAGGAGGACCCCTTCGCGGTCAACCTTTCTGTCCTCAAGCAGCTCCAGCGCCAGGTCCAGGAGGAGAATGCGCTCCAAAAGTCCATTGTCATCATGCAGCAGAACTCGGCCCACTTTGAGGAGGGTATCGTCCGCTCGATCCAGTCGGCGTGGGCGACCTTTGACGAGTGGCAGTCGCGCATGAGCGCGTCCGTCCAGGAGACCTGGCGTCAGCTCGGTGTCAACATGGGCCAGCTCATGCCCGACCGCGAGTGGATTGCCTTTGCTGCTCGCTCGGACCACCTCCTCGACCCCGAGACGCCTCTCCGCAACCCTGACGCCATCGACTATCCCGGCCGCAACGACCCCTCCGTCGTCCCCGTCCACGCCGGTCTCCTCGAGCGCAAGAAGCGCTTCACCAAGACCTACAAGGAGGGCTTCTATGTCCTCACGCCGGCTGGCTACCTCCACGAGTACACCTCGTCCGACCCCACCACTGCCACCCACCCCATCTGGTCCCTCTTCCTCCCGGCCTGCACCCTTGGTCCTCCTTCGTCCGCCTCTACTGCCAAGTCGCACAAGTTCCACATCGAGGTCCGCAAGGACGGCACGTCGGCGTTTGGCAAGACCCCCGGTGCCAAGCTGTTCAGCAGCACCGAGGCCTACACGTTCCGCGCCCGCTCGCACGAGGAGATGATGGAGGTCTGGAACGACCTGCGCATGCTTGTCGCCCGTTACCTCGTCGCCTCGGAGCAGATGGAGCGCGACGGCCCCATCGCCCAGGCCGTCCGCAGCGTCGGCTACCTGTCCGACGAGGAGGAGGAAGAGGACGAGGATGAGGAGGAGGGCTCGTCGATCGCCGAGGAGGAAGAGGAGGACGAGGAGCTCGACCACGACCAGCACCACGCCGTCGCCGAGGAGGTCCCGGCCTACTCACAGGGCAGCGCCCAGGTCGAGGTCGGCCCCAACGGCTATGCTGTGAGCAAACGGGTATGATGGTTTGTTGACCTCCCCAGCTCGAGAAGAAGGAACAGCCTGGATCGTCTGCCGGCCCGTCCGACCCCACCGAGGACACCGCGTCGGCCCCGTCTCGTCGTGCCGAGAAGGCGCCCGCTCGCGAGGAGCCTACAACTGGTGAGGCTCATTCCACTATCCCCTATTCCACCAATGCCGAAGCCGAAGCCGAGGCAGCCCCGGCACAGGCGGCGGAGATAACCGAGGCAGGCGCAGACGATGATGTCGAGGGCGTCGAGGGCGGCGCTCCAGAGGACGATGACGACCCGGCGGCCTATGCCGAGGCCGAAGCCGGCCCAGACCCGGACGAGGAACAGCACCAGTCCAGGGGCGTGCTCAGCATGCTCGGCCTCGGCGGCGGCAGCGGCACCAAGTGACGATGATCACGACCATGTTTCGCGTCGAGCTCGCAACTGGCTTCGCCCTCGCCTCGCCTCAGCTCTCGTCACGCCTTGCCGCTCGCACAGTCCCTATCGTTCGCATCTCCGTCCTATCCCAGTGCTATCCCCCTTCCCATCCCCCTTCCCATCCCCCTCCCCATCCCTAATATCCTTCCCGTTTGCTGACCCCTTAAGCCGACGACTAAACGCGCTTCCCCTCCACCCCGCGCCCCCCGCCCCCTCCTTCGCTTCTCCCTACCAAACCACTGTCTCGGCTTCTCTTGATTCCGCTCCCTCTCTCTCTCTCTCTCCCCTTTATTTTACCGCTGCGACCTTACACGATAGTAGTTTATAAGAGAAATCTAAATGCAAAAATGTGCTGTGAGTTGCTTCCAGTGTGTGGGAGCCGCCCCGGCGGCGGCTCGCGACGGGTTGACGAGGAAAAGGGTATGTACCGCTCCAATAGGTGCTCTGTGGAGGTGCGTCGGCTCCCCGCACTAACCATAGCGCACTCGTATTCGATGACCGAGTTTGGTCGGTCACATCCGCATCTCCCTTTTTCCCTCCCTCGCTCCCTCCTCCCTCCCTCAACTCTGTAAAATCCCGTCCTCATGTCAAAGCTCTCCGTCATCTTCCTATCTTCGTCCGTGGAGGCACAAGCAGACGCCGTTTGAGTGGGATTGTGCCTGTGTGGCGGCAGCCGTGGGGGAGGGGGGGGGGGGGGGGGGGGGGGGAAGCCCGATCCGCGAATTATTGCTGCATTTTTCGGGATTTTTTTTCGATTATTCACTCTCTGAATCGCCACGCCGCCTGTCCGTCCTGTCCGTGCTATCGCGTCTGTCCAAACCAGCAGATGATGCTTGGCGGTGTGCGTACTCTTCATGTCCTACTTTTCATACTGACAAGGGCACTTTACGAGCTGGGCTTGGAGAAAGGCGTGACAATGGCGTCCATGGGCCCGTGCAGTCGCCGTCAAGGTACCTGGGGTGGCGTCTGGCTTGCTTCTCAATGGCCAAAGAGGCGGCAGGAGCTGACCATATAAGTACTCCTGGAGGTGCGTTAAGGCCCGTCACGATTGTCCTCTTCACCTTCAAGGTAAACATCCTGCACACCATCTATCATGGGCTGACTTACGTAGTTAAGAGTTCACTCATTTGACAGCCATGCCGTACCTGGCGCCGCGGCCAAAGTACGTCATACGTTGCTGCTCAGAGTCTGACTGACCGTGCAGCGGTAAATCTACACTCCTATCCAAACCCCCTTTAGCTTCAGCTTCAGTTTCGATAGCCAGCACCAAGTCTCCTATCAGCACACCAACCAGTCACCACTCGTCGACCTCGTCTACTTCCGTCTCCTCCACTAGCCTTCAATCGCAACCACTCCAGGCGGCCACGAACGCCAAGCTGCCGCCCAGCGTGCCAACGGGAACTGGATCTCCCACTGTACCGTCTGAGACACTACCCGCTGTGGGATCTCAGAGCACTACCTCCGGGGGCGCATCCTCTCCAGGCGTGATGCCGGCTGCCGCCTCAACGACCTCGGCAGCGACTGGAGCAACTGGACTGCCTATCATTTCAGCCCCGTTGTCCCAGGCTGCCCACAGTCAGGCTGGTTCCACAGCATCCCTGCCCCCGAGATCAAGTAATGGGCCTCCTTCAGTCGCCCCTTCCCTGCCCACCGTACAGGGCCTGACCGATTCTGCGCGGTTTCGACCTCTCGATTTCCATTCAGCGTCCCCACAACGCCTTGCCCAATTGGGGATCACCAACATTTCCCCCTCCGGCACCGACGAGCTGACCATTCACAATTCGTACCTTGCCACTTGGGACGGGACAGAGCGGGATAGATATCCGGGAAAACGATACCCATTCCCGTTCGTCGTGACACCGGACGACGCAACGAAGGTGGCTGAGATGATTCACGACACTCGGCTTCACAGAAGAAGGCCTACTGTGATACATCCCCCCGTGACACCGGTCCCCGTGACACCTACCCACAAAACCAGGTCCAAAGCAGCGGTGTTGATGACCTCCATGGCGACGGCGACCACCACCGCTCTACGGGGGAGGAATAGGTCAACGTCAACATCAAGCCCTAGTACGAGAAGTAAGTCTAGGTCCTTTAGATGACAATCCGAAACTGACCAATTTCAATCAGAGGTAAGACTTACGGCCCAGTCCCAGTCAGCAGCTTCGGCCTGGGTTCGGAAGCAAAGTTGGAGTCGCCTGGTGGGTGTTTCTCCCCACGGAAACCTCATCGCGCGCGCCCCCACCCAGATCTTCAAGACTCGAGAATATCTTGCATTGGAACCGAACGAAAGCGAGTGGTGGCTTTTGCCGTTCTTGAGCAGATGGCCAAATAAGCGGAAGTCAGGATCTGTTCTCCTCCCCGTGGACAAACTGGAGCTCCCACGGGAAAAGGATATGGCCCCTTTAATCAGGGAGTCCGAGTCCTTTATACGCGACAATTACGACCCGGCTGTTGTTCTCACCTATCAACGCTCCTTTTATAAGCTGCTTCTACGCCACACAGCAACGGTTACTCTTGTCCTGCCAAGCAGAGGTCGACAACCACCTAGCTCAGTAACGAAACAAATCTTACAAGGATTCAGTCGGCAGCGCCACTCAATAAGTGGAGCGACAGCGGCATTATTGATCCACCACGTTTCAGGCCGATATTACGATGAATGCGTGTGCGACAGGTTCTTGGGAGTCGCTGGAGAGCTCGTCTGGCGCGAAATTCGAACGGCCCGCCTTGGGGGATATATTGAAGAACGTGTTCTGGGCAGGTATCTTAGGGGCGAAGTTACGAAAGCGGCGAAAGATGGCTACGAGCTCTGCCACAACAGTATTGGGCAATGCCATGACATTGCAGTGTCAATCCTTCACAGCTTCCATTCCGACTCGATCCACAAGGCTGGAATGGCACTCCAGTCAAAAGTCGATCATATGTGCAGTCTATTGGAATGGGGAAAGGGATTAACGCGGAGAAGGACTGCCGGCATTCGTCTCATTGCACTCCAACAGGCGCTTGCCTACGCCTCTCTGGTTGGCCTCCTCAAAGACATTCTGAAAGACAGTATCCAACACCATAACAACGCAGAGGCTGCCTTTGCTGCCTTGACAACAGCTGTGTCTGCCGGTGCTGGTGCCGCCTCCGCCATGGTCGGATCGGGGGCAGAGCGCCTGGTGGTGGCCTCAGTCGACGGTGCCGGCTCCGTATTACACTACAAGCTCAAGACAAAGCATGCCGCAGTGCAGGAGAGATATCGTCGACTTATTGTCGATGTTGTCGACAAATTCAACGTGGAGGTACTACTTCAGGCCGACTGCGGCAACATTAGATCTCTCGACATTAAATCCCCCCCCAGCGATCCCGATGGCTTGCAGTTAGGTTGCCCCGACAGATATTTGATTTCACGGCCAACCCCATACGACATCTCCATCTTTAAACAGACTGCCATCAACGCCTTTCTTGCAGCAACAAGACGGGAAGGAGTCAAGCTGTCCCAGGAATCAGGTCGCCCGGCTGTTACTTCGCCTTTCAACGACCCCCTTAGTCGTGTCACTTTAGGCGAACTCCTGGCGTACGGTGGACATTCTTTGGCTGCAAAACCAAACCGGCCACATTTCGCCGAACACATCCTTCAAACTGAATTGGATAAACATTTCCCTCCAGACCAGGTCGACGACTGGTATACTCTAATCAAATGCACTGCTCGCCACATCACTTGGCCGCACTGGATCGCGGGGAACCCGGATTTGCCGCCCCTGGTCCGTGACATGGTAGAGTCGATGAGTCCGGGTTGGAACAAGCAGATTTATCCCTTTCTCCTGGATGGGCACCGGGGGCACAATGTCGACTCCCTAGAAGCAACAGAAAACTGGTTTGAAGCCAAAACTGCCATGAACCGCCTGCGAGTCAAGATCCAGTCTGCCGAGAGGAGACTTCCCGAGGAGGTCGAGATCGTGGACAAGGTCCGATACTTTTTTTGCGATCCACCCAGGCTGGCGGAATATTGCGAAGCATCGTGCCTGGGGCATTATCGTAGCGCACATTTCGATTATATCACCTGGCGCACCGAAGAGGGAACTTGGGCCTGTGTGATGGATCAGCCGTACAATATCGTGTGTTCCGACTTCAACTGTGAAATCTGTCCTGATAAACGCCGACATCCCTGGTTCGCCGAAGACACTCCTGCGCTACAATACCATTATGTGGATAGACCCCCAGTGAAATAGAGCGTCCGCCGACGTGCATGGTCCTTCTAGTTGTCTATGTAAGCATTGACAGTGTTCCCCTTGGACATACTTGCACGCGTCCTTTTCTCTTAGATATATCCACCAATACAGCATGCATTCATCTGAAACTTGGTATAACAATCGGCGGTTATATAAGAGTAAAACGTACTCACCAAATAAGAGAGACATACCTTGGTAGTGGGTGACACCATCATGGCTTGATTCTAAACAAAAAAGGACGAGAATCGAAGCTGCACTCCCTCTTACTGCCCTTATGACGATGACTGATCAAATCTACATCACAGGTGAACAAAGTGTCATCAGTGATCATCAATCATTACTAGTAGTAACAGGTCACTTAATTCATTGTTGGCATTACTACGGAAACACTACGGGGTGTTGAAGAACGTGAAGAAGAAGTTGTAATGGTGTAGCAGAACCGAAGCCAGTCCGGTTTCAATGCTAAAGGTCCTAAAGACCAGGAAGGGCGACAGGAAGACCACTGGGGAGAGCGACAGGAAGGTCGGTGGGAACGACGTCGGTGGGGAGGACGTCGGTGGGGAGGACGTCGGTGGGAACGACGGAGGGAACGCCAAGGCTGGGGACACTGAGGCTGGGGACACTGAGGCTGGGGACACCGAGGCTGGGGACACCGAGGCTGGGGACACCGAGGCTGGGGACACCGAGGCTGGGGATACCGAGGCTGGGGAGGGCCACGCTGGGGACGGCGACGCTGGGGAGGGCAACGCTAGGAAGGACTCCACCGGTGAGGGAACCGAGAAGACCCTGAACAAGACCGAGGATGTCGTTGAGCAAGCCCGAAAGGTCGGGGGTGTCGCGGACGGAGAGAGACGAGGTGGTCGACGACACAGTGCTAGAAACGGTGCCTCCCAGAGCGCCAAGGAGGCCCTCGACGGTCTTGAGGAGGTCGTTCAACAGGCCGCCGAGGTCGGTCGTGTCACGCTTCGAGAGAGCTGAGGGATTAGCAGATGGTCGCCACTAGTGGTGAGCAGAGAGACTTACAGCTGAGGAGGCCCTCAATGGTGGTCAAGAGAGAGTTGAGCACGTCGCCAAGGCTACCGGAGGTGAGGCCACTGACAGCGGAAGTGACGTCGCTGGCTTCCGAGGTGACAGCGGAAGTGTCAACACGCTTGACGGTAAGGGGGGCAGCGACGCCCAGGTTTGCTCCAGTCAAGGTGTCGAGGAGGCCTTGGACGGTGGTGAGAAGCTGGTCGAGAAGACCGGAAACGCCAGAGAGGTCAATGTCACGCTTGACTGTGTATGGAGTCAGCTTGGTCTTCAAATAATAAGACCTGAACTCACGACCAGCGGTGCCCTCGACTTCGGCAATAAGCGAGCTGAGAGTAGTGGAAAGGGACTCGAGGCCACTGATGTCGACACTAACCGGGGCGAAGATGTCGAGATCGCGCTTGAGCTCGAGGTCAACATTGACCAGGAGCTGAATCTCAAGGATGTCGTTGCGGACGGTATCGAGAAGGGTGGTGAGGTCGTCCCTGCCAGAGACACCAGTGGCAACATGGGGGATGGGGGTGGCGAGGACGCTGCCCAGGAGCGCGAGAGAGCCAAAGAGGACGGAAACGCGCATAGTTGTAGTGGGTGTGGCGGGTAGTTGTAAACGGAGACTGGGGAACAGAAGCAGAGGACTAGGTAGGTGATGAAGGTGTGGTGTTTGCGAGGATGAGAGAGAGAGTGGGATGAAGAAAGAAGAAGAGGGGGAGGGCAGCGGCCTTTATAGACCCACAAACCGGGGGAGCTGTGGTGCTCATGTTGGCCGACTGGGGCCTTCGTCACCTCGCTGGTTCTCTGGAGAGCATTAACGCGAGCTCAATGTCTCCTCTTCATCCCCTGCTGCCCCACCATTCTACCTGCCAAGCAGCACTACGAGGTCACCCGGCTTCCTTAGTCACACGCCTCCCCCTTGCACTAGCACTCTGCTCGTCACCATCCATCACCCATTTGCACCACACCAAGTATGGCAGGACCATGTCAATTGCCACTAACTCGCCATTCATCGCCGTGAGATGCAGGCACGTGTATGGACTAGCTGTCAGGGGTCAGCGGAGTTGTCAGAGCCCATAAAGGAGACGACCCACCACCGAGATGTTACAGATGATCTTTTACTGTGGCACTGCAGCTGTCAGTGTGCACGTCTGGCACTCTGAGAGACACGACAAGCCATCTAAATGATGTCACACTATCCCTCTCCCAACCAAAATAGGCTAAAGGCATTGGGACATAGAGTTTGCCATTCAAGAGCAGTCCACTGCCCGCCGCTGAGAGTGGGCCCCTGAGTTTCAAATGATCTTAGGGCAGAGTGGCGTCGAGTTGAACAGGTCATGTTACGCGCTAGTGTGGAACAATCCTTGTCTAGGCGGCTTTTACAAATCCCTCATTGGGGGGGAGGAAAAGCGAGCAGTCACTTGTACTTTCAGTTTCGCGCCCGACTTTGGGGAAACACAATCCCATTGCAGTGTCTGTGTACCTGTGTCGCTCCTCAACGACATGTGCCGAGGGTGTATCCTGCCGCCCAAGGATCCAAAGACATGTGCAAGCACGTCTATTGCTGTTGGGTTTGTCTATTTTGCGAGGGATCCTGAAGGAGCACGGTCAGAGTGCCGTCTCAATCCAATACTGTCAAGGGAGGACAGCCATTAAAGGCGCGACAATAGCTGGGTTGGAATCAGATCCACAAGCCTTCCGACAGCCACAAACAGGTGCACATAAAGGGCTGGAGTAATTCGTCGGAATGGTGTGGTGTCAGGATATCAAAGAAATGGACGCTCGAAAGGAATATGCATTCGTCAGGCACCCGGGTCCGCCGCAGTCCACGCCCACCCGCAGCAGGCGACGATGGCGGGCGGCCACAGGGATATAGAGCGTGCTGCGCAGATGCATTACATTGAGCAGTCCGAAAGTGAGGAGGACTGGATTGAGGCTCCAAGGGGCCGAAGTACATGGCGCAAGCATAACAGGTACAGCCCATCATCACGCTACGGGATAGGGTTGGCAAACCTTGCACGACATGTCCACAACAAGGCTGACCATTCAGAGCATCAGAGCACTTCAGAGCACCAGTTGCTTGGGGAAGAACGTAAGACAAATTCAGCATATGACTGAGGCTAGCGCTCTAGTGGCTAGTGGTCTAGTGATCCGGGAAAACGATACGGAGGTGCGTGGAGGCGGAGAGGAACAGTCCTCGATGTGCAATGTTGGCACCGTAGCGGAGCGGCGACGGCACCTCGTCCGCGGAGCAAAACAGTAAATACAATGGCGCCATGGAACGACACAAGCCGGCATGCTGTCCACTGTCCGCGGATCCACGGCGGACCCGCCTTCGGAGTAGCTGGCTCTCGGATCTCCGGACTCGGTCGACGGGCCGCTCGGAGGGAACGACCTGCCCGTCTGGATGGCTCCCCCCGTCTGCCACACAAGGCCAGTGGCGCATGGCCATGGTGGGGGCCATGGGCGTCCTGCAGCATATGTACCTAGGCCCTATGTCTACCCCACGTTCTATGCAACTCCTTGCTGTCAACCTCCAAGAGTTTCGCGAAGATGTAATGACCTCAAGGTCCGCGATGAGCTGAGAGCTGAAAAGACTCGCTGTACTGCTGTAGAGTTGCCACTGACGACATCTACCAGGCACCGGAGCCATGCTGCTCGCCTAACTTCGGCCGCGGACTGGGTCCTCCTCAGTTGGTCAAGCTGCCCAGCAGCTCACTGATAACTGAATTTTGCCATTTACGACTGTATCCCTTAGCCGTCGATCGCCTCGACATGAATGCCATTGCAGCGGGGCTGGCATGTACATATACTTTGCATTACGGGCGGAGCCAGACGTTCCCGGACGCGGACTTACATCGGCGCCGCGCTGTCCTCACGGAGACGCTAGTCCGCTGTCCCAACGTTCTCGCGGACTAGTCCAATTCGGCGCCACTGGTAGCGACCTCGCGGTCTTAATTGGACGGTTGCCTTATGTGCTGTGCCATATGTACCTTGGTGGACCTCGTGTTCACCTCGCATCAAGCCTCCTGGTCAACCATGACGGTCCTGCCTTCCTAGACCTGCATTCTCGCCATATATGTGCACTGTTACGTTGAGGCGCCAGACACGTCGCCACTGATACACTGAACAGCCCTTCTCTTCCCCCAAAGCTGGGCTGAGGCCTTATGTACCTCAAGATATTCGCCCCACTCTCAAACAGAACAAATGGCCTTCGAGCCACAGTGTGCTAAATGTTCCACAGCAACAACCTGTGCGGCACTCTGACCCCTCCGAGGCGCTGTAAGCAAACGGCGACGCTTGGTATAATCCGCACACGTGCCATTTCCCTCTCCCTCATACCAGGGAACCATAGCTGGTACATACATATCATATCGACAGGGAACCACGGCCGACTCATTATCAGTTTTGCCCAGGAGACAATTCCCCGCTGATTCTTTGACACTGCCTCCTCTCCTGTGCTGAGACTGAGACCGTTGGGGTTTCACGCAATTCAAGCTCCGCCTGTATTTCCTGAATTCACGCACCCATCTTGCTCCCCGTATTTCTTCGTTCTTAGATTTATCTGTATTCTCACCATGTGACCAGCATGGGATGGTCTCCCCTTGTTTCTCTATCGTATCCGCAGCTGGAAGCAGCAGTCGTCATGGTACCCAGCACCTCACCTATTGTTTCTCTCAACTGAAATCATTCACCCCACCGCCAGTGTCGCCAGATATCTCTGCCACGCCATCCGCCTCCACCAATGCGGAGGGTCTCCTCGTCAAAGCAACTCTTGCCAAGTTGCTCCGCGACCAAAGCCATGCTCAGAACCACGCTGTCCACGCCTCACAGCCGTGGCGCAGCAAACAAAAGCCTGCCAATGCGCATCGCCAGAAGCGTAGAAATCTCGTGTGGCGTTCGTTGGGATGGGCTGTCATCTTCATGTGCTCATGTAAGTTGGCTGCACCTCAGGTACCCTCCGCCTCCTAACATCTACCCAGTCACACTTCTGGGTTTGAACTTCGCATCTGCCGTCAGTGACCAGTGAGTCGGCCCAACATGCCAACAGAGGGCATGCACCTGGGTTGCTCTCAGGAGGACCAGCTGAAGCCGTATGTAGCCACCCACCGGCCCTGCGCGCCTGGACCTACAACCTTTCGTTTATCATCCTTGGTGTCACATCAGCGTGCGGCTTTGGCTTGGTCACAACCACAATGCTGGAACTCGCGGTGCACTCGCAACCTGGGTGCCGTCGTGTCCGGAGTGCACTGGCTCGGAACTCGGCAGCAGGTGAGGCAGGCGTGGCCCAGGGTATGGTGTAATGTGGAAGAAGTGGCGTTACTCTCGGTCCCGAACTGCAACATCTCCAGACGACTACGGAACCAAACCATCCAGTGTACCAGTGTGGCAGCCTAACTAGCTTGTGCTCCATACGATCATCTATTTGCTGCCGCCGTTGTGCTATGCGTTGCAGAGTAAGATATGTCACCCTGTGCTATGTGTTGTAGAGCCATGATATGCATGACAATCCCATACCATAGGGCTAGCACCTAAACTGACAATAACACTAATTTACTCCAGGATATATCTCCGTCCGACTTTAGTACTTCTCCTCGTCCTTGAGGGCCTCGAGCTTCTTCTGTTCACCATCCTTGATGGCGTTCTTCTCCTCCTCAGACCAGGCAAAGTCGAAGTGGTCCAGGTGGCCCCAGTAGAGGGGGAACAGGGGAGCACATGCGGCGCTGGCAACGGCGAGGGCAACCCAGGTCCTGCGTTGTTAGTCCTAGAACACTCGGAGAATAAAACTGTGGCGAAACATGGGACGAAAAAACAAAGAATTTCCCCGATTTTCGCCACCATTTCCACTATTTTACTCACCAGGTAAGGTTAGGGTCCTCGATGACCTTGGAAAGCGCCATGGAGATGGCAGCACCAATAGCCGAGTTGAAGAGAGCCATCGAGTACACGAGACCCTTCATGCGAGGAGGCGAACGGGTGTAGGCCAGCTCGTACGAGGTAACGTTGACGAACAGCTCTCCGACCGCGGGGAGGAAGTAAGGGAGGACCTGCCACCAGAGGGAGACGGGGGAGACGTCGTCACAGGTGGAAGCAAACTCGAGACAAGGCGAGGTCTTGTAGATACGGTCCTGGAGGACGGCGGCGGACACACAGCCGAGCGAGGCGAGGATGAAACCAATGGACATGCGCATCATGGGCTTGATGGGGTGACCGATGCGCTCCATGAAGGGGTACAGGCCGTAGGTGATGATAGGACCGAAGATGATGATAGCAAGGGGGTTCTAGAGGAAAATGTCAACAAATGCGCACCAAAGTGGGACGCGGCCATGATCCTGCCACTTACGAAGTTGTTGAGGAGGTCGTTGGGGACACCGTTAAGGGTCATGGCGACCGACATGTCGTTGAGAGCGTTACCAATGCCACCGTCGGCAAGGATGAAGACGGGGATGATGAAGAAGACGGCGCATGCCGAGAAGGTCTGGCGAACCTCCTCCACGAACTGGGCGTCCCAAGCAGGGGCGGCCTCACCGCGAGCAAGGACCTGGTCGGGGTTGGCCTTGCCCCACCATGCGTCGTCACCACGGCCGAGCTTGCGCCAGCCACCGTTGGAGAGACAGATCTTGACGACGCGCATAGCATCGGGGACGACGGTGCCCTGAGGAGGAAGCTTGACGAGACGAGGCGAAGCCCACCAGAGGAGAGGCGGGAGAGCCATGTACATGATACCGGGGACGAGGAACGCAAGCCAGAAACCGACGAAACGAGCCGAGTACTGGGTAGCGAGTTGCTTCAAGATGTTAGTAAACGATACCCCAGCACCAGGGAGTGACTTACGCCAACAAGCGAACCGACGTTGATACACAGGTAGAAGATCAAGAGGTAACGCGAGATGGTGGCCTGGGGGTCCACAATGACCTTCTCGCCCTTCTTGGTGTACTTGATCATGGGAGTCTTGATCGGGCTCTGGTCACAGAGCATGGGACCAAGCGAGGGCTTGATGAAGCCGGCGGCGAAAGCGAGGATGATGATCGAAACGATGAAGGTACCCAGTGAGGCGTTGGGAACGGCAATGACCTGAGGGATGGCGGGGATGACGAGGATGACATGGGCAATGGCGCCGATAGCGGTACCAACGCAAATGGTCTTGAAACGACCCCACTTGTTGTCTGCCACGATACCACCCCAGATAGGAATGACATAGGCGAGGAAGGTGAACATCTTGGTCAGAGCAGAGGCCGGGACGGAACCAAGACCGAGAGCGCCGGCCGACTGGTTGAGGCCGAGGTCACCGGGAGCGACAGCACCGGCACCGTTACCGCCGACGGGGAGCTTGTTGTTGATAAAGTTGTTGAAGGGGCCCGAAGTACCGTAGTACGAGGCACGCTCTGTGAACTCGACGGCACACATGAGGATGGCCACGAGACTAGGTATGGAGTGAGCGGGTGCGCATCATGTGGCATGCGACTGTCACTCACGGCATGCCTGCGGGGATTTTGCGAAGAGTGTGCAGCTCCTCGGTAGTGGGTGCGTATTCGTCCTCATGGTCGGCCGAAGTGACCTCGACAGCGGGGCCCTCGGGGACCTTCTCGTCGTAATCGTACTTCTCCGACTTGGTCTTGTCCTGGTGAGGGACAGACACAACGTCCGCAACGTCGTATGCTGGGAGGGCGGAAGACATGATGGGTTGTGTGGGGGAAGCTGCTGCCACAGACCCAGCTGTATTATGTATCGTGCCCCCAGCGGAGCTTGGATCCAGCTATCTCTACCAATGAAAGCACCCTTAGTGGGCACTGGCACACCCGTCTACCATTCAGGTTATCCCTGTGCCCAACAACCGCAGCGTTCACGCTGCGGGCAACTGACCGGCCACTGGCTGCACGCCGCCCCATGTGGGGTACTAGCGGCAGTAGTTGGTGGCTCCGCCATGCCAAGCCACAGCCAAGTGGTCAAGATGAGGCTCAGATTGCGACAGGCATCGTGCACCTCGCGGTCCGTCACGGGGACACAAGGCACAACCTGCCTATCCTGCTCGTTGCTCTAGGAATAAGCTCAGAGCGCACGGTGGGCTGCGCATTCGGACGGCTCACGCGGGTGGGGGGTGGGGGGGACCAACTGGCTGGTGCCACTTTTGCCGATTGTCGCGCCGTCCCATCATTTGCGCTTGGCATGAGCCATGTTGGGACCAGACTGCGCCATTTCGGCACCTCCGGGTCGGGCAGCGATGGCAAATGTCCAGCAGGGTCCCAGCGATGGTATCAGACTGTGCCGGGACCACGATACCGTCTGGCAGATAAGTCGCTTAACGCCAGAAGCACCACCAGGGCGGGGACAGGATCCCAAATGATGGGCCCAGCCAGACTGCCACAGGGGGGTGCTTCAGGTTCCTTTCTCTTCATCCTGGGTCTGCGACTTCCAGTCAAAGCTCAGATCTAAGAGCAATGTTCCATATCGCCAAGGACTTGGCCCACATGTGCCAACGTGCTGCAACTTGATCGTCCAGGTGTGTCCTATGCCACAGCGCCCGCGGCGCTGCTCCCGGTCCACCAATGCCACCGATGCGTGAGGATCCAACGAGGATCCAACGGTGCCAAGGCTATCAGTGCTGGCATTCGGACCCGGGTGCTACCACAGTGTTGTGCGGCAAATAGTCCAGGCACACCGGTGCGCCAAGCCGTGTGCACCATGTGGGTCGTTTTTGGCCCGGGTGGTCCTATTTTCCTGGATTTTCCTGGATTTTCCTGGGGTCCATCGCATCCCGCGGCTCCGAAGCCTTGGCCTATCTAATCGCCATACACCGTCTCGTCTCCGCTGTGCATTGCGCAGGTGCAGTATGGCGTCACATGAGGACGAGAGTAGAGCAGAGTAGTGCCCGCGGTACATCCATTGCGGGTATTGCCACATCCATTCCCGCCTACCGGCCGAACTGCCGAGCTCCGGCAAGGTGCGGCGCGTCGCTATTTACTGCCCACCACTGGCCTCCACAACGACCCCGCGCAAACCGGCTTTGCCGCCCCCTGTCGAGGCACACACCGTCCGCTGGCCGCTGGACGTCCCCGGCCTCGTCGTGATTGTTCTGAACCTGGAGACTTGGATCTCGGCACAATGCGGAACTGTTCGTCACCCACATGTGTCATCGGCGTGATACGAACGCGAGATTGATACCAAAAGGTGCTATTTCACACTCTATCAACTGTATCCTTGATAGACGTCAATTCTACCTCAGGCGCCTATCGGACAGACAAGAATAGCTACGTCGCCCGCCGCGCGGATGTGCTTGTGTTTGACGAACGCTTTACGCACTGCGTTTGTCTGGCCCCCCACAGCTATTCGTTTTGGTGTCAGCTGTCCCCTGTCCATCTCGTATCTCGTTTATGTTCGCCATAGGGGGACTGGAGACCACGCATGTACGTAGATGCTGACCCTCCGTGCACCTCGTGGTGGCATTAGCTTGGCGAGACCCACGACGACGTGCCGCATGATCGCACTGAAACGGCCAAACATGGTGGAGCTGCCAAGGTGTGGCTTGATCTTGCCCGCGCCCCGTATCCGCCTCTCTTCGAGTGCGGCACCGAAACCCGAAATGGGTTCAGTGTCCAATGTTCTGGGCCACTACCAGCTGACGCTTTGGATTGGGTGTATGTTAGTCCGGCGTCTGCGTTGCAGATTGTTGACCTGATATAATGATCGGGAGGATCAACGCCTGGTCAGGTGTTTCTTTCCCTCCAGGAGAACGCGTTACCTGAGCAGGAGGGGCCATTGAAGAGCCAACCGACATCACTGCCTCGCTCATGGGTAGCCAGAGCACCCGGTTCACACTCCCCGCTGTACCGGCAGACACCGTTGGCCACAGTTCGTATGAAAATGCATCGACAAGTTGGAGGAGCGATCTCGGCGGAGGCAGCAGAAAGAACAACATCTTCCGGTCGCGTGGCCAAATGGTACGGCGTTTGACTACGATTCATCTTCGTGTATCAAGAGATCGCGGGTTCGATCCCCGTCGTGACCTTTTTGGAGCTCTTGAGGGCGTGGTAGAGATGCATGGAGGCCAGGAAAGGTTGAAGGAAGAGGAGAGGAGTTGGAAGGAAGGAATGGTGTGGCGTCCGATGACCATCGGCGATTTCCGTTGTGGAAGTTTTATGTTCCGTCGTCTGTTGCTGAGATTTTGCTCATGGAGTCGGCGTTCCGTAGTCTACAGCCTCTACAGTGGAGGTTGACAATGTGTAGAAGCCTTGGGACCGACATGTGAGCCGCCGCAACGCAACTTGCCATACCGGCTGCGGCGACACAGCCATCTGGCCGAAGATCACCGTCTGCGCCACCATACTGTCGGGTACAGAGAGTGTCACGAGCCTGTGGCGGTTCACCAGAACTTTGACGCATCATGTTTGCTCTAACGCGAAGACCTGGAAGGCTCAGCCGAGGCCAGTCGGTCCGGGAAGGCGCCGCACACGGTCCGCGTTGTGCCACTCATGGCTTAGAGCCCATACGCGCCACTTTGTCCACCCATCTGTGCTCGAGTGACTGCCCTGTCAGTTCTGCCTGCTGATCATACCAAGCGTCCGCTCTCTACAACCCAGATGGGCAGGCACTGGATACCCAGTCTAATGATCCTATGCTGAAGAACATGGGTTAGGACATTGACAGTCAGTGGGCGACAACAGCGCCCCATAGGGCCATGTAGTTGGACACATGTCGCCTCCTCTTCGTATGTTTACTCTCTGTGTGTTGTGGTCTGTCTAGGCCTCGGTCCAGCGCCCAAACCCCAGACAAGACCAGTTCCAGACCCAAACCCCACACTCCACCCCTGTCCCAGCTTCGTGAAGCATCACAGCCATCTGTCGCACGCGACCTGGTTTGTGGGCAGTCCAAGCCTACTCAGCGACGAGACATGTACAACATACATCCAGATACTCGATCGTGTCCACGGTAGTGCGAAAATCGACTCCTTATTGCGTACTCGATGCGTTCTAGCGGGTGGCGGCCTTGCCGACAGCCCAGATACCCTTGCCGACCATCTTGATGGCGCCGCCAGCGACCTTGGCTGCGCCGTGCCCGATACCGCCAAGCACCTGCGTAGTCAGTATCCTGTACCTAGCACAGCTGCCCTCTTGAGTCGAGTGCACTCACCTGGTCACGGCGGTTCGCATCGTTGACATTGTCCCAGCCTTGGCTAGCAGTGTTGGTCACGTTGTTCCACACCCCACCCTGGGCCGGCTGCTGGTCCTTGCCGTCCCCCTCGGCTACTTTGCGGTGGTAAGTTGGCGCGTCCTGTCCTTCCTTGCGCTTCGAGGGATCCACGTATTTGGTGGGGTTGACCGCGACTGGACGAGAAGGAGCGGGGTTCTGCTGGCGCCAAGAGGATGTCTGGGCTGGCTCGACGTCGTAAAACTGGGCATAGGACGAGGGGGGTGGTGGAGGCACGCCGCCGCCGCCGTGGCCCTTGCCCTTCTTGAGGTCCTTGAGGGATGAATAGGAGACTGGTTCTGGGTATGACATGCGGTGGGTTGTGGAGGAGTGAGGAGCGGTGGTGAGAGTGGACAACGTCGGTCGGGGAAAGAACCCCCCGCAACAGCGCCTCCACCCGGAGATCACGCCGAGCCACCCCCAGGCCGTAGCCAGGGAATAGCTTTGGGCGGCCACACCTTGCATCAGCCCACTCTTTGTGCTGCAATGAAACTGCAGCGACGTCCTTCTGATGCATAGCATCGCACATGGAAGGCATGACACTCTCAGCACCATCACCAGGCCTCGTTTCCATCAGTCTTGCTCTCGAACGACATTTCCGGCCCGGCTGCTAGGCACCACATTACCCCGCATCCCCACCGCCGCGGTCGTTTGGCCCCTCGTCTTCGCCGTCATAAGATCGCGGAGAAGTGTCCATCACGTTCTCTTGAACACATCACAACAATAACAATACATTTTAAAACATAGAACAATGTCCTCGACAGTCGACGGCGAGCGGGAAGATATTGCAGACATGGCAGACGAGCATGCCGTCGACGACGCGCTCCCTCACGACCCTGTCCCAGCCGCCAAGCAACCCGCTCCAGACGACGTGGTCTCCGACACGCCCACGCCGCCCGCCCCGGGTTCGGTGCCAGCATCAACCACGGTCGACGAGGACGAGCGAGAGGCCGCAGCACTGCACGAGCCGTTTGACGTGCCTTCAGCAGACGACGTGGTGAAGGACGAGCTCGTCGCTGCAGCACCGATCGCTGGGGAGGAGACAAAGACCGAGGAACGGGCCATGCCCGACGGCCTCGACCCCAGCCACGATCACGGCCCCGACTCAGTGCTGGCACCGACGCGCGACGACGAAGACACAGCACCCCTCCGCGAGATCGGTGTCGATACGCCGCCCCCAGATGACAGGCAGTGCCGTATTTGCCTTGGGGGACCCGACGAGGAAGCAGAGTATGGACGGCTCATCAGCCCATGTCTCTGTGCCGGCAGTATCCGAGTGAGTTCAGCTGGGGAGGACGCTCCAAGTGTGACTTAGCTGACGGCAACAGTATGTTCACAGTAGGTTGCAGCGACCACCCGCCATTCTGACGTACAGTGCAGTGCATCAACCAGTGGCGAGAAAGGGGCACCAATGCCGTAGGTTGAGGACTTCAAGGAAAGTTGCTAACTTGCACAGAAAGGCTTCCTCGGTTCGTTCCTCGGTAAACACCACCTCCCCCCACTGACCTCCTGCAGAGTGCCCGCAGTGCGGATACGCGTATCACATCCGCCGAACACTGGTCTACGGCCTCGCACGCTCGCGGCTCGCCATCGTCGCGTTGACGACGTTCCTCTTCATGACCATGACCCTCGTTGCGGGCCACTTCCTGCTAAAGTACCTGGTGGCCGCGGCCATCGAGGCCGACGATGCCGCCAGAGCAGCCGAAGCCGCCGCAAAGGCAGCAGGTCTCTCCGCTGCAGACCTGCAAACCGACACCACCGGCGGACACTTTGACGGCGACTTTTGGGAGTCGGAAGACGGCCACATGGTCATGTACGTCGGCGGCGCGACGCTGGTGTACGACGTGGTCATCGAGTCGATCGAGACGTTCCTCATCTTTGCGAGCGACGCGTACGACTATCTCCGCCACGACGCTGGCTGGGTATCGGTCCTGGCGCTTACTTTGGTTATCCGGTTCATCCTCGGTCTCGCGCTCCTCGGCTCGATCAGCTTCCTCACCTTGCTGGGCTCGCTGTCGCTGTTCGCGCCTCTGCAGCTCATCCACACTCTGCGCGGCACAGGCCTCTTTGACGGTATCCGCCGCCGCATGAGTGGCCGCAACGGCACCATCCTCGTCGTCACGTTTGTGCTTATCGGCATTTTCAACAGCATCGTGCAAGTCTACGACATCGTCCAGTCCCTCACGCTCAAGATGCTGCGGTATGTCGAGACGCAGATTGTCGAGGTCAACTCCCCCGAGGGTTTGCGCGCACGCCAAGAGCAACACGTCCCCGGGTGGTGGGGCCGGTGGTGGGCCGAGCGTCGTTGGAGGACGATGAGGGGATGGTACGAGGTGTGGCTCCGCGGATGGGTCAACGTCAAGGAGCGTGTGCGACAGTGGAGGGCCGGACCAGCTTTGGCTTGAGTATGTAGTTTGAGCAGCGTGGAGGGCTAGGCGTAGTCATGTCATTACGGATTTCTTACAGTCTACAAAAGTTTAGGCAAGGCAAGGGCTAGCACCCAGAACAACTCCCTCTCCTCCCGGCTCTACGGAGGAGCTGCAAATATTATCGTAGACTGTCGCGCGTCTTTAAAAAAGATTGGATGGTGTGAAATAGAAGAGATCCCAAAGGTTACTGGGTCTCGGCGAAGACGGCGTCGACGACACTCGTGGAAGTTGCAGGAGCCGCAGTGGCTGCACCGCCTGCGTACACTGTGATTCCCTTGCCGTCGTGCCAGCGGCCATGCTTGTCCCAGTGCCCGCCGTTACGCTTGCGGTTGGCCTCTGAAATACCGTCGCCGACAATCGCACTGCGGTATCGCGTCAGCCACCCATGTCCGTCCGCCTCCCATGTCCACCCGAGGTAGATCTCTCGTACCTCAAACGCAGACCCTTGAGCCTTGCGAGAGCCTCGAGCCTCAGTCTGGGCCAGCTTTCCCGACCGTTATCTCGGCTTGGCTTGGGGCCCTCGTCCAAGAGCCTTTCTGGCCCTCACACGTCGAGCCACGGGATCAAGCACACCATGAGGAGGATGACTCCGACGGGAATGACTAACCCTACAACCAAGTAGATCACGAATGCCCAGAACACGGCTCCAAAGAACCTGCGGCGCGCGCGCATGAGGGCAATGTCGTAAGGCGAGATGTAGACCAGGACACCGCCGCCCTCGGCCTGGGCCGGCGTCTGGGGCTGGTAGATCGGTTGATGCTCGCCGCCGCCGCCGCTGTGCTGGGCGTACTGTGCGTGCTGGTTCGGAGCGGGGACGTGTACCCGGCCAGCGGGGTAGATGACTTGGTCGTGGGAGTCTGGGGCGCGGGTGGTCAGCAGCGTTCTCCTTGACGACACGGACGGACACGAGTCGGGTTGGTATCAGTCGTGTGACTCCGAACACACTCACATGGAGGAGGAGCAGCGTCCGAGGGCCCTGCGGGGGTGGCCGCGACCTGTGCGTACGATGGGCCGCCCTTTGTGACCTTGGAGTCGTCGTTTGTGGTCACCATTTGTGTGTTGTGTTGTGGTGGGTTGTGAGAAAGGACGAAATGCACCACAAAGGACGCGCAATCCTTTGGTGCGTAGTTTGCGCACCGCATGGTGGTCTGGGTGGCGCTTTGGGTGGCGAATTTGGTTCCGTCTGTGCGACGTCATAGGCAATGTTTGGTGGCAACCGGGTCTCTTGGACGCCGGTACGCCGAGAACTGGAGGAGAGAGCCAGACGTGCAGACGTCAACAGTCAGGTGCATGCTGCAAGGGGGTGCCGGGAACAAGGATTACTGCTGTTCGCAATGAATGTCCATTAACGATGTATGTGCTCTATTGATCTATATTGATTGTTCTTCTTCTTTCCATTCACAATTTCTGCTCAAAGCTCCGGCTTGAACTTTGAGTACGAGCGAATGCGCGCACCCGTGTGGAAGAAGACCAGAGGGATAGGCGCCAGGACCAGAGCCAGAAAGGCCAGGAGCACCATGGACCAAGTCCCCTGCCAGCCGAGGTTGTGGACCATGCCGGTGGTGAAGAGCGGGAACGCGCCGCCAAACACCGAGCGCAGCAACGTGTTTGCCGCGATGGCGCTGTTGGCAAACGAGCGGTACATGTCGATGAGGTAGATGATACCACACTCGAAAATGAGGACCATGCCGCACATGCTGAACGAGAGGGCGATGATGGACGGCCATGGCGACGAGACGAGGGCGGGACCCGTAAAGGCGAACCAGAACAGGCCGATGGGGAGGAGACACGCGCCGAGGCCCATGGGGAAGAAGCGCTGCTCGGGGACAGCGTCTTCGCCACCGGAAGCCTCCACAACGCGCTCGTACCGCTTCATGTCGAGGATAATAAAGGCACCGCCAAAGAGGATCCCGACAAAGACGGCAAAGAAGGGCGCCACAGACACAAAAGGGCCCATGCCGCGGTACTCGCCGAAAATGATAGGCACAGCTCCCATGAGCATGTACAGCAGGGCGTAGACAAAGGACATGTAGACGGTGATGACGAGTAGCATGGGTTCGGTAAACAGCATGCGGACCGGGCGGAGGATGTAGCGGACCACAATGTCGCGCGGGCTGAGTGTGATGGTGTCGAGCTCGGCGTGCCACGCCCAGTTACCCGTCTCGCGACGGCGGTTGGCGGCCGCCTTTTTCAGAATGGCAGGCGCGTACGCCTCGTCCATGAACAGCGTGAGGAGGGTAGTGACGAGCACGCCAAACGCGACCATGAACCACTCGGGCCAGCGCCAGCCGTATGTGTCCGACATCGTGGCGAGTCCTGCGCCGATCAACGGGCCGAGCGCAGGCCCGCCGGCCGTGGCGACAGCGAAGAATGCCACGCCGGCCTGCACGTGGATGGCATCGTAGACGTCGTGGAACCATCCGCCGCCAATGGCGTAGGGTGCAGCACCGAACACGCCGCCCATGAAGCGGCCCAGCATGATGGTGGCCAAGTTGCCGGCGCCGGCGGTCTGGATCGAGAACATTGTGCCGAGGAAGATACCGAGCACGAGCGGCCATTTCCGCCCCAGCACCTCGGAGAGGGGACCGAAGACTTGGGGCCCAAAGGCAAACCCAAAGACCTGGAGGTATGAGTTAACCAGAAGTACAGGAGTGAGATATCAACCCAGCTGTTGAGACTATGCAAGGGAAACTACACAGCTGGGGGTGGGCGTTACTCACAAACATGCTGTTGGCCAACTCGGCCACGACGCTGCCGACATGGAACCGCTCGGCAATCTGGCTGCTGGTTCCGCTGAGCACGGCAGACCCAATGCCCGCCCACAGCGTCGCAAGGGTGATGAGCACCGTCTGGAGGACCTTCTTGGTCAGCCTGGTGCGTCAGCTTGGTTCACTGTCCCCATGGCCCATGGCGTCATGGCATGATTGGGGAAGGGGAGAGAGGTAGTGCGACCCTGGGCGGAAGAGTGTTGCGTCGGAAATGACCTCCGACGCGTTTTTGGACAATCGCGTTTTGTCGCGTCGCAGACATGCAGACAACGACAACAGCACAGCTGCGCATGCATGCGTGCATGCGTGCGTGCGTGCGTGCAATGGCCAGAAGCCAAGGTGCTAGGAGGTGCTACTCACGACCAGTTTTGCGGGTTGCGCGGGTCCGCCTCGCTGTCAAAGGTGACGACGAACGCGTCCGTCTTCTCGAGGATGGCGCCGACGAGCTCGATGGGCACCTCGCCGCGCACACGGCGTTCCTGTTCCGGCGACCGGATGCGCTTGAGCGTGGACGTGGGCGAGGAGGGCATTGTCGATGGCGCAGCGGTGGTCGTGGCGGAGTGGGGGAGGGAGTGGGGGTGGGGGTGGGGGTTGGCCTCGATGTCGTGAGGCAGCGTCATGGCGGGCAAGGAGCGTGGTGCGGTGATGAGAGACGAGTACGAGAGTGGGGAGTACCGATGCAAGCACGATAGTCTTATGTGTATCCTCTCGCCCTCGGCGACCGGCCACCCTCTCGCGAGCACACCCAGAAACGTCGTAGATTTTGCCCGCTCAACGCGCGCACCAGAGGTGGTGCGACACGAATCGCCGACCGAGATGATTACAACAACAGAGCCCCCATCTCCGCAGTCCTCCTTGCCGTTCTTGCTCTGTTGTTCCGCCCACGCACCGACCACCGACGCTCCCTATCTCCAGGCTCCAGGCCGTCATGTCCTTGACCAGCGCGGGAATGGCCTCCGGTGCCCTGGGCGAGCAGTCTTTTGCTGCCATAAGCCATACATGGGTGGCGAGGTGGACGAGGCCAGGTGCGGCGACTACGGGTAAGATCCCAATCCATACCTTTTCCATGTTTCCAGGGTCTTAGGATTTAGGACGGGCATGCGTGGAGATTGTGATGGGTTTGATTTTTTGTTGTTGTTTTAGGTTTGGCGAGAGACGGAATTGCGGCGAATCTGGGCTGCGTGAGTCGCCGCAGTCACACCCTTTTACCCAACCACCTGCACCTGGCTGCTGCTTTCTGCAAGTCCGACGCCGGAGACGGCGCGGTGTAGAGAGGTTTGGAAAAGTTGAGTGGATGGGATGATGGGACCGACGTCTTGGCACATGTGCATGGGGGTGACTAATCATTGACGTCAGTGGATCAGTGGGAGCAAGGTTGGTGCATGTCCGTGTGGGCAGGTTGTTCCCCAGCAACATCTGGTCAGTGGGATCAGTGGCTGGCGGGGCTTCAGGCCGAAGACTATTGATGGCTCATGGCTGAGCATGGCGGCAACGGCGCCGTTGTGGAGAGTACCCCTTCCGTTGGCATGCATGTATATTGTCCGAGTATGGCTGTGTTTTGCCTTCCGTTGCCCAAGAGGCCAAAGAAACACACTACGTGCGGCGAGCGGCGCTTTGCGGCACGTAGTGTGTTTTTCCCAGGTCCCGAATTTTCTTAGTAATATCATTAGTAATCTCATCAGTAATCTCATTAGTATTGTGCTCAGATTTGTTAATATTGGGTCCCGAACAACAAAACACTGCGTGCAAAGAGCGGCAATTCACCGCGAGTCAGTGGCCTCGGACACTCCTGTAAGTACCCCTTGCTCGCCACACTCAAGCTGTATCAGGATGCATACCACTCCTCAACCTCGCCCTCGCCCTCGACCTAACTGCGTGCCGCACCACCTCCGATTTATTACAACAGGGGCTCGACGTCAATCTCGAGCGCCGACGCAGGACGCGTGAGCTCAAAGTTGGCAAGCACCGTAGGGTGGAGGATACCCAGGGAGCCGAGCTTGATGTCGCGCGCGGCAGCGGCACCGGGGAGGGCACCCTTGAGGGCGCCGGCGACGGTCTCGAGGGCGGAGCCGGCGGCAGCGGCAGCCTTGGGCTTGGGGCGGTAGAAGACGGTGGCGGCGCGGCCGGGCATGAACGTGCTGTCGGTGGCCTCGGCAATGTAGTATCCGTGCTCCTTGTCCGACTCTGCGCGCTCGATGAAGGGGATGGCAAGGATCTGCATGATCCTGTCCAGGAGACCGTGGACGACCTCGAACCCGGCCTTGCGGTCGACGTAGACGGCGCCGAGGCGGCGGTGGTTGCACGACCTGCGCTCGGCCTCGGGGGCCTGGAGGGCAATGTCCGACACCTCAAAGACCTTGAGGGGGAGGGGGAGGGCCTTGTTCTCGCGAACGGTCTTGAGGAGACCGGGAAGCAGGGACGTGCGGACGACCTGGAACTCGATCGACTTGGGGTTGGCGAGCGCCACGGCTGTCTTGCCCGGGTCGGGGCGGTTGAGCCAGGCAAAGTTCTCGTCGTGCGAGCACAGGATGTAAGGGAGGGCCTCGACCCAGCCGGCCTGGGCACACTCCTTGCGGAGGACGTCACCGAGCTTGTTGACAGCGTAGGGCTTGGCGACAGTCGAGGTGGTGGGGAGCGAGGTGGGGAGGTTGTTGTAGCCAAAGGCAATGGCATAGTCCTCCATAATGTCACACTCGTGGAGAATGTCCGAGCGGGTGCAAGGAATGTCGACGTCGAGAACGTCGGGGTCCGAGGCCGAGGGGCGGGCAGCAAGCGACATCTTGGTCAGGAGCTTGCAAGTCTCCTCGCGGGACAGGTTGAGGCCGGTAGCCTCGTTGAGGTACTTGTGCGACGCGGTGGTCTTGCGAGGGGCAATGTTCGGGGTGAGAGCGGTGGTGCCGTCGGGGTAGTGGATGAGGACGGGTTCAATCTCAAAGGGAACGGCGCAGTACTCGGCAAACATGGTGGCCATGAGCATGACGACAATGTCGAGCTTGGTCTTGTCGGTGGCAGTGACGTCGACAAAGATGTTCTTGGTCTTGCCAGGGATGATCTTGGAGTGCTGCGAGTTGATAATAGGCGGCATCGAAAGCACCTTGTCGTTCTTGTCGTAGATGATGGGGTAGGCAGGGGCGTCACGGATGATGTGCAGGTACTTGTTAAGATGCCTGTCCTGCTCAAAGATGGTCATGAGCTCGGTCGCAGTGTGCTCAGTATCCCGGTTGAGGGGGGCAAACTTGATCTCGTCGGGGTTCTTGCACATGTACCTGTGATGGTGAGCTTTGAGTCTTCATGACAGTGATAGCTCACCTGAAGGGGCCCTCGATAGTGTCAAGGTCATGGGTACCGATAGCCACAAAGCGGCGCATGCGGCACAGGTTCTGGTGGAGCTTGTCCTGGAGGTCGATGAACGACTCGTACTCGAGCTGGCTCATGGGACGCGCGAGGCGGAGGACGGCGCTGGCGAACATGGGACGGAGGGGGGAAGTAGAGGCCTCAATGTACGCCTCCTGGAGGACAGCGGGCTGCGACAGAGTAAAAGTGGGGGGAGCCTCCTTCTCGAGGAAGACACGGAGCGAGCGGGCCAGACCCTCGACACAGAGGAGGTCGTAACTGGACACACCCGTCAGCAGGGAGCGCAATCGTGGATAGCCGCGTCGACGTACCGGTTGGCGGGGATCTCAATCTTGAGCTGAGGGGGAGGGGTAGGCTGGCCAGCCTTGATAGCGGCCTCGACATCCTCGGTGGTCTGTACCAGTCAGCACGTTGTACTCCCATGTGCGTCAGTCCGTGCACGTACGTCCTCGTCGAGCTCGATACCGAAGTCGAAGCACAGCTCGTCAAACTCTTGGGTGGCTGTGGGATTGTCAGCTCGGTTACTGGGGTATGACAGCTGTACTCACTGTACTCGCGCTCCAAACGGCGGTAGAGGTCCGCCTTGTCGACGGAGATGGTCGGCTGTTGGTGTCAATCAAGGCGTCCACGCAGATGGCATGGGTCATCATCGGTCTGTGTGTCTCGCCGACGCCATAGCTGCCGCAAGAGCGCACGGTCAACGTACCATAGTGTAATTTTACTTTTCTACTGTTAGTCTAATGGGGTAGAAGGCGTAGAGATGGTCCTTGTCTATAGGGAGACGGCGGCGAGACCCAAGATTGTGGTGGAGAGGTATAGGGTGTGGATGGGTGCTGTTGGCGGCCCGACATTTCAACGAGTCAACGAAAAGACCCACCACGTGGATTTGATCCCGCTAAAACACGTCCCAAGACGTCCCAGGTGGAGGACGACCAGCGGCCAGCGGCGTAGGGACGTAGGGATAGCGTGCTACAAACGTGTGATGGTCGGCTGGGTATTGCCATGCATGGTAACTTCTGTGGACACTACGCCTTAGAGCTCGTCATGGACATTCTCCTTCTCCTCCTCCGCTTCCTCCTCAAAGTCCTCGGCCACCTCGGGCTCTGGCGCGTCGACGGGGGTGCCGCTTTCCTGCTCGCCAGCCACCTCCTCGTGCTCGGCGTGAGGCGACTCGACAGGAATGTCGAGCTGGGGCTCGGCCTCATCCTCCTCCACAGGCTCGGGGGCAGGTGCGTCCACGGGGCTGGCAGCCTCCTCGTCCTCCTGCTCCTGCTCGGCGGCCTGCTTGGCAGCGAGCTTTTCCCGGCGGAGACGGTCACGGCGCTCAGACTCCTCCAGCTTGGCGCGGCGCTTGGCGTCTGCGTCGTCCGTTGCCTTGTCCGTCGCCGAGGCCCTGGCCTTTGACGCGTCGGAGGCGGCGGGCTCAGGCTCAGACGCGCCCTTGGGCTTGTCGGCCGACGAGGAAGGCAGAGGGGTGCCGCTAAGGTGTGCCTCGAGCCATTCGAGGATGGCGTTGAACTTGAGCGCACCTGGGATGTCAGATGGAGCCTCTCTACCCTATCTGACTTACCGTCATACTCCACCACCTCGGCCCTCGAGGCGCCTACGGGCCAGTACACGAGCCTAGCGGTGTCGCGCTTGTCAGCGGCATCGTAGACGCCCACGGTGGAGAGGACCTCGTGCTTGGGCGTGTCGCGGACGTAGCCGAGGAACATCTTGCCCGAGAGACGGTGTCCGAGAACCTTCCAGAGGAAGGGGATCGACGGTGCCGAGGGGTGTACGAGGAGGGCGTGCGGGAGCGCGGGCTTCTGCCAAACGTCAGCAACCAGTTACCAGTGCCGTGAAGCTCACCTCGTCGAGGAACTTGGTCACGACCGCATCTCCACCCTCGTCTGCGCGGTACTTCTTGACACGCTCCGGGATCAACGACTTGGCATACTCTACCATTGGGCCCCTGTTGCGCTGACCCTCGTATGGACGGGCCGCACCCTTCTTCCCCCGGGGAAAGGCCTTGATGGTGGGGTACCCCTTGACATCGTGCTCGGCGCAGAGGCGGCGGTTGGCCTCCTCGTTGCAGTTGACGGTGTAAAAGGGGATCAGAGGGGCGAGGGACTGGGCCGCGGAGGAGAACTCGGGTCCCAGGTTTTTGCAGTGGCCGCACCTGAGGAGGCAAGGTCAGTTGTTGATGCCGTTGTGGCCAGGTCAACTGTAATAGCTCACCAAGGTGCGACGAAAGCGACCATCTGTGTCAACGGTCAGCGTGTACACTTCATGGGAAATCAAGGCGCTGTCGAGAACGCTGTCTGCAGCGCCTCATCCGTCTGACAGAAAGACCATCTCCCACTTACCGACGCGTGCTCGACGGACATGACGCGGTTCCAAGACTTGCTGTCCAGTTCCTTGACTGGCTCGCGATACATGCCGGCGGCGAACAGCTGCGGCGCAGTAGCGAGGGCCGCCAGGGCCAAAGTCAATGCTGACCAGTGCATGGTTGTAGAACGTGTGTGTGGGTGTACCAAGAGAGCAAGACAAAGGAGGTATGTGAGCAACAAGGTGGGACCGGCGAGAGAGGGGTGATGCTGCGCTGGCGCAGGACGCGTGAGGTGGAGGGCCAGCGTGGAGGTAGACAAAAGAGATTACGTAAGGTGACCAAAGTGGATCGTTTTGCCGGGGATGTCTACTTTACAGCCGTAAGGTAACGGGCTAACGGGATAGACCACACATCGAGCAGCGAATACACAGCAGTGCATCAGCTGCAGCCTGACGTCGCCAGATGTCTCTCGGGGTGAGGACGTACACACCCAGACTGGTCATCAAGGGAGCACACGCGAGTCTCCCGATTCTTTCGGGAGCCTTTGGGAGCAGTGGAGCCTTGGAGTGGCGCGAGCGAGACCGGTGGGGTAGGGGTCCGAGCTGCAAGGGACACAAGGCATGGACAGACAGACTAGCAGCGACGATATAGAGAGACGTAGAGAAAGAGAGAGTGTGTGTGTTCGCAAGGTTCACGTCAGCCGGGCCAGGAGTAATCCAACAAGTGGCCAGTGGGCGAGAGCTCGCATTCGGAGAATCGTTATCGTCCCCCACCCGTTGTTCGCTATGGGTCCTTGTCATTGCGATCGACCACAGGCCACAGGCCACAGAGCAGAGAGCCAGAGTGCCAAGACGTGTGCGTCAGCGGCGGCTCTTGCTCTTCGTGCGCGCCTGTACGACGGCCGTGGCCGGGACGTGCCTAGCCGGTGGTGATCCGAGTCGGGAACACACTCCACCCATATGACCCACCCAGTCGGCGCTGACGAAGCGTTTGGGTAAATTTACACTTCCATTCCTCAGGCCTCGTCACAACACTGCATTAGGAATATTTTTATTACCCCCCCCGCAGACCAATGCAATTAGAGGAACGCCCAGCCTTACTCCTTTTGCCGGCTGTGGCTGGTGACTCCATCGTCTGACTCGATCGAGAGGGGGATGACCCGACCCAGACGCCGCCCACAGCCGGAGGGAGCAGCCAACAACCACAACCGAAGGCAAGAACGTCAGCGGCGGTGGCAACGACAATGTGTGGTGTGGCCAGGGGCAACAGGGGGGTGGGGGGTGGGGGGTGGTGTGTGTCGGGAAAGTGGCATCTGCACCGCAGCAACAGCAGTGGTGTGTTCTAGTAGGATCCAGTACGGCCGGATGGGATGAGATCTCGGTGACTTGCAAGGGAAACAGAGGGAGGGAGAGGAGCTGACAAAAGCTTTCACCTGTGCGCATTGCCCGCCTGGCTCTGACGGCTGACGGCGCCTTGTCACCCACGCACAACACCACCCCTGTTTAGGGAGAACGGGGGTGTGGGTTTTGTATTGGGACACAACGAGCGGGACTTAATTAGAAGCGAATGCCCCGCCTTATCACCCCTCCACAGCCCACCGCCCACGCCTTCCCCCCGTTGCTCTGTTCCCGGCCGGCCACTGTCTCTCCCTCGCCCTCGCAGTCCCCCCGCTCCCTCTCCGTGTCCTTCTCTACTTATCACCACATCGGCTCATCCTCATCTCCTCTTCTCTCTTCTTCTCTCACATCCACACCCTCCCACGTCTCTCACAGAGTAGCATCTACCAGCTCTCACACACACCACCACACCACACCACACACTCGCACCCCCTCCTTCAACAACAACCCTTGTTGCCCATCATGTAAGTCGCACGACCCCCACAGTCCCCCCCCCCTTCCACCCCGGTGGCAACCAATGCCACCCCCCCCCCCCCCCCCCCCCCCCTTCCGCACACCCACGTCGTCCTCTCCCACCCAGCAACCCAGCAACCCACCGTCCATCAGTGTGCACTGGGTAACCATCCCACCGCTCTCCTCGCACATGAGGCGCTCTGCTGGACTGCTTGGTTCGCTGCTGGTGGAAGCGACAGTTGCATCCCGCTGGTGTGGATGCGGGCTGTGCGCGGTTCCTGCTGCTGCCTGCCGCCGTCGTGCCCCCCCCCCCCCCCCCCCCGAATGGAGCTTGGCGCTGACACATGATCTCCTCTGCTCGCCGCACCGTCACACCGTCCTGTCACGTCCCTACCTCAACCTCCTCCTGCTTGCATACCCGCGTCTTGATGTGCACGCCATCTCCCGCATCCTCAACCCGCTTATTGCGACTTGCTTGCGCCATTTGCTACATCCCCCGCCCGTCTTGTCTCCCGACTCGATCCACTCACCCACTCTCCTACATCCACCGCCCGTCTCGATATCCCCGCGACCGTTCCCCCATCACAGGCCTGCCAAGAAGCGCTGCCAGTTCCGCGTCATCTACAACATCCCCGTCTCGCCCACCACCGATGCCGAGCCCGCTGCCGAGGGATCAGAACAGCCCAAGCCTGCCATGACCGCCAACCCCACCCAGTGCCCCTCTGCCGCCGTCAAGATCGTCGGCGACTGCCCCCACTGCAGCAAGGTGTTCTGCAGCGCCCACCGCACCCCGGAGGCACATAACTGGTGAGCTATTTGAGTCCCGCTAAGGTGTGCACTAGCTGACATGGATCCCAGCACTGGCATGCAAGCATGCCGCGACGCCGCGTTCCAGGCCAACAAGGAGCGTCTGGAGCGTGAGCGTACCGTCGCGCACAAGATCGCCCAGGCTTAGAAGCACACGCCTGCTGCCTCCCCCCTTGGCCTCAACCCCCGCCCGCGCGTGCGCGTGATCAAATACGCACAACACTCGTTCGGGGTCGCCTTCCTTTTACCTCTACACCGCAACCCAAGGCCGTGGGACAATTATTGCTATAGAGAGCCCGCCGAGGCGAACGGGCTCAATCCGACCGTTACTGCCATTCGCATCTCTTCATAATTGACTCCCCCACCACTCCTTCCTCCCCAACCCAACCCCATCCCCACCCCACACCCATCCCCAACCAATGTGTAGTTCTCGTTTGTACCATCTACTCTTTAATGTAGACCGTAGAATGAATCAAATCTGTGTCCTAGCCCCCCAATTTGCGACACTGTGAATCAAAGAGAGAGCAAAAAACGACGTCAGGCTGACCTGATGGGGTGACAAATGGGCGGGTTGTATTGATTGATTTGGATTGACTGAACTGCATGAGGATTGATGGTGGCGGCGGCGCTGGCCTCTGCGCGCCTCTGGCCGCTGGCCTCTGGCCTCTGGACTCTAGCGTCTTGTCGGCCCGGCCGTGTGATGAGACAGGTCTGGGCTGCCGAAGCAAGGGGCAGAGGAGGTTGTAGGGCCTGCTGCGGGCTGTGCTCGGGATTCAGGTGGCCCAGGCTGCTCGGGGCAAGCGACGAGATCCAAGCAGTGACGACAGTGTGCACGTCTGCGACAGTGGGACCCAGGTTGCAGGTTGGCGTATGCATTCCGACTGAGAGGTTGGGCAGCGGTAGGGGCTGTCGGCAGGCGACACGAATGCAGCTGCAGTGTGTGTCTGCATATGAACTGTCTCGGGGCGGCAGCCGCTTGGCAGCAGGGTGGCCAAGTATTACACTGGGGTGGGGAAAAGGATATGATGACGTCGCATCCCCGCCGCAACCTGCCACCCACCCCGCGCCGACAACGCGGCCACACCACTCTTGCCATGCACTCTACCCCACCACCGTTTTGGCACTTCTCGTTCTGACACATTTCTGCACGTCACTCGTCGTCGTCGTCCCATTGCTTCATACTCGTCGTCACCACCATCTCCGCCCCGTGCGCCCACCCGTCCTTGTTCCCCACTGTCGCTTACATCAAACAAGGGCCCCCCGGCTAGTCCATTACCTCGCCTCCTCCCGACTTTATCCACCGGCCACTGCATCTCCTTCCCTCCCCCGCGCTCCCAGCCAGCCTGGCATACACCATGGCCGACCAGGACCATTCCAACCTCCCTTACAAGCCGCGCCAGCGACGTGCTCGTCCAGACAGGCCGCTCCCGGCTCCTCCTCCCGAAGAGGACGCCTGGAGAACCACCACGGGCATTGAGAACAACTTTGATGGCGACTACATGTCGCCTCCGTCGCCGCCGCGCGCACCCGCTCAGCCGACTTACCAGCCTCCCCCTATCGAGAGCTTGAGCATTGCCGAGGACAAGGCTGGTGGTAACGGCGATGCACCTGAGAGCAGTCTCGCCGAGGCCATGGCCACGTCCCTCGGCGGCGGCGGCGGCGACAGTGCTGCCGCACCTGCTCCCCGTCCTCCTCGTCCCGCTGCAGCGCCGCGAGTACGCCCTCCTGTTCCCAAGACCAATGCCCAGTACAGCTCAGCCCACATCAACCCGTACCACACCACCCTGCCCAGCGGCGACCTCGTCCCGCCCACGATCCTCACGCCCCTGCGAGCCCATTACCTCAAGAAGAGCCTCGTCAACATGCAGATCGCGTACGAGATCAACATGATTACCGACCCGGTACTGGGAGCCAACGCATTGGGGCTGTTGGGACCGCCCTTTGTGCTTCCCGACGCTGCAAAGGAGCACGTCGCCGCGCGCGTCGGCAGCGAGGCGGTGCCCTCGGCGTCGGACATGGGCGACCTGCCGTTCCTGCGGTTCATGTTCCACCAGTTCCTCCTCCCCTTCCCCTTCCTCGCTGCTGCGCCGCCCAGCTTCTGGTCGGCCAAAGTACAGCCATTCCTGTCATCTTTCCTCGCTACGACAGGCATGGTGACGCACTCGACCCTGACGCCCGACGAGCAGGACGTGGCCGAATCACTCATGACTAAAGATGAGAGGAAAGAGGCCGAGGAACGCCGCAAGCTCTGGGTCAAGGTCGAGAAGCATCTTGGACTCATGATCGGCGTGGGCATCAAGCTCGACGGCGGCGAGGAAGTGGTCCGTATCTCGCAATCGGAGCTGCGCAGGATCGAAGCCACCCAGCAGACCCGGCACAAGAAGTGGGCAGACAAGCACCCACAGCTGGCAGAGGCGATCATGTTCGACGTCAACGTCGTCGGCGTCCGGGCCGTCGTGGAGAAGGGCCGTGTGCGAAGCAGGAGCCATGAGGTGGGTTCTGTCGAGATCAGTCAAATGACACCGCGCTGACGTTTTGCACAGGAGTTCATCATCCGTACGCAGCGGTCGGGCGTCCATGACGTCTTTGTCTCGAGGCGCTATGGCGATTTCCGTCGTCTCGCCGAGGAGGTGGGTATTTGTTTGTGGAATTCGTGCTTACCCCGCAGCTCCGCGCCCACTTTCCAGAGGCGCCGCTGCCCAACCCGCCGCCCAAGAACAAGACCGTCTCAACCGCGCCGCCTGCCACTGCACAGGGCTACAGCGCGTACAACCCGATGCGCATGATATACGGCTCGGGCGTCTCGCCATCCCCGTCGGGCGCCTCGACGCCAAAGGCCGGCGCACCGCCCACGCCGGGCCTCGACGAGCAGCCCGAGTCGCCCTTGTCCCCCGGCCCGCTCTCGCGCGAACGCAATCGCCTCACACTCCGCGCGTACCTCGGTGCCATCCTCGCCATCCCCGAAATCGCCAACTCGCCCATCATGCGTTCCTTCCTCCTCTCGCAGCCGACGACACTGACGCCGCCCGAGGCCGCCGACATTCAGCGCCGCCTCGAGGCCGACGCTGTCCGCGAGGAGGGCCGCAAGCGTTTCCGCGAGGAGGCCGAGCGGCGCGTCGAGGCCCTCCGCGAGGGTCTGTCACAGTTCAAGGGCGACGTGCTCACCAAAGAGGGCGGCCTCAAGGGTGTCTTTGAGGTCGTCAGGAGGGTCGAGAGGGTGGAGGACCTGCCGCCTGCCGAGCGCTCCGTGCTCGAGTGGGGTCGTATCTCGTGAGTTGGGCATTGGCTATACGTCACAACAACTGACACAATGTGTCCAGGCTCGCAGCTACCATCTTCCAGATCTACGTCGCGTCCGACACGGCGTCCGACTCGCTTGCGGGTCTCAAGCGTCTGCACGGCATCATGCCGTACTTTGTCCTCAAGGGTATCTTGAAGATCTCCAACCCCATGGCTATGATTCGAGGTGAGCTAGCCCATGGCATTGTCTCCCAAGCTGACATTCAGGCGTTCTGGACCTCTTCCTCGCGCGTCCGTTTGGCGGCCAGAGTCTTCTCCAGAGGTGGGTTCTGATTGTTTGCCGGAGAGTCTAACCCAGCAGAATGTTCTCCACGTCCCTCAACGAGGACGTCCGCTACCTGCAAGAGGACATCCAGGCTGTGCAGGACAAGATTGATGATCCCGTCTTGTGCCAAAAGATTGAGCAATACGTACAGGCCCCCTTTGAGATTCAAGAAATGTACCGCCGCGACGCCGTGACGGAGGGTCTCGACCTGCTCGTCGTCATCCTCCGCTCGCCCGACATGCCCATCCTCTCCCGCCCCCAGGTCCAGCGCGTGTACCGCGCCGCCCGCGCGTACCGCGAGTACAAGAAATGGCAGCAGGACCTGGAGGACTCGGACGACGACGAGGGCCCGGACAACGACGACGCGTGGTTGTTTGAGGACCTGAACATTCTCATGAAGCTCATGACGCGCAAGCGCGAGAAGGAGTCGATGCTTGCTCTTATCTTTGAAGTAGGTGCTATTACTTTTGAGGTTACTCGACTGACCTATCCCCCAGGGCGTCACTGCCGAGCTCCTCAAGGACATTATCACCATTTTCTACTCGCCTCTCGCGACTGTGTACAAGGCTGCCAGCATTGCCGACTCGCTTGGCGACTTGCAGTCGTTCATCAACGACATGATCCGCACCGTCGAGCAGGTCGAAGAGTGTAAGTTATCAGGGTCGCTGTGTTAACTGACATTACACAGTGTCCCAGGAAGACCCGCAGCGCACTGTCCAGACCTTCATCGACCTCGTCCAGCGCCACGAACAGGCCTTTTACTCGTTTGTCCACAACGTCCACTCCAAGGGCCAGGGTCTGTTCGACTCGCTCATGGGCTGGATCGAGCTGTTCCTCGGGTACGCGCGCGACGGCCTGCCGCAAAAGCTCGACCTCGAGATCCTCCTGCCGATGGACGGCCCGCAGCGCGCTGCCATCATGAAGGAAGTCGACGAGGTGGCGCAGTACCACTACAAGCTCAAGGTGCAGCACGAGGAGAAGGTACGCCGGCGGTTTGTGGCTGGCGGAGGCGCCGACGAACAGACGCTCGAGGAGGCCGCGCTCGTCGACAGCGTCATGCAGAGCCTGTCCATTGGAGACACGACTGTGGGCGCCGCGGGCGAGATTGCCGTCGAGGAGAGCGAGGAGGACGACGACAGCGAGGACGACTACGACCACGAATGGGACGACAGCATGTCCGAGTCGAGCTCGGTCCAGTCGGGCCAGGGCGCGTCGGGGTCGGGCTCGGGACCGTCATCAGGCCCCCGCGCCCACCGCCACGGCTCCATCGGCTCGTCCCCGCTCGTCCCAGAGAACCAGGCGCGTAAACCCGCCACATCCTCGGGCGCCCGCACGTCGCTGGACGCACACCGCAAGAACGCGCGGTCAGGCAGCACCTCGTCGCAGGACTCGGCGCTCCCGCCCCCGCCCCCGCCCAAGGACGGCGGCGGCAACGGGTCGTCGGCGTCAAAGCGCGCCGCAGACCAGCCGGGACGGACCCGCCGCAGGCGCAAGAGGCAGCAGGTCGTGCTCGTCCCGCCCGAGATCAAGGCCATCACCGAGCTCCGCCCGCTGTTTGTCGAGGTCGTCAAGGAGATGTTGGTCGTCAAGCCTCTGACGCCTTGAGCGTGGGTGCAGGGAGCCGTAGTGGTGAGGGGAGTAGGGAGGGAGGGAGAGGAGGGGGGGGGGGGGAGAGGAGGAAAAGTTAGATCCATCGGTATATCCAGAGTTAATGGCATGAAGGTATCGCTCTTTTGTCTGCGTTGGTGACCTGCTGCGCAAATGCATAAACTACATGGTAAAGATATGTACTGGTCGGGTAGGGCGAGAGGCAGGAGGGAGACGCGCCATGGCGATGCAGTGGCATGCGAACGCGGCCCGGAGAGTGGCCACGACCCACCCACCCCTCGCTACATCAGGTGCTCGCACCTAGTCACGACGACGGGCCGGGCCGAAACGCGTCAACGACACCTCGCGCACGCTGTAGTTGGACATGAGGGTGCGGAGGTCGTACTTGCGCGGGTCGAGGCCGCCGCCCTCGAGACGCGCCGAAGCGGGGAAGGACGCGATGGAGGGGATGGTGATGTAGCAGATGATGACGGTCTGAGCGAGTGTTAGCTGGGGAAGGAAGAGACGGGGATGGGGGCGGAGACGATCCAGCTGTCGTTTTGGCATACACCTGGCTAGCTGAAGGCGGTCATCTGGGGAGCCATCCAGCCGTTAAGGGTGCCTCTGCCCACCAATACGCATCGGATAGCGACTCCTGGCTGCATTGGCAGCGACGACAGCCAGAAGCCCTGGCCCCTGCTCACAACACCACCAACGACTCACCTTCATGACGAGCGAGTTGACACGCATGATCGTGTTCATCCATTTCCAGCTCATACGCTCGGCGTACCAGTCCGAGTTACCGTACGGGCTGACAGCCTGGTCCTCGGCATCCATGTACACGGGCACCATGAGGATCGAGAAGCTGGAATACGTCAGCAGCGGCTCAGCTTGGCCCAAGACCCAGAGCAACTCACGCAGAATGCGAGAACACGGGACCGCGGCGGTACAGCAGCCAGTCGACGCAGAACTTGATGCCGTCACGGACACACCAGCCGAGCGACCTGTAGTGGTGGTATGCCGCGTACGACACGAGCAGCGGGTCGTCGGGATACAGTGCACGGGGCGCTGGCGAGAGGGGACGAGGAGGGTCGATAGGCGTCAGGAACCGCGCAATGATGGCCGTGACGGGGACGATGGTGTCTGTCGCGGGGTCCTGGACCTTGAGCACGCCCAGGGTGCACAGGAAGAGCGCTTCCTGGAGGTTGAGCTGCAGGTGCTCCATGTGCGGGACGAGGGCGGCCGCCTCGTCCTCCGAGGCAGACTCCTCCTCGGGAGCCGGGGGAGGGGGCGGTGGGCGAGGAGTAGGCGCCGGAGTCGGGGCAGCAGCGGGAGTGGAGCCGTCCGCTGCCTGTGCCGCTGGGGGTGGTGGGCGACGACGGAACGGCTTCTTGCCACGGTTACGGTTCGCGTCTGGGCGTGTTGGGCGGACGAGGAAGGTTTGTGGGGTGAGGCTGGTCGGTGCCACGGTGGACGCGGCGTCGGTGGCGAGCGAGAGAGTGGAAGGCGCGGGCGATGCGGGGCGATCGACCACTTCGTTGTCGCCTTCTGCCTCGGCGTCGGCGTCACCCTCGCCCTCACCCTCGACCTCGACCTCGCCCTCGACGTCAACCTCTCCAGTAGGAGCAACGTATCCGTCTGGCAGCTGACCAGTGGTGAGCACCGCCTCGGCCTTCATCGCCGCCTCGAGCATGGCCGCCGCGCGATCAATCTTGAACTGCTTGCGCTCCTTGCGTCTCTGCTCGCGAATCTGCTCCGCCGCCAGAGCTGTCACGTCAGCTGCCTACTGAGGAGTTATCCAGCTGTCATGTACTCACCGCTGCCACCGCGCACGAGGTCGGCACGGCGCGAATGCCAGCTGGGCTCGGACCTGCTCAGCGTTCCCTTGCCGAAGAATCCGCGGTTGAACAGCGTCTCCATGTCCTCGCTTCCGGTGACCCAGACCGACTGGGACGCCGCGTCAAACACGCCCACAACAGGAGGAATGTACACCCGGCGAGTGAGGACATCGGGGAGGACCTTGTTGAGGACTGACGACTGGCTCGAAGACGCCGCGCCAGGTTGGAGCTTGTACAGCGCCGATTCGGGGAGGAGGAGCGGGAGCGGCGTGCCGTATTTCCTGTTCTGGGCCTCGCGCTTGGCGCGGGGGCCGCCCTTTCCCTGCAGACCGCCGATGTTGGGGGCCGGGACAGCGGTGGGGATCGACATTGTGGACGGTGGTTGGGGTGGTGTGGATGGGTGTTGAAGAAACGACCGTTGATCGAGTTGGGCGGCAAAAGTTGGGAAAGTGGAATTGGAGCCCCGCATCGACGGTTGTTCCGTGGCACCGTGGCGAAGATCCTCCAGCGACGCACCGCCCGTCTGTTCAAGGCGAGCAGATGCATGCATGCAGCCAGAGGTGCTACCACTGTTACTTATTGATATTGGGAGGCTTGGTAGAGCTTGGCGCAGGTGGGGGAGGCTCGAGAGCCCTCTCCATACATCTAGGACTGTCCTAGCTCGAGCCGCAAATGAGTTGCGGAGTAAAAACGTGGACCTCACGGTATACGCACCCCCTCACCGCAATGGAGACTGTGAGCTTTCCCAGTGTGGCTCTTTTCAGCGACCAGTTGCTGTACGGTGCCGCGCGAGGATTTTCAGTGCGCATTGTCAAACCAGGGCTCTCAATACTGGCTATCCGCGGCCATGTGGCTGACCTCTTACGTCCAAAGGCACCACTCAGAATCGAACAAGATACTGATGGCAGGGGGTATATGAACACGTTACAGCCTGCGACATCAAGTCGAAGGGGGTACTGATGTGATCCCCCTCCCTTCTGTACAAAAGACCACCCCTGGGGCCTCGTCCGTCAGCCCCCCGTCGAATGGCGCACACTGTACCCATGCCCTCCCACGCAGCTGATAACCAGCTCAACCCTCCTGCGAACCTGCCCGGCCACCGACGAGAATGCGAAGGAGACCCCGCGGGCCGTAATGAGAACAGTGAGTTGCACATGGAAAGCGCTTGTGCTCACAACTAAGAATCCTGCTACCCCATTCACCTGAAGTCGTACGAAGCGTGGGTGTGTACGTACTGCGGTGTACCGTTTGTACTGCTTCCAGGTAAAAGGAGGAACTGGCCCGAGAATGTGTTTGGTGTATGGATCATACTGTATGTGTAACAGTTGCATGAACATTCTTGACCAAAAGGCGGGCAGGTTGTCGTCGTCGGCGAGGGCCAGGACAAGGTGCCACAGAGTGGCAATGTCCTTGAACGTCTGCGAGGTTTCTGACCCGTGTACCGTTACTCATCACGCAGAGTTAGCCTTCAGCCCTTGTGCACATTATCAGCGGCACGAGGGGCTTTTTCTGTCTCTATTCCAACACGATCGACTTCACAACACAGATGTCGACAACATCGACTACCCTATGGCTCAGTTGGCTAGCGCGTGGAGCTGTTATCTTCAACACACTCCGAGGTCCACGGTTCGAGCCCGTGTGGGGTAGGATCTTCTCTTTTGGCCTCGTACGAGACCTCCCAGACATGCGATGCATGTCCGGACGAAGGAGGGAAGAAGTTGGATGTGTTGGGCACCTTCGGTGATTTTTGGTGTAGTTGTTGGGTGAGGTGGCTCCGCCACTCTTAAATTTGGAAATTTGGGCCAGACTTTACTCCTCCTGCTGGTGTTCTGTGTCGTGCAGCTGTCATGCTGGGTAAAGGTTTAGACAGTGTGCGGTGATCTCACAAGGTCTGCTCGCTGCTTCTGTGGCTGTATTTCGTCAGCTTCACCCAGAGACGGATAGGTCAGGCAGCGGACGGAGGCTTGGACGGAGCTTTTGGACGCGTCAACCTCGGAGGCACACGTCTCTGTGATACAAGCAACACTGTCCACACTGTCAAAGATGCTACCGTTGCTGACACCTCAACGAGGTCAGTGATCATGAAGAAGTCAGCGGTGGAGTTTGCTGTCGGAAGGAAAGCAGGGCAAAGGTGGACGGTGTCAGGGAATTGGGAGACTTACACTTGGGGTCTGAGATGGTGCTCGTGGGAACGCACAGGCTGCGTGCATGTCAGCTGCCAATGTCAGTGGAATAGGCCATGAATGTAAAGATGCGTTCCCAACTGCTCGCTCTGACTAGCACTGCAGTAATTGATACTGTGTCATGCCACAGGAAGCGAGCTCGCAACGACGGCCCCAAATCGTTCTCCCTGAGAGGGTTTCTTACCACAACTGTCTGCTCACCACTCTTTCTATGCAAGATAGCACAAAGTACGGGGCAAAACCACACCGGCAGACCTCCCCGTAAGGCTTCAACGCGCACAGATCGGCCCTCAGCATCAGAGAACTACAATGTACACGGCGAGATGGCCGAGCGGTCTAAGGCGCTGTGTTAAGGTGAAGCATCCCCACTCTTCCAAGAGTAGCTCATCCGCAGTCTTCGGACGTGGGTTCGAATCCCACTCTCGTCAGCAGGGGCTTCATTGCCTCCCAAACCAACCTTTTGGCCATGGGAAGAAGTAGAGGAAGTTGGGAAACATGGTCGAATGGTCGAAGCGATGAGGAGATGTGATGTGCCACATTCAACTTTTGATTCCGGGCTTCTATTTTGCTCTCTGGGGTTCACAGAGGCCTTATTGCCTCTACTGGATATTGTTTTGCCGTTGAGACGGCTGAGGGGAGTCGGAATGGTGCGAAAACATGGCAGGAATGGTCACGGAGGTGTGAGATGACATGTGCCACTTTCGATTTTGGTTCCGGGTCGAGGTTCCCCGTCGTGGCGGTCCGAGGCTACATTGACTTTCACCTGCAGAGACAGTGCGGCGATATGGATGGCTTCCGTATGCGTAGCCTTTGATCTCGCTGCAGTCACGATAAGCCGAGCGCACGACGGATCGCGGCGTCCAGCTGGCCTCGGCGAAATCTATCGGCGACGAAATCTTTCTATCAGGAGAGAGAGTGGCGTCTGTCGATGCCCTGAGAGGATCTTGATGCATGAGGACTATCTACAGCATTCCTGTGATCAATCCAATGCGATAGAGAAGCTCCTGACGCAGTACCGGCCGCGTCAGCACGTTGGAGAAGCTTGCGAACGTCGACAGGTGTTCGCCCACATTTCAAGTGAATGTGTCGGCAAGATGGCCGAGTGGTCTAAGGCGCTGTGTTCAGGTTTCTCCTCCTTTGGAATTCCTCGCAGTCTTCGGGCGTGGGTTCGAACCCCACTCTTGTCAGAAGAGGATTCAGTTCCTCCCAAAACTTTTTGGGTATGCATCAGACGGATGGAAGAGAGAGGGAGGTGTTCGGACGCATCGGACGCGTAGGCGGAGGATGTGTGGCGCATGTGGTTGGTTTATTTTTCCTATTTTCGGCCATTTAAGCCGATACCAAACACAGTTGCCGGCCGTGTGTCAGCATGGCAGTCGGACTGTGTCGTCGGAAACTCTATCATAAGCCCCCTCGCGAGAGCCATATTCCTCACGGTGGACCGTGCGTGCCGTGTTTATGGAATCCACGCAGGAGTGGATTCCATCTGATGGCCCAGAATGGACCTAGAACATGTCCCTGGCGTCATCATGGAACAGTACCCATTGTTTACAACACGTCCTCTTCCCTCCCATTTGTTCATTCCAGTTGCACTCCTTTCTTTCGTATCATCATCGAAACGCATGCTCAACATTCCTCATGAGCTCCACATCGCCCACCAGCACGAGTTCCGACCCCACCACTCCTCCGGCCTCCACTGCCACACAACAGACGACGCCGGCCACTACCATCTCTAACCCGGCCACACCACCCAAGACATCAGCCTTTACCCTCGTCCGTTCGGTCGCGACCACAGATGAGCGGGGTGACATCCTGCCAATCTGTATGGGCAGCCCCACCGGGGAAAACGCTGGGTGTAAGTGACATTGACCACTGCCGCGATAACGGTTCCCCACGCTGATGGTAAACAGACTGCTGTATGGTTGCTTTCGACCGGTACACTGGTGTAGAGTGGCATTGCACAGCCTGCGGGTTCAAGGGAATGTTTGGACAGCGTTACTGGAATTTTGGACCAGGTCCGTGGGAGCTGATGGGAGACACTTGGGTTGAGGTGGCACCCTCGCCTGGCAGGGGATCTTGTTCTTTCTAATCATATTCCTTCTTATGGATGTATACGCTATTAGTCATGGCAGTGGATAACCCCCAACAGTGGGATGCAGTTGGAGTAGACCTTAGGCCTCAAGTGCCACATTGACCGCTGTTGATGGCCAGCCATGATCTCACTTTGAAACGTTGATGCGCGTCAACACCGCGGAACATACCCCTTGCCTGGCAGAACAGACCTTTCCATCGGCATCCTTGATATCAGAAACGCCCACCCACTATCTCGCTTTCTCTCCCCTCAATCCCCCATCATCACAATGGAGCAGACGAAGATTACCAAGGTGATCCTTCCGGTAGCCACGCCGCCCACGGTGGCCGCCCCTGCCCGTCCTGCGACTGCCTCGTTCGGCGCTGGGCTCCTGCTGAAGTTCAGGAAGACGGATGCTCGCAAGGGCCAGCAGCTTACCGACAACGGCAGCAACACCCCCAAGAATACCCGCCAGAATCCCGCATGTGAGTATCTCCGCCCATGATCACCGCACGGAGGTGGCTGACAGGAGCCAAGACTGTTACAGCTGTCAAATGCGCAACTTTTACGTTCCAAACCTGCCGTTGCCGCCGCCTGGCGTGGAAGACAACAGGTGGGACTGAGCTTCATGTATTGCTCCAAATATGAACGGGACCACAGGATTTCTTAGGAGAGCCATGAGTCGGCGTTCAGCCTCTATATTATCGGTCAGTAGAAGAGGATTTCAATGCACAGAGCAATGCTGGAGCTCCGAGAGAAGAGCCTGTGGAATCAAATTTTGTCAGATTTTGAGTGCTGCTGGAATACTTTTTGTTTTGTTTTCCGGGGTTTTTCAACGTTTTCACGTTGAGGCTACAGCAAATGAACCGGCTCCGAGGCTGAACCATGGCCAACAGTAAAACCTATGCAAGAAGCATTCACGAGGGCTGGGACGAAACAGTGACGGTGAGAGTGAGCGAGGCAGTTCCCACGACTCCACGACATTGCCTCGAGGCAGTACGAGTCTTGATGGGGGAAGACAAGAAGCCATCACTCGCTTCGCACACGCGCTCAAGTGATGACACAGTGACTGCCATCATGAACCGATCACTTATCCGCAACCCGGGCCCTGCCATCCCTACTTTACTCATGTGCGCGAACTCTATATCTAGTGGCAACCTCTTCCCCCATTCGCGTACTGCACACACCCACCCTACCGCCCACACTCTCGCCTGTCCAAGCCCCGCCACACAGCCTGTCACATTCAACGTACACACCAAATGAGGACTTCCCCCACCCTCCGTCCCAGCCGCTCGACCGCCAGCGACATTGCCCTCCTGGGCAACCTCTCCCTCAGCACACACACAATGGAGCGCCTCGGCCTGGGGACGGCACACAAGGTGGCTCCGACGCGTGTCTGCACGGGGCGCGACGACGAAAGTGGCAAGAACCGCGACAGCAAGTATCCTCGTGTCAGCCGCGCGGAGTGAATGAAGATAAGAAAACGAGCTGACAGGCGTGCCCAGAGCACTGCGTGCCGATCATGATGGAGTGGTCGACCTGGTACTGCTTCTACTGCCTCAAGTGCGGTACGGGTACGGGCAAGGGCACGGGCAAGGTGAATGGCTGGGACAACTTCCGAGGTATGTAGGTCATCGATCTGTCTGGTCAGGAGTAACTGACGCCCCAGCAACCAGCTTCACGACTCAGGAACTCGCCGAGGACTTGTTCTTCTAAGGCGTGAGAGGGAGAGCAGCCTGGGGCAGGCGAGCATTGGTACGTGGTCTGGATATCTGTGGCAGCAGTTCCACACGAGCCGGAATACGAGATGCTGGTGCGAGGACCCAAGTTTTATTAGTTGAGAAAGTGATACATGCAAGCGACGTGTACGAGATACTGTGCATGACAATAGACGACGAGAACCCCCAGGCCCTTTTGACCGTGGGGGCGTTTCACTCGACATACCGAGCTGTGAGGGAGATAGTGTGTACACACACGAGGGTGATGGCGCAAAGAGCACCGATAACAACGATCGAGTCAAGACCTTTTGATGGGAAGCAAGACGTGGGTGCGGGGTGCAGGAGATAATGTCCTCGACGATAAGGTGTGAGCTGGCGTGTCGAGTCGACACGATTAGGGGTGTTGTGTTTGTGGGGAAATGTCTGTGGGGGGAGAAGTCCTAGGCGGCGATAGCGGACGGGGTGCCTGACTGCTCGCTCTCGCGGCGGTGCTCCTCAGCTGCAGAGACGAGTGCGTCGATGCCGAGAAGTGGTGGGCCAGAGACGGAGGTGGACCAGCGCTCGCGCTTGGCTCCGGCCGGGGCCGCAAGGGGGCGGGGCTCGTGCGTGCTCTCACGACTCATACGCTCCCTGTCCTCGGCGTGCTCACGCTCGCGCTCACGCTCACGCTCACGTTCACGTTCGCGGTGAAGTTCGCGTTCGCGTTCACGCTCGCGCTCGCGCTGAGCCTCGCGGTCGTAGTCGCGGTCAACAAGAGGTCCGGAGGGGCGGAAGCCGAGAGGAGGAGGCAGAGTGATGCCACCTTCTGGGCGGACCTCGGGGCCAGAACCGGCGCTGCCGATCGAGCCCATGTGGCGGTGGCCACGAGGAGGAGGGGGTGACGGCGAGTGGTACTGTCCCGAGCCTGCGCGGGGACGGAGGGGAGGCAGAACCGGGTACCTCGCGTTGGTAGGGTACGAGCTCTCGGAGGGCGTGGCAACGTGGTGGGACGCAGCCGACGACGCTGAAGAGTCAGGCGCCTGATGGGGCGACGACGGGGGATACGAACCAATGGCAGGCTCAAAGAATGAGCGACGCTTGGCCGACGTAGGGGCCGCAAGAGGGCCGGGGTGGCGGCTTGAGTCGTTGCCGATGATCTCGAGGTTGGGGAAGATGCCGTTTTGGAGCGTCTCGCGACGGTCCCAGCCCCACTCGCGGAAGACATCCGCCCACCAGACGCTGAGGCGCTCCTCAAGGGCGGCCTGGTTTGCTGAAGGGGATGTCGCGCAGACGTGCTCCGTCCAGCAGGTGATGATCATGATGGGGAAGAACACTGGAGAGTTAGCGCGGAGCGTTTTAGTCGTATGCGTCAAAACTCACTGAGAGGACCCTCGCGACCGCGTTCGCCGAGCGAGTCGATGACGACGCTGAGGTTGTCGACTGCCTGACCCTGGCGCTGGACGGCAAACGGCACGCCGGTGTGCTTGGACTGGAGGTAGAACATGCCACACTCAGCCACTGCGTGCATGTACGCAAAGGACCAGCCGGCAAAAGCGACCTCGGGCACGGGCGAGCTAATCTTGGCCATGCTAAGCGCCAGGTTGACCTCGTCGAAACGGAGGTGACGCGGGAGGTCAAGTGCCCAGGCCTTGAGGGCCTGCTCGTGGTGGCTTGCCGGGAGGTGACGGATCTCGATCGAGCCATGACCACCATTGTTGGCAATGGCCATAATGTTGGAGAAGATGCAGAGAATGCGCATAATGTGGCCGAGCTCGCCCACCTGACCCTCCTCAGAGTGCCAGTTGCCAGTACCGACCGTGAGGCAGTCGCGGCGTCCAGGCTCGCGGCCTCCGGCAGCCATACCACCCCAGCGAGCCCAGTGCATTTCGGGACCAGGGAGAGGCACGTTCGCAATGTCATGGTCCTGGACGTGGCGGCGACGGCCGCTCGCTGCCGAGCAAATGTCGCCGACAACGCACAGCCAGAAGGTGCGGTTGCGAACCTCTGCAAGCGTGAAGTACTCGGGGGTGGTGAGGTTGAGGCGTGGCGACGGAGGAGGAATGGCACCCTGGCTGTTGGGACTCAACACGGAGATGGCAAAGTCGAGGTAGTAGAGACCCAGACGGGGCTGGCGAACCGAATTATAAAAGACGGACAACAGGAGCGCGGACTGTGCGCACTCTGTCTCGTCCCAAGTGCCTTGGTCAAGCTGTCTCTCCTCTTCGGTCCAATGTCTGCGCATCTCGATAATGCGCTCCAAGTTGGCACGGCAGCGCTCGGCAAAGACCTGACCCCTGAGATGTCCCGGAACGGTCGCGGGGTACGCAGAGACAAAGGCCTGGTTATCGCACAGGCGGGCACCAATCGTGTACATGGCGTCCAAAAGCATGGGCGACGTGCGGCCGAGGTAGTAGCGATGATAGAAGGTGGCGGGGTGGAACATTGCAGCGTACGGAGGTGTGCGCTTGAGACAAACTAGACGTCAGCTAACGTGTCCATGTCGGATATATAACTCACTGTCAATGAGCTCTGCGGCCAGCGCATAGTCGCGCTCAACGACCTCGATGGGACCAAACGAGCGACCCTCGCCACGCCAAGCGGCAGGCGGGACATCGCCGCTGGCAGCTGCTGCAACAGCAGGAGCAGCACCCGCAACACGTTCACCCTCTCGGTAGTCACGGCGCCATTCCTCTCCGGCGGGGTGGACCGAAGCGCCACCCGGACCGCCGCTCAGACGTCGTTCCGGCGCGCCAGCCTGCAAAAGAGTTTTGCCCTCATCATTGCTGGGGCGTTTACCCATTGGCGTGGCAGACGAGTCGCGCGTGCGCGGAGGTGGAATTTGCTCTCCTTGCGCGTTGAGGTAGATGCAAGGACGAGCAGAAAACTCGCAGTTGGAGCAGGGCGCGAAACCGTCACATCGGCGCTTGTTTTTCTGCACAGCGCGTCAGTAAAAAAAAAAACACAATCATCAGTGGAGAAAAAATATATACTGACGTGACATGCGCTGCAGGCCTTTGCGAGACGTTTACGTTTGCGTCCCTTGGTGGTGAGCTCCTCCTTGTCGAGCTCGGGTTTGGGACGGGGAGGCTGAAGAGCATGGCTGTCGCCCGACGACCCGCCGCCAAACATGGACTGAGAGTACGAAATTGCACCACCGGCCCGGGCCAGAGGCGCAGGTCGAACTGGCTGATGGGGTGGGCCAGAGAGCGCACCGGGCATCTTGGCGTCCGACTTTCCGTGCCCGTCCATGCCCTTTGGTGTCCGGGAGCGCGGCTGAAGTGGTTGGGGGTTGAGTTTGGATGGTGCGCCGCCCTGCTCATGTTGACTTGAGCGGGGTGGCAGCGAAGCAGATTCTTCGACAACCATGGTCACGAGCGGGTTGTCGGGTGTGATGGAATGGGCAAAGGTGGTTTGGAGGGGGGGAAGAAAGCGACAGTGCGGATGGATCGGGCCGGTGATCCGCGCGGTGGAGAGAGGTGACGGTGTGTGGTGATGGTGTGTGGACGACGAGTCAATCAATCAATCACACACGCTTTACGGCCGTGGCTTGTTGTGGATAGGGGGCCGAAGGGTTAATGGGTGGGGGGAATGGATGCTTGGACAGAGAAAGCAGTGTCGAGACGGCGAGACTCAATTCTTGCCGCCCAGGAAACGGGAGTGTTGCGGCTGTGGATGTGGGGGAGTTTGCGGCAGCGAGCGGCAGCGGGCGGCAGAGCGTGAACACGCGGGTCCGAGCTCCCGGTTGAACAGGCGGTCAAACAAGCGTGCAAAGCGTTTTGAGCGCGGGGGCAAGCCGTTTTTTGTTCGCTATATGCGGGTACGGTCGCGGCTTTCGGGCTATGTGGCCGACAGCGGGGGGGTGGGGAGGGGGAATGCGGGGGGAGGGAGGGAGGGAGGGGGGAGGGATGAGACCAGGAGTGACACATATAGAGTGGCAACCCGGCACAACGCGAGCACGAGCCAGTCAAAGACAGGTGGTGGCGCAAATGTACAACCAAGGGAGAAGCGAGGCCAGCGAGAGAGGGACCGGCGGCGTCCAGCGGTCAGCGGCGGAGGCGGCGGCGCCAGTACACGCCGGTGAGACAACAGTCCAGGGATCACCAGGTCAGGCCAAACCAAAGAGGTCGACCGCGCACGCGCACACACACAAAGTGGTAAGGACACGAAGGCACGCAGACGGGTCGCAAATATTGTGTGTCGGGTGCGACACGGGGTGGGCGGGGCCGGAGCAAACAGAAGGGAACAACAGAATCGTCGTGAGGCAGTGGGTTAGGAAAGAGAGAGAGAGAGAGAGAGAGAGAGAGAGAGAGAGAGAGAGAGAGAGAGAGAGAGAGAGAGAGAGAGAGAGAATTTAAAGGAGAGAGCGAGTGTCAGCGCCTCGCAGATTCGAGAACGCGGTATTGGCCGCTGTAGAAGAACGCACCTAATGGGATAATGGGCCCAGAAGGAGAGTCGCGTGACGAAAGCGATGACAATTCGCGACGAGAGGGCTGTTGGGTGGCACCGGGGTGATGCGTCGAGTGTGCACGAGTTGATGGACGAGAACTGGCAGAGAGGGGGTGGCGAGACGTGATCAAGAACAAAGGGTAAGTGGACAATAGCAATGTTGGTCTGTTGTTCAATTCCATGCATGACCACGCTGGGTACGGCTACGAGCCCACCTGGTACTCTGGTTCCAGCTCGCTCTTGGGCTGTGTCCTGGTGACTCGTTTCCCGCGCGCCGAACCGCCGCGCCGCCGTCCTGTTGCCCTCCTCTCCCCTCTCCTCCCTCCTCCCCTTGGCCTAATTTGCGAACTGCCGCCGGCGCAACCCAGCAGTTGTCCCGAAGCCTCTCGCTCACTTGCGGGGCAACCAATGGGCTAGGTCTTCTGCTCGTGTGCTTGCCGCAGCGGGTGTGCGCGACGTCCGTTAAACGCGTTAAAAGCCGCCGTCGCGTTGTGGGGTCACCCCACAGACAGCACAGGGCGTGCGTCGTCGAGAGAATCTGCTGTACGGCGAAACACAGTTTTCCAGCCCCGCTTGAGGCAGAGCCATGCATGCAAACCACAGCTTGAAGCGTAGGGACATGTTTAGCAGCTCCAATACCTCGCTTGCTTCGGTGATGTGTCCGGCTCCACAAAACGGCGACGCAGATGCAAGGCATCGAGAACTTGGTCCGCGGGAAGAAAATAGCGACGGGCAACAGGGCTGACGAGAGCAACAGCGGTCATAAGGCCAAGGTGTCAGACCCGTCAGGCCCAGAACCACACCCCCAGGCCCATAAATTGCGCGACCCGGCGGCCCACCGCCGCCGGCTCTCGTCCACAGGTACGGCCCCGAACGCGGTGTCGCGTGGGTGGGCCTTTGTGGTGCGTTTACGTCTGTCCGTTGCCGCTTTGCGGCCGATTGGTAAAGCCAAGGCAAAGGAACCCAAGCGGTAGTCCGGGCAATCTATTTGAACAAGATTTCGTTTCATTAACGTGCGGATTATGCTATGGATCGGCGGCATGACAACGGTACAGTCTTTGTGCTGAAGGCAGAATTGGCTGCCATTAACTGTGGTCCTCGCCATACGGGGCCACGGTATGTGCTGCAAGTGGTAAGCGTGAGCGTGCTTTTGTGGCCTCGTGATGGGATCTGGTGTCAGTCGTTTTCCCCCCCACAGCCCACAACCCACAAGGTCCCCTCTGGCCTCTTGGCACCCACCATTGTCATTTGCTCGTTCACATGTGTTGGACCGGATAAGTCCGAGGTAGCCGGCACACGGCTGCAACTGCCGCATCCTGCCGCTCAAGCCGGCGGCGAACTCGCAACAGCCGAGCGACAGCTAAGGGTCCACAAGCGCCTCGCCGAGACGACGGCGTCTACCGGGATCTGGAGAGATTCATATTGGACAGTGGCGGTTGGCTCCACCCCACACACACCACACGTCCTCGGATCCAAGACGTTCTCTCTGTACCCCTCTGTGCTGTGCTCACAGCCCGCAGCTGGCAGGGCGGGCGGCATTTACTGTACAAAACCCCCCCTGTCAGGAAGCACGTCCAAAGAGGAAGCACACACCAGAAGAACCACACTCTTTCTAGAGGTGGGTGTGGTGTGCGCCGGCGGCCGTGGGGCCGTATGCCGGCGGGAGGTCACACCCCCGTGTACCCGTGTGTGGGGTCGGCGGCAACCGGTCGAAAACGCGCGCGGGGCTCTCACCGGCCGGTGCGAGAGCAAACGTTAATCGGCCATGGAGCAGCAATTTTAGCGAACCACAGTGCAAAATTCAAATCCCACCAGGCCAACAAACAAGCGAGACAGGTCTCGAGAGACAGACGGGAGCAAGAGCGGGTCTTGCAGGTCCAGCTCGCGCGGGAACCGAACGGGCATGCACATGACCTGACCTACAGGAAGCACAATTCCTCCGACGGCCTGGTCCACTTCTTATGCGCGTGTGGCGCATGAGTGAGGCCGTCTTCGGGGGACGACACTTTGCGTGATGCCACAAGTGGCATCGACAAACGGTCAGCAGATCAATCCTCTCGCGTCTCGGCCTCTCGGATGAATGAGGCGCTGTGACATGTCGCAATGCCGCCGTCTCATTTCTGTGTCCGAGAGGGGGCAGAGGCCCCTGCGCAAAGGGTGCAACGCTCAACGCTGCCACAAACCAACGCCATTCATCGGAACACGCTCGGTCCATTCCTCCCCACTCACCTCCCCAAACCCACAGGCCACACGTGTATCCGGCGGCTGGCGGCCCCGTAACCCCCGCGGAGCCGCAGCCGTCGCTTGATGTATTCTGTAAACAGGTGTGTCCCAGGCCAGGAGCTTGCCACAGGAGCTAGGAGCTATGCCAAAGTGGGGGCTGACGGCGTTGGAAGGAAGGGTTCAAGGGACTCTGGCTATGTAGATCTCATCCCTCCGTCGTCCGCGACGGAAACAGCGTTCAGCACACCTCGCGCCGGCCCCTGCCGAACAGCGGTCAATGCAAAGTGGGCTAGATACGGCTCTCGTCGAGCTCCTCCCGACGACCAATCGGCAACCAGCACCGGCCAACACCCCCAAAGACACCGCCGGTCGCCGGTCGCCGTGCCGACTGCGGCGGGTCTGGCACGTTGGTGGCGCTTTCCTTGGTCCTTTCCGAGATTCTCGACGGAGGTTATGACAGACGGTCGCGGCGCGGCGGGGCGGCATCACACCAGATGTCGTACAAATGGCGCGCGAACCTCGCCCATGTGTCACTGCCACTGCCACTCAAGAACCGGGGGGATCGGACACTCTAGTGGCTACACCACGCCACTGTGTGCTTGTGCTGGGGAGCTAATGAGGTACTAACTGTGTACTTGTATTCAGAGCCGTGGGTGCCCGCATTAGCGTGTAAAAGGGAGCCTGTACTCCCCGAGACAGACGCGGGCTATCAGTTGAGAGATATCCGTGGTCGGCTGTTATTGTTGACAGCTTTATGACCTTGCACACGAGGCTCGATATGACGACGGTTCATTGGTCGCTTACACTGGGACTCTTGAACTAGCAGCATGCCTTGTGTGGCAGTCAACAGAACCAATGGGCCACTACGGTGGAGGTCAACACCCCAATTGCATGTCAGAATGTACCTCGCCATGTTCCAGCGGGGCTCCCCCTCTCTTTCCTTCCCTTCTTTCTTCTTTCCTTCGATGCCTACCCTTGCCTCCCATCTATACGGCTAGGTACTAGCCCACGCACAGGTTGATTTGCATTGAGCGAGCTCACGCTGCGTCAAATCGTAGTGTGGCGGTATCTGCCTCCAACCTCCGACCGTGCGGCACGTAATACCTACAGACATAGCTGGCAACCCAGCAAAGCTGAAGGGTGTGGCCCTTGCACTGACGTTAGCGAAGCATCAGCCTCCCCTTCGCCCAAGGAGACAACAGTCGACGACGTCACGTCTGCTCCATACATATGTTGGGTGTCGTTTCAGTCCCTTGTCAGTGATCGGGGAGGGAACGTCCACAACATACCCAAAAGCTCAGTTCCACTGGGCCATGTTCTCGTCTATTGTGCATCCTACAATTCAATACGTCTCGTTCTACATGTAAAAAAAGAAACCACCAAGAGCAAAAGTACCTCATTTAAGAGTCGTTCCTCCCATGGTAGCCGACACTGCAGTCTGTGAACGCGACTGCAGCGTCTCTCCTTCCGTTATGCCTATAAGTCTCGCTCTCAGGCCTTTAGCGTGAGCGCGACGCCCTATGCCTCAATCTTCTGGAGGTTGGGGTGGAGCTTGGGCTCGACGGAGAGGACACGGCCGACAATCTTCTTGGTAGCTGCGTCACCGTTCTTCTTGATGTCCGAGTCGAGGGTGGCGAGCTGGTCCTTGGTGGTGGTGTCGATGGTGGACTGCGACGACGAGGTCTGGTTCGTGTGCTGTGGAAGGGAAGGGTTGCAGGAGTGGAGAGGTGGTGGTCATTGGTCGTTGTTGACGAAGAGCGCACATCAAGTCATTAAGAAGAGGCAGACAAAGGGAAAGACAAGTGGAAATGACGCAATTGTGAGTCGAGATCAACCAGCGATGATAGACGAGGGGATGCCATAAGAGTTTCGGGATGATGAGAAGGGAAGCGTCAGCACTGTGAACTCCAGATGTGGATCGTCCGAGCTGCTAACGCATGACGGCCGCATACCGTCATGGACACATGCCCGTGAAGGAACAACAGCATTCTCTTATCACGTGTGTTCTTCACGTGCACTTGAGCAATGTGACTTACCTCAGACTCAAACTTCTTGAACTCGGCATCCTTCGCAGCCTTGTACTCCTCAATCTCCTTGGCAGCCTCGGAACGAGCGTCCTTGAGCTTCTGGATGCGGTCTGGACGGCACGTCAGCTACATTGCTGCCCGGGGCATCGCGGGATGTGTGGTGGCTGTGAAGTGGACGGGCGCGGCCAGCAGGCTCAAGCAGCATATCTTTGGAAGCTGCATTTCTCGATGTTGGGTATCGCAGCTTCCATATCCTTTGAGAGCTCGCTGGCGGGCTCCATTCCGTGGAAATCTGCGGTGGAGGAGGGGGAGCACAACTCGGGATCGGGTGGCTGGCACACAATCCTTGGATCACGAAATCAACGTCCCCCCGATGCTGATTCGTGCTCCCTATACTCGCGCACATCATTCCGAGTGAATGAAACGGCAACCCAGTGACCATAACGTTGGACCCAACCACCATAGACGCAGGGGTGAGGCTGGGGGCAAGGCAACTCACACTGGCGAGCCTTGGCGACGACCTTGGCAGCCTCCTTCTCGGCCTCGAGAAGCGTCTGAATTCCCTGAGAGTTGGCCGCCTGTGGAGATGTCAGCGCTTGTCATGACGCGTTGCTTGCAAGACAAGTGTGAGCAGTACATACCATAATGAATTAGTGGGTGTTGGGAGTGATAACGATGGATTGGCGTCGCGATGACATCGTTGCAACACGGGAGCCAGGCGGTGACGGTGACACGAGAGGCCCGTTGATAAGCACGTCCGGAAGAATGACACGTTTATATCTCCCACATTCGATTGACGTCGACTGAACCAAGGTCCACTCTTGTGCTCACCTTTGAATCCTTTGTTTTGCCTCTCTATTATCCACTCTTCGCTCAATCCAGTCGGCACAATGTCTCTCTACGCCGACGAGGATGTGGAGCTCTACGGGTCGGCACCCGGAGCAGGCGCGGTCGTCGCCCCGACCGACCCCTTGCAGGCTCTGACGGCCGCACTGTCCACCCCAGCCGAGACGCCAGAACAGGCCGACGCGCTCCTCGCTGCCGGTACGCGTTTCGAGGAACACGCAGACAAGCTGCCCGACCTCCTCACCAAGCTGCTTCCCATGGTTGTAGACGGTGGCGACAGTTTGTTGCGCGCGTGGACGCTCGACATGCTCGCGCTCACTGTTGGCCGATCGTCTCTGCAGACTCATCTGAAGCTTGAAGGTATGTTACAGCGCACTGATGGCACAGCTAACGTTAAGTGGCTCAGACATCTCTCGAGTCGCTCAACCGTCTGCTGCAGACTGGCTCGATCTCGACCATTCGTGCAACGATCCCAATCTTCAGCACCATCTACCCTATGGTCTTCCGCCAACTGTAGGTTGTTGGCACACATCATAACTGACATACCTTAGTGCTCTGGGTGGCTCGTCTGCTGCTTCTCTCTTCAATGTCTTTGAGTCGTCCAAGGCCCGTATTCTCTCGCTCGTTCTCGACCCGAACTCCCATCCCCAGGACGTCGGCATCAAGGCGGCAGCCTGGAAGTTTGCCCAAAGAGTTCTCATTGTGGGAACACGCCCTCTTGGCAGTGACCCTCGACTGCAGGCACGCTCCTCGGACGTGAGCGTCGCGCTTATCCAGCCCGGGTCGCTCCTGAACGCTGTCAAGGTCGAGGAAGAGGCCAAACTCATGCGCACCCAGCTCGTGACGCACATGTACACTTCCGACGATCCCGCTGTCCTTCACCCCATCATCAACTGTTTCCCCCTGGTCTTGAAGCACCGCCCAACGCTCGCATCGCTCATCATCGGGTCTATCTCGGCATGGGTTCCCTCTGCTATGGAGGCCGCCCATAGGCCGTCCATGCAGGTCCGCGCGGTGGAGAAGACTCTCCGTGCTGTCATGGCCCATATCGCAAGGTGAGTTGTTGGGATCTCGTTTTACGCTGGCGCTAACTCCTCAGACATCATGGTGTTGGCTACTCTGCACAGCTTCAAGACGCTCTTTCGCGCCAGAAGCAGCGTATGGAGCAGGCGTGGGCCGACGATGCCGAGAACCGCCGTGCGCGCCGCGCCAACATTGCGGCAGGCAAACACCTCCTTGACGATGCTGAATCGAGCGCCGGTGCTGCCAAGCGCCAGCGACTCGAAGTGAAGCCTGGTTCAGGAGACGGGCGCGGAGGAGTCATGGTCGATGTCTCGCAGTTTGCCCTCGAGCCAGTCATTGACGCTGTCATTGCTGGATTATCAGCTGTCTCGGACGACCTGCTGGCACGCGCGTTTGAGAATGCCCGCCAGGCGATCCAGAACAATGCCCCCGATGCGGTGCATGTTCTCACTCCTTCCCTCTTCAAGGAGGATGTCAAGGCTGAGGAGGACGAGGTGCTCAACCCTTTGGACATGGACTTGGATGACGAGGAGGACCTTTTGGTGGGTGAAACCCTCGCGAAGTGAGCTGACCCATCCAGATGGAGCCTGTTGAGCCCGAGCTCGACGAGCCCGTCATGATTGTCGACTTTCGTCTCCCCCCGCCACAACCGATCCCTGACGACGAAAAGGCTGGCCTGGTGGACTTTGCTGTTCGGCGTATATGGGACAATGGCTCCGAGCTCTCGCACCTTGCCGACCTCAAGATCTCGGACGGGCCTCGCACGGCCGTGCAGCCCAAGGAGATGTGGATGCTCCTCCTCGCGCGCATCTCCTCCCGCGGTGGCGAGGACAAGCGTCGGATCATTGGCGAGTTTGTTGCCAAGGACTTTGGCCAGCGGTCCAAGTTTGCCACTGTCTGGCTCAACGAAGAGTGGCTCGCCAGGCGTCGCGGCGAGGAGAACCAGTATGAGGAGGGTGTCATGGCCATTCTGCGGGCGTACATCCCCACTCTGGATTCCAAGGACTCGTCGCTGTCCAAGTTCCTCGTCGGCCTCCCCGAGATTCCCGAGTCGGTCATTGCCGCCCTTGAGCCACTCTGCGAGGACTCGGAACGCATGATTGTTGGCTTCCTCTCGCTCCGTGAGCTGGCAGAGGCACGTCCACCTATCCGCAAGCGTGCTGTCCACACTCTACTCGAGTTCTGCACCCATCCTGAGCGCAAGGTCCGCGTCATGGCTATCACCACTGTGCGTCGTTGGGTTCCCAACACGGCCATGTCCCAGGACGTGATCGACTATGCTCTTGGCGTGCTCGAGCGCCTCACTGTCCCGCCCAAACCCAAGGCCGCCGAGGACGAGCAGGGTGAGGAGGGCGAGGAAGGTGCTGAGGCCAAGGACGAGGTCAAGGATGGCGAGGAGGAGGCTGTGGAGCCCGTCAAGGTCAAGGTCGAGGAAGCCGCGGCCATGGAGGTCGAGACCGGCGAGGAGCAGAAGGAGCACGTCATGTCCAAGTACCTCTCGGACGTTGACCCCTCCACTGTGTCGCAACACGTCGAGCTCGCCTTTGCGCTCTCGCGTCGCGACCAGGAACTGCTCGACAAGATCTTTGCCCTGTACCCCAAGCTCCCGGCGCCCATCCAGGACACGGTCGAGGAGATGCTCACACCCCTCGTCCGCTCGCTCGGCCCGACCAAGAAGCTGCTCGACATTCTCAAAAACTTCCCCGTTGGCGCCGACAAGCTCGCTCTCCGCGTCATCACGACGCTGTCAGCCGAGGGCTCGAGTCCCGTGCTCGTTGGTGTTATTCGCAGTCTCATGGCCGAGCGCGAGCTCGACCCGCGCTTCATCATCCCCGTTATTGGAGAGCTTGACAAGGTTAGTTGACGAGCGTCCGCAGCAGAACTGACTCTACAGGGCGAGATCGAGAGCCAGATTCCGGGCATTGTCTCACTGCTCACCAAGCCGGACGCGCGCGACGTTGTCCGTACCGCGTTCGCGTCAGCGCTCCAGAAGATGACCCCTGCCGACCTCCTGGTGTGCTTGCACTCGGAGAAGGCGGGCCTCAAGCCGACTGTCGATGGTGAGTTGAACGAAAAAGGATTGCAGTTGAATGTGCAGCCATTGGTATCTGCTTCTCCATGACCACCGTGTTCCGCTCCGACGTTCTCGCCAATGCGATGCAGCGCATCGTCGACCAGCCGTCGCCTTTACCTGTGTGCTTTGTACGCACGGTCATCCAGGCAGTCACGACGTACAAGTCGCTGGTGCCCTTTGTCGCCAACAATGTCATCCCCAAACTCGTCGCCAAGCGCGTGTGGGACATGCCGCAGCTCTGGGAGGGTTTCGTGCGCCTCGTCCGTGTCCTTGGCCAAGCAAGCTTCAATGCCTTGCTCCAGATGCCCGTCGAGCGGATCCGCGAGGTGGTCGAGAAACAGCCGACGCTCAAGGCCCCGCTCAAGACGTTCCTCGCCAACAAGCCTACTGCTCGTCAGCAGCTCGCGCAGATCTTTGCCGACGACAGTGCCAGTGCGGGTGGATCGCCGGCGTCCGTGGTTGCGTCTGCGTAGTGGGGAAGGATGTGGCGAGGGGGGGAGATAACGTATAGCATCATTCAGGTTAGGGTTTGGGTAGCGCACGCACATTTGGTAGCAAACAAAAAACAACATTTCCGCAGAAATGCATGTTGTAGCACTCTCCAGAGCGAACATGGTCAGCATGGCGCAGCGTCGTTCGTTGTGCAGAACTGAGAAGAGAGGCGTTATACAGGCAAAAAGTCATAAAATTACAAAACATTTCCCTTGGCTATGTCCACCGTAGCACCGTGACACCCATCGATCCATACCTTACAATGCTACACAGTCGTCTACTAACCGTCCTCAGCCACTCATCCTACGCGCCAGCCTTGGCCGCCTGGGCTGACTGACCCGCATACACGTCCCCACCACCCACAAACGGCTCGAACCCCTTCTTGGTAAAGATGCCAGGCAGCTGGCCCGTCCCACGCTTCATCCACCACTCCTGGGCGGTCATCTCGGGCTCGTTCGACTCGGACACGGGCTGGTCGTCGATGATCCCGCCCGTGAGCCGGCGGAGCACCACGTCGTCCTCTGGTCGGCAAAAGTAGACGAGCGACGAGCGCGGCAGCGCGTCCTGCGGCGGGGGCGGCGGCACCACGCGGTGGATGTTGGACCGGAGCAGGCCCGCCGTAAACGTCACCATGGCGTCGCCGAGGTTGACAATGGGCGAGCCGGGCACGGGCTTGACGTACACCCACTGGTGGGTATCGGGCGTGCGGATCTGCAGCCCGCCGAGCCAGTTGAACAGGAGGGTCAGGCTGCCGAAATCGGTGTGTTCGCCGCGCCGTGCGGTCCCTTCGTCAAACGGCTGCACGGGGGACCGCGTGAAGCGGACGTGGTCGCCCGAGCGCGACTCGAGCTTGTGCAAGTCGAGCAGCGTGTTGGGTGGTAGGCCCAGAAGCGTGGTGAGGTGCATGAAGAGGAGGTCCATCACCGCGTGGCAGTGCCGCATGTACGACGCGAGGAGGGCCTGCGCCTCGAGGATCATGGGCGGGCACGCGAGCCGCGGGGTGAGTCCCAGGACGTCGTCTTTGCGAATCTGGAAGTCAGAACAGAGACGGGGCTGGCAGGGCACTGGTCACTGAGCGCCGCAGTCAAAGAACGAACTCACATTGTAGTTCTGGTTCCTAATCTTGTCTCCATTCTCATCCTTCTCCTCAATCTCGCCAAACCGGTACGCAAAGAAATCGTGCAGGTGCGGCCGGCCGTATCTATCCTTTTCGGCATTGGGCAGGCTCCAGAAACGTTCTTGCAGTTGATTCAATTGTTCAGCCTCGGCCACAATCGCTTCGCCCAGCTCCGAGCCCAGCATGTCGAGATAGAAGAACCCCAGGCCGCGGGCGGCGTCCCACAGTGCTTCGAGAGCCGAGGGGTCGCCGGCTTCGAGGGCCCCGAGGCGGACGGAGACTAGTGGTGCAGACGGGACGGGAGGGAACGGTGGGAGCGAGGCGTGGAGCGTCTGTGGTGCCATCGTGAGTTGCGTGTGGGTAAGTGAGAGGTGGGGTGGGCATGGTAGAGGTGTGAGGTGCGTATCTTATAGTGTAGCGTCACATGATGTTCACGTAGACTTGCTACAGCGTGGTGTGGGAAGTAAGCCGAAATCCGAAGGCACCTTGTCGGTGATCGCCGATGGCATGAATGAGCAACTATATCCTGGGGGTTCGATATGGTGTGTCCAACTGAGGTTGCTGTCGGTACGCTAGAGCTCCCCTCAAGTGTGCACCAGTTAGTTGCTGGGATACGATCCGACGCGTTGATCCTTCTGTCAGATTTATTGGCCTTTTCAGCCTATTTTTCGGTTCCTCCAGCCGCTCACCGTGTGTACGGGTGTGGCCGTCACCATTCCGTTTTCTGCTGGTGCCCTCATCTCACGACACACATGTGCCCGAGTTCCTAACACGGCTACATGTCGTCTGTACATTGACCGTCGTCTTTGGACTCGATGCGTCGCCATGGCGTCGTCGGGTGTGTGCTCACATTCGTCTATTTCTGCCGGACTGTGCCGGTCCGTGTCCCCAGCGGCCAGCGGCCATGTCCATGGCGTACCTGGGCACTGCACTCTTCACAGGATATACTCTGTAGCCATGTCACCTTGCCTTCAGCTGGCATATTCTGTGGATCACAGCCATAAGCGCCAACTCTCTCCGCCACTGACACCGCTATCAAAAACTATGACGTGTCATACCACCCCTTACTCCAGGAGCTTTGACCTCATTAGCGCGGCCCCTTAGCCTGCCCGAGACAAACAAAGATCGGTGACTCCCCTGTCCGTCTCCTTTCATTTCAGATCGGCTCTGCCCTTTTTCAATCTCTTGTCCATCAACATCTCGCTCACATCACGACTCTGGGATCGCATATAGCGTTGCATCAGCGCCACTGTGACCTTCGTCGAGCCACACCACCCATCACTCCGCTCACTTTGAGTGTCTCTGCATAAGAGATCACCGACTTCGGGACACCTCCTAAACGTCAACGTGCGCGCGCGCGATCGACGATCGATCGACAGGACAGCTCTGTTCCAAATAACGCGAGACAACAACACCGACCGTTGATTTTCATCACCTCGCCACGATGGGTTGGGGCCAGATCATCCTCCAGCTGCTGCAGATCTTCTGCGGCGGCAGCCAGAACCAGCCACAGAACTCGGCGCAGAACCAGCAGGGCCAGCAGCAGCAACACCAGCAGCAGCAACAGCAGCAGGGCGGCGCTTGGAACCAAGGTCAACAGCAGCAGCAGGGCGGCGCATGGCAGCAACAAGGCGGCCAGCAGCAGGGCGGGCACTCGTACCCGCCCGGATCGCAGGGATGGAACAACAACCAGCAGCAGCAGCAGCAGACCCACCAGCAGAACCAGAACCAGAACCAGCAGCAGGGCGGGTTCAACTCGGACATGGCGAATGCGAGCGACGCGCAGTACACCAACTGGAGGAACCAGGCGCGCAAGGAGGGCGACCTTGCTCACCAGTACGTCGCCTACTCTTGCGGGGTACCCGGGGTGGAATTGACACTGTGCACCCCTGCGTCGAGCAACGAGCTCCTGATGACTGACGTGCACAGATGCTTTGCCGACTCGCAGACGGCGTACAAGTCGGGCGACGGTGCGCGTGCGCACACCCTCTCGGTCGAGGGCAAGCAGCACCAGGCCAAGCAGGACCAGATTGACGACAAGGCTGCCGACTGGATCTTTGCGCGTGAGTCGAGCACAGGGGTCAGCTGGCTGGTCGTCATGATCGGTGTCAGCCAGCTCCGACCTGGGAGGACGCCGACTGGCGTCCCCCCCCCCTCTCTCTACGCACCCACTGACACCCTCCCGCAGAGAACAACAAGACCCAGCCGCACGGCACCATCGACCTGCACGGCCTGTATGTCCGCGAGGCGATTGAGCGCGTCGAGTCGTCCATCTCCGAGGGCCAGCGTTCGGGCCTGCAGGAGCTCCGCGTCATCACCGGCAAGGGTATCCACTCGACCAACCACCAGGCCAAGATCAAGCCTGCGGTCGAGGACTTGATGAAGAAGTGAGTCGGGTTGGGTTGGGTTGGGTTGGGTTCTCTGGTTCTCTGGTTCTCTGATGGGTGGGGTTTGGGCTTGGGCCCCGGGTTTCCGGCAAGGAGATCTTGAAAGGCCGTCGTTGGATCGTTGGCTGGCTTCTTTGCGAGTCTCAGTTCCAGATCCACCCGTCCCGGTGCTTGACTCCGCGTCGCTGCCGACCACGAGACCGCGAGGATGGTCCGCATGGCCCGGTGGCATTCTTCTCCTGGCCGCGTCTACCCCGCAGTATCTCGCCGGGGTACCGAGGACGAGGAACCGACCTCCAGGCGGTTGCTTTGCAGCAGCGCGTTTCAAAGTCAAGGAGTCAAGGAGTTGTCTGAGCGCACCCCCCGTCCGTGACACTTGGCGACTTTGCTGCTTCCTGGCCCCGCCACGCACGCACCGTCGTGCGTGGTAGTGCACAAAAGCACGCGAAACGGGCTAGCCCATCACCCGCCACGCGCGTCGATGGGGGTGGCGTGGCGTACCTGGCGTTTGTCGATGAAGCGCAAACGCCACGGAATGCCAGCCACGTCCAGAAAACGCACTGCTCTGGGTGTCTGGGGTGACCGAGAACTGGGACTGCCACTGCGACTGCGACTGCGACTGCGACTGCCAGAGGTGGCAGTTGCCGAGTGGGGCACGCCGGCGCCATGGGGGTGGCGGCGCGGTGGGCGGGGGGTTTGATCACGAGGACTGCACAGTTGGCCTACCACCCTCCCTCCCCACAAACTTTTTCTTTCTTTCTTGCACGCCGCTGGGTGACAACTGCTAACACGGTCTTCAGGTACAACCTCTCTGCCGAGCTGGACCCGCGCAATGCCGGTGTGCTCGTTGTCGACCTGCAGGGCCGTGGTGCCGGTCGCTCGCGCGACGCCGGCGGCCTCGTCGACCAGATGGGCGGCGACAAGGACTGTGTCATCATGTAGACGCGGACACGGAGATCACGGCCGTACCACATCCCTATTCATCACAACTACCCTCCCCCCCAGCGCCCCAGCACTCTACTTTTATTAGATTTCTAATGAACCCGATTCACGCCTTTTTTTGCCATTTTTTTTTGTTTGCTCTCCCTCTGCGCTGTCCGCGCACACAGGTACACGGAGGCGCGCGCGTCATTGATGAAGAAAGCGCGCAATTTGTGGCGAACTCAGCGATCACCCGACACGTTCTGGAAGCCCCGCGCCGCGCGCCGCTGTGGCGTTTGCTTTTGTTCCAGACATCCGGCTGTGGGGCAGTGCGGGGGGGGGGGGGGGGGGAGAGGGGAAAGTGTCACTCAGTCACTGCCACTGGGAATGCAGGGGATGGTCGTGACCATCATATGCAACTGGTGTGGCATCTGGCTCTCACGACTGAACGGTGTGTGTGTGTGCCTACCAACGAGGACCGGCGCGGCCGACGGGTGGCGAGGGGGTGGGAGAGTGGCGAGGTGGGTGTGGGTTCGGCACGTCGGCGCGGTTGCCGACACTGTTCCCTATATGGCCTCTCCCTCACCCGCATTTAGCCTGTGCACGCGTGCGGGGGTGGGAAGGGGGGTGGGGTGGTGCTGCGGCGGCAGTGTGTGTGCCGCCGATGCGATACGTTCTGCCAATGAACGCATCCGCGTTGGCCGCTGGCCGCGTTGGCCGCATGGCCCGATAGGAGAAGAAGGCGACGGGGGGGGGGGGTGGCGAGAAGGCCACAAGGCGTAATTAGAGGGCCAGAGACGGACCTCCGCGAACCCATCGTCGGGCAATCTCGGAGCTCGGAGTCTGTTCGTGAGTGTGTGGGTGTGTGTTTCTCGTTTATTTTCCTGACACCCAAGAACCCCCTGCCGCGCGCGCCTGCAGGCAAAGACGGTCCCCCCCACCCCTGAGAAGCGGCGGCAGCTGGGCTTCTTGGCCTCTGCCTCTGACGCACGCCGTCACCGGACCATCATCGGAGAGATGGTATGTCACAGGCTGCAGCTGCAGCAGCCAGTCCACCGCGCGCGCGCGCTCTTGTGGCGTTTGGACCTTTTTGCATGGACACCTGTGTGTACCTGTGTCTCCATCGATCCATCGATCCCTTTGCCATTGCCGATCCCTGAAAAACTTGGAGAAGTGCGCGGGCGTGGCAAATGGGCTCTGGGCGGTTAGAGCAGTCGTATAGCGAGATATGTCTTGGTTGGGGGCACACGTGTACAAGACGAGTATACAAGAGGACAAGAGACGACGTGGATGCACAGTGTACAGTGGTACAGTGGGACATTGGCAAACCATGGCGCAGAGGCAAGGGGTGGCGATTAGGAAACGTCTTATTTTGTGTGTGTATTCTGACTGTGGCCTGACTGGGTCGGGTTTCTATTAGTCCACTACACGCCGGGGGGATTTGTTAATTTGGAGCGGCCGGCGGCTGTGGACGGTGATATACGGTAACGCACACAGCCAAGCGGCAATCTCACATCCGCTTGGGTGTAACTGGCGCCGGCCGTGGCGGGAGCAGAAGAGAACACTCTTGGGTGGACGACCCTCTTTGGGTGGCCTGCTGCACACCTGACTCTTGGAGACGGGTCTCTGTCGCCGCCGGGGGGAGAGACGGGGGAAAGGGAGAAGGGAGAAGGGAGGGCTCAAAGAGGGACTGACTGCTGTTCCTCCTGCCCCCCTGTGCTCCTCTCGGGTCTCCGTGTCTCCAGCCAACACCCAGCCAGCCCAGCCAGCACTGCACCCACAGCCAGGCAGCAGCCAGAGCCCCAGCCCCCCCGCCCACAGCCCTCTCTGCCGCCCGCCCGCCCCGGCATCACCCATCCACCATCTCCATATTATTCACCCCCCCTATTACACACCCACCCACACACCCAAACCACCACCAACCGCCCCCCCCCCCCTCTGCGTCGTCCATCATCCGCCACCACTCATCTCTCGCATCGCGTCCTCACCAACACACACACCCCCTCGCCACATCCTCCCCTTCTCTCTAGCATCTACTTCCCACGCATCGCCCTCGCCCCGGCAGCTCACATAACCCACCGCAACACTCCACCCCCTCTCCACACAACCTTGCCCCGCCCCGCCCATTTACGCTTACTACGCCGCGGCCCCAACCGTCTCGCCGTCTTTCCATCCACTCCCAAGACTCGCGCGCTATAGTTGATTGCCCCCCGCCGACGCTTTTGTTCCCTCTTCAGTCTACTCTTCACAAGAACCAAGAGGCAACATGGCGCAGGTCATCCCCTCAATCGTAAGTCACACCACACCACCCACGACGGCAGTCAAGGCGGGGTACCCCGGGCGCCGCCGACTCCGCTTGGAGCCCGGGACGGCCTCGTCCAGCCATCCCCCCACCACACCACCACTGCAACACCCCGCGGCCACACCACATGCTCACACCACTCCTCTAGACCTCACTACCGGTGGATTCGGGTGCTGCACCGTCAGTGGAAGACATCCAAGACCGCCTCCCATCCATCTGCGTCGACTACCTCTCGCACAACTGGACAGAGGAGGATGTTTGGGCGTCCTGGCGCAACATGACCCGGCACAAGCACGAGATTGCCAACGGTGTCCGTCTGGAGAATGCGTCGTGGCGTACATGGAACAAGCAGCGCAACAAGCTCCGTACCATCAGCCCCGAGACTCTCAACTGGTGAGTAAGCCCAGTGCTCCTGCTTGGTGTTGTGTTGGGCCCGTCGTGTTGTATGGCGTCAGATCTGGAGCCGCCTGCCTGCCCAGGAAAACGTGCGCCGCGCGGACAATTGCCGCCACCACACTCCGCTGCCCATCCGCTCATCCCCGAACCGCTGTCACCGTTGATGCGTTTGCTGACATGTGTGTGATCTTTCCAGGCTCAAGGACTCGGATGTCACCTGGTTGTATGGTCCCTTGCACACTGCCAAAGTCGAACCCGTCCGCCCACTCAGGATCTCTACTGCACAGGAGCGCTTGGGCATTGATGGTGTGCCCTCGTCGGGCAAGCCCGGCATCCTCAAGCACCGGACACTTACAGAGCTTCTCGCCATGCCCGGTCAGTCGTCGCCGGTTCTCGAGGCCGAAAGGCCAGAGGACGGCGACGATGTGATTCTTGCCGATGTCTCGACTCGTGCTCAGATCCCGCACACCAAGTCGGACACACACCTCGCACGCTCCAACTCGATGCCCGTTCGCAGGCGGTCGCCCTCGGCGTCGCTTCGCAGGAATGCCAACCAGTCCCAGGAGCGCTCGCCCGACAGCGTCAACACCATCAGCAACAAGCGTCACATTAGCTTTAACACGTTTGTCGAGCAGGTCATTGCCCTCGACGAGCCCGTCATCCACCGCACATCGGAAGACTCGGACTCGTCGGACGATGTCCTCGAGATGCGTCTGTCCCGCTACTCGAGCCACGGCAGCCACAACAGCCGCACGTCATCCATGATGTCCCGCACCTCGAGCTCGTCGACCATTGCAAAGATCCCTCCTGGCATGCTCAAGACTGCGGGCAACTACGCCAACAACCCCACGTTGCCCAAGCTGGTGTATATGCCCATGGGCGAGTATCGTACCCCACCGATCGAGCAGCCTCCTGCCGTCACATCGCCATTCCAGCTGGCGTCCCCCGTCACTGTCAACTCGGCTGGACGGCGGTGGAGCGCAGTGTCACAGGACGACGACTTCAACAATGGCTTCGACTACTTTGGCGGACCCGACCTCACGGGTGCCAGCCCCGTCGCGGTTCCCAGCCCACAGACTTCTACGTTTGCCCGCGCGCCCGCGGTCAACCCACCTCCTGCCCAGCCGAAGTGGCGCCAGGCCCAGACCGGCGACGTGTCTACCGGTGTCGGCGTCGGCAACAGCCCCTCGAGCAGCTCGTCCTCTTCGTCCCTCAACGCAGTCGTCTCGCCCCAGCCCGGCCGCAGTATTCTCAAGGTTCGCGCCGCCAACAACAACCCCGCACCAGAGCCAGTGTCGCCTCCTGCCGTCTTCAACTACAACCCCTCGGTTGCAACCGGTATCGGAGGCATGTTTGGCGGCTATGAGGGCGCAGCGCAGGCCGGCTTGGCCATCGGCTCGCCCCCTACCGACGACCGGGAGGAGCGCGGCCGCTCCTCGAGCAGCTCGGAGGAGCGTGGTCGTTCGACGTCGCGCGGCTACGGCTCGTCGCAGGTCTTCCGTTCGGCGTCGCGCAACTCGTCGTCTAGCTCGGTGGGCTCGGTCTCGCGCTCGCCCGTCGACACTGGCGTGACCGTCGTCAAGGCGCGCGTCCAGAGCCAGCCTCAGCTCGACAAGGTCCAGGAGGGTACTCCTTGGGCACCAGCTCCCACCGGCGGCGAGCCCATGGACGTAGACTACTCGCCCGAGCGCTCGTTGACGCCCACCCCACACTCGTCCCCTCAGGTGAGTACCTCTGACTGGGAAATGACCCCCCACCCCCTTTTTTTTACAATGCGTGATTCATCTGACTAACGCAGAACTAGATCGTGTTTCGGCCGCTGAAAGACACGTCTCCCGCCTCCTTACCCCACACCTCTAGCCGCCACGCTCTCATCAAGTCGGTCGCTGGCGCACCTCAACAACAACAACAACAACCCCCTGTGACTGCGTCCCCTACCGACCTCGCTTCGGCAGTGGCCCAGGGCCAATTCGTAGCCCCGTCCGCCACAGCCGTCGCGCCAGCAGACGTCGATGCCGACGGCGACGTCACCCCCGCCGAGTCTTCAGAATCGCCTCAGCCGGCAGACGACGAAGACGGCTCGACGCTCATCGGCCGCGCGACCAACATTGCCAACACCGCCAAGGACCTCCTTGGTGCACTGTGGTATGGCGCGCAGGACGATGCAGCACGTCCCCGCCAGCCGACACCGCGGCGTCACCAGCGCGGCGCGTCGCTTGGTTAGGAGAGGAGAGCCCAACGAGCAGAAGAGAAGGAAGGAAAGAAGGAAGCCAGCAGCCACCACACCACCCCAAAGCCTCACCCACACATCCCAACGCCCCCGACCGTGCAGTGCATGTCGTAGTCAACATCCCATCAATCAATCAACACACCAACAACCCCCTCAACTTCTTGCACTCCCCCACATCCACCCCTAATGCGAAAGAGTCGTCAAGTCGTCGTCCCCCCGTCCCATTTTACACACACACACATACTCTCATCATCTCTCTCTCTCTCTCTCCTCCCCCTCTGTAACCTCAGCCCCCCGCCTTATCCTCACCAAGCGCGCACAACCACGCCCTCAGCAACAAAGTGTAATTAAAAACTCCCACCACCATCCCCAACCTGTTATCCCCCCTTTTTTTCACCAAGCCTCCTTTTTTGCATCCACAACACATCAACATGGTCCGGACCTCGGCGGGAACGCGAACGCGACGGCAGCCGCCCCGACAGACACTTCTGGGACAGTTTTTGAATATGACAACAGTGTCAACACGTCACCGTCCGACCGTCCGTCCCGCTGCGGCCCCGCACCGTGTCCTCGAGCGTTTCAGCAGCAAGCAGAGATCCAGAATCCCCAAGTTTTCCCCCCTTTTTTATTTTTCTCTCTCTCTCTCGTTCTCGTTTCCTTCACCCTCATCATCCAAGGAATGCATGTACGTTATCCAGCGCCGAGCAACGAGCACGGATCAGAGAGCAGGTGCAGTGTGGGTGGTTGGGGCGGGGTTGGGGCGATGGAGGCGCGCGGGAGGGTGGAATGTGGCGATAATAGTCGCGTCAGTGCCTCGGAAGCGGCACGTCCGTGGCTGTGGCTGGTGTGCTGGACGGTGTGCGAGGTACGCCAGTTGATCGCTGAGACGGGGCCGGTGGATGAACGGACGCTGTAGACTACGAGTGCATACACTAGCGACCAACTGGACAGACACTACTGCACATACAGTACTACGGAAAGGACGACTGGAAGACTTGACTGAACACGCCCACGAGACACAGTGTCGTGTCCCAGGCCTCCAGGGCGGGTGGACATGTGGCGCAACACATGTCCATTGTCCATGCCCCAAGCCCATGTCCATGTCCATGTCCTTGCTTGCTCGCTGCGCAAGGGGTGGACTCAAGGACGGCATTTGTGTACGGTGCAGTACACGTCGTCGCGTTGGCAATCTTCCTTGGTTGCAGCCACCTGGGCACCTGGCCGGCCAGGTGGTGTGCCGGAATGGAAGGATGGGCATCCGATATCGGCGCCCCCATTGACCTTTGCTGCTTGCTGGAACGAGTGCGTTCATCGTTCCTAGGGCCTGGGACAGAGTCACTGATCACTGCAGTTGCTACGTCCTATGTCCTGCGTCCACATCCTCGCCCTGCCCGGGTGTGCACGTCCACAGCCAAGGCTGAGTGAGATCTGGGCAGATTGAGCGAACCACGTCTGGCCTAGAAGCTGACAGTGTGCCCCGATTGGGGCACCTGTCGTCTGTAGTGGATGGTGTTTCCGGCTGTTGACGTCAATGGGTGTCACCAGCCCAGATGGCCAGATGGGATGAGGAACAGACGGACACGGTAGTTTGCGATTGGTATGCGATCACAAGTGGACAAGTGGACAGGTGGACAGGTGGACATGTGAGTGTCCATGACGACTTGTCCTTGCGAAGCCTGTGGGCCGTGTGTGGCTTCGACTTGCAACTCGCGGTCCAGGCCAGTCTCCAGTATCCTGTGGAAGCCATCGCCTTGGCACCATTTTCTCTCGTTTTCCAATTCCCAGCAGATTGGGACACACAGTCTGGGTACATAATCACCTCTTTCAGTGACGTTTGTCGACTTCTCTGGCGTGGCGCGCTCGCTCCGCATGTCCTTGACATTCTTGTGCGGACAGAACCACCTACTTTCCAACACAACTGACGCTGGACTTGCCCCACTTGGCAGACTGCTTGCCGGTTGACAGTAGCCGAGAGTCCATCCACTGGCCACTGGTACACTGGACGAGAGGCGATCCTTCACCAGCACGAGGCAGTGAGCATGGCGGCGGGGGGACAGCGTGACACCGCTTGGGGTGACTGTGGCCGAAGCACTGCTCCGTTTGGAGCCCATGAGCCTCTTCCTGCAGTACTGCAGTCTGGGCTTTTGCAACCTTCCATGTTTCGTTTCCCTTCCAACGGCTCCACACCTCCCTTTCCGAACTCTGATGGTGGGTGGCGTTTCCTTTGTCGGTGGTGCACACCGGTACACCGGGGAGACCGGCACGTCTGTACCGGAAAGAAAAGAGACGACACACCCCAGGCCCACAAAGAACACGCACTGCAAAGGCTATGCACGCAGGGGTTGGAGAACAGTCCCGGACTGTCGGGTGTCGGGGGAGAGGTCTGTGCGTGAGAGAGAGAGAGAGAGAGACGAGAGGAGAGGAGAACGGCGGCGTCGGCCCCGCCATGATCCTCCCGATCCGCAGTCACGCAGCCACACACGTCCACTTGCGCACTTGCCATGGTGCGAACGAACGGCTGTGGATACCTTCCCTTCTGCACTGTGAAGAGATACACACATGCAACTGTTCCGCCGCGAAGAGAGCACCTCAGGTGTCGGGGGTGCCGCCTTATTCGATTGCGACTGGCTGCGACATGCGCTTGGCACACAAGGACATGCAAAGTTGCGCCCCGGCAGAAGGGCCTTTGTTGCTTCTCTTCTCTGCATGTCACTCACAATCCTGCGCCGACAGTGAGTGTACACGAGAGTGGAGCACGTCTGCTTTGGGATATCCTCTGCACGCTTGTCAACATCTGTGTCATGAGTACTGTATGCTGGTCAAATAAGCTACCTGGGTCCACACCAGTTGTGGTCGAATTTCGCCTCCCTTTTCACGGAATTTGTCGGGAGAACGAAACCAGCCACTCCACCCGTTGTGGGCCTGTGGCATGTGGCCTGTGGGCCTCCAGAGCCTGCGCCCGCACTGCATGCTTTGTGCGCCCTCTACGCTGGGTGACGCAGACACACAATGGGCACTGACTGCACTGTTCGCGCTCGCTCCAGCTCCATTGATCCATTGCCTCTTTCTTGCTGCTGCGGCTCGTTGACGACCGATGAGGACGACGACCACCGACGATGGGTCGATGGCAATGAAGCCCCTGCCGATGAGCGGGATGCGCACTGCCTTTTACCTCGAACGTCTTCCTTTTTCCTCTTGTACCCTAGCTTCTGCTAGTATCCAAAGGCCCAAGGCCAACGGCCTCGTGTACTCGTGTGGTCACATGCTGTTTGTTTCGACTGCTTGTTCTGCGCCCTCATTCTCCGGCCCCACCCACCCCACACACATTGTCCGGCTTCCCCGGTGTACCGGTGTGCAACAGACAGGTCCTTGTCCTTTGTCAGAGACATCAGAAGAAGCTCAGAGCTCAGAGACCAGAGACGGGGGGCAGCTAACCCCAGTGAGGATCCCTCCTGGGCCCAGCAGCTACTCCTTTTGAGGCCACCCCTTGGCCCCCCTCGTTAGCAAACACGTTTTCATCCGCACGAGGACAATCAACCACGCCGTGTCACGCCCCACCGAACAAGGCGAGTAGATCGTTCCCCCACTCGACCGTAGCGCAGCAGCATTCGCCGTGTTGACATGGGTGCTCCTCCACAGAGCGTCACGAAAGACGCCCCCTCTTCTTATCACAAAGGTGTTGCCGACTCCGTTGCCGTGGCTGGAGACGGGTGGTGACGGTGGTGCTTCCTTTCTGCCTTCCTCGCGCTTCTTGTATCCTTGTCCCGTCCGCTCGTGGGAACCAAAGACCACAACAACCCTCCCCCACCTGCACACCTGCTTCCTTCCTTGAACGCCCTTTGCCTTTGTTCCTACTCTCGTGTCCCCCCGCTCGACGGACTTGGGTCTTTTGGATATCTTGTCGCTGGTGCCCCATACTCGGTTCAACTATCTTCCCTTCCTCCCTTCCTCCAACTCTCTTCCTCAAACAACTCTATCATCCTCAAAACCCACCTCGCAGCGTGAGTCATCCATCCACCCTCCATCCTGCCCTTCCTCTCGGATCTCGTTCCCGACACCTTCTTCAACCTGCTTATAGACGCATGCTGACTCCTTCTGCAGCGCACCGCCCAGTGGCAACTTGTTCCATCTACCCCAACAACAACAAACTATGACAGCCGTCCCCCTCGTCCAGCCTCTTGACCTCACGCGCTTTTCCCTCCCTTACGAGCTCTCTGCCAACTCAACCGAGCGCGGCACCACCGTCTCCCAAACCTACGGTCGCCCCGTGTCTGAACGTGCAGCTGCCTCGCCAACGTCCAGCGACTCGTTGGTCTCGCTCCCATCCTCGGCGTCGGCTCACCAGACGACGTTCCCTTCTTCCATCTACCCTCCCCCTCCACCTTCGACGGCCAGCACGTTCTCCCCGAACCTGCAGGTGATCACTCCTCCCGACAGTAACGTTCTCAAGACGGCCAGCGCGCGCGGCAGCAACTCGCCCTCCTCGTGGTTTGACAGTGCGCACAAGCCCTCGTCACTCCCAGCCTCCAACAACGGCAGCTTCCCCGTCCGCGAGTTTTCTTTCCCCCAGTTTCCTTACACACCCTTCTCTTCCTCTTACTCTTCATACCGCACCCCATCTTTCCAAGAGGACATCCAGCCCCCAGCCTACCAGTACCCGTACTACCCTTCATACCCAACAAGCATGCCCCCTACCGCACAGCAGCAGGCAGACGCCCGCCACGCGCGCGAGCTCGCCAAGGCCCGTCGCCATGTCTGGTGAGTCACCATTCCTCCTCGCCCACCCTTTCTGTGTTCTCTACTGACATGCAACCTCGCCAACCCTGTCTGCGACAAGCGCTTCAACCGCCCTTCGTCGCTCAACACCCACATGTCGGTCCACACCGGTGCTAAGCGTGAGTTCTGTTGAGAGACCAATGGCACAACACGCTGCGCCCCAAATGACGACGCGTACTCACACACCAACACAGCTTACCAGTGCACTCGCGACGGCTGTGGCCGCCGTTTCAGCGTCTCCTCCAACCTTCGCCGCCACGAACGCGTAGGTTTCTCAGCTGCCCCGTTTTCTTGGGCTGTAGCTGACCTGTACAGACCCACGAGCAGCGTGCCCGCCCCAAGCAGACGATCTCGTCAACCACCTCGGCCACGTCGTCTGCCACTTCGTCGGCCACTCCTCGCAGCGCCAATGTCGTCCAGTACGCTCCCCCCACGGGCATGTACCCTCCCTCTGGCAACTACCCCTATGCCTACAGCAGCACCCCCCACCCTTCGGGCCACGGCACTCACGGCACCCAGCCTCCCCAGTACAACTATGGCATGCCGCCGTCGGCGGGCGGTGGCGGCAACTCGAACCGCACCAACTACCACGTTGTTCGCCGCAGCATGGCCAGCGCCGAGCACAACCAGTCTGGTACGCCTCAGAGCCCCTCACCTCCTTCCCCCATCTACTCTCCCTCCCCTTCCCCCTCCCAGCCCTTTTGGCGCCCCATCCTTATGCCGCAGCCCACCAAGCCCCACACCGCCAGGTTTGGGTGAAGGAGGACAACTGAGTGTCGTCGCCCTCGTGCCTGCCCGTCACCGCGCCGCGACGACTTTTATCATCAAGGTTGTGAAAAGCAAGTTTTCCGTCTCCCATTACTCGTTCCCCCTCCACTCGGCCACTCGCCTGCCATGCCACCACCGTCTTGTACCAATCATCCTTTCTTGTATCTAGAAGAAGAACAAGTCAAAATGCTCCCTCCCTCCACCATCGAACCCCGACACCCAGCGACAGTGGCACCAACGCCACCGAAAAACCCATGCGTAATGAACCCCCCACCTCCATCCCCCCCACCCCCACTTGTAGAATCAGAACTCTTGACGTCTTGAGAGATCTAAGAGGAAACGAGCTAGTTAGGTTCTGTATATCCATTATGCGAGAGGCGACAGTCATGACCCACCACGAGCAGCACGAGCAGCGAGCAGCGAGCGTTTCAGGCCAACCTGCTCCAATCCTCCCGCCGCGGCAACCGCCGCCTCGCGGCGGTTTTGCAGCTTGCGCACATCGCACGTCGCCCACCTCGTGTTGTTGACTTGCTTCTTCCGCACGGTCCCCCACACGACGCGCGACGCGTCACGTCGTTCTCCCCTCGCTCTGCCCTCGCTCTGCCCTCGCTCACGACCCATGATGTCACTGGCCCACTGGGCGAGTTGGCCGAGTTGAAACGGCCGCTCCACAGATCAGTGCGCGCCTTGTGTCGAGCGGCGAAGGGGGACTCGGTGGTGGGTGTGTGTGGGCGCATGCGGGCCATGCCGCTGGCGATGCCCTGCCGTGCCGGGAGTTGTGTGGATTGTACCGCCGCACCGCTGCGTGACGGTGTTCGGACCGCCGGATGCGTTGCGCGGGCTCTTGCATCGCATCTGTGCTCTGAGCTTTGAGGTGCGCGCGCAACGTGCGTGTGGAGTCTGTGTTCGATCAGGAGAGGGGCAGAGATGGGTGCATGGGCGAGACGGTGTGGCACCAGGCGGCGGACGCCGCCGATTTCATCCGCCACACACTCATCTTCCTCCATCCATACCCACCACCTCCCACTCCGTCCGACATCGCTGCACCTGCACCCCTTACCGCTCACCAAGATGCCCGACATCGACCCTCTCCATATCACGACTGGTGGCACGAATCTTAACGACGAGCAAAAGGCCGCATTTCTCCTCAAGCTGTGATTAACACCCTTCTCAGTAGCATTGCCGTCGCCAGCGCGAATGCCGACACGTCCAGCCCGCTTGCCACCCCAGCAGAATGGCACACCCGTGTCGACAAGGACATTGAACACTACTACTATGCTGTATGTCGTGGCCACTGTTGTCGTCCGCTCGATCTTGTACTCACACAACACCTCGTAGGCTGCCGGCGTGCTTGCCTCTTCGCCCTTCGTTCCACCCCCGCTCGACACGATACAGCCGTTCATCGTCCATGCCATGGAATAGACATGCAAAGTCTACGTCCCAGGCGACCCGGACGGCGCGTTCGACGTCGCATCTGCACCACCTACAGCGCCGGTGGCCATCCCAATCCAAGAGTTTGGGGTGTACACGCCAGAGCATGCTGGATACCACCTGTCCCGCTTGGTCGTCGACCCAGAGGGCAATTGCACATACTGGGACGTTGTGCAGCCGGCTAGCCGCGACGGCGTCATCCAGGATCTAGTAGTCAAAGAGGAGCGCCGGGCCCCGCGTGATCCCAAGCAGGCAGACCAGTAGTAGCCCACTGGCCACTGTACCACTGTCGACGCACCGCCGCTCCCGACAAGCCTAAACCGTTTCGCCGGCTAGCATCGTCAGCAATCGTCAGCAACCATGCGCTCCCATCCACCAGTCCAGTGCCGTCGCCCGGATTGCGCTCCGCTGACACCAGCCCAATGGCTCTTGTTCGTATGTCCGTTGTGTTGTTTCACTGTTGTCATGTACAGTATTATTCTTGTTCCTCGACCTCTGGCCTCTGGACAACTTGGGAGGCACTGACCTACCTCGAGACTGACGCCAAGGAAACGACGACGACGAAGTCAGCTCAGCGTTGACTGAGTGCGGTTACAGTGAATCTTCCCTGTCGCGCAGGAGATTAATGGCTTCTACCGCCGTGCCGCGGCGTGATGGTGTTCAGACCCCGCCGAGCAGCTCTTCCGTCTGTGCTTTTGAGTGTGCTTTTGAGGTGCGTGCGCGTGTTCTGTGTTCGATCAGGAGAGAACCTGTGTGGCGCCAACGCACCGTCGCTTTTATCCGCCACAAGCCTACTCACCCTTTCCCCATTCACGCGCACGGGCACTCACCACCACCCATTTCGTCTAGCATCAGTGCAACCTGCCATCAAGACCAAAAGGGGCCAAAAGAGACGCTCCAGGGAGTACCTGTGACGTTCTAAGCCTAGTATGGGGCTCGAACCCATGACATTTTGATATCCTAACAAGACCCGGAGGGGTGGGGTAAGAGTCAAACTATCTACCGACTGATATAACCAGGCGTTGCACGATATATCCGTGCGTGTTTGTGGGTGTATCGCATAGTGATGTTCATGGTAAGTGGTGGTCATTTCTGGGGGAAGGCGGTTTGTGGTGTTGAACGCGTGCAAGGGATGAGCCAGGCTGCAAGACCGTGATATCACATGTCCGTGGGCCGCATGCCCGATTCCGGCTCCCCCATAGGTGCCTTTTGTCGTTGAGCAACTCTCGCGACTATTAGTTGTATTAATCCTCTTGCACGTCCCCCGCCCACAGTTCCCCGCTCACAGTTGGCGAAGCCCGTGTGACCGTGAGCTGTAGGAGGCCATGTGGTTTGAATGGTCGGTGTGAAGGAGGATGGGTGGATGACGATAATGTTGGATGACGTGGGATGACATGGACGAGGGATGATGCTGGCGGCAACGCCCGTCTCCCCAAACGGAGGTCACGTCCAGAAACATGACGTTATTTTACCTACTCCAGCACCACTTCAGCGTGTAGGGGGATGGAGAATTCAGCCAGCTCCATGGTCAATTACACTTGGCTAGGGATTCCGGCGACTTCTGCAAGCACCAGTTCACCTCGTTGCTACCACATCCGTGTCATCTCACCCACCCCTTCAAACACACCCGGCACCTACATGTACCAATACGAAGCGAGACCCGCGATCCGCACGGAAGAACACACTGAGCACTGGCGATTGTCTTCTTTGTTCGGTACGCACATCAAACGATGGGGGTCTTGGATCCTGCCGACGCCGTTGGCAGCACACCTTAGGTACTCAGGCCTCTCACTCGCGCCGCTCGTGGGCCGAGTACTCTAATGACCTCATTTGCCGACCCATCGACCCATCCTTCAGTAGCCAACGGCATCGCCAGCACGCGGAGGAGCGTGCGTCCATTGGAGGTGCGCATAGTTATGTGACTCACCGCCCCAGAGCATCTCCAAGCTGTCGGCACGTCGACAGTGACTACATAGTCACGACTCGTCCATCATCAGAAGATACACCATTGACTCACCGTGCAGTGCTATCCAGTCCGGTCGTAATTGACGAGAATCACAAGCGTCACGCTCTGTACAATACCAACCCTCAAGTGGCCAAGTTGCAAGTGGCCAAGTGGCCTTGTGGCGCCAAGACCAACTGCGGAAACTGGATTTTCGGCGGGTTTTCGGCGACCGTCAAGACGCACCACCAAAGCCATTCTGCACAGGGTGGTGCGTAGATATCGTAGAGACACATGTACAGATCTGTGCCTGTATATCACTTCCTACTCGCTCCTCTTGTGGCTCTGAATACACTGGGGAATATGGGCTACCGTCGCCGCAGAAACAAGGTTGCAGCGTCGGGCCGTTTTCGCCGCGACATGTCTCCAGTCCCTTGGACCTGCCACAGAGCGGCCCCATCCGCCTTGCTGATATCCCCCGTTGGTCTAAGGCCAACCTCACGACAACGGGCCGTAGTTGGATACGCAGACAGAGCGGAGGGGCCAGGCGTCTCTGCGCGGAGTATTGGGCGGAGGAAATGGGACAAAGTGTGGGCCCGACACTGCCGGGGGGAATACCGTGTACAGAGTCGTAAACTCACCTACCTACAGTTAACTCACCTGCAGTACCACCGTGCTACCCCCGGGTCCGCCGGTCGGTGGAAACACCTTTGATTAAACGATAATCTTTGAGGTCAGCGTGCCGAACGGGGTATTGGGGGAGGAAAGGCGCACTATCAGGTCAGACCGCAGTCGACCGAGGTCATCTGGGCTCTGGTGGGCAACGACAAACCTCCGTGATGGCGGAGTTCTCCTTCCAGGCTTCGTCCAGGCTCCTTCCAGACCTTGCACATGGCGAAATGCGCCGTTGGGCCGTTGTAGAACGAATGTTCGTAGATCTTTCACGCGTAGCCAGCGTTTTTTGTGTGAGAATAACGAAAATGATGAGTACGGGGGGGGAAGAAGAGAATGGACGTGGTCTGCTCTGCAACCCCCTTCACGCATTTCCAGAACTCATATGCCATCGTCTGCATTGTCGGTCGGGGGGCTGCCGACGTGTCCCCAACAGAATGCTATTCTTACGAATATCATCAACGTCTCCCTTGCAACTGTGCATGCCCGTTAGCATGAGCCACATGCAGTTGACAGCAACAGATGCGATGCGGTTGACAGCAACAGAGGTGGCGCTTTTCCCAGTAACGGAGACCGCCTCGATCGCCTGACGCCTGGTGATGCGGTGACCCTGCGCGGGGCATGTTGGCGGAACCAGGAAAAATGTCGGACGGCAGAGCGCAGCCATCCAACTTCAACTGCTGCCTTGGTGTTGTTTTCGACACTGACACTGCATCCTCACCGCATAGAAGGGCGCCAGTTGGGAATACATGCATGTTGGCATTGCAAACATGTCGCACACATGTCGCAAACATACTGGTGCGCGCACGGAAAGCTTGGGGATGTTAGCTGCACAAGGCGACTCGTCACAGTGGATGACCCATGGATTCGTCAAGTGCCACCGTGCAGCAAAACATTTGAAAGCACTGGTCACATCTGTCACGACCAAGCAGAAGATGAAGACGCCCCCGAGCCACCGATCTACCGAATCTGCGGCATGTGGCCCATGTGAGGCTTTGAGCCTTCAAGCCTGTAGGCCAGAACGCTCCGGCATTGTTCCCGACTGCCGTCGCCACAATGGCGGCGGGATTCGACACGCGACGTTGCGACTTGGCGGCCGGCGGAGGGTAACAGGTTTCCAGCGCTCGGCAGAGTCTCGCCGTATCAATACCAGCAAACCCAAACCTTGGGGTTACGGCATTTGGATAGCAGAAACGGGCCGATACTTGTCCCCGAAGCGACTCCGTGAACACCAATGCACAAACGTTGGATTCTAGCGTGGCTAGCGTGTGCCCACTGCTGCGCCTTATTCTCGCTGGGGAGTCGGCGACTCGGTCAAAACATAACGTGGGACAATTGCAGGCGTGGCTTGCTTGTGGGCCTCTTGATCTCGGCTTCTCACCGCCGCCACCGCATTGACAGTCGCGCACATGCATTCCCTACACACGCCTCCAAGTATCGGACGGGTAACAGAGCCGTACCCGCTTTTGGTCTTTCAAATGGAGCATTGACGGGCTGTTCCTGCTGCGCCGGGGAAAGTGAACCGTCTCAGCGCGAGATGGCATGTCTCTCCCGGTGGATATGCAAACGGAGGAGTTGTCTCAGGCCGCGACGTGCCGGTCATTGCCGAACGCAAAAAACGCTGTGCTTGTGCTTGATTGGTGAACACGTGAGACGCGGCCGGTCTGTGCAGCTGCACACGGGGGGGGCAGCGCATGGGTATATGGGTATTGGATCTCTGCCGCTGGCTCGCTCGAGTGCCAAGAGCTCCGCACAGCAAGGCCGCTTTGCAACCCTTTGTCCCAGTGGGCCGGGAGGTGGCTCTCCCTGTTGATTCCCCCTGACATCTCACCGCTATCTCCCCGAGCGACACCAAACTCTGCGAATGAAGGCACAACAGCCCACGCCGCAGCGCAAACGGCTGTTCGGCGTTGAGGGACCCCAGTGCGGAGCCTCGCGGGGGAAATGGCGTGAAGGGTCTTGCGGGGCACAGAACGCACGCGCTCGGCACCACCGCCGTTGGTCGGGACCTTGCACGCCTCCTCCCCGGGCCCTGGTACAGTGTGTTACTCGGTGGGGGGGCGGCGTAAAGGAAAAGCGAGAATCATACAAGAAGAGCGTGGAGGGTTGAGCAAGAAGAGATCCCCACATCAACTCAACTCGCGAGCTCATCCACTCCCCAACGCTCAAAGAGCGCTCAAACACACCTCAGCTCATCGACTCAAGAGCCACCGCTCCCCCTCCACCCTTTCTCCACCTTCCTCGGCGCCCAGTACACTCGACAACCATGGGTATCGCCAACGCTGCCGCCTTGGGGCCCAGCACCGACCTCCAGGCCCTCATGGCCGGTCGCGACAACCGCTGGTACAAGGGCAACCGCCTCAAGCTCACCATGATTCTGGTACGTCAGCCACTAGAGCCTCATATGTGCCTTCCATGTGTTCCCCCCTGGCTAACTCTCTCGCAGCTGCTTGTCCTCATCACTAGTGCCACCAACGGTTATGACGGGTAAGTTGATTCCAGCGTTGGTCGGAACGGGAAGATCTGCACGAGTCTCGTGTGTGAACAGAAAAAGAAAAACACTGGCACACTTTGTCTCACATGTGGGGCCGAGTGCCGGGGCCATTCCGAACGTTCGGAAACAGATTGATCCGCGTGGTCCCGTGGCGCCGCGTCACGTGTTTGCCACTGGGCCATACCTCGTCATCAGTGTGGCACATTCCCGGCGCCGCCGTCGTAACCATTCCTGGTGACATGCACATGCTGACGTTCCCAGTTCCATGATGAACGGTCTTCAGTCGCTCGACACTTGGAGGAGGTGAGTACTGCATGCCTCATGGCAATGGTACTTTGAGGTCGAGGATTTCCAAGATCAACCTCGAAGGACCAGCCCGGCTAAATGAATCTTCTACTGCTCTCCACAACAGTACTGACACCTACATTCAGCTTCTTCGGTCACCCCGAGAACAACGCATCTCTCTTGGGCATCCTCAACGCGATCCAAAATATTGGCTCTATTTGTGGTCTTCCCTTCGGTACGTGAAGCGTGGTCGCCTGTGGAAGAGGGACCAACCTGCCGAACGAGTTGGACTGACATTTCAGCTCCCTACGTGTCGGACATTATGGGTCGTCGCTTTGCCATCTTCCTCGGCTGTATCATCATGCTGGTCGGCACTGCGCTCCAGACTGCCGCCATGAACATTGGTATGTTCATCGCCGCCCGTTGCCTCATCGGTTTCGGTCTCTCGTTCGCCGGTATCGCTGCGCCCGTCCTCATCACTGAGCTCGCCTACCCGACCCACCGTGCTCCTCTCACCTCGCTCTACAACTCGTCGTGGTACCTTGGCGCTATCATCGCCGCCTGGACCACCTTTGGCACTTTCCGCATGCACAGCAACTGGGGATGGCGCATCCCTTCGCTCCTCCAGGGTCTCCCTTCGATCCTCCAGGTTCTCTTCATCTGGTTCATCCCCGAGTCGCCTCGTTGGCTCATCTCCAAGGGCAAGGAGGACCAGGCCATCGCCATCATCGCCAAGTACCACTGTGACGGAAACACCGAGGACCCTCTCGTCGCCTTTGAGATCGACGAGATCAGGGAGGGGATCAACCAGGACAAGGACCAGTCCGGCTGGAAGGACCTGTTCTCTGGCATCGGCAACTGGCGTCGTCTCCGCATCATCGTCGCCATTGCCTTCTTCTCGCAGTGGTCGGGCAACGGTTTGGTCAGCTACTACCTCACTCTCATCCTCACGGGTATTGGCATTACGTCGACCAACATCCAGACTCTCATCAACGGTATCCTCCAGCTCTGGAACTACTTCTGGGCCATTGTCGGTGCTCTCACCGTTGACCGTGTCGGTCGTCGCCCCCTCTTCCTCATGTCAACCGCCGGTATGTGCGTGTCGTTCGTCTGCTGGACGATCTGCTCCGCTATCTACTCCCAGTCGGGCACCATCTTCGACCCCGAGTGCATCGCCGACGGTGGTACCCGCTGGACTTGCGTTGCCCTTGACGCCAACAAGGCTTCCGGTAACGCCGTTCTTGCCTTCATCTTCCTGTACTACGCCTTCTACGACATCGCCATGAGCCCCCTGCTCGTCTCCTACACGGTCGAAATCCTTCCCTTCCGCATTCGCTCCAAGGGTCTCATGTTCATGCAGCTCTGCGTCTCCGCATCGCTCGTGTTCAACCAGTATGCCAAGTGAGTACTTGACGTGTCCGGTCATTTCGGTGAATTTGAACGCGGGATCAATCCGCGAATTGGACGCCGGTCTCGAAGGTGGCAGAACCACCTTCGTACATCGGCGTTACTCAAATCACCATGTCTCCTCTTCCTGACCTCAAAAACATCTTCTACTTGCTTGTGCTGACACGTGTTACCTAGCCCTATCGCATTGGATGCCTTGCACTGGAAGTACTACATTGTCTTCTGTGTTTTCCTGGCCTTCGAGTTCGTATACTGCTACTTCTTCGTCCTCGAGACCCGCGGTCCCAACGGTGCTCTCCCTCTCGAGGAGATTGCCGAGCTCTTCGACGGTCCCGGTTACTACGGCTTCCAGAAGCGCCCTGCTCACGAGGGTCACGTTTCGGACCTCGAGCACTCGGGCAACTACAACCACAACGACATCAAGACCGGCAGCGACGACCACGTCGAGCGCGTCGCGAGCCTTCACTAGTTTGTGTGCCATTTTTCCCGGTGGTTGCGTAATGGGTATTGCGGAGGAGAACAGGGGAGGTATAGTAGTGTGTAAAGGGTTTCTCTGATGTTATTTTATGACGCACAGTCACAATTGTGGTTGCAGGACATGGCCTCTCTGTGACAACGGCTGGCGGGAGCAAACTCACCTGCCAAGGGCTGTGGCGAACACGCACCTTGGGTTGAGATCACCGGTCAGTGCCCAGGCCTTCCTTACGCAGTCTGACGACGGCCACTGACACGCACCTGCCTTCTCCAGTATCTGCCGAAATAACACACAAGCGTCGCGGACGCTGCTTAGCACTTGCGAAAGCGGGGAGTGTCGGTAGCCACTGACACTGATTGCCCTTCGTTGCCCAGCGTCGTGTTAGGTGGGAGTCGGCCGGCAGGTTGACTCCCTAGCCGCCACATGCGTCTCACACCTTGTCCCACGTTGGTTTGTGGTTTTTCAGACTGCCGCATTCAGACTGAAATCTCACCAGTCTTCATCTCATTCCTCACCAGTGTTCACATCTACCCTCTTCTTCGATGCCTGCACCACCTGACGGCCTATGGCTGTCACAGACACAGGTTCCTGCTGGGTTGTGAGCGGATTCCCCTCGCGTGTCCTAGCGCCCTAAATGCGCTAAACGCCCTGGCGCGCTCGTCCGCTCGGTCCACAGGCCACGGGTTGCCAGCACACGCGTACACGGCATCAAAAGCGCCCTCATTCTAGTATTTACGTTGTTATTTCCGTTGTTTGTTGCCACACTTTGCATCTTTCTTCATTCCGACACCACGCGTGAGTCGTTTCTACATATCATGCTCACAGTAAGTACTTACCCAGGTACCTGTACTCCTCCTTCAAGCTTCCCTGTGCCCTTACTCGTGGAGTGTCAACGTCATCTTGCCGAACCTACTGTACCTTGCGATATGTTTCCTTGTTCGATCGACGGCGCCACCTTTACGACTCCTCAAGCCTTGACCAAACATCGCAACAGACTTCACCTTCTGTCCGATGTCATCTGCCGTCATGACGGCTGCTTGTTCGGAAGCGACAATCCTTGGTCTCACGCAGCTCATGAAAACCTGGCGCATGTCACCTGCAAGAAGCGAGGCTGTGGCGAGTGCACCTCCAAGAAGGCGATGTTTCAGCACACACATGACACGCTAGTGGACTGTGACGACACCACCTGCTTCGTGCTCTATGTGGAGACAGCCAAGGACGCCAGATATCTCCACAACAAGATGGAGCACAAGGCCTGCCGCTACACCGGATGCGTGGTTATTCTGCCTGGGGCGACAATCATTATGCTCTCGCTTCGCTGGAAGAAGTTGACGAATACCGCCGTGTGCCCGTCAACACCATTCTACCGGCTCGCTTGCAGACGGCAACGGTTTGGATGTGCTCCGCGACATCAAGGCACTCCTTTGAGGCGCGCCCAAACCGTCGATCTACAGACACCACCGAAGAAGACTGGGAGAATGTGGGCAAAAAGATGAAGCTCCACCGGGAAGCGGGCCGCCAACTGGCGACACAGATCACAATCTCCGGCATCCTGTCTCCTTGGGCCCAGGACACCCTCGCCCCATTCCCATCTTTTGTGACTGCCACCTTTGGCGAGGCCACGCTCAACACGTTCTTCTCGTTGCCGACCAACGGCCCGTTTGAGAACGACGAGCAAACGTTCTTCCTCCTCGGAGCGATCGATCAGTACGATGCCATCACCGAGGCCATGCGTACCTTTATCGGGATGGACGTCACGCTCATGCGAACCATCGCCCATCGCCCATCGCCCCGACAGCAACTGCCTGATTCAGCGTCTGCTGTCGAGACGGTTTGGTCACCTCAACCCAACTAGCCGACCCCCCCCCCCCCCCCCCCCTCCTCCTCCCCCCCCCCCCCCCCCCCCACCAAGGCATTTCCCCCTCCGTCCTCCGTCCTCCCGATGGCTCCTGAGCCCTTACCATTCATCAAGGACGACAAGTCGGCAATGTACGCGTGGTCGGCATTGGCTCGCTACCTCTGTCTCACCCGGCAGCAGGTATACTGGATATTTAACTCCCCTGTCTTCGACCGCGACGACTTCCGTGCCCTTGGTGGCTACCGAACCGTCCTGAAAGTAACCCAGCTGTTCAAGGCCGCGGTGACGCGCGACAGTAACGCCGAGTTGCGCGTCTTTTCGATGGACGATTTGGATGCTCGGGAGATGTGCCAGCCAGAGCAAACGACATGGTCGGGCGACTACCCCATCGCAACCCATCTACAGCTCGTTCGACTTGACAACCTGTCCGCGGTCAACGCGCAGGACACGATCGAGTACAAGCAGGTCCTAGACATCGGCCGACAACCGCAAGAGACCTGGGACTTAACTGCTGCTTCGATGTATTTCAAGACGAAGCGCAAGGCAAGCAAATTTGCTCTTTCGATGTTCAAGAACATCTACGCTGAGACTCACGACACCACTGGCACTGGGGTCGCCCCCGAGTTCTACCGTTTTTATGCTGCGTTGAGAAATCTGGCGAGACTACGCCTCCTGGACGGCAATCCACCTGTAAGCGGTGGATGCGAGAAGTTGTCGTCCTCAAAGCTGTATATGCTGTCTTTACTGCTTTGACACAATGCACATAAACGCTCGCTGCCTCAAAGCGCAGGTGACACTCCAACGTGGTTACTTTGGTCTGGCTTGATGGCGGCCCCTCCGTTACCCTCCGTGCTGACCCATTATCATGACCGAGCTCCTCAGACTTGACCTCGTAGTCGTATCATTTCACTTTGGCCCAGTGTGACTATTCTCAGCAAAGCCACCGCTGCCACAGTTGCACAGGCTCGTCCCCAACGACACACTCGGGCCTTCAATTCCGATTCCGAACTCATGCCTCGAAAGGCGCTCGCGCCTCAGCGCCTCCGCTTATAAACAGCCCTCCTCACCCAACATGCCCAACACACCCAACGCCACATGACGCGTCCCACCCCACTTTCACCGCCACTGTCACATGCCCTCGTCCATACCTGGACCCCGTGCCACCGTCTACATCTTAGACAGAGCGCACACGTGCTGCCACGAGCGGAGAGGCCGGTCGCACCCTCCGCATTCTCCGCAGTGGCACGGCCATCCTGCGGCACGTTGAAGCGGGGGATATCCCCCGACAACGCGCCGAATTCCGCCGGGAGCGGGGGTGAATGTTGACACGGCTCCGCTGGGATCGCACCCCGCGCGCGCTGGGCGGCAGAGGGGAAGGAGGAGAAGCAGCAGAAGAGCATGGAGGGGCACCGCGGCACCATACGGCCCGGGCGGGTACCTCGGTTCAGTGGAAACACACTGCGGCCGGTGCGGAGATGTCTGTTTGTTGGCGGGCGAGGACTCGGGCCCGACTGGCGGTTGCGTTCGTTCGCCGCGTCGCAACGACGGAGATGATGCGGACGACAGAGGATGTGGGGATTAGGAGGGTTCAGTGGAGCCTAGCTGTTACGACATGCCCACTCTGCCGCCAGTATCTGCGCCCAAAAAAAAATTGAAAAAATGAAGCCAGTGAGAGGAGGACGGTTGTGTCAACAGGTCATGGCACCGAGAAACCCAGGCTACATCCCCTCCGCGCGCCCTCCGCCTCGAGGATAGAGCTGGCGCAGTCTTGGCGCTCGCTTTCCACCTCAATCCTCCCGATCCATCGATCAACAACGCCACACCTACCCGAGAGGCTTGGGACTGACTGTGGGGAAAGCGCGTGGCCTAGGTGGCCTGGGAAACAACACGTGGCTGAGTTGAAAGATGTGGCCTAAAACGTACAGTTGTGGTTCATTATGTGGTTGGTCCTACTACAGTACAACACAAAGCTCGAAGCACGCAAAGCCCCACTGTCACTCATCCTGTGCCGGGGTTTGCCGGCTCGGATGGTGGTGCAGGTACAGATTGTGGTGGTGAATTTGCTCTCGAGTCCAAGACAGCGCCGGGTGGTGGTGGTGGCATCTGCACAAACGTTATGGCTGAGAACATATCGCACCTGGAAGAGAGACGTTAGAATGTTGCAAAGAAAGCACAGTGACAGTAACTCACCAATCGCGGACGAGGTCCGTGTCGGTACCGGGTGTAGAAGCCTGACCACACAGAGCGCAAGCAATGTGGAAGACCTTGCCGCGTACCGACTCGCCGTTTGAGGCAACGTCCTCCACAGGAATGCTCATAAGGAGGTTGTGGATCTCTCGGGCGATGGCCTCGCGTTCCCTGGTGAGCTGCTCATCGTCGATGTTGAGAACTCCGCGGAGATCATACTGGCGGGTCAGCCGTATCGTCGCATAAGTTACCCACCAATGAAAATTTGACGATAGCGACCGTGATCAAGATGTTTGCTCGTTGCGTTGCAAACACCTGTCGGTTGGCCTCTTGGGCCACTGTTGTTGGGTCCTGGATCGCGGCCGGGAGGTCGCGCAGAATTCCGTGCACCCTCTCTTCCGCCGCAACAGTCCACTCTGCAGTAATGGTTTGTAATTCGGACAGAATGCAGCGGTGGTGGAAGAAGGACTCGGAGAGGACGCGGAACAGTTTGGACACGGCGACAAACCCAGCAAGCAGAGAGGTCCGTGACGGGGGTTGCGGGAAGAAGCCTTGTGACGTGATAAAGTCGTCGTCGATCGCTTCGGGATATGAGCAGACACCCTGAAAGTCGTTCACAAGCATGGGGTTGCCCGGAATAGCGCGAGTTCTGGGGTTAGCAAGGCAACACGTATGCCGGAGACTCACTTGTCGCTGGCGTAGAGCTGCCAAAACACTCGTCGCCGCAGCTGCACCTCGACAGCGTCGAGACCGAGCGCTTGTGTCTTTGCATCGCTGTGGAGGCCGAGCGTGAACGCAAGCTGGACTGCCTGGCCGAGACGCGCGGCTGCGGTATGGGCCAGTCCGATGGATAAGAGGTAGAAGTTGTCACTGGTGGGTCAGCATAGCTTAACACAGTGACACCCACAAGATGATGATGCAGATCTGCGTCAGCGTCACCTGACCGTGGTAGGTGTGCTGGAGCAGCTGGCTCATGCGATGGCATCTACGCTGCAAGCGCTTCAGCCCCTCGACATCAAACTGCTCCGTCGTGAGGCGTGATGTCGGCATTTGCGAGATGGTAAACGCGACTATGCTGAGTAGCAGTGCGCGGAAGTCGGTGTCACGCAGGTCTAACCTCGTGGCGAGGTTCTCTGCGAACGTAGGGCGGTGCACGAGCGGGAGGATAGGGTACAGGTACTGGAGGTAAAGTGAAATGTAGTGCGAAATGTTCGCCCAAGAGGTAACGTCCTCGAGTTGAGGCTCGCGCCTGTGAGATGGGAGGAGGTTGGCAAGTGTTCCGGGGCCACTTGAGCCTGAGGCAATCATGGTCTCTGGTGATTCGAGGGAAAGAAGTTGCGCTTGTTCGGAAGGGAACTGAGTCGAGCCGTGGGCACCCATGTTGTCAAAACCAAAATCAAGTCCCGTGCCAAAAATGGAAGCTCCGCCGTCCAGCATAGAAATCGAGTCCAGCCAGCTGAGCCCGCCATTGTCGTGGTTTGAGCGTAACGCTCCAGGTGTGAGTGCAAACGATGAAAACGGGCTGCGGGGCGTGCTCGTATGGTGCATGGTCGAGTTGGTGGGGTGTGACTCGAACGCCTCGCCGGGGCCGTCCACGGATGGCGTGTGCAAAGCCACTGATGGTATGGGAGCAGAGGAGAGTGGAGCGGCGAAGCGTGAGGGAACAGGAGGTCGTGACTGAGACGACTGGGAGTGCGGCTGCGAATGCGAGTTGCCGTCGCCGTACGGAGCGTACGATTTGCGCATCGGTGCAGGGCGGATGGGACCACTCGAAGTCGCGTGCTGCTCTTGTCCAGGCTGTCCTTGGGCGTTCTTGATGGCCAAAGCAAACCTGCAGCGCCGTCAGTCTGCGTTCATCCTGTAAACTCACGAGTTCTTCCTCCCTGGCTTCTTCTTGACGTAATCGTAGGTGCAATCAATGACCAGGTTGCGGCAGCCTATGCAAGCGCTGTTGGGATCCTTTTCGTCTTCCACGCACTTGATCTGGGGAGTGTGTTAGCGTATGTCGCATGGTGGCGTGGGGCCCGTCGATGACATTGGGGGACGCGGGGCAAGCAACTGGGGCTCGCGGGGTGGGACGGCTACTGGTGAGGGTACGGGTGACCCATGCAGGCCTTGGAGTCGAGTGTTGAACTAACCTTGCGCTTACGACAGTTGTCACACGTTCTGTATAGCGTCAGACTGGGTTCAGAAGGGTGCGAGATGGGTGGGTTGGAGGTGCACGATTCCATCACAAGACAGCGGTGGTCGACGGTAGATGGGCGGCAATTGGATCTTCCGGAGCAGCAAATGAACGAGAAACGCACCGAGACTTGGGGGGCATCTTGGGCGCCGAGGAGGATGACGCGGGATCCACCCCGGTCTCCGAACCTGCTGGTGGTGTAGGCGACGTCGTAGTGGGCGAAGAGCTGCTGTTTGGCAGCCCAAAAGACAGTAATGATGGTATGAAGGTCTAACGGGATAGATTCGGCAGGTTGAAGATGCTCGGTGCAAAGAGTGGGTGGTGGGTCCGGTGGCCGGTGGCTTGCGTTCCCATATGGGTGCGCGGCCTGTCCGGCGGCAATTCGGCTGTTGCCGTCCGTACTCTCGATGTGGTCTTCTTTCGTCACGTCCAGGTTTCCTGTCGATCGACCACTCAGCTCTTTTGTGCTGGTGGTGCTACCCAGTACCTTCTTGGGAGACACATACATTGTTCTGTAAGACATGCACTGCGTATCTACGTCAACCCCACCCCCATGTCTGTGCCTCCTCCACACTGCAGCGCCTTGTGACCCCCCGTACTGTCTCGCGGCGTCTCGGCGCACGGTTCTCAGATCTCTCTCTGCAGACATCGAGGATGGGGCACCGGCGCCCCAGGCGCTAAACGCTGGTGATTTTCTTGCACCCAGTTGCTCAGGAGAGCGAGCCAGTAAGGCCCTTGGGCGGTGTACGACCTGAGACACGACATGCGCAGTTCTCGGTCCGCTCCTGGTTGCTCTGCACACTCAGGACAACTTTCTAATGTCTCGGAAAGGTCAAAAAGACATCGTCCTACACCGAAGGGGACTCGAACCCCTATCCTAAGTACTGGTATAGCTCGTGTTGAGCTCCATCTTTCAATGGGAAACTTAGATAATAACCCTTATACGATCGGTGTCACAGAGACAGCAGATCGTCACCATGCTTCCTTTTAAACTCTTGCACGTTTCCGTCGACTCGACGCATTTCCTCTTGCGTTTGCATAGCTTGGCTAGAGCGTACGAGGCGAGCGAACATCAGCCTGATGTGCGAAAGATTGTCTCGATGTAACCACTGCCACACTGCCACCACACTGTCCAAACATACAACCGACGACCCATTGATGCACACTGATCGGCGGCCCTGATCGCCGTCTTTGCCCCGCCTTTGTTCTCGCGGGCATAATATCGACGTGTAGCCCCTCAGATGATGATGACACTGCACTTCGGGCCAGTCCTATATGCATAGGAGACACCAGCAGGGTGGTGTTCGATACTATGTTCACGATAACGAGTGGTTGGACGTACACTACAACGGTCCCCGGGACCAATTTGGTATACCAGGCGTGCCAAGAAGGTCGTCAGGAAGCGATCGATCATACCCGTGACGTCGGTGTTGCCGTGTGTCGTGAGACTTGGCAGTTGTTTTTCTTCTTCTTCTTCTTCTCTCTCTCTCACTCTCTCTCTCTCACACACACACTTACTCTACACCACTATGGGTTCCATCCACGACCGCTTCAAGGACGACCGCGACTCCAAGGTCTCTGCCCGCGAGTTCTTCCACGCCCTGGGCCATTCCACCAAGGCGTCGGGTATGGGCCGCCGCGTCTACGAGCAGGCCGACAAGGGAACATACAACCAGGAGTACAAAGAACAGGGGACGTTTGTCGGCCAGCTGGGCGAGCGTCGCCAGGTGAGTTGAGCCTATCGCTCCGGCCAGTTGCAACCCTGTGAACATGGCTAACGGGTTTTAAAGTACGAGGCGCGTCCCGCTCCACCCACACTCCCCTCTATCAACTCGCCGAGTGACGTGTTGAACGCCCTCGGCCCTAACCAGCAAACCGACGCCAACTACGCTGCTGCCGTGCTCGAGTCTTTTGTTCGCAGCCAGCTCGAGACAGGCCGCAGTGAGGCCGAGGTCTCTGTTGACCTGAACGAGCTTGAGAAGAGGGTGAGCGATCAACGCCGGCTGTGACTAACAGTGCAGCTCCAGCAGTACTCCTCTGTCTCCGGACCGCAGTCGGACGTGTTTACCTACATACGCCAGACGTTTAGGCTTGAGGCGCCGCCTGCGTACGGAAATGCCCCGCCTACGTATCATTAAAGAACGGGACCACCAACGAACAGCACAGTTGGGAGCTTTGCAGACATTCACGATCGATAGTTGACATACATGTAAACATTTTGAACCGCACAAGCCGAACCGGATAGGCCGCTTCTCGCTAACCACTGGCCACTGGTACGATCTTTGGGGAGGTTTGAATGGGTGAGCGAGCGGGGACAGTGAAAACACCGTCAAATGTTTGATGGATAACATGCTGTAATCTCCTTGGATGATGTCGGCCCGATCTCGTGGGGAGTGCGGCACAGTTGCGTGCACCCCCGAATCAAGGAGACAGAAATACACAGAACGAGCATTGCGCAGCGCAAGGGTGGGTCATGCGGTCATGTGGCTTGCATGGCTCGCCAGCTCCACTGCTGTGTCAACTGTTTGGGAGGCCCAGCAGGCCACGAGGCCGTGGTGAAAGCCACCGGGCCACCGACCCTCTCCATCCAAGCGAAGCAAGCGAAGGTGATGTTGATATGGTCGGTCAACGACCTCTAGATCAAAGGCCTTCCCATGCCCCTTTCCTCGTCACTGCCAGGAATGACTAAACTCACCCCTTCTATGCAGTGACCTTCTGATGTCATAACCTGGCCGCAACCGTGTTTCTCAGGTCGTTGATGAATCCAACAATGTGTTGGACACACTGGTGGGCGACGGCGAACGCCGCCGGCCTCTTGCGACAGGTCTAGTTTCAAACGCGGGCACTGCCGGCCGTGTCTGTCGTTCTTTAGCCGGTGCTCTTGCAAAGTGGTGGTCACTGGTGAGGTTCACACAGAGGTACATAGGACCGATGCGCAAGTAGCTTTTTTGTTGTATGCAAAGGTCGAGAACGACTGGGGCAGTTGTGAACGACGGTTTGCAGTGTGTATCTGTGTGCACAGGCCAGGCGTGCATCACTCGGCACGATCGGCACTGGCAGTGCGGGGCCGCGCAGTCGGGTTGAGCTGTTTTCGTCATTGCGGCGGCTGCGACTGGGTGGCCTGGGTGGCCTGGGTGGCCTGGGTGGACGCCGGCGTTGAGAGACCGTGCCCGTAGGCCATCTCGTGCATCTCACACGGTCCCTACATCGCTTCCCTCCTCTCGTCCTCGTTTTACCAAAGCCGGGTCAGCCACGCGTCGTCGCCACGTCTCTCTCTTCTCATCACGTATAAAGTAGAGCAGCGGGTTGACACATCCAACTTCTTCCCACTCCCACCAGGTCACCATGCCCGTTTACTCTCTGCCCGTTATCGGGTCTCTCTACGAGGCCCACCCGACAATCGCAGCTATTCTCGTCAGCATCCCTGTCCTCGTCGCCCTCGTCATCCTCTACCTCTACCCTTATAGCGAGTACACGCTCTCGTTCCGCAACCTGCCTGGTCCCAAGCCAGCGAGCTTCTTCTGGGGAAACATCAAGCAGCTTATGGCCGCGCGGCCGGGATTGCTGCACGCAGAATGGGTTGCGCAGTATGGATCGACGATGAGGTACAGGCTCCTTCTTGGAAACAACCGCCTGTTCAGTTCCGACCCCGTCTTCCTCGGCTACGTCCTTCAGCACGCCGACGACTTCCCCAAGCCAGAGCGTACCAGCAAGGCCCTGGCAAGGATGCTGGGCAACGGCCTTCTGTCAGCCGAGGACGTTGTTCACCGCCGCCAGCGCAAGATCATCAACCCAGCCTTCAGCCCTCAGGCCATTCGCGACGTCACTCCGATCTTTTGGGACAAGGCATACGAGCTCAAGGGCAAGCTCATGGGCTTTGTCGAGCGCGACGAGAACCTCATCAGCGAGATGCCGTCGCCCACGCCACCCGCCGCAGGAGACGAGGACAAGGGCGGCCGCAAGATTGACGTGATGAAGTACCTTGGCCAAATGGCGCTCGACATTATCGGTCTCGCTGGGTTCGGCTACGATTTCCAGGCCTTGAGCCACACCCACAACGAGCTTGCCGACAACTTTTCGGCAATGTTCTCGGCCAGCACGAGGATTACCCCTCTTGCGATTCTCCAAAACTTCCTCCCATTCTTCTCGTTTATCCCGTCCAAGAACAAGTCCATCATTAAGAAGAGCCACGCGGCTACCATGCGTGTGGCCCAGGACCTCGTCGAGCGCAAGAAGCGCGCCATTGCCGCCGAGTACACTGGTGCGCTCGAGAAGGGGTCCGACATTGGCAAGGACCTGCTCTCCATCCTCATCAAGGCCAACATGGCTCCCGACCTTCGTCCCGACCAGAAGATGACCGACGCCGAAGTCATGGCCCAAATCACGACTTTCATTCTTGCTGGTAACGAGACTTCGTCGACCGCCCTTACCTGGATCCTGTATCGCCTCGGCCTGAACCCCGATGTCCAGAAGCGTCTCCGCGAAGAGGTCCAGAGCGTCAGCAGCGACACTCCCTCGACAGAGGAGCTCAACGCCCTCACATACCTCGACAAGGTTGTCCACGAGTCGCTTCGCCTGGACGGTCCCGTCCCGGGCACCATGCGCAAGGCCAAGGTCGACGCCGTGATCCCCCTCGGTACTCCTGTTGTCGGTCGCGACGGCACGCTCGTGGACAGTGTTCCTGTGAAGAAGGGTATGGAGATTTTCATTCGTGAGTGCAGCTTCTAAATACGTGGCCAGGACCGAAGCTGACTGTCCCCAGCCATCACAAACGTCAACAAGTCCAAGGACATCTGGGGCGACGACGCCGAGGCGTTCAACCCGGACCGGTTTGACCGCAACGGCCTGCCCGCGCGTCATGTCCCCGGCACTTGGGGCAACCTCCTGTCGTTCCTCGGCGGTGCGCGTAACTGTATCGGTTACCGCTTCGCCCTTGTCGAGATCAAGATTACCCTCTTTGTCCTCATCCGCGCGTTCTCCTTTGAGGAGCTCGCAAGCAAGCCCGACGTCGAGCCAAAGTCGTCCATTGTCATGCGCCCGCGTATCGTTGGCGAAGAGGCAGCTGGTCTCCAGATGCCCCTCCTCGTTCGCGCACTGGACGAGTGAACAAGGTCAGAAGCGGAAGTGTACGTATCAACGATATATATTGTGTAGATCGCGCCATGAGAGCGTAATGAGTACATACGAGTAGAGATGGACTGTTTCGATATTGCCTTTCCAGTGTCTGCAAATGGCACCTCTCTTCACAGGTGGGCCGCATCATCGCGCGCCTCAGCCATCTTCCGGCCCGATCTTTCGTTCCCCAACAAACCTCGCGAAGAACGTCTGGTTGACAAAGTAGTCCTTGGCCATCCGCCGCAGGATCCATTGGGGAGCAGCCACGTCTCCAATCCAAGGGAACGAGTAGACACCCGCACCCAGATCGGTGCCCTCATGTGGTTGCCCAAGGCAGATGACGGCGCCACTCATCCGGGTCGGGCTGTACTGGCCCATCTCTTTACCGGACGTGAGGTGCGCAACGAGGAGCTTTCCCAGCGCCGTAGCTTCCATGTTGGCGGTGGACGCCGCCTTGCGTCCCGGTGTAGCGGCCACATCGCCGATTGAGTAGTACTCGCCAGCCAAAGGCGACTCGGTGGACGAAGGTACGACGCGGAGCGTGTGGTCGACGATAATGTATCCTGCGTCGGATACCGCTCCCGAGTCGGCCGAGGCGACAAACGACGAGTTTGGTATATTGCCAGTTGAGATTAGGACGTAGTCTGCCTCGATGGTACGGCCTGAGCTCAACGTGACTGTCTTGAGCTGTCCGAGGGAGCTGTGAGTCCCGTCCCACTCGGTGTCCTGAACTGGTCCTGAGGGGAACACGAGTCGTTCCCCGAGGGCGAGGTCGACGCCGCGGCGAGTGAGTTGTTCCTCAAGGGACGAGGAGAGGCGCTCTGGAATGGGGGAATAGCTGAATCCCCAGGTTTTGTTTGTCGACTGGCTGGCAGTTTGGAGGAGCCGAGTGCGCGAGTGGACGAGGGTGACCTTCTTGTCCGGGTAGTGGGCACTTAGTTCCTGGTTGGGTGAGCAATGTTCCTACCGCAGACTACCCACACCAGCAATCTCAACACCAGATCCGCCTCCGCCGACCACAATGACGCTCTTGGCGGCCGCGAGTTCTTCTTGTGTGTGTCGCAGGATGACACGGTAGTCCTCCAGGCTTGTGCCTGCAAGTTGTCGCAGGGGATGAGGTTGGGTGGCGCCTGTGGCGATAATGCATTTCTGCCGTCAGCATTGGATCCTTGAACAGTGGCCACCCACGTCAAAGGGCAGCTCGGTGCTGCCTTCAAACTCTGTATCAAGCGTTACACTCGTGCGGCTCAGCTCGCGCACGGCGACAGGAGCGAGCACCCGGTGTCGCGAGTTGGCAGGGAACACCGTTTCTTGCGTGATTGGAGCTGTGAGGTTTCGCGACTCGGTGCCTGCGTCTTAGCAGGTGAAAGCGAAAGACGACGGACAGGCCGCAGCTGCTCACCTGGAACAACGATGGCGCGGACCATTGCTGGGGCATGGAGTGCGAAGGCACTCCTGTCTATCAAGATGACGCGGTATGTCGCTGGAACGCGCGTGGCGAGATAGTTGGCGAGGGCATGGCCAGCGAACGAGGCTGGCGTCAGCTTGTTTCGGGAGACTAGCAGCTTACCTCCAACGATGACAACGTTCTTGTGGTCAGCTGCTTCGACTGTCATCCTGGGTAGCGCAAGTAGGTGAGTGGGAAGTTGAAAGAGTTGGGGAGGGCAGACGTGGTACGTCGCTAAGCGCCCTCTTTAATATCAGATTAGATCGTCGGCCGAGACGAGTTAGTGCGGTTCGTGCCTTGCCTTTGTCGGCGACATCGGCGGAGACGAGTTGTCGGTCTGCAGGTGAGAGCTGTGGCAAAGTGCACTCGTCGCTCGCGTCTTGGAGACTGACGTTACGTGGGAACTACCGCCCGACAAGACCGGTTTCACGTAAGCCGACAGCGCCGAACCGCTCAGCTGTGTGGCCACTCGAGGCTCTGCAGTTACGCGGGTGTTACCAGTCCACATGAGCATCACCTCCACCCACGCGTCGAACAGTGCTACTGCGATGCATCAGTGACATGCGAAGAGTGAGCGATGAGAGATTGAGAACTCATACATACAACCCATGATCCTTTCTACAAACGTTGAAACAGCCCAGTTGCTGCAGCTGCAGCAGGATGACGCTGACGCTGGATGACTGGACTGTTTGGGTGGGGCGCAGCCATCAGTGTGCCACACCACTTTTGTCACACACACCCGCTGTTCCGTCCTTCCTCGTCTTCACTCAACCACTCCATCATCCATCACCCAACATTCCATCGGCCATCGACAGGACGATACCCCTCGTGCACTCTTCTCGGCCACGCCACCACCGGCCGCCATCCACCACCCCCTCCCACAGCAGTACCGCTGTGACCCCTCTGCCACTGCGCCCTTGACAATGGAAGTGGACTCCTTCATTCCGACTTCGCCTTCCCCCGTGGGACCGGCCAGTTCCCCATCCGCGGCCAGCGAGCTCCGCAATGAGCTCGCCAGCGCTGTCTGGTCGATTCCACACCTTCGCGAGACGTTCTTCTCGTACCTCTCCGTCCCACAGGCTGTCAAGTTTATGACCTTGTCGCGCGAGACGTTTCAGACGGCCGCTGAGAAGATCCACGGTAACCTCAACTTCAATGCCTACATGCAGCGCAGCTTCCACACTGTGGCTTTCATTCCCGAAGTAAGTAGCTCAACGGACCCGCCCGGTAGCCTCTGGACCCCTGCTGACTCTGGCCAAGGAGCGCCGCCACTTCTACATGAACTGTGTCAAGACAATCGACTTTACAGGTTCTCTCCCGTCCTGTCATTTCTTCCCCGGAGGCTTCCCCACACTTCTCAACACCTGGCCTCTCCTCCGGACCATCAAGTGTGGCGTACTCTCAGCCAACCGTCGTGAGATCCCTACCGACGACGGCAAGGTCATCCAGACGTGCACCGTAACCAAGACGATTGACCTGCTCCTCGGGCGCTGGAGGGGAAGCTACGAGCACCACCTTCCCGAGCAGTGGGACGTCACCATCCAGTACGAGACAACACTCCTCTGCGGAACCGAGATTTGGAACAAGCTCCAGATGAACAGCATCCCTCGTGCCCTCAAGTTACCCATTTCCAACCTCGAGTGGAACCTCAGCGACAACCAAACGTACGGCAACGAAGGCCTGCAGAAGCTTGTTGAATTGCGCGCCAATAAAGAGTTGGCCCCCATCGAGAACATCCACCTTCGCAACGCGTCCATGTACTGGCGTGCATTCAACGATCTCCCCAGCATCATTGGCGCCACCACCAAGAACCTCTCATGCGTTGTTGCCCTCGTCCACGAGCTCACGGACAGCCATGAGGACACTCACGGCGGCGATACCGATGCTGATGAGAGTGACGATGGATCCGAGGGCGGCGAGGATTGGCTGCAGAAGTATGGCCTCGGCGACACAACCAGCCTCGCCAACATTTTTGTCGATTTCGACTGGGCAGCTTTCCCTGTACTGGAGACTTTCCACATGAGGGTCGAGGTCTATGTCCAGGACCTGTCCAGCGTCAAGCGCCTCTGCCACCGCGTCGGCACGACCAACCTCGATCTCCCTCCACCTGTCTATCTCGGCCGCTGCCTCAACCTCGAATTCATGAGCATCTTCGTCGAGCTCAACTTCAAGACGGGCAGCCACAATTGCGAATGGACATACGAGACTTGGCCCGTGGACTGCTTCCCCGATCCCGAGTTCTTTGCCAAGCAGCTCCTCGCTGTTGGCGGTCTTGGTTGCGAGTACACCATCCACTTTGGAGCGCTCGACGACGACGGCGATGACGCACTTGAACAAGCTGGCATGGTTTACCGTTACCTCGTGTACAAGGCCATCACCAAGTTCAAGCTCGGCAAGGTCGGTTGGCGCAAGGGCGGAGGCGTCCCTGCTCCCAAGGTCGCGGCGGACACGTCTGCTGGCAAGAAGCGCAAGTCGAGGGCCTGAGCAAGTCGGCCAAGAAAGAAGCCCGTCACGCACTCGCATTCATTATCGAAAAGAACGTCATCAGGAGCTGTTAATAGACGTTTAGTAGTAGACTCCCCATGAGCATCCGGTGGTGGTGGTAGTATGCAGGCATGTGAATAGTCGTTGCTCGATACACTCACCAGCGCACCACTGTCGTCTGAAATGCCATATACATTTGTAAACTGCTCTACTACGTGCTCACTGCAATGTTACCGCCCGAACCGCCACCACCGGTACCCTCTCCGACGCCGACAGTCTCCTCCTTGGTGCCACCAAGCTCAAGCTGCTGGAGCAGCTCGTCAAGCTCGGCGGGACGGTAGATCTTGGCCAGGGGCTGCTTGGTGTCGGCGTGAAGGGTCATGGTAGCAAACTCGACTGTGTGGGAGTTAGTTTCCAGCCGAGACGGCAATGTGAACTCACGCTTCTCGCTGCTGAGCTTGGTCGAGTCCATGGTCTTGCTCATCGTCTTGAGACACAGGCTCTTGGCCTCCTCGAGGGTGATGTCGTCCTTGTAGTCCTGCTTGAGGAGGGAAGCCGCGCTCGAGTGGTTGGCTCCAATACACGTCGCCTTCCATCCCGAGTAGTTGCCCGATGGGTCAGACTGGTACAGCTGGAAACCGTGGAGGGGGTCCCAACCGACATAGATGAGGGAAACACCGAACGGACGCAGACCACCGTACTGCGTGTAACCCTGCTTCATGTCGCACAGGCGCTGGACGAGCATCTCGACGGGGATGTCCTCGTCGTACGAGTAGAGATGGCGCTGGGCCGAGTTACGGGCAAAGTTGACAAGCGAGTTGGCGTCAGAGGTGATGCCGGCAAGACCGGTGAGAATGTTGCTGCACATGGGTCAGCACAAACGGACGACTGCACACCCACTTGTTGAGGAGGAAGATCTTCTCGCCACCGCCGGCCATCCAGGCCTCAGAGCCCTCGCCACCGACGGTGGTGAGCGAGAGGTCGAGCAGCTTGCCGGTCACCTTCTGTGCGGGTGTCAGTTGTTGTCCGTCGTTAGAGCGACTATCGCAACTGACCTTCTCAGCAGCAATGGCGATACCCTCCTTGGACAGAACGGCGAGAACGGTACCGGCGTGCGAGATGGCCTCCATAGCGTACTCGACTGTGCAACGTTAGTGTCTTGTATGGGGCTTTGGAGCCTGGGAGCTCGCGAGAGGTACACACCCTGGAACAACCGTCCTGCGTCACCGTTAGCTCTGTGATCAACAACGCAGCAGTCGACAGCAAGTACTCACCTTCTGGCGAGAAGATGGTCGTCCTGCCTGTAAACCAATGTCAGCTCAGCCCGTCCGGGAACTTGCTACCGAGTTTGACGTACTGTCGTATCTGCGCGCCTGGGACAAAGTCAGCTTCATGGACTCAGAACGCCAGCTTGCTGTCCACTCACCATGTTGAATCAATCACCGAGACTCGGTAATAAAGCGGAAGGAAAGAAGGGAAATGCGAGGATACAGTAAACCCTCCTCGTTTATCCTTGAAGGTGATGAGAAATGGAGGTGGTGGTGGTTGGTGGTGGTGGTGACGAAACGGTGATGTCTAGCAGCACTGACGCTGAGGACGATGATGAGGCGGACGCGCGTCCAGTTACCAACGGAATTAATGATGTGTACTATCTACCAGCTGCTGAGGTAATACCACGTGGTAAGTGTGATAAGCGGTGGCGCACATCACCTCCACCGCGCGCGACCGCAACCGCAGGGGTGAGTAGTCTCATATGCTGGCGACGTGCTGTCCAACCACTGCAACAACATCGACGTGGCCTTCACCAAGCCAGTCCACATCCCATGCCCGTTCGCCTCGAGGACGCAGAGGAGTACGAGCTTCCCGCTTTGCGGCGTGGTAGCGGCAGCAACCGCAATAGCCACGATGGCGACTTTGGCGACCACGTCCTTGACAGTGACGGCGAGGATGACGAGCGGCAACTGCGGGCTGCGGGCGAAGCAGACAATGAACAAGCCCGTCTCCTCGCTGCTGAGGGAAAGGTGTCCGGGGAGCTGGATGAGGATGACGACGAGTATGTCCGGCGGGTTCGCTCGCCCGAAGACGAGGACGAGATGATCGGCAAAGGTGGCAAGGTGGAAGCTCTCATTGCTCGTGTGAGTTGGGACAGGTGGACTTGTCAACTGACCAACCAGTCGGTCCCGTCAACAGACGACCCGAGCCTTCCATCACTGACCTTTCGCGTCATTGTGTTGGGCTCGTTCTTCTGTGTCATTGGCGCAGCCGCGTCGATGATGTTCTATTTCAAGTCGAACGCGCCGAGCTTTAGCTCGTACTTTATCATTCTCGCGACGTACCCCTTGGGACACCTCATGGCCAACGAAAAGTTCATTCGTCGGGGGAGGCGGGTCCTGGGTGTCAATCTGAACCCGGGACCGTTCAGCGTCAAAGAGGCAATCCTTGTTAGGTAGGTACGGCCTCTGCGACTTGGCTGACCTGGTCCAGTGTCCTGGCCTCTTCCGGTGCCATGTCTGCCTACGCTGCGGACATTCTCGCCATTCTAGACCTCTACTACAAGGCGCCCCTGGCGACGTTCCCGTCCATCCTCCTCCTCCTCACGACTCAGTGCATTGGGTTTGGCCTTGCTGGTGAGTTAAGAGACGAAAGGAACACAACTCACCCCAGGCATGCTATACAACCTCCTTGTCGCCCGGCCGTCCATGTACTGGCCGTCAACCCTTGTCACCGTCCAACTCTTCACCACCTTATACGAGTCAAGCGCCACGACCTCCACGGCAGCAGGGAGACAGCTCACCACGCGCCGGTTCCAGGTCTTCTCCGTCATCTTCCTAGCGACCTTCATCTACCAGTTCTTCCCCTTTCTCCTCTTCCCCACACTCACCTCGGTATCGGTGTTGTGTCTCGTCAACAACAATAGCTGGTGGATGCGCACTCTTGGAGGGGCTTATGAGGGTCTGGGTATCCTCGACTTCAGCTTTGACTGGAGCAGTATCGGAAGTACGGGACCGCTGTACACGCCATACTGGGCATTGGGAAACTACTTTGGCGGTTTGATCGGTATGATTTGGGTGGTGAGTTGAGTTCTTACCCTTTCCTTTGCCTTCAACAGATCAGCTAACATTCAGATTGTGCCGATCATCCTCGCGTTCAACTTTTGGAACGCGCGTGACTTTCCCTCCCCGACCTCGCCCGGTCTGTTCAACGCCACTTACGACCGATTTGACGTCACGGCGGTGCTCAACCCAGATCTGTCGCTCAACGAGGAGGCATGGGACAGTGCAAAGCCACTCCTTCTGACACCATACTTGTGGGTTCCGTGATCTCTGATTTCTTGACGTGACTGACCCATGCAGTGCACTCACGTACGGGTTTGCATTTGCCGCTCTGTCGAGTATCCTCGTGCACGTGTGGTTGTGGCACCGACAGGAGATCAAGGAAGGTGGGTTAATGCCATTTGCGCCAACACTGACCCAGCAGCACTTTGGAGCAAGGCACAGCTGAACGACACTCACAAGTGGGTTCACCAACTCTGCCGCTTGCTGACCCATGCAGCAAGCTCATGCGCACGTACCGTGCTGTCCCGCAGTGGTGGTACATTGCGCTGCTCGTTGTCAACTTTGCCGCAGCCGGTATGCTTGGTTCAACCTACCGAAAGCTTACACTCCAGTCTTCATGGTATTGACCGCCCCGCTGCAGATGCCTGTCTGGGCACTGACGTTGTCACTGGCAATTGCAGCTGTAAGCCAGCTCGTGCGTTTCTCAGACTAACAAATTTAGGTGTTCTTGATTCCGTGAGGTTACTGGGACCTTCTGATCTAACCTCGCAGTATTGGCGTCGTCGCAGCCGTCAGTAACACACAGATTGGGCTGGTGAGTGCTTCCTTTGCACGAGACTGGTGCTGACTGGACAGAATGTCATGACGGAATTGTGAGCTTGTCCTTTCTCCACTCAAGCTGACATTGCAAGTGTTGCGGGATTCTTGATGCCCGGCAAACCCATCGGAAACGTCACGTTCAAGTGCTTTGGCTGTGAGTCAAGGAGAAGCATGTACAAAGTCCGCCTCTAAACTTCAGACATGGCAATGTCACAGGCGCTGCAGCTTGTCGCCGACCTCAAGCTGGGATGGTACACGTCCATTCCGCCTCGTGAAATGTTCGCTGCTCAAATCATCGGCACGGTGCTGGGCGCACTTACAAACTGTGAGTCATCATCACAGCGGCACCGGGTAGTCGAGTCGCTGACCTCCGCCAAGACATCACTCTGCAATCTGTGCTGTCGTCCAAACGACAGTATCTGGACGGTACGATGACCGACCCAACTGGGCAGTGGACTGGCCGCCGGCCGCAGATCTTCTACTCTGCCAGCATCATCTGGGGTGCCGTCTCTCCGCGACGCTTCTTTGCGGGCAAGTATGCCGTGCTGTATCTCGGCTTCCCGCTCGGTGCAGTTGTTCCTATTATACTGTGGTTTGCGCACAAGCGGTGGCCGAACAAGAAGCTCCACAAGGTAGGCACCCATCCGCGCATGAGGCTACATTGTTGCTGATGACGCCAGGTCAACTTCTCCATCATCTGTGCTGGTGCCATTCTTATTCCCGAATAGTCAGTTGACCACCTTTGTGCCGCCAAGGGGATGCCCAGTCTCCGCCGGCCCGAGCCAAGCCCCCCCCAAGCCGAGCCTAAGACATGTCTGCTGTGAACCGTGCGAACTAGAGAGCTGACACCTAATCCCTCCAGTCCTACCAACATCATTCTCACAGGAGCTGCAACTGCAGTGTTCGTCAATGGGTGGTTTGCGAAACGGTACCCCACCATCCACGGCCAATTCATCTACGTGGTGAGCTCGGCCCTGGATGCCGGCACCTCCATCACGGCGCTGGCGATATATTTCCTGTTTGGCGGCGTCATCTTTACCTGGAATGGACCCAACTGGTGGGGCAACTCGCAGATAGACAGCGAGCACTGCAAGCCAGGCAGCTAGAGCGTCCGCCATGTGGGGGGATAGATGAAGAGAGAGCGAGAGAGAGATGCCCGTTATAGAAGCGAGATGTTTTGTTCATTTGTGCCACCCAAACGTGGTCCGTTTGATAGCATGAGGCACCGTCAATTGAATGGTGCTACAACAGGGGGTGTGTGGGCAGCGTAGAGCGAGAGAGAGATCAGAGAGAGCATGGCAGGAATTTACGTGCGCCACCCCAGTACCCCACAGGTAAACGACGTCCTTTTACCAGACCCTCTTTCCCATATTTCCCTGGCCACACCCCCCGCCCGCGCACGTCCCCGGAGGTATATAGGCAACGGCGCGGGCTTTTGACCGAGCAAGTGAGAGTGCAAGAGTGTTGCAGGGGCAGACACAGGTCAACAAGGTGAAAATGAATGCCAGTGATGGGGGGCGTTTTTTTTTTTACATTTGACGCAAGTGATGGGAGGGGGGACGATGTACAACGATGCAGAGAGATGCAGCTGCAAGAGAAGCATTCAGTGTGCTGGAGAGAGAGGAGGGAGAGAGAGCATTTTGTGTGCGGCAGTGGCGGCGGCGGGCGTGTGTGCGGAGACGAGTGTGCAGAATGGACGACACGGCTGTTGTGTGTGATCTTTGTGATTGTGGTTCCGCCGCCGCGGCGCCGGGCACCCTGGGTTGGGGGGGCGTGTGTCCCCCGCAGCTGCACAGAAACGCACTTTCACCACGAGCGTTCGGGACGAGAACGCGAGAAGACACTCACTCGCTAGCCCCGCTTCTCCATCCAACAAGTCCAGCATCTCCCCTCCTCCCGCTCCGCTCCCCCCCCTTCCCTACTCCCCCCCTCGGCGTGACCTGACGAACCGCGGCGCCGCCGACGACGACAACGGCGACAACGACGGCCGCAGCGTGCCCCCTGTTCTTTCCACCGGCACACGCGTTGGCTGGGACGACGGACGTATTTCCTTCACCGCCCTCCCTCTCCCTCTCCCCTGCCGCACGACCACCCACCCACCACACGACAGCCGCAACGTCGTCGCCCCCCCTTCTCCCCTCCCCTTCGCCGCACACTCTCCCATCCCTTCCATTAGACCTCTCTCCACTTTGACCCCCCATCACCACGACTAGCACTCACTCCGTTCGCTATCCAACGCGCTCAAGCGGCGGTAGACCCACCCACCCAGCTGGCCCTGCACTCGCCGCGGGTCTCAACTTGCCCAAACCCGCTCGCTGCGCACCGAGAGTTCAACCACCCGGCGCAGACACTTTATCCCAAAGCAAGACACGACTCGACCCGGGGGGCGCTTGAACCGAGCAATCACCAACATTTCAAGCTGCCCAGCAGCCAAGGCCAGTCCTCTGTCGGGGACACCGCTTTGACGACCCGGCACCATGTCTGCTGCCATCTCCTCGGAGGAGATTGAGAGGGAGGTCCGCACGCTCAAGTATGTGGCTTGGCCCTCGCCTACCGCGCGCGCGAACGCCGCCCATTCGCGTGCAGCGTGTTGAAGCGAGAGACCTTCCGGGGGGGGGGGGGGGGGGGAGAACACCTCCCGGGGCTGTTTAGAGTGGAATGCTGACGGACACGCAGGAACCTGCGGCGGCGGTCTGGCTCTGCGGCAGGTCCCGGCGACCTCGCTCTCGACCCCGATCTCCCACCAGCAGACGCGTTCTCGTCACCTGCAACCTCGTACTCGTCCAACGACGACGTGACGCTGTCTGTGCCCACGGGCGGCGGCGACGGCCTGTTCTGGGTGCCCGCCCATCTGCATCCCGAACTGGCACCGGGCGAGTTTCGTGCCTTTCTCAAGCAGCACACTTCGGGTGACCCAACCTCTGTGGATCCCAACGAGAGCGGCGAGGCCGCGCTTGGTCGTAGTCCATCATGGCTGGCACGTAGCAGTTCGCTCTCGGGTGGACTGGGACGGAAAAAGTCCATGCTGTCGCGCCAGTACAACCCGCGGGCTGGCGACCTGGTAGAGAACGAGATGCCCCCCGTCCTCGCGCGACGAGGCTCAAGCGTCTACGGAAGGCGCAACGCCGAGCAAGAACCCACACTTCAAGACCTCCAAACGCTCGAGGAGCTCGTCGAGGGTTCCGGCATTGGCGATGACCCCGAGCAAATGGGCGCGCTTCTGCGCCGCACACTGAGTATGAACGTGTCTGCAGGTCGTGAGTTGCCCACAGTTCCAGCGTGCCTGCCAGCGGTGCTGACCTCGTCTCTGCAGAACTCGACGATTCGCTCCCACCTGGTGAGGAACTCAACGCCCCACTTGTCGTGCCCCGTCCCGGCTCCATCATACGCCGCACAGCCCGGACAAAGATTCGCAAAGGGCCACCCGGAGAGGGAGGACGGTTCACGTCGATGCGCAGCCGTCATGGTCCGCGAATCGATTCCACTTCTGCCGAGGGACGGCCCAGTGTCGATGAGTCCCGTCGCAGTGACGAGACGACGAGCGAGGGCCGCAGCTCAGACTCGCCGCACACCAGTGGTGAATCACACGAGGAAAAGGGCAGGCAGCTCGTAGACCCAGGCGTCATTTCAGACGACTCGACCGACGAGGCATTAATCTTTGACGCGTACGCGCGCGACCGCACATCAACCACGTCGACTACGAGTTCCGTATCGTCCTATGGTGGCCGAAGCAGGTCGCCCTCCCCCGAGGATGAGACTCTGCACAACGAACGCGCCCAACCGATCTTGCCGCCTATCCACACACCCAAACCTACCGATGGAGCGTGGTTTGGCGAGGAGGACGACCTCACGCCGACTCAAGAGTCGCCCATGAGTGCGGCGCTCCACGCCATGACGCTTCTGCCATCGTCCGGGTCATCAGATGACATCTTCTCGGCATCCCAACCACAGCAACAGACAACATCCCCTTCAGTCTCTCCGTCGCGACAGCCCGCGGGCTACCCCACCCAGGCGCCTCCTGTGGCCCCGCCAAAGTCTCCCAAGGATCAGTATCTTCCTCCTGGTATGGCCCCGCCACACCAGGCCTCTGCTGGTACTGCTGCTGGTGCTGCGCAGCCCAGCATGGCAGACAACATGTCGGCCCAGCCGCAGCGTAATGGCCAGACGGTCCCGCCATCGTTGGTCATTGAGCGACCGCCTCTGTCGCGCATCGACTCGGCCGCATCGAGTGCCTCCTCCAACATGTCCATCAAGGAGAAGGAGAAGGCTAAGAAGGGCGGACTGTTCTCGAAGAAGGACAAGAAGGACAAGGAGAAGGAGAAGAGCAAGAAGGAAAAGGACGGCTTCCTTGGCTCGCTGTTTGGCGGCAAGAAGAAGCAAGAAGAGCCCACGTCTGTCTCCAACTTTGCCACGGCCGGCCCAGCCGCCGCGGCTGCTCTTTTGGGCACGTCCAAGTCGGCCAAGTCGCTCCAGCACTCGGGCACCTCGTCGCCAACGAGCCCTGGGTTCTCCAACTTTGCTCGCTACCCCATCCACGTCGAGCGTGCCGTCTACCGCCTGAGTCACATCAAGCTTGCCAACGCTCGCCGCCCGCTCATTGAGCAGGTGCTCATCTCCAACCTGATGTTCTGGTACCTGGGTGTCATTGGACGCACCGCCGGCCCCAGCGAGGACAAGAAGAAGGGAACGACCAACGGTTTGGACCAGGACCGCAGCGAGGCGCAAAAGCAGCCCCCGCCAAAGGGAACTCCTGCCAAGCCTGCCGACTCGGGATCTGCTGGTGTCAAGCAGCCTGACCCACCTATGCAGTCGCGCAAGGGCGGTCTCAGCAAGCCCGAACGTGGACGCGGAGGTGGCTCGGCTCACCCCGAACAAGGTTACCGCGCTCCCCAATACGGCATGCAGAATGCCCAGGTGGACAAGGAGATGCGCTCCCCTACTCGAGAGTCCAAACCTGTGCAGCAGCACCCACCTCATTCCCCTACTTCCCCTCCTCCCCAACAGCAGCATTCTCCGCACGCACAACAGCAGCAGTACCAGCAACAGGCTGCCCAGCCACAGCCCCGCACATCCTCCATCACATCGCCCGCACGCACGCGATCTCCACCCGTCACCCCGCCGCAACGCACCGAATACCCTCCTGGCATTGCTCCACCACGCGCTCCTCCCCAGTCCTCGTTTGGTTCCCCTGGTTCACAGGCTCGCCCTCTGCCTCCTCCCATTGACACCCACAACGTTCGCGACAATTCCCGTCAACGGCACTCCACCAACGGCCACCCTCTGCCCAGCGGTGCGGCGCCACACCCCCACCACTCGACGTCGCCTCCTCCGGGCATGCAGCGTCCTCAGCCGCAGCAGGGCTACCCACAGATGCAGAACGGTGCGCCTCGTCAAGATCCGCAGCGTCAATACCCCCAGCACTCGAGTGGCGGCCGCTCCCCCCAGGCTGGACCTCAGCCTGGCCAGATCTTCCAGTACCCGGGGCAGTTCTCCCAACAGCAGCAGCGTGGGGGTGCGGCCCAGCCGGGCCAGGTCTTCAATGCCCAACCAGGCCAGATCTTCCATCACCCCCAGTTCCAGCAACAGCAGCAACAGCAGCGTGCTCAGCCGCCGCAAGCCAACTGGGAGTCACCTCAGCGTCTGCCTCCTCAGCAGCAGCACCCCGGTCCGGCGCTTGCCCAAGGCCCGCCCCGCCGTACGAGCTCCAACTCGTCCTCGAGTCACGACGCGTACGCCCGCACAGGCGCATACCCGTCGCAAGGTGCCGGCGGTGGTGGACCGACGTCGCCGACCCACCAGAGCTTTTACAGCGCGGGCCGTCCGCCATCCATGCAGCCCGGCCAGCCGTACTCGTACTCGCCTAACGGACAGGCAAGGCCACAGGCAGTCTCGCCGGTGCAGTACCCGCACCACCGTTAATCGCAGCGGCAATGGCGCTCAGAGGCGACACTTAATGGCATAATGGCATAATGGCATAACGGCATAACGGCTTAATGGCTCATGGATTCTTCACGCACGGCTTAATGGAACTGGATCGTTTGCACGATGGACGATGGACAGACTTTCACCCCCTGGCACTTCCTGATTCTGGCCCTCCTCGCTCCCCCACTTTACTCCTCCCGATGGACAGTTGACATAGCACAACCTCCCCCTCCCCAACCCGCCATTCCGTTTCCGTGTCATTTGGCAAATCCCATCCCCCCCCCCCCCCCCCCCCCTTCCTCTTTTCCTTCTGCTTTCTTTCATGGGTGTTTCTGGAGGCTTTAGACTCTTGTACTAGAGAGTGAGAGCGTAGAAGTGTCAGTGTGGGCGAAGAAGGAGGGCAAAGGAGAGATCGTTAGGTTAGGTCGCGAGGCAGAGTAGGCTTCACTGTATTACATCCTGCACGACCCATATGCAGTATCTGTTCACGTTCACGTTCTCCCTGCTATAAAAGCGTTGCGACTTGGTGCGATGGGTTCGCTGCTAAAGATATTGTCGGCATCCAGTGCACAATAGTGCACAATAGCAGCCCCGCGCACAGTATAGCCCTGCCCCCCTTGCCAAGACCAGGGGTACCCGTTTGCTGAATGACGCGCCACTTGTGTCCTCGATCGTCGATTCGCCACTCCCCGATTCCCTGTTGCGCTGTGCGCGCCAAGCAAGGAGCCAACAACCATATTTGGCACTAGTACCAGGCTGCAGCTTGCCGACCCCTCTGGTTCCCAACACCCCCCCCGATGCTTTTGCGGTGTGACGCGCTCGCACTGGTTGACAAGTCGTTCCTTTATACCAGGAACGTATGGCGATGCATCAACCTACCTTTCCGGCGGGATGTAACTCCTGCAGGCATTCAGCGAGGGATAAGAAGCAGCGCAGACTTCAAACCCTCGTCTTCTGAATCCATACTCTCTTGTTCTCATCCATCCTCTTTCCACCCTCTCACACTACTCGTTCAAAGAACCCACTTGTCTCGACACAACAGCGCGACGCGCACACGCGTATATTCCACCTGCTTTGTTGACACAAACAGAAATGCCAAAGTGAGTAGGCACCGCCGATCCCGCTTCCGCACCTTTTGGCAGAGCTCGCGCTGACGGCACCAGCATAGAATACCTCCCCGTAAGCCACCTCGGCCTATACATCCAGCTTCACGCGTCCACTACTAACGTATGCTGCAGACCGCGCCGATGGACGCCACCCAGTCCACCGTCGTCCAGAACAGTGCGGTCGTTACCGATGGCGGCGCCAGCGTCGAGCCCAAAGCACCGCGTCCCCAGCAGGACGACAGCGGCTGCTGTTCGAGCTGCGACGGATGCTGCGACTGCGATGGTTGTTCCGACTGCATCGAATGGTGCCTCACGTGTCTCTGTCTCCCGCGCTATATCGGATAGCCTTTGGTCCTCTTTTTAAGATCTCCGAAGGAAGGCGAAAGAGGAGACACGTGAGCCATGTTGGGCACCGTGCAGCTTGGAACCTCATCACGACACACGCGTAGTTTGTTTACCAGCCTGTAATATAGTTATAGAGGCCACTTGCACACTTGTATCCTATCCATTCATCCCATACGACCTGTTCCGCAGCTCCGCAGCCTCAATGCCGGGGGGAGCGACCCAGCATGAAACCGACGCCACGCAGCCACGGGCCAACGGAGACGAATACGCGACGCGGCGACAAGGCTGGTGATGTATGCAGCATGCAGCAAGCACCCTTGATCATCGACGGCGGTCGCCAGACAAGCGCCTTGGGCTGCATATCGAAGTCGTGCTGCAACTTTGCTACCCGGGGGACGCGGGGGTCGCCTGTGGCCTTTGAGCAAGCACGAGTGCACAGGGAGTGGCAAACTGGAACGAGGCGGTGTCACGCGTATAGGAGAGCGCGGAGCATTGACCGCGCGCACAGATCGCAGTGATCGCAGTATTAAGGTGGTTTCCACCAAAAATACATGGTTTCCCCTTGCATAGTGTGTTTCGTGCAGCGGGACATAACGCACTGTGGACAAGTCTCCACCAAAATGTCCGGTATCCAGCCTTCATAGTGTGTTTCGTTCAGTGACACATAACGCACTGTAGCGGCGTCTCGACGGAAAAAGATGTGGTTTCCACCGACGTAGTGTGTTTCTTTTCCGTGCAACGTAGTTGCAAGGTCCCGTGTCATCTCTCATGGATCATTGAAGCTCTTGTATTTTTACGATCGGGCAAATAATGACCGCATCGATGCGATGCACCGGGACGGGTTCCACATGCCTGCGCGGATAGCCGGGTCATAGTGGATAGCGACAGCAGCAGACAACAGACGATCAGACAACACAGTTACAGCCGACTAATCTAGCGGTTGCTTCCGCTTTTTGGGCGCGACGGGGAGTGAGATGCCCCAGGCCAGTGATCACCGATACAGCGTACAGCAATGACTTTGAACTGCTGTTTCTGGATTACTCGATGGAACAGCGCCCAATACAATCTATGAACGGCGGGGATGGACGGCGGCGATTCCTTGCCTGGACTCTCCCGCTTGTCGCGTTCTCCGGTTGTTGGCTTGCGCAATCGTCGCCGTCCTGCCCTCCTCCATCTCGGTGGTTCTGAGCTTCACTTGGTGTCCTCGCAACTAGGAGTGGATGATATGCAGACTACAGAGTCATTCCGTGACACATGCAGCTCTACCTGCAGCCAATGTCCTTTTACTCCTTTTACTCGATAACAGCACTGCACGCGGATTCTCGTTTGCCGACCCCGCATCGATATTACCTTTAATTAGCGGGCAGAGACAAGCATGGCGTTGTTGACACATTTGGCGGCTGGTTTGGGCCCATGTGATGTTTCTTGAGTCGCCGGTCCACAGTTGCGATTGGAACTGTGCAGCGAGAACACGCATCCGACATTGCCAAGTTGCCGTGGTCTGGTCCACCACGGCCGGCCCATCGGTGACTGAGGGTGAACAACGGTGATTGTAGCGATGCGTGGTAACGTGATTGCCTCAAGGTATGAATCAGCATTTGATGTCCAATGGAACGACTGGGAAGGTGGCCGGTGGGGCGAGTGGCAGATGCCGAGGCGAACATTTGTAGGCGGCGAGTGGCTGCCATTTTCTCATTCACAGACTGTGCCACACTGGTAGCAGGGACGCTCTGTCCGCTTTCAATGGTGTCAGCTGTCCCCCGATCTCAAAGCCCCACAGTCGAAATCCAAGAGCCCAGAACCGCATAGCACCAAACCCCGTCGAACCCGACGATGTATGTGAGGCATGGAGATGCATTGTTGGACATTATCTGCTTATATTCGGAGACACTCCCAAAACTCGGGGTCCGCTGTTCGGTGAATGACCATGGACGCGTCGTCATCTACCTCCAAACGCCGGTGTATTTTGAAGTCATCTTTGCCAACCCAACGACTGCCGGCTCGGGGTCTGCCATGGACCCAGCGATACGGTAACACAGTCTAACCGTAGCCCTGGGGTAGTGTTTCGTAAGGGTTGATGGGGAGACGCATCTGGTAGCTGTTGGAGCGGGAAAGGAAAAAGCATAACAATACGCGACACTCGGTCACTCCACAGGGTCCCATGATGTCGTCTTCGCCGTTGTGATAGCACAGAGTGTTCATTGCCAAGAGGGGGTTGCCGGTGATGACAAAGGAGAAGGCCAGCACTGTAATCAACGCACTACCGCTTGTCTCCCGTGATGCTTTTCGAATCGCTTTTTCTTTTGTTGGTCTTGATCGACGTCAAAGCGCCAGCCATCCCAGGAACATGTACCACGGAGCGACGAGCGCCTCGCGCGCACGATATCCTCAGCACGACGGGCTAGCAGCTAGCAAGTGTCTCAATTTCCAGAACGCACCATCTGGTTTCCTCGTGCCACGTCCATCCACGCGTCCCCACTGGGGCTGTATGGCGTGCAGCGTTTCAGCCGCGCAGGCATGTCATCGGCCAAAGCCGCGTTGCGTGCTCCGTGATCCGTGATATCCTCGCGATTTCCATGATGGCTGGGGATGGCTTTCAGTGCGCAGCCTGCTCGCGCAGGCCACAGAGGTACAGAGGTACAGAGGAGCGATTTGCGGTCGACTAGTCGATCCAGCCTCTTTCCTGTCGTTATCCTCGCTAGTCTCATGCTCGAGCGCCACTCCAACGCCCAGTTGACCGCCCACCGGCGTCACCCGGCGTCTGCCACGGGGTGGGTGTAATCGGGATCCCAATCGAGTCAGACTACGACTACGGCCCTAATGAGAGCCAGTATGCATTGGTTTCCGAGCGAGTCGCCGTATCATTGCCAACGAGTGCAAACGTGCTCGATTCGTTTGATGGCGACTACTTGACCACGAAGACTGTGTAACGCGTGTCTCGGGGTACTCCTCCTGCTCCTGAGCGTGTCGCAGTCGCCCGGGTCGATTTCCGTCCACAGCAGGCAGGGCCAAGTCTAAAACGACCTGCATGACCGCTCGATCACGTCGTAGGCGTGTTATCCAGGTTTTGGCAGGCTACAGGCTATAGCGTACGTGTGGGCCAGATCGGCGACAATCTGAAGCGGAGGGAGGATCATGGCAGAAAAAAAAGTTGGCGCGGATGGACACTCTCTGCGATCTCTGCATTTGTGACAAATAATTAATAATGCCTATAGGAATGAATGATGTCTGCACATTCTCCGGTTCCCTACCGATAAACAAAGAAGCGGTACGGTAGACACCCAAGTCCCAGTTGGCACCAGTAGAGTCTCTTGCCTCGAAGGAGCACAAGAGCGCAATACAAGTGGGGTAACTGGGCGCAAGAGTAGTTGCCCTCTGGAGAGGGAGCGCAAAGTGGCTTTAGGCGACTTCAGTTGACCCCCGCGCGTATGAGTTTCAGCACGGGGATCTTGAGTGACGCCGGGGGTGTGAAAGGGGAGGGGGAGAGGAAGAGTGGAAGGAGACTGCGTCGCTCGGTGCCGGACTAGTCGGTGGGCTTGGCTGCTGCGGCGGGCCCACAAGAAGACGGAGAAGAAAAGAAAAATCCCAATACGACGACTTGCTTCTTCGGCCTGGAAATCATGGTTGCATTGTGTAAAAGCTACATACCTGCATACAGCTCTGCCTGCCATTTTGCCCTGCCTCGATTGCCGACCAAAAAAAAACCATTGCGAACAAGGGGAAGGGATGTGAGCACCAAATGAGACCCGGCCTTGGAGTGAAATAAACCCAAGGCCGGTCAATTTATAGCGCTGCTCTCTTTACAGAGATTGGTCTTGACCCATTCAGGAAGCCGGGCATACACTGCACGAATGCTAGTATGGCGGCGCAGATGGGGTCGTGTGTCGTGTTTTGGACAGTGTGGGAGGGAGGGGGGGGGGGAGATAGGAGGGGAGCAGGGGAGAGCAGGAGAGGGGGTGGGAGGGGGGGGAGGGGGCACGAGCGCGCGATGGTAGTGGTGGGGGGGCACGAGGCAGAGGGCAGGCAGGAGAGCTGGGGCGTCAATGGGCAGGTGGGGAGGCGTCCAAGTAGTGAGAGAAGACGCAACGTTGACGTGCTAGGTCGATCGGGAGAAGAGATTGTGGGTGAAAGGAGAAGCAACTCCAAAGTCACATTTTGAACCGTTTCCGAGACCTCGCGTCCAGAAAAAGTCGCTCGCGCCGATCCCTCGCACCAAAAGTACCGCAACTGGGATAAATGCAAAATAAATTGGGTGCGGAAAAATATTAATAGAAGGCGAGCTGTGTTTCTTTTTTCGGAGATGCGCGACGGTGGCAGACAGGGAAGGGATATGTTGAGCTTGAGAGCATTTGACGTTTCGGCAACTTGCCGCCAATGCCTCGGCTTCATCGTGTGAGGCTCATGGTTGGACGAGAGGACGCCACGGTCGTCATGTCATGTATGCTGGTGTGATGGAGGCATGTTTGTGTGGGCACCCGGGGACGCCCGACAGCGCGACGGGGTTGATTGTGGATACCTGGGTGGTATCGATTAGGAAGGACGGTTGCGCCATCATTACGCCATTCTGGGCCACGCTTCCAGATTTTGAGTGGCAATTGGGTGTATGGGGGGGGTGTTTGCAGGTGGGCCCGGAACAGCGGAGACATGCACCGACGAGCCCCTGAGCCCTGGCGCCCTGGTGAGTGGTGTGCGCGTGCTTGTGCGCAGGCGAATGCAGAACTGCAGCAGCCAGCAGCACAGAGCCAGCACGCAACCAACGCAACGACCACCAGCCCATTAGCCCGAATGGACGAGCTTGGCGGCCGGTAACAAATGCACACTCCTATGCACTCTGGTGGTAATCGTGTGGAGTGTGTGACACCGGCAGGTGCCGCGTTGTCGCTGCGCGGGCCAAGAGGGGAAACGGACGCAGAGACGCAGGCCCAGCAGCACGTAATTGGGAGCAGATTCGACAGGCATTATTGCGTCTGGCGTGATCGTCGCCACTGCTGCACAGATGCATACATACATACATGCAAAGCACAATCTGCTTGTTCAGACTTCTCACCCACCTTCCCCCCACCTCTCCCCGTCACATCATTCCATACCCCATAGTCTGGAATAACAAGTGGACGCCACGGCGCCGGCACAAACGATCCCCAGCCCACACATCGACGCACCTGTGTGCCTAGAGTTGAAAGGCGTCCGTCGTGACACCCACACCCACCCGGTCCTCACTCGCTCGGCTCGCTCTCTCTCTCTCTCTCTTGCTCATCCCACATCCCACCTTTGGTGCAACGCCGCTCTCCTTTTGTTACACCACCATTCCCCTCTCGCCACTTTTTTGCCTTCATCCTTCCCACTCCCTCTCCCCTACCATTTCTTGCATAGTCACTGCATAAGCATACCCCACACAGCGCCTTTTTCCATTCGCACCCCCCGTCTTCGTCGCCACTCGCGCGCACACCCACCCACCTCCCTCCCTCCCACCTCCTTTCCTTCCCTCCCCCCGCCGCCCACTCCCACCCAGCCATGTCCCTCCTTGACAATGAGAACGGCACAGACCCGTTCGAGGGGCACGATGCCGCCATTGATTCGGCCGCCGCCAAAGACGGTCGCAAGCTGTGTGTCCGTCACAAGCAGATGGCAAACCAGAACGTCAACGCAAAGCTCCAAAAGGTGTGTAACCTGCAGCAGCAGTGGCGACATCAAATGCTGATGGATAACAGTCCCTCGACTCTCTCCCTGTGCCCGAGCGTGCTGCCATCACCAACCTCTGGAGTACCTTCTCTGCCGCCCCGCACCACAAGCGCAAGCTCATTCTTGAGGGAATTTTGACAATGTGCTGCTTGTAAGTTTCTTGCAACCTTATCAGAAGCTCCATGTCCTTTTTTTCGGGCTGACCATGCCTCTAGTTCTCAGCTGTCACACCTTTCAGACTCGCTGAACCGCATCATCCGCATTGACCCCTTCTCGCTCCTCCCGCGCGAAGTGTCACTTCGCATTCTCGGCTACCTGGATGCCATGTCACTCGGCCGCGCCGCCCAGGTGTCGAGGACATGGAAGTCGCTCGCCGACGACGACCTTCTCTGGCGCCGCATGTGCGGCCAGCACATTGACCGCAAGTGCGAAAAGTGTGGCTGGGGTCTGCCATTACTGGAACGCCGCCGCCTCAAGGTCGAGCTCAAGGACCGCAGCCCCGCGGCAGCTCTTGGCGTCGGCCACCACGACTCGCACCATGACCACGACCACCACCACCATCACCACGATGGCGGCATCCAGCAGTTGATGACTCGCTCCGAGATGCTTGCCGGCAAGGGCAACGACTATCTTGCCATCACATGTGACACGCCAGTCGGAATCGTGCCCAACCCACCCTCTACCAAGAAGCGTTCCGCGCCATCCTCACCATCAATCAATGGCTGGCCTAGGGAGAAGAAGGCCAGGATCGCACTCAGCGATTCCGAAGCCGACGAGCCCGACATGTCCGCTGCCACCGGCAACGGCAGCCTGACTCGCGAAGTGCGCCTCACCCGCCCGTGGAAGTCGGTCTACTGCGAGCGCCTCGTTGTCGAGCGCAACTGGCGCAAGGGCCGTTGCCAGACCAAGACACTCAAGGGTCACACCGACGGTGTCATGTGTCTCCAGTACCACACGGCTCTTAGCAACCCTTCGTACCCCGTCCTCATCACTGGGTCCTACGACCGCACTGTTCGCATCTGGAACCTCGACAGCGGCGAGCTCGTCCAGACCCTCCGTGGCCACGCTCGCGCGGTTCGTGCCCTCCAGTTTGACCAGATGCTCCTCTTTACGGGTTCCATGGACGGCACCGTCCGCATGTGGAACTGGCGCAAGGGCGAGTGTCTCCGTGTCCTTGAAGGCCACTCGGACGGCGTCATCTGCCTCAACTACAACGGCTACCTCCTCGCATCCGGCAGCGCCGACACCAGCATTCTTGTCCGCAACTTCCGCACTGGCGGCAAGTTCTTCCTCCGTGGCCACGACGAGTGCGTCAACCAGGTCGTCCTCTGGGACGGCAAGTCGTCCCCCGGTGACCTCGACCCCACCGCCATGCCCACGTTTAGGTCGAGCCGCGCCCGCAACCCCGGCTCGCCTGGTCTCGACAGCCCCGGTGATGACATTGACGTTGGCACCATGCTCTTCTCTGCCTCGGATGACACCACCATCAAACTCTGGGACCTCACCACCCAAGAGTGCATCCGCACCTTCTCTGGCCACAAGGGCCAGATCCAGGGCCTCCGCGTCCTCATGGTCAACCAGCCGGACGAGGATGACAAGGAACGTGACAACAGCAACCGCCAACTCTCGCCTGCCCCCACCGCATCATTTGCTCCCGCATCGCAGCACCAGCTCCTCACCCTACCTGGTGAGGCCAACTCGCCTGGCAGCATTGGTGACATCCCCCGCACTGCCCGCTGTGAGGAGATTGTCCCGCGTGTCTACGTTCACTCGGAGGACGACAGCGACCGCGACCGCCGCAACAGGGAAAAATCGGGTGACCGTGACGTGAAGCGCGCTGTCCTCGTCAGCGGCTCACTTGACGGCACTGTCAGGCTCTGGGACGTCGACACTGGCCGCGAGACCAACACTCTCTTTGGCCACATTGAGGGTGTCTGGGCCGTCGACATGGACGCTTTGCGTCTCGCCTCGGGCTCGCACGACCGCACAATCAAGGTGTGGGACCGCGAGTCTGGCAACTGTGTGCAGACCCTCGTCGGCCACCGCGGCGCGGTCACGAGCCTGCAGCTGTCGGACGACATGATTGTTTCTGGATCTGGTGAGTTGTGGCGTCTATTTGACTGTGAATTGCATTTTGCTGACGCGACGCAGACGATGGTGACATTATGGTCTGGAGCTTTGCCCCTGTTACGTCTACGTAAACAAACACAGAGGGACTTACATCGCGTCTTCCCCACCACACATATACCTAAAAATCGCCTCCTCTGGCACGACATCGTACGCCCTTTTACCCCATACACACGTTCTACCAACGACCACCTCGTCCTGTTTCTTGGGCCCAGCCAGCCAATTAATACCCACACATACAATCCCCCACTTCGTTGTACACACTTATCTTTATCTGTATATACTTTCCAACACCAAGCATAGTGTACCGACCGTGGAGAGAGAGAGGGAGAGGGAGAGAGAGAAGCCTGTCGAATGCATTGAAACGTGAAGCAGAGACAACTGGTTGCCTGCAGTGTTGGGTTGGGGAGGCGCGACGCAAAGTCCGGGCGGAAGCAAAATCCGCTGACGAGAACCGACGCGTCCGCCAGGCCCTTCATTCAGAGCCCAAGGCCAGGCCATCTGTTGCTTGTCTCGTCGCCACCGTCTCATACCTCACCATCCAACAACAATGCCATCTCACCGCCAGGCCCCGCAGGGTCAGACTCTTGAGGAACTCGCAGAGCGGTACGTACGCAGTCGACGCACCCGGACCTCCCCCCACCATCGCGTGCGGACGAGTCTTTGATTTGAGGGCCGTTGTGGTCGACCCACCCCTGCCTGCTCGTCTCGCGACTCGGACGCGTGGGAGCGCGTCAAACAAAGCAGAGGCTTGTTGTCGTGGTCTGCACATGCTGTCCACACCGCGATCTGCTCCCATGTCTCATCCATCTCGGGGGTCCACCACACGTCCTCGCACGCCCTCCCCCTCTCTCTCGCCTTTTGTGTTTCCCATTTACTGACGCGCAACAGCATCATCTACTCGGAGCGATGTAAGTTTCCATCAAACCCAGGCGACGATAGGCTGTTCTGCCGCCGTGTCCGTCCGCAAGCGCGCGGGCCGCTAGCTCGTTTCCTCGTCCCGTGCCATCTGCGTCGGGTTGGCGTCCAGCACGGAGGGCCGGAGGGCCGGGACCGCAGGTGGTCGTCTCGCCGGACCGAGCGTCCGCGCGCCGCGACCACGCGAGATGGAGCTGGTGGGGTGGTGGTTGGCTCGACTGCTGGGAATCAACAGTGTGCCTCGCGTGTGGGACGTCTGCACTTGGCGAGGACAGCAGAACCTGCTTGTCCAAGTGTTATTGAGCCAGCCCTCAGGCGGAGGAGGAGTTAGACCACACTGCAGGCCGTGGCCAAGATAATCAACTGCACAGCGCTGACATGAACCTTCTTTCCGTGTCCCTCTCTCACCGTCGTGATACGCGCGCATCAAATCAAATCTCATTCGGATACTTGATCTACAGACTCGGACGACAACTTCGAGTACCGCCATGTGATCCTGCCCAAGAACATGCTCAAGCTCATTCCCCGAAAGTGAGTGGAAGGCAGCTAGTCAATGCTTCGACCTCCAGCTGACGTTCGTCCCACCTCCCCCCCGCCTTGCCTTGATCGTTCTACTCGCTGCTCGACCCTCTCACCGCGCTCTGTACCTCCCCTCCAGCTACTTCTCGACCGACGAGTCGGGACTGTTGCGTATTTTGGAAGAGCACGAATGGCGCGGTATCGGCATCACACAGAGCCTGGGCTGGCAGCACTTTGAGGTCCACGGTGAGTTGTTAGGTGACCTCGATTGCGTGAGTCATGACTGACAGGAATACAGCGCCTGAGCCCCACATCTGTACGTGAAAGGAAACTGCTGACTACGCGCAAAGAGCACAGTAGCTGACTCTGACAGTGCTCTTCAGGCGACCACTGGTGAGTACAGCCTAGATCTGTTAGCCCTTTCTTCAGGCCTATCGTCTGCTCGCATGCTCTGAACGGGCATTCTCAAGCCGTGTCGGGAACGGCGTTGTTTGGCCGCGTGGGACGTGGGACAAAGCCATCAGGTCATCAAGCCGCCGTGGTTGGGCAGTTAATCGCCTGTAATAGGCAAAGACCTTGCGAGTCAATCCTTGCCGCCGCGCGCGGCAGACGCGGCAGACATACGCCCATTTCGGACGCAGACTCGGGAGCGAGCGGCAGCCCACCACGCACATGGGCTGTGCGAAGTGCACGCCGTACCGTGCCGTGGTGCTTCCGTCCCGCCCTACCCTCTCTCTCCCTGCGCTCGCACTGTTTTCGCTGTAACAAACCATGCTGATACCTCTCCAGCCCAGCAAGTAGACGAGCGACAGGCGCCACGAGAATCGGCAGAGCCGAACCCGTTAGCCTGGCTGGCCTTGGCCTGTAACATTTCCTTCCTGCGTTCCTCTCTCTCTGTCTCTCTGTCTCTCTCGCTCTCTCTCTCGCCTCTTGCCTCTCGCCTCTCGCCTCTCTCGCTCTCTCTCTCTGCTCTCTAGCCCTCACGCTTTCGCTTTCCCTTATCCTATCTCACCTCGCACCCCACCACCATCCTGCATCCGCTCCGCTCCGTCACGGTGCGCTCCCTCGCCGCGCACCCGCCCCCAGTCCGTTAGCATGGCGTGTGCGGCCGTTGGTATTCTCTATGTCATGGCGTCACACCAGAACAGAAACCAGAAGACAGAAAGCAAAGGGCGATTAGAAAACACAAGGCAGCAGAACCTCGACCCGCTGGGTTCATATCTAGATGTCGAACAATGTAACTAGTAAACGGGAGTGCGAATGAGTGCGAGCGAGGGCAGCAAAAATTGCCCAAATCTCAGTCAGTGACGGCACCCAAGCTGCAACCATGGATCCCGAGCAGCAGCAGCAAAAAATAGTGGGAAGAAGGCTCATCAGATGCATCACACCCTCCGCATGCGGCGGGTAGGGCTCCTCCGAGTGGGGGTCGCAAAGAGGTTTGGGATCTTTGGCGAATAGCTTAGTCGAAGAGACCGAAGCCCATGTCGTCGTCGGACTCCTCCTTGGCCTCCTCCTTCTTCTCCTCAGCGGGGGCGGCGTCACCGCCGGCGGCGGCAGCGGCACCACCGGCAGCGGCAGCGGGGGCGGCACCGCCCGAGGGGACGGAGGCGAGCTTCGACGAGCCCTCAGCGATGAGCTGGAGATTGTCAGTGTGCGTTCCAACGTGTAAAGTTTCACGAGGTTGCGAGCGGCACCGCGTAGGATACGAGCAATTTCGGCTGAACACGGTACTCGGAAATGAAGCCGTCGTGCGGATCTACTGGGCTGCTCGCAAAAACCTCCACTCAAAAACTCACCTCGTTGACGTCCTTGCCCTCAAGCTCGGAGATGAGCTTGTCAAGCTGGGCGGCGTCGGCCTCAATGCCAACGACCTCAAGGAGAGCCTTGACGTCGGCGGCCGAGGGGGCGGCGTTGCCACCCTGCTGGAGGAGGAGGTAAGCGGCGAGGTGCTTCATCTGGAGTAAAGTGGTCAGCTGAAATTCTTCGATACCGTTTTGGGCCGCTCGTCGTCGCCCACGCCGTGTCCGTCGCTAGTCGTTCCCAAAGATCCCCCGTTCCCGTCCCAGTCTCCTTCCCTCGTCACCCCTGCTCCCCCTCAAGATCTTCTTCGACGACTTTCGACACGACACGGCTGGCACGAACGACTGCTGGCGCGCGTTCGCTGCTCACTTTGTTTGTTGTGGCGACGTAAACCGATTTAAGCTGGGTCCAGCAGGAATACGCTCAGGCCTGGATGGGGTCAGTGACTGTGGTTGCCTTGGCTGGTGTCGAGCTCGCTACTGACCTGGATGGTTTGGTGGTAGGAAGAGAGTGCAGGCCAAGATTGGAAGGACATCTGCGTGAGCGCGTCGGCGGTAATTTGAAATGCCTCCGCTGCCCTTCGGCGTTAACGCACCGCGTGCCTAGAATGGCGGTTAGGTGCGCGGAGTTGCATTTGTGGTTGAATCCGCTCGCCCCTCCACGGTAGGCACGCCCGATATTGTTATTGACATCATGAGCAATGTAGTGGAGGAGGTCCACCACATCGTGACTCCAGACACAACGCCATGGTGGGCGAGCACGCCGTCGAAGCGTCCCCAGAGCCAAGGCTGCGACGTCGACAGCCACAGCATGCACCACCGCCTCCTACTGTCAAACAGGCGATAACGACCCCAAGACGAAAGCCACTGGCCGACGTGATGAACATCGCCACCCACCATCCTCCACGAGGCGTTGGCCAAGCCCCAGCGTCACTGCCGTCTACACCATGGCCACGCCCGCTGCAAGAACTGCCTCCTACAGCCTCTACAATTCGACATTTGCGAGTGGCTTTTGAAGATACACCGCCTCGTCTGCGAGGTTTGGAAGAAGGTTGGAGACACGCGCGCCGACGATTGGCAACGATAACAGCCACTGGGTCAGGCAAGCAAGTTGTTTTCGATTTTGATCCACCCACCGATCACCACGTCCATGCACCGGTCAAACTGCAGCTACCGACTAGGGACGCCACAGAAGAAGCTTGGAGCGATGGCGGCGCGGGCAGCCCTGGTGCCGAGAAGCGATACGGCTTGCCCGGTGGCGTTGGTGTGGAGTCGCGTAGAGCTGACGGTGACGATACACCGCCGCCACCAATACAACTTCTGCGCAGGACCTCGAGTTATAAAGCTGTTCACAAGAAATCTGCGACTCACCAGGGCACACATGCCTCTCCCTCTGGTGTTCAGAATACCAACTCTGCCTTACCACCCACCATGTCGACTGCTACGAAAACCTCACATCCGCAAACCACCACCACCACCACCACGGAGCCGGCGACAGCGGTGACCCCGTCAACATCGCGTTCCTCTCGCCGCCCAGCCTTGCCTCCCACTCCACCCAGCTCGCCACGCGGACCGATGGTAAATGCCTCAACCTCAGCCACTGCCGCAACTAGCGTTGCATCGACATATCAATTGTCCAACGCGGCAGCCTCGACGCAGCCCACAACCACCGAGGCAGCCTCGAGCATGCCTGCATCATCGACCGCCTACTCGCCCAACCAGTTGCCAAACCTTGCCTCTGGTCCTAAAACTGGAGCACACTCACCACCAGCCCTTGCCTCCCGCGCATCCCGTAAAATCCTCCCCGGTTGTCTCCCTGCCACTGGATCCATCCGCCTCTCGAAACGGAACGAGGACAGCATCGCGATCCACGACCCACCCGACCAAGTGGGCATCACGCTCGCACTCGACGGCCTGGTGGTGCGCATATTACGCACAGGTGACCACGCCGTCATTGCCGGCGCCGAGGTCTCGGTGCTCCGCCTCAAAGACGCCGACAAGTGGTCCCACGCCGACCATGAGCTCTGGCGACGCATGGCTGCGGACGTGGCCGAGTACAAGCGGATGACACGAAGGGTGAGTTTCCAATGTTTCGCCCTCAGCTGACAACAGATGACGGTGTACACTTCTCTCGGCGACGTTACGCTCACGTGCTCGGATCCGCCCGACATTGTGCTCTCCTGCACACTCCCCGCCGGCCCACACCACGACTACCACGACCCCAAGGGAAAGGTGAACGTCACCAAGGCGCGGGTGCGGTACTCGTTCTCGATCAACGAGATGGTGCTCGACACGGCCAGCAGGCGCGCGAGTGGAGAGTTGCACAAGACAAAACGTCTCGTACCGCTTCGGCATCGTCATATCGCTCCTGATAGGCAGTCCCCGTATAAGGCAAAAGAAAAGGAAAAGGCAAAGGACAAGGACGCAGTAGAGGCCGCCGCCGCCGCGCTTGGGGTTGTAGTGGGGCCAGACTGGAGTGTGGCCGAGCGCGAGGCCGTGCGTCGCTTGTGGGCTACCCGGGTGCAGTGGGGCCAGTATGTCATTGCCGCGAATGAGGACAAGTTGTAGTTGTAGTATTGTTGTACGAAGTTGTAGCCGCAAAGTGTCTTGGATGTAACCTCCAGTACACACCTGGACACCATGTGCCACATCCCTCCCGGACCCTACGGTGGAACGGAGAAACCCGGCAATAAGCTTCAACGGCCGCCTTCCAGGCCCCGGGTCTCTCCTGGCTGGTGCTGAGATTTCGAGCTCGACGACTGAGACGAGAGTGCTTGCTTGCTAGCTAGACCACCACCACTCCTCCACCACCCGCCAGCAATGTCCCTCGCGCGGCCACTCCTGCGCTCGGGCGTGTCGCGCACCGTCGGCACGGTCGCCGCCTCGCGCGCGTCCAGCAGCAAGGCGCCTGCCCAGCAGAACGCGTCTTCGTCGGCGTCGCCTGCCGCTCCCGTCCCCGAAGGCCAGGCGAGCCTCTTCCACACCATCCTCCCCTCGGTCGATGTCCCGCGCTCGTCCAAGTTCCCCAACCCCTTCCCCGACATGCCCACGCACTCGCTCTTCAACGTGGGCCGCACCATCTTCAAGCCCCTCCCCTTGGCCGACCGTCCCAAGCTCATGGGCGCCAACCACCGTGACGAGATGCAGCAGCGCATCGCGGACGTGACGGGCCGCTCGACCCGAGATGTCTCCAAGCTCATGCGTTTCCCCGTCATCAAGGGACGTGTGGTCAACATGACCAAGAAGGGAAAGATGTGAGCACAGGTCGGGAGAGAGAGTGCCGTGGCCAAAGGAACGGACAAGGACGACGAGAACCGCTTTTTGCCACAAACGCCCAATGTCAACCTCCTGACCATGGCCATGGCACCTCACCTCCACACGCCCTCCTCTCCTCCCAAAGACACCTCCAGCTGACACCCGCAGGGCCTCGCAGTACGTCCTTATGGTTGCCGGTGACCCCGAGAAGGGTCTCGTCGGCGTCGGCCGCGGTCGCCACGAGCTGGCCCCCGTCGCCGGTGACACTGCGTTCCGCCGCGCCGTCCTCGCCATGGACTATGTGGCCAAGTTTGAGAACCGTACGCTGTTCGGCCACGGGGCCGACCTCAAGGCCAAGTTTGGCGCCACGACCGTCATCATGCGTGCGCGCCCGCCCGGATTCGGCCTCCAGGTGCCCCACGTCCTCCACCGTCTGCTCTCGGCGTGCGGTATCCGCGATGCGTCGGCGACGATCGAGGGAAGCCGTCACCCCGGTAACGTCCTTGCTGCGGGTCTGCAGATCCTCCACGGTGGCGTGAGTACATGGGACTGGAGCGACAGCTGGGCCTGTCGTTGGCGAGCCATAGCTGTCCCCCTTTGCTTTACATTATCGTACAGTAGCTGACATGTTTACCCAGTTCGGTCCCGCCGGCTTTGGCTCGGGTACCGGTAAGCCCGGTCGCAAGCAGGACAAGGGCGCTGGTATGCGCACTATCCGCGACATTGAGCTCGAGCGCGGTCGCTACGGTGTCGACCTCGGCAAGAGGTTGTAGAGGGCTTGGCACTTTGAGTAGCTAGCAGCTATAGCATTAGAGGCACAAAGCCGTTACCCCGCGTGTCAGTAGTATCCCCCCCCCCCATTTCCCCATGTCCCATGCACATCTACACCATTGATCAGGGAGGGCAACATAGGGCAGCAGAAGCAAGTGTGACAAGGTCCTCTTCGGTCCACGAGCTGCTGCAGCCAAGCCTCTGCCACACACGTCGGCCACAGTGAGGTCTACACAATGCATAGAATGGGCGTGAACGGCCAACACAACTGGTACAAACACGAATTATGGGTCCAGATAGGGGAAGCAAGCAAGAACAGTTGTCAAAGGGTGTAACTCCTGTCTTATTCCTTGCCCGTCGACAGGCGACCGAGGACAGCGAGAACAACTATAGCGACAAGCCAGCGCCACGAGGGCATCCAGCGGCTACCGTGTTGTCTCTGTTGCCTCGCTAGGGGCTGCTGCTTCGTGTCTGCTAGAGTTGTGGCGACACCAGAGGCTGATGTGGGATTGTTGTTGTTGTTGTTGTTGACGGGAGAAAGAGGGTTCGGGGCGGGGGATTGTGTTCGCGTGGACGCGGCAGTGGTTGCCGGTGTCGATTGTGCCGACGACAGCGGCGTGTCATTGTCGCTGTTGCCGGGCACACTAGACTCAGACCCGGTTACGCCTGAAGGCTCAACGCAAACGTGTCAGCAGGCGGGCGAGGAAGCATATCGTCAACATACCGAATCGGCGCCGGGCTGCTTGCCCATGTCTGGCAGGTCGGTCATCTGTGAAGTCGCGTATGTGGGGAAGATTTCCTGATGGGTTAGCGGTGATGGAATGAGTCACCCACCCTAAACTTCTTGTTGTTCAGGTTGAACGCATGCGACGTGGTAGCGAGCTGGCGCTTCTGAACGTCGGTGGTCTTGACGGCACCGGCGGTGATCCTGTATGTTAGAGCTATTCCGAATGCCTGTGGTGTAGCTCACTCGTCGCTCAGCATAAAGGAGAGGAGGCCAGTAAGGATCGTGGCGACCGACCTAAGTCATCAGCTTTGCCGTCGCACTGTCAACAGAGCACAACGTACCAGGCTGCGTTCCAACTGTTGCAGTGGGTCAGTGTAGGGTCCACGGGTCCCAAAGCAGACCTACGTGCTCGGGTGGCTGTGAGGTCAGCTTTGCGTCGTCCCCAGATACTCCAGCTGACGTACTAAGAAGTCATGCTCATGCAGATCTTGACACCGCACTCGAAACGTCCCGAGGGAGTGAACATCTTGACATCAGGTGGCTTGAACGCTGGGTCGGTTAGCACTGGTAACGTCTTTGCAGTCCGGCTTCGGCCTTGGTGGGCAACTTGGCGAGGTTACGCCCCACACTGCCTTGCTCCTCCTCGTCCCTTCTCCTCCTCGTCCTCTCCATTTCTCGGACACGTACGGTAGTCGCTCGGGAACCAGATAAGACCGTGGTACTCGCCGCCGGCATAAGGCGTGTCGGGAGGACCGCGCTGGAGACGGCGTCAGTGCAGCTCTGCAGTACTTGCATCAAGCTGTGTCCCCTCACAATGATAAAGTGCCCTGTCGTTGTCAGTTGTGTCACTCAACAGGAAGAGATAACCCACAGTCAAGAATGTTCTTCTCCTCGGGCACGGCCCAGATGAATGGGGGTGGGCTCTTCTGCATCGCGAGGTACTCCTGTAGCACCAGTTAGCTGTGCCCTGCTGTGTTAATTGTGGTTTGGCTACCTTTTGGAGCTGCAGGTTGTCAGCGGACATGTCCCAAAAGTCAGTGTAACAAGGCTCCCCCCTCGTTGCCCCACACTCCGGCGGGGCGCACGCGGGCTCCTTGCCACCTATATGTACGTACCCGCTTCTGCGCGACCTTGGACGCCATCGTGCACTACCTGTACTGTGTACTACAGTGGCGGGGAGGTGCGTCGAGTAAGGACGGTGAGGGACAGAGAGAGGGAGGGTGTTAACGCCTGTGGAGGCGACAGAAAGAATGTTGGAGGAGGAGGGAAGGAGCGACACGACAATGTGTGATCGGGGCGGAGGGCGACGGCGGCGACGACGGTCACGGCGGGTGGCCGACGGCGAGTGGGGGGTGTGGGGGGGGATGCGCCCGCCTGCAGTGGGCGGAGTGATAAGGGACACCCATACACCTGGTTTTGTAAATTACACGTCATGGATCTTGGAGACCCCACACCCTTGTGTTTCAGTTCGGTCGCTGGCTGCGTTGCGTGGCACACCCATCATCATGCATCATGCTGTGCCTCGATATGCAACGCGTCGTTGGGATCTGGACGCGGCGGTGGATGACGTAGAATGGGACGTCTTGTCTGTGTTTTGATGGCATATAAATCGAGGTGCGCTTGTTCACGCATGCGCTGTTGAGTCGACATGGTTGGCACCGTGTTGTATTTATCGTCTTTGTTTTGGGGGAGGATACTTATTTTAGTAGGAGTCCTCGTGTCTCTCATGCCACTGAGCTAGACGCATAAAGGCGTAATCAAGTTTCCGTCACCTTTAACAATCCCAATTTCTAGTTTTGTGATGACAAACGGAATTGGAGGTTGTGTTTGTCACACGAATAATGTCACGATCAGGTTACATTTTATTCAATCGCCATTCTGTGCAGCAGGCTCCTCTCCTCGTCTGTCGAGAGAAGGTACCGGAGCAACACTTCGATGTCATCCACTCGTATTAAGCGAGTCAAGGCATTCTATGACGGCGTAGCTGGAGTAGGGCAGGTCACAGGAGTTGCTTCGTTCAGTCCATATAAGCCTCGTCATAATTTCTTGGCTACCTTCGAGCTCAGGTGGAGAATATTCATGCCGATGGGAGCGAGGCGGATGGGCATACCTCGTCGCGAAGTCCCACTGTGTCCAACAGTGATACAATTTCCCAGCGTCTTCGGTCGTCCTTGCCAGCTCCCACTCCGCCCCAACAATCAATACACAAGTCAATTGACATTCCTGCTCAGCGCCTGAAGTATTGACGGCAACCGCACATGCCTGCAAAAACAGTTGGACCGCTAGCCTGCCACACACAACCCACGCTCGTCCAGAACATGCCACTCCCACTGAGCCTACGCCATTATCCAGCTTCCACTTCACATGCCCACGTGCCCTTATACACTGCCGGTACCGTGAAACGGGAAACAGTCGACATGGGAACAAGGGACGCAGGGAGGGTAGACCAAGCGCGATCCGTGCCCACCCACTCACCCGTAACCCATCATCTTTCAGCCGTCCCTCGAGAGCTTTGTCCCTCCCCTGCCATCACATACGCTCGGACTATACCTCGTATTTCCTTCCCAACCCCTTCATCCGTACATGTCAGAGGACCACAGGCCCAGAAACCCTGCACAAGTGCGGCGATACGGAAGCTTTGTGGCAGGGGAATGGATTCTGACGGCCGCGCAAGCGTGCCAGCACTGCCAGCGTCACTGCAAGCGTCACACGTTTCGACTCTTGTGGCACATGTACAGCCCCCGATAACGACAGAGTTGTGGCACAACGACGGACGCGTCTACAGTCGTCGTCGTCGCCACGGACGGGCTCGAGTCTCGTTTGTCGGCACCAAATATGCACCTATCGCGAGCTCAGACGAGCTAGCACGTTATCGTGACAACTACCCTCGCTATCTCTGGCGGATATGGTGATTAAGCTACAATGTAGCGGGGTGGGGCACCGCCCAATTCATTCAATATTGCACACCTGGCCACAACCCGGCCTTTCGGGACCAGGAACGCGTCCTTCCGGAACACCACCACATGATAGCCCCCCCCGGGCTCCATTAATTGAGTGTCGGCGTACCTGTATCCCCCCACCATGTCCTGTCTCCTGTCGTGCCCTATGCAACGCCGTCTCGCTGAAAACTACTGTCTTCAAACCAGTGTCGTCGTCCACGCAGGGGCATAGAGCGATCAGGAGCGGCCGTTGACGGCGGCGGCCAAGAGATTTCCGTCGCCGCCGCCGCCGATCGCCGCCGCTGGCAAGAGACAAGGGAACGCGGCGCCACCGACGCACGACAGGGCCACGTCTCGCCCACTGGTAACCGCTGCTGGGGACACTACAGTACTACAGACTCTGGGGACCGGGATTCTGGATGGGTCCGAGGTCCGACGGTGACCCCCACGAGAGATGCTGTACACCTGCGCACCTATGCTGCGGCGTATGAAGGGGGCAAGGGCAGCACCAGCACGTCATGGGGACGTCTCGTGGGGTGGAAAGTGGATTATGAGTCGGGCACGCGACCAGTGCAGCCCTGCTCCTCCTAGCGTTGGAGCGATGTCGGCCGCGCAGGACGTGTCCGGTATCGGACGGACTTGGAACGGCGACAACGGCGTTCTATTGGCGCATTAAACAAAAACAACACCAATGGACACCACCACGACCACCAAAGGGTGGAAGATGTCGATATCCAGCCCAGGCCCGCGCCAGGCGCCTCCCGGAACGCTACGCAAACGCTAACTTGGTCTCGCGTGTAACGCGCCATACATTGCGCAATCTCAACCAAGACGTGCAGAACCGCATCCATAGGAACAGCTTCTATAGCGACGAACAGACTGCGGCTATGATACGATGTTCCATAGCCAGCACAGGAAATAGAAAACCCAGGCCGGATTGCCGCCACTTACCGTTCCATGCTAGGAATGGGACGGACCGAGGAACAAGGTTCCTCTTCGATTAGGTCCTCGCGTGTCGGTGGCATGCGCCGATGACGCTGGCGGAACATGGGCAAGGAAGGTTACGGCGGGGGTAGCCCAATATTGGAATAGCCACAGCATGGCATTGGCTGCGAGCAGAGGGACCGCTTGGTCCGCTTGACGGGGACACGAGAGCATTACGATGTGGGGACGACGGTCCAACGGCCGCACGCGACCCCGTACCCCGTGTGCCCGCTACCCATGTGCCAAACCAAAATAATCTGAAATCTGAAATCTGAAATCATCTGAAATCTCCAGCTGCAGGGCAATTAGGGCATTGAATGCAAAATATTTACAGGGCGGTTTCGGTTGTGGTATGGTTTGTATTGCCACAAGCCTATAGGAGCGCCTAGATGGGGTCGTGTGCAGGCTGTGCAGGCTCGTTCGCTCGCTTGGCCTTGTCCCTTGACCTTGCATTTGTATTACCGGGGGGATGCCATGAAGGCAAATGTGACAGCATCATAGCGATGGAGCCACAATACGGCCCTGTCGCGCTTTTTGCCCTTGGGGCCACACCCCTATGACCCACCTGCACACCTGGTTTTGTCCTACAAACGACAGGCCCTGCAGTAGCGCTCTTCTTTGCTGGGGCCGGGTTGCCGGCGCTGGGTGCGCACCGAGGTCCGACGTGGTCGGGATCGCGAGATTTCAAGGATGTGTCAAGGGCAGCCAAGGGGAGAGGCAAGGACCCCGACGCCGCCATGCGCCGTCCGCCGGGCCCACGTTCGGTCCCGGTCCTGGCCGCCAGTGGTGGGCGCCGCTTCGTACGTCCGTCATGGGGTCCGTCATCTGACGAGGACAAGGGCTGTTGGGTGGCAAAAAATATGTGTGTACTGGCAGCGTGAGTACTGCCGAGACATAGAAAGGTTTTGGCGCTTGTTTTGGCGGATCCGAAGCGGGTGTGAGAAGGTGGGCTGCGTGCTATGTTTGGGTGTCGTGTGAGCTTGACGAGTTGGACAAGGAATGGCGGAGCCGAGTGGGAACAGAGAGATGCATGGCAGATATAGCTGGGTGGCGACTGGTGTACTGGTGTGTGTCCTTGTGTGCAGGTGCACAGCGCTACGCTTTGAACGAGCGGGCCGCATAGCATACGCTGTGCGCTGTGACAGAGGAAGCCACACTTATGAAAATTGTAATGCGTGCCAGGGAAGTGTTGCCAGTTCCTTGTCAGGGAATGCCCATGTCCCGGCGGCTTTGCCTGGCCCTTGGCCTCTAAAGCTGGCCTCCTCTGCTGGCCTCCCCGCCAAAAGCAGCAAATTTAAAGGGGGGGGGGACGAGAAGATGCTAAATGGCGATTTTCAAAAAAAAAAAAAACTTGGCCTGTACGGCGTGTGTGCGTGCGTGTGAGAGAGAGAAGGGGTGCGTGCACACGACACACACCATATGCAGCCACGGCAGCCAGGCTGCGGGCCGCCCGCCCACAGGGATTTGAGAGAAACACACTACAGGGACCTGGATGGCAGTTCTTCAACCCGTTGTTCGCATTTCCACCCTCACACACCCCCATCACCCCCTTTCCATACCCTTTGCTATTACCACTCTCGCTGCTACATACATACACACTACAACCCCGTTCGCCTACTTGAGATCTCCCCTCATCCATCCCCTCCTCTCGCAACCACTTGCTTGCTGGGACACAGCCTGCTTCTTACACCAAAGAGCGAGCACACCAGGGCACTCTAGACATTCTCTAGTTTGCCTCCCACACCCACACCCACCTTACCAACAACCCCCCTTCAACCCCCCCGCACCCGTCGATGTGTGCCAGTCCGTACATCAACACCACCACCACCTCTCCTTCACACGAACGCCCCACCAGCAACCACCCTCTTGCCACCAGGCTCGACCACCCAAAGCCATACCTCTATCTGTTCCTTTCCCAAAACCACTACCTGATAGCCAACAACCACCCAGGCTCGTGCCCCAACACGAGCCCTTGAATGTCCATCACGATGAACTCCAACGCGGGGAGGAAGGCCAAGCGAGGTGAGTTTACAACATTGCACCGAGAGAACCGGTCTACGACGGCGATGTGAACCAAGAGGTGCACAATGCGCACACACCACGGCACGGACACGTCGCGTGTCGGGCTATTCTCACTCCAGGACGGACCTGGGCGTCTTTGCGAATTAATTCTCTCCTCTTCCTTTTGGCACACCGTAGAGCTCACACGACCATTCAACAGGCCCTACCTCCCCAACCGCTTCTATCCACTCCCCCCCTTCCGCCACCTCTCCCCTCCCCAAGATCAAGCTCAACATTCGCAACAACTCCCAGACCGGCCACTCGCGTGCATTCGCGGCCGCGGCGTCGTCGTCGCGCGGCCGCTCGACGGCAGTCCAGCGCCGAGTCTACTCGGACGAGGACAGCTCCTCGGACCTCACACCTGCCGACGACGACGACGATGACGACGATGATGATGACGACGATGACAACGTCTTCTCTCGGATCGCCAGCCGCAAGGGCAAGAAGCGCGAGTCTCTCCCGCACATCCATACCCACGCCTCGCCGCTTGCAGCAAAGGACAAGGGCAAGGGCAAGGCCGCAACCCCCCAAACAAACAAATCTTCAGCCGACATGAATGACGGCCTCCACCAACCTTCCTCCACCCCACGCCCGACTGCCGTCGGCCCCAACGGCCGCGACAGGAAGCGTGTCATCAAGCTCGGCGAGGTCGCGCGCAGGCGTGCCCGCGACGACAAGTTTGGCTTTGGTGGTGACCGCTTCAGCGGCGTCGTGAGTAGTCTTATGGAAACGCCTCCTGACGCCTCGTTCCAGACCCCCACAAAATCACACATTACCAACCCCGCATTCGACTCGGACTCGACTTCGTCGTACGGCGACGACGAATCGGAGCGCGAGAGCGTCTCTCTCGACGGCGACGAAACCGAGGATGAGATGGGCGGCCTGCCTGAGGCGTTCGCCGGCCAGGAGATCGAGGACCTCGCCTACGGCGGCGGTCAACTGGACTCTGGGGTCGAGGACGAGGCCGAGCAGGAATGGTGGCAGGAGGAGGAAGACGACGAGGACTTTATTGCCAACCTCACTGGATCCGACCTTGAGAACATGCAGTCCCAGTCGTCGGTCCACGCTTCCGACTCTGACGACCCCATGACCGACTCGGACTCGGACGCGGACCGTGGCCGCCACGCCCTCGACGAGTTTGGCTTCCCCGCCTCCAACTTTGCCACCTACGAGCAGGAGCCCGAGGCGGACCAACCCCTCATCCTCATGGAGAACTGGGACGGCCAGTTCGTGCTCGTGCAGCCCAGGAACGAGCGTTCGCGCTCGCGCCGCCGCAACGGTGGCTCGGGCTCACAGGGCGCCGGCTCTGTGGGCGAGAGCACCTCGCTGTCGGCTGGCGAGCAGCAGCTCGTCATTGACGCCGACGCCAACTACGACACGGCTAGCGACAGCGACTGGTCCGGTGGCGACAACGACGACGGAGGCGACACGACCGACTCGATGGCCGAGGAGGACATGCCCATGCTCGACAGCCCTGCCATGGACGAAATTATCGGCCAGCAGCTCGCTCCGGGCATGACCCTCGCTGCTCTGGCCGCGTCCAACCTCGCTGCGTCCAACTTGGTCGCCGCTGCTGCCAACAGCATTGTTCTCGAGATTGACCCCTTGAATCCCGCCATTGTCGTCACCGACATGACCGCCGAGACTCCCGCCCTGTCTACCTCGAGCTCAATCTCCGCTACAACCCCTGTCACCGCCACTGCCCCTATCCTCAACATTCCTACCATTCCTTCTACCCCGCTTGCCGCGCCCATCATGGGCACGTTTGTCGTCTCGGACGAGCCATGTGCCCACGCGGTCATTGACGGCTCCAAGACTGCCACAAAGTCGCCCTTTACCCGTAGGAGGCGGACCAACTCGGCCGACGCGGCCTCGGTTACCTCGACATCCAAGCGTCGCTCCAGCCGCTCCGCCGACCCCTTTTCGCCCGTGGTGAAGAAGACAAAGTACTCGTCCATCCCGGGCCACCCGCGCTACATTGCCGCGCGTCGTGCCGCCCAGGCCCTTGTGGACCTCGACCGCGAGAACACCCCGTCCGAGGAGGACGACACGGCCTTTTCGCTCGAGGACATGCTGGACGCCTCGATGCTGCGCATGAACGAGCTCGAGGAGCCCGAGGCCCCCGAGGAGCCTGGAACCAGCGACCTCCGCCACCTGTTCAGGTTTGACAAGGTCCCCGTGTCCATGTACATGCGCCGCAACTTCAACGCTGGCGGCGGCGGCGGCAACAAGTTCCGCTCGTCGGCTGCTCTCGACTCGTCTCCGGGTGGCAACGTGTGGCACAACTATTCGTCCCCGCCACCACGCACCCCCGGTCTCGGTGTGGGCCGGACCAACATTACGGACACTTTGGCCGACACGCTCGCTGGCCCCGCGAGCCGCATGCTCATTTCGCCCTTGCTCCAGCCCATGTCCGGCTGCGACGACTACGACACGACGTCCCATGGCGTCGTGGCCATGAGCCGCAAGGACCGCCGCAAGCAGCGCAAGCGCACAAACGACATTCACCCGCTGGAGATCTAAGATAAAGAGTCATATCGACCTAGATCGACGATAGAGGATAAATGATCCCACGAACGCATGAAGAAGAAGAAGAAGGACGACGACGACGAGGACGACATGACGCCGAAGTAAAGAAAGAAGGAAGAAAGAAAGAAGCAAAATCGAAAGAAGCCCACCCTAAATCCCAAAAACCCGCATTGAACCCACATCCACAACAATCAACCTGCCTTCCCCCAATAAAACGCATCACACAATCGCCTATCAAACGAAAGACTCTTTAAAAGGACCGCGAAGAAAGGGCGGTCACGCCTCTCCACCCTCTACACCCTCTACACCCTCCCCAACCCCCGTCCCTCCCCACCACAAACCAACTGTTTCCAACCAACACCTACCTACCCGTACCCCCCGCGCCCCCGCCTGCCTGCCTCCCCATCATTGTGTGTGTGCTCGCTTGTTTGTCCCTCTGGAGTTCTGGAATTTTATATAACCTGTGTCATAGACTTCTTCATCCGTCAGTCCGTCGCACGGAGATGCATCGTGGTCTGAAGTCCCAAACGTCATGTCCATTACGTCTGTGTTTGTCGTTGCGTTGCATGTCACTGTGTGTAGTAGTATCATTCTCTACCTCCGCGTCGCCGCACGCGTCTGCACGCCCGTACTCGTCGCCGTGCTCTCGCTCTCCGCCACCACACCCTTGGGGTTACCCTCCCCCTGGTCCTTTTCCTTTTTGGCCTTTCTCCTCCGCCCCTTCAACCGCTTCACTTCGCGCAGCAGGCTCACCACAATGCTCACGCCCACGGGCGCAAACAGCGGGGTGTACACTGCAAACTTGTGCTGGTCGGGAAAGTACAGCTGGCCCATCATGCCCGGGTCGAAGAAGGCCTCGTTGGCGAGCAAGAGGGCGTCCCGCGCCAGGAGGAAGGACGGGGGAAGCGGGGACCGCGCGCGCGCGGCGGCTGGGAGCTGGTGGGTCATGTCAGCTGCTGGATTCCGCACACACCTATGAGCCGCAAGCGTATGGATATGGGATGGGCACCCAGCTGTGATTGTTGCTTTCTTAGAGCTGTGTGCCCCGTCCGGCTCCCGTACTCACACCTTCGAGACGGCGCACCGCGCCGAGAATCTTGTCCCGGACGTCCTCGCCCAGCTGCATCTCCTTGATCTTGTCCACGAGCCGCACAATTCCAGCGAGGGTCTTGCGCGCCTCGGCGGCCGTCTCCGCCAGCCGCGTGCGCAGAACCGTGTCCATTTCCCACACGGACAGCGGGTCCGCCACGCCTCGTGCCACCAGCGCCGCACGCCCCGGTGCCGGGTCTGGGTGGAGCTGGGATGGGCGCGCCGCGATGGCGAGGAGCGAGCGGAGGTGCGCTGCAAACTGAGCAAACGGCGCGTCTAGCGCTGCGAGCGCCAGCGTGTAGGCCGTCTTGTCGTCGTGGCCTTGGCCTTGTTCTGTGGGCGGGTTGAGGATGACTACCGAGCCGAACTGCGGGATAAGGAAGCTGCTCGCACGCGACTCGCTGTCGCCCAGCTTCAACGGCCGGTGCAGCTGCGAGGGGACAAAGAGCAGGAAGCGCAGCACAGGGTTGTTTGACGACATGCTGTCCAGGCTCCACCGCTCAGAGACGAACACGTTCATGCCATCGTCGTCAATCACCCACGAGCCGTTGACGTGGTCTGGATCGATGGTGAGTGGCGCATGGTACAGGACCTGGGACTCGATGGAGAAGTTGAAGAGGGGCGAGAGGGGCGAGAGCTGCGGAAGGAAGTGGTCTGTGAGGTTGGTCAGAACAGAGGCATACGTGCAGGCCTGCCTTGACGTCTTACTCACCACGAATGGCACCTTCCACATCCCACCCATCGACATAGCTCCCCACCATCGCGTCCTCGTTGAGCAACACAAAGCTCAGCGTAATGTTGGGCGAGTACGCCAGAGCGCGCGTAGGAATACCAGGAAGGTGCGGCGGGAAGAGGAAGTGGATACCGTTGATGAGGGCAATCTTGTAGTGCTCTGAACATTCGTCAGCTCAAGGTTTGTCAACTTCTGAGCTCACGCTTCAAGTTGCGGTCGCCGATGAGGTCGGGGTGGACGGGCACCACCAGCATCCCGCGCGTCACTTTACCGTCCTCGCTGTCTCCCACGGCAATGTAGGGCTCGAGGGGAAACTTGTTGGTTGCCGTGTCCGTGACGAGAATATGAGCACGGAGCGGTGCACGAGCTGTGCGCAGTGTCAGTGGTTGCATTGCTGCTGTCGGTGTTGCACACAGGGCCGAGTCATTGCCCGCCTTCCTTCCTCAACGAGACACTCACGAGCGTCAACCTCCATGTCCCACCTCCTCTCTCCCCGGTCTTCAGGCGCGTCCCGCCTCACCAATCCATCCACGCCGTCGGTCACGAGCTTGATCACATTCTGCACCTTGGCGTTGTGCGGGAACTGCGCCTTGCCTGGCGGTGGCACAGGGAACGCGGCCTCGTCTACTGTGAACCAGATCTGCGTGCGGAGAGGTGGGTCCTGCGCCGTCAGTGCTATGGCCACTTGCATACGAGGGCCCGCGTCGGCGGTCGCGGTGACGACCTAGTCGGAACAGTCGAGCTTGATTGCGCCTCGCCCACGACCGCGAGCCCAAACCCAAGACAGGGACTCACCCTCTGGCTCTCCAACGCGACAATACGCTCATTGGGTAGCGGCAACCGCACAATACTCGTCGTGTACCACCAGTACGGTGCGGCGAGCAGGAAGAAGAGCGGGAAACACACCACCACCAACAACCGCCATTTGGCAGGCTGGTTGGCTTGCTCGAGCACGCGCGCGGCGTCCACGTCCTTCCTCCGAGTTAGCTTGATTTCTGGAGATGTGCCAGGTTGTGGTGGCTCGTGTGTTGGTGGGTCGCCGAGTCCGCGCATTGCTGGGTTGGCGACGGACATTGTGGTGAGAGTGAGTGGTCATCGAGTGAGTCATGACGAAAGACGTGTAAACACTCTCAGGTCCGGGTAATCTAGGTACTGTATTGCTCCCGTTAGTTTGAAATAGATTAGCTATTTACATTAGAGCTTGTGAAGCCGGAATAGAAAAACGACGTTTCCCAGTTGACCCGGACGACATTGGTCAACAGCACTTTTGTATGCTTCACTGCAGGAATACTGTCTGGGACAGGAAGGAGGACGACAGCAGGTGGAAGAGATGAACAAAGTTCCCTTTATCAAAGGCGCAGTGACGCCCACCAGATGCTGCCTTTTGCTGAAATGGAGTTGCACTACAGGTGCCCACATGCAAACACACGTTCTCCTTCTGCCACACACCTGTCAGTAGAATGGCATTTGCACCGGCCGTAGAACAGGTCAAAGGGCATGTCCTACAACAACAAGTCTTCAACGGTCTGCTGCGTGGCGGACAGATCCAAGGCCTCGGCAGATCACTTTTGGAGACCCGATGATCGTCCATCGCCACTTCCCGGCCCCACAACTGGCCCACGGACATGGATCAAGAGGGGCAGAAGCTGTGGAGAAGGCAACAGATGCAACGCGTCCAATGGGCCATGCCGTGTAGGTCGTGTACCGTGTGTGGCCAGAACTGTAGGCCTTGTGGGAGACGCGTGAGTGGAGGCCCCTCTTTTTATCTTCTGACGCGGAAAGCGTTTCGTCTTTGAGGGCAGGCAAAGGGTCAGACATACATACGCGTCAGCGGCGAACACATGGGCAGTTGGCATCTGGGTCCCCCCACTTGTGCAAGGGGGGATGGCGATCCCGAGCTGTACATAGGCTGTAGGCTGTAGCCAGCTGTAGGGCAGGACTGTCGCGTGGTCGAGACTGATTTCATATCTCCGCGAGTGGTTTCGTCAAGATCCGTAGCATTTTCCCCAAGATCCCAGATCCTCAAGCTTTATCCCTCCTGTGCCTCTCCCACTCACCCGCGGGCGCCAGACTCCTGTCCCCCACCCACAGCTTCCAGCAGGCCGCTGTGCCGTTACGTGCGCGTGTTGGGAACGCGTGCGTTCCTCAGCCACACTCCCAAACTGACATGCGGCACGCCACGCATTGCAGACAAAACGGTGACATGGCTTTTGTGAAGCTCTGGCTGAAAAGTCCGGTACAGCAGTCACGCGATGTACGCATGTACGCATGTTGCCCCTGGAGCCTGGAGCCTGGAGGCATCTGGTGTGTCTGGTGTATGATACGAGACGCGTCTTGCTGCTGCCCATATGGGTGGCGTCGACGAGTGGCGGCAAGCCCAACAGCGCGCATGAGTGTCAACTGCAACCAGCCTGACCGGAATGCAGCCGATGGTGTGTACAGTCTGCCTAGTCGACGAAAGGACACAAGCAGATAGCGTTTACATATGTGTCTCCTCGGCTGCCCGTTGCATGTCTATTGCAGTGTCCGAATCGTTCTGACATGGTTGTCACGAGGTGCTCAATGGTTGAACCGTTATTGACAGGGCCTACTAGCCGTGCTGATGACGCGCGTGAGGTTGCTTAACAAGAGACCGACGCTTGCAGATCACACCACAGCCAACATCAGCCACTCCTGCAGTGAGACTCTTGACATGTCCGGGGCAAGCATGGACCTGCCAAGCTTGGCTGGGTGTTACAATGGCAGCACTGTTACCGTTCACAGTTACAGTTCCCAACTGTCGCGTCGCTGGCCGCTGGGTGCGTCCCAGTGCATACTCCAGACTTTGAGGTGGTATTTTCAGGCCTTGAGCAGGCAGATTGAGGCGGACGTGCTCTCCCCCGGCCTCTCTCATGTGCACATTACCGCGCGACTGCGTTTCCTTTTACTGTGGATAGCACGCGTCTTTGTTGTGGCCCATCGGATGAGACCAAAGGCTGGGACACTTGCCCTGGTTTGAGGATGGTCTCTCAGCGGACCAGCGGCACACGGCGGGGTTCCTCCCCTCCCCTGTCGCTTCTGGTCGCTTGCATTTGGTTTTGACTAGTGGTTGCCATGCACAGAGACAGGGGTTGCGGCGGTTGCGGGACGCCAGAGAGGGGAAACAAGCTTGGCCAGAGCAGGTTTTAAAGTGTGGATGGCACTTGTTGCGCGGCACCCGGGTCAGGGCGTGTGGGTGCGTGGGTGGGTTTCGAGGCAGCGCGCGTGTGGCTAATGAGGCAATCTGCAATATCTGGGGGGTCCTCTGGTCCTCTGGGGGTGGCCTCTCTCGTCATCTTGCGGTACGTACCGCCGCGGAGACTGATCTTCTCTTCGCTGACAGTGTGCCATCCTCGGTCGTTATGCACCTCTGTCGGCAAGGTTGGTTCTGGTACCTCCTGCCGTTGTGCAAGGCATGCGCTCGCTGTATCTGGACGCTCGTTGAATGTTCGTTTCGTGTCATATCCATCTCACTCACATCCAACAAGACAGTCGCGGGCCAGCACACTCTCCCTCAACCACCTCCTCTCCCCTCCCCTCCCCGCTCCACCACTGGCAGCACCAATTGCCGCTCACCGATCCTTGGTGTGATGCCCATGCTGCCCTTTTCGCGCCTTCAGCTGGGCGGCGGGTCCGGCTCGCCGTCCAAGCCAACGCGTGATGCGAGCATGTATACCACATCGTCGCAGCGCGCCACAGTCGGCAGCTTTGCACGCTCACCGAGCCCATCTATCACCACCCCGGACCGCGGCCACAGCCGCAACACGTCAACGGACGAAAACGGATCGCCCCGACTTTTGGGCAGCTGGCGACGACGCGATGGCCCATCGAGCTCCAATGCGTCACCTAATCCGCAGCGAGGTTTCGCGTCAGAGGCTGAACGTGCCGTATCGCCATCTGGCCACCTGCCAGTGGCCGCTCGTTGGCAAGGGCAGTCGTCTACCGACGACCTCAGTCCCAACGACGCCGCCGACAGCTGGAGCACGGAGCCTGGCGTTGCCCCCAACACCTTCATGGGGCAACTCTTGACGAGCAGCCACGAGTACGGGCAGCGTGAGGCCCCAAGGGGCCCAGCTGATGCATATGACCGTCTCGTTGGCAGACGTCCAGCCACTCCTCCAGACAATGACTACTACTATGGCAACCAAAACCGTCAAGATTCACCGACTTTTGCTCAAAGAGGCTCCTATGGTCCGCGTTCAAGGCCCAGCCGCGCCAGCCGCTCGGTTCCAGAGCTCGTTATCGACCGGGAGAGCTCGTTGACCCCGACACCCGAGGACGTCGACGGCGGCGACTACGGCAGTGGCCTTTCATCACCAACAACGCTCAGTATCCCGCGATATGACGCTCGCGGTTACCCAATCCGGTATGCCACGCCCGACGTCAATTCAGCATCGCCTCAGTCGTCCAACACATCCATGGTGCCGCGCTCCCCCCCACGTGGTGGCCCCACTCGCCCAGACTCGGGTGGTTCATACGGTTCAGATCAAAATCTAGACTCGTATTCCTCCTCCTCGCTTGGGGGCTACCCGCCCCTTGCTCCCCCAAAGGACACACACGTTGGTGGTAGTGGCTCCGAGTCTCTGCGCTCCTCCACCGTGGTGGCAAGTCCCACGAAACCCAAATCAGCAAATTCGCATCGTGCCTCGCAGCAGAGCTTGGATACGACAACGTCACACTCCCACAATGTGCATGGTATGACGAGTGTGTACGGACCAGGTGGCCGTGCCGAGCCCCGTGCAGCGGAAAGCATGTACAGCGAGGAGCGTTTCTCATACCACACATATGAGACCGCAGACCGCTCTTCTGGTTCTTTCGCCCATGACGCACCCCGTGTTGGATACGCAGACTTCAGCATCGACTCTAAAAACGGCCGTCGACAGCTTGTAAGCATGGTGAGTACAAGGACGACTTTGGAGGTGTCAGTGACAAAGTGTGGAGTGGGAGAGACTTTTACTGGGAGCAACATGTCGTCATCGACGGAGAGATCCCAGTAATATACCTTTTGCATGCCGATCCGCCGCCACCGCTGCTGCCGCGGCTCCCATCCATCATGCCGCAGCCGCTAACATGCAACAGCTCGCCGACCCCACCTCGTGGGCAGACTTGGGACCCGAGGACGACGATGACTTCCACGACCCCCAGGTGCACACCAAGCAGACGGGTGTGGCGCGCTCGCTGTTCACCGTGCGCGGCGCCACCAACCTCGGCTGTGTGATCCTCCTGGTGACAGTTCTTGTCGTCCTCTTTGCCGGCTACCCCATCATCACAAACTATATGGGCCCTCACTGGACCAACCTTGGCGGCTACAACCTCGGCGGCGTCAACGCCTCGGGACAGTACCCGGACGTAGGCGTGTTCCAGCTGGTTGACCGCGACACCCCGCCCGAGGCATATCACTGGACATCGATCCAGACGGGCGAGCAGTGGGACCTGGTCTTTTCCGACGAGTTCAACACCGCCGGCAGATCGTTTTACGACGGCGATGACCCGTACTGGATGGCCGAGGACCTGCACTACTGGTCAACCAACAACCTCGAGTGGTACGACCCTCAGCAGATCACCACTCGCGATGGCCACCTCGTCATCACCCTCAACAACCAGACGTCCCATGGCCGCAACTACACCGGAGGGATGATGTCCACATGGAACCGATTCTGTTTCACGGGCGGCTACATTGAAGCGTCCATCTCGCTGCCCGGCACCAGCAACATTTACGGCCTCTGGCCCGCTGTATGGACGATGGGCAACCTCGGCCGTGCGGGTTACGGCGGTACGCTCGAGGGCATGTGGCCGTACTCGTATGACGAGTGCGATGTGGGCACCTTGCCCAACCAGACTCTGAATGGCAAGCCCGAGGTGGCACTCACAGAGGGCGACTGGGCGTACGACTATGCGCTGTCGTACCTTCCCGGCCAACGTTTATCGCGGTGCACCTGTCCAGGGGACACCAACCATCCCGGCCCAGCCCTCTCCGACGGGACACTTATCGGCCGCGCCGCGCCGGAAATCGACGTCATCGAGGCCCAAGTCGACCCAGACGAGCTCTTTGGCGAAGCGTCCCAGTCAGCGCAGTGGGCCCCCTTCAACCCATGGTACCGCTGGATCAACAACTCGGATACGTACACCATCTTCAACAAGAGCGCGACCGTTTTGAACAAGTACCAAGGCAGTTCATGGCAGCAGGCCACATCGGCACTCACCCAGACGCCTCAGGGGTGCTACACCGCCAACGACTCGTGCTTCGCCCCCTATGGGTTCGAATATCTGCCCGGCGCCGACGGGTACATCCACTGGATGTCCAACAAGAAGCGCAGCTGGACGCTCCATGCGGGCGCCATGGCCCCCAACGCAGACTCCGAGGTCGGCCAGCGCATCATCGCCGCCGAGCCAATGTACATCATTGTCAACCTCGGCATGTCTGAGAACTTTGGCGCCATTGATTTCGGCGGCTTGCGCGACCTGTGGCCCGTCGAAATGTGGATCGACTACATTCGCGTGTACCAAGACCCCAACAATCGCAACATAGGCTGCGACCCGCCCGACTTCCCAACAGCCCAGTACATCGACTACCTGGGCCAAGCGTACTGGGACCCCAACATTGTAAGTGGCACCGAGAGACCGTATGAAACAAATGACGCACGGTTTAAATGACTTTTTATGGGCGGTGGCTGACACACATTTCTTAGACAACTTTTGACCAAGCCATGGAAGCCAATCCAAACGTCTCAAAGCCCCGCAACCGACTCGTGGACACTTGCTCATAGTACAGAGCGTACAGATACGGCCCTCCTTCTCCTCGCCGCAATACACAGACGCGCCTATCACTTAACACTTCTTGTTCCCGTGTGAATCCGTACCTACAGACATTGAACCGGTCCCTTGTTGATGATCCATCCCTAAAAGCAGTTCCATCCACCTCCCTTCCTCCCACACTCCCACACTCCCACACTCCCTTTTGTATCACCTAGTCCGTAAGGGTGTTCCTTTTCACGGTTTATACGCATCTGACGCATGTATCTATGCATGGATTGGTTTGCCAGTAAAGGGCGTAAATAAAAAAAGTATGGAATGCAGGTGGTACATGCACGGCCTCCGTTCCGTCTCGCCCTTCTTCTCCTTCTCTCTCTCTCTCTCTTCACATCTGCCTCCCTACTCGGCAAAGTTGCTCACGGCCACACCGCGGAGGACCTCGAGCAGCTGGCTCCACGAGCTATCGGACAGCATGCCGCGCAGGTCAGCCTCGAGCTCACGGCCCACGGACGCGGCGCGGTTGGCGGGTGTGCCGAGGGACACAGAGGCGCGGCGCTTGGAGCCAGCGTCCACGTCCATGGCGTCGCCGTCGGCCGGCGTGTCGGCATGAGGGTTCAACTCGCGCCGGGCCAGCAGCTGGGTGAGGGACAGGAGAGCGGTGGCCTCGATCGCTTGCGAGACGGCACCGCGCTTGTCGGCGGTCAACTTGACGCTCATGGCGCTGAGGAGGAGGTACAGGTCGTTGACGACGCCCACGGGATCGGTGGATGCTGTGAGGGTGTGTTCATCCTGCATTGGTCAGTAAACGATACAAACCCATGTAACAGGTACGCACGTTGTATGGCAGCAGGTACTCGGGCTGCGGCTCGAGGTCACTGCTGAGCAGCTCCCACGCGTGCGTGAACGACACAAGCGTGGCCAGCGTTGTGCGCGTGATGCTAATCAACGTCTCTGTGCGTTTCGCAATCGTTGGCAACTTGACAGCGTCGACCAGGTTGACGTCCTCCTTTTGTGCTTCGACAGTCTCGAGCTCCTTTTCCAGTGCCGTCTGCTCCTCCTCGGTGGCGGGAACGATGAGCCCACAGAAGCGGTGAGGGTGGGAGAGCGTGTAGCGAGTAGCGGCGAGCAGTGACAGTGCAGGAAGAGCAAAATCCTCAAACAGGCCAGGCACGCCGCCGGGAACGCCTGCAATCGCAGTGGCCAGGCCATAGAAGACGTCGACGACAAGCTCGCACTCGTCCAGTGCTGGGCACGAGATGGGGGTTTCGCCGTTCCATGCAAGCGCGTGCAGAAGCTGCGGCGTGACAACGCGCACAAAGGGGACGACATCTGAGCGTGCAAACGACGCAGTGTTTGGCAGCGTCGCAAGCAGTGCCTTGACAACGAGCAGCATTCCGCACCACGCACGGTGAAGCGAGTCATCGTTGTCGCTGGCGTCGATACGTGCACCCTCTGCGGCGACTGCGACGACATTGTTCGAGTAAGCCGGGAGCACACCCGACACCGCAAGCTTCTCGGCCGAGTAGCTGTTGCTCGCGATGGCCAGATGGAGGAGGAGGATCGTGTGGAAATGGGCCGGGAGGGTGTTGTTGACCGGACGCGTGCGAACAATGACCTCGAGCGAACGAGGGATGAGGTTGACCTGCTGGAGCTTGTCAAGCCAGACAGACGTCGAGGTCGAGACACGGCTCATCTCACAGAGCAGCGCCACAACGAGCGCCAGGTCCTCCTCGGCTGAAGCCGATGTACCGTGCTGAATCGCGTCGAGGACAATGTCAGCCGCCTCGAGGGCAAAGCTGGCAGCACTCTCAAAGAGCATCTCGCGCACGTCGTCCTCGGCCTTGCCGGTCTTGGCCTGCGACAGAAGGAGGAGCATGCGGAGTACAGGGCGGTGGATAGGAGGCAACTCGAGGTGGCGAAGGGAGAGGATGGGCGAGAAGAGTGTGCTCTCCACAATCTTGCGCATGTTGTTGGCGAGCTCCTTGATCGCCTCCGTATCGGCGACCTCAATCTCGGGGTCGAGGGCAGTCTCGAGCAGCGTAGCAAGGATGCCCAGGCGCTCGGTCTGGATGGCAAGCATGACGTCACCACCGCGATCCTCAGTGGCCAGGAGCGAGGCCACCGCACCGGCCGCACGGAGGGCAGACTTGGTAGCCATGCCATCACCGACAGTCCAGGTCGAGGCCACCTCGGCGAATAGGCGCCAAGCCTTGGTGAGGGTAATGTCGGCATCGAGTTGCGACCAGTTCAGGTTGAGGATGGCGATCGAGCGAGTGACAGCAGCCTGGCGCTCGGGGTCGTTGAAGATGATGGGAACGCCGTCATACAAGTACTGGACACCATAGTCGCGCTCATTGGGGAGGCAGATGGTTCGCATGCAAGCCATCTGGACGCCATTGGACTTGAGCGTCTCGTCCTCGGCGGCATGCAACTCGGGATCACACGAGGAGTGGGCAGCTCCGACCGCGACGTCCTGCAGAGTGCTGCCATTGCGGAAGAGCGACAGTGCTAGACTCTGCGCCTTGGTCTCGGGTCCATCCGCCTCGATCACGTGCGCAAGCTCGGCAGCGAGGAGGGCAGTACCATTGGCCTTGGCCTGGACAGTGTACGAGTAGTCCTGCACGTCGGTTGCAATGTTCTCCGAAAGGCTAGAGGGGAGGGGCACATTCTTGGCGGAAATGTCGTACACTGCAGTCCAAAAGTCGTTATCGCTGCGAAGAGCAGCAACACCACGCGAGGCACTGGGGCTGTTGAGGACAGCCTGGCAGTAGCCAAGCACTGCAGCAAGGGCACGAGGCTCTTCGCAAATGAGCGTCTTCCACTGAGCCACTTCCTCCGTGGCCATCTGGAGACCCCCTGTGACCTTGCCGTCCTTGGGCACGCCGACACAGAAGGCAGCACATCCCGGCTGGGTCGTGACGATGATGTTGAGGAGGGCCCAGGCGTCAGGCTTGATGTCATTGTAGCCGGCGTTGAGAGCAAGGTTGGCGAGGTTGAGACACGTCTCATCGGCCTTGCGCAACATTCCTGCGAGCGAGGGACGAGCCGCGTCCAGTGCCGATGTCTCGAGGTACACCTTGATGAGTCGAATGACAAGACGGAGTGAAGCGGCACGAAGAGTGGGCTCAAACACACGGTCAAAGAGGGTGTCGACAAGTTGCACCTTGTCGCCGTTGTTGAGCACAATGGTGGAGCCAAAGACGCTGTACGGCAAGGCAGTGGTGGCCACCTTGAGGGACGGGGCAATGCGGACGAGGGTGGCAAGGTACGAGGCAGACTGGTCAAACGTGTTGACAACAATCTCGGCGTCGGTCCAGCGGCGCGAACCAATGAGCTTGCCAGCGAGCGGGAGCGCCTGCGTGAACACATCGACGATGGGCTTGTATGTGAGGGGCGAAGCGCCCGTGATGAAGACCTCGATGAGGTAGGCAGCCGCAGGCGACGGCGACTTTGCATCCTCGCCGAGAGGGTGGCGGAGCACAATGTCAAAGATGTTGAGCAACAGTCCGCCAATCTCGTAGCGCTTTGACACATCACGATAACGCCAGCCAGAGAACTGGGACCAGACTTCGGTGAAGATGAGCTTCATGGCAGTACGGACCACGTGAGCGTCACCCGCGTTGGCGGATGCGATCGAGCGGACGAGACGGAGGAGAGCCACAGTCAGGCCGTGCTCGCCACTGCGTGCGTCGCTCTGGATAAGGGAGGCGACAGAACCCTGGCGGCGCGAGTGAGAGTCGAATACGCCAGACGCGCGGAATGCGGTCCAGATCTCGGGGGTTCCAGTGAGGAGAAGAGACTGGAGAATATCGATTGCGTGCTTGGCAGCTACAGGGTCGGCACGGTCGCTGGCAACGGAGAGCGCCAACTCGAGAAGCGAGTGACCGGGGAAGCGGTCTCCAGGGGATGGAATCTCAGTCACCAAGCGAGTGGCAACGTCAGGCGAACGGAGCACACAGCGGATAAGCTTGAGACCAGCCGAGAGAATCTGGGCAAGGTCACCCTGGACACCGAGGTCGACCAGGCTGAGACGGCGAACACCCTGGTTGGTCGACTTGCCCGGAGTGAAGCCCGCGGCACCGCGCAGAATTTCAATGAGGAGGGGCCATGCGGGCTGACGGAACCGCCACGACACAATGGTCAGGTCGTCGTCCTCGTCGGACAAGACCGTACCACGCGTTCTCCTGGGAATGACAACACCGCCGGGAAGCTCAAAGTCGACAGCAGCCTCGACAGTGGGCTTTCCGTGCTCATCACGGCCGGCCGCCATGAATGACCCTGGAGGAGCGACAAATGTCACGAATGGCAGGTCGGTAAAGTAGTCGAACACGTCGGGGACAGCATTGTCGACCAGAGACATGTCGAGCTCGTCGTCTGAGCTCACGCCGGTCAGCGCTGAGAGGATACGGGGTAAGGAGGTCGGCTCGCGGGGGAAGTGGCTGTAGTCGAGGATTGCACGGCGATCATCGTAGACGAAGTCGACCCTCCAGTAGTTGTTGGACAGCGACTGCGATGCTTCGGAAGCTCCGCCACCAAATAGCAATTCCCAGGAGCGGTACAGACCTGTGCGGTCGACCACATTGTCAATGAAGATGAGCTCGGACAGGCCGATGAGGAGGTCCTTCAGGGGGCTCCTTCTCAACGCTGCCATGTCGACGGCGAGGTCACCAGACAGGGCATCCTTGGACGCCTCAAACAATGGGCCCTCGAGGACAACCTCAAGCCAAGGGAAGAGCCCAGAAGAAAGACGGAGCGCACGGCTAGCAGCACCGAGATAGACGACGGGCTCATCGGCGTCCATGTTGGTAGTGTCGAGAGTGAACGAGTCGCCGGACGGAGGCTGAAGGTTGGCAGGGAGCGAGCGAAGTGCAATGGCCCACGCGAGGCAGAGAATGGGCATAGGCCAGGCGGGGAAAACCATGTCGTGGGCCTCAGGTCCGTCGAGGTCCTCGCTTTGCTCCATGATAAACTGATGCACGGCGTGTATCCTGTCGCGCGAGTGGAGGAGGGTAGCGCCAAACTTGTCGCCTTGGTCACCCTCGGGCGACACAATCTGGGCAAGACACAGCGCCTCCACTGCAATTACGAGGACGAGATCACGAATACGCGACTGCACGCGCTGGCACTCGTTGTCGTTCTCCCAGATCTCGCGGTTGGCCTGAGCGGTTCCAAACGTGGACAAGACCGCACCCTTGACCAGTCCCTCCGAAACGGCAGCAGGGCGAGTAGTGAACTGGTAGAGAATAAGGAAGAGGAGATCGAGAAGGGTTTCCTGCTGGCGAAGCTGGAGAGTAGACCTCGGTCTGTTAGTAAGGTATTCATGCTTCTCTGAAGCTTACCAGTAGAGCGCGCGAGCGGCGTTGGACGAAGAGACGTTCTTCTGGGCGAGACCACTGAAGGCGCGGAACAGGTTCTCGATGAAGGTTGCCTGGTCACCAAGAATCTCGGGACGCAGCTCGGCGGCGACGTCTTCCCACCCTGTGGGTTGCGACGCCGGGACGAAGAGCGCCATCACGATCTGGGGGACTGCAAGAAGCTCCTCCTCGTACCACAGCAGCAAGCGTTCGAGGAGCGCGTCCTCGACGCTCTGGCCCTCGGCCGGCTCGGGGTCCTCAATCGAGTGCGAAGCGTACGACTTCCACATGACGAACGCGTCCAGCTCGCTCAGGCCCGTCTCGGTCGCGAGCTTCTTGGCGATCGAACGGCTCACGTCGTCAACATCAAACTTGGCATCGGTGCCAGGCAGCGCGGTGGTGTCCTTGTCGAGGGAAGCAGCCTTGCCAGCGCTGGAACCCGTCTTGAATGGCTCCCAAGGCTTTGTCAAACGCTCCACGTTGTACTTGAGCAGGAGCCGGACCTTGGACCGCGACAGGACCTGGCCCGCCGCTGGCCGCAGGACAGTGTTCCTCAGTGTTGTGAATGGGCTGAGCGTTAGCTTAACCAGATAACAATCAACGAAGGGCCAGCTCACAGGAGATAGTCATCTGCGTCCAAGGTGCCAGCCTTTGGCTGAGGCTGGACCATTGCGAGAGAGCGTGGAGTGGGTAACTGGGTGAGGGAAGGTGTGGATTGTTGTGGCCACTGCCTCTCCATCAACCTCACCATCCAACTTCAGAGATCAGCAGCAGCAGCCAGGGCGGGGCGGGCGGAGGCGATTATCTTTTTGTATTTATTTTACATTTACTCCCAAATGGTCACGTGATCAAGACGACCGAGCGTCCACGGCCCCACCGGCAGGGACGGCGCGCGTCATCCGTTCGGCCAGAGCGATGGTGGGCCGCTTGGCGGCTTGGTGTAAGAGATGGAAACAGCCCGTCTGTCGAGTAAAATATTGGCTATTTGCGCAGCTCTTGTCCATCTCCACCTTTCAACCATGGTCGCCCTCATGCAGCCAGCACGCACCGCATCGCGCGCAATCGCCTCGTCGTCGCGTACGCAGCGCGTCCGCACCCTCGCAAGCGTCCGCGATGCGCCAGTGCAGGCCGCCAAGCCGTGAGTCGTTTGGTGCCTCGGACATGACATGAACCTGGTACTAACGCGTAACAGCCCCACAGGTGAACGCGTTCTGTGGCGATAAATCAACTGACCTTTACCAGCTGTCGTCATGATGAACATGGGCGGCCCGTCGACTGTGAGTCTTTGCAGCCCAGTGCAATTGGTTTGAGAATGACGCTCACAAACTCTAGCTTCCCGAGGTTGGCGACTTCTTGTCACGTCTGTTTCACGACAACGACTTGATTCAGCTGCCCATGCAGCCGATTCTCGCACCCATCATTGCCAAGCGCCGTACACCAAAGATTGAAGAGCAGTACAAGGAGATTGGTGGAGGTTCGCCCATTCTCCGCTGGACAAAACAGCAGGGCGAGGAGATGTGTGCACTGCTCGACGAGCTCAACCCCGAGAGCGCGCCGCACAAGCCATACGTCGCGTTCCGTTACGCCCAGCCGCTCACCGAGACGGCCCTTGAGGAGATGCGTGCCGACGGTGTTACCCGCGCGGTGGCGTTTACACAGTACCCCCAGTACTCTTGCAGCACGACTGGCTCGTCATTGAACGAGCTGCTCAAGGTCGGCAAGAAGACTGGCTGGGGTGTCAACGGCGAGGTCGAGTGGTCGTTCATTGACCGTTGGGCTGGCAACGTCGGTCTTGCGACGGCCTTTGCCGAGAACATTCGCAAGGCTCTCGAGCAGTACCCTCCCGAGCGCCGCGACGACGTCGTCCTCATGTTCTCGGCCCACTCGCTGCCCATTGAAATCGTCAAGTGAGTAACATTCTGGTGGCAGGCAACTGACCCGACAGCCGCGGTGACACGTACACCACCGAGGTTGCGGCCACTGTGCAGAAGGTGATGGAGGAGCTCAACTTCTCCAACCCGTACCGCCTCACGTGGCAGTCCAAGGTCGGCCCCAAGACCTGGCAGGGCCCTCAGACCGCCCGGTCCATCGAGGGCCTGGCCAAGCTTGGCAAGAAGGATATCTGCCTCGTCCCCATCGCATTCACCAGCGACCACATTGAGACCCTCTTCGAGCTTGACATTGAGGTCAAGGAGGACGCCGACAAGCTCGGCGTCACGCTCACCCGTGCCGAGTCGCTCAACGCCTCGCCCATCTTCATCCGTGCCCTGGCCGACATTGCCAGCAAGCACCTGTCCGACTACAGCGCTGGCAAGATCGGCCCTGCCAGCAAGCAGGTCGCCCTCCGTTGCCAGCAGTGCACCAACCCAAAATGCGAGCGCACCAAGAACTGGATCGCCAACGGTGGCAAGCTGGAATAGATTGTACACATGGTCACATAGCATTTACCTCTCCTCTCAAAGTGCATGCAAAATATCACAACAGTGTGAGACTAGGGCGCGCCGGCTCCTGGGTCTCGTGTGGCTCCTCTAGTTCCTCGTCCAGCTTCTGGGCCTCGCGGAGCACCTCCCGTTCGAGGCTGAGCCACTCCTGCCTGTCGACCTGTTTCATTGCTGTACGGTAGAATGCCATTTTCTTGGCAGTGGCGCCCGCCTTTGGCGCTGAAAACAGAGAATGCACGTCCGCGAGGACGAGAGCGACAAGCGGTGGATCCGTCGTGATAGGTGGGTGCAGCATGCCGGCGGCAATCTGCAACAGCCTAACCAGCGCAGCTGCGGGAGGCTGCTCACCGTCGCGGCCAACCCGTTCCCAAACAGCTCCCCAGGCCGCACGCGCGCTCTCGTAACGTACAGTTGAGCGAGCCTCGAGGAAGGGAAGAAGAGACTGTAGTTCGTCCTTGACTTCGACTGTGCCAACTCGTTGTTCCGCTAGGTATTCTTCGGAAAGAGAGGGGAGGCGGAAGGAAAGGAGAGTGCTCGTGTACGCCAAGCTGATTGTCAGTTGTGCACCTACAGTGGCGGACAACTCACCATAGCGCCAGGAGGTTGTACCCCAGCTTAATCCCCACACCGGGCGGTGGGTTGATGGAATCCGTTGCCGCCGTATCAATGTCTGCCGGCGGCGACGCATACGCCTCGGCCTCGTCGTCCAGCTCGCCCGCTTCCCACCAGGGCAGAACGGAAGGTAAAGGCGGTTCGTCATTGTCGTCGCCGCCCTCCTCGCCTTCACCAGCTGCGAGCGCCGACTCCAGAAGCTCCTTTGCAGACTCTGACTCCGGGTTCTTGATCGCAGCCAGAAAAGCATCACGGTGCGCCTGCGGCAGAAGACGAAGCAGTGCGTTCGAGTCAATGTCCTCTGGTGGGTTAGCCGGGCGCACGTCCTGTTAAACCCTCACCAAGGTCGACACCGTCCAGAGCAGCTGCGAGGTCGTCGTCGTCATCAGAGTCTTCTTCCAGCGCGGCCATGACGTCGTCTCCCTCGGCGGCGGCATCCTCAAAGCGCCTCAGCATATCCATCATACGCCTCTTCTCCTCCAGCTCGGCCTTGGGGTCTGCCGCAATCTGGTCCACGACTGTCGAGCGGTAGAATGGCTCTGAGCATTGCGTGTGGGACTACTACAGTCAGATATCTCGCTAGATTCATTTGACTGACCTGGTCACGAAAACATGCCAACGAGCAGTACGGGACGTTGCATCGCGGGCAGGTGTAGTGGCTGTCCTTGGATCGACAACTGTACGCGCGTAAGCCACTGCCCTTTATTCTCTCGCACCACCGACAACGATCACGTACATTCCGCACACTTTGACCGGGGCATCGGCACCCTTCTTGGGCTTTGGGACGTCGAACGGTAGACGAATCTGCTTTGGTTTTGGTTGACGGATGGACATTGCTGGGTGGCGAGAGTGTGGGGGCAATGTCAAGAACCGTGTGGAGGCGGATGGAATTTTGGGTCAACAAATCGTCATCGATCGTTTCTTTCCTGCGTTGTCCCACTTCTCCACCACCACCTTCTTTCAACATGCCCGCTGCGCCGCCTCTCGCGTTCGCGACGCTCGCAGAGCCCCTCCCCTCCAAGCCGTACATTGTCGGCATCACGCCCACGTCGCTGTCCAACCACCTGGTCCTGCAGCACGCGGCCCCCGAGCTCACTCTGGCCGACAACCAGACTCTCAAGGCCGTCGACCAACTCAAGGGCGTCCACACCCAGCCCATTACCGGCGTCGTTTGTGAGGCTGGCAGCATCTGGTCGTCTTCCAAGGATGCTACTATTGTGCGCTGGGACGAGCGTTCTCGCCGCCCAGCTACGACCGTTAAGGGTGAGCTTTAAGGTCCTTGGCGCCGCAAGCTAACGTCGGCAGCGTTCGTCCGTAAGGCCCTCCCGGTCACAGCCCTCGCCGTGAGCGACTCGGACCACCTCGTGATCGGTGGTACCGAACTCGTCAGCTCTGAAGCTCACATTCTCTTTTGGTGGGTGTTCACGTCTTAGGGATGCTAACCCACAAAGGGACACGCGCAACCCGAACCAGCCGGCTTACAAGCACGCCTCGACGCACGCCGACGACATTACCCACCTCTCCCTCCTCCCGCCCACGCAGTCATGGCAGGCCTCTGCTCCAGGCCACAAGCTTCCCTCCCGCCTCCTCCTCTCGGCATCGACCGACGGCTGCGTCGCGCTCTCGGACCTCCGCGAGACGGACGAGGACGAGGCCCTCCAGTGCGCTGAGAACTGGAACCAGTCCGTCGCGGCCGCAGGCGCGTACGAGCACAAGGGGCGTATGGGCATTTGGGCCCGCAGCGACATGGACAACATGGCCATGTGGGGTGTGGGCATTAGCGACGACTCGGAGGGTGAGCTCGAGTTTAACAACCTCCAAGAGGTCCAGTCGGCCCAGTTCAAGTTTAAGGACTTCAACACCCCGCAGGAGGGGCCCAGCGTTGTCAACCCCGTCGGAACGGAGAAGCCATACCCTGCCCAGCTCAAGACAGAGTACCTCATCGACGTGTGCCCCTCGCTCGGTGTCGGCAAGTCGTTTGCCCCCATGGTCGGCGTGGGCACCAACGAGTGAGTCTTGCGTTGAATTCCTACAATGGCTTGTCTCACCACCCCACTAACTCTACCACAGCGGCAACATTGTCCTCCAGCACTCGGCCGGTGCGGGCGAGTACGCGCCCTCGGCATTCTTCGTGTCTGGGCCCGGCGCTCGCGGCCACAAGGACGTCGTGCGGTGCATGTATCACGCGCAGCGCGACGAGGCCCTGTACACCGGCAGCGAGGACGGTGTGCTTGCCGGCTGGTCCCTGTCTTCCCTGCCGCGTTTGGTTGTTGGTGACCCGGCCATTGACGATGATGGAGGCGATGGCCGTGAGGATATCGACAGCGACAATTCCGACGACGAGGAGAGCGAGATTGAGACGGAGGAGAGCGACAGGAGCGACAACGACGAGGACGACATGGACGTCGACGAGGGACCCCGCTCGGGACCTGTCCTTGGCGGTGGCCGTGCAAAGGAGGAGAGGAAGGACAAGCGTAAGGGCAAGCGCCATGCGCCGTACTAGATAGGAGATGCAGTGTATCTAGAGCTAGAGGGCCGGACAGTTGCCGGAGGCTGCCACTGTGAGCATGAGGCAGATGACACGTTTGCCGCCGCCACTGCCACTGACCACGAGTTTTGCTGCTGCTCATTGCTCGCTTCCGTTCAAGCCAATGCATACCCTTTTTTGGGTTAAGCACGCTATATATATATTCTCTATGGACGCACGATGCAACTTTGGGGGAGGGGGAGGGGGAAGGGGAGGTATGGACACAGCGGCGGCACGCGCATTCTTCTTCGTTCGCACCGCCTAATTCCTACAGAAACACTTTTACGCCAAGCCGTTTCGAAAAAGAAAGCAAAAGGGAGAGAGGGTGGGTGGGGTAGGACCAGCGCACAATATAATCCGTTCAAGGCGGGGTGGGGCGGAGTGGTTTACTGCTGGAGCTGGGCAAGGAGGACGGAGCGGTCCTGGGGCGAGAGCGACTCGAGGATACGCTGGAAGCCCTCCATGACACCACGCTGGTTGGTCGAGGCCCAGGCGACGACATTGTCCGAGCAGTACGCGTCGCGGACCTGCTGGACAAAGTCCTCGACGGCGTCGCCCGACTTCTCGAGGAAGGCAGCGACCTCGGCGTCGTCGGTGAGCTCGGTGGGGACAAGCTGCTCGAACATCTCCTTGCGCTCGGGGTAGGTGAGGTTGGGGTTGGCGGCCGAGAGCTTCTTCATGATGCGAACCTCGGACAGCTTGCGGCGCAGCGACCAGTAGATGGTACGACGCGAGTTGACCCAGTCGACGGGCTTGCAGTCGGCCTTGGCGGCCATGCGGCCCGAGCGGTCGTGGAGGTCGGCAAACTCGACGGCGACCTGGTGGAACGAGGGGCCGAGGTGCTTCTCGCGCGCCTCGAGGGCGACGGTAGCCTCCTTCTTCTGCTCGGCGGTGGCCTTGGGGTCGTCGACGGCAGCCTTGAGGCGGGCGTACTCGGGGTCGAGACGGGCCATGGTGGCCTGGATCCTGGGCTTGCGGTACTTGACCTCGACAATACCCTCGGGCTCGAGGACACCACCGCGCGACTCGTTGTCGACCATCATCGACATGTACTCGGGGTTGATCGAGGGGTCGAGCACGACCCAGGCACCACCACGGAGTTCACCGTTGGGGACAAGGTAGACAATGATGGGCTGCTTGTAGCTGCTGAGGCCGTCGACAATCTTGGCACCCTCCTTGAGGATGGCCTGGAGCATGTCCGACATACCACCCGAGAAGCCACGGAAGTTGGCAAACAGGATGAGAGGGAGACCCTCACGGTTGGCGTCCTCAATGGCAGTGGCAGTCTTGCGCGAGCTGTCAGGGAACCAGACAGTACCGGCGAGAGCGACCTTGGACTCGGTCGAGTTCTCGTTGGCAGGGTCGGCGGGGTCGACACGCTCAATGGTGCGGGTCTCGGCAGCAATGACAGCAACGGGGATACCGTTGAGGCGACCACGACCAGTGACAATGGTCTGCGCCCAACCGCCCATGGTCTCGAACCACGAGCCACGGTCAAGAACACCGTTCTGGAAGGTCTCGACACCGTCGACCTCCTCGACGCAACCAGCGATAAAGTTGCGGGGGTCGTAAGGGCCCTTGGTGGGCTTCCAGTCGACGTTGCGGTCCCAAGAGTCGCCAGTGGGGAGGATGGGGATGGCAGAGCCCTTCTTGGCGGGGATGTAGGTCAGGTAGTTGATGATCTGCAGGGCACCGTCGAGGTCCGAACCGGCGGTCAAGTGCGAGATACCGTTCTTGTACATGATCTGGGGACCACCAAGCTGGATGTTCGAGGTGTAGACCTCCTTGCCGAGAACCTTGTTAATGGCCTGGGCACCAGTGAGGATGATGGGCTGGCTCTCGACCTGGACGACACGCTGGCCGAGACGGACGAGGTAGGCACCAATACCGACCGAACGGGCGGTGACCATAGAGATGGTGAAGATGTCGTCGTAGGCGCGCGAAGTCTCACCGGCAATGAGACCCGAACCCTTGAGACACTCGACACCGAGGCCGTCCTTGAGACCGATGATGGCGGTAATCTTGTGGCGGCGCTCGCCGTCAACCTCAATCTCGTCGGTGATGACAGAGCCCTCGCCCATGGCGTTGAGCTTGTCAAGGCTGGCAGGGGTGAGGTAGAGGTAGTCGAAGCCCTTCTCGGGCTTGCCGACCTCGCGCCAGGCAACGTCAAAGAGAGCCATGACCTCGTCGGCGAGACCGATACGGGCACCCGAGTTGGCCGACAAGTAGACACGGGGGAGACCGTGCTTGCGAGCGTACTGGGTAGCCTTGTAGAAGTACTCGTCCTCGGCGGGGCCGAACGAACCAATCTGGTAGGTGATGTCGTTGGAGATGACAACAATGCGACGGCCCTTGGGGTACTCGGGGGTCTTCATGGTGTAGACCCACGCGACCATACCGCAGGTGTTGAGTCCCGGGGGACGGGCAACCTCGACAAGCTCACCGTGCTCGTCAACAACGAGCTCAGCGGCCGAGAGGAGGTCCGAGGGGACCTTGACGTTGGGGAGGGCCTGCTGGACCTGGTGCCAAACCTTGTCGACGGCCTGACGGAAGAGGTCGGGGAAGTCGTAGACGTAGGTGGTGCCGATGACGTGAGCCTGGTAACGACGGGGCTGGAGCGACTCCTTGGTCGAGTAGGGGAAGTTGACGGGCTGGAGGTGGAACTGGCCCTGGTCGCCGATCGACTTGAGGATCATGTTGCCCTTCTCGTTGGCGACCTCCTGGTACGCCTCGTACTTGACGACGAAGCCCGAAACGTTCTCGATGAACGCACGGATGGGGAGGATGTTGCCCTCGTCGTCCTCGATGACAACGCGGATCTCAGCCTGGGTGACACGGAGGCGCCAGAGACGCTTGCCGTGGCGCTCAATGAAGCCAGCAAGGGCCTCCTGGACGTCCTCGAAAGTGACGTTGAGCGAGTAGACGCAGTTGACCGAGATGTGGTTGCAGTCGGCCTGGCGGTACTCGGACATGGAGATCTCAAGGGTGTCGAGAATGTCACCGACGAGGCGGTCAGTCTCCGAGATGAGGTACTCGGTCTGCTTCATCTGGCCGACGAAGCGGCCAGGGCGGAGAAGAGCGCGGACGAAGAAACGAACGTCCGAAGTGTTCTCACGGCCAACAGCGTGGTAGACGTGGATCTGGCGGTTGCCCGAGCGCAAGGGGGAGATCTTGAAGTTGGACAGGCGGCTGAGCTCGAGCTGGTAGGCGAAGGCGGGCTCAATGTTGCGGATAGCCTGCTCCTCGCGCCACGAGCCGTCGGCGCTCTCGCGGAGAGTGACGTACGAAGGGTACGAGTCGGGGCGGCAGATGAGGAACGAAATACGACGGATACCAACACCGACGACCTGCTCCTTGTACTTGTTGGTGAGCTCGGTGAAGGCGAGGTTGAGGTCCTGGTCGGTCATGTCCTGGTCCTCCTTGCCGAAGAGGCGGAGGGCGACGTTGAGGACGTGAGGGTGACGGGCGCTGTGGCCGTACTTCTCGACAAACTCGTCGTGGTCAAAGACGGGGTAACGCGACAGGAGGCCGGGGAAGCCAGCCTTGAGGGGCTCGAGCGACGAGTACGAGGTCATGAGACCGAAGCGGAGGGGCTCCTGCTTGACGTGAACAATGTAGTTCAGGTCGCTGACTGAGGCAATGCGAGTAATGTCGCGCGACGAGTCGACACGGGGGGTCGAGGCGTCGTGGCCGGGGCCACCCATCTTGAAGCGCCAGGTGACAATGTTGGCCTCGCTGTTGGGGCCGACGGGCTCGTAGTCGAGGGCAAGGACGTTGTAGACGCGGTAAGCACGGCGAATGTAGACCTCAAGGGCGGCAAGGACGACCCAAGGGTCGGGGTGCTCGAAGAAGGTCGAGAGAACGTCGAAGACGGTGTAGCGCGAGTCGGTAACCTCCTTGAGGAGGTCGCTCGAGGGCAGGCGGTGGCCGCTGCCCGAGTCACCGTAGTACGAGGTGGTGACCGAAGCCTTGAGGATCTTCTCAAGCTGGCCGTAACGCTCCTCGTAGGTGGGGAGCGAGCCCACAATGAGGACCTCCTTGGCCTTGAGGGCGACCTTGGAAGTGGGGCGGCCCTCGAGCTCGGCCATGCGACCAAGGGCCTTGTGAACGCCAGACTCGGTGGTCATGGACGACTTGGGCGACTCGGCCTTGACGAGGTCAAGGACGGCAAAGATGAGCTTGGCCTTGGACGCGGCCTTGCTGTGCGAGAGCACGAGCTTGACAACGGCGTCGAGGTCCTTGTTGTCCTCACGGAGCTTGAGCACGATCTCCTCCTGAGTGTGGGTCGTGTCGGTGAAGGGCTCCTCAATCTCGGAGAAGTAGTTGAGGAGGTCGGCGTAAATCTGCCACTCGTGGACCTTGAGGCCGTAGGTGAAGGCGTCGATGAGGACCTCGAGGGGAGCAATGGCGTTGGTAACGGCCTGGCGCTCCTTGTAGTCGACGTGCTCCTCGATAAAGTTCGAAATGACACGCTTGAGCTTGGTCGAGGGGAACTCGAGCTGCGAGGTGCGGCAGGTGTCAATGATGCTACGGACCTCATCCTCGAGCTTCTGGGGGATACGGCCCGAAAGCGTGGAGAGGACGTCCTGGGCGTTGGCGTAAGGGAGGTCGGCGTCGCGGAGCTGGGAGGTGACCAGGCGGAGCGAGGGGAGGACCTGAGCGCTGTTGTCGTAACCAGCGAGGTTGTCGTAGAGAATCTCGAGGTGCTCGCGGAGGAGCTGGTGAGGCTTGGTGCCGTAGCGGCCGTTCTTGAGCTCAAAGGTGGGGAGGAGGCCCTCGAAGGGCTTGGCAAACTTGACCTTGGTGGGGTCGTCGAGGGTGAGGATACCGAGGAGCTCACCCTGGGCGAGCTGCTGGCCGGGCTGCTTCATGAACTGGACGATACCAGACTCGGTGGCAGTGACGGGCATGATCATCTTCATGACCTCAATCTCGGCGTAGGCGTCGCCAGAGTCGACGTGCTCGCCCGACTCGATGAGGTAGCGGACAAGCTTACCGGGCGAGGGGGAGCGGAGCTGAGTGGGGTCACGCTCGTCCTCGATCATGCAGGTCTTGGAGTCGACTGAGAGGACCATGGCGCCAACCTCCTCGCGGTAGTAGACAGTGTGCGAGGCACCCTCAAGCGAGATGAGGAGACCACCGTCCGAGAGGGGACGGACACCGACGTAGATACGGCCACCGTTCAAGAAGAGAGTGAACTGGAGGGGAGCCGACTTGGCCATGGCGAACGAGTAGCGAACACCGTCGTAGATGAACTCGGTCTTGAAGAAGGTCTGAAGGACATCCTTGGAAGGGATCTGACCGCGGTCAAGGATCGACTTGTACTTGGTGACACAGGCCTCGTAGGCGACCTGGGCCTTGACAACGGCACCGCAGACAACAGCGATGGTGGTGTCGGGGCGCTCCGAGGTCATGCCCTCGGCGATAAGGCCGTCGAGCCACTGGGTGGTGAGAGTGTTGTCCTCAAACTCGGGCTTCTCGAGCAGCTTGATGAGGTACTCGACGGTGGTGCGGAATTCACCACGAATCGAGAGTTCCTTGAGAGCGACGACCATCGACTTGCGGGCCTCGCTACGCTCCATGCCGTAGGCGAAGATGTGGCCGAACTGAGAGTCGGCGAACTCGTGGAGACCACCGGCAGCAGAGACCGAGAAGTAACCCCAGACGTTCGAGTTGGAGCGGAAGTTGAGCTCAGTAAGAGCACCGGACGAGGGCTTGAAGCCGGCGTCGGGGTTCTCACCGGTGATACGGCACGCAATAACGTGACCCTTGGGCTTGGGCTTGCGCTGGGTGTGCGCAGACTCGGGCTTGGTGCCGTCAAAGTCAATCTCGGTGACGCCGTGGGGGTCCATGCCGTAGAGGGTACGGATGTCGCGGATGCGGTGGAGGGGGATACCCATGGCAACCTGGAGCTGGATGGCGGGAATGTTGCATCCCGAAACCATCTCAGTCGTGGGGTGCTCGACCTGGAGACGGGGGTTGAGCTCGAGGAAGTAGAACTTGTTGTCCTCGTGCGAGAACAGGTACTCGACGGTACCAGCCGACACGTAGCCGACGAGCTTGGCGAGACGGACGGCCGCCTTCTCCATCTCCTCGAACGTGTCGGGCTTGGCGATGGTGACGGGGGCCTCCTCAATGATCTTCTGGTGGCGACGCTGGACCGAGCAGTCACGGCCAAAGAGGGAAATGGCGTTACCGTACTGGTCGGCCATGAGCTGAACCTCGAGGTGGCGGGCAGCCGAGGCGAGCTTCATAACAAAGATAGGCGAGCCAGGCACCTCGGAGGCGACGGCCTGGAACGAAACCTTGAACTTCTCGGGGTCTTCGACCTTGCGAATACCCTTACCACCACCACCCTCAGAGGCCTTGATCATGACGGGGTAGCCAATGGTCTCGGCGCGGGCGAGACCCTCCTCCCACGAGTTGACGCAGGCCTCCTGGTAGGCCACGTCGGGGACAGTAACGAAACCCTGGGGAGAGAGCTCGGTCTCGGCGATGCCGGTACCGGACCACGGCATGCAGGGGACGTCGGCCGACTGAGCGACAATGGTCGACGAAATCTTGTCACCAAGCGAACGCATGGCGGAACCGGGGGGACCGATGAAGATGATATTGGACTTGGCGAGGAGCTCGGGGAGACGGGGGTTCTCCGACGCGTGACCCCTGGGGTGGATCGTCAGCAAAAGCAAAAAATAGGGGAAAAAAGACTGAGAAATTCGTGCACAGAGTCACCGGTAACCATGCGCAGAGCAGAGCCAAGCACAAAGTACCGGCAGTACCGGCGTCGCAGGATTAAACCAAGACTCACCAACCAGCCCAGACGGCGTGGACGCCAGCGCGCTCGGCAACGTCAACAATGAGGTCGACGTTGGCGTAGTTGTTGTTGTTGCTTCCGCCGGGAACCTCGACGTAGCGGTCGGCCATACGAATGTACTCGGCGTTGATACGCAGGTCATCGGGGGTGGCCATGGCAGTGAACTCGATCATGCGGTCTTTTGGGACGTCAGCAGCGTCCTAGCAAGTGTTTTGCCCGCGTCCTGCGGTGAGGGGGGAGAAGAAGCTTACCAGAGCCAAAGGTCTCGTAAGACCACTTGCGGACGGAACGAATTTCCTTGACGGCACCGATACCATTGTTGGCAATAAGGACCTGAACCGTGAGAAACAGGACCGCCAACGAGAGATCTAGCTACAACAGCTGTTACGCACCTTGGTCACAACACTGTGACCGCCCTGGGACTTGACAAAGTCGGTTACCCGACCGGAGGGAGCGACGCCAATCGGGTTGGAGCCTGGTGGAGGTGGAGTGTGGGGCCGCCGACAGCGACGAGCGAGCGGAAAAATGACGATTCAGACAAGGTTAAACGCGATGGGAATGTAAAGGAGAAGCAGGAGGGGTAGGTGGTCAGCTTTCATGGTTCTCGTGGACGTTTGTCGTCGCCGTTGACATGGACCGTTCGCATCATCCCCAAAATTGGGGATATGTGGGCCAGGGGTTACTCACCGATGAACTGCGCGACACGACTGTGGTCGTACTGTCCGGCGCCGCCGTTGGCGGGAGCGCCGCTAGTGGCAACAGAGGCCATGGTTGCTAGATTGCTACTTGATAGATAGATTGGCCCAGATAGGTCTTTGGGTCAACGGGTGGTTTGGAGACCTCTGGTCCGGGGCTATACACGCTCGGTGTGGTGCGGGGTGCGATGAGGCGCCGCGAGAGGCCGAAAGTTGAAAGGTGGAGGGGGGGAGAGAGAGAGAGAGAATGGAGGGGAGCAAGGCGAAAGGTCAGGTGGTGACGGCTCCTACTCCTATCCTTGACTTGGTGTAGTGAAGAGATAGTTGACAGGTGAGGTGGGGAGAAAGGAGAACGGGTTGCAACGGCCACAGGTGTAAGTATCAGGTGCGCGCGCGCACCGGCGGCGGAGGGGATGTGATGACCGCCGCAAGGAAACCCCATCAACCGGGAAATGCTCCCGCGGCCCGCCCCGCCCACGCAGTGTCTGGGTGGAAGAATACCACGTTAATTCGCCTGCAACCGCCGCCGGTGTGGGAGCGCGCGCTCGTCCAAACCCTCCACCCCCACCAGAAACAGCGACGGCGGCCAGAACTCCCCAACGCTGGGCCAAGTCGGCACACGCTCTCGCCCTTGGAGCCTGCGGGCCCTGGCTAGTCCCCCCCCCCTCCCCCTCGTCTCTCTCTCTCCCTCTCGCTCGTTCCAGGAACCCCCTCCACATGGACAACGGGCCAACCCCACCGTGAATGAAAAGAGACCCATCGCCATCCTGTCAAAACGAAAGGGCGAAAGGGCGGGCCCACTGGCCACTGCGACCAAAGCTGTTGCTCGGCTCTATCGGGACCCATCGGATCTACTCTGACCCACGGTGTAATCGCAGTGAACGTCATCATAGAGCCGCCGACGGTTGGGGGAAATGTATACATTCTCATATCTGGACAACAAAAATGGGGAAGAGGAACAGACCGGTTCAGTAGGCCGGTAATCACGAGGCGAACCTCGCCAAAAATCGGGACCTCATCAAGAGGCCGAAAAAACAAGGGGATGGTGTGTGTGCGTGTGTGCATGGTGGTGGTTGCGCCCAATCTCAAGCAACACTTCAGTCACCACGGCCACGACGGCCACGACCAGTCTGAGAGCCTTGGATGCGAGCCCAGTCGCTGTCGCGCTCCAGCAAGCTGGCCTCCTCCATGCGCTTCATATCGTTGAGAGCCTTGCCGAGGACCCAGCCAGATTGAGCACCGGCGCCACGTTTCCCACCCGTCGTCGCTGGGGCAGGGGCTTGCCCGCTCGCGATAGCCAGAGCAGCACTTGTGCCTGGGGCAGCACCCACATCGAGGTCCTTTTCAGCCGCCTTGCCTCGTGGTCCGCGCTTGCCAGTGGTGACACTGTAGCCCTGGGCAATGTTGAGGCGCTTGATCTCGAGCGACGACGTGTCGTGGTGCATAATGTCGTCCGTGCTGATGATGGCCAAGGCCGGCGCAAGCATCGAGTGGAGAAGCAGGTCGTTGGACTTTGCGGCGTCGTTGGGGCTAGACAGGCCAGATTCGGGCTGACTGCGGAGATTGAGGTTGGGGGTCGCACTCCTGCTCGACGAGCGGGGCTCGACGCGCGCACGGAACGGCATACGGCGTGGACGGGGCCGGGCCTGCGCCTCAAGGAGCGACTCTGCAGTGGTCGTCAGTTTCCATTGTACAAGGGAGGGTACGAGTGTGCAGCCGAGTGATGCCAGTCGGTGTCCGCATTTAAGGAAAGGTACTCACCAGTCACAATGTCACCACCTTCCTTCTCCTCGCGCAGTTTACGACGACGCTCCTCAACCAGGCTCAGCAGACGCTGGCGCAGCTGGTCGCGGGACTCCCAGTACATGCCTTCAATGTACTCGCGTTCACTCTCATACATCTTCGTTGCCTGGCTGACCCTGACGCGTCAGTGCGGTGGTGGAGGGACCGGTCACTCACTTGTAGTTGTAGTGGGTCTCGGCGGCCTGCAAGAAAGCATCACGCTCGACAGTCTTGGGGTAGAGGCGGAGGAGGTAGTGTGATGATGTAGGGGGTTGCGTGTTGACCAGCTTGTTCTCGTTGTGGTACTCCTTGTACTGCTGGGAGAATTTCCTGCACCCCGTCAGTCGTCATTTCAAGCAACCACTGTCATGTACGAGGTGTACGAGCTGTGCTAGCTCTGGCAGCTCCCACGACGCATACAGTGGCCTGTACGAGTATATTGGTGGCAAGGAGAAGGTGTGGGTTGATGGATGCAGGAAGACAAGTGCTCCTATTGTACTCACTCGTCACGGTTTGCCCAGCTCCCACTGTGGAGGAGCTCAATCTTGTTGACAGTCTCGCGACGCTTGCGGTCCCTCTTGGACTCTGCGTGTGCCGGGGGCAGGATGGTGGGGGGCTGCGATGGCCCTGGTGGGTACTTGGACATTGTGATATAGAGTGTTGTGACTTGTTGTAGGAGGGAGGTGTGGGTGGGTTGATCAACAGGAGACGAGAGGGTGGTTGTGCCGGGTTGGCCCACAACTGGCGCTGCTTGCGCAGGGCGCTCTCCGGCGGCGGCGGCAGGCGGCGGGTAACGAGGGCACACAAGATCAGATGTGTGGAGAACGCCATGATAACACGAAATCACACGTCACTGTTTCCCACGGTGGGTTTCGTTTTGCTTCTGCTGGTGGCGACCACCACATGACGCCCACACGGCGTGAGCCGCGCGCCCTGGGTGTGTTGCTGCGCCGCGCGCGCGCATGCGACCGAGACACTGCACACACACACACACACACACACACACGCACTCGTTGACCACCGCTTCTCCAACTCTTTGCTTCGCGCAATCCACAACTATCCACGTCGACAGATCTCCTCTCTTTCGATCTTTGACACTACTCGACCATGTCGTCAAACACAGCACAGTCATTCCATGCCCAGCTGTCCAGCTTTCGATGGGCAAACTCGGTGCAGGATGACTCGGGCCCCGCAGCAGCAGCAGCTCCGTCCGCCGGCGCATCCAACCCGTTCAACCGTGCGTGGACCAGCGTCAGCGGCTACATTCCCCTTCGTGGTGAGGGAGCAAGCAGGGAGGAGGAGGCGTACTTTGCCCTTTCGGTGAGTGGTGCTGCGACCAACATGTGTGTGTGGCCCCGAGTTGGCTGCCGACGCCGTCGTATGGTTGTGTGCCTTGACCTCCTTTGTTGACATGACATCTCCTTTCTCTGAATCGTTTCTGCTACTACAGCGTTGGGAGCGGTGAGTCTCAGATTGTCGGGCAGCAGCGCTGACAGCTTCAGCTTCCTGGGGTTCATTGCATGCGTCGTGGGCGGTATGGCATGCTTTGGCATTGCCTTCCTCTTCCTGCCGATCCGTCAGTATATCATCCACCTTCCCTCGACCTCGACCTCGACCTCTAGGCTCATCGTGCTAACCCGTCAGTGGCATTGAAGCCAAGGAAATTTGCCCTGGCGTTCACTCTGGGCTCTTGTCTCTTCATGTTGGGCTTTGCGATCCTCCACGGTCCCATGAACCGTAAGCTAGCATCCGCGTCGTCATCAGCTCACGCATCACAGACCTCAAGCACATCATCTCGGCTGAGCGTCTTCCCTTCTCGGCGGCGTACTTTGGCTCCCTGGGCCTGACTCTGGTCTTTGCCATCTACCTTCGCTCCACCATCGGAACGCTGGTCGCGGCCATCGTCCAGGTGGGTGCCATACACTCTTTGTATGCTAACCCAACAGGTCGTTGCCCTCCTCACATATCTTGCCGCCTACTTCCCCGGAGGCACCACCTCTCTTAGGTTTGGCGGTCAGATGGCGCTGCGTGGAGCGTCAAGCCTCCTCCCCATCTAAGTGGCGTAGGAAGGGTGACAGAAGACGACTGAAGACGCCTTCCAGGCTTCCACCAGCGTAGAGAGCACGGTTGCAGAGGGGCATGCTGATGGCCCCTGCATACATTAATATTGCAGACCGTAGTCCCGCTCACTAGTGCGTGGCATGTACTCGATAGATAGATATGAGAACGTGCAGCAGCATGTGAGAGGTCAGTCTCCTATATGGGGGCACGGGCACATACACATCGGACTGAAATGCTTCCGTTCGATGTGGAGGAACTCCATGTTGATCCCTCTCCAACTCGGCATCACCTTGCTTGTCTTCCCCCACTCGTCCACCGCCCTCCAACACCACCATGGGCGACGGGCCCGATATTCTCTCGGTCCCGTCAAGACTGGTACAAACGTAGGTCTGCAACGTCTGTCAACTCTGACCTCGCAGCATCGACGGGCACGAGGCCGCCGTGAACGTTGTCCGCTACAACCATGGGTCTCGATACGTTCTCTCGGGTTCGACGGACAGGACCATCCGGCTGTGGAACCCGGCCATTGGAAAAGAGATCAAGGTGTATAGGGGACACGCACACGAAGTGTTGGCACTCGACATGTGAGCTTTACAAGTCACGCCTGGACGCTAACGTTCAGCGCCCACGACAACGCCAAGTTTGCCAGCTGCGGTGGCGACAAGATTGTGTTTGTGTGGGACGTGGCCAGCGGCGTGGCTCTGAGGAAGCTCCAGGGCCACTTTGGAAAGCTCCATGCTGTTGCATTCAACAATGACGGCGGTCTACTCGCGAGCGGTGAGATTCTCGTTTGCACGAAGTGCTAATCTCTCAGCCGGGTTTGACGCCAAGATCATGCTCTGGGACATGCGTGCACAGGCCCGCGATCCACTGCAGACCATCAAGGGCGCGACCTCGTCCATTACCAGTCTGACCATCCCGCCAGAATCGGTTGAGATCATCGCCGGAAGCCAGGATGGGCATGTTAGGACATACGACATGCGAATGGGCAAAATGGTCGAAGATTGTGTCGGAGGTGGGTTTGCATCGGTATGAGTGTACTGACCTCGCAGCTCCTGTCGCTGCTGTTGTTCCCTCCCCCTCGTCGCCAAGGGACACGATGCTCGTGTCTTCCTTGGATGGTAAACTCCGCCTGTTTGACAGGTCAAATGGCCAGGTAGGTTACATCGCCCTCATTGTGTGCTAACCTGTACAGGTCCTGCAGACCTTCTCCGGCCACAGAGTATCAGAGTCTGGCCCCCGGTCTCGACCGGCCTTCAATCGTGGTGAAGGTGCCGTGATTGCCGGTGATGAAGACGGACGTCTCTGGAGCTGGAATGTGCTTGACGGCAAGCCGCTGTCGGCCGACCCTCCAGCACCACATAGACGCGCGATCACGGGCGTCATTACCAACCCGAACGGCAGGGAAATGGTGACATGTAGTCTTGGTGAGTGTGGACCACTATGACTAGAGCTGATGACAGACGGCACCATCAAAGTGTGGGCCAAGTGATGCCAATGACGTGCCAAAAACGAGTTCAACCGCCGCCAAAGAGGTAGCGAGCCCCACTGTATGCATAGTGACACTCCATTGTTCAGATCACCGAACGCAAACACGCCGCACAGTCCGCACCCAGCTCCATCACCACTCATGTCCCCTGACCCACATCAAAACAACAAACCCCATCACTCACTCTCTTCGGTTACCTGACTCCCTCTTTCCGTCTCTTACATACTGTCGTGGACCGCTCACTCACACGGCTCTGCGAGCTCGACTTTGGCTAGAAAAGACCAACTCAGAAAGCAACTCTTTGATTCGTATCCATTCGAACTACTGCCACTCCAGACGTCAGCACCACGCGTTTCTGCAGTCGACGCCATCCACATCCATAAACCAATCCCAAACCAACCCCAGACAACTATCCCCCAACAGCAGTAACATGACGGCCGTTTTCACCGCTTACGAAGGTAACAGCTATGGAGCTAAAGTTATGCTATGCAGCTGACACATCAGTTCTGAGCTTTGTCTCCCTCGCCCTTCTTCTCTTTGCTGCCCCGGCCATTGTCCTTCCCTCCAAGGTCACCAAGGTCCCGTCCGGTATCTACTCGTCTACCACTGTCTCTCTCGTTCTTGTCGCCATTGCCAAGTCGTCCCTCGCCATTATTGAGACTTTTATCAATAAACGTCATGGCGCTCAAGGCACCCTTTGTGACGTTGACGCGGCACTGTAAGTACCAGATTGGCGCAATCTTGGCCACTGGCATTTGCCATTATCAGGCTGACGGACTCCACAGCATGGTATTTTGCACTACCGCTGTTGTCGCGCATATTCCTCTCGTAGCTCTGGTGAGTGCCACTACCAACAACAACCAAAAACCATCAGAACACAGAAGAACATTCCTCATCACCAGCGTCATCAAGGCCATCAGCTGACACTTCTTCACAGAACATTTACCGGCAGACGACGCTGGCAATCAAGCCGTGGTCGTTTTTGGTGTCTGTGGTCCTGCTCATCGTCGTATATGCACTCGGTGTTGCCCCGCTCATCGCGGTACTCGCCGCCTGGAACTCGGCCAACGTGTCCTACCTGGGCGTATGGTGGGGTACCTTTTGCCAGCCGACTATGAAGTGGTGGACTCCACGTGAGTACAGTTGTCTGCCTGTTACATTGTCGACTGACATGTAGTCCGTCTTTCCACCCTTTTCGTGCCCCTTGGTATCTCGTGGATGCTGTGCGTCCCTGCCATCATCAATGTGACCTGCCACGCCCACCGCCTGTCGGCCAAGCAGGTCTCCCTTTCCCTCCACCACCTTCGTCGCAAGGTGTTCACCATGGCCATCTCTACCCTTCTGGTCGCCGTGTTCCTGATCATTGAAGCTGTCTCGGGCGGCTCGTCGGGATACTGGGCCGGTCACGCTGTTGAAGGTGAGTTGGACGTTTACGGGCCATAAACTGACATCAGGCGCCACGGGTATATTTGTCTTTCTTTACACCCTCGACTGGGCCATGTTGCGCATGTGGGCCCGCTGGCTTGGCATCCGCACTCGACCCGACGAATCATTCACCATGATCAACAGCCGCGACCACCTCCCCCTCGACCCGGAGCCGCCGGCCTCCATCATGCACTACACGGCACCTGCGACCCCCTCGATCCAGAACGCCGAGTCTGACGCCGGCACCATCCACATCATGTCTCGTGAAGAACACCGCGCCTACGTCCTCAAGATCCGTCCGCGCGACGCCGAGTCTACCATTGGTCGAAGCGTATATGCACCCTCCATGGCGCCGACGGGGCCTGCCCCTCCTTCCCCCCGCGACGACGAGGTGGAGGAGGCGGTCAAGACTCGGCTCCGGGACTTTCGCTTCGCTCGCCCCGCGGTCACTGTTCTTCCTGATGCTGGTGTGGTGCCGGTCTCTACGCGCGGCCCTGCTCCGGGAGTCCGGTTCCCGGGTTCTGACGATGACGCGGAAGATGTGCTCGACAGCATTCGCCCTTGCGCTACTTCCATCTACCCGACCATTACGCGCCATGCGCAGAGCGCCACTTCCTCGTCGGCCCCCTCATCTCCAGCTCCTTCCGCCCTCTCGCTCGACTCGGAGTCCGACGAGTCCGACCTTGATGGGGGTTCGGTGACGAGCGTCAGCACGACCCACACTTTCGAGGCCAAGGTCGATGCGCATGTCATGCCCACCGCTATTACCAACATTGGCAACACTGAAGACGGCATCGAGACTCTGGACAGCAGCGATGACGAAGACGACCTCGATGACCATGACGTCGTGGAAATCCAGACGCCCGTCGCCGCCCGCCTCACCTCTCCGGAGGACCAGGAGGCCGCTTGTGCAGCTACATTCGCCACCACCACCATTTCAGACGGCGAACACCCTTTCCTGAACCCCATCACCATCCCGCTCTCGCCCGAAGCCATCGAGCAGATGGCGGCCAAGCTCCGCCCCGAGGTCCGCCAGAAGTGGCAGGACAACGGACACTGCTTCTTCGTCGTCCCGACGTTGACGCAGATTGCCGACGCCGAGCGTATTCTCTACTCGCAGCGGGACGCCAAGGTGCCTTACCTGTACGACTCTTCCCGCGAGAGGCGGAGTGCCGTGGACGCGATGAACTCTACGCACGCGTTCACGGAGCGGTACGAGCCCGAGTACACGGTCTTGTTCTCTGCCGACTGGCTCAAGTATCCCCGCGACCAGCCGATGGGGCTTCCGCTCCAGGACTACGAGACGGAGCTGAATCCTGTTAGACAGGAGGAGTGGGAGGGAGAGACTGCGGTGTTTCCCTGTTAAACGGCGGGGAAGTAACGTACTCTGTCGCCGCTCAAAAGTAGTTATCAGTGTTTTATTTAATATTTTCCCGATAATAATATGAATGACAATGCCTCAACTTGAACTGGCCTGCCCCGCCCGTGAGGGACTGCCCAACAGGTAAATTATGTTACACGTTGTGTATAAATGCAAATGCCTTGTCACCGTAACCCGAGAGACCTGGTTGCTTCAGTGATGTAAATGCAAGGTATGAAGCGTATCGTCGGAGTCGTCCAAAGTTCGATTTTGTTGGCAGCGTTGACCTCCAACCTCGCTCTCGAGACCCTCCTCATCCATCAGGTGTTTGACATGCCCTCCAAGCTGACTCGTTTTCATTGTTCATGTCTGTTTCTCGGCCGAAACCTACACCACATAGTGCAGAGTCGACATGTATTGTCAATATCCTGAATAAATAAATATTCTAATAACAAAAGAAGCCCAGTCAGTCATCGTACGGCACTGGCGAGCGTGGTAGCTGTCATGCTGGGGTAGTCTGGTGAGGACCGCCTGGTTATGCACGACAAACTGTGGTGCTAACAGGAGGAGGTCGGATGCCATACTTACTACGACATCTACTGTGACGGACCGTCAGATTTCCACCCTCGTCTCACTACACAGTGGCGTTGTCCGGGCAGACGTGCCAAGCGCGAGGTCGACCCATCGCCACCACCTCGAAGCGTGTAGCCTTGGGCGGGATGTGCGGCAGCTGAGCGCCATGCAACTGACCGTCATTGATACCTAGGTCTCCTGCCGCTCTCTCAAGCCGTCCCTCATGTGTATAGAGCAATCGATGGGAGTGTTCGAACTGTGCATGCCATTTTGGCCGAGCACCATGGGGTAACAACACGCTCAGATGCTCCCTGCCACAAACTCTGACTGCCAGGAGCTAAATTGATGCATCACAACCCACGTCGGTGGCAAGTCGTTCGGTCCAAGCGATATGGACACGAAGCAAAGACATGTGCCAAGCGCAGGTGAAGGTTACGCGTGGACCGGTGTCTCGTCTACTGTAGAGCACCGCCGTGAGAAAAAGGAGGCAACCTGCGTGATTGAGTCTCGGTTACGTTGAGAACATGAAGCTAGGGAGTGCCTGGGGAGAAGAAGTCGAGAGCAGGCAGGTGTACAGTAGCGTGGATCAGTCAGCAGAACCAAACACGAGTAGCAAGGGTGTTTCCGATGTGGCCAAAAGGCCAATGCATGTCCTGTCTATTTCTGTTTGGGTCAGCAGACAACTCGGTATCGCAATCACCCACCATCATACGCATGTACGCCAAGAGCAGCGCGCCGGAACCGGTTGCCACACCGACGAGGTACTGGAGGATCGAGAACTTTGCCTGCTCGATCTGGGTACGCAGACCGGCAATCTCCGACTCGATACGGGTATCCACCTCTTTGATCTTGAGCTCCTGCTGCGCCGACTCGTCGCGAATGCGCCCCTTTTCCAGGTTCAAGTCGAGACGCACACCGGCCTGTGTGCGTGTGATTTCCTCTCGGAGGCGTTGCTTGAGCTTCTCCACGTCGGCCATGAGACGGTCATTCTCGGCCTTCATGAGCGTCAAGTCGTTCTTCTCGTGTAGCTGGAGCTCGGATTTGAGCTGCGCAAAGTCGACGTTCTGGGTGTAGCGTTGCTGCAGGCGTCAGGACAATGTTCACTCGAAGAAGAACCTGGCGCTGGGCCTAGTGACGAATTGGTAGTGCCGCAGGTGCGTCTGGGTGAACCGGCACCTGCCCCTTGACCAGGGAAACACCACACCCCTCTCTCACGTCAAACGCACCTTCTCCTGCTCGGCCTTGCTGACCAGGCCACCCTCCATACTCCGGATACTCTCATCGACCGCGTCCGCCAAGACGGTCATGACGCCTTCGGCCTGTTCGCGCGTCATGCCGTGCTGCTGGAGCCGCTCGACAAAGAGCTGCGTGTCAAAGTGGCTGGCAGACATGGGACTGGTGGTGTGCAGGGATCGTGCGCGGTGCTGGCGCTGGTGCCGGGCAGCGGCGGCGAATGCCATGGGAGCATAGCGAGTAGGTCCAGGCGTGCGGAGAGCTGTGTCGTCAGTAATTGATGGGTAAGGGAGTCTGATGGTAAGAATGTACACACCGCAAGCGAGTGCAGCACCTGCACGGGATGTTGTAGGCTGTGAGAGAATGCTGCTGAGCATGGTGTATGTGTATATGTCAATAGAGAAGTGAGTAGAGATGTGAGCGTCACAACATGGACACCGTGATGCCCCTGCCGATGCGCAGACGCGTCTACAGGCCCACAGCCCTCCGTTACGAGCGCGGCTATACCGTGATATCGCGGCTCGGCAGATTGATCCCGTCTGGTGGCAAATGCCAGGCTCGTCAACAGGCTGGCACGCCTTTGCTTACGTACACACGCCTTCCGTTGAAATTTCCGCAACCCGTTCAAGTCCACCTTGCAAGTGACGACCGGTTCTGCACAACACAACCACCCTCAACCCCTAAAACACGATGCAGGTGGGCACAACACTTAACAGGCGAAAGGATACCATGCTGACAGAGCCAGTCCGACGAGATCATTTGGTCGGTCATCAACCAGCAGTGAGTACCCGAGAGCTGTTGAGCTCGTGGAGATGGCGAACGTCGTTGGAATGACGCTAACAACCTCAAAGGTTCTGCTCGTACAAGGTCAAGTGAGCCCACACCCCGCCCAAACCGAGACACCAGAGGACACTGTATAGCTGACGCCCCGTGTCTAGGACCGTTACGCAGAACTTCTGTCGTAATGAGTACAACTTGACGGGTTTCTGCTCGCGCCAGAGCTGCCCGCTCGCCAACTCGCGCTATGCGACGGTTCGCGAGAAGGAGGGTGAGTGCGAGACCAAGGCAGTTGCTACCTGCCAGCTGTGCCTCTGCCAAAGAGAGCCGTCGCTGACAGCGCAGGTGTCATCTACCTCTACGTCAAGACCATTGAGCGTGCGCACTCTCCCGCCAACCTGTGGGAGCGCATCAAGCTGTCGAGCAACTACACCAAGGCGCTGGAGCAGATTGACAAGGAGCTCATCTACTGGCCCAACTTTATTACGCACAAGTGCAAGCAGCGTCTCACCAAGATTACGCAGTACCTCATCAAGATGCGCAGGTTGAGCCTGACCCAGCAGTGAGTACAGCAGGAGGTGTACCTCAAACGGGCGTGTTCTAACTGGTTCCTCTAGGCCCAAGATGGTCGGTATCAAGAAGAAGCTGGAGCGCCGTGAAGCCACTCGCGAGCGCAAGGCCCTCGCTGCCGCCAAGCTCGAAAAGTCGATCGAGAAGGAGCTGCTCGAGCGTCTGCGGTCCAAGGCGTACGGCGATGCCCCGATGAACGTCAACGAGGACGTGTGGAAGCAGGTGCTCGAGATGGACAAGGGCAAGGGCAGGCTCGAGGAGGACATGGAGGACGACGAGTCCCTCCTCGACGAGGAGGAGTGGGAGGGAGGCGAGCGCGAGTTTGTCGAGGACTCGGACGACGGCAGCGAGATTGGCGACCTGGAAGACTACTCTGGATCCGAGTTTGACGAGTTTGACTCGGACGGAGACGATGGCCAGGACTTCCCCTCGGACTTGGACGTCTCGGACGAGGAGGAGGGAGACGAGGAGGACGACGACGAGGAAGAGGCCGGCAGCGACGCCGAGGGAAGCGACGAGGACAAGCCCGCGCCCAAGCCCTCGAAGAAGCCCTCGGCTGCCGCTGGCTCGAAGCGCAAGGCCGTCAAGGACCCCAAGCGTGGTGCCAAGAAGCGTAAGTTGGCAACATCCCACGAGTTACTTTGTGCTAACGTTCAGGCCCCCACGTCAACGTCGAGTACGAGATGGAGACCGAGCCCCTCTCGCGCGAGATGGTCAACAACTGGTAGACAGCAGCTTTCCTTTTTCTTCCCTCTCCTCCTGTATACCCCTCACTGTTACCCCTCGCTGCGTCCGGGCGGCGGCCGCAGCCTTACCGCATATCTCTATTCTCTCGGGAGTACCCCTGCATGCATACAACATGGTTGTCGAGCAACACCGTCCAAAGTAGCAGAATGTAGCGGGCTGCCTCGACAATGTCTCTCTCTCCGACTTGACCCTCCTGCACCATCTAGTCGTCGTCCGACTCGTCCGAGTCCAGATCGAGCTGGAACACTGCACCAGGGTCGAAGCGCCGTCCGCTGTCCTCCTGCACGACCTGCACTTGGTCCGCCTTGTCGTCTGCGGGTTTCTCTGAAAGGCAGTTGTCAGCTTTGGCCCAAGACCGCCCACAGCTGTTGGTATCTCCTCACCTTCTCCAATCACGCCCACATCTCCCACACCGCTCATGCTTCCCTCGAGCTGGAAGAGCAGTCCTTGACGCATGTTCATCTCGTTGGGCCATGGTGTCGCCTGCGCCTTGTCCACGGGGGCGAGGAGGGACGAGACGGGCGCCGACGTCGAGCGCGCCAGCGCGTGCGCGTGCGCGAGGAGGACGGGGACGTCGACGGGGTCTGCGGTGCGTTAGCTAGTGTGGCAACATGGATGGTCTAGCTCTCTGCAACTCACCCCTTTCGCTCTTGTCAATGCCCTCTGCAACCTTCTTGCCCTCGTCCACCATACCTTCCAACTCGATCCTGCCGCCTTCCAGCTCCTTTATCAAGCTGCGTACCCTGCCCTCGAGAGCTGACACCTCGGCCTGTTTGGCGAGTAGCTGGCCCCATTTGCGTTGGTGTTCCTCTGCCTCTTTGGCCAGCGCGTCGAGCTGCGACGCGGACTGGACGAGCGAGGCGTGCAGCGCAGGAACGTCGGCGGCACCCGAGGGCAGGGCGGTGAAGAGCTCGTTCAGCAGGGTCTGCTGGGTCGTGAGCGCCAGGAGGAGGGAGGTGCGCATCGGCGGGTCTGTGAGGGGCTGGGCCATGGTGCGTGGAGAAGTTGTAGGTGTAGGTGTAAGATGAAGAAGGATGAGAGAACGAGGACAACATCACGAAGAGTCGATCCAGTTCTGGAACAGACATGCCCCCCAGGCACCGGCGGTCAGCGAGCACGGAGGCTGATTTCTCACCCACCCTGTGCTCCCATTTCTCAGATTTGTTGGTCCACACAGACGTCACTTCTCTCATCCACAACGTCCCACCAGATACCCCCCACCATGTCACTCTCGGTCGGTACACTCAACCTCAAGTTTATGCAGCGGGCTGCGGCCCAAAAGGCCGTCGCATCCGGCACCGCAGCGCCGGCAGTGGTCGAGCTGCCCAAGGGCGTCGACAAGGCCGAGGAAGAAGCCAAGTGGGTGCTTCCCGCGCGTTCAAGACCGGCCACCTCCAAGACAGCCGCTTCTGCCACGACCAAGCCCAGCTCCAGCACTGCCAGCGAGGCCGGGCCATCGCGTCCGAAGGTCCAGTTTGTGGCCTCGTACATGCCCTTTGTGGAGGACCCCGTCGGTGCGGCGTCTGGGTCCGCTGTCTCGGGCGGCGGGCGCCGTGCGTTTGGCGGATGGGGCGACAAGCCCGCCGCGGCCGACGACGACGACGAGGATATGAGCGGTGCCGAGGACAAGGCCCACAGCGACGACGAGGTGGACGCGCAGACCATCAGGCGGAAGAACAAGGGCAAGGCGAGGGACGACGGCAAGGTGAGTCCAGCTCGCAGTGGTCAACTTGTCTAGAGCTGGAACTGACGGGCTACACAGCGCGCCCAGCCGATCCCAGAACACATCCTCCAGCGCACCGCCTCGCGCATGTCGCGTATCGCCACACCCGAGCCCGAGGACTTGCCCGAGACGACGTTTCGCAAGCCGGCCGGGTTCGACGATGCGGCGCCCAAGAGGAGCAACAGCAGGAAGGGCGGCAGCAACAAGTCCCACTCGAGCTCACCGGCGCCCGGCGCACCGCCCAAGCAGTCGCTGTCCGTGGCCGACCGGATGCGCGCGACCATCACGAGCATGAAGAACGTCGCGGTCGGGAACGGCAGCAGCAGCAGCAAGGGCAAGAAGCGCGCGGCCGGCGACGAGGACGGTGACGGGTCGTCCCCGCCCGCGCCGGCAAGTGGCGAGAGCGCCGACGGTGCCGCCAAGCGGGCCAAGGTGGACAAGAAGAAGGCCGTCGCGGCGCCTGTCAAGGACAAGGCCGAGAAGAAGTCGGGCGGGCCCAAGCTGTCTGCCATTGACGAGCGGGCCAAGGCGCTCAAGGCCGCTGACAAGGCGGCCAAGAAGGCGGCCAAGACGAAGGGCAAGCAGTAGTGGTAACGCGCGAGAGGGGAGATCTGCATGTGCATAGAGACTGCATTCTGGGTGTGCGCATAGAGACTGCATTCTGGGTAATATGTACGGCTTCGTAATGTAAGCATTTCGCATGGTACTACTGCTGTCAGCGTTGGATGTAGGTGCTGGTGTGGTGACACTGCCGGTGTGGGTGGCCTTGCCACTAACGCTAATCTTCACGGCTGGGTACGAAACTCTGCGTGCCTGTCTCAAGCACGCTGCACAATCTCGAACCCTCCAAGCGACACCCTCACCGCCGCCGCCATCTACATCCATGCACATCTGCTGCTCGTCTGACGCTCCTCTGCAGTGCTCCGAAGATAAGTGGTGGGCAAGATCCTTCTATCATCATCTCTTGTTTGTTCCGTTTTTTTACACCAGCCCCAGTCCGTCTCTCTCTCTCTCTCTCAACTCCTGTAAAAGTCTTGTATCTGCGAGAACCCTGATACATTACTCGTATAAGGCCCTGGGGCTGCGCTATGCAAGGCCTGTCTCTATGATACCAGAGCTAACGGGTAGCACAGAGAACAGTGATGGGAGGGGGGGAGGGGGGAAAGCATACCAAAAGACACCATACAGGTGGTTTTTTGGAGACGCTTAGATGGTCGAGGGGAAGAGCATGATGCGGCACGAAGCACCGAACACCTTGGCGGGGAGGTTGGTGGCGAACTTGCCCTTGACGACACCCGAGTTGCCGTGGGGGCGCGAGATGCGGCCCCAGATGACGCGGACACGCGAGCCGTTGATCTCACGCTTGGCCTTGTAGACGTAGGCGATGCGCTGGGAGGGTCAGTATTTTTGTGTCTGGTAGAGGAAATTGGGCTTCCGCGAGGGGAAGGGGGATGGGATGGGATGAAGAGGTTGGGGTGCACGGTAGCTGAACGCCATCGTTCCAACATCCTAGGTCCCAGAGCTGTAGACGTGACGCTAGAGGAGACTTCAAGACGACTGGGTGCCCGGACGGAAGATTGAAGATCTGCAAGAAACCACAAATTCAATGTGTTCCTTGGATAAGTCTCCTGTCCATCCCCCAACGCTCGGTCTCCAGCTCGGGCATCCGCTCTCCTCCTCCAATGGACCCCCCTCTCCTCCTCGCTTCTGGCCCAATTTCGTTCTCGGACCCACCTTGCCAAGGTACGAGCGGGCGGTCTCCTTCGAGTCGACACCCTCAATAGCGACGAGCGACTGGTTGGGGCGCGAGTTGCGCTTTCCGCGCTTGTGACCGAGGATGCGGCCCTTGGTGTAGAGACTGTAGAGGAGGAAATCGCGAGGTTGTGACCAAGAGTTTCGACAGTTTCGACAGATTGGAAGTTGGGGAGAGTTTGGCGGCAGGAGGGTTACAGGGAGGAGAACGCCAGATGGAGCGTGCGGATCGACATCGAGAGCAGACGGAGCGCGAGAAACGGGAACGGCGAGGTCAGCGGATTGTCCACGGGGTCATGCTCGCTGCTGGCGACGTACCGAGTGGAACCCATTGTCTGCTTTTTCGTGTTGAGGGATGGAGAAAGGCAGTGGAGAGTGTAGTAGCCAGATAGCACCGGCCGGCAGCGACCCACCGCACAGAGCACAGACGGGGCCAGGCAAGGGCCGACCCACAGCCAGGAATTTCGTCGACGGCAATATCGCCGGACATTTACAAGTGTGGCACAATGGCTTTGGGAAACGGAGATGCCAATGAGTGTCCGTCGTTGTTTATGCCCCCCGTTTAAACGATGGCGTGAGAGACCGATTCAGCCGATCAGCCGGATGTACACGCCGGACAGAGAGAGCTGTTTCGTCCCACCTGGCCCACCTAATACCGGGCCACGCTGCAAAGCTGCAATGCTGCACGCTGGCCGCTGGCCATCTCGCACGCAATAGGTCGTCGTTTGTGGATCTCTGACAGTCATGGCTCACGTCTGAGACAAGGCAAGACAAGTCATAGCACACACCACCGCCACTGCCAAGGTGTGTGCCATGTCGGGCCAGTCGGGCCAAGCCTGACAAACAACGGCCTTAGCCCGCCACATGGAGATTCAACAGCTCTCATCCCTACCCGTGGCATTTACTATCTCTAATCGACACACTCCGTATTCAATAGCAATGTTGGACAGCGGTACAGTGAGGATTAGGGATGACACAGCGCGCCAAGAGATATCCTCTGGCCTCTGGCTGTGCATATCGCGGACACAGATGCACAAATCCCACGAGAACTAAATCCTATTGTGACGCTGGCCCGCCTGGCAGTTGACAAACGAGATCTTGCGCCGACACTTGCCTACCCGTCGCTTCCGTGCCACGACTTGTCCCCCCTGTGCGCATGCAAAGAAGCCCCGCCAGAGCCAGAAACGGCATGTCTGCATGTCTGTCTGCTCACCAAACGAGTCTGCATTCCTCCGCCCAACCCAACCCACACAGTTCCCCGTCCATTCTGACGTGCCCATTGCCATGAGCGGAAGTATGGAGCTACCTAAACCGCTGGCCGCTGGCCCTCGTCGTCTGTCACGGATCACGGAGCCATTACGGGCCGTACAATCGGGGGGTGAGAGCCTTGCCGCCCCAACTGGAGGCGTTCCTCGGCACTCTTGGGCGGGCAGGGGTGTTGAAAGCGACGCTGAGATCCTTGGGTGTGCCATCTGCTTGGCGCCGTTGCAACGTGCACAGGCCACCAACTGCCACTGTGTGGGTGGTGTCACTATGGGTCCAGGCGGGGGACGCCGCCTTTGGCGCACGGTTGTCTCCGCAGAGAGATGCCACCCAAAGCACCAGTTGGGGTCCAGTTGTGCTTGAGCTGTTGCACCAACAAAGTGGTGTCTCAACGGACATTGTGTATGCATACGGAGACAGAGAGAGCGTGTGGTACTGTGGGTATCCTGTGCACGAAAACGTGACGACGAGGGAGGGAAAGGCCGGGGAGAGGGTAGGGCTTTTGGGTGGCAATACAGGGAAAGGGCTGTTGCCAAGACTCTCACTTTCCCTTGTGTCTTCCTCCACGCGCGCGTCGTTGTGTGTCCGCCGTGGTGGGCCACCCACTCCACCCCATGCCACCCACCCATACGACTCTCCTCTCCCCTCTCTGGCCCTCTGGGTGGATCCGTGGGTCAGAGCGGCCTGTGCTGCCGGGCCCGTTCATCCCAACTCTGGTCGTCGTCCTCTTCATCCTCTCTCATCCCCTTCTCACTCGTCCGTTCTTCTTTTCTACTGACCGCTGCGTCTTCAAGCAAACCCCCCCTCCCGGCTTGCTCCTTTCTGTCTGTCCCCCGACCCCACCCACCCACCCCTCTCCGTCAACCGACAAGGCATATCGAACCATCTCGAGCCATCTCTTTGCTCCTCGTCAGCTAGGATCACCCCCCAACCCCACCCACACACTCTTTAGTCTCTACCCACCTCCCACAAACAGCGCCGCCATGGCCGCCCTCACCTCTTCCCTCATCCTCGCCGCCCTCCTCACCGGCGTCAACGCCCAGGAGTCGGCCGCCAGTGTTGCCAGCACCGTTGCTGCCGCAGGAACAACCGCCGCTGCTGTCACAACGACGGCCGCTGCCGCCGCCGCCACGCTGTCGCTGTCGATCAACTCGAACCTCCCCCAGACCGCTCCCACTGGTCCCAGCGGCTTTGTCATCCCGTGAGATTTCCATCTGCAGAATGGGTGGTTGTTCGTCGTCCAAGGCCAGCCGTCAACACAACCCAAAACACGCTCCACGACTACAGTTTTCGTAGTGTGCCTTGTTGGTGCCAAGAAACCATCGGGGGTGCTGTTGTTGTGTGGTGGGGTGTCTGTCTCAATGGTCCGGCGACGGACAATTGCACAGCATGGCTTGGCCGAACACGCTGCTCCTGCCTGTGTGGTGAACCCTTTTCGCTGACACTACGTAGCTCGCTGTCGGCCATTGTCTCTAATGCGGTCTCTGACTCGACGATTGGTCTGGACACGACCTACTCGGCCGGTGCTCAGCCCACGGGTGTGTCGCGTGCTCCCGCAATCCCTACCGCCATCTCGTCGGCAAACTACCCGGCCCTCGATGTGACCCCCAGCGTCAACTCGACCGAGGTCCAGGCGTGGATCAAGGCGATCGACTGGAGCGCCGTGCCCACCTACTCGCAGACCACGGGCGAGTGTGCGGGATCCCCGTCTGCCCAGACCGACGGCCGCTGTTGGTGGACTTGCGGCGGCTGCACTCGCGAGACCGACATCAGCGAGTGCCCCGACAAGCTCACTTGGGGTCTCTCGTACGACGACGGACCTTCGCCCTACACCCCTCTCCTCCTCGACTACCTGAACGAAAAGGACCTTACTGCCACCTTCTTTGTTGTTGGCTCGCGTGTCGTCTCGCGCCCCGAAATGATCATCTCCGAGTACATGGCCGGCCACCAGATCTCGATCCACACCTGGGCTCACCCTGCTCTTACCACTCTTACCAACGAGCAGATTGTTGCCGAGCTCGGCTGGACCAAGAAGGCCATCTACGACGTCATTGGTGTGACCCCCAACACCTTCCGTCCCCCTTACGGTGACATTGACGACCGTGTCCGTGCCATTGCCGCTCAGATGGGTCTGACCCCTATCATGTGGACCAGGTCCTCGGGCACCACCTTTGACACCACCGACTGGAACATTCCCGGTGGCCTCGCTACCGGCGAGTCGGCCCTGTCCAAGTTTGAGACCATCCTCGAGACGTACGTCCCCAAGCTCGACACTGGCTTCATCGTCCTCGAGCACGACCTGTACCAGCAGACCGTCGACCTCGCCGTCGGCTACTTCCTGCCCCTCGCCGAGTCGCGCGGCTACAAGATGGAGTCGATCATCGACTGTCTCGGCCTCCCCCAGGCCGAGGCCTACATTGAGACCTCGTCCAACACCACCACCACCCTCATCACCTCGGACCCCGCCGGCTCGACCTTCTTCCAGCCCGTCGTCGGCACCCAGACCGGTGAGGCCGTCGTCGCCTCGACCGGCACCCTCGCCGGCTCGGGCGGCTCTGCCGGAGCCTCGGCCACGGCGTCGACCACCGCCGGCACCAAGAGCTCGGGTATCGCCCGCAGCGTCTCGGTCGCCGCCCTCGTCGGCGCCGTTCTCGGTGCCATTGCTCTTGCCTAAACTCCTAGAGCTTTAAACCCACAACCCCAACACACAAGCTAGGAACCTTCCCTCATTCACACACCCTCACATATCTATCTCTCTCCCTCTCTCTTTTCCTCCCTCTATTCATGATTTCGCTATGGACACTTTACATGACATCGGAGCCATGGGCGCACACGACTTAGACGTCTACATACACAGCTCTGTGCGCTGGAACCATCTCTTCGTCCATTCTTCCTCTGCCACTCGCCCCTATCCTATAAACACACGGGGGGCAACATCATCATCCCCTCGGATCCTAGCTAGTGTTTGCTCAATGCGATGCAAACCCTCCTTACACTCATCCAGTTGGGTCTGGCAGGACACAAAGTGCTGCCACTTATCTCAACTGCCGCAGCCGCCGCAGGCCGCAGGCCCAGGTCCCACAGAGATCAATCGGAGAGCAGATCCATCCGCAGCAGCGCAGTTGCGACAGACCGGCGTTTATCCTGTGCCAAGTCTCAATGTGTGGTATCCTGCAGGTGTTGGGGTATGGGGGTGGAAACGCCGGTGTGAAAGTGAGCGTATTATTTCACGGTTTCCGCGTTCCACGTTGCACGACGACTCCGCGGCTTGGCGGTTGGCGATGAGGCGAGATGAGGCGGACACGCGCTCGGGCCAGGTGTTGCTGCACGCTGGCAGCTGGCTCCCGGGGGGGGGGGGGGGGGGTAGTACCAGTACGCGCGCTCTCATGGATCTCTGTCTTGGGACGTCGGCATGTGCTGTACTTGCACCTAGGCTGGGCACTGCGGATCGCCAGCCTGCAGCCTGATTGGAGTGAAGTGCGCCTGCGCTCCAGCCACGCTCCTGCCACACGCTCTTGGTACGGGTGGCACGGTGGCACAGTGGCACAGGGGCATCCTTGGCATGTCAAAGCAAACGTCTTGGCTGCGGTTGTTACCCTCTCTCTAGATCTCTCTCCCTTTACTCTCCCCAATCGCGGCCAATTGAGCGTTGGGCAGTTGATTTTGATTTTCGGTCGCTTGGGCTTGGCTGTAGACGGGGGGGTCTGTGAACGCGCCGCCCCCCTCTCCCGCCTCTTCCCGGTCGCGGCAGCGCGAGACAAGACCGCGTCGCGTCGCGCAACTCGGAAAATGTCTCACTCCAGCTCGCGCGCTCGCTTTCGGTCACTCTATCCACTTCATCGTCGTCTAATGTAACTATCTTGCAAAGATTAATGGCTCTTTTGCCTCGGGTCTTACAGAACCGGGCCTACCCGGTCTTCCTTGGCCACACTTCGCCACTATGCTCGTGTGGCGCCAAGGAAACTCCCTAACACTTTCGTCGTTTCTTTCCCTCCTTTCATTTTAGGCTTCCGGGCTCCTCCTTTGTCTTGCGCACAGACACACTACACTCCTTTTAGAGAAGCTTGACGCCCGACGCGCTGGCCTTGCCGTCGGCGGCGACCTTGACGACGCCGGCCCAGTTGGGGCCCGTGCCCGTGGGGACCTTGACCTCGACGTCGGTCTCGAGCTGGTACGTGCGCAGCTCGAGGCCGACGGTGGCGTACTCGTAGTCGGGGACCGAGACGTCCTCGGGACCCACGAGGAGGGCCGTGTTGGGGCGGACAAAGACCGGGATGAGGTCGAGCGGGTAGTCGGTCTTGGTGACGTACTTGGGGCCCTCGATGACCTCGCCGGTCCAGTAGCAGGTCCACTTGCCGGCGGGGATGTAGAAGGACGCCTTGGAGCCGTGGAAGACGGGCGCGACAAGCAGCGAGTCGCCGAACATGTACTGGCGGTCGAGGTGGGCCGAGGTGGGGTCCTCGGGGAACTCGAGGATCATGGCGCGCATGAGCGGCAGACCCTCCTCGTGGGCCTTGACCGACTGGCCGTAGATGTAGGGCATGAGACGGAGCTTCTCGCGCACCATCTTGGCAGTGACGGTGACGGCCTCCTCGCCATAGTTCCACGGGACACGGTACGAGTTGGAGCCGTGCAGACGCGAGTGCGACGAGAAGAGGCCAAACGCGACCCAACGGCAGAAGAGGGCCGGGTCGGGGAGACCCTCAAAGCCTCCAATGTCGTGCGACCAGAAGGCAAAGCCGGACGCCGCGAGCGACAGACCGCCGCGCAGGGTCTCGGCCATGGCCTCGTAGGTCGACTCGCAGTCACCGCCCCAGTGGACGGGGAAGCGCTGGCCACCGGCAGTGGCCGAGCGCGCGAAGAGGGCGGCCTCGTGCTTGCCGTAAAAGTTCTGCACAGTCTCAAAGACACACTTGTTGTAGAGGTGGGCGTAAAAGTTGTGGGCCTTGTAAGGGTCCGAGCCGTCGTGGTACTGGACGTCGACAAAGGGGATACGCTCTCCAAAGTCGGTCTTGACAGTGTCGACACCCATCTTGAGGAGCTTGGTAACGAGACCAGCGTACCACTTCCAGGCGGCGGGGTTGGTAAAGTCAACCACGGCCATGCCAGGCTGCCACTCGTCCCACTGCCAGACGTCGCCGTTGGTGCGCTTGATAAAGTAGCCGTTCTCAACACCCTCCTTGAAGATGGACGCGCGCTGGGCAATGTAGGGGTTGATCCAGACGCAGACCTTGACGCCGTACTCCTTCTTGACGTCGGCGAGGTACTTGGCCGGGTCGGGGAAGCACTCGGGGTCAAAGTCAAACGAGCACCAGTCGTAGCGCTTCATCCAGAAGCAGTCGAGGTGCAGGACGCGGACGGGGCACTTGCGCTCCTTCATCTGCTTGAGGAAGCCCGACACAGTGTTCTGGTCGTACGAGGTGGTGAACGAGGTGGACAGGTACAGGCCGTACGTCCAGGCCGGGGGGAGGGCAGGCTGGCCCGTGAGGCGGACGTAGTTGGCAAGAGCGGCCTTCATCGAGCCACCACCAATGATAAAGTACTCGAGGCGCTCGCCCTTCACCGAGACACCAATCTTGGAGCACTTCTCGCGGCCAACCTCAAACTCGACCTCCTCGGTGTGGTTGACAAACATACCGTAGCCCTTGGACGACAGGTAGAAGGGAACGTTCTTGTACGTCTGCTCGGACGAGGTACCACCGTCCTGGTTCCAGATACCGACAACCTGGCCGTTCTTGACGAAGGGGCCAAAGCGCTCACCAAGACCGTAGATGGTCTCGCCGACAGACAAGGTGACCTCGCTCAGCATGTAGCGGACAAGGGCCTGCTGGCGGGTGACATCGTGGGCGGTGTGGTCGCGACGAACCATGGTCTCGGCCAGAGTGGCCATGCAGCTCGACTGGCTCTGCGAGCCGAGGGTAAGGTGCCAGGGGACATCGGCGACACCCTGGCCCTTGGGGTGGGAAGCACACAGGAACTCGTCGGTTCCAGAGGTCGCGTCACTGAAGGTAAGGCCGTACGAGTAGGCCGCAGTGTTGACGTCGACGCTCAGCGAGCCAGAGGTGAAACCGAGGTGGTCGGCCTTGTCCTTTGAGACCGAGGTCTTGGGGGCAGCAGGAGCACCGTCGGGGTAGAGCTCGTAGTGGGGGCCACGCTCGCGGATACCAATGTGGTGGTCAATGCGGACCTTGAGGACATCGTTGGCAGGCGACGAGATGTTGACAGTCAGCAGGGGGCCTGCAAGTCAGCGTTTGTTGCACGAGACAGTGCGAGAAAGGAGGTGCGAGAAGGGACATGAGCTGAGTTGCAAAGTCCATCCCAGCGGAGCAACTCCCACGGTCAAGCTACAGCAAGCACTTCCCGCCGTTGGAACTGCGCCTCTGCCCACTTCGCCAGCCGCCCGCTTCGCTCGCGACCGACGTTCGCAGCTGCCCACCCTCCTTTCGCACGTCTACTCACTGTTAAGGGTGTCACCACGGGTGGCGACGTGACGGGGAGCGACGATGAACTCGAGGCCCTGCTCGTTGGCCTGGAGCACCTCGACAACCTCGACACCGCCGATAAAGTTGACACCCGTAGGGCGGCGCCAGCTGGGTAACGTCAGCGCCAAATTCTTGCCTACAGCTCAGAGTTGGGGCTCTCAGCCCAGCGCCGAGCACTCCACGGGGAGCGCGCTCGCTGGATCTGACCGCCCCCGAGCCTCGAGGTATTGTACTAACAGTCCGTCGGTGAACTTCATGACGAAGAAGAAACGCTAAGTTTGGAGAGGAGAGGTAGGGGGAGAATGAGATTTCTCGAAAGTTGCCGAGTGGGAACGTTTGAAGCTTGCCGTTCCGACTTGTGCTTGCAACTGACTGTTCTGAAGCAGATGAGAGCGATGGAGAGATGAAAGTTGCGACTATAACGCTGTTCGCTATCCTGGACGTGCTGGTGCATGCGCCGCTCCATGGCTCGAGAGACGGCCCACTCGTGACCAGTGTGGACGGGGTCCGCGGGGGCCCTTGGACGCACCTTTAGGACACCGGCCATACACCGGTACACCGGTCGAAATGGACCGATCGCCGTCCTTTGCCGGGGACCATTCGGCGCTTTGCAGTGGCAGATTGGCTGCAACCACCGCCCAAACAGCCTGTTCGCATGCATCAACCCCCCGAAACGACGCCGAGAATGCGACATGATAATGCATGCGCACACTCCAAAGTCCGCGGCGCGATGTCCACGCACCGAGCTCGCACGCTGCAGAGAACATGTCGAAGAAAAATCGAGGCCTGGCCGCCACTGTTCGTTTTGGACGGCACCGGTGTTGCAGCGGAGGGCGACGTAAGACCGGTCCTTTTGCCCCCCCCACTATTGCATCCATTGGGGGCTGCGAAACACCGGCCACCGGGCCAGCGGCCAGCGTGGGCAACGCACGCGCCCCGGCCAGCGGCCAGGCCGTGCGGACGTCGCGGTTGCAGGACGGGGCGCGGGGCATCTTCGCAACAAGCGCGCCCCCCGTCGCCGGATATCGCGGGCCCCGTTTCCAAATCGCTCCTGCTGAACCCGAAGCCGGATCAAGGCGAACAGGTGGGCCAACCAACGGATACAGGTTGGAAGGCCACGCAGCCAAAAGTGGCATGGTCACAGTTGCTGTAGTGTGGCAATGAGTGTAGCCAGCGGCCCACCAAGCTGGGCAAGTACAATGAAGAGGGACTAGAGGGCGGGATCCCGTGGAGAGTTGCAAGTGGGCGCGCGATGACAGCGCCTTCCCCCTTCCTTGGTGTTGAACATCCCAGTGACCAGCCGAGCTACAACTGTCACAACTGTTATGCGTCCCGGCGGCATGTCCACTCCCGAACAATCTCGAGCACCCAGGTACGCACTCTCTCGCAGCAAGGGTGTGCGTCCACCTTGAAGATGGCATGTTCGGTGCTTTCCGCCAATCTCGCTCGCCCTGTCAGGACTGACGACAAAGCTAGTCCACTATCTCAGGCACCCACCGTGGTTTTAAGGTACTTTGTTAGGGAGTGTGTGGCATGATGCTCACTCAACTCCGGTTTCTCGTATGGTCCCTCGTAGGGCGGCGTTGTAGCGTCACGTGCGCGTGCTGGCTGTACACTGAGTTTGCTGTCGCCAACAGGAACGTCCTGTCCATGCTGCTACTGTAAACGCGCTGCTTCTTGTATCAAGTGGGGGCTAGGTTTCTACAATGGCTACTCATCGGATGACTGCGGTCGGGGAAAAGACTAGTTCAAGTACCATGTCAACATCGGCGGGCACGCCCCCAGGCTCAAGAGGCACAGCGTTGGCGTTGGTTTGGAATCAGATACGAATTATCAGAGATGAACGATAAGAGATGAAAGCCCTTGGGACACTGGTGTTGTGTTCGACCATGACTAGGTCCGAGTTCACGAGGCCGCAGCCGACTCCCCTCCCCTTCAGCCAACCGTCTCTTGGCGTCCTGCACTTGGCACATGTCGTAAACAGTAACAAGTTAGGGCGATAACTACATGGTGAAAATGGTCCGGGAAGGCTTTCTTTTTTTCTTAAAAATAAATAAATCATAAAGAAAGGCATCTAGACAGTATATTGCAGTTGAGGGCAGATGGCACGCCTCGTGCAGTAGCCTCTTCGCAGCCATGGCCCCTCCGACCTGCACACGGAAACGTTAGCATGGGGCTCTGAGTCTAGCACCTGGCTGTGCAAGCACCGCGACCCACAAATAATATAGCTATGTACCGCTCGTTGCCTTTCCAGTTAAACAACTGTTTATTACCGTCACACCTTTTAAGCCCATCGCTGGTGTTCAAATCAAGCTCTGCAGCTTGACGGAGTAAAGAACAAATTCAGAAGTCATACATGTGTCCAATTGGTGTTGATGGGGACACAGAGAGCAATCGCAGCCGCCAATCATTGTCCAAAGACGAAGGAATGTATTCCAACATTCAACGTTAAGGGGTTCACCCAGACGTGCACAAACTCCTTGCATGCAAGTCGGCAATATTATGGACGCTGCGAGGAGACAGCCAAAGGGTTCGCAAGTCTTCTTGGTACATGACATGTTGTCAGAGGTGCATGCAGGGAACAACGGACGAGAGTCGGTGGAGCCTATAATGAGAAACATAATTTCATTAGAGTCTGTGTAGAACAACTAATACCTCCTGTGAAATTAAGTTTTAGTTTCATATGCTTGTAAAATTTGTATAGGGGTTGTGTCGCCAGTCCTAATTGTCGGGCTATTCCTGCAGAAACGGGCCGCAATCGACACCAGTTCCGCCCAACTGACGGCGCTTGGGCCCGAGATACAGAGGGATACCGGTTCTCCGGCGGATCTTCGCTCCAAACGGCGCCCCCCGTCGCCAGCCGCCGCCAGATATCGCGGGCCCCGCTCCTACCTCAACCGCACGGTACAGCGCGGCAGTGCTACCAGGTGGTGCTTCTGCATTGTTCCTTCCCAGGGCAACATGCTCCGCTTCCGTCCCCTCGTGGCCCCCGTGTCGAGCCTCGTATGCCTCACGAGGCGGACTCGGCGTTGGGCACCTCAGCTGACATGCCGGTCATGACCGGCCCCCAGAGGCACGCGGGGACCCGACCCCAGCGCCACTTCCCAATAGAGATTATTCGGCTCGCTTTTTTCGTCAAACCCATCCTTCGTCCACCCGCACTGGCTTACCGCAACACCAACGCGGCGCTCGACAAGACCGGTCCATACCACAAGCCCTCGCAGCCTACAGTGCGAAGAGGCTACGAGTCGGTAAGATCTCGCTGCTATGGCGGCTGGCTGACTTCAGCCGCAGGGAGTCACAACTTCCATACACAGGTACACAGAAGTCCAAAATCCGCAAAGCCGAGAGACGAACAACTGCCGGTTTTGCTCGTTTCAAGGAGGCGCTGATCTTGATTGTTCGTTGACATCGGATATCCGCCGCGATTGCGGCGAAAAGGCCACACACCACACCACCCGCCTCCGAGCACGGCACGGAGTCGAGCACACGCGGGCAGGCCCGCGCCGGCGAGCCCGCGAGGATACCCGCCGTAGTCGCATGTTGGTTTAAGGTGCTGCGCCTCCGGGTCTCATCAGGCTGTATAAGAAGAAGCGGGGTCTGCGGAGGACCATTGTTGCCCCACTACCTATCGCTATCGACCAAGTGGCCCCCATCGACGACCACTCTTGTCCAGCAAAGTCCGCCATCGGCACTCCGACGCCGACGCCACCTCCCCTCCACCCCCGCGTGATCCCCGCAGCCTCAGCTTGAGCGCGCAGTCTCAGCCGACTCGGTCCTTGCCGCTTTTTCACTTACCTCCACCTCTCTCGCCACCATGTCTGCCGACTATGCGGTTGAGAAGAACGTCGTTGTCGATGACAGCGGCGTCAACGAGCGCATGGACAAGGCCGTCCTTCGCGAGGCCGCTGCCGCCGACGAGGCCGAGCACAAGATGACCATTGCCCAGGGCTGGAAGTCGCACAGGAAGGTAAATAGACTCTTGGCGAGGCCTTTGAACTGACGGAACAGGCCATCCTCTGGTCCATGGCGCTTTCGGCTGCCCTCATCATGGAAGGTTACGATGTCGTGAGTAGCTCAAAACCGCAATGCAGCCAGCACAGCGGTTATGGGATCGACACGTGCATCCCGGCAACCACAAGTGTACCGTTCTAACAATCCCAGGTCGTCATCGGTTCCTTCTACGGTCACCCTGCCTTCGTGAGTGATGCCAAGCCATAACATCAGAATTCCATAAACTGACGCCTCCCAGCTTAAGCGTTTCGGTGAGTCGAAAGACAAGATGGCGTGTGTATGGCTGCTTGTATCTCGGTATTTTCCGACAAGTGGTCGCACTGCATTCCAGCGACCGTGCTGTCACTAACTGTTTTACAGGCAAGGTGGACCCCACCAACGTGAACGGTTACTCCATCCCTTCCGAGTGGCAGTCGGCTCTTTCGAACGGTTCTTCGGCCGGTGGTATCATTGGTCTCATGATTAACGGTTGGGCTGCCGACCGCTACGGTCCCCGCATTGTCATGATGGTCGCCACTGTCGCCCTTACCGCCTTCATCTTCCTCTTTGTCTTTGCCAACTCGCTCGGAATGCTCGTCGCTGCCGAAGTCGTGAGTGGTCAACGGCGGCGCTCGCCATGGGGAACGGCTCCGTTACTGACCCATACAGTGCTGTGGTCTGCCATGGGGTGTCTTCCAGACCTTGACAACTGCCTACGCCTCGGAGGTGTGCCCTATTCAGCTCCGTGGCTACCTGACTGCCGTAAGTTGTCTCTTAAACGTTGACGAGAAACACCGCTGACTCTTCAGTACGTCAACGCCTGCTGGGGTATCGGTATCCTTCTCTCGTCCGGTGTGGTCAAGGCCAGTCTCACGATCGAGTCCCAGTGGTCGTGGCGCATGCCTTTCCTCATCCAATGGGTGTGGGTCATCCCTCTTTTCATCATCGTCTACTTTTCGCCCCAGTCCCCCTGGTGGCTCGTTCGCCACGAGCGCCTGGACGAGGCCCAGGCCGCCCTTCGTCGCCTCACCAACCCCGAGGTTGTTTCCGAGGACGACCTCAGGAACACTGTTGCTATGATGGTCCACACCAACGAGATTGAGCGCGCCATCGAGGAGGGTACCACCTACATCGAGTGCTTCAAGGGTCTCGACCGCCGCCGTACTGAGATTTCGATGATGGTCTTCGCCATGCAGCTCCTCTCGGGTCAGAACCTTATCGGCCAGGGTGTTCAGTTCCTCCAGAAGGCCGGTATCTCCACCAACCTCTCGTTCTCGCTCAACATGATTCTCAACTCCATGTTCATCATCGGTACCATGGCTTCGTGGGTCCTCATCACCTGGATCGGTCGTCGCACCCTGTACTTCTACGGCATGGGTCTCATGTCGGTCGTGCTCTTCGTCATTGGCGGTCTCGGATGGACCTCGGACCACTCCACCTTTGAGGAGGACGGCACGACCTACATCTTCAAGGACGGCAAGTTCATCAGCACCACCTACGCCATTGGTTCGCTCCTCATCATGCTCAACTTTGTGTACAACGCCACCCTCGGCCCCATCTGCTACACGCTCATCGGCGAGATCTCGTCCACTCGTCTGCGCCAGAAGTCGATCGCCCTCTCGCGTATTGCCTACCAGGTCATGAACATTGTCTGTGGTATCATTGTGCCCCGCATGCTCAACGACTGGAACTGGGGTCCCAAGTCGGGTATCTTCTGGGGTGTTTCGGCTGGTCTCTGCACTGCCTACATCTGGCTCCGTCTGCCCGAGACCCGCGGCCGCTCTTACGGTGAGCTCGACCTGCTGTTCGAGCACAAGGTCCCTGCCTGGAAGTTCGCCAAGACCAAGGTCAACCAGTTCGCGGCCGAGACCGACCACAAGGTCGAGAGCTCGCACCACGACCACGTCGACGAGAAGACCGAGCAGATCTAGGTGCTGCTTGCGTAGGGCTGAGAAAAGGGAAGAAAGTGTTTAGTGTGTGTGTATACGGGGCTATCGCCAGGGGATGAGCAAGGGTTCAATATGATTTAATGAATGTGTGATGTCCTGCACCGACCATGGTTCTGGACCTCTTCTCCGGATCTCTGGGCACAGTAAAAACATGAAACTTAGTGCTGGAGCAGGGATGGCCTTGAATTGTGTCTACCTTTTTATGAACTGTACCAAGCCATGGGAATGAGTAACAGTCGCTTTAATCAACTTGTCGCAGGACAGTTAATTTTCTAAAACCATAACAAATGTCCATGCACAGGTTTCTGCTGCTTACCCAAGTGTGAGGGTGTTCCGCGTGAAACTGAATCAAGGCCAAGCTCATGGAGTGTGGTGCATGTGGCGCTGCTTTGTGTTGGCGTTGCAGGGAGGCACTCTATCCCGAGGATCGGCAAGTCACCACTGCAAGGTCAACTCAGCGACACGCTCATCAACCAGTACGGTTCTGAACTGGCACCGCGGCGAAGGGCACAAGTCACAGTGGACACGTTGCCAATTGGAATGCCACGATCGCACCTTTGGTGATTTGCTACTGACATCGGTCAGCCTGCAGTCATGTAGATGTTCCGCGCTCCCACCCTCGGGTCAGTGTTCCTATGCACCAACTTGGTACTGCCACCTGCCAGCTGGGCCCCAGATACGTTGTCAAAAGCGAATTGCGTTCGTCTACTACCTGTAATGCTATATTCGACATGTGTACAACATGTGTCGTCGTCGGTCGGTCGCGGCGCTTAGCGCCGCGTTCCATCGTCCCTTCCTTCACACAAGTGTGCGGTTAAAGCGAGAGGCTCGCTCCACACACAGCATGTGCGCCTCGGCCCGTGTCTCCACCAGTTCCCTCCTGCTTCTCCGGCAACCAACTCTGCTGGTACCCTGTACCACAGCGACCCCCACTCGCCGCGCTCACACCGCCCTTGCTCTTCCAGAGGGCATTTACACCTCCAGAATACCCATCTCCCTCCACCTCTCAGCGAGCTCGGCAACGCCCTGACCCATACCCTGTGGGGTCATGAGGTCCTTCATAACCAGGAGGTCAAACTCCTTGCCGAACGCCAGGAAGTGGGCGAACAGCGAGTTGAAGTGTGCCTCGACCGAGAGGTGGACCACCTGCTCAAAGTGGGCGTGGTAGAGGTGCGCAAACACGCGGAAAAGGTGCTTGTAAATGTGTTTCGCAGTGTATGCGAATGAGGTAGGGAAGTCGCGACCTGGGACGTGTTAGTGGCCGTTGTATCAAGTGAGAGGGAGCAGCTGGTTCTCCGCAAAATGAGAGACCAGATTCTCCTCGTAGGACACTCACCCGACTTTGTGGGGAAGACATTCTCATCCTCGAGCAACTTCTGGAGCCAGCTCATGACAAAGTCGATGTACGTAGGTGCCGGCAGCGATACAAGACGCTGGTTCTGGTCTGGCCAAAGAAAGTTGAGCCTGGACAGTTAGCGCTCAATACGTATTATGCAGTCACGGGCCGGCCGACAGTCAAGAGTGAAACAGACGCCACTTCCGTGCCCGTCTCATCACTCAAGATGCCACTCCGCCTCAGCCCCACTCACGAAGGCCCTGCCGACATGGTCGGGCAATGCTGAATAGTACAGAACTCGGTGAGGGCAGAGTAAAAGTGGTTCAAGTTGTGGTAAAAGTCGAACACTGGAATCGTCAGCATCGATCATTGCGAGGGACCATATAGGTCCCGAGTCGAAGGTACGCGCACGGCCCGACGATGGGCCCCAGGTGCTATTCTCTCGCCCTTTCCACGCAGCACCGGTGACAGATGAAGTATACTCACGGTTGATAGCGACCCACTCGTTGACGTCGACGTACTTTGGAGGCGCGACGATGGTCTTGAAGCTGCCCTTCACGAGAGCTGCCTTGACGAACGGCTGGCAGAGGAAGAGCGGCTTGGGTCCTGGGCTACCGGGAGACTGAGCGAGCTCGGCGCCGGGCGAGACGAGGGGGGCATCGTACGCGCCAGTCTGTCCCAGCTGTGTGGGGATGGGGGAGCGCTTGGGCGCACGCAGGCGGCTGGAAGCAAGTTAGCACTGTGTGCACGACGGGAGCTGCGGGGAGGTGAGGCAGACAGGTGGACGCGACTGCACAGAGAGCTGGCACAGGGAAACCAGCAGCTCCCTAATAGCCATTGAGGCGACGAGAGAAAGTAACGTACCCGATGGAGTTGAGGAAGCCGGACATGGAGTGCTGGTTGATGTCTTGGAGAGAGGGAAGAGCAGCAGCAAGAGTCGAGACGGGTCGCTTGGTCCCAAAGTGTGCCAGATTATGGAACACACCCCCTAACGTCGACGAGGCGCGTGCAGGCACGCGCCGTCCACGCGATCGCAACAATGACGTGTGAAAAAACGAGAGTTGATGGCTTCTTGTCACCATCTATTACCGCTCCAGCAGTGTCGACGGTCTCATTGCCAGAGAGCACGGTCAAGTGCCATGGCGAGCAAGTTGTCTGTCTCGTGACCATCCTCGACACCCCTCTCTTCACTCCCAACAAAGGCGTCCCGTCCGTACGGGATCCGCCGACATGGTCTACCTCAAGACCTGGACACAGTTCGAGAGCGTGGGTTTACGAAAACACCGAGTTTCAGCACTGACCTGTACAGGAAACTATCAACTTGTATAACCAGTCACCACGGAAAGTGAGCACACGAGAGGGTGGCAAACAAGGACTTTGGGTTCCAGCAACATGGTTGTGGTGTAAATGTCCACGTTTAGCGACTACGACTATGTCGTTCGTCAACCAGAGCTGCTGGGTCTTGCCTGCCCTTTCTCCACGCGCCGTACCTCCCCCCTCTTTACTGACCCAACAGACGCGCTATGTGGTCAAGTTCGTCCCCAAGACGGGTGAGCTGGTGCTCAAGGTGACGGACAGCACGACAGTGAGCATCTCATCTCTACGTCTTACGTGTCCCGCTGACCGTCTCCCAGTGTTTGAAGTACAAGACATTCAGCGCCATCATCCTCAACCGCTTCGAAGCCCTCAACCTCCGCCTTCTCTCGACCATGGGCAACGTGCGCCGCCGGCCCGTCCTTACCGGTTCCCCCACTGGCGGAAGCAGCGCGGCGACTCCTGCAGCTGTCGAGGGTGATGACCCGATGCTCGGCGTCGGCAAGAGCAGCACTCCAGCGAGCCCCAAGCCTCAGGCTAATACCCCTCAGGCCGCTGGCAAGGCTGGAGGAAAGAAGAAGAAGGGCAAGAAGTAGGCATGCATATATTGTAGGGTTCGCTGGCATGCAGTATATGAGCTGCAGCTGCGGTGTGTGTGTGTGTGTGTGTGTGTGTGTGTGTGTGTGTGTGTGTGCAGTGGTTATACCGTTAGACGACGGCTACATGTTACACGGCCGGCGGCAGCGACCTGTCAGTCGTGCTGGAGCTGTCATGAGGGATGGTCCTGTTGCTCCCTGAGCACGGCCTCTTTTGCGCTATTGTATTGATGTATCTTAATGCGTCTGCAGTGTCAGCCGTGCAATCCTGTGACTTGATCCACAGCTGCCCACATTGTAGCGTCTCACTACTTGTCTCCGGGGATGGGGCGTGCCATGGTCGCGTACTCGTCCACCGCGGCTTTGACTTGCTCGGCAGAAGCACGAATTGCCTCGACCCGCTTGCCATCATAGTCCTCGCCTGTAGCCCCAATCTGCGCGGGCTCAAGCTCGAAAGCGTGTGTCTTCATCTCGGACACATACGCGCGAGAAAGAGACACGCTCGCCTCAACGTTGGTCTTGGCCGGGTCCAAGGCGCGGAGCTGGTCGGCAGCGGACGGCGACGCCGGGGGAGGCTGGGATGTAGGGTCGATGAGCTTCTGAAGGACCGAAGAGGGCAGTGACGAGAGCGCATCGAGGTCTGATTGCAGTGCCGAAGCCATCGTGTCAGTGTGGGTCGTGGTGGGTCGTGGACGGAACAAGCGAAGGTGGACTGGGCGATGGTGAAAGTGAGGTCATTACGGAGGCAGATTAAACCAAGTCAACACTTCCAAAATCAAGATCGCCCTGTTGCCATTCCAATCAACGACACCCGTGGAATGTGGCCTAGCAACCGCAACAGGATGGATTCAGAGCTCATAGTTGGTCGTTACATAAAAGGTTCACAACAAGGTCTACTTCTCCACATGTCACGCAGGCGTGCCGTCGGTCTCATCAATCACATTCTCAGGCGGGACGTCGTCTCCGACGGCGGCCCGAAAGTCGACCACTGACGGATCGAGGGGTGGCCGGCTCTCCTCCTCTGCCTCAGGGTGCTCTGCACGCTCCTTGGCAGCAGCCTCCTCTTGCTCGGCGCCAGCCTCAAGCTCCTCCACAGTGAGACTGTGACGGTGCTGCGCGCCAAGGATGGGAGACTTCTCCTCGTGAGCAGGAGTATGGTCAGGCACCTCCTCTGCTGCCGCCGCCTCTTCGGCGATGCCGAGCATCTCGCGCAACGCCTTGTTCTCGTCCTCGAGACGCTGAATCTCCATCTCACGCTCCATGGCCCAGTCACTTTGACCTTCAGTGCCATAGTATCCTCCCGAGCTGCCAGGAATGAAGCCTGGAAACTGGTTCCGGCGGGTTGGTCCGCGGTGAACGCCACGCTGGCTTGTATCCGGCCGTGTTGGTGAAGACGGCGAGTGAGGTGATGAGCTGGCGGGCGAGGACGAGTGGACTTGATCATCGACGATTTGCAACTGCGCGAGTGCGTCGCTGTCGGAGTCTTCTCCATTGAGAGAACGCATCGCGGAACGGAGGAGAGTCGATAACCTGGTGAGTAGGAGGGAGAGGGAGGTGTCGTCGTGCAGTTGGGCCGAAGAATGGGCTGTCTGGAGAGACTGGAGAAGCTGGCTGTAGTACGAGTGCAGCGCGAGATCGTGTTGTTGAGATGCGTGCTAGGAGGTCAGAGAAAGAGAAGAAATGAAGACAATCTACTCACGGCTACACCGCGGAACTTGCCCATCACCGTCTCCAATGTTTGCTCGTACTCCTTGAGGAGAGCATTCAACTGCTTGTTCTCATGCTGGAGGCCCTGGTTCTCGAGGACAAGGTGCGATGCAAAGGACTCAAGCTCAGTTTGGAACACCTCTGTTGCGTTAGCGCGGGGATCGTCCTCACAAACTCACCATCCGAGATATCGAGGTTGAATCGCCGTAAAGGGAATCCGGCACCGACGTGAACAGACTGCCCCTTCACCAGTGTCAGCAAGGCTCGTAATGGATATGATGTGAACCCACTTTGACGTTGTCTGTACGGGCCTTGAGCTGGGTCACGAGAGCACGGTTGTTGGCCAGTTGCTCTAGGTCAAGTCAGCTTTGATCGGGATAGGCAAACTTACCTGACAACTCGTTGACCAGGCCCCAAACTTTCATGAGCTCCTCGTCGTAGTCTATCATCTGGTGGGACATGGTTGGTGGATGATGGTCACTACGGGGGGGTCAATCATATGGTCATGGCATGCCGAGTCTCAACCTGACGCGACCCGAGCGGAACCAAATTGTTGCCGCCCAGCCCTGTGACGCGTAGTTGAGTGGACTGTTGACAACATGAACATTCAGAACATTCCTTTCCTCCTCACCACAACTCGCATATCGTACCTACTCGCCAGTTTGCCAACCCTCTTGCCAAGCGAAAGACTACACAACCTCGACTGCTACACACTACTATCAGACCTGTCGGACGAGTAACTTGCCCGTACCGAGCTGAGGCACCATGAACTCGGCGGTGCCCGGCCTGGCAAGGGCGCTCAAGCGCTACGACTCCGACAAGGTCCGCGAACGTGCGGACGGCGCTACAGAGCTTCGCGAGATATTCAGCAACCGCGAGAACATCGACATATTTCACACCGAGGCTGAATCCAATGGCGGCTCGCCCTGGGTCCTCTTCTTCCAGGTCCTCTTCCAGGTCGTCGTTCTGGAGAAGCAAGCCGCCACCAAAACCTCAACAGGTACGTCGACCGTTTCCGGTGGACTGTGGACTGTGCTAACTGAGCAGCTGAGCGGCGACTCTCCGACGCAGCCTCCCTGGTTCGTTTTATGGCGGAGCGCACCGTCCACCTCCTGAGCAAAAGGGCCTTTGTCGCCCTATTCACCCACCTGATCACCCTTTTCGCCCACAATGGCCGCCCATTCGAGCCAGTGGCAGTAGACTATGCCAAGGCGCTCCGTACTCTCCTCTCTTTCAAGCCCCACCTCGAGCACCTGGACCGTACAAGCTGGGGCAAGATCATGGGTGTGTGCTGGGGAGTGGCCCTCGGCGATCGTGTCTCGATCGACGACGAGTGGCCAGACGAGGATCACGTTAGCTTCACCGAGCAAGGCGGCCCAACGAGCCAACCTACCTCTAAGACCAACACCACCTTGCGCTCAGTCGCCAATGAGATCATTGCTCTTATCCCCATCCTTCTCTCGAGTTCAAACGCACCCCTCGTTCCGCGTGCTCAACCCTTGCACCAGCAAGATCCAGTCGATCTCGCTCTGGGCTACTATATCCTCCTCAAGGTCCACCGCTACCTGGCACACCAGCCTTTCAATTCTGTTATCCCTCTTGACATCCTGCGGTCTCTCAACCTCGTGCTCACCGAGCTCGAGCTCAACTGCAAGGACCACTTCACCGCGGCTTCCCTCAAGATCTTTCCGCAGCTCGTCGCCATCTGGACAGCAAAGGGCAAGAACGATCTGAGGGTCCGGGAGCATGTCCTCATTGCGATGCGCATGATGCTCCCATATATCACCCACTCGTCTGTCAGCGAACAAGCGGACCAGGAGGTGACAGGAGACTCCACCAGAGACTCCATGATCAAGATTATCGACGCTGTCGGCAAGGACGCCGCTGGTCCAAAAGGCGTCATTCGCCCTGTCGAGCTGGAAACGCTGCGTTTCACCTCCGGGCCATGCAAGCGATCGAACGACGAGGACGCTCCTCCGTTTGAGTTGACCGCCGTGGCAGTGAGTTGAGAAGCGGTTTCACCCACTGACTTCCTTCAGGCCGGTTTTGGATTCGACGCGTCCCAGGCCCTCAACTGGGTAGCCATCAGCCTGTATGCGGATTGTTGCTTCCTGGTGAGTTGGTACGCAAAGGTCCTAAATCTAACTCTCAGACGAGCGACACCAAAGCATCCCCTTCTTCCTCGACAGTTGCCAATCACCCCCAAGTCCAAAAGAGGCAACGCACTGAGACCTCGCTCCAAAAGGTCATGGCACTGACGACTACGGGCCCGATTCAAACACGCTTGCTCGCGCTTCAGGTACTCGTTTTCGTTATCGACAAGTACTGGGCCAAGATTCGCGACGACAACAAACAATCGATTCTTCACAAGCTTGTCGAGCTCCTCGACGATGACGACGCTGCCATTCAGTCTTGGAGCTTTGTGGGCATATCGTGTCTCGCCGTCCTGGACAATGCCCCTACTGAACAGACATCGTGGGAGCGCGCGTGGACCTACGCCATTCGCAAGACAACTGTAACCCCAGTCTCGCGTGCGGCGTGTCACACTGTACATGCGATCCGTATCGCCAATAAGGTCGACCACGCTCGATGCGTCCGTGACGTGCACACCCTTCTCACGAATATTAACATTCAAGGACCGGCAACTGTGTCCGAGTCATCGTGCGCGCTCCTCATCGACTGCTTGGCTTTGGTTCGCGCCGACGCCGGACTCTACGATGCCCAATTGGAAGTCAAGGTCATGGGATGGTTTGACAAGACCTTTGCTCTCGAAGGTGCTGGTCGCACGGGTCCTCGCATGGGGTCGGGCACCCCCGCAAACCACCTGGCTTTGCTTTGTTCCATTGTGGCATTCCCCCAGACTCCCATCGCCGACGCCTCGGTTTTGGAGAACCTTCCCGACTGTCCTGTCGTCGACCGTATCCTCCACGAAGCGAAGACCATGGGCCTGCGAGGTTTCATCCTGAACGGCACAATCCCACCCGCTGTGGAGAGTTCAGACACGCCTTTGTCGTCGCAATCCAAGTCACCAAACGGCATCGAGTCGCTGGGCGTCCTGGATCAGGGGCCTCGCAGGCTTTCCAACATCTTGAACTCGGAGATCGCCCAAGCGGCAAGGGAATGGATGGAGGTCGGCCGTGTTACTCCGGAAAGACTCCGCAAGACTATTGACCTGGTCGTCCTCGTGTTCGCCTTCCAAGCAGTCTTGCAAGCGAACGGGATCAGTCCCGACACTGAACATGGTCTTGTGCCCGCAGCTGAACTGCTGGAGAAGGCCATCATCCCCCGCCTGCGCAACTTGTCCGACAATGCGCCTGCCCAGCTCTTGGTGTGGCGCGGTTTCATGCCATTGTACTATACCGCCTCGCCACAATCCAACACTTGGCCACTGCTTTTGCGGCCAGATGCCGCCTCTGGTATCCGTCGAGACTACCTTCCCGAGCGGCAGTACGCGACTCACGAGCCCGAGGAAGATGCGTCATCCAACAACAGCGTCTTGGCGATCATTTGGAGGACGCCACAAGTAAGTTGACCTGTTCTCTTCTGCGCTAACTGTGCAGCTGAAGGGGGTGTTGGATAAACTGCTCGACGCCAGCAAGGGTGCGCTCAAGGGTGTGCTCAGTAATTCACGTGGATACGAGAGTGACGCTGCCATCACCGTGGATGACGACGACTTTGGCCCCATCGTCAGCACGGATATGGACAACATGTCACAGTCCTTGGAGGCGCAGCAGGCCCAACAGTCTACAACGTTGCTGCTCAAGACCTTTGTCGACATTCGACTCTGCGGGCCCCGTCTGAAGACTCTTGATTATCGACCAACAAAGGACGTCGATCTTGTTAACAAGTTTGTCGCCAGCGAAGGCGAACTACTTCACCAACTCGGTTTTGTCATCTGCGACGCCATTCATGAAGGTAGCTTCCGCTTGACTTTCGAGATCGTTGACTGTATCCTGGCGGAGCTAAAGGATCGCCTCATGTCCTACGCCTACCAGCGTAGTCCGGAAGTGACGCGTCTAGTCATCACGTTTCTCGCTCGCTCGGTGCACATTTGGCTTGCCCCCAACAGTGGCCTCTCCGAAACGGCAATGTCCATGGTCAAGCTGATGGTCTGGTATGCTGAGCACGACCGCCTGATGGCGTGGCAAGCACGACTTCAGCTGCTTCTTCTCATCGACCAGTACGTCGACTATGACCCAAGCTTTGACCTGTGGTTCCAGGTTACCGATTCCGAGCAAGTCGACCTTATGATGGACGGCACCCATGACGACCGCGGACCGATGGACTTTGTCCTCAAGTCAACGAACGATTCCGACATTCGCGTCCGATTCCGCGCTGCGTCGTCTGCCGCAAGCATCCACTACCTTTCCCACCTGTCAGGCAACGTCAAGGACGGTGCCTACTATGATGTCTTGACGGCGCAGAGCAACGTGGCGCCATCATGGGACCGCTGTCTGACGGACCTCCTCTGGAAGCTCAACACATGTTTGGCCAGTGCCCATCTTCGCACCGCAGCCCTGTATCACCTGTACGAGGTCGCCACTCACCAAGCGCACTTCACCTCCCATCTCGAGCATGGTCTTCAGGCAGTTGCTTTGCGCCTTGGTTTCGACTCGATCAGGCCAATGTATGTCGCACACGCAAACATGGTTGTCACCGCCCAGATCAACAACCGTCAAGACCCTATGGGCATCCCGCCAGCCCTGTACGGATGTTCCCGTCTCCAGGAGTTTGCCGAAATCTGCCTTGAAGTCGTTGGCCCCAAGCTCCTCGTGGACAATCGTATGAAGTTCTTCAATTCACTGTGTAAGACGGCCAACGTTCAGAAGGATCAGGCTTTGAGGCGTTACTTTCCCACCGCCGCGGCATACGCCGTTCCACTCGGCCTGTCAGCACTCACCGGCAACCCATCCGATGAGGCAATCACCCAACAGGCGCAGGCTGCCCTCAACGAGCTTCCTCTACCGACCGATTCCGCCAAAGTTACCAGTACCACGATGGTTACTTCGAACATTGCGTCTATTGTGGCCCATCTGATGAGCCTGGTAGACTTTGATGCCTCAAACGAAATGGTCGTGTTGGCCCTCAACTCAGTCCACCCGACTGCCGGTCATACGTTTGGCAGTCTGATGGCCGAGCACGTCGCGCCGCTTGATCCACCACCTGTGCTTGAGCCTCATGTGCCCCTGGACGCTGTGCTGCGCGCCAATATCTTCTTCCGCCCCAACCTGGGCGAGAATGAGCCGTCAATGGTGTTTGACGCACTCATTCACTTGTTCAACGCCATCAACCAGGCATACCTCGTCAACGAACAACTGCGGTATCTTCGCTCGGTCGGTTTGCTTGCCGCCCTGTATCCGGAGCAATTCACCAACCGCCTCATTCTCCAGCAGTTCCTTCACAACGTGATTGAACTGCTGGCCCAAGACGACATTGGCAGTGTGGCACAGTCCATGCTCGAGTGGGGCTTCGAGCAGCTTTTGGCAGCGGAGGCCGCGCCTGTCAAGGGGACCACGCCTGTCAACAAGACCACGCCTGTCATCAAGACCACGCCTGTCGAAGAGACCACGCCAGTCGAGGAGACTGCACCTGTCGAGGAGACCGCGCCTGTCGTCCTCACAAACTTGCTGATCAGCCTGGGCAACATTTACCCCAAATTGCAGCACAGCGAGATGCTCAAGCCAGTTGCGATCCGCCTCAATATGTGGATCAAGGCCATTGCAGAGACGAAGGGGTGGAAGGACACGCCGATCCAAGCTGCACTCAAGGTGGCCCTTATCTTCTGGCCCAAACAGTGGACGGCTCACTTCCGTGACAAATCGGACCCCACTTGCACCGACATTGCCACGATGGCCGAGGACCCAAGAATGCAAGACCCGATGACTCTATGCCGCTACCTCGTGGATGCGTTCAAAGACAGTGGCGGGGACAGCAAGGATCTGTTCCTTTCGTCCACGTTTTGGTTTATCAAGAAGGCCCTTACTGCGTCAAACTGGAATCACGATGGGGCCGTGGCGTTCCTCGACCTCCTGTATATGGCCAGTGGCAACGTTCACGCTCCATCCATGGACACTATCGATCGGCTCACGGGGCAAGACCAATGGTCCGACTTGGTCAAGCAATTTAGGCAATGCCCTGATGTTGCAATTCGTATTGCCATTCTCAGCAAAGTGGCCGAGCAGACGACTTCGGATGACTATCGTCAGCGCACTACGGCGTTTGAGGTACTCCGCAAGACCAAGCCCCTCGTCTCGAAGCTTTTGGGGAGCTCGGAGCCATCGGAGAGCTCGGAGGAACCGGGGAGTACAACCGTCATGCCGCAGCACCTCTGTGACCTGATATCGCTGCTCGCCCCCACGACCTCCGTTGACACGACCCATAAACCCATTATCAAGGCTCTGCTTGACAAGTCGGCCGGTTGGGTGTCCAAGTCGAGCTCACCCCGCGTCTGGGCCAACGACCTCGCCCTGCTCCTCAGTGCTTTGGCGGCACAGGAAGATCTCATCTACGCCTGTCTTAGGCCGCTCCTCTTGTCCCAGAGCCATGCTGCGATCGAATTCTTGCCTCTCCTCGTTCAAGCTGTCCTGACCTGCGGAGCCCAAAAGTGCCCAGATGCCAAGGCCCACAGGCAGTACTCTGCGACCCTCTCGACCCACTTCTCCGAGGTTCTGCAGTACCCAAGTGCGGCCACTGAGGCGCTCGAGACGATCATCATGATCAACCAACACCTGCGAAACTCGGTTCCGTCCTACGTTGTCGGCCCATTGGCGCGCAACCACTGGCTGAGCATTGATCCGCTTTTGCTGAGTGCCGCTGCAGGCAAGTGTGGCGCGTTCGCAAGTTCACTCCTTTACCTGGAAATGGCCAAGGATCGTGACGATCCAAGGGGACGTCCAGACCTGGAGTTGTCTGACCATCGCATCCAAAAGGTGAGTTTGCTTTTCTTTGCCTGAACACTAACCCAGTAGATCATGTACGACATCTACAGCAACGTCGAGGACCCCGATGCTTTCTACGCCATTCAGAACAGCGACGTCATGGACTCGTTGTTGCGTCAGTTGAACCACGAAGGCCAACCGATCAACGCACTGGGGTACAACCTTGCAGGATACGAGGCGACCCCTTCGGACAGACGTCGCCAACAACGTTTTGCCTTGGCTCACAACCTGCACGACCTGGGAGCCAACAAACTCGCATATGACCTCATGAAGAAGTCCAGGGGCGACACAGAGGCCGACAAGGACTCTGAAGCCTTGACACTCGAGTTGGCATGGCGTTTGTCAGACTGGGACGTCCCGCTGTCTCGTGACCAAGAAGCCACACCGAATGGACGGTTCTACGCGGCTCTTCGTGCCGTCCACCGCGAGCGGGACCGTGAAGTGGCTCTCAGCGTAATTGATTCCACGATCAAGGACGAGATGATCCACCTGCAGCAGATTGGCGTGGAACGCATGACTGAGATCAAGCAGACTGCGGCCAGCCTTGTGTGCCTCCGCGACGTGGCGCTCTGGAACTCGGATCCACTGCAGAGGGCAGTCAACGAGGGCGACTTTGACGGTGGACTCCTCAAGAGCTTTGTGGCGCTGGACACTTCCTTCAAGTGAGATCCAATTCCTGTCATCCCCAGCTAACCTTTCAGCTTTGGCAATGCTGAACGCTTGTCCGCTACTCGCCTGTCTCTCATCCGATCGGCCCGGGCGAGAGAGAGCAAGAACTTATTGGGCGACTTGACCTCCGTTCAGTCTGAGGGTCTTGCCAGCCTCGAGGTTTCCAGCCAGCTGCACTTGAGCAAGTTGGCACGCAAAAAGGGCAACCTTCAGGCTGCCGTGAATGCCATTACAGCGATCGGCCAGCTGGATAACAAGTTCTCTCAATTACCCGAGGTGCAAGACGAGTTTTGTCAAATTCTTTACGATCAAGGTCAACACGCCCTCGCCATTCGACACGTCGAGAACCTCAAGAGTGCGCTTGATCCCAGGAGGGATGTTCGTCGCATGGCAGTGCTTCTCGGCCGCTCGGCACACTGGAACGCTCAGGCCAAACTCAAGTCCGCGGATGAAATTTGCCGCACGTTCGACACTGCCACTGATCTTGCTGCCAAGTCAAACGTTTCTCTGCGAGAGCAAGGACAGTTGGCATACAACTGCGCTGTCTTTTTTGACCAGCAGCTTGCGCTCCTGGCCGCTTCTCCTGAACTGGAGCGCCTCAGGTCGCTCGTCGCTCGTAAAAAGGCGGCGTCCCGGCAACTTGAGACGAGTCGCCCCCAGTCACCCCACAGCAGCCCTAGTCACAGGGTGGATCACGATCTCGAAGAAGAACGTGCTGCCAAACGCAGGATCGAGGAGAAAATGTCGACTCATCTCTGCCGGGCTCTTGAGTCGTACGCAGTGGCACTGGCGATCTGCGACGACCACGACGACTCGGTCATTCGGCTGTGTTCGCTGTGGCTCGAGCACGACACCGATGCGAAGGCCAGTGCGCGTTTGACAGTTGCGCTGAAAGGCGTATCATCGCACAAGTTTATCGTCCTGGGCCCCCAGCTCGCTGCCAGGTTGTACTCTGGCAAGCCTTTGACCAAGTTCAACTCGCTGCTCAACGCAACGGTTCTTCGTCTCGCACGGGAGCACCCTTACCACATCCTGTACCAAGTCATCACTCTGGCGACCGGTGTTCCCAAGCCAACTCCGGCATCTCGATCCAAGGCCGCAGGATCCATCGATGGACGTGGTGCCGCTGCAGCGGAAATCATGCAGCGCTTGCTGAACGATGAAGGTCGCCCAGTGGCTGCTGGCGCTGCCAAGCACATGACCACCTTTGCCAAGGCGTCTGTGGCATGGTGCAACTACGGTACCCAGAGCAAGGAATCTGACAACCGTGTGATTGGAAAGCTGTTGCCCATGCCTAAGGAGTGTTCCCTCCGCACACTTGTCAACCTCAACATTCCGATTGCAACGGTTATTCCTCCCATCGACTTGACCCTCGTGTACGCCAATGTGCCCACTCTCCGCCAGTATGTGCACATGTACAAGCTTGCCAGCGGTATCCACCGTCCTTCTATCATGACGGTGGTGGACTCCCTTGGACAGAAACATGTTCAACTGGTAAGAGATCACTCTGCATCAACGAGCGCTGACAATTCAGTTCAAGGGCGACGACGAAGTTCGCCAAGACGCCGTCATGGAACAGGTGTTCGAAATGTCCAATCGCCTTCTACAGCGTGATGGCAAGGCGAGTGTACGCAACCTCAAGTTCCGCACCTACGCTGTAATCCCGCTCGCGAACAAGACTGGCATCATCGAGTTTGTCGGCGGCACGTCTGCCATCGGTGAATGGCTCAAGCCCGCTCACCTAAGGTAAGTGTCAAGAGATGTCAGGCCAGACGCAACACCATCGGTTCCCACTTTGACAACCATGAGCTGACACGATACCCAGATACCGCAAGAAGGACGACATGTTGGCTGATCAAATACGCCGTCAACTCCAGCAGCTCCAGGCACACGACCACATGGACGAAGCGATCGTCGAAACCTACAAGCAGTGCATGTCCCATTTCCACCCTGTCATGCGCCACTTCTTCACCGAGAAGCACCTGGAGCCTCTGGCGTGGTTTACGATGAGGCTCAAGTATGCGCGCAGTGTCGCAGTGACGTCCATTGTCGGGCACATGGTCGGCCTCGGCGACCGGCACTGTTCGAACATCCTCATCGACAACAACACCGGCGAGCTTGTGCACATCGACTTTGGCATTGCGTTTGACGAGGGCGCCAGGCTCCGTATTCCCGAGCGTGTTCCCTTCCGCCTCACCAACGACATTGTCGATGGTCTGGGAATGCACGGCGTCGAGGGCACCTTCAAAGAATGTGCCGGACATACCCTGCGCGTGCTTCGCGAGTCTTCCGAGCTCATCCTCACCATCCTCGAGGTGTTCAAGCATGACCCGCTCTATGCCTGGTGAGTACCTCCATGACAGTCCGGACCCAGAAAACCGGAACCGGGACCCTTGCTGATACCTACGTCAGGGCGGCGGACCCGGAGAAACTCATGCGTGCTGGTGGTGGTGGTGGTGGTCTCATTGACCTGTCAACTGTCGTGTCGAGCCAAGACAAGGCCGACAAGGTCTTGACAACCGTCCGCGCCAAACTCTCAAATGCCACGGCTGTTCCGCAAACGGTGAACCAGCTCGTGCAGCAGGCACGCGACACGCGCAACCTTGCCGCCATCTTTGTTGGCTGGCAATCGTGGATGTGAGCGAGTGACGGAGAGGGGACAGGGAAAGAGGGAAGAGAGTGCATGAGTGAGAAAAGCTGGATTGTATATAGGTACCTTGTTTTTTTAGTCGTATTGTAGATAGACGGCATAGCATTGCATGAGTCGTATGTGAGTTTTATGTGTGTGTGTTATATCCCTGCCACAACGCTTCTGCTACTCAACAAGCTGTGTATTCGAGAGCACGCGATGCATGTAAGGAAGGAATATCCAGACTCAAGATATCAGAGACGAGGGAAAAAGGGCAGCGGGAGAAATGGGTAACTTTGCAATAGATAAAAGGGTTGGGAGACGAGGAAGGGGTTGTTGGTGGTGGGGGGTAAAAAGAGGAAAAAAAAAAGGCGTTACGGATATGGGGCGCGTTGGGGGTCATTCCACCGAGAACGCGGCGGCAGCGTGTTCGTGGCGCGTCGGGGTACACCCTGCGTCCAGCGCAAAACCGGGTGACCACGGACGTGCTGCGAGCCAGCTGAACGGCGGTGGCGGTGGTGGTGTGTGGTGGGGTGGGAGCCTCGGAGGCGGGAGAGGGGGATGGGAGAGAAGGGTAGCGCATTATAAAGCGGTGATGTCCTTGGGGGTATGTTATTTGGTGACGATGACCGGGGTGGTGGTGGCGTGCGTGAGGGGTACCGAATTGTTTCGGCCCAGCGGCCCGGGGGGTATGTTGGGTAGATTGTGTTTTAGAGAGTGAGCGACTCGATGAGCGCCGCGACCCATTTGGCCATGCTGGACAGTCTCTCCATCTTGACACCGGCAAACGACATGTCCGTGAGGCCCTTCATGCCAAGGTCTTCGAGGACCTGCTCGCGCGCGCCCGGGTTGGGCGAGTTGGGTGACGAGGCCGTGTTCGAAAACGTCTTTTTGTGCAGCGAGGCAGAGTCGGCGGCCGCAGCCGAGAGACCCGACGAGGTGGTGCCGGCCGAGGGGAAGATGTAGCTCTGGTCGGCCATTGCGCGCTCGAAGATCTGCGTGACGGCCGAGAGAATGGCGGTGGACGCCGTGGTGGTGAGGACGGCGGTCATGCGCGGAATGAGGTGGTCGTACGCCATGGCCACGACCTCGGGCGTCTCCTGGCTCGCCTCGGCGAGGAGGCGGTACAACACGAGCTTTTCCGTGTCGGTGCTCGCCTGGCCAAGGATGGTGACCACGAGGGTGATGAGCAGCAAGGCAGTCGAGTTGTCGGGAATGTTCAAGAGCTGGAACACGGACAGAGTCGACAGGTCTGCGAGCGCCTCGTCGGCGACATCGACACCGGCAGCGGTGAACAGGGCCTTGAGCTCGGTGGTGCTGCTGGACGCAATGGGGAGGAGCGAGGTGAAGAAGGCCACGCTCCAGGGGGGGATGAGCGGTTCCTCCTCGTTGACGTCGCGTCCGCGCTGTACTGCCGACAAGCGGAGCAGCTCGGTGAGGGCCGAAATGGTGAGCTTGCGCGTGTTGGGGTGGCGCACTCCCTTGTAGACAATAGCCACGAGCGCGAACGTCGGGTCCGTCTCAAAGTTGATGCCACAGATACCGTCGAGCTTGCGGGCGTTGTCGCCCACCGCCTTGCGCGCAGTCAGGAGACCCTCGGTGAGACCGTGGGCGTTGAAGTAGCCAGTGTGCTCGAGGTGGCGGACCGTGGTGATGAGCAGCTCGAGCGCCGGGGCGAACAGGGGAATGTACGCGAGCTGGAGGACGGCGACGGCGAGCCAGAACAGCGTCGGTGCGTAGCGGCTCTCGGGAAGCAAGCCGGGGATGACACGCGCGAGACAGCGGAGCATGCTGACAATGAGGACCGTGTCCGACTCTTGGAAGTGCAGGAGCGTGTTGCTGAGCGAGATGAGGATCTGGTACACCAGGTCGTCGTCCATCTCGTCGGATGCCAGGTAGCCGAGAGCCGTGAACGCCTGCGGCTGGGTGGCCGGGTTGGACTGGAAGCAAGTGGCGGCCACAAGACCCATCCAGCGGGCACGCCACTGGTTGGCGCAGTCGGTGGAGACGGCGCCGGCACTGAGCACGTCGCCGAGGAACTTGATCACGAGCTCGAGCGAGTCGAGGTGCGCGATACCGTTCTGGTCCCAGTGCGGGAGGCCCGAGAGCTCAAGACTGCCCTGGCTCTGCACGAGGCCAAACGCGGCAATCATCTCCTGCTGCTGCACGCGGTGGAGCAGGTGCTGGAGCGTCGTTGTGTCCATGTCGCCGGCAGACACGGTCGCGAGCGACTGGAGAATGTTGACCACGAGGCCGTACACGGTCTGGCGCATGAGAACGGGTCCGATGCCGACCAGCAGGGAGATTGCGTGGAACAGTTCCGCGAGGAAGAGCTGGTTGTCAATCTGGCTGGGAGGGTTGAACGCGAGCGCGAGGTTGATGCGCGTGAGAGTGCAGATCTCGTTCCAGGCCAGGCTGTCGACCAAGTTGGACGTGGGCTTGACGTACGTCTGGCCAATGGTCTTGCGCAGGCGCGAGACCACCTTGCCCTTGACGGCCGTCGTGCTGAGCGACACGAGAATGTCAGAGACAACCTCAGCCTTTTCAGAGCCCGGACCAGCATTGACGGCCGTGCTGAGGAGCTCGGCAACGACAAGGTCGACGAGGGCCTCGTGGGTGGTGCCAATGACGCTCCACACGTGCTCCTGGATGGCGAGGTGCAGGCGGCGCTTCTCCGACACGGTCAGACCGATCAGGCTGCGGATAATCTCGGTGACCTGCTTGACAGCCTCGACGCCGTCGTCGCGCGTGGGCTTGGCAAACAGTTCGAGGTTGGTGAGCCAGGGGGCGACATAGTACAGACAGGCAGTCTTCTGGGGCGTGTCGGCCTTTGCAAAGCCAATGGTCCACTCTTTGAGGAACTCGAGGGTGAGGTTGGGCGCCGACGAGGCCAACTGCTTGCTGAGCTTGAGGACAAACGACAGCGAGTTGCCCGGGATAAGCAGGCCCGTGGACACCTTCATGACCTGGCTCGACAGGTCATACTTGAAGAACTGACAGAGCTCGTTCACGAGGTTGTATGCGCCCAAACGGAGGATCTCGTCGTTGCTTGACAGGTTGAGGAAGGCGACGTTGAGGAGTGTTCCGGGCACGTCGCTGGGTCGGAGGGCGCGGTCTTCGGACGGCGTGTCCCTCAGGCGACCACGGGCAGAGCGGATAATCTGCGCCATCTCGTTGCGCTTGCGCGAGATGAACGTCACCGACTGGTTCTGCGAGTGCTTGACAATCAAGTGGTCGGCAGCAAGGCCAGTGCCCATGACGACATCGTCGACGTCCTTGAGACGGATCACGTCGATAATGTACGCCTTGAGCGACGACGTGAGGTCCTGCTTGCGCCACGACGCAACCTGAAGGCAGTCGTCGCCGAGCTTGACCACGACGGGCACCTGCATCTCGTGGTCGGCGAGGCAGAGGAGGTTGGTAAACACGTGGTCGGCCTCGTACGCCAGCGCCATCGTGTGCTCGGGGAGAGCGAGCGAGGTGAAGGGAATAAACTCGGCAAGCTCGGCGGGGCTGCTGGCCGCAACGACATTCTTGCCAACGGCAGGACTGACGGCAAGCAGGTCGTTGATGATACGACGCAGACGCGTGCGGGCGTACGAGTTGGGGTTGTACAGGGCAAGCGTGTTGACGCAGGGGAGGATGCCAGGCGGGCACATCTGGATCGAGCGGCGGAGCCACGGCGACGGCATCTCGGTCTGAGCCGAAAAGTCGGTCACGTCAATGACGAGGTCGAAAAAGTCGGTGACCTTGTCCAGCACCGAGAAGACGTGGTAGGCGAGCAGGTCATAGTCGACGAGGGCGACGCGCGCGACGATAAAGTAGAAGATGCGGCGCCCGTTCTGGCTTGCGGGGCCTTCGTAAAAGGCGCTGGCGACGCTCTCAGTGTTGCGGCCGGCGTTGTGGCGCATAAAGTCGTCGTAGACCTGCGAGCGGGCGCTGGTGCTCAGGCGCGTCATGTCGGCAGGCGGACCCGTCTCGCCCATGAGGGCGCGGATCGAGGTGAGCGCGCTCTTGCCATCGAGGTCGAGACGGATAGACCGCGTCGACGACGACGACCTGCTGCGGAACGATGGCGGGAGGGCCTCGAGGGACGCCTCGAGACGGTTGGTGTGCTTGAACACGAACCGCTGGATGATCGAGTTGAAGCCTTCGCCATCGAGCGAACGCTCTCCTTCCTCCTGAAACGTCTTGGTGGCCTGCGCAACCTCCCAGCTACGTGGGCGGACCGCCACATCGGAAAGGAACTTGGTCACCTGGCGGATGTTTTCGGACAAGAACGGGTTCAGGACCTTCATGTGGGCCTCCTTGTTACCAAACAGCACATTGTTGGCGAGGTTTTGGATAATCTTGGTGACGAGCAAGAGCGCACGACGAGTGTCGCGCGTGTCCGGGTTGACATCCAGGTCGATGCCTTCGGGGGCGACAATGGCGGGACAGAAGAAACGCAAAAAGACAAACGATCCCACGGCCGAGTGACGCGAGTCCGGGAACCGCTCCTCAACAACCTCCCAGATGTGGTGGCACAGCGCGCGGAAGAGGATGGGCACGCGCGGAGTAGACGAGTAGATGAGGTCGAGGAGCGCCTGCGTCATGATCCGCAAGTGCTCAGTGTTGCGCTCAATGTCCTCGCCGGGCGAGATCTTGCTGGGGTCCAGCTCAAACGAGCACTCTGGCGGCTTCTCGGCCAGGTTGTGGATGAGCGGCTGGAGGGTCGCGCGCACATAGTTGTAGCCATACGTCTTGGCGAAGAGGGTCAGGAGACGCGTGGTGATCGAGTTGGCGCGGAACAGCTCCGACTCGTGGTTGGTCTGCTGGACTTCGCGCTCGATGAGAATCTTCATAATGTTGAGCAAGTTGCCCTTGGCCTCAAAGGTGCGGAAGAGGAGGAGCGAGACCTCGTCCAGCTCGTTGGAGGGGCATGCCTCGCACACGGCCATGGCGAGGGCGAGGTTCGGGGCGGTGAGGGCCTCGAGGTAGAGCTTGGGAGCCGCCGAGCTGCCCTTGGCCGCCAGACCGCCAAAGCGCGCGCCTTGCTGGAGGACGTTGGTGAGCAGCTGCATAAAGGCAGTGCGGATGGTCGAGTCCTCGTGGTAGCCGAGGGCCAGGCAGTGCTTGAGACCGACGTCAATGTTGGCCGACAGCAAGTTGGACAGCGTAAGGATGGCCAGAGCCGGGTAGCTGTCGGTCGTGTTGACGCGCATGCTCATGCCCGACACGGACGCGACCTGCGACGACTCGGTCTCCACAGCTGTGGAGCGTTCCAAGACGCGCACCAGCATGGTGTAGTACCTGTAGAACAGGCGCGATTTGCCCACACCCGTCGCGTCCTCGGACTCGTCTCCGGGCTGACGGATCACAAGGCCGTCGGTAATGGGAATCATGGCGCGCAGGCACGCCAGGTTGAGGTCACGCTGGACCTTGTCATGTCCGCTCGAGTGGTACTCGTCCTTTATCGCAATGTTAGCCACCAACCCCCAAATAAAGCATACAACCCCCCAAAAAAACTCACCCTAAAGTTCTCAATGGACCACTCGCATGTCCACTCCAGCAGCGCGTTGCGCAGCTTGCTAGCGTTGCCGAGGACGACAAACTCGGGCTTGCCCAGGACGGCCTCCATGAGCTGGCAGAACTTGATCTTGATGCGGACGTTGGCGTCTTCCCTGTTCAGACGGTGGGTGTACTGAGCAATGAGGTACAGCAGCTCGCCCATGTCGACCTGGACACCGCCGGCGTTCTCGCCCGGGTTGACGCGGTCGACCCAGAGACGCAGGACGGAGATTGCCTGCTCGACAAACGTGGTGAACGCCTCCGAGGCCGCGACGCCGCCGGGGGTGATGGAGTGGCCGAGAAGCTTGGTCATCTGGACGACGAGAACGCGGCACAGAGACAGGGGAAGCTCAGATCCGAGCGCGTCCTTGATGGACTCGCGGACGTGGATGGACGGGCTGACGAGGAAATCCACACACTGGCGGAGGAAGCTCTCGACGGCGGCGTGCTGGTCCGTCGACTCTTCGTACGCGCGGGGGAGCACGCCCTTGCCGACAATCTCAACCATGGTGGTTGGGAGGGACACGTCGTTCAAACACACGTTGGACGTGGCACACAGGAACGCGATGAGGTTTTGCCACTCCTTGGACTCGTCCTCGGTAAGGCCCTCAATGTCAGCCGCAAGGTTGCGACGACGGAAGTCGCGGTCGCCGCTCGAGTCGTCCGTGTCGGCCGTGACAATCTTGTTTGTGAGAGTCTTGACGCGGGCGGCGAGGCCGAGCCAAACGGTCGAAAGGAGAGTCGAGGGGCGAGCGTGCTTCTTCATGACGCGGCGGATGGCACGCTGCTGCTGGTGACGTCCGCTCGACGATGGGAGCGAACCGAGCTCGGACAGCATGGCGCTGTGGCTCGTGATCTCGTCCATGTCCGCGGTCGTCTTGCTGATAGCCGAGCGGACCAGAAGCATGAGCTTGGAGAGGGACACGAGAGCAGGAGTGCCGAGGTTGGTCTGCTCTACATCGGGGCCCGTCAAGGCGGTGACGGTGGCCAACTTGGCAATAAGGACGGCGGGGCGCGCGTTGGGCGCCTTGGTCATGAGCTCGGGGAGCGCAGTGGTCGCTCGCAGCACCGATTGGACGCTGTCGCGGAACGCGCCGGCGATGAGTGCAATGTCGTCAACATCGCCAAGCTGGAAATCAAACAAGAGCTGGCGCGACGAGTCGATGAGCATCTGCCAAACAGCAACTGCCGAGGTTGCTGCCAGTTGAGCGCGAGCTGGGTCCACCTTGGCAGTGTCAACCAGACTGTCCAGCACCACAAGGTTGGTCTTGGCTGCCTGCGCGCGAACAGACATGGGGCATGTGGCCGCGGTGAGCGACGACACGACAAGGAACAGCTGGCTCAGGTGGTCGGATGGGTCGCTGAGGCTCTCAAACGCAAAGTTGGGGTCGACGGCGAGCATGTTGAGAATCTCCCAGACGAGGTCGGTCTGCGCGGTGGGCACGTCGAGGCTGCTGCGCGCTCGACGCGATGAGGCGCCACTAATCACACCGGGCGCCTGGACCTTGAGAATACTGCGCACGGACGGGGCCACGTCTGCGCGCAGGCTGCTAGCTGGGGCGTGCCACGGCAGCCTTTGGCCCTCGGTGACGATGGTCGTCAAGGCCCGCACAGCGATAATCTTGTTAGTCTCGTTGTTGTCGTTCCAGAGTTTGGGGAAGATGAGCGACGACGTGCCAGTCGGGTTGGAGCGGTACAGGGCAACGAGGCCGTCGACCAGAACGTTGATGTCCGTCACTTCGGACGCCATGGTCGAATAGAACAGTGCATTCCTGAGATCGCTCTGCATCTCGGGAACGAGGCTGCGAATGCCCGAGCTGTCGAGACGCGGGCTGCAGCTCATGGCGGCGCGCACGAGGTCGACGTAGCACACGACACATGCCTCGTATGACCTCGACGCGCTCAGGCCCTTGCGCAGGCTGTCCATAAAGGCGAGCTTTTTGCCAAAGCTTTGGCTCGACCGTGCCGATTCTCCCAGTGCGATACGCTTCATCGTGTCTGGCGACAGGACAAGGAGCATGACCATGAGGGGGTAAAACACCTTGGCACGCTTGTTGTTGGTCGACGAGTCTGACATGGAGTAGAGCACGTCAAACAGGCCGTCTGGGTTGGCGTCAAACTTGCGGTTGCCCTCGATGAGCGACTGGAATTCGGCCGGGTACAGGTCAATCCAGTTCCAGATAGACTTGCGCAGAGCGGTTGCGAGCGCGGTCTGTGCGGGTCGCTTGACGTGCATAAAGGGTGACGAGATCTCTTGCAGCGCCTGGGCTAACCTTGACGAGTCGACGTTGGCCCACTCGAGCAGTCGGAGCTCGTACAGCTCTGGGTTTTCTTCCAACGTGGTGGTGAGATGGGCGACGCGCGCCTTGATACGCGACAAGACGAGCGGCCAGTTGGCGGCTGTGAGAAAGAAGACGATACGCGCCGTGTACTTTGTCATCTGGACGACGGCCGTCGCGGTTGTCGACGCCGCAGGTGCCAGGAGCTTGGAGTGCTCGGACACGACGATCTCGGACGACGAGGTTGATGGGTACGAGTGCTGCTGGATAAACTTGGCGCCCAGCGAGAACGATGTGGTAGAGGCCTGTTTCCAGTTGCCTAGGTTGGTTGAGCTAGACGACTTGAGACCGTCCCTGCCGGCGATGGGGGTGACAATGCCGCTCGCCATGTTGCTCTCTTGCGAGACCATGCGAATGTAAATGACCAGCACACTGAGGAGCTGGCGGGCGAGGTGGTCCTCGAGGGGTGGCGGGTCGGGCCAACATCCGGGCAGGTCTGAGGATGATGGGGACGCGGCAGACGAGTTGAGACGCCATGACACGGACAAGCACTGCAACAGCAAGTGGATGAGGTAGAGCTGCGAGTGGATAGTATCCAGTGGTGCATCGACGAGCGCAGCGTTGCCAATGTACTGCGGGTGGGTAAGTGAGCTTTGTTTCACAGCTGGACGGGAGGCGAGCTGACAACAGCGGCACACATACCTTTGAAAGAGTCTCAAGGGCACTTGCCAGCGCATGGACAACGAGCGGGAGGCGGATGCGTGCAATCGACAGCAAGCTGTCGACAGTGGTCTTGACGCCTTCATCAATCTCCATCATGGCCAGCTTGATGCCCGAGTTACATGGCAGCTGGGGAGAGGGGTTGGCGCGTCAGCATGGGGCAAGGGGTTTGCTCTCGGAATGAACGCGTCGTCGATGCCTCAAAAGTCGGCTCCGTGCGTTGTTCGGAGGGGGCGCCGAGGGGACACCTGTGACGGGGGGGAGGGGGGCAGCGGCCAGCGGGACTCACCTTGTTGACCAGACGGGAGACTATGGCGGACACGACCTTTTGCTCGCCCAGGAGAGACTCTTGGCGAGCCTGTGCCGAGGTGTAGGTTGGGGTGGGACCATCGTGCAGCATTGGATTGTCGGTGTGCTGGATGTCAAAGGAGCGGATACGGTTTGTTGGCGAGTTGAATGTGTGATGTCCCGAGGTCCTGCGCAGCGGCATCCTTGCAGTGATGAGGTCGCCGGATGCAGTGGATGTGGACCTCGCGTGATTCAGAGCATCCAGCGCCGAGACGAGGTTGGAGGCGGGGAGAGCCGGTGGGGGAGAGGGGAGGGAGAGGGCGTGTGGGTTGGAGAGTGGAGGGCAGTGGTCGTGCTGTGGGCCCAGGCCGGTGTGTATGTGGGTGTGGGTAATGTGGAAGTGAGAGTGTAGCGAGGGAAGGGGGAGAGGTGGATGAGAGGAGGCGATGGGGACGAGGGGACGAGGGGTTGGTGGTGTGAGATGGATGTGGATGTGTGGATGTGAGTGAGGACGACGACGACGAGTGAGCAGAGCACGAGCAGCGGCGAGCAGCCAGAGCAGCCAGAGACAGCGCGCACCCACAGAGCGCACGGTCCCGCTACGCGCGCGGTCGCCCCTCTCCCCCCCCGGTTGCGCGGTGGCACACCCGCCCACGCGCACGCGCGCGCGCGTGTGGCCCATGCCCCCCCCCCCGGGGTGTGGGTTTCCCATATTCCCCCCTCGTCTCCCTGTGCATTCCTCGTCGCTGTCTCTCTTCGTCTCTCTTCTCTCTCTCTCGATCCCGGATTACGGCCCGCGCAGCCTACGAAACACTACACCACTGCTGCGCTCTCGCTTGTAGCTTGTTAGGAACAACAAAGGCTCACCCGCGCATGCCATCAAGCATAATGCATGCAACGTGTACAGACACACGAGTACAGACAACATCCCCCCCCCCCCCCCCCCCCCCCCCACGCGCTACAGGCAAATGGCCAAATGGCGTGTCCATAGGGGAGGGGGGGAAGGGTCCATGTCCTCGTCTGCACTTTTGCACACGCTAGAGCAAGAGACCTGGGAGCTGGCCGTTTTTTGGCCCATGGCCCATGGCCTACGCAACACAGAGGGACTGTCCAAAACGCGCGACCAAAGCTTTCAGGAGAGTGCACAGGAGGGTCTCCGAGGGTCCCAGGAGAGAGTGTGCAGGAGAGTGGATGTAGTGGTGAGGGGTGGCACTCTCTGGCGGCCAGCGTATGCCCCCCTTTCCCCAGCCCCACACGGTGGTGTGCACGCGCCTCTTGTACTGTCTCTCCCTCTCCCTGTGTTGTCGTTGAAAGAAGAGAGAGAGAGACCTCGGGGGGTCCAGGACATGCAGGACAAGGTGGCCCCCGGATACACCGGATGGCGCTTTTTGTGCCAGACGCCATCTCCCGTCGCTCGGCTCTGTCGATCCAAACCCATACCGGCCACTGTGCCCGACACTGCCCCTGCCTTTTGCCGTTTCTATCGCGACTCTTCGGGTGCGCATCTGGTCCTGCTTAACGACGTGACGATCGTCGACAATGGCGTGGAGTCGAGATACCCAGCAGGAGCAGAACTGTGCATTAGTGAGTTGCACACCTTGGGAAGCTCGCCACTGACTGTAGCGTTCAACGCGCAGCCTGCCGACAAGCTCCACGCAGGCCGGTGCTACACCCCAGGTTGCAACAAGATCCACGCGTGCTCGCTGTGTGTGCACGCCCACCCCGCGGCCTCGTGCAACAAGCACTGGTACATGGAGGCATATCAGCCTCTGCTAGCATCGTCGCAATCGGCATTCAACTCTCTCCTACTCACAGGAATTTCTTCATCTACCTCAACCCACCTGTTCGCCGTCCCCCACGCAGGCCCTTCGGATAACTTTGCAGGCAAATTCGTGCTTGAATGGGTCAAGACGCCGCGTCGCAGCATCCCTATCGGCAACATCAAGGACTCCTTGCCGTCATTGATTAGCGGCTTCGACCCCTCACCCACGAGCGCTCGTGTGCGAGTGGGTTCAACCACTTTTGCGGAACCAGCTGTACCTGTTCAAGTCCGCCCACCACCTTGCCCCACAGAAACCATCTTCAGCGGTCCTGAGGCATTACGTACCACTCGAATTGAGGCCGCATTCAATGAAGGCCGGCAGCGCACGCTCAACCTGCCGCCATGCTTTCCAACTCTTCCAGGATACCGCGGTGCGTTCACCCTCAATGACTTCCTGGAACGCATGGGCGCGGGAGAGGGGTACAATCGTGTAGCGGCGATTGTCAGAGGGCCCACAACAACCTACCAGCGGCGGCTCGTCAGCACCCCAAGGCTTGGCGCTCAGCTTCATTTGACACCGAGTTCAAAGAGATATTTAGAACATGGGCGACGACACACCATCCAGATGTCGCCAACGACATCATGGGCCGCTTCCAGCCTGCAGACGGCAATCCCGACGAGGCTCTGGTACTGCTCATTATGCACTGGCCGCCAGAATCAGACACCACGGTTGCCTTGTCTGAACAACGGCAAGGATCGCAAACTTTCATCCGTGCGGGGTTTAACCTCGGGCTGCTTATCTCCTATTACAACTTTTTGGCGGTCCACCTCCCCACGCAGAGCCAGCTAAAGGACTATGACAACGTTCCCGAGCTCACACGGAAACGCCTGAATCGCGGTACGAGTGACATCAAAAGGGCGCACGCCAAGCACATTATTGAGCGGTGCAAAAGATCCGGCCTTTACCAGATGACCATCGTTTTCGGCGCAACCTGCCGTGACATGCTGGCCGAGGCGCTCAAAATGGCCGAGGCTGACAACGAGCTGGTGGTCGAGGAGATCAACATCTGTTACAGGGCACTGCTGCCCATCGAGATGGGACTACCCTGCGAGGAGACAACAGCAGCGGCGTTCTGCCATACACACGACAACGCTCCTTCCGCGGGTTTTTGTGCCCAAAGGTTTCCAAACGCCGGCTCAGGACGTCAGCACATCAACAGCGACAAGATTCGCACCATCTCTGCCGAAATCAGCAACCATCGCGAGCGTATGCATTGCCAACATACCCTTGGACGCTCAGCTGCGCGCGAGTGCCGTCTTCTACGACAAGAGTCATGGCAAGACAGTTCCATACCACGAACTTTCCGCCAGTTTGGTCGACCGCTTTACCAAAATCGCATCAAAGATCGAACAAGACGCGCTGGAGGCTATGGGCACGCTTTCACAAGAATTCGCGGATACATTATAGCTAGACAGAACGCACGACATTGCTCACAGACCCTGCCCCGCGGGCGTCAGGTGGGTGCGACAAGTGCGGGGGCCGCATCTCAAGTGGTTAGGGTCTCATATTCACGAGTAGACGTGATGGCTCGATCAGCGTGAATAGACTCGAAACAGATGGTGTTGTGACGAGCCTGTGGTAGTTGATGTATCCAGAGTGTGCTTATATGATGCATAAAGCCCACACCTCGATACCACATGCACACTTGCTGTGTGCTCTTGCCTGCAACGTCACTCATACCCCATTCAGCGCGGCGTCACCTTTATCACTGGCGAAGCAAATAGGGGTGCACAAGTTACGTGTGCCGGCGGTTCTTGCGCTCGACGGCCGGGTTGGACACAAAATCGTCGTCCTATGGGTTGTCCGGGGGCGACGCCTCGTCATCATGGCGACAGAAGTGGTGGTGGTAAAAGTCACGCAGGTGAGGCGGCATATCCGATACGAGAACCAAGTCAATTGGGTCGGGCGAACTGCCCATGGCCGCCGAAGGTGCTGGAGCGCCCGCGGGAGGAGGCGTAGGTGCAGATATAGAGGACGACGGGCTGGGCACGATCGACGGTGGTGATGCCGAGGGGGGGAGGACGGACGTGCGACGGCCACCCCCAACGCGCCAACGCTCGGCTTGTGAGGGGACGACGCTGCGGGACGGGAGCGTTGAACACCGAGGCAGTGGTCGTATAGACGGCTATGCGGACGCCTTATGTGTTCTCGGCATCTGGGAGCATCAGGTCCTCAAAGTCACACAGAACCAGGATCTTCCGGTTTCCAAAAGGTTGTTGGCATTCCTTTGACGTGCAGTTATAGCTCCACAATGGCGCCTGCCAACTGTCTGTGGCGGCGTTGCTGCTGCTGTATCCATACATTGGTGCCACCCCTTCCCCCGCATGCCGATCCGGGGGTCGCGTCAGCCAGCTACCTTCGCTCGCTGCCTTCCCCATGCGACACCTTCTTCCTCGCCATCCGTATCTTCCTTTTGCTCACCTCCCGAACTCCATCCACGATGTCTGGAACCTCACGCAGTCGTCCAGTGAGTCGGCATTTGCGCCGCTAGTGGCGCCACGCTGACTTTGTTCAGAACGGTCGGCGCAAGTCCATGCAGTCGATGTGGGACCCCTGGGCGGTACCGCCAATCGTTGGTTCTGTTGCGCTGCAACGGCGGAGGAGATGGCAATCAATGAAGGACCCACCCAGTCAACCCGGTCGACGCAATCACGTTCCGGTGCTTTGGACAAGACACTCAGAGGCACTTCATCGCCAGCACGCACGACGGCCGTTTTCGGGCTTGCGCCGCACCAAAGCACTTCCGCCGTCCTCGTGTTAATGCGGCGACTGGTTACTCGACGTCATCGTCGGCGAGCCATGCCCCCTCTTCAGCGCCCGCTGCCCGCTCCTCGGCACCCCCTGGCCCCTCTGCTCAGCTCCCTTGCGTATCCTCGGCGCTTCGTGTGCCTACCCAATCGACCGCCCAGGTCATTGACCATCGCCTGCCACAGACAGAACGCACGGCGCCTGCTGCGACAAGTTCAGCGCTTCGCAGGTCGGCGGCGCCTCCTAACACCAATTCTCCTCCTGTCACCATGGCAGTGGCCCCATGTGTGCCTCAGCTTAGCCGTGGTGGCACCAGCATGCCTCGTTCATCGACGGCCGTCGGTTCGGCGCAACGTCCAATGTCCTCCTCGCGCGCGGTGCCAGTCGTCAAACCCATTGTGCCCCAGCCCGAGCGTTGGCGTCTCTGCGGCGCTGCAAGCACTTCACCCCTGCGTTCATTGGTCTCTGATTCTTCTACGGCTTCATCCAGGCCACTCGTGGACGCCGTCTCGAGGTCTTTCCCTCGGCCTCTATAGGCCTCGGAAAGGGGACGTCACGCCCCCCCCGGCACACCGTGGGAAAGCTACCCAGCTGGAACCCAGCGTCATACCGCCATCATGCCAACTTTAGGCCCCGGCTATTGACATCTCTCACTGTCACTCACACTCTCCTTCCATCCCCTCCCCCCCTGCAACCATGGTCTACATGGACCAGACAGACGCCTTTAGGTCCCTCGTAGCAGAGGGTTCAAAGTCAGCCTCCTCGTCGCCCGCATCGTCACGTCCCGGAAGCCGCGCCGCTTCTCGCACACGACAGCGCGACGAGCAGCAGAACAAGGCAAAGGACGATGGCTTCCTCACAGAGGCATACCAGATTGTACGTGTTTCACAGCTACCGACTCCTCCACTGTTCACAGCTGACAACCCACAGCATGGCCACCTTGCCGACCTCGGTCGCATGCTCAAGACAATACGCAAACCCTACCTCTCCACGACCGAGCCTCCACCATTGTCCCGCCGCTCACGCACCGCCGCCGCTGCTGGAGACGATGACGAGCTCAAGCGGTTCGAGGGAACAAAGTATCTCTCCGAGAGGGAACGAGACGAGATTGACGTGCGCGCCAAAATGATCTTGCGGCGATGCAAGGAGCGCGTGGGACTCCTCGAGGACGCCGAGAAGAGTAGGTTACAAGAGTGTCAGGTCTGTCAACCTACTGACGTTACCAGTCCGTAAAGCAACCGTGCAGCCGCCAACCCCGGCCATCTTCAACTTTCTCCCCTCGCTCGCGCCGGCGCCCGTCGACTCGTCTGGACCGCTGCTCACCGCCCACCGCGCGAGCATTGTCTGGACGCTCACCAACATGCTGGCCAAGCTGAGCCAGACCCAGACGGACATGCAAGAAGAGCGCGCCAAGCGCCGCGCAGAGCGCAGCCGCACCCTCGGCGGTGGCGCAGCGCGCGAAGCTGCAGCCATGCAGGTGACGGCGGACCGTGGCGCACGCTCCGGGGCCGGGTCCGGTGTGCCCACACCCATCATGGCAGTGCCGGCCGCCGCGCTCTCGATCATGCCCGAGGACGAGCCGCCCATCGACCAGCAACTGTCTGCCGAGCAGCTGCAGCAGTTTGAGTCGGAGAACAATGCCCTCCTGGAACACATGGAGAGCCAGCTCAGCTCAGTCCTGGCAGCTGAGAAGAGCCTGTTAGAGATTTCGTCGCTCCAGACCGAACTGGTGCGCCACCTGGTTCAGCAGACCGAGATCACAGACAAGCTGTACGACGAGGCCGTGGGCAGTGTCGCCGAGATGGGCAAGGCAAACACACAGCTCAAGCAGGCAAAGGAGCGCAGCGGCGAGGCGAGGCTGTACCTCCTCGTCTTCCTCATCGGCGCCAGCATGGCCCTCCTCTTCCTCGACTGGTATGCCTAAGCCGCTAGAAATGAGACGCGGCGGCTTTTTATAGTGTTGTACACATATGACATCTATACACGGGGCGCTAGCACTGTTTTCTATTGGGGGTTTGTGTGCGGTTTACACTGCGCTGTCGTTGCGGTGGCTGGGCGGGACGAGCTCCTCGACCTCGTCCTCATCGCCGCTCTCGCCGCTGTAGTCGCCAAGGAGTGCAGTCTCCTCGAGCGCAGCGGCCGCAAGCTCGCCTTCCTCGACGTTGCCCATACGGCGCATCTGCCGCAGCGTGAGGCGGTAAATGAGCACACCGGTGACGACCGAGAACACGAGCGACGCCGCAATGGAGATGAGGTTGAGCCAGAACTTGAGCGGGTCGGCCTTGTCGCCCTCGGGGTTGTCAGCCATGGCGCCGAGGCGCGCGCCAATGAAGATTGGGATGAACAGGCGCGGAAGATAGAGTCTGGGAGAGAGCGTTAGTATGAGCGTGGCCGCCTAACATACGTGTTGGCGAGCATGTAGTGCCAGAACTCGATGCTGTCAATCGACTGTATTGTCAGCTGAAGCAGGAGATCCTAGCTCACGGCGAAAAGGCCATTACCAATAGCCCAGGGGAGCGGGCACCATCGGATCATGGCGACGAGGGGCCATCCCTTGTCGTGCACGACGTGCCCAAACGCCTCCCACTGCTTGCTCTTGCTGTGACCAAACTTCTTCATCCACTCGAGGAAGAACATCTGGACAGAGGGTCAGCTAACCAGATCGCGACGTGATGCGCAGCTAACACTGACCCGGACAGAGTAGAATGCAATGGCGCTGCCTGTGAGGGCGGCCACGCTTCCCAGGAGGAACCCCTTCCATACACCCCACGCAAAGCCGACCATGGAGAGCGTGGCCGAGAAGCCGAACATGGGCGGGTGAGACGAGACGACTGTGTTGTCAGCTCCACAGCGACTTCCTGCAGCTCATCTTCTCTCGCAGACAAACACCCACTAGCACAAGCAAACACGACGACGACGCCCTTCCACCCCATCTCTCTCAACCCCAGCGCCATGTCGTTGAAGAACTGGGCTATCCGCTTGGGTGTGATGATGAGCACCACCGCGAGTCCCACGAAATGCAGAATCAGAACAATCCTGTAGCACCCATATGTCAGCGTGCGGTTCCCCCGGGTTGGCTTTGAAGCATCGCAGTGGTGGCGAGCACGCACCAAAAGGTGACCTAGGGGTGGGTGTCAGTCAACATCGAACGCAACAACGGCACCATGGCACCACCGCCCGCGTCACCGTCTGCCCCCCCGCCCCACGCGGCGTACTGCTCACCTTGCTGGTCTTGTTCATCTTCCTGTACGGCTTGAGCATCCTGTGTCCCATGGCCTGGATCTGTCCCGAGACGGTCATGGTCGTGCTGCGGGGTGTATGGTGAGGGTGTGGAGGAGACATTGCTGCTGTATACTCTCGGCGACGTGGCTACCGCAATGTGGGGGTTTGTTGCAGCAGCAACAATAATCTCGGCCGATTGAGACACGCTCCCACACCCCGACACGGATCCACGGATCGTCGTCACAGCCACCGCGCGTGTCTCGTCGCGGGGGCCCTCGCAGCTTACGTCAGCGGCAATTTGGGGATTAGGAGGATCTGTGGCAAATCGAATTAGCGGAATCTTTTTTTTAGGCCTCTGATTTCTGAATTCCGCGCCTTCCGTTCCCTCTCGGTCACTTTGCCCAGTTACAACCCCCTCAGGACCAAAGGGCCTACCATAACGAAGGTCTTCCGTTCAATCACCCACACTTGACAACAATCCATCATCCATTCGTCCACCGCTTCGTCGACAGTCACACACCGGCCATCGACAACTGGTGTATCGTGCGGATTCCGAAAAGGACCCCAGAGAGGCCAGCAGAAGCGCGCCAAGCTCACCAGCTTACAAGCAAGCAAAGCAAAGCGAGCGAGCAACAAAGCTCTCACAGTTCGCCACCAGACCAGACCCTGCGTCGCCCCTTGTCCATCTGCTGAGAAACACACACGGTGCGACTGTAAACAACCATGGTGCGTCGCCACACGGACTGCCGAGACATGTAGCTGACTCTTTTCTCTTTTAGGGTGTCCCCGCCCTCTTCCGCTGGCTGTCCAAGAAGTATCCCAAGATCGTCTTGGGCATGCGTGAGGATGTTCCGACCAAGGTTCGCCAGGAGGATGGCCAGATTGTCGAGGTCCCCGTCCAGTTTGCGTCTGCGAACCCCAACGGGTTTGAGATTGACAACCTGTATCGTGAGTAGAGCAGAGCCTGTCACGTCCCACTCTCTGGTTGCTAACAGACACGCAGTCGATATGAACGGTATTGTACACCCATGTACCCATCCCGAGGGACGTCCAGCTCCCGAGACCGAGGAGGAGATGATGGTCGAGGTGTTCCGCTACACTGAGCGTGTCGTCAACATGGCGCGCCCGCGCAAGGTTCTCATCATGGCCATTGACGGTGTCGCGCCGCGTGCCAAGATGAACCAGCAGCGCTCGCGTCGTTTCCGCGCCGCGCAGGAGGCTGCCGAGAAGGAGCAGGAGCGCCTCGAGTCTATCCGCCTGTTTGAGGCCATGGGCCACCCCGTCTCTGAGGAGACCAAGAACAAGAAGTCTTGGGACTCGAATGCCATTACGCCTGGTACCCCTTTTATGGACCTTCTGTCCGCATCCCTCAAGTACTGGGTGGCCGAAAAGCTCAACAACGACCCCGGATGGAAGGACCTCAAGGTCATCATTTCCGACGCGTCCGTCCCCGGAGAGGGAGAGCACAAGATTGTCGACTGGATCCGTCGTCAGCGTACCTTCCCCGACTGGGACCCCAACACCAAGCATGCCATCTACGGTCTCGATGCAGACCTGATCATGCTCGCGCTCGCCACCCACGAGCCCAACTTTTATGTCTTGCGTGAAGACGTCTTCTTCCAGGGCTCCAAGGGCCCCCAGGCCTGCCGCAACTGTGGTGGTCTTGGCCACTTGAGTGCCAACTGCCGCAAAGACAAGCAGATCAAGGACCCCAACGTCGTGGAAGAGGCCAAGCCCGTCGACCCCAAGCCGTTCCTTTGGCTCGACGTGGCGTGTCTTCGCGAGTACCTCTTTGTCGAGCTCAACGTCCCAGCACCTTTCCCCTACGATGCCGAGCTGGCCATTGACGACTGGATCTTTTTGATATTCTTTGTCGGTAACGATTTCTTGCCCCACTTGCCCTCGCTTGAGATTCGCGAAGGTGCCATCGACGTGCTCCTCAAGATTTGGCGCGACGAGCTCGCCCACATGGGCGGATACCTGACCAACAACGGCAAGGTCAACCTCGGGCGCGCACAGCACATTCTCGACGGCATTGCGTCGCGTGAGGACAGCATCTTCCAGCAGCGCAAGCAGGACGAGAAGCGCCAGGAGGCCAACCAGAAGCGCCGCCGTATCGAGGAGCACCGCAGGCAGGACCGCGAGGCGGGCATTGTCGACGACTTTGGTGCCGCTGGAGACGGTGGACCGGGGACGATGAACTTGAACGGCACCGACTACGTCCAGGTGTCGGCCCCGTCGACGCGTGGCAACTTGCCCCCCAAGGTGGAGAACGCGCCTGCTCCCCGCCCCGGCAAGAAGCTGTCGTACGCCGAGCAGGCCGCGTCCCTCAAGGCGGGCCTGGCTGCCATGAGTGGTAGCAACGCCGACGTTGTCAACAACCGCAAAGCCATCCGCATGGCCAACGTCACTGCCGCCCAAAAGCTCAAGGCCGAGTTGGAGGGTGATGGCGACAAGCCCGAAGGCGACGAGGCCGAGGCCAAGAAGCCCGGCGAGGCCATTGAGGAGGAGGACGCCGAGGAGGACGCCGACGGCGAAGGCGACGACGAGGAGGCTGCCCAAGGCGACGTGTCCATGACCGAGAGCGAAGCCAAGCGCGGCCAGAAGCGCAAGGCCGACGACGATGAGGACGATGACGACGCAGAGGGTGGGGATGACGACGAATCACCCGCCAACCCTGGCGACGCTACTGTCCCCAAGAAGAAGCTCAAGGTCAACCCGGACGGCACGGTGGACTATGAGGACACTGTCAGGTTGTTTGAGCCTGGCTACAGGGAGCGCTACTACCGCCAAAAGTTTGGTGTCGAGCTCCCCGACGACGACTTTATGGCCAAGATCACCTACCACTACATGGAGGGTCTCTGCTGGGTTCTCGAGTACTACTACCAGGGCGTCCCCGCTTGGGACTGGTACTACCCTTACCACCACGCTCCCTTTGCGCAAGACTTCAAGGACGTCGGCAAGCTCAACATCCAGTTCAAGTCTGGTATCCCCTTTACGCCCTTTGGCCAGCTTCTCGGTGTCTTCCCCGCCGCTTCGCGTATCCACCTTCCCGAGCCTCTGCAAAAGCTCATGACCGATGAGGACTCGCCAATCATCGATTTCTACCCCGAGGACTTTGACATTGACATGGACGGCAAGAAGATGGCGTGGCAAGGTGTTGCGCTGCTTCCGTTTATCGACCAGAAGCGTCTTCTCGACGCGCTCAAGAGCAAGGTCGAGCTGCTCACCGCCGACGAGAAGCGCCGTAACAAGTGGGGCGACAGTGTCATGTACATCTCGGGAGAGAACCAGCTGTTTGACATGTTTGCCAACGACCTGTACGGCATCAAGCCCGTCGTCGAGCTCCCCATCGACACCAAGCTCTCGCACGGTGTCTCGGGCAAGGTTCGCGCCGACCCCAAGTGTGTGCCGCACTCGACCCTCGAGAGCCCCCTCGTCAGCATCGCCGAGTGCCCCGACCTCGAGACCAACTCGTCCCTGTCGGTCCGTTACTTCTTCCCCCAACAGCTACACCGTCACCGCTCCCAAATTCTGAACGGCTTCCGCCCCGCCAGGCCCCGCCTCAACGAAGCAGACAAGGACCGCATCCGCCGTGGCGACTTTGACACCGGCTTTGGCGGCGGGCGTGGACGTGGGCGTGGGCGTGGAAACTATGGTGGTGGGCCAGGCCGCGGCGGTTCGGACCGTGACCGCCCTCCGCGCGGCAACGCCTACTCTGGCTCGCACGCCCAGCCCTCTGCCCCACCTCGTAACGCCTACGGCGGCCCCCCTCCGGGCTACGGAGCCGGCGCATACGGCGGCGGTGGCTACCAAAGCGGCGGCGGTGGTGGTGGTGGCGGCTACGCGCCCCAGCAGACCGCTTACGGCGGTTCGCAGCCCGCTGCAGCTTACGGCGGTGGCGGCTACGGCGCGCGCGGAGGATACGGCGGCGGAGGCTACTCGCAGCCCCCGCGCAACCCATACGGCGCCCCGCCTCCTCCCAGCTACGGCCGCCCCCCAGCTAGCGGGTACGGCGGGGGAGCGTATGGTGGAGCTGGACCGAGTGGATATGGCGGCGGTGCGTACGGCGGCGGCGCGTATGGAGGCGCCGGCGGCGCGCCTGGAGGAAGGGGAGGATACGGCGGCAACCATAACAACAACAACAACTATGGTGGCGGCGGCCGCGGCCGTGGTCGCTACTAGAGATCACATTCAAAAGTCACGTAGCACAATGTAGTACAAAGCATGAAGCCATTTGTCATCCTGAGCGAGATCGTGGAGCAGCTATCGGCCACCTACACCCACAGGGAACAGAGGGTATTCTGGCCACCGCTCATTACGCGTGCCCCCCAGTTGCTGTTTTCAACACAGTCTTGTAACACTTTTTAAAATGCGATTTCATTTCGTTTCTAATCAACCACCGACGTCATTAAATCACGTGACCCAGCCAGAAATCTTGATGTGCAGTCTGGGTGTCTGGGTGGCCATCCTCCTTGCAAGGTTACTCGACAACAACCACTCCAACACACCCACACAATCTAAAATGGCGCGCTCCAAGAAGACCTCCAGGGCACGCAAGGTCTCCAAGGCCGACGGCACCGCCGCTGGCAGCGCCGGCGCGACGGACGTTGCTGGTATCGTCGGTACGTTGCACCGCTCTCCCCGCTCTCCAGGCGTGGACAACCTCTCCCGAACACCTCAGCTGACAGCCGCCAGACAAGGCGCACGTCCTGCTTGCGCAGTCCAACTTTGAGCTTGCGATCAAGTTCCTCGAGCGCGCGCTCGAGCTCGAGCCCACCAACCTCGAGGCAAGGGAGCTCGCGGGCGTCGCCGAGCTCGAAGGCGGCGACGCCGAGCGTGGCCGTGCGGTAAGTGTCCTTCCCAGTCCCTGGACCTGGCCATGTCCTCCCCCCGCCCCCATCTTATGTTGCCTGGACTGACGGCTCAGCACCTCCTTCACCTCTTCCCCCCACACGCGGCCGAGGCGCCCACCCTCCCGGCGCCATACCTCTACCTCGCGCAGGTCGCGCAGGACCCGCAGGAGGCGTTGGGTTACTACAGCACCGCGACCGCCATGGTTGAGAACACTCTCGGCGGCAAGGGCAAGAGCCGCGCGGTGGCAGATGCCGCCGAGGTCGAGGAGCTGACGCGCATGGCCGTGACGGCCATCGTTGCCATGGTGGAAATCTGGATGTCGGACCTGTGGTGAGTGACGACTGGCGTGTGGTCGATATATCGTTTCGACAGCTAGCGTTTGAACGGCTAGACGAGAGGCCGAGAGCCCGCCGACAAGCCCACCGGCCTTGTCGCAACACGCAGGGGATATGGACGCTGACAGACCCAGCTTTGAGGAGGCCGCGTCTGCCAACTGTGACGCGCTCATTGCCCGTGCGCTCGCCATCGCCCCCACCGACCCCGAGGCGCTCATGGCCTTGGCCTCGATCCGTATGAGCCAGTCCAAGTTTGACGAGGCCAAGGACGTCGTTATGCGCGTGTACGCCGAGCTCGAGGGACGGGATCCATGTGAGTGTGGCAGGAGCTCGGCTTAGAGACGCCCTGTCCGAAGTCCTTGAGCCGGCAGTCTTTGCGCACAGCCACCAGGCATCCACTGACACCTCCCCAGTTGACCCCCTCCTCCCTGGTCTCCCCGTCCGCCTGCAGTTTTCGCGTCTTCTCCTGGAGCACAACCTGCAGATGGAGGCGCTCGACGTCCTCTCCACCGTGCGCGAGGAGGACAGTCTCGAGGTGGAGGGTGCATACCTCGAGGGCTGGGCATGGCACCTCCGTGCCGAGGCGCTCGTCGCCGACCCGACCTTGTTGGACAAGGAGAAGGCCGAGCGCGGACCCCCCGCCGAGGGCGAGGATGAGGACGACGACGCACCGCTGTCGGCGGACGAGTGCTTCTCCGAGTCGCTGAGGTGTCTCCTCGAGTGCGCAAAGCTCTTTGGCGAACAGGACTACCCTGACCAAGGCATCGGCGCGCACCTCCAGGAACTGCTCAATGGCCTGCAAGCGCGTGGCGTGCAGCCCGCTGTTGCCGAGGAGGCCGCCGCCGGCGAGGGCGAGGACGAGGACGTCGAGATGGCTTAATGAGGGCCACAGAGTCATAGATGCGGGGGATGAGGGATGGGCTTTAGTTACGAGAAATGCCTAGGATATGCCATTGCTAGATAGTGTACAACAATATCCGCTGCAGACGTGCGGGTGCTGCAGGTGTAGGTAGGTAGGTGGGAAATGAGAGCGGTGGTCCGGGTCGGGTCAGGCTAGCTGCCTTCGCCGAGCTCCTTCTTAAGGGCCGCCTTCTCAGCACGCGCATGGGCACGCGCGACCTCGTTGCTCCACCAGTCTCGCATGTCGTCGCTGACGTGTATACGCAACACGGACGGCGACTCCAGCATGTCAAGAGTTCGTGAGAACTTGCGCAGCTGCAGTGTCAGCTGAAAGGCTACTTGGACGATATAGCTGGGACGACCCGTTGAAGACAGGTGGCCATGGACATGGCGCAGACGACCTACCTGGTGCTCAATGGCAGTATAGTCGCGGGCTGTGAGAGGCGGGTGGTGGAAGTTGTACCTCAAGTGCACGAGGAACTCGTTACGGACGTCCTGGGCAGGTGTCAGCTGGGTGACCGTTTACTAATGTCGGCGACTCGGGTCGTCGGAAGGAGGCGGAGAGTGGTGGGACCGACTTACCCTCGGCTTGGACATGGCGTTGCGCACGCCTCTGTTGTGTGGTCAGTTTAGCTACTCACAAGAGGTTCAGCTGTATACCTACTGCCTGTACAGGCGGAAGACTTCCTTCTGGAGACCTGACCGCGCCATGGTTTTGTGTAATTGAACGAACAAGATAAGTTACATGACAAGTTGCCCCCAGTTGTCACCAGTCTCTGCCGGATCATCCGAAAGGCACCGATGGGACGCGCACGTGACTCTCGCGTGGTATTGGCATCTTCCCCGATTTGATCCCGTTGTATGCACCCAGCAAGTGACGCCGCGCGTTCTTGACGCAGACATCAGCGTCAGCGACGAGCACCGAGCAAGGGAGCATCATCGACAACACGTCCTCTTGCAACTCGACTGCATAACACACTCTCTCTCTCTCCCCTCGCCCCCCTCCCCTCCCCCCACCACACCATGGACACACTTGTTGCCCAGCTCGCTCCCTCGCGCCGCGGCGACGAGGGCTCCTCGTCGACGGCCGAGTGGGCCAACAACGGCTACGGTAACCTCGATGCCAGCGGCGCCGTTGCTGGCATGGACGTCCCCGGCGTTCCCGACGTGAGTATTACCCAGGTGTGGTAAACTGCTCTGTGCGCTGTGGTGCTATCTACTGGGCAAGGTCGTACAATTTGTGACGGAGACACCGACCCATGCAGACATGACCACCGACTCACATCAACCATGACCTAACCACCACACATTGCAGCTGTGCTGACCATGCCCAGCCCCTCGCGTTCCTTTCGATGCACACCGACTCGATGAGTACCAACCCTCAGGCAAAGATCAAGCTTGCCCACGGTACCACCACGCTCGCGTTCCGCTTCAAGGGCGGTATCATTGTCGCGGTCGACTCGCGTGCCACTGCCGGCAGCTACATTGGTGCGTAGAAGTCATGGAGTGTTGTAGTGAAGGGAGATACACTGCAACTCGACAGTCCAATTTACACACGGCATGGTCACTAACGTCATCAGCGTCTGGAACCGTCAAGAAGGTCATCGAGATCAACCCCTACCTCCTCGGCACAATGGCCGGTGGTGCCGCAGACTGCCAGTACTGGTGGGTTTCCGTCCATTCTGAAAGCGGGCCCAGCTAACCCAGCAGGGAGACCTACCTCGGCATGCAGTGCCGCCTGCACGAGCTCCGCAACAAGGAGCGTATCTCGGTTGCTGCCGCATCCAAGATCCTCTCCAACCTCGTGTACCAGTACAAGGGCATGGGTTTGAGCATGGTAAGTGTTTTGAAGGCAGAGTGCCCCCCGTCCATCTACTGACAATACCTAGGGTACCATGATCTGTGGTTGGGACAAGACTGTAAGCTGCAATCATCTCGAGCACCAGCTAACTAACTCTCCAGGGACCCGCCCTCTTCTACGTCGACTCGGATGGCCAGCGTCTCAAGGGCGACCTCTTCTCTGTCGGCTCGGGTAGCACGTTCGCGTACGGTGTTCTGGACCAGGTGAGCTGCCGGTTGTCCCTTATGAAGCTCTGCTAACAGTGTGCCAGGGCTACAAGTGGGACCTCTCAGACGAGGAGGCGCAGGAGCTCGGTCGCCGCTCGATCGTGGCTGCCGGTCACCGTGATGCCTACTCGGGTAACACCGTCAACCTGTTCCACGTGCGCGAGAACGGTTGGGAGTTCATTAGTGAGTACACACTAGGCTCATTGCAGCGGTGGGGACATCATCCTCTCCCGGTAGTGGCTGTGGGAGACGTGCAGGTCGTGCGCAGAGCTGACATGGACTGCAGAGAACTACGACCTGTCCGAGCTGTGGTACGAGTACGAGGAGAAGAAGAAGGCAGACTTGGCTGCGGCTTCGGCCGCGGCGGCTGGCGGTGTTCCCATCGATGTGGAGTAGATAGCGGTCTAGTGTGTATGCATAGCTGGAAGACAAGGACATTAGAATGTCTGGAAGCAGGAGTGGAATCGGAGGCGGAAGCAAATATCCGAGCCGCCGCCCAAGGATCATTGTGATCTTGACGACACTCGACATCATCAACCATCCAACTCACTCCTCGCGTCGAAGCAGAGCAACTACACCGGCTGCACCTACATTTCTCCATCATGTCGGCCGCCGCGACAGCCCCATTTACAGCGGGTAAGCCGACGAGCCTACAAACCAAACAGCCAACTGACACGCTCAGACCAGCTCAATCGGTACCGTCTCACGCATCCGGACAAGGAGCTGCGCTGGGTCATCCGTCGCCTGAACCGCCTGCCCTACATTGACACTGTTGAGGCCATCACCGCTGTCGCTGCCGATGGCCAGGCGCCCGATGCCGCCGCCCTCGCGAGCGCGGCCGCCGACCGCGCGGCCGAGACAGAGCTGGCGCGCCTCGATCTCGACAAGTGGCGTCTGGGCGTGGACCGCACGCTGGCCAGTGTGCGCAATTTCCAGCGTCAGAGAGAGTCGTATTTGCGTAAAGTGGGCGAGGCCGGTGGGTATCTCATGCGTTGAGAATGGTGGGCTGACCGGGAACAGAGGCGCGTACCGAGGTATTGAAGCAGACGCTGGTGGATGAGAAGGCGCTGCTTGCCGCTCGCCTGCAGGAGCGTGATCATCGTGTCAAGTGTGACGAGGTGGCCAAGAAGATTGTGGCGAGGGGCAAGACGCGCCGCGAGTTGGAAGAGTAAGTTGATAGGTCTCCGTAAGAGAACCTTAACTGACGCTGCTTTCAGACAAATAGACTCGCTCAAGCGCGCAATCACCGACCACCGCACGTCCTACGACGAGATGGTCTCCATTGCCAACGCGCGTTCCGAGGCCTTTGCCCGTATCACTGCATTGGTGGACGAGTGTCGTGCACTGAAGCTGCCTGCCGCGAGCGGCGCGGAAGCCGAGCCCGTCGAGGAGGCCGCGCCCGTAGCCTCTGCCTCCTCATCAGCGGTCGCGACCCGCCTGTCAGCCGCTACTCTCCCTTTCCAGCCCTCGGCTCCGGGCGGGTCCTCATCTATCCAGGCCAGCACCAACGCGTCTCTGCGCGCCCCTTCCCAGTCGGCCCCCAACTCGCGCTCGGGCACTCCGGCACCAGGCCAAGGCCACCACCTGCCGTCCCGTCCGCAACGGACAGCGAGCGCCGCAGGCAACATGAGTGTTGGAGGACGGTACGGCCGTGGCATCGCTGGCTCAACTGGGCTTCCATCGCGCCCGAGTGCGCTGAGGAATGTGCGTGGCGGTAGTGGGCTCGAGGACGGCGAGGTGGGGGAGTCGGAGGATGGAGAGGTGAAGGAGGGCAGTGGCAAGAGGAAGGCGGGCGAGGTTGAGGGAAGGAGTACGCGGGCTAGGATGTAGAAGCAGCAGTGTTTAGATATTTCTACGATGTGTGTTGAGTGCGATGTCTGCAGGCTGGACATTCGGCCACAGTGGTTCGCAATTTACACCAGCTACGGCACCGCCTGGAGAGATATGCGTCTGCCCTTTGCGTGGTCAGACAAGGCGTGCGGGGTGACACAGAGGGCTGAAAGCCAGCCGTACAGCACAGGTCGTGACAGCAGCTACTACATGTCAGTCCCTCGTCCTAGTGGCACTGCCGTTGTTGGTGATATCAGACATGTGGCTGCTAACCAGCTGCAATATGCAGCTGCAGGCCTGCAGGACAAATACATTTATCAAAAATAATTCCGGGGAGCGTCGTAATTACAAGTTGTAATTATCTCTCAATAATAATTCAATATCGATAAATTGTCGGTGGTGAACGCTCATGTTGAACGCGGAAGCATTTGTAAGAAAAGAGAGCCTCGGATGTCGATGCTAGCACTGCTGCAGACAGTACCAGCGAGGTAACGAGGGTATGAGGTATAGAGTGAAAGAGAAACGGAGATGCATGGTATACTAGCGGTAGATGGTCTTTATATGGATAGCGCTTGGGGGACTGCTGACATCATTCGGCGGAAGCAATCTGGTTACGTGTTTCTAACAGCATTATCTGCAACGAACTGCCTTACCAGACTTGATAGCGCGCCTTAGCGTTATTAGGAAAAGTAAGGTAGAGAAGGTAGCTTACGAGGGTTCGAATCTCCGGCAGCATGGTAACACCGAAAGGACATGTAATAGTGCAAACCGCTCCACTGGTTGAAAGCGGTATGGCGAGAAATGTGTGATTTGAACTGGTTGTACTCTGTACACTGAAATTCGAAATCCTCATCGTTAGAAAATCAGAAAAAGACAGGTTAGTGGATGTTGGATACCGGGCGGCACCCCTCACCGGTCCCGGCTGGGGCTCAAGGCCCATGGATGTGGGACTCCCAGTTTCGGCGCCACCGAGGCAGCGGCACGCAACGGCCCAACAAGAAGCTCAACTACAAAAAAAGGAAGCAGGGGATGAGAAAACATAAAAACACAAAAAAAGGAAGCAGGCGGAAGGGCGGATAAGAAAACATAAAAAAAAACACACACACCAAAAAAATGTCTACCAAAATAATCCTGGACACTGGGGCACTGACAATGCCCAACCGCAGGTATATTTTTGCGCCGCGACGACAAACCTTCTCATGACGCTGCACGCGGCGACCAGCGGATACGTGTATGCATGAACATCATTCATTACATAGAGTGCGGTGATGTACCGTCTCGACCAGCTGTCTGATGTAAGCCGGTGCTGTTTTTATGTCCTCGACTGTTGGACACAGCGCTGCCCGTCTCTACGCGCAGCCTGTGGGCGCGCTGCGCGTGTGCTGCATTCCAGGCGTGCACGAGTCAGTGGAGCGAGGAGGACGACTCTCGCCTCTTCGCTTCCCTGGGGTCACGTTCCGAGACCCCACTCTCTTTGGCTAACGTGCCAGTAAACTATCAGATATGTTTCAGAAGAGGATGGGGATGGGGATGCATACACGTCTGCAAAGGTACTTAATCGCACACATACGGTGACGGGCACTGCAGAGAAGCACTGAGGCGGCACAATCCAAGCAGCAGAAACAGGACCACCCTCTGCGATCTGCGCGCTCTACGACACGCGACACATGGGTGGCGCAATAGTTTACGTAATCCTATTTGCTTGGAGCCCGTGAACGCTCTTGTGGAACTGCGCCGCTGCGCATTTAACGATACTGCGGTGTCTGACTGGTTTGCGCGCCTTTGGGTTAGCGTTTGCCGGAAGGACATTTGTGGAGAAGGTAGCTTACGAGGGTTCGAATCTCTGAGCAGCATGGCTGTCACGTGGCAGTAAGCCATCTGCACCATGTGAGTCACGCCCCACTGGTTGGGGCCCACGGGCAATATCAGCGGTTCGGATTAGAATGTGGTACGACTGTGCGCGACTGTTCCACTCTGACACTCAATTCCTCTTCGTTAAAAATTATAAAAACGGGTTTGACTAGGGAAGATGGCGTGCACGCATCCGAGCCTGGGCTTGACTTCGGTCTCTGACCTCGGTCCCCCGCCGGTAAAAATAGGGGCGTGTTACAGATTCTATACCAGCGAATTACTAAAAAAAGGGATGGGGGGCCGAGGGGGGATAAGAAAACACAAAAAAAAAGTAAAACATAATGAAACTACAAAAACAAATACAAATACAGTCCTAAACAAAAAAACGGCAGTAATACAGCCAAACAAACTTCGGACATCTTTTTGCGCCGGACGACCATCCTGTTGTCACAGTGAATTGGTGCCAGTACGCGGCACGCGGCGACCAGCGGAAACAGGCTCGTATGCTCAAATGTACATACAGAACAGTAAAGTACAGTGTCGAACCACTGACTGTACGGCGTACGGTGCTGTGTATGTTCACGACTGCTAGCCTTGGCTTCCGCGCGAGGGGGTATCTTTCAGAATGTACGTATTGGGAGCTCTGTCGTATACGGAAGTGAAGCAATGTAGGCAGGCCGGGCCTTGACTCCTTGCAGCTCTCACGGTAAGTGCGCGGTAAAGCGCCAGAGAGGCCACAGGCCGCAGGACTTTTGCGCCGCCAGCGAGAGCCTGGTAGGAATATAAATGCTGTGTCATTAGTGTTCAACCTCCGTTATCACTAAATTGCTCCCGCCCAAACTTGCGAAACTCATCCCACCCACACGCCCCCGCCAGAGCCACAGCGTCGCCCGCCGTGCCCGCCGCGCAGGCTGGCCATAACCCCGGCATGCTCGCATCCGTTCGTCGTTTCTCCATCCCCCACGCCCAAATCGTCGGCACTTCAAGCACACGCACCTCGACCAGCTCACTAAAACCGTTCCTCGACCACCCCCAAGGACCGCCATTATGATCATCACCAAGCAGGACCGCCGCCTCGTGCGTACCCATTCTGAAGATTGCTGCGCCTAGGCGACCGGGGCAGGACAAGTTGGATCTCAAAAGCTCCTGTCCCGCCGTCGTCGGCGTCGTTTTTCGACAGCATGAACGAGACTTTTGTGTGCTTCTGCTGACCCGCTCTCCTAGATCTACGAGCAGCTCTTCAAGGAGGGTGTCCTCGTCGCCCCCAAGGACTTCAACCGTCCCTCGCACCCCGACCTCACCACCGTCCCCAACCTCCAGGTTATCAAGGCCATGCAGTCGCTCACCTCGAAGGGCTACGTCAAGACCCAGTTCTCGTGGCAGTGGTACTACTACACCCTCACCGACGAGGGTCTTGCCTACCTCCGCGAGTGGCTCCACCTCCCGGCCGAGATCGTCCCCATCACCCACACCAAGCCCGCCCGCCCCGCCGGTCGCCCCGCTGGTTACGGTGCTGGCCGTGAGGGCGGTGCCTACCGCCCCCGCGGTGACCGTGAGGGCTACCGCCGCCGCGAGGGCGGTGACGACAAGGAGGGTGCCAGCGCCGAGTACCGCCCCCGCTTCGGCGGTGTCGGCCGCGGTGCCGCCGCTCCTTCGTCGTAAGCTGCTCCCTGCTTGCGTCCCCCAACTCTTCCCTGCTGGGATGACAGGTGCCCAGGCGTCGTAGTTGCGCTGTAGGTTGGCTATAGCATGATGCTACGTCTGGTGCTTGATTTTACAACCCTTTTGGCGCATTGCATGGTTATTGACGCACACTTTTGATTATTGACCGAGCAAATGTGAGCCATGTGGCTCGGCACCGTATATCCAGGCCAGCGGCCAGGGCCAGCGTCACTCCGCCGTGTCTTTGACATTGTGCACGTCCCAAGGCGACTGCTTTGCCTGTGGTACAAAGTGTAACAAGTGTACTTTCATTTGCAGCAGCGGCAGCGGCGGCAGCATTCACAGTGGTACCGCTTGGCGTGTCTCAACCTTACCGTGTCCGGAAAGCCTCAAACGAGCGCAAAACACTGGCTTGGTAGGCCGCGAGTGGGCATCGGGCAGACAAACTCTTGCGCGGCCTCGCCGTGAGTGGTGCATTTCTGTCCGAAGCCGAGAACCGCGTTCCACTGTCGCCCAATGTCTACCAAGGCGGAAGCCAGAGACGTGCAGTGCCTCTGTGCGTGCAACCACTGGCAACATGCGGAAGGAGTTTCTTGGAACGCCGACATGGGCCACCAGTGCTTGCGCCGAGCTGGACCAGAGAACAGAGACGAGGTCAGAGAGAGCACCTGCTCACCGGTTCTCCTAAGGCTATGCGTGCGAGTACCGCTAGGCCTAGCTGGGCTATGCCGCATCTCGCGTGACCAGTGACCTGTGGCCAGTGGCACGGCTTATGTACGGCGCGGCACACGTGCAGCATCGTTCTGCCACGGAGGGCACAGTCGCGGCAGCCTGGTGGTGCGCTCTCGCAGGCTCCAGTGGTGGGCCGCGACCTACGTGCCTTGCGTCCTTGACGTCCAGGCCAGCAAGCCGCAGGCGCACGCCAACACCGGCGCCGTGTGCAGGCGGCGCGACATGCATGCCCTCATCCACTTCCTGGGAGGAGGGACCACTGCATCCCTCGGTCAATCCCAGGCTGGCTCGATTCCTGTCGAACGCGACTGGCTCGATTCGTATCGATTCCTGCACGGGCCGGACGCGGATGGGGGACGGGGGACGACCTAGCGAGGAGCACAGATAGGGGTCGCGCGTCGCGTCCTCGAGTCTGGAGTCCTTGAGTCCTCGAGTCCTCGAGTGCTTGCGGCCGGGACGTGGCGTTTCCAGCAAGCGCGCGCGTCACCCTACGGTGTATCCCTTCCTTCCCTTCCTTCTTTCCTGTGCTTCTTCGCTGCCCGTGTTCTACGTTCTGGCCGCGTCTGCCAATCACAGCACACCCCTTCTTCCTGGCAGGTTGAAAAAAGAAACACAGTACATTAGGTTTGGCAACAATGGACGACACGGGCGCACCGGGTGGGGGGTGGGGGGGAGGTGAATTGACGAACAAGGAAAGGCACGGGGGGAGGACACAATTGGGAAAGGAAATGAGCATGGAAGCGAGGTAGGAAGGAACGAGTGTTCGCTTGCCGCTGGCTGGCTGTGAAATGTCACCTCTCCCCCTCAACAAGCAGCTACCACCAAGCTACACCAGTGCTCTTGGTGTCGCTTGATGCGAGGGGGAAGAGGCACGTTGATGACGAGGACTGTGCGTAGGTTGGAACGGTCGTCACCCCAGCATACCGCGCCGCGCGCCACGGCCGTCGAGATTCCAGTCAGCTAGTAGCGTCCCTACGCTTTCTCCACCCTGAGATCGTTTGACCAACGCTACGCCGAAACGTCAGTGCCTCGTCTCGCCCTCGTCCGTCCCGGTCAGTCGCGCTCGCTCGCTTGCGTGAGGCAGCAGCAGCAGCAGCAGCAGCAGCAGTGTAGCAATGCCTGCATGGGAAAAGTCCGAGCCACAAAATCTATGCGGTGGCAGGTCACACCGCGCGGCCGGAAGTGGGATGACGCGTTCACCTGGAAGGACGGAGTCCCCCCCGTCCCTCCCTCCGCCGTTAGGGGGGTGGTCGTGTCGGCCTGGGTGTGTCGTGGGATCGTACGTGTAGTGTTGTACACACGTGGGTGTGGAGTAGGGGTTGGGGTATAGGTCGGGGTAGGACAGGAGGGGGAGGGGGAGGGGGTGTCGGGTCGGGGAGAGGTTGGGTTGGATAGGATAAGGAAGGTGTGTGTGGACAAGCACAGAGCTGGATGTATTGCTCAATCGATGCTTGGCTCGTGGCCCGTTTTTGGCTGTTTAAGGGCCACCGCCAGCGGCGAGACGGGCCTTCTGGGCCGCCTCGACCTTTGCCTGGTTGGTCTTGGCAATGGCGTAGACGATACCGGCGATACCACCGACGCTGATGGCCAGCACACCGCCGGGGGTGACGGGGTCGGAGAAGAAGAGCATGCCCGATGCGGCGACGGGGAGCTTGTTGAGCGCGCCGACCATCGAGTAGGTGGTCGAGCCGCAGACACGGACGCACCAGGCGGTCGAGTACGAGATGAACACGGCGGCGGCGCCAGAGAAAGCAATGGCCGAGAGGAGGACGGTGCGGTTCTCGGGAGGGAAGTTGGCACGGAGCGACGCGCCGCCCCAGTTCTCGAACAGGAGCGAGAAGACGACGAGGACGGGGATCGAGAGGAGGTTGTTGTAGAACATCGAGTCCCAGTCCTTGAAGCCGGTGACCTTGATGCGCTTGCGCATGAAGAGGACGTAGGCGGCCGAGCACAGGCAGTTGAGGAACATCCAGAAGTAGCCGACGTTGATGCCGGCAAGGGTGTGCGCGGCAACGGCAATCTCACGGCCAGTGGTCTGGTCCATGGTACCGGTCCAGACGGCGGAAATGTCCGACCAAGCCGAGATGACGGACGAGCCGACCTAAGGAGGGTGTCAACGATGCCGATAACAGAAGAGAGGGAGAAGTGGCAGCCACTCGAGGGTTGGGGCTTGCGTGAGCCAGCCAGCGTAAGCCGCCACCGCCGGCTTGGGGGTTATCGACGCCTGGACGCCTAGGGCGTCGTCGGATTCCAGACCGAGTAACGCTCCGCGCTCCTAATGACAACCGACGAAAAAAAAGAGACACTCACCATGAGGGAGAAGGCGGCAAGAGTGAGACCAGTCACAGAGCCGTTGAACATGAACACCTCGCCGTAGGCGATGATGATGATGGTCAGGTTCTTGAAGATGCTGCGGAGGGGTTAGCTAACGCACAAGGGCGACGAGAATGACAAGGAAGAGGGGTGGGGTGGGGCAGCTGAGGAATCTGGAGATTCACAGGCAGACCAAAGGCGGCGGCCACAGACGAGCGCGTGGCGTCGCGGTGACCAACGCCACGTCTGCCGTCTCGCTGCCGTCCCGAGGAGACGAGAACGGCCACACGCCAGCACGCCCAGCACCGCTCGGTCGCGAGCAACGGGTCCGCCATCGCGAGCACCTTGCGCGACGCGATTCCCCACCACGCCAAAAGAGTCCGAGCGCAACAACACGTACGTGTAGACGGAGACATTGAGGAATTGCTGAGCGAAGTTAGCGAGGGACACGACGCGACTGGGGGCGGGAATGTGCGCGACTTACCAGGGACTTGGAACCAGTGTAGATGACGGCGACGAGGAGACACGAGATGGGCCACCAGGCGCGCGCATCCTTCATGTCAAGCTCACGGACTGGGGGCGGCGTGTCAGCGCCATGCACATGGTCCGGCAAGCGAGAGTGTCGCGCTGCGCGCCAAAGCGGGAAAAACAGGACACGGTGGCTTTGGGCTGCGGCGCGCTGCTGCGCTGGCCGGCGGCAACTGGTGCTCGTTTTGACGGAAAATCGCGACCAGGTCGCAGGGGGGAGGCGCGTCGCACCCCGTTGCAGCGCACGCTCACGCTGGCAACGGGCGACGGACGCATGCAGCACATTGGTCCTTGCTAGCGCGCTGGTGCGGAGTGCGGCGCCAAGCGTTTCCCAGGCTGCTTGCGGACAGGCTACTACTCACAGGTAATGAATCCGGCGCGCTTGACGCTCCAGACGGCCAGGACACAGACCGCCGACTGGATGGCGAGCAGGAGGAAGGTCATGGTGAAGTTCTCGCCCGAGACGACATACTGCAGCGCGTTAGCTCTGTGCTGGAAGGGGGGTTGGACGGTCGGTTGGTTGGTTGGTACTCTAGCGCGCGGGCAACCAGTGTCACACGTAGTCGACCAGCGTGGAAGTGGCCACGACGACGACTGCGCGACGCACGAATCGCCCGGCTGTGGTGCCAATAATATCCCGAAGGGTCTCTGCCCATCTCCACCAAAACGCGCGCCCGTCCTGCGCACACGCGGCCGCCGCGTCTCGCTTTCCAGTAATCTCACCTTGTTCACGACGGTCATCATCATGGACGCGGCGCAGTAGTTGATGATGGGGAGGACCTGGTCGCGGGATGAAGGAGTGTGCGCGACCTGGCTGTCGGCGCGGGAAGGCGAAGGGGGGCGGGGCGCGCCGCCGAGGTTGGCCATGAGGAGGGCCTGCTTGTCCTCGTCGCCGCGGCGCTCTGCCGAGTTTGCGTAGATGGACGACGACGACGCCGAGCGGTTCAGCGGCGGCGAGCCCGAACGCGAGAGCGAAGGGGTGGGGACGAAGGGCTTGGACATTGTTGTCCAGGTGTTTGTCGGCGACGAGGAGGAGGTTGCCGGGGAGGAGGCGGGGGAAGAGGAGATGGGAGGATGAGGAAAAGATGAAGAGGCCGAGGACGTCGATGAGGAGGGAGGAGGAGGAGGCGGCGGCGGCGGGGGGGCCATTGGGTGGGGAGGGGAGGGGATGAGGGGGGGGGTTGGTCGATGAGCGAGAGGATGTGGAAGGGGGGAGGGACACGGCGGGTGGAAGGCAAGGGAACGGCCAAGGGAAGGCAGCAGCGTATGGTGTGGGTCTCGCAGCGCCGGCGGCGGGCGGTGGGGCAGCGGGAGCAAAAATATGGGCTGCACTGTAATTTTCCTGCCAGCCAAATCCCTCTCACCCCCCCTTCGTGTCACCTACGGGACAGCTTTTTTCTGCGCGAGGTCCCCCCTTGCACTGTGCACTGTGTCCTGAATGGCCCGGACGCTGGCTGATGGCTGCTGCGCTGCTGCTCAGCTGCTCAGCTGCTCACTCTATCAGGCCACAAGAACGCCACCACAGGCAGAGCAGGATAGTGCCTTGCACCCCCCTCTCAGACGCGTCCGTCACGCAAAACACACTAGGAATAGCCACACTCAAATCTCTGCTGCTCTTCACATGCAGTATAGCATTTAACACTGTCTGGCCGCCGACGCTGTGGACACGGTCTATCATCCCTATCCCTCACACATGGAAAATCTCTCTGGGATCTGTCTCACTACTCCTCCTTCCCGGACCACACGAAACACCTGCCCCCCCCTCCCTCATGCTTAATCTTTTGCAATCTCCGTTCCCTTCCAGTCCCTACTTTTCTGGCCCGGCCCCTGCGGCGCCACTCCCGCTCCCCAGCGCAGCAGTGTTCGGTACGTGGCCATGGGCGCCGGTGACAGGCGCACTGCTGGTGGCAGGCGCCGCTGCTGGCGGTGGTGGTGGTGGAGCTGCTGGTGCTGGTGCTGGTGCTGGTGCTGGTGCTGCAGTTGTAACCGGCGACGGGCCCGGTGGGGTGGGCGTGGCGATCGCCGCTGCTGTTCCATTGACCGAAGTCGCCGGAGGGGCACCCGGAACTGCCGGTGAATTGGAAGCCGCAGGCCTAGCCTGCACATTCAACAGACGCGCCAGGTTTTGGAGCTGCTGTTGGTTACACGCGCCGAGATCGCTGGAGGGAGAGAGGAATGGTCAGCGTTTGAATATACGCCTTCAGTTTCAGGGATAAGAGACGAGAGCTATACGACTCCCCCGGCTGACGATCTCCATTCCTATTCACTCAGGCCGCAGGTAGCAACTAGAGCATAACCCTCCGCCAATAGTCCCCAGTACGGCATGTTTACTCACAGTGACAGGACGACATTCTTCTTATCGTCGCTCGTGCGCACCACTTTGGCCGGGGCCTTGGGCCCGTTAGGGTCCGCAGGGATGATGATCAGACCAGTCGCGACGAATTGTGGAATGAGAGTCCTGGTGTATCCATCAGCAGAGTGTAGTGTTTATTACGTCGGAAGAGGCTCTCCACTCACATGGGAACAGTGATGATGACGGGCTGCTGGGCCGGTTTACCAGTAGGCGTCAGTCCCGGTGTGGCCGGAGCGGCCGGAGCGGCAGCTGGGGACGGGAAGGCAGATGGGGTGAGCGGCGAAGTGGACGGCCCCGCACCAGTCGTGTGAGTGAGGACGGTCTCGCGCAGGCCGCCGCGTCCACTGCCACGCGGCCGGCCACGGGGTCGGCCCCGTGGAGGTGTTGCGGCCGGAGCAGCGGGAACAGCGGTCGGGGTGGCGGGCGCAGACGGCAAGGCCGCAGCGGCCATGGGCGTCGCTGGCACACCGGCACTGGCGACGGGCATGACCATACCAGCTGTTGGCATAGGTGGCACACCGACGGGCGCGGCACCTGGCGTCCCTGGTGCGACGGCGCCGACACCAATGGGCATAGCAGATGGTGGACGTGGCACCGCCGCGGGAACAACGACAGGTGGGGGACGGGGGACGGGCGGCGCAGCAGCAGCAGCGGCAGCGGCGGCAGCTTGGGCAGCGGCGGCCGCTTGGGCTGCCTGTGCGGCCTGCGCGGCCTGCGCGGCTTGCGCGGCCTGAGCAGCCTGTGCAGCCTGCGCAACCTGTTGTGCCCGACGACGCGCTTCTTCCTCGCGACGACGTGCCTCCTCATCCCGACGGCGTGCTTCCTCTTCGAGACGGAGCCTCTCCTTCTCCTTGGCCTGCTGGGCCTCGCGGATCTTGCGCGCCTCACCCTCGATGGCCTCGTACTTGGACCGCGTCGCGCGCAGGTTTTGCTGCACGGCCTGGAGCTCCTCTCGTATTTGCACTGTGGACTTTTGAATCATGTCGATGAGGGAGGGCAGGTCGGACGGGTGCTGCGGGGGGTCAGCATGCGCGGCATTCGCAAACCTCACATGTCCTTCACGGCGGCGGGCTTTGGCAAAGCGTTCACGGATGTTGACGAGGTCGTACACCAGCTCGCCTGCTTCCTTCATACCTGCTGGGTTAGCAACGAAGAGGCGTGAAACCCACCACTCTCGGGCGACTCGTCGAGCTTGTCGAGTTCCGAATCGGGCACCTGCCAGACATGGTAGGGGAGGAGACGATCAACCGCGTCTTCTACGCTCGTGAAGCGAGACACTTGCGGGTATTGTGTATCGTAATGATCCAATTCGAGGGCAAAGTGGAGTCTGTAGGCGGGGTTGGTTCCATAGTGTCGCCAGCAGCAAAGGGACCAAACACAAACAGGGCGAGGGCGGCGGGAAAGCAGTGGTCAGTGCTCCTGCTCTACCATCCAGATGGGCAACTCGTGGGACTCACGCCTCGGCACGCGACTCGACCTCTGCAAGCTCGTACGCGCTGTATCCAGCGGCCATGAGGTTGCGTTTCCGCTTTGACGGCCCTGCCACTGCGGGCAGTGCGGTAGGGTCTGGGGCGTCTGGTGTTGCCGCCGGCTCGGCGTTGACGGCGGGACTGGGGCTGGCTGGCACAGCAGCGGCGGCCATGGCTGGTGAAGGTCCATTAGCAGCAGCTGCTGGCGAGTGGGACGGGGCAGGCGCGACCTCGGGAGTCGGGACAGGCAGCCCAGAGAGCCCAGAGGGCTGGGCCGGAAGTGCCAGCTGGGCGGACGATGGTGTTGTGTGTTGAGTTGAGGGGAATGGTGGGATGGCGAGGGCCGGGCTGGCGGCGGCTGGCGAGGCTGTGTTTGTCGCTGGGAGTGCTGTGACTGTAGTCGCTGGCGTTACCTGCGTCCCCGCATCAGACATGTCAGCGGCGGACGTCCTCCACTCGCGTTCTCGTGTTGGCGCGTGGTGGGAGCAATGCGAGAAGTGAGTGAAGGCCGTCAGTCTTGGGCGGTTGGGAGAAAAGGAGAGAAAGGGGGAAATATAATCGCGGGGATAGTCTGGGCGTCAGTGTGGTGGCCTTGGTGGTGGTGGGTTTTTCGAGTTCCGCAAGCAGGCATGTGTGTAGAGATCGTAGAGAGCGAGAGACATGGAGGAGAGAACGAAATAGCAGCCAGCTCCCGACCAAGGACGAGTAGAGACACCCGACGGCCGTCAAGGTCGCTCGCTCGACACGCGATAGCGAGTCACGCGCAAGTGGCCACCCATATGGGGGCAAGAACAATGGCTCGCAGCGGCGGCAACCAGAGCCCAATTTCAGCATGGCAAGGTCCTTTTTTGCTCCCTCTAATAGACTAATGTTACCAATTAGGGATCTATTTCAAATCAAGTGCAGCCCCGGTCCACACCACCCGCTCACTCGAGATTTCGGTTTTCCCTTGCCAGTGTGCACTCCCGATCCACCTCATTAGCCATGTTCGCCGCTCTCCGCGCCTCGACGTCGCGCGCCGGCGTCCGCGCCTTCTCGGTCTCGACCCGTGCCGCTGCCAAGCAGCCGCTCAAGAGCTCTTGTGCGTAACTCTTTGCTCCCACAACCAGTACGAACACAGCGGGCGCTGACACACACCCAACAGCTGAGACTCCTCAACCCGTCGACCTTTTGACCAAGATTGGCCGCGGTGCCGAGAAGAAGCTCGGCGAGAAGGCTGCTACCTGGAACGACCTGACAAAGCTCTACAAGACCGGCAGCTCGGCGCTCGAGGACGCTGGTCTGGGGCCCAAGGAGAGGAAGTGGGTGTCATTCGCGCGTGCGATGGTCGAGTCGTCTGCCGTCCTTGAGGGACGGCTGGCTCCGACGTTTTGCGGTGGCGAGAAACAGGGGAGCAGGTGTGAAGCGGCAGCGAGGCATGTGCAGAACATTGCTGGTGGAGCGTCACGATATCTTCACCAGCAAGAACGGGCTCGCGCGACACCTCTGCGCAAGCTGTGCCTCTCCGTTGTCACTTCGCGCGACCTCGCTTGTCCGACGCCAGACTATTGCAGCGAACGCCGTGCTGACAGACACAGGTACATCATGTGGGCGTTCTCGCGCTACTCGACCGGCGACGCGCCAAGCTCGTTCATCGAGCCTCCCAGGCCTGCCAAGAAGATCCGTGGGTGAGTTCTAGAGGACCCATGAAGCGGCATGGAAGCACACGAGCTGACCACGTAACACTCTTCTCTCCGTGTCCTGCTCGCTCTCTTTCTGTGACGTTTCAACCGGACGTTGACAACTGGCGACTGGCGGTCTTCTCTTTGACCTCCCCTCGCGTTATCGCCTTCCTCTCGACCTTCCCTGCTGCCTTCCCTCCTTTCCCTCCTTCCTTCCCGGCCTTCTCTTCTCTGTGCTCTCTTGATCTTGATAATATACATAGATGGGGCCCACGTGTCCAGAACGGCAAGCGTGTCAAGTAATGTAGATTCTTTTGTGCCCGGAACATCGCCCGTCAAGGCATTACTGTGAAGCATCTTCTCTGCCGAGGTCAGCGCACACCTGCCTGTGCGACCTACTCTCTCGCTCTCTCTCGCTCTCTACACTGCCCGGTCAGCAGTTGCGGCCCCGGTCGTCGTCGCAGTCGCCGCGGCCGCGGCGCTCGCAGCCTTGACCTGGCCCAGCACCACAGACTCGTCCACGACTTCTGCCGCCGCCAGCTCGCGGCGCACGGCCTCGAGCTCGTCCTGCTCCGCCACTGCCGCCGCGGCAGCGACAGCCTCGCGCTCGACCTGCGCCGAGTTGTACTTCCACACAATGAGGTCGCGGAGCGTGTGGCCCGGTCCGGGGGCCGTGCGCGGGTTGGTCTCGTGCAGGTAGTATGCGAGGAAGCCGGTGAAGACGCCCAGGAGGGGGTCGACGGTGCGTGAGATGAGGTATTTTGGCATCGCGTGGGATGGAAAGAGGGTGGTGAGTGGTTGGTGGGAGAGGGAAATCCTTCGGCGCAGTGAGCGGGATGGGGGCAAGGGGGTGGGCGGCTAGCTAGTCGAGGCGGATACAGCACCAGGCGGTACTCGAGCTCAACGAAGCCGGTCTGTTGACGTCCGTCGAGGAGGATCGGCGGCCGAGGAGGTAGTGCGGCGACGGGGACGGGGGGGATGCGTCGCCGAGCAAAGATGCGCTTCCGAGGTGTGCCGAGGGCGTTTTCAGAGCTGTATAGGGTATGTAGAGCGGGGTCGTCACGGGATGCTCGGGGGGCCGTGTATGCTGACGCAAGATGCGATTACGAGGTGGACGGAGATGTAGAGGTGTGTGAGAGAGCAGCAAGCAGCGAGCGGCGAGCCTTGGGCGGGCGCGGGCCGGAGGTTATGGCCCAGCCAGGGCGAGGGTCCGCGACGCTACAATCCGACCATCCGGCGGCGAGCGTCCGTCGCCACTGGATGTGGGCTCCGCAATGACGTCCACACCATAGCAACAGGACCCGCCTTCGCATTCGCATCTCTTGTCACGTCTCCCTATCATCCACGTAGTTGATTCAAACGCACAGCAACGACCAACGTCTGCTGACCCGTGCACGCTATGGGTTCCCCTCGGACGCGGTACGTATATACACCGCCCCACACAATCCCAATCTCTCGTCACGTCCACTCTCCAAGTCACCCGCACGTTGTTGGTCGCTGACCATTTCGCCTCTGCAGCTCTGCGTCGCCCCCTTCGCCCCGTCCGTCACACACAGCACCAAATTACCCTTCACCAAACATGGTGACGACCACAGTCACTGCCCACAGCAAGGGCGAGGCGGTCGCTATCTCGACGCCCAACGGGACGGTCCGTATCACGCCGTACGTGTCGTCGGGCGGTTCCGACGGGCTCAAGACTGTCCTCCGCTTCGCTCCCCGCTACTCGAGCTTTGACCGCGAGAACACAAAGAGCCAGAACGACCAGTTCCGCGGCTTCTTTACGCTCTTCTGGATCGGTACGTCGAGCGCGTCTCTTTGCATGACACAAAAAGTTGTTGCTCCACCGCTCCCGCTGACACAATTGCTCCTCCGCTACCTTGTCCCGATGTCATATCTCGGTTTCTCCGACACTGCCCCGCGTCCCGCGCGCGCTGATTTCCACGACGTACCAACATTCTCTCGACCACAGGCCTCGCCATTACGTTCATGCGCACGTCGCTCGACTCGTGGGACACGAACCGCACGCTCCTGTCGCTCAACTTTGGCCGCCTCATCACGCGCGATGCGGTCATGCTCGCGGTCGCCGACCTGATCATGGTCTCGGCCATGCTCCTCAGCGTCCCGTTCGTCAAGTGCCTCCAGAGGGGCTACTTCAACTACTACTACACCGGTGTCATGCTCCAGGTCTTCTTCGAGAGCTGCTTCGTCTGCGCGGCTGTGGCGTGGGGTGTGGCGAGGGACTGGTACTGGGTGCAGGCGGGATTCATGGTTCTCCGTAAGTCGCTAAACTCAGAGAGACCTTGCTGACGGGACCAAGACTCTCTGTCGTGTATCATGAAGGTGGGAGCTTTCGGCACCTGAATAATCCACAGCCCACAGCTGACCTCCAGGTCCACTCGTACATTGCGCACAATGGCATGCTCGCGACGGTGTACAGCCGCCTCCAGGTGGAGAAACGCACCCTTGCCGACTACATCGCGAGGCATGGCGGCCACGAGGCGGCACTGGAGAGGGCCGCCAAGCATCAAGCTGAGCTTGAGGCCATCGAAGCGTCGGCTCCTGAAGTGAGCACTCCTGCCACGCCGCAAATTGTCGTCACGAACGAGAATGAAAACGGTAACGGCAACACCAACGGTAACGGCAATGTCGACAACACCAGACTTCTCAGACAGGCGCTCGAGTCGGGGGCCGCTCTTCGCCGCCGCAAGCGCTCGTCGCTGCCTGCCAAGAACAACCTTCCCCTGCCCACGGAGGGCCTGCCCCGCGGTACTTCGCTGGAGCCGTCGCACTCTACCTCGCCGCATACACCGCGCGACCCCAACCCACTTGCGTGGAGCCCGGACCGGCAGATTGCGCTGCTCGCGCGCAACATTGATGAAATGGAGGACGAGCTTCGCTCCAACGGCAAGAAGGGACTCGTGTGGCCCGAGAACCTGACATACAGGAACTTTGTCGAGTTCCAGTTCTTCCCGACCCTCGTCTACGAGCTCGAGTACCCGCGTACGACGACGATCCGCCCGCTGTACATCCTCGAGAAGACGCTGGCCACGTTTGGAACCTTCTCCCTCATCTACACCCTCACGGAGCACTATATCATGCCTCACTCGCCCCAGCCCACCGACTCCATCCTCCACACCTTCCTGAACCTTGCACTTCCCATGATGATCAACTTTCTTCTGTGGGTGGTCCTGCCTTGATAATGTTCTAACCCACCACCGCAGAATCTTCTACATCATCTTCGAGTGCATCTGCCCCGCGTTCGCCGAGCTGTCGTGCTTTGCCGACCGCGAACTGTACGGCGACTGGTGGAACTCTACCAGTTGGGACGAGTTCTCGCGCAAGTGGAACAAGCCCGTCCACGTCTTCCTCCTGCGCCACGTCTACTCGTCGTCGCGCAACGCGTGGAACTTTTCCAAATGGCAAGCGGCCTTCTTCACCTTCTTCCTCTCGGCACTGGCGCACGAGCTCGTCATGGCCGTCGTGTCCAAAAAGATCAGGCCATACCTGTTCCTCATGCAGATCTCGCAGATACCCCTTATCGCCATCGGCCGTCTGCCAATCGTGCGCCGGAACAGGACGCTGGGCAACATTGTGTTCTGGCTCGGCCTCATGATTGGTTTCCGTGAGTGCAAACGTGTGCAGCGTGTGGTGTTGGTTACAATCCGTGCCAAGCCAAGACTTGGAGAAACGCCAGTCACACGACCGTGCTCGTCTTCTCGTCTCCCCCCAGATCTGTGGCTGCATGGCTGACCACACTTGCCCCCTTCAGCCCTCCTCGAGATTTGTTATCTTGTATATTAGCGGCCAGCCTGCTGGGCCCCATAAAGGACCCACCTTATCCGGTACCGCTCGCCGCGCAGCGGTCCAAGCCGACGTCCGCTTCACCACCAGGTCCTCGGCCACATGTATCTGTAATCCTCCCTCTACAATAGAATTCACCGTGTGTCTAGCGCACAGCTAAACGCGTTTCTGATTGATCCCACACTCACACTCACAACTCACACTCACAACCCACACTCCGACGCGCGGGAAGGCGCCCTGGCACCACATACTGCTGCTGCTGGTCGTGGGGGTGACAGCGCGTCATTGGATATAGGAGGAGACGACAGCCCGCCGTGTCCATGGCGTTTGCTTGGGGGAGGAGGAGGGACACATTCCACACTATGTGTGGTGTGGTGTTGCCGACGACGTCGGCTATCCCGCCTTCCCCCCCCCCCCCCCCCCCTCCCCGGCCCCGCCCCTTTGTGGGTTTCGGTGACAGCGTGGTACCATACCACTCGACCTTGGCCACTGGCCACTGGCCCACCAGCTGATGGGATCTGGGAACCGGGGAGGAACCGCCTCGTTTCAGTGGATCAAAGTGGGGGCGGCGAGAGTGGGAGAGTGCGGAGAGTGCGAGAGTGCGAGAGTGAAGTGAGAGAAGTAAATGGGTTGTGGCGCGCTAGCTGCCGCTCGGCACGTCCGCATGCCGGCGGTGATCTGTGGCCGACCGTCGTGGGCCGTCAATCGTGCAATCGTCCTTCGCCCTCGTCACCTGCCCCCTGCTTGTGCTTGTGCTTGTGCTTGTGCATGTGCTTGTGCTTGTGCTTGTGCTTGTGCTTCCCCTCCGGGTGTCTCTGATGCATAAGACGGTGGCAGCGGCGGCGGCGATGGCGGCGGTAGAGGCGTTTGCTCTGCGGTGCGTGGGTGAGATCTGGTGGGGATCTGGAGTGAAACGGCATGGCGCTGGGCATGTGGCATGTGGCGCGGGCTTCGCGGGCTTGGCTGTCGGTCGGTCGGTCGGCCGTGTCGACTTTCGGGCCCGCCACCTCTCTCCCACGCTCGACGCTCGCTGTAACCGACTGTGGTGCACAGAGCACAGAACACAGTAAAACATGGATGGAGGATGAGGCACCGGGGGGGCGGGGCATCACTATCGTATACCCGTATACCCCACCGCCTGGCGCGCGACGCTCGCTGCGCTGTGGATTCTTGCTGCTGTTTGCTGCTGCGGTTGTTGTTATTGCGAGATCTGGACGGGAATTGAGTCATATTGAGCCAGCCAGCCACGGTTCGCGGGACCTGGCCTGAGCGAGGTACTGCATATCGGACTGACTGTGGAGGGACATTGATATCCCGCGGTACGCACCTGGGTGTGTCGCGGTACGGGGTACGGGGTACGGGGTAACGAGAGGGTACATCGGCCATCGCGTCCGCTGCAGTGTACAGTGTTACGTACGGCGGTGTGGGGTAGTCTCGGCGGTCTCGGTCGCTCGCCAGATGACCTTGTTGCTGACGGATGAGTGGAACCGCACACCTCGCGACAGTTGCCTTTTCATGCCTCATGCCTCATCGCCCCACAGGCCCATTGCGCCACTTGTAGCAAATTTATGTAAACACATGGGTTGCATTACCAAATTCACAACTATAGTTTTACAAGGAGGGCTCGCTTTCGGACGGCTATGGCTTTTTCGAAGAGAAGAGACGAGAGAGAAAAGAGATGCTTGCTTGCTTGCTTTGGTCGAAGATGGAAGATGGAAGAATGCGGTTCACTGTCCAGCGGTGGGTCATGGGATGAAGAGCAAGGAAACCTGATGCGAGATAGGATGGGAGGGGTTGTATGTACAGCCGGCTCAGGAAGGACGAGGGAAGTGGTGGTCACAGAGCGCCACAGAGCCGGAGGGAGTAGAGAGGAGGAGGGGAGAGAAGAAGGGGCATATGTTCCCAGGACCCAGACTGGACGAGGTTGAGGTTAGCTCGACCACCACCGCTCAGTCGTCGTGCGGGGAGCCGCTGCGCGAGGTGGAGGAAGGCGAGCCCGAGACGGGGTACTCGGCGACGGGGAGACGGTACTCGTGCTGTTCGGGGGAGGTGTGGCTGTCGTCGTCGGTGCTGAGCGTGTTGGTGCGTGGGCGGGGGTCAAACGCGGCACCAGACGAGACGCCCATGCCAGCAGGTGCGACGGCACCACCACCACCACCGCCGCCGCTGCCGCCATTACGCCACATGTAGTCGTGCGATTGCTGAGCGTAGTGAGGGTAGTGCTGGGCCGGGTGCTGGGACTGGGCGTGGAGCGGCTGGTGCTGGGCGTGGGGCGAGACCTGGGGCGAGTGGCTGTGCTGGCTCATCGAGTGCTGGCTGGGCGAGTGCTGCGAGTACGACGACGGCCACGCGCCACTCTGGTACTGCTGGTTGGCATAGTTTGCGTACTGCTGGGCGTGGTGGGCCTGGATAAACTGAGCATGGGCCGCACCGCCGTAGTGCTGCTGGGCATGCTGGGAGGGCACCGAGACGGGCTGGATCGCGCCCTGGAGGTGGGGAGGGGGCTCGAGAAGGTATGGGTGGATGGAGCGCTCGGGGTCCCAGGGCTTGCCGCTCGACGGTCCGGCGCCGTGGTTCCAGACGGGAGAGTCGTGCTCGTCCTTGACGCGGCCCGTGGCGAGCTCCTTGTTCTTGGAACGGGTCGAGTTGGGACTGCCGCCGTTGGTGGTGGTACCCTTGGTCTTGCCGCTGGCTGTCGGGGGACGGTAGTTGCCACCGCGGAACCAGTCCTGGCACCCGTCACGGATGGCCCACTTGCGAGCACCGCCAGACTGGTCACCGAATGGCCGGGGCAGCTTGACAAAGGCCTTGCACATGGACGTCTGGTGGCGAACACCATTGTAGATTTTGGACGGGTTCTGGCGGAAGTCTGTGCGTGTGTCAGCGTTTTGTTGTTGTTAATGAAAGGTGGGTGGCGCGGCCACCGCTTGTTTTGTGTGGCATGGCGCATTCTCCAACACGAAACCAAAGATGTACTCACATGCGTGCTTTGACTTGATGCTCTCTGAGATCTCAGACACATACAGGTGGTGAGGAGGAGCCGAGGTGAGGAGGGCCTCGCCGATAAGGGCGGCATACGACAGAGCCGGCTTTGTGGCTGGGACCTCGCCCGGTTTGAGGATGGGCTCTGGAGGCTTGGTGTGCTGGAGCTGCATGTGGGGCACGCGGTAGCCGTACGGGACGTCTGAATCAGAGGTGTGGTATAAGTGGGCGTTGTCGACGGGCGGTGAGTGGGTGATGTACTGGGACTGACGGTACGCGGACGTGTTGGCGGCTGGGACCAGGTGCGAGGTGGCAACTGCAGTGGTGGTGGGATAGGGGGCAAAGTCGTCGGTGTAGGACGACGAGTACGGGTAGGCCGGACCCTGGTTGTTGTTGTTGGTGGCCGTCACGGCGCCGTTTGAGTAGGTTGGGTACGAGGAAGGAGGGATTCCCTGGTGCTGCTGCTGCTGTTGTTGCTGTTGCTGCTGCGCCTGCTGGGAGTGCGCCTGCTGAATTGCCTGGAGGGGAGACAGCGCGGCGGTGGCAAAAGGTTGCGAGGGGTTGAGAAGGGGGCCCGTAGCGAGGGCCGAGGTGGGGAGGGAGTGCTGCTGCTGCTGCTGCTTGGCGAACGTGGTGGTGGTGGTTGTTGTAGACGTGGTGGCCTGCGGGGCTACGGAGGTGGCGAGGTGGTTGGTTTGGTGGCTCGCGAGGTGGTCTGGTGCGGTGAGGGGGCGTGTGTGGTGATCAAGAAAGGGAGACGAGTTGTTGGTGAGCGGCGTGTCAGACATGGACGTGCCCGAGTGCCGACGGTGGATGATGGATGAGGTCGTGCTCAGAGGATCCAGTAAAGAGGACGGCTGCGTGTGGTTGTGCAGTGTGTTGATGTGGACACGAGCAAAGGGGTTTGATAAATGTGTGACAGCAGCAGTCGTCGTCGTCGTTGGCGGGGTCACGGCTGCTGTTGTACCATTCGACGTGGGGGCGCCGGCGCGAAGTCTGCTGGGAAGCACACTGGGGGGGGGATGTGGGATCAGCACCGAGTCACCATTCTTCGTGAAGAGGGGGTTCCCACAAGATCTACCCCGCACACGCACGCACACACAATGCAAACGACCTCGTGCTCGTCCTCGTCCTCATCTGTTCACACCCGATGGACATGACGCCCCTCTGTGCGCATCGCCGCTGATCCTCTCCACACGGCCCACTTGCCGCTCATCACCCATCACACACCATTTGCCGGGGACAAGGGTGGGGGGGGGACCTTTTTCCCCGACATGTGGGATTTTTGTTGCCCTCCCAAACGCGCCCTTGTGCGTGAGAAGCACAGGCATGTGTGTGACGCTCCCGGGTTTCTCCCTCTCTCTCCCATCAGCGAGCACGCGCGTGATGCAAAGGTGATGGGATGATGCGATGATGCGACTCGGGAAATGACACCGCCTAGCACACACGGATTTGCCACACTCGCATGCTCGTAGCCGGCGCGCACACGTATGCAGAGAGCCACACAGACACACACGGACACGGACACACACTCCACAATGGGCAGTGTCATTGCAAACACCCCTCCTTCTCCCTTTTATTCCCACAGACAACGAATGCACGCTCGACATCACCGACGCGGGCGCACAGCGATAATGGGTGGCGAGCACGGATTCCATCGCCCACCCGCAGCAGCCGCCCGCGCATATCACATGTGTCTGCGCGCAGACGACAAGATCGGACGACGGGGGATCGATCGATCGGCGGCCAGGCGGGGGGACAAGAGAGTGTGGTGTGCGCGTCCAGCGCCACAAAGTGTGTCTCACGCCCCACATCCCCCAGCACCGTCTTCTCTTCTTGCGATCACCGAAACCCCAATGGGATCTGGCTCTGGCTCTGGCTCTGGCTCTCGGGTGGGTGTGCTGCGAGAGAGAGAAGACACCGAAGCGACAAAAAGGCGTGCCGGCGTTGCCCCGGAGAGACAAAACACGAACAATCACAGAGACCACGGGCTAAGACAAGAGGAACCCCCAAACACACGCGAAACGAATAACCAGCAAATAAAAGGAAAACCGGTACTCACGCAAAGCATCCATCGCGCGGGAGCGACGTGGAAGTGGCAGTCGGCGTCGGCTGCATGGCCTCTGAAAAGCTCTGGTATGCATTGTCCTTGATCGCAAAGACATTTAGGAAGACGGGTTTGGGGTCGTCGTCGTGCTCTTGCAGGGGCACATGGGCGCTGATGGGCGTGGCGAGCTCGGGCGAGTCGAGGGGCGCCGGCGAGCTTGTCGACAGTTCTGAGGGCACGGGAACGGGCACGGGGAGAGGCAGCGGCAGCGGCAGGGGCAGGGCGGCAGCGCCTAGTGCCGCCGCGTGCATGGCATCGACGCGGTAGCGTGGCGAGCACAGCGAGATGCTGTGCGCTCGAGGTGTCGCCGGGTCAAACGCGCGGCCGGGAGCAGTGGTGCGAACGTCCCCAAAGCTGTCAAATGGGTATGTGGGTCGACGGGCGGCGAACGCGGAGCCGGGCGTAGGGCACAGTGGCTCTGCCTCGTCTATGCCCAGGTCAAGCTTCAGCTCCATGTTCTCGCGCTTGATGTGGACAGCGGCCGTTCGTGGCGCGCACGCAGTCGAGGCGATGGTCGACGACGCGTCTGGATCGGAACTGCAGCTGCTGAAGGAGAATAGGCCGACGGCGTTGCCGACCACACCTCGCTTGGCGTCTGCCCCAAACAGGTCCTGGTCCTTGAGGTCCAGTCGTAACAGGTTATGCACGCAGTCGCTGTCGTCGTCCTGGGACCCCGCGTAGGCGGTGCCTTCTGGCGAAGACCAGTAGCCATCGTGCGGTGATGCGTCCATGGCCTCGACCAAGCTGACGGCACCGAGCCCGAGACCCAGGGCCGTGTCGGATGCTGACGGCGGCGCCAGAGGCCAAACTGGATGTGATACTGATGACGGCATGGCCGCAGATGTGTATGTGTAGGTGTGTGTAGGTGGTGAATGTATGTAGATGTGTATGAGAGTCGCAGGGCAAATGTGCTGGCCCTCCTTTACTCAATGACGGGGAAAGCGAGTTGGGCTTGATCGTTTGCAAGCCAAAGTCTCTGCGGGGTGCCGATGCCACTCTGTTTCCATGACTCGGCTCGCAGGAGTGACGTCGTGCAACCAGTGTTGTCCCGTGTACTTGATAGCAGTGGGGAAAGAGAGGTGCTCAATTGGGCTGGAATATGCAACGAAAAGGTGCTTGCTTGTACACGGGTTGGAGAAAAACGCGGCCGGAAAGTTGAGCCCCAGTCAAAGGTCGGGGCCTCGAGAGAGAGAGAGATCTAACGTGAGATCCCCCCGCGTGCCGGGTGCCGGCTCCTGTTCGCCGAGAAAACACTCGTTTGTGAGCTCACAAAGTCGAGGTGTAGCGAGAGACTCGAGAGTGGCCAAAACGTATACTGGGCCGTGCTCTCAAGGCGGGAGGTGACTGTGAACCGCGATGCCCAAAAGTCGACGGTTGCAGTGATGGACGTGGGGTGCGGCGGTGTGGTGATGTGATGTTTGCCCAGGGAGTGGGGCAAGGGGCAACGAGCAATGGTGGTCCCTAAGATCTCATGTCGCTTTGGTCTTATGGTCCTCCCCATCGTGCAAGGAACAACGCAACGCAACGCACCCGCATTTCCTATCCAACCCGTATACTGAGGTGTCCTGCCGCCAAAGGGCCACGCTCGCCTGCAGCAGCAGCAGCAGCAGCAGCAGCTGTCCACGCTCTCCGGCGCGAGGTATGCAACTTGCTCTCTTCTCTCTCTCTGTCTCTCACACACGCATTGCGAGGCGAGACCCGGGGTCGCGGTGGGGGCCGGTGAGAGGGCGACAACGCAATGGCAGTCGACAGCCTGGCAGAGGAGGAACGACTGCCGGGTTGCCGCAGGTCGCGCGCGAGGGTGGGCCGGCCGCTCGCCGTCTATCCAACAATACGCCACATGATGGCTTGGAGGCTGCCCTCTTTGACAAAGGGGATCTGGTCACTCCTTTACACCCCCGCCATGTCCCAGAGGCGGCAGTTCCTTGGCATGGACATCCCATCATCGGGCATCATACATACCTCTTTCGGTGGCAGCAATCGGTGCACGACATGCACCACGAACATTACTTGCCGCCAACCAAACAGCCTCTCAAGGGCCAAGGGGCGGCGTGACCGTGCATTCTGGTGGCTGTCCCGGGGGGCAAGCCCACCAACCCCATTTCTCTCTTGTCATCCCTTGGTCCGTGGGTACGCGTCGGTGGTTATCAGCAACAAGACTCCTCTCTCTCCACTCCTATATCCTATACTCCGCCGGCGCACTCGGATGCAAACGACACCCACCGGGAAGAATAAAGCATATGCTGCATGCACACCGACGCGGCTGAGACTGGCAGACCCGAGAGAACGCTACGGCAGCCGCCACCCATTGCCACTGGGGGACCTTGGCCCTGCCGCCAGAGCCCAGCACGGAGACGTCCCGGCATGCTCAGCAGGGGGCCTGTCTCGACGCATCGCAGGAATACAAATGATTGACAGAAATTACAAAGAGACAGAAATTACAAAGAAGGGCTCCATGACGAAAAATGCAAAACACACCGTGCTGCGCAAATCCCACGGTGACCCAGATCCCTAGGAGCGCTGGGTGAGGAATGGAGGCCCAGGGTGGTCGTCTCTCTGTGGCTCTCTCTGCCCAACGAACGCACAGAGAGGGGATCTCTGACTGGGCACCTTTTTCTTCTCGTACATTCCTCAGCAGTCATTCACCCATCTCACCGGCTGTCCCAGCTCTCGCTCAGGGTGGAGATCTGAGGGATCTGCTGTTTGAACGAAAGCCAGCCAACACAGGCGAAGGTAGGGAACTAGAAGGAGCGCACGTACAGGAACGACAAGCTAGATCTATGATGGCAAAGCACAGTGGCGGCAGAGTAGGCGCGTCGTTTGTCAGTAGGCAACGTCCGCACCTAACCCCCTCCTTTGCACGTGCAGAAGGGTCGCGTCCATCGCCATCAATGCACTCCGCCATGTAGCGGCCGCATGCCTGCGGCCTCCGGTCCTGCGGTCTTGGGTTGCGGCTTGGGCGGAATCACCATCCACTACAACAACAAAAACAACAAAACCCACATGGCGACATTCGATCACCCAGTCGCAGAACCAACGTGGGTGATACACAGTCCGGTTAGTCGGGCGAGTCGGGGTCCGGGCAGCTCGTGCACGCATCATGTCCATGGCATAAGCGAGCGAGAACAGACTAACTAGTACAGCGCACCAGTGAGGGGGAGGCAACACGCTAAGGGGCCCACATACCGAGTCGTCGCATTGATCTCATCCCCTATCGCACCGCACTCCATACTGAGAGAAGGCTGTCCAGCCAATCATCAAGTGGTCGTACCTGGGGTGTTAAATAGCATACTGGAGGCGCCGAGCCTACAGCACTGGTGACATCGGTATGCAGCAATTGTATCTCGAACGTCTGACACGACTGTGCCATACATGTTGTACTTTGCATTCCTGTCTGTTACTCGGGATACGCTCGCCCAGTCTACGCCACATCTGTACGCTGAAACGTGCCTAGCGTGTAAGCCTGTGGCCCAATGGCTGATTTCCAACCACCCCACGAGGTGGTAGCTCAAAGGACCTAGTAGCCAGGTGGCGAACCCAGCCGTTCTTCTCATGGCTTCCCGAGTGGCCGCCAGAGATCCATAGAGGAGACTGGCGACGTTCGGCGTCGAGGGCCATGGTGGGCCCTTCCTGCCTATCTTCAGTGCTATAGGTGGCGATAGCGCCAGGCTCGCCTACACCTGCCTAAACAATAGAGACACGATGGAATGCGGGTGGAACTGTTTCAACTGGCCGCGCGGAACAATTGCGGGCAATGATATAATACTGGCCCACGCTCAATCGTCATCCCGCTGGTGTGCGCCTTTGCAGTTCTACTACCCTTTGCACAACTATGCACAGGACGTCACAACCGTGTACAGCACCAGCGCCACCGATCGTATATTACTCCTATACATGACTCCATCTTTACGACAAGACGGTAAGAATAAAAAGCGACGCGAACGCACAATGCACCAGCGGCCACCACCGTTGGACCTGACTTTGTGCGCACCACCCACCAATCCCACACTCTCCACCACCACCACCACCACCACCACCACTGCCACCACTGCTACCACCACCACCGCCGCCCATGGCGTCTTGCTGGTTCCCTGGAACTACCCCCCATCCATAGGTACCAGCGAGTATCGATGTCTTTTGGAGTCCCATCGTGGGGCACCTATACACCGTTCGGGTGCTATTGTGATTGAGTGACAGGATCTGCTTCCGTGGGTTGCAGGCACAGTGGCTACGCCACATGCCGCTGGCCGCTGGATGGGTGTGGTATATGGAGATGCCCCCGGGAGGTCCTCGTTCCTCTGTTCCTTGCATTGCTTGCTCTCCTCTATTGCAAGAAGCGCGCTCTCCAAACTCGGTCCACTCTACCTAACCCGAGGGTGCATATCATCCCTCTGGGCTGTCTGGGCCCTCTAGGGTGGTCTCCGGCTCCTGATGCCACTCTTTGTTCATCAGAGCAGCGTCCTGCCGTTTTGCCGGCTGCGTCTTGCCAGCTGTTGTCAGCTGTATTGTTGCTCACTCACTCTTGCTGTTTTCCTGTCGGAAGCAACGCGAGCCATCAGCGTGCACCGCCGCCTGTACCTGGGCGACCAAGCTGGCTCGCGGTGGGTCGCGTTGCTCCTTGATGATAGCCCGGGTGTCTCATCTCCACGCTCTCCTTTAGCGTTAGGTCAGTGGCAGCTGTCGTGCGACCACCCCGGAATGACCACTTGATATCCCTTGCTTCCATACACACGTTCGTGGTACTACTCCCCCCCCCCCCCCCCCCCCCCTTGCGCAGCATTCCCTATTGAAACCCCTAATGACGCGAGCGGTGACGTGTCGCAACGGGCCGGCAAACCCGGAAAGAAAACACCAGCACAAACAACAGGGAACATGGCCGGTGCACATCTTATTGAAGCACTGTGCCACCCGAGCTCACCTGTGCCACTTGCAGCTCTCCTCGTGTGAGAGGGTCGAAGGGAGACGGGTCGAGTGCAGCCAGGAGACAATGAGATCTGGCCGTCACCGCTCCAGTGCAGGTGACTTGTTCTGCAGCGAAGGGAACATTCGCAGGTTCATCCTAAGATCCTGAGATCTCCTGCCCGTGCTCGATGGTCGGTCGCTCACGCGCATCAAACCTCCCTGCCTAGCCCTGGCCCCTCCTTGGATCTTGTACCACGGCGTTTCCCGCAGACGGCAGGCGCGCCTAAGAGCCTCAGAGTCTCCCCCCCCCCGGTCGTCTGCCAAGTGCGGAGGCGGAACACGTGTGGAGCCCAGCACGCCTATGGCTCGACGCCATGCGCCACACGGCCCGCGCTGTTTCACTCCGGCACACGACAGCTGACCCGAGAGCGGACAAGTGGAAGACTGGGCACATAGAGAGGGAGAGATAGGGAGGTCCGGCCGCACCGGCACTACTAGTGCATTCCGGCAAACTCGACAGAACCAACCAGAACAAGATTTCCGCCTGCTGGCCTGCTGGCCTAGCCATTTGATTTGTATTTCACAGGGAAACGGATGTTTGTGTCGACGAAACAATTGTTATTGTACTGTAGTCGTAGTCCTCTCGCCAAGCGTGGCCCGTACCGTGCCTTCATTACTGCCACTGCCACTGCAAAAGCAAGACATCATGCCATGACAACTTCACATTGTTTTGGTCGGTATTCCGGACGAGGTACCGCCCGTGGCAGCCTGCAACAGTGGCAGAGTCACCCTGTAACACATGTGTCTGTCGCTGAATCACCGTTTTGCCGGCCGTGTCCTTTGTCTTGCCGTTATCGCCGTCCCACACCACACACACGGAAACACCTTGAATGAGCGGAATAACTGAACAAACCAAAAGAGTAACAACGGTGTCACCACCACCATTCCTCCCTGTCCGCGTTTTACTATTGCTCATACAGGCGCCGCCGTTGATGCTCGTGTACCTCTTGGCGTAGTCTCTCTCTGCCAACACCACGTCCCAAGTCCCACGCACAGTCTCAATGCGCTCGCAGCGCGGGGGCCTGGCCCTCGACCACGTTTTTTTTTGGCATAGCTCGTGGCTTCCACAGAGTTGAACACGTTAAACATCATTCACACACCACTCTCTTACTCTCTCTTGCTGGCTCTACCTTTTTTTTCCGTCTTCCCTGCACAAAGGTCGAGCCATCCAGGCCCATGTTGTGCATTCGACGATTATAACCCGTCCAGGGGAGAGGAGAGGCACAGTCATAGGAGAGAGACTCAAAGAGCCGAAAGGGAGCTGGAACCGCGGAGCCTCCCTCAGTTTGGAGGCGAGGGGACAGGCGACAGCGACAAAGACAGGCGGGACACGCCGGATTCCGGTACAGTGCGCCGCCCGCCGCCGCCGCCGTCGGTAGCTGTCCTGATGGACCCGGTAAGCTCTCTGGGCCTTTGTCTCAAAACCGAGAGTCTTGTTTCTCGTGTTTACCAGTCACACCACAGCCGGCAGCAAAGGCAGCGTCGTGACATGCATACCGGATGCAACCTAAAAGTACTGTGTCGACGGCGCGAGGAACCCGTGGCGAGACGGGACCGTGTCGCTGTATTTGACGCCGGTGATTACAGCCGGGTCGTATGGAGTCGGGCTCTTATCACTACACTACTAACTACATACTGCGGCGTGTCGCGGGGTCAAAACCTGACTACACTATCCAAAAGCGTGTTGCGGTCGCGGTCGTAAGAACCGTGCGCTCCTACAAGTCGACTGGAACCTTCCCCACTCGGCGGACCGTATCTGTCACGTGCCCGCTTTCGTCTCTTGTTCGTTCGGCATGCAAAAACAGCAGATGCGTGTCTACGCTTCGTCCCATCATGTCCCCATGGCGCGGGGCTGACGCCACCAACGACCGACCTTCCCAAATGGCGACGGCCCCACATGGTGCCATGTGGAGTGTGCTCGAGCCCGCCAACCCCCTCTAGTTGCCGACAAGGTGCCGATGTGCGTTCGGCGGTACGTCGCCGAATGTCCCACACACTGCCAGAGCCAGAGCCATGAGACGGACGCGCAGCAGAGCCGGGGCACAGGTGCTTCTGAGACACTTGGCAAAGGCGTGAGGCGTGGGGTAGGCTTGGGCTTGCGGGGCCCGTCCTGCTGCTGGCTTTTGTTTGGGTTTTGATTTTTTGTTTGGTTTTCGTTTGCGGCCTGCTCCCACACCGACAGGATCGGCGGGCCGAGCGTTCCCACAGTGAACGCATGTTCCAGAACGGGCGCGGGAACTCGGACAGTGACAGGAGCGGGGCGTGAACTCGGAGAGATGGAGAGATGGAAAGACGGAGAGATGGAGAGATGGAGTGTGGCGGTGTCGGTGCACGCAGTGGGGACTGCGCCGCACGGAGTCGACCGGCCTGGTTATTCCGCATCGCGCTGTTGATGGGTCCTCCGCTCCCGCCCAAGGTAGAGGGGCAGAAGAGCCTGTACAGTAAGACCAGCGTCAATACCCTGCACAGCAATAATACCATAGAACCAGAAGCTCGGCGATGTATCCACTTTTTATAGACCACTCGTGTCGTTTCCCTTCTTTCACTTCTTTCATAGTCTCCACATGGGCTCAACCTTTCGATACAGACAAGATGGACCAAACAGAATTGGGCTCCCTCCCTCCCCTTAGGCAACAGTTCCACTGCCGTGGTTGGTCAGTAGTGTCAGTAATATGCTCAGCGAGGCCACTGAGATTTGTTCGCAGTCGCGACAAACCGGGGCCATCCATGGACGATAAGAGCTGTGGCCCCATTGGCGTCAGTAGCAACGTCAGTAGCAGCGTCAGTGGGGTTCGCGAACATCGCCGCGAACCGGGGCGACGGCTGGGCGGAAACCCATCGGGGTGGCGGATGGTGAATCACAATAACATACTGTACACTCCTTACCCAATCGTTACACGCGAGCCTTCTTCGCAACTGGTTGTTCAATGTCATCGTCGTCGTCTTCATCATCATCAAGTGGGTCGTGCCAAACAGCGTCTGGTGGCGGAGTCCTTTCAGCGCTAGGAGATCGAGACGGCAGACGTCTGTCGTCCGGGCGTTTGGGTGTGGGTGGTGTCGACGGTTGGCGTCTAAACGGTGGCGAGTCTTCGTTGTCGTTGCTAGTTTTCTCCCCAAGCTCGAGACTCTGCGGCGGTGTCAGCGTTCTCTGATACAATATCACGGGGCTCGTTGGTATACTTACGGCACCGATTGACTTTGCAGGCTCGCCGCTCATTGTTGTCTCCGGCCCGTCACGCTCGCCGTCGTCCTTGGGAGTAGTCGTCGCGGCCGTTCCCTTTTGCTTGGAAGAAGCGACCGTCGGCGGTTTTGGACCGGCGCCAGCAATGAATGGCTCATTGAATGCACGATACAGCGACAGTGTTTTGGTCGCACCAATACCCTTGACATTGTTGAGGGCCTGGTTTGGCTGTTTGACCATGCTTGCGAACGACTGCAAACGGTAAGCGACGCTCGGCCTCACATAAAATAACTCACGCCAAAGGTAGCTGAGAGGGTCTCCGCATTGGCCTTGTTGACCTTGCGGCCACTGGTAAGAACATGCTCCAGCTGCTCTTGGTACGTCTGGCGGACCCTCTCCTTGAGTGAGTCGGCAGACTTGTGCTCATACGCCTTGAGAGTGGTCAGGTATTGTGCTGCCTCTTCGTTGCTGTTCCCCCACGTCAGTGAGGTCTGTTCACAGGACTGGGGAGAATGAACCAGGCACTCGGTAGCAACTCACGAGAAGGCGACGAGAATTGTCAACTCATTGATAATTGCGAGCTTGGAAAGCTCCCTCAGCGGTTGCTGATGCTCGTTCTGTGGAGGTGTAAGGAAGCCGGCGCAAAGGAGGTCTGCAAGCGACGTACAATATCGCAGAGAATCAGAAGAATGCGAAGCTTGTACACATTCTGAATCTTTTCAATTCTGGTGTGGATGTATTCTGGGTGCAACCGATGGTATTTCAGGCTGGACGTCAGTTAGTTAGCTGTCACGGTTAAACAACCGACCTCAGAAACAGCACTCCGTTGTGTGCTCCGACCTGGTAATCCGCCTTGATGTCTCCAATCTCCAGTCCAACATTACGTATCAGTGGCAGGATGGGGTTGCGGCGCTGGAACGTAAGCACGCAAGCGACAGACCGGCCACAGCGGTCAACAAACCCACTTGAAGGACACTGTGCACGATGGCATTCTTGCTCGCAGCAGGCCGGTTTACGGGTTTTGATGGTCCTGATGGAGGCGCAGGGGCTGATGGCCCACCGCCTGGAGCAGCTGCGACGGTCGAACTAGACTCGCCGGTCTTTGGAGGGAGACGCTGCCCACCGCCAGCGTTGCGGTTGGAGGACAAGGACGGGGCGTGGGTCGACCTGGGGAGCGACGAGGCTGGCTGGAATCCTGGTGCCGTTGACAAAGGGCGTTGCTGGGGTGTATCCGACATGTCGTGCCGAGTATGCTGACCCTCGTCGTGGTTGTGAGTTGAGAAGTGGAATGCAGGTGGTGCAGCATGACCCGGTTGAGTGGACTGGTCATTGTTTACCCCGTGGGGACTATTTGATCCCGTCAAAGGTGGTGGCGACGGAAGCAATTCTGGTCGTCTGATGATTTCGTGTAAACAAACGGCATCTCGCGACTGTCTTTCCGTCTTTATCATTGACTACCTCACCCTACGTTACGTCCATCTGCGACTACACGTCCCTTATACCGACTGTCTACGTACCAATACAAACACACCCCTTATTCTCGTCATGCCGCCCGCAAAGACGACAAAGCGGGGAAAGGAAAACGTCGCGCCGAAAGCCAAGAAGGTTGTCGAGGAGGACCCGCTGGCCGATGGGTTTGATGGTGTGTACACGTCCGGCCTTGTCAGGTGTTGACGTGTGACAGAGATGGATACCCAGGCTGTCCTCGAACCGGTCAAGCCCAAGGGGAGGGTCGGCAGGCCCCCAAAGCAACCGAAGCGGCAAGCGACGGAGGAACCGGAGGTTGAGGCCGATGAACCACCACGAGCATCATCATCATCAAAGGCGGATGAGGACTTGCAGAAGCGCCTTGCAGCTGTGAGTTACTCTCACGCACTTGTTTACGTCTGACGTGTCCAGATGACGGCTGAGCGCGACCGTGCGATTCGGGAACGTGACACGTTTGCGAAGCAGTTTGAGGACCTATCGCGCCTGCGTTCAACCGAAGCCGAAACCTTGTTGACCAAGTTCAAGGAGCAGGCTGCGGCTGTTGCCAAGGGTAGGTGCATATTGGAGGCTATACACTGACCTGCTAGCCCAGGCGGATGTTATTGAGAACCAGTCTGCGTTGAACGAGAAGTGGGCGGCCAAAGTCACCGAGCTCGAAAAAGCCCTTTCGGCATCGCGGGTCGCGACTGAAACTGCCGAGGAGCGCGCAGCTGCCGCGGCAGCGCCCCCCGCTCTCGAAGGCAAGCTGGACGGCAAGACCTCGACCGAGTTGCGAGGCGAGGTGCTCAAGCTCCGCACCACGCTAAAGGAGAAGGAGGAGCAGCGTAAGTTTTATCCGAGTCGACTCTTGCTGAAACCCAGTCACGACACTGCAGACCGACTATGAGGCCGAGGTTGCGCACTCGCGCAAGTTGCAAGATGCACGCCCAAGCATCGCCGCTGCCTCCGCTCCCCCAGCTGCGGTCAACGAGGAGCAAGACAAGAATGAAAACTCCCTGGCCATCTACGAGGACATTACCGGTCTCGGCATTCTGAGCGTCCGTATCAAGCGTGGCGGCTCGTCGGGCAAGGAGGTCAGCTACAACTGTCACCAGCTTGTGGATGGAAGAGGTAGGTGTCCCCATCGACAGCATGACCTAACTCTACAGGTTTTGGGTTCAAGTTGCGGTCATTCAACGAGGCCGACCGCGCGACCAAGACGTGGAACAAGATGCTCGAATTCACTCCCGACAGCCTTCAACACGAGAAGGACAAGGCGTTTGTCACCCGCCTTGGGCCGTTTGCCCAAGGGTTCACCATTCCCCGCGAACAGATTCAGGGGGCTTGGGATCAGCTCCGTGCCCGCATGTCCAAGGACGGCGTCTTTGACGAGCCGCGCGAGCAGTAGAGGGATATATAAACTTGGGATCTTTGATAATGCAGCCCGCTTCTCCGTCTCAGGGGTTTTGGTCTGTTCACATACCGCAGTCCTGAAAACAGGGATGGCTTTTGGAAAGGAGAAGTTGCAACGCCTGTGATCCATGCTTCAAGGCCAAGTCAGCAACTTGGGGGGTTGAAGTCTAGTCGTCGAGTACTGCATGTTGATTCTGTGGCCAGGAGTTTGTACCAGAAAATCACTGAACATCACAACACCGTTGGTGAAACGGTATCATGCGTCGTTGCCATCGACGCGGCAGGGGTTCGACTCCCTTACGGTGTATATCTTTTGCCTCCTGAGGCAGCTGTGACCTTTTGAGGTGTTGTTGGAACGAGGAAGACGATGTCGGATGAATGTCGTCGATGTAGATGGCGGGAATTACAAAATCGGCTAATGAATGTGGCGGTTTGACGCTAATAAAATTGCTTCCGCTAACGATTCGATTACACTGCGCTCCGGCCATATATTCGTCGCCTGTGTTGTCTTCTGTCTTCTGTTCACACAACTCTCACAGCACCATGAAGCGCGAGCCGTCTATTGAGTCACAGGGCAACCCTCCATCGTCTCCATCCCACTCGTCCCCGGCTTCCGGCTCGTATGTGCCTTCGCCGGCTGCCAAGTCGCCACCGAAGAAACGTGCCAAAGTCAAGACCGAGACCAAGCCGAACGTTGCCACTTCCTCCCGCAGGGCGAGGGATACCTGGACCACCGACAAGTGCGCGGAGCTCATTGAGCTGGTGATCACCGAGGGTCTGAAGAAGGGTGACGTCGATGGAATCGCCGCTACGGTGCGTTGGGTTCCGCAGCGGATGTCAACTCACAGCCCAGCTCGGCGTCACTCGCAAGCAAGTCACCGACCAGCTGTGCCCTAACCGCTCCAACCTTCGTGCGACCACTATCAGGGCTGTTCGTGCTGCTAAGCGGTAGGAAGGCAATGAAGGGATCAAGAGCTGTAGCTAGGACTGGATAGTGGTCGCCCGCCGGTGGGAAGGCAATGAAGGGATCAAAAGCTGTAGCTAGGACTGGATAGTGGCCGCCCGCCGGTGGAAATGCTTGATGCAGGATGATGTGACGCAGTGGCCAGTGGCAAATAAAGGGCACAATCTCGCCTCAGCGTTTCGGGAAATGGCCCATTCTCGCCCCATCCAAAGCGGGTGTGCATGCCCATAATATGGCATGTACGTGCCCGAAACGTGCCCAGCGTTCTTCCCAGACACTCACTCACTCTTTTCTTCTCTTCCCATCACCAAACCAACTATGGTGAAGCGCGACCCCGACTCTGCCTCGGCGTCAGCCTCGGACAGCGAGCACAAACCATCTGCCAAGAAGCGCGCTACCCCAAAGTCAAAGGGCACCGACACCAAGAAGACGAGCACCTGGACGACTGACAAGCGCGCTGCCCTGCTCGAGTTCGTCATTGCCGAGGGCGCCAAGAGTGCCAACCTCGACAAGATTGCCTCGGACGTAGGTTTCAAACCACCATAGCGGGTTGCTGACATGACTTCAGCTCGGCGTCACCAAGTCGCAGGTCGTCGACCAGCTCAAGCCCAACCGCTCCAACCTCCGCCGCCAGGCTGTGGAGGCCATCAAGTCGTCTTCGGGCAAGGCCTAGGGGAGGGCTGTAGTTGTGGCTCGCGTGCGTTGTAGAGCCGTCAATGCATCAACCTTCCTTTGTTGCGCTGTTGCTTCTGGACGTGACGTGTGCGGAGGGACAGCGACAGGAATGCTGATGCCATTCGCCCGGGCACCGCACACAGTGTGCTTGAGGCGAGGGTGGGATCTGGGATCCGGTGCCAGCGTCAGTGTCAGTGTTGCCATCAGTGCAGTCGTGGACGACTGGACGTTCAATTTACCCATCACCCATCATGGATGCGAGCCACAAGCCCGCCGCACACCGCGCCGACACTGGAGCGTCCTTCAACTCCACGGTGACCGTCAACCCGCCCTCGACCTCGTCAGACAGCTCGAGCGACACAAAGACCGCTACTCGCTCGCGTAAACGTGCCGTTGAGCACAAGCCTTCCACAAGCAAGACTCGCCGTCACGCCCAGACACCTTCAGCGCAGGGCCCCGGTGACTGGACGGCGCAGAAGCGCGAGCAGTTCTTTGACCGCATCATCGAAGTTGGATACAAGAACGCCGACCTGTCGGCTTTGGCCACCGAGGTGAGTCCTCCTTGAACCCTGCTCCGCGACTGACCCAAGCAGCTTGGCCTCAACAAGCTCCAGCTCAAGAATCAGCTCCAGTCGGGACGCAAGGGCAACTTCCGGGACCGCGCTGTGCGGCACATCAAAGGCGAGGACAAGAAGGTTGAAAGCTGAGGAGCCGCTGCCGTAGCGACCGGGTTGGCTGATGTAATACATGCGCCCCATCCTCGTCTGCGTTACTCACTACAAATTGTTACAACTATGCGGTAGGCTCGCCGGCAGAGGCTGGACGAGAGTACCCCAGACCGAGTTCGGGATACTGCAGCGGCACGCTGGGAAGCAGTGTACGCAGCTGAGAGAGGTCGAGAGTGAACGAAGGACCCATCCACGCTGCACGCTCTGTGTGATCCAGGATCTCCTGGCGCGTGAGGGGGTGGATGAGGACGGAGAGCTTGCCGCGGTGGGTGGCAAAGTACGAGTATGTGCGCGAGAAGCGCTCGCGGGGACACCACACCTCGTAGCTACCGATCGGGTGGGGTCCGCGAGGAACGTCGTTGTAGGTCGCCAGTGGGACGGCGTGGAAGTAGCCCTCGGCGGTGAGGCGCAAGATGTCGTCACGGAGCGAGAGCGCCGCGGCCCGGCTCTCCGCGTTGGACTGGAAGAAGTAGACGTGAAAGTGGAACTCTTTCACTTCGCCGTGGCCGTCGAGGTCATCGAGTTGGTCGACGTCGTTGTCCATCTTCTCGTACGTGCGCATTGGAGTGTGAGGTGGGTGAACCCAAGTGCGCTGTAGTTTCCTCGTTGTGCGCGTCACGACCACGATGAGCACCGCGTGCTGCCCGGTCGGAGCATCTGGCGTGATATCGGGCAATCATAGCTTGGGATTAGGTAATCCCATAATCTCTTCGGACATGACCGGCTGCGAGTCTTCGTCGACGACGAGACCGATTTGAAAGACGAGCGAGTTTGGAAGACGAGCGAGGTAACTATCATGTCTTCTGAAGCTATCTCCATCTCTCTTGAGCAACAACGAACGCGCAAGCCGTTTCTGTAAAGCCCAAGGCACCTGTCGAACCCGGTATCGGCGACTAAGCGCAAGAGATGCCGCCAAGAGCGCAGCACAGATCGCACAGACCTACTTCCGGCCAGCCCGCAACATCCCTCCCGAACACTGTCGATTGCGCTGGATGTCTCGCTCGACATGTTTCACGCTAAAACAAGAGCCGCAGAGTTGTTCCAACGGGGCCCGACAGCGAGCAGCCAAAGCTGAGAGTGCCTTAGTTTTGAGTTCTGTTCTGACCGAGAACCTGCCGAACAGTCTCACCGAAGGAACCGAACGTCGACGCGTCATGACCATCCGACAACGCGTCCTCTGGAACCTACACAACGCCTCTCAACCTAAACGGCGCTACTTCCCCCCACACATCTCCATGAGAGGACCAGTGGTCTCCATCTGTTCCTCCGCAGGGGCCCGCAGGGCGGTCCGCACCGGGGTCCGGTGCCTCTCCACACCAAGGCTCGCCAGTGGTCAAAGTGGACCGACCGCTGCGGCAGTTCGTTTCAACATGGCAGTTGTGGCTTTCCAGAGCGGGCCCCGCGAAACGCGTGAACGCGTCCAAGAGTTGCTTGTGGTCTGGGGGCTCATAGTGACTGGAGAGTTAAAGAGGACGCGAGACCTCGGTACGGAGCGAACCCCATTCCAAGGCAGACACTGCAGTTGCCACAACCCTGGTCACACTCTTTCACATAACCACACTCCTTTTACCTGACCACATTCCTTACTTCAAACTGTATGTTGAGCATACCCTTGCCCGCAGCTGCTAACGCTTCAGTCTCTTGACACCATGTTTCGACTGCCAGTGCTGGCCTTGACGGCCTTAGCCTGTAGCCTGGGTGCGATCGCGAGCTCGTCGCTTTCAGTCGAGTACCACCCAGTCACTATATCCGGCGGCGGCTTCATCACTGGCTTTTTGGCCCACCCCACCCAAAAGGACTTGATCTATGCGCGCACCGACATTGGTGGCACGTACCGCTGGAACGCCAAAGCGTGGACCTGGGAGCCGATCACCGATTTTGTCCTCAACAATCCGCTGTCGGGCAACGGCACCAACCTGCTGGGCACCGAGTCGATCGCGCTTGACCCTACCGACCCGAAGCGTCTGTACCTCGCCCAAGGAATGTACGCAGTCTGGGACCCCTGGGCTGCTTTCTTTGCCAGCGACGACCAGGGCAAGACGTTCAAGCAATACCGTTCGCCCGTGCCAATGGGTGCCAATGATATGGGCCGCAACGGTGGTGAGCGTCTTGTGGTCAACCCTCACTCCCCGAACGAGCTCTGGTTTGGTTCCCGTACCGAAGGTCTGTGGCGCAGCGTCGACCGCGCTGCTACGTGGTCCAACATCACTAGTTTCCCGGATGCGTACGGAAATGGCATCGGTCTCATTTCTGTCATCTTCGACCCCAACAACAATGGCACTGCCTATGTTGGCGCCTGTGTTCCTGGTGGCCTCTATGTCACCCACGACGGGGGTGTCTCGTGGGCCCAGATTGATGGCCAGCCGACAACCTGGTCAGACTGGACCAACAGCATTGTCTCTGGCACCGGCACCGCTACGCAGAGCACTGGTCCTCAGCCGATCAAAGTGGCGCTGAACAACAACAAGCTTTACATCACGTACGCCGACGCTCCTGGACCTTGGGGTGTTCTGTACGGCGAGGTCCACTCCTACGACGTGTCTAGCAAGACCTGGGCCGACATCACCCCTTCGCGTAAGGGCGCCAACACCACTCCTGCGCCGTCTGGTAGCACAACTACGGTTCCCGGTGGTTGGAACGGAATCACGTTTGGCAACAATGGCACGGTAGTCGTTTCGACTCTGGACGCCAACGCTGCCGACTCGGTCTACCTCTCGCGCGACGGTGGCAACTCGTGGAAGGACCTTGGCCAGCTTGCTACTCCCACGGGTGCTGGCGGTACCTCGCACACTCTATGGCAGACGAGGATGCGCGACCGCACTCTTGTCCCTTGGCTGTCGTTTGCCGACCCGGGCAAGGGTATTCTGGGCTTTGGCTGGTGGATTGCCGCTGTCCTCATCGACCCGTTCAACCAAGACCGTCTCCTGTACGGCACTGGCGCGACCATTTGGGCCACAGACACCCTCTCTCGCGCCGACGCCGACCAGTCACCTAGCTGGTACATCAACTCTGAGGGTATGGAGGAGGCAGCCGTCTGGGTGCTCAAGTCCCCGCCTAGTGGTCCGGCCAACCTCTTCAGTGGCATGTACGACCTCGGTGGATTCCGCCACGACGACCTCACTGTTCCGCAGCCAATGTACAACTGGCCGACCTACAGCAGCACCGACGGCCTTGATTTTGCTGGCAAGGTGCCCAACGTCCTTGCCCGCGTCGGCCGCAACGACAACTGGGCTACCGACTCGGTGTACGGGTGCGCATGGGGCGCCGTGACCACCGACGCGGGTGACCACTGGAACCTGTTCCCCACTTGCCCGCCAGTCGTCAACTCGACTGCAGTGCCCGGCAATGGCGGCACTGTTGCTGTGGGAGCTGACGGCAAGACGTTTGTCTGGTCGCCTTACGACTACAACAATGTCCTTGGCACTGGACCGTATGCCTCGTCCGACGGCGGCAAGACGTGGACCGTCCCGACGGGCCTCACTTTCCAGACCACGGGCCTTGCGGCTGACCGTGTCAAGGCCAACGTCTTCTACGCCTATGCCCAGGGCAACTTTTACGTCTCGGTCGACGGTGGCCTCACCTACTCTCAGACCGGCTCCGGCCTTCCTACGGGCTGGACCTGGTCCGGTACCCCGATTGCAAGCTATCTTCGCGCTGGCGAGCTTTGGGTGTCGGTTACGGGTGTGGGCATCTACCACAGTACCGACTTTGGAGCGACGTTCACGGCTCTTCCCAACTCGGCCTCCAGTCTCCAACCCAGTGTGTTTGGCATTGGCGCTCCAAAGACAGCGTCTGGGGCTGAGACACTCTTCTTCTGGGGTATCCCCGCTGCCTCCAAGCCCGAGGGACTGTACATGTCCACGGACAATGGCGCTTCGTGGCTTCGTGTCAACGACGATCAGCACCAGTACGGTGGCCCCGTCTCCCTCTCTGGCGACCCGCGTGTGTTTGGTCGTGTCTACTTTGGAATGAACGGCCGTGGTATCATGTATGCCCAGGTGACCAACGTTCCCAAGAACAAGCACCGTCGTCGTCACTGAGCTCGATGTACGGGGGCGCAAGTATCCCGCGGGGCGTAACAAGAGGAAAGTTGCCATTTGCCATAGCTTGGATGAAGAAGTTGCTTGAAGCGTGTCCCTGCTGCAACACTGCTACAGATCTAACCAGCATAGGCTGAGCATTTCGTCACGAAAAACCTTGATGTCACCTGTCTCCGCCTCGTTCACACGGGCACCAGAAGCACCAACTGTGTACATGTGTGCTGCATCGCATGTCAGGCTGATCTAAGAAGGGCTACCTGCGTGAATGCGGATGTGTGATGTGTGACGCCCAGATGACGAGACCGGATTTTGTTTGATTTTTGACCATTTCGCCACCTGCCATTCTCACTACACACCTCCCACCATGAAACGTCCAGCCGCCGAAAGCAGCCTCAAACCGGCCATCAAGGAGTCCAAGACTAAGCGTTCTCGTACAGCAGGACACCCCACCCAGGTCTCGGTCAAGCTCGAGGCAGAAAGCGAGGGCGAGCCCGAGCTCACCAATAACGACGACGACGACGAGAGCTCCGAAAGCAAGCCGCAAGTCAAGGCCAAGCGCAAGCAGCCTACCCCGCGCGCCAAGCCACCTCCACCTACCGGTGAATGGACCGCCGCAAAGCGCGAGATCTTCATGGACCGCGTTATCGAGGCTGGATACAAGTCGCTCGACCTCGCTGCGCTGGCTGAAGAGGTATGTGGTTCCTGGCGAGTGCGCGCTCATGTCATCAGCTCGGAATGAACAGGCAGCAGCTCGCCAACCAACTTGCCCACGGCCGCAAGGGAAGTTTCCGCGACAAGGCTGTCAAGCTTATCAAGGGAGAGGAGAAGTAGTGCTTCGGATGTGAAGAGTCTTTGGGGAATGTGAAGTCCGTCGACCAGCCCACTATTGATTCCAGCGTGACCCAGGACGTAGACGAGCTTGCTACTGGGAAAGGACGCCACCCGCCTGCTTCTGTACTTAAGAGTGCCCATACCTCGGCACAAGAGAGTGTGGGGGGTCTGGGGTCCGCATGTGCCGCAAAGTCGCGGAGCTCTCGTCATTGTTGGTCTTCAAGCCACACCATTTGACCGAGGCATTCTCGCCGAGGTTGTTTCAGTTGGCCGCCAGGTGTCTCCGTTTCAGAGGTTCCAAGTGCCCGTTTGTTTGGAACCGCAGCACTGAGCCTGTCCGGAAATACACTTTAAGCCTCGCAATCAAAATGACGTGAGCAGGAGCTACAAGCGGTGGGAGAACCAGTCTCAGAACCCTCGAATGCTCCATCCGCGAGGCATTTTGAACGCCAGAGCGTTGGACCGCATTGTTCAGGCGTCGTGCACAGTCCGTGGTCCATTCGGACGGGGTGTCAGAACCCGACAGACATGATCATAGTCCCAAGGTGATTCACGAAACGCCGCGTTGATGGGGCCAGAGGTCACCACGAACGACAGGAGGAAGGGGAAAAGGACGGTTCTGGACTTGGACGACTGTGCTTTGGGGTCCTTCCGGCAAGGACAAGGGACCAACCAAGACGCAAGGTCGACTTTATTGCCTCATTGAACACCGATATGGTACCAGAAGTGGGGAAGCGCTGATGCATTCCAGAATTCCAGTCTGGTCGGAAGTTTGTGGACCAAACCAAGACCAAGCCGAGACCGTCCCTGCAAGGCCTCCATGCAACCCCTGTCCGATGCCTTGTGCTGCGGTCATGGTTTCACAATGGTCCTCTGTCACGTCGCCGCTGGAGCGGCGACTGGGGCTCTCGCGATCCCATCGGGGTACCGGGGTGGTGGCTTTGCGACGTTCAGCGGCAGGTACAACGGGGGCATGAGGGGCTGGTGGCGCTGGCCTGTGGCGGACAATCGTCAGCCGACGTTTTGCATAAATCCAGCAACCTCCTTTTGCTTCTTGGCCTTTCTTGTCCGTCCATCCGTCCGTCCACTCCAAGTCGTCATGCAGCACACGAAGCGCAAGGCTGAGACCGACCTCGGTCCCGAGAATGATATTCAACCCACCAAACCCACCAATGGTCTCAGCTTTAACCCGCATCAGCTTCATTTGCCACCGATCCTGCCCACCAGTCCGTCGAGTCTCTCGCCGTTCCTGTCGGAACCGCGGTCGGTCATCCCTACTCCTACAACTCCAATGACTCTGGCGTCTCCAACGACTCTGGCGTCTCCAACGATTCCGGCCCCTGTCCTGATTCCGTCGCCCAATGCGCCGTCGGCTACGCTGCCCGTTCAAGGTGGGATGACCGTGTATCCCCAGGCCAACAATGCTCCGCTTTTCGGGCCCCACACCAAAGGTCTCATTACGCAAGGCAAGGCCGAATACATGATGCAGCGGATTTTTGAAGTTGGGTACCAGCACATTGATAAGCGTGCCATGGCCAAGGAGGTGAGTGGAGTTTGTCATGTTGGAGGTCTGCTGACAGCAAGATCCACCTCGAGACCAAGCAGGTGTACAACCTCCTCGGACCCAACCGCACCGGCAACCTTCGCGACAAGGCCATTCGGGCCGCCAGGGAGGGATGGAAGGACGAGTAGAAAGCCAACGTCGCCGCTCCGGCGGCGACTGTGCGGCTAAGTGGGACTCTTTGCTTTTGATATAGCATTCGAAGTAGAACGTCGTAGAGTGGCGAGTTGTATTCGCGCGTGCACATGTTAGCGTCGTGGAGCATGTCCCGAAGCCACTACTCTGGGCTGGGTCGTCGCTGGTATGGTTGCGGAACTCGCGCGGCCGAGGTGGAGCACAGGGGAGCAGTAGTGTCAGCGGCGCCCAAGTGGCCTGTCACGAGGCGAACACCTGCGACCTGATAGGTTCAACGTGGTGCCGTGGTGCCACGCTCAACCCAAACGTTTCCCGCCAGTAGTCGCCGAAATAATTCGCGTTCCGGGGGCAAACGGGATCGCCAAAAGCGAGACATTCACCCACACAGATCGGCACATTCATGCACATCGGAGCATTGTGGCCATTTCCTCCTCTTTCAAAATTCCGCTCTCTTCCACAAAACCGACCATTGTTCGTCAACCGATGCATGCATCGACAAGATCTCTGCACCGTCTGGTAGCCATGCATCAGGAGAAGAAGACATCAGGGGCAATATGGCGGAGTGGTTAACGCGATTGACTAGAAATCAATTTCCTTTGGGAGCATCTGTTCGAATCAGGTTATTGTCGAGTGGGTACAGCCGTTACTCGGATGAGTATCTCTTTTGGCTCGGAGGCGGAAGGAGGGTATGTGGCGGTGGGCCCGGGGGATCTGTCTTGTGGACCAAAGGTCGGTAGAGGTCGGTGCCCAGGACGGTAGGAGCACTGGTACAAAGCACTAGGGTCCGTGGGGCATGGGAGATGAGATTCTGGTTCCCACACGCTGTTTCCAGCACTTCCCCGCAGTCCAAACTTGAGGGGATGACCCTGCGCCTGATCCACTTTGCATCTCTGTGCTGTAGTTGGCGGGATCTGTCCTTCAAGAGGATGACGTGCAGGTGGCTTCAAGTCGCAGGACAGCATTTCTCAAGCTGGCAACTGGCCGGGCTTGGGCATGCACAGTCTGAGGCTGTGGGGCGGAAACGGACGGACAAGAGTACATTGACGAGGCATATGCCAGAGATCTATGAAACTAATAAATTGGCCATGGGTGTGCCCCTGCGGTACGAGGCGTCGAGCGAGGCAGGTGGACAAGGCTCGAGAACATGCCGGGTCAAGCCACTTGGGGCTGGAGGCACGAGCTCGAGCTCTGCTTCCTCTTGGCTGCGCACCACTGCTTCCGGGAACCACCGTAGTCGTGCCATTTAGATAGATTGAAGAGGCTTGGTCAAGCTTTGAAGACAGACGATTCTGTGACAAACGTGTGCTGCGGGGGATAAGCTTAAAGAACTGGTTTTGGGGCTGACATTGGGCCATTTTGTGACATTTTCGGCAATATTCCCTTGCAACACCGTCCAAATGCATTGTTCTTGCCCGGACAAGAACGACGCATGGCCCAGAAAAACACGTCTGGGTGGATAGAAAATGAGACACTCGGGGGCGACTGCCGCACTGGAGGATGGCGCATAAACAACAAACGGCCATCGCAGATCGCCGAATAAGAGCCGAAACCGGCGTGGTCACGTCGCCACTGGCCACTGGATCACTGGAGAGCCGACTCGAGGTTTACGTGCCACGCTGCTCCAGCCACCGCGAGTGCCTTCTTTCCATAGTGTTACATTTAGATTGGGACGTTTCACAGTCGTGTGGGGGTGTCCAGCGCCCATCACGCTAACGAAATATTGCGATTTATTGAGAAAATATATACAAAAAGGGCCTGCCTCAAGCATGGAGGACGACGTGGTTTAAACGTCGCCGCTGGAGCGACGACTTGAGCTGCGTGGAGGGCTTAACCCTTCTTCGAGTTGGCTACGCGGTTTGGAGTGGGTGAGTCGGGGGCGGGGTTGGCATTTGGGTGGGCGACGAGCTCCTCAGCCGAGGACCCCGGGTGATCGTCATCACTCAGCATGACGAAGCCTTGCTTGCCCTTGACGCTTCCCGAGTCGCTTTCAGAGGTGACGTCCGACAGGGCGCGTTTGTGTGTCTCGTAAGAGACGCCGTAGGACGGGGTGACGGGACGGGCAGAGGTGGCCGGGTACGTGACCTTGCTTGCGGAACTCGCACTAGCGCTGCGCTGAGGTGCAGTGGCACCAGCAAGGCTGGGTCCAGGGGCCGTGGGGCTGGGCACGATGTGCTTGATGGAACCGGTGGGCGGGCGGTAGTTGATCGAGGGGAGGTGTGGTCCTTCGTCCGACGACGTGTCGGTGGTCGACTTGGACGACTTGGCAGACTTGGTGGGGCTGCTCTCGTTGGTGTCGGTTCCAATGATAGCTTCCTCCTTTGCCTGGACCTTGGCGGCCTGAGCCTTGGCAGCGCGACGGCGGCGGCAGAACCAGAAGAGGAAGAAGAGGCCGACGAGGGCAAGGACACCACCGCCAACTCCGGCACCGATACCGGCCTTGACAGCGACGGGCATGCCAGTGGAGGGTGGGTCAGGGACGACGCAAGACGAATCGGTGCTGTTTTGAACCTCGAGTGCTCCCGACCAGTTCATCATGCCCCAGGCGTCGACAATCTTCAGGCCAATGTTGCTGCCATACTTGAAGTCGACTGTCCAAGTCATCGAGGTACCGTTGACTGCGTCAAAGTCGCGCAGAGGCTTGGCCTTTGCCTTTCCGGCGGGAATGACGGTGCTGAACGAGTTAGAAGCTGCCATTAACGAAGAGGAGACTTACATGTGGTATGGAGCCACTCCTCCCGTCCAACTGAGGTTCGCAGTCTTGCATTGGATAAAGACGGGGGGCGTGTTGACAACGAGTGTGTCTGGGGTGGTGGTGGTGTTGTCTTGCGCCAGGACTGGGTGGAGGTTGAGCAGAAAGCCCACAAAGGTGACAAGCCAGAGTGTTGGGACCATGGTTGTTGTGTGGCGTCAAAAAGCGCTGGGTTGGGTCAAGTTGGACAAGTGGGCAAAGGGAGATGGGCATGGGAGAGAAAGGGTTCTGAAGAACGGGTTTGTTTGCTTGCTATATACATGGGCAACAGGACTTTGTGGAGAGGCCGTGAGAGTACGTTGTGGATGTACAGAGTGTGTCCTCCCCCCAGCAGACAGGCACCACCGCTCTTCCGTTGGTTCTGGGGGACCCACGATTTGTTTGTTTGTGTTTGTGTCAGGTACCAAAACTAAAGCCGGCTTGGCATTTAACCCGAGGCTCGCCATCCCTGTCAGCGAAAAACGCGCGACTGAATGCAGTTGCGACTTGAATTCGTGCCCCATTGGACATTGCGTGCGCGTGACCTCTGGGCCCCCCGTTGCGCCAGCGATCCAGCGATAGCTGGAAAGACCGCGAAAAGAGATGTTGTGACGTCGAAATGTGACGTCGAAAAGAGTTTGCCAGTGTTTGGCTGTATCTCAGCGGTTGTGATGTGATCGATGTGAAGAGGAAAGCCAACTTCACACGCGCGGACAATGGCTTGTTGTTTGTGTGCGTCTTTTCGCACAGTGCGTGAGAGTTGCTTGTGCTTGTGTGTGCCAAGGGGTGCTGCACTGCACGTCATTTGTGCCAGTCAAAGGGCAAGGTCAAGCTGTAAAGTGGTCGACCACTCACAGAGCTGCGAACGACGTACCCAAGTGGAGTGCGAATGAAACATCTCCGCCGGCCCCTTCGCTCTAGGTCCCACGCCGAAAAGGTAAACACTGCGGATGTAAGGTTGCCTGGAGTCAGAAGAAACACGGCACAGAAGCGCGCTTCATGTTTTTCCATCGGGACGGGATCCAGAGGACTGTCACCAGCTTGCACTCTCGTACGCCATGCGGTTGGCGCGAGGTGAGCTGGCCAGCAAAAACGCGGCACGCAGCGTGGGTCCACGGATCAATGGACGTGACACGCCACGTTGCTGTCATTCAGGCACTGTCTGTGGACGACTCTTTGCCGTACGTACCGGCGGACAGTCCATCCAGTGGTTCTTGTATGTACGTGTATGTACGTGTACGCGCGCAGGGCGGTGTGGGACAGTGTACGACCCCAGAAAGCCGTGAGATGCAGTGTAAAGTGCAGTGCAACACGTCCCATAGGCTGCCTCCGCCTCGAGGCTCCTTGATAAACCACGTTTCGGGTTAACGTATTCCTTGATGGCCACGAGCTTTCAAATATGACGGCCGGGGCCTGTGTGGCTCGCTTGGCGAGTGTAAATGGGTTCATGATGGGGGCGTCACCACCCTCGACAGCCACAAGTTGGCAAACTCTAGGTTCGCCGTCTGCCGAATTAACATTGGGGTGCTCATGAAAGCGCGGCGCTCGGTAAGCATTGAGGTCAACATGACCTCATTCAACACAAGAGCCGTTCACATTCGAGACTCTTGTCGACAGCCACACCTTGCAGTGACTCTGTGGCTGGCACTGGTCTTTAGGGTGACATTATTGGCTGCTGCCGAGGTCCATGTGGGCCGGCTGGCTTGACGGTAGCCGGAGACTGTGTAAGCACTTGGGCAATGAGGCGTGGGGGTACATGAACACATGTACAACGACGATATCCACGAGCAGTGCCAAGCGGACGCCCCCCTCGATAATTTCGATAATCAGAGCAGTGCCCATCAGTACGTCGGTGGTGGTGATAGACAGGTCACGTGATTCTCATGCACACCAGCCCCCCCGTAACGACACATTGGGGTTCTGACCCGTTGCTCCTCATGCCTCGTCTCACTGGTTGTTGGGGACTATCGGTCAATGGAAACGGTATCGACGGAGCCACGTTTAACGAGTGTCGGGTCGCTGGAACAAGGTGCATCTTGCCACCGTTTCACGAGCTGAAGAGGGTAATGGCCGCCACGCTACTACCGGGATCGTGAGAGACACCGTACGGTGCACCGGCCAAATACTTCTTCGGGATCCCACATTAATATAACAGACATGGTGGCACTGATCGCACTGACGAGAGGCCTGCATATTGCATGCATGCCCCTTCCGTGATCCGTCCATCGCACTTGTTTTGACCAGAGATCCGGATATAGGATCGCGCGTCGGAGGTTCCCAGCCCAATGACGCACGAGGCGGCTGAGATTGACCAGATCCTGGTTCTGTCACAGCTTTCGCCATTGCACCATTGTCCACTGCCCCCACTCACTCCATGACAACAACGACAGTCCTCGATCGAGCAGCAGGAGCAATCCTGGGTTGCGCAGCGGGCGATGCCCTTGGAGCGCGGTACGAGTTTCTGCCCCCAGTGCCCGACGACGAACCGATTCGTTTTGCCAGAAGCATGACTTGGGATCTTGGCGAGTGGACCGACGACACGGCCATGGCAATTCCAATCCTCGACGAGCTCGCTGCGGGCAACGACGTGCGCACACCCGAGTCACAGGGCCGCATCGTGCGCCGGTGGGTCGAGTGGCATGAAGGCGCCAAGGACGTCGGCATCCAGACCCGTGCCGTCCTCTCGCGTGTCAAGGGCCAGGCTGCTCAACGATACGGCGACATCTACAAGACTCCCGACGCCGAGCTGGCCAAGATCTCCCGCGACGCCGCTGCCTTGGTTCATCACAGCCGTGGCCACTCGGGCGGCAACGGCAGCCTGATGCGTACGTCGCCCATTGCCATCGGCTACCTCAACGACACGCAAGCGCTCGTCGAGGCCGCACGGGCCGTGAGCGAGCTCACCCACCTGGAAGAGGACGCCGGCGACGGGTGTGTCATCTGGTGCCTCGCGATACGCCACGCAGTGGTGACAGGTCAACTCGACGTGCGTATCGGCCTTACGGCTCTCGACCCGGAGCGTAGAGCACTTTGGGCTGGCCGCATCGACCACGCCGAGACGGTGCGTCCAAGCGAGATTGAGAACAACGGCTGGGTCGTCGCGGCGCTCCAAGCTTCGGTTTCAGCCATCAAGCGTGGTCAAGGTCTGCAAGATACACTCGAGGAGGCAGTGCGCGCCGGATACGACACGGACACAGTCGCTGCCATCACTGGACAGCTGTCCGGCGCCCAGTGGGGAGCCTCTGCCGTCCCTGCAGAGTGGGCACGCGCACTGCACGGCTGGCCGGGCGTCACTGGCAAGTATTTGGTGGACAAGGCCGAAAAACTTGTGCCATGATTGTGCAACACGGAATCGAGAAGACGGCAGAATCGAACGAAACACAGGAGCACAACAGAACCGAAACGCCGGACGATTCACGACCGTCGACCGTCCAGCGTCCGTCGAGCTAGTGGGTGGAGCGGCCGCGCAGGTACGCGGGCTATGTGTAGGTACCGCCGTACCGGACCTATCGCTGACCCGCGGAGTGTATGTGAGCTTTGGCGAAGTGGACGCAGAGGCAAGACGCCCGCCGATGCCGGGCAGCTGCCGAGATCGTCGCATGGAATGCATGTGAGCTGGAGAGTCATCGTTCTCACCCACTCTACTGGGACTGAAACGCTACTGATCTGTGTCTGACACGCGAGCCCACAGCCTGTCTCAGTCTGAAGCAGACGCTGTTATCATACTCACGTCACCAAGGACGTCCGGTGTGAAGGGTCCAGTTCAGACCGCCACCACGTTCGCTCATCACTGATAACGGCCAGACCTACTTCCTCCTCAACACTAACATTAACCGGGCATGGAGGAGTTTGCGCGCCCACCTCAGACCTCCTGCACCCCCCCCCCCCCCCCCCCCCCCCCCCCCCCTCCACAAACTGCCCACTTATTCCTCACCAGCCGCGCTAAAACGCCAGAAACCGACGTCTGGTAACATAAAAGTCGGACGTCTGGTGGGCGGGTTGCGGATCGGGGCGCCATGTTGCCGTGCAGGGCGCGCTTCGCCCACCTCCTCACCTAGCCTCCGTTCTTCCCATCTATAAACCCCGACTCGGGGGCTCGCCTCTCGCTCTCATCCTCACGTCTCTCTCTCCCCTCGTCGACGCCAATTCAACCATGTCGGAGCCACCACCACAGCAGCCCCAGATCATGGTCGACGACCAAGGCCGGCTGGCCTTTGTCCTCATGCCACCGTCCAACATGGGCAGCAGCGGCCCGTTGGCGACACGCCCACACGCAACCACAGCCGCCAGTATTCCACCGTTCCCTCCCGTCATGAACGCTTTCCCATCGGCGCAACTCGCCGCTGTCAACCTCGACGCAGACGACGGCGATGCCCCCGACCAGCACCAGCACTACCTCCCGCCAGACCTGCACGACGAGCTCAACCAGCTGATCGACGCGCAAGGCGACCCCAACCCCGACGCACAGCGCGTCCCCCTCCGCGTCCGCGTGCCGGACATGGACGGCGAGGTGCTCGAGTTCAAGCCCGAGGCCCTGGTCTTGCCGTACGACATGCCCGCTGTGCAGCGCCGCCCCAGTGGCAAGCGCAAGACCGACATTCCCATCCCCGGCGTGGGCATGGGAGTGGCGAGTGGCAGTGGCAGCGGCAGTGGGCCCATCGCCGCCGACAGCCCCGGCAAGCGCCGTCGGTCCGACGACTCAAACACTTCGACAGGGACGACCGGGTCCGGTGGCTCGTCGTCCGCCGTGGCGGCGACCTCGGGATGGACCGTGGACAAGAAAAAAGCCATTCTCGAAAAAGTGTTCCAGGACGGCCTCAAGAACTTTCAGTGGGACGTGGTCGCCGCCGAGGTTAGTGACGCGAGTCGTGTGTGTCTGGGAGGGAGGGTTGTGGCACGGATGATTTGATTTTGGATAATGTCGTGCTGATCACTGTTTCCCAGTACGGCCTGACGCGCAACCAGCTGCGCAACGCCCTCCAGGCCGGTCACAGGGGCAACCTGCGCGACAAGGCGATTCGTTCTGCCGAGACGTAGCGCTGCGCGGGCGTGCAAGGCGGAGACGGGAGTGTGAGGTGGCTATGTAGAGGTGGAATGTGAGCAGCGTTTGGGCTTTCGCAGTACGGTACAGTACGTGTGTGTGTTCTGTGTTGCCCGCGGCACAGCCGGGGCCGACAGTTGCCCGCCCGCTGCGCCTTGTCTTGTTACACCGGTCTGGGAATGTCTGTCTGGTGGACGGTGTTGTCCATAATGTACCGAGAACGTGGCCATGCATAGGAAATAGGGGGGCGAAAAGATAATATAGAACTCGTAAATGATAACCGCCTACACCTCGTCTCTAAGCCGCAGTAGACACCTTGGTAGCGCCAGTGAAGCGGGCGTCAAACTGGCGCGCGAAAAAGTCCTTGCTCTTCATGCCCAAGATGAAGCCAGGAGCGCTGACCGTGCCAAAGATGGGCATGGGGAGCTGGCCGGCACCGCCCTTGTCGCCGAGGGTGACGATGCACGCGCCGGTCATCGACGCGGGGGTGTACGCCTTGGGGCTCTTGCCCTTGATCTCAGCGGCGACAATGTTGCCGAGGGCGGGGCCCTCCGCCGAGGCCGAGACGGACGTGCGCCAGCTGGGCAGGGCGGCAACGTCGCCGAGGGCATAGTACTCGCCAGCGAGGGGCGAGGCGGACGAGCCGGGGACGACGCGGAAGAGCGAGTCGACGATCACGTAGCCATTGGCAGAGACGGCGGCGGGGTCGGCGGCCTTGACAATGGCCGAGTTGGGCACGTTGCCGACCGAGACGAGGACGTAGTCGGCCTCGACGGTCTCGCCCGACTTGAGCGGGATCGACTGGCGCGAGCCGAGGGGGCCGGACTGGCCGGGCTGGAGGATGGCACGGTCGTTGAGGTAGACCTTGACACCGCGGACACCGAGCTGCTTCTGGAGGTTGGCGCTGACCTTGGCGCCAGTGGTGGGGAAGGTGGTAAAGCCAGCAGGCGCGGCAGTCGCGTCCGGGTGAAGCAGGCCGCTCTCGCTGTGGACGATTGTGACCTGCTTCTTGGGGTAGAGGGCGTTGATCTCGCCACCAGTCTCCACACCGACGGTGCCGCCACCAACAATGAGGATGCTCTCAGCGGCCTTGATGTCGTTCTGCATGTTGCGGAGGAAGGTCTTGTACTCGTCGAGGCTCGAGCCGGCAGCGGGACGGAAGGGAGCACCTTGCTGGGCACCAGTGGCAATGATGCACTTCTCAAAGGCAAGCTCGGTGCTGCCCTCAAAGGCCTCGGAGAGGACAACCGAGTTGGTGCGAAGCTCCACGACGCTGTTGGGACACAGAACGCGGTGGCGCGAGCCAGTGGGGAAGACGTTTTCCTGTGTGAGGCGGCTAGTGAGGTTCTTGGACTCCCAGCCTGGTGTGAGGTCAGCTCATATTCATTCACCAAAGCGCGTCTCAAGACTCACCGGGCACGATGCAGGAGCGAACAACAGTGGGGAGGTGAACGATAAACTCGTTACGCTCAACAAGGATGACACGGTAGCCGGCAGGCAGCTGGGGAGCGATCGTGTTGACAAAGGTGTGGCCTGCCACGGAGGCTAGAGATTCAAGTAAGCCCTGATCCACGAGACGTTTTCCGACCGCTGTAGACACCAGCGAGAGACTCACCACCGATGACGACAATGTTCTTCTGGCTGGCCATTGTAGGAGAGAGAGTGCTTGGATGGAGTTGGGAGCGGGGAGGTGTTGAGTTAGTGAGCCATGCCAAGAGATGCCAGCGGGCTGTTATATACCAGTCGGTAATCAGCTCTCGCTCCATATCCCGCCATCACGATCCAACAACATGGCCATCTTGCAAAGCTGGCGTCCACCGAGTTTCCGTTGGAAACTCGGACGCGCCCTGAGTCGACCGACGGCCATCCCGCCGAGTTTTGGGCGATTTCTCAGCCTGCAGCGACGAGCGGGAGCAAAATTATCGCCAGTGTACCCCAGATCCCCAGATCCGTAGTCCCCACTTTCCGCCGGACTCTTTCGACGGGTGGAGTCATCGTCATCTGTGCGCGGTCTGTCGTCGCTCAGCCCGTCAGCGTGTTTAAACAGACAGCGACCTGCTGTACCACACGCATTGCCAACGCTCGATCCCATAGCCAAGTGAGACAGAGACACGACTGCCAGACGCGAGGTCCTGTTACCGATTTCGTCAGCGAAACCGTCCTCTCCGAGCCCGAGGCAACATGGCGCGTCTTCCGTTCCATCTTGTAAACGTCTTCACGTCAGCACCCCATGCCCGGGTCGCAGGCCAGTGTTGTCGTTCTGCCAGCGGGGGACGCACGGTCCACGGACGTGGCGTACAAAGGTGGCTGGGTTTGGCGATTTCAGCTTCCGGCCATCGTCTTCCTCGTCCCCATCGACGCCAGCGTCAAAGTACCCACGTACCAGATTAGATGGTACACTGCGCAAGGGGTCGTAGAAAGTGGACTCTAGTGGCAACTCTGACACGGGTCTAGGCGCTGCCGCTGTGTGGCCACGGGACGCTGGCTGCGAGCTTGGTCGTGTTCAACCCCAGCGCCATGCGCGTCGCGTTCCAACACCCCGTGCGGGGGTCGCTGTCGGCCACGCTGGAGGTACAAGGCGCGACAGTCGGGTTCAGCCTGCCTTCCCATATCGCCTGCGAAGGTCAGTGCGGCTGCTACCGCCGAGCTGGTGGGGCCGGTCAGCGCTGCGACAGGGTTGGGGGAAGAACATATCGTCGAGCTCGCGACGTACGAGTTAGCGCCGTCGTCCAGGTTCGCCCCGAGGTCCACCTCAAGGCCCTACAGGTTCCGCCAAGGCCGTCATAGGGGTCAGAGGACGTGGATGTTGACGTGCAGGGAAAGACAACGCCGTGGCCATCATCACCCAGATGGTGGGCCTCGCTGGGGACGGCGCGGTCAAGGTCCAGCAGCGTATGTTTCTTTCCTCGATGGGTCTGGATGAGGACACGGCGGTGAGTGGCGTGGATGGGCGTGCATGTGAGGTAGAATGTGCAGTGGGAAGATGCAAGAAACATGGTGAGCATTGTGAGACTGTGATACATATACATATGCGTGGATGTCGGAACCGAAACCGGGGGCGAGGAGGGCGATCCGCATGAGGAAGGCGCTGATCGCGTTTTCTGGATCGGCTGCACGAAATGCTGACAAGATTCTACCTTGCTAGCGGAGGTACGTCCAGCACGGCCGCTCTCCTCCCCGGGCAAGACGTCAGTACTGCAACACTCGACTGCGGCCAGCTCAGGCCATGCGGCCGCTGCGTGCGATGTCAGTACCGCGACGGCCGGGCGTGACTCGTGGGTCAAGCGTGGCGAACCGGATCTGGTGAGCTGGCGGTGTTTGTCGAGGCGTTTGATTAGAAGGCATAAAGTATCCTTGGAAGAAAGTGCAAGTCGCGCCACATGTTGTCTCATCTGCGCTGTCAAGTTGAGATAATGTGGAGGTGCAGGCTGTATAGTGAAGTGTGGAGTCTGTTGAGAGAGGTAACATTTGCTCAATATCCGACGGAAGTCGGTGTGCCTGCCAGTTCATGACCAGCTGCCCACGCAAATTCCTTGTGCTTTGAACCTTCTGGACGTTACCAATGTTTAAGGGTGTCTGCCGGCAACTGATACAGTTTGACATTGGTAACCCCAAGGTCCTCGGATCTGCTCACCTGCATCCCTGTCTTTATGGTTGCGAACGATAACTGGTTAAAGATTGACTGCGCCGATGACCCAAGTTGAGTGGCCACGCCTTCCTCGCCATGACTCTCACCGCCAAGGACAAAACTCACTGTGTCTGCTACCCGGCTTCCGTTAGCTGCAGACGCTCCCAGTAGGGACCCTCACTGGCAGGTCCTGTCGTCCGACAACACTGTGGCGTGGCGACCATCACACGGGGTTGTGTAAGTCCTTTCCTCTCAATTAGACGCTGGCGTCTGCTCTGCTTCCACCCAGCTGGGGGCCGCGCGCGTAATGGCAGTGTCCACAACTTGGATTGAACTCAATCCGCAGTTCGCACAGCAGATGAACCCTCCTCGTTTGCTTGGAGAGAACATACGACGCCGAGGTGGATTGGACGTAACCCAAACCAAGAATCCAAACTTGGTTGGGCGGTGGTTACCATCCGCAGGCGTGTAGGCTTGGACCAAGTTGTCGGGCCAGGTTCCGCAGGCCGCAGGTGAGGAGTGTTTCTTGCTCGCGCTTGTTTTTCTGCTGCGACATGCAACACAGGGACGATACAGGTTGGGTGGCGCATGGCCAGGACTCAGAATGCAGGCATGGTCTGGTAACCTAGCTAAATTCCTCGCCTCCTCCCTGCTGTTGTTCGGGTCCAAGTGTCATGACCTCTCCTGATCTTGCGCCAACACCGGAGACTGGTATCCTCATGCTGCCTGGGAATCTGCCCCTAAGAGGACCACGACAGGACGAACCTGTCCGCTAGCGCGTCGAAACTCGTTTCCTGGCCTCAATGTGCCCTCCTGTGCGCGTCAAATGGCAACCGCTCCGTCTTTTCCATTGCAGTGTGCTTACTTGCTGGCACAATAGCAGCCGAGTCGATCACATTATGACGATTGGGGTAGACATGTGACGGCGGGAACTACATCTGTTAATCTGTCGTCGACTTCACATGCCGGTTGCCACATTCTGACACTGGTGACGGCAGGGGTCTCTGTGAGGGAGAGAGGGGTCTGGCGAGGATCTTGGCTGCAGCCGAGCGAACGGGCATGACCGCCAAACCCAGTGCAGGGGAGACGAGAGCATGTTCCCTTTGAGCGAGGTACACAAAGGTCCCATGCAGGAAGGTCCCATGAAGGTACGCCGGATGGGACCTCGGGAGAACATCAGCTGACCTGCGCGGATGCTGTGCGAAAGTGACTGCCAGCGGCGCTCACCATCCCTAGGCAAGTTTGTATGAGTACATATAATCGCTTGAGCGTATCATGGAGCCTTCCAGTGTTCCGCTCCACGGCTTGCAAGAAGGAGGTTTCGCGACAGGAGGGCGATTATTGAAACTGATTTTTACTTGCTTTGTTTTTTTTTTTCCTCCTCCGTGTTTCCAGCAGTTAACCCGGTTGAATTATTGCGGTCTCGGATGGCGTATTTCCCTTTCCTTTCAGCGTGCGGTCTGGACTTCATGATGGTCTCTGCCCTGTGCAGGTAGCGATCCGCCGCGACGCCGCTTTTTCTTTCCCATGGGACGTTTGACGTCCCGTCCCAGGTGGGAAAAGAACGCCCATACCCCAACAGGTTGGCCATGTGTATACTCTCGGCTCTTGCATGCTCTTGGACGGGGGGGCCTGTTGGAGGCCTGGAGGGCCATTCAATGTGACCCTGGCTGCAATGTCTCAACCGCGCAAGGGCAGCGCAATGCCGCATTCCGGGAGCACAGAGCAGCAGCGCAAGCAAAATGTGGTTCCCTGTGCTATGGGCCATGTACGACGCTCGTCGCGGGCAGGAGAGGCGCTATTGTGACCGACAGTGGACGGGGCTGCTGCCTGATGATGTGATCTCGGTGGATCGGTGTGTGATCGCTGAACACCTGCAGAAGAGCGCTCTGGTGGATCTGTGGCCTGGACGAGCTGCCGCGATGCCGTTTCGAGCGTCTTAATCTGGGCGAGAGGGCCACTCTCATAACCCAATCGTGTCTGGACCGGGGCCTGGCACAGCTGGCATTACACAGCTGAACTCTGATATCTGATCTCTGAAGCGTCTTAACGGTCTTGGCAAGTAGAATCCTTGTGACCTGAGTATCCAAAGTAGTGGCTCTCGTCAGTAGAGTCGCATCGGTGTCAGTGCGGCCGCGCGCATCTGCTTTGCCTTTTTCTATCGTCCGTGTCCCCCCTCAGGCACATACCTCGCTGCACGCTCTCTGCAGCTCTGCTCCGTGCACTGTGGATACAAATGTCGCTCCCTTGATCTACTGGCCATCATTGGAGCCCAGGGTGGTGTATGAGGGGGGGGGGGGGGGGGGTTGGTTGGCGGAGGTCTGTCAGTTGCCTCTCTCAACCTACCCGCCAGACGGGAAGAGGCAGCAAAGCGGGTTGGGCCTGTATGCACTGGACCTGGGTCCTGGTCTTGCACACGCTCGCAGCAGTGGTGCAGCAGCAGTGTGCAGCTTGCTGGCCAACTGGATCAACGGTTCAACCACGGCCTGCAGCTGCCTCGGCAGCCCCGAAGGCCCAGACGAAGGAAGCAGACACACGATCGCTTTCGACATCGCCGTCTTTGTTCCCTCCCACAATTCCACCGTGCTCCTTTCCTTGTCTCACAACATCGTTTGCCTCTTAACACCTGTGTGCTGACACGTGTCGCCCAACAGCACCGGTGGAACGCCAAGGTCCAGGTCAGTCTTGTATAACGACTCGGATGTTGTCTCACCACTTGACGCAAACAGGGTTCCCGTCTCAACCCAACCCGCAAACCCACGCGAGCAGCCCCGTTCCTCCCGCCCCGCTGCTCCAGTTCGGTGCCGTCCCATGCTCCCAATCTTGTTGTTGTCCACCACATCTGCTATCCCAGTCCGTAACTCCAACACCACCACCACCACCACCACCACCACCACACACGCGGAGGCCGGCCGCCAATGTCTCCGGTCAACGATGTAGTGCCCGACGCTTCGGCGTCGGTCTCTGCCCCCGCAGGAGGTCGCCTGAAGGGCTTGTTCTCGCGCAAGTCGCAGCCAACAAGCCCAACAGATGCGCACTGCACACCGGTGCCCCCCTCACCCCCACCCCTTGCAACCTTTTCTCCCGACTATGACGACGACGACGACGGCGATGTCGACGTCGACGACTACGATGTCGCCGACACGCAGGGCTCGAGTTGGCAGGCCTCGGGAAATAGTGCGCGCTCAAAGTTGAGATCGCTGTTTGCCGAGGGGACAAGACCTGCATCGCAGGCTGTTCGCGCGCTGGGTCATGGATTCCCGAGCAGCAGTTCGTTGCGCGAAAGTGCAAGACGAGCAGCAACGCAGCAGCAGCAGCCTTCCGCGGCGGGGCCGGCGCCTTTGACGCCATCGATGCCGGCCGACTTGAAGGGCTGCGGCGGCGGCGTGATCGACCCCGTCTCGCTCCCTTCCCCTGCGGTCCCGACCTTCCCTCCGCCCACCACCACCACCACCACCACCACCACAAAATCCGGCGCCTCCTCATCCTGCATTCAACTCGTTCCACCCCCACCACCGCCATTTCCTCCCCCTCCCCCCGCATCCCGGTCACAACGAAACCTCGGCCAGTCGCTACTCAAGGGCAGTCGCTCGACACCTGCACTAGTCCCAAGAAAGGACAAGGATGCCCTTCGCGCAACCCCGGCACGCTTAGCCATGGACGACACAGAGACGCGTAAGAAGGGGCGTTCCTCCTTTGCCCGGCTGTTCACAAAGAAACGCAACGTGTCTGCGCCAGCAGTGCCCCTCACCCCAACAGCAGCGAGCAATGCAGCTATCAATCTCGACTCTCCTGGACGGGCCTCGCCCACCACTCCGCGGGGCTTGGCGATCATCGCGCCCAACGGCGGCCTGTACCCACTCGACCAGTCCAACCCCTCGTCCCCCACTCCTCGTGCAATGTCGCGCACATCCTCTCTCGGCGCAATCCGTCCTCTATCGCGACCGACATCCTCGTCTGCGCTGCGTGCAGAGTCGTCCCGGGCCATGCCAAACCTGGTCTACTCTGCCGCGCACAGACCACCCATGGGGGCTGGATCAACACCGTCCCTCTCGCCGTTGTCGCAGTCTGGCACCACCGGCATGAGCTTGTCCTCCCCCAACCTTCAGTCCCCCTCCTTATCCCAAACATCCCTCATCCTCCCCGACCCATCGTCGCGTATCCAGCTCTTGTCCAAGGACCATTACCACCTGCGATTCGCCAGCACCTATGTGATCAACCTTATCGCGCCGGCCCTCAAAACGGCCAACTTTTCAAAATCAGCCAGGAACATGGAAGTCAAGCGCATCACCGAGGACCGCCTCGCACTCCTCATGCGTATGGAACGGACATGGGGCAGCAGCTGGACCGACGCCGCTACAGAGCTGTTGAGCGGCGCGCAGTCGGGCGCGTCCACTGAAGTCCAGGAAGCCAAGCTACGCGCGTGCAACATCACAGCCACGGCCAAGGCACGTGAGCGAAAGGTGTTTGTGTCGGCCATGCGCGATGGCATCTTGTTTTGCTTCCTATTCAACCGCCTGTTCCCGTCCCAACCCGCCGCCATTCAACGCGTCAAAGTCCCCAAGGATGACACGCGTATTTCGGCCAACATTGACCGCTTCCTCGCCGCGTGTCGCGAGCAAGGCGTACCGGAGAGCGAACTGTTTACGTTGGCCAATCTAGACGAGAACTCGCCTTCGGGCCTCGCGTACGTCTCGCGCACAATTCTCATCCTGGCCGAGATGGCAAGCCCATCCGTGATCGCACGTGCCAATGCCATCTCGTCCGCGAGGAGCATTGGCCTGAAGCCTTCACCGTCGTCCGAGCGCCTGCCCTCTGCCGCCACCTCCAAACCTCCTCCTGCGCGATCCAACTTGTCGTCCGAGTCGTCCCCGAGGTCGACGTTCATCACACCCCCTGTTGCATCTCGCAGTATCTACGAGCGGCCGCTTCGCAGCAGTTCGAGCGACCTCTTGGCCCGCCTGCAACGCGAATCTGGTGGCTCTAGCAACGCAAGCACGACGGGAACTGCAACGAGTGTTGCCAGTGTCGCCACTTCCAGTGTTCCATCCACCTCTCCTCTGTCATCCCGCGTTCCATCAATCGGGCCAATCTCGACCAAGATGGCCAGCTCTGCGTCGGGTGTGGCATCTCCCACTGCCATGACCCCCATCGACTCGTCCAACAAGACACACGCCGTCTCCCGATTGTCTGCATCCGTCACTGCCACACCCCCGCTGTCGCCAGTGTCCACTTCGGCGGCGGCAGCGGCTACCCCGACGACCCCGGTGCGCTCCAGCAGCTCGACGCATGGTACCCCGCCCACGGCCCGCCCTATGACGCGCACCTTGTCGAGCAGCAAGGCTCAAGTCTCGTTCAAGCCCGACACTGGGTTGTCTCAGCCGTCCGTTCACGACTGGAGTAGCAGCGTTTCGTCGGCCCAGTCGACCAACCACCTCTCGCCACTGCATGAGCGGGAACGCACGCCCAGCTTGGTCTCGACAAATTCGCAGGCTGGGTCGTCGTACTCGCGCTCAATCCGCGGCTCGGTGCCCACAATTCTCGACGAGGATAACCGCCCAATTCACGCGGAAGTCGACTTTGACCCCATGGAGAGTGGTACGAGCTCGTCCCTCAGTCACCCCCGCCGAATGAGCGAGCAGACCCTCCAAGAGGCGCGTCGGAAGATCATTGGTACCCTCCTCACCTCGACAGAGGACCTCACGCTGCAGCCGACGCCGCCGGCGACCAACCGTGGCTCATCGCTAGAGGAAGCTCGTGGCTTTGCTCTGTCGCAGTCGTTGGCCGCGCTAGAGGGGTCGCTGCCCTCGCTTGCCAAGCCACGCTCCGACTCGCCACGTCTCCGTCCTGTATCACGCGGCAAACTTTCACAGAGCATCGAGTTGCCTCAGGACAAACGGCTAAGTGAAGAGACCGGTTCCGTCACCCCGGCCTCTACACGACCAACCAGCGAGCTGCCACCGCGTCCCCGTATCCGTCGCCTGTCAGCCAACGGCAAAATGTACGTTCCCAAGCGCACCAACTCGCCCGCGTCGCCGAACCTCTCTCTGCACGGAATGTCGATGATCACCCCTGGCATTCCGCCCCTCGACCCTTCTTCGTTCAGTCGCCCTTCAACAAAGGAGGAACGCCGTCGGTCCGAAGATTACGCGCACCCTGGCGTGACCTCGTCCAATGCTCACCGGATCATGAACATGCGCAACCATTCGATGATCAACCTGCCTGCTACAAGCCGCAGGACATCGACCCTGAGCCAAGGGTCGCGCGACAGCATGGTCTACCCCAGCCTCCAGGTCCTCAACTTTGCAGAAGCTGGAAAGCCCCACGTGCGATACCAGCTGGGCAACTGTATCGGGCGCGGCCAGTTTGGCAGTGTGTACCGTTCGCTCAACCTGAGCACGGGCCAGATGGTTGCGATCAAGCGTATCCGTCTGTCGGGCATGAAGGAAGCCGAGGTCCGGGACGTCATGCGCGAGGTCGATCTTCTGCAGCGGCTGTCGCATCCGGGGATCGTCAAGTACCAGGGCATGTCGCGCGACGAGGCGTTCCTCAACATAGTGCTCGAGTTTGTCGAGAACGGTTCGTTGGGCCAGACGCTCCGCGCCTTTGGCCGGTTCAACGAGCGCCTTGTTGCCTCGTACGTGGCCAAGATCCTCGAGGGTCTCTGCTACCTGCACTCGGAGGGCGTCGTGCACTGCGACCTCAAGGCAGCCAACATCCTGTCCACCAAGAACGGCAACATCAAGCTGTCGGACTTTGGCGTGTCGCTCAACATGCGCGCGGTGGAGAATTTTGCCGAGCGGGCAAGCATGGGTCGCGCAGACGCGGCCAAGGCAAACGAGATTGCCGGCACACCCAACTGGATGGCTCCCGAGATCATCAAGCTGGCTGGTGCGTCGCCAAAGTCGGACATTTGGTCGCTTGGCTGCACCATTGTCGAGCTCCTCACGGGCAAGCCGCCATACTCGGATGTGGGCAACAGCATGACTGTGCTGTTCCGCATTGTCGAGGACCCTTTACCTCCCCTGCCCGACACCTCGCCGGCACTCCAAGACTTCCTCAGGCTCTGCTTCATCAAGGATCCCGCTGGCCGTCCATCTGCGGCGCTGCTGTTCGACCACGAGTGGGTGCGTGCTGGCCACGGCGACATTATCACTCGCCCACAAGACAGCTTGCCGTTCATCCGTCGCGTCAGCCAAGAGCCAAACCACCGTACCGCCGACAGTCGACGCGTCTTCTCGTCGAGCGCAGCTCTCAGTGCTGGCACCCCGGGCAGTCTGTCCATGAAGGCACGCGTTGCCAGTGCGTCGCTAATCGACCTCCACGCACCCCGCGCCGAGGTCGACCTTAATGACACGCACAACCGCGCCCAAATGTCCATGGTCTCGCTGCACTCCAACTACCACCAGTCCAGGGAGCAGCTCAACTCGACGGCGGCCAAGGCCCATGCCCTTGTCAAGACGACGTTTGCAAAGTCGATCACGTGCCACGTCTGTCTCGAGGGCGTCAAGAAGGCGGCCTACCTGTGCCAGAACTGCGGTATCATTACACATTCCAAGTGCGCCGACCGCGCCAATGCACGCTGCGACGTCCGCGGACAGCTGGCACTGCTCGCGAGCCAACAGGACTGGACGGTGTCGAACAGCTCGTCCCGTGCCACGTCTCCACAGACCGAGCAACCCAACCCGTTGACCTCGCTCTCTGGGCGCCTCTTCGGCCGTAACCGCTCCAAGGCGTCGCTCCTCGCTGCCCCGTCATCCACATCGCTCGTCGAACCCCCCTGTACGCGCGGCCGGCGGGCCTCGTCCGGCGCGGCATCCTTCAACTCGCGCCCCTTTGAGACCTCGACGTCGACGGGCGGCTCCGCCTCCGCCACCATCTCGGGCGCGGACACGGTCGGCTCCCTCCGCTCGCGCCACTCGGAGACGAGCGAGGACGGCGGAAGTCTGCCTCACGACCGCCCGCTTATCCGTATCGACGAGGACGGGCCGGCCGGGAACAATAACCCGTACAGGCGCTCGCCCGTGATCAAGGTCATGGAGCCGCCCATCGAGGGCGGCGCACCTCGCCGGCGCGCGAGTATGCGCCTCCTCCCACAGCGTAAAGGCAAGAAGAACGAGCCCGAGGAGCAGAAGAGCGACTGCATCATCGGGTGAGACCAGGACGTTTTCTTTTTTTCCTTTTTTCCTCTTTTTCTGTTTCCCAGATTCTCCACCATCTTGCTTTTCTTGAACTATCCCCCATCCCACCCACAGCAACTATCCCAAACCCCACCCCATCGTATCGACACGGGAATCCCCACCCCTCCCGCCACCGGGCCAAGCAGAATACACGCCATTTTTGATTGCCGGGTGCGGCCCACGGCGAACGGACATTGTATCCCAACTGTTGTTTTCATTAGCTGTAGCATCCCATTTCTTATAGTGGGCCAACGACGCCGGGGCCATTGCCAATTGCCACATGCAAGGACCTTGCGAGCGAGACGAGGGCAAACGGTGTGCCGCCAGGAGCCACAGGCCACGAGTGGGAACAGGACAGCACAGTGGTGCCGGGTGTGGTGTGGCCTTGTGCCACGGTGCCGCGGTCGCTGACCATGGTTGATTCCATCGTTGCATAGCGACGACACCCTCGGCCCACGCTACACCGCCCCAACCATCCTCTGCGTGGCGCGGTTCCGGTCCATTGCAGATACAGATACGCGTCCAGATACAGATATAGGCGTCTTGGCAGGTCCAAAGTGGCCAGTGGCAGAGGTCGCATGACGGACGTGGACCGGATTGCCTTTCATCCTTCCATCCTTCTGACGTACATACGTGCGAGCTGCCGAGCGGGCGTTTCATGTCAACCTGACAACTTTGACATGGCCGGCCTGCACCAGGGGCAGATATCTCGTTAATCTCAGTGCCCATCGCTTTGGGCGGACACGTACGGCCCATCAGCAGTGTGGTCGTGACATGACATGAGCGTGCATATACATTCGGGGTATCTTATGCAGGGTATGGAACGTATGGAGGAATGGCGTCGTGCGCCCACAACGTGACGTGTCTGGGAGAGGAGAGAGAAAAAGAGGGAGAGAAGAGGGTGCTGGCCGGTTCGGTTCCGGCAAAGCCATGACGGGAGGCGACTCAATCGAACAAAGGGAGGTGTGGGTGGAAGAAGGGGAAGGGAGAGGCGGTGGAGGCCGCAATGAACGGACCGTCACACCACAGCATACACAGGCCGATGGGCGACGAGAGGTTGTGGCGAGGACATAAGGCCAGACACGTTATACCGTTGGCTCCATGCACTACGCGCGGGGACCACCGAGCGCCAGTTTGATCTTGACTGGAGCAGGAGCCGATTCGGTCGGGGTCGCTGGCGGTGCGTCCATCGCGCCGTACACGCCATAGGGGGTAGGTGCAGAGACGGGCGTTGTCGTAGGCGACGGCGCCACGTTGCCTTGGAACTTTGGACAGTTGCGGTTGGCCTTTGTGTGGCCGTACGCGCCACACGCTCCGCACTTGCGCTTGCCCTCGCCCTCGGCGACCTCTGGCAGCTCGCCCTTGCCGGCATACTTTTTGCGCTGCTGGCGACGCTGCTGGTTCTTCTTGAGACGGATGACTTCCTGGCGCAGCGCCTGGATCTTGAGCTCGTCCTCCTCGATGTCGCCCGAGGGCTTGAGGTGGTCGAGCTCCTCGGTGAACTGGGCGAGCTTGCGCTCCTCGACGCGGCGCAGGTAGCTCTGGATGACGGCCGGGTCGCGCACAATCTCGACGGTGGGCTTGCCGCGGACCGTACGGTTGATACGCAGCACCTTGGCGGCACCACGGTCGTTACCGGTGAACTGCGACTCGCCGTCGTACGAGAACGCAGAGGGCGACTGAGGTGCGTCCATGGGGCTGTCAAAGCCGCCGGGAGTGGCGGCCAGGCTGCCGGCGCGAGAAAAGTGGCCTCGTGACTCTGGCTTGCCGCCAAAGCGAGCCGCAAGGCCAGCAGGGTTGTTGGCAGTCGCCGGCACCTCGTCGTCGGCAGTGAGGGATGGTGCATTGGCGTTGGACAGCGCGCGGGACTGCAGGTCCCACACCTTGCGCTTCTCCTCCTCGTAGATGCGGTTCTGCTCGGCGTTGCTGATCTTGACGGGGCCGCCGCCAGCCTTGGCCTCGGCTTCGAGTCGTCGTCCTTCCTCGGTCTCTCCCTTGCGCAGAAAGTAGTTTTTCATGTTGGTCTTGAGGAAGCTGAAACCCTCGCCACGACCAGTCGGGTCACCGTCACCGTGAACCAGGAGCCACGCCTTTTGCGCCTCGGCCTTTTTGTAGTTGAGAGTCGTTGCCCAGACGGCGAGCTGCTGTTCAATGTCCAAGCCCTCGCCACCTTCGCCCAACTCGTCGTCGGCATTCCCCTCGGCCGTCTTGGTGTAACCGGCGTCGCGGAGGTGCTGCGCTCCGACCTGCATTGCCTCGTACAAGCAGACCATTTCGGGAGTGACGAGCGCTTCGACCTCGCCACGCTCCGTGGGGAAATCGTAGGTGGGGTTGAGCTTCCAGTAGCCAGAGTGGAAGCCGGCATCTTTGTCGTACTCGAGGAACTCGTTGCCCTTGATCTTTAGACGCTGGCGCATTTGCAGCTCGGTCTGGTCAGGGAAGTACTTGATGAGACGGGACAGCTTGACTCGCTGCTTGGCGGGGTCGAGGTTCTTCTTGATCAAGATCCACGCGACAATCATCAACCTCAGCTTGGCCGTGTTGGTGTTTTTGCGTGCGTGCGGTCCCGGCACCTCGGACTCATTGGGCAGGGTCTGGCCCACAGTGAACACGTCCTTAATTTCGCGGATGTGGTATGAGGTGTGTCCATTGATCGTTTGCCTGAGGGGGTCAGACTTGAGTCTTGCTTGACGAGTGGCATTTAACTCACCTGATTACCAAAAAGTCTGTTGGTTCGGACTGGTGTTTGAAGATCGGAGCACGCAGAAGGTGGTTGTGGATCACCTGGGTCACCTTGCCTGGGTCCACGTAACCAAGGAGGAACGGCTCAGCGTCGCCGACGTTGAGGATGGACGGCTGGCCAAGCTCGAGCTTGGGCACAGTCTCGTCCTTGTCGTCCTTTTTGCGATAATAGTTGACAATCGTTGTACCCATGCCAAAGTTGGACATCATGGGCGGGTACTCTTCTGAAAACTCCAAGAGGACAAATGGGCCCTTTTCAGTGAGACTGAGGTCCTTGGTGGTCTTGAACTTTTCGGCAGGGTCGGCCACCATCTGCTTTGCCTTCTTCGAGCTGGACGGGTTTCCCTTGAGCTTGCTGAACGACAGCCACACGCCGCTGGGGAACTGGAGGGGAGGGCGGTGCCATGCGCGTGCCTCGTTCTTTGACAGCGTGGTCTTGTAGAACGGCATCTGGAGCACTTTGGCAGGGAGAGAGTGGAAGACCTCGATGGCGCCAAACGTTTGACGGATGCGGTATCGTGACGCGCGAGTGTGCTCGTACAGGTGGTCGTTGGACATGTTGAACAGGTCGAGCTTGTTGGTCGCTATTGGCGCGTCTTCCTTCTTCTCCTCACCGCGCAACGCGACGGTGTCCTCCGTCTCCTCGTGCTCCTCGATCAAGTCGGTTGACACGCGTCGTGCGTCCCAGATCACCTCGTCGAGCCATTCTGCAGACTCGAGGTGTTCGTTGCGCAGTTGTAACGCATTGTGGCCCATGGGTGGGGCTTCCTCACTGTCGCTGATCAGCTCACGACTGCACCATCCACTTACATTGAACACAACACAATGTCACTCTCCCAATCCGCAAGATCCAGCATCTTGCTGCTCTCAGCGCTAGCGTCAAAGCGCACGCTTTTTGGTGGTTTCGTCATCTCCACCCGTCGTCGTTCCCGGGAGTCTTTGATCCATTCTGGGTCGAAGAACTCGCCGATGGGGTTCAGGTAGTTTGGTTGTCGAGGGTCAATCGCGGGGAGGGGAGGGAGGTTGGGCAACAGGAATGAGAGGGTAGGGGATGGCGCCTTGGCAATGTCCACTGCAATGGCAACTGATTGGGTCAGCATATTGACGACAACGAAGGAAGAACACCCACATTCCTCGTGAGGCAGTCCAGAGAGCAGTCGTCGCTTCTTGCCAAGCAACGTCGCGTTCAAGCTCAAGAGGTCGCCTGGCGTCTCGTAAAAGATCTCGCTCATCTTGAGCATTGTTCCAGGCGCATAGTCGGGCCATGCACGCTTGATGAGGTCCTTTTCGCCTTCCTCGCGCTGTCGACGCTTCTTCTTGGCTTCGGCAGACGGTCCAGCGGCCGTGCCAGCAAGCTCGGCCGCGGCGCGACGTGCCCAGCGTTCTTCCTCTGCCTTGATGGCGGCCTGTTCGCGGATGCGTGCAGCCTTGTCGTCTGCCGACTCGTCTGGGAGCGATGCCTCGCTGACGTCGTCCATAAACTTGCCCTCGTCCGTGTCGACGGCGGCGGCCATGTCACGCGCTCCGGCTCCCTCTGTCCTTTCGAGGAATGCATTGAGGGAAGCGCTGTCGACACCGACCTCTGCGAGGACGGCACCGAGGCCGAAAGCGGAGCCAAGGGCGTCGTCGTTGTCGTCCATGACGGGCAGGAGGGGGGTGGTTGTTGTTGGTGGTCTCCGGGAGGTGAAGGTGGGGTTGGTGTCCGGGGTAGACGAGGCGGGCGGCGAACAATCAGGACTCGAGGTCATATATACTTCCGCACGTTAAATGGGGGTTCCGGATAAAACTGGTGCCACGCTAAGCCTGGCGGTGGCCTCGTGTTTGTGTACAGGCTCTGACGGTGTCGGGCGAAGACGACGACGACGACGACGACGACGAGCGAGATGGTGTGGGTTTCATGCACTGCTGATTTCACTACATCCACATTACGTCGCTCACCTGTACATACCGAACATAATCATCTCTATTTAAACCCTCGCATACCACGCCCGATCTCCCGGGGCTTGTTTGGAAGACAACGGAACGATACCGAATCCCCCCAAGACCGAGAGACATAGCGACCGTCTCAGACTCGTCCCGACACACACCACGCACAAAGGCTCTCCTCTCGCTTAGTGGCAAAGGTGCCAAACAAGCCAAGCCACCCCAACCCCCCACCCCCCCCATACCCCCATCTCAGGCTCCACCTATTGTGTTGCCACCTCACACTTGCTCATGATTCAGCTTTCCGAAATGGTCGGCGGCGAGCTACCCGACGACGACATTGCGCTCATCGCCACGCCGCTCCAACTACCTAATGGCGTTGTTATCCCGAACCGCCTGGTAAAGGCGTCCATGGAGGAAGGTATCACCGGCGGGCTGCCTGGAAAGCGACACCGCAGGCTGTACCGCCGCTGGGGCAAGGGCGGCTGGGGCGGAGTCATGACGGGTGAGTGCTGTTCTCAACTGTCCTCGTTTGCCACTGTCCGAGGCTGCTTTGGGTCATGTCATGTTGACGCGCAACGCGCCCAGGAAACGTCGCCGTCGACTCGTCACAGCCAGCAACACCGCACGATCTGCGGGTATACGACTCGCCACACACCACGCCGCTGTATTGCGAGCTGCACGACGCGCTACTCGCCGACGCACCCGAGCCACGACCGTTAACGCTCGTCCAGCTCTCGCATGCTGGAATGCAGAGCAGCGCAACGTTTGGCCTGGCGCGTGCACCCTGGGTACCGGCACTGGCGCCCGTCAGCGATCGCCCAAGTCTGGGACGGGGCCCATTTGCGTGGTTCCTCGAACGCGCGTTCTGGCCGACCAAGAGCCGAGCGGTGGTCGACCGCGCAGAGTGGCTCGACATTGCCGGCAAGTTTGTCGATGCAGCGCAGACAATGGAGGAAGCTGGCTGGGGCGGTGTGCAAGTGCACTCGGCTCACGGTTACCTTCTTGCCGAATACCTCTCTCCATTGGTAGGTGCTGAGCCATTGGCGGTCTGCTAACGTAGCAGACAAACCCCCACCCGCGTCCACTGCCGGGCGTCCCCCACTACATTCCTCTGCGCCTCCATCTCCTCTGGCTAATCTTGACGGGGATCCACGCGACGACAGAAAAGCAGTTTGTCAAGTCTGTCAAGATCAACTGCTCTGATTTCGTCCAAGGCGGTCTTGACGAGGAGCAGGCTGCCGAGGTCATCCGCGAGGTCGTCTCGTGGAAGCTCGTCGACATTCTCGAGGTGTCGGGCGGCACATACTCCAACCCTGGTGCGTACACTCCTCCCTACCGCAACAATGCTGACATTGCCTCGTCTTTTTTCAGCATTTACTGACCCCCCACCCGCCAACGCCCGCGAGTCCCTGTTCTCGTACTTTACCCAAGCACTCATCCCCACCCTCCCGCCCGTACCCCACGGCCCGGCCATCATGCTCACGGGCGGGCTGCACGACCGCGCGCTCATCGCGTCGTGTATCCGCAGCCGGGCATGCGACCTCGTGGGCATTGCGCGCGCGGCCGCGCTCGTCCCTGACCTGCCGCACCGCGTCCTCCTCAACCAGGACCTGGACGCCAGCAAGGCCCGCGTAAACGTCGCGGCCATCCCGCACGGCGACCTGGTCAAGTGCGTGCTCGGCGGCGGCGGCATGTCGGGGCTGAGTCCCGGCCGCATCAAGCTCGTGGGCGCCAGCGTGTCGACGTTTTGGTTCGAGTGGCAGATGGCCGCCATAGGTCGCGGAGAGGACCCCGACCCGGCCCTCGACTGGATCAGCGGCATCTTCCACAACTGGCTCTGGTACGACCTGTGCTCTGGCGGCCCGGTCGGGTGGTATAAGCGCTGGATGGGGGAGTGGTGAGGAGGTGGGGAGTGCATGTGGGACGGAGGAGGCGTTGTCAATATCAGTCACAGTTATTCTCGCATGGCATGCATATCACGTTTTACTTTCAGCGGCGGCTGTTGATCAACGCTACTGCAGAGCTTTTGAGCCATGTCTGGCGTACGTGGCGGTTTAGAGGTTGGGCGAAGTGGGAGGCATCGCAAAAGCGGCATAGCGATGGAACGAGGGCGGCAGATATGGCGAGGATGAACAACGCGATGCATCGAGGCGGTTGGCTCGTCGCATACCGACAAGGACAATGTCCTGGTTTGCAGGTAGCCTGCCCATCAAGGAGCCAACATTGCCTGCGACAGTCAGCTTCATGACATAAGCGTCGAATTTGAGCTGTACACACCGAGGGAACGCGCAAAAGCGGCCCGTAACACCGAACAACTCGTGCTCGTCGGTGGTCTCGGAGAGACAGTGCCCATGCCAGCGAGTGACGAGGCCTTGGAACGGTACGTCGAGGTGAAATCCGGCGGCGTGATGGAGCAAAGTGCACACGTCTACTGTCGCAGACATCCAGCCTGAAGCCTCCGCCGCCACACCCACAGCAACCACCAACGCCGTCATGGGACAGTGCCAGCCTCAGACACGAGGTCAAGCACACGGTACCCACGCCGCGCACGACTGTCCACCCGCCTAGCGCTTTCCACGACGCTTGGGCTTGATCTCCTCCTCCTCGAACACGGGGTCCGGCCCCGCAAGCTCGAGCTGCACAATCTCCTCCCACTCGTGTGCAATGTTCCACCGCTCGCCTGCGCGGCCGAGATCGCGCCACCGCTCGAGGGCGATGCGGGACGTCTCAAACGGCGTAGATGGGGAGAGGAGGATGCCGGCCAGGGCGGTCAGTTCTGCCAGCTGTGCAGCGTGGGCGGAGAGGATGGGCGGGAGCGAGTCGACTGCATTTGTCAGTGACGAGAGGAGAGGGAGATAGGCAGAGCAGTTGTTGATCCAAAGCATGAAGGAAGTCCAAACAACTGGGGTGAACCACTCACCAAAGTTCTCCAGAGTCCACGACAGCCACAGCGGTTCCGAGAGGACAAAGTCCCATGTCTGGGTCTTGCAGGCGTCAAAGAAGACCTTTTCCGCCTGTTCAATGAGGGCAGCGAGCTTGGAGAGAAGGCGTTCCTGGGGGTCAGATGACTTGGCATGCACGCCACATCTGAAAACTCACAAGCTTGGTGAGCGTTGCCTGGAGGTTTGTCCTGGCCATGACCATCTCCTCGATGTGTGGCACGATGGACGGCCGCTCGGGTCCCTCTGGAAGGAGAAGAATGTTGCTGTCATGTTAGAGCTCCGTCATCGTTAATTCAGCTCACTCCATCTCTGTGCCCTCGTCGATACACCCCTTGCCGGCGCGCATGCCGTCGTGGAGAATGATCTCGTCCCATGTGTTGATGACATTGCGCACTTCGCCAATGACGAGCTTGAGCATGCGGTGGTGGGTCGTCTCCAGCGGCTTGAGAGGGGAGGCCGGGGCAGGAGACGGCGAGGGGGATGGGGAAGAGCGCGAGCGCTGTGGTGTCGATAGCGAAGCTAGACGGGACGACATTGTGGATATATGGTCAAAGGTGATGTCAAGATGGTTGGGCCAGACATGTCGAGATTTCCAGCATCCGTTCAGCAGCGGCAAGTGTCGCGCCGGTCACGTGATCCACTTCTGCTGCCATCCGCCCTCGTCCCTACTTCTCCCTGGTTGCGCCGCCGCCGCCTCGCCACCCGGCAGCCGCATAATCGTGCGGCATTGTGCGCTCATTCTTCACATCTCACATCTCCACAGTCCCGTCATCCTCCCCCCAAACACCACTGCTGCAGGCTGCAGCCATAGACACTCGCGGCTCTAGACATAGCCTGCGCGACGAGGCTATTGTCCGCCCTCACTTCACTTGAAACCCACAAAACAGGTGCCAACAACACACCACCAACTTCGTCCCCTCTTCCTCCATCTTCCCCCGTCGCCGCCATGCTCCGTCGTGTGCCAGCTCTCCGCCCGCGCGTCGGCGTCTCGCCTCGCGCCGTGCTTCCGTTTGCGGCGCGGCAGATGGTGCCGCTCCGCGTCACGGTGCCCAGCCGCGCACTGCATGCTCGTGCCATCTCGTTTGGCACCCTCCCGCGCATGATGGCCCGAGCGTTCCGAGTCCCCCTGTACGGCGCGGCGGTTGGAGCCGGCGGCGTGGGTTACGCAAACTACAAGTTTGAAGGTGGGTGCACCGGTCCCAATTGATACCCATGCTAAGCTGTATTTCACAGGTGTGCGGACTGCCACGCAAGACATGCTGTCACAAGTGACGGACACGCTGGGCTCGGCGTACGACACCACGTCGTCGGCACTGTCGAGCGCATTCGACACCACATCCAACACGCTGGGTGCGATCGGTTCGACCGTGTCTGGCGGTGTCACGGGAGCAGCAAACGAGGCCCAGAGCCGAGCCGACGCTTTCCGGCAGGGGACAAAGGAGTGGTGGGAAGCGTTCACCACCCAGTTTGTCCGCGAGGAGGTGAAGGCGGACGAGGACAAGGGTGGACGCAGCAGCGAGGCTGAGAGCTCGGAGCGGACAAGAGAAGAGCGTAATGACCGCGGTCGCCCCAACGAGGAGCCAGAGGGTCCGTCGGGCGAGGAGGCTACTGTGCTCGGCCTGAGCGCGGCTGCTGTTGTAGCCAAGGACAGCGACGAGGACAAGGCCGCGGCCGACCCCTTTAGCGGTGGCGTTGGCCAGGAGCACCAGCTCTTGCAGCTCACTCGCAAGCTCATTGAGATTCGCACTGTGCTTCTCAGTGTTGACCAGAGCGATGCGCTCAAGCTGCCGTCCATTGTCGTCATTGGCTCGCAGAGCTCGGGCAAGAGTTCTGTTCTCGAGGCGATTGTCGGACAAGAGTTCCTCCCCAAGGGCGACAACATGGTCACTCGCCGTCCCATCGAGCTCACCCTTATCCACACTCCCGTGAAGAAGGGCAGCAACCAGCCCTCCGAGTACGGTGTCTTCCCCGACATGCCCCACCTCGGCAAGGTCACCAACTTTTCCACTGTCCAGAAGACTCTGACCGACCTGAACCTCTCGGTGCCCGCCGAGGTGTGTGTGTCTGACCAACCGATCCAGCTCCACATTCACTCCCCGCACGTGCCCGACCTCACCCTCATCGACCTGCCTGGCTACGTGCAAATCTCGTCCCTGGACCAGCCCGAGACGCTCAAGGAGAGCATCTCCAACCTGTGCGACAAGTACATTCGCGAGCCCAACATTATCCTCGCCGTCTGTGCTGCCGATGTCGACCTTGCCAACTCGCCTGCTCTGCGTGCGAGTCGCCGCGTCGACCCTCTGGGCACGCGCACCATTGGTGTCGTGACCAAGATGGACCTCGTCAGCCCGCAGGCCGGTGCGCAGATCATCCGTGGCGACAAGTACCCGCTGCACCTGGGCTATGTCGGTGTGGTGTGCAAGGCGCCCAAGAGTGGCGGCATGTTCAAGTCGCTGCGCAGTGGCGGTGACGACCGCGTGACGACCGCTGTGCTCAAGCGCGAGGAAGAGTTCTTTGGCGGCGAGAACGGCCGGTACTTTAACCAGCGCGGACGCGACGGCGACAAGCTCATGACCGGTACCGACACTCTGCGCCGGCGGCTCATGGACGTGCTGGAGACGAGCATGGCCGGCAGCCTGCACGGCATCACTAACGCTGTGCAGCTCGAGCTCGAGGAGGCCAGCTACCAGTTCAAGGTGCAGTACAACGACCGTCGCACCACGCCCGAAGCGTACGTTGCCGAGACGCTCGACGCGCTCAAGGCCCGGTTCAAAGAGTACACGTCGCAGTTTACCAAGCCTGCCGTGCGGGCCAAGCTCACGAGCATGCTCGACGACAAGATGATGGACATTCTCGAGCAGCTGTACTGGAACGACGAGCTGCGCGCCGGCGAGCTCTCCAAGCTGGCTGACGACCGCAAGATTCCCTCTGGCGAAGACCTCGACCCGTACTGGCGGTACAAGCTCGACACTGCGTCGTCGCTGCTCACAAAGTCGGGTGTGGGGCGCGACTCGACGGGCCTGGTAGCCGACGGCCTGCGCGGCCTCATCGACTCGATCGCGACGGGCGAGCCATTCACGTTCCACTCGTCCGTCTCGGAACGCATCGTCGACTTTTCGCACGCCATCCTGCGCGAGCGCGTCGGCCTCACGGCCGACCAAGTGGAGAACTGCATCAAGCCGTACAAGTACGAAGTGGAGATGGACGGGCGCGAGTGGGAGCTGGGCCGCGAGCGCGCCGACCAAAAGTTTACCGACGAGATTGTCATGTGCGACTCGAAGCTGGCCGAGATCCGCGGCCGCGTGGGCGGCAGCCGCCGCCTCAACGGCCTGATCAAGCATGTGGCCGAGCTGGAAAAATTCCAGCAGGAGAGGCGGCGGCGCGCGGCGGCCGCGCTACAGACGAGCGACGGCAGCGGCAGCGATGACAAGGACGCGGCGGTCAACGACGCCGACGCGCCCGTCCTCGACGCGTACAAGTATTCCCCTGCCCAGGTCATCGATGGTGCGTTGCGTTGTGGAAAAAAATACAAGAGACGTCCTCCGCTAACACCACCTCTACAGGCCACAACGCACTCCTCCTGACCAACCGGTTAGGCCTGCTCAAGCTGCGCCAGCAGGCGATCCGGTCTCGCCGGTGCCGTTCTGGGCCAGACCAGGCCGCTTTCTGCCCCGAGACGTTCCTCGCTGTCGTTGCCGAAAAGCTCGCATACACCAGCACGATGTTTATCAACATTGAACTCCTGGAGCAGTTCTTCTACCAGGTGGGTGGAATTGGAATTCGGGGGGGGGGGGGGGGCTTTGAGCGCTTGGTTTGCTGACGCGACACCTTGTTCTTTCTCTTCTGCAGTTCCCGCGTGAGATTGACTCGCGTATCCTGTACGACCTGGACCGCGACGAGATCAAGAAGTTTGCGCTGGAGAACCCGCGCGTCCGGACGCACCTGGAGCTCCAGGACCGCAAGGACAAGCTCGAGCAGGTGAGTGGAGACGATATACTGTTTGGAGCAAAGCAAAGCAAAACGCTTTGGGTCGGGCCCCGCTCGGCAAGGGGGGGCCTGGTTGCGGGGTTCCGCTGGAGCCAGCCTCGTGCGGCTGGCAGCTGGCAGGAGGCGCGGCACGGTGTCGCCTGTCCGCCTGTCCGGTGCACGGCGCTGTACATCCTGTGCGACGCGGCTGGTATCTGATACACGACACACGCGGTCTTGGGGATATCCGCCAAGCTCGCGTGGCGACACCCGCTGTCTGGTTTACCGCTTTACCGCTTTCGCTCCCGACCTGGCTTGTGGTGTTGCTCGACCTTTGCTGTATTTTTTTTTGCTGCACTCGTGCTGACCAGGCACTCCCAGGTGTTACGCTCGCTCCAGTCGCTGGTCAACCTCCAGGCCGACTCGCCGCGGCACGGCGCAGATGGCCGGAAGCGCGATGGCGGCCTCTTCTCCAAGTTCATGTAGGGAGAGGGAGAGGGGGCCGGGGGGGAAGGACGACGAGGAAGAGAAGGTTGCTTTAAAGCACACATCACATAGGTTTAGTATTTGCCGGTTTCTGCGTGGTGTAGAAAGAGTGCCACGCCGCTGCCACTTGATGTATTTCATACTGCTCAAGAGACATGGCACAGGGGTACAGCGGTACAGCGGCAACGCTGCAACCTGGTGCCAGTGATCCAGTGACCGCTAGACGCGTCGCAGCGCTTTCGTGAGTGATATGCCGGCAGACGCACAGGGTATCAGGGGACAACCGCATCGCCGTCCGGATGCATTCTCACTGCTCTCGTTTGACAGAGTGCTGCTTTGGCCCCAGAGCCCACGTAACACCTGGCCTTGATGATGTCTTGTGCCATGGTCCTTTACACGACGACGACGACACACTTCTGAGCTCGCTGAGCGAGCTGGCCAAGCGTCAGTGTGTGAGGTGTGGGTGAGAGAAGACTGCGGTTGGAGGGTGTCGCCCCGTGCGATATGCATTCTCCCATGCTGTGTCGTTTACATAAATGGACGTGATGGGGGCAGTGAACCGAGGTTCGATTCTGGCACGCGGCCGGGGGGAGGGGCTATGAAAAGCTGTAAACCTTGCTCGCGCGATCACTCGTCTTTTGTCTGTGATGTCTGCTCGGTGAAAGTGGTGTCTTGGCTGATGTGATGGCCCACCTCACCCCCTCCCCCAGGCATCCACAATGAACACACACACACACACACATCCCCGCTGCACGAAAAAAAAAAAAAAAAGCTCTACTAAAAATCCCCCCCCCCCCCCGGAGTGCCACGCCGCCACCTGTATTTTGTGATTGCTGTGGTGAGACAACATGCCGCACGCGCGCAGGGTCACACAGGACACGCAGGACGCGCAGGACGCGCACAGGACAAGACGGGAAGAGCGGCCGCGGCTGTTTGAGGGCCACAAGCTGGCCTTAAGCTGGGGCCGGGGTGTGTGGGGGGTTGTGTTTCACACCACGGGAGCGGCGCGCGCGTGTCGCTGGCTGAATGCATCATCCTGTGCATCGCGTCTATGGCGGATGGATGGGACACACACCAAAACGACACACACCATGCATGATGCATATGCATCATGCATTCTTGCAGACTGCGCACGCACGCACCTCCTCCACCGACTGTAGGATTTATGCTCAGCAGCCGTGACATGACCACGTCTCTCTATCTCTCTCTCTCTCGCGGCGGCCGCGCATAGGCAAAGGCAAGGCTGTGAGCCAGGACCCAACCCGCCAGGACCCAGCGAAATCAAAAAGGACGCTGCTGGTGCCGAGAGATCGAGGGAGAGATGGGATGTCACGCGACGCACATGAGAGCCGAACTCAAAAAGGCTGGGAGGAGAAAAGATGGCGAGAGAGTGAGAGTGGGGCCTTTTTGGACACGATGGATGCATAGGGGGGATGTAGAGTGCATGGGGAGCCGAAGAACAGGCAAGAGGGTGTGGCTGCATGTGGCGTGGAGTGAGAGAGAGAGAGAGAGAGCCATGATGTGAAAGATCACACAGAGAGAGACATGGATGCAACAGCCGAAGAGGCCGGGCCACCCCCACACACACCCGCACGCGGCAGACATGCCAGACACCGCCTACCTGGGCACACACGCCACACCCGCACACTCAAATCAACATGGCGGCCTCTTTTGCATCCCCCATGTCGCCTCCTCCCCCATCACTCCCTCTCCATCGGTGCTTGTCAACACCACATTACACATACAATACACACCCAAAAACACCCTCCTCCCTCACCTCACCTCACCTCACACCCCCTCCTCCCCACCAACACCCTCCTCCTCCCCGCACCCCGACCAACCTCGACGCCCCTGTGTCCAACCCCCCCAGCCCGCTCAACGCCACCTGGATTGTGCACGCGGCCCGTGTCGTTCTCCCGCCCGCGCTCACTCTGTCGCCCGCCCTGTCCTAAAGCTGTCCTGCGTCAACGCACCAGTTGCATCAACGACACGACACCTCCCCCTCCCCCCCCCACCAGCGAACACCTAGAAGCCTAGACAGCGCCATCCAACGCACGACCCGCCGAGCCGCAGCAGCTTGGAACCCCGTACGTACCGCCAGCGCTCAAGCCACATGTGCTCGTGCCCCAGCACCTACACCAGCTCTTGTTCAGCTCGGTCGTCACCTCTCATCTCTTGATCATCGTCGCTCACACCACAATGTCCTCTGTCTACACTACCACCACCACCGCACTCGTCGCCATCCCTGTCTAATCGACAAACCCTCCGTCGCGTCCCCCCCACACCCACACTCTCTCGAACCCTCTTTCTCACTCCTCCCTCCTTCGGCGTCACCTTGAATTCCTCACCTCACCCTCGCCGCTCACTGGCTCGTCATCCTCCCCCCTCCCACACCTCTCTCATCGCTTCCTCGTCGACGCAATCCATCGCATTGCCGCCCACCCACCGGCCCCTGACGACCCACTTCGCGTGGTAACCACGCCGTCGCTCGCTACGCGCCGAACGCAACACCGTTCACTTCACACACACAGTCGGTTGCTCTTTCTCTTCTACCCCCCCTCTCCCCCCCCTCCCCTGCGTCTCCCACTTCAACTCGCGCTCTCTCCTCCTTTTCGCCTTCCTGCAGCCCCGCAATGTCGGCGCCAGGTCGCCGGACGGCCAGCGGCCAGTCCGGCCGCCCAGGATCGCGCTCGTCGCGTCGCTTTGTGTCACCTACCCCCGTCGAACTGGGCGGTGGTGCAGGCATCCTCGGCCCCGTGAGCGACGAGGTGCGTTGCAATGTCTGGCCTCGGCAGCCTGACAACATTTCCTTACCGCCCCCGCACGCTCACCCCCCGCCGCCGCCGCCAACCATTTGGCGCATGCTGACGTTCCACAGCAGGCACACCAGGCAGCCCTCTACCGCGTCTCGTCGCCGGCATACTCGCCCAACTCTACACGCAGTAGCCTGTACTACAGCTCGTACAACTCGCCCACCGGGTCCCTGTTTTCCCAGTCGTCCAAGACCGGTGGCCCGCCGCCGCCCAGCAGCTCGCAGCAGCAGCAGCAGCAGCAGTCCAACAGCGGCCTGTCCCCGTCCAAGCCGCCCCCTGTTGCGATCCCACCAGCAAACAGCGGCAGCGGCAGTAGCAGCAGTAACAGCATGGCGCCGCCTGCGCCAAACTACAATTCGTGGAGCAACGCGTCTGGTTCATCGCGTTCCATTGCAACCAACGGCACCAACGGCAGCGGCGTGTCGTCTCTTGGGCCCAGTTCGCGTACGCGCACACCAGTAAAGGACCTGTATGCGTTCGACACGACAAGTGCGCCAGGGAGCCAGGCGTCGATGGGGTCGTCGTCGACGCGTCAAGGCGGCCACAGCCCGCGCAAGCGCTCGGCAGGACGCTGGGACCCCATGCTGATGGGCGCCGAGGACCCCTCGCTGAGCACAACAGGCTCATCGTCTTCGTCGTCCCGAGCGGGACGCGATGGACCACTGCCCGGCATGGCCCAGGGTCCCTTGCACCACGCTCCAGCGCACTCGTCTGGCGGTGGCTCCTCTTCCCATTCTTCCTCGCTTGGAAAGGCCGCTGGGTCGCGTTCTGCAAAGAAAAAGCACGTCCCCGCACCGATCCACACGGGCAGCGCGGACCTCCGTCACGCACCGAGCTTGAGCCAGGACTGGCTCGCCGTTGACCAGTACGGCTCCATTTCAGATCTCTCGCCAACACGTCGTGCTCCTGCTCCACCAGCAAACGCCCTGCCCCCATCGTCGACTGCGCAAAACGCGAGGATGATGCCTGTCAGGTCGCACGACGACGACCACACCATGCAGCGCTCGGCGACCGACCCCATCGCCTCGCAACAGCAGCAGCAGCAGCAGCAGAGGCGGCCCTCGGGCGACAGCCGCTCGATAACACCAACACCAAACGGATACGCCGCCGCCCAGGACGGTCGCAAGACCCCTACCCCGCTTGGCGAGTCGAGCGGGCGAAACCAGTTTGGGCCGGATGTGCACGGACGCAAGGTGTCCAACGGCTACCCCGAGTCCAATGGGCGTAGCAGGACGCCAAACGGCGTCGAGGGTTACGGCGCCCTGCCGTCGGATGTGGATGCTACCGGGGGCTCCAGACAGCCACTCAACGTCAACCGCCCTGCACCCCCGCCGCCCCCGCTTAAGACGCGCCGGTCAATGGACTTGCTACGTCGACCATCGACAGAGCTGCTTGGCTTTGGCAGCAGGAACGGTGGTGGAGACCCCAAGGACGCCAAGGCAGCTGCACAGAAGAGCCTAGGCAGCGGCCCCGCACCTGCCGCCGACGGCCGCAAGCCGCCCGGTCTCTCGCTCAAGAAGAGCTCTGGTGCCCTCCGAAACCTGTTCCGTGGCAAGAACAGGGAGCCGTCAGACTCGATCCCAGACATGCCGACCCAGCAGTCCCAGGTGTCCCAGCCCCGTCCGTCGCTCAGCGACTTGCTACGACCGACGCCGCCACTGCCGCCTGGAGCCGCGTCCCCAGCCACGGGTGTGGGGCCGTCGTTTGCCGGCACATGGAGCTCGGCAACCAAGTCGTCGTCTGTGAGCTCGCGGCGGTTCCAGCGTACCGAGTCGGGCGGGTCTTCGCCAATGGACGACCCGGAACGTAGCCGCCGCTCGCCACCTGTGCCTCCTCCGAGCGAGGCGGGTACGCAGCCCCGCACGCAATCGCGCTCGCGTCCAGCAATCCCCATGCGCGATCTTCCTCCTCTGCCACCTGTTTCTTTAGCGACGCCTCAGCAGCAGCCCCAGCAACCGCCTCAGCAGCCACCTCAGCAGCAGCCCCAGCAGCAGCCCCAGCCTCAGCAGCCACCTCAGCAGCCAGCTCACCAGCAGCAGCAGCCCCAGCAGGCGCCTCAGCAGCAGCCCCAACAACCGCCTCGGCAACCGTCCCCGGCCGTTGTGTCCAACAGGTCGGCCTCGCCAGAGAAACCCACTCCCACCCCGGCACCGGCATACCAAAGCCCAGTGTACGAGACCCCCATCGCACCTGCGCGCGACCTCCCTCAAAAGGCAGTCAGCCCTGCCGTGTCAGAGGGTTCGGCAGGGTCGTCTGCCACTGCCCGTCCGTTTATCGACTCTCCACACGAGTCGCCGCGCGATGAGTGGTCCCAGTCGCCCTCCGAGTCACCTGCTACCGTGTCGCCTGTCAAGTCGTCGGCCCCGCTGCACCTGTTACAGCTGCCCGACCTGGACATTTCGTTCGACTTTGGCTCGTTTGACTCTATCGGTCTCAGCTCGCCTCCCACGCCCAAGAAGCGAAGCCCGACCAAGGTGTCCGGCCAGCAGCAGCAGCAGCAACCCGTGGCAGCGGCATCGCCGACGCGGACTCGTTCGCAGCGCGGTGTCCACCGCACAGACTCTGAACGGGCCAAGCTTGCCGAACGTCGCCGATCCAAGTCGTTTGACGGCCCGGGATCAGGGGTCGACGACCCCTGGCGCCTGACTCTGGACGACACATGGACGTCGCCACACATGGCCAAGCTCTTCTCGCCCAGCTCGTCGTCGGCGCCGCTGCTCTCTGCGTCACAAGAGTCGTTGCCCACCACCAAGGCGGCCACGTATATTGCCAGCACACACACTGTCCCTTCCGAATCGGACGCTTCGTCAACACGCGACCACTCGCGCACGCCGTCGGGATGCAGCTCGGCGCGCGAGACCAGCTCCACGCAGGAAACCAGCTCCACTTCTTCCCCGCACACCCCGGAGGACGCCCACTCGGCCTTCCTCGCCAGCTCCCCCACCACCGAGACCGCCAAGGCTGCAGCGGCGGCGGCAGCTCCTGTACCTGTCCTGTCGCTTGACTCGCCCCCAGCGCTCCAGCCTCCCATCGAGCTCGACACGCCGTTCCTCGGCGGCCCGTTCAACAACGGTCTCTCGCTCAAGGACGCACAGAGCACGTCAACGACACCCAGCCCTGCTACGTCCGAGCCCCACACTCCGACGCCGGCCGCCGCAAAGGCCAAGGCACTCGAGTCTACGGCCAAGACCCTCGAGGCCAAGGCCGAGCTCAAGACGCCAGCAGTAGCAGCGGCGGTTCTTGCGCCGCCCATTGTGATGGCTGCAGGCGCCGTCATTGCTGGCACCGCCAAGGCTGAGCCGGCCAAGGAGCCCGAGGAGCCCAAGGAGCCCGAGCAGATCCCGCCTTCCAAGGCGCCGTTCCACGCTCGCAGCACCGCGCGTGTGCTGGCCAACATGGCCACGCCCATCTCGCCGGACCCCAACGTGACCCTTCTGGACCTCAGCCGCGAGCTGGAGCGCTCGCTCGACAACTTCCGCTACCCGATGCAGGGCGGCGGTCCTGAGCGTTCAATGATCATCCGCAACGAGCTGCTGGTGTACATTGGCGAGCTGGACAAGCGGTGCTACTCGCGCACCGAGGAGCGCGTGTACGAGGACATTCGCGACATTTGCTTCTTCTGGGCCGAGTCGCTGCTGTACGAGCTGCGCGCCGAGCAGGCAGCCAACGAGCGCGGCGCATGCCTCGAGGGCCTGGCGGCCGTCCTTGAAAGCCAGTGTCTGTCCGCCGCAGCGCTCGAGGCGTCGCCCATGCACCAGGACGCGTTCTCGCGCCTCATGATGCGCGTCATGAACTTTGTCATGGACAAGCTGGGCGCCAAGGGTGTCTTCCACAACACGCTGTTGTTCAGCGGCCGTTTCCTTGCATTTGCCTTCTTCCGGGTCCCGCACGTCGGCGACCAGCTCGTCGGCGTCCTCCAGCCTCCCCGCGGCTCGCTCATGCGGTTTACGCGCTCGGTCCTCGTTGGCAGCACGATCCCGGACTCTGCGCAGCCAAAGTATCCGGCGCACCTGCAGGCGCTGTGCTTTGACAATTCGCAGTCGTACACGAGGCGCCTGCTCACGCTCGACCCCGACTTCCAGACGGCCGAGGAGAAGGAGGCGTTCCACTTCCAGCCAGGCAACTGGCTGCGGCGATGGCAGTCAGACGACTCGGAGCTGTTCCCGGCCTTTTACCGCGCGTACCACCGCCAGCTGGCCGTCTACCTCGGCCCCGCTGTCGAGTACTACCAGGCGCAGAACAAGCCCGTTCCCGCGTCGTACCTGTTCCGGGCCCCTGGTTACGCGCACCTCGCGACCATTTTCGCCAAAAAGTGCCACTCGTACATTCTCGGCTCGGTCAATGCCGTCACGACGTCGTCGTCCAACAACAACTTTGACGCGACAGAGTCGGCGGGCTTTAGGGGCAGCCAGAAACCTCCCGTGCTCGAGACGGCCAACCGCCGCCTGGTGGAGACCATGTGGACGTTTGCGTCGGCGCTCGTGGTCATTCCCGGCAGCGACGGCCGCATGATTGAGACGGACGGCGCACAGTTGTGGGGCAGCACCATCGACCTGTGGATCAAGAGCCTCATCACCAAGACGAGCCTGTACGCGCCCAAGGGCGTGTTTTGCCTGTTTGACCTGTTGGACGGCATCATCGACCCCGTCCAGACGGGCGGCGAGCACTCGCCCCTCGACGTGCCGTACATTATCGGGCTTGTCCGCACCATCCTCAACGAGGCCGAACACGCGCTCACGCTCGTCAAGGCTATTGCATTTGTCTTTACCCACTGGGAGATCCTCACCATCAACCCGGACAACCGCCGCGAGCTGTGTCTCGACATTTTGCTGCAGCGCAAGCTGTTTGAGCGGCTGCTCCTGTTCTGGTCGCAGTCGGTGCGGTCGTATGTCCTGCGTCTTGTCGTGTTCCGTCTCGGCCACCTGCACACCACCAAGGACGACGGCATCTCCTACGAGGTTGAGATTGAGTCTGTGCGTCTCCTCCAGACACGTCTCGACGCCATCAAGCGCCGCCACGACGAGCTCGAGCCCCGCCAGCCGTCCGAGTCCGAAATGGACCTCGCACCGCGTACCCCCACGGCACCGGGGATCCCGCGCAGCCGCAGCACAATCACCATGGTCCCCGACTCGCCGCAGCCGGCGACGAGGGCCGAGCGCCTGTTGGGTCTCGGTCTCGGCGGGCCCACCGCCGAAGAGGACAAGGACGCAAAGGCCAAATCGTCCTGGTGGAAACGGACGCTCGGAGGCAAGGCCGCAACGGCCAGCAAGACGGGCAAGAAGAAGGGCTCGCCATCACTGCCCGACGTGTCCCCGCTCGTCCCGGCCGTGACGCTGCTCAGCTCGTCGCCAACTGTGAGCGGCAGCTCACCGCCAGCCCGTTCCAGGCTCGAGCCCGTGCTCGGCAGCCCTGTGCTTCTGGGCCCGCCCAGCCCGTCGTCGCCGTCATCATCGTCGTCGTCGTCGTCGCCGTACATTAACGGTAACGGCAACAGCTCTGGCCCCGGCTCTGGCCCCAGCCCTGGCCTCAGCTCGTCCCCGACGTCGCCCGGCGGCGGCATCAACAGGCGCAAGGCGCCACCACCACGCATCGCGACCAGCGGGCCACCACGCACGCCCGAGGCGCAAGGCGCCAAGGCCGCGTTCCAGTTCGAGTTCGAGCTGCCCACCGCCTCGCCGCGCTCCGACGCCTTTGACCCCATCACGTCCCCCGGCTCGCCCTCGACCGGCCCCGGGACCTCGCGGCGGTCGTCGCAGCCCGCGTCGCCGCGCGGCCCGACGTCGCCACACATGTCGGCGCAGTTCTCCAAGCGCTCCTCGCTCCTGCCGCCGTCGACGGCCACGGCGCTCGACTCGCTCGGCGGCACGGGCCTGCGCGTGCCCTTTATCCCGCGCGACCCGGGATACCCGAAACGCCTGCACGCGTACGCGATCCGCATGCTCGCCGAGCTCGAGGACGCCCAGAAGGAGTATGACGAGTGGTGGGCCGACGGCGGGATCGGGAAGGTGGACGGCGCGCCGCCCCGCCTGGCGGTGGCATGGCCGTTCCACGAGGGCGAGGACTAAGGCGCGCGGCACCCGGGCGACAGCCAGCCCCGGGCCGCCCAAAAGAAGAAAGGAAGAGCGAAGGGAGGAGGGGGGGAATGGACAACAAAACAACCACCGTGTACCAACCAACCAGCATGTGTCTCGTCTGGGCTATTTGATATTTTCTTGCGACTGGTCTTTTTCTCTCTCTCTCTCTCTCTTGCTTTCTTCCCTTTACGAAATTTATACCGACCGTCACGTAGTGCTTGCCTCTGTTCTGGGTGCATGTACCCCTATGATATTGCTTGCCCGCATCGCCTACGAGCTGGCACAGGTGCATTTTTGGTATGGAGTATGCGGGGTATGGAAACAGTGTGTGAGGGAGAGCGGGAGAGACGCAGAGGGGGAGAGAGGGAGAGAGGTGTGGCGTCGGGCGACGTTCTACACCTCCTCAAACTCATCCTCGTCCTCGTCGTCAACGTCCATCTTGTCTTCGTGCGTGTCCGTGACAGGAGCCGGAGCCGGAGCAGCAGGAGCAGCAACGGCGTCAGCGGCCCCGGCTCCCGCCGTTCCAGTCTCCTCCGCGTCGCCAGCCAGGCCCGCCTTAGCCCCATCTCCATCTCCAGCGCCGCCATCCGCGACAGCTGCGCCGCCCGCCGCAGCCGCACCGACCGGCGCACGACTAACCAGCAGCCCAAACTCGCGCGTCACCTCGCGCCGCAGCGCCTCCGTCTCGACTTTTAAGCGGGCGGCCTCGGCGTCGCGGCGCGACGCGGTGGCAATGTCGTCGCCGAGCGCGAGGGCCAGGCGCAGCTCGTGCGCCGTGTCGCGCAGCGTCTGGGCGGCGCGGATGAGCGTCGATGTCTTGAGCTTGAGGTGGAGGGTCGTGAGGGTGTGTGTGTTTGGCGCGGGGTTGGTGCCGATCTGAGGAGCGGGGGTGTCAGTTGCTGTCGCGGATACGAGAAGGGTAGGGCAGCAAGAGGATGAGCAGGAAGGGGAGGGAGGGGAGGGGATGGAGGGAGGTGGGCGTGAGGACCTGGAGCTCGGGGCCAGATGCGATGTAGAGAGCTAGAGGAGGGCCATGGTGGAAGCCAGAGGGGGGACGTTGCCCGCCTAACGCGCACACCATGGTCGGAGCTTGAACGGTCGTTGTTGGCTAGCGACGTCGAGATGATAGCCAACTCGAAGCCGCTCCTTGCCGTATCCTCCATTTGCCAGCCCATCCACTCTCTCTCTCTCTCTCACATCCTCCTCTCCCCTCCTCGCCCTCTCCATCTCCCTGCGCGCCGCACACTCACGTCTGCAAGCTCGACCAACTCCTTCAGCCCGCCCGCGACGGCCTTGACCTCCTTGTCGATCCGCGTGTTCCACGCATCGTACACGCGGTCCAGCTCGGCCTTGGTGCTTGCATCCTCGGTCGTGAGGTCTGGCCGTCCTTGGGTGGGTACGAGCCGCTTGTGGCCGAGCGAGGCTGAGGGGAGGGCTTGTGGGAGGAAGAGGTCGTATTGTTGCTGTTTTGACATGACGGGAGGTGGTATCAGGTATGGAGAGGAGAGGAGGGTTGGGTGGGTTGCGCGGTGGTCGTGCCGGGATGGATCGCGCAAGCGAGCGAGAGAGGGATAAGGTATGTGTGTGTAGGGGTGAGGGCAAGATGTGCTGTGATGAGCTATGCTGTGTTGTGTGGTGGTGTTGATGGACAGGAACAGTGGATGGAACGGAGATGGGCGACATGGAATCCCGGAAGCACAAGTCAAAGTGGAGGACGACCACCAGTTGACATCACCCATCCCTCCAGGTCTCACCCACATATATCCGTCAACCAGTCCGACGTCGAACCCCCACACACTACAAACATTGCAGGAAACGGTGAGTGTCAGTTGTAGACCAGAAACATTCTTCCCAACTGAACGCTGTAGTGCTTTGACCGCCCCGTCCTTCGCCGCACTCGGCCCAACCCCCGGCCTCTTCCTTCTCTCCCCACTGCTCCAACTCCAGCTCCAGCTCCACCATGCTTCTCAAGCGCCTTGCCCCAAGTCTACCTCCTCACCTAGCCACACTTGTCCCTCGTCTAGGTGAGCTTCAATTGCCCTTATGAAGCTGACGACCAGAACACAGCCGCGTGCTCACGACCGAACAAGTGCTTCTTACCCGCCGCGACGTCCTTCTCTCCCTCCTCGCGTCTTCCCCCTCGACCTCGGGCACATCCACCACCGACCCAGAAGCGCTCGATGAGCTCGTTGCCTATTGCCTCGCGCGAATTCCCGTCCCCGTCGAGAGCGGCAATGCGATCGCTACCAAAGAGCGAGCGAGGGAAGCCGACCGCGAAAGGGCCCGTGCAGCACGAGCGCGGATGGGACTGGACGGCACGTTCGGAATCCCAGAACTCGACGCCCTCGGCGACCATGGTGTCATTGGGGTGTGTGGAAGCAAGGGAGTCGGAAAGTCGGTGAGTGGGTCCGAGGAAGGAAGATGCGCTTGTATCGCTGATCGCACCTGGTTCTTCCCCCTTTTTCGGACAACCCATTTGTCTCCCACTGGCAGCTTCTCGCTCTCCACGCTACGCTCAGGCTTCTCGCGAGCGACTCCACAGCCACAGCCCGGTGGATCGACACGGAAGGCGCGTTCAATGCGTCGCGAGCACAGGCAGTGGCTGCGGCTCTGGGTCTCAATGTGAGTCATGCGAGCTGACCAGGCCCGATACTTCAGCTCTGCAGTATCGACTCTAGTACCTGACGTGCAGGAATCCATTCTCGACCGTCTGGCTGTATCCAATGTGTTTCGACTCGAGCCCGAGCTCTTTGATGTGCTCGGCGAGCTGCGCGGGAGCGACAGCTTGAGAGTTCTCGTCATTGACAATGTGGCTCCTCTCTTCCGCGACGCGTTGATGGGCACTACCGCTCAAGGTGAGTTGTCGTAGCTTAGCGTTGTCTCGCAAGAGCTACTGTACTTACATCTCAGGCCACGCCGCCATGGTGACTGCCATGGACGAGGTCGCGGACCTGACCTACGACCAAGGCCTTCTGACCATTGTAGGTTCCCTCTCACCAGTGCGTTGCTAAACCTGCCAGGTGACCAACATGCCTGCCTCTTGTGTCCCGACCAACCCCCTGTCCGCCTTCTCCACCACCACTGTCAAGCCAGGACTCGGTGCATCGTTTGCCTTTTCCACAGACGTGGAGCTTCTCCTCCAGGACACTGGACGCGTCTTTGGCCTCGTGGACGAGGGTGAGCGGGATCGCGCCCACTCCGGCCCGGGACTCCGAGTGGTTGCAGAGGTGCTCAAGAGCAGAGTTTCGGTGGGTGACTCATTGTTGGATAGAGGTCCTGACCCAGACAGCCCTCCGGCACCTGGACCGTGTTCGAGACGGTGAGCGACTTTCTTACGTATGGACAGAAGCTTACAGGCAGGACGGCACAGGCCTCTTCAATGTGCTGCCACCACCGCTGGAAGATGCCAGGACGACAGAACGATCGCGAGGCGTGCCGACGGGCCGACCTTCCCTCGGCCCGCTGCACGAGACGCTTGCACCCTCCATTTTGCCTCTGCGTGAAGGTCGCCGGTGAAGGCAGCGCACGCAACAGTGCACGGCCTGGGGGGTGACTTGCGCTTGAACGCCACTTGGGGTCTCCAGGTCGCCAGGTCCGGATGACGCCGTTGTTCGGCACTGGCACGTTTGCCACTTGCGGGCTCGGACAGTTCCAGGCTCCCGGCGCGATATCAAACGCACATGATCAGTCTCGTGCTGCATACCAACAACCTGGCGCTGACGCGGCGGACACTTGTACAGCGCGGTAGAGCATTCAAGTGTTGTGATGAGAAGAAACGAGGCGTCTGGTTAGCTAGAGAAGACCATGTACATGCATCTGTGTGGAGGGCCTCCAAAGTTGGGTGGCGACGGCGATGAGGAACCGCCTGGCGGCAGACGCGGCGTCGGGTGGTTTCACACTGCAGATAACGCTGAGACCCCCCAAAGCGGCCGTGCCGCATCGAGAAGCTGACGTCCGGTCTCGTACTCTTTACCCTCTTCGTCACTCTTTGCGAGATCTTCTATCTATCGCTCTCTACTCTTCCACATTCGTATCGCATCTCTCAGTTCCAAGTGTACAACGAGGAGCAACTGTACGTTACCGACCTTGTGCGCGTGGACTGCGGCTTTGGTGGATCCCGTGACTTGCACGCTGACGCCTGCTTTGTGTCCGATCGTCGCCGCTCGCCGTCCTCCCCCACTCGTCACGCCCCGTCTGTTCCTTCCACTCACCTCGTTGCCTCGCGGTACACACGTCGTCGACATTCTATCCTTTGCTCATTCTCACTCGTCTCAACATACTCGTCGCCCATTGCGATACACCTATCGCCTACCTACCCTTACCCTATACCACCCACTGCCCTGGGACGGTTGCTGTCGCCACCCATTTGCCACCCACCGCTGCCCTCCGGCCCACCTCGCCAGACAAGCACAATCCACAAGCTACTCGTGGCCGTCTCGCCCCCCACGCCTACCACGCACAGCTCACCTGACGTGTACGCCCTACACGTTGACTGCATTGTAGACCATACAGGCCCGTGCGACCGCATATCAGCAATCAAGCACCCCATACCAACCACCCCGCATTCTGCATCCCGCCAGGTGAGTGTACCTTGCAAGCCCCCTAGCGGTCCAGTCACTCGTTCTCATTCTCGCGCGGGTCTGTCATTTCTTTCCTCCATTCCATCTCTCTTCAACTCTCTTCTTGACGTGCATGGCCACCGCGGCCACTCTTCAAACCCCTTCTCTCACATCCGCTTCCCACATCGTCGCCCCGTCCCGTAGACTCCCCGTACACACCTACATTTCCTCCCCCATGTCCGAGTACTGCCGCTCGTGGGCAGACTCGCTCGGTTACCCCGATGCCTCTGCGAGTGCCGCCTATGCTGGCGCTGGCTCGGGCTACTCTCGCTCCTCGGAAGACGTCGACGAACAAGCTACCATCGACCGCATGCTTGCCTGGGACTCTTGGAACACGACTGCTCATGCACGCTGGCCTCAAGCTAACCCACGAAGCATGACCGCGCACCGGGCGCCCAGCGCGCCCTCACCGCCCGAGTCTCCCATTCTGCGGCCACCTTCCCCACTGCCCTCGGACGATGACGTGGGAGACGCAGACGCAGACGACGACGGTCTGAGTCTGGCCAGCTCGGATCTCGAGGCCAGCTGGCTCGACGTTCGCCACAGCGACGGCGGGACGTCGGTGTCTGGCTCTGCAAGTGCCCTGGACTCGACGGCCATTTCCGACATTGACCCTTCGTCTGAGAGCGAGCGCGACTGGCAGTCGGACATTGAGAATGACGTCTCTGCAACCAACGAGGACGAGGACGACAAGGACGACCTCGACCTCAGCCTCGACCTCACCCTCAAAGAGTCGCCCGAATTTGACGACTTCCAACGCTCGTTCATCTTCCCGGACCCCAACTCGGCCTCGGCTTCGTTCACCACCGTCAAGGACGACACGCCTGTCCCTTCTCTCTCGAACACGGCCGACGACAAGAGCTCGTTCTGGAACTCGCCGGCCGAGCGCCGTCTCCCCGACGACAAGAAGGAGAAGCAAGCCTCCGTCACACCTGCCACAAGTACCTCGACCCCGGCCTCCTTTCCAGTTGGTCCTACCGAGCCTAGGCGAAAGCAATGGTAAGCTGCTGCTTCACACACACCTGTAGCTGACTGTCCAGGACGGCCCTAGTCTCGGTCCTCGTCTTTGTGGTCCTCTTCCTCAAGCTGGGTCCCTCCAGCATCGACATCACTAGCCTTCTCTCGTCCACATTTAGCCCCGCTGGACCTCTGGACTCTGTCGCCGATGTCGTTCCCGCCATGCCTACTCCCATGCCCGCCACCTCTCCGTCACGCTGGCTCGGCCCCGACCTCCAAGTCGTGCGCGACGCCCTCTCGGCGCTCACCACCACTGAGGCTGAGAAACCCACCCAGAAGCCGCGCGTGCCACAGTCGCCGGCGCAGGCTGCCAAGAAGAAGGACGTCACAGCGAACCCCCTTGTGTTTACCGAGTCAAGCTGGTTCAACAGCAACAAGCCCGCCGCCGACGTCGCGACCACCTCGTCCAGCGCGCTCACCACCACCAAACAGCGCCTTCCCCCGCCATTCCACGAGCCCCCCGAGGCTTCGCTCTCCGACCAGTTCCAGTCGTCTGTCCAGCTCGTCTCCACCTATGTCTCATGGGCCCTCGAGAACCTCGCTGCCTTGTCGGTCGCCGCAATTGACATCTTCCGTACCGAGATCGAGATTGAGATCAGGTACTGGCGCAACCTCGCCGATGACCTGTACAAGTCACCTCAGGTCCGCGATGCCGTCAAGGTTGCCGTCGATGGCGCCTCGGCAGGTAAAGCGTACTCGGAGCAAGCCATCCAGCAGGCCTTCACTCGTGCTCGCCGTTGGCAGCGCAACGCATGCGCCAACGGACGCTGTTCGCCTGACCGTTTACGCAAGGGCGCTTCTGTGGCTGTTTCCCAAGCCCAGCTGTCTTTCAAGGACGCCTCGGCTGCCGTCGCTCAAGTGCAGAAGCAGATGCAGAAGAGCGGCTACGAAACGCTCAAGAAGGCGCGTCGTGGTCTCGACAATGTCATCCATGCCGCCGGCCAAGCTGTGGACTCGGCCGCTACCGAAGCCCACGTCCGCGTCTATGGCGCACAGAAGGACGGCAAAGCCAAGGCCACCTCCAAGGACCGCAAGGTCGAGCGTTCCGAGCGCAAGCAATCCAGGCGCCTCGGAAAGCACAAGTCGCACAAGTGCAAGAAGAGCAAGAGCAAGAGCAGCAGCAAGAGCGCGCACGATGAGCGGGAGCCACGCCGCGCAAAGCGCAAATGCGGCGGCTTCTCGGGTCTGATGCGCGGCTGCGATGCAGCTGGCCCAGGCGGTGCGCAGGTACGTTCACATCTGGGCGCTACGGGACTCACGCGACAGCGCGGCTAGTCGATGTGCTCTGAATGGCAGGGAACGGCGACCCCCCGGCATTGTCATGGGGATCGCGGTGCTCTACCCTTTCAGAGGCCGGCTAGGCGCACCCACCCCATTGTTTGTTAGTTTGAGAGAGACCATGTAGTTGTGCAGTAGGTTATGCAGATTTGTAGCAGATGTGCAGAGAGTGACCTCGTTGAAGATGAGGGACGGTGTAGGGGACAGGCTGTCGTGTGCGTCTGCTTGTCGACGGAGTTGGCGGCATTCGCCACATGGCTGTGGGTTAGACATTAAATTAGGCTCCCATTTCTAATACTTTCGGGCGTCGCCGTAATAAATCCACATTGCCGATTACAAAATCCCTTCCGCCCGGCCACTCCGGTTGCCACTCACACCCGGCTACTGCGTTTTCCGTCCCCCTCTCTAGCTTGCATTTCACTTTCACTCCTCCCACCATCCACTCCCCCACCCATCCCTCTTAACACCTCCTCCCCCAGCCGCCCCGTCGGCGCCAACCCCTTCTCGACACTCCCTCGCCACCCAGACCAGCCCGCACGCTTGGAACAGGGAGGCCATGCCCGCCGAGACCGCCTGGCAGCGCCGCGTGCGCCGTGTGCTCGTCCTGACCGGAACAGCGACGACGGCGTACCTCTTCTTCGGATATCTCTTTGGTCGTATGCGCGATGCGCGCGTGCGCGCACTCAAAGAGCGCAGGGAGAAGGAAGTGTGAGTAACCCTTCCCCCCCTCACCCGTCTAGTCCATCCCGTTTCCAGCTTGCAGACCTCGTCTATCATCTTCTTTCACCGGTGGACGTGGGCTGCGAGAACTACCCCACATCCGCCGTTGCCCCGAGATCGAGCCGGCCGGCGCCGGAGTCGTTGCCGGCCGCCGGCCGTGTCCACCCCGCCAGAGTCGTCGTCATCGAAGCTTGTCTCGGCGCTGCCATGGCTGCGAGGATGTTACCAGGTAGCCAGGCGGAGACTGCGCCGTGGTACATGCTTCGGCTGTTGGCGGAGCGCGAGCTCGGGGGTCGCGTGAATCCACAATCATCTATTGCATTCTGAGCTTCCCGGGTCGCACGGTGTGTCCTGTCCCCAAACTCTGCTCGCGCGATCGCAGACTCCATGTGGCCGTTATAAAGAGCAAGGCGGACCACTGCTCCACGCTCATAGCAGACAACACCATCTCCGCTTACGACTTGCCTTGGCTGACCCACTTGTCCAGGATCAAGGCCCACTTCACATCCGTTCTCTCGACCATTTCATTCACACTTTACGCCCTCCTCCCTACTCTTGAACCCCAGCTCTTTGCCGCCTACCCCGTCGAAGCCACCAGCCAGGCGCTGCAGGCCAAGACCGGCGCAGCGGGCAACAGTGTCGGCAGCCCCACCGACACAGGCACCACCGACCCCACGCCCGGCAGCACGCCCGCCGACAGCCTCTTGCTTCTCGACAGCTCTGTCCCTCTGGCGACCGCGACTATTGAGGACATTGACTCGTCGATCATCTCCAACGTCTCGCACGTTACCGCGGCCACGTCCCTTTCCGTTCCGACGATTGCCGAGAGCGTGACCGACTCGGACGCGGGCAACACGTCGGCGTCGGAGAGCTCGGGCGAGGCCGAGGGCGCCAACCCCGCCGAGAGCTGGGCTAGCGAGTTTGGCCGTGCGAGCGAGCGCACCGACGACGATGTGGTGAGTGCTGAAGAACGCGGAACAGTCATGCAGCAGGACCCCTCACTAACGCTTCAGCTCACGGCGTCGACCATGTCGCAGGCCATTTCGCTTCCTCCCACCGACACGTCTTCTGTTGTCCCGTCGCCGACCTCGGAGCTCTCTGCGCTCCAGGAGTCGCCTCCCCGTCCCACCACTCTGCCCCCGTCGTCTCCCCAGCGTGTTGTCGACCCCCGGTCAAAGAAGGTGCTCTGGCGCGACCTCAAGGTTCAGAGTGAGTCAAGGCCAAACATCATGTTCCCGGCTAACGTCCCTAGGCCTTACCCGTGCCCTCTCCACTGCCTACCTCGTTCCTCTCGTCTACCTCCTCACCTCGTCCCAGCTCACCATCCTGGCGCGCATGCGCTACCTCGCCGACGTCAAGGCCAGCAACGCCCAGCGTGACCGTGAGCGTGTGGAGCGCGAGCGCTCGCGTGGCCTCTTTGGCTACTTTTCGGTCGAGGCCATGGGCCTGGGCGAGTACGTCGAGCGCGGCGCCGCTGCCGGTGCCAGCCTCATCCCTGCGTCTGTGAGCGAGTGGTTCTTCGGTTCGGATCCCTACACTTCATCGTCAGGCTACGAGTCGCCCGACGTCATTGCCACGCGCGAGGCCGAGCTCGAGCTGCAAAACTCCGAGGCGGAGCGTCTGTTCCTCACGTACTCGTGGTGGCTCCTGCACGAGGGATGGAGGACCATCTCGGGCCGGGTCGAGCATGCCGTGGACCGCGTGTTCGGCCCCCTTGGCCTCAAGCGCGAGGTGACCCCCGAGCTGTGGGACGCGCTCGTCAAGGAAGTGCGCGCGTGCGTCGAGACAGAAGTGGACGAGGACGAGTCCCTCCCGCACGGCCACTCGTCACACGCAAAGGCCAAGCTGTACGACTTTACGCCGCTCGTCATCCCCGTTGCGCCCTTGCCGCCGACGTTTGACGACTGCCCGCTCCCGCTCTCGCCCGACGAGCACGGCGCTTACCTCGTCCGCCTCCTGTCCGAGACAAAGGAACACCTCGCGTCGCCCGACGCCCGCCTGCTCATTGACAAGGGCGTCTCGGCCATGCTCGCGTCCCTCGGCGACGCACTGGCCATCGAGCCCGGCACCACCGGCCGGCGGTTCGCCGACACCCTCCCGCAGCTCAACACGTGGAGCAAAGGTGTGTGGGAGGGCATCCCCGACAGCGGGGTGGAGACGCTCCTGGCCCTGCCAGAGTTTGAGGCGTTTGCGGCGCTCGTGTTTGGTGATTGGGCGCCGAGGTGATGGTAGAATACACAGCAGTATGCACAGACTGTAGCGACAGGCCATGGCCCGGGTGGGTGGTGCGTGGGTCACCGCCTGGATTCTACGAGCAAGGTTGCCAGTCTGTTGTGTTCGCCAGGCAGCGATGTGGGTGCTATTCTTTCAGGTGGGCGGGAGCGTGAAGAGAGCGACGACACAGGAGATACGTAGCAGACGAGAGACGAGCATTGCCCTTTGTCTGTGCCACTTTTGTGTTGGATTTCGACCCCATGTGTGTACCACAGTGGTCGTGTGCCGAACTCGGAAGGCAAGCTGTGACACACATGGATACATAGGACGCTCTAGAGAGTTGGCATAGATGTGAGCTGGGGGAGCCAGCCGGTTAGAAAGAAGGAAGAGAAAATGGACCGTGCTGCCATGACCACCACCCACTCGCCACCCTGGGCCTTCAGCTTGCCACACCCGCACCCGCGCGCCTCAGTTCAGTTGTCTACCGAGCTCAGAGACATGTGTCCCTCCCTGCTTGGCCTCGATACGCTGACCTCGTTGCGCGCACAGGCTCGCAGGCGGGATGGCCTCAAGGCCCTACCTCCGCCGACCTCCCCCGACGTCCCTCCTCACATCGATGGGAGCCTCTCGTCCATTCCGGTGTCCACCTCACACCTCAACCTCGCTAGCCGTCTCGACCACCTGGCTGATCTCGCCGCCTTGCGAGACCTCGCGACCGTTTCGCGCCTCTCGACCCGAGTTCGCGACTTCGTCCACCCCCACGGCCGCGCCCAATCCGAACGTCCCAACATCATCGACTCTCCACCCAATCTCAACATCTCCTCCACCCATCTCTTGCCTTGTCATTCATGCATTTTCGTGTGCAGAGTCTCTGCTTGCACTCTACTCAACGCGGGTGTTAACCTCGGGGTTGAAGAACAGCGACTGCATGCCCCAGGGGAAGGGCTTGGTGCTGCGGAGGTCAGCGATGGTTGGGGGACGATGTTGTGGAGAGTGGAGCCGCGCGCAGCGATTTTGGCAGCAACGCGACCATGTACACACCACACGCGTACATGCCGTTGCGGCCATGCGGCATGCCGCATGCAGCCATGTACGGGTTGGACGGCGGTGGACGGTTGGCCGACGCTGGACACGACGCATGGACTGGTGGATGACGGCGGTGGCAGGGCCACACAGTGGACAATGGAGGCTTTGGCGCAGCGAATTGGGCGAATGGCGAACCGGCCCGAAAGGTTCAACCACCCGATGACAACCTTTGACCGACCTCGCCAGTCCAGTCCAGTGTCCACACGCGCCGTCGTCCAGTGTCCATTGCCTTCCTGCACGCTACACGCTGCCGCCATGCTCGATGCAGCCACTCTCCGCACTGGGCACTCACCGGATGTTGAGGTACTCGTAGTCGGGGATGGCGGGCATCTCGCCGCCGTTGTCGTGCTTGATGTGCTCGAGGTGCTCGTGGTGGGCAGCCTCAAGCTTGTAGGTCCAGGCAGCGCCGCCGATGATGGCGGGAATGCAGACGTAGAACCTGGAGACAAGAGTCAGTATGCCAATGACGAAACGCTGACGAGTCCGGAAACCCACGAGATGTTCTTCCAGAGGTTGGTGGTCTCTGCGCGACAGTCAGTATGCGGCCATGGGAGAGGAGTATGGGTCCCAGTGACACCGAGTCGGGGGGAGCCATAGCCGTGGTCGATAGCAGGCCGCAGGTGTGCTGAAGTTGCTCGTCACCTGCTGCCGCACCACCACGAACCACATCTACTTGGCTGGCCCGCGACCGGCATTGCGTGGGATCCGATTCGACGCACCCTTGGCGTGGGCCTCGGCGGCGGCGCGCTCGGCGAGGAACTCGTTGGGGGCACCCGAGGTCGAGGTGAAGCCGCGAGTGCGGACGGCACGGGCGACCTGGGCGGCGGGGCGGGCGGCGCGGAGCATGGTGTGTGGGGGAGTGGATGAGTGGTGGATGAGGAGGAGAGCTGGAGGACGATGAGCAGCGACGAGCCAGCGGCAGTCAGGCGGCGAGCGGCCACAGAGCCCAGCAGCCAGGAGCCAGGCCCGCCAGCCAGCCAGCCAGCCAGAGCCTGGGTGGAGTCGGAGCGCTCTCGGAGGGCTCGCTCACCAGCTCTGGGTGCGGCGGGATTATACCGGCGTTACTGGTCCGTGGCATATAATGTGTGTGTGCACGACTTATCCGACCCTCCCACTTAACATCCTCCCACCCCGCCTACGCTGGTGACCGGGCAGAGACGTGGCGGGCCTCGTCGATGGGCCCGGCTGGCTGGCTGGCTGGACGCGCGCGCGGCAGTGGATCACGCTAGGTGCCAGGTGCCAGCAACACGACGACGACTGGCCGTGGACAGCAAGCAACGTTTCCCCTTTCCTCCTCCTCCTCCTTCGTTATCATCCCCCCAACCCTCTCCCTCACACTCCTTTACAAAAACCCCAGGCGCCAGCCACCATGGCACCGGGCATCTCTTACGACGACTCGGGCGCGCTTGCTTCCTACTTTGCAGCAAGCTGCCTCGCCCTCATCCTCATTCCTGTCACAGTCGCAACACTTCGCCCAGCACAAAGTGGTGAGTGGCCCTCCTCTCTGCCACCATGGCCGCTGTGACGTGTCCCACCAGCTGCCAGGTCATGGACCTCGCTCTCCATCACATCCAACGCAGCTCCCCCTTCGTCACCAGTACTGACACTGCTCCTCCCTTTGCCGTTCGACTTGATCCACAATGTACCACCACGTTCCGCTCCTGTTGTTGTGACCTCGTTCCATTCCACGCACACTCCTTCCACCAGACCACGTCAAGTCGCTCTGTGACTGCTCAGAATGCCGTGCCAACAATGGTCGTAAGCGCCGTCTGAGACGTGCCGCGCACAACTCGAGACTCGCCAAGCGCATGGTCCCCCTGCTCCTGTTCTGGGGTCTCTTTGCCTGGATCGCGTACGGCCTCTACTCTGCCGGCGCACCTCCCGAGCTCAAGGTCTACGACCCCCGCGAGATCCTTGGCATCTCGTCCAGCGCAACGGAGAAGCAGATTAAGAAGCACTACCGCAAGCTGTCGCTCCAGTACCACCCTGACAAGATCAAGCTGGGTGTCAACGAGACCATGGAGGAGGCCGAGTCCAAGTTTATCGAGATCACAAAGGCCTACAAGTCGCTCACCGACGAAACCATCCGCGAGAACCTGGAAAAGTACGGCAACCCCGACGGTCCCCAGCAGCGCGAGGACAAGATTGCCATCCCCAAGTGGGTCGTCGAGGGCAAGAGCTCGGCTTGGGTCCTGGCCGCCTACGGTATCGTGCTCGGCCTCGGTATCCCCTTCATTGTCGGCCGCTGGTGGTTCCGTCAGCGCCGCCTGACGCGTGACGGCATCCTCAACGGCACCGCCGAGATCTTCTTCCACTCGCTCCGCCAGGACATTGATTTCCTGTCCATCATTTCCCTCCTCGCTTCGGCCCTCGAGTTTGAGTCTGTCCTGGCTACCAAGAAGGTGTCCAAGAAGCAGCGCAAGGAGCGTCAGGCGCGTATCGAGGAGCTTGAAAAGGTCCTCGAGGAGAAGCGTGTCGCTCTCAACATTGACGAATCGCCGACCATGCGCAAGGACTCGCGTGTCATTGTCACCACCGCCGTGGCCCGTCGTGCGCGTGCCCTCCTGTGGGCCCACCTCTTGCGTGTCAAGCTTGAGCCCGAGCTCGAGCGCGAGCAGCTCGAGGTTCTCCGCGTCACCCCTCCTCTTATCCAGGGCCTTTCCAACATTGCCCTCGGCTTCACCTGGCTCGACACTTCGCTTCTCTGTCTCAAGCTCCAGTCGGCCCTCGTCCAGGCCATCCCCATTGGCGCTTCCCCTCTCGCCCAGTTCCCCGACATTTCCCTCGAGGAGGCTCAGGACATGGAGATTCTCACCAACTCGGAGGGCCGTCTCTGGCTGGAAAAGTGGGTCCGTCGCGACGTCGACGGCCTCGCCGAGGCCAAGAAGGTGGCCAAGACCTGGCCCCGTCTGGACATTACGTCGACCGAGTTCAAGGTCGTCGGTGAAAAGGTCGTCACCCCCGGCTCGATCGTCTCCCTCATCGTCAAGGCCCGCTACGTGTACCCCACCACCCCTATCTCTAGCGCGACGAACGGCGGCGCCGCCCGCGAGGAGTCGGTCGAGGTCGTCGAGGGTTCCGTCGAGGCTGCCGACGGCGAGGCCAAGGTCGAGGAGGTCAACGAGAAGTCTCCCATCCCCTCGCGCTCGGCGTCTCCCAAGGTCAAGTCGGTCATCACCCCGGCCAAGCCTTCCAAGCCCACCGGCTACATCCACGCTCCTCACTGGCCCGCGAACCGCGCACCTTCCTTCCAGGTGATGCTCGGCGACTCGAAGCTGGACAAGGTGATTGTGCCCCCCACGCGCTTCACCGATATCCCCATGCCCAACGCCGACGGCACACCCGCCGAGCCCAAGGAGTTTACCATTCAATTGCCTGCTCCCCCACAGCCGAACCTTTACTCGTTCGTTGCGTACCTCACCTCGGACGCGCTCGTTGGCGCCGATGTGTCGAGGCCGATTATGGTGAGCTTCTTCATGTCACTTCGGCAGAATCAAGCTAACATTTGTTTCCAGCTCAAGGTGGAGCCCGTGGCCGACGAGGAGGACAGCGACGACGACATTTCCGATCCCGAGGAGGACTCACTGGCGGGCCAGATGGCGCTCATGCGCGGAGGAAAGGTCAAGGCGTCTGACGTCTACGGCGACGACGACAGCGAGTACGAGACAGACACATCAAGTGACGAGGACACTCCGCGTGCCGGCCGTGCGATCAACGAGGACACGGATAGCGATAGCGATTAAACCGTCCGCGACCCCCCACACCGCACACACACACACAGAGTAAATCGTTATTTTTTAGGAACACATGAGTTGTCTCGTTGGCGAAAAGACCTCAACCGTCAGTCACGCACAACGTCGTCAGAAGAGAGACCGAGAGAGTTTAGGTCGTAGGAAGAGCATTTTTCACATTGCACTAGTTTCGCTTGTTCATTGCATCGCGCGTGGCGGGTGTATATATCCTGGTTAGATATACCAAATGCATCATCTGCAAGCGCAGCTAAGAGAGTCGAGCGTGGCCACATTGTCTGCCAGCTGGCCAGCTGCGAGAACGATACAGGACGCTACGCCTCTTCGCGCCAGAAGCGTGGTCGAGTCTCTCCGATGCGTCAGGCACGAACATCCACAACTCGGCAATGTCGTTTGGTGTGTGGTCCTTGGTTCGGATCGAAAAGTCGGATCTCGTCGTTATCAAACACTTCTACCAACACCCACCCACCTTGATGCGTCCGGCACGCACCCTCCTCCAGGCGGCACACCGCGCCACCCGTGCTCCCGGCGCGCGCACCGTGCTGGGCCGCAGCCCGGCCCTGGCGCGCGGCTACGCCGCCCCGGCCTCGCTCGAGTCCACCTCGTCGTCGTCGGCTGCCGATGCCGCCGACGCCGCCGGGATCGAGGTATCCCCCAAACCGCCCCAGTTCGGACAGCCGCTGGCGCTCACGCACCCCCACCTCGTGCGCCAGCGCGAGCTGACGCCCGGGATCACGGCGGAAGAGTACGAGGACCGCCGGCGCAGGCTCATGGACAGCCTGCCGGCCGGGAGCGTGGTCGTGTGTATGGGCGGGACGGTGCGGTTGATCACGCAGCGTGAGTGCGGGACGGTAGACCTGGGAGAGGAGAGCAAGTAGCTGACATGCGGGGTGTAACAGAGATCTTGTAAGTCGTTGTGTGCACTAAGTGACGCCACGATAGCACGGGGCCCTGTTGTCGTCGAACGGTGCTGACCCTTGGCAAGCTACAAGTTCCGACAAGGTGGGTTCTTCTGCTTAACGGATAACCCATAAAACCTGCATTCTGACGCGGCTCTCAGCGACTGACTTTTTCTACCTGACGGGATTTGAGGAGCCGGACGCTACTGCTGTGCTGGGTGAGTGTGGCCGTGATATGGTGTCGGCAACAGCATCGGGAGCTGGGACAGCTGTCTTATGCCAACAACGACCAGCTGTTTCTAGTACCCCGCAGTGCCTCATGACTTGCAATCTGCGCACAGTGCGCTAACGTCAGTTTCCCGCCCTTCCACTCCCCGCGGATACACATATACCCTCTTTGTGCCTCCTCGTGACCGCCACGAGCTGCTTTGGAGCGGCGAGCGGACAGGTGTGGACGGCGCGACGGAGATCTTTGGGGCCGACGAGGTAAGTTGAGGTGCTACCTTTGCAACCAACTGGCCAAAGGGCTGACACCCTCCCAGGCCTACTCGCACGCCGAGCTGAGCAGCATGCTCCCTTCCTATCTCTCGGGCGCTGCACACGTGTACGCGTCCCTCCCGCCATCGCCGTCCCCCTCGGCCTCGAGCCAGCCATTCACGCCTCCGCCGCCGCGCCGCCGGTCGAGCCTGCTCAAGCTCTTCAGCCCCGTCGAGAGCAAGAACGCCGACCCCAACCCGTTCGTCCGCGGCGACCCGCCACACCTCATGCTCGCGGCTGCGTTGGCGTCGGAACACGCCAAGCCGCTCGAGCGCGCCGTCCAGCAGCTCCGGGTGCGCAAGAGCCCCGCCGAGATCAAGCTTATGAAGCGCGCCGCGGACCTGAGTGCCGCCGCGCACGCGAGCGTGATGCGTTTCGCCCGGCCAGGCGGCACCGAGGCCCAGCTCGCCGCGCACTTTGAGTACCAGTGCGCGCTGGGCGGCAGCGAGCGCCCGGCCTACGTGCCCGTCGTGGCCAGCGGCGCTAACAGCCTCGTGATCCACTACACGCGCAACGACTGTGCCCTCGGCGCCGACGAGATGGTCCTCATTGACGCCGGTTGCGAGCGCCACATGTACGCGTCGGACATTACGCGCACGTTCCCCGTCTCGGGCAAGTTTACCGACCCCCAGCGCGACCTGTACCAGGCCGTGTTGAACGTGCAGAAGGAGTGTGTCAAGAGGTGTACCGTCGAGGACAGCGTAAACCTCAATGAACTCCACCGGGCCAGTGAGTAGGAAGCAGGAAACAGGAGAGCGTGCACATGGTCTACTGCTGACGTCTTTCGCAGGCTGCACCATGCTCGGCGAGGAGCTGCGTAACATTGGCTTCCGCCTCACCGCCGGCGACATTGAGCGCAAACTCGTAAGCCCCAAACCCCCCACCTTCCCCCTTCCTAACCTCCTCCAACAGTACCCGCACTTCCTGTCGCACCACGTCGGCTCGGACCTGCACGACTGCCCACAGGCCAACCGGTCCGGCGCGCTCGTGACCGGCAACGTCGTCACCATCGAGCCGGGCATCTACGTGCCCTTTGACGCGTCGTTCCCAAAGGCCTTCCACGGCCTGGGCGTGCGCATCGAGGACGAGGTGGCCCTCACCCCGGACGGGCCGTATGTGCTCTCGGCCAACGCGCCCAAGGAGGTCGTGGACGTCGAGGGCGCGTGTCAGGGCGCGCTGGAGCAGTAGCGAGGGGAGTGGTCGCATAGAGAGAAGAGGAGGGGAGGGGGGAGGTCAACCACAATGCATAGGCTTGGTCACGTTCGGAACGGGACGAGGTTGTGGGTGGGCGTGTTGCTGACCTGTGGCGCCACACGTCCAACAGCAGGCGGGACAGGGGAACTGGCACGCGGGTACACGGGCACAGTCAGCTGAAGGCTCCTTCTCGGCCGTCTATCCGGACTGGGCTCGCGGACTCGTGTCGACGCGTCTCACAACGTGTGTGTCGCAACTCACGAACCACCTTGCTCCGCCGTCCCCACGTCCGCCGTCGACGGCAGCCACGCCTTGTCCATTCCCCTGCGTAGATATAGATCTGTTTCATCTCTGCCCTATGCACTTCTCGCAACCCCACACTACAGAACGGGACGACGCGCGTTACCTGCCGCCACGCGCGCCGCGATCATCTCTTCACGGCGCTTAGCCTTGAGGGCCTTCTTTGCGTGGTACTTGGCTTCGTCGATACGTGCAAAGATCATGTTCTGGATCAAAGTGTACGCCATGCTGGCCGTCCAGTATATCACGATACCCTGCGGTGTTTGTCAGGTTTAAACCCCCCTTCATATGCTGAACATGGTGGGGCGTGTCTGGCCACGGGGGAAGTACTTACACTGGGCACGAACTGGCCAACTACCATGAACAGGACGGAAAAGGCTTTCAGCGAAAAGTTGACCGCTCGCCGGACTCTGACCATAAGTGTTGTCATGTTTTTGGCAGCACCAGGCACAATGTCGACGTCATTGAACATGGACTCTGAAGTCGCCGCAAGGTCATTATTGTCGGAACGGACTGCACGGCGAGGTCGGAGGCTTGCGGCGAGGATCGGCGTGGTGGTGCTCAGCTTGCGGTTGCCGGTGGCCCGTGGCGGCGGGGTGCTGGGCCTAGGTGGACCTGAAGGAGACGAGCCGATGCGCTGGGAAGAGCTTCGTACGCCGGCCGGCGCGATGGTCCATTTTGGCGCTTTACCGTTCGCAGCCATCTTGGACAACGGAGAAGCCTGCTCTGGCCCCTCGGGCTTGGTGGTTTCGTCAAGCGCCTCCTCTACCTTTTTGTGTTGCCTCGTCTGAAACTCTGCCGACGCGTACGCCATCACACCGCCAATGACAGGCAGAATCATGGTCGGGTCGGCCTCTCCGAGGCCGTCGGCGAGCCATGCAAAGCGCTCCGCGGCCAATGCGCTGCCGGGGGCATCGATCGCGTACCGGATAGCTTGACTGCATGTGATGAGGAGAGGGATCGCGACCAATACAGGGGCGCCAATGAGTTTGAGTGGGTGGGTGCCATACTTCTTGTGCAGGGCATACTGGTAGTCGGCGAGCTGGGTCTCGTCAGCCATAACGTCGAAAGGAAACGTCGCGTTGTTCGCACTTGTTTCTTGAGCTCGACCATGTACTCGTCATAACCTTTCCCTGACTTCCTATGCTCTCCAACGAGGCGGATGGCGATTTTTTCATTCGCACGCTGCATCTCTGGGACCACCGTCGCCTCTGTAAGCTCGGTTCGTTTCCGCCTCCAAATCTGCACTGGGACAGTTATAGCGGTCCGGAGGATGATGGTGAGGACGACAATGCTGAGCGTGTACGAAGGAGTTGGAGTCGCGAGGAGAAGGTCGCCGATCAAGTGGGCGGGGGCCAAAAGGACGTCTGACACACCCCATGAAGTGGAGTTTGCAGCGGCCGCTGCGACGGTATCCAGTGGTTCCAGTGGGACGCTGGGGACGTTAACAGCAGCGGCTGCGTCCATGGAGCCAGAAGCGGTCGACGCCGCTGCAGTGACCGGGACAGAACTCGAGTCGGAAAGGTATCGCCTGCCAGGTGGAACCAAGGATCGGGTGGCCGTACCGTATGCGAGGCGAGGACGCAGTGTCCTCGCAGTGGACATTGCACGTTGGCTCGCTCCGAACGAGCCCGACGACGACGACAACGACGACGCTGCAGGCGCGAACGCGGGTGCGAGGAGCTGTGCCCGGGATCGAGAGTGGAGGCTGCTGGACGCCCATGCGGGGCGAGAGATGAGCCGCGGGACCAGGGATCCAATGCCGGCCATGGCAGGTGGTGTTGGTGGTGTGTGGTGCGTATGAAATGTGGGTGGTAACCAACTGTACGTGATTGAGCACCAACAAAAGAGGATCCGGCGAGTGGAGGCGCGGGGAATTGGCCGGACGGGAGGAACCTCCCCCAGGATACACCCACTCATCTTCTGTTACTGGACGTCTTGCTCCGGCCCTCAAGCCCCCATATGACCTGCATTAAGCTTAAAGCATGCAGTTGATGCAATCCATTAAGTATCTTGATACCCTCTCGTCTCAAGCAACAGAATCGCACACATGTATGTGGCTGGACAGGCCAACGCCATGTTCATCGGCCCGCTCGGTCGATCCGTTGACATCTACACCGCCCAGGAACACGACGCCATGGATCGTTGCCCACATCTTGCACCTCTCACATCGTCATCATATCCACGCAAACAGCTTTTGCTCGTGGCTCGAGGTGCCTCCACCCGCCCTCTCGACCATGCTCGTTGGACGACCAGTTGGTGACCGTGTCAAACGGTGGCGAGACCGATGGCTAGAACAGTCGCCGCGGCCCATATCCGTCCAACTTGCGCCCAGCGACACCGTTCTCGACTGGGACGCAGTGCCCCATATCCTCGACAGTGTCATTTCGTATGCGTCCACAGACACACTGATGACCTTTCGTCGTGTCTCGCGCTATACACGGCACAAGGCAGACGGGATCCTCTTTGATCATATTCACCTGCGATACCGGTCTGACCGTGACGTCAAACTCGGCCTCAGCCGCGTGCATAATCGACAGCTGGCGGTCAACTTGGGGTTGGACGATACACCACTGCTGCCACAGGTTTACAACACTGGATCTCGCTACGATACGCGTGCGCAATGGAAGACTAGGGGTCTGTTTCGACCAGACGACTCGGCGCGGCCGAACCAATCCATGGTGCCCTTCACCAACTGTCGCGTCATCGACATCGATGGCGGGTTTATCAGCCATTCCAGCGCACCCCTTTTGGATACACTGTATATCATATGGTGCGCGTGGAACAGCACAATCGATTGGCAACCGCAACAGTCTCCTACTCTTCAACCACCTCCCGTCGTCGGTGTTCACGGTCCAGCAAAGGGTACCGTCCGCCTCTTTCCCGACTCCAATGGAATCTTGACCGCTTTCCGGGTGAACTGGCTACCCATCGCCGTCAGCGTGGCTTTTGCTGCTCCAAAGAGCAAAACGTATCGGTTCAAACCGGGGTTGGGCAACAGCGGTATAGGCGATTGCACGCCAATCTGCGGCCGCTGTGTGCAGCATATAGTCGATGGAGCAGTACCGTTCCCGCCAAACCGCTATGCCTGGTCGCCGTCGTGGGGCAAATGTACCCGGGCACGCCCACGCCAGCCTTCCGTCAACGTCTATGTCGTGTGGACAGACACCACACCGAACACCCGCAGGAAGAGGAACTCGCGGTCCGACGACCATGACCTCGTCAGCAGCATCTTCATGGCTATTGCGCCGTTCGGGGCACAGTACAACCAAGGAGATGGATCGATGCTTGGCCAACCGGGCACAGCTTGGGTCGTCTTCCCCCAGCTGCGGGGTGACGCATTCATGGCCCACCAGGAGAGCTTGACGAACAAGATGCGTCAGTACCTGTCCGACCAGGTCGATCTCGAGAAATCAGGCGCGACGGTTGATCAAGTGCTGGAGAGACTAGAGTATCTCACAGTACAGGGCTATGCTGCACGCGTTGGACGGCAGGCGGCGTCGTTGGAGCTTGGAGAGGATAAGATTGGGGACCTGGGTTTGGGTGGGTGGCCCAGCTGAGGCTGCATCTGTTTGTACTTTTGTAGCCTTGAGTGATGCTTGCTCATACCATGGCTGTATGGAACACAGCCTGTTACCCGTTAGCGTGGATCATTGGCTTGGCATGTGACGGCGATATCCGCGCGCCCGCGCGTCAACACTTCCATCGTGTGTCTGCGCAAGTCACAGGTGTCTTTACCCTCCCAACTCACTCATCATCATGTTTGGGTCATCTAACCGATCCTCAACCTCGAAGACTCCAGATCCCCCAGCCACGTCGCCAGCATGGGGTTCCTGGATATCCCATTTCTCGCAAAAGGTCGCTACCTGGACGTACATTTCGCCAACAGCAGAGCAACAGCCCACGTCTACCCCGCTCAACTTTGACAAGACGCTCAACCTGGAGATGTACCCACACATCCTTGACACCATCATCATGTTCTCCCCGCGCGAAACACTGCTGGGGTTCCGTGGAGTATCCCAAGCCACGCGTGTAGCGGCCGACAAGATTCTGTTCACCCACATTCTCCTCCGCGAGGTTCAGACGCGTAACCAGCCGCCTGAGATATTTGTGTACTTTCCATCAGACAGTACACGCCTCTTGCCTGCAAGTGTTAATCCCTACCACGACGAGCAGACACTCCACGGCCAACTCTGCGCGTATGCGTACCGGCCTCGAATGTCACCACGCCGGGAGCCTCTCGCTCCGGAGGAGATGCAGACCCTCCTCGCCCGGTCGTTCATGAACTGCCGGGTCGTCGATCTCGACGGGGGCACCACTCTTGTCCGCCTGGTCTTGGCATGCACGATTCTTAGCGGTGCAGACTGGAGTGATGACCTGCGCCTTGCTGATCCCGGTGAAGAGTGGATGGTTTGTACCGTTCGCGTGCGTCCAAACGCTCAGGGCAGAGTGTCGGGGGTCGTAACCGGATCGTCAGACGGGATACTTTCCGTCGTTGTAGCTCTCGCGACACCGAACAGCAAGAAGTACAGGTTTAAACCGTGGTCAGCCGGCCAAATACCCGTCTGTGGCCGGTTGGTACAGCACATCGTCAACGGGGTCGTACCGTTTGCGTCGAGGCGCGACCCATGGCCACCGCAAGGCGTGGCTCCCCCATTCAACGGCTGGGACAGAGGCACACCAGGTCTGGCCGTCTATGTCGTGTGGACCACTCCAAAGAACAACAAGTACGACGACCTCGCGTTCAGTATTGTCAAGGCCATTGCGCCATTGACGACGTTCCAAGGCGAGCCGGGCCGTGCGTTGGTCATCTTCCCGCGCCTCCAGGACGATATCGATGCCGCAAAGCATTTCGACCAGGTAGCCGCCTTGACGGATAAGGTGCGCAAGAAACTGTTTGACAATGTCGACTGGGCCAACTCGTGGGCCGACATGAGCCAGCTGTTGGAGAGAATGGAGTTTGTCAGTGTGGCAGAGTACACCCAAAGGTATGGACATGAGGCGGCCGTGGCGGAACTCGCAATGGAGGACGAGGGTTTCGAGTTGTAAGATTATAGTACCTATGCACAAATGCGTGCGGAGAGGAAGATCCTGCAAGGGGTCGTGCAGACGGCCCACCCATGGTTTAGAATGAGTGGCAACTTGGTATACCTCATCGACAGATGAAAGGAATGCTATTTTCAACAACTATCCACTTATTCAAGACCATGCGTACCACTTTCCGACCATTCTTAATTCTAGAACGGACCCCAAAAAGTCTAACGTGATCAAGTACCCCATATCGCTACCCAAACGTCAACATACTCGTCTCGCGACTTGACCTTGGGGCCCGATCTGATTGTGGCGTACACGCTAATTCGTCAATTACTGGCCAGTCGGTATCAAGACACTCCCCCTCGGTGGGCAGTTAATGATAAGTATCAACTACAGTATGGCTTCTTGTTATCTCCAGCTTGCTTCCTAGCTGTCTGCTTGACATCAGCTTTTGATCAGAGGGTGTTTTCGTCTGGTAGCTGGTATAGGTTGTGCCCAAAACAGGTCTCAACACAACCCACGAGGCCACACCCGCTGCCTGCCAACAATCTGAGCCCCAATTTGCTTCCGCTTGACCCGTCTCCACTCAATCGCCACACTGAGAAAACGCCGCGCGTGGCCCGCCTGGGACTGGTCGCTCCGCGCTGGCGCCGCCGAGTCCTCCCGGCCCGCTGCTCGCTCGCTGGCTGGGCGGATGCAGGCTGGGCGACAGCGGGGGTGTCGGTGCGTGCGTGCTGCAGGCCATCGTCGTTGTCTGCACAGTGTCCACTGAATCTCCACCCCCAACCTCTGTGAGTAACCCACGCCAGGCAGCGAAGACACCCTTGCTGATAGCGTACACAGCCCCCCACCCCACCCACTCTACTCAAAATGTTCGGTCTCCGCAAGTGGCCCACTCCCGTGCGTTATGAACAAAACCCGTGGTGTGGTGTTCGTTGTACTGACCGTCCGTCTTCCTTCATCGACATGTTATCCTCGTCCTCGTCGTCCTACCCTTGCCGCCTGCCTTGCGTCTTATCATGCCCGTCCCCTCCCCATCCCTGTCCTCGTCGTCGACCTCTCCCCTCACCTCTTTTGACATGACCACGCCCCGCCGACCTGCCTGGCCGCCATCGCACACCCGTCGTGTACCTTGCCCCCCTTCCCCTCCCCATCCTTTATTACTCTCTACCATCTCCCCGTCGACCCGCTCATCGCCGCCCGTCACCTCATACGTGAACCCATCTGCCGTCTCGCACTGTGTGTGATGCTTTTCGTGCCCAACTCGTGTCTCCACTCCTGCCCGTAACCGCGTCGCACCTGGTCATTTTACCCCGGTCATGGTCTTGATCCAAAACAGATGGCTGCCCCCCTCTGGCCCTTCGCCTTCGCCTCGGTCGTCACCTTCTTCGGTGTCGTCAAGGCCCAGGGTTTCGCTGTTGCCAGTGAGTGACACTGTTGGCATTTGGGACCGGACATTGTGCCGGTGCTCGTTGTCGTGGTTGTGTTGAAGAGAATGCTCCGGGCGACTGGCTAGGAGTTCTTCGCAGCGACTAGCCAGTCTACCCAGACCGTCTTCGCTCCATCACCTCCACTCAGGCGTCAACTCCCCTCTGCCACTGTTCAGCTAGAACAGTACGGCCAAGCTGACACGAATCCACAGCCCCCGACGCCATCAAGGACCCCCGTAACCCCTACGCCGCCCAGCTCGTCAAGCAGGAGGCCCACTAAACGCTCGGTTCTAGAGCCGTGCGCGCAAAGCCAAAGCATGATGCAAACGTAGAAATCGGACGAACCAGAGCGTGGACAGCGCGGGTGGGGGAGGTCGCGTCAGGAGAGGAGACGGAGGAGATGGACGACGAAGCAGGTCACAGACAGAGAGGGCGGGGAGGACAGCTCGCTGCAACCCGAGGTCACGGAGAGCGAGAGAGCGGACAGACAGCTCGCTGCGACGCAACGAGGCGGTGTGGGGTCACACCGTCTTTGGCCGAGCGAGCAGTGGATAGGCGCCACGATGTGCAGCGCAGACGACTGTGGACGCTTTCGTTGGAGAAGGGCTGACGTGAACCCCGAATGGTGGTTGCACTAAAGTCAGCAGTGTGCAGTGAGCGCAGTGACCTGGACTGGCTTTTGCGGCTGTGGGTTCCACGAATCGATCGCCGGACTCTCGGATGCAGCGAAAAGAGTATTGCATCGGATGGGTCGTTAAGAAATCGCGTAGTGTGTTTTCTGTGGCTAGGTGAAACACAACACGACCGAGAAATTAGAACAAAATGGCTGCTTTCTTTTTCTCTATGTGTTTCTTGGATGTGGCCCAACTCCAGCGTACCAGCGCGTTTCCACGGCACTACGCGGCAAGACGTGGACCCAGGTTTGCCCCCAACACTCACATACTCACACAAGCGTACACAAAGATGTACACAACAGGATCTACGACGTGATCACCACTCGGCGCCGTTCGCGCACTACACAAAGTTGAGTGCCACCAGCAGCTCTGCCAACCCGCGATCCCCACCTTCCCCAAACTCTCCGCCGCCTGGCGCCTGTCTGTAGAAATCACTCAACACCGTCGCGCGCGGTCTCAGTCCCTCGCTGGCGGTGAGGAGCAGCCACTTGACAATGCGCGGGTTGACGCCCTCGACGCCCAGGCCGAGCCACGAGGCCGTGCCCAGCCCCTTGGCGATCCACGTCGGTGCTGCGAGTGGAAAGTTGGAGGCCGAGGTGAAGGAGATTGTCCATGGGGTCTGTGTAGTCGCGGAGGACATGGACGGGAATGGGGACGGGGGCGGGGTGAGTGGGGAGGTGGTTGGGACGAGCGTTGGGATGAGGTGCGCAACGACTGTGATGGCCTTTTCGGGAATGTCAAGGAACGAGTCTATGCGATACCTGCGGATGGTCAGCTGGAACGTTACACGACAGCCAGATGCGCCATAGTGACAGGTGGGAGCTTTACGACACAGCTTTCCACCTGTCGCCCAGACACAGACACAGCCGCGAACCAAACGGCCACACAACTCACCAGTCCTGCGTCCTCACTGTCGTCCCATGACAATCCCACTCAAACCCTTCGCGCCGGCTATCCGGCCACGTCGTAGGGTGTATCCCCATCCCCTGTGGCCAAGTACGCGGCTCATCCCCCTGGTCAAACCTTGAAAACACTGTGCCCCGCCCACGCACTTGTCCCAGGACCGGCACCCCGTCGTCAAACCGCCACAGGTCGCGCCATGCCGGTTCCGTAAAGGCTTCGTAGACGAGTCGGGAGAAGGACACGTCCCACGGCGGCGTCTCCTCCTTGATGCTCACCACGAGCGTTTCGGATGGGTGTGCGCGCAGAAAGGCCGAGAGGGTGGACAGCTCGTGTTGGAGAGTGGAGCGTTCGGGACGGATACCATGGTAGGCTGCGGGTGGGTTGTTAGTAACGTGTTCGGGGAGTGGTGTAGGCGTACTAAGCAACTTGCCGTCCTCGACCTTGAGCCGGATATCAAAGAACCGCACCCCGTCTTCGAGCTGTTGCGCTATGGGTGTAGCGACTTGTTGGCACTGGGAGATGAAGTCTGCCGTCTGTCAGTCCCAGCTCCACTGCCGCCCACATCTGCCACCACGTACAGCCATACAGGGCGCAGCTCTCATGTGTGCCCGGGATCACCATGGCTCCCAAGGGTGTGTAGTCTGGTATGTCCCTCATCCAGTCCGTTGTTGGCCGGGTACGGAAGAGGAGGAGTGTGGGGCTAGCACTTGGGCCGTCGAGGAGATGGTACGCCAACACGGTCGGCGCCGAAGAGTGCAGTTTGGCCCACCCTCGCCGGCGGTGGGAGCGGCAGGGGTAGAGCGGGACCGTGACTGTAGTGTGTCGAGGACTGCTTGGGTGGGGAGTAGTGCCCTCATCGTCTACATTGTACGTCACGACGAGGTGGGAGGAGTCGCCCTTGCCCCAACTCCATCGTCGCTTCGGGAGGTTGACTTGGACCATTTTGGCCTGTGTCCCGACCCCAACGTCTTGCACCTTGAGTTCCTCCTCCTCCACCCCCTTCTCCTGCACTCTTCCACGATCTCCATGGCAGCTGCTGCCATGAGCCACAGTCACAGACGACAGCTGCACGCCAAACGGGACGATTCGGAGGGAATGACGTTGACGTTGACGTTGACGTTGCGCCATCGCGGGGTTGTTGTTTACATGAGCACTACGTTGAGGAGTGACGCGCTGGGCACAGTCGTGGACACGATATCAAGTTGCAAGTGGGTTGTCCAGTGGGTTGTCCAAGGGTTGTCCAGTTGGTGATGCTTCCCAGTGTGATCCAGCAAGGCCAGTGGCGTGAAGTGGACAAGTGCGAGACACGGCACGAGGCCGACGTCTTCTGATGACGACAGCTGACAGCCTCCACCTCTGCCATTGAAGTGGCGATTCCTGCCTCTTGTCTCCCGACCCAGAATCACTGTGTCACTGCTGCTGACACCACCAAATTGTGCCTGTGCGCGCTGTTGTCATCGATGCATGCGTGGAGTTGCGTTGCCCGGGCGCCGGCTAATGGCGTGGGGAAGGAACGAGACACCCCACCTGTCGGGCCGAGATTATCTAGGCGAGGCGGGCGATCCCATCGACGGTCCACTCGGTACTTAACCGTCACCTTTTTGGCTCCTCCGTTCTCCCTCCCCTGCAACGCCAAGCACTCGCCCCACCTCCACCTCTCTACCAACATGCAGAGTCTCGTGTTGGCGACCCCCCCCGTTGTTTGGTGGAGGCGCGCCATACAAAGTGAAGGCGACGCGGCTGGGTGGACCAATTGGCGGTTTCTCTATGGCCGCTCAGTCGCCGCCCAGCCGCGGTCTCCGCGGGGAGACTATCATCCTTCCGTCGTCATTTACCCCGAACATACCGTTTCTGTCGCCACACTCCATCTGCCAACGGACTCACACTCCCCCCCACTCTTCTCACAAGGTCTGACGACTATATACACTCGGTTACTCACCGCCCCACCTCTCCCCCATGCGTCTCCCCCGCACCACATCCCACCTCATCATGTCTGCTGCTCGCAGTGCAGGCGCTGCCCCTCGCGCAGCCCACTTCTCCACTTGCAACAAGTTGCCATTCTTCGGCGCCGTCAATGCCGCCAGCTCGAGCGCACCTCGTCCCCCCCACTATACGCCGGCCTCGATGCGCAATGCAGCCAGCCAGGCTCAGGCCAGGAAGCAGCTCGTCACTCTGACCGAGATTGACAGGCTGCTCACCCACATTGCCCGTGAGTGACTGCCGTGGCTTTGATGTGGTTGCGTTGTGTTTGTGTGAATGGGATTCGGCGGGGGAGCGATTGGCCTGCGGTGACGCTGGAGACACCTTGTCTCCAGGTCAACTGCATGTCCCCTCCCCTTCGTTCTCCGAGTATGGAATCGGTTGGGATTCGGTTGGCTCTTCTCTTCATCGCGGTACAACATTCATCACAGTACAACATACGTATACAGCAGAGGCTACGGCGGGAAACATAGACATAATGGTGTGGGTTGTAGTTGGACTGGACAGAGCTTGTGCGATGACCCGGAAAGGCCTCCAACCTCTCACCCAGTGCCCCTCTCCAACTTACGCAGCAGACTCGGCCAACGCGGGCACCAAGAAGTCGGACACCCCGATGGTCATGCGCGCTCACCCGATCCCGTGGATGCAGGCCGGCTGCGGCGCTCCCGAGCTCGAGACCGCGGCTAGCAAGTCTCCGCAAGGCCCGCCTCTCACCCAAAAGGAAAAGGACGAGCTCATCGAGCCCAAGCACATGTCGGCCTCGTACACCAGCTTTGACCTGCCGCTCGCCACCGACCCAAAGCTGTACGACCAGTATGTCAACTTTTCGGGTGGTTTCCGTGAGTAGCAAACACGCCGGGGCCGACGGGCCCGGTTGTGGCTCGAGGGCTTATATGCTGACATACACACAGGCATGGGCAAGCTCCTTGAGAGTGAGATCTCCGATACCCCTCCCTGTGGCCCAGATGTACTGATGCCCCAGACCTTGACTCGCTCGCTGGCGCCGTCGCGTACCGCCACTGCCTGGCCAATGCCCCGCCTGCGGACGGCAAGGCGACTGAGAACTTCCACCAGATGGCCAACCGCGCCGGCATCTACCTCGCCACTGCCAGTGCCGACCGTCTGGACATGTTTGGCAAGCTCAACCACGAGAACGTCCGGTGAGTTGCTTCAACACGAGCCGCAACTGACGCCCGCCCAGTGACCTGAAGTTTTCGGGCTTTGTGACGTGGACCGGAAACTCGTCCATGGAGGTCTTTGTCAAGATGGAAGGCAGGCGACCCGGTGCCGACCAGAGCGACACGCTCATGCTGGGCCGTTTCTCCATGGTGTGCCGTGACTCGCACACCCACAAGGCGCGCAAGGTGCCACCTCTCATTGTGGACACCCCCGAGGAGAAGATGCTCTGGGACATTGGCCAGGAGCACAAGGAGCAGCGCCACGAGTTCCTCCAGGCGTCGCTGGACAAGAAGCCGCCCACGTCGGACGAAGTGGCCGACCTGCACAAGTTTATGCTCGACGTGCGCGACAAGAAGGAGTGGCACGGCGAGACCATTGTGCCCATGTCCGAGACGGTCACCCAGTCGGTCCAGCTCATGTTCCCCCAGGAGCGCAACCTCCACGGCAAGGTGTTTGGTGGTTTCCTCATGCGTATGGCGTTTGAGCTGTGTTTCACCAACGCTGCCATCTTTGCGCAGCGTCCGATGCGCTTCCTCTCGCTCGACCAGATCACCTTCCGCCTCCCCGTGCCCATTGGCGCCGTTGTCCGCCTCACTTCCAAGGTCGTCAAGACCACCCAGCCCCAGGACGGACCCTATGGCGAGGCCAAGGCACACATCATGGTCACGGCCGAGGTCGACGACATTGCCTCGGGCACGCGCCAGGAGACCAACACGTTCTACTTTACCATGGGCCTCGAGGACGGCAGCCTCATTGGCCGCACCGTTGTTCCCGAGTTGTACGACGAGGCCATGGACTTCCTCGAGGGCGAGCGCCGTCTGGCAATCGGCCAGGAGATGCGCAGGCTCTACGATGCGGACAAGGTCATGGCAGACGACGCTTGAGCGAGGGGAGAGCGACGAGGACGAGGAGGAGGAGGAGGAGGAGGCGAGTCCGCTGCCTGTGCCCAGTAGTACAGTCTTTATCCATAGCAGGGGCGAGATCAGACAACAGAACACAAGAATTTTATCAACGAAGGGTTAATGCATCATTTTGCTTTGGGAACGATGTTGTGAGACACCCTTGCTCTCCCCGGCTGCTGCGGGTATGGGGGTGTGTGACGGTGGCCTGGACTCATGTGCTGCTCAGAGGTACAGAGAGGAACGACTGGATGGACGGGACGACTGGTGGTTGATATCTCCGCCCAGGCACACACCTCTGCGCGTCTCTTTTATGCGCTGCTGATGACAAGAACCGAGTGGAGACACGCCTGGGCCGTGCAGCAGCGCAGCGGCTGTGGCCTGTTCTCGTGTCTCTCTCCGCTGCAGGCTGTTTGCATTCATGCATTGTACATTGTCTGACACAGACACAGACACACACCCCGTTTCGCCTGTTGGACGAACGCTTGTTATCAACGAGCAGAGGAGACAGATTCCGACCGATTCGTCCCCCCCCTCTTCCGCGTGCACACACTCTGTTCGCGCAAACACTCCGCTCTACTCCCCGCACACCACGGCCCATCCCTCTGGCATCTTGCTCATCGCTCCATCTCTCCCACACCCCAACACCTTTTTGCATCGCCATTGCTTCTGCATCGTGCACCATCTCGCTCACTCCCTCCACCTCCACCATCGCTTAAGCGACCGTCCACACCGCCGCGCACAGGGACCCCCCCGTTCCCCCGCCCCACTTGAATCCCAGGTCCCACCAACTGGTCGGAATCCTCGCCACCGCGCCGCCGTCATCGACCCTCCGTCTCTCTCTCTCTCTCTACCCTCCCGTCCCGCCCTAGTTCCTCTTGTCTTCGTCACATACACAGCTCGCGCGCTCTCTCATTCATACTCTTCTCTTCCCTATCACCTTGCTCCTCCACACACACACGACGCGTGCTTTGGCACGAGCACACTGCATTATTCAAGCGCCCAACCGACCCCCGCGGTGCACTTTGCAAAACGAAACCGCAACCACAATCCCCCGCCGCCGCCATGACGGCCATCTCGCCCAAGCCGTCGTCGCCGGGCACGCCCATCACTGAATGGGACGAGGGCGCCGTCAACACCTACCTCGTCAGCATAGGACTGGGGGGATACGAGAGTGTCATCTACGGTGCGTACCCAGAGCCGGCAGCGCTCGCTCGCTCGCTCGCTGGCCTGCGCGCCAGCGAGCCGTTGCGATGAAGCGTTCTTTTTCGAGACGACATCAGAACTTTGGCACCCACCCTCCCCACGCACTGCACACACGCACATGCGTCCGTCGTCGCCCATCAGTGTGCGCGCACAATGTCGTACCGCGGTCATTGACATGGGACTGTGCGCGCGCTAGCGTAGTAGCGCGGGCGCCGGGGGCGACGGACAGACTACGCGTGCGCGCCGGTGATTGGCATCATCTCTCTCCCCCGTGTGCCGACCGTGCGCGGTGGTGTCTTGATCGACCTGATCTGCCCGCCGGCGACGCCTCGACTAGCGCGCGCGCCAAGGCCGTGGTCAGTCGCCGTCGTCGACGACGCCGGCGGGCCGCGGCGCCGGGGTGTGCCATGAGGAAGACGACGACGATGGCGGAGTGTGCGGAACGGCGAGAGATGTGGACATTGGCTGACATACCCAACAGAACATGGAATCACCGGCGATGTACTGTGCGCGCTCGACAATGAGAGCCTGGTCGACCTCGGCATGACGAGTCTCGGGCACCGCCTGAGCGTCTTGCGTGCCGTCTACGAGCTCAAAAAGGAGCAAGGGATCGAAATGGGCGAGGACGACTGGAGGCCACAGGGTGGGTTGTTGCTGAGCGCCATCGCTGCGCTTTGCCTGTGCCCGGCGCCTGTGCCCAGCTTGCTAACTGAACCGCAGAGGAAGTTGCCTTGGAAGCGATGGCCGCGGCTGCGTCGCTAGACAAGATGTGGAACTATGTTCTCGACCAGCAGGACCGCTTGCTAAACTTGGAACGGGAGCACGCACGACTGCTGCGCGTCCTGACCGACGCTGGCATTTCGGCTGGTCAGACCATCCCCACCCTCGTCGAGGAGACTCCTGGACAGCCACAGACGGCCGTGACGTACCGCTTCGACGACTCGCCCAGCGGGTACAACTCGCGCAACGGGCTGCGTTCGGCGGACATTCGCTCGCACTCGTCAGACCTTTTGACACCCAAACCGCCTCTACTCCAGCGCAACCTGAGCTCCCCAGCAATGCGTGGCCAGAACCGTCTGCCGCTCACTGGCGCTCCCCATTCTGGTCCTTTACCTTCGTCCCCGACCCCACCGGTTGACCCCCCTCCACCTACACCGGCACCTACAGCGTCCAACCGTGACCGCCGCGTCAATGACGCCAAGCACGAGGCACACTCGGCCGCCAAGAGCTTCCGTGTCACAATGGAGGACCCATGCTACAAGGTCCTGCCAGCCGCGCTGAAAAAGTACAAGATCAACGACGACTGGAAAATGTACGCCCTCTTCATCTGCTTTGGCAACACCGAACGGTGCCTCAGTTACGACGAAAAGCCCCTGCTCCTGTTCCAAAAGCTCAAGGAGGGTGGCCAACGGCCCGTCTTCATGCTGCGCCATATCCGTGACATCAAGTCACCGATTGCCGTCGCACAACAAAAGCAGGCCGTCAAGCTCGGCCTCCCGCCCAACTCTGACAAAAACCTACTCCCTACCATCGAATCGACTCTGGCTTCCCCGACAAAGGCTACTTCAAACGGCACCCCACCAACATCTGGCGACCGCCCGGCAGGACGTACACCAGGCGAAGGCACGTTCCCTGAACTGCCGTCGCCCGGCATGCGCGATGCGATGGACGCGCCCAAGACACCGGGCACGCTCGTGGACAAGAACGGACAAGTGCACAAGGTCACATACGCCATCTCCATTTACCCATACATTGCCGACCGACAGGACGAGTTTGACGTTGCTGTCGGGGCCACGTTTGTCGTCATGTCCAAAGCGAAAGGATGGTGGTTTGTCCAAAAAGATCCTTCTGGAACGGGCAACATTATCCCGGAACAAGAAAAGTCGGCATGGGTCCCTGCCGGCTGCCTTCTCGAACTCACCGCCCCTGTCGCCACCGTCTCCCCTTCATCACCAGGAAAGAGGCCCGGACGCGCACCCATCCCACCAGCCAACATCATGTCCTCGAGCTACGCAGGTCTCGTCCTCATGGACTATGTCGGCAAGGACGACAACGAGCTCACTCTCAAGGCCGAGGAGAGGATCAGGGTGTACAAGAAGTACTGCCACTGGAGCTACAGCATCAAGGAGGAGACGGGCGAGCGCGGATGGGTGCCGGCCTGGTTTGTTGGCAAGCTGCCAAACGACGCACAGTCCCAGGCCACCGTCGTCGCCGCCCAAGCTGCCGCGCAACAGGCGTCGTCATCGACCACCGCCGCCCCCGGCACGACGAGCTCGGTACCCACACCAGGTCTCTCGCCGCAGGCTGCTGCCAGCGCAGGGGGTGCGCCCACCACCACCGTCTCTCCAGGCTTGACAACGGGCGACTCGTCGAGTCCCGGCCACGACGAGTAGGAGAGCGGTAGGTAGTGTGAGCGGAGGGAGCCGGTAAGGGGACGGGTAACGCGTTTGTCATTAGGTGGGTATTTAGTATTTTGTACTGATAAGGAAAAGAGGACGACGACCCCGACGACAGAGTCGGGGTCCTTTTTTTGACGCTCGGATTGTGTGGAAAGCATGACACTAGGTCTTTAGGAAAATGTCACATTCTTGACCGATCACGTCCATTTGTCAAGTGTTCGTTACCGCGCACCCATGTAGAGTGAAGAGTGTGAAGCTGACTGGATGAGTATGTCCAGCCTACCGCGTCCACATTCGTAGCGGGGAAGCCGACGATCTGTTATGTGTCGACGGTCTGCGTAGATGCCACGCCTCGTCATCACATGCGTTGTGCGACTCTGTCGCCCCCATTGAACATGTACAGCTGCCCCGTGTCATCCATCTCTAATGCTACACACCACACAATGCACATTTCAGACTGTGCTATCGCCTGACGTCTCCGCCGCGCCTCGGTCCCGCGCCCTGGTATCCTCCCTCTGTACGGCGGTTCCTCCGCGCCTGGTCCTCCTTCATGAGCCGCTCCGCCTCGCTCATGAACCCCTTGGATCCACTGTTGCCACTACCGCCACGCGAGTCACTGTCGTCCGTCCGTGGTGCCTTTGCGGTCTTGAACACGTTGGCCGCGGCCGGGCGCTTGAGGGGGTTGGCCTTGAGCGGGTTGGCAACGGGCGTCTTGCCAAATGACGAAAAGCCGCCAAACGAGATCTTGGGCGTGGCAGCTGCAGCACCTGGCCCCTCGGCAGCAGGCGCCGCTCCTGATCCTGATCCCGAAGCCTCGGCGTTGGAAGGTCCATCGGTGGACTCGGCCGCGGGCTCGACAGCCACGGGCTTGAACGACAGACTGAGCGACACCTTTTCGCCCTCGGGACGCACGAGGCCCTGCGGCGCCTGGTCGTCGGCACCGGCAGCAGCGCGCGCACGGGCAATCTGGTCCTCGAGCATCTTGCGTTCGCGGTCCTCGCCGTCCATCGTCGCGCGTTCCTTCTTCTGCAGCGCGGCCTGGCGGAGTTTGTCAGCTTTGACAGAGAACAACAAGGATGAGCTGCACTCACCTGCTTTGCCAACGTCGCAGGCGTGTTGTCGACCCACTGGATCCACAGTCCCTTGTCGTCCTCGTCGACCTTGACGGTACCGGCCTTTCCCAGCGTCATGATAAAGCCGTTGAGCGTAACCCATCGCGTCGCGTTCATGTGGACATGCTGCTTGTCCTGAATGTACTCGTTGTACACGGCGTTCGCGCGCACACGCTGGGTGTTGTGACGTGTCTTGAGGAGCGAGACAAACTCGTACTGGAACTGGCGCGAGAACTCTGCAATGGTCGAGCCCGCGTTGGGTCCCAGAGCGATGATCTTGCGCAAATGAGGTTCAGACCTACAGTGCGCTTGGAAGCCGTTCTCGTCTCGGCACTGCTTCTCACAGACCTGACAGTACCACCTAAGCCTGCCGAGGCCCTTGGCCTTGATGGCATTTGATTGAGCCTTTGTGGAGCCAGCGTCTGCGCGACCCATGGTTGTTGGATGATGTTAGAGGTTGAACGAGTAGTGGGGGTCGTTTGTTCGACGTTGTCGGTGGCAAATGCGCAAATGGCGGAAAGACCACGTGGCAATTTCTAATTCAAATACAAAGTATTATCAACGTAAATGCTCCCGTATATGATTGCAATTAGTAATCTCTGCCAAGGTTCGCTTCCTGCGAGACCCTTGCGCACTGCACTGATGAGCGCCGTCGTCATCGCTTCTTCGTCCACACTCTCCACCATCAACATGGCCGACAAGGACGCGTCCCAGACACCTGCAAGCCCGACTCCGGCGAGCCCGGTCCCAGCCGCTGCCAGCCCCAAGGTGGAATCGCCCGCGGTCTCGGACACCACCCCTCCCGACTATGACACCGCCACTGCCGCGGCCCCTGCGGCTGTCGTTCCCGCCGCCGAAGAGAACGCGTCAGTGACAGCAACCACCGCCCCAGAGACCGCACCGGCGGTTCAGCCCCATGCCAACCCCCAGGTCGCCGAGCTCCAGGCGATTTTCCCGACCGTGGACGTCGGTGTGATCGAGATGGTTCTTGAGTCGGTCGGGGGCAGCCACGACCGGGCCATCGAGTCTCTCCTCCAGATGACCGACCCAGAGTTTAAGCCTGACCCGTCGGCAGCGCGTACCGAGGAGCATGCAGTGAGTCCATCCTGCTGTACATTGCCATTGGCTTGACCTGACATGTCCAGTCCCAGGTCGACCTTGACGAAGAGTTCGCTCGTGCCCTCCACATCCAGGAGCAGGAGGAGGCGCGCCGCAACTCGCGTTCGGGCTCGCGTTCTTCCCAGCCAGCTGGTCAGCAGAGCCGCATCCCCGAGGTCCTCCCCTACCAGCCGCGCGTTCGCAAGGCTCGTGTTCCTGCACCGGACCCGTACGCGGCTGCCACGCGCGAGCACCAGCTGAATGAACGCTATGGCGAGCCTCCCGCAGGGCACGGACCTGGCGGCGACGCGCCTGGTATGATTGCGTTTGAGGAGAAGATTGGCCAGTTTGCCGAAGGTTGGTTCTCACGGTTCACATGTGAACGCAAAGGTCCGACAGTGTCTTAGATTACTGACGCTGTTTTGTTAGCCGGCAAGCAGACGTTCAGCACGTTCTTTACGCGTGCAAAGGCCAAGTACGCCGAGCTGCAGGAGCAGCACCAGACCACTCGCGAAGAGCAGCGGCAGATGGCCGAGGAATGGCGCGACCAGGGCCACGCGCACGCGCAGGGCCGCATGGTCGGCGAGCCAAAGGACAAGAATACCACTCCCGGCGGTGGACGCGGCGGTGCCGGACCGGGTCTCTGGGCCCAGCAGCAGCAAGACATGGCACAGGGACGTAGCCCCGGCGGCCGCAGTAGCTCGCTTTCGTCCCAGTCCACCGTGGACGCCGCCCCCGTCGCCCAGCAGACCGCCAGTCGTAGGTGGCACCCGAGCGACGCGTACGACGACCCCATCCCCACCACGCGCACGACTTCCAACTCGAGCGGCGGCCGCCGGTCCCCTGCTCCTGGCTCGGGCTCACAGTCGCCCGACAAGAGCGCCGCTCCTGCTCCGGGCAAGATCGACCTCTCTAAGCTGGGCTTCTTGCCCAAGAAGAAGGTCGACCTCATGTCGTCCTCCTCGAGCCCCGGCAACGACCGGGATCCCAACAACCACTTGCCTACTGCCACCACGGCGTCGGGCCGCTCGCTTGTCGAGCAGATCCCAAAGACCCCGCCTGCGGAGCTTTCCCCGCACCAGCTGGGCGATAGCGATGACGAGGACGATCTTGACTACACCGAGAACCCGTTTGACAAGAAGTAAACGTCAAACACGCCAGCTCGCGTATGGCCTTTTATTTGAGCGAGCGTTTCATTTGTGCCCCCCCGTTTGTGACCGACCGACTTTACTGTTGTTGCCCTTGTGACATGACTGGTAGTGTCTCTTCCTTCCTCATTTCACCCTCACGCCCGTGGAGTTAGAATAATGACATGCATGGAATTTACAACTAGAAGGTACAGAGGAGAGGCTACCCACTCGACACGTCGGGACCCTGTTTGGCAGCTGGGCGGTCGCAAATTAACTGCTAGCTCACTCATTGACGATAACGCTAAGGACGTGGTACTTGGGTTACGCAACTAACCCACTCGCATGTCAGCTCTACACAAACCTAGTCGGCCCCTCACGTCAAAGACCATAAGCAGCGGCCACATCCTCGTCGTCCACGCCATGCTTGACCGCACATTCCTGCACGAGCATGCGCAACTGCCTGTCAGCTGAATTCCGGAAGCCAGCAGCTCACATCAATGACACCCGTTTCGATAGCGCGAACGCTGTACAGAGGAGCGTGATGGCCCACTAGGGGAGCCAGTGTATCACCTTGGAGAGCGGGGGCCCATGGTGACGATGCCTGGTTGTCAGCTGGAGTTTCAAGGGACAGACAGGAATAGGCAGCTCACGCCATCCGATGATCCGGGCTCGAGGTCGTCGTTTGTCTCGGCGATGATGGTAAAAGTCGTTTCTTCTGACGAGAGAGTTAACGATGCTTACTTCGAAAACTCACCTGTAATATCAGACAACTGGCCGTCCATCGCAGTGAGACGAGTGAGGAAGGCGCGGAGGAGCAGGCTTAGTCCCTCGGGGGAAGGCGCGCCAACAATCCTATCGAGTCAGCTTCCTTTCACAGCTCTTGTAGCTGAACTCACTTGACATCCTTCTGTGGGCCCTGGACGCTCTCCAGACCCATGTACATGGCATCCAGAATGAACCTCTCGAGGGGCACACCCGTTGCCACCGACTTGATGACCAGCGTCACGCGCCGCAGAGTGCCCTTCTCGAGCTCTTTGGACAGCGCGGCAACTACGCGAGCGAGGTATCCGCGTACTTCTGGATGCCGGCTTTGATACACTGGAACACCATGTGCGCGCCGACGTGTAAATGTTGTAGCAGGGTAGACGTTGCGAATACACAGGATGGTGTGGAAGACGACTTCGAGGAAGGACGTGATTGTGTCGACCGTGTCTGCGGCGCGTCAGCTGTGGCAGCTCAGGGAATGGTCAGCTCACGTTTGAAGCTGACTCCAGTACTTTCGACGTGTAGGCGAGAGGGACCCGCTTTTGCATTTGCCATTGTTGTTGTTGTTGGTGATGGTTGACCAAGTTGGCAGAAGGCAATGAATGACAGGAGGTGACGGTGGTGGTCAACAAAGGTGGAGGGCTCGGGGGATTAGTACTTGGAATTAAAGCTCTAAGTGGAGGGCACATATATGTTCATTAACGGGTCATTACAAACTGACGCCAATGACGTCGCAGTCGCTGGAAGCGGAAGCAATTCTCGCCCCGGATTCAGAAACAAACAACACACCAAGAGATGTCAACGACGAACGCCTGTCTCCTTCCCTCTTTCGTCCACTCTTCCATCCACCCACGTCTTCGCCAACCACCTCAAGAAACCATGTCGGCACCTATGCGCGAGGTATACCTCGCGCCGGACTTTGATGCGACGTCGCTCAAGGTGCGCTCTTGCGATTGCAATACCGTGTCACTACTAACACCGCCCACAGGTCCCGCAGTTGAGGTGCGCCACTGCCCACTCATTCTCATATATTTGTTTGTTTTTTTGCCGCTGACACATTACCTTTTCAGGTCCATCCTCGTCGAGCACAGCGTCTACTTTCCATCCACATCCAAGAAGGCCGACCTCGTGGCCCTGTTCACAACCCAGGTCAAGCCCCGTGGTCCCGAGATTCTTGCCGCCCACGCCCGCGTCAAGCCCTCCGGCCACGGTATCATTGCTGTCAGCGACAACGGCGATGAGACGCCCCTTATTGTTCCTCCCACCCCTTCTGGCGTAAAGCGCGGCCGTGGTCGTCCCAAGAAGAGTGTCGTCCCTGGCCCCATCGAGCAGGATGTCATTGATGAGCACGAGGCTGCACCCGCACCACCGGCCAAGAAGGCCAGGTCGAGGCGACAGACATCCGAGGTGCCCGGCCCCACCGTCGAGGCTACGCCCAGGAAGCCCCGTGCGAGCGCTGCTCCGCGGGCCAAGACCACCTCCAAAAAGCCAAAGCAAGAGGTCGAGGTCATTATCGAGCCGACCTCGCCCAGCAGGCGTGCCGCCATCCCCTCTGCAGCCAGCGTGGCCCCGTCGTTGTCGTCGGCAGTCCCCCCCTCGTCGTCTCGTCGCAAGACGGTGCGTCCGTCCCAGTCGACCGATATTCTCACGCCGCCGACTCCCTCGACCGGTTTGCCCACGGCCCCACTCCCGCCTGCTCTCGGCGTACCCGAGTCTGTCCGCACCGCTGGTCGCAAGTCGCGCACGAGCTTTGCGCCTGCTCCTATCAAGGAGGACGACAGCAGCGACGTCGAGCCGTCGCCCAAGCGCAAGCCTCGATACTCGTCTGATGTGGACGAGTCTGGGTTCTCCGACTTCAACCCCTTCCAGGCTGGCAGCGAGCAGGCGGCTGAGAAGGAGCGCAGGCGCCGCAAGTCGTCTCTCGGTCTTGGTGAGGGCAAACGCCGTGCGCCCCGCCCCAGCGAGTGGACTGCCACTAGCGCACCTACTGCGTCGATCCTCCGTCGCGTGGGTCCCAGCACCGAGAACCTCCGTTCGCCACCCGACGCGGTGCGCGATGCGATGCGCCAGCAGGTCCAGATTGCCGACGAGTACAACCGTGTCATAGAGACCAAGATGGGCGAGATTACTACATCTCAGAACCTTCCTGCCGACAATGAGCACATTGTGGTGACGACGCGCCAGAGCAAGGCGATCATCCGTCGCAAGCCCAAGCCCTCCGCCGTCTCGACACCGTCGGCTCTGTCGCTTATCCTGCTCTCGCTCTTGCTTTTCGGCTTTGCGGGCCAATACAAGTCCATGTCCGCCGCCAACGGCTTCTGCGACCCGGGCTCGCTCACCAACGACGTCATCCAGGACCGTGAGACGCCCATCGCAATCGCGCAGGAGTGTATCGCGCGCCGCACCCAGGCCCGTCTCGAGAACGAGCAAGTTCCTCCTCTGGACTGTGACTTGTCTGCCCTGCCGCTCGTGCCCTTCATGCCCCGCCCCACCGCGTGCACTCCCTGCCCGGCGTACGCAGAGTGTGCACACGGCGAGGCCAAGTCCTGCATTCCCGAGTACATTCTCTCGCAGCACCCGCTCGCACCTCTCGCTCCGCTCTTTGACGGCTGGCCAGGCCTCAAGTCGCGCGTCTTCCCTCCCACTTGCAAGCCTGACACGGTGCTCTTGCGCCAGATTGGCCAGCTTGCCCGGCAGATTGAGCGCGAGCTCGCTGCTGGCCGTGGCGCTCTCGTCTGTGCCGGCATGGACGGTGAGGGTTCCGGACAGGAGGTTGCCGAGCGTGTTGGAACCCGCGAGCAAGTTTTGCGTGACGCATGGGCCGACCGTCGCGTCACCAAGCTCTCGCGCGAGCAGTTTGACGAAATCTTTGATGCGGCAATCAAGGACCTCGAGGTTCACGGCGACATTCTCACCACTACCACCGAGGACGGTACCGTCTACCTCGCGGCCGCACGCACCGACTTTACCCTCTCATGCCGCACCAAGCTCAGGGCCAAGTCGCTCGTGTCCCGCTGGAAGTCTCAGCTGGCCTCTACCGCCGCCGTCATTGTCGTCATCTACCTTCTGATGGCCAGCGCCGAGCAGAGGCGGAAGGAGCGCGCCCGCGCCCGCGAGCTGGTCGGAACCGTCCTCCGCCGCCTCCAGGACCAGGAGTACCTGCACTACCTCGACCCCGTCGTCACCCCGCAGCCGTACCTTCCTCCCGCACAGCTGCGCGACGTTGTCCTCCCAGCCTCAGAGAGCGCTGCGTCCCGCGCCCGTCTGTGGGCTCGCGTCGAGGGCGAGATTGAGAAGAACGCCAACATTGCCGTGCGCGAGCGGGAAGTCCGCGGCGACGTGTGGAAGACTTGGGAGTGGACCGGTGTGGGCAATAGGCCCATCGAGGGTTAGTAGGTGGAAGTGGGTTTGCCTCGCCCCGTAAAAAGGGGAGGCGTATCGCTTCTCTGTCTCGTGCTAGTGTTTTCGTTGGGTGTATCATGCAGGCTCTGGATTCACGCTCGGAGCTGGTGGTGGTGGTAGTGGAAAAAGAACAGTCAGAAAAGACACAACAAAAACAATACAAAATTGAACCAAACAAACAAAACTGAACGTCAATGAGTGTAGCGAAGAATCACACGGCGAGCCGACAGCACAGCGTATCCGAACAAGATCGGGAACAAGGTAATGTGAGTGGGCATGAGAGCATGAAAGGATGAGCCTAGGCTAGTTTACAAATGAGGGCGTTGAAAGGTGGCCCCAATACGAGATACTCTATATAGGAAAGGAAAATGTCCATGATGTATTGATTGTGTTTGATCTGCGTCCAGTAGGTCGAGAACTGGCAAACTGCGAGGCGGGATGCGGGGGTCGAGGCGAGGCGAGGCGAGGCCTGGTAGGCGGAGACGTTGGCGCGCGTTATGCGTGGATCTCGGTGTCCGTTGTGTCTGGGAGCCAGAAACTGCGGCTGTGTCTGTGCAAGAAGCCGTTGACGCTGCGTGCCAGTGTCCTGTGACTGTGTCAGCTTTGGACCTGGACAAATCCAAGGACAGCTGACCATCTGTCGGCGACAGCACCTGACAAACTCACTGAGCAATAGTCCATGTCGGATGGCTCGGGTCCTGATAACACAGGCCCATCCGCCCCTGGTCCACTTTTTTGCCTCTGACAGTCATCGTGAACCGCGAACAGTCCGTGAGCCCAAACACCTCGGGATAGCTCGAGACGGTGGCGTACAGGCCCTCCCAGTCGAACAGCATGGTGTTGGCGTGCGGGTGCGACTCCTCAAACTCGGCCAGGGACTGGGGCAGCTTGGTGTTGAAGCAGGCCGTGGCGCGGCGCAGGTGCGACGACACGTTGTGGCCTATGCCGCTGTCGAGGGCGTATTTGGGAGCGTGGTCGAGGGCGGCCAGCGAGAAGAAGAGGAAATGGCGCGCGCCCAAGCCGTACAGTGTTGAGACGCGGTGCATGAGCGCCGGTGGGAGTTGGTTTGCCGTGCGATGGAGGGCTGGTGGCGAAAACTCGCGACGCTGGGAGAAGAGGTTAGCGCGACTGGGCTTTTTTGTGAGCTCGCTGAGACGATGTTCTCAGCGAGTCTTGGTGTCAACCCACTGCCATCTCGCGCTGCCCATTAGCTTGAATCCAACAACATAAAGGATCAGTAGCTACTCACAACATCGTTGATACCCAACAACACCACAAACAAGGTGTTCTCGCCATGCCAGTTGACGGCCTTGGGCCCGGGCATCGGCGTGAAGAGCGCCTTGAACTCGGCCACCTGGTCGTCAAACGATCCAGACTCTTCAAGCCGTGGTGGGACACTGGGGGTGACGTCAGTAGGTTCTCGCGATGCAAGGGATACGGGGGACACGTCGGCTGGCGGCGATCTAAACCGGCGAGCGGCGAGCCAGAAAGCAAGGCCGCAGTGAATTGTGGCAGGCTCAACCGCATCCCGCTCGGCTCGGCGCAGGCGGATCGGAGGCCAGCAGGACCTCTTTACCCGGCCGCGAGCGGCGTCCGCTGGGCCAGGACACGGCGTGCGCCTCTGCAAGCCTGCCCCCCAACCTGCAACGAGGAGGCGTCTGCTTCACCCTCGCCCTCGTGGTCGACTCACAGGGAGAAATCGATGGTTGCTCCGTCACGCGCAAAATTCCAGTACTGCATGGCCTTTGGGTCTTTGAATGTGCTTTGGGAAAGGTGTCAGACGCACGCAACGAGACTCTGGTGTGGCTGCCACCACTCACTTGTACAGGTAGTCTGCCCACTTCAATCCGATATGCTTGTTCTGATAAGACGTCAGCCCGCCATATCCATAAACAGCTGTGTTTCAGGGCTGCGCCAAAACAATCCTCGGATCCTCGGCCCCCTTTGTCGTTGATGATTTGTTTTTGACGCCACCGTGCCGGCGGCAGCCGCGGCGAGGGGACGGGTGCAAGCGGGTGCGAGACACCGACGGTCCGCGGCGTGTGCACGGGTGCACACCGTAGTATCGCCGGGACCACCCCTTCTGCTCAAAACTTGATATGGACACCCGAGACAACTTACGAGGCCGGTGGGGTGACCGTCTCCGACGCCGTTGCGACGGTAGTCTGGTCGGGTAGGGAGGGACGCTAAGGGTCGGCAGTCAGTAAACGGGAGGGGGGACGTGCGATCGAGAGCGACGGGAAGGACTTTAGACGCACAAAACGAGTCGCCGCTGCAGAGAGGTGGTCAGCTGGTGGGTAATGTGGACGGGGAAGGAGGGGGTTTGGTTTGGCTCACAAGATGAACATCTTGCCAGTTGTGGGCCAGTCAAAGGCTGCACGACCGGCGCGTGTGCGTTTCAGGTAAAAGTTGTCGGCATCTTCCTCGTTGTCGAGGTCCAACAGGGCCGAATCGTGGTCGCTGTTGGCCGTGTCGGTATCGGCCTTGGATGTACCGGTAGCTAGCACCCCGGCAGACGAGGTGGCAGCGGGGTCCGGGTGGGGGAGCTTGAGCTGCGGGAAGGTGGTTACAAACCGTTGGAGCGCCTCGATGCCGTCAATGCTCTGAGCCGTGGTGGGTGCTGGACGGGCCAGCGCGAGGACCCTGTCGCGAGTGTGTGTTGGGTACAAGGCAATGAGCGAGGCAAAGACGAGGGCGCCGAATATGAGGACGAGCCTGCGCCGTGATGGCGAGGTGCGATCTGCCATGGTGCGAGAGGATGTGTGTGAGAGAAAGAGTACAAGCACAGATGTGAGCTCGACGCCGTCATGGGCAAACCCATAAACGGCGGCGTCGTCATGTAAGGGGCGAGAGGACGGGCGATGGCCCGTGACGAGGGGGGACCGTTTTTTGGCTGCGGATATGCCCGTCTGGCCCGAGAGAGAGAGTTTGGCTGTGGGGTGCCTTGTTTGGTTCGACCCGCCCGTTGCTGTTGCTGTTGCGGAGAGGCCATGAGAGGGAATGGCACACGCACGACACGGGAAGCTGGTGCGTTGGTGGCCTTGGTGGCCGGGTGGACATGCATGTATCCCACCTCGCACCCGCTCACACTCGCTCTCCCAGTCTCGCTTCCGTCCACACGTGCCGGTGACATTGGCGAATTGGCGACATGCGGCACAGGTTGACCCAGTTTGTCGTCTAAACACTCTTCACAAGCATATACCACCACCACGCTTAATTCTGGCCACTCACTGCACAGCCTACAGGATGTGGGTCCCCTCAACAATCGTGAGCAACCTCCCTCCCAAGTGGGGCCATCACAGATCACAGCTGACAGCAACCTCCAGGCGTTCCGGCGCTGGCCGATCGTCGTTATACCCCTCCTCACCTTCATCCTCTGGCACGCAGCGACAATCTACAACGCGACCGACGAGTTCCCCTCGTCGTCGTCCTCCAAGCCTGCCTCAGACTACCTCAGCTGGCTTCCCAGTGGTCTCAAGCACCCAGGCTTCGACCCATCTTCCCACCATGTCTTCATCGCCACCCAGCCCAACTGGCATGAGCAGGTGTGGCTCACGATCGGTGGCATGTTGTCGTCGTTGAAGGTCCCCTACACCGCGTACACTGAGTGTGACGACACGGCCGAGGGCGAGACTTGCATTCGCTTTGGCCTGCTCGAGATGGCGGCCGTGTTGGGCGTCTGGAACGGTGGCCGTAAGTCTGAGCCACTCTGCAGGCGACGGTCTCTCCCTTATTGCTTCCGCTGATGCCACACCACAGCGGTCAAGAAGAAGAGCGAGCTGTTCAACGACGTCAACAAGCCTCTTCCTAACGGGAAGTATGTCGACACGGTCATCCTCGCGACTGAGAAGGAGGAGTGAGTGGCGGTCCGACTTCCCTAGCTCCCAGGCTCCCAGCCCAGGCTTTGGGAGGACGTGTGCTATTCTTGGCGTTCCTCGTAGTCGCATACTGACGGACAGCTTCCAATGGGGTTCTGAGCGTCTCCTTCAACTCTGGAACGAACGTCCGGACGGCCAAAAGTTCAAGGTTGTGGGCGTCTACCATGAACCCACCGGCGACCTCGAGCATTACTCCAGGCAATGGGCCCACACCGGTGCTTTGAGCTATCTGACTCTGTCTCCACAGTGAGTAAACGCTCCACACGGGGACCTGCAACCCTCGACACCAAGGCTCTGCTCTGGGAATCCTTTTGTTGTCTCGCGCCTGGTCATGCTCACACACGCCCAGCGTCGCCGCCGACCTCAAACATAGACTCCGCATCGACGCAGCCAGGCCGGAAGGTGGCGCCGTGGGAGTGGACCACATCCCAGTCCGCACCGTCGTGCCCTGGATGCCTGCGGCGGACCATGGTGTCTATGTCCCAGAGGATAAGGGTGGCATGGTGACTCGTTTGGAACACACTCTGCCAACCCGCATCGTCATCAACGGCATGATATCACCAGAGAGGCGAGGCTACGACAGGGTGTTTGACGACATGAAGAGGCTCTTCCTTGGTGAGTTGGCGCGTCTCTTGGTCTGGATCTGATCTGGGATACGGGACAGTACGGGGCCATGAGTCCGGGTCGGTGTGTGTGGAGCGGCTATTGCACCCCCACCTGCCAACAACGGGGTCGCCTTTGGTTGTTGACGGTGACGATGGTTGTCAAACCACCGGCCATTCGCCGCTGCACGGCAAACAAAGACCCAGGCGCTTGCCCATGCACCTCGCTGCTCTCCATCCAGCACTGCCCTCAGAGTGCAAGTTGTCCTCTTGCTCTGTTCTGTCTGGCTAACGCTTCGCAGAGGATGCCAAGCTTTTTGGCTACCGCTGGTCGGAGACTGAGAGCCTCTTTGTGCCAATTGACAAGGACGACCCAAACACGTTCAAGCTGCTGTTACTGGGCGAGACGGATGTCCGTGTCGACCGGCCGGACCCAGGCACCGTTCGCGAGGCTGTCGAGTTTATCAGCGGCTACAGCCAAGGCGAGTTTTACCAGTACATGGCCAGTGCCGACTTGATGCTGTTGGCTTGGAACGATGCGTTCAGGTGTAAGTTGGAAGCGTGGCGACGAACTGCGAGCTGACAACGTTCCAGACCTCGACTCACAAGCGTCCTCGTCGGCTTTCACCACACTCGAGACCGAGGTGCCCCTCGTGATCACCCCGGGAATCGAGGAGCAGTACAGCTTCCTGGACTCTAGCATCAGCGTCATCCGCCCCAACGCCCTGCGCGAAATGGACGTTGTGGCGCTTTTCCGCAAATTCCCCAACGCGGCCAGGATGACCTACACCGAGCTCGAGAGACAACTTCGCGAACTCTACTCGGCGGAGACCATGCACCTGCGCACTGTGCCGCTGGTGATCAGGATGCTGAAGGACGGGTGGAAGAGGAGCCCCGGTAGTTGGAAGTCGAAGAAGGCTGCGTTGAGACACGAACAAGAGCGTGTTTTGATAGAGATTCTTTCCGAGCCGTTTTATTGAGGAACAGTGGTCCAAGGTTTATATCAGAGGACATTTTCAGGTTTGATGTAGTTAGATGGCCAGTGTGCACCTCCCAGTATGCATTGCTATGCTTTTAGACCATGACCTTGTGTCTGCCCACGGATACCGTCCGGTCGAAAATGTGGCGACGGAAGGAAAAGCCTGCCGGTCCGCTGAGGTCATCTACTCAGCTTTAATATGGGGGATTTCGGTGATTTATTGGGAGTTTCCCTCTCACGTATGCCTTGACACCAGCACCACACTGTGAAGTGAAGTTCATAATTAAGAGGCAGAGGTCATACATACATTCTAAAACGACGCGACGCGGCATACACCGTCCACGACTCCCGGGCTCAACTATCGCCCCACGAGTACGCCAGTTGTTGGGCCAAAGCGCTCTTCTCCGTGGACCCCCGCTGCTGCCTCGCCGCCTCAGTCGCAGCCATATCGTTTGGCGAAGAACTCCCTGGCGGCCGTACCAGGTGCTTCCGTGAGTCAAACGGCCTGGCATGTGTCGGGCTCGGGTGGGCCATCTGCGCCGAGCCGGGGGACAGACCGGACGCAAAGGTCGGAAGGTGGTCGGGGACGGGGAGCGGGAGCCACTGCATGCCCCGTGTCCACTCTGTGCCCCCCTCCGTTCGGAAGGTGGACTCGGAGCAGATTGGTGAGGGAATGGAATCACCCGGGACGAACACATGCTGGCGGGGTGCGCTGAAGTCGACTGGTCGCGACGCGGCGGCGCCGTCCAGCCAGTCGGGGTCGTACTGCGGTGGGAGGCGGTCGACTTCATCGCCGTCAAGCGGTTCGAGTGCGCCAGCGTCACTCTCGGCAATGATCTCTCGACGGTTGCGGCCACTCGGAGCTACGGACGGGCCGACTGATGACCGTGCGCTCGCACTCCTCCCGACCGCCCATGCCTGTCGAGAGGCGGACCCTACTGAGCCCACAGCGGCCATATCGGTGTCATGCTCGCTCTTCTCGCTGGCTGGTGAGGACGGCGCGTAGGAGACTTGCAAGTCTCTGGGAGGATACGCAGAACGTGGTTCCGGGGCCGCAGAGGCAATGAGGTTGTGGGACGAGCCCATCAGAGCCGTCTGACTGTCATGTTCCGACGGGGGCTTGAAATCGGAGGACGCGTTTCTGCTGGGAGTCAGTCAGAGTGTTACCCAAACCAAGCACTCACGAGTTGCGGCGGTGACGGCGGAAAAGGAGCCAGAGGACGAGACAGATCAGCGCGGCGCCGAGGACACCGCCGATCTGGAGGTTGGTTAGTTTTGCCCTTCGTTTATTGAACAGCGACAATACTTACCACTCCACCAGCCACTGTAGTCGTGGGAGGTAACGACTTGTGCGACGTAGTGGCACCAACACCAGTCTCGGTGGCGTCCTCCATGGTTGTGGAACCGCCCTCAACGACGGTGGCTCCACCTTCCACGACCGTGGCACTGGCAATTGTAGTGGCGGCGGCCCCACTGGGCACCGCTGTGCTGTTCACAGGGTCCGGATTGCCCTCACTGACGGTCAGCTTACAGCCTCAACAACAATGCAGATGGCCGCTACCCACCCCTGTGTAGAGTACAGCGTGATACCCGATAAACCAATGTTGGTATTGTGCGCCATGTCGGTGGTGGCGTTGAACTTGACGGTGTACTGCACACTCGGGTCCAGCGGAGTGGCGTACATCAGGCCATTGGGCTTGACATAGGCAGATGTAGCCCAGACTGGCCACACCTTTGGAAACGAGGCTCGTGGAGTGATGTCGATCAAGGCCCCGACGCTATAGAGATGACCGAGTGTGCCGTTGAAGAAGACATAGGACGAGTTGGCCGGCAATGTGAACACGCATTGGGCGTTGGCACCCTCGTTGGTGGCTGCGTTTGCGGTGAGCGCGTCGTACGGAACATTCGTGCCATCTGGTCGTGTATCAGCGTTCTGGAGGTCGGTGATCGTTATGGAGGAGACCCACCAGAGGGACCAATGGTCATGACTGAAAACTCGCTGGAGCAGTTGAAAAATGGGTTGGCAGCACCGTTCAGGACGGCAGGGATGTCGGTGATGTTAACGTTATCCCATGTCGGGTTGCTGCAGAGTCAGTGTCTCTGGTATCGGTATTGTCTGCCACTCACTCGACAGTAAGAGTCATTCCTGTTTGAATGTCCGCGTACGAGACGGCGAGATCGATGTCTCCACGATACCTCGAGCTGGGGGCGATTCCAATCGTCCACGACCTTAGACCCCATGTTGGAATGGTCCAGCCGCCCAGGAGTGGCCCGTTTGAGTCTTCTACAGCATTGGCAGTACCTGTACCAACGGCCAGCGAGCTGTCCCCGCCGACAGCGACAGCGTTCGGGTCGGTGTGATTGCCGCGTGATAGAGAGCCGTAAAACCAGACGCCATTGCCGTACATCATCACCAGCGCTGATCCGAGTGCTGGGCTGGGGTTGTCCACTATGGTTGTGTTTAGATACCACAGTGGTGTACCCAAACCGATATCGCCCCTAACAGAGGTGGTGGCGACTGCCGATTCACTGTAACTCTGAATCCATGACCAGCTCGAAGACAGCCCAGCTGCGTCGGGTGTATGGAACTGCCATGTCGCAGAGTCGACTGGGACTGACACGTTCCACACCAAGTTTGGGGTGGGGAGAGCAGCCGCCATCACCACCCCAGAGCTGGCGAACGCGACCAGGTCGAGTAGCAACAGCGCAGGCCATCGCGTCATGGTGCTTGGTTTGGGGTTATGTCTGACTACTAGTGTTGAGTAGCCAAGTGGGTCATTGCGACCACTTTGGCGAATCGTCGACCAAGCCTCTTGCCGCATCTTGGTGTCGAGCAGCAGTACGTACATCAAAGGGAACCTTTCGCGTTTCTTGTACGTGGTATTACGTCTGTCTATCACCCTGTCGTTGCAGCCATTCGGGCCATGTCAGACCAAAGGTCCCGAGCAAAGTAGTGCTGGTCCATGCCGGCGTTTGTTCCTCGCTTGGCCCCTGGAGCATAACACGTCCCCGACACGTCCTAGACTTGGTTGGTTCCCAGAAACGTCGGGAGAGAGAAAGGTGTTGTCCTCCAGTAGTGTATGTTTTACATGTGCACCCTTCGCAGTCTTCCCTCCATGTTGCCGGGCCGATCAAGCTGGTTCGCCTGCCCGGAAGACGGCGCTTGCGTCCGGTGGCATCGGCAGGTGGGGTTCTGTACGTATATCTCAAAATGTACATGTATGCCATGCCTACTGTCCAGAGTGCAACAGAGCTCCTGCTCGGCGTGCTCATATCCAGGCTGCCCTGGAGGAAAGTAATGCGGGCCAGGCTGCAGCTTTTGCTGTCGATGCGCGAGCCTGCACGTCCATTAGGACACGTCGATCCCAACATCTCGAAAGGGATGTGGGCCACTTGCCTGTTAAGTCTGCTCCAGGTCCAGAACTGGTCGGTCCAGTACCTATCGTCCTCTCCTCTCCCTCTTCTCCTCTGCAGCGGTGTATGTACGACACTGGCTCTCCCATGTCGTAAGCAGCCATCCGCGCCCTGTCACCAAGAACGCGCATGAAACGCGGCTCAACGGTCTCGGAAGAGGGATGCGGAGCCCGTACTTGGACGCGTTTCAGGACCGCTACCCGTGGCATGGGCATATGGCATACTCGGCCCAGGTCGCGTGGGTGGGGGAGAGAGAAGAGCAAGATGATGCCTGTGCTGTTCCTACTGTATGCACATATGTATGTGCAAACGTTGATGCAAGAGGCGACAGACATATGCACGAACGTGCAGGGGCAACGGCACAGACACAGACACCGGCCTATGTGTAGCTCACGGGTAGCACCCTCCAGTGCACCAGTGCACACGATGGGCTCCAGAACTGCAGGGAGCGGCCTGGACCTCGGTCTGTACGGACCGTGTATGGAGCGATGACGATTCAGATCACAAGTGCTGCAGACGACCGAAGAGGGAAACGCGATCCGAGGCCCAGGACAAGTCACAGCCTTGGAGTTTTGTCCCAGCTCTTGGCAGGGATGACTATGCGTATCACAGACTGACATGGGCCCCATGCGAGGCAACCCTGGCCATACGGCCATAACTGGCACTCACGTTGGACGTTGGACACCACCATATACCACGTGGTGTTGATCAAGAGCAGGTAACTCGTGGAAGATGAGCGCAATACCGAATGAGGAACTGCCACCCAGTAGACTCCGCGACAGCAGGAAGATCTCAAAAGCCGAGTCCGTCGCATACAAAGATGCCAGAGAGCTGTTGTTGCGCGACTCCTTCGTCATCTCGGCCATCAATAGCCAGCTCGACACAGCACACGGTAGGCATGGGTGAGACCTGGGTGAATGTGCATTTTGTTGTCGTCGGATTTCGCCGACCGGGCCGGGACCGCCGATCCTACGATTACGCCATCAGCCGGCGCATCGTTTACCACTGACGATCGCGTCGACTAGTCCATCTAGCTCGTCTCTTGCACCGACCTGTTGCTCACCAACGTCTCTGAAGTTGACATTCACATCCTCACTCATATACACACCATGCCAGACCTCGTTCTCGACAGCTCCGCCCTCACGCCGGATCTGCGGGTGTGCTTCAAGCCCCTCGACAACGTGCAAGGCGGCGGGTGTCACCTTGAGGTGTACACGGTCCCAGACGCCAGCAAGCCCACCCCTGTGGTACTGTGCGTTATGAGAGAGGTCCATCCAGATACTAGACCGCTTATTGGGAATCTGGACTTGACCATGGTTGTGAAGTGAAGGCTGACGCGCTGGCGACTCACTCTGTGCTTCACACCAACATGACATCACCGTGACTGCCTTCCTTTGAGACAGTATGATGCACGGTGGCGGTTGGACCATGGGTGGCCCGACTTCTATTCCGTACGCCCAAGTGCGATGGTTGCGTGAGCATGGCATCGCCGCCGCCTCGGTCGAGTATCGCATGGTACCTCAGTGAGTCGAGCTGCTGATGCCAACACTGACGACCCAGCGTCAAGATGAAGGACATGCGTGAAGACTGCCTGGACGCGTTCCGTTTTGCTCAGTCGGGTCTGAACGTGGCCCTCGCTGCGGCCAACCTGTCTACCGTTGACCCCACCCGTATTGGCGCATGGGGTGCCAGTGCGGGCGGTACCCTTGTCCTCTTCCTCGGTGCCGATGTTGGAGACCTGGTCGCGAGCGACAACACCATTCCTCCCCTCCGTGCCATAATCCCGACGTACCCCTTGGCCGACTTCCATCGGTTTGAGCCCGGAGGTGAACACGCAGAGGACAAGTTTGATGAAGTGTGTGCCGCCGATCCCGACTTCAAGGCCAAGTACGATGCCCTTCTTGCGGACAAGTGCCAGGTATCGGCGGCGTGGACCACGGAGGAGCAGACACCGACTCCTGAGCTGGCGAGGAGGTGGGAATTCAGTCACCAGGTAAGTTGTTCAGCGCTTTAGCTAGTAACTAACCACAGGCGCTCCACAATGGCACTCTCGTACCTCTCCTGTTCGACTCTATGCCCCTCTCGCCCGCTGCATCGCCCCTGGGTGCTCTGAGCGCACGCATGCCGCCCACCTTTGTTGTTGTGGCAGAGGCCGACCAGCTCATCCCCCCATCCCAAAGCTACGCTGTTGTCGAAAAGCTGAAGAGCCTCGGCGTCGATGCTGCCGCCGGAGCAGGCAAGGACCTCCCGCACGGTCTGGCCGAGATGCTCCCCCACCAACCTGCTTGGCCAGCCGGCAACAAGTGGTGGGAAGATGCAATCGAGCCCAGCTTGGTGTTCATGTCCAAGTATCTTAGCAACTAGGTGCATTCCGTAAAAGATGCTTATGGCAACGGATCTGTTAGTCTCATCTCTGAATGTGAAAGGACTCATGTCTGGTATCATGCTGTGTAGATTCAATATGGCGGATTGCTAAGTGCGTGATGACCCGCCGTCGCGCGTCAGGTTGACTCCCTTGTTCTTGTTCACCCAGCTGATATTCACAAGTTTCCGACGGCAACGTTGAAACGAGGTTCCAAAAGAATACGCAATCCAAACCTTCCCAGGTCACCTTCTCAAAGTTGCAGTACCTGGGCCTCGTTCGTCTTACCACCGGGGGCACCGCATAGACATATGCCCCGCACGACGGCCTGTCCCCGCCACTCTCTGATTTCCGATGGAAGAAAGAATACCGAGAGAACTGCCGTTGTTTTGAGGGTGGCGGTAGCCGTCCCGCCACTGAACATGCGGTCAACGCTCCCCGAGGCGTCCTGGGACCTCTGCGGGATGGGGAGCAATGATGGCAACGAGAGAACAGCATGAAGGGTGGATGGCTATGGAGACTATAGACGATACAGTGGCATACCAAAAACTCGGGGTGCCAGGGAACATCGACGACCCCCGGAAGATGTTGGTGTACCGCGGAGGCGGTAGCAGTGCCTATGTGTGGCACACGGTCGCCACGCAGCCCCGCGCAGAGGTGCGTACTACTGTATACAAGGGTGAATTTGGCTCTTGTGAAGGTCAGCAGTCAACTTTCTTGGCATCGCTGCAAGCACTTCCACACGACCAGGGTCCCGGAGAAACAATCGCCATCGCACAGGTCGAGGCCTGCTTCGGAAGCGTGGAGCACCAGAGAGCTTCTCAACTCGACTGGCGTGGCCTCGCCACGCCACATACAACGTACCAACTTGATTGGAATAGTGTATGCAGTACGCTCTGTGTGTGTGTGTTCGTTCAGCATGGCGACGCGTCAAGGACCCACGACTACTGCAAACTGTTGGACCCCCCACCTTGATGACGGCACGCGTGGCGACGTTTGTTTCAACCAAGCTTCAGCCGCTCCAACACAGGCCTTTGTGGTTAACGTCAATGAATTTCAGCATCTGGACACTGACTGACATGGCGCGGTGGACATGTACCGTAAGTTTTCACCACACATGGCCGCACAGAAGCGACACGGCTGTTCGTCATGTATGGCATCGCGGGAACCGCTGCCCTGTGCGTTCGAGACCACGTTCAGTATGATCAGCAAGTAAGAGTGTTTCCACGGCACCGCTCTCCGCCGTCTGCGGGTGCCTATGTCTGCCTGGTTTGGTTTCACTCGATTCCGCCCAGCCCAGCATGTACGTGTAGGGCCACTCTGATCCAAGGCAGTGAGTGGCCCAGTGGCTGGTGCATACCAACAACACTGTATGTCTGCCGATCTTAGGTGCCGCTTTATGGTATGCTTGGATCTTATATGGCCCCACAGGAGTGTTCACCCATGCAGCCATGGTCCTGGTTGCAGAGCAAGGAAGCGGCGACGCTGTTGCGAGCCAGACCGTTGGTGAAGGTGTCCCGGTGCCTCGAACCGTTTCACCGTGCTCCTGTCTTTCCGGGTTGCCGTGCAGCCCACCCAACCCTGCAGCGCGTTCTGTGCGACGTTCACCGTGGCAGCGGAAACAACAGTGATCGTGGAGAATACCGCAGACCATGGCGCGGCCCGCATACGGCTGCCTGTGGGGATGCGTACCAGTCAACACCTTTGCCCTGGAGCTCAGTCACCGCAACGTCTCGAACATTAGGGGTGGGAGATGGTGCCACGGTACCGTGAGGCGGGTGTGGCTCATCTGCAAGACGTTATAGACAAACTCTACTGTCTTACCTGGGTATGTACTTTTGAGACATATCTTCTTCCTCACAGACCTCACGGTTCTGGTTCTCGCCACCTCACACAGTCCCCCGCCAACAAGACGACCACGGGTCTTTTCAATCCATCATGGCGGGACCATCGGCTGCTGTAGCAGTACTCGCCTGCTACCTTCTCTTGCCACTCGCCCAGGCTGGCAGTCCAATTACACCCAACTTTGCCTGGAACATCACTCTCCCAGCAACCTCCGGGATGTTCAGGTTCTTTGCCAGCGGCAACTCGTCCGCAAAGTGGAGCCAGACCTTTGAGGGCGCACCACAGCCATATGCCAAAGGCCAAGTGGCTGTGGGCGACGGTTATTACAACATATCCACCACTTTTGCTGGGGCAGGAAGCGGCGCTGTTCAAGCCGATGCGGTCTTAAGGGCCTACGGTCGTAGTGTTTGGTTCAACGGCGCCCTCACGCTCGGCAACGAGGCCTACCAAGCCTTTCTGAGCCCTGATGGCAACAGCTTGCCAGACGCCTCGCCGTCAGAGCCATTTGGAAGCACTGCAGGCCCGCAGCTTGCAAGTTGGTCGGGTAACGCTTGGGATTATCGGTATTGGCGACTCGGCATTCCTTCAAACTATACCGGTGACTTGACTTTGCGCGTCGACTCGGCCACCCTCGAGACTGGCATGGAACTTCTGGTGGAGTGAGTTTACCTCCCCGCTTCTTAACATAGACGCTTACGCGCGTGGCAGCAACCCAACTTGGGACGACGTCAACATCACCGACATCCATGCTGTCGACGACACAGGCGCTATCAACGCGTTCTTCAACTGCACGAGTGATTGGAATGTCATCACAAGCCTAGGTGGCGGTGTTTGTGCGTTTCTGAATTGTTCTTCGACCTCTTGCTAACAGCCCATCACAGCTGGCCAACAACCAGTGGCCTACAACGCAACGCAGGTGCTGTCCAACTACTATCCCAACGCTGCTTGCATCTTCCCTCTCCCAACCAACATGTCGTATATCATGTTCAACGGAACACTCGGCCCAGACTACCTGCTGCAGCAAATCACCCTCTCCCCATCACCTCCGGGAGCAAGCAACCTGGTAACGTCCAATTCCATGATTTACGCCGTGCCGTACAATGTGCCCAACTCGCCCATGTACATGGCCGCGCTGGACCCCAGCGTCCAGTACAGCGTCACAATCAACTCGAGGGATCCGATCCACGCCACGAACAGCGGATTTTCCGGTATCACTCTGTGGTCCACCAAGGGGTAAGTGGCAGCATTGAGGAGAGGGTTATAGTCACCACTGTGCATGTTGTCTAAGAGCCAACAGGGTAAACGGCGCATCGTCAGACTCGAGCGCGAGCTCGGCGACAGGTGGAGTGGCTGCCACTCCCAGCGGAAACAAGAAGGACGATTCAAACACCTCGACAAACGTGACTCAGTCCTCCCACATTGGCCCTATTGTTGGCGGCGTCATCGGCGGCCTTGCTGTCATTGTCCTTCTGTTGGGTACCTTCCTACTCTGCCGTCGCCGCCGCAGGAAGCAGCAGTTAAAGTGAGCACCACCCACACTCCACTTGTCAAAACGCTTGCTAACAACCCGTCCGCAGCGAAAAGGAGGTCATGAACATTGACGCTGGACCAAATGTTCCGGAACACAGCGTCTCCCCCTTCATGTCCTCGGCACACCACAGTGCCCTTGGTGGCACGGGTGCGTACCACATCGGACCAGATGGCAAGATCATCCAGGAACGCAACTCGATGCTCGCCCACCTCCCATCCGACCAGACGACCCATCGCTCCCTCTCAACGCAAGACTGGGACCGGGAAATTATTGCCGAGAGCGACGCGGGCGGCCTGGAGGCTGCGACCTTCCAGCGCTCGATGGAGCCCGAGCGCGTCCCGCCAGAATACAACCCAGAGTGGGCGGCCCGTCCTGTTGTTCCGACCGGTTTCCTCGAACCACCGCGTGTGTCAGAGTCTGCGTCAAGTTCATCCATGCTGTCGCCGTCGCCCATCTACGTCGATGCCTTGCACCACGCCAAGTTTGGCGGCAACAGCCCCGCTTCGTCGGCGACGTCGTTGTCCGAGCTGGCAAACCAGGGGCGCAATATCGAGACAGCGGGAATGCCGACCAAGTTGAGGCACGATGGCGCGTTTGAGGGCACGTTTGGAGGCAGCACCGTGTCGCCCACCACGGCGAGGTCGAGCTTCCACCAAAGGCCCGGATACGGGACTGTCGGTGGTAGCAGTGACGACAAGTCGGACTGGGTGAGCTACAGCGGTGGCTCATCATCCGGCACCGGCACAAACTGAACTGAACGTGTGTGAGCTGGGCTTGCATTTTTGAAAAGGAGCAACGGGGGAGGGCAGGCGAGTGAGAGGTTCATGTCGTGTAGAGTAAGGTGGGACAGTGAAAATCTACGTAGTTTAGCTTTTAAGTGAATCGCAGAACGTTGAGGCCATGTTGTTTCAATTCTAAGCCAAACAGCAGGGTATGTACTTGCGTGCAATAGAGTCAGCCTGCAGTTGAGCAAATTAGTTGGGTGAGCCGGATTCTGCTATGGATACATTACAATGACTGCCACCAACCAACCCACAGGTCTATCCGCCGATACCGCATCCGCCGTCACGCGCGTGAACCTCCACGCAAACCCGGTCGCAGCTCCACTCGTCACACCTGGGACACCTGTAGGCCCCAGTGTATCCGCAACCCGCACACAACCTCCGTGCCGGCGCGCTCGGTGGTGGTGCTGCGGCAGTGACGTATGGTGGTGTCGGTGTTGATGGCAACTCTTCCAGCCAGTCGCGTAGTGATTTCTTGCTGTACAGTGCGCGTCGGACGTTCGGTGTTTGCCTCTTCTTGGCAGCCGCCTGTTGTGCCGCCCACGCCGTCGCCGCTGGTGAACCTGGTGGGCCTGGGGCAGGTGGGACAAACGATGCGGTAGGGATGTCGGTTGGGTTTGTACGCTGTTGTTGTTGTTGTTGTTGTTAGTGCGTTGATGTTGGAGTGTGAAAGGGGAGGGTGTGTGTGTGTGAAGGGGGGGTGGTAACGCGTGTGAAGTCGATTCCGGCGGCAAGTGACGTTGAAGAACATCACAACAAGACGACGACGACTCAAGGGACAGCAAGGTCATGTGCAGCTTACCTCTAGATCTTCCAACTTGCGCTGGAGATGACGCGACTGAAAGTCGTTACTCTGCTGTGCGACCATGGCGGCGCACCAAGCCAAGGACGGGTGTTTTATCGATTTGTTGACGTGAAGAGTGGATGAGAGATTGAGTGAGGCTTGAGCATTGCATCATTGGCAGTGGGAGGGTTGCTGCATTAGGAACGCATTGAAATTACAATGACTTACGTAATTTGTAGTTTTATTAGCTGGATCACAGGGTATTACGTTTCCCCCGCTGAACCTGAAACCCACCTCCACATGTGACTGTCGCCGGCGGCCACGACCTGCAACTGCGACACATATTTCGACGCGCGGCTGGCATCGACAACCAACGTCGATAATATCACACATCTCCAACACCCATAGCCCGTGACCTAGCAGATAAGGGGCCATCTACGACTTTTACTTTAAATCATCTACACGCGCGCACCCTCAAGCTCGTCGCCATGGTGGTCCACATCAGTGCTGAACTGTTCGGCGGTTTCGACTACAACACCCTCGCCGCGGTTGCTGCCACGACCGCCACTGCATATGCTGTCAAGGTCTTCGCTGGCGGCAAGAAGTGCACCTGGGAGCGAGAATGGGCTGGAAAGCTCATCATGATTGCAGTGAGTATGGGCCCAAGGTAACCTCCATGTTTGCGGTCTACCTCGTTTGCTGTGCTGACCTTACTTCTTCCCTCAGGCAGCTCCGACACCCACAACCCTCGCGCTCATTGACCACCTCTTGCAACTTCCGTCCCCACCCCAAATCCTCTACCTCCCACCATACGAGTCTCCCCTTCCTGAAGCCCTCCTGACGCTCATGCACGCCATGCGTCTGAGTACCACCAACCCCCTCGCCCAACTTCACTGCGAGCCTCTTCCCCGAACGCCAACAGGCGTGCGCGAGTTTGTGCGCAAATGGGCCTCCCCCTTGAGAGGTACTGCCGGCGAAGGCGGCCGCCGTGTCGACGCGATTGTTCTGGGTGGAGCCTGGGAGTGTGACGACGGAACGACGCGGAAACGCGACATCGAGCTGGAGAAATGGGAGGATCCCGAGTGGACGACGCAGCAGTTCCATTTCCACCTGATCACCGCCCTGCTCCCGAGCTTGTTGCGCGCACCTCCAGAGCGCAACATTAGGATCATTCAGCTCGTGTCGCCCGCGTGGTCGGCCGCTTTGCCTGGTATCCAAGCCGAGTTGGAGAACAAGCCGTACAAGGCCAAGGCTGGGCTGTTGCCAGCCGCAGGGCGTCGCGGCGTGATCAGCCTGAGCTTCCAGGAACAGCTCAAGCTCATTCTCGACACGCTTGCCAGTGCCACTTATGGCAAGGCCGAGGTCGTCCCCGACCCGAACGCTACTGTCGAAGACGGCGCAGAAGTCACCGTGACGAAGAAGCGCGACGAGAGCATCCAGTCAAACATCCTCTCCCTGTCTGTCGTCATGCCTTGGGCTAGGGACGAGGTCGTGCGGCCGGTCTGGGGTGCTGGCTCAATGATCAAGTGGATCTTGTGAGTGATGGGCGCTGCGATTGCTTAACTAACCCCACCAGGTACCTCCTTCTCCTCCCCATCGTCCTCATCCTCACTCGCGGCCCAGCCAAGGCCATCCAGCCTATCCTTTTTGCGCTTTCCGCCCCGGTCAAGTTTCCTGGCGACGTCGACGACGACCTCAGCCAGGGTAACAAAAACGCGGCGCGGTCTGCCGATGAGGCCGAGGAACGCGAGAAGCGCTTGGTGGAGAGCGGCAAGTCGTCTCGCCCAGAGAAGGACGACTTGGAGCCCCGTCGTGCTGGCGTGAGGCAAGGTGATGTGGTGCGGGACTGTGCCGTTATCGAGTGAGTGCAAACGGCGCGGAAAGCTACAAACTTGAGATGTGTTAGCTGACACCCTGCAGCGTCCCGCCAGTTCTGCATGACCCTCTCCTCGCTCGCGCGACGTACGAGAAACTCGAGAAACAGGTCGAGCTCGGCGTCAAGGCCAGCGAAGCCCGCGCCAAGGCGTTCCCTCGCCCTATCCCTGCTGCCACCAAGGAAGAGGACGGGCCGCCTCGTGAGACCAAGGTCAAGTTTGCCGAGCCTAGCAAGGAAGAGTTGGATCGTGCAGCGGAGGAGAAGACAGAGTAGCAGAGGGGATAGACTGTAAATAGAGAGTTACGGACACTCACGATATGCACTGGTATGGACTACTGGACACGACCTTACGTGCACGTAAGACGTGCACGTCGCCCTTGTCACATGGTGTCCCTACAGGTCCGCCACGCTGCACAGGTCTGGCACGCAACTCCTTTCGCTGGGTGCAGTCGGTATCTGACGGTCTGCCGAAGGTCTCCCGTTGGTGGAGTCAGTATCCTGGCGAGAGCCGCGTCCAAGTTAATAGAAAGACCCTCTCCAATCTGGTATGGTCCATTTTGGACAGACAAGGGTGGACCGGCCGGTACTGGGTCTACCAGCACTTGGTCGACGTCACAGGCTTTGTATATGAAGGTGGAATGCGAAGCGTGTGCGTGCGGGGAAAGCAGCTCAACCCGCCTGTGTGCTGTACACCATGGGAGGCAACCGCCGATAAGAGTCTGTTCTTCCCTGCTGAACCGCTTCCTGCTGACCCGCTTCCTTCTCGACCACGTTCCTCTTCCAACTTGGCCGTGGAACTGTAGGCGGACTGACTTGACAAACGACTCAGAGACAAGACTCAAGGCAAAGACAGACGGATGATTGCCGGGCCCGCACGAACACCTCCCGCACTGTTTCTCCAGCCACCTCCACCTCGTCTTCCTTCCTCCCTTCACGTCCATCGCGTTCCCCCGCCTCGTCTCCTCAGCACCCTGGTCTTCTGCATGCGAGCTATGCTTTTTGCATTCTCCTGCGACATTTCTGCCGCTTCTACCTGTTGGCGCAAGCGCCATACGCCGGTGTCGCCGCCACACGCTCGCTTGCGCGACGCGCGAAACAACAGCGCCAGTCATCCCTCTCAGAACCACACGTTCATTGCTGGACGTGGGGGCGGTCCCTTGAGGTTCACACCACACCAAGTGTTTCCAAGGCCTTAGATGGCCTTGGACTTGGCGAGCTGCTCGACCTGGCCGAGGGCCTCCTCGAGAAGCTGCTTCTTGAAGGCAGGCTTGGCGAGCTCGGCGGCAATGTTCTCGGTAACAGTCTTGACAAGAGCGGTCTGCTCCTGCTCGCGCTGCTGCTGCTCGTAGCGGACCCACGAGTCGAGGACAGCCTTAAGCTCCTGCTTGACGGCGGCCTCCTGCGAGAGGAGGAAGTTCTCGTGCTCGAGAGCGTTGGTCTCCTTCGAGACGGCGTAGAGCTGCTCGGTGAGGGGGACAACGTCCTTGAGCTCGGCAACCGACGAGATGCGCTCCTTGATGGCGACGGTGTGCTCCTCGCGGGCACCGTTAAGGATCGAGCGGACCTTGGCGATCTTCTCGTTGGCCCAAGCCGAGTAGGGGGCGCCGATCGACGAGCCGACGGCGTAGAGGATGATCAGGAAGCCGGCGGCGAGGACAGTCTCCTCGTTGGCGACCTGGGAACGCTGTCAGCAACGACGTTCTTGCGATTCGGCGGCTCTCCCTGGCCATCTCTCCGACTCCTTGCTCCCTTCCTCTGCTCCCGCTCCAAAACAACCACCACCCCTTTAGACACTCACGTAGAGCTCAGACGAGACGGCGGCGGCGGTAAGACCAGTGCCGAGGATGATGCCCGAGGTCTTCGAGAAGAGCGACGACGAGGGGACGGCGTTGATGATCTCGGCAGCCTTCTCATCGGGAGTGGGCTCTGTAGGTTTCACGTCAGCAATCGTTGCTTGCCCTGTATCGCGCCCAGTCCCAGTTCCGCCCAAGTCCGCCTATTCTGCATGGACCTGGCAGCTCTCTGGAGGGGCGAATACGCCAGACACTAACTCGACGACTGGAAGCGCACCCTGCGGCATTGTCAGCGAGCTGTTTCTCTAACGTGGAGGAGGAGGGTGTCGGCTTGGCCATGCGCGAAAACCACAAATTGACGATTGTGGTTGTCCTGGCGCAACGCGATGGGGGAATGGGAATGGGGAAACGCACGACTGGGCGGCGACGGCGCGGGGGGCGACGGCGACGGGGCGAGCGGCGCTCCGGAGGGTGCGGAGAGCGATACGGGAAGCCATTTTGAGTGGGGAGGGAGGGGGTAGAGGTGGTGGTGGTGACTAGATCGACGACGACGAACAGCCTGCACCACCTGCCAGCGCCTGGGGCTGGGCGACCGACCGCTCCGCCCCGGGCAGCCCAACGGTTGGCTGGGCGGGTCGGGAGGGCTCGCGGCGGCGTTATAACGCACGTTAACACGCTTTTGCCGGGCGTGTGGCACACGTGGTGTTACGTAAATATAAGTTACGTAACTTGAGATGATCGCCCACTGATGCATGCAGGCGAAGCATACAGTTGTGGTCCTCTGAGCGTCCACCGACTTGTTGCTGTCAGACATCAATAACCATCACACCCCACTGCCATGTCGTCAGACTCTGAAAACGACCTCTTCGGCGACGAGGCAACATCTCCCCCCGCCCCCGCAGCCTCCTCGCCCAAGGCTGCCCCTTCTCCCGGCGGCGGTAGCAGCCCAGCTCCCGGTCCAGGCCCCGACCTGGTAAGTGGATGACTCCGTTGAACACTCGACGTTCCCTCTAACAATGCCGCTAGTTTGGCGACGAGGACGACGCAGAGCAAAACAACCGCGAGCGCGATTCGAGGTCACCATCCACCCCGCCATCCACCCCCGGCTCGCCAAGCCGCGCGCTCGAGTACCCCGAGGAGGATGTGGAGGAGACGCACGAAGTTGTCGCCGACGTGCCGGTGCCAGCCTGGGCACGCCTGAAGCCCACAGACTCAAAGGTGTGGCACCTCAAGTTGCCGGCGTACGTCAATGTCGAGGCTCGTCCGTATGACGCCGACTATTACCGCGCAACAAACGAGGATGAGGACAAGGAGCTCGTGGGGCCAGCGGCAAAGGGCAAGATGATCGGTGTGCGTAACACCGTTCGCTGGAGGTGGACGACGGGACCCGATGGCGAGCCCGTGCGCCAGAGCAACGCGCGCATGCTGCGATGGAGCGATGGCAGCGTCTCGCTCCAGCTGGGCAGCGACTTGTTCGACCTGGCCCCTTCATATGGTACCACCCTGGCGAGGCCCCGCGACGATGCCCCTCCCAAGAACGAGGACCAGCGCGGATCGACTGAAACCACGTTCCTTTGTGTTACCGCTCCCAACGAGCAGGTCCTCGTCACCGAGGCTGCCATTGCCGGCCAGCTGTCCTTGGTCCCAACGTCGATGGACTCGAAGACGCACCGCGAGCTTGTCTCCCACGTCGGCCAGCAGCACGTCAAGCACTCGCGTATGAAGATTCTCGACGACATTGGCGACTCGGACAAGGTCGCCGAGCTGCTGGCCCGTGCCGCACCCCAGCGTGCCGTCACCAAGCCGACGACAACGACGAGGACAAACAGGCCACGCGCAGCGGCCGATTCCCTCGGTGGCCGTCGTGGCGGCCGGTTCAAGCGCGCCGACACGGAAGAGAGCGACGGCTACGGCAGCCGCGAGCGCCGGAACGCGCGTGACAGGGAGCGCGAGTATGACGAGGACGACGGGTTTGTCGTTGCCGACAGCGATGACAGCGATTCGGGCGCCAAGGGCAAGTCTTCCAAGAAGGGCAAGCGCCGTGCCCGCTCGGTTGACAGCGACGACATGGACGCGATGGAGCTGGCCGACCGGAGGATCGAGGAGTTTGAGCGTGACCGTAAGAGGCACAAGAGCGGGAGCAGCAAGAGCAGCAAGAAGAGGAAGGCTACTACGGGATACGACACGACGGACGAGGAGGACGCCGAGGGTGAGGTTGCAGAGGAAGAGGAGGAGGACGCCGAGGAGGAAGATGAGGGTGACATGGATGTTGAGAGCGAGGAAGAGTAGATAGTAGAGCAGATGCACATTGTACCAGTCGTCTAACCCAGACTCACGACTGACAGTCTTCCTTGAGCTCCAACCCCACCACCATGTGCTTTTCGGAAGGTGCGCAACGCGTAAGCCCCACTGTGAACCATCTAGAACCTGCAGTGCATCTGATGGCGCCTCTGAAACTACTGATTCCACGTCTATAAACACCTCTCAGTCTAGTTCTTACGGAGGAAGTCAAACAGCCTCTTGAGCATAAACGCCGAGTCCTTGGGATAACGAGTGTACGCCTCGGTGGTCTTGTCGACGTGGGTGAGGCCGTAGCGCGGGACGAAGCCCTGGTCCCACTCGAGGTTGCTGAGATGTGTCAGCGAAGGGCCGACTGCTTCTGTCGCCCGCCAAACTCACTCAAGCAGACTCCAAGCCATGTACGCGCCCACGTCAATGCCCTCATCCTTGACGGCCTGTGCCAGTTCACGAATGTAACCGGTGAAGAACGCCTGCCTCTCGACATCGTTCACAGCCTGGGAGATGGTCATCTCCGCCTCGCCAGCCACACAGAAGCCATTCTCCGTGACGAAGATGCTCTGGCCAGCCTCCTTGGTGTAGTTGTCCGACAGGTATCGGAGGAGCAGGCGGAATCCCCATGGCACATCGCACGGCTGGCCGTTGTGGCCGCGGTGGCCGATGGACTGGCCGTCCTTTTCGCGCGTGGTGGCAATCAGGCCGAATGAGCGGCCAAAGACGTCGGCAGTGGCGAACTCAAAGGTCTCGCCCGTAGCCCACGAGGTGGAGTAGTGGTTGAGGCCGAAAAAGTCGTTCGAGCCCTTGATGATGGCCCACTCGGCGTCGGTAAAGGTCAGCTTGTCGCCGAAGCGGTCCAGGCAGGACTGGGGGAAGCGTCCGTGGTCTGTAAATCAGCTCTAACCCATGCGTGCGTTTGTTGGCGGGTGTAGCCAGGATCTGCCACCCGCGCCGCAGCACCGCTCACAGATAGGCTCGGCGTACATGCCGAGCTGGTGGTCGATGCCCTGCTGGGCGGCCTTGGCGGCGGCCTCGGACTCGTCCATGGGGACAATCCAGTCCATGTTGAGCGTGATGCCAATGATACCGTTCTGCTTGACCTTGTACTCGCGGCGGTACAGGTCGACAGTGTGGGCGTGGCAGAGGAGGATCGACTTGGTGACGCTGAGGAGTGTTAGTTGAGAAAGCTTCCTTTTCTGTGGCTGGTTTAGGTACACGACAGCCACAAGGCGCTTGGCCGGAAGACTTACAGAGCCCAGAGGGTGTCAAAGTTCTTGCCGTTGTCCGCGGCGTGCTCCACCTTCTTTAACACGGCGCTCTGGAGCAAAGTGTAGATGAAGGGCTCGTTAATGGTGATCCAGTACTTGACGCGGTCGCCCAGCGTGTCAAACATGAGCTTGGCATAGGCCACAAAGTCGACAACAATCTTCTCGGGGTCATCCAGACCGCCGTACCTCTTCTCGAGGGCCGAGGGCAGGTCCCAGTGGAAGAGGGTGACCACGGGCTCGATACCCTCGGCGACGAGGGCGTCGACGAGGTTGGAGTAGTACTCGAGTCCCTTGGCGTTGACGGGGTCGTCTGCGCCGCCTGGACGAGTCATCAGCTAATGAACCTGAGGTCACCGCAGCTGGACTTACCCTCGGGCTTGACGCGGGGCCACGAGATGCTGAACCGGTAGGCATTCACACCGTACTGCTTGAGGAGCTTGATGTCTTCCCTCCAGTGCTCGTAGCTCCTGCACGCGTCTTTACCATACTCCTGGAAATCGTCCCAGACGCTGGGGCCCTTGCCGTCCTCGTTCCACGCTCCCTCGATCTGGTACGCCGCGGTCGAAGCCGCAAAGATGAAGTTGGAGGGAAGGGAGCCAGCGAGTGAGGCGTCGGACGTGATGAGCGCTTCAGGCTTTGTGGTCGTGGTCATTGTAGCGATGTCGGGGTCAAGGTCACGGGGGAGGGGGGGGGAGGGGAGGGGGTACAGCGTGCATTGTGCGCCTGGACATATAAGAGTGAAAGAGCATCGGAGAGAGTGTGCGGAGGAGACAATACGGGGCCCGTTATCGGGCCGCTACATGGATCTCGATATGAGCGTAAATCCGCCGAGATGGCGCCGAGCCGACAACACGTCTTTGAATCTCCTTGTCCGGGCCCCACAGTCCATGCAGCTTGGGAGGGACATGTTGAGCGTCTGGGAGCACCAGATGTAGTGCAAGCAGCGAACCCGTGACAAATTGGAAGCATCACTCCAGTACAAGGTAACAGCCACGTTGTCTTTCGGCTCATGACATCGTGATGTGTATTCCACGTCGCGAAGGTCATGCCTCGCGAGTCCCTCCGTTCAGGCCACGGCGTTGGACGACGTGGGCCCCATTGTTATACTCTGTGACCATCGAGGCCCGTGCCACGCATGGCTTGGCATCACATGCACCTCAGAGTTGTCGTCACTCGTCGAAGGTTGCCCAGTTGAACGGGTTGTAACGTCGATAATGGCACATGTCTGTCTCAAGATACATTGTTTTTGGATATCACAGGACACACACAAGTACTGTACTCCACGCCCTCTGGGGCTCTCAAACCTCGCTTCTACCAAGAACCTCTCTTCTCGCCCATGACTCGTCTCTTGCTCCCACACACACACATCACGCGTAACCAGACCTCTAACCTATCCAACCTGTTCTCACACCTCAGAGCGAATCGAGGAAGCTCGCGTCACCACTGAGATCGACCTCGGGTTCGGGCTCGCCCGCGGGTCGCCTCTTCTTGGCCACGGGGGTAGCGGCCCCTCCGGGGACCTCGGACATCATACGCTTGGCCTGCCTGCGTGCGCGAACCGACGAGCCGGGAGAAGGCCCATGGATGGTTCCGCCAGCAGTGGTTGCGGGCGACACATCCACGCCGTAAGGCATGAGCGCAGCGTGGGTTGCTTGGAGGTTGGGAGGGAAGTGGGCCGACGCGGGCACGCCTGTAGGGTGGGCGGGCGTGGCGAAGGGGTTGACGAGCTGAGACGAGGCGAGGGCGACAATGGACTCGAGACCACGGGCAGACATAAAGTCGGCGGTGGAGAGGTCAAAGGACGCATCAGGGTCGCCACCGCTAGCCGCCGCAGCGACTGAGGCAGCGACGACAGACTCGTCGAGGGTGCCAGTGCCGATAGGGGTCTGGTCCGTGTCGGGACGAGTGAGGACATCCTGAACTTCCTCGGGCGAGAGGCGGACGATAATGGCTGCATCGCGCGACTGGCGGACACGTGGCTTGAGGTGGTAGAATGCGTTGGCACTCATCACGTCAGTGAGGTTGGGGAGGAGACGGTCCTCCTCGGGAACCGGAGGGTTGTCATAGAGACCCTGTGCCCAGTCTGGGTAGTCTTGCTGGACCTTTTCGTCGATATGGAACTTGAACAGGATGATACCGCCAGCACCTGAGACGGGGAGACCTTGGGCATCTTTCGGACGCAGGAGGGGGAGGTTGGAGCGGTCCCAGAGCTCGGATGGCATGTGGAAAGTAGGGGCAGGCTGCTTGGGGCGGCCCTTGCGACGCATCTTGGTGGCCTGGTCGAGCGAGTAGACGTCAAGAATGTTGAGAAGAGAGCGGGCGTTGGCCGAGAGCCAGAACTGGTCGACGACCTCGTGGGCATCGGCCGAGCGAGTACCGCACTGGAGCTTGCGGTACGCATTCCACTCATCTTCGGTGTATTCGCGCTTGAGGTCGGGACGTTCGTTGGTCATTGATGCAAAGTCGATCGTGAGGAGGGTACGGTAAAGTGCACGCAACTTGCAGAGGTTGAGTGGGGAAGAGTCAAAGGCAGCAGTGCGACGGGCCACAAGCGACTGCTGGCGACGGTACTGGTTCTGCTTGCGGCGGGTAATCTCGTCCTTGTGGACTTCACCGCGCTCGCGGGTCAACTGCTCGTCGTAGCGCTTGCCGAGACGCGTCCAGTATGTGTGGACAGACTTGACAATCTGGTCTTCATCGACCTCGGGCTCGTCGGCGGCGTAGCTCTCGTTCCAAGTGGTCTTGCAATCGGTAATAACCGTGTCGAGGAAGGGACGGACCGTGTTCGAGCTCACGTCGGCGCGGAAGTCGGGGCGGAACTCGTCGACGGCATTGACACTCTCGGCTGCCATGGCAGGGATGCTCGCCGGATCGGGCAAATCGCGCGTGCCCTTGGACTCGAATGCGCTCACGGGGTACTCGACACCCAGGCGGCGGTTGGCCATCTTGTGAACCAAGTGCTCGAGCTTCATGGAACGGCGCTTGCGGCCACCGCCGCCGAGGCGCTTCTCTTCGTCCACGAACGGTGTCGCGCTGCCGCCATCACGCAGGCGGTCGTGATCGCCATCATCAAGAGTCACGCTCTTGAGAATGCGGGTGCGGCGGGAAGATCCCGATCCGGAAGGGAGGCTCGAGGTGCTGACCAAAGCATCGTAGCGGGCCTTGAGGGAATCGTACTCGCTGCGAGGGACGTAGGAGATGGCAAACGCAGGGTCGATAGTTGGCGGTCCGCGACCCTCGATACTGGCGATAATGTTCTTGACCAGCTCAGTCTGTCGCCTGTGGCCCTCATACAAGAGTCGGTAGCTGGCCATGAGTCCTTGGAGGATACGCGGCGCATCCATCTGATCGACGATAGACTGGTTCGCGGCACTCAGCTGCTGGAGCTGGGACACGGCCTTGTCGATGCTTTGCACCTGGACCTGGGAGGCGGGCACCAACGTTGGGGGAGGCAAGTCGGACTCCGATGGAACGCCCACGCCTGACGAGTGCAGCGTAGCAGGAACAGCCTGAGCCGCGTCGGCTGCAACGGTGTTGTCGTGAGATTCGCTAAAGGCTGCGCGGAGAGCCTCGAGGGTGGCTTCCTGATCGCCATGACCCGCACCGTCGTCTACGAGGGGGAAGGGGACGTCATCTTGGCCCGATGTGAGTGGAAGAAAAGACGTGTCGATGGCTGGAGGAGCCGGTGTTGGGGTTGCCGGAGTCTGCCCCGACATTGCTTGTGGTGGATGAGATGGATGTCCAAGGTGGACTTGGGAAGTGGAGGATGTTGATGGACGTGGAAGGCGTGCGAACGAGGAAGACGAGGGAATTAGGGAAACCAAGTTCGCACGCCTGGGAAGACAATTGCTTCCGTGCGACGTCTGTTTGCGTCTCGGGTAAAATGTTTACGTAAGCGCTTTTTTTGTGGCGCAGGGAGGAACCCCAACCACGACCACCATGGAAGGCATAAGCGCATAAAAAAAGATGTTTACAGAAGGCTACGAACAACATTTACCCTCCCCTCACTCGTACAGAATATCCAGGAAGGACAGGGCAACCTCCTCCACAACCACGGGGCCGGCAGGGGTCTGGCCCACACCTGAGATGTCAGTGTCCATTATCGAAGCCAGGCAGCGGCAGGTTACCCACCGTAGAGTGCCACAAGGTTGCCGGTCGCAGCCTCGGGCGACGCCTTCTCCTCCTTGATGGCCGCGGCCAAGTCGTCGAGGAGGCTGTCGACGCTCGCAGCCGTAAGGCGCTAGTAACGTCAGCTGTGCCATCGATCTCTGCAGCTCGGGCACTCACGGTGAACGCCATGTGGAGGCCAGCAGGCTGGTTGAGGGCGTTGAGGTGCCAGCCCTTCTTGCTCATGCGGTCACCGACGGCGTAAATGTTAAGAGTCTTAGATGAGAAGGCAATAACCGAGAGCTGGGGGTCGCCGACAACCTGCAGGTCGGCAGCGAAGCGCTTCTTAAGCTCGCCCTTGAAGTGGCGAGCGGCACCGATAATCTGCTTGGCAGACTCGGTGTAGCCGTCGATGCCGATGTGGTTGACGACGGCCCAAGCACCGGCAAGTACAGCACCGGGACGCGAACCGGCAATCGATGGAGAGGCGTAGACACCACCGGACCAGTCAGACTTGCAGAAGAACTGGAAGCGGCGGAGTTCCTTGGAGCGGTACATGATGACGGAAGTGCCCTTGGGACAGAAAGCGTACTTGTGCTGATGGGTTAGCAATTGAAGCTGGAAGAGCACCCACAGTGTCGCAGCTGATAGCGGTGACGCCAGGAACCTGGAAGTCAAACTTGGGGATGCCTTCGGTGAAGCCGGCACGTTCCGCAAACGAAATAATAAACGAGCCCAGGCAGCAGTCGACGTGGAGACCAACGTTGTAACGCTTGGCCAGCTGGCCGAGCTCGGGGATCCTGTCCTGTTTCTGTCAGTTGTGTGTACGAGGTCAAAGACTAACAATCATGCCGTCGGGGAAGTTGGGTGCGGAGCCGACAATCATAATCGTGTTGGGGTTGATGAAGCGCTTCATGAGCTTGGGGTCGACCTGGCGGGTGACGGGGTCGACGGGAACGGTGTGGATCTTGATGCAGAAGTACTCGGCCGCCTTCCAGAACGCGGCGTGAGCAGTAACGGGAACAACCCTGGTTGTCAATTTCCAATGAACGAGTTGAGATGGTAAACCGTGACTCACATCTCGGGCTCCTTGACACCCTTCGTGGCCCTCGCCCAGTCGCGGTGGGTCTTGACCGACATGATGATAGACTCGGTGCCGCCAGAGGTGGCTGACATTAGCTACGATCCGTCCACTCAACATGGTATCACTTACTCGTGCCGCATGCGCCAGTGACGTCGCCGTGGAAGCTGGGAAAAGTCAGCACACGGTCCAATGGGTTGAAGGCGTAGGGTACGGTCAAGCGTGCCATCATAGCAACCGGCGATAACCGCCATTTGCAGTTTGAAGACGTTCTTGCCTTGCAAAAGCAAAGAAGCCAAGGTGTCTGCCAAGGCCTGACCCAATACAGGTCTGGCACCCCACACGAGGACATACAGTTTGACCACCATGGAGACGAGCTCGGCCTCCATCTTGCGAACACCAGGGAAGACATCGGGGTGAAGGGCGTTGCTGATGACAAAGTTGGCCGAAGCCTCGTTGATAATGCTGCTGAGCTCCTGGCCGCCCTAACAGTTGTCAGCGCTGTGTCATGGGAGATGCCGATAGAGAAGACCCCCCAAATCCGATTGGCTCACATGGTACACGGCGCCCGACACACGGCCCCCCTCGACGTCGCCGCGGTCAAGCTTGTGCAAGTTGGTGAACTCCTTGCGGAGCCACTCAATGTCGTGGCCCTGCTCGGGGATGGAGCGGGTGCCGTTGAGCTCGATTCCTTCGGGGAAAGTGTCGGGTGCCAGCGATGCCTTGAGGCCGCTACGCGTCTTGGCCAGCTCCTTGGCCATTTCGGCCTTGGACGATGGGAGCTTGAGGATGATGCGGACAATGATCTAACACGTGTGTCAGTGGGGGGGAAATACGAGCCTGTGAGCACGCACATTCTTGATACCTGTGTAGATCTGGTTGCCGGTACCAAGGATACCATAGGCATAGACGTGACGGTAGGCGCCGAGGAGGAGCTTGAGGAAGAGCATCAATCGGATGAGCGACGAGATTTGCCCGATACGCTTCACGACGATCAGGGCGCGGGGACTGGGCTTCAGCTTTTGCAGCTGAAGCTGGGACCAGGCAGCCATGTTGGAAGGTGTGTCAGGGGGTTGTTGGGGTTGGTGGATGTGGGTAAGGGAAAAGGAGTGAGATGAGAGATAGGAAGAGGAGGGTGTGGGAGCAGACAGAGAGACCTGTTGTATATCGTAGGCGCCGTCCAACCTTGCGTGGCCTGGGTGGCGTACCCAGTGACGAGTGACGGTCGTTCTTGACCGTCCCTCGGGGCTCCATGTCCGTTGTGACACTGAATAAAAAAGACCCCGAAATCCAGTTAACCGGCCATCGCCGCGCCGCGCGAGCCGAACAACACTCTCTATGGATCTTGGCGCTCAAGCGCCACCCATTGCCGGCCCGAAGAGCACATGGGCTTCGTACCGTCCCCACGCAGACATTAAAGCAAAGGCCAGCGGCCAGCTTCATACACCGAGACAGAGCATCAACCTTGAACAAGTGGGCATGCAGCAACTGCGGTGTACAGCGGCTATTGCTGGCCCCGCGAGAGCGGTCGCTGGGACGCCGCTGGCCGCTGGCCGCTGTGGCCGCTGTCGTCTTAGAGGGAGCTGGAGAAATACAATGACGTGTGGTTTTGAACCAACATTGTCGGTCTTCAACGCCCCCCTGCCGGAAATCCATATGCCGTTTGCCGGCGAGTTGAGTCACCTCCACTCACTTGATACGCGGTTGCTGTTGCGTATCGTTTTCTGAAGCCATACACCACACCTTCCCTCGCGCCTCTTCTGCAACACCCACTCACCATGCCAGAGCTTCCAGGTAGGTCTTTATCTTCTATCCGGTCTGACCCACTCCCAAGAGGTCGAACGTGCACGCAGACTTATCGAAGAGACGTGCACCGGCTACGTCATCGAGGAGGTCAATGCGGTTGTGGACAGCATTGTCTTTGACGGCGCAGACAATGTCGAGTTTGTGAGCGTTATGCTTGGGGTGCGCAGGAGGTTTACTGATCGTGTAGGCACAGGAGCTGCAGGGGAGGACCATTACTGGATGCGAGCGGAGAGGCAAGCAGTGAGCTTGGGCTGAAAGCCCGAGTCGCCGCCCCAGCGGCGACGTGACCACCACCACCACGGTTCCATTACAACTCCACTTTTGCGGGGCCTGTTTGATTAACCCCTGATGGTACACGGTTTATATTGTATGCTTGCTGACGCTGATTCAGGTTCTGGATGACACTATCGGGGGATGGAAGGTACCCACTCATGCACTTTGGAATGACGGGCATGATCCAGGTATGTATGTATTGCTAAAGGTCCCATGCCTAACAAAACAGGTCAAGGGACAGGAGCCGACATGGTATCGTCGAAAGGTCAACCTCGGCGAGACGCGCGACTCGTGGCCTCCGCGGGTGGGTAGCTGAAGCATCGCGTGTTGCTAACCCATCCAGTTCCATAAATTGTGCGTGCTTGCCTCGTATCGTTGCCTAACCCACCAGTGTAATGAAGCTCAAGGCCCCAACGGCGGCTGATGAGCCTCGTGAGCTGGCATTCATTGACCCTCGCCGACTGGGACGGTTGAGACTTGTACCCAACCCCGTCACAGCCCACCCGCCTATTTCTGAGCTGGGGTTCGATCCAGTCCTCGACCACCCATCACTAGACGAGTTCAAGCAACTTCTTCTTAAGAAGAAGGGAGCGGTCAAGGGTGTCATCATGGACCAGTCGTTCAGCGCCGGTGTCGGCAACTGGGTCGCAGACGAGTGGGTCCATCGTTAATGTCGCTGCTGACCCACCCAGAGTACTGTATCAGGCCCGCATCCATCCCCTATGCCCTGTCCCAGCGCTCACAGAGCACGACCTTTCTGAGCTCCACCGTCTCCTGCGCGAGATCCCCCTCAAGGCCATCGAAGTCAATGCCGATTCGAGCTTGTTCCCTGACAGTTGGCTATTCCGGTTCAGGTGGGACAAGGGGAAGAAGAAGCCAAAGGGCAAGAAGATCAAGGCAGAAGTCGAAGGTGGTGAGGAGGATAGCAAGCCAGGAGTTCCACAGTTCCTCCTCTTGGTGGGTGCCGCGCTCTCAAGCAGTGCTGACCCGTCAGCCGGATGGAAAGCCCGCAACAATAGCGTTTGTCACTGTGGCTGGGCGCACCAGCGCGGTAGTCACCGAGCTCCAGAAACTGCCATCTGAAATCAACGGCAAATCAAAGGCACCCAAGGCGGCAAAGGCGGCAAAGTCACCGGTCAAGGGCCGTGTCATAAAGCGCAAGCGTGGAGATACGGTGAGCTTCGCACGACACAAGTAACCCAGCTTACGCCAGTCGAGCGAGCTGAGCGAGCTGAGCGAGGAGGTGGAGGAGGTGGAGGAGGTAGAGGAGGAAGAGGAAGAGGAGGAGGAGGTTATTGTCATCAAGAGCTCTCGCACCGAGCGTGCCGCCGCACGAGCCACCAAAGTGGAGCGAGAAGTAACATTAGCCGTCAAGAGGCGTCGGTGAAAGCTAAACGACGGTTTTGTTGTGCAGAAGTATAGTGCAAGTCATGATGCCAGCCCCTGACACAGTCCTCATCCTATGATGGCACGTTTGGGGCCCTGATCGCCCGCGAAGACACGGCTGTCACAAGCTATCTGCAGGAAGCCAGACGCGCCAGACGCGTACGGCAGCCTCCTCTACGATCAGGACCCTGCATATAACGTCTCTTTCACTGATCAACCTCTCCCTCTCCTCTCTCTCATCATTCTCCTCCGACGGGGTCCTCAAGTCTCAGCCCTGCCACAATGCTCGACATCTCCAATCTCTCGACCCTACGCACCCTTCTCGTCGACTATGACGTTCTCCAAGTCACGCAGGTCCGTAACGTCCTCCTCTCAATGGGCTATCCAAACCCCATGGAGGTGGAATGGCGCGCCATCATCGACTCGTTCTACGGTGCCCCACTCGAGGTCAGCCAGCTGGAGCGCCTGATCATCCGCGTCCTGACTGGTAGTTCACCAGAGACTACTCGGTGGGTATCAGCCTACGGCCTCCTTTCCATAGCTCACTGTGCAGCCACACCGTCCCCGCCATCTTTTGGTCGGACGCCGGCCTCTTTGATCAGTTTGTGATCAACCTCGCCAGGTCCAAAGACCACATCAGGCAGATGTACTCTGACACTGCGACTCTCCGCAACCTTATGCAGCGGGCTGGCGCGTTCGTCGGCTGGCTCCCGCTCGACTACGAGATTGGTATGGACGGACATGCCGAGTACGATGACAGGTGGTTGGACAACGTTACCGAGCACTCTGTGTTTGGCTGGACGGGATGGAGTGACAAGGTCGTTTGGTTTAACGTGGGTACGCAAAACAGGCCGAAGCTAACCCATCAGCATGATGTGATCCTTGGTGAAACAGCCTCGTCTTTGTTATTTGGAACCACGCCCTGCTCACCTCTCGACGTGCATTCCTCGAACAGCGTCAGAGTCGAACTCGACCCAGAGCCCAGCACACCAACTCGCCCTACCTCGTGGATGAATGTCGACCCCCCGGCCCCATCAGGCTGTATGGACGAGGACGAGGATACGCTCATGTCTCCACCCAAGCTCCCCTCGCCTCCTCCCTCTCCCAGCCCGCTGAACAAGAGAGGCAGGGAGGAGTACACCACGCTATCCGGAACCGTTCTCCAACCCTGCCGCTCCATCCCGTCCCCCTACGCAAGGCCAACCGCGTCCCCCTCGGTCCTGCTTCCTCGTGACAAGGGTAAAGGTAAACTCGCGGTCACGCCCAGGCCATCGGCTCCGCCGACTCCCGTGGCCTCGTCGTCGACTGCGGCCGATATGGCCGACTCGCAGGGGTCGCCCACTCCCAGGCCCAAGGCCAAGAAGCTCCGCGTCAAGGGAAGGCGGTCGACGCCTCGTACCACCACATTTGTCAATTTCCCCCCGCAGGTGGTGTTGTCCGAGGACGAGAAGGAGCACTACTCGCTTGGGTTTTCCAGTGGCGAGTGGTCCCACCTCGGCCGTTGATTCCGTACAGCGGCTGGCCAGGTCAACTCCGTAGACATGTTAATATTAATGTATCTGGCCCATGTCTGCTTGACTGTCACTGCATGAATCCAAGTCAGTCATCAGTGATGGCGATTGCGCTATTTGCGCTAAACGCCAATAATGGAGGAATGGGGGAGGAAAGAAGTGCAGAAAATTACAATAAAACAACAAACAGGCATGTGTACGGGCTCCCAGACCGTCTAAGGAAGGTCGACAATGTGGCTCATGGGTGTACCGTCAAGGTCACCGGTGGCAGTAGACGTGGGTGACCAGATACCTGCAGGCCACAGCGCGGGCGCCGTGATCGGCGCCAGGACGGCCGCCTTGGCCTCCACCTCCCACTCTGGCTCGGTGATGCCCCACCACACTCCCCTCTGCACCACCAGCACAACTCCACCGCGCTTCCCGTGAGCGTCAAAGCTTGAGCTTGAGCTGGACCTGCGCGATCCATTCTGGGCCACGAGCTTGGGCGAGCTCAAGCACGCCTTGAGCGGAGGGAGTACGCCACGCCGGGGTTCGAAACGGAGCACGCCCGCATTCCAGCCTTGCCCGCAGTGCCAGAACGTTGCCGTGGGTGGGAGGTGGCGGTACTGTTCCTTGTACCCCGCGAGGTGGTCCGAGGGGACGACACCGAAGCAGGGGGGAACCCAGCCCACAAAGGCGCCGTCGGCCACGGCGAGGTGGGCGCGGAGCCGGGCGGTGTTGGCGAGGACGCGCTGGGTGGTTTCGGCGAGCACCGCGTCGAGAAACTGGCTACCCCGGTGCGCACCGTAGTGCAGGCACGCGTAGGATGCGATCGAGACGGCTGCGCGAGCGTACGAGTTGGGGTCGCTCCAGAACAGCGCGGGGATGGTTCCGGGCAAGTCGAGTCCGGCGACAGTGCGTGCGATACGCCGCTCGGTGTCGTCCAGCCGCGACAAAATGACATTGTAGGCCCCGCGGAGAGAGTTGTAGCCGGCCGAGGTGGCGGGGTTGGTGGGGCTGAAGTCTGGGAGTGCCAGAGCGGCAATGAGGTCGAGGACGGCCGTGTCATAGTCCATCATGCCAGTGATGAGGTCCTGTGGAGTCTCCTTTGGAGAAGGGGGAGGAGTCGGCAGCGACGGAGTGCTGGTGGTACACGGGGTGAGGGGTGGAGTGAGTGGTGTGGGATACGTGCTCGCATCGGTGGTGGATACCCAGGCCACTGGAGAGACTGAGTGGGTGGTCTTGGTCCGAGGGTAGGTGCGGTACAGCGTGCCGTTGAGGTAGGAGGTCCAGTAGGCATCGTTGTCGTGGTCGAAACGCGGAAGGCAGAACTTGGGTGCCATGGTTGGTGTCGGCGCTGAGTTTGGTTGTCTCGTTTGGTGAAGGAGTCGTTCTCAAGGAGATCTGAAGTGAAATGGAAGGGATACCACGACTGAGTGGGTGTGATATATATGCATTGCTCGACTCGACGGTGTCCATGGTGGTGAGTGGATGTTGACACCAGATTGCTGTCGCCCGTCAATCGCTCCAGCCATTTGGTGATGATGGCTTATGATGGCGCCCTCGCTGCGCTTCGTGGAATGTTCTCTCGCGCCCATCAGACAGGAGGGACAAGGTGGACCACAATGCATGTGGGATATGCGAGAGATTTGACAATGTCCCTGCATATACGTCTGTGCATGAGCTTTTTCAGTTGTCTTGTTGGTGCTCAGTGACCCCCGGAGAAGGCAGGCTTTTTTACAGTATGTGGCGATCAGTGGATCAGTGATCAGTGGCCAGCGGCCAGCGGATGCGCCTGTCGCGCGTGTCCCGCTGAATGCGCTTCGCTTGGCCGGTGCGCACCGTTTCACACCTTACTTCTCGAATTTGAAGACTTAGCATTCGTGATGCATACACACAGTAGGATTGCAGCGTCCTCTACCAACACCTGCCGCCTGGAGCCTTCTTCTTGGTTGTATAGCATGAAACCGGATATGATAGGAATGTACAGAAGGTCACGAAGCGGTCGCCCACAGCATCTGCATGGGGTAGTCAAACTGCAGAACCACCTTCCTCTGCGAGGTCAGTTTCTGTAAACGAATTTGTACCTACGGTTGAGCATCACGTCAATCACAACGCCATCATCGTCCTCATTGTCGGTGTCGTCCGCCTCGTCCTGCAGCTCCTCCGCGTTGTCCATGACGCGAGCAATGCGGTTGGTATCGAGGCGCTTGCCGTTGAGCATGAGCCGGAGGTCCGCCGGGTACTCTCCCCTCTCAAATGCGTAGCGGCTCTGGTGAGAAAAGTGTTAGCTCAACAGTCGGTGATGGAAATCCGGGCAGAGATGGGGTGACGGTGGCCAGCGCGACCAGCGCGCCAAGAAGCAACCGACATTTGGCCTTTTGGCCGGTTCAATATGGACCGTCCCCAGCCAGAAAATCGACTCCCCAAGTCGTACCTAGACCCATGCCACTCACCTTGATCTTGGACCACGTCGTAGTAGGCTTGACGTTGAACACCATCTCGCGATTCTTGTGATCGCGCAGACAGATTTTGAAGTGCTGGGCGGTGTTCATGTCGGAGGCTGAATGTCAGCTTTTCTCGCGCCTCGGACAACTGACTAGCCTCTGCCCAACGGGGTGCAGTACGAGTAGGGGGACGGGGCGAGCAGGGGCTTGTGGAGCGGCTGATCATATGAAGTGTTGTTGAAGGGTTAAGAGAGGGGAGATGGATGGATGAGAACCAGGTGAGCGGGCGGCGTGTGTATATAGCGGACAGCACTGACGTTTCGGCAGTGCAGCGGGCGGTGTGGCCGCATTGGGCCAAAATGGTCATGCCCCTTTCGTCCTCATACTAATCACCAGTTGCGGCCACCGGGCACATCTTCCATCATGCATCATCCCTTTGCTTGTGCATGCACGCATGCACGCATGCGTTACATCCACTATCTGAATCAGGTGTATCCATTGTATCTAATCTTTCAACGACAGAAGATTGGCGGAAGGAACTAAAGCTCACGGCCGGACAATGAGGGTCCATATCCCATCAATTTCACGGTTGATTGATTGGTCGTTGGTCGTCACAACAATGACACCATGTCCTGCTTTCACAAGGCCCTCTACATCTCCTACGCGGCTGTCATATTCTGGATCAGTGTTTAGGAGAAGGCCGCGGTACCAAAGTTGGATGCTTGCAGGGTTGCAACCTTTCGTGGTAGCAAAATAGGTCTGCATCGTCAACATGTCTGATCCCCTCAGCCAAGGAACAATTAACTAGGTATGGTGGTTAACGACCCCATACCCCCAAATGTTGGGAGGCAACAAATACCTTGATCCTGGACCAGGGAGCACGCCGTAAGACCCGGAAGTGAACAGACTCGCCGCCGTCGTCCGGACGGAGGACGATAAAGAAGTACTCTGAGAGATTTGTCATCCACGTTTCGTGTGGCAGACTGGTTTCGGCGGTGCAAATACTTGCCTTGAGGAGAAGAACGAGGAGGCGCTGCATTGTTTGGGAGAGACGCTTCCGTAGAAGAAGGAGATTTCATTGTGGGCGGAGAACTGATTGATTGGGCAACAGTGAATAACCAGAATGGAAGCCGTCAGTGGGTTGGGTGACAAACGGACCGGGGAGGCCATCAACCATCACTCAAATGGCGACACTGCACCTGGAAGCTGCTTGCATCATACAGCACGGACGTTGCAATTCGCCCCTCTCTGACAATGTAAATGACGTGCTTCGCATGCGCAGCGTGTGACCCAGTCTATCGAGATTTAGACGTGTGGGTGTGGGTGCACAACGTCTACGCCAGCCGTCGGCGTGCAATCAATGACGCAAGTTTCCGTCGGACGACACAAATGCATATCCCCTTCATGACCGAGTATCAGACTCGTGCCCCACTTCAATGAACATGACATCGTCATCCATGTCCCGTAAGACGAGAGTCTCCAGTACCGACGACTCGTCGTGTGCGTCCACTTGCTCGCCTTCAAAGAACAGATGAATAGTGTGGGGGTCGGCGCCGGTCAAGTCGGCATATGATTGCTGCGGAGTAAACTTTCTGCCCAGTGGTTCCCCAACCCACCTTGATCCGGTTCCACTTGATGTACGACTTGACTCTGAACGAGAAGAACTCGTTTTCGTGAGCTGGGTTGGGGATGTGGATTTCGATTTCGTCGTAATACAAGTCTGGGAGGGGTTGGTGGGGACCCAAGTGCGTGCGCGTTGGGTGGTATGAGCTCACCGTCCTCCCATGTCTTTGGAGCTGTAGAATCAGGACTAAGTTCACAGAACATGGTTGAGGGGAGGAAATTGAGAACAGACGAGGAAATGGAGTTCCCAGGGGAGTGAGTGATATACTCGCGGGCATGACACCTCGCCCATGGCATGATGGTGCGAGTACTCTGACATCAGAACTTTGAGAAGCGCTTCGCCCCAGCACATGGAAGCACCGAATGTCATCGGCTTGTCACAAAACGTCTCCTATCGCCTATGGAGACCTCCTGCCAGCCGCTGCTACCACAATACTGGAAAGGCGAAATACATGCGAAGCGCCTCGGGGAGAGATCAACCTCCAACCTCTGATGGGTGAGCCATGGGAAGGCGTTGCACACTCACGCTCAAGCACAACATCGACGGTGATCACCTCGCCCTCCACGGTATCCTCGTCAAGACTGTCGGCGATAACAGAATCCGGGGTGAGGTCGACCCTGTTGCCCTCCAGAATGAGACGGAGAGAGGTGGGATCCATGTCGCTGTGCTGCCTGGCGTAAAGTTCCTGGGCGTCAGACGCGTCTGAGCAGCGTCGACCGACCACTGTTTCACGACTCACCTTGAGCTGAATCCACCGGACGGTGACCTTGACCTTGAACTCTGCGCTCTTGGACTCGGACTGATCGCGAAGTCTGATCCTGACAGACCTGACCTCCCCTTGGGGTTCCGGTCAGCCCATGAAGGGTCTCGCAACCCAGCCCAAACGGCTCCATGGAACACATACTCTTTGGCTCAATGGACAGGCGTTCTCCACTTGGGCTCGGGGAGCTCGTTTGGCGACGTGGAGTAGTAGACCGGCTATGAGTCCACGACATTACTGAGAGGGAGTGGGTGATTGTGAAGTCCGCGTGGTGAATGTCGTGAGAAGAATACCTCGGTCTTCGGTACCGCCCCTGCGCCCCACAGACACAATGCAGTCATGCAGTCCACGCTACATACGCACACAGAAACGTTACCGTTTTTCAGTGGTACGCTGTGGGCCAGCTTTCAATTCACATCGCGCATCCAGCCTCGCTGATACTGCACCACCATCATCACCGATAGCTGTCGGTGGCGTTCATCAGGGTCACCATGTCTAGAAGATTGAGCCGCGAAGGAGACCCCACGGTGCTGTAGGGTTGCTTCCCTATGACAAGACACGGTGTATCCGCTGCTGGTTAACTCAAAGTGTCTCAGGTATCGTGCTGTGGGTGCCGGCTAATATATCGTAGGAAGTCGGCGGAGTGGTATGTCGAAAATTTGGGAAAATGTGTCAAAAATGAAGCAAAACGTTGCAGGAGCAAGATTTTCGGTTTGTCTACTGTCTCCTGCGACTTGGTTTCCACTGCGTATAGCTCTCCGGGAAGCAGAGACCAGAGTGCCCACTTTCCGGCTTACGGGGATCATGCAGTTGACTTTCAAGGAAGCCATGACAGCCAGCCTCAGTAGAAGTCTCAGGGTCGAGCACGTGCGGGACACCCTCAAGGGTCTTCATACAGTGTCACCGAAGTGCTCTCCGTGGATCCGTGGCCGCATTCTTACTAATCGATACCTGGGAAGGTGCACGAGCTAGGCAACGGCCCTGCAACAACGCGGACAAGATCGTCACCAACTCTGGGACAGCTCACTATGTGGCTCTGTGTGTCCTTGACATCAAGCGTGTATAGTGTAGGTGGTTATCACTGTTCGTTGTGGTGTTCAATCGCAATTCTGAGCCAACCGCTGTTCGACTCAGCGTACGCGCACGTGAAGCATGTAGAGCGATCTAGCAGCTTTCCTTTTGCCCTTTTGTCGCTTGGTAGACTTACACGTCGTTTGTGAAGTGGATGGAGGAAGGCAGGTGGAAATGCCAGAACAGGCCGATCAATGTTTTTGGTCGGTGGGACGTGGAACTCGAATGCCATACAGTCAACCTGTGTCCATAATGATGACCGACACTGCACCTACATTCAGTGACGTTACAAGTCATGTGGGTGGGGTTATAGCGACCCGACGTGGTCGATGTTGGTTGATGTGTGCGCCACGAAGCTCGACGATTGGCGGATACAGGAGGTGTGGTGTGCTCCGATCGGCGTGCTGATCCTCCGACATCCTGAGTACTGCTGCCCATCCCACTAATGGACCAATGTACTCTCATACCACATGCATAACCTCGTCTTGCTCTCCCGTATGGTTGCCACTTTGATACAACCCCTTGGGCAGCTGCCCCCACTTGGCCCTAGCCGCCAAGCAAGTGTGACTGCCACTCAATAATGACCTCCTTATCAGCCGTGGCATCTTTAATCGCGTCCTGTGGAAGGGTCGAGGCCACGGGCTCGCTGAGGTGGTCCATACGCAGGCCATCGTGGAGAAGCCGAGAGGTGTAAATCGTGTCGTCATCCAAGTTCAGGCCCCTTGCAAAGGCAATCTGAGGTCTCAGTCAGCGTCTTTGCCATCCACCGCTGTCCTGACTTGCGGAACAAAGTACCATCACATCAGGCCCCGGTACATATCGAGGGGGAGGGAGTAGAGGCAGGTGTTGCTTACCTTGAGCGTGAGCCAGCTGGTTGTGTCGCTGACCGATATAGACACCTTGGTGCCGCTGTTGTCGCGGACCGTGAGGGTGAACTTTGGCTTGTTGTAGGCCGCAATATCAGTCACTTTGTAACCACAATGCCACCAGAGACACTCACCTGTGGTCTTGACGTTGGTCTTCCGACCGGGTTGTCCCTTGGGAGAGGGGTTCCAGCTCGACATAGTGGGTTCAAGAGGACTGCGCTTAAGTGGGATAAAGAGAACGCAACTTGAGGATGGCAAACTGTGCTTGACGTGGAGGGGCGCCCACACGCTCCTCGCACATCCATCTCCATGACGACTGCAGACTGCAACTGGACGCAACTGACAATCTATCTCCCCCTAACTTGCGTGTCACCCCCTTCCGATCAGACACCTCCTTGCACACCGCCGCCCATTTGCCGCTGGTGCCAATCGATTCTCACCGCTTCGCCCCTCTCCGCTTCCTCCAGCGCGTCCTCTGGGAGCTCGCCAACGCGCGCCTCGGCATGGTCAACGCGAATACCGTCGTGGTGGAGACGGAAAGACCTGTGGGCGTGCTCGTCGAGCTTTTGCTGCACGGCGAATGCCATCTGCCAAATGGATCAGCCAGCTGATCCGCTGATCGGGGCGGGTGACTGTGGCAGGTGGGAAGGGAGCACGTATGTAGTGGGTTTCTGCCTACCTTGATTTTCAGCCATTTTGTATTACGCCTGACCTTCATGAACGTCTCGGCGCCGTTTTGCGCAACGAGCTTGAGCAAGACTGGGACATCCTCCGCTGCTAGCCTCAGCCTCGATGGCATCATCTCCTGTCCTCGGAAGGGTACTCACCGGCAGCAGCGGTCTTGGGAGGGCTCGACAAGGACATTGTGATGTGCAGGCTTGAGGGACAGTGGGGTTGAAGTCGAGTGGACAATGAGAAGAGTCGAGTGAGGTCGGTCGAGGGGCGGTTGACGTATGGTCAACGTCAAGTGGATGTTGAACAGAGTCAAGTAAGGTCGGCCGAGGGGCGCTGGACGAGAAGCGTGAGCATTTGCCATGTGTGTGTCCACCAATCCTTGCATCAGTTGACGAGCTTCCGCCGCCCCCCCTGCACACAGTGACGGAGACACGAGGCTGATGGGTCACCCAGTGTCACTCTGTGGAGGAAGCCCAGGTGCTGAGAGGGAATGTTGCATGTCGTTTCTGAAGGGCTTGTGGGAACAGTATGTATATCTAGAGCTCGAGAGAGAGCTCAATGACGATTATTGCTCTACTGAGAACCTATGAATCACAGATCGTCTCGCCACCCAAACCACGAACGCCACCGCCGACCTCTACCAAGTCAACCATCAGCCATCAGAAACCTTTTCCCCGCGTCAGATAGGGATACTCACGGGCGAGGACCACATCAACAACGACACCCTCCTCGAGCTCCTCATCTTCGAGCGAATCACCGACCGTCGTACGACCGGTGAGGTCAACGCGCTGGCCGTCGTAGGTGAGATGGAAGGCCGCGGGGTCGGCGCGCTTCTTGCTAGCGTAGACGGCCTACGGCGTGAGCCTTTTAACCCCTCCAAGCAGCTCAAGTACCCATCGAACAGCTGCATCTATGTACTCGCCTTGATCTTAGACCACTTGGAGCTCCGTCCGGCGTACAATATGAACTCGTGATCTTGCGGGTCGCGGATGGTGATCTTGAATTTGCTGGTGGCGCGAAGGTCACCAGTCGTCGGGGTGGCTGCGTGTCAGATGCGATCGACAGCAACAACTGACGCTCGGTAGCCCAGCGAGGTTTGCGGTCTACGTAGGGCTCCTCTTCGAGTTCGGGACTAGCAGAGGCGCTGGACATCTTAGAAGGCGTGGATGTGTGATGTAAATAATGAGATCAGTGATGGAGTCAGTTGGAGGAAGGTGAGGAAGCGAAGGAAGGTGATGACTTTCAAGCCCAGCGGCGGCTGGGCCGCTGATGGCTCTGCTGATCAACGGCACGACTTCCAAAGTGGTAGAATTGATGGCAAAAGCCATGTTAGTGACACGTTAGGTTGTTCACTGAGAGGCTCCCGCTTGCATACGTGCCCGCCGTTCCGACAACCAAAAATTACTGGACCCGACTCCACTGACCACCCTCGACCACCCTCGTACGTACACAGAGCCTACCAGCTACCAGCCCAAACACTCTCACTTGTCGTAAGGCGCCATTAGAGTGTTGCCCATAATCTTCTCGGCAAACCCGTCGATCGCAGTGGTGTGTGCCCAGGGCTTGAGCGCACACTCCTCCCCAACAGTGTCGGCAAAGCACTTGGTCCAGCCGTTACGGGGATAAAGCTGGACCACCTGCTGGATCGTCTCGGTCGTGATGAGCTCGGGGTTGAGACCGACGTTGTCAAACACAGTAGCCAAAAGTATAACCTGGCACAGCTGGGTGACGGTGCCCGTCTCGCCGAGGTCCTGGTGGCGGATAATCGTCTCGGCGACATTCTCGGCCTGAGGAAGCGGGGCGCCGGACGACTTGAGGAGGTCGAGGGCGAGCAGGCCTCCGTAGAACTCGAACGACATGAGGGTGGCCCTGAGGTTGGACGGCGTGCACCCAATGTCGTGGAGGAGAGCGGTGATGTAGAGTGTCTCATCGGTGAGCTTCCATTCTGGTGTGTCAGCTGGGACAAATCAGTGACGTTTAGCTACCCACCGGGGAAGTGCTGCTTGAGAATGGCCCTGCCGTAGTAGTAAACCCGAAGAGAGTGGTTGTAAGTGCCCTCTGGGAGCTCGCGCTTGGCATACTCGTCGACCTTGCGAGCGAGTTCGGTGGTCGGGACCTTGATGTCGGCCGCAGCAATGATGACGGCCGGCTTGACGCCCTTGAGCACGGTAGCAAAGTCGCGCGGAACGGCGGTCCAGCCAAACTCTTCGAGCTGGGCAGGAGTGTGAGCTGACGGCATATCGCAAGTGGGCATGTGGTGGGTAGGTGGTGGTTGTGAGGGGAGGTGGTTGGGGTTGTTTGTGTTGTGAAGTGAGATGTGAGACGTCGGAAGAAGTGTTGTCAGATATATATAAAACACAAACGCCACGGTCCCGTGACATTGATATCCGACTCGGAGGGGCCCACGCGTTGTGCATCTAAGCTATAAGCGATGTAGCGAGCTACACGAGACAACGTTTGTCAGCGATGAGCCATGGCTGTTGCTCAAGATGGGCCTCTCAGGATCCACGAAGATTCAGAACATGCGTCTCGGAACGACTCAAGGATTATTAGAAAGCCGATGATGTCATTGTGCAACTGGAATGCGGGGTGTCGCATGTGGGGGCTCTGGGTCGTACTATATCGATCCCTTCCGCAAAACACGACGACGCGTCGTCGCGACCTCGCTCGGCTATCTCTCTCGTCTCGATCTGGTTGTTGCAAATGGCAATGTGAGCAACCGCACGCCGTAGCTCGACCGTGACGGACAGCGAGAGAATGGGGTGAGTCACTTTGCGTGGCTGTTGAATCTAACTCGCTTGTAGTTCGAAGTTCACCTCGTACGATGCTCACTTGCACTTCTGTGAGGAACATTCGCCGTCGTACTGTCTCATTGCGTCCATATGTCTCTCCACAGGTGAGTATGTCAAGTGTCTATCATTTGGAATAGCAGAAGGCTTTGTTGGGTGGAACTGCCACAAATTCCACAAACGCTGTCAAGCGGGGCCAACTCGCAGAGGCGGGAATGGGTAGCCCAAAGGTGGCCAAATCCATGTTTGTCACAGGGGTTGCCTTGTCGTGCAACTTGGCAGACAACCCCATGTATTGCCGTGGTCCTCATGGCCGACAACCAGATCTTGTCAACTGTGCAACTGACAATGCATGAATGAGTGGGATCAGTGGCCTGCACGTGAATGGGACGTTTTGAGCCTCTCCCGCCCAACCAGATGGGCGCTTTGCCGCGGCCAGGGCGAGATTTGGATCAGACTGACGCAATGGTCCAACCCGTCGTTCCCACAATTGCCCCCAGCCACACCCCAAACGCGCCTCCCCACCACATCCCATTTCCATTCATAACCGACGCTACCCCATCCTTCTTCCTCACCATGTCTCTTGCTCCCCGCACCGCCCTCCGCGCAGCTCGTATCGCTACCCCCCTCCGCTCAGCCATGTAAGTAACCTCCCTCCGCGCGCAGGGCCCAGCTTTGCTGGCTCCCCCAACCGCCCGGCAAATACATCGTGCCGACCGCGAACTGTGACTAACCACGCCGTCCTCCCCCATGCCCACCCCCAACCGCCATCTTCAATCTCGGCTCCCTATTCCCCTCTCTCTCCATTACCCATCCATCCAACTCCAGTGCCGTCCGCGCCGCGCACACTTTCGCCGTCCCCACCTCGCCCCGCACCCTCGCCCCCCGTCGTCCCCAGATCCAGTTCAAGATGGGTACGTGACACAGCTGCGGGGTGAACGTGTGAACCATGCTGACATTGTCAACAGCTTCCTCTACCGCTAGCCTCACCACCGCTGCCGAGGTCAAGGCCGGCTCGCCCGTCCCCTCGGTCTCGATCCGTATCGGTGACATGAACTCGACCATTGACTTTGCCGGCCTCAAGGGCAAGAACGTCATCGTCACCGTTCCCGGCGCGTGAGTCACCCAACGCCCCCGCCCCCCAGAGCGGACCTCCACGTCCCTCCCACCTCCCCCTTCTCCACACACACGCATCCACAACAGTGGGATACCTGTTGGCCTGGAAACATTGTGTGTGACGGCATTGGTCGCGTACCTCTTGCTATCGGCAATGTGATCCGCCGGATAAGGACGTTGTGTCGCTTGCCGTGATCGACCGCCGATTCCATTCACTTGCGCCTCCTCCATCCCCGTCCCCAGAAACGCAGCTCACACACCTCAGCTTCACTCCCACCTGCCACTCGCAGGTTCCCGGCTACATTGAGCTCTACGAGCAGTTCAAGGGCAAGGGCGTCAACGAGATTTACATTGTCTCGGTCAACGACCTCTTCGTCGTCAACGCCTGGAAGAAGGACCTCCTCTCGCAGGCTGGTCTCGAGCCCAACGAGTCGGTCAAGTTTGGTGAGTACAGTGGAGGGTTTGCGGGACAGCTGGCCACCGGGTCTGAATGCAGCTGTCGCTGTCGGCCAAGCACATGATCGGGGCCCAGGCCAGTGACCTGGGCTGCGGATGACAAGTCCATCCTGGCAGCGGTTCAGATAGACTGGTTGCACGCCGTCGAATTGCGAGCTGACACCCTCCCAGCCGGTGACGACAAGGGTGAGCTCACCCACGCTCTCGGCATTGTCCTCGACGCCACCGGCGGCCTCGGCAACCTCCGCTCCAAGCGCTCGGTCATTGTCATTGAGGACGGCAAGGTCGTCAGCATCAAGGTCGAGCCCGACTCTGGCAAGTGTGAGTAACGAGACGTGTTTGGTCTGTGAGCAAGCGCTGAGTGTGTAGCCACCGTCACCCAGGCCGACGACCTCATCAAGACTCTTTAAAACAAAAGCGGAAACTCGAGGATTGGTTGAAGAATGAAGAGCTTGTTTTGCTGCTTGCGAGAGCCCTGGGCACTGGCGTAACAGTCTCACTGACTCTTGATCACAACGCCTCATCTCGCTAACGTTGTTGCTGCTAATAGGCGGCTCCACACGCTAAACACACAGGCCTTTGAGAGAGCAGTTTTCGTGCCCAGTCACAAGACTGGCAGCGATCCCGCGACGCAGACCTCGCCTCCTTATGCCAAGAATCTGAGCGGTTCGTTCTTGCGATGCTGAGGTTCTGCTGTCTGGTTCTTGAGACCTGCCTGGCTGTCTGCACACAGTCAGTTGAGAGGAGAGAAACCGAGGCGCAACTGCCGCACGATTCGCAACACATACCATAGAGTTGAACCATGCACACGCTGAGGCGCGATCCGGCCGGCAGACGGCGGATAGGGGTCTCCAGCTCACCCACCTTCGGCAGCTGGCACGTTTGAAGTATCGTTGTGATGTGCCGAGTCAAAGGGAAACGGAGCTCGTCAACAATGGCGCGAAGGATCGGTTACGGTCCTTCCGCCTTCAGTAGCACAACGATTGCCAGTCAACAGACAATAGTGGGGTTCCGTGTACCTGTGTTCTATTGCCAGCAAGTTTCCACTTGCGTGATGCAGCCACCCTCTACACCATCACACCATTTGCCGTGGTGTCGCTCCGCAGTAGCCAGTGTCCAGCCAGACGGTCCGTGCACACGGGCACACGGGCACACGGGTCCAGGTCCAAAATTTCCGCCAGGCCGTCGACGCCGGTCCCCCTCGCATCACCGTCCAAGGTCACGACGTCGTCGCACCTTGCTCTGTTTCACACACACTCTCTCTCTTTCTCTGCAGCACCCTTTCGGCAACAACTTTGCTTGGCACCACCACCAGCGTCTCGCCCCAGTCATTCTTTCGCACCCCTTTTCACGGCCACGTCCGCCGGTTGACACGAGATTACTGTGTCGTGGGCCCCGCATTTCACACAGCCGGCCCTGCCCGTTTTTCGGTATTCGCCACCCACAGCGCACCGTCACCCAGCACGACGGACGGTCCCACAAAGTACACCTTCCCTGTCCACCACTCTGTCCTTGTCGTCTCCCCATCACTCGTCCTAGATATACCCCCCATGAGCACCGCCGACGGGCTCGACACGAGCTGGACGCTCACCCTCCCCACCCTCGACGGCGTCCTGCCAAAGTCACGTCGTGAGTCAAGCTAATCTATGTAGCTAACGAGTATCAAGGCGCGCTATTCCCAAAACGTCTCTCCCTTTCACGCTCCATCTCCAGCCTCTTCGGGAGTGCGACCACTCTCCCCTCTGCTTCACTCCTTGCGGCAGCTACGGCAGCCGCGCAGAGCTCCAGCACACCCACCTCGAGTGAGCTGCGCGCCGCGCTCTGCGACATTGGCACGTTTGCCGCTGGCCTCAAGGTTGCCGTCGCGGCAAGAGAGGAGCGAGCACAGGTCAAGGCCGAGACCAACACGGACCCTGATGTGGCCGCCCACACTGGGCTCATGCTCACAGGCTTCCTCAATGGAGCTGTGGCCTGTTCGCGCTACATCAACGCCGCGCTCGACGAGGACGAGCCGGCTCTCAACGAGAAGGCAGCCCATGCTGCACTCAGGCAGTGCCTGGAGGGAACGTTCATTCTGTTTCCGATCCTGCTCGACGTCTCCGTGACCACCACGACCACTACCTCTTCGGCATCAGCGTCGACGTCGACAACCTCGACCTCGACACCCTCAGTCTCGGCAGTGGAGCACGCTGTTCTGGCCTCCGTCTTCCCACACACACCACGCTCCCTTGCGCCCCTCTTTGAGCGTGCGCGTTCTCTCACAACCGCATTGTCCAAGGCGGCCGCCCGCCCCAAGAGCGGACTCCACCGCGGACAGACGCTCAGCCCATCGCCTGGTCCCGCCATGTCCCCGCTTTCAGCGGCACGCCTGCACGCCGCGCTCATCACATTTGGGGGATGTGTGGCGGTGCTCGACCGACTGCCTCTGCCCTCGACGACTCCGCCAGGCAAGAACAAGAAGGAACGCGCCGCCAACGAGGCGACTGCACGCTCCCGACCCGCGCGTGTCGCTCTCGAAGCTCAGTTGCTCAACTGCGACCTCGCCTTGGGCATGGCTACGGTCACCATCGATGCGGTGAAGCGCCGAGCACTGGATGGCGATGACGCCGACGCCGATCCCGCAGACGACACGGCGTGGGACGAGACCGCCGAAGCCGACCTCGAGGGCTGTCTTGTGACAGCCGTCAACCTCGTTCGTAACCGCCACGTGGGCGTGCTCATCGACGCGACCGTGCGGTATGAGTGGCTGGAGGAAGAGGAAGAAGAGGTCAAAGACGAGAGCATGGGCTCGAACGGCACCGAGACCTCAAACGACGCCAACAATAATGACGACCAGGATGACGACCAACTTGACGACTCTGACGACGACGACATCATGTCCGTTGACTCTGCGTACGACTCGGACGGCGCCCCGACATCGTCCTACCCTTCCCCCCTTCGCACCCTGTTCCGCCTGTACGACCGCTACGAGGAGCAGCGTATCGCAGTCTGGATGTCGCTTTCCGAAGGCAGACCCAAGATGACCCAGTTTGTGCGTGGCACAGACGGCCACGTCGGCGACCGCTGGGACGAGCTCGGCGCGTTGTTGCTCCGCAACCTCACTCCCGAGCAGCTGCTGGAGCATGGCCTGGTACCAGACAGGCTAGACCGCTGGGTGGACCGCGCAGACGAGGAGCGCATGGCGAGGGGAGGAGAGGGCAAGGCGAAGAAGGCCAAGAAGGGGCGTCAGACAATGTCCACTGGACAATAGATTTGTAGACCAGTACAAGTATCATGATGAAACGAGCCTTTACGATCAGCAAATGGAGAGGGAGGCAGGTTTGGTCAGGTACGCGTCATGCCCGCTGTCTCCCTGTCCAAAAGACCCATCTCCCCCAACGCCAAAAGAGATAGCCATCCGATTACTCGGATGTAATCACTCGACAATAACCTGATTCGAACAGATGCTCCCGAAGGAAATTGATTTCTAGTCAATCGCGTTAACCACTCCGCCATATTGCCCGCGATGCTGTCTTCTCCTGATGCAGAGCTACCAATCCATGCAAGAATGGTTGCAATGCATGCATGGTGGGTTGAGTAACGAGGAGTTTTGTCCGGAGGATGGTGTGTCGGAACGAGGTGGATGGAACAGTGGGAGCGGCGGATCCGGGTGATCGGCGACTTTTTTGGATTTTTGGCCGAGTGGGATTTTCGGGCCACCAGCCAGTACCTCTGTGCTGTGCTGATTCTGAACCCCTCATCCATGCGGTGTCTACCCTCACCAGTAGCGGATTCTCCTCCATCAATACGCGCGACCTGTGTATGACCAGAGCTGGGGACGGTTCAACTCTGCGGTGCCATTCTCCGTCGCAGCTGGTAGTGGTTTGTGGCACCTCCCGCCCGTCGGACGCAGCGCTGTTGGCCAGAGGCCAAAGGTGCCCAGATGCCCGTGAAGCAGCTTCCATGGCTTCCATAGTGACCACATTGACAGCCGCGGTACAGCGATGCAGTAGTACAGCGGGGAGACCGCTTGGCCCACCTGGTGCCACAGTGTACAGTGCGTCCTTCACCCACCGCTGCGGACCTGATCGTTGCTGCCTCCAACGACGATCTGTTGGTCGGGGAAGGCTGAGTCAACCCCGGAACACAACAACTTGGTACGAGCTTCCATCTTCACCATTACCCTCCCCAAGCTGCCTCCACTGCACTAAACAAGTCCCTCCATGGACCACCTTGGCAACCCCGGGCGTGTTGCCCGCACCACACGGGCTGGAAGTGGCTCACGTCCCTCGACGCCCAAGGTGCCCTCCATCGACGCGTCTGCCCCAGTGGCCCCTCCCATCCCAACCAGTGCGTTAACTCACGCGTCGCTCTGACTGACTGAAAGAATGCAGCCATACCCATTGTTTGTCCCCTGCCTGGTCCTCTCCAAGATGAGGCGGCGCTCATTGGGCTTATCAACATTGACAGGACGGCCCATAGCGAGGCGCCGATGGTCGATGAGTGTGCCACGTTTTTGAGTGTCGCAGTAGCTATCGCCAACACTTCTAACACAAACCAGCTCTAGTACGTCGTCACCGACGACCTCTTCGCCATCGGTGTCCAAGGATACGGATTTGATCCAACAAACCTCGGCAGCGAGTGGAAGCACCTTACACCAACGCAGCTCAACCCCACCCAAACAGAAGCAAAAGGAAACGGAGTGAAAGTGATGGGCCAGCCGCAACGGACAGAGCAGTCAAGTCATTCTATATCGCTTCTGGGCCTTCCACTCTGCGGCCAACCTCCGAGCACACGTCAAGGTGAGTTGCGCGCCTTAGCATCTGTTCTGACGGAGCCCAGAGGCCACAGAAGCTACGGTGCATGCAGCCGCGGGATGTTCTCCCGGTGCCACTGCACCTGTGTTCGCCGGTATCTGGTATTTCACGCAGAACACCGGTTCGCTGCGTACAACCAGGCCCGGCGAGAGATGGGATGGAAGTCGGCTGTCAACGACAACGGTGCTCGGCTCGACACCGGAACAGCTCAGAAAGCGTCACAGGGCTTCAACGCCCCAACAACAAACCTGTCTTGTCCACGCTGCGGCGGATCAGCAGCGGCGACGTCCGAGAACGGTGAACACCGATGCCACCGTACCCAACCTCGCTTTCAACAGATCCCCAAATCCGAGATGCGCTAGTGCCGTCTCTTATATCCCCACCAGGCCTATGACGCAGCCGTGGAACTCGGACAACTCGATCCTTCTGTCAACCTCGAAAGCGGCGTGGCTGCACTTCGCTGGACGTCGACTGCCGACATTATGGCGCAGATCACGCAGTTTTTTCCCTGCGACGTTTACAACGCACCTGTCAACTACCCAGGCTCTGGCCATGGCAGCTGCGATTAAGGTGCTCGTACATGAAACGACTCCCATGTGGCTACGTGCGTCTCCGCATCTGCCAGCCGGATGGTGGACCTGTAGCCATCCACGATCGCGGCCCCTATCCTGCCCGGATAACACCACGCAGCTCTACAAGGGTCAATCTCTCAAAAGCCTGCTCAAGAACCTTCGTCCAGAGCAGAACGAACATGTCTTCTCCTACCTTGCAAAGACCAAAGACTGCGCCTTTTACACTGTCCGACTCAAGTCGAGAAGCAACTGGGTCCAGAACGTTTAGCTCGTCAACCTGAAACCCAGGATACCGATTGTGAAGCCCACGGCCGCCCCAGGATACAACTGTCGAATCGCTGCCCCAACTCGGACACGTCGTGATTCACGCATGCTGCTTGGCGAAGGAGCCTGGCAAGAATCAAAATGCATACTCCGTCGCGGAAATTGGCGAACGTTAGGAGTGGAGTGCTCCCTGTGGCAGCACCTGCGGTGAGGAAGGCGTCGCAGCAAAGAGTGCGTATGTAAATAACAAGTCCAGAAGAGGAATTCGGATAACGTGAGCCACATGGCGTTACGATGCATGTATGTTGTGTATGCAACAAGGTGTGATGCAAAAAGATTGGGTTGACGTCTCGACCAACACCCGGCATTGCCTTCCGCTCAGGAAGACACCGTCCTCTATCCTGTCCCCCCTCGCACTGTGAGTGAGCGGTTGCGGATAGGGCCTATTTGGTCGGCAACGGTCGAGGTAAGGTGAACAGGAGCAGGTACTGGATGTGGTTTCTATAGGAGTGGACGATATGTCTTCGACTATTTTGGGCATGTGGCAGCATCAAGGGCATGTGGCAGCACATCATTTAACCTACATTCCCCTAGCCTCATGCACCCGCCTACACAGCTTTCCAACCGCAGCAGGTATCGCTTACTGCTTTGATGCATACATAGATGTGCATCTGCAGCTATTTAATATATATTTTGATTAATTCTATGCTTTACAATCGATGGCCCCACCGCTGGCTGTTTCCATCATGGTCTCAAAAAGCGATGGCCTCGCAATGCTGACAAGAAATTCAGCAAGTCAAGAACATCAATAACGGCACCAGGGCAACCTTCCGACGACTAGAGGACCAAACGAACACAGGCTACGCCTTTCCTGAACGTCCCACACATGTCCTCTGAATAGCATAGTGGTATTGCGCCGGACTGTAACCTGTTAACTGTCTACACCTCCCTTCCAACTGGAAGTCAAATCCATCCGTAGGTCCCCTGTTCGAATCAGGGTTCAGAGAGCATGAGCAGCGTTGCGAGAGCGACGAGGAGCTCATCTTTTGCTGCTTTTGATGGACAAGCAGCCCGAGGTCATGTGGGAGTGGTGGACGAAAGGTAGATTGAAAAACTCGGAAGGAATTGAGGTGGACGACGACTACTTCCGAATTTCGGATCGACACCGTGACATGACATCGATTCGCCGCCGCTGTCGCGCTATCCATAGCCTAGTCCGACCCGCCGTGCTCTGCAAGTCGTAAACTCTATGCTTGGCGGTCTCGCCACGGCGCTGAATACTCGATACTCACGTTTATCCAGGACATCAATCAGGAGGCCCTCGCCGTCGCCGAAATCCTCCTCGTACAGGGCGATGGTCTCCGCCACCGTGTCCTTGTCGCGCAGCTGCTGGCCATCCCAGACTAGGTGGATGTCCTGTGGCGCGATGCGGAAGTGCTTGGCATACGTGGTCTAGCAAACAGGTCAGTATCGGGACGCGCACGCATGGTGGACGGGGTGGACGTACTTTGACGGTCAGCCACGTGTCCATGGCGGAGGAATAGACGGGCATGCCCTGCGCGTGGTGCCCGCGAAGCACCAGCTTGACCTTGTTGGCCTTGTGGTCTGGTGGGAGACAAATAAGTAAGTGTCTTGTATCCGCACCGACAGAGAGGTGGCACGTACTTACCTGGTGCACGAGGGAGAGGCTTCGGGACGCGGCGGAGATTGAAAAAGGGTTTAGGGGCCGAGTAGCGCGGTGACCTTGACGGGCGAGTCGGTGGCATGCTATGGGGTACGGTGAAGGAAAGTAAATGAGATGGAGAGCGCGTATAGTGGAATATTGGGGAGGGCATCCAAGCGTATGCGAGTGTTCGTGGGAAGCAGGATGACTTCAGCGGGCGAGCAAGTACACACATGACGGCACCTGTGGCGGGCTGTGCATTTTCGGGCTCTTTTTCCACCATTTTCCTTTTCTTTCAACATGCAGCCCGAGGTGAGCTCAAAATACTTGCTGTGCAGGCACAGGTAACAGAGCTGAAGCTTCTGTGTCTGTAGGGGGACGAGGAGGAAGCGTGAAACCAGCAAACAACATTCGTACGGGTCGTAAACCGCACGCAGAGCCTAGTCCTCGTCCTCTGAATAGCATAGTGGTATTGCGCCGGACTGTAACCTGTTAACTGTCTACCCTCCCTTCCGATTGGAAGAAAGTAAAATCCGTAGGTCCCCTGTTCGAATCAGGGTTCAGAGAGCATGAGCAGCGTCGCGAGAGCGACGAGGAGCTCACTTTTTGGGTCTGTAGGCATGGTGAAGAAGGCAATGTCGAGAGGAGTGGCAGAGGTGGAAGAAGGCGACAACAATTCGCCGACCGGAGTGGATTGTCCCGAGGGAGCTGCCGGAATTCAGGCGTTATCCTGTTACTTTGGCCTTCAAATTGACCATGGGCGAAGTGACGGGGAGCAGGCCTCACGAACAGGGTCGCAAACTGGCGGTGGGAAGCACCGGTGCAGAAAAGGCAGGGCGAATTGTCCGGAGGGAGGCGCCCGAATTCAGCCACTATCCTTTCACTTTGGCGCTTCAAAGAGAAGCATTTCTCGACGTCGGGTGCGACGAATGACAGACAGGCCTCAAGAGCAAACTCACAAATCGGCAGAACGATCAAATAGGAGACCTAGAAGTCATGAACATGTCGTGGGTTTAGCACAGCGGTAGTTGCGAAAGATTGCAATGAGCACCTTTGGGAGCGCAGAACATATCTTTAGGTCCCCGGTTCGATCCCGGGAACTCACTTGCGAGCTTCTGAGAATGTCTAGCGTTCAATAGTGGCTTCGTTTTTGATCTTTTGCACGAGTGGAAGGGGGATGAACTCGTCAAGACGATGGTTGGATGATCTCAGCATCGTGCCAGACTTCCGGGCCATTGTTTTTGGGAGTGGCATCAGTTTTTGGGACCACGCGTGGCTAGTGCCGGGTGGTACTGACGTGGTAGGGATCGCATGTATGTGAGATACCCCGTAAGGGATCGTTTGGGAGATGCTGAGGGCCGGAGACCGGTATCGACTGTGCTGTGAGACGAAACGGGAGAGTGGTATGACCTGGGGGCGGCGTTCGTATATCAATGGTATGTGAACGGTCGATATCTGTTTGTTGCTGGATGAAGATGGCAACACGGGCCAGGGAGCTCATAAAACGCCGACTATCACAGCTTCATGTCTGGGACACTGGAAGGACGTAAAATTGGCGACCGCGACCCACGTTCGTTGGTCTCCGCAGTCGTGCCATACCCTGTTGGCCGAAACCAACGTCCTGCCCATCCAGTTGACTCGCACAGTCTCTCAGTTAAACCTCACCATGTCACTGCTACCTCTGTACGACCTGTCACAAGGGCCTTTACTCAAACATGTCGGCCTTCTTAGTTCAGTGGTTAGAATTTTTCACTAGTACTCGTCGTCTCTCCAAGACGCCTGCTACGATGAAAGGGTCACCCGTTCAATTCGGGTAGAAGGCAAGGCAAGCGAACACCTTCGAGTGTGCGTTCTCTTTTGGCCCCCACTCCGGCGTCCTTGGCCTTGGAGTACTCTCTGTGCGATCTTGTAACAACTGCTGCATACACACATACGTCTCTTACCCCCATTGTCTCTTCGTTTTGGGTCTTTACAGGTGGGTGCCGCCAGCGGCGCGGTACTTGTCCACACCGGCCTTGAGCTGCTCGAGCGTAAGGAAGCTGGACGAGAGTTAGCATAGTCGCACTGGGGTACAGGTTAACTCACATGAGAATGGTGGTGGGCTGCAGACGCGTCCAGGCAGGGAGCCAGCCCTTGAAGAGGAAGCGGGGGCCCTCGTTTGCCAGCGAGGTACGGATAATCTCCATGGTGCCGGCGCTGCCCTTGGCGTTCATGACACGAGACTTGATGACGTCGGCGGGGGAGCACACGGTCGTGGCCACGGTACCCTGGAGGTGTCAGCTAAGAGGCAACCAATGGATTTCTAGCTGTACTCACGGCACCGAGCGAGGCAAAGAAGTGGAGAATGGGGCCGTCAGAGACACCCGAGCCGAGGAGCGCGTTCTTGAACCAGTCGTACGAGCCAAGCTGCGAGGCGTTCATGAGGATGGAACGGATACCATTGGGGACCACACCACGGAACCAGGACTTGGGTCCCTCGTCACGGGTCATCTTGAAGAAGGCCTGGAGCGAGTTGCGGTAGCCGTACTTCTTCTTGTCGGCCTGCATGCGGACCATGATGAGCTCGAAGGGGTTGCCGACGATACCGGCGATACCACCGGCACACGAGCCTGCAAGCGCCATCTTCCAAGCTGGGGGTGGGCCAGGGCCTGTGCAGGTGGTCAGCGATTACGTCCAGGGATTTTCGGTGGAGGGGAATGTCGGGGTTGGTAACCAGAGCCCTGGTTCCTATGGGCTTGAGGGACAGGGAAAGGAGGACAAGCTCAGATGGTGTTATCTTGGCACCGTCATGGCAGCCGTGATATCCATCCACCCATACTGGAGCTCCGGTCGAGCATGTCTGCAACGACCTCGGCGACACCTCTCGGAGACACACATTTGGCCGCCCGTGGGTCTCTCGGGAGAGGCGAGCGGCTCGGGCAAACTTCCGAACACCGGGCCAGGTTCGGTCCGAGAACGTCGGGTAGCGAGCTCCCGGCTCAGAAGCATCGCGGCAGCAGCCAGCAAGATGCACTGATCTACTTGCAGCAGGGAGTGCGGGATGCACGGTCCCAAGAGAAAGGGCTGTGTGCCGCTCTGTGCCTCCACCCTACGGCCCCTCCTTCCCTCCTCCCACCGAAGCGAGCTCGCACATTGTGTACTCACCGACGTGCATAGCCTCCTTGATCTTGTCATAGGCGGCGAAACGGGCCATCGAGTAGGTCATCTGACGCAGAAGGGTACCAGTGAGACCATCGTAGAGACCCTTGACACCTGCGAGTGGTCAGCTATGGCGGCTTGGGGTCACGTACCCTCGGTAGCAATGGTCTTCTTCATGGACGCGATCATACGCTTGTCGCTGGATGTCTGGAGACGGACCTTGGTCAGGTCGAGAGGGTGGGTGACAGACGCGGCGATGGAGGCGGCGACACCTGGGTTGTTTGTGAGCTCACGGGGTCCTGTCTACAGGGAAGGCAGACGTGACTCACCACCCAGCCAGAAGGGGTACGGCTTTGGCTTGGCCGCGGCGACGACGGGCTTCTCCACGGCGGCCACGACAGCTTCCTTGTCGGCGCTCATAGTGTCTCGGTTGGGGGGATGGGAAAGTGGTGTGGTGGAAGAGTGGTGAGTTGGAGGAATGCAAGTTGACAGCAGTGGACTCGACGGGACCGTGTGAACCTGGTGTCGAGGTCAGCAAGATAATCACACTGGTCCAGCTAATCTCCCCCAGGCCCCAGGCAACCGACGGCTGGCCGAGCGGACCGCCGTCCGCTGTGCGTGCAATGTCCCCGCACCTCGGTCGTCGACCCCGCACCCCGCACATGGTGGATGGCCGTCCGCAGTAGACGGGTGAGATGGGTGCACGACGACGGACCAGACGGACGGAATGCCGATGGCCGGCCGCCCGGGCGCGGGGCACCCGTTCAGCCCGCAGTGGGACGGCAATGTTACCGCCGTGATTGCGCTCGAAGGGTGTGTGCAACGTGCGCGGCGGTAGGTGGAGGGATGGAAGGTGTGAGCTGGGGTGTGGATGAACTCACTGGTGGCAAGGATGGAGTTGTGGGCAATGGCGAGAAGACGACCAACGCAATGATGGGCATTGGGTCCCCCCGTTTGCCCACACCGTGAATGCCGATTCGCGTCACCCCGTCGCGCGCGGGGGGAACTGCCCGGCTACCGTCTTCCGCCCAGAGTGCGGGTATGGGACCTTTGTGGTCGCCTGCCCAAGCTCTCACGCGATGCACAGCGACAGAGGAGCCTGCGCGGTCTGCTGTAGGCCCATCATCACGTGCAGGTGTCAGTCTCCTGTTGCCACCATTTCATACTGCGTGCACCGCGCGGCAATGAGCTAAACAGGGCCGGCACAGACGCCACCCAAAGCACCCACTCGCCACTGGCATCGTCTGCCAGCAGTTATCCATTGCCCACTTGGTGTACAAAGCACTGTCATCCACGCAGCAGACGCACGCCCAGTCGGCTATAAACAGCGACCACGACCCACAAAAGCGCTGTGAAAAGCGCACCGTCTGGCTGGCACTGCGTCCCTCTGGGGAAAACACCCCCATCGGAAGTGTCGCAGTCGAGATAGGCGGGAGCAGATGGCGTGCGGATCTGATCAGACGGGTCGTCCCCAACGCTCTCGACAGTGCTTCCATCCCCCCCCCCAACGCCTTCCTCCCTTCTCATTCTTACACATGGGTCTCACACCCTCATCTATACTCTTCACAGACTGCAGAGGTTACGTGGTTACCGTTCGACACGACGACGTGAGACGCATCGCTCGCTGTCACATGTGACGCGGTCGACGCCTGTTCCGCCGCCGCTGACGACCTTGGGCAGGTGTTTCCCTGATCACGATGTCGGGGCCCACCGGGGTATGGCTCAGGGTGTGCCATCTCGTGGCCTCCTGGAGAACCCGAACGTCCACCGGAATGCGGCATGCGGAAACCAACGTCTGCTCACTGGTCGCTGGGATCGCTGGTGGCTGGGTTCACTTGCACTCTGGTACTCTGGGGTCTTGGTTCGCACCAGCAAGTACTGCAGAGCTGGATATTGTACACGGCCAGCACAGTGTGGCAGTTGCACTGGGCCTACTGATCCACTGGCCACTGGTCACTGAACTATAAACCAGGCGGCTGAGGGCAGGGCCAATACGGCGGAAGCAACTGATGTCACCACCCGTTTCATGTCGAGCACAGCACTCGACACGAAACGCACACCAATAAGCGGGACACTTGTACACTCGCACGCTTGTCAACACATATATATACGGTGTGACTCGCCATCTCAAGGCATGATCGATACACAGGAGCACCCACGCATTCTCGACACTGTGCTACTCCTGGCCCCGCGCGACGCGCTGATCGCGTTGCGCGGTACATCCATGGCCGTGCGTGACCACGCTGACACCCTGCTTGGGCGCCACTTGTTTCTCGTCGATGGGCCCGGCAAGGCGGAACCCAAGAATATCCTCACACCACACCTTCGCCACCCTGCCTTCATGCCTCGTGAGGGTGGAGACTGGCTCGCGATACCCACCGCGACCCAGCTCCAGGCAGCTGTCGATCCGTCAAGTCTACCCATACCGCTGAGCAGGATGCCTCCAACGCTTGCGGCCAGGTATACAATGCCCCCCGCGGTGCACGCAGATGTCCTTGCCCAGCGAGAGCGGTGCCTTGGCATTCTTGGTTCGACAAAAATTGTGGACTACATGGCCAGATTCCAGGGCCAGTCATTCACGGTCCTCGACCAGCGCTTCCCACACCTGAACGCATACCGTTGCTTCCCCAACGAGGATGGTGGGTATGGCGGACTTGGACGGACGCGCATCGTTGCGCGGACCTTTGTCGTCTTTCATCACCCGTACAATATCCAGGGCAACGGCTATGGTCATCTCTACTACTCTGGCGCGGTCCACGACCCAACGTACTCGGAAGGAGGTCGGCCAGAGCCACCCGACCAAGCTGTCAAGACAGTCTATCACATCTTTCACAGTGACAAGCCCTACGCCGGGTGTTTCTCTTGGTCCCATCAATACAACGAGGGAAAGAACGTGCGCGACGTTGTCTTCGTCTTCTCCCCCGCGCTGGACACTTGGCCAATTCCAGACGTGGACAGACAAGAGGAGATGATACCCGAGCTCCGTGGCGCGACTCTCCCTTTCCTCGGCGACCGGGCGCGCGACCGGCGAAGAGTGGGTGATCTCATTGCACAGCTCGAGTACGCACTTCGCAATGGCCAGAGGGCTACCGTCGTTGGACTGAAGACTACCCCGCCGGAATACTTGGGCTACAGGAATGGCGAAACGGACATTGTATCGGACATCAAAGCGTGTCTTGCCTACCAACTACTCAAGGCGTACTTGTTGGACATGTGGATGGACACAAGAAGCCCACGACAACAACGTGGGTTGCCAAACCCGCCGGGTACATTGTGGGACATGGTCAAGCACGACATGCTGGGCCTGCGGTTCATCACAAGGGAAGCGTACGCGTCCGAACTGTCCTTCCTCGACCTCCAGAGCGAGGGGACGATGCCTACGGATACGGGTGTGCGATACCTCTTGCCTCTTCCTCAGTCTGCTTGTATTCCACCACCCACGACAATCACCCCATTACCCGCGCGCCGCAGCAGCCGGTTTACCACCCATCTCACGCTCGCCTCGTTCCCCCACATCTTCGACATGATCTTCTCCTTCGCCGATGCCCCTACGCTGGTCGCGCTGCGGTCGACCTGTCGCACCGCCAAGTCAACCATCGACACCTTGTTCCAACACCTCGTTCTTGTTCCCGACCGCGAGAACATTCTCAAGATGCGCATTCACAATCCCCTGGGCCCCGTTCCAGGCTTTGACGCAATCTCCATCCGCCCGGCGCCAAACCCCAGCGACATTGAGAATTACGACGACGAACCACTGTTCTTTGACGGGCCGTACGAACTGTATTTCGGCTGGGGCCTGGACGTTCCGCCTTCTGCCCAGCTTTTGCAGTCGCGCAAACTCCTCCTTTCCCAGTGTCGAGTGTTTGACTTTGCCGATCCGCTCGTCCAGCACATGGGGCCCATGGCGCTCGGTATGGTAAACGTCCAGGTCGTGCGTATGAACGAAGGGTATCTGAACAGCGGCCGATATCCCGTCCCCGGACCGACGTTTGTGGTGTACACGACCCCACGCTCGCCCATTCGTTCCTCGTGGAGTCCCTCTGTCCAGCGGGATATCGATACGCCAGCACTGTGTACCCGCGCCGTCTTCCATGTGTTGCACGCTGTGGATCAGCCCAACTGCGGGTTCCCTACCATGCGTCACCCAGTTGACGACGCTGCGCTGGTGTTCACGCCGTTCCAAGACTCGATGCATCCGCTGGATTACAACGGCCCCACAGAGGTGGACACCACGTTGCCTCCATTCTCGCCGACGCGGCGCCACACACGACTGGTCGAGTTGCTTATCGGAATGGCTGGCGGCAGCATGGGCCAGGCGGTGCTGAAGAACCGTGGCCTTGAGGATGTACGCATTACATGTGTCAACTTGCACACTGTCCCTCCTCAATGGCTGGGTCTCGGCCCGACAACGTCTGTGGCCGACATGTGGTCCTCCATCGTGGCGCCCGTTCGAGCCAGGTTTTCCACAGCCGTCCAGCAGTGTCTCCAACGCGACCCTGCGTTCCCGCTGTGGATGGAGAGGATCGGAGCCACTGCCGAGTCGCTTGTGGAATGCGTCATGGGGAACATGCAGAGTATCACGGGAGAAGAGTATCTCGCTCGAGGGTGTGTGACGGACGAGGCGTGTTGGATCGAGCTCGTACCAGGCAAAAAGCACCGGTTGCTGCCAAGTGCGCAAGGTGTGGCCGCCGGTGAGCCAGGTGTGCCTGTGGCGGCGCCTGCAGCACTTGGACTCCGGTGCCCCCACTGTACGTTCACAAATGCTGCAACCGGTGGAGAAGACTGTAAAATGTGTGGGCTGCCGCTGTCGGTGCTCCCCTCGTCAATGGCCTAAAACATTACAGTACATCTTATCTCGTATCTTGTACCTTGCCTCCTCGAGCCCCTTATGCACTGGCTCTGTGAGGCGTCCCAGCACACACGTTTGATGACTGTGGCCACCGCCGTTGCCCCACGTTCAGGAAAGCCGCCTGTCCTGGCCATCAGACTTCCGCGGCTCGGCCTCACTGCAGCTCCTGTCTGCCCGCGGCGTATTGTACCAGCCGTTTGGCCGATGTTGCCAGTAGCAACCCCGTTCGGTCTGGCCGGAGCCGGCCACACCACTTGACACAGCACACTTGCAGCTGTGCTGAAGCCTTTGACGAGCAATGCCAATAGAGAAGCGGAGCATCGTGACTCCACGAGGAAAAGTGACCGCAGGTCCAGGACGCCGCAGAGCCCCCCGCCACCCGCAAAGACCGCACAGCGCAGCGAATCTCCGCCGCCAGCCCTCCTGGCCGCATGGATGGCCATTAGGGAACGAGACACGGAAACGAACCTGCTCTTGTGCATAAGCTACAGGAAAGCATTGATGGCCATGACGGCTGCTGCCCGGACCCGCTGGCGCTGGTGGCGACGTTGCCTGCAACTCACAAAGTGTGTGGCAACTTGCCTATAGGCCGCTAGAGCCCCACACAACTGTCTATTGGCCATCCATTACCTTATTCCAGCCGTCCTTGCCACCGGTTGCCGCCTGCTGCACACCAGCCGGTTGAGGGGACGCGCACGGTGGCGCAGTCGCGTGGAGTGTCTCGAGACAGAGAACACAGTATCAGGCGCGTTTCTTGTTCGGTAGAGACACAGTGTGTTTCTCGCTCCTGTGGCTGCCCTGCGTGCATGGTCTGCAGCAAAGGTGTCTGCCGAGCAGGCGCCTACACTCGGCACGCTCCCTCTCATATTCGGCCTCCGAGTTCCCGGAGTAAAAACATTAAACGCGGAGCGGCCAAGGCTTTTAGAGGTTGACCATGTCGATCGACAATGATACGAGGCCGGCCGGCCACGAGTCTTCTGGTGGTTGTTCGTCCCAACCGCGTTATGCAGTATGCCAAGTCACGCTTTCATGTACGTATGCATTCAACGTCGTTTTTAGACCACGCATCGTCTTTCTGGGAGGGGGCCGTAGACTGCTCCAGCTCATGTCTCAGCCTCTCGATCTCTCAAAATGGACGGTAACGACCCGTGCTGTTATTCCCTCTGGACATCAACCAAACGGAATATCTACACTTGCGGAGCCACCTGGCACACCTCGTCAACGTCATGAGCATGTCCGATGCCGTACACACGCCGATCATTTCGGTGCTTATTCGGTCTCCACCGATCTCGGTATCTCGGCATCCAACTATCCGAACATCCCGGCAACAAGCCATGACGCCCACCAGACATGACCTGCGCTTCCACGCGCGATCACCATCAACATCACTCCTTCACTGATACCTATCGCCGGAACCTCAGCATGGCCGAAACTCGTCAGCTTGTCAACTGGGCCGTCCGCCTCAAGACCAGCGACCTCCCGCGCGCGACCATTGAAAAGACCAAGCGGCTGTACGCCGACTGGGTCGTCTGCGGCATCGCCGGCGCGCCGTACCGCGTCATCACGGGGCTCACCGTCATGGCCGACGCGGTGGGCGGCAACCCCTCTGGCGCATGCACGACGTTCTCTGGGCCCGGACGGCCGCCGTACTGGGCCGCATACCTGAACGGCGGTGCCGGCCATGTGGTCGAGCAAGACGACTTGCACAATGCCTCGGTGGTGCATCCCGCGACGGTCGTGTTCCCTGCCGCGTGGGCCGTGGCGCAGGCTACCAAGGCCACGGGGGCAGAGTTCATCCTTGCCAGCGTGGTGGGGTACGAGGTCGCCTGCCGGGTCGGTATCTTGCTCGGGAGGGAACACTACAAAGTGTGGCACTCGACCGCGACGGCCGGCACGCTCGGCGCTGCCGCTGCCGCCGCCAAGCTCCTCGGCCTCGACGAGGAGAAGACGCTCGACGCCCTGGGAAGTGCTGGCACGCAAGCTGCGGGCCTGTGGCAGTTCCTCGCCACCGCAGCCGACTCGAAGCAGGTCCACTGTTCGCACGCCGCGGGTACGGGTGTGCAGGCGGCCTACCTCGCGCAAGCGGGCGTAACGGGCGCCCACGACATTCTGACCGGCGACCGAGGCCTGTTTGTCGGTTCGTCCCATGGTACGATGGACCCGAGCGTTCTGGTCCCCACGTCGGGAGTCTTCGAGGTCGACGCTACGAGCTTCAAGTATCACGCGTCTTGCCGTCACACCCATCCGTCCGCGGACGCCCTGCTCGAGTTGATGTCAAAGCACGGCCTCAAGCCGGACGATATCGCCCGCGTAGACTGTGGAGTGCACCAGCCCGCCCTCGATGTCCTCGGCCCTGCGGCGGCCGCAGAGAGCGTGCACCAGAGCAAGTTTTCCATGGGGTTCGTGCTCGGCGTGTTGGCGAACGGCCAGTCGGCGCAGCTGGCCGACTTTTCCGACGCGCGTCTCGGCGACGCGGCGGTACGCAAGTTCCAAGCCAAGGTGCACATGCACCTCGACCCGGGAGTCGACGCCGCGTACCCAAAGGCATGGACTACGCGTATGGTCATTACGGCTGTCGATGGCACAAAGTACGAGACCCACGTCCAGACTCCCAAGGGAGACCCGGGAAACGACCTGACAGACGAGGAGCTGCTCACCAAGTGGGGCAAGCTGGTCGAGTACTCTGGGAACAAGAAGGTGGATGTGGGTGTCCTGGCCAAGGAGTTGTTGGCGCTCGAGGACAGGAAGAGCATGGATAACATTCTCTAAATGCATTGCAATGTTTGGTCTCTTGTTGCTGTGTGTCACTCCAGCATCAACACGGACAGAGTTCACGAGTCCCACAGTCGCAGCCTCAAACCAACAATGGAACACCAACAGCTTGAAACATCGCCCGGAATATTGCTGGCCATGACGTCAATTCTTGCATAAACAGCATCGAGCACTCCGGACCGGAACGGGACACTAGAGGTCGCCGCGACCTGAAGCCGTAACTCGTTTGAATGTCAGCTGCAGGCCAGAGGGACGACGCTGGTCGTTTCGATGCTATTCTCACGCGTCATGACGTCCACAGTTTCACGGTCACAAGTATTTATATATTTATACTGCTAACCCATGACTGCGAAGCATAGCTTCATTGCTCTCACCCCGCTCTCACCCCATCTCCCAACTGATCGCTCGCCCTGCATGAAATCACCGCTCCCAGAATATCTCAAGCACGTCCTAACCCAGTGCAAACAGGACAGCGGCCAGACGGCACAGTACATCCCCGAGCTGGCCTCGGCCAACCCGGACCACCTGGGTGTCGCACTATGCACGATCGACGGCGACATGTACGCTGCAGGCGATACAGAGGTCGAGTTTGCCATCGAGTCCATCTCCAAGGCGTTTGTGTATGCGATCGCTCTAGAGGACAGGGGGTTTGACGGCGTGGCCAAAAAGGTCGGCGTCGAGCCCTCTGGAGACCCCTTCAACCAGCTCTCGCTCGATCCCAAGACGGGCCGTCCAGACAACCCGCTCATCAACGCCGGTGCCATCACCACACATACGCTCGTGAACGGGAAAACACCACAGGACAGGTACGACCGCGTCGCTGACGTCCTGTCGCGCTGCGCAGGCCGCAAGCTGCGTGTCATGGAGGACGTGTACTCGTCCGAAATGAAGACGGCAGACCGTAACCGCGCACTCGCATACATGCTCCACATGACCGGCATCATCGAAGGCGACCCCATGGCTGCGGTCGAGTACTATACCCGCCAGTGCTCGCTCGCTGTGACAGCCAAGGACCTGGCAGTCATGACGGCCACGTTGGCAAACCGCGGCAGGCAACCGGTCACAAAGGAACAGATCTTTTCGCCAGACGTCATGGTCCGCGTCCAGAGCGTCATGCTCACCTGTGGGATGTACGACTATGCCGGTGACTGGGTCACTGCAGTGGGCATCCCCTCCAAGAGCGGCGTGGGCGGTGGCATCATCGGATCGCTACCTGGCCAAGGTCCGTTGTCGAAAGAGACTCGTAAACTGACATTTACCAGTGGGCATTGCGACGTTTTCGCCGCAGCTCGAGGAACACGGAAACTCGTACCGTGGCATCAAGATCTTTGAGCACATGTCCGACAAGATGGGTTTACACCTCCTCAAGGTCGTCCCGCCTTCCCAGTCTGCTGTGCGTCGCGACAAGACAGTCAAGCTACCGTCTCGTCCAGGCCACCCTGCCAACCTCCGTGTCGTCGCGGTGCAGGGTGCTGTAAATTTTGTAGCCGCCGAGCACGTCTCACGACACTTGGTCAGCATTCAACCAAAAGACGACGTCGGAATCGTCCTCGATCTTCGCGCTGTCACGATGATGTACGATGTGGGCAAGATGCTGTTGGCCGACACTGTGGAGGGGCTCATAGCCGACGGACACAAGGTCGCCTTGATCGATCCAGACGGAGTACTACCCAAGGACAAGATGGGCGCTGCTGACCGTCCTGGTACACTCAAGGAACTCTTGCCACAGGGTGCAGTGGCTGGGGAGAACCAGTTGGGAGAGTTTTAGAGAATTGTACGTACAGAAGGAAACTTGCGAGAAGTTGGAGTGAATGCGGCGGTTATGGCGTGGCAGATCGTCCACGTTTAACAACTGTCAACCCACAAGCTCACCTCGTACAGTGATAGCAACCAAGGAGTAGATATATGCAGATTCAGTGCAAGGGCTGAGCTGAAATTATTCAGGACTGCGCGTAAAGTCGCTGAAAAACTGTGCGTAAAGTCGCTGAAAAATCCGCAACCATGTTGAATCACCAACAAATTCCGTCCCTCACGTCACCCCAACACACGGGGATCTCCAACAGAACGTTCCACCACCTCAAGGACATGTCTGGGGATCTTCTTGGTGCTCTCGGAAGCCAACAAACACGCTTGAAAGGGTCTAACCGCGACCTTGTGGGCAACACTTGACTGCTGGAGATTCCAAGTTGGTAAACACACACTGATCCGTCACTGCGAACAGTGTTTTCTGAAAAGCTGTCACGGGTCGGTCAGCGCTCCTTTCTTCCCCTCCAAAACGCAAACCTCTACTCATTGATCAACCCAACGGCATCAATGCCGGTCCCCAGGCATCGCATGGCTCCCCCAGAAGCATGGTAACAGTACCAGGCGCTAACCAAACAAGGGGTTGAGCGTGTCCACCGCCTCCACGTCGTCGCCATCTTCGCGCCTTACGGCTCCGCGCCTCTGACTGTCACCATCCCCATCGCCACCCCCACCCCCAGCCTCAGCTGCACCCCTCGACCCCTGTCTTTTGGTGGGCCCCCATATCACAGAAATGGCACTGTGGCCGTCGATCCGGACCAGTATGCCGAGAGGCTGTGGGCCGAACAGCGGCGGCACACCTTAGAACCGCGCTGGAGGCGGAGGCTAAGTCACAATGGGGGCGAAAGGGTACGACGACAGTAACAGGGAAAGACGGACCGTGTCGCCCAGCTTGGGGCCCCTCTTCCCAACGTTTGCCTCATTCGTGGGGTCGTTCAGTCGTGCAGTAGGGACCCCCATACGAGGGATCGTCCGAGAAGGCGCGGGAGGGCGCTCTCACACTCCCTTTCCTTTCTTCGCCACACATCGGTCGACTGGCTTTATTTTGCATCTGTCATACCTCTGTTGAAGAACGTGCATTACCGTCCCTCAGAGACGTCAATTATTGTGTCCTCGCGAACCTGACTACTCTTGCTGGCCGCTGGCCTCTCGCTGGATCGTTGACCTCCTTGGGCTCCTGGGACCATCCGAAACGAGACTCGTCGTTGCTGCTGATTCACTTACGTAATACAATGGGAAATGACAGGCTTCGCCAAATGATAGACGATGACGACCACGACAACAACAACAACAACAACAACAAAAAACGTCAACCTCACCGATGAGGGCCGACACACGTCCCCAGACTATGCTGCTGCACCACCGGGAGGAGTGCGTCAACTGGCGCCTCGTCCGTGATGATCACCGCGACCCAGAGCTGCACCTGTCGCCCCGCCACGGCGCCCACACCGCAAAGGTGCGACGGCCCGCCATCAAACCTTGGGCTTCAACGCTGGTCACTGGCTGGGTGATCCAAAAGATGGATTACACCATGGAGCGCGAGATGCACGACCGCCTCGAGAAGTTTCTTGCGCTGTCCCTTGGGGGGTGCCCGACAACCGTCTTGCCGCCGACCCGCGCCCAGCTTGAAGACGAGCCCGAGGGCTCTTTCCTTCGATCTGCCCCAGCCCGTCACTCACGAGGAGAGAACGATAGCGCACTGTCGGTCATGCAGTTTGAGAGCACATACCAGGCGCTCATCACCGACATGCTTCCCATGTTTCCCGCCATTTCATCTACCCACGCCGGCATAGACACTCACTTCGATGCCGTTCTTTCCTTCAGCCTCGACGACGACGCCGATGCCATTTCGTGGGTTCGACCAGACCTCATCGCCGAGCTGCACCTCGGTGCGCCGCACGAGACACGTCCCCTTCGCCGGCTGTCTGTTGTCGAACTCAAGTCGCTCACGACCGCGCCTGATAGCGCCTTCGATGCATTGGACCAGCTCGGGACGCGCAAGTTTTACATTGCGCCCGCTGCGACACCCAACACGGTCACAGTCACGGTCACAACAACGGCCCAATACCCGACGAGACTCCGTCCACGTCCACCGCGCTCGTCACCGCCGTCTGGCCCGCAGTACGTTGCGGCCACCAACATTGCTGACGTTGCCGGCTATTGTCTGAAAGCCGGCGTGGCAACGGGTCTGTGGTCATCAGTCGCTCGTCACGTCCCCATTTTTGTCGACAGGGCCACGCACACCATTTACTTTGGCTCTTCTTACGGACACCGGCTCCGCGGTGCAGAGGTTGACCGCGAGTGCAGGGAACGCAGCCAGCAGAGCCAGCGTCAACACGGCAACCAGAGCGAGAGCAGCGAGCACAGCGCGCGCGAGCGCAGCAAGCAGGGCGAGCAGACCGACCCGGGTGACACTGACACCCACACCGATGTGTGCGAGGTCACCGTCAAACCGGACCCTTCTTTCCTCTTCATTCGTACTACGCTCGACCTGTGGGCCATGGAGGCACTGGAAGCAGAAATGGGCGAGAGCATGGTAGAGGTGAAAGTGGGTGAGGCGAGCGACGATGAGGGCAGCGCAGGCCTTGGGCCGGACGAGATGGACTGGGACATGTCGTTTGCCGACATGTATGCTGCGCGCTCAGGAAAACGCGTTCGCACTGTATAATTCATGATACATATATGCCCTACTATACAACTCTGCGGAACGGGTGCGGTCTGTCACTTGTCCATGTCCAGCGACAAGGGTGGGCGCTCGCTTTGCACGCTGTCGCAGCGGCTGTCCTCGAGCATGAGGTCAGCAGTCGATGCTGGGCGACTCGGTGGTGGGGTCGCAGGCGAGGACGCCTGCGAGCAGCGGCGGGTCGCATGCCGTGGCGAGCTGTCTTGGCTCTTATCGGACGAGAGGGCCGGGACCACGTCGTCGTCTAGGACCCACACACCAGTGTCGGGTTGGTACACGAACGACGCCGTGTCGGTGGAACCGGAGGCTGCAAGGAGCGCGGCGTGGCGGACGAGCGGGTCGTATGCGCCGAGAACGGTGGCAAGCGTGTCGTGAGTGAACGGTGAGGGCTTGCGGGGGCCGTTGTCAATGAAGGGCACAGCACAGACGTCCATGGCTGTGCGACAGAAATCGAGCACGGCGCGCTCGGGGGGTACGCGCGCGAGCTGCCCGGCGTCGCGGAGCGCGCGCCCGGCACTCAGGTATGCGACAGCCATGAGTCCGTTCGTCTGGTCCTGCCACTCGCTGGGCGTTGGCCGCGGCCGGGTCGCCCACTGCGCCTGATTCCTGCTGATCAGCCACACTGTTGTAGACACTAGACGGCGACGACGACGCCACTGTTGTAGACGACAAAACTTTGGGTGCAACTCACAGCTCGTACGTTTTGTCGAACACGGCGAGTCGAAATGTCAGATCATCGAGTGTGTCCCAATCGTGTTGCGCGGCGGAACGGGCCCACTCTGCGCTTGCGTCGCGGGCCGCCCACAGGAGACGTGAATGTGGGCGGCTGCTAGGTTCGGCGTAGAAGCTCAGACGATCATAGTGGTTACGGGGAAAGATTGCCGCGAGTGAGAGGTCCGGCTGGAAGGCTGTCGAGGACATTCTGTCAAAAGAGGATGAGAGTGCTGTGATGGTGCAATGGTGCAATGGTGTGTTGAATCACTTCATGGGTGGCGAGTCGGCAGGTGGGGCGGGGGGTTGATACTGAAAAAAATGATGTGTATATGTTGAACTTGAGTTAGGTCAGCCGGCGTTTGATAATGGACCCCCCACAACCTGGCGATGACCCACCAAATCTGAATGATCTGAAACCGGGAGCGTGGGGGTCATGTCACGGCTGGCAGGCCGCTGGAGCAGCGCCTGCTCTGGTGGTAGCATGTTTCCCAGCTCTAGACTGCAGCGCTTGCAATATACAGGTGGGCCATGTGCGGTAGACATAGCTACGGCCGTGAGTGCTTATGTGGCATCGGACACAGTTCTTCCCGGCTTTGCGTCTGGGACGAGTGCTCGGCCAGCAAAACCAGCCAGAAGCGATACTAGACAGACACCGAGGACCCATTGTTTGCAGCCACGGTGACCGAATTGTCCGCGACGTTTACCCACATGCAAGCCGTTCCTTCGTCTCTGCGCCCTTGCTACTGAGGTGTTATGCCGGTGCTCAGGTGGGATTCGGATACAACACGAACGACACCAGGCAGCACCTAACGAGGAATGCTTCTTGGGCCCCATGAGCCCCAGCCAGACACTGCTGAATAGCTGTCAAGAGGTAACTGGACCAAGTCATCTTCGCAAGAACATTTAATTCCGCCTCCGAATGGAGGCTTGTCGCAACAATGGCCACTTTCTTGCTCCCCAGACCAAACCAACCGGCCGCAGCCTCTCTCCATGCATCCCAGCGACAGAAAAATGACGTTTGACGGGGTCGAACCGCCGACCTTGTGCGTAACTCTTCACCGGACAGTTGCTGCTGTGCGTAGGGATCCAAGTGTTAAGCACACGCTCTAACCAACTGAGCTAAATCGCCTTGGACGTTGGTGTGCGCTTTGTACCACTGCGAGTGTTCCGGGTATGACCTGTCTAGAAGCAGCAGTGGTAGGTCACAGACGTGGGCTCGTCTTCCTTTAGGTAAGGCGACGTCGGTCACTGGTGAATGCTGTGGAGTGGCACTTTCGATTTCCGAGATTAAATTGAATTTTCCATCTCATCTTCCAACATCAACTTCACTGCGCAATATTTCTTCACTCGGGGCACAAACAGAAAGCTCTTGGTCCTATTCTGGGGCGTTCTAGAGGCCAAAAATGACGTTTGACGGGGTCGAACCGCCGACCTTGTGCGCAACGCTTCAACCAACCTGCTCCGTGACGAAAGGAGTGGGGTTGCTAGTGTTAAGCACACGCTCTAACCAACTGAGCTAAATCGCCTTCGATGACGGTGTTCGTGTAAAGAGGAGACTCGTAGCACTCTCCAGACGCTGCAAGCGGATGCGTAGTAGGTTGGAAAGGTCGATAGAGGATAGAGTAACGAGAACAAGTCTGCATAGCACGCATATGGACAGCACTAGTCTAATAGACGCTTGACTCAATAGAAACGTTCAAATAGTCCCTTTCCTAATGTTAACAGTTCGTTGCATGCCAATGTCAGTCTCCAGAGTTGAGAGATAGAACTGGAAGCGCTTACAAGGCACGAGAGACACCTTCTTGGGGCGATGTGGCACGTCTACTTTTCCCCGATTAAAATTAGATTATTAGAGTCTTCAATTCCCCGTAACACCTACAGCTCCAAACAGCCGTTTCACCACCACAACGTCTACGGCCATTCTCCTGGGCATCTTCTGGCCTACTAAGGCCTGTTCCAGAGACCAAAAAATGACGTTTGACGGGGTCGAACCGCCGACCTTGTGCGCAACTCTTCGACCACTACCTGCTCCAGGAGACAGAGAGGTGGGTTGCAAGTGTTAAGCACACGCTCTAACCAACTGAGCTAAATCGCCTTGGACGACCAGTTCACCGCATGCGATCATGAGTGTTCAGAGCCGCTCCTCGTTTCTGGACGTATTGGGAACGTTGTGAGAGAGTATCATACCTTCTTGGAGGATGGGGTGCATTTTCGACTTCTTGCGATTAAATGGGATTTTCCCGCTCGTGTCTTGCAACAACAACCTCTAAAAACAAACATTTCGCACCACAATATCAACGCCAGTGTCCCCCACCTTCCTCTGGCTTCCTCTGGGATGTTCTGGACGCCAAAAATGACGTTTGACGGGGTCGAACCGCCGACCTTGTGCGCAACGCTTCAACCGCCTTCTTCGAGAGGAGGAGGGGTTGCTAGTGTTAAGCACACGCTCTAACCAACTGAGCTAAATCGCCTGGACGTTTCTGTCGGCTCTGTTGTGATCGTGTCTCGTGGCTGCTGCTCGAGGGAGAGGGAGGTTCTGTCATGGTATGTGCTGACCGGTACGCGGCGATACTCCGTGCAATGTCGCGTAGTCGCGCAAGCGGAGATGATCAACTGTCTGCTGCGCCAGGTACGCAGGACTCTGCAGCAACACATCGTCACGACAGCAAGGCAAGCAAGAAATCTCATACGCCATCCGTCTACTGTACATATATTTCCAAGAAAAATCCTTCTACTAGAGTCCGTGGGTATATTACACCCTTGCTCACATGGGCCTGGGGCCGACAGCCCTCACGGGCGGCAAGCGCACGCTGTTACCCGCGTACCCGGTCGACCCAAAATCGGATCCGGAGCCGACCTCGCTCATCGTCTCGCTCATGCCTTCGCTCTGTGCGTCCTGTCCGTCGGTGAGGTATGCGTGGTCGACCGTGGCGGTTTCGGAGCGGATAAAGTGGTTGGGCGCCGGGCTAGGTGCCTTGCGCGGAGTGTGGGCTGGCGAGGCCGTGTAGGAGGGTGTGTTGAGCTTGGTGGGTGAGGGGAGTGGGGAGGGTGCGCGGCCGAGTGCACGCGGGCCGCGCGGGGTCATCAGTGATGGGCTGCGCGCGTCGCCAGAGAGGGCGCGCTCAATCTCGGTTGCGGTGGTGGAAACGCTGGTTGTGGAGAGGTTTCGCAGGAGGCGCGACTGCTTGTCGGGGCTGGCGGAGCGGACACTGCCCACATCGCCAATCGCCTCCCACCCGCTAGCGAGGGTGTGGTGCGCGTGTGAGATGGTACTCGTCGGCGAGCCGGGCCCGTGGGCAAATGCTGAACCACTAAGGGCCTCAGGTGCGAGGCCGAGCTTCTGAGGGTACGTCGGGTACGTCGAGTGAGGCGGGGTACGCAGGTCGTCGAGGGTGCGTTCCGAGTACTCTGAGCGCTCGTCGCCGGAGGCGTCCGTCGTCCGACGACGAAAAGTTGCTAAACCTATCGCCCGACGAACGGGACGAGACGCTAAACTTGGCAGAACGAGGCGAAGAACCATCCTCCCGGCTGTACAGCGAGGCAGGGCGGGGCGCGAGGGCCGCAGTGTAGCTCTTGCGCTTGGAGGAGGGCTGGGCGGTGGATCCAGTAGAGACGGGGGACAGGGGCCGGCTGCCGGTGCCGGTGCCGTTCACGGGGGACGGGGCAGACAAACCGACACTGTGGCCGACGGTAAAGCGGCCGTAAGGCATCTTCACGAGTCTCGATCTGCGCGACGCGCGCCTTGACGGCGGGCAAGACTGCACTCTCCTGCGTGCTGGACATGTTGGTGCTCATGGATGTGTGCGACGCGAACGACTCGTCCGACACCACACGCTCACGAGGGATGACGGGGCGGAAGCGGTCGGGAACGTCCAGCGAAGCACGCTGGGGAAGGCCGCTGGGCGAGTTGGGGAGGGGCCTCTCGTACACTGCGGGCTTGCGCGAGTTGGTAGGCGACTCGATCAGACCTTCCGAAGAGCCACTGTCCGAATGCGAAGGTTGCAGAGGCGGGAGGCGCTCGTGAGAGCTTCCGCTGTGCGCAGTGTGATAGCTGCCGTTTGACGACGAGGCCGGGCCGGTAGTCAGGCGGTTGGGCGGGGCAAGCTCCTCGTCCGACGACTCGGCGGCCTTGGACATGAGGTCAAAGGTCTCGTTGTCGCGAGTAAGAGGGCGCTCAGCAGCGAGAGCGGCGAGGTTGCGGCTCTCGCGGCCGTGCTTGAGCATGGCAGGTGACGAGGGGCGCTTGAGTGGGGAGGCCGAGCGAGACTTGGAGGGGGACTTTACAGGCGAAGGGGTACGCCTGACGGGCGACGGCATGCGGAGGCTGCGCGGCTCAAATGGCGAGCGCGGCGTCTGTGGCTCGTCGTCAAAGACGGGCATCATCGACCTGCCGCTGACAGTGCGACCGGTGAGGTCACCACCCCAGGGAATGTTGCGCACCGACGCGAGCGAGGGGAGCATGGGGGGATTCAAGTCCGTGGGCCAGGCCGGGAGCGAGTTGGAGTGCGAGTGGCGGGGCTTGGTGCGCTTCGTGGGCGAGCTGGAGCGGCCGAGGGTCGAGTTGGAATCGCCGTCATAGCCGTCGTCGTGGTGGTCGTGCAGGCTCAGACCGTGGAGGGACATCTGGTCCAAATCGATGGGCTCGGTGTAGTCGACGCTCTTGGGCCTCTCGGGGCTGCGGCGGGGAGGGGGGCGGAGGCCAGTGTGGCAAGCAATCGAGAGGCGGTCCTCAAGGCTACGGCGGCCGGGAGTGTCCTGTGGGGTCTTGGGACCGTCGCTGCCCTGGTAGTGGGGCTCATCGTACAGATCATCCTCGTCGCCGTCACCTTGCATTTCAAAGTGACCACCCTCGTGGCCATTCGAGATGATGTCGTCGAGGGTCTCATCCTCAAAAGGTTCCTCCTCCTCGGAAATGTGGGAGAGGTACGCCTCGCGGGGGTGAACCTGTGGCAGCATCGGCAGCTGGAAGTTCTCGGGCGAGAGCTGAGGCGAGCCCTGCGGGGTACGATCCGTCTCGGTGGCCGCATCGTCGTCGTCCATGTCGTCGTCTTCGTGCGTGGTCTCGCTGTTGGGTCCGCTGCGGCCGATCTCAAACGACCTCTTTTCGACTGGCGCCTCGTTGGGGACATACGACTTGCGGTCCTCCATGGTGAGCATCGAGTCGTGGCTGACCATGCTCAACTTGTCGTCATCGCCCTCATCGCGGATAACCTCCAGCATGTTGGCGCGGCCCTCACGGCGCTGCGCCTCATCAACGCAGAGCTGGCAGCCCGACTCATCGTGACCGTGGTCATGCTGGTGCTCCAGCTCGTGGCGGCTCCGAAGAGTTCCCTTGCCGTGTTCAGTCGAGTATGCCGATGCGGGCGACGACGGAGCACGCGGGTTGAGTTCCTCCATCGTGTCCTGCGGGTCGGGCTGGGCAGCGCGCGCACGGCCTTGCTCCATGAGAGTGTCAATGTTGAGTGTGGTCGAGCTAGTACGAGCGCGAGCCATGTTGTCCTCGTCGCCGCGGAGCTGCTGGGAAGTGTATCCTTGCGCGACAGTGTTTCGTGGGCTAATGTCGCGCGACTGATTGCCGAGGGTGGGCGACTCATCACGCATAGCCACGCCGGCCATGGCGACAGCACGGTAGCGAGGGTCGACGGGGCCTCCCATCTGAACGGGCTGCATAGGGGGAGGCGCAGGGGCCCGCTGGAGGAGACGGGCGCGGCGACGGATGTCGCTGGGCATCGGAGGAGGGTCGATAGACAGGAAGTTAATAAGATTGAGGGGAATATCGACGTAGATCGTGTTGTTGAGGGTCACACGGAGCGTGTAGGTGACCTCTACGAAGCGCGAGCGAGGAATAGATATCATACCACCCTGAATGTCAGCTGTGTGCCAGAGGTTCCGATGCAACTCACAGGAATAGGAACACTCATGTCCCAACGGTTCGCCTCGTTGGGCTCGAGGCCTGTCCACCAGCTCTTGCCGGTAATGTGACCCGAGCCAATCTCCATAAAGTCGGCCTCGATCATCTCCTCGGACACCTTTTTGCGCTCCACCTCGATCGGGACGTGCGGGTTCCGGCCCTTGCCCGGGAGGCCGTACGTGTTGACAGTTTGGAGAATCGCGAGGGCACATTTGTTGATCTTCTTCTTGCTCTCGTTGCGGACCGTCACTTCACACCAGGCACGTTGGCCGGCGACCCAAGTACGACGGCCTAGCGCGACCTGCATGGTCACCTTGCCCTTCTCGCCGCCAATGGACCATCCCAGACCGCTCTGGTGGTGCGCGACAATGGGCGCAGGCGACGGGATGAGCACCGCGCTGGGGCTAAAGTACGGCAGGATGACGACCGGGCGGTTAAAAGTGCGCAATGGCGCGCTTGCCAGTCTTGGGAATGTGGAGCTTGACACTGCCGACAACAACGTAGCGAATGTTGGGGCCCTTGGCGGTGGGCGAGGTGTACGAGCCCTTGGCACCACCACCGATGGGGAGGGGGCAGGCAAAGGGAACGGCGTGGGTGCCCTCCCTGGCCAGACAGAAGCCCTCCTCATCGGGAGCATCAGCAAAGAGGCTCATACTGGGACCGACGTTACGCGACTCTTGGAAAGCGGGCAATGGGTACTGGTGCTGGTAGAAGATGTGGCGGGAGTTGGACGCGTTGCCAGGCAACTCTTCAAATCCAAGCACACGAATCTTGCCCGCGCCAACGCGGAGGTCCTTGTTCTTCTTGCCGCCACGAACGACAATCTCGAGACGACCGCGGAGCTCGCCGCCTTCAACCACACACTCGCGCTCAATGACGACATCGAGCTCGACGCGGGCCCGCGACTTCTTGCTGGCCTCGAGACGGACCTTGTCCTTGCTCTTCTTGTCGCCTTCAGGGGCGGGAAGCAGACGGCTGCCGGACAGACGACGTGAACGGGGCTTGCCGAGCATGAGGTCGAGTTCCATGGCTGCACGCGCCTCCGAGCTGGCCGGGTGGAGGAGGGTGCCCTGACGAGCAAGAGCGGCGAGACCTTCGCCGTCAGAGTAGCTGCGCTTGTGGCGAGTGCCGCCGCTAGCACCGGACGCAAGGGATGAGGAGGCGCTGAGCTGCTGAGGAAAGTCAAAGCCCGAGTTGTTGTTGTGGTTGCGCACGAGTTCGGCTGCGTTGTGAGAGAATCCAGAGCTGCCAGTGTGCGAGTACGAAGAACCGCCAAAGCCCGAGCTGGAGTGTTGCTCAGAGCTGCTGGGTGTAGACTGCATCGACATGCGGTTGGTCACATTGGCACCGTTGGGGAACTCGTGCGATCCGGGGGCAACGTTCACAGGTGAGCGAACGTTAGGGGCGGGGCCCATTATCCCATTGTTAGCAGTGGAGAAGAGGTCGCCGTGGAGCTGAACCATGCCACCCGTCTCGGCAGCGAGGAGGGCCTCATTCTGCGAGTGCTTGCGCATGAGGATCATTTCCGACTTGGGACGCTGCTTCCTGCTCGGTGCAGCCTGGGCGGCATGCGGCCTGCTGCGGGTAGGCGAGCCACGGTGTTGGGCACCCGAGTCACTGGACGATGAGTAGCCTGGCTGAACGAGCGGCCCTTGGTCCTCGTTGGCCGAGTGGAACGTGTCCGACGAGCTGCTGGGCGGGGAACCGGGGACGTTGCTGCCCGAGCGCACACTGCCTCTGGTCTGGTTGCTACTGGCAGGCGAACCGTCGGGGAGTCCGGACGCAGCGCCAACAGATGAGCGAGGGCTGTTGCGGTAGTTGGTGGGGAGTCGGAGACGCTCATCCGGGTCGTCATCCTCGTCGTCCGAGAACTCTTGGTACGTGCTACGCTGGCTGTTGGTCTGAGAACACGAGAGGCGCTTGAGCATCTCCGTGCTCTTACTCTGGCGAACCTGGCGAGAATGACTCGAACTGCCGCTCTCCTTCGAGGTTGGACGAGAGGGAGTGGTCCTCTTTGGGCTGTTCTCATACTCCTCGAACGCGGGCTCTGCGTATTGACGCATTTGGCCATATGCCGCACTGTTATCGGCCCGAGGCTTCAAAGGCGAGCTCGTAGCTGGAGCAAAAGGTGGTGGCGCGGGAGGGGGCAGGGAGTAACCACGAGTCGAGTGGGTAGGACGAAGAGCAAACTGGGGCTGAGCGACGGGGCTGGCAGCACTGTTGCTGGGCTGGTGGATCTGAAGCCTGGTTGGGGTTGTGGGTGCGCGTGACGGAGCCGACGACCGCACTGGGGAACGCTGGGGGGAGCCGGTGCCAGTGTTTGTCCACTGCTGCTGGCGTTGAGGCGACGATGCAGGAGACGAGTTGTAAGGCTGCTGAGCCATTGGCGATCCGTTGGAGATGCCCAGGCCGTGAAGGCGGTCGGATTGATAAGACATGGCCGCGCAAACAACGTCGCGGCCTAGTTTGGGTGGGGGTGATTGGGATGTAAACAAGGGGCGATGTAAACAAGCGACGAGAGGACCACGGGGGGGCGTGGATGCCGGTGTGTTATGCACAAGTAGTCACAAGAGACAAGGTAGATGTGGGGAGATGTGGGGGGGACGGGGAGGAGGAGGTTGTGACCACCTGTTGTTGGGATGGATGTGTTTAGTTTGTGTTGATTGTGGAGAGAAAGAGATGGAAAGAGGTGCGAGGACCGTTTGGCTGCCCAGTGTCGGCAGCCCGTGGAATGCCTGGCGCCTGGCTACGCTCCTCCTCCCTCTCCTCTCATTTGGTTGGCTGGCTGGCTGGAATTACATGGCGCGCGTTCGGCTCATTGAGCGACGGGAGCCATGGGGGGCATTAGTGGTGTCCCTGGTTGCCTTGTTCTCAGGCCCACGACGCATGTGCAGAGGTGCGCGGGCGCGGTTGCAGGCAAAGCTGCCTGCTGCCTGCGTCATATGCTGGTCATTAGAGCGCCAGGGTTGGCAGAGCAGCTTTGAGCCTTGCTAGCATAGGGTGAGAGCCCATATTGGCATTCAGTGCAAGGGCCCAGCTGGCAGAAGGCGGGTCCATGTTTACATCCCACGGGCTCTCAGGTGACACCAAAAAAGCCAGTCGCGCCCGCGCGTGGCGCGCAGCCAAAGAAAAAAAAAAGGCACACGCGTCCAACGGCCAAGCGGGAACCGGAAACGTGTTTACGTAAACCAAAAGAGTATTATTTCATTTTGCTTCCGTACCTCCACCTTGCCTGTCACGTGATCTCTGACGATTTCTGCGTGTAGCAGCCCAGAACACAATAATTGCGACCTCCACAGACAGTGACTGCTCTAGCCACATCTTCGTCACAACACCCCCATCGACGATCGCTCCCATGGCCTCCAAACGCAAGCGCGGAGATGACGTGGCCACGGCCGATGTCGTCCACCGCCCTACCCCGGGAACCAAGTCGTTCCCTACGGGTAAAGCCGTGCGCGACGGACTTGCAACTGGCACAAGGCAAGGTGAGCTCGTCAGTAGACATGTCCAGGAGCTGACCTGCAGCCCTCGTGTCGTTTCACCAACAGATCGTGACACCATTCTCGTCACTCCCTCTCGCAATTACGCATCCTACGGTGCTCATCCTCCAGCACTACCTGGATACATCCCCCACCGCCGATGAAATCTTCAATGCTTGGAAGCTGGCCGACGAAGTGAGCTCCTCTTCACGCAAAGCATCGAGCTGACCCCCAGACCAAGAACGAGAAGCTCGCGGAGACCTCAGCCCTTCTCCTCTCAATGGTCATCCGCGTTCTCACTCCCCTTCCCTTCTTCCACGCCCAGCTCGTTGGCATCGTGAACAAGCTCCTCAACTCGACCGAGCCGTACGCCGACCTCATGGGCCGCCTGCTCCAGTCAAGCAAGCGCGAGCATATCCTCGCTGGTCTGGCTGTCGCCTCGGCTGCTGTCCACATTGACGAGCCTGACGCGACCAACCTGCTCGGCGGCACTGCGCGTGGTCGTCTTGCTGGCAAGGTCTGGAGCTCGATTGTCGAGGGTGGCAGCGTCAAGGGCTTTGGCCGCATGCTCGGTATGCGCCGTCGTAACAAGGAGGGCACAGTTGAGTATGGCGACAAGGACCCCCTTGACCGTCCCGACATCCGTCACCTCGCTATCGACCTCATCCTGCCCCTCCTTCCCACCACTGCCTTTCACGTCCACGCCAAGGCGATCCTCTCCCACCTCTACAGCGGCCTCCAGGCTGACCCTGCCACCACTGTCTACCGTGTCCTTACAGCCATGTGGGCGGCCATCTCGGGCCCTCCTCCCGGTGTGGCTCGTCGTATTGCCCTTGTCCTCCTGGACGAGAGTGCCATTGACAACATCGCCAAGGTCATGGACCGCAACGTCGAGGAGCCGACCACTGGCCGTTCCGTCGGCGAGATTGCCGAGGGCTTCCTCGAGGGCGTTACTGCCACCCACGGCCGCGGTATCTGCTTCGAGGACGAGGGTTGGTACCCCCGCGAAGAAGAAGAGTCACAGGACCCCCGCAAGAAGAAGGGTCTGCACAACCGTATCCTCTCCAACGTCGTCAAGCGCCTCGGCGCTCGTGTTGTCGATGGTGAGGGCCGCGTTGGCGCCTGGGTGTTGAAGATGTTCGAGGCGTGCCCCGAGCTTGTCGCTGGCTACTGGGCCCACTCTGCTCTGTCTCTGGATCCTCGCCTTGACGCGCGCTGGATCGCCACCATGGCGTATGTCGGCCGTGTCGTCTCGCTCCCTATTCCAGACCGCAAGACCTTCAACCAGCCCGCTCCCCGTGGTGTCGACGCCGCGTCAATGCTCCCTCGTGCTATCCCTCCTGCGGTTGCCACTGTTGTCGAGTCAGTGCTCCCGTCACCTCTGACCAAGCACCACCTTTCCAAGGGTCTCCAGCATAACAACGCCCTCGTCCAGCACGTTACTGCCCTGGCTCTCGCCCGCGGTCTCCAAAAGCTCGCGGCCGTCCAGGCCCTGTTCGCCGCTATTGGAACCGAGGTCGACGAGGGTGCCGATGGTGCGTGGGCGGCTCGCGCTCGCGAGCTCGAGATTGAGTGTCGCCGCCGCGTGCCCGAGGTTCCTGTCATTATTGCCTTTGCCCAAAAGGCAGCGCAGCTCGCCCGCCCCACCGACGAAGATGACGAGGTCGAGCCTGCTCTAGCCGCCCGTGGTGCCATGCTCACTGAGGCTGCCCTCCGCCTCTTTGGCCTGTATCACAAGACTCTTCCCTCGCTCGCCGGTGAGGCTCGTTTCGACATCGGCAAGCTCCTCGTTTCGGCTTCGTCCGCGAACGCTGAGCGCCGCGCGCGCCGTGAGGCTCGTGAGGGTTCCGTCGTCTCGGACTCTGGCTCGGTGGGATCGGTCGGTACCCTGGGTACCGTCGGTATGGGTGGTGGTTTCGGTCACTCGCGTGGTGACGTCGAGGGCTTTGAGGCCCTTTCGCAGCTGCACGTTCTCCGCCTCCTCTCCGAGGTCCGCGACTGGACGTGGACAAACAAGGCCGCTGGCTCGCAGTTCACGTACCTGTACCACATTCTGCAGCTGCACCTCAGCACGCGTAACGTGGTCACCCACGTCATGACTACAACCCTCCTTCACCGTCTCCTTGGTCCCAGCCTGCTGTTTGAGCACGACGCCCTCGAGCTCCCCATTTGGCTTGAGGCCTTCCCCTGTGTCTCGGACACGGTCAACGGACCCATGTTTATTGCTCAGCAGATCCACCTCCTCTCGTTTGTTGACGAGTGCACCCGTCGTACCCTCAAGACCCCGCACCGTTACATTGAGGATGCCGCTACTGTTGTGCCGACCTTGTCCGCCCAGGCTGTCGCTTCCCCCTTGCTCCTCACCATGGTCGAGCAGCTCCACGCCAAACTCCTCGGCATGCACATTGCCACCGATGCCGCCGCCTCGGTCCTCAACTACCTCCGCCGTGTGCTCGTCAGTCTCCTTGGCAAGCAGGCCACTGCCGACTTTGTGCGCGAGATCATCACCCGTCTCCGTGCGACAATTAAGGCCGCCCACGAGGCCGGCCAGCCTCGTCACGGTCTGATGGAGATTGTCTCTCTCATGGACTCTGACCTTGCTGTCGTGTTTGAGGCTGGCAAGTTGGCCACTGTCGACCCCGAGACGCCCAAGCTTGTTGACGAGGCCGATTGGATCCAGCGCAGCTTTATCCGCCAGGCCCTTGAATCGTTCTCCACTGGAACTCTCGCACCTACCCTCGTCATGCTCATGAACACGGCTACCACGGACGAGGGTGCCCGTCAGGCTCAGTTCCTCGTCCACTTGCTCGCCGCCTCGAGGCCCAAGGACGACGTCCTCCGTCTCCTTGCTCTCGCTGTTGGCAAGGCTACCGATGACACCCAGAGCCGTCGTCTCAAGACCGCCGTCTTCAACAACTCGGCCGTGCGCGACCTCTTCCTCACCTCTGCGGGCGACGACGTCCGCGAGCAGCTCACTGCCCTCGCTGCCACTCTCAAGGAGGCGACGTTTGACCGCGCCCTTGCCGAACACTACGCGCACACTGCTGTGGAGACCCTGGAGAACAAGAAGACGCCCGATGCGCTGGCGTTTGCTGCTGTCGCTCCCTGGATCCGTTTCCTTACCCCGGCCCAGGTTGACGCTTCGTTGAGCCGCACCCTCAAACGCGCCAAAAAGTCGTCGTCGACGCCTTCAGACGTCCTGGGCGCTCTTGTTCTTGCCGCCCGTGCCGAGAGTGTCTACCCCCACCTCTCGGCCCTCCTTGCGCGCGGCTGCTACCGCCCCGTCTCCACTCGCCTCCAGGCCGCTGTGGCCACCTCGCTGTCCCGCCGTCTCAACGTCGAGCTCACTGCCTCCATTGTGTCTGACCTCATCAAGGCCGACGATGATGCGCACGTCCTCCTCGCTCTCCTTGTCTCGCTTTCATCTGATGCCGCCAAGGTGTTTGCCGCCGAGCTCGAGAAGAACCCCGAGTGGCTCGATGACGCCCGCGTTCTCCCCTCCCTTGTCGCTTCGCAGAGCCCCGTCTCGGCTGTGGCCACCAAGGCTGCTGCTGCTGCCCTCTCCAACGTGGTCCTCAGCGACGAGATCCACACTGCGGCCGCCCAGCTGCTCGTCTCCGGCCAAGCCGACGACGTTAACGCGGCCCTCGGTGCCATCCCTCTCGCATCGTTCAACCTCCCGCTCGCCCGTGCCGCATCCTCTCTCGCGGCCAGCGGAAACGCCGACGTCGGATGGGCCGTCACGTCCCTCCTCAACCTCGGTCTGCAGTGGAGCACCCGCGTCTTTAGCTCGGACACCCCGCTGGCCGGCGACGAGCTTGCCACCCTTGCCGCGCTCAGCGCTGCCATCAAGGACGGCGAGAGCATCCGTGTCGAGCCCAACACCGCGTTTGCCGAGCCTGCCATCACGGCCGCTGTCACTGACCGATTGGACGTTGCCGAGGCCCTCGAGTTTGCCGCCATCCTCGTGCAAAAGTCGATGATGAAGGCCGGTTTCGTGCGTGCTCAGCTCCAGCAGCTTGTGGCGTCCAAGCAGATCACCAAGCTTGCCCTCCCGTCTGCCGAGCCCGAGCACCGTCTTGCCTTTATCCGCCTGACACACGCCCTCTTCCTCGCGTCGACCTACGTTTCGTGCCAGCCCAATTTTGTCGAGCCCCTCGTGCCGCTGTACCGCGGTACCCTGTCCCTCGCGGACCGCCTGCTCCTCCAGCTCTTCCAGGCCTTCGAAACCCAACGCAAGGTCTCCATGACGTCCGTCCTCAAGCACTGGTCTCCCGGAGGTGGCGTCAGCTCGCGCGCTCTGGACGCCGTCACGTCCTTTGACGCCCAGCGCGTCTTTGGTACTTGCTGCGCGTTCCCCCTGCGCCGCTCGTTTGTCGCCGGTCCCGGCGACGCTGACGAGACCGAGGATGTGTACGACCCCGTCTTTGTCCTTGGCCTCACTGCCGCCGCCCTCCAGGAGGAACTCTCGGGTCTTGACTTTGTCGAGATTCTCCGTTCCAACGTCCTCGGCCTCGCCGTCTGCGCGCTCAGCAGCAGGGACAAGGGTATGCGTGCCGTCGCTGGATACGTTCTCTCGGCGGCACTGAACAAGATGGCCACTGTGGGATTCCACGAGAAGCTCCAGCTGGTGCACACGCTCGAGTTGCTCGCCCACGCCATCCCGGCTCCCCAGAAGGAGGCCGCGCCTACGGGTGCCGACGCGTTCAACGTCGACCTGACGCCCAAGCAGCCCCGCGTCCCCACCCTCATTGCCCTGTTCATTGCCCACGCACTCCGCGCACTCGCCCACCCCGCGCACTTCCTTTACCCCATTTCCAGCCGCTTCCTTCTCCAGCGCCCGACGCTCGACTCGGGAGACGTGCCCGCTCTCTACGGCATGCTCTACGCCGCCGGCGACGGCTCGCGTCGCGAACGTACCTGGATGGTCCGCCTGCTGCGCGACGGCGTGAAGAGCGACGCCGACTACCGTATCCTTGCCCGCCGCAACACATTCGCCCTCCTCGCCTCCCTCTTCCAGTCGAGCCAAGACGCCGTGTTCCGCCGCAACGTCCTGGGCGCCGTGACGTCCATCGCCCGCGTCCCCGCCGGCGGCAGGGCCCTGCTGCGCAACTCGCTTGTGGCGTGGATCGCCGCCCAGTGGGACGCGGCGCTCACGCGCCCGCAGACCGAGGAGGTGCGCGACCTCCTCTTGACTGTTCTCGAAGACGCGCTCGCAAGCGTGGGCGCCGACGAGGCCCAGCGGTGGGCCAAGGACGCGGCGCGCTTCGTCGCCGCCACGAGCGCTACGGCCGACGCGGCCCGTCTCGAGGTGTTGGCGCGCATCGCCCTCCGCCTCGCCCCAGCTACTGTCGCATCCCTCCCAGCGCTCGTCGCCAGGCTGGGCGCGCTTGGTGCCAGCAGCGAGGGCGCGCAGACCGCCGAGCTGCTCTTCCGCGCATCGCTGTATATCCCGGACGGCCCCGTGTCCCCGGACATGGCCGTGGCTGTTAATGCGCTGGCCGCACGAGTGGCCGCCATGGACGGCGGCGTGGGTGCTTGGGCACGCGCCGAGGCCCGCCGCGTCTAATTGGGAGGAAGGGAGTTTCTACAATTTTTTACAATCCATGCACTAGATCGCACTAGACCGAGAGAGACACGTGAGATGAGTGCTGAAACCAACATGTGTCACCCGTCACTCTGTTAACTGTTCCTTGCAGCGAGCGACTCCCAGCGTGTATCATCTAACTGGCTGCAACGGTCGTCAGTGCCAAGAGACACCAAGACATTCTTAACCCCTCATCGCAGCCGACATGAGCGATACACACGAGCGAGACGACGTTCTCAGCAAACCTCGCGCGAAGATCACTCGAATCTCCAACAGGCACGCACCGCCGCCCAAAATCTCGCAAAATGTGCCTTGCTTGGTGCCGGATCACGTCGGCTCCGCTTTACCACTAACTGTCCTTGCACGTTCTGCGCCGACCCGTCCACTTGGCCACTTGCTACGGGACTGTGTGGGGGGGGGGAGTGGAGTGTGTCGGAGGCGACAGGACGCGAGTTCGGCTGCCTCGCACATCTCGGGCCTGTTTGCCGCCACGTTTGGTGGTGTATGCGGACTGGTGACGAGTCTGCGGGGCGTGCCCCAGGTGTCGGGCGGCGGCGAGTCCAAGACCTGTGGAGGGATTTCTCACAATTCTCACATCGGTGACGGCGTTGCTGTGCGGAGGTGACATACTAGTGTATGTGCTGCATTCTTGGCGGCCTTCCCGGAGGGTATGGTCTGATGGTTTAAGAGGATACAGATGTTGGCGATAGGGTTTGAATCAACACCTCGTCCCGCCTCAATAACACCACACGCATACTTGACCTGCACCACTTGGACACCTTCCTGTATACAGCCTGCAGCACACTCGAGCACAATGTCCCAAATGCGCACCGTCCCCGCCGTGCGCGTCACGCCACCCCCAGCGTCTCCCATCGACGCGGGGCCACCACCACCGTACCCGGACGAATGTGCGTAGCTTGTGGCTGCCATCTCTTGATGCTAGCCGTGTTGTACTGTACTGACGCACGCAGTCCCTCTTCCACTCTCCGAGGTCAAGGAGCCGAAATCGTCCATGAGCACCACGCCGAGCACCACGCCGAGCATCACGCCGAGCATCACGCCGCCATACTCGCCCTTCATTTTGCCGTCCAAACCCACCACAAGCTGGTACAGGTGCTGCCGATCGCGCCCGCTCGCTACCCGTTCTGGTTCTGGTCCTAGTACCAACGACGGACCGTCAAACGCGGCGGTGGTCGGGTCGTGCACGATTACGGGCCGTCCCCACGATATCGAGCGTCGATCCACAGGGCAACAGGTGGCCATTATCGTTCTCTTGCCCTGGACCTTGTTCCTGCTGTACAAGAGGCGAACGTGCAAAGCATGTGGGGAAAAGGTCAGAGTTGGCTGCTGTCCTTTTGAGAGTTGAGAGCCGCATGTACTGTATCTGATCTGATCTGTAGTCATTTGTATGGAAGTGGAGATGTTTTAGTGATAGAGAATTGTCACCGTCGCACGGAGATGATTTGCCACTCCCTCATTCGGCTCTATGCAGGCTAGAGTTATCCTCTCGCCACGACAAAGCATTCCACTTGGACGCAAAAGACATCGGTAGGCACGCACCGCTCTCCTTGTCAGATGCCCGCGTTCACCGACGTCGTCCCATGGATGTTGCCGTAGAATGTGAGGGATAATTCACTCTTTGGAGTGGAGCGGCCGACGGCCATTGTGGGTGATGTCAACTTACCATGCGCGTTATTGTCTGCGCAGACTGCAGCGTATCAATACTTAAGGCTTGGATTTATATCACGATACGCCACTGGTATCCTTTCAGATATCGTCGCCACTTGAATTACCGCAATGGACGCCTCCAGCACTGTGACCATCACCACGACTGGTGGCACCGCTCCGCCACCGTACTCGGACGACTGTGAGTAAAGTTATCAGACCCTTTCTGCTGTTTCCTCTCGCTAACATTCCAGTCCCCCTTCCTCTCACTGAAATCAAAGAGAGGAAGACCACTCCAGCTTCTCCACCTTGCTCTCTCGCCACGAGTACCACCTCGACCCCTTTCGATGGCATCGCGCATGATAACAAACGCCTTCCTCTGGTCATCGGCGACGACTCGTGTGCCAACACCCGCCACGTGTTCCCCCCTCGTCCAATGTGGCTGAAGATCTACCGCCTCGCGTGCCCGTATCATCTTCTCTTCGGATCCAATACGAGGCTCTGTACCAAGTGCGGCCAGGAAGTCAAGGTTGGGTGTTGCGGCTGAGACTCGGTTGGAGGTTGTACGCACACGATGGATAGCTCCTTGGGGGCCGGAAAGAGAGATATAATGGATAAGAGGAAAAAGAAGTCGCTGGCTGTATAGCTGTGCCCGTGGTACACGATTCCTTATGTATTCTGGTTCGTATCTGTGTTGTCTTATCACCACAGGGCCGTGCAGCGGAAGGTGAACAGCAAATGAACCGCCACTACACCGCGGCACTCCACTTACGACACGTGCCCCAATAAGCGAGATGCAGAGATGGTTTCCGCATCACTGCCTCAGCGCTCCTGCCAGAACCCAACAATGTATTTAGAACCTGACATTCCAGTTCTGTGAGACAAGACTGTTGTACTGGTGGCTTCTCGTCTCGCAATGTCGACCACTGTGGACAGAAGAAATTGCACCGACATTTACGGGGCATTCCTCGCTCGAGTCAGGCACGCACCGCCGTTCCTTGTGGATCCTGTGTTCTCCATGTTCTGGCCCACAGTCGAACGTCGAGCAGTTCTGTGACGGTGCATTCAGAGTCTTCCATCGTCCAGTGCTTGATGCGAATTGGCAGCCTGGGGTAGAACATGGATAACGACGCCATGACACCGGACCGGTCGATCGCAGTTAATCTTCCCGGCACCACCGGGCTGAGCCAGCGGGAGAGGACATAGGGGTGGATCTCGTCCACCACACCCAGGCAGTGAGCTGTGCAACGCGAGGCGATGGCGTCCGAGATCGTTGAACCGTGTACCAGTACCAGTCGCAGAGGGTGGTTTATGCAGGACATAAAAGTGAGACTGTGAGGTCCGATACACCTTCACGTCTCGCACCTCTCTCTCTCTCGACGTACTGCACTGTACCAGCTCTGCCGGTAACAACGACGATGATCCGCTCCAACTCCAGCCCCGCGGTTCTGACATATTCCGACGACGAAGACTGTGAGTACCTGCGTGCTCCGACCTCGACACACACCACCGTGGTGCCCACTCATATACTGATGCGCACATCCAGTGTTGTCACTCTGGGACGCCCTCTCGCTGTCGTCTGCCCCAGCGACGCTCCAGAGCTTCTCGTCGTCGGCGCTGCTGTCATCGCCATCACGGGCTTCGAGCATCTCCTCGTGCTCCTCTGGCAGCAGCTTCGAGGCCGCGGAACGACGGAGCCCACCCATCTTGCGCGTCATCATCCCATTCAGCCCGAGCCTCCCAGCAATGGTCCCCACGGTCTTCCCCGCGGTCAGTCCTCAAGTCAGCCGCAGGGACTCGTGTCATGTTACCGGCCACATGTTCCGTCCGCGCAAGAGGTCGTACAAGGTCGTGCATACCGTGTTCTATCCCCTCTTTTTGGCCTTTGGACCCAAGACCAGGACCTGCGAGAGCTGTGGTGACGACGTGAGGATTTCGCGCTGAGCGCGGGGTCCGAGGTGGCATATGTAGATGGAACATTGGTGTCCAGAGCAAAGTTCCCCGGGGTGTCGTCGACTGGGCAGAAAGTAAATGGGTATCTACGGTACAAAAGGTGGAAAGGTCATACGTGGGTTCCTACAATGGTTCATAGGTGTAATGTTTGGTTGTACAGGGCCGTCTTATAGAAAGGCTCCGTGGATGATTATCATGGGATGTCTACAACTGTGGGATCTGCCGCCACCAAGGCGCGTCGCAACTGTCATCATCATCGTCGTCGTCGTCGCTGTCACTGCCGTCGCCATCTGGGTCCTCCCACACCATGCACCACAGGCTCACCCCACCATGGGACCCATACGATCGAGTGGTGAACCCGAGCTGTTCGTAGAATGTCACCTGGAGTTGTCAGCTTCGTGTCGACGCTTCTGAAGCTCACCACTTCGGCCCTCTCTACGCCAACGGCCAAGCGCGACCGTGAACACCGTGCACGCGCTTGGGCATGGGAAACAAGCGCACGCCCCACCCCGTGCCCCTGGTGCACTGGGTCCACAGCCAGGAGCATCAGCGTCGGCGTGTGCCGCTGGGTTTCCGCAAACGCGTGGAACGTGGAAACGAGGGACGCCTCCTTGTCGTCCATGTCGGCGTACCTGTCCAAGGCCAAGGACGCGTCCGTGGGGCTCACGGGCGACAACGTGAGGGACGAGGCCGTGCTCTGCGGACTTGACACGGTCGATGGGTGAGCCGGAAACGCCCTCGTTCCCGTACTCGTGTTTATCAACCTGTCAGGACTGGTTCGTGTGCGCGGAGACACGTACGGGGACTTTCCACATTGCTACACCCACAATCTCCCACTCCCGCGCCGTGCCCGGCATCGTCCTGCGGGACTTCTCCGCGACCCACACCTCCGTGTCCCCCTCGGCGTCGGGACCCGCCTGCGAGTGGGAATACAGGCTCGCTCGGCGTCGGGCGACGTCGAGCAGGTCGCGGGGCTGGGGATAGGTCGTGGTAGTGGTCACGGCGGCGTTGCCACCGCCTGCAGTGGTGCTGATATCGTGCGTTCTTCTCCTCGGGTCCACGGTCTGAAACGCCGAGACGATCACTTGTACGAGGCGCCGGTGCTCGGCGTCTGTCGCTGCGAGGTGTCAGCTGCGATACGTTGTACATGAGCTTACCAGCAGGGTCTGTGAGCTGTCGGATGGTGATCATGTCGTCAAAGTCGGTCGAGTCCATGGTGGTGAAGAAGGATGTGGGCACCTGCGAAGGTATTTATCTCCAGAGGAACGCAGAGTGATGGGTCGTGTGACCCGTGACGAGGTGAGTCGTGTGCAGTATAGGGGTGAGTGAGTGAGTGAGTGGATGGGTAGGGGATCGATACAATGGACGGCACGATTGTGCAGTTTGAGTGGGTGGTCCGATCCCATCACCTTCCCTCCTCTGGCTTCTCTTCTGCGCTTCGTGCTTCCCTCCCACATTCTGCGCGTTTCATCAGTCATCACCAAACAGCAATCTCCTGATGGCAGTGCACCAAGATTCCGCTCCCCCTTCCATCCATAAGTGTCAGTCAGACGAAGCGACAATGCATTTCGATACTCCCACAGCTCCCACGCCTGGATATCGTCCTCGTCCTCGTCCTCCTCCTCTCACACACCCAGTTTCAGCTTACTGGCCCTCGTCCACCTGCTCCTGGACAGTCCAGTTGTACGGCTGGAACTTTGTGCCCAGCGCACGCGCACGCTCGGGGTTCATGCTGTAGTCGATGCGCTTGGGCCGCATCCACTTGCGCGGCTCGAGGCCGAGGACGTTGCCGATGATTTCGGCGGCAAAATACCTGAGACGTCCGTGTCAGTAAACAGCAAACAGCCCGTCGGTGTGGGGATGGGAGCACACATGCACACATGTCATGGGTTATGGTTCTCTCTCCAGAACCCAAGAGATGTGCAGGCCCACTCAAACCCGGTACTCACGGAGGGAACTTGCCGCCACCGGCGTCACCTTCGTCCATGCCGCCCAGCTCGTCGTCGCCAGCACGGCCCGCGGCGTCGTCCACGCCCTCAATGACGTGTCCGTATCCCTTCTCGCCCTTGTAGTCCCACTGGACCATGAAGTATGGCATGTTGGCGACGAGCATGCGGCGGAATCCACCGGGACGGGTGGAAAAGTCGATGAGCTTCTTGTGCTGGCTCCAGTCCGACTCGGAGGCCATGATGGATTCGCGGAAGAAGGCCGGGGCGTCGGCAAACACGTTGGCCGGGAGCGGGACGCATTCGATGAACGTGTGTCGCTGCTGGCGGAACGAGAGGATGGTCTCGTAGAAGAGCACACCCTTGTTCTCGGCCGCAAACATGCGCATTAGGCACTTCATAAAGTTCTGACTCGTTAGCTCTGGCTTCGTGTAAGCGGCCTTGACAGCTCACCCTAATCTCTTCCCAGTCCTCGTCGTCCAGTTCGAGTGTGCTCAGGCAGTGCTGGATGGGCACGATGAGGCAGTGGCCTGGAACAAGCTCCTCGGTGAGCGTGCAGCTGAGGTATGCGCGCTTGCCGAGGGCAACGATGGCAGTGAGGGGATTGCGGTCGTCTTGCCAGCACAAGGGGCACGTGTCCAGCGCCTTCTTTGTGCGCTTGTAATCTATTAGAGTCAGTTAGTGCGCAATCCGCTTAGCTGGCCGGGTGACGGCAGCGTGCCCTTCACCCGGCCACATCCAACTCACCGTTGATAGCAAACGCGCGCTTCATGGCATCCGTCTTCATGCGCTTGCGCGCGAGCTTGTCGGCATTGTCGTCCATGTAGTCAAGGTTGTCGTCGAACCGCGCGTCGCGGGTGATCTGGGACGCGAGCTCGGCATCGAGGTTCTTGGTGTCCGAGGCACCACCTCCAAAGCGCTCTTGCCGCACGAGGTCGCCGAGTGTGACATCGTCGTCGTCGGCATTGTACCGCAGGAGGTTGCCTTGCTTGTCACGAGTCTCAAACTGTATTGTCAGCTATCGCACCGTTCCATAGGCCATCAAGCTCACCTTGGGCTCCTTTTTGCGGCGCTTGCCGCCCTGCACAGATTGCACGTCCTCGTCGCCCTTGCCGACATCGTACAGCCGGCCTTGGCCATCGAGGGTGGGGAGCACCTCGACCTGCACCTGGTTCCCGTCCTCGTCTTCACGGACAAGGGTGCCGGCCGCGACAGGTCCCGCACCACCGGCATCGTCGTACTGCGCGCGCTCGCGCTCATACTGCTCCTCGAGGGCCTCGGCCTCGGGGTCGTCCGTAAGCTTGGCACGGAGGACCTTGGCCTGGAGCCTGTTGAGCTGCTCGATCGACATGACGGGCTTCCCACCCAGCGAAGCGACGCGAGGAGGCTCGCCAGAGGTGCCCCGCGTGAGAGACTGCGGGGTGAACACGCTCGGAATGGGAGTAGCGCCTTGACCGGGCGTAGCGCGCGCGCCGCTCTCCTGTCGGCGCAAAGCGTCCACACGGGCAGTAGGCGTATGCGTGCCCTTGTCGTTTTCTTCGCCTGGGCGCCTGAATCCTTGACGCGAAGCTGGGCGCGACTCGTCCGAGTTGTTGAACACGAAGCGGCGGCCAGACGCCTCGGGCGTGCGCATCCCGGGACTGGCACTGTCGCTGCCGCCTCGGCCGCCACGGGCGTCACCGCGCGGACGACGACGGGCGTCACGGTCATCGAGGAAACGGCGTTCCTCGAGTGCGTCGTTGTATTCGTCCAACGAGCCGTAGCGCTCCAGCGCGACTTCCTCAACACCACGCCCTTGCTCCTCGGCCTGCTCGTACAGGCGACGGAGCTTCATCATGCGCCATTGGTAGCCGGGGCCGCCCAGCTGGGTCTTCTTCTCTGGGACAAGTCAGCAACAGCAACGAAAGCGGGAGCGGTGGGGGCGAGGGGATTGGGTGACAGAAATGGAATGGCGTAACCCAGACCGGATCCAACCCACCATCTGTCTTGTATTCGTCCACAGACTTGCCCTCGAGCAGCTGGGTGTTGAGCTCATACTTTGAGTGAACGACCTGGGGACAGAGGTCAGCGAGGGATGTTTAAACGCATGCACGCAGCACGCACCTTTGCGGGATCGGGCTTCTTCTCATTCGGGTCCTTGCGCTTGCGCTCTGTGCCAAAGCTCGAGAACAGGTCGCCGCCGCCGTCGCCGCTGCCGCCGGCGCCTCCAGCGCCACCCAGACCGTCGTCGGGGCCGACCATCCACGAGTCGCGCTGGGGCATGTCCTCTGTCGCGCGGGCCGGCGGCTCGTTGACGCTGCTAGACGCCACAGCCGTCGACTTGAGTGGGAGTGAGTCGGCGGTCGGGATGGAGCCAACGGCACTCTGCAACGTATCCGTCAGTTGTTGCTCTCCAAGAAGCGATCAACTCACCACCGCATCAACGTCCTTCTCCACCCACATGCTCCCGGCCTCGTCGTCGTCGACGACCTCGACCCCGTCCCTGCGCTTCTCCTTGCGCTCCCGCCTCCGCTGGTCGCGCTCCTTATCGCGGCGGTCCTCCTTCTCCCTGCGCTGGCGCTTGCGCTCGCGGCGCTCGTCCTCGGTCTCGTCGCGGCGGCGGTCCTCGCGCCTCTCCTCCTTTCTACGGCGGTGGTCCGTGTCGCAATCCCGGTCCTTGTCCTTGTCCTTGTCCTTGTCCTCGTCGTCCGAGTACCGCGACCGGTACTTTCTGTCGCGGTCGTCGCGCTCGCGTTCACGGCGTTTACGTTCGCGGCGCTCGTCCTCGGTCTCGTCCTTGTCCCGATGACGGTGTTCGCGGTGTTCGCGGCGGTCGCGGTCGTCGTAGCGCCGTTCACTGCGGTGCTCGCGGTCGCCGTCACGGTCACGCTCGCGGTGGTCGATATCTCCGCCCATAGTCTTTGTGTGTGGTGTTACAAGGAGATAAAATGGTTTTGCTTGTAGGAGACACAACGAAGGAGCAAGCAACTGTGGTCAGCTGGCTCGTGAATGAAAGGCGCCGAAATGACGTTTTGAGCCCTCAAAACATGTGTTACGTAAGCGTCGAGGCACACGATATTTTCTGTAACGACCCGGCGTCATAGCCATTGCCGCTATCTGGCCAGATAGCGTCCTAAACGTGCAACAATGAGAGACCAGTTATAGTTGTGACGAAATGCATGTCCATCCCCTATCTATACATATGACAGAGGACCCTCCCCCAACAGAATTATCGGGGCAGGCAGGCTGCAGAGGTATCCTATGAGAAGCCTCGCACGAGTGACGGGGCAGCGGTGACATTGGTGTAAAAGGGGGGGTTGGTACTGGCGGGTTGGGGGTGGGGTGGGGTGGTGGGGTGGTAGTGGGGGGATTGGTGAGGCGGGTGGGTGGTGGATATGTGGTGGTTGACGGCGAGGGGCTGGTTGCAGTTGCCCTCGGTGCTAGTGGCCGGATCGTTATATGTCGACGTAGAGGCAAAAGTGTACTGGAGAGAGATTGAACGAGGCTGGCGATGCGGCGGAGTCTAGTGGCGGCGCACAGTGCGCGCGCCGCCTATGCGGGACCGGAACAGACAAGACAGGGAGGGAGAGAAAAGAAGAAAAAAGAAAAGAAGAGGAGCAAAAGTAAAGCAGGTCGGCGGGGGGTGTCGCAAATTACTGGCCAAAGTTGAAGCCGCCCTGGGGAGCAGCGACGTCGGACTGGAAGGCGTACTGGCCGGACGCGTCGACGGCGGGGGCGGCACCCTCGGTCTCCTCCTCCTCCTCGTCGGGGAAGAACTTGTCCATGATGTAGAAGCACTTCTTGTAAATCTCGAGGTTGTCGTGGTGCTGGAGGTTGTGGATGGTGACCATGCCGCCGGCCTCCTCGATGTACTGGGCGTACTGGTTGACGGCACCGGGGCCGGCAGCCTGCTTGTCCATCTCACCGACCTTGAGGATGTTGTCAAGACCGTCAAGGGCGACCTGGATGATCTTGTTGTCCATCGACTGGAGGAGGTCACACATGGGCTTGATGCAGCCCTGCGAGACGAGGTAGCGGATCTGGTTGGGCTCCGAGAGACCGCCCGAGGTGGCGTTGGAGATGGCCCAGCAGGCCTCCTTCTTGGTCTTGAAGTCGGCGTTCTGGAGAATGTTGATGAGGGGAGGGATGATGTTGGCATCGATGATAGCCTGGATCTGGTGGGGCGAGCCAGCAGTAATGTTGGAGATGGTCCAGCAGGCCTCCTTGCGGATGCCGTCCTTGGGCGACGAGAGGAGGCTCAGGAGAGCAGGGAGGGCACCCGACGAGATGATGACCTGGGTCTGGAGGTCGTCGCCGGTGACAATGTTGCCGACCGAGCGGAGAGCGGGGGTCTGGACAGCAGTCGAGGGGTGCATGAGGAGGTCGACAAGGCGACGGCAGACACCCGACTCGATAACAGCCTGGATCTTGTCGTTGGTGCCGTCCGAGAGGTACGAGATGGCCCAGCACGCGTCGATAAGCACCTCGTCGTCGAGCGAGTAGATGAGCTTCGAGAGGACGGGGAGAGCGGGCGAGATGAGGTCCCAGTTGGGCTGGGGCGACTTGCCACGGCAGAAGTTGGACAGAGTCCAGGTAGCGTTGCGGAGCATCGAGAGCTTGTGGTTCTCGTTGAGGAGCTGGAGAAGGGGCTGGAGAGCACCCTGCGAAAGAACGTGGTCACGGCACTTGGGCGAGTCACCGGCAATGTTACCGAGAGCCCAGACGGCCTGCTCGCGGACGTCAAGGACGGGCGACGAGAGGAGGAGAATGAAGAGGGGGACGGCACCGGCGGCGATGACGACCTGGGTGTGCTCAGAGGTACCCGAGGCAATGTTGGTAAGAGCCCAAGCGGCCTCGAACTGAACATTTAGCGCTTGCGTCGTGTCGTGGCGTAACCTACCTGAAGCTGAGTGTTGGACGAGTTGAGGAACTCGACGAAGCGGGGGACAACACCGCACTCGATCACGCGGTCAATGGGAGGGTTCTTCTCCTTGGAGAGGAGCTTGCGGAACTTGGTGGTAGCGTCAAGCTGAACCTCGCCGTCGGTGGACCAGACAGCCTGGAGCATGGCTGGCAGGGTGTCGCCGAGAGCGGCGTCACCGAGCTCCTCGACGTCGTCGTCCGAGTCGACATCGTCCGACACGGGCTGGAAGTTGCGACGCTTGGCAATCGACTCCTCACGCTACGAAGCAAACATCAGTACACTGCTCTCTCTCCTGGATTGATTTTTTGATTTCTTTTTCGTGACCGCCCCCCCTTTCCGCACCATCATCCCATTGCCATGGTGGCGCGGGACCATGGCGTTTTTGAGCTGAGCAGCATTTGGAAAGGGTGGACATGGATGTGTGGTGACCGGCGCTGTGGTGCTACAACTTTTTTATGCGTGCGTGACGTCCTCGACGAGACGACGAGGCAAAGCAATGCGAGACGTGACGGGGACGCCATCGCCAGCGCCGCAGCCAGGGACTTTGTGTCCAGTCCGGCCAGTCATACCAGGCATGCGCACAGGCGCTTGGCCACCACGCTGCCTTTGAGGGGCGACGGGAGGGTGGGGGCGGGGGCGGTCAACAAACTAGCTCACCTTTTGCCTACGGATCTCGACCTGGGCCTCCTCACGCCTGCGGCGGAGCTGTTGAATGTCAGTGGCAAGTCACGAGTGATGGGTGGCGACGGCACACGGCGGTGGGACGGGTGCCCGGGAGGTTTGTGGGATTTGGGTGGGAGGGGGGGTGGGGGAAGGAATGTGTAGTGTGAGGACTGGGTCAACGTACCTCCTGGGTGGAGAACTGGGTGCGGCCCTTGAAGTTTGTGCGGCGGTGGTCGAGGTTACGGGTCTCCATTGTGTGTATCAGGAGTGCTCTTTTGGGGAGGTGTGGGTGATGAGGGAGGGGAGAGAGATGGAGAAGAAGGACTGGACGATGGATGGGAGAGGTTGTTGTCGTTGGGCGGGCAGGGACACGCCAGGACGGGCCACCAGAGGGCGAATGCGACGAGACGACACTGGTGGCGGCGGAAGAAAATACGGAAGTAAATTTGGCGCGTGTGTGCGGGCGGCAGCTTTTGGTGGTGACGCGCATCCCACGCGGCTAGCAGGGGGATCATTTACAATACGACAGAAACGGTGAGTGGTGGCAAGAGGTGAATGGGTGGGGGGGGCTCTCCCCACATGCATGCAGAGTGGTCTATAGTTTACTTCTGGTGGTAGGCGTCGGCGGGCACATCGTTATACAGGTCCTCCAGCGACCACTTGCGCCTCAGAGGCAGGTTGAAAGGGTCCGACTTGAGCCCATTCTGCAACCGGAGTGCAGCCACCCAGGCGATCATGGCCGCATTGTCCGTGCAAAGTGGGATGGGCGGAAAGTACAGACCGATCGGGTCGTCGAGCTTGTTCGTGACCAGCACGTCGTCGAGCATGACACGCAGCCTGGTGGGGTTTCACGTTCAGCGTCCGTCCGTCCGTCTGCTCTGCTGCCTCCCTAGAATGTCCACTCACTGTTCACGCAGGTAGAGGTTGCTGCCCACGCCGCCGGAAACGACGAGTCCGTGGATCGGCATGTCGAGCGTGTCAATGGCCAGGCGGACCTTTTGCACGACGTGGCCAATGGCCGCAACCTGGAACGCGCGGCTGATCTCGCGCTTGACCTTTTCAGGAATCTTCATCTTGAGGTTGGAAAACTCCTTCTTGGCTCTCCGCTCCGTCTGCGTCATGAGCCCCGCAAAGCTGAACGCGACCATCTTCATCTCCTTGGGCTTTGTGAGCGGGAAACGCATGGGTTCGATGGGTTGATCCACATACGGCCCCAGAGGAAACCGGGACGCGTAGTCTTCCAACACGGGGCCGAGTCCATGGGTCGGGGAAGGCGGCAGCTGGAGGAGGCGGGCAATCTTGTCAAACGCGTCGCTGAGCAGCGTCAGCGTCAAACTCGGCACCGTCAAGCTCGGACTAACCCAAGAGCATTGTCCAGCTTGTCGCCGATGATCCTGTACGTCTCAATGTTCTCCGCGAGCAAAAGCTGGGTGTGGCCTCCGCTAACGAGCAGCGTGAGGAACGGGAAACGCGGGGGCACGTCTTCGGTCAGCATGGCCGTGAGGGCGTGGGCCTGCATATGGTGCACGCCAACCAACGGCTTGTCCGCGGCGGCAGCAAGCGCCTTGGCAGACGTGGCGCCGACGCCGAGGCAGCCCATCATGCCGGGACCGCGGGTATACGCGATCGCGTCCAGGTCGTCCAGAGTGAGGTCGGCCTCCTTGAGCGCCTGGCGGATGGCAAGGGGCTGTCGTGCCCGTTAGCTACGGGCCTAGGGGCCAACCGGAAAGATACGGTGCTCACAATGTCGCTCTGGTGCGCTTCCTGCGCCTGAATGGGGTGGATTCCGCCATACTCCTTGTTGATCTCATGCTGCTTCATGACGACCGAGCTCAGGATTCGCCTGTCGCCACTGACAACAGCGGCGCACGCGTCGTCCGCCGACGACTCGATACCCAGGATACGGATGGGACGGATCCCGTCCTCGGCTAGGATCACGGTCGTGTTGGAGCCCGGTGTTCGTGCCGCTGTTCCAGTAGACAAGGCTGGGGGCATGGGCAGGTCGGCCAGCTTTGGCCCTGCGGAAGCCGCGGGGGGCCTCACTGCGGCATGCTCCTTGTCAGCGGCGAGCACGGCTGGCGCGACGGCCTCGTCCGCAGTGGTGGTAGGCGGCACGGGAGCCCACTTTTCCGGAGCCTTGGTCGCATGTGACCGAGCGGCGGCAGTGGAGAAGGAAACAGGTGGGAGATAAATGGGCTTCACATGGCCTGGCGCCTTGGGGGTGGAGGAGGGCGACGAGGAGGAGGGGGAGGAGGGGGCGGCAGAAGGAGACGACGGAAACGACGACGACGACGACTGTTGCCTGGCGCCGCGCAGCTTTTGCAAGGCTGCTAGCCGGTGGAGAGAGCTAGGGCCCGCAGTTCCGACAGAGCCGAGGCCGTCGTGGCCTGCAGCTCGGCGGAGGGCGAACATGGTGTGGGATTGTTGTTGTGAAAGGGTGGACGTACGAACACGGAGATAGATATTGAATCGCGCGGTTGAACACATTGGGTGGCTGCGGTGAAGTTTATCCAGCGTTTTTCCGAATGTGGCTCCGAGGCGAAATGGACTCACCCCCAGGTTGTGGACATGGGTATCGTCCTTGGCGCTCTTGAACCGTCTGCGTTGCTTACCTTACCAAATATTGAAGATGCTCTGACTGATGGGTGTGTCTTGATACTGGGGATCTAGGAATAACAAAAGCAACCACTTCTCTTCCATATTCGTCACCTACCCTCGTTCCCACCCGCCAACCACTTCCTCCCCCACTTCCACCTTCGTCCCTCACCATCTCCGAGCTTCTCTGCACGGCTAGCACGCTCCCAGGGCCTCCAAAAAGGTCACGACGGGGATCGAACCCGCGATCTCCTGATAACAGATGCTGAATCGTAGTCAGACGCCGTACCATTTGGCCACGCGACCGGCGATGTCGAGTGAGCCGCTGGCGATGCCGCTGGCCGTCCTGTGTTTCTCCGCTGTGTAAACGCACTTCTGGGATCGTTCTGGACTAAGGTGCAGGAGTCATAGGGCTGCATCGGATGAGTGACAAGGGCACGTGGAGGGAAGATAGGGACTCGGGACAGGCGCTACACTCACTGCCGGACAATTCCACAACAACTCTGCCGCCCATATCGTTAACCCTTTCCTAACCCACAAACTCCTCTTTCACCCCCCAACCCACCCCAATCGCCTATATAACCCCACCCGGCGCCGCTCGCTCATCCCACTATCTCCAAAACGGGGATATCGTCTAGTGGTAAGACACAGACTTCGCATCTTGACCCCGTCTTGCGTCTCTTTCCCAAGAGACGAGCTGGTGTTCGCGCGACTTGTCTGTAACCGGCGTTCGATTCGCCGTATCTCCAGTTTTTGGCTCTCTGCGGGTGTCCGAGGGGGTCCGAGGGGGTCTGAGGGTGGCGGAGGGTGTCTGCGGGTGTTTGGGGAGTGTCCCAGAGACAAGGCGAGACGTTTTGAGGCGGTTGAAGGGTGTGGTGTTTCAGCAATCGTGGCCTGGTTGCCTGTTTGTCGTGTGCCACATTTCGATCATGGGAAGCCACACACCCCGCGTCCGCCGCCTGAATACCGGTCACGGACTGTATCGAGCTATTGCGCAAACGCGGTAGACTTGCTCGTCCTCGACCTCAGGCATGTTGCCAGAGAGTGATGGAGCGCCGAGAAGGGCGATCAAACCTGTTGTTTGCTAAATTATCCACAAAAAAAGAAATACCCGGGAACCTAACACCTGCCACCACACAAAGCGGCCATCGTGACATCTGCGCTACACGCACCCACACGCAGCGGCCAAAGATGATCTGATGCATTCGCGGATGCATGCACAAGTACGGGATGATGTGGGATGGGTTGTAGGCGGCCTGGGGGGTGGGTGGCTTGGGGGCCTCGCCTCGGGGGTTGATTTTGGTTTGCTTTGTGGGGGTGTATTGGTTTTGATTCTTGTCTACTTGTCCGTCCTCCTCCTCGCCCTCCTCTTCCTCGCCCTCCTCCTGCGGTACTCCCTCTCCACTTCCAAAAAAAATGCGTATGCTTGGCAAAGCCACACGCCCCTACACTATAGCAAAAAAGGACTAGGACTGGGGCGTGGGCCGGCTGGGAGATTTGTTATACTTGCTTTGCGGGATTCTCTCATCTCTCCTTCTCATCTCTCTCTCTCCTTCTCTCCACGATTTTCGTTCGGGGTGCCTCGATTTACAGTTTGTGGCCACCACTACCACAACCACATGTGCTGGTGGTGCGTACGTCTTGTGCACATTACCAATGCTTTGGGCGGGTGGTGTTTTGCAGACCCTGTCGGCGACACGGGGGGGCCATGGGCGCGCGGCGCCCGAGGTCCGGTCCGCGGTCCGCCTGCGCGCCTACTGGAACGACTGGGCGTACATGCCCTGTCCGTTGGGCTGGTAGTATCCCTGTGCCGAGTTCAAGATACCCAGGCCGCCGATGGTGGGCTGCGCGTCAAAGGTGAGGGGCGACGAGCCGACGCGGAGCTGGACGTTTTGCTGCTGGACAAACGGCAGGTCGATGCTGGGGCTGGCAAAGGGGTTGAAAGGGTCCGAGCCGGGGCTCATCATCTGGCTGACGGGGGACATGCGGCCGCGCGACCGCTGCTGCGGGGTGTGCGGGGACGCGCCGTTCTGGTTGGGGCTGACCGAACCGGCACGCAGGGCGTGGCCGAGGGCCATGTTCTGCGGGATGAGGAGGGGCGAGAGGCCGCCACCGAGCGGCTGCGGGAAGCCCGGGTTCGGGAGCATGACCTGGCCATAGGGCATCTGGAAGGACTGCTGCCACTGCACGGGCTGGGTGCGCGGGTAGTTGTGGGTGGCCGGGATGGGGAGGCCGACCTCCTCGAGAAGGCGACGGTACGGCGGGGTGCTGGCGGCCTTGATGTTGGGCAGCACGCGACGGACGGCGTCGAGAAGCCCGGGCTTGTCCTCCTTGGAGATGGACTGGACGGCGAGGATCTTGCCAATGACCTGGGACCCGTTGCTTGCGTCGGACAGAATCTCGGTGAGGATCTGGTCGCTGGGCGAGTGGAAGATGGTCGACAGGAGGGTGTGAGCGGCGCCAGCCTCGGCGGTCTGGTTGATGATGCGCAGCACGGTGAGCGACGCAAGCTTGTGCGTGCACAGGTGTGCGACGTGCGGGGCAAAGCGGTTGGCGAGCAGACCGTAGCGTCCGGGCAGGTTGGACTGCTCGACGAGCCAGGTGAGCAGCAGGGCACCGTTGGGGTTGGTAGCGAGCGGGATCGAGTTGAGAATGATGCTGGTGGCGATGCGCTTCTTCTGGTACAGCGACGTGCTGGGCGACTCGAGGCAAGTACGCATGCAGCGAGCTCCGAAACGGTTCTGGGCAATGTCCCACATGCGGTCGATCATGGCGTCGTACACATAGTCGTTGTAGGGCGCGCCAAAGCGCAGGGTGCCGGCACACACATAGTTGCCGAGCGAGTCGCACATGAGCGGCGGGGCAAAGGGGCGGAGGTTCATGGTGACCAGCGCGCGCTCCTCCTCGGTGGTGCTGCACTCGATGATCTTTTGAGCGGCCCACGTGCCGTTCTTGTGGATGCCAATCATGGCGAGGTGCGGGGCGATGCGCTCGAGCATGGCCAGACGGAGGGCCGGGGCGGCACGCTCAAACAGCTTCTGGATTATCGTGTTGCCAATGTAGTCGGACGCGAGGTCGGCGCTGTCCTCGAGCAAGTCACGCGTGATGGTGTCGACCTCCTCTTGGGACGCCGAGCCCTGGTCGAGCCGCTTGCGAATCTCGCGCAGACGCGCCACGTCAAAGCGGCGCATGTTTTGCCTGTCGCCAATCACGGGGATGGCAGTGTAGTATGTGACGGGCGGGCGCGAGTCGGCGGCGGCACGCACGTCGCCGTCCTCTTCGCGGCGGCCGCCGCTGAGCACCTGCATGATCATCTGGTGCTCGCTGACCGCACCGTCCTGGGCCAGGCCGCGCTCAAGCACCTGCTCGTGCACGCCAGCCTTGACGAGGTCGAGGACCAGCTGGGAGCGGTAGTTTTCCACACCGCCGCCCTCGACCGACAGCTGCTGCTCGGTGGTGACGGCAGTGGCACCGCGGACGCTGCTGAGGCCCTCGCCAAGCTTCGAGGGCGATCCCTGCTCGACTTCCGGTCCACCAATCACGGGCGACTTTGTGGGCACACGCGCAAAACCGATGCGGATGGGGCCGACGTCGGACCCCAAAATGTCCCTGCCGTTGAGCGCGTTGCGAGCGGAAATGGCACTGTCGAGACGCTCAAAGTTGACAAAGCCGCACGACTTGTGCGTCAAGACACGAGCCGACTCGACGGCACCGAATGGCGAAAAGATCTGCAAGAGCGTCGCGCTCGAGGTGGTGCTGGGGATGGAGCCGATCCAGAGGGCTCGCGTCGGGAGAGAGCTCTGGTCGCCGACGACGCTCTCGACTGCGGCGGCCGTAGGCGAGGTCTGTGAGATGGTGATGGTGCCGTTGGTAAACACCAGGCCGGGAGGGGTAGGCGCGACGGACGACGTCGAGGGACCGGTGGGTGCCGAGTCGATCTTTCCAAAGCCGATGCGGACCGGCGCCGTCTCGGACAGGTCTGGCACCTGGCCGCCGAGACGGTTGAGGACGTCGTCACGGGCGCGCACGGCGTCGGCCTTGTCCATAAAGTTGACAAACGCACACGTCTTCTCGGGGAGCATACGCAGGCTCTCAATGGCGCCATAGGGCGAGAACACCTTCAACAGGGCCTCGGACGTCGCGTTGACGTCGAGGTTGCCGATCCACAGCGAGCGAGTGGGCACCTGGGGAGTGGAGGTGCCGGCATTGTCCGGGGTTCCAGTGCGGGAAGTACCCGACGAAATCGACAGGCGCGGCGCGCGGATGTCGCGCGACCCATCGCGCGAGCGGGTCAGGTCGCGGTCGCTCCGGGACCGGGGTGGGTAGCCGAACCGCTGGGCGTCAATGTACGACTGGGCGCCATACTCGGCCTGCAGAGGCGACTGGGGGATGCTCGAGAGGTACCTGGATCCCGGGGCGCCCGGGTGACGGAGGGGACCGTCAAGAGCGCCGATCGTGGTCGCGCGAGGACGGTTGGCCTCGCGGACGCCTGCCGAGTGCTGCGAAGGGTGCAGCAGCGTAGGCGACGGGTAGAGGCCGCCGCCGACGGTGGGCGAGGGGAGGAGCGTGTCGTAGAGCGACACCGAGTCGAGGGCGTTGGCAAGCATGTGCGGGTCATCGTACGGCGAAGTCACGCTGGGGCGGAAGGGGCGGTTGACGTTGGAAACGGTGCTGGCACGGAGACGCGATGCGGGTCCATGGGCATCGATGGCGCGACGGTGCTGGTTACGCAGCTCGGAAATGGACGCCGGCTGGAGGTCGCTCGCGGTGCTCGACCCGTCTGCGAGACCGAGATAGTCCAGAGTGGAAAAGTTGAGGTCGTCGCTGTTGCTGGCGCCCTCGGGGAAGGGGTACTCTTCGGCGCTGGGCTGGCGGCCGAGCGGGGACCTGCCCGCGGGCTGTGCGAGCTGCGCCTGACCGGGGTTGGCAAGCCACGCGTTGGAAAAGGGCGAAGACGCAAACGCGCTCGACACCTCGGACGTGCTGCCAGAGCGCGGGCGGTGGTGGTCGTGCTCGAGCGACGGCGACGACGAGGTGGCATGCCTCAGGCCAGGGCGGTAGGCCGGAGACAGCGCCGAGGTGCGTCGCGGCTCTTCGATCTGAGGGGGCATGTCGTCGAGACGGGCTTCCTGGAATGACGACGGCAGCGTGCTACAGGGACGTCAGAACTTTTGCTCTCTGGCCGTACAGGTCAAAAGCTAGCTTCCACTTACCCAGCGCGCGGTCGGCCTCCCGACACGACACGGGGTTGGCTGTCGCCGCCAAGTGGGGGCAGAGCCATGCCAGTCGCGTCCTCGATAATCTCGCGCGCACTAAAGAGAGGTTGTCAGTTATTTCTTCTCGGAATGAAAGGGTTACACGCCGCAGTCCTCCCCCGAAATAGCGTCCATCGCTACGTTGGCAGCATGCGCGAACGATTCAATGCCAGCGCGACCACGCCCGCTGATGCACAGACACATGGGTGCACACGAGCGGGGCTGTGACTGGGATGCGGTGCGGTGCGCCGTGTGCACGCAGTGGGTGTCGTGCGGCGTCGCGTGGGCCGAGGGCAGAAGGGAGGGGGTAACGGGGGCGGCGCTCGGGGCTCGCACTCACCGTTTCGCGTACGCCGCGCTCGGCGCGGGCGGGGGTGTGCGACCCTCACGACGGACGTCGCCTCCAAGGTGGGGTGGGGCGGACATGGTGTGCTGAGGGGGGTTTGGGTGAGGGCGAGAGAGAGCGAGTGAGAGAGAGATGGGGAGACGGGGGGGAAAGTACTAGGCGAGGAGGGAAACTATAGAGCGGGGCGGGGCGGGGACGGGCGAAGGCCGCAGAACACAGCAGTCGCAGAGGTCTATAGGGAGGAGGAGGGGGGAGGGGAGGGGATGCCCAGATTATAGGTGTATAATGGAGGGGGGGTGAGGAGGGGAGACGAGGTGAAGAACAAGACAGAAGTGGTGGTGCACACCCCAGGCTCTGCACGCGCGCGCGCCGGGAGCAATGGGAGGGAGCCGAACGACGACGACGACATGGCCCAGATCGCACACGCTGGCGGGGGTGGCTCTTTCTCTCGCCCCCCCTTGTTCCCTGGTCGTCACCGTTTGTTCGTCGGTCCCCTTTTTACTGTCCTGTGTCTATGCATGCATGCATATGCACCTCCTGGCACACACCTCACTTGCAACTTGCATGCATGCGCAACGGCCTCGGTTGACGCGTCGTGTTCCTCGCCGCTGCACACTGTGCGCGCCACGGGAAAGCCGTGCACCCGTCCACGCCTTGCGCGTTCAGGACTCTCTGGCAGTCGGGAGGGAGGGGGGATACATTAGCTCGCGGATGACGCAGTTGCTGAGCGCAGCTCACAGCGCAGCTCACAGCGCAGCTCACAGCGTTGCAGTCAGGCCATCATGGCTTGTAGCTGCTGGAGAGAGTGGCTGCTGCTGAGCAGCTGCATTGGGGGCCTGTACATGGCACATAGACAGTTTCGTCGGGCCAGTGCTCAACCATCAGCCACAGCCACAGTGGCCGTGGCCAGAGACCACATGACGCGTCCAAGCAGTAGCATGTCTCACTTGAAGGCCGTTCTCCCCGCCGACACAGCCAAACCCCCGCACCCAGCAGCCAGTTCTATACCACCACCGTGATTCGGATGCTGTGCGGCCCCTTATACCCCCCAGCGGCGCCGCAACGGCGACGGAGGCGCGTTTCGAGTGTAATCTAAGCAGCACCGCGGCGTCCGTTCGGCCCGTCAGGCCGTGAGATCGCGTTACCAGAGAGGGGCCGTGGGCCGTGGGCTGTAACTGCCACCAACGGTATGCCATGACGCACGGTTTTGTTCCAGCGCTCGCTTCAGTCTCATCCGAGCAGTGGCCACGATCCGCACCGAGCGTGGCACATTGCATTAGGTTGACACTTACTCCCTCTGGGCAGGCGGACATGCAGCCTGGACATGATGGACAGGATGGACAGGATGGACAGGAGGCGCAGAGGACAGGACCAACACGCTGCACGTCCCTTGCGTCTTTGCTGACCGACCCTTATACCCCACTGGCCACTGGTCCACCATGTTGCAGCCTGGCGCGAGAGTGGCACTCTGGCAATGTCTGATGTCATCAACCGATGCCACACGGTCAACTACCAACAATGAACCGGCTGGACATGGATGGACATTACTCGCGCCGTCGGCGCCAGTGTGGCGAATTATGGGGCCACGCCACCAGTCCGGCCAGTCCCCCCAGTCGACGCACGCGACATGGCGAGACCAGCGAGACCAGCGCGCCAGCGTCCGCAGGGTGGCCGACGGAGCTGCAAGAGGGAGCTGAAAGATGTACATAGCTGGTCGATGTAGCCACAGCAAGTGCATCTTCCTTTCCTTACACATGGGCGCTGACGGATGACTTTGTCGTACGCGCCACACTGCCGCAACACATGTGTGCATGTGTGGAACTGGTAGGTACACTCCTGCGCAGCGTGCGACATTCTCCCGATCTCCGTATCGGTGTCATTCTGACGCACGCAGAAACCGCTCCGACCGCTCCACTGCCGCTTCACCTGCTTTCACCTGCTTCACCTGCGTCACCTGCTTTACCCCACAGGCCACCGACCTCCCCCAGCCATACCAGCGGCCAGCGGCCAGGCAAGCGCAAGCGCCAAGCCACGGCCAGACACACAATTTTCATTGCCACAGTGATCTCTCAACGCTCATCATGGCATATATTCCGCGTCCGCGTCCGTCGCCGCTCACCGCCCGTCGCCGTCACATGTCCGCGACCCAACCCCCCAACCCCTTTGTACAATGTCCAGAGGCTATTGTTTCGTCCCCGCCCCCGAGACACTGACACAAGTTCCAAGTCCGAAGACCCAAGGCCTTGGCCCGGAGGATTGGGGGGAGGGGCGATCGCCGCTCACAGCGAATCCCTATCCTATCATTGCCAGTGTCCAAGTGCCAGTGCCAGTGCCAGTGCCGCTGCCGTCTATCCCCATGGTCCGAACCAGTGTCAGGCGTCAGGTGTCCCGTGTCAGTGTCTTGTCTCGCTCACGCCTGCGTTGCGCCTGCTCGTGCTCCTGCTCTTGCTACTGCTACTGCTACTGCTCACGACATTCGCAATACTGTTACTAATGATGCATCAAGCATGCTAATACGCGCAGGGGCTGGGCTGGGGGGGACTAAAAATCTATGGAACCGGGAAACCGAAGACCGGGGGACACGGCGCTGCTGCTGCTGCTCCTGCTGCGGGGGCGGATCGAGATGCGATGTGGTCGGGGGGTTGGTTGGCGTGTGGTTCGTGTGTTGGGGGTGGGTTGATGGGGGTTGATGGGTCTGTGGTGGTGGTGGTGGTGGTGGTGACTAGGTAATACAACGGCACCGTATGCGGTGGTGGTGGAGCGCATTTTCGACAATAATGGAGACGGGGGAGACGCGAACGAAGAGGAGGGGAGTAAGGGGGTGGGGGTTGGGGGGAGTGTCCTTGCACGGTGTTTGCACAACTGGGAAGACGAAGTGCGTTGATTAATGTGTGCGCTCACGCAGCGAGAACGGTGCCGAGGCCGCTGGGGATGCCGGGAATGACGGGGGTCATGACGGGCGATCCCTCGACGGGGGTGGCAGCGAGGCTGTTGTTGAGGCTGTTGTTGAGACTGTTGTTGAGCGAGTTGGTCAACGAGTTGCTCAGGCTGCGGATGGCCGAGTCGACGTGCTCGAGGTCCTCGCGCGACGGGGGCGAGCCCTTGCGCGACAGCTCGCGCGGGGTGACGCTGCTGCCCGTCTGCGACGCGCTGCGGCTCAGGCCGTACGTGGGCGTGTAGGCCCGCGGTGTGAGCGCGTCGGGCGGCGAGGAAAAGTAGTGGTCGAGCGAGCTGGTCGAGTGCACGCGGCGCACCTCAGCGTTGGACGTGAGGTGCTGCTTGCTGGGGTCGGCGGCGCCGCCCCAGCAAAACTGCTCGATAAACGTCGAGTATGACGCGAGGCTCATGTCGTCGACGCTGCGGTCGTTCTTGCCCGTGGGGGACCAGGGGAAGACGTCCGAGGGCGACACGGGCGAGTCGGCCGGCGGCGACAAGGTCGAGGGCGACTCGGACTGGGCCGAGTCGGTCGTGTCGGACGGTGTGCTGCTGACATCGATCTCGTTGTCGCGGATGAGGGTGCGCGTGAAGATGGGCGAGTCGGCCGGCGTGTCCGTGTGGTCGCTCGACAGCGAGGTCGAGGACGAGTTGCCGCTGGCCAGGGCGGGCGGGACGGGGACAAGAGGCTCGACGCGGCCGGGGCCGAGAGGGGAGGTAGGAGAGGGAGGAATAGCCGGCGAGGGAGGGCCGCCGAGCGGTGAGTGCGGGTTGGGCGACAGCGGCGAGCCCGGAGCGAGGGTGAGACCGGCACCGAGACGCGGCGAGTAAAAGTCGGCCGCGGCGTGGGAGCGCACCGGCAGGTCCTTGCCGCGCAGCGTCGGCGAGAGGTCGCGGCTCGACTTGAGCGATGCTCCAAAGTCGTAGCGGTCGGCGAGGCTGGCACGGAGCTGCGGGACGTCCTTTGTGTCTGTGGTGGGGCTGGGGAGGCTGCGGGTGGGGACCGACGGAGACGAGTTGGGGCTCTTGCGGAACTGGGGACGCTTGGGTGAGATGGGCTTGTTGAGCTCGCGGTCCTCGGCGGTGAGGCGGTTGAGCTTGGCACGCAGGTCGGCCATGCGGTCGTTGTCCGAGCCAGTGACGGACCACGGCGACCCGTTGGGACCAGCAGCCTTGCCCATGCCCTGCGGCGTGGAAGTGGCACGCTTGGCCATGACACGAGGAGCCTCGGGCGCCTTCTTCTCAAACAGCACCTTGTAGTTTTCGCCACCGTTCGAGTCCCAGATCTCACGGCCGTCGGTCGTGTAGCGGATGCACAGGAACAGCGTCTTGGTCTCAATGTTCTCCAGCAGGTCCGTGAGCCTGACGGTAAAGGAGAAGCGGTCGTGGGTGCCACCTGGGAGCGAGTCCTTGTACGTTGCCGTGACCTCGGACGTGGTCTGCCACCAGTCGAACGTGAAGCGGACGGCGACCCACTTTGCAAACGCAATGTTGCGCACGACAATGTGGCCACGGAGCGAGTCGCGGTCCTCGTTGAGGAAGAGCGACTCGAGGTACAGGTCGGCGTCGTGTGCGTGGAACGAGGGGAAGTTGGGCAGGGCAACGTGCAAGAGCTTGCTGGTCTCGTCCTCGGTCTCGGACAGCTCGTCGGTGGGCGATCCCTGGCGTGAGACGACCAGGGGCTTCTGGTCCTGGAGGAAGAGCTTGACACGCTCCAGCTGGGCGTCAAAGTGGACATACTTGGGACAGCTGGGCGTGGTGGGGCACGAGCGCGATCCGCCAAACGCCGAGCGCGACTTGTCTACTGGTGTGCCGTTGGGGAGCAACGGTCCAGCAGGCTTGAGCGCTGGCTTGACAACTTCGCCACTCTTCTTCTTGACGACCGAGCGGTGCGGCGAGGGGACAACACCGTCAATCCCGACGGACACGGTGTGGGGCACAAGCTCAGAGGGGAGGGCCACAATGTTGCCAAGGTCGAGCTTGAGACCAGTGTCGCGACGCTCGCGACGCGGGGCCGCGTTGGGGAGGGTGGACAGCGACGAGTCGCTGCGGGTACGAGCCGGGCTGCGGCGGGGCAGCATAGGTGCCGACGACGAGCTGCTCGAGGAGGCGCCGACCACGGGGCTGGAGGGGTTCTCGGGCGAAGGGTTGGCCGACGAGACGGGCGACTCATCCCCGATACCAGTAAAACCGAAGAGACGGGGACGGCGAGAGCGGCGGCTCTGGAGGGTCTCGGGGTTGCGACGAGGCGAACGAACTTCAGGAAGGACGTTGGCGTGCATGGTGATGCCGAGGGAACCGGGAGATGAAGAGCCAGAGGGAACACGGCCGGGGCTGTTGCGCTGAAGACCCAGACGTGCCGGGGCGCGCGGGGAAGTAGTGGCGCGGGGTGATGAGCGAGGGAGGACAGGTGTTGTGGGTGCCGGCGATGCGTCATCCTCGTCCTTGGGACGGGTCGGTGTGGGAGGGTGCACAAAGATGGGGCCGGGAACAGGTGTCGACCGTGAGCGGACAGACGTCACGGGTGCTGGCGCGGGAGTGGGCACCTGGGTGACGGCTGTCTCAGAGTGCGCACGACGGAGGCCAAGAGCGCCAGAGTCGATACGTGCGACTTCGGCGGCAACGTTGGCCCTGCGCTGTGATGTGAGGAGAGCGTCGACGACGTCCGTGTCGGCGGCCTCGGTGAGGCCCATTGCCGCGGCCGTGTACGACGCGTAGGCTGGCATCTTGTCTAGGATAGAACCTGCGTCGATTTTAAGCACGCGTACACCACCGAGGACGCCGAGGATTCCTCTGGGCGGCGAGAGGCGGAGAAGCGACGGTGTGCGCCGGATAACACGAGGACGTGTGGGAGGAGTAGACGGACGGGGAGGAGAGGGAGGGCGTGCGGGGAGGGGAGGAGGGAGAGACGACGCCGCGGGGGAGGCAGTGACCGAGGCCGCTGCGACCAGGAATGGGTCCGGGCAAGACGCTTTTGGACACAGGCAGTCGACAAAGGGGTCGACGGCTGGGAGAGTTGCGTCGTCGTTGAGCGGCGACGGCGGCGGAGTCGGGTACGCTGCGGTGAGGGGGATAAGACCGAGCGTTGGGCAGGGAGCTGCGTATGGCATATCAGCAACCTGTGTCCCCTGAGGACGAAGGAGGGAGAGATAGAGATAGGGAGGAAGGGAGAGAGGATAAGGAAGGACGAGGACGAGGTGACCAAGGAGGAGAGGTGGTGGTTGAAGACGAGGCCCAAGACTGGGTCCTCGACGTCGAGGAGGAGGAGGAGGTGAGAGGGGAGGAGGGGAAAAGAGTGTGGGGTGCAGGAGCAAACTGATCTGGAACCAAGAAGAGAACCGTCCCGCCCTTGATATTAAGCAGCGAGGGTGTGGTGTGTGACCAGGGGTGTCGCGAATGTAATGTTCACTCGCCCCCTCCTTGTCCCCCACAAAAGCATAGGACAAGCCACTGGCCACTGGAATGCGTACTCACAAGACTGCTAGACAGAGGTCACGCGGTGGTGCAGGTCGACGACTGAATGATCTGCAGCGACGGGGGGGGCCGGCAGAAACGGTCACGAGGTGTACTGGGGAGGCCAACTGACGGGCGCGGGGCGTTCGATTTGGGCGGGAGAGCTGCTTTTGACAATGTCGGTTTGCAGGCGCGCGTCGTGGGCGTGGCTGGCTGAAAGGCGGGGGCGGCCGTTCTCAAATGGGTGGAGACCAAGGAGGCGGGCTCTTGCAATGTCGCAGAGCAAGGCAGGTGTCGGAGAAGAGTGAAAGAGGCTTTCGACCGGGGGTGGTGCGTGTTGGGAACGTGTTCGATGGATAGATGGTGTGGTTGAGAGATCAAAAACCTGATGGCCACGAACACACACACAGAGTGAACGTTGGGGGCATAGGCCGATGGGACGCGGCACCGTTGGGATCCAGTCTTGGGGAACACGACGGGCAGTGCCGGTGCCCAGGAACGACCGAGCGACACACTTGCCGCGGCGGGGGAGGGAGGAGGCGAACGAGGCCAGAGAGAGGATTTGAGTGGGAGAATGATAGAGAGAGTGGGGACAAGGATATGCTGCTGCTGGGGATTGGGTGTGTCGGTGGGACAGGCGGGCGGACAGAACACTGAGAGAGTGTGGGCACTGGGCCAGAGAGCAGGAGCAGCAGGAGCAAAGGGTTTGGGCGACGGATGGACAACGACGCCTCTTACCCCACCCCGCCCACCCCGCCCACAGCCCAGGGACGCGCACATCTCCCACCTCTCACAGCCGCAGTCTCTCCTGGCTGGTTCAATTTTCTCTCGCTGCCTGGGCGGGCCGTAGGCCGTAGACCCATGTCTCTACGATCACATCGTATGCACAGGGATGTCGTGTGAATACCACAACTCTCTCTCCACCTGGGCCCCAGACACTTGTCCTTATGGGGCACAGCGATTGCACTTTTACACACCCATTCGCCACACACACAGATCCGCCGCGTGTGTGCATACAGGCATGGGTGATGAGAAAATTGCACTGCAGCACAAGGCATTCGCCTGGCCATTGTGTGTATAGACAGCGCATGACAGCGTGTGCCCCCCCATCGTGGCGTCTCTGCCTGCGTGTGCCGTTGCATGCCGTACATACAACTCCCATACATAATGCCTTTGTCTGGCAGAGGCCCCCGAGGTCATCGGAGAGGGATCGACGCGGCGGCGGGCAGCTGAGCATTGCCCTGTCTTGCCCGTCGGTGCGCATTACAGGCGCCCCGGCACTGCCCAGCCCCTCCTCTCATGAGCGCGCTGCTGCGCCGTTGATCTCTCATCGCGCCAGGCTATACTCTGGCTATACCCATGCATCTGGGCCCAGCTGACCATTGTCCTGTCCTGAGCCACACGCCAAGCTCCTGACTGCCCGCCTCGTCGGCCCAGCACGGGGCCCAAGGCTTGGCCGACACCGTCCCATCCGTCAGCGGCGGCGACATGAGGCGTCGTTGGAGGCGCGTCTTGCACAGGGACACAACGTTGGCCCCCCCTCTCCGCCGCGCCTCGACCTCCCGCAGGCAGGCAGGGCCTATTCCGGTGCGGCAGTGGCAGCGACAGAGCCAAAAACCCTGTGTTGGTGTGTCCGACACATTTTCGACGTCTCCCTCTGTCTCTCTCCCCCACTCTGTCTTGCTGCTTTTTTGCTGTCTCTTTTTTTGCTTGGCCCTGTACCGCTGCCGCTCTAGTGCATATTAAACTCCTTTGTTCAACTACTGCTTGTTCCCACGCTCCCAAGAGGGCCCCCACATGTCCCCGGCGGCAAGGCACTCTGTCGGCCAAAGACCACAGCCGGAGCGGCACGTCCAGCTCCGCTCGACCAATGTGTGCGCGGGACAGCACCCAAACGTAAACGTACGTACGTGCGTACGTGTGTTCATATGCGTCCTGTGTGCGTGTTCCGTTCAGGTGTGTTTTGGTGGGTTATTAATTTTTTTTTCGGCCAGCTGCATTGCTCGCGAGCGAACAGCTCTGCAGCTCTGCAGCTAGCTGCGTCCCCCACCCCTGTGCTCATTTGGGTTTGGTGCTAAAAAACAAGTGGCATGCCATACGACTTATCTATCCAACGTGGCCGTGGCAAAGAGCCGTTCATGTGTGGCGATGGCGAAAAAATCGTAATCATGTCGTTGCGAGCTGTTGTGGTCCCAGTCGTCCATGAATTGTGCCATACTCCTACACCCAGGGCGTACGGCTACCAGGCCAGCAGACCCCACAGGCGTTTGCATGCCATGGCAGACCACAGGTCGCAGCAGCACTGTATGTACAGCCATGCAGCAAGGCGCGTCGTCGTCGTTCCCACGCCCACAGGTGGGCTATCTGTGTGTCCCAAATCTCCACCGAAATCTCGCCCGGCAGTCTCTGCCACACACCGACACACCGACGCGCTTGCGAGCTTTTCCCGCACCTGCACAGTACTGGTACTGTACCGTACACAAGTGCATACATGGCCGGGTGTGTCGCCTTCTTGGTACCTCGCTCCCCTGGGAGTGTCTTGCGACTCCACTCGGACTGCGCGAATGCGGCCCGGGCGTTTCACGAATGCTAAATTCCATGCTGCTTCGTGCTGCATACTCTTGCGCACTGCCGTCGCTTTTTGCCACCTTGCCACTTTGCCGCTTTCGAGAGGTATGAAGTGGGGGAGGCGAAGCGGAAAACGGCAGAGGGGAAGGAGGAAAACTGAGGTCTACTGATAGAGCTCTGGCGGGCTGATCGGGCCGCCACAGAGACCACGATCTGGGCCGCAAAAGGGTTCGGCCGGGGGCCACAGAAGAATGAGTTGGGTGGGGTGGCTGAAACATCCATCGACCCAGTCCTGGTTCCCATGGGATAAGGGCTGGAAAAAGGTGGGCCACAACCAGCTGCACAAGCCATGGCCGTGCCGAGGACATGGGACATGTGCACAGGAGAGGCGTGGCCAACTGGTAGTGTGTACGCCCATGCCACACCTACACCTATGGACATGCAAACAACTGCCCTTTACCATGCTTCCAGTGGCCAGTGACAGAGCATTACCAGGGCGGCATTGCATGTCCGCTCCCACGGCAAATCGCGGCGGCCCGCGTCCAGCGTCCCTTTCCCCACACTCTTGCTCCATCTTACGACCACAACCCAGTCTTCTTTTAACGCGATTAATCGTCGTGTTTCCCACGAATCCAGGTGCAAACGGCAAACGGGGTGTGGGGGCGCGAGATCGCGTAAGAGAAGGATCTCAACCAGGCCACCACAGGACACACAGGACAACGTCCTGCATCTCCTTTTCTGTGGGAGGCGTGGCTGTGGACCCCCCGCGTGTGGGCAACACGGGGCCGGCCACCCCGCAACCTGCCACCGAGACACCGACGTGCCAGCTACATGCCTGCCTGCCTGCCTGCCATCGTATCATCCTCGGCATTCGCTGTTGTTGATAACGTGATGCGAATCGATCCATTTGGGAATCCGCCACAGGCGGCCTTCTCCCCACAGAAAAAACAGATGATGGGCCAAGGCACACATGGTATTGGCGTGCACTAGATCCCACCCGCCGGGCCTTTGGCGTTATGAATGGGTGTTTGGGCAGCCCGCAACGGCTGCTACGGGTACTAACGCGGCAGGAGGGCACGGATGGCGGGGCGCCAAGGAAGAAGACAAATGTGCTGCTTAATTGTGACACTGCGCCGCGCGGTTTGCTGGATGGGTCTGTCCATGTCCATGGGCCGAGACAAAGCAGCCGCGCCACAGCTTGGTCGCATCGAGCTAGCACACGACAAGAGTACCGCGGCACCGTGGACCTGGATGCAGAATTGCTCGTGCGTGGCAATGTTGCGATCTCGATCTGGCCACACCACATCTAGGATGCACGGCCAAACCCGCCACGAATGCCGCAAGACCAAAAGCGCCAACCAAGCCCACCAAGCCAAACCAAGCTGACGACGACGATGGCGGCGACGACGGCGACGACGACGACCAAGCCCAAGGGCGTCTCACATGTGCGCACACGAGACCACTTGCTTCTGTGGCCCAGTGTCCGGTCCGTCCCCTCCAGAATGGGTTGAGATGCCATGCCGAGCGAGTCTCGCCGGCCTGGCTGGAGGGGCTGGCGGCTGGCGGCTGGCTGACCGCCACCTGGGTCCTGCTGGTCCCTTGCAACGCACGAATGGCCACCTGGCCACCTGGCCACCTGTGCCCAGCCCGTGGCATTGTTCTACGCCCAAACACGGTGGCTTCTGGGCTTCTGCTTTTTCCCATGGCCCCAGTTTCATATCACATGTGCTTGCTGCCAAAGTCGGGCGTGCAGCGTGCAGCGAGGCGTGTGCAGTGTGCAGTACAGTGAGTACATTGCTGTATGCTGTACGCTGTCGGTCGTCAGGCGCTCCGATACATGTTGCTCGCTCACCCCGTGTCCCCGACCGATGTGGCTGTGGTTGTGGCTTTTGTGACTTGTGACCCAGCCCGTCAATGTAGTCCCACAGAATGCAACAAACCCCAGCCCGGGGCAACACACATGTAAATACGGAGGATCGACGCTAACCCTCACACCCCTCATGAGTAAAGTACTCAATCGCGGTCCTGGTCCTGGTTCTGGGTCCTGGGACCTCAGCCAGTGCTCCTGTGAACAAACAAACAAAAAAAACAAGTCCATTTCTTCCTTGCCTCTTTTTCCTGACTCTGTGTTTGTGTGATTAATTTTTCTTTTTCTGGGTCCGCTAAAGTTTGTATTGTAAGACGATGGCGCTCGCTATTAGGGTGAACCTCGACCGGGACTCCTGCCAAGACCATATGTATTCGTGGCGCTGGGCGATGGCGCGCAGAGAGGGGGGGCGGGGGCGGCTGCGTCCGGCGCAGGCCCTGCTTCAATCGATCCTTGACGCCTCGTCGTTCCCTTTGCCCTATGGCTACAACCCCCCGCCCGCCCCCTTTACTCACCCACCCACAGCCCTCCCACTCCTACTCCCACTCGCGCACCCACTCGCGTCCCAACTGGGAGCCAAAGCACAGGTGTGTGTGCTCGCGAATGGAGATTCGGAGGGTCACTATTACGCCGTGCACCCCGGCATCTGCCGCATGCCGCTCCTATCCGCCCGCCCCCACCTCCCTAGACCACTGCCACTGCCGCATTGTCTAGTTTTCCACTCGCACTCCCACTCGCTGCCCCCACCCTCGACCCTCGCTCCCTCCCTCCCTGGGCCGGCCAGATCTGAGATCGGGGCTCTCACCGGCGGCAGCGGCGTGGACACATGCTCCCCCCACTCGCATCCTGGTTGTGGTGGTGGTTCTGGACGAGGCCCGCCGTCTCGGTGCGTTGTTCAAAGGTGCCGTATTTACCGCACCCGTGGGCCGGCGCACAGCTGCACGCGTTGCGGGACTTGCGGGACTTGTGCTCGGTGGGTGGGCAGTGGGACGCGCACGGCGGCGCACATTCTTTAGACGACGGCGAGGACGATGACGACGACGACGACGACGAAGACGCCTTCTTGTTCTTCTTGTGGCGACGCTTGGCCTTGTCGTTGATCGACGACACGGCAAACCTTGTGGTTGTCAGCACTCTGACACAGTACTGTACACAGACAGTGGGTGCGCAGTGGGTATGTCATCGCGCCGCGTCAGCAGCATAAGCAGGCATAAGCCTGGCGCGCCATGCCGCTGTCGGCGCCCGTATACTCGGGCCCCATACCCAAAAACACGGTCGCCACAGAGCGGGCCACACGACACCGCCATGCAATGCGCAATGCAGCGCCATGTGCAGCCGTGCAGCCGTGGAAGGCTCCCGGAGCCCGGCGACTGGCACCGGAACCGGGCGCAGTCGCAGTCGCGTGAGCCATAACGGTCCGCGCCAAGCCCAGCAACTAGCAAGGGCAAAGCAAGCAGGCCGCAGGGCCGACAGAAAAGAGAACAAGAAAGAGACAAGGGGGGGGGGAACACAAACAACAAACCACGAAAAGAGAAATTAGGATCCGAGTAAGGGACTCGTCGCGACACATGCCACATGCCTCCGCCACAGGAGCAGGTTGCCGCTGTCGTCATGTTCATGCCACCACCGGGTGGCGCACGAGCAGGATCGCAACCAGGGGAGACGCCGGGGGGAGACGGCATTTGCTGGGTGTGCACACCGAACACGGGCGGCGGCGCCTGGCACCGGCACCACCGCTGTCCCACGGTTACGGGCCGTGCGCAGTCGCTGTTGATAAGACGTGCTGCGCCGGCTGTTGCCATGGGAGTGGCAAAGAGAGTGGAGAGTGGAGTGGAGACTCCAGTGTCTCTCCCCAGAATTCTCCCAGTGCGCTATCTCGCGCTCGGGCTCGAACGAGAAGGTCGCAAGCGGCACGATACGCTTCTCGTCCCACGCCACGGTGGAAGCATGTGGAGCTCGGAATGCAGGTTCCGGATGTGGATAGCAAGTGCTGTTGCGGCGGAATGTCGGTGTCTTGGGGGGCACGACACGACAAGACGACAACACCGGGCAACGAGCTCGCCGATGTGGCAGAGAAGGACAAGTAGAAAGGATACGCAAACCAGACACACCAGACACACCGACTCACCACAGGAGCGTGACGGGGAAGAATGCCACGGCGACGAGGAACTGCAGCGCGTCGGTCGCGTCGCAGTGGTTGCCGTGCTCGCCGTCGTCTTCGGTGACGGAGGAGCCGCTGGACGAAGGCGCGCGGCGGGTCGGTACGAGGTGCTTGCACCGGGTGTTGGAGTGGGCGTTGAAGTCGGAGTTGGAGCTGGAGCTGGAGCGGGAGCGGGAGTAGAAGTTGGAGTGGGGGTCCCGGCGGGGAGGATCATTGGGGTCGTGTTCCGGGATGCTCTGGTACCCGGTGTGGTCGCGGTGAAGACGCGGCAAGACGGGGTATGGACGGGGTGAGGCGGAGACGGGCGACGACACGGGCGTATACCCAACCGTCATGGCTGCAAGGTGCTCGTCCTTGTCGCCAGAGCTCGTTGTCGGCCGCGGACGGGGGTTGAGCTTGTCAGACATGGTGGCGAGGCGGAGGGCTGTGGGTGTTAGTGATTGGCACCGTCGAGAACGCTGGGAGCATGAGGCTCTGAGGCCCGGCCATGGCACCCCCAGCGTGCACACGGACTGTGGAATGCAGCGACACATACCCTCTTCGCGCAAGGCGATGCGTACCCCGTCATCAGCCCATGCCTGCGCATACGACGGCGGCGCGTCCACGATGGACGGGGCCACGAGGGTCGACGAGCCGGCCGACCGCGAGCTGGTGCCGGTGGCCTGTGGTGATATGTGCTGCTGCTGGAACACCTGCTGCGGTTGGGTCTGATACTGCTGGGCTCGCGGCTGCTGTTGCTGGGCCAGCTGCTGCGCTTGGAGCGCTTGCTGGTGCGCCTGCCCGAGTTGCTGCTGCCACGCTTGAGCCCGAGCTTGTGACTGTGGCTGGGACTGGGACTGCTGTGGGCGGCTGTCCTGGGGCTGTTCAGCTCCAGAGGGTGGCATGTCTGAGTCTGTGGTCCAGCGGTTGTGGGAGGGCATAGTGAGCGAGAAGTACTGCAACGACAAAAAGGCAAACGATGGGCAGGCCGCGTAAGCGTTTTGTGTCGTCTCAAGATAGCAGCGCGTGGGTCCCATTATGGTTGCTGTGTGGCGGTGCGCGGGTGTGTGGGGCTCCCGGATGTTGCAACTTCCGGATGCTGTGGCAGAGTCACGTGACCGAGATGGAGCGATTACATGACGACAGGTCGTGTTGCATCGCGACATTATTCTCACCTCCACAACATCCACCTTGCTCCACCATGCTCGCCCGTTCTCTGCGCACATCTCAACACACTTCCCGCGGTCTGCTCAATCGCACTGCCGGTCCGTCATACACCGCATGCAGCCGCGCCGTCGGTGCTAGGGCTTTGACCACTCCTGCTCGTCCTGTTGTCGGTGGGTGTGATCCTCAACTGCTCACCCATGCTGACAGCCAGCGCGCCCTCGTCTCACCCTTATGCAGGTCCGCCACGCGTCCCAGTCCGAGGCCGACGCCGCCCCAGTAGGTACGCACGCCATGGTCGGCCGCCAGCTGCGTGAGGCCGTCGAGGCCGAGCTCGCCACCTTGCGCTCGCGCATCGCCGGCCTGGGCGGGGGCGCCGAGACTGACACGACGTGGCTACGCCAGCTGAGCGACGAGGAGACGGCGTTTGTCAACCTCGGCCAGGTCCCCGGCGTGGACGGGTCCGAAATCATCACGCTCATCGACCTCGACCTCCGCGCTGTGCCGTTTACAGACGCGCAAAAGGCTGGACCCGAGGGCAAGGGCGTGCATGTGCCGCTCCTCGCGCACGTCGGCACTACGGACCCCGCGGTGCCGTGTTACCCCGTCAACGAGCTTTTCGGCGGCCGTGGGTCGCATGTGGCCGGCCTCGTCAAGGACGTGCTTGGCGCCCAGCTCGCGCGCAAGAATGCCGGTTTGGCAGAGTCGCAGGTCAAGAGCGGGTTGCCGCTTGTCGCGGTCGTGGTCCCCGCCAAGGGCGAGCAGAGGGACCTCGCGCTCCCCCTCGCCATCTCGCTGTATCGCCTCGCGATGCACGAGGGTAACGGCCACACAGAGGGTACAGCGGCCGACGCGCAGTAGGCGTCTGAAAGTTGAACTGCCGAGAGGCCGCCGACAAAAAATGTACCATAAAGATGTCCTAACTCTTTTACCAAACCCTACTTACTCATTTCCACAACCCTACTGCCAACGGATGTACCATACTATGTCCTAACTCTTTTACCGCACCCTCCTCACTCCTTTTTACACGCCTCGACAACCACCTTGTCGAGAACACGCTTCACAGCGTCAAAGTCCTCCCCGTCACGCCCCGTACGCCAGTTACTCACGGCGAGGCGAACTGCGCCGACGCCGCGCCATTTAGTGCCCGACACGTACATCCGGCGCGTGGCATTGATGGCCGCCGTGAGCGCCGGCGCGCCGTCCTGGCCCGGGACGTCCGAGGGCGGGAAGGGCGACGTCGCCGAGCCGCCAAACAGGACAATGTTGAGGGGCACAATGGGCGGCTGGTCCCGGTCCATCGAGCCCGCGACCCAGCCGGGACTGGCGTTGAGGAGGACGTAGTTTGGGTGTTCGGCGATGTAGTATGCGACACGCTGGGCAAAGGCGTTGTTGCGCCGGATGATCTCTGCGCAAGGTCAGCCGTGCTCGTGCTCGCGCTCGTGCGCAATATCTGAGCAAACCCACCAATGTACCCGTCCTTTCCCAGCGACACCAGGCTCGCGAACAGGGGCAACGCGCGGAAGCGGCGCGAGTTTTCAATGTTGAGGAACAGTGGGCTGGGGACGTGGTCGTGGACGAAGCCCTGCGACTCGCCGGCGCCCACAGCCGTCGATGAGGAGCCCGTCTGGAGGTATGCCGGTCCGCTGCCGCTTGGCGGGCCCAGGAGGGCTGGGAGTGTGCCAATGTCACGGGTGAAGAAGAGACCGCAGTCGTAGGGGACGTTGAGCCACTTGTGGCCTGCGCTTGTCAGCGGGGACAGGAGGGAGACGTACCATCCAGAGTGAGACTGTTGGCCAGCTCAATACCGTCCACGAGGTGCTGGAGCTCCGGGAGGACGCCCGCGAATCCACCAAACGCTTGGTTGTCAGCTGTACACGCGACGGCCGCTGCACCCACCGCCATCGACATGGAGCCACGCTCCGTACTCTTTACACAGCGCCGCGACGTTGCCCAGCCCGCGCCCAAAGCCGCCCGTGTTCACCTCGCCCAGACCGTACGTCACAATCACGCCGCGCCCCACCTCCTTTTCTGCCGCCAGGCGCGCATGCAGCGCCGCAATGTCGATCGCGAGCTCGTCGTCGGCGTCGGCCGGGAGGGACTGGATGACGCCCGGTCCGCCGCCGATGCCCACCAGCGCCGCGGCTTTCAGGATGCTAAAGTGCGGGTGGAGGCCGAGGACGACGATGGGCGGGGACGGCAGCGTGGGCGAGCTGGGCGGACCCGATTGCGCATAGCTGTAGCCCTGGGGCAGGTGGGGAGAGTTGGCATACAGGTAGTCGCGCGCACACGCCATGCCGAGCACGTTGCTCCCCGTCGCGCCTGTCGTGATGGTGCGTCCGGCAAACGACTCGCGCGGAATGTTCAGCAGGTCCAGGACCATCTCGAGCGCCTTGGCCTCGACGGCTGTCGCAGCGCTCGTGTCCGGCAGCGTCAGCGTCACGTTCTCGTCGTAGCCCGTCAACAGCGTCTCGGCGAGCTGCGCGGCCGGCGTGACGCCGCCAGTCACAAAGCCAAAGTACCGCGGCCCATTCTGCGCCGTGAGACACCCGGGGAGCAGAGTCTTGACCAAGTAGTCGATGGTCGTGGGTGCCGTCCACCCGTTGGCTGGGAGGGACGAAGGGAGGGTCGCTACGGCCGCGCGAACGGCGTGCGCCGTCGGCGTGGTGGGCAGCGTGTCGAGCGTCGCGTTACGGTCTGCGAGGTGGGACGTGACCAGCGCGAGGAGGCGGGCAAACTCGTCGTCTGCGGCTTGGCGGTTGGACATGGTGAACGGGTGGTTTCCGTCGGACAAGCTGGTACGGTTGAGATCAATAAGCAACTTCAAGAGCTCCAGAGTGGTCACGTCCGACTTCTCGGCAAGCTCACCAGGTTCGGCTTCAGGGGATGACGTCAAACCCACCCTCCAGCGCCGCCACCGCCGACAATGTGGACCAATGAGCGCGCCGTCGCCTACTTGTCGCCTACCTGCCAGTGTCCTTCAAGTTTACTGTCCATGGAAGCTTCCAACGACCCCATTGTGTGCGTCCAAGGCAGAGAAGCTCCATTTGCCATGGTTTCTGTACATATATAAGACTAACACATCTTCGACTTTCATCAAGTACCCTATGGCTCAGTTGGCTAGCGCGTGGAGCTGTTATCTTCAACACACTCCGAGGTCCACGGTTCGAGCCCGTGTGGGGTAGTTCTTTTTGCCCTCTACATCTCCATGTCGTCTGGAGCGTCGAAGGACGAGTGGAAGGCGAGAAATTTGGTCGGAAAGTGGACTCGGAAGGTGGTGTTGAGAGTGGCGCCCCCAGGTGCCACACTGCCACATTCGCGACGATCGCCCCCAAGGCGCTAGTCTGGGTTCCGTCCCTGACCGTCCTGTGCATACTGGATCACGTACACATGCAACTAGAGGCCTCACTGGCTCTGTGCATCGAATAGAGAGCGTCTATACTGTACACGACAACAGGACGCAGACGGCGGACATGGGACGGCCGCGTCGTCAACTGATACACATGACGTCAGGCTGAGATTTCGGTTCCCAGTGTCCGGCCGGTGGCTTTGACCCCATGTCCATATCTCCCTTGTCCACCTTCCCTCTCCCATCCACCATCTCTCTCACCCACACTCACCCCAATGTCCCAGCTCCCGCTCCTCCCCTTCACCCTCGTGAACGCGTTCGCGCCGACGCCACATGCGGGCAACCCAGCGTCGGTCGTGCTGTTCCCCAAGAACGACCCGCGCGCCGAGGACAATGACGACTACTTTGTCACTCTGGCGCGCGACTTCAACCTGTCCGAGACGGTCTTCCTGAGTCCTATCCACGCGGAAGATGTGATCCCGCAGTACTCTATTAGGTGGTTCACGCCCACGGTGGTGAGTAGGAGGAGGAGGAGGAGGAGTCTGGGGTGTTGCGCGAGCGACGGCGCTGGACCCGCCAGATGGGAGGCTGATCGTCTTACATCTGGAATTCCTCTTCCCACTGACACGTCCAGGAAGTGCCTCTGTGCGGGCACGGTACGGCCGCAGCCGCCAACGTGCTCTTCACGCTGCACCCGCAGGCAATCCGCGTCCACCTCCAGACGCGGGAACGCGGCCAGCTGGCCGCGACGCTCGAGGGCACGGCCAACGGCGACAAGGCCGTGCTTGTCGGCCTCGACCTGCCGATCGCGCCCCCGCGCGAGGTCGACGCCGCCGAGCATGCCGACATTGCAGCTGCCGTCTGCGGCATTGCGTGGTTTTCCCCCGAGCACATTGTGCGCATCGCGACGTTTGGCGACCGCAGCGTGATTGTGCAGGTCGACGAGCGCGTGCGGATCGGCGAGCTGGCCGTGGACGCGTCCAAGTTTGTGAGTGCCGCCAGCTATGTAGCGTCCGGCGTTCGCCTTTTAGCTGACCTGACACGTGCAGCTGCCAAAGTTCCCCCACCACGTCGTCGTCACGCAGCTCCTGCCCCCGCCCGACGACACGGTGACGGGGACCGATCCGGTCGTGCACGCCGCATGCCGCGTGTTTGCGCCTGCCCACGGCGTCGACGAGGATCCAGTGGTGAGTCGCATGGTTCTGTCAGCTGATGCTTCGCTGCCATGAGCTGATACCACACTCGCCCAGACCGGCGCAGTCTGGGCCGTCCTCACGGGGTACTATCTCTCTGGCCCCGCCTCGGCCGACGCACAGGCGCTCCTCCCTCGCGGCCACCCGGTCGCTGACGCGACACTCGACGCTCACCAGTTGAGTAAGCGCGGCGGACAGCTGACGTGCACCCTCACGGGAGAGGGGCGGGCAAAGGTTGTGGGCAAGACGTGGCGGACTGGAAAGGGCTTCCTGGAGGTCTTTGACGAGGAGTAGAGGAGCGCAAGCCGGGCGGCTAGCATAGAGAGGAACGAGATGGAAGTCATGGTCGATACATTCACACACGGCACCTGCTTGCTTGCTCTATGGTCGCCCTCTACACGTCCCGGATATCCCTGCTTGTTCTTCGGACAGCGTGACCAATGATACCCTCGCCACCGCCGCTCACCACATGGCGTCCACCTTCTCTTCTCTCTCTATTAACCTCCCCTCCTCAATTCCTCTGCACTTCGCGTCCGCACCGCATACACGTCTCCATCGGCCGTCCCTGCGGCATGGCAGGGGCGTCAATCGACCCGGGCATCATACACAGCGGCAGGATGACGCCGTACTGGAACCGCTGCCAGAACGTGCGTTTGGGGAGGTAGTGCCCGTCTGTGCGGCAGTTGCCGTTGCGGACGGCGCTGATCCCTGCCGCCGCTTTAGCCTTTGCGACGGCGGCAGCCGCGGCGGGGTCGGCGGGCCGCTTGGTGTTTGTGAAGCTGGGGAATTTGGACGTCTCGGTGTGGATGGGGTTGACTGGGATGTTGGCTGGAGAGTCGAGTGTCAGTGGTTGGGGCAACGGTTTCCGAGTTGGCCAACTCACGCGCGTGATACGACGCATGGGCAGCATCCCTCTGTGTCCTCGTGTTCCGTTGGCTCATATCGAGTCGTGTGCAGTGGCGATGGGTTCAGTGGTGAAGTGATGGAGATGGGACAGTGGCGGAGCAGATCGTCAGGCCCTCAAATACATGTTGTTGTGCCAAGTCAACAAGGCCAGTGGCCAGTGGACTAGTCTAGCACAGGCGGTGCAATGGCTATACTAGGCCCAACAGTCCCGCTGGAAACCTTGGCGACTTTGGATAGTGAGGTCATGCGGTTCAGTGGTGACGAGATGGTATGGTTAGTGTGCCTTGGCATTTGCCGACTGTTGAGGTCTATTTGCCGGCGCGTCGTCGGTTGTCTCGCCAACGGCCGTCTTCACGAGCGGCAGTGAACTTAGGCCACGAGATGGTGTTGCCTGGACGCAGAACTTGAGAGAGCTGCAGTGGACAAGGCATCGGGACAAGGATGTCCATTAGTTTCGCCCAGTCGACTACAGCCACTGCACTCAAAGCCATTTCTGAGCGTGCCCTGCACTGCTTGACGGCTGCTGCAAACCACTATTGACGCCATCCCCGTACAACTGAGAGGGCTCTGCAAGAGTCAGCGCAACCCACAAGCCATGCCCAGGTCACAGCCAGATGAAGCCTACTGACCTCGTCTCCGATGTCATCCTTGACGTTTCTTCTGTCTTGCTACCTTTCGTCTTGCCGTGCGCTATGCCGCCGCTGCAGGTCACACTGTCACTCGCTCAGCGACGCCCAGCACCCGCCTTGCCGGCCTTGGCCTTCTCCTCTGCGTCGAGCCGATCGTTCTCCCCCATGCGCTTGACAATCTGGTATGCCTCCTCGTTGTCGTCGGCGTTCTGGGGCTTGAGGCCGTAGGCGTTGCAAAAGGCCGTCCAGCCACCAAAGGACTTTACAGCTTCCCTCTCGTACGAGTTGAGGGGAGGCGCTGGGAGGGGCGGGGGAGGGACCATGTCAGTTTTTTAAGTGCGGCGACAGCGCAAAGCGCGAAGGGACGGCGAGGGTCATGCGCGTAGGGCTGGGGGGCTAGCTTTTGGCAGTCGCGTCCAGTGATCCAGTGATCGGCGCACAGGCAGGGGAAAGGGGTCGGTGCTCGCCGAGGCTGTCTGAGGCGGGCGTGGTTGACTTGGGAAGGTGGTCTTGATGGGTGAAGGGAAGTGCAGTGGATGCAGCTGGTGGGCAACGTGTAATGTGTGGGGATGTGGGCGTGAGATCGTGAGAACGGTGAATGAGAGGATGGTGTGTGTAGTGGTGGTGGTGGACAATGATGACAACAATGACGGCACTGCCGTTGCCCGGGGCCAAAACAAAACAACCGTGCGCAAGTTGACCCGTGTGCATGTGGCACGCTCAGAGATCAGACACATCTGATGCACAACAAGTTCAATGCTCGTCAGGACAAACATTAAGCTCTTACCTGCAGCCCATACCACAAAACCCCGTTCCCTCATACTGCGCGGTCAGTGTGGCGAATGGCATATGTATGCGCGTATGACACTGCCAACAACAAAGGCGGCGGCCAATGGACCCCATCGATCTAGCAAGCATTGTGGTCCTTAACAATCCCTTGGTGAATACTTGCTGCTTACCGTGTTGCATCTCACCAGCGCGAACAGTACATCTCCCAACTGTGTGTCGAGAGGCCATGACTGAAATAGTCAACCGCCACGGAACAACCGAGTACTCGACCATTTACTTATTCCTTCTTTCCTTGTCTTTCGCCGAGTCTCTCACACGAGTACGTCGGCGTCCGCTTACAAGTACATCAAGCATCCACTCCCCAATATTTCCAGCTCGCTTGCGCATGCCGTGTGAGTGCTGACGGGGCAAGATCGGTCATGGAGCCGGTGCCTGCGAGATTAAACTTTGGTTTTTTATGCTGTTGGAATGTGTGGACCTGGTGGACGTGTGGAGCCTCTTTTCCCCACTGCTTTTGTTTACTCCCCAACGGCGTGGTTTTCCTACTTGTCTTGGACAGCATGTCTAGATCGTGGGAGCAATGTCTGTTGAGTACTAGTGTGACAGAAAACATGGCTCAGGATGAACAAGGTGGTGAGCAAGGCCAGCGAGGTAAGCTATCAAGGTAAGCTACGTGAGTGAAAGTCAGAAGCTCAGAGGGGAGAAGGTCGGCCTCAAGCTTGCTTCTACTGGTGCCACCGACGAGGTTCTCAAACCATCGAGGTCCCCTTCGGCCCCTTCGCTTTCATGTCGTGTGGAGAAGACAGCATGGCCCATGGGGTTGTGCCTTTTGTACCTGGCCACCTGGTGTCATGTTTTATTTCTGGGTGTGCTCCAGACCATTCGCTTCGACGGCGTTACTCGGCGACGCATGTACTTGCTGTACGGGTCTCTGCTGGAGTTGAGCTAAATGACACGAGTGTCGGACGACTGGAACTGTTCGGACCGAGTGTAGCCGCATGCATGACTGACGACGCCAAGTGCAATGTCGACGACGTCTAGGCGTAACACCCATTGATCCATTGAGAGAGAAAAGAGAGTCACGCTTTGCCGCGGTCCGCGGAGATACAATGTGGTTTAATGTGGGCCTGTGGGGTTAGTCCGGGTGTGCGAGTTGTGTCTGCCTTTGTGTGTTTCTACGGCCTGCATCTCTCTTTCGTCCACGACTACCAAAACCCCCCTCATGTACGACTCTGATCGCTTCCTGTCTGTGGTCCCCACCCACATGCATCCGGAGGTCGAGGACCTATCCGGGGCCCGGACGACATGCAGAGCCATGCCTCTCCTTGCCCACATGCAAGAGAGAGGTTTCTCGCCCCCCCTGAGTGCGCCGGGCGGCCGGCGCACTCGTATGTCCTGACAAAAAGAGACGCGGGCCTGACCGCCCACAGACCGCCCCCCGCAGCAGCAGCAGCACCAACAAGTCTTCTTCTGCTTTGCATTCATCATCTCTCTCCATCACCATCTCTCTCTCCCATCTCGTCTGACACACACCTTTTCATTTGCATATAGCCCACTCTTTCTTACAACAATCCGACACACACACACCAGCGGGAAATTTTATTGTTGGGTCTTGTCCGCTCGATAAGCTGGGCGCGCCGTCGTACCCCCATCGTCTCTCGACCCTGGCAGGCAACAAACCCCCTCCCTCCCCCCCACCCCCACCACACCGCAGAGAACAGGCTGTTTGTTACCTGACACCCTCTGCGACCCATCACTCCTTGATCCTTGAATAGCGACCGACGCACATCTGGGCCTGCGTCTTGTAAACACACACTCTTCGTCTCGACCCCAAACAACATCCACCATGAAGGCGATCAAGCGTTTCCTCTCGCCCGCGGACGCCAAGCGTGACCGCGACTCGAGCACCAAGCGGCCATCGAACACCCCCACCCAAAGGTCCGTCTCGACAAGCTCGCACCTCGGCCGCAAAGCCCGGCCTACGTCCTGGCATACTGCGTTCTCTGTGTTTTCCGGCCACTCGAAAGAGTCGTCGGGCACCTCTTCGGCGCGCACAGTGTCCATCTCGCAGCCCATCTCACAACCCTCCCCCTTGGCCAGCGCGCCCGTGGTCCTGCCGCAGGTCCCCTCGCAGACCGCAGAGCCGTCCGAGAGCTCCCAGCCATCATCCCAGGCCTCCTCCCAGCCCTCTTCGGTCCCCTCTTCCACCCACACCCCTTCCATCGCACCGTCGCCGAGCCCATCCAACAGGGGTTCGCTCATTATCAACACACCAACAGGCGCACCGACCATCAGCCTTACTCGCAGCGCCTCGCAGAGAGTGTCTGTTCTCTCAGACTGCTCCTGGGGTGAAGCGGCTGGCTCTCACTCAACCATCTCGAGGGCCCCCTCCATGCCTCGCAGCGTGTCGTACAGCGTTTCACTCAGCAACTCGCGCTCGGCGTCGACTCGCACTGCCCGCCTGAGCAAGGTGGTGCCCCCACGGCCCCGTCGCCGTATTGACTTTGCTGGCGACCACCCGCACATTATTACAGCCATCTTTGGGCACACTTCTCGTTCAACACTCATCCGCCTGCGTCTCGTGTCAAAGGTGTTCAAGGAGCATGCCGATGCGCAGCTGGCGCTCCACCTCGTCCTGTCGTCGCCCATCGGGTCAACGTCGCTCCGCGTCCTCGGCCCCGATGGTGCGCAGATCCCGGGCCTCTCACCGCGGATCCTGTACAAGAGGGAGGACCGCCGCCGCATCTCGCCCGTCGTCTCCAGCACGCGCGTATTGGACTTTTGCGGTCCCTCGCGTGCGCGCGACGGCGAGATGGCCGACATTACCGTCCAGTGCAGCTCCGTCACCACTGTCCGTCTCCGTGCCGACGCAACGGGCCAGTTCCCAACCGTGTGCCCGTTCCCGCCTCGCGCGACCCAGATTGTCGCATTTACGAGCCTCGCTGCCGACGACGTTGGCAACAGCTCCACCCCCGCCGTTGACAAGACGGCGCGCCGCAAGTCCTGGCGCTCGAGCTGGCACGAGAGCGTCCCTGCAACGCTCTCTCCCACTGTTCCGGCGCACTCGTACATTGGCCCTGTGCCCAACCGTACCCGTCGCCTTGTCGTGACGGTGAGCTACCCCAAGGCTACCCTCGTGCAGCCCCCCTTGCGCCAACTCGGCACCTGGCACCACCCCGAGTCTCTGCGCGAGGTGGTTGTTATTTTCGCGGCACAGGAGCCGCTTTCTCGTGCCCGTCCTCGCTCGTTCTTGAGCCTCAGCAGCGACCCCTCGGCGTCACTGGCCGTGTACGACAAGTACCACCTCGCCAGCGAGCTTGCAGCCCAGCAGGCCGGGGGCGCCGCGCGCCAGCGCCGCTTCCTGTCCACGCCTCCGACGTCCGGCGCGTCGTCGCCGTCGCCGTCGCTCACGATCCGCACAACACCCAGGTCGCCCAAATCGCCGCGTGCCAGGCCCACCAGCTGGATGGGCCCCATTTCCTCCCCCATCTCCCCGCGCACCAACTCTCTCCCGACGCCAACACTGACCGTCTCGGACGCCGACGCGGGCACCCCGCGCACCCCAAACTTTCCCTATCCGTCCCCCATGCGCCTGGGCGTGCTGTACCCGCTCATCCGCGCCATGGCGCGCCACCTGCCCAACAACGTCTCGTACACGCTCGTGGACACGGCGCGCCTCGACCCCGTCCTCCTGGGCCACGCGGCCGGGACGCTCCTGTCCCCGCGCCAGATCGAGCGCGAGTTCACCACCGCGCTCAAGCAGGAAGTGTGGGCCAAGCGCCAGGCCGACGGGTTCCCGCTCGACGGCAGCAATGCAGACGCGGGGCTCCTGGACGAGCTCAAGTTTGTCAGCCGCAACGAGTACCTCACGAACGTGGGCGAGCGCGAGTGGAAGCTCGAGACGACAGAGTACCTCTAGAGGAAAAGGAAATTGGAGTTTGGAGGAGGGGCATTATTAATAGAAGGTGGTAATCACAGAGCAGTGTTCTCTCTTGTTCTTATTTTGGTTTTTATCTTAGTTGTACCCAGACGGCCGGCCGTCGCAGATGTATACCTTTACAATGGCCTGTGCAAGGGATCCAGATGCCAGTGGACAGTGGGTGCAGGTAACTTTGTATGCCTGTTCGCGACTGTCGTACTTGGTGGCACACGGTGCCTTGCCTCGCCACACCCCCGGTGGAGGCTGTCCACCGCGGCCAGTGCTGATTGATGGATCCGACACAAGGGGGCCTGAGTCAACATGAGGCAGTGTGGGTTGTGATTCGGGCGTGGCAGTGCTCAGTGATGGGTTGTCCTGGATGTTTGGATGCTTCGCTGCTTCGTTTGCTTCGCTATTGTGGCGGCGGTGTGTACTGGCTTCAAACACGCGGCTCATCACTCATATCACTCTGGTGGTCGACCGACAACAAACAGCGCAAGAACGGACCATTTTTCCATCATCACAACTTCTGCGTCTTCCTCTCACTCAACTTACGCGTCGTACACACAAACACACGAACACACAAACAAGTCCATCATGACAAGGTACCACGGTCGCGGTGAGTGCTACCTCTACATCTCTAGCTCAACAGCTGACACTTGCGGCCAGCTCCACCCATGAACGCGTCCGAGCGGGAGATCATCTACGCCTACGGCGGCTGGACGGGCTTTTGCCATTCCATGTCCCTCAAGCCCTTTGTCCTGGAGGACAGCATCGAGGCGTACCGTATCGTACAGGCCATGGCCGAGGAGCAGAGGAGGCTTTGCGGTGCGCATGGTCTTCAGAAGTGAACCGCGTGCGCCTGGTGCGAGTTCATCACCAGCGCCGTGGAGAGTGCATGCGGGCGCACTGGCGCACGGGGGTACATACTGTGCACAGTGTCGTTTTGGTATTCTGGATATCTGGATCTGTATGCATCTCGTGCGTTTGCATAAGAGCTGTGCATGTGGGCGGGTGGTGGCCTCTGCAGACTGGCATCAGTGCAACGGGGTACGGGGGATCAGACGTGCACGCGCTTCGGAACCAACTTGATGTTCAAAACAAACCCCAAACCCATCCACTCAACAATACTCAACTCACCGACACTCGACCCACAAACATCCACAAGCTACACGCAGGATCATGTCCGCTTCTGACTGCCTCGGTAAGCCTCACACCCGCGCTCTTCATCCCTACATGCTTGCACTCCAGTCCCACGCGTCTCTTGCTCCTTCCTTGGTTCTTGTTTCAGCTTCGCATTCCTGTTGTATGTAGCTGACACCTTCCTTCCTTCTCTCCCCCCCATCCTTCCCTCCCTCCCCACTCCCAGCTCCTCCCCTCCACAACCAGACCGAAAAGGACATTGTCAAGTCGTACGGCGGCTGGACGGCCTTTTGCCACTCGATGGGACTCAAGCCCTTCAACCCTGAAGACAACGCCGAGGCGTACTACATCCTCCGTTCGCTTGCGGCCGACGAGGAGGCGGAACAGGCCAAGAACACGAACAAGAGCAAGCACAAGAACAACGCGTAGGGCGGCGGCCACGGCGTAGCCTCTTCACGGACAAGATTGGGCGTGTTCGCCTCGTACTGTTTGCGTTCAGAGGTCAAGGAAGGAAAGGTGAAAGGGTTGAGAGGGGTGAAAGGTGAGCTATTCATCCGATACGAGAACGAGCTCTGACGCGGTGCAGGAGAAGGTCGACATGTGATGACAATGCTGGAAGCACACGTTCTCATCCTGGCTCTGATTTCCACCTACCGCACTGTCAGGCAACAGGTCCATCGCTGGATGCACTGACTGGCAAGAAGGAGTGTTTTGTCCAGAGTCAGCTTTCATGTTTCCAAAGCTGCCTACCCGTCACATCCCCGAAGCAAGCTCGGCATAGCCCGTACGGCAAAACCGACGGTGACGGATTTCGGCACTCCGTCTACGAGGTCGTTGCTCGTGGCTTCAGAGACGGTCAAGAGACAACGCAAGGCTTGCCTGAATCTGCTCAATGAGCAACGCGAAGCATTGATGTGTACATGTGCGCATGTGCACACATGGAACAGAGCAGGCGTCATCAGAGCCACATATAGCGCTCATGACAGAGCGGACCGGCCGCGTTCCGGCATTCGGTGATCTGCGCCGAGATCACGGTTATTACAACACGCTGCCGCCGTCCGATAATACTCCCGTCGCCGTGTGGGGGTTGATAACATATACTGACGACGAGGGGGACCCGCTTGACAATGCCCATCCTCCGTGTCTGTACCCGGAGGCCACTTACTCGCACCTACACGTACAGCCTGTCTCGTCGCGCCATGGCCAGCCGTAAACCGTTCAAGGGTATGTCCCCAGCTGAGCTGACCGGGCACTGTTCGTATGAGCTCCAGCTGACCCGGCTCCACCATCGTAGAGGCCGAAGCGTCCCGCCCAGACTTTGACTCGTCGGCAACCCCCTTCTTCACCAAGACCCCCCAGCCCGACTGGAAGCCCGGAGGCGGGCTGAACGACCTTCCCTCGGCGCAAGAGTTCAAGCCCGAGAACGCGACATGGAGGTCTATCGATCCCGACACGCACGACAAGACGGCAATGTACAAGGTGAGCTGCCGGTACCTGCAACTGGAAGCTGACCATGACACAGATGATGATCTCTGCCATTGTACGTAGCTTGGTAGTCCATGTCGTCTAAGCTATCGCTGACGTTCAAGCAACCACGCCCCATCGCGTTCGTCTCCACCCTCTCGCCAGACGGCGCTGCCAATGTACGTTTCCGCTAGTTTCGCAGTCGAGTGCTATAGCTGACGTCCCAGCTCGCCCCGATCAGTTTCTTCAACATGGTCGCGCCTGACCCGCCCACAGTCATGATCTCCGTGTCGACCAAGGGCGGTGCGCTGAAGGGTAAGTGGTGCTGAGGCGGTGGGGTTGTGCCAGTACGAGAGTCATTGGCAAAGCGAGCAGAACATGCGGCGTTCCCCCGCCCGGTCTTACTCGTATGTCCTCGCGCTGTGCCACGCGAGCACAGTTTTGTTTTGCTTGCATCCACGCACGAACGCGTATACAGCTGTTACATAGGCATAGTTCACATGTTGACAGCTGCAACAGACACCAACCTCAACATCAAGAACCTGAAAGAGTTTGCCGTGTCCATCATCTCGGAGCCGTTCCTCGAGGCAGCCAACTATACCGCCGTGGACGCGCCGGCCGGTGTCGACGAATGGGCTCTGTCTGGATTGACAAAGCGCGAGTCTGAGTGAGTTTCTTTCTTGTTCGCCTCATGAGGGGGAAGGGGGAAGGAGGGAGGGAGGGGGGAGGGAGGGGGAGGGAGGGAACATGCGGGCTGGAAACGAGTGCCTGGCGACGCCAAGCGTCTCATTGGCGGCAAGTGGGCCGACAAGATGGTCCAGAGCGACATGAAGCACTGGGCTTGTCAAGGCCAAGGCCACCGAGATCTATGTCTGGCGACGCCCGTGTCATCGGCGGGAAGGTTGCCGAAAACGAGGTGCAGAGCGACATGAAGCACTGGGGCCTTGTTGAAGGCCAAGGCCACCGACACCAATGCCAGGCCACGCCAAGGGTGTCATCCGCGGCAAGGTTACCGACAAGGAGGTGGAGAGTGACTTGAAGCACTGGCGTTGCCTTTGACAAGGCCACCGAGACCTATCGCCTGGCTGCGCCCAAGAGTGTCATTGGAGTCTACCGACCAGGAGGTCGAGAGCGACTTGAAGCACTGGCCTTGTCGAGGCCAAGGCCACCACGATCTGTACCTGGCCACGGCCAATGGTGTCATCGGCGGCAAGGTTACCGACGAGATGGTCGAGAGCGACATGAAGCACTCGCCTTGTGTCAAGGCCACCAAGACCAATGCTGGACGCCCAAGGGTGTCATCGGCCGCAAGGTTACCGAAAAGGAGGTCGAGAGCGACATGAAGCATTGGCCCTTCAAGGTCAAGGCTATCGAGCCCTACATTGAAGTCGGGCACCGCGGCGAGGCCTAGTAGCCTTGTCTGGACGATATCTCCTCGGTGGTACTCTTCCAGATGAAGGAGGTGGCCGAGACCTAGTTCAGCGTCACCGTTTCCAAGGCCACTGTGACCGTCTATGCCCACTTCTACGACTGGCCGTCGATGTTGGCGATCAAAGTCAAAGAGGTGGCCGAGACCTACTTCTACGACTGGCCGTCAGGGTGGCGATCAAAGTCAAAGAGGTGGCCGAGACCTACTTCTACGACTGGCGGTCAATGGTGGTGGTCAAGGCCACGGAGGTGGCTGAGACCTACTTCTGCGACTGGCCGTCAATGTTGGCGATCAAGGTCACAGAGGTGGCCGAGACCCTCATCTACGACTAACTGTCGATGGTGGTGACCAAGGTCAAAGAGGTGGCTGAGACCTACTTCTACGACCGGCCGTCGATGGTGGTCAGCAAGGTCAAAGAGGTGGCGGAGGCCTACTTCGGCGGTACCGCTGGAAAGGGCCGTGCCTGCCTACTTCTATGACCGACTAGCTCGATGGGGTAACAGGGGCCCAGATGCTCTCCGCGAAGATCCCATCGACGATTCTGATCGAGATGAAAGCAGTTGCCGAGGCGTACCTCGGGGGTCTCGTTTCCCAAGACCGTCGCGACCATCCCCATCCTTCCTCACGTAACCTACTTGAACGACTTGGCTCACACACACCCCGCAGGTCCATCTCCGTGCCCCACGTCGCCGAGGCGGCATTCAGCATGGAATGCACCGTCGAGCACTGGTACGACCTCAAGAACGATGCCGGCCAGACCAACTACACTGTCATCTTGGGCCGCGTGCGGCGATTCCAGGCGGTACGTGGACAGTCTTGCGCTAGCTGTGATACTTGGAGTGTGCAGCTGGAACAGACACCGCTGACGAGACTGGGCTGACGCTCCTTACAGAAGGACTTCATCTTCGACCCAGTGGACACGATGCGCATCCTGCCAGAAAGGCTCAAGGCCGTGTCGCGCATGGGCGGGATCTCGTATGGCCGTACTCTGCAGTGAGTGTTGCCCTCCACTTCCTGCCGTCTCGTTCGGTATCCAGCAGGGCACGGAGGGACCGCGATCACAAAACTCACCCGCTCAGAATGGTCGAACTCCCCCGCCTGGCGTGGAGCAATGTCAAGGACCAGGACGAGGTCAAGGCCGCGCTGGACAAGACGCCGTCGCCGCCCAAGCTCTAGAACCCCATCAAGCGGATCGAGACCATGTTGCGGCTTTGTATGTAGAGCACGCATAATCACAAGTTTCTCACATGGGTTCCCGGCTACACACACACCTCACCGACTCAATATGGACACACTGACGCACTACTATGGACTCTGGCCTCTGCCACTAACTTGCTCCTCCCCACACTCTCCTCCTCTCATGTTTGTTGAATCGCGCTCCTGCTCGCGTGCGTTTTGGAATGGTTTCATTCGAGGAATAGGGACCTGGCGGCTGCCCCAACATTGCCTACGCCAGGAAGCCTATGCGTGCTCCACCTATGCTGCTGCCGGAATCGCACAAGAAACGAGGACGGCAGAATGGAGCAATCCATGCTGCCCATCCTCCACCCGACCAAGCGAGACGTCTAGCCCCTGCCTCCGGGGGCACCGGGACCGTACCTCATGGGTACATCGACCTCGACCTCGGGGGTGTCCTTTTCGTCCTCGCTGGGGCCCTTTGTCGCCGCCTCGTCGAGGAGGACATCGAGCTCGGCGCGAATCTTGTCAATCTCGTCGGAATAGTCGTAAGCTCCCGCCGACTTGGTGGGGGATACCTGAGGGGGACGAGGAGGGCCATAGTACTCGTCGTACTCCTCATCAAAGCTGAGAGGGATATAGTCTTCCTCTCCCAGGTCTCCAGGCTGATGCTGGCCTGAACCAGTTGCCCCCTTGGCGCCATTGAGCGAGTGGACCGGGCTCATGGACATGCCCCAGCGACTGCTGGCCGTCCTGGGAGTAACCTGATGGCCGGGGGTGTGGGCGGGCGTCGAGTTGCCCGGAGCTGTGACGGAAACGCTCAGAGGAGGGACACTGTGGCCACCAGCGACACTGGTGCGAGGACCTGAGGGGCCAGAGGAACCAAGACCACCACCAGTACGGTTTGCCGTAGGAGTCACGCCTCCAGTGGTCTTGGAAGCACCATTTGCGCTGCCGTTCGCACTGCCCTTCCCCTCCGTCTCAGCCTTCTTGACCTTGGCGGCCTGGGACTCGGCCTTCTTGTAGGGAGTGGCATAACCCTTGCCCTTGTTCTTGCCCTTCTTGAATTGCCCTTTACCCTTGCCCTTGCCGTAGGAGTAGGCGTGGTAAGCAGGCTTAGGCTTGTCGCGGGTCCACCTATGAGGTCCGCCAGCTGGGTGGTTAGAGCTAACCCTTGCATCCCGAATAACTCACCTGATCTCGCCGAGTCTGAGCGGCCATGACGGGGCTCGGACTCCCAGGCCATGAGGTAATCGGCAGGCGCTTTGGGGCTGTACGATGCATAGGCAGAGTACCCACTCTCGTAGCGAGATGGTGGTGCCTCGGGTTGGTAAGGGGGTCGGAAGCTGGACTGACGCGAGGGGCCGTTGCCTGCGGGTGAGGCGCCCCACATGCGCTTGCGCTCAGCCGAGTCCAGACGAGGTGGCTCTGGACTCATCCTCGGCTGAGAGTTAGAATGGAACACGATGTTCTAGCTCACCTCGTACTTGTGCTTGAGACGAAAGAAGCCCGGGATACCGACTCTCTCGAACCGCGTGAGGCCCTCCAGAGGGCGGCAGAGCGGAAGTGTGATGTCGGTCACATCGGACAGCACGTCGTTGAGGCTGCGTGCGTCGGCCAGGGCGTGAGCGCCGTGGAGACCGTCCGCGATGAACTTGGGCCAGCTCGAGCGACTGATTAGAGCCTGGGCGTAAGGTCAGCATGAGGCCGGCGCAACAGTGGTCAACTTGCCAAGCTGGAGGTCTTCCTATACGTTCGAGGCAAGATATCGAGACCCAGCTCGAAGGCTGGATCATCTTCGAAGCGACAGCGCAGCGGCGACTGTCACGTCAGTCAACCATATCATCTGTTCAGACCCTACCATGGCCAGTGCACGGCGTGCGCTCTCCTCGCTGTCAAAAGTAACTGAGATGTTGAACTTGGTTGGCTCTGGGCGAGAAAAGACGTGCCATGCAGCCTGTGAAAAGTTGTCAGCGCTGGGAATGGTGGCCCATTATGGGAAGCCGCACAGACCACGAAGTGATCAGCGTCACTCAGCACTCACCAGCGTTCCACACGGCCTGAGGACTTTAGCCAACCAAGTCTCCGCACGGGTCAGCCTCTTTTTGCCGCTGTGGCCAGTGAACGCGTTTGAATCGAGACCAATGACGTAGACGGAGTAGAGGTTGACATAGGCAGTGTCGCTGACGCTGCCGCCCCAACCGTAGTCGCTCTCGCTGGCGTCTTTGAGGGTACCTTGGATCTGGAAGCCGGAATAGATCTCCACAAGGACAAACTTGTCTGGAGGCAGGGAGAGACGTTAGAGTGGCAGCGATGGGAGATGAGGGTGGCGTACTGGGGTCCCATGGCTGGTTGTTGGGGTTGAGAAACTCCATGATGAGGGCCTTGTGGGGATGGGGAGGGTGGAAATGGGGGGAGGTGGACGGGGTGAGGAACGGTAGTCGCCTGCACGGATGCTCGCTGATGGCTGATGGGTGAGCACACGAATCCTCGTGTTGTACCCACGGAGGTTGGGCGAAAGCAGAGAACTGCGATGGTGGTTGGATGAGGGAAGAAGAGAGTGTGGAAAGGACGTGGATTGTTCAAAGAGACGGAAAGAGATGATGGGACCCGAGAGAAGACTCGCCGTCACGTCCAGTCACCCACACACACACACAGAACTGCACCGCACAGATGCCGCCCGTTCCCACATAGGTCGCTTAGAAGTCGGCCTTCGCCATGTTGAGGACACCACCGGCTACATACCTATGCATGCTACATTTGTAACCAGTCCCACATGCATCTGGCTCAAGCTTGAGGACTTTGGTCGGGGTGAAAGCATGCATAGCGGCCCGCGGCAGACAAGGTGGGGGCCCACACTCCGAGAAACCAGTAGAGAGGGAACCACGACTTTTTATATCACCCGTTATGTGTTTCTCGCTGCTCCCATCGAAGGACGCGATATGCCGATCCCTGATGGCACTCATTCAACACCGCACTACATCTCTCAGCGATCTCAGCATAACAATGCATGTCGCCCAAGCATGCGTTGTCGCTGAGACCCAGACTCTCGCTCATGCACTAAATCGCCTAAAATGGACAGAAAATACCCAGAAATTACACAAATACTCTGCATGCGACTCAGCCATATGAAACTATCTTCTCCTCCGTCAGTCTGTATACTACATCACCATCCATCAACTAGTCCTCATTCTCGGCCATCTTGGTGAACACATCCTCAATGTCTGTGAGGAGCTTGGCCTTGACGGTACGGACCTCGGCGTCGAGCTCGGCCAGGTGGCGGCGGTGAGAGCCTGCACGGACGGCCTGGTGGGCCTCGAGGTGCAAAACCTTGGCACGAGCCGTCGCAATCTTGATATCCGCCGCCTCCTGAATGGCCTTGATCTGACGCTCGAGCTCGGCCACCTTGTTCGTGTGCGAGGAGGTGGCGGTCTGGTGGTGCTCGCGGGAGGCCTTGATGCGGTTGAGCAGGTTGGTGGTCTGCTCGTGCCAGGTGCTGGAGCCGTCGAGGACCGTCTGGAGGTTTGGGTCGGCCGGCTCGGCGTCGTCACCAATCACGGCTTCCTCGGAACTGCTGGCACCAGGGACCTCGTTCTTGTGGATACCAAGCGAGAGGAGGATGGCGCGGGCTTGAGCACAGTTGGGGCAGTCGCGAGACGCCTCCGAGTCGCCGACCCAAGCGTCCTCGAAGGCAGGAAGAGGCATGTGGAGCTGGCCCAAGCGGCTAAACTTGACCATTTTGGCATACGTACGCATGACTTCGAGCTGTTGGCAGGGGGTCTCGTGTGGGTGACCATTGCTGGCGGTGCGAGTCGCGTTAATGGTAGCCAACGACGTCACGGGGGCACCCTGAGGGTCGATAACCCCCTCGGTGCGGAAAGAGCCATTACAGATCTCGTCGGCCTTCATGAGCATGGTGGCCTTGTCGGAAGGGTCGACAATGGCGCTGGAGGGGATGACCGTCTGGGAATTATCATGGGGCGCAGGCGTGTCACGAATCTTGCTCGAGGGGACCTCAGTGGGGGACGTGGTGACGCCCGCAGGATCCTTGGGAGAACAGGGGCTGACTTGAGAACGCTCCTCTGGTAAAGCGTCGGAGAGAGCCTTGGAGTGCTTGTGCAGGTTGGTTGCCGTAAGCTTGGTAGGAACAGGGGTGTTGGCCTTGGTGACAAGCGTGTTGGCCCCCTCGGTGATCTTGTTAGGGCTGGTGTCGGACTCGTGGCCCTCGATGTCCTGGGCATCGCTCTCGTAGTCGGCCTCCTGGTCGCTGTCCCAGATCATCAACTCGGCCTCTTCATCCCTGGCACGAATGCAGAACTTGCACTGGCACTCATCATCCTCGTCCATGTACTCGTGGCCCCGCTGATTGTTAACAGGTGGTTGCTTCCCTGTGTGGATTACCTACCTCACTGTTTGTCTCAGACTGCATGCTCTCATCCTCGCTCTCGCTCTCGCTCTCGGCGTCCTCGTCCTCGTCCGATCCCTCCGAGGAGTTGTCCTCCTCGTCCGAACCACTGTCTTGGACCTCGCTGTCGGTGTATTCGGTGAGCTCCGTGTGGTCGGTCATGGAGGCGTCGTCTTCCTCGTTCTCACAGTCGCTCGAGGAGTTCGCGTCAGATTCACAGTTGGCGTCTTCCTCCTGCAACGTGCTGGAGCGGGTGTCTGAAGAGGTGGAGCCTGGGGCAGGACTGGAGCCGCCTTTGTCTTCGAGCTCGACCTTGACCTTGGTGGAGGCAGGCTGTTGCTCGTCGACCTCGAAAGAACGCTTGCGCTTGCCACAGGCCGCGGCGTCGGACCCGTCGACAACGTCGGGCTGATTGCCTTCCTTGGAGATACCAGTTACATCAGAAACACCCCTCGTGCGGACAAGGTGGATGGTGCGTGAGGGGCCGAGGGGAACGGTGGGAGGCGGGCCAACGTAAATGGTGTGCGGAGGGCCGAGGTGGATGGTGGGAGGTGGCCCGAGGCTGGGTGGATCGAGGGCGATCTGCTCGCGCCCGCCAGTGTGGGAATCGGAGCCGCGACCAGGTGGAGTCTCAGCTTGAGCCTTGGTATCCTCGAGACGCTTGGGACCCTTGGGGATGGTGGTCTTGATGTTGGTGGGGTGTTTGAAGCCCGAGAGAACAAACTTAGTGGTGTGGTGAGGGGCGGCGGGAGACTCGCGAGCCGCCGCGGGGTTGGGGTTGCGGGTGCGCTGGCAGACGCCACAGTTGCAGTCGTCACCGTCCGAGGCCTTGACCTTTCCGACAGGAGTGGACGGGTCCATCGAGGAAGGCGTTGCCGAGACGGTCTCGCTGTGGATGGGAGTCTGGTGGGAGGACACGGGAGTCATGTTGGAGGAGCGAACAATCTGGCGCAGGCGGGTCATGAGTGGCTTGGGAGGGGACGTGTGGGCGCTGGGGCTCGACTTTGCAGCGGGAAGCTTGCGACCACGGCTGCTGGGAATGAGCTTGTGTTGTTGGGTGGTATTGGGTTCAGCAAGTTGGTGGTGGTAGAGCGAGTCCTCCAGCTTGATTCCTCCGCTCGAGGAGTGGGTGGCAAGACGGGGTGTGACAGTGGGGTGCGGCTGGGAAGAAGCGGAAGCCCCAGCGGACGTGACGTTGCGCTGTGCGACGGGCGCTAGAGGGAGGGCGTTGTAGTTGGCAGCGTCAGGGGGCATGGTGATGATGATGTGTAAGTTGTTGGGAGAGTGGGTGAAAGAAGGAAGGAAGGTGTGTGTGTGTTGCGCATGGGGATGAGTGGATCCGTGTCTTCCTTCCTTCCTTGCGCCCGGGGGGCTCGCACACACACCACTCTGTCACACACCCCGCCTTTCCCGCGCCGCCGCACACATGACGCACCAAATGGGCAAAACTCACGCATCGTCTTTCACATCGACTGCATACACACAGTCACTATATCACTATCACACTGCTCAGTCGGCCCCAGAGGCGCAGAGGCGATGTTTACCGTGTCCTCATTCACACCGACCTGTTTGGCGTCCTTCTCTAGGAGGTCCCTCGGTGCCGACATGGTCTCCCCCACTAGTGAGGGTATAGGACGGCACGATGCCCACCTTGGCGAGTGTGTCGAGGTGCTCTTGAAGAGCAAATCGCACAGCGTGGAGGTAGGCGATCAGCGTCGGAAATGTGGTTGGCGACCGAAAACTGGCCGATTTTTACCTCGAGGCTAGCGATGAGGTGGGGGTCGCACCACACGGCCTGATCAGACGTGACCTTGTTGCGTGCCCAAAGCTCGACCATGAGGGGCGATGGGCGGAACAAGCCGAGTACCACGCCTTCGAAAGTGTCGATACCTTTGGTCGCCAGGTCGTCCACGAATGCCTGCAGGGTACCTGCATTGCCTCGTAGAAAGCGACAATCGTCGGGAACGGGTACGACATCCTGGCAAGGTTGGATTGCCAGGATTCAAACGACGAGTTGGACTGGTGGTGGCCGGGCAGACCATTGCTTCGTGGCCGGTGTAGGTCATGCGACCCGGACGGCCCAAAAGTCCACCGTGGTTTGATGGAAGCCCAGTCGTAGGGTCGACGGTGTTCACCAGGCCAGGACGACGGTCGTACCCGTACAGGAGAGTGTTGTGCGCCAGGTGGACAAAGACCCCGAGGATGTCGAGGGCCAAGTCCGGAGCGAACAGGTAGTTGCACTCCAGCAACCACCGGAGGAGCACGCACAGGAGGAAGCGTGCGAGGTTTTCGGTGGTGTGCTGGAGGAAGAACAGCGTCGGGACACCGTCCTGGTTGACCGGCATCCTGGGGGCGTCCGGGCGGCGTTGACGCACCTCGGCCTCAACCACAATGAAGCGTGAAGGAGCATCGCGCTTCAACACCTCCATTGCCTGCTGGACAGCAGCGTTGGGCGGACGCAGATGGTAGCCTCGAATCACCTCGGTGATGTCGGGCTCAGGCAGGGTAGCCTTCCACACGTACGCCTCGCCCATCGAACGGAAGGTCGTCACATCGTTCACCCACCGCCTCCTCTGCTCGCCGACGACGGCTCCGCGAGAGACGGCTGCCTGAATGGCGTGGAGGTGGTTGAGAAGGACGGCAATGGTGCCGATCTCCTCGTGGCGGGGACCAGTCCCGTCTTCGTTGTTGAAGAAGCGGGCCAGGTGGTCCAGCATGGCGGCCTGAAGAAACCGCCCTTCTTGGACATGTTGAAGCCGACGGGGACCACCTGCACGTTGTCGGGTGTGTGGAGAGGGAGGTCTCCAATATCGCCGTCGTCCCCCGCCTTCATCTGGTCTCTCAGGTCAATGGAGGGAGCCAGGATCCGCGTGCGGGCGAGGTAGTTGCGGAGCTTCTGGATGTGCTCCGGAACACCCGACGCCGCGTCCACGATGTCGTCGGTGTGGTACGGCGCCACACCTCCTTCGAGGAGCCAGGACGTGAGCTTGGCGCGGATGGCGCTGGCGCCGAGACTGGCCTCATCAACGCAAATGGCAGCAAAAGGACCAAAGTGCAGCTAAACGTCAACACAGTATTCCAGTGCAGAGGCAAGGAGGCATGAACTCACGTCGCTCATGGTTGTCCTGGGCTCATATGGGACGTTTTTCTTGGCGCAACGGAGCTTGTCCCACACCAGAACGGAAGCCAGCTTCTCCTCCAGCGTTTGGCGCCTGCCGATGATGAAGATGGCCTCCTCGATGGCCTCGACCTCGTCGTACGCCTCGGCAAGCTCACCCTCGCCGCCATCCTCGTCGCTGGCATCCAACTCGTCGTCGTCTCACTCATCGTCGGTGTCCTCGTCCTCGTCGTCTGAGAAAATGTACGACTGGTCTCCAATGTCGGAGACCTTTGCGCCGGAAGGAAGAGGCGACGGGACAGGCGCTGGACAGGGGCTTGGATCGCCACTGGACGTACTCCTGGTAATAGGGGTGGAGGACGATCCACGACTGGTGCTGGACGACCCGGACGTCGAGTTGTCAGCCGGGGCCCCACTGCGCGTACTACGGCGATCCATGTGAACTGGGCTAAAGAGAGGTTGGGCGAGGAAAAGTAGAGCGAGAAGATGTCGAGCCAGCACAAGTTGGCGGGGACAAGAGGAGTGAGGAGAATCGGATGGGAGTAAAGGAAAAGAGGGCTTGGAGCGAGTAGAGGAGAGCAAAAGGCAGGTTGGTGATCTGCACGAAAGGGTTGTATGTTTGTATGTAGTGAATGGCAAGTGGTTGATCAACCACTTGCCACTCATGGTTGACGGTGTTTATGTCTGGGGGTGAGGCCGATTTTGCCACCCCCACGCTCAGCCGCCCACAGCCAGATTCGAATGAAGCAGACGCAACCTGGCATTCCCCCATGGCCCACGGCCACATACTTGCCACCCAGACAACGGCCTTGACATACCCCAGCATCCTCTGTACCTCTGCTCAACAGTTCACCACCACCACCCCCTCGCCTCTTGACCTCTGCGCATGCTGCACAGAGCTGTTGAACGTCGCCTGCCAGCCGGAACGTCTTGAGCATCTCCTACGATGCCACACTACGGCGGTGCGCTGTAACGAGTTCGCTCCGTCTGGGCGTTCAGGTCGACCGCAGCGTCTCCGTTTTCAGCTGCTTGACCTACGTGTTCTCCATCGCTGCGGCTGACTGAAACGGCAGCGGCGACACCAACGACCGCAATTGGATCCCCGTTGTTCCTCTGCTTCACTGGAGGTCCTTAATGCCTCGCTCTTCGTCCGCCACCTCTATGCTCTCCCCTGAGATTGGAAACAGGTATGTCTGCAGATTCTGGTGAGAGACAGTGTCATCGGTAGAGACAGTGTGAACGGTGCGCTGACAATGCCCAGTCTTGACCCGATACGGTGCACGAGCTCCTTGAGTGTGGCACCGGAAGAGGCCGTTGTCGGTCTTCCCACCATGGGCATGAAGGCTCATCCATCAATGTAACCAGCAGTCGAGCCCTCCATCCTGTCCCACTTCGATGACTGTTCCCTTCTCGGCGAGACGAGAGCCTCGCACAGCCTGCTGTGGTTCAATGGCTGATGATCCAAACGAACTAGCCTCAGCCATTCATGACCACTACCGCAGCTTGAACAGGGCCAAGAGATTGCCGGGTTAGCTTGAGGAGTTCGCTGCTGGGTTCACCCAAACGTTGATGAAATACATATCGTCGTCCTCAAAGTCGATGTATGCATAATGAATGCCAATACAATGCGAGCTAGGATGGTTATCGCTTCCATACAGGCTTGGTTCGAAGCCAACTCGGTGACTAAATAATTTGCTGCCACCACCGATCCTCTTCCTCGCTCGTGTTGCACAATCACAACCCATTGCTGCAGCAAGTAGCGGACGAGGTTCAGCAATCACCATCATCGCTCGCGACGCATGCACGCTGTCCTATCCACAGTATACATCAAACATGAACGATGCGACCAGCAGCAAGCACAATAGCGTCGAACCTCTGCTGTCGGAGTCAACAGTGCCGCGACAGACATAACGCCAGCCTTGGCCGCTGCCAACCAAACCTTTGAGCCTCATCAGGTACACCTCTAAGTAGGGGAGACGGCCACACGCAAGCCACTACCCTCTCGGACCTGATGGCCACGACTGGGAGGAATGGCCGATGACCCAGAGGGGGGATTCGGCAAAAGACTGCCATTGCCGCAGCCACAACGGACGTCGGTGGCCAGTGAGCGCATACATGCGCATATGGTTGAATTGACTGACTGCTTCAATATTCCCGTTGGAAACCTTTCGCACCGACACAGTTATGAAGAGTTACGAAGCACACTATTCATTGTCTATCTCTCCCGAACAGTCCCGATTAGACTTTCCAACACAATCTTATTGCAGTCTCCAACCCCATTCCTCTGGCCTCTGGTTGCATTAGCACAGGTACGCAACAGACGCGAAAAGGCAAAGGTATCAAGACTCTCTGTACGAGGACTCACAAAGGCGCTCAAAGACAAACAGGTGCTCCTGGGGCGGGGCGAGAGCAGCACCGCTGACGGCACGCGCAATAGCCGCGAGGGAAAGGGCCTTGGAGAGGGGCACGACGGTGTTGTCGTACGTCGTGTGCAGAGTCCAGCCGTGGTTGGCTCCGTTCTCCGTCTGCCGTAAGCGATGTCACAGACTTTGTTGAAAGTGGGATGGCAAGCAAAACGTTGTGCCACTTACCCAAAAGCCCTCGACGACCATCCCGTCACCCAAGAACGCGACCATGGCGGTGGCGTCGCACTTAAGGGTGTAGCCGGCGGAGACACCATCCGAGGCGCGGACGAGGTTGGCGCCACCATCGATGGCCAGCTCAAGGCGTGGACCAGCGGTGGCCGTCGCCAGCATTCCTTCGAGCGAGTACTTGTCAGCACACTTGACGTGCGCGGGGCCCGCCACGGGGGTCCAGCCGGTAGCCTTGAGGCGCTGGAGCTGGGCAGCACGGGACAAGGTCGCGCTGATGTCAGCGTCTGTCAACAATTAAACAAAGACTCACATCCACGTCTGCTGGGCGGCGGGCTTGGCCGCGTTCTTGTCGCCTTCCGCGATGAGACTCTTGAGGCGGTCGCCCACCTTGGTCGTCCAGACTCCGCGCGCAAGGTTGATGTTTGAAAGGATGGTTCCCGCCCTGTCTCCACGGAAGCCACCAGCACCGACGGCCGCCCAGAGGACGGGGCCGACGTCGAGGAGGAGCTGGTGAATCGCGGCCCGCCTCGAGCGGATACGGTCGACCGTGCTCTGGTCAGCAATCGACAGCGCCTCAAAGAGGTAGTAATCCTTAACATCAGACGTGTAAAGGAGATCGGTGTTGCCATCGTGGATGAGGGGTCCGTAAAAACCCTTGAGGACGTCCATGTTGGTGGGCGTGTTGAAGGGGGCGTTACCGTTAACGGTACCAGTGAAAATGGGGTTTGGGCGTGCGGTGGTGGTGAGGGTGGAGGCGGTGGAGGAGGTGGAGGAGGCCATCTGCAACGTCAGCATGGCATGCAGGTAATGCGGCACCGCGGTAGTGGGAGAACAGAAACAGTGTGGATGGAGATGGAGATGGATGGGTAAAGGACGGGTGTGAAGGAGGAGGGGGAGACGGAGGACGGAGGAAAAGCACGCCGCCACAGTCGTCGTGACTCACTTTGTTTGCTCTGCGAGAGCGGAAAAGTGTGTTCAGAGTGGGAGTGGAAATAATGATGAGGATAAGAGTGACAAGTGGTTTGAGTGAATGAGAGAGACGTGATTGAAGAAGAATGCATGGTTTATATACAAACAGGAGGTGAGTGGCGAGAAGCAAGAAGGCGTGTGACTGTCGACACAGGTCACACCGGTTGGCCAGTCTGGCTAGTTCCAGGTCACGCTAGTGCCAGTAACGCCCCACACGCTGACGCTTTGATGGGCGCCATGAGGCCATGAGCGATGCGCCTTCTACTGTGCTGCTGCCTGTCCCTCCTCTGCCAGCTACCACCCGAGCGGTCAACCTGCACATCGCTCTCTGGTGTGAGCGCCCGACTACCTGACGCTGTCCGGAGAACTGGGGAGTTGGAAGAGCGCCACAGCTATGACACTGTTGTCCCAATGTGTCCCGTTGAGTCTCAGCAATCGATTGGAATGAGCAGACAAGAGCGCCTGGGCCTGTCCTGTTCATCAAGTGTGGCACCTGTGGCGCCTCCCCCTGCAGTCCAAAGCTGCTCCACCCGTCCCCCCTCCCGCCCTCCTTGTGCACCATGCCATGGACTGCGGATCGTCACGGCCGCGGTCGACATGGATCCCACGGATCGGGGCTGATCCAATACACGCGGTTGGAGCATGCGCAGCAGGACCGCCCGTACGGTGCTCTCTTGACCTGCACTGCTCATCGGCCACTGGCTTTACTTGAAGTAGCCTTTGGCGTCGCTGTTGCCGCCGCTCTGCTTGCTACGCACCACACCCGGATCACAAAGACACTAGCATTGCGGTCCATAGCCTGGACGCTCCGGACGTGGCTGCGAATCCATGCTCCAGCGCTCCAGCTGGAGTGCATGCAGATCCCATGGAGTGGGAACCAGGAATGCGGGAATGGAGGCGAAGAATGGTGTGCGGGAGTATATTTGAGGGAGAAACCGAGTTTATCTTTGCCCCGCCTTTAGTTGCGGTTTACTGCCACGGGGCCTATCGCCGCAATTCTCCGGTGAAATTCACTCCGCCACCGACTGGTGGATGCGGCACACAACTGCTCACCACAGGCCGTCTTGTGAACTTCAACCCTCAACACATCGAAAAAGTGAGCCCAAGACCTACGTCCGAGCATAGCTAACAGTGCAGAATGCCTACCCGTTTCACCGTGAGTCGCGAGCGCGAGTCGGGCGAGTGATTGTGTCGAGAGAGAAGGGGACAGGCTGTGGCGGCCGTTGTGGCATCACAATATGTCCTCTTCCTCCTCTCTTGACCTTTCTTCTTCGTCCGGCGCACCCATAAACAGCGCCGCTAACGTCCCCGAAGAAGACTAGGAAGCACCGCGGTCACGTGTCCGCTGGTCACGGTCGTGTCGGTACGTTTTTGAGCATGCAGGAGCATGTAGATGTCGAGGACGGACGATTTGAAGCCCGGAAAAGGTGTCGGAGGATTGGTGGAAAGGTGGATGTTGAATTTTGATTCCCGTCAATTTCTCCCGTCCCCCAACACTTTCAACCGCTCCTCAACCGCTGCGATCGCTCCTCGACATCTGAGGCCTCTGAGGCCTTGGTTTGGGGATAGTTTGTTGACGCTTTGACAGGCAAGCACAGGAAGTCTCCTGGTGGTCGTGGTCTCGCCGGTGGTCAGCACCACCACCGTACCAACATGGACAAGGTACGTTGAATACGAAGCTGGGCCTGGTCTGGGCTTGCGGGCTGTGACAGGCGCCTGGAGACCTACGTGCGGCTGCAGGCTGCACACGAACGGCTGCACAACGTCCGTGAATGTTTTCTAACGCTTTCTTCAGTACCACCCTGGTTACTTCGGCAAGGTCGGTATGCGCACCTTCCACCAGCTCAAGAACCACCACTTCCGCCCCACCATCAACGTTGACAAGCTCATCACCCTCCCCGAGGCCAAGGTTGAGGCTCCCGAGGGTTCGGTCCCCGTCATTGACCTTGTCCACCTCGGCAAGTTCAAGCTCCTCGGCAAGGGTGTCGTCGCCAAGCCCTTCATCGTCAAGACCCGCTTCATCTCGAAGCAGGCTGAGGAGAAGATCCGCAGCGCCGGCGGTGTTGTGAAGCTCGTTGCCTAAGCGCGTCGTTTGGACAACCTGCTCGATGCTGTTTTGATGGCATGGCCATTTTTTTGGCCGATGTAACATGTGCATTACTATGTAACATGTGCAACAACCCTGGTTCCCATTTTGGGCTTTCACGTGTAGAGAAGACTAACCCGGAAGTGATCCGTTGAGCTGGCTGTGCGATAGCACCACACTTGCCTGTTTATTCGTGCCGGACCTGCAGATAGGATGGAGAAGAGGAGCATGGTGGCATAGTTGGTAGAGTCGCCTAAACTCCCGTTAGGACTCCCGTAGGCTACAGCATGTGGCGTCCCTCTAGAGTACAGCCGCTGGGACTTTGCTGGCAGCCAAGTCCTGCCTGCCCGGGGCAGCGACCGCCCATGGTGTGCCATGACGAACAGCCGTGACCGTGTCAGGATGATGTTGGACATTGTTGGCAGACGGACAACAAATAATCATCCCGGCAGATCGCCATTTGTCTAGACAAAACTGACTGCACATCAACCCGTAATACCACATCCATATGAAGGCCAAGACCTACAGCATGCAAGTAAAATAGGAGACAGCGCTGCAGACGTCGATTTGCCGAAACCACAGACATACAAGACCGTTCCAAAAATGGTCCGCTTTCAGAAGGCGCTGTCCCGTAGTGGTTATCGGGTTACCTTGCTATTGTTGAATCACAATCAGGTAATGTGCTTTGCACTCGAGAGTTCGAATCTCTCCAGCGTCGGCAGCGCGTGAGCGCGACGCATCTGCTTTTGCCAGTTGCCCGTCGTGTCTTTTAACGGTGGCCTGGAGACGAGTTTGGCGGACGTGGAAGGTGGACTCGACGACGGGAACGCGCGGTGCAGGTTCCGATATTTGCTTCCGTGTGGCACTTTGGCTGACGGGCATTTGTTTTCGGTGGAGAGTGCGTCCTTTACTGTCTTTGTTTGCTGTGCCGGCGTCTCTTGTGGACGCTCGCTGTGTGGTTATGCTTGAGTAGGCGCAGCGGGGATGCCCTTGTCTCTCCCACACTCCCCCTCGACCTTCCCGAGCGACTCGCTTCTTGCTGTGCGGGCAAGTGATGTAGGGTGTGAGATCACGTGACCACCAACATGGGCCGTGAAGTGACCTCGCGCTTGTGTGGCCAGGAGCACACACATGTACAACAAGGCCATGTATTCCAAGCTTAGGACACTGTGAACTGTGGTCAAAGGTAGTGGGCTATCTACATCGGACAACACCGCGCTCTGACCTCGGACTGGCACGACAAAAGTGCGTCAAACATCTAGCCGGGGTGTAGCCGAACGATACGCGCTGCGAGATACGATAGCAAGCTCGCCGAGTGGGGCCATATGGGGCAGCCAAGACGGATAGTAGTTGAGATAGATAAAGAAGACCGATGAAGAGGCGGACACTTGGCGAGCCTTACACACCATAGTAGCGACTTTGCCCGCCGACGAGTCGCTCGCAGCAAGGACGCAGTCATGGGCAAAGTGGTCGGCGGTCGCCGCTTGCTTGGCAGCCGTCGAAAGCCCATCTGGCGGGTAGTTGTCGCGCCCGCAAAGGTGTGAGCGCGCCACCGTGCTCACTTCCACATGTGTAATGCGCATACCTCACGCCAAAAGTGCAAACGGTGTTGTCCATCACGCCCGAGACGTTGGCCACATTCCGTGCCTTGCACATTGTTATTGCCTAGACCTGATTCCCAGCGCGTACATCGCGTTTACCCAGACGCGCCCCGCATCCACTCTGTGCAGTGCCTCTGCACTTGCCTGGGCCCCTATGGAACGATCCGAACATGCACCTAGGCGACGTTGCAGGACCAGAAAGCGTGTGGCGCTGTGGGTCATGGTCGGAGTCTCGTGCTCTTATGATTGCATGGCGTGATCATTCGTGCCTCCCCGCAAGAAACAAAGAGAGAACTGGGCTGCCCACATGCCTTTACAGTCTCCAAAGCGGAGCGCCGAGTTTGCTGGAACGGGCTCAAGGCCTAGAATCTCAGGCAAGGCGTTCGGTCACGGGGACTGCCATGTATACATGGAGTGTGGAGATGAAATGACTACACTGTGGCCGGTTAACGATGCCGCATTGAGTAGTAGTGTGGTGCTGAAACTGAGACAGCCAAGCGCTCAGGCTGCCCGCCCCCCGCGGGCGTTCTCTCGCCTACGATTGGGTGTCCTGATAATTATCCTCTCCGACCGCCTCTGTGCCGCGGGGCAAAGCAGCCCAGCACGACCTTTCAACGTCGGGCCTCACATTTAGCCCTGACAAGCGACGCTCTGCCGACAGAACGAGCCAAGACAGCGAAAGGGTTTGCACCTCGCGATATGACGTGACTGGAAAAGCCATCCCCTCCACATGAGCGAATAACAGATGCCGCATGCAACGATCCAGGAGTCAGGAAACCCGCTGCAGCACTACAGTGACCAGCTGCAGGGGAGATGAGGGCGGAGATCGGGGCGGCCAAGTGCGCAACCTGGCAGACTTGCATCAGCGGCAACAGAGGCACCACCAGCTCGACGAGAAGTAATAAAAGAGGGCCGGCCGTGGGAGTGAGACTGAACTTGCAACCACCCCCCCTCTCTCTCCCCCAACCACACCCCCCTAACACCCATATACACTCATGAGTCGCTTCGACGCATATGAGGGCTCCGAGGGCTACTCGGAAGAAGACAAGAGCAAGGTCGCCACCGGTGGTGGCCTTGGCCTGCCGGGCTCTGGCGGTCTCGAGACCGGCCGCATCGACAGCATCCCAACGTCCACCGACTCGGACTTTCGTGCCATCGACCCGGACTCGGGTGTCAAGCGTGGTCTCAAGACCCGCCACCTGTCCATGATGGCCTTGGCAGGCATCATTGGCCCCGGCCTGCTCGTCGGTTCGGGCGGTGCTCTGTCCAGCGGTGGCCCCGCAGCTTTGCTCATTGGTTTCGGCGTGATTGGCATCATCGCATTCAGCATCATGCAGAGTCTGGGAGAGCTCACTACGCTCTACCCTACTGGTGGAGCCTTCACTGGTCTCGCTGACCGCTTTGTGGACAAGGGCTTTGGTGTTGCCGTTGGCTACAGTGAGTGGAGCGTTGGTGGTGGTGGTGTTGTTGTTGTTGTTTTTCGGTGGCAAAGCGGCTGACATAACCTTCAGGCTACTGGTTCACCTGGGTCTGCGTCTTGGCCAACGAGTACAACGTTATTACCTCCATCTTTACATACTGGTCTGACAAGGTCCCTCAGTGGGGCTACTTTCTCATTTTCTGGGTAAGTCCGTCCTGTCTCATGTTTTGCCTCCACCAGAGCACCACCGCTCCGCTCCGCAGTATTTGCAAAACCTGCATCTCTCCCGTGACGTGAGAAGCGGGGCGTGCATCGCTGGCAATCTTGTGCAACAACCTTGTTGCTATACCCTGTGCATCTCGCATCAGTTTCCAGGAGTACAGGAGTGGTGCATGTGGCCCATGTGATGGGCGGCTAGTCGCACCTGACATAGTCGCCCCCGCAAAAATAAATCTCGCAGTCTCCGACAGTGACATCACACCCACCCCCGTTTCCGATCGCTGACCCTCGACACCAGTTTGCGTTCTTGGCCTTCCAGCTCCTTGGTGTCGAGTCCTTTGGCGAGGCCGAGTTCTGGCTCGCTTTGGTCAAGCTCGTCGGTCTCCTTGCATACTTCATCTTCTCCATTGTGTGAGTGACATCCCCCTCCCATTTCATTTCAGGGACGTGTACTGACCATCCGCAGCTACGTCTCTGGTGGTGTGAACGGTGATGCTGTCGGCTTCCGCTACTGGCACGACCCCGGTCCGTGGTCGAACGGCTTCCGCGGTGTTGCCGTCGTGTTCGTCTACTGCTCGACGTTTTACGCCGGTGTCGAGTCGGTTGCCGTCGCTGCCACCGAGTGCCGTAACCCCCGCCGTGCCGTCCCGCTCGCCATCCGTCAGACCTTTTGGCGTATCGTGTTTGTCTACATGGGTTCGGCCTTCTTCTTCGGCATCACCTGCCCCTCGAACGCCGACGGCCTCGTCAACGGTGCCTCGCGCGCGCTCAAGTCGCCCATGACCATTGCCATCCAGACTGCTGGCTGGAACGGCGGCGTCCACCTCATCAACGCGTTCATCTTCATCACCTGTCTGTCGGCGTGCAACTCGTCCATCTACATTGGCTCGCGCACGCTCCTCTACATGGGCCAGAACCGCAAGGCGCCCAAGATCCTCGGCTGGACCAGCAAGCGCGGTGTCCCCATCCCCGCCATCGTCGTGACCAACCTCTTTGGCTGTCTCTCCATGATGAACCTGTCCACCGGTGCCGGCGAGGCTTACGGATACATTGTCAACCTGTCCGGTGTCGCCACTTTCCTCGTCTGGGGCGCCATCTCGTTTGTCCACATCCGTTTCCGCAAGGGATGGAAGGCGCAGGGCTACTCGGTCTCGGACCTCCCGTTCAAGTCGTGGTTGTTCCCCTGGAACGCCTACTTTGGCCTTGCCGCCAACATCTTCCTCGCCCTCGTCCAGGGCTGGACCAGCCTGTCGCCCTTCAACGCCGGCAACTTTGTCGACGCGTACATTCTGCTTCCCGTCTTCGCCCTCATCTGGTTTGGCTACAAGCTCATCTTCAAGACCCACTTCTGGCGTGCCGACGAGATGGACCTCCAGACCGGTCGCCGCAAGGACGTGGACATGCTCGTCGAGATCCAGGAGGGCGAGTTTACCAAGAAACAGCCTCTGTGGAAGCGTCTTGCTCGCAACGCTTAGAAGAACCTACACAGTCTGGGGGTTGGGTATATAAACACGCGGATAATCAATCGACGCCGCCCGATTAGATGGGTTCAAATGCGCGCTACTGTGCTGTACGTTAGCTATATTTTGTGTATGCAGTGCGGTTGTGGTCTGCTTGTTGCTTCAAACACGTCTCTACACGCTGTCCTCTCATAAACAAATGTACGGTACCGACATGTTGGTCCGTATATGCATGTCACCGCGATCACCGCGTCCTGGTCAACGCGACAGGCTTTGTCTCAACACGAGTACCGCGGTGGTGTCGGTTATTCCTGGTTCGGACGTTGCCGTCTCGGTTATTTCTCTCCAGCCGCGGACCCCCGCGGGGACGACAGCCCCCAGACATGACATCTTTGGCCTTGCACTTTGGCTTCTACTCATCCCTCACCGCTCATCCACACTCACGCCTCGCATCCATGTCTGCGATAGCCCTCCCGATCGAGGACGAGCTCCACCCGGCTCACGAGCTGGCACTCAAGATGCTGCTCGCAGGTGAGTACCAACCGCTGGGGACGCGTCGTGTCTCCCTTCGCGTCACGCACAACCCATGACCCAGTGCTGTCTCATGTCGTTGTTTCGGAAAGCATGCTGACGCGACGTCGTCCTTCCCACCCTCATGTCCCGTTCGTGTTACTGCTCCTTTACCTCCTCACTCACAGGCGTGGGTAACTCTGTCAGCGCAACAATCACCAACCCTGCAGACCTGGTACGCCCTCCCCGCAAACCATCCACCGCTGACATCCCAGGTCAAGGTCAGGCAGCAGCTGTACATCAAGCAGGGCTCTGGTCTGTCTCCAAGCTTTCTCCATGTGCTCCGTGACATGGTCCGCAACGAGGGGTTTATGAGCATTTACAACGGCGTGTCGGTGAGTTCCGGCCCGGGCCCCGGACCCCATCACCCCGCAGGGACACCGTAGGGACGAGTTGACGCGGGTGACAGGCTTCGATCTGTCGTGAAATGTCCTAGTGAGTCGCTCAAGCTCGACACTCTTCAGCAGCTCCGCAAGCTTGCGCTGACGCTCGGCGCCCAGCTCGGGTATCCGCATGGGCTGCTACGACCTGTTCAAGACCGGTCTGGTCGGCGCCTCGAGCCTCGATCCACACAGCGTGGCGGTCAAGCTCGGCGCAGGGATGGGAAGCGGCATGCTCGGCGCGGCAATTGCCAACCCGGCCGACGTGCTCAAGGTCCGTCTCCAGGCTATCGGCGGATCCAAGATGGGTCTGTTGGCACATGGCAGACAGATTCTGAAGGAGGACGGTATCAGGGGGTTCTACCGCGGTCTCGTGCCGACGATTCTGAGGTGAGTTGGGTGTTATTGGGGCCGTGTTGCCCTTTAACGATGTCCTAGGACGACTCAGCTGGGTGCTTTTCCCACAGCATAGCTGACCTCGCAGGGCTGGCGTCCTCACCTCGTCCCAACTCGGCTCGTACGACGTCGCCAAGCACTGGGTCCGCACGCACTACCCAACCTACTTCCCCGAAGGTTTCCTCACCCACTTCATCTGCTCGGGCTTTGCCGGTTTCGCGTGCTCGGTGGCCTCGGCACCCATCGACACGGTCAAGGTGCGCGTCATGAACGACCGTGCGGGCAAGTTCAAGTCGGGCCTGGACTGTGCCGTCCAGTTGATGCGCTACGAGGGGCCGTTGGCGTTTTACAAGGGATTCTTTGGATGCTGGATCCGCCTGTGGCCGCACACGGTCATCTCGCTCATCATCTTTGAGAAACTGAGAGCTTTGGTGGGTCTCAAGCCAATCTAGGCGTCGTCGGTAGAGGAGAGGGAGCTTGTTCTGAGGCATTGTTTCTGGTCACATTGGTTGTACAAATGCATGCCGGCACGGCACTTGAGCATACACGAGTTTTCTGTCTGTCGCCTCTTACAAGATGGCCTGGGCGTTAGGCGGGCTCGCAATGCCGCCGTCGAGGTTCAGCACCATGCTGGTGAACATGAAGGTCCACTTGTTGAGGCGCTCGCACTCGGCGGCGAGCTTGCGGAGGTCGAACAGCTCGCCGATGGGCAGACCCCAGCCAGCCAGGAAGACCTCGTGGCAAGAGAGCGGGCCAAGCGGGGGGTACACTTCGTATGCAAGGCTGTGGAGTGTCAGCTATGCTACGAAACGCTGATCAGCTGATCAATTGACTCACGTATCCGTCGCCACTGCAGCGATGCCGTTGTCCCAGTGCCACCTCATGACCTCCTCGGTCTGCTCCACTCCGACCCAGCCCTTTGCAGCAGCCAGCATGGCCGCCAGCCCCTCTTCATTGAGATCATACAGCGCCTCGGTGAACCCCGTGCGAACAATGAGGATATCGCCCGACGCAAGCGTGACGCCCTCGTCCTCGGCACAAGCCTTGAGCGTGGACAGAGAGATCGGGGTGGTCCGCTCGAAGATCTTCAACGGCTCCCCGCCCGTCTTGGCGAGGTAGCGCGGAATGTCGAGAAGGTGGGCACGCGAGGTGATGGGGTTGTCGGCGTAGACTGGGGTTGACCGTCAGAACCGCCGCAGAAACCCACTCACGCTGGATGCCGAACGACTTGTTGCTGACGTCCATCGCCTCCTCTGTAGTCATGCCGCCGTGGAACGTGTAGACGTCCTTTTTCGGGTAGTGTTTGTACGAAAAGTGGCGGAAACCGTCCCACTGGGTTGCGCATTGGGTGTTGAAGCTGACCGTGTCGTCCAGGCAGTGAACGCGGTGGATCCTGGACAGTCAGCCACACTGCCAATGATCAGCTGCACTCACACTTCGTGCTTCACCTTGGGCCGCACTGGGTGCAGACTTGGGAACGTGTTGAGATTGACACTGGAGTTAGTATCACGTATCCAGGTCCAACCCACTTGAGGTTGACGGCGATGCCGTGCTTGATCGCGTCGCGGCCGCGCTTGATGGATTCTGGGGTGATCATGTTCAGCCGGCCCAACTCGTTGTCCTGCCCGTGCAGGCCCCAGGCATTGAGAGGTGGCCCGGAGCGCTTCTTGAGTTGGTCAAATGTGCAGGGGTTGAAGCTCTGGGTGGACATGGTGAATGGTGAGTTGATGTGTGAAGGAGAAGGCCACGTCCAGTCGTCGTGGGATCGTTCGTCGTCATGGGTGGGTGGGCGTCGGATTCTGGTCACGGGCAAATCCGATCTCGGCAACTTACGGTTACCAATGCCGTGCAACAGTTGTTGATCCAGCGGACATGAGGCTGTTATTAAGACACGGTGGGGAATCTCCCGCTACGCTCCAGTCGTGCATGATGCACCAGATGCCGGATGTATCCTGATAAACGTGCAGCCTTCCAAATGCAGTGCTACAGCGTGAGAACATTGGGGCGGTCGGATGTGGTCATGGTCGAAAAAGCAGATGCCGAACCGCTGGTGCCTCTTACGAACAGCGGTGGATGGGATCAGCCACTGAGGACTACTTGTCCTGTAACTCTTGACTGAGTTCCCCAAGTCTCCCCAAGTCTCCCACTTCTGTGCCCTCGCACAACATCTCGATGGCCCACAGCATGTCGTCGTCTCACCACCTCAACCTGCCACTCATGTGGTCTTTCGACCTGTCGGAAACCGTGGCCAAGGCCAACAACGCCCATTTCGGCCCCAACGCACTCATTGATGCACTCTACATGCTCGTCTCGGCGGGAGTCCTCGCCCTCCAGTTGGCATGGCTGTACCGTGTCTACAGCACCCAACCGCCCGTTCGCTCCTGGGACTCGATGGGCCTGTACTTTATCTACTGGGCGATCAACATGGCGCAATACCTCCTTGCATGCTACATGGTCGTGCTCCCGTTCAAAATCGTGCGCGGCTGCCTCCAGGCTATAGAGGGGAGCATCGAGCCGGCAAGGGCCGTTGGACGGCTGGTGAGCACGTGGACGAGTGCTTAGGATGTCTACTTCATTCATTCATTGTACACTGCCGTCTCTCGCCAATCGATGTACTGTACTTGTACTCTAGACTCGGCCTAAGCTTTGGGCCACTCGGCGGGGTCATCACCATTCTGAACGGGGCCGCGCTGCACGATCACTTCAATGGGCCCGGAGAACTTGATGACTGGGGCAACGGTGCGGATCTTGCCCGACAGAGCTGGGGCGTCCAGCGTGTGCCAAAACTTGGGGCTCATGAAAACATCGGGCCTCGCTACAACGAGCTCTGGGATGACAATGGGCAGCGACGTGGTCATCTGGACGGGTCAGCAAAGATCAACAGCTGCGTGTGACTCACATCCCAGTCGTGACGCAGGGGCACCTTGGTCTTGACCTTGGCATACACCTCGTCCGGGTATGTGCCGAGCCCCATGAGGAAGACGTTGTAGTATGAAAGGGAGAGGTCGAGGTCGAACACACCACCCTGGACGTTAGCTCCAGGCGGTTTTCGTTAAGCTCACCTTTGTTGCGCGCAGGTAGAGTGCGTGCATGGCGCCGACGAGGCCGCTGGCCCCCGCGCCAAAGTCCGAGTTGGGGAAGATGGGCACGACGGGCTCGTCAAGGCCGAGGCTTTCTCCAAACACCCTCGACAGGCCAGTCAAGCAGTCTGAGACCTGTTGCCAGCCCGAGCGGCCCTGCCACGGTCCGTGCCATCCGTAGCAGTTCTCACGGACGTGGATGATGTTGGGGTTGAGCTTGCGCACTTGCTCGCGACCAAACCCGAGACCGGCAACGCAGCCTGGGCGGTAGCCGTCGATGAACACGTCGGCGTCCTTGATGAGCTCGGCGAGGATCCGCTTGCCCTCGGGTGTCTTGAGGTTGAGGTCGGCGTTGTACTTGCCCTGGCTAAGATCGGGGTTGAGAATACCCAGGTCGGGAAGTGTGGACGAGGTGATGCGCAAGACCGTGGCGCCGTGTTCCGCCAGACCCTTGCCGACAGCGGGGCCGGCAATCACACGAGTGAGCTCGAGGACCTTGATGCCTGAGAGAGCCATCTGCTTGGTGGCAGGAGGCCATGCAACAGGAGGTGTAGGTGCGACTTCTGAAAGCTCGTAGATCGGGCAGTTGATGATGGCCTTGCCCTGCTCGAGCTGCTTGAACTCTGGCGTCAGCTGTTATTGACGTGGATGCCTAGCTCACCGTCCCAAGTGTAACAGATTGTTCCTGCCTGGCGGTACTCTTCGTTGGCAGCCTTGTCAATGTCCTCAGCATTCCACTTGGCCACCGCGTCGCCGTAGATCTTGCGGATTTCCTCAGCGTCGGTGATTTCCGTCCTCTCGGGATCGACGCCGACCATTGTCATGGACGGGCGTGCGTTCATGCTGCCGTGGAGGTGAAAGTAGCGCCCGTCCTTTGTCTTGTAGATGTTGGTGGCCATCTGACGGTAGCGATGCTTTCCGCTGTCGTGAATGTCCGTGTCGCGGAGGTGCGCCGAGGCAGCGCGGTCGAGGCTTGGCTTGCCATTGAGCGTAGTCGAAAAGGCACTGAACACGAACAGAGCAGCGTGGTCGGTGTCAATGACCACCTGGCCGGCATCGACGTTGAACCGCTGCTGAGCAATGGCCCCGGCAAACGCAGCTTCAAGGCCCTTGACGGCTGCTATTGCCTCGGCGAACTTGGACGGCACACACAGGAAGGGGACGGCAGTGCCGTCAAACGACACCTTCTTGGCGGCTTCCTTGACGGCGTCGGGGATGGCGAGTCGCGGATCGTTGAGCAGCTCGACGAACGTCTCGGTGGCGACGCCGGGAACGCTGTAGTCTGTATCGGCAGTCATTGTGGATGTCTGTATGAACGATGCAATGCTGAGAGATTGTTCAAGGACTTGCTTGTCATAAGGGAACGACGGTTCATGTGACAAACTCGCCCAACGTCAGTGTCACGGAGTAGGAGACTGGGGATGCCGCAGCTGTGCCGCCCACCACCAGTGCCGAGCATACGGCCGTATGACCTCCATCGACCTGGGGATCCGGGGCCGGATGAATGTCTTACCGGGGCTGGTGTTGGCCGCGGCCGACGCTGCGTCTGCGCTGCTCGGCCCCAAGCACTCTTGCGAGATCTTCCAACGCCACTGTACCACTCACACAGTACATCAGTGCCCACCGCACCACCCGGCTGACTGGAGAGCAAGTGGGCCAAGGGGGCTCCGCCTCCACCGCCCCCGTCATTTGAAAAGACCTCTGCGCTTGGGACGTCTTTCCACCGCTTCAGTCAACTGGCCTGCATGTAGGTGACGATCAACAGTTGCACGGTACCCACGGCCGAGAGATGGTCGCTACAATGTAACTGCGAATGACTGCCCGGGCGCCGGGCCACGTATCCACTGCGACAAGCCTGAGCGTGATTGAGTGAGCGGTGCTGTGGGGTTTTTCGGTAACCGGAATGTTTCTCCTTGCAGGGTTTATTGACCGAGACAAGTAGATCCCTCAGAGGTCAGAGAGGTCACGGGGATACCACATATACAACAACCATGGGAGCTCAACCCACGTTCACAATCTTTCCATCGCAACGTGCAGCATCATGGGCACCGTCACAGACCACAAGGGCGTATTCAAGATCGCCGCGTTCAGCGGCTACACGGGTGACAAGGCGTGAGTCCGACCAGAGTGATAGACCGATCCTGACGGCTCTCCAGGGACGCGCTGCAGCGTCAGGCCGAGAGCAGCGGTTGTCCTGTGCTTTTCGGCGACTACCTCGCAGAGATGGTGAGCTTGTCGCCTCTTGGTCTTTTCTGACATGCGCTAGAATTTGGCCTGGCGTGCACTCGAAGTCAAGGACCACCCGGAGCTGGGGTACGAACGGCCGTTCCTGCTCCACCTCGGGATGGCTGCCAAGGCGATTGCAGCCAACAAGTGCAAAGTCGTGACCAATGCCGGTGCTCTCAACCCCAAGGGCCTGGCTGAGGCGTGTGTCAAGCTCCTCAAAGGCCAGGGCATCGACCTGAAAGTAAGTTTTTGAATACGCTGCCCGCTGACCTGCCAGGTCGCCTACGTTGAAGGTGACAACATCATCGATCGCCTGCCAGAACTGGCTGCCGCTGGCGAGACCTTGGGCCACCTCGAGGACGCTCGACCGCTGAGCTCGTGGGGCCTCACACCACTCACGGCCAACGCCTATGTTGGTGGACGTGGCGTCCGTGCTGCCCTGGAAGCCGGTGCCGACATTGTCATTTCGGGCCGGTGCACGGATGCTTCACCCGTCATCGGCGCCGCGGCATGGTGGCACAACTGGTCCTGGGACCAGTACGACGTCCTTGCCGGCGCCTTGCTCGCAGGACACTGTATCGAGTGCGGCGCCTACGTCACGGGTGCCAACTCGTCCGGATTCAAGGCCATCAAGGACTCGTACTTCAACTTTGCCATGGGAATCGCCGAGATTGAGGCGGACGGCACGTTTGTGATCACCAAGCAGCCCAACGAGAATGGATTCAACGGTATCGTGGATATCCCCCAAGTCACCAGCCAAATCCTTTATGAGATTCAGAACAACGTCTATCTCAACCCAGACGTCCAAGGCATCATCGACGACATCAAGGTCGAGAAAGTAGGCAAGGACAGGGTCCGCGTCACTGGTGTGCGTGGCATTGCACCTCCCAACACCACAAAGGCCGCCGTCTGCGCCGTGGCTGGCTATCAGGCTGAAACGTCAATCTTTGCGACTGGGCTGGACGTCCAGGAGAAGTTTGACGTTTACCGGTTGCAGATCAAGACCAACCTCGGCGAAAAGATCTTGCCACAGTTCACGATGTTCGACATCACCCAATACGGCGTCGCAGCCCAGGATCCCCAGACCGAGGGTGAGGCGACGGCGATGCTCCGTATCGTTGCCCAAGCGCCAAAAATCGAAGCGTTTGGGCCGTACAAGAACCTCCTGGCGCTCGTCCACACGGAGGGACTCGGCCACTTCCCCGGATTCCAAAACCAGCAGGACACACGCCTTGCGGAGCCCAAGCCGTACATCGAGTACTGGCCCGGACGAGTCAGTGTCGCCCACCTTCCCCTCACGGTCGGGTTTGTGGGCAGTGACGAGAAGATTACAGTCCCGCCAGTCGAAGGAACGACGGCCGTCCAGCCGCAGGCCGACTACGACGCAAAGACTGCGCTCCAGCCCGGCGAGTATGGCTCAACGACGCGTGGCCCGCTGGGCTGGATTGTGCATGCGCGCTCTGGTGTGAGTACCCCGCCGCAGTTGCAGCAGAAACCCACCAACTGACGTCTCAGGACAAGGGCGGTAACGCCAACGTCGGCTTCTTTGTGCGCCACGCGGACGAGTATCCCTGGCTGCGTTCCCTGCTGTCCAAGGACACTTTACGCCACCTCCTCGCAAAGGAGTACACCAACAACAAGATTGAGCGTGTCGAGTTCCCGGGTCTGCTCGCTGTTCACTTTGTGATCCACGACTACCTCGGAAAGGGTGTCTCGAGTACGGCGCGGATGGACGCCTTGGCCAAGAGTGTGGCCGAGTATTTGCGCAGCAAGTATGTCGACTTGCCCGACAAGTACCTCGCGCGGGGCAAGCTGTAGCGGGGAGACTAGGGTGTGCATGTATGTAAAATGTGTGAGCCACGTGTCGCGGGGAACTTTTATCGAGATGCTCGAGAAGTCGACTAACAGGGCGCGTCCATAGGATCTCCCACTGGGTTATCGTTCCAGAGGCAACCAACAGCATTGGATGGGCACCTGTCCACAGGTTCTTCGGCAGTTGACATGCGCAAAAAGGAAATGTTCTGGAGGAGTTCGGAATTGAACCAAAGACCTTGTCAACTTGTGGATGCAAATGACACGCTCTGCCAACTGAGCTACACCCCCGACCACGAGAACCACATGTTGGTGGTGAAGAGTACCAGAGCGCCTACGATTACGAGTTGTGTCCACTCTTTGTTGGTGCTAGTACTATATGCAAAGTGTTTGGGAATGAAAGAGGCTCAGAAGAAATGTGGGTGACGGTCTACAATGCGACAAGAGAGCATGAAGTCGTCACCTGTCCAAGGGAATCCGACACGTCCGAAAATGTACGTCGGGAGTTGTCAGCGGCTTTCTCTGAGATGGTATCTCGTCCAAAACGAATGCTTGTGGGCAAAAGAAGAGTAGTATGGACGAGTTAGGAATTGAACCAAAGACCTTGTCAAATAGTAGGTGCTAATGACACGCTCTACCAACTGAGCTACACGCCCCTCCACGAGTGGATGACAGAGAAACTGATTAAAAAATCATCAAAATTGCCCGAAAAAGCCAAAGTCTTTGTTGCACATGAGAGCCAATCCTGTCTGGTGTACAGAGCTGCACTGCTCCTCCGCCCTTGACTTTCGACATTACATGCGGTCAAGAGGAGAAGCAGTTGACAGGAATGGTATGCTCAGAGCAGTACAGAAACAAAAGCACTTCGGTGACGGATCAAAACGACGCGCCGCTTCCTCATACATGCGCTGCGGTTTCTGCTCAAGAAGACATGGTAGAACGACACATTACTCCATAAAGATGTGGTTGTGGTCAACTAAGACTACGATTGATACTTTCAAAGGCGCAGATCTCGGGGACAAAACGGGTTTATATGTACAGCGACGGATCCGACTTGTTTGTTTAATTTCCGGCATTTTACAGACTCGCCTTTCCACGCGGCTCGTAAGGAAGGATGAGGCAAATGAGACCAGCCAGAATAAAGAGCGCTCCCGCAATGTAGACCGGAATCGAGGTCGTGGCGCTGGCGAACATGAAAACTATGGGTGCCATGATACCGAAAATACGGTTGCAGGTGGCCGTCAGGGCGTTGCCGGTACCGCGGTGGATGGTCGGGAACACTTCCGGGGTGTAAGCGTAAAGGACGGCGTACATGATCGTGCTGAAGAACTGGTATGCGCAGTTCCAGCCAAGGAGGGCGTTCGAGTTGGTGGCCGTCGTCGAGGCGAAGAGGAAGACGCCGGTGAGTGCAGTGCTGGCAGCGAGAACGCCCTTGCGGCCAACGACGCGGAACTCGACAAACCAGCCGCCAAGGAGGGCGCCGGGGATACCGAGGACGGCATAGATGAGCGAATTGCGGTAGGTCAGGTAGACCGAGTTGGTGGCTCCATAGTCGCGGTTCCTGGTCTCTTGGATGGACGGGAGGAAAGCGTTGTAGAGCGGGTAGCCAAGGCCGATAAAGGCCCAGATGATACAGATCATCGATGTGCTGAACGCGAGCTTGGGGGTAGAGAAGAGGCCGCGAATGTGGTTGCCGTTCATACTCTGGAGCTTGCGCTTGACAGCCTGTCCAGCGCTGGTGTTGGCGACATAGTCGGCTGGTTCACAGGCCTTGAGGTCGTCGATAGTCAGGTTGGAGGTCTTGCCGTTACGACGGGCGACCTCGTGGACCACACGGACAGCTTCCTCGTCCTGACCCTTGCCCATGTAGTACTTTGGCGACTCGTAGATTGTGAACCAGATGAAGCGGATTGCAAACATGATAAGAGCGATGCCTCCCATGGCGATGACAAAGTAGCGCCAGCCCATGTTGTCTTTTTTGGTGCAGGTCGTGCCCGGGTCACCCGAGCAGGTGTGGTAGCCGAGGAGCTGAATGTCAGTTCGGTCCAGCGCAGACACCATTCGACTCACCGGCCACGCAATGAGAGTCGCGACGACCTGCGCAAGTGCCCAGTCGACGGAGAGAATAGTGAGCAGATACTGGTGCGATGCCGGGAGGAACTCGAGGAACACGGCCGAGTCCACGGGGAGGTTCCCACCGACACCAAAGGACCAGAAGGCACAGAAGACTCCAATGGCGGCAAAGTTGGGCGACGACGCAGCAATCATACCCCAGACAGCGGTGACTGGCCGTCAGCAAGGAACCGCTGGTTGCGTTACAGAGGTGTGTCACTTACCACCAAGAGTCAAGTTGAAGGCCATTTTACGGCCAAAGATATCACACCCAAAGCCCCAGAACATGGCACCAATGAGAAGACCAATGTTCTGGGCAAGCGTGAGGAGCGGGCCGTACTTTGGTTTGAACTCGGACTTGATGGCGGGCACTGGTTGTCAGCTGTGTCTTGCGCGGAGGGATCACAATAGCTTACAGATCAGACTTGTGACAATTGGCCACATGTTGTCCGAGGCCCAACCAAAGCCGACAACGACAAACAGCTGCCACTGGTACCATCCCATGCCAATGTCTTGGATCTGCCTCGTTAGCACTGCATGGTCTGCCTGCACATGTATCTCTTGGAAATACAAGATTGGATTACGTAATCCTTCGTCATTGTTTTGCTTGCCCCTTGCTCAGCAAAAGAGTCTGCCAAGTCGCCTTGGCCTCGCCCGTGCAGGCAAAGCGAACCACACAGCACTCCTGCGGGCACACGGATGTGCACACTTTGGCGACAGCTTCGCCGGACCGAAGCCAAAACAAACGCCCAAAGGTACTCACCGCATTGTTCAAAACACGGGCCTTGGCCTCGTATACGGGGTCAAATGTGCCTAGGGGGATGGCGGCCTTGCCGTCGTCAACAACGGAGGCGACCTCGACATGCGTGTCATAGTGGTCGTGGCCCGCATCATGGTCGTGTGGCGAGGACCACTTCTTCTTCTCCCTTTCGGCTGACGTGTTGCTCATCGCTGGCGTTGTGGTGCGGGCTGGGGCTGTAGAGGGACGTGCGACGGTTGTTGTTGCACATGTATGCGCGAACGGAGTGGGGTGCGGGTGAGCAGAAGATTGATCCTACGCGGTGGGTGTTTGTTTGGATGGACTCTAGGGGATGACTGGTTGCGAGCAACGCGGTGAGCTGGCTATATATCTCGCGAGCTCGACGCCGCAAGCGTGCAAGCGTCAAGCGACAAGAGTGCCAACCCAGAACGGGTCCGGTCGGCGGAAGGGGAGCACGCCGCAATGTCGAGTCCATGACGACCAGCGCGGCTTGCCGAGTTTCACCACATGCCAATATGCCAAAGCGCATGGGCACAGCATCGACGTGTCACTATCTTACTCCGCTAACATGCATGCGAGGCCAAGATTCCGAGACAGCGTAGGTTGACAGCAAGGCCAAAAATGGGCGGCAGAGTACGAGAGGGGGAGTGTCCAGTATTAGGCAACAAAGAGGAGCGATATGACGTCAGGAACCAAAGAGTGCGGGAAAATTAGGCCAGGCCGGCAGCGACAGCGCAGCAGAGGAGAAGACTGAGTGACGAACGAACGGAGACCCAAAACGAGATGGACAAAAGAAGCAAACGACGACAGATGGCGTGCCATCTGTCCTTTTGCACTTTGCTTGCACGTTTGGCCGTTCGTCGAGACCGCGGAGGCGTCTCCGGGCACGCGCTATCAGGGAAAGAGCAACATGTGAACAGGAAACCCAAAGACACGACGTGCAGCTCTGTCGCCTGCGATGGAAGGAGGCACGGCGTCGCCATATGACCAGTCGCTGCCGCGACATGTTGGTCGAGGGGATACACCAAGCGGCGATACCCACTTATCCCCACGGTTGGAACAGCCTGCAGCTCCCAAGTGATATCATTGCTCAACCCGTACGTACGCTGGAGCCCTCTCCGCAAGAGCCAGACATCGGAGCCGCCGACGCTCCGAGATATGCGTTTGAGCAACCCAGAGAAGACCAGAGGCCAGAGGTGACTGGACATTAGGTGTTCGTCATGTGTGGTTGCATATCCGTCAATCTTGGCAGGAGACGAAGGTCCCGAAGGGAGGAGTGGCCGTGTTGACGGAGCACGTCGATCAGCAGCAGGCCGCGACTTTTGGAGCACTGTGAAGCGTCGCACGTCGTATATAGGCGCCCTATCTAGCCAACGCGCGAGCTGGAAGGTCAAGGGAGGATGAACAACGCTGCCTCAATGCATCGGTCTGATGAATGCAGTGACCGGCGACAGGCCGAATACAAATGCGGGGCCCCAAACTGCGGATCACTTCACCTTTCTTACGCACCACTACTGAACTGTGGCGCCAAACGTCGTCTTCTTCGCACTCAACCGTCATCTTCGCCTCACTTGGCGGTCAGGATGTGTTGTTGTTATCGTTTTATGCAGCATCCATGCTGAAAATGATGCGTACAAGCCCACACGTGGGTCGGACAGCTGCCTCGCGTCCACTCACAACCGACAGCCCTCCTCCCGCCCGGTGGCACAACTCGTATCCTGCCGCTCACTGAACTCCCCTCACAAATCATCATCCCTGATAGGTTGCCTACCATCATAGCATGTTAATCTTGCATGCATGGCAGCACAGAGCAAGTAAAACGGGCATTTTGAAGGGGCAACGAACGCGCCACTATTCCCCCATCAGTGAACATGTCAACACCGTTGGTGAAACGGTATCATGCGTCGTTGCCATCGACGCGGCAGGGGTTCGACTCCCTTACGGTGTACTTCTAGCTGCTCTTGAGCATCTAGGACTCTTTCCTTTTGACTTACGAAGCGTCTGAAGCGGCGGACCAGTGATCACGACGAAGCTGACTGGTGAGCAAGGTGCAGCGACGACAGGGTCCTGAATCTTGTCACTGGCTGTTCACACCTCCTTCCTTGAACTGTCTGACAATTGGCAGCGGTTCCAGCGTCTCTGTATCCTTCGACAAGGCCTCGACAAGACGTCTGGACGCTCTTAAGCGCGGCACTGCCCTCTTCCTTCCGTGGCGCTGTCCCGTAGTGGTTATCGGGTTACCTTGCTATGGATGCCCCATCAGGTAATGTGCTTTGCACTCGAGAGTTCGAATCTCTCCAGCGTCGACGCAGAGCAGCAGGAAGTGCATGGACATGCAGAGCAGCTTCCTCTTTTGCAGTTCTGGGCGTGTGAGGTGAGGGCGGCAGCGGCGGGAAATTGTGGCGGACGAAGGAGACGGAACGCTGACATGTCTGGCATTATCATGATATTTTCATCATTTTATCCCCACGGGTATACAGTAGGTAGTCCATGGGAGTCGTCCCATGCCAAATCGCAGTTGGGAGCAATCAAAGCCGGCTCTGCAGGGGGATGACGGGCTTGCACTGTTTGGCGGCCCTCAAGCGCTCCTTTGTGATGGCAAAGCATTGGGGCATGCGCGGGTCCCACTTTCCAGTCTTCATGTGCTGTGCAATGGAGCGGGTAATCGTGATAATCTTGGCCATGCCATGGCCTACAATCGAGGTCAGCTGCTCGTCGCTATGCCGACCTCTAACGCCTGACTCACCATTGTACCCAGCAGACACCCACAGACCGGGCATGTCGGGCACAGGACCGACGAGCGGCACCCAGTCAATGGAGTGGGCCATGATACCCGACCAGTCGTGGTTGTTACCCTCTCCCTTGACCTCCTTGCCCCAACCTTCGAAGTTGTCCTTGCAGTAGGTGGAAAGCCCTGGTTGTTAGCTGGTACGGCGTTGACGACCACCCGGTCGCTGCTGGAGAGGAGCTTTATCACTCACAGTCGTGGAACTTGGGAGTCACCACCGAGTCATCCTCGATGTAGAACAGGTCCTTTGGTGTACCAAACTCGCTCAACACCGTCGCGTTGTACGGACCAATGACGAGGCCAGAGTGGGGCGTCTGGATGAGGTAAGGGCCACGCTCAATCCCCATGGTCGCCTCCAGCGCGCCGGTTCCAGCGTAGGTAGTGGGTGGGGTGATGAGCGCCGCTTGGCCACGGTACGGGATCACACTGGCGTCAGACTTGTGCAGTGTGCTGAGAGCTCACTGGTTGGCAAGGTCGGGGACGTTGGGGAACAGGTGGCTCGTCCAGGCGTTTGTGGCAAGGACGACTTGGCCAGCAACAATTGTACCACGCCCGCCGCAGTCCACGGACCATCCTGAAGGCGATGGTGTGACACTGTTTACGGGAGTCCAAGAGAAGAACTCGCAAGTAGACGTCTTGGACTCGATGGCAAGACGGAGCAGGGCTGTTGTCCCGCGGTGAGGGTGCCAGCTACCAGAGGGACCTCGGTTGATCGCAAGGGCGCTCTTGATACGTGAAACCTGGTCGTGTTAGAGCTGTCGTGAAGCCCTCCCAGCTCACCTTCCGTGCCTCCCTAGGATCTGAGATGAGCTCCCATTCGGTCTGGCGACCATTGTGTTTGGTGCTAGCTGCGGCCGTCTTCTTGTATGTCTCAATGTTGGCCAAGTTTGCCTGGACGCTCGCCTCAGTTGTGAGTACTGACAGAGTTAGCTTTGCGGTGGAACTGCTCAAAGCTAATCCACTCACCATCACAGCGGTTCCCGCGCCAAAAGTCCACATTGAGCTTCTCCTTCTTCACCAGGCTCTCCACATAGTCAAGGTTGTCCGCCTCAAAGTACATGATATCGAGGGCATCGTCGTTCGTGAGGCCAGCACCACCCTCGGCTCGCGAGCGGGTCAGAGAACCAAAGCCATCCCAAGCGCGGGGGCCGACGTGACCACCGTTACGTCCCGCTGGTTGTCAGCACGACGCCCATTCCTCAAAGTCATGTTGCCGGGGGCCCGTCTCATCCATCCCACTTTACTCACAAGCACCAGATGCCACATCCTTGGCCTCCAGAACGATAATCCGCTTCCCCTCGCCCACGTCTCCGGGTCGGGTGAGGTGGTATGCCAGCGAGGAGCCTTGGCGGTCAGCACCAAACATGACTTGGCGCTTAGCGCCAACTGTTCGCGACTCACCCGTCACACCCGCGCCGACGATGACAATGTCGGCCTTGGTGGGCAGAGGAGCATCACGGCCATGATTCCACAGCGAGGTGGGGCCGCGGTTCTGAGAGGAGAGGTAGTTCAGCAACGGCCGGCGAGGACGGCTCGGTCCACTCACTGTTGCTTGCCAGTGCGAAACAGTAGAGGTGAACGGCTGTGGGAAGGCGGGCATTGCTGTTCGAATTGCAGAATGTCAGTTATGGATTGAAAGTCCGTAGATGTGACGAGGTGAATGTCAAGAGTAAAGAGCTGAAGTGACTGCGACTGACACATAGGCCACCTGGAATTCCACAGCGCAGCCAACGCGAGATCTCTAGGTGGGCAACTTGGACGCGGTTGACGCCGGCGAACCCTCAGATTACCGGCAGCTGACCCCTCGCTTGCGGGTAAACACGATAGGCCATTCAAGCAGACGTCCACTTCCACGGAATTGCGACCCGGAGGGTCACTGAAAGCAACAGAACAGTACAACAAGGTGTCTGGCTCATGAATGGTAACGGTGTACTGCATGAGGAGGGAGAGTGCAATCGCCAGCTCCAATCGGACTACTGACGGCGATGACCGACACGGGGGTGCCTGATTGTTGTTATCAGCGGCCAAGGTGGACTGCACTTGTTGACCGCGGTGCAATTTCCGCCGCCGCCTCGACAACGATGGACACACGCTCGCCTCACGGCTTGGACAACATCTCATACTCCTGCAGACCGACCCGAGCGCGATACTCGTGGTGGGAAAGCATCTCCAGCCCGGCGAGCGCGGTGTCGACCTGGTCGTGTGACCAGCCAAGCACGACCGTCGCATAGTCGCCGATGGCCCGACGGATGTTGCCAGCGAGCAGAGGACACGGCGTGCCCATCGGCAGGCCGAAGATACGTGGGTCCAGCACGTCGACGCCCACAAACACGACTTTGCCTGGGAGAAAGTAAAGCAGCTGGCGAATGATGTCGAGGAGGATGCCGGTCTTGTAGATACCAACGGCACACTGATGTCGTTCAACGCGTGTGACGTCGTCTTTGATGATGACGACCACCTCCTCCACGCCAGGCGGCACGTGGTCTCCCTGGTGGAGTATCTGATGTGGACGGAGACCGCGTCCGTGCTTGATGGTGATGGTGAGCACCATGCGCTTGGCGTTGACCCGCACAGGTCTGAGAGCCGGCCAGCGTGGGACCGTGGCCCACGCTGCACAGTGGACAAAAGTGACGAGCGTGTGGCAGGTCCATTCCCCTGCTTCTGGGTAACGTGCGTCCGGATGAAGGCGGAGCGTGTTGACATTGATGGGTGAGGCCAGCTGGAGGTCTCCACGCAGGTCGACCACACGAGCTGTTGACACCAGCGATAACCAGTACGTCGCGCCTGCCGCAGGCTGGCCGGGGGCCATTTCAGCAAGCTTGACCGTGTGTCTGTCTGCAGGCCTACGGGTACCGACGGCGAGTCTGCCGTCGCGACCAACTAGGACAAGGTTGTCGACCAGGACTCTGTCGACACGCCATCTAATTGTGCGTGACGTGGTACGGAGCGCAAGGAGAGCTGTAGTGGGTGCAATGTTGATAATGGCGGTGAAGATGTGGGGGTAGGCAGCGTGGTCGAGTACGGCAGTCCTGGGCTTGCTGGATTGTTGCTCGGTCATTGCGAGGAAATGGTGATGAGAGGTAAAGGTCTCAAGTCGTTTATTTGATGGTGGTATCCTTGGTGTCCAACAGAACAATGGAGAGGGAGTGATGGGGACGAAACCAAGGCAAGTATTGATCAATTGTTCGATCAGTGAGGGCTGAAGGTTGGCCACTGCCACTTTCCGACTGCCTAGTGACTAGTGCACGACTTGACTCAATGATGGTCTAGCCCTGATGGCAGTCAACCCGATCAAACCAATCGCCGTAAAACACAGTGGGCATCGTTGTTCACCGACAACCCTAGTATTCTATGCATATCAAAGGAGGATGACGACAGTGGTGGGAACCCTCGAGAGACATTGACAACAGAAGTCTCTTGTGTCAAAATTGGAAACATGCGTGTCGTTTAAATGAGGATGGGTATTCTTCGTATTCGTCACTTGAATCCGGTTCTCCGCCACTCCGTCCTGTCGAGGATTTGCTCGCCGTATTCGTCACTCGAATCTTGTTCTTCGCCAGTGGAATGTTGGTTGTCGGCAGTCCAATCGTGTTCTTCACTAGCTAGGTCGTGTTCGTTGCCAGACAAGGCGTGTTCGTCCCCAACCAAGTCGTATTCGTTGCCAGACAAGTCGTGTTCGTCGCCAGTCCGATCGTGTTCTTCACTAGCTAGGTCGCGTTCGTTGCCAGCCAAGGCGTGTTCGTCGCCAACCAAGTCGTATCCGTTGCCAGACAAGTCGTGTTCGTCGCCAGTCCGATCGTGTTCTTCAATAGCCAGGTCGCGTTCGTTGCCAACCAAGTCGTATTCGTCGCCACCCAAGTCATATTTGTCGCCAACAGAGCGAAATCCAAACGAGTCGAATTTGTCACTGGTCGCTCCAAGACGGAGACCATAAGGGCCACACGGTTCGTCCCCAACGGTCTGGGGATATGGTCGGTTGAAGATCTCGTCGTCGTCGTCGTCGGGGAAAGGGGTTGTATATACCTTGGGGAGCTCGGCGTCTTTGTCGTCAGGGAAAGGAAAACTGTCCACCTGTTTCGGGGACATGAACGTATGGGTTTCATGGCTGTACGTTTTGTGTCCCACCAGGTGGTAGTATTCACGGTGTGCAATAAACTTGATCTTTTTGACAGCCTTCATCTTCTTGCACCGGGAAGGGCGCTTTTTGCCGCTATACCTGTCTCCGTAAGCATCCACAAGGCAATTGCGGAATGCCACGTAGGGATCGTCGGTTCCATCGTACGGGCAGGGGTGCACAGGAAGGCAGTTTGCACCGACTATAGTGAGTGGAGCCCATTTCCAGTGCCCTATCATCTCCATCAGGTTTAACAAGGACACCGGCGCCCCTGTATAATGGTCGTCACGATACGGTGGGAGGATGAAAACGATTTCTTTGACGCCTTCGAATCCCGTCCATGGATGTGGTGACTGCTGATGGCCGATGTTGTAGACCAGTTTCTTCGTCTTGGAAGAGAGGAGAGGGCAGTCTTTGCGGAATACTGCAGGTCTAGGCTCCCCGTTAGAGTTGATAAAGGGAGGAGTGCGCCCCCAAGCTACGACCGTTTCGCAATTGGCCACCAATTCGGGATAGGTTGTGTGAGAGTCCAGAAAGGCCGCAAAGGACGGTTGCAAGCCATGCTCGACGAGGAAGAGCTGCGGCAAGTGGACTACCCCAAAGAAGGAGACGTTGCGGGTCTTGGCGAAAGCGTCTGGGGCCAGCATTGGATAACTCGCGCGGTGCTCCAAGCCATGGGTGTGCTTGAACGCCGCTTCATTGAATTCCATCAATGCTGGCACCCCGCCATACGGATGAAAGACGTAGCACCATGATTCGCCGTCTTTGCACTCTCTGCTGACGATGATCTCTTCAATCAAGCGATCGTCTGCGGCTTGGCGGAAGCTTTTCGACGCGGTGCGGAGGGCGAGTAGCGAATCGTACAAGGCGTGTTCGAAGACGAGGTCGACTAGGTGCGGGAAGCAAGCGGCATCTAGCATAATGGCAGACACACGAGGGTGCAGAGCTCGTTGATGGGGTCGAGGAAGGTAAGATGGGGAGAGTTGGATTTTGGGTCATGGCCCGATCCGAGCTTTCGAAGGCGACTCAAAAACGGGAGCAAAGGGGCGCACGGTGCACACACTTTCGCTGTCAGCGACCCATTGGCCATTGGGTTGATTGGTGGCCCAAGTGGGACGACCCTGTGCAAGGGACAAGGTTGTGAGTTACAGGCAAATGGTGTGCCCAAAGCCACGCAGCCGTTGTGCTCCCTACGCGCATGTTATGGGCAGTGCGGTGGCAGGTTCAAAGGAGCGCAGTGCTCCCACATGTGGCGCGTAGTTCAGCCGCCAGTGTATGAAGTAGACTCATGTGTACGACAGCACGACAGTGTGAGGAGTAGCTGTGACGTGATGTATCTAACCACAGCTGAAATGAAAGCAAGCGGCATGTGGCAGCCCAGAATAGAACGGCGTCCCAAGGTGGCCACCAGTATTTCGTGTAAGCGCAACTATTGCGAGCCTCCTCTCCTGTTACGAGCCCCAGTATGTCAATTTTCACTGGCATTCCTTCTCACCTTACTTCTGCTGCATCTCAAGCCCTTCAGGGTGACCCCAAAGTCGCTGTGGGGCCGCTGCGAACACGGCAGCACCGCAAGAAGAGTAACATATGTCTCTTCGCTAGTATATCGGTTAGTATAACCGCCTCTCAATAGGGAGTTTCCTAATAGGAATATCGCGGTAGAGCAGGGTTCAACTCCCTGGCGGAGAAGCAGAGCGTCCCATGGACTGTCTACCTTTTGGCTGGACGGCCGGGGAGAAGGGCGACGTGAGGAGACGGGTGGGAAGCGCATGGTCGGTTTATCGGGACATCGTTTCCTGCTGGGTCATCTTTTAGCATAGCATGTGAATCTGATGATGACAATGCATACCCTACGATTCTGAGGATCTAGCGATGTTGGAGCATTGACTACAGACCATTAAGTGCTTGGACGAAGCAAGGGGATAGCGGAAATGACTTCTGAAAAAAGTGCCACTCAGGCACGGTCGATCCGCCCAAACCGCCATCTGCCTCCGGTGCAACTTTCTCGACCATGTTGACCCTCTCCAACTCGTCCTGCGTCGTCTCCTGCATGCTACGTGTCTGTAGAGGCCTCCAAAAAGGTCACGACGGGGATCGAACCCGCGATCTCCTGATAATCGAGCTGTAGAGTCGTAGTCAGACGCCGTACCATTTGGCCACGCGACCGGCGATGGTGTTGTCCGTGCGTCGGAGGCCGCGATCGTTGGCGAGCTCTGAGGGGCGAATAAAGGATCGTAGGACAACGGTGACCGATGGGGTTCATACTATTCATGTCGGAGAGCACTTTTAGTGCCCATTTGCATGATATTCAGTGCAATGGACGAACGAAAATAGCATGGGGGTGAGGCGGAGAAAAAAATCACCGGAAAATCGCTAAAAATCGCCCGCGACGGCAATCCTCCTACAACTCGTTTTCCTCTTCGCCTCCATGCTACTCTCGCCATCTCCAAAAAGAGAAGATCTATCGCCACCTCGTTTCGATCGAGGGATCTCCAGGTTATCACAACAGAAGTATGAGCCTGGCGCTTTCCCACTAAGCCATAGCGATGTTCGATGTTTGTCTGCCGCCGGTTGGATTGTGAACCCCCCCTGCCCGTCGTCCAGGGAGCATGCTGCCCTCTGGACACGTATGACGGCCATACACCTTCGCTGCCCTCGCTCGACTAACCAATGGAGAGTGATTCGGGACGGGGCAAAGGGTCAAGGGAAGTCTGTATGGCCCATGTGGCACATCGACCCCGAATCCCTGAAAAAAATTGTTCCTACCCTCTTCTCGACCTCCGTCGACATCTTTGGCAGTCCAACCATGCTTCCCAACGCTCCATACGCGTCTCCAGAGGTCCAAAAAGGTCACGACGGGGATCGAACCCGCGATCTCCTGATAAACAGATGCTGAATCGTAGTCAGACGCCGTACCATTTGGCCACGCGACCGGGTATGTTGTTGATTGATGAGTGGTGGAGTGGTTCGGCGGTGTAGTTACCGATATTGTTGGAATTTGATGCCGTTTAGCGCCCGAGACCGATGGTCTTAAGCTGGCAGTTTGTCTTTCAGAAGAGGATGGGGATGCATAGACGTCTACAGAGCTGCTTATATGCACACAGAAGGGAGGCCCGAGCACTACAGAGAAGCATGAGGACAATGAAGAAGCAGAAAGAGCAGCATTGGTGCGGTACCCTCGTTCTCCGGTCAGCTCGGTGCCACACTGCAGTGGCGCAAGTGGTTACGTAATCTCAACACGATATGTTTTGACCGGTGGTGCCAGGACTGATGCTGTTTCTCCGTATGCCATACTGCCTCTCGTACGCAATTCGACCTCATACTGGCGCTATAGAGAGCCTGCTGCATACATGGTCGCTCATCACACGTCTCCTGGGTCCGACTGATCCGAGGCGCGTGGGCGAGGGCTGTTGTGCAAACCTCAGTCTATACTTTCAAGCAAGAAAGGAAGCTGCGGCGGAGGCACCAGTGCTCGAGGGGGAGACCGCCGTATGCTAGCCACAACATGATTCTGGTCGTCAGCTCAGCCATGGACTACTGTCTTCAGCTTACCACGATGAACCGATGTCGCATGCGTCCTTCATGATCGTGCAGTGCGGCAGAGGCCACCAGGTGCCTTGTCGACTCCAGTGGCCAAGTCCAGCGGTAGGTACACAACCAAGACTTGTGTATCTCACTTGCGATTGTGCTGAGCTCAGAAACCTTGAGGTGCTGAAGCTTGGGCAGAGAATCCAGGTGGACGGTGTCGGTCTGCTCCTGTTTGAAACTGACCGTTAGCTACGCTGTCTCGCTACACAGGGGTGTCGTAACTCACATGAATGTGCTGGGAACGGCTGGCGCCCGAGCGATCCGTCTTGGGCCCAGAGTAGCCATGACCATGGACCGGATGTGGCCCGTCAACACCCGTCCGCAGGCTAGAACACGCCCATCGCCATACCCTCAGCCAGCGCTTCTCCGACCTCAGCACACCGCTCGAGGTCCGGTTTCTCAATTGTCTTCATGGCGTGACACCGTTCTGCCGTCTGCGCATGTGTGATGACGATGATGCCGTCCGCGGCTTTCTTGAGTCGCCACCCCTTGGCGATGCGGTCCACCTGGCGCATGGCATTCTCCCCGTCGCTCCCAGCGCAAATCATGCACGCGTACGGTCGGCCATTGAGCTTCCCCAGCGCGGCATAGTATGTCCTGTCGAAGAAGTCTTTCATGATGCCCGCCATGGCTGCGAGGTTTTCGGGTGTCGCAAAGATGTATCCCGAAGCCGACAGGACGTCTTCTGGGCCGGCGTCACGGGCCTTTAGCATCTGGATCGTGATGGGCGAGTCTGGAGACTCGGCTTTGCGAGCGGCTTCGTACGCCGCCTGGGCCATTTGCCGTGTGCCGTCCGTCATGGTGTGGTAGACGATAAGGAGCTTCTTCTTGTCGTCTTGTGCGATGGCGTCATTGGATGTTGGGCTTGCGGAGAAGCTGCGGCGGCCAGTGTGGATGCCGGGAAGTGGTGTCCGAGTCAATGTGGCCGAGTACCGTGGAGCGCCCCTCGCGAAAGCGGCTGGAGCGATAAGGCGCATAGGGACGGTTGAGAGATGCTGATGTGAAAGACGTCGTCCGGATCATGAGCTGGTCAAGTTACCGAGAGATGGGATGGTTCGGACACTGCCGCGGTGACCTGACCGTGGGAAAGTAAATATCCCCACCAGGCTCTCTTCACCTTTTCAACCGTGTCCGTCGTGCGATCGTGCGTCTAGATTGCCATGTTCTCGTTGCCGTCACGGCGAGATCCATCATGGGTCTAGATAGCCGTGTGCTCCCATTACGGCGAGTGCAATCTCAGAGTAAACGACCTGTGTGCTCATTACACAGGCGCGCAGTCCCAAACAGCTCCCAGAGGTGGGCCACGGATCAAAACATTTGGGCTCCGGCCGCGATCCCGACTTGACCGCGACCTCTCCGACCTCACTGCGCGACCATGTTCGCGTCTGTTCGCCGTCCAACATCCACAGGCCTTCCTACGCGCGGCTTGGCGTTAAGCGAGACGTGCAAAACGTGGGGTCCCCTCTCCAGGGGCTCCTCCCTTGGCAACGACGGCGAGGTTCGGTATTCGGTTATCATTGCCAAAGTGCGCATATGTCCGGCGCCTGTGAATGTCCCCACCCCTGGGTGCGGCCGTTAACCGACGCATGGAAGGTCTCTACCCGGTCGATGGGGCCACTGACGATGGGGAGCACACATATATGGGTGCCCCTCTGCTACGTGTTTCCACGTCTCTCTCTCGCATTCTCCCCATCTCTCTCTCTCACACACTTTCAAAATGACCGTCTCCCCCCAGCTCAGGACCCAGGCCTACATCAACGGCAAGTGGGTTGACGCCCAGTCTGGCAAGACCTTTGTTGTCACCAGTGAGTTTCCGAGACAGACGCGAGATGCGAGGCGTCTGGCCTACGCCCACGAACAAAGAAGCAACAAGCTGACTTTTCCCCAGACCCCGCTACCGGCGAGCGCATTGCCGATGTTCCCGACCTCAGCGAGGAGGAGGTTCTCGGCGCTGTCAAGGCCGCCGAGGACGCTTTCCCCGTGTGGTCCGCTACCTCGCCCAAGGTGAGTCCGAGTCCAGACGCTTGCAGAAAACTCGATCTGACAACTCGCAGCACCGCCAGGACACTCTGATGAAGTTCTTCAACCTCATGCTTGAGCGCACTGAGGAGCTCTCGCGTCTCATCACCCTTGAGAACGGCAAGCCCCTCGCCGACGCCACCGGCGAGCACAAGTACTCGGCCTCGTTCATGGAGTGGTTTGCCAGCGAGGCTGTGCGCACCTACGGTGATGTGATCCCCTCGACCATCCCTGGCCTGCGTAACCTCGTGATCAAGCAGCCCATTGGTGTCGTCGGCATCATCACCCCCTGGAACTTTCCCTCGGCCATGATCACCCGCAAGATCGGCCCCGCCCTCGCCGCCGGCTGCACCTGTGTCATCAAGGCTCCCTCGGACACCCCCTTGTCGGCCATGGCCCTCATGGAGATTGCCGAGCAGGCCGGTATCCCCGCTGGTGTCCTCAACCTCGTCACCTCGCGCAACTCGCGCATGGTTGCCAAGGTCCTCTGCGAGCACCCCGTCATTAAGAAGGTCTCGTTCACCGGCTCGACCGGTGTCGGCAAGCAGCTCATGCAGCAGAGCTCGTCGACGCTGAAGAAGCTCTCGATGGAGCTCGGCGGCAACGCCCCCTTCATTGTCTTTGACGACGCCGACGTTGACGAGGCCGTCAAGGGTGCCCTCATTGCCAAGTTCCGTTCGTCGGGCCAGACCTGCGTCTGCGCCAACCGCCTGTTCATCCAGGACAAGGTCTACGATGAGTTTACCACCAAGCTCACCGCTGCCGTCGAGAAGTTTGTGGTCGGCAACGGTCTCGACGCCGGCGTCACCCACGGCCCGCTCATCCACGACCGCGCCGTTGCCAAGGTCGTCGAGCACGTCGAGGACGCCGTGTCCAAGGGCGCCAAGGTGACCGTCGGCGGCAAGGCCGGCAAGGGCAACTTTTACGAGCCCACCGTCCTCGTCGACGTCCCCATTTCGGCCCTCGTGTCCAAGGACGAGACCTTTGGCCCCCTGGCCCCCTGCTACCGCTTCTCGACCGAGGAAGAGGTCATGAAGCTCGCCAACGACACCGAGTTTGGCCTTGCCGGCTACTTTTACTCGCGCGACATTGGCCGTGTCTGGCGCGTCGCCGAGGCCATGGAGACCGGCATGGTCTGCGCCAACTCGGGTGTCCTCTCGCAGGCTACCATCCCCTTCGGCGGCATCAAGGAGTCGGGCTTTGGCAAGGAGGGCTCCAAGTACGGCATGGACGACTACCAGATCACCAAGCTCGTCCTCATGGGCGGCCTCGGCACCCGCTACTAATTGCTTCTTGTAAAAAGGAGAGAGAGCAGTGTATATACACCCCACTTGTACGATCAGTGTTAGCACGTTAGAGAATGCATTAGGTCGCAGCAGTTAATAAACTCGGAGCTCAGTTCGGCGTCCAAATGTCGGGGATCCGGGACAGCTGGAAGGCAGGGACCACCGTTACAGATTCAACACTCCCAGTGGGATCGTTCTGTCCATACATGAGCAAGCGTTGATTCCACACGCCAATGCAAAGGACGACCGACACACACGAGAACAGCGGAAGAACAGCCGTGCATTCTAATTAGGCAATATCCGGGTAAAGTATCAACAGTTGGGTATCTAATCGTTCTTCCATTCTTCCAATTGTCCTTTCATTGTCCGTCCACATTATCCACCGCCACTATCCTGGAAAGGCGACCAGGACGATACCTCCCACAAACGTCATGACACCAGTGTAGATGAAGAGGATACCCTGGTTACGTTGTCAGCTTGGCTCTTTTGGCCGTAGTCATCCCCCCTCGCTCACATAGTTGGTACCGTACGCGCCCGCTGCGCCGCGGAACCCGTCAAACGTCAGCAGCGCAGTCGACACGGGGCCCGACGTAAAGCACCCGATTCCCTTGAGCGTGATGAAGATGCTGAACGCAATGGGCGGGATGGTCGGGTCGCCACCGGAAATGGTGGCAATCATGTTACCCCAGAAGCCCGCCAGACTGCCGCCCGTGATACCCCACACGACGGCAAAGGCCGTGAGTACGCCGACGTTGGTGCCGAACCCCCACAGGACGACACATGACAGGCCCGCAATCACCGTCCACAGCGTGACGATGATGCGCGACCGGATACGGTCGGACAGGTAGCCACTGAGCGCGTTGCCGCCTGCCGTGATTCCGTTGATGACGGAGACGAGGGCGGCGCCGTTGGGTCGCTGGGCGTTGATAGCGGTCGCGTACGCTGGAACACAGGTCAGTCACAGGAACGAAAATGGACAGTGGACGCGCTGTTTTTAAGGCACACTTACATGGAATCCACAACAATGGGATAAAGTTTGCCAAACTGGTCACGGTCATGAATGTGAATGCGATCCACGCAGCGCGGGTCTTGAGGAACGAAAAGTCGACCTTGGGACGCATGCGGCGCTTGGAGGCGCCGTTGAGGTGCTTTGCGAGCGGGATACGACGCCTGATAAAGGGCAGAGCGGCGAGGTTGAGGACGGCAAACGACAGGGCGAGCGCGATCATCGTGGCCTTGTATCCAAACTTGTTCAGCAGGGCAGTCGTGATGATGGGATACAGCGCACCGCCGGTACCTGTGCCGGCGTACATGATGCCGGTGGCGAGTCCACGGCGTTCCTGGAACCATTCAAAGATGTTGGTGGCGCACGGCATGTACGTCGCCGCCGAGCACGGGTAGAGGATACCGAAGGTGAGGACGAGGTGCCACGGCTGCGTGGCAAAGGCGGATCCGATGAGACCACCGACGGCAATGACCAGACCTGCGACCTGGAAGTGCTTCTCGTACCAAGGGAACGCGGTGAAGAGGGGTCCCAGCGGCGCACCAGAGAAGAAGAGGAGACCCGTGGACAACGTCGACGCGAGGGTGAGGGTGCTCTCGGCCGCGTCGCCGGGGAAGAGGTGCGATGACCAGTACTCGTGCAACACACCGACAGAGTATGGCAGGCCCCAGACAAGACCTTCGATACAGAACGCAGCGGCAAGGAACGTGAGGGCCTCCCTGCCACCGTCGACGCGGGGGAGAGTAGCAAGCTCGCGTTCGCCGCCGTGGGCCGTACCAGCCTCGTCCTCGGGGTCACTCTCGAAAGCCGCGTTCGAATCCGCACCCGCCACTTCCGCCGCGACCTTGAGGGCGGCCTCGATGGCCGCGGCAGAGTCGAATGGCCCGGCACCGTTGAACGCGGGTTCGAGCGGGGTGGGTGGCAGAGACTCTTCGACGACAGGCGCGTAGGGGTCCTTGGACTGGAGAAACACGTCCCCGCGCGATTCGTCGTCGCTCACGCCGGGCGTGTCGGGGGGAGTGATTGGAATCGTGGTCGGCGCAGCCGAGGCGGGCGTGAGGCTCGTGAATGCCTGGAAGCCAAAGGGGCGCGAGGCCTCCGAACGGCTGGGACGGCGCTCGGCGCGTGAGAGAGAGGCCAACTCGTAGGTCGAGGTCGTGGCCGTCGCGCCATCGTCGTGTTCAGAGTCGTCCATGGTGTTTGCGGGAGTCGTTGTCGTAATAAACTGTGTGTGGCGAGGGGGGGAGGAAAGTGGGTTGAGGCAGGTTGGTGGTGGCCAAATACAAGTACCGAACGCTACACGCGCCGTCGTGGACCCACGTCACTAGGAAGAGACAATGTGACAATGCAAGAGAGCAAGATGACGATCCATGCTTCCCAGCTTCCCAGGCGTCGGTAAACACCGCCCGCAACGTCGCAACATGCAAAGGCGAAAAAAGCTGGCGACAGGAAACCGCGTCTCTTCCATGCCGGGCCGGCATCCTCTGTCTCAGCGCCACTTTGCTCGTCCGGGGCAACATGCGCGCGCGCGCATGTGCGGGGAACGTCGCTGCGTCCCGGTACTGCCTTTCGGCCGCGACCTCTATCTTTATCCTCGCCTCGCTTGGGCCTTGGCAGGTGTAGGTGGTGGCGGAGTGGCTGCGGTCTGGCCAGCCGCGACCTCGTCCACGGGTCCAGCCCCACCTGTGCAAGGAGCAGGTGGACGCGATTCCCGGCATGTGCCCGGCGCGCAACACCAGAGATGGCAAGGGCTGCAACAGCGAGCAAGCAGCAAAGGACATGAACAGTCCTGTTCAGGCCTTTCAGGCCGTTCAGGCCTCTGCCATAAAATTACGCGCCACAGTCCCTGGCAAACGGGATCGTCTGGACGGTTTGCCTGAGATTCGAACACCGCGTTGCCGAAGGTCTCCGAGGAGTGCCGGGTGGCGAGCATTGCGAGTCGGGCATCGCCGAGGAAAAGCGCGTCGGTCGGCCCAATGTAAGGGCTATACTTGGCGAATGGCGGTGTCAGTCCTGTTCTGCGCATTCCTCAGATCTGCTGGAGTGGAACGTTGTTCTGATCGGGAGACGGGCCGGTGGTGTGGACCAGTCCAGGCCAAGGGACGGAATATGTCTTGACTTGCCCTCTCAGCGTGAATGCCTCAGGCGCATTGGGTTTCCGACGCGACTCAGGAGTACATGGCCATGCCGGCGCCATTTTTCCCGAACGAAGTACGAAAGTACGAAAGTCTGATGTCAAAATGACATCCATGAGATCACATGAAATTAAAAGAAATCATAGTTAAACAACAGTGGAGACGGCGTCTCCGCCAACGTCATCGGCGGCGTCCGTGTCCGTGGCAGTGCCCGCCACCACTGAGCCATTCGCCTTCGTGCGCTGAATGAGCTTCTCCATCAGCCGCAACAGGTCGTCGAGGCGGTACGGCTTGATGACCGCTGCGTCAAAGTCCAGCATGCCCTCGCTGATCCGGGCTTTACGCGCGTTACCAGCTGGGGTAGGTCAGTACCATTATCAAGCTCAAGCGACCTACTAAGCGCAATGATGATGCTCCGCCGGAGCCGGCCGGCCGCCTCCTCTGCGCGGATTTTGCGCGCCGCAGTGTATCCGTCCATGACAGGCATCTCGAGGTCCATGAGCACGCAGTCGTAGCCCTCAGTCGCAGAGGCCGTGTCCATGACCTGTTGGATCTTGGTACACGCCTCCAGGCCGTCGCTCGCCGAGTCGGATTTGATGCCCACGTGCGTCAGCTGGCGCAGCAGGACCTTGCGGTTGATGAGGTTGTCCTCGACCACGAGCACGTTGGGTAGTTTGGGTAGCGTGCGTTCCCCGCTGAAGGACAGCCGGGGCAAGGCCTTTCGGACCGTACCACCGACGGTGGTCTGGGGTACCGAGACAGGCCATGGATCGTTGTTGCTGAGCGTCGTCCCAGACTTGGACTCTTTTGCAGTCGCGTGTTCAACGGGCTGCTGAGATGGCGACACCTTGGCCCTGGTGCGCACGAAGAACCGGAATTCTGATCCTTTGCCATACGCGCTCGACACATCGATCCGGCCGCCCATGCGTTCTGCGAGCTTGCGACAGACAAAGAGGCCGAGACCAGACCCGCCAAACACCGTATGCGTCATGGGAGACGCCTGGGTGAAGCGCTCAAAGAGCGTTTCCAGCTCGGCAGGGGTGAGGCCGGGCCCAGTGTCACGGACTGAGAGTTGGTAAGCAAATGTCGTGGATCATTCAACTCACCAGAAACGAAGAGGTACACAAACGGGTCGGGGCCGACGTGAGGTCCCGAGGACGGCGGCTTTACGCAGCAGTCCTCATCTGGAGCATCGACGCCCGCATCGATGCGCAGCTCAACACGGCGTTCCTTGCTGTTGGCAGTGAAGCGGATCGCGTTGGAGAGGAGGTTGGTTACGCTGGGAGCGGGTTAGCTTTGGCCACGACATTGTACCTACATTTGTGTCAAGCGTACAGGGTCAGTCATGACCGTCTCCATTCCCAGGTCCTCTATCGCGGGCGAGAGGGTGAGCGCCAGGCTGATGTGGTTCATCCTCGCCTCGCTCTGGAAGATTGAGAGCACCTTTTGCCCGAGTTTACGGATATCGGTGTCGACATCGAACATCTCCAACCGGTCCAGCTGCATTTTGCCCAGACACAGAACGTCGTTACTGATGCGTTCCTGCGCCAGGCCGCATTGGTAGATGCTGTCGAGCGCATCGAGGTCCTCTTCCATTGAGTAAAGCAGCTGGTGGGTGGGCTTGATGGTGCCTTCTGGGGTTTCGAGACACTGCTTGATTTGCTCGTGCAGGAGCAGCAGGTTGTTGCGCACCATGCTGCTGCACTGCATGAGACTGGAGATCGGGTTGCGAATCTCGTGGCTGGTAATGTCGATGAGGAGCTCTTGCTGCTGGCGAGCCTCCTCCGCCTCGGCACGGCGTTTCTCCGCTTCCTGGATACGCTGGGCCTGCAGCTCGTCGTTGAGCTTGCTTTCGGTAATGTCGATGCAGCTGCCGATCATACCGCCTGCCTGTCCACCAGCAGGGTCCAGCTTGGCCAAGCACGTACACGTCCATTGGCCGTTCAGCCACTTGGTCTCAATGTTCCTCACGCGGTCGTCCGATGCGAGAAAGTCCATCCACTCATTGCCGCATTTTTCCTGCGTGTCTGGGTGGATGTAGTCCCCCCAGTGGTCACCTCTTGGTACGCCGCACAAATCGTACCTGTCCGCGTCAGAAGGCTCATTGACACTCCACAACTCACCAAGCTTGGTTGGCGTACAACTGCCGGCCACCTTCATCGGCACGGAACATACCCGCGGGCGAGTGCTCTGACAGCATGCGGAGCTCTTGTGTGCGTTTCTCAAACGCGTTTTCAAGCGCCAGGCGTTTCTTGCCCATTTGCAGCTGCATGTTGGCTCGAACCACCAGTTCACGCGCGTTGAACGGTTTGGCCAGGTAGTCGTCTGCGCGCAACATGTCTGTCGTCCGCCTGTCGTCGATCGCAGTAAGGAGGATGACGGGGACCAACTGCTGGGCTTTGGTGCCCGTTCGGAGTGCATCAAGGAGGGCCACGCCGTTCATCTGGCGTGTCGTCAGCTCTATTTGATTACCTGCACAGCTGCACTCACTCCGGGGAGCATGACGTCCGAGATGATGAGCGACAGCGCCTGCTTCTCCGATATCGCGAGCGCCTCCTTGGCGCTCTTGGCTACCACAACGGTGCAGTATGGCTCAAAGATCGTCTTCATGTATCGCTGAGCGTCCGCAAGGTCCTCGACGACCATGATGACGTCGTCCTTGACAAAGTGAAGGCCCTGCGAGTCGATGCTGCGGACGCCGCTGCTGCCACTTTGTTTGGACTCTCCGCTGCCGCTGGCACTTGGCGGACTCGTGTACGAGCTGTTGGTGTCACCGTCTTCGTGGGCAGCGCCATAGTCGGAATACCATGTCGCGACCTCTTCCATGACCTGGCGGCCAAACTGCCCTCCGCCAGCAGAGGGGGCCACCAAAGGTTCGTCCGAGGATCCAATGACGTCGGGCGAGAGGTGCGAGCTCCCGAGCGGGAGGCGTACACGGAAGATTGTGCCGCTGTCGAGCGTTTCGTGTAGCGTACGGCCTTCCATCTCCAGCTCGCCGTGGTGGAGGTGGACGAGCTTCTCGGCCAAAATGAGGCTGATGGCACTCTCGCCGGCGCCGTTGGCAGATCCTCTACGCCGCCCTTGGTACCCTTCGGGCGGGAAGAGGCCGACTGTCGTGTCTTCGACGTGGGTACCAGGGATACCGACAGCACTGCAGGTCACCGTGAGGATTGCTGCCTTGTGGGTGTACTCGAGGCAGACGCGGATGAAACCTTCCGTGGTGAACTTGAGCGCGTTCTCAATCAGGCAGCACAGGATCTTCTCCCAGCCCTCGCGGTCGACATAGACGCTCCTAGGCTTTTCGTCGCAAAGGACCGTGTATTGCAGTTTACTGTTGGCGGCAATCTTGCGGAAGAGGCCCGCCACGTTACGCGTGAGCATGCCAAGGTTGACGCGGACAAAACTGCTCTGGAGCCTACCCGCGTCCAGGGCGCTGATGTTCATGAGCATGGAGACGAGGCGCGACAGTCGGCCGATATGGCGCTGGGCCATCGTGAGCAGCTCGTGTTTCTGCTTGTCTTCTGGCGGCGTGTCGGCGAGGACGTCATCGACAGGACCGGAGATGAGCGCGAGCGGCGCTAAAAGCTCGTGGCTGACGCTGGAGAACATGGAACTCTTTGTGCGGTCCAGTTTTGCCAGATCAACAAGCCGGCGTTCGGCTGCCGCATAGCTCCGGATGGCTGAGAGGTGGGAAGCCATTACGAAGCGAAGACTGAAGGTTAGCTAGACGAGATGGTAGCTACTGGACGTACTCTTCGGCAAACAGGTTGTACGTGGGGTCCAGCTTGATCCGAGGACTAACTCCCATCACCAGCACAGCCGGGGGGAGCCCTTCGTCACTGGCCAACGAGATGGGAATGACGAACGCCTGGGAAGGCAGACAGTCCCACACTCTGAATGGATAGCCGTCTATGAGCTCTGCGCAGTCGACAGTAGCCGTGTTACGGCTCAGCAGGGCGTTTGCAAAGCCCCAACCTGGGTCCGCAGACGCCACAGAGTCAAACGTGCTGGCGTAACTGTTCGCTGGGGAGCCGGTGGGATCTTCCGCGACGAGTGCGCCAGGGACAGGGGTCTCGTCATCGACGAGCGAGACACTGACGACTTCGGGAGCCGAGTCGTGTTCGTCCGGGACGCCGATCCCACCTGCCAGGCGCAGACGCGCAGACTTGGGGTAACGCGTTGGATCTCTCAAGGTCGGAACTGCAGTGTTAGATCGAGCGGTGGGACAGCAGCCTCACCAGACTCCTCCACGTAGTAAAGCAGCGCAAATGGAACGTCCTTGGGGTGCACATGGAGTGTCTCCAGTACACCACTCTGGAATGCGTGTTCTGTCCGCACAGTCGCTGGAGGTCAGTAAACCGTGGGCTAAACGGTGGGGGTTGGGAACACGTACAGAGGCAATCACCCAGGTCACGAAGCATGCCCACACGCCTGTTACCCACCACAGTGGGTGTGGTGTCGCGCGTCACATGCCAGGTGCCCATCACCGTACCGTCATCGTCCTCGACCGGAGCCCAGAACAGCCGACGGTACACCTCGCGCAAGTGGCCGTCCATGTCCCGGCGGACCGACAGCTCGTCATCCTTGACAACAATGCTTCCCGCCAGAACCGCGTCAAAGAGGTTGCCTAGAGGTTCTCGCAGTTCTGACGTGAGCTAAAATCGGAGGGCGGCATAGCTTACCTTCCTGGACCATGTCTGGGCCGTGGGCCGCAAACCGGCGTGGGTGGTCGGGACATTCCTGCGCGAAAGCCTTGTTGTAGAGCATGGTGCAGTCGTCTCCCGTGCCCCAATAACATGCTGCAGGGAGCGGGGTGCTGTGAACGAGGAACTGTACGAACGCGCGCTGTTGGGCCGTCCACGATTCGCGCGGACCCAACGGCGTTTCACCCCAGCGGACCGTCTCGAAGAGCGCCGCGGTGTTAGGTGGCCGGCCACTGTAGCTGTCCTTGGGCGAGGTTTTGACCACACCGTCGGCGCCAATAAAGATGTTGTCGCCTGTTGTCAGCGACAGCTATACTGGGTCCACACACCTCGCTTATAGTTGATGCTGACGTCGTACCGCCCTCCGCCGTAGTTGATACTCTCCAAGTTCTTTGAGGGCAAGCGGCGCCTGCCAGAGGCTGTGACACTGGCGCCGTCGACCTCACTGGGGAGCAGGGGAGAAACGTTCTTGCTGAAGCTGTCCTTGAAGACAGGAAGTGACTGATGGGACATGTTACGCATTCCGGAGACTGGTGAACTCCTTCGTGTTCCCGGGCGAGATGCGTCGGTCCGGTGTGACGGGCGTGATCGGCGCCACGACCGCGGCCGCGTCGTGATCATCACGGTGGTACCGGTGCTGCTGCTGGACGCGCTCGGAAGCACAGAGGCGACGAGCTCGAGCCGCCGGGCCCGCGTTCGGCGGGGAAAGTGGAACTCGAGCGACATCGCTTTCCGGGCCGATCCGTCGTGCCGCTCGTCGACATCTTCGTCCTCTGAATCGTCGTCGCTCAGCGTATCAAGCTCGGGGCTGGCGACAGGCGCAGAGATGCGATCTCGGAGCCATCTTAACAGCTCGTTTTGAGAGTCTGGCGAAAGGCACTCGTGCAGGAGAGCGCCGTTGGTCACGCGGCGCCATCGTTGGTTGGCGTACAGTGACGTTGGAAATGAGCTCGTGGATGGAGTCTGAGGTGGGGATGGCAGAGTGCCTGCTTGCGACAGTGCCGGCGAGCTGACCTGCGAGTGCGGACAGAGCAGCACAAAGGCGGGAAAGGGGTACGACTGTTGGCGTGATGTCAGCCGTGGTCAGAGAAACGCTGTGCTCTTAGGCCCTTTAGTCGACATGTGGACGTACCTCCAACACGTCGGGGATGGACAGCGCCTGGCTATCAGCGACCATGTTTGTCGGGTGTGCTCAAATGGGGGCCATGGAAATCGTAAAGTATGAGGTGTCGCCGTATGTTGTCAAGATGACAAGTGGGAGAATGAGGACCGTGCTGGTGTGCATAGGTGGCGACAAGGTTGTCCAGAGCGGCGAGAGCGGGCGGGCGGCCGCCAGACGGCCTTCGGCGTTGGCCTACGACCTGAGTTAGGGAGATGAATGAGAGCCTGCGCGCGCCAGAGGGCCAGAGAAGTATAGCGTAGTGCGAGATCGAGCGCACACCTACCCCGCGCGACTGCGGCCAGGTGGCGTTTGCGGCAAAAAGGAAATTGACATTTGACACTGAACCCACCCTAAGACATTGTTAGCCGCGCCAGACGATCATAGAGGCAAACCACGACGGCCACCACGACGGCCACCACATGGCGCCGCGGAACTGTTCCAGGTCGTTGAGGTTTTCGGACTGCGGAACTCCCCAATGGCGCGAATGGTCCTGAAGTGGTCGAAGTGGAGACCTTCACATGTATAAACTGCATCGCGGGTTTCCAGATCAGCTGTTAGTTCCAGCTTCCCGCAGCAGGTTTCCAGGCAACGTGAGTGGGTGGGGGCAGAGGCAATTGGCACGTAGACACTCTCCGATTCCGGACCAACTGGAACACGCTGTTGGCCACGCATGCCACGCACGACGTGCCCCCGCCGCATCCCACAGATCGTGACATTCGACATGAAGATCCCTGGCAGTGTTCATCAGCCGCGATCAGCCGGTTGATGATCTGATGATCGAGGCGCTGGCCGATCTTAGATCTTAGAAATGCCCCTGTAACTCTCCGCGCGGGGGGACCAATGTTCTCATTCCCATTCGCACTCCAACACCTTTTTGTCTCTACCGATCTCTACTCATCTACAACCACCTTGAGCGTCAAGAGCTCGAATGGACGCATGTTGAGTGCGACGTCGACGCCTCCGTCCACTGGCGTCCACGCGGCGTCGCCCACCTTCTCCTCCAAGACGTTGCACCTCGCGATGGCTTTGACAGCCACACCACGACTGCGGCGTCAGCAGGCACAATGCGGTTAGACGACTTACATGTTGACGGTGACCGAGGCCCGCCCACCCAGACTCTCGTACAGGCGCAGGATGAGGGTCTTGGCACCCGTCGTCGAGTCAAAGTCGTCCTCACCACGCTTGACGTTGTCGAGGACCACCTGGTGCGCGCCCAGGCCCTCGAGGCTGACGGTCACCTTGGGTTCAGGGATGGCACCGACGCTCCTCACTGCAGCGTCAAGGTCAGCTCGCGGAATCGAAGGGTGCAAGAGTCTGGCTACGCACGATGCACAGGGTTGACGAAAGCCATGGCAGCTTGGTACGTCCCACTTTCGACCAGACGCCCTACATGGGGCATCACGGCAAACGAGAATTCGTGCCGGCCCTGGTCCTGCTGTGGGTCCGGCGCGATGGCCGACCGAAGAAGCGACAGACTGTAATGTCAGCAAGGCTCCCCCTGCTCGTCTTGTCTGCACTCACCGCATGCAATTGCCTTCCACGGCGTATCCGTACTTGTGGTCACTGACGATCGCCACACCGTAACCCGTCTCGCTCAGGTCGCCGAGCATGTGGCCGCATACTTCAAACTTGGCCTGGTCGAGCGTCGTGTTCCTGTGCGTTGGGCGTTCGACCAGTCCGTACTGAGTGCCATACGTGGCGAGCGTCGAGTGGATATCGACGGGGAGCGCGACTGCAGAGTTAGCGTGTCGATGAGCACAACTCAACTCACATTTCAGGAACTTGTGGGTCTCGTGCCAGTCGACGGAAGCGTCGATGCGGATTACGCTGCGCGTGTTGGCGACGGGAACCACAGCGTCGAGGGATATCTGGCCGTGTTAGCAGGGAACCTGGTTGGAACTCACTCACGTCCAAGGTGGCAGTGCTCTTGCCAAACTTTGCGACAGCACGCAGCGTCGCGCGGAGCGGACCCGAATTGACCACGGCCACCTCGGTGAAGTCGAGCGCCTGGACGCTGTTCAGATGGTAGATCTCGGCATCCCACGCATCGTACGAGAGCGGGAGGTCGCCGTACAGCATCAAGCCGGCGCTCTCGGCTCCCGGACTGGGTTTGACCAGTTCACGTTCAACCGCACGGTCAATCAGCGACGTGATGCGTCCGCCCGCGATGGTGACGCGGAAGTCGGCGTTCTCCAGGACGTGCGTTTCGCCATCGACGTACGCGTGCGGTGGAACGGCGTCCGACGGGGGAGGAGCGATCATTCCCACGCCCGAGGCATCGCTGGTGAGGAAGCCAAGACGCGGCCCCGTGCCGTTCACGGCCGACGTGCTTGGGAGGTCTCCAAGTGGCACGACCTCGCGGCGCGGGATGCGTGTGGCGTCGAGGGCGATAAGTTGCCCCTCGCCTGCCGGGTAGAGAACCTCGAGAGCGTGCTCAAGGAGGACGGCAAGCTCTGCGCGCCGTTGGTCGTACATCCTCACGGCGTCCTCGCACACTTTCCGGATCGAGGTGCCGGGCAACACGTCGTGGAACTGGTTGAGCAGCACGTCCTTCCAAATCGCGTCCAGCTCGACCCTGCCTTGTCAGTTGTGTGACATGATCCAGGGACAACGTACTTGGGATACTCGTATGCGCCCGATCCCAGCGACGCCAAGGTCGCAAAGTACTCGACGTCTCGGAGCAAACGCTCGCACGCGCGGTTGCCCTCCTTGATCGCAGCCTGGCTGGTGAATGTCTGCGGCGTTAGCTTGTGCTGCCCGGACGACCAGAAAGCTACCCACCCCGCGATGAAGCTCGAAATACAGTTCGCCACGCCAAGTAGGCAACGCACGACCGTTGTGCGTCTTTTCAAGGACATGGTCGAAGAAGTCGGCCACTTTGCCAATCTTGACGGTTGGCACTTCAATGTTCTTCTCCGCAAGCGAACGCCAGCGGCGAATCTGTGGGGCGTTAGACACCAATGTACCGTGTACTCACCTTTTCGATCATCAACGAGGTGGGGCCGCCACCGCCATCGCCGTTGCCAAAGAGCAGGAGACATTCGTCGGTGACCGCCAAGTTCTTGTGGCGCTGGATGCCCTTGAGCAGTTCCGAGCTGCTGGGTCAGAAATACCAAGCGCCTGCTACCCACTAATTGGCTTGACCATTGTACGTGTCCGTGGGTGTCATGTGCGCGAGCACCTGGGATCCATCAAGGCCGCACCAGTTAAACGTCGAGTAAGGGAACACGTTGATGTTGTTCCACGACAGCTTCTGGGTGAAAAAGTACTCGATTCCGGCACCGCGGAGGATCTGCGGCAGCTGAGGAGCGTACCCGAACGTGTCTGGCAACCAGGCTTCACGGCAGGGCTGGCCGTACCGGGCGGTGAAGTATCGCTGGCCGTAGAGGTACTGCTTGCACAGCGACTCGCCCGAGGGCAGGACACAGTCGTGCTCAATCCACGATCCGCCCACGGGGTGGAAGCTGCCGCGGGCGACGGCGGCGTTGACGCGTTTGGACAGCGATGGGTACAGCTCCTCGAGCCACACAAACTGCTGCGCCGACGACGCGGCAAACTGGTGTTCGGGGTACCGCTCCATCAGGTCGACCTGTGTGCTCCAGCTACGCGCAATCTTCTGCTGCGTGTGGAGGTACTGCCACAGCCAGGCCGTGTCGATGTGGCAGTGCCCAATAGCCCAGATTTTCGTCTCGCCCAAGGACGACTGGTCGGCCGGGTCGAGCGACCCAATGACTGTGGCTGCAAGTGCACGGCAACGCTTGATAGCGTCGTCGACAGCAGCACTGTTGGCTGGATGGTGGAATGTGTCCATGATCTGGTTGGCCACGCGCAAGCTCTTTTGGGCCACCGGAGAGCAATGTGCGTCAGGAGCAATGGCGAGCTGCGTGAGGACCTTGAAGTCGATATGCAGCGCCATGGCCTCTGACCGGGCGTGGATGAGGTCCGCGACTTTGAGAGGGAAGGTAAGGTCGTCCTGAACAGGTCAGCACGGAAACGGAATGGGAACCTTACATCAGGAGGGTTGTGCGGCAGTTCCTTGCCAATACCCATGATGCGGTTACACGACACTTCGATCATGCACTCGTAGACGCCCTTCTCGACGGCGTCGCGAGGAATGATGTGGTCCACGCGACGATCCTCGACGTAGCCGGGGAACGCCTTGATGGGCGAGTTGATGCCTCCGGTGATTCCTGCAACGCGTCAGTTACTGACAGCACACCGCACTCACCATGCTTGACGTTGCCGTCCATATCGAATATCATGGCCTCGCAGGACGGATCAAACTCGACTGAGCAGGAGTCAGCACAGGCCACTGTTCAGCACCACATACAGATAACGGGCTCGCCAGTGGCACGGAATGATGGCGGGATGTTGAGCCGGAGATGGATCCAATGGTGTGTCCACGACTTGCCAACGACCTCGCCCTTGCGAAGCTGGCGAGTGGGTTCATTGCCAGAGAAGTGGCTCATGACATTCTCAAACGCGACCTTGTCTGTGCCTGGGGTAGACCACATCGTCATCTGGACATGTTCATCGTCGTCGAAGCGCTCACGCGCAAGCACCGACGACAGGTTGTAGCGGCTGTACACGCCATCAGCAAAGTGGTCCAGTCGCTTGGTGGCCTGAGAATGTCAGCCCGTGGCAAGTCGTGCGGGGGTCTCACGATTCCACCCAGGAGCGGGTGGCCAACCTCCTCAGTGAGCTGCGAGTAATCCATGGCCAGACGTGTGGGGAACAGTGGAGCGGGCCCGGGACCCTCAACTATTGAGTGGCAGCACCGCCGGTAGCGGAGAAAGTGCCAGTGGGGACTGCGGCGGAGATCACCGTGTTGGCCAGATTGTGACAAACAAGCGCTGCTGGCGCCAACCAACGGCGTGACGCCGGGGGGTCAACGTTGCTCAGGAGCATCGCAGCCACTCGAGAGGTCTCCACTCTGCTCGTCCCTCGGCGCCGGTGTTGGTCCGCGCGTGTACCGGCCCGGCTGAACGCCGGAAAAAGACATGTTGCGCACATGAGAGCACAAGATAGACAGTCGATCGAGTGGAGTTGGGATTGAGCACTTGCTCGTGGTCCTCGGCACCGATCTTCCGTTGGGAGGCGTCGCCGGTCCATATCCGTGACGGGGCCGACGCGGTTGAGAACCGGACGAAGAGATGTAGCGAAGATGAAAGCACAAGGCGAAGACGGCGAGGATGGATTGACAACACGGCCCGGTGCTCCTCGGTATGGCTTGTCGAAATAAGCCGAAAATCCGGGGCACTGCGGGGGGGGGGGGCTGCGCGCCGTCGAGCCCCACCCACGCCAATCGCGAGCCCCACTCCCAAACAGCGGTGGCCCTTACGAAGCCCCTGTGGCTCCCCAGCTACTGTGCAGGGTTGCACACATATGCAACGGGCATGTTGACTGGAAACGGGAATAACGACTGCGACGGCGTCACCTGATGTTCGCTGCGAGGGTTAGAAACGTTCGCGGGCCGCGCGGGCCGCCCTCGGAAGACACTGCGTGATCCGGTGAGGCAGAGACATCACCGGTCTGTACAGCGTGGAGACTCGCACCGAGTGCCGAACGCATTCCCGGAATGTTCGTGCCAAGGAATATACGATTCTTGTTCGGTCCCTGCAGTCCACAACGCCACAGGCTACGGGTTGCAACGCCTCGGCACATTGCGCAGCAAAGCCCATGTTGGGATATTGATGTCCCGTCCCTCTCTAGGTTTAAATGAGGTTTAAATGTCCCAGGTGCCTTCCCAGGTCTTGCCCAAGCCCAACTTGCTTTGCAAAGTCATCCATCCACCGACCATGGGCGGCACCAAGCACGAAATTGCCGCCGACACCAAGGCCGAGCCCGTCGAGCTCGAGCTCGTCGAACATGCCCAGCCACACAAGAAGACCGCCAACTTTAGCATGGACGACGCGGCCAAGCTCATGGCCGAAGCTGGCCATGTCGAGGCCACTCCAGAGGACCGCAAGCGTGTCCTTCGCCTGATCGACATCTACGTCTGTCTCCCCATGTGCATCACGTACTTTGCTCAGCAGGTAAGTAAAGAAGCGTTCGGGTTGTTTGTTGAGAAGCCGGGGAAGGTGGCAATGTGGCGGCAAACCGCCGACTTTTCTCCGAGCTGCCGATCTGTTGACATCCATCCCGCCGTTCTTGTTTTTCAAGAGCGCACGCTGACGTTTCCAACAGCTTGACAAGTCCTCGCTGTCCTATGCAGCGGTTTTCGACCTGCAGACGGCCACTGGCCTTCACGGAACGCAGTACTCGTGGCTCAGCTCCATTGTCTACATTGCCCAGCTCTGTCTCCAGCCCCTCTCGTCGTATGCCCTCATCATCTTCCCCATCAAGTACTGGGTCTGCTTCAATTTTGCCGGATGGTCGATCATGACCATCTGCACTGCTGCCGCGCACAACTGGTCTGGCCTCATGGCCTGTCGTTTCCTCCTCGGCATGTTTGAGGCGACCATCCTTCCGGCGTTCATCTTCCTCACTCAGTGCTGGTACACTCGTCGCGAGCAGGCGTCCCGTACCATCGCTTATCAGATCGCCAACTCATGCGCTGCCATTATCGGCCCCCTCATGTCCTACGGCATTGGCCACGCTACCGCCAAGATCCACGCCTACCAGTGAGTGCTAAACCGGCAGGCAAGTGAGCTGACAGTCCTCCAGGGGTATCTTCCTGTTCATTGGCTGCCTCTCGTTTGCCTTTGTCCCCCTCATCTTCTGGATGCTGCCCAACTCGCCCGTCACCGCTCCCTTCCTGAAGCGCGGCAACGACCGTGTGATTGCCATCGAGCGTCTCCGTGAGAACAACACCGGTACCAAGTCGAGCACCTGGAAGTGGAACCAGGTCTGGGAGGTGTACCGCGACCCCAAGACCTACCTCTGGGCCGCCATGTACATCTGCACGTCTACTCCCTCGGGCGGTTTTGGAACTTTCGGTGGACTTATCATTAAGGGGTACGTTTAAAGAAGAGAGCTCAGAGATCACAGTGCTGACAGTTCAGCTTCGGCTTCACTTCGTTCAAGGTAAGGTCAAATCGGAGGCCATTTGGGACGGATTTATTCCGCCTTTTCACCAACTGACTTTCCCAGGCTATCCTCATGCAGTGCCCCACCGGTGTCATTGCCATCCTCACACTCATCATCACTGGCTACCTCACCACCAAGCTCAAGGTCCGCTGGGCTGTCATTGCGTGCGTTGAACCATACCCTTGCGGCAACTGACCACTCGGATCAGCTGCTGCGCCATCCCCCCGATCGCTGGCGCCGTCGGTCTCTGCCGTATCCCCCGCACCAACACCGGTGCCCTCACCGCATGCTACTACGTCGCCCAGGTGCTTTCCGGCATCCAGCCCCTGCTGTACACGTGGGCCAACTCGAACGCCGGAGGCTCGACCAAGCGTGTCGTCACGTTTGCCACCATGTTCGTCTTCCAGTGCGCGGGCAACATCATCGGCCCCCAGGTCTACTTTGCCCGCGAGGCGCCCTACTACCACACGGGTCTCTACGTCAACATTGGCTGCTGGAGCGTGCTCATCCTCCTCATCTGCATCCAGCGCGTCTACCTCGGCCACCTCAACAAGAAGCAGGCCGCGCGCCGCGTCGCCATGGGCCTCCCCGAGGAGCTCGAGGACATGTCCATCATGACCTACGAGGAGGCGCAAAAGTACAAGGAGCAGCTCACGGCCCAGATGGCTGCTGCTGGCCTCGACATTGCCACCCTGTACGAGAACGCCTTTGACGACATGACCGACTTTGAGAACCCGGCCTTCATCTATGTTCTTTGAGGGACGGTGCAGGTGCACCAAGTGTAAAGGGAAACAAGGAATTTGCGGATCCAGTCAGTAGCAGTGGGTGTGTTAAAGTAAGGAGTTAAGTGGGTTGAAAGAAGTGTTGAAAGTCAAAGCCGCACACCGTGTGCCAATCTCATCTATGTTTCTATGCAGATGCGTTGCGAACACCCATTCTCTAGTGGCCCATTCTGGTGCCAACGCCGGTCGAGCCACCGCCCTGGCTGGCGAGGATCTTCTCCTTGCGGAGCCGCGCCTTCTCGAGGGCCTCTTGGCCGTGCTCCACGGCCGCGTGCGACTTGGTAGAGTCGGCGTGTGTGACGACGTCGGCAACTTCGCGAACCTGGGCAGCGGACACGGCTGCGGCCGCGGCCGCCAGGCGCTTGTTGTTGACGTGGTTGAGGTAGGAGAGGTAAGTGTTCCAGCCTGGCCGTCAGTCTCTTGCGGCTGCAGTTGCGCTGCGGTACTGACCGAGTCCAACACTCTGGCCAACAAGCAGGCGGTGCTGCAGGGGCACAAACCAAAAACTGAAGGCCGCAGTGGGACCAAAGACGCAGATCGAGCGCTTGTATACTGGCCAAAAGGCCATCTGAAGCTTATCCCGCACTTCGGACAGGCTCTTGCCCTCCAGGATGCCGTTTGACGTCCAGAACACTGGGGTGTGAGCGGGGGGTCCGAGGTGGGGCGGAGGCGCCGACGTCGACGCCTGGATGACTCACGGCAAACAATGAACGGTCCCCAGAGGACCTGGTCCAGGAATATACGCGTGGAAACGGCTATACGGTATTTAGCTTGAGTGGACAATGTAGCCTAACTGTGACTCACTCTTCAGCTTGGAGCTCAACTGCACTCGTTGCAGCAAGTTGAGCCAGTTGTGGGCCAGCGGGGCAAAGATCGTACCGCCGTCTGTACGTTAGCAATGGCGACCACTTGGGCATGGGCGCCAAGTAAATAACCCTGGTTACTCACAGAACATCAGGCGCGCAGCACGGACGGGCTTATCATGTCAGCTGGCGACCTCACCGATTGCGGCAGCGGTACTCACGTCCCACTCGCTGTCCTTGTCCGCTGTCTTGAGCTCAGAACCTGTGGGGCGAGATGATGAGGGAGGAACCTCATCCTCCTCCATCGCTGGCGACATCCACGGTAACCGCCTTCCCTCAATGCCAAACTGCGCAATGCTGTCACCAATGCAGAACAGGACGGTAGAGGTAATCATCTTGGTCCGCAACGGCCGCTTGGACAGTTGCTGGAGATACGAGTTGAGCAGGCGGCGAGGCAATGACAGCCTCTTGGTTGGGGGCGGTGCCGGCCGTGCCGCTCCATCTTTCAACGCCGCCGTAGATGATGTCGAGGAGGAAGCGTTCATGCTGGTGGAGGAGTGGGCAGATGGAGTGGGAGCTGCCGCCTGCCCACTGGAGCTAGCGGTCGGCAGCGGTGCAGTGTTGGCAGCTGGTGGTGCTCGCAGGGCGCTCGAAGGTCCCGGCATGGTGCTGATGGTGATAGATGTGATGAATGATGAGTGAGTGACCTGGTGACTAATATAACCATTATCTTGTCGTCGTCGAGTCGCGCGACCGCGGGGTTGCGGGCAATTCGACTCGCCTAAGTGCGGCTTACCGATCCTGCCCATTTCATCTATTACGTAACAACATATGATCTACTCGTTTTTGTGGGCAACAACAGACCCAGCTGTCAGCTCCTGGTACGCCCAGAGCGTAATGACGCCTGCTCCGGGCCCCACTGTGACTGCTGAAAGCAGAACTGTAACAAGCGCAACTGCAACGCCCAGTGGGCTGTCGAGGATCACCCGGCTGGCGATGGCGAGGACGCTGAATGCGTAGTCGAGGGTGAACAAGAGACGCGCGGCGTAGGCGAGGTCAGACGACGCAGGGCGGTTGGTGACGAGGAAGAGCTCGGCGAGTGAGCTGTCTGTTCCAGTGATAAGAGCAGTACGGGCGTAGATTGATGCTGCCGCACCCAGCAAGGTCACGAGGGCAATGGGGACAGTCGGCGTGTAGGGACCGAATGTCCGCAGCAATGGTGGGAGGAGGACGCTGAGGGCCACGATGTAGAGCGGGAACGGCTGCCAGAGTGCCAAAGCCAAGTAGGACCAGTGAGTGACTTCCAGGTATACGCTCGGAAGCGCGAGTCCCAGTGTGGTCGCCAACAACGCCGTCCAAGCACCCTCAGGCCGAGGACGGTTAGGGGTTCCAGCTGGAGGGCGGGCGCTGTTGTCAATAGCGAGGTAAGCTGGAATGGCGGCGGCCCATGTGGCCAGTTGGCCGAGGGCCATGAACGGCGCTGCCAGGCGCGATCCCCATCCGGATCGTGGGCGAAAGGTCTCGTAGGTGCTGATAAACGTTCCGCAGATGATGAACGCCCCAAAGTCTGCAGTGACGAGCCGTGTGTCCGGGTTACTGTATGCGGTCATGAAGTAGACGTTGAGCATACAGCATAGCTGGTTTAACCAGCCGGGCAGGATGGGGTAGCGTGTCACGCCTGGTTGTTGGAAGCATTGTGGACCGCGAAGCATTTCACCGGCCGCGTCCAACGCGGGGTGAAGTATTGCTGCAAGTAAGCGCTTCAGTTGACGCTGAACCAAACACACCGTAATGCAGCATAGTGACGAGGCCGCATATTGACAGTGCCGTAAAGTATTGGGTTGTTCGCGTCATTGTGGTTAGTAGAGGGCCGATGAACGAGAAGACAACGAGAAGACAAACGCGGCAGCGGTTGGGCGATTTGCCTCCGCTCATGGCACGTCTGGCACTCTCTGCTGCTGGAGTCGACCTCATGAACCCATGAACTGTTTGATTCCAGGGCTGTATGCTATAACACAGACGTGAGCAGTTGCAGATGCTTGCTGAAAGAGTCAACTGTGGAAACCGCGTCCAGGTCGGGTTAGCCAATGATGTCATCCGTCGCCGGGCACGATATGTCGAGAGGCGGGGAGCTTGGACGAGAGTAATGTTCTCGTACTCCGGGAAGCATAACCGGGTCCGCTTTGCGCAGTCCTGTTCCCACGACCAGTGTCAGCAACATGTACATGTCGATCCGCAGTGATCCGGTGAGCAAGCGAGGCGAGAAGGACATATGGCAACAGCTCAACGACTGTCGGGCGGAGAAATGCGAAATGAGCAGGCGATGTCAAAGCTGAGGTCGATCGAGCTCGTCTTACCAGATCGTAAGGCGGCCTTAACGATGGTATTCGGAATAGGTTCAAGTCTGGCGTCTTGGGTATGACGGGAAGGCAACGGCGGTGACTGGATGGATGGCTGAGCGCCGAATTCCGCAACAGGTACAGTACTTGGCATCTGAAACCCCAGGTCAAAACCCACCCACAGGCGTTGAAACGATATCCCAGTGTTTTCAAAGTCTACGCATTTCAATGGCCACGCCAGTTCTAAAGATACAGACATATATCCAAACCACACATATTGTTGGAAATGCAGAGCAGTGGCGCAGGAATGAACAAGCGGTGACTCGTTGCTGGTGTGGACGGACGGACGTGGAAAATACAGCGCGCCCTGAATTAAGCCGAGCCTAGTGCCAAATCGCAATCAAGACGCCGAGTTGCGCCATCGAAACGCTCGATAGCGTCAGCGAGGCAATGTCCGTCTGGTGGTCTTGGTGGTGGCAGCACGCCATCCTTGCAGTCCCACCACGCAGTCGCAGATCTGGGCTGTTTTCAGATATCATGCAATGTCCAGGCTGGGAGGGAAATGCTATTTTACTGCAGACTCGTGTGACAACTCACTCTCACACTCCCCCCAACACGCATCCCTCACAATGACCGTCACCATCACCGAGCCCGCCAAGACTGTCTACGACCTCGGCCTGACCTCCGGTCAAGTCGAGCCCGACTTTGACAAGCTTGTCGCCTACGACGAGTTCCCCAAGGAGGTCACTGGTCGCACCGTCTGGACCAAGGAGCAGCTCCAGGCCGACGACTCGCTTTGGCAGTACCGCTGGACTCCGGAGCTTGTCGCGCAGCTCGAGGAGGCTTACGCCAACTTTGAGGCTACTGGAGAGCCTCTTACGGCCATCAACAAGAACACCTGGAAGTTTCCCCAGGGTGCGTACGACTTTCTCCACAACCTGCGTGACGAGATTGTCAACGGCCGCGGTGTCGCTGTGATCAAGGGTCTTCCCGTGGTCGAGTGGGGTGTCGAAAAGTCGGCCGCCATCTACCTTGGTATCGGCACCGTGTTTGGCTACACCCTCAGCCAGAACGGCAAGGGCCACGTTCTTGGTCACGTCAAGGACCTCGGCAATGACCCCACGCAGATCGACAAGGTCCGCATCTACTCGTGAGTCCTGTCGGTGTGTATGGATCGAGCCCGTGCCTAACTAACCGTTCCAGCACTGCCGCTCGCCAGTTCTTCCACTCGGATGCCTCGGACATTGTTGGCCTCCTCTGTCTCCACCGCGCCAAGGAGGGCGGTGAGAGTGACATTGTCTCCTCGCACCACCTCTTCAACACTCTCCAAAAGGAGCGCCCCGATGTTGTCAAGCTTCTGGTCGCGCCCGACTGGTACAACGACCGCAAGGGCGAGCAGAACAAGGGCCAGGACGGCTGGCTCCGCAAGGCGGTCTACTACTACCACGACGGAAAGGTTTTGAGCCACTTTGACCCCTACTTTGTCAAGTCGACTGGCCGTTTCATCGACGCTGGTCTCATTCCTGCCATGACCCCTGCCCAGCAGGAGGCTATCCAGGTGCTCGATGACACTGCCCAGCGCCTGGCGCTGCACACCATCTTGGAAGTCGGAGACATCCAGCTGCTTGCCGACACCCACGTCTTCCACGCTCGCACAGCGTACACCGACTATGCTCCTCCCGCTCCCCGTCGCCACCTCCTCCGCCTGTGGCTCTCGACTCCTGTGTCGGAGGGCGGCTGGCAGCGCCCCTTCCCCGACGGAGACTACCTCAAGCGCGGCGGTATTCAGGTCGATCTTCAGAAGGAGACCTTCCCCCTTGACGGCGAGTAGTGGCAGATATCAATACAGCAGTAGAGAAGAGAGAAGACCAGCAGCAGCAAATGGTAGTTACAACAGCATGTACATTCATCATCATCAGCCGTGCGACGCCTTCAGGTAAACTCAAAGCAGGCACTGTCACAATGTGGCGCTGTGGCACTTTTCAAAGGCTAGATTCGCGTTCTCGAGTTCCATGTGCTACTCGCTACAACAGTTATGTATTGTCCACTAATCAACTTAAACAGACGGGAGCTCAATGTACACGCGAGCTCGTTTTATCAACTGGGGTTCGTCTCCCGAGACCGACCTTGAGGCGGACCTCTGCTTCTTTACTCGCCGCATGGCCTCTCTAACGCGTTCCTCCATCTCCGTCTCTTCCCACTTTTGAGGCACAAAAGGCACATTCAGCCCCACAACCACCTTGTGGCCCGCAACGTGGTCGCCGTACTGGACCCGCTCGAGGGCGGCCGGGATACACTCGAGCCCACCCTCGTCGAGGTCCGTTTCCTGCGGACGGAGCGTTCGGTTTCCAAACCGCACATAGGCGTAAGACGCTAGCTGAGCGGCGAAATCGTCGTCATCAAACCACGACATTTTGAAGGATACGCCCAGGTGCTCGACTTTGCGGAGCGCGTCAAACGAGGCACTCAGAGAAATGGGGGGGATGCCGGCTAGCACGACGAGTTGGGCGCGAGTGGGACCACCCCAGTGGCCGTCGGTGAAAAAGTTGGCACTGTAGTTTTCGTTGATGGCGCGCCACCTGGCGGACCCCTCCAGGATGTGGCGACAGGCCAGTGCAGTCTCGGGGCCCACATCGTCTACTGCAAGGGTTACCTGGTGACGTCAGCTATCACTGTTGTTGAGACACTGACACTATCGTCGGTGTACTGGCGCACGGCGGCCACAAGGTCAGCCTCGGCCTCTACCTCTTGAGAATCTAGCACGACGTTTGCGCCAAGACGGATCAGGTACGCGTGTTGGGGCTTGGGGGCCGTGGTAATGACGCGCAGGCCAAGGTGACAGGCCATCTGGATGAGGTACAGTCCGGTGCTGCTGAGGCCAGAAGTGATGCTGATCATCAGCCACCAGGTATGGTCCAGCTGCTCACAAGATCCACGGGCAGTGAGCAGATGTGACCATTGATCGCTCAGTGGAGATGGGAAAGCCAAAACACCGGAACATGGTGATGGCCGCGGTCAGGAAGCCCGTCCCAACGGCGGCAGCAGATATGAGACTCATGCTGGTCGGGATGCGGCAAACCTGCGCTGCTTTGTGCACAGAGTAGTGCTGGTACGTGCCAGAATTTGGCATCGCGGGGTTGGAGCATGCCCAGACCTGCCATTACCGTCAGCTTACCTGCACCCGAACCACCATCGCAGAACGTTTCCGACGGGAAGGCTTACCCTATCGCCTATGTTGAGGTTGGTCACTCTCGCGCCGACAGCGACGACAATACCTGCCCCGTCGGTGCCCAGGACCTTTCCGTTTTCAGCGAGACGACACCGACGGCTGATGCTCTTGACATCGTCTGGGTTGAGGCCCACATAGCGAGTCTCAACAACCACCTCGTCGATCCCAGGGATGTGGGCGGGATGGTCCAAGATGACCTGCCATGGGGAGCTGTCCAACGGCGACAATGAGGCCAGGAGAGCTTGTTGCGTCCTCTGCGAGGGGCTCGTCATGGAGTAGAAGGGGGTGGAGAGACGGAGATGATTCTACTGCTCTGTCTTGTGGTACACTTTATAAAAGAAAACAGTGCGGGACGCCGGACACCATGCCCCTGCGTGGTTGTCCTTGTTAATAAACCACCACCTGCCACACGTTCAACCGTGCACTGACGGAGCTAAGGTACACACGGTAGCCACGGTGTTTGGACTACACGTGGCAAACGGCCAGTTTACCTCACGCATGCCGTCGTCTAAATACCTTGTCAGATGCGGGCTAGACCTGCTGCCGAGTAGTGGATCCGCGACATGATGTACTGTCGGGTGCGGGTTGCTGTAATACTGCAGGCACGCCGCTGGTAATACTCAATCGCCGGGCAGGGGGGTTTCGGCCGACTGTTGTTTGCTGACCGGGAACCCGCCTTTGCTCATTCTTGTGTACATGAAACCTGGATGATAGCCCAATCCTGGGAACTAGACTAGTGTTGGAATCGCGGGACGTACGCAGGCGAAGCAAGCCGGGTCTACTTTCTAAAGCTTGTTTCGTGTACGAGCTGCCGGAAACGGCAAAGCTGGGACGGGTGGTGGAGCTATCTGTAACTTCTCGTTATCTCAAACTAAAGCCACAACAACCTCCCCAGTGGCTGACCTAGTCGCCCGGCCATCCCAGCATCATATACTGGAATCAGTGAGAAGCGAATACTCTCCGCGTTCGCTAGCCGTTCCCAGCTCCACCCATTGTAGCTACATCGGGATGGCCGTCGACTGGTTCAGCAAGTTCCTGCCCCGCTGTCGTTTGTCGTCAGGGGAATCCTCCTCTTCATTGCTCGCATGGGACCTTCTGGTGACAATGCCTCACTGCTGCGCACAAGTCGAGGGGGAGTGCCAACGAGAATGTGTTGGGATTTGATGCCGTTTAGCGCCCGAGACCGATGGTCTTAAGCTGGCAGTTTGTCTTTCAGAAGAGGATGGGGATGCATAGGCGTCTACAGAGCTGCTTATATGCACACAGAAGGGAGGCCCGAGCACTACAGAGAAGCACGAGGACAATGAAGAAGCAGAAAGAGCAGCATTGGTGCAGTACCCTCGTTCTCCGGTCAGCTCGGTGCCACACTGCAGTGGCGCAAGTGGTTACGTAATCTCAACAAGAATGCATGCATGTTGTCCGATTGACTCTCACAACAAAACGGAAATACCATCAAGCCCGGTTATATCAGTCGGTAGATAGTTTGACTCTTACTCCACTGTTAGGATATCAAAATGTCATGGGTTCGAGCCCCATACTGGGCTACGAAGCCTGAAGCAGCAGCTTCAGCTTCCCTTTTGCCTCTGTCGTGTTCGGCTTGTACACCTTTTTGTCGGTTCTGAGAGCCCAACTCGGACCGGAAGAGCCGGGAGAGCCGCGAGAAGCGAGAAGCGAAGTGGTCAAAGTGGACGGAAATGTAATCTAATCATTTCAAACGGGGATGGCCGAAATGTCGCCACTGGTCAGGGTGATGGCGAACAACAACCCTTTATCACTCTGCTTGACGTCTTCAAGGGCGTTCGCGCCGCCGAGAACCGCGAAGGTTAGTGTAGTGTATAATGTGGAGGCACGTACTGGGAAGGGAGCAACACACGGGGCGGTGAAGCGCCCACCTTGGTCCGTCACACTTTGCAGAATGGCCTGTTCGCACACCATCTGTGCAGCAGAGATCGTCAAGTCGCTAAGGTTGCCGACGAGTAGCGCATTGATTAAGAATCGAGCTCGTGGTTTCTTGATCTCTACTATACACCATGCCCAGAATCATTCGCGTCGTCATCATCGGAGGTGGTATCTCTGGCATCGCCCAAGCTATCCGCCTCAAGGAGCAGCTTGGTGACCACCTGAGTCTGACGGTGAGTAGCGCCGCTCCAGACCCGTTCTAACTCAATAGATCCTTGAGAAGGGAGCTTCGCCTGGAGGTGTCTGGCGCGACGCCAAGTGGCCAGGCGCTGGGGTCGACGTCCCAATCCACCTCTACAGCTTGTACTCGGACCTCAACCCAGACTGGTCCGAACGCTTCGCGTCGCAGCCCGACGTGCTTGCGTACTGGGAGAGCCTTATTGACCGCCACGGTACGTCGACATAAGCTGGCACTCGTATTGACTTTGGACTAGGCCTGCGTAACACCTTCCTCCTCAACACTACGTACACCTCCTCCACATGGTCGGCCGAGACCCAGACGCACCAGATCCTCGTCACCAATGTGGAGACGGGCGTCAAGAGCATCCACGAGGCAGAGGTGCTCATCTCGGCCACTGGTCCACTTGCCAAGCCCCTCCTTCCAGATGTTCCGGGTATCGACTCTTTCGCGGGTCCCTCGTTCCACAACCTCCGTTGGGACACTAGCGTAGACCTCACTGGAAAGCGTGTCGCAGTGGTTGGCAACGGTAGCTCTGGAATTCAGTTCATTGTGAGTAGAGCCTGAGGACGTGAAAACGCTACTGACACCACAGCCCGGTGTCTCCGACCTGCCTGGAGTCACTCTCACTCATTACATTCGCTCGGGAGGCTACTTTGTCCCCAAGAGTGAGTACGTCAGTGCTTCTAAGCTAACATACAGTCCAGCACAAGTACACTGCGTTTGAAAAGTTCCTCTTCCGTTGGGTCCCCGGCGTCATCGACCTCCATCGCTTTGGCCTCCTTCTTGAGCATGACCGCACTTGGTCCGTCCGGACGTTCTCAGATGATAAGAGGCGTGAGGTACTGGAGAAGGAGCTCCTAGAGTATCTGGAAGAAAAGGCTCCCGCAGAGTACCTCGAGGCGTTGACCCCAGACTATCGTGAGTGAACTAACACAACGTGGCTGACATTACAGCTCTTGGTGCAAAGCGCACGGCATTGGATTTTGGCTGGCTGGACTCGCTCCACCGTGACAACGTGTCTCTCGTCAACACCGGTATCGCTCAAGTCACTGCAAACGGTATCGAGACGGAGGATGGTACTTTCAGGGCACACGATGTCATCATCTGGGCTACTGGGTCAGACGTCGCACGCCACGGTCTCGGTGCCAACGTCGGCCTCCACGGCGAAGACGATGTCGAGCTGCAGGAGTTCTGGAAGGATGCTCCCCAGGCCTACCGTGGTTTGGCTGTCCCAGGGGTGAGTGTCAAGTCTAAGTCGCAAAGTTGACGTTAGTTCCCCAACTACTTCATAGTCATTGGCCCCAACGCCACGGCTGGCTCGTGGGGCTGGACTCTGGGCCGTCAGTCTACTGCTATTGCGCGCCTTGTCCGCGGCCTGCTCGACTACGACCTGTCGTCGGTCCAGCCCAAGCAGGAGGCATTCGAGCAGCACAATGCCGAAGTGCAGGAGAAGTTGGCAAACTGTGTACGTCCTACGCACCGTTTCAGGTGGTCCCAGTTGGCTAATGACGTATACAGACTGCCAGAACCGAGAAGACGAACAACTGGTGGGGTGTGCGCGTGGATGGCAAGCGCCGCATCACTGTCACCAACCCTCAGTCTGGAAGTGAGTAGTTACTACATGTATCCCGCGCTGACATCTCAGTCGACCTCTGGTGGAGCACGCTTTCGACCAAGTGGCAGAACTGGGATGCCGTGCGCCTCAAGTCGGTTGACTCCAAGGCGCGACTGGAGAAGGTTGACGTGTTGGCGATCCAGCGCCGCCGACACGCAGTCAAGGTTTTGCTCGCGGCTGGCCTTGGGGCGGTGGCGTACTTCACACCAGTTAACCAGCTGTTGACCGAGTTTGCCAGTCGCTTCTATGCTTGAGTGCTTAGAATTGTACTAGTTTTGCGTGATGCCGTGATGCGAGAAGAAAAGCAAAGTGAGAACGACGTACGGCCGATGCGGATGAACCATGCTGCGGTGACTTGCGGTAATTAACGGAAGTATGGTCCGAGGCCCCGGATTAACCATATTCCACTCGGCCGTCGCTCCGTCCATCTTGCTGTGGAGGCCTGGGGCCGCCCATTCCCAGGTTGAAGAGGACGTTGCATTGAGCTGTTCTTCTTCCTAACACACCATTACCCATGGGAGACGACGAGGAGAAGCTCACAGACTCGACGGTGCGCGTCCGGGACACAGAGGTCACAGAGGTAGCAGTGGCGAACAGCAAGACTGGTGGTCCCGATGTTGTTGTTGTCCATTGGGAGCCTGGAGACCCCGGGGTGAGTGACAACCATCCCATTCCGCACTGACCAATGTAGCACCCAACCAACTGGCCAAGGCTGAAAAAGTACTTGATCGTGTGCTCCGTCTGCAGCATCACGGCGCTCTCGATCGCGAACGCCACGTGCTTGGCTATCATGTCTACGTGGGGAGTCGACTTTTACAACACGACCCGACTCGGGTTCACCGTTGGGCTGACAGTGTACAACCTCTCTGTCAGTTTCACCCCAATGATTCTCACTCCAATCAGTGAGGGATTCGGTAGAAACGAGATTTATCAAGTCACTAGCCTGCTGTAAGTCACCCCGCACTGAGACGCCAACTAACATGACCAGTATTGCCCTGCTCTTCATCCCGCAGGCCTTGTCCCGGAGCTACTCTGGGTTCCTGGCTGCGCGCTGGTTTGTGAGTAATGGTAGCCGAAGTACATTACCGAACCCTAACATATACAGCAAGGAATGGCCTCCTCGGTGGGCATCTCAATGGTCGGCGGAACGATTGCGGACATGTTCACGGCCCGTGAACGCGGCAAAGTGATGAACTTGTTCAGTCTGTTTGTCTTTGTCGGCCAAGGATCTGGCGGTCTGGTTATGGGTTGGGTGGGCGAGAAGGCTGGTTTCCAGTGGTGCTTTGGCGTGAGTTGGTCACGCTGATGAGACTCTGACCCTCAGGTTTTTGGCATTGCATGCGCCGGCTCATGCGTCCTCATCATCGTGTTTTGCCGCGAGACCCGTGCCGACACTTTGCTACGTCGACGCGCTGCACATCTTACCAAGAGTACTGGCGTCTGTCATGTCGCCGACTGTGACTGGCATGCCGAGCACAAGAGTCTGATGCAGAAGCTCCGGGTTACTGCCATCCGCCCATTCCGTGAGCTACTGCATCCTTTTCAATAGCTAACCATCAGAATTCCTCGTCATGGAGCCGATCGTGACCTTCTTGTCCGTGTGGGTTGGGTTTGCGTGGGCGGTCATCTTTCTCGGGGGTACCGCGACCATGCTGGTGTTCGAACAGTACGGCTTCGGCCCCGGCCAAACAGGAAGCACGCAGGCGTGCATCATCGTTGGCGGCGTGATTGGATACTTTTCACAGTTCCACCAGGAGAAGATCTATCGCAAGGTGGCCGAGCGTTCGGCGTCTGGTCATGCACCACCAGAAGCACGATTGTACTGGGCAGCATTCGGAGGGTTGCTCTTCCCCGCCGGCATGATGGCGTTTGCTTGGACAGGAAGGCAAGTTATGGTCATCCCGAAGAGCACTAACTGTCAGGCCAGAGATCCCCTGGCCTGTTCCAGCCGTGATGTTGTGCATCTCGTACTGGGGTGTTTACTGCATGTACATTGGCACCTTGTGGGTTAACTTGCATATGTTCTAGCTAACCCTCCAGCAACTACCTGGCCGACGCATACGAGACATATAGTTGGTAAACTATCGATGGGCACCAACTGACCAATAGGCTCCTCGGCACAGGCTGCACAGAGCTTTGCTCGCAACACCATCAGCGGCGTCTTTCCCCTGTTTGCACGCCAGATGGTACGTATGAGTCACATCCCCGAGTGCTGACAGTCAGTACATCAAGATGGGGTATCCCCAAGCATCCTCGTTAGTGGCGGCACTGGGCTTCGTGCTGTCCCTGGCGCCATTCCTCCTCATCAAGTATGGAGCGCGGTTGAGAGCCAAGTCGCCAATCACGTCCAGTTTGGTTGGCCAATTGTAGCAGCAATGTGCATAGGGTCGTTGATCACGTTTGTACAGAAAGAAGTCCATCACATATGAGCCATTTAGTCCACAGTGCATCAGTAGTGTGCTGCAGCCATCAAGTGCGATGCAAAATATACATCGCAAAGGTATTTTTTAAACATTTTATGATGATTTTTTTGGTGTTTGTTGTTGTTTTCTACGGACTCGGAACGGAAATGTGTTGAGGCCAGTTGTGATACTTACCCTGATAAAGCGCCGCGGCGCGTCGCTATGTCCATAAAGGGTTCAGTTCCCTGGCGGGGATGCAAATGATCATCTCTTCTGATGTCATGGTCCCGTCAATGACTCGATTGAGTGCAGGTTGTTCAAATAGGAGGCGGTTGTCCTGGTTGTTCAAGTGGGGCGGAAGTGACCGTGGCCGTGACGTCCGGGACCACCAGAGGCTCCAAATCCTCCATGTCCGTGCCCGTGGCGGCCTCCCTTCATCTTGTGGCCGCCACCAATGTGGTGAGCCATCATGCCGTGCTCGAAGCGTCCTCCACGGTGGCGGTGGCCCTCAAAGCCCATGCCCATGGGCATACCTGAACCGAAACCGCGGCCAATCTTGGCCATGCGGCCGTAGCACTCGACACGCTCGTCCGACACCTCGCGCAGGCCATCCTTGCCGTGGATGACGCAGTCGTCGGCGACATCCTTGATGGCCTCGCCGTCGCGGGTGCAGACGCAGCGGCCCTCACCCTTGTATCCATGACCTCCGCGACCTCCGCGGCGGTGCATGCGGGGTCCAGACTCATCCCTGGCCTTGATGTTCTCGGTGCCGTGGATGAGACACTCGTTGTCGACGTTCTTGATGGCACCCGACTCTTCGCGCTCGCAGTTGCAGCGACCGCCGCGTCCAAACTTGCCACCCTTGCCTTCGTGGTGGCGACCGCCACGGCGGTGGTGGGGAATGTCCTTGATCTCCTCCCAGCCAGGCGGGGAGTAGGCGCGGTGGTGACCGAACCGGCCGTGGTGCCTACCACCACCACCACCTCCGTGCTTTGCCGCCAGGGCCACCGCCAAAGCCCTTTCCGCCGCCTCCGCGACGACCAAAGCCGCGCCCGAGGCCGGCAAAGGCGAAAGCCAGCTGGGCCATGGTCGGCGCAGCGTTGTGGCGACAGCAGTCGCAGTGCTGCTGCTGCTCCTTCTCAGAGTCCTTCTCGGTGGACTCCTTCCCCGTGGCGTCCTGGCCCTCAGTCATGGACTCGGGCTCGGGGGACGAAATGTAGAGTTCCTTCTCAAAGGCATCCACTGGGCTGTCAGCGATATTCACCGCACGGTTCAACTCACCAATCACGGGCTCGTCGGCGAGGGTGACAGTGTCCTCACGGTCACGCATGTTCTGGTCGCGGGTCATCTTGCTTGTGGTTAAAATTGGTGTGGTTAAAGTGTGTGTGGGGAAAGGGGAGGGTGTAGTGGGAGAATGTGTGTTGGGTGATGAGACGAAATGAACCGTTGTGCGGCGACTATATATCTCGAGTCGTCCGGCTGTGCAGACTGCGCTTCGAACGCGCGTACGTCATAGAACCATCCGGCACCTCGGTCAACTCGGTCAGGATTCGGTCAGGGGCGTTTGTGCAATCGTAAGGAAGCGAGAGCCGAGCCTCGCGAACAAGTCGAAGCTGTCCTGCGCTCAATGCCACAGCCTCGAAAGCGCTTCGCCTGAGCGCTGAACAGGATCATCTTTTGTGAAGCGAGTGAGAACAGGGTAGCCCTTTCTCGCTTGCTAAACCTGGGCGATCGACCGCAGCTATGACGCGCTGGAGGACAGCAGAGCCCTTCTTGCAGAGGCGATATCCGATGATCTGGGAAAGAGTAAGGAAGAGTGGTGGAAGGAACGGGACGACACGAATTCCACTAACAAGGAAGGTCGGATGTTTTACTGAACTTCAAAATTTAAATTGAAGTTCAAATAGAGTCGGCGGTTCAATATAAAATAAAGATTATCGAAACCCGCTCTGTATTGAATGCGCACACGTAGCAAAGCATTAACAGACACTTGCATGAACGACTACGAAGCTGTATTAAAAACCTGCTCTACTGACACCACATTGAGCGGCTGCATCCCACCCGCAACAGACAGCACCTCACGAGCCACGAGTTGGGCGAGGACTTGAACCACCCTCGCGTCCTGTGTATACCCTCCGTCACACCTGATATTAGCCCAAATCTAAAAGCATGTCAGCTTACATTGTCTTGGCTACATTGAGCGCGTGGGGAAGGACATCCCTCAGACCTCGGTCCGTAGCGAGCCTGTGGCATTCGGTCTTGACTTGAGCGCGCGACTCGTCGCTATCGAGTGCTAAAGGAATGCGGTCAAAGTATGGGATCGCGCTGAGCACTGAGCCGACCGCCGCTCCACCGAGGTAAACAGGAAGGTGCTCGTCTGATAGCCGCTCCTTCACGACGGTAGTCACTGAGGTCAGCGGTGCTTACGAGTTGGGACCCACGTCGAGCCTTCTTCTCATCGGTGAAGGGTTCCACGGCGTCTAAGAGGCTCCCGCCTTTGTACTCTTGTCCATTGATCACTGCGGTCAGTGCGCTGACCAATGGCACAGCTCACCTATGGTGTGGTACGCCGAGCGGAACTTGCAAGCGAACGCGCTACAGCGGGAGATGACAAACGGTGCGTCGCCGTTCTGCCAACGGAGGGTGTCCAGTGTGACCTCAAAGTCTCGAGGCTGGTCCAAGGCCACGACCACTTGTGGAGTGACCAGTACGTCTGGGTTGCTGGAATGCAGCTCGACAGGGTCTCGGTGGAGGACTGTCACGTCACCGAGCTCGTCTTTCGCCCGAGTCAAACGTGATTCATCGTTGTCCAACAGGGTGAGATGCTGAACGCCTGACGTGAGTAATATCCTGTGCAAAGAAAGTCACTCACCAAGACGCCTGAGCTCCTTGGCGACGGCCAGACCGTAATCATGGAGGCCAATGACCAGGACTGCAACCTCACTAGGTACCATGGCGATGAGAGCAAGGGTCAACGGAAGGGGCTTCGTTCACTATATACCGATCGGCGAATACACCCCCCCACCGGCCCGATGACTGAACCTGTCCGGCCGCCCTGGACTCAACCTCTCTCCTCTCTTGAACCCTGCTGAGCGGTTGGGTCCTTACCAAGCGGATGCAGCCGATATGCAGCCGACCAAAAAGACGCAGTTCCGGCCCAGTGCCCGGTGCTGGACATCAGATAAAGACGTCGACACCACAAAAGTGACCGATCCGAAACCCACCGGGAACCAACATGCAGAACTTTCCTGCCTCAATCCTCAACCCTACGGACCCGTGCTCGCCGCTGTCTGTCCCGCCTGCACAGACGGCCCTGCTCCTCTTGGACCTGCACAAGTTTATCCTCTCCCACCAGCCCGATGGCGGCAAGTCGATCGTCGAGTCAGCCGTCCAGCTGAGGACGTGGGCCCAGCGCCGCGGGATCGCGATCGTCCACTGCCTGCTGGACTTGGAAGTCGAGACACCCGCGCACATGAAGATGTCCTCGAGGACAAATGCCATCTCAGCGGGGCTCAAGGACACCCCTGAGCACAAGGGTGAGGCGGACGCTGTCACCGCGCCCGGTGAGCTGACATTTACGCGTGTGCCCGCATGCGTGTCCGCCATGGAATCGACTGGTCTTCAAGAATGGCTCAAGGCACACGGCATCCGGTCTGTCATTCTGGCCGGGCTCAGCTCGTCCGGGTGCGTTATCAACACGGCCAAGGCGGCGGCCGATCAAGGTCTTGTGGTCACAGTGGTCAAGGATGCCTGCAAGGACCGTTCGGCGGAGGTACATGAGATAATCATGACCAGGCTGCTGGTCATGCAGTCGCACATCGTAGACATTGAGGAGCTGGATAGGGAATGGGAGAGGCAAGTGACGGCGTAGGGACGGCTTCAGGCACATGCAGACAGTGATATTAGCTGCGGCATTCCTGCAGGGCTGAAGCTGGTGTTCAGCATGACATACGTTTGTGTCTCTCACTCTTGTCGGACCACAACGCAGACACTACTAGTTCATGCCACATTGTGCCACAAACGCCGATCGCTCCGTCGCAACACCACCATTTTGTTAGTTCCTGAGGTGTTCATGCGCCATTCTTTGCCACTCATATGCTTCGGCATTACTGCATACGCATACGCACCGCACTAGACGGTTTCCTAACGAACATCACTTATCCTTCACTTTCTTGCGCCATCCACAAGGAAAAGGCATTATGAACGCGATCACATCACTTTCTTAATTGTGTACTCAACTTCTGTTTCAAATTTCCCCACAAGCACCCTAGTCACTGGGCTGCTCCTCTCCGTAGTCGCCTGTGCACTCGAAATTCTTGAACTGGCGGGCAGGGACGCGCTTCTCAAAGAGCTCGTCCATCTGCGCGTAGGTGCGGGCAGTAAGGTCGGGAATGGAAAAGTAGATGATGACCGTGCAGGCCAGACCAATTCCGAAGAACATGTAGCCGGTCTTGGGACCGATGGCGGTGAGCTCATACGGGAGAACGACGTTCCAGAAAGTGCCGATAATAGCGTTGGCTCCGGTGGCAAAAGTGGTAGTCTTGGCACGGAGACGCGCAGAGCCGGCTTCACCCGCATAGGTCCAGCCTGCGACACCGGGACCGACAGACACGGCGAGGTTGTAGAGACCGACGAAGATGACAAGAGCCCAGCCCGCGCCAGAGTCAATGTTGCCATGGGTGGCCGAGTCGACAACGCCGATACCAAGCATGCAGATAGTGACAGCGGCCATGGCGAGAAGAACGAGGAGCCAACGACCAATCATCCTGCGCTCAATGACAAAGAAGGCACCAATGGCACCGACCAGACCAAGAGCTGATACGATGGACGAGGCACGGAGCGAGTTTGTGATTTTCGCCAGGGTAAAGAAGTCTGGGCAACGTCAGCTTAAGAGGCAGAGCAATGAACTTGCAGGTGGAGTACGACTGAACAAGCTGGTTGCCAGCAAGCTGTTGGGCGGCTGAGGGGAAAGCGGCAACAAAAGTACGGCGAAGGTTGACGCCCTTGAAACACTCGAGGAAGCTCGCACCGTTCGTTGTGGCGGAGTGCTCCCTTTCGTTCTCGACAGTGAAGATCTGGACGGCGATGTCCTCTTCGACCTGCTCAGTGCTGAGGTTGGGATAGAGCTTGGTGTAGCTGCGCTGTGCCTCGTCTACGCGGTCCCTCATAACGAGCCAGTAGGGCGATTCCTGAAGAAGGAAGACGAAGAGGATGAGGGTGATGGTAGGGGCGGCAAGACCAACGTAGAGAGGGACCTTGGATGGTTAGCACAGGTACGATACCACCGACCTACCTTCCATCCACGGTTGTCGGTGACGAGGGGAAAGGCAGTGGCAGCGCCGTAGCAAACGAGGTTTCCAATCAGAGATCCAAGGGTCACTGCAAATCAGCACACTTTTCTGGCAGCACGTACTAACGGTTGAAGGCGAAGAGACCCAACATGATACCGCGGATCTCGCGTGGCGTGACCTCGGCGACGTAGGTGGGTACAGCGACCTGCAGACCACCTGTGGAAATACCCATTACGGTCTTTGCGATACTGTAGACCTTGAAGTTGGGAGAGACAACCTCGAGCATGACACCAATGTAGCAAACGACGATGACGGTGTACAGAGCGAGGCGACGGCCCCACCTGTCTGCAACGCCGGCAAAGAGGATCTGGCCGAGGAACTGGGCAATACCGAAAACACCGGCCCAAAGCGACATCTTCCAGGCGTCGACGGCGTAGCTGTCAGAGGCCGCATCGTAGGAACCCATCGTCTTGCAGAAGGCTTGAACTCCGACGAGAGCACCGAGAAGGACATACTCAAGACCCAAGATGACACCGAGAGTCTGGACGGAGAGGATAACGGAGACAACCTTCAAGTTGGAGCGAAGGACAGCACCGGGGCTCTTGGGGGCTTCGAGCAAGGCGATATCATGGGCATGGGTGTACTCGCTTTTGGTCAAGCCGTCGGGACCGCGGGGCCCATCTTCGATATGGGCGATGTCCGGCTTCTGGTCGATCATACCCTGGCTGGTGAAGGACATGGTTGCGCTAATTCTTGTGGTTCCTGTGATGTTCCTGTCGATTGATAGGGCACCATGGGGTCCCAAACCATGATGGCTATATACGTAGAGTTGCCAAGATCGTTGCACCACTCTCAGCAAGGATGTTGCAAAGAGTGGAGGACTGATACGAACAGCTGCGCGGACAGGTGACCATGCTGTGGGTTTGATATCCAAGCGAGCCGGGTTTTCGCCAGGTAAGTGTTACTCAATTGCTCACCGTGAATGAACGTCACAAGGGAGAGACGAATACCGCGGGCCTCAGGAGGCGGCTGGAGCTGGAGCTGGAGTTGGACCGACTGCTGGAATGGGAAACTTTGATAACGCGGTGGGCATGTCGGCACGAGGGTGCAGCCGACTCACAACATTCCCCATTGTTGTGATGGAGGCTGGCGGTACAAGATTACCGCAGGCCTGCGTACTCGGTACCCGTCGTACCCGAGAGGGCAATCCTGAACGCCGCTCTGCGGGGTGGCCGCCATATACACCCTCTACCATCGGGGGTTAATCAAATGGCCCCGCAAAAGTGGGGTCCCACGGAACCGGGTGGCGGTGGTCACGTCGCCGCTGGGGCGGCTCCGTGACCACAAACAAAGAGTCGCCGCTGGGGCGGCGACTCGGGCTTTGTCCTAATTGATGTCGATGCCGATGGCCGAGGGCTCGGGCAGTTGGAGCTGTGGCGTGGGGCAATGCTGCGATCCTCATAGCCTGAGGGCATTCCTTGAAGTGAGATGGTGACTGCAGAGGGAGTTGAAAGGCACCCAGGAGCGAATGAGGCTTGGCGAAGTGTGTGAGGACAAGAACAACATCAAACGGCCTCCTGCCACAGATCCACAGACCTCTACAGATCACAGCGCCAGGCAGTGGGGATAAAGGGGAGGACCATATAGAGTGTGAAATTAAAGAGGGGGGTCCCAATAAAATGTGTGGCTGGGTGGCACTTGTCAGTGCGTATCTCCCAGTCTGTCGTTCATCCTCGTTGCGCAGTCTGTGCGCAGCTCCTACTCCACCGTTGCTCTCTCGATCTCGGTCTTCATCACCTCGGACTGCTCGGCAGGGAAATTGCCAGCCGAGATGTGAGATGACGCAGAGGCCAACGCGTTCTCCTCAGCAGTATCAGATAGATACTCACTCATCTATCGTTCAACCTTCTTCCATCACTCAACAACGTCCGACATGACTTCTCCGCCGACTTCACCGCTCAGCTCCACGACTATCCACACCAAGCAGGGTGACCTACAAGGCGTGACCTCGGAATTCGACCCCAACGTCACCGTCTTCAAGGGCATTCGCTTCGCTGCGTCCACAGCTGGCGAGAACCGATGGCGCGCTCCTCAACCTCCTGCGACCTGGGAGGGCGTCAAGATTTGCGACACGTTTGGCCCCGAGTGCCCGCAGAAGGCCTTTGGACCAATGGTCATTGGCGCGAACCACTCTGAAGACTGTCTGTCTTTGAATGTTTGGTCGCCAGCCAAGTCCGTGGACGAAGCGCTCCCGGTCTTTGTGTGGATTTACGGCGGTCGCTTCATCGCAGGTTCAGGCAGCCAGTTGGCTTACGAGGGCACTGGTTTGGCCAAGAAGGGTGTTGTTGTTGTCACACTCAACTACCGCGTCGGTATTCTTGGCTTCCTGGCCACTCCTGAGCTCGACGAAGAGTCTGGGGTTGGTGCGTCTGGCAACTACGGAATCCTCGACCAGGTTGCTGCCCTCCAGTGGGTTCAGCAGAACATTGCCGCATTTGGTGGTGACCCGACCAAGGTGACCATTTCTGGTCAGTCGGCCGGTGGTGCCTCGTGTGGCATCCACGTCTACTCGCCCGTGTCCAAGGGCCTCTTCCGCGCCGCCATTCCTCAGGCCGGTATGCGCGACCCTCACGACCCTCTTCTCTCTGGCCTCGCTCCGGCGTACCGTTCCAAGGAGAAGGCTCTCCGCCAGGGCCTTGAGACTCTTGCCGACAAGGGTGCCGCCAACATTGCCGAGGCGCGCCAGATGGAAATTGCCCATCTGATTTCGGACAACAACAAGAACGACGACTGCTGGGGCAACCCTCCCTTCTGGCGTCCGTGTATCGATGGCTACGTGCTTCCAGACACGTACGCAAACATTCTCGCCAAGGGTCTGCACAACGACGTTCCTGTCATGACTGGCCACAATGCCGATGAGGGTGGCACCTATGCCGACACGGCCTTCACCGTTTCCGATCTCCAAGCGTGCGCGTTGCAAAAGTATGGCGATGAGCTTGGCAAGCGCTTCATTGAGCTGTACCCGGCCGAAAAGGACTCGGAGGCGCTTCTTGCTTGGAACACGCAGGCCAGGAACAACTCGCGTGTCACCGTTGCCATGTGGGCCGAGCTCTACGCCAAGCACGCACAGTCGCCCGTGTTTGGCTACTTTTACAACCACGCCCCGCCTGTTCCCCCCGGCGGTCCTGATGCCAAGCCCATTAAGCAAGGGGAGAAGAAGAAGGAAGAGTCGGACACTACCCGCCCCCGCCTGCGCATCTACGAAAAGGACGTTCCCCGCTCCACCTACACCTACTCCAAGATGGGTACGGGTGGTCGTTTTGGTGCCTTCCACGGCGCCGAGATCCCGTACGCGCTCAACAACTTGTACGCGTACCCCGAGTACGAGTGGCAGGACGACGACCGCGCCGTTGCCGACCAGATGTCGACTTACTGGTCCAACTTTGTAAAGTACATGGACCCCAACGGACCGCAGGGTGGTGCCGAGTTTGTCAAGACTGGCAGCGGCAAGATCATGCAACTCGGCGACGGCAACTATGGTATTCCCCTGGCCGAGTCGCCTGAGCGTGAGGCGTTTTGCAGAGAGTTTCTCCTTACCCAGAAAGAGTGGTAGATTAGACATGGAACCTTTGATAGATGAGCATGCAAAACTCGTTCTTACCACTTAGATATCCTACAGAGCCAGTGAGGCCAACGCCACGTACATATGATCATATGATGGTGGTGCCAATACAATTTTTGGCATCTTGATGTTCACCTCTGCACTTGATGTCCTTCGTAGTTGAAGTCACGTCCATGAGCCAGGGTATATATGCTCAAATAACAATTTAATCGGCGGCCGGAAGTTTGTAATTGGATTAGAACATGCCGACCTAACTGCTAGTCCTAGGTTCAGGCACGATGACCAGCGCTAGAATGCCGCATGCCGTTCTTCGCTTTCAACAACACTCTCCACACAACACAGACGGCATCTCCAATGTCTGCCGCCAATGGGCCGTACCCGTCGCCCGCGGCGGGTCCTTCTCGCTCCGTTCAATCTCCTGACGACAGGCGTCCGTCAAGGACCGCACTCAAGGGCAAGCGCACACGAACCGGTGAGCTAGACAGCAGCAGTCCACAATCTAACCGTCTCAGGCTGTCTGACATGTCGCGCGCGCAAGGTCAGATTGACCATTCAGTAACAAGGCTGACGTTTAGGTCAAGTGTGACGAAACACCGGATACGTGCAACAACTGCACGCGCGTTCGCCTAGAGTGCAAGTGGTTTGACCCAAACATTGATTCGGGTAGGTGCTCCACTTATGTACAGGACCAGGCTGATCCTTTGAAGTCGGTCCCATCCGCCGACGAAACCGTAAAGGGACGTGCCACGGCTGTCGAGTAGCGCGGTGCAAGTGCTCGTCTGATCGACCGACATGCACGAGGTGCGCGCAGCACGGTATGACTTGCGAGTACACTTCCACAAAGGCGGCTCCTACCGTGGGGATCGACGTCACGCCCAGCTCCGCCGAGAACAACTCTCCCCATCAATCGCTGGCCATGGAGGAGGTCGAAAGGGAGCCGCCACGTAGGAGAACGATCAGCAAGTCTCCCAAGCCAACGAGGTGAGAACAAGCGATGCCGGATGTCGCTGACGACAGTATTGAAGCCCTGCCTCGAGCGTTGCTCGACAAGCACATCGAGGCCTTCTTTACCTACGTCTATCCCAGCCAAGCGAACGCTATTATTCACCGTGGAACTCTTCAATCTGGAATCCTCTCCGGTACTGTTTCACCCAAGCTATTGCTAGCCATCTGCGCGGTCGCTTCGCGTTTCATCCACACAGGTTCAGGCTACATCCCACTGCAAGGAAGCTCTCAGGCGACAATGTGGGCCAAAGAGGCCAAGACGATCCTTATCCTTGAGGAAGACATGTCCCTCGATACTGTAGCGTGCGCTCTCATCCTCGCCAAACACGACATCAACTCTGGCAAGTTCTCTTCTGCTTGGGTCCTCACTTCCATTGCAAACCGCTGCGCATTGGCCTTGGGTCTCCACTGTGAGCTCCCGCCCGACCATCCAGCAACAGGGATCGAACGTGAAACGCGCCGCAGGCTCATGTGGGGCTGCTACTGCCTTGACCGCATGATGGCCACCGGCGTGCCAGAGTACATTACCACCAATGCGTCCATTTTCAAAATCAAGCTTCCTTGCGAGGAGCACCACTACTTATTTGGCCAGCCTGTCGATTCGCCCATCCCTACATTGGAAAAGTTCATTCCCAATGACCCTGTCAACGCCAAAATGGAGTCGGTGGGTCTCTTTGGTCAATACGTGCGCAGTTTGGAGGCCAGGACCATGGTCTTGGCGTGCACCAGGACTCGCGAGCGTGACCGGCTGGTTCCGTGGGACCCCGACTCGCCGTTCCAACTGTGTATTCGTAAGATGCACGCTTGGAAGGAAGCTCTGCCGCCAAGCTTCCGCCTCTCGTCTGAGACCATTTACGCGCGGCAGTCCCAGAATCAACTCACGGCACTTGCCATGCTCCACATTTGGTACGACCAGACCACCACCGACCTCTACCGTGTCGCGTTCCCTGGTTTCCCCGAGTCGGCCAACCCAGACCTTTTGGCCATGGCGCCGCCAGGATGGGTTGAGAACATCCAGCTTGCTTGCGTTGCCCATGCCAAGAGCATAACAGCAACGCTCGCCATCATTTCCAAGCACGTCGACCCCGACACATTCGTCTTCCTCGACGCCAGCTTGCCCATCTGTGTCTATGAAAGCATGCGCATGCAGGTTCTGAACCTGTTCATGGTGCCGCCTGAGAGGCAGCTGGACGAGCTGGAAGAGGTCAAGGCAAGCTTTGAGCTCATGATGGGGTTCGTGGAGCGGATGAGGCGGTACTTTAGGCAGGCAGAGTGGCTGGTGAGTGTGCTATTGACAGATTTGAGCTCATGTTCGTTCAGCTCAAGGAGATGCGTCGCCTGCTGCGCCGGCACGGCATCGTCATTAACGGGGGCTCGCAGTCGAGCGCGAGCGAAACGTCCGGCTCGCAAACACCAAACCATCCATGGATCCGCCGCGTGCGTGGCCTTCGCAACATCGATGACACCCCAGCTCTACCTCTGAGTGACGAGCCTCGTGGCGGCGCACTGGAACAACAGTATCCAGTGAGTTTGGCCGAGTTTTTCGAGCAGGAAAGCCCAACTAACATCAGCCCAACGTGGAAAACCAGCCTGCGATGGTAGACCTCGGCCTCGAAGGGTTAGGCAGTGAACAAGCTCAAGAAGACATGACCACTTTTCTCAGTCAGTACGAATGGGGCAGGGAGACCTCGAGCATCGGCAGCTTTCTGTCCATGCTTGGCGAGTGGACTGCACCTGGATTTGACGCCAATGCGTTCACCCTTGGCAATGGCGACCTTGTATGAGACTATAGCATGCATCATGGCCCAGCGTTCTTGCGGCTCCTGGTTGTTACGTTATTACCACAAAGTGTGGTGCCTGGTTGCCGGGCTTGGTTGTTTGGTAACGATGGTTATCTTCCCCCGGTGTCACATCGGATCTCATTTCAATCTCCTCTCCACATCACACTCAACATGACCCTCGCACCAGACGCCACTGAGCTTGCGCGCCGCCTCGTCGGTTCAGTCCTCATCGTCGGACTGAATGATCATGGTCTGCAGGTGGCCAAAGAATTGAGAAAGGACGGTGGGTGCGCGGTGAGCATGCTCGGTACGCTGATACCAGGTGTCCGGAAACTCAAGCTGCTAGACGGCAACAGGACGCTGCTGGATCGTGCACGGAAAGAGCTCGATGACAGGGGCAAGGACGACTGGCACTCCCTCGACTTCATTCACGAAGACCCTGCAACGTTGAGCGAGCGCGATCCTAGTGTGCTCGCCGCTCCCGACGTCATTATCACCTCTGACCAGACCTCATACTTTGAAGTGGATCTGGACACATGTCGCTGGCAAAAGGGACACGAGCCCTTTGTGCTCTCACGGTGCTCCGGGTTTTCATGCAAGGTGCAATCAGTGTATCGCCACATTGGTGAGTGGCGTCGGGGGGAATGGTGGCTGACGCCAAGTCGCGCAACACACAAAAGTGGTCTTCTTTGGAGAGAGTATACATCGCGGCCCCCTTTCCTGGACGGCTGAGAGGAGGATGTGGGGTACGTCCAGGCGATTGACGCACATGCGTATACTAATCTACAACGTGTAGTCTCGCAGATCATGATCGAGCGCCTGCCGGTCACGTTCCTCCCGGTCTACCTTGCAGGCTCAGCAGTTGGGTCGGTCCTCGACAAGATCCCACCTTCTAAACGGAAATCATCTTCGCTCACCAGCCATCAGCGCGTGTCCCAAGCCAAAACGGCGTGCGAGGGACTGGCCAAGCAACGCGGAATTAACAAGCCGGTGCTTCGAGAAGCTCTCGACATTGTCCAAGTCATGTAAGTTGCTTACCAGGTGGCATCCACTAACGCTATGTACCAGGTGTGCTGGCGGGTATACTGCCGAGCCACGAGTCGTGCAAATCATGGCGCAGCTCGTCGCGTATGAGGCACTGGCGTTTGTACGGCAAAAGTATCAACCACTAAACCTTCTCACAATCGAGGAGGCGTTCGATGCTGGACTGCAGGCGTGCACCTCACGACCGGCGCCAGTTGATTCAGGCGATGATGATGGAGCGCCACACACACCGAAACGATGATCGCTTCTTAAATCCATCAAACGACAAAAGTAGTCATTTGAACAGTTGAATGTGGGGGAATGTAGTCTGGCCAACGCCCGAGTGGGCAGTCAGCATGCATGTGGTGAGGGAAGATTCGGCCGCGACATTCTTTCCATAATCCACGAGACATCGCCACGAGAATTCTACGCTGCCTCCCTCCACGCTCACTCGGCACTCTGACTTACCCCCAGCACGAATTCCATCAGTATAGCCTCTGCCGCATCCCCGGACCACCAAAACATTGTGCAAAAGGTGACCAATCTCTCGCAAGGTGGCTAACTGCACTCATTCTCCGCCAGGGAGTTGAACCCTGCTCTACCGCGATATTCCTATTAGGAAAGACTCCCTATTGAGAGGCGGTTATACTAACCGATATACTAGCGAAGAGGCGATGAAGACGTTCCTAATGATAGCGAGCAATGACGTTGGCGTGATCCGAGGCAGGAATGGGGACAACGGGGAGACGAGCAGGTGTAACACGGTTTTAGAGAACAAAAAACAAAAAAAAGTGGCGAAGTCTTTGGAACCCAAAATGTAGCTCGAATGTCACGGGTATAACGGGATTGGCTGGTCTCCTCTCCTCCATCCAGAACGCCCGGAAACTGGAGATACGCACAGAAACAAGCCCAACGAGCACGGCGACACGTGCTGGAACATTGTCATCTGCCGGTCGCGTGGCCAAATGGTACGGCGTCTGACTACGACTAGTCGATCAGGAGATCGCGGGTTCGATCCCCGTCGTGACCTTTTTGGACCTCTTTGGAGATGCAGAGGAGCGTAGGGGACGTCCCAGGCATGTTCAGAGGAGAGGCGGGGAGAAGGAAGACATGGATGAGGCGGTGGAGGGCGGGTTTCGTCGAGTTGCCGCGCGGTTGCTGAAACCCGGCCTATTTTTTGCCCGATTCACGCTGCTCCTGTATCCTGCCTGTCCTGTCATTGCGTGCAGTGTCCTGGTTATCACGTAGACACGGTGGACGACAGTCATTCATCGTTGTCGTCCGCTGGTGGCCCATGCTGATCCTGCCACTCGCCGAAACCGGCGATCACATGACGTCACGTGCCTGCGTTGCCATCTGGGCCATCTGGACCCATCTACTCGCGCTACTCGATTCCCATCGCTTCCACACTGTTCTCTTCACCACCACCACCATCATCACCACCTACTTGCCCAAATGGTGTTCACAGTCTTCCAGCGCCAAGTGGGGGCCTTTGTCTGCCTGTTCGGTTTCAGCCTGTACGCGTACGAGGCGTACCACCACCCACCAAAGTTTGTCACCAAGGCGTTGAATCGCGAGCTGGACCAGATCGAGAAGGAGGACAAGGAAGGGAATACTGGTGAGTCTTGCTGTCATCCTTTCATACAGCAAGGTCCTGACGGTTGTACAGCTGTATAAATAAACCCGGCGCCGCGCGGGCGGACCAGCGAGGGTATGACCGAGGACGAGGCGGAGGGCCAGGGAAGTGGCGACTTGGGAGGACGGCATGGGCGCTCGAGCGCAGTATGCCGTGCCAAGCCGTGGCTGACGAGGGATATCGACCTCCTACGTGGCCCACTTACAGAACAACATCTCATGCGACACTCTTAAAGCCTGTTCGCACTCTTGCCTCAGAGCTCACCGCCTGCTTTCGGCGTCTCGGAGAACAATCTGTCCGCAAGCGCCGACTATCACCTTGGGCTCGCCATCACTACACCGTTGGTGAAACGGTATCATGCGTCGTTGCCATGTGCAAGCTCGACGCGGCAGGGGTTCGACTCCCTTACGGTGTATGCCGAGGTGTTCTAGAGCATCTGAAGGTCTTCCTTTTGGCCTGCGAGGTGTCTGAGAGGCTGGGGGAGTTGGCGGAGGTTTGTTTATGGGGGAGGGAGGAAGGAAGACGGTGTTGACGAAAAGTGTCCTCGAATTGGCTGGTGCTCTGTGCTCTGGCCGACCTGTGCTGTGCTGTCTCTGACACCCTGGCCACGCGGGCTACGCGTATGACAGTTATACATGAGACCTATGTGTTCTACAGACTAGGCATATGGCCGTCCTTCACCTTACACTTCCTCTATTTACACATTAAAACTTAGACCCACTTGGCCTCCTCGTGCTGAATACGCTTGAGGATCTGGAGCTGGTCGCCAGCGAATCCACCGAGTGCGGGGGACGCCTTCATGACTCCCAGGGCGATCGCGGCAAAGTCGCGCTTGGGCACTCCCATCGTGATGGGGTTCCATGCAGGTTTGCTGCCCAGGCTGCAGACGTGTCAGTTGCGCGTCCTTCGATCAGCAAAAAGCACAACTCACTGATAAAGAGGACCCATGAGGTCGCCGATGAGCTCCTCTGCGCGCTCGCGGAAGTCTTCTTGGGCGAGGTACTTGCTGTACTCGCGGAGCCAGTGCTTGTACTCGTCCTTGGAGTCGAGGAGACGGGCGGCACGCAGACGCGTCTCGTAGTGGCCCATGGACATGGCCTCGTCCCACCACTGGGGCTTCTTGTCGGGCTGGTCGACGTCGGCCGCCGAAGCGATACGCTGCTCAATCTCGGCCAGTGGGCCGCTGGCCTGTGACGAGCGACCGCGCGTGCGCGACTCGCTCAGAGGTGAAGTGCCCCACCATGGCGTCGCGATCTGCGTCCATGCGGCCACGTCCTGGTCATAGGCCCACGCTGCCGGCTCCGAGGTGATGACCACCGGGCACCCGTTGGGACGGACCATGATGGCCTTGAGGTCGGCCACGGGAGCGACCTTGGCCGAGGACGAGGGCGGGTCGAAGAGGTGTGCAATGGACGACGGAGGTATGGGGACGCTGCCCTTGCGCGTGTCGATGACACGGACCATGCAGTCAACAGTGACAACCATGAGGAACTCCCTGCCAGCAGCGAGCTCTGACGCCGGGTATGGCAGCTTGAAGGAAGAAATGTGGCGTCCGGCGGGCGAGAACACGCGGATCATGCCGTCCTCGCTCGCAACGGCGCACATACAAGTGTTGGCAACGATTGCGAGCGCCGGTGACGGGATAAAGTCGACCCAGGACTCCTTGCCGTTGACGGCCAGCGCAATGGTGGTGTTGCCGCCATCGGTCGAGTTCTCGGCGGTGAAGACGCCCTGGCCCTCGTCTTGCTGGACGCGGAGGACGCTCTGGATAGAAGGGACGGGGAGGAGATGGCCAGATCCAGTGCTGGCGCTGATAGCGACGCGAGGAGCGCGGATCTCCTGCACAGGACCGAGGTTGCGAGACTCGCGTCCCATGGTACGGCCCTTTGGTGCTCCACGGCCAAAGTCGTCCTCGCTCGCCTTGCGCTTCAGCGCCGAGTCACGGTCAAACGCGCCGCGCTCAAACATGCGAGCTGTGGCGGCAGCGACCGGCGAGTCGCTGAGCGGCTGGTCGGCAGCAAACGCAAACGCGTCAGCCGCAGTGCCGCGTTGAGGGGTGAGCGCTGGACGTGCGAGAGGTGCACGGCCGCCCGACGCCGATGCCGACCCATTGGTTGCGGCGGCGGCGCCGCCCATCATGCCAGAAAGGCCAATGCGGCGAGGTGCCTTCTTGGGAGCCTTGCGGGGGATGATGACGTTGACATGCTCTTGAGCGCCAGCTGGCGCCGCAGTGAAAGAAGTGGTGACGGAGAGGGGCTTCTGGGGTGCCTTGCGGCGGTGAGGAGGGTTGTACTTGTAGTCCTCGAGGATCTTGTCCGTCATGTCCGCGGCAGCGAGCTCGGGAAACTCGTCGGGTCGGAACTGCATGGCGCAGACGGTACCGTCCGCTGAGCAGCCGTACAGTGTGAGACCGTCGTTGGCCCAGCAGAGGTCGAGGAGCTGGCGCGCGAAAACGTCACGCACGACAACAATGGGCTTGTGGTGGGTATTGCGCCACACCGAGATGGAGAAGTCGTCGGCGCCGAGAGCGAGCATGCACGACGCATGGATGCGGTCCTGGGGCACGCCCTCGCTGAAGAAAAGGCGGGGGTTGAAGGCGGTGACCTGGATCGTGTTCTCGTGGCCGACAAACGAAATCTCAGAGGTCCACCCTTCACGCTCAATCACGGCGGCGACAAAGACGGGGCCGTTCATAGCGTTCGAGGCGGCGATGAAGGCGCCATCTGGAGACCAACTGCATGTCAGCTGCAAAGCCGTGTCAGATGAGCTCACCTGAGACGACGGAAGAAGGTTGACTGTGGCGACATTTCAAACGGCTTGCTGACCGTCTCCACACACTTCCAGTCCTCAGCGTTCCAGATACGGACGGTCTTGTCGTCGGACTGTCGGTGTCAGCTACAGGGGCCGAAGTGTTGGAGCTGAACGCGACCAGAATACGCCAGCTAACCACGCAGGAAGTTCAGCTGGCTTGTACGCACCTGAGTGGCAAGGTAGTTGCCGACGGGATCCCAAGTAACGCCCTTGACGAAACCCTGGTGCGCGTCGATGGTACGGATACGCTCTGCTGGGTTAGCTGGCTGCCTTTGAGACGAGACTCCTGGACCCACCAAAAGTGTAGCCATCCCAAATGATAAACTTGGAATCGAGGCCAACACTGGCGAGCATGGCGTCATCGCGGCTCCAGGCGCAGTCGACGACATCGGCCTCGTGGCCCACGAGACGACGTAGGGCCTTCCAGTTCTCGACGTTGACCTCTTCGCTGCCAAACACGCGTCCGCCGCCGGCAGGGTCAATGTCCCAGATGAGGATAACGCTGTCGTCGGATCCAGAGGCGAGGTAGCGGCCGTGGTGGGCCCAGCGGACGGTCAGAACGGGACCTGGGAGTCAGCATACTTGTTAGAGGTGGAGGGAGCGCACCTGTGTGAGCCGACATGGTGCACAGGAGGCGGGGGTTGGCGGCATCCTCCTCGGCCTGTGGGTCGAGGATTGGCAGTGTGCTCCAGATCTTGACCTTGTTGTCTGTTGTCAGCTCAAGTGCCTGAAGACTCCAGCTCACCTTGACCGCCAGTAGCAAGACGTGTGCCATCGGGATGCACATTGATAGAGTAGATGGGCGACTTGGTCTGCTTCTCGCCTGTGGAACTGGTCAGTCCGGGCGCCTCCCTCTTCCCTCGTTGCCATGGGCTCTCAGCGGGAACGCAGCCGGACACAGGGGCAAGTCACTTACCTGCCGCGTGCTCGACCCAGTTTGGCTTGGTGACTTTCATCGTGGCCAGCCGGTGGGTAGGGTTGGACGCGAGGTGAAGAGCGATGCAGTTGGTGGAGGAAGGTTCAGTTGAGCGTGTTACAGAGCGCTACAGCCCGTATGCTGGTGCGCGTCGCAGCACTCGGCGCACTCGGCTCGCGCAGTCCGGCCATAACAAAGGCTATTTAACACGTCAATATTATGCTAACGGAAGTATATTTATCACTCTGCCGACCGCCCCTGCCACCCAACAATCAAAACAAAGACAATGTCATGCGCGCGTCACACCACCAACGATCCATCCATCCATCATCCATCTCCCACCATGCCGCCGCGTAAATCCATCTCGAGGGCTCGACCCTCACGCGCCGTGGATGAACCTGTCGAGGCCCCCCGAAGCACCGATGCTGTCGAGCCTTCGTCGAGCAGCCATGCCCAACAACAATCGCAGCCACAGCCGACCGCGTCCACCTCAAAAGTCACGCTCGATATGCCGCCCATTGATGTGCCAGAGGACATTGTCTGGGAGTACGAAGCGGCACCAAAGGAGCCTCAAGTGTTGACAGAGGAGGATAAGGAGCGGATAGTGCACGAGGTGAGTCTGGATGTGGGTCCGTGGTCCCCCATGTTCTGGTCGGCAGCGTCACGTTCAACATCTCGTTACACGGCAGCTGGACATGATCAGAATCGGACGGGACCCAACCCCCCTGCCTCCCTCCTCCTCACATTCTAACCCCGCAGCTCATGAACTTTTCCCCGTTCAACATTCTCCACGACATCTCGGAACACGCTCGCGGCCTGATCTATCCGACTGTCGCGTCCGTCGAGGGCTGGGCGCGCGCGATGGCCGGCGGGAGGGAGGAACACGACCGTGAAGTCGACACGGGATCGCACGCCCTGGAGACATTACTTGAGAGCTACGTCGACCGCGCGTTTGACATTTTCACCGCGTACGCACTGAGGAACGTATTCAAGGTGCCGGCGGGCGTCGAGCCAGTCATGGTGAGTGGAGTGCCCCCCCCCCCCCCCCCCCCCGCCCCCCCCAACCTCTGGCCTTGCCTTCCTTCCTGTTTACTGACACCTCGCAGCCATGGCACTCTGGCATCGACTTTGACCGGGCCAAATTCGTCACCACGTTACCGGGCGGCGAAGCCACCCTCGCGGACCGCCTCACCTCCCTGCGCGACCAGGTCGAGCAGGCGCGTCTCGTGCGGCACCGCCTGGCCCTCGCCGAGGCCGAGCTCGACCGCCGACTGGAGATCGCAGCGCACCGCCGCGCCGAGGTGGGATTCGTGCATGACGGCGTCCAGGCGGCCGGGCTCGCTCCCTTGCCTACAAACGCGCAGGCCATGACTGCGGCTCTGATGGGGCTGCACGACAGGATCAAGGACGTCGATGTGCCCATGGGTGTTGGCGTTGGAGCAGCGGCGGCTGTGAGCGGTGGTGGGGTGGGAGGTGGCGACGGAACGGGAGGCAAGTGGGAGGCAGGCCGCCAGGCGTACCTCTCCTGGGCGGTGGACAAGGCGCTGGCAAAGGGCGTAGGGGACGGTGCGCTCGATGGGGCCGAGCGCGCGGCCAAGGCGGTGGGCAGTGTCGGCGACATGGACGCGCTTGCGCGGGTTGTACAGTAATAGTAATGCATGTGGTAGATGCTGAGCAGGAGGGCACGGGGGGGGGGGGGGGGGGTTGCGACGGAAGTGCCGAGGAAGGAAGACACGGAGGGAAGATAAGGCGGCAAGTTGCAAGTTTGTTATTAGTGTTGTCTGCGCTGTTCCCAGTGGCCAGTGGCTAGCGACAAAGTTCCTTAATTCCTTTTCAGTGTGGATCCGGTCGAGCGAGCATGGGAACCGAGTTCAAATGAATCGCGCTCATGCGGTCAGAGGATCAGAGGCCAATTAGAGGCTACGATCCCGATGCCTGTTGCCACACAAGAGTTCAATGCTCATTAGACCATCAGGCATGCAGGCATGGGCAACCGGATGCACACGTGTGACGTCTAACACATGCACACATGCGACATGACGGTTGAGGGACCCATGTTGGCCGCCCCTAACCATGGACGTTACCTTGCGTGTCACGTTTCTGACGGGACATGTAGAGCGTTGTGGTTGGCTGTTCGCATGAGTGGGCTGCAGTGAGGACAGGTGTGGGCTACAGCAGTACAGCAGCTCGCGTGTCGCGCCAAGGGGACGATGTATACGTGTCTCACGGCCGAAGGAATTGGGGGGACATTGGGGAACGCCGATGGTTGTAGGGAAGGACATGGTGAGTTTTCGCTGTACGACAGCTGTCAGGCTTCAAGTTTCTAGCATCTGGATCTCGCATCGTCTTGTTATGCTTGTCAGTTGCACACGATACATGAATACACCTGCTCGTCAGCTTGTCAAGCGCGCTGCGCGCTGCGCGTCAACAACAACGAAACGCCTATCCGCAATAGCGCAGACAGGGAGAAAGGGAGACCAAAGGGAGTGGCCGGAGTGGATAGGGAACACATGTTTAATAAAAGGTCCGACGAGAAACAGCGGCGTACAGCGATTCGTGCAGACACGTACATCAGAAAAGGACGTGTGTTGTGTGTGTGGCCTGTGGTGTGTTGTGTGTGGGGGCGCTCCCCGGGCCGTCCGGCCGTCGATCCACACTATACGACGGGGGTCGTCGTCTCCGTAGTCTGCGCAGTCGCCTGCCCTGTGGTGCTCGCCGTGTGGCCGTGTGCTCTGGCTGTGTCTGGTCGCCGATGCTGTGCAAGCCACTGGCGACTGTATGCAGGGAAGCGGGGAGTACGGGAGTATAGTGGTCTCTGCTGGGGATGACGCTGCTGGAGACGCCACACGCCATCTACGCACAGATCGCGCACGGATGAAGGAGCAAAGAGACGTTCAAGGCAGGCCTGGCTGGACTGGCCAGACGCCACACACACACACACGGCTTTCGACGTGGTTCTATATACGGCTCTCTGCCGGTGGAAGGCAGGGCACGCAGGCGGCAGGTGTCAACGGAGTTGAACGGGGGGACACAGTACACCGTCACGTCGGTGGACAAGTAGTACGCCTGGCCGGACAGTACCACAGTGTACAGTGTGCCCAGTGCGCCAGTGCACGTCTACCAAGAGCAAGACAGACTGACTGTGGTACTGTTCTACTGTCGTACTCTGGAAGGTTGTGCGTCGACGGAATGTGTGTGCTGCTTGAGAGAGTGCGCAGCCCGGTCCTGCTCGGTGCGTGTGCTCAGGGCCGTCTGAGTTGTATGAACGATCGACACCGTTTACGTCATAAGGGGGGGCCCAAGCGTTATATTCGCTTGTGAAGAATGGCTCTCTCGTGCTGCTTCCAACGTTTGAGCGCTGTGGGGAGGAATGGAAAGAGGCGTCCCACCGTTTCTTCCAAACCGCGTGAGCCGGGGGCCGGTGTGTGTGGGCCGACTAGACGGGACAGAGTCATTGAGTGAGCGAGAGCCCTCACTCACCTCACTCCACCCTGGGTGGCACGCTCGTTATGGACAGTGCGTCACGCGCACACCATCGACACACCGGTACACCGCGCCCCTGTCCAATCCAGTCGGCCCAGTCGCGGCCAGTCCGGCTGGTGGGCACACGGCGTGTGTGTGTGTGTGTACTTTGTCAACAAGTCCCCCGTTCCCCATCTCTTTTTCTCTCCTTCTCTCTCATCCACAACACTTTCAACCCATCCTTTCCCCCCAAACCCCCCAAACACCTCAATCACAATGGAGAACGTGAGTGCCGGCCGACACAGTGCTGCTTCTCGCGAGCTCAGTGCGCGACATTGCTCGTGGTCGCCCACCTCCCCGCCGTCGTCGTCGTCCTAACGCCACGTCAGCTCTTTGAGAAGGCCGAGGGCTTCCTTCAGTCCGAGCAGGGCCAGAAGCTCGCCAGCCAGTACGGTGGTCAGATCAGTGAGTCTTGTTCATGATATTCTAAGCGACGGACAGCACGCTGATACCTACTCCAGAGTCTGCCGTGAGTGTTTTGGCCCCACCCATTCTTGTTTGCTTCCTTCCACGTTTCCGGGCCGAGCCCGGCCCCAGACGCCAGGCTGCACGCCTTCCCTCGTGTAATCGACGTTTGGGCTACAGGTGTTGGCACATCCCCCGTGTCGTACTGCAGTCGAGACCACATCCCATAGAGACCTTGCCGCTGCCATGTTGGAGCCCCTCCGCTGACCCTTCCAGACCGGCATTGACGTCTCGTCGTTCACCGGCGGTGGCTCGTCGCAGCAGAACCAGAACCAGAACCAGGGCCAGCAGCAGTCGTCGTCTTCGGACTCGTACGGCTCTAACCAGAACCAGAACCAGGTGAGTACAGCGCATCTCGTCTTGTGGCACCCAGCTGACCCGTTGCCTAGGGCGGCAACAACAACAACAACAACAACAACTCGTCGTCGGACTCGTACGGCTCCAGCAACAACAACAACAACTCGTCGTCGGACTCGTACGGCTCCAACAACAACAACAACAACTCGTCGTCCGACTCGTACGGCTCCAACCAGAACCAGGGTCGCCAGAACCAGTCCTCGGGTGGCTTCGTGAGTAGTAGAGAAGGAGGGGAGACGAAGACAACGTCAACGACGATCCTCTCGGTCGCTCTTCATGACACATGCTGACCTGGTCCCTAGAACTCGTCCTCGGACGACAACAGCTACGGCCAGCAGGGCGGTCGCCAGAACCAGTCGTCGGGCGGCTTCGTGAGTGTGGCATCGTGTGGGAGGCCGGGGTTCCCGTCTCCAGCTAGGCGCCCCCCCGTTTTAGCTGGACGTCCCCGACCTTCCTTGTCCTTTGAGGTCAATGTTGACACTTTTACCAGAACTCGTCCTCGGACGACAGCAGCTACGGCCAGCAGCAGGGTGGCCGCCAGAACAACCAGTCGTCGGGCGGCTTTGGTGGTGAGTTTGGACAGAGGTGACACATCCACACAGCGATCACCTGGAGCAACAACCCACTGACACCTTGCTTCAGGCAACAACAACGACGACAGCTACGGCTCGTCGAACAACCAGTCGTCGTACGGCCAGGGCCAGCAGTCCGGCGGTCGCCAGCAGGGTGGCCAGGGTGGCTACGGTGGTGAGTCTGGAGCCTCTTCTTTTGTCCCAGTTATCGTTTACTGACCCACGCCAAAAGGCAACAACAACGACGACAACGACTCGTACGGCTCGTCGGGTCGCCAGCAGGGCGGCCAGGGCGGCTACGGCGGCAACCAGCAGTCGTCGTACGGCGGTCAGCAGGGTGGCCAGGGCGGCTACGGTGGTGAGTCCAAAGGCTGAAATGAAAGACTGGAAGGAGAACAGTCGTGCTGACAGAGGTTCCTCGTAGGCAACGACAACAACGACTACTAATTTTGTGGTGTATAACGAAATCTGCGGTTTAAAAGGGGACACGAGATAGGAAGACCCTTGATGCGTACGAGGCCGAGCAGTCGCTCGAGCGTGTTATGCATTCATGAAGTGTGGTGCGCTTGTGAGCAAGTCAGGGATCTGAGCGTGTGAGGAGGGTGGAGCAGTGTACGTGCGGCGAAGGATGTGCGAATGGACACTACTCGCAACGAGCGCCACGACATGGACATGTACTGGACCTGGCGTGGTCGGGCCATGGGCTGTGAGCGTGAGATCGTGAGAGATCGGGGGATCGGTGCATGTGGCAGGCGGCGCAGACTGCGTACGATCGCGTACGATGACGATCGCATGTGGGCTCGAGCACGACGACCGCACGCACGTCCACGGTCGCAACAGGAACAACTGCACGGGGTCCCTGGCTACGCTGGGTTAGCGATTCCTGACTCGGCAAGTTGTAGGCTGCGAGCTGCTGGCTGTTGTTGTGAGACACGAATGCAGTTTCGTGTGGTACGCGTGGGTGACCACGATGCCAGCTGCCAGAGATCCATGGAAACCTGTTAACCTGGGCCCAACTCCCACACGTTTGTGGGAGAACAGCGAGAGCGCCGGAGACAAGCTGTGAGTGACCAATGGACTGCAAGCCAGCTGCGCGCAAGGCAACGAAGCCGTGCCGAATCATGTTGCGCGACGGAGCACCCGGCGTTGTTGTGTTGTCCCATGACGCACTTGCGCATACTTATCCGCGTTCCGCGTTTAACCGCTTGCTGCCAGGCGCACCATAGCCGACTCCACGGTCCCGGCAACTGCCCCCTCGCCCAGGCATTCCCACTCGCCTGTGTGTGTATTCATCACACCTCTCTCTCATCCTCTCCATCTCTCTCAACCACACTCCCCTTTCCTCTCCACATACACAGATATCGACACACAGGCAAATACCACACCACCATGTCCGAAGTCAACTCTTCCAACGTCCAGGAGACCAAGCTCGCGACCCAGTCGCTCCGCAACCCCGCATCGGAGAACCTGCCCGCCGAGCGCGAGGAGTCCAAGCAGTCCAACTATGACGGCTTTGGCGACCACGACAGTGAGTAGTACGAGGTTGCGCAGGCCGTGGCCCCCGTCTCCTCGTCCCGCGCGCCCGTGTGTCGCCGCCGTCGTCGTCGCCCATCGGCGTCTTGCGTCGTGTGGAGAACGGCACACATGGTGCGGGGCGCCGTCAGGCGCGTCAGGGCCCCCCGCGCGGACAATGGCAGGTGGACCAACACAAACACAACACATGCTGGTGTTCCGTGAAATCGGTGCAGAGAAGGGAGGAGAGGACACCACACCACGTCCGCACACACCCGCACACAAAGCACAAAGCACGTTGTCTAATGAGATACTGACACGCCGCAGGCACCACGACGGGCGGCTTTGGTCGCAACGCCGGCGGATCGGCCTTCTCGCGTGCGGTGAGTACAGCAATGTGCGACCGAGGAGCGGTTCCGAGTGATTGTGTGTTTGTGCCGCTGCCGCAAGTCTGGGCGTCTGGGGGAGCTCGGTCGCGGAGAGCCGTCTCCTCTGCAACGTCGTCCCCATTCTCGTCGCGAATGGCTGGTGGGGCGGGGCGGCGGCCGGGCCTCGAAGCGGAACGACGCGACAGGCCCCGCGTCGCTTGGCGCTAGCCCCGAGATGGCGTGCGGCGCCTAGCTCGCCGCTGGCGCTGGCTTCCTCGTCCGCTGGCGCTCCGAGCTCTCGCTAAGAGCCCGAGCCCGAGCCGCGGCAACGCTGGCCCAACGCAATGGGGATTAGAGACTGGGCTGGGTGGGACCCGCGGCGGCGGCGGTGCACTGAACTGCGGACTGGTCTGGGTGACGCCGCCCTGTGCCACCCCGGCGCTCTGAACAGACGCTGACCTGCTACAGAACCAGATGGGCACGGCCAGCGGCGGCGACGGCAACGACGACGACGACAGCTACGCCCAGGAGCGCACCGGCTCTGGCGGCGACAAGACGGGCGCCAGCACCCCCGGATACCGTCGTGACGGCGGTGAGTGGAGGGCAGGGGCCAGGCAGGGGCTTTGCACAAGGGGTGGACGAGCTGCTGACACGGTTCGCAGAGGAGGAGTCGAGCAACCAGAACAACCAGTTCCGCGGCCAGAACCTCTCGTTCACTGTGAGTTTGGTGTTTTTGCAACTCCCACCTGGCCTCGCACATTGCACCTTACTTTCCACCTTCCTCCAACATCTGCCCACCTTCCTCCGTCTTCCTCCTTCCTCCGCCACCCTCCTGCTCACCTTCGCGCACCCACTGACTCCACCAGTCGGGCACCAACAACGACGACCCCGAGATCTAAGCCACTTCAACACTCGAAAACGTCGTGCTCACCACCCGTGTCTTGAGCCATTCTTGCATGCGGCCCTACCCTTTAGGTAGGGTACACGCCGGTCGACGTGGACGGAAGTGAACGGGGGGGAGAGAGAAATGGGGAAGGTTGTAATAATGCAGGAAGCGGAAAGAATGGTGTCAACCCCAATGCATCGACAAGTGAAGAACATTAAATGAAAAGGCGGCGGCCAAGGATGAGGAGGGAAGACGCAGATGTGAAGAGGGAAGACGCAGAGGTGACGAGGGAAGACGTTGGCAATGGACGAGGCAAGACACCCTCCAGCTCGTTCGAGTCGATGACCACGATCATCAGACGCAGCAGTAGTCGAGTTACGCGGAATGTCTGGTTGCCCGCATACTCGCCGATCAACGCCAGACCACGTGTTATGGCTTGGGAGTCCGGAGTTGCAGAGTTGCAAGAGCAGAGGCGGTGGAAGATTCGGGGTCGCGGCAGTGGTGGCTGTGGGGTAATCCATGCAGACAACACCCATCTGACATCTGACGCGGGTAGCGGATTATCATGAATGGCCTCTAGGCAGAGAAGGTTTCAGCCTAACTCATCGCTACTTGATTTTTATCCAACACGCGTCGAAATCCGACGCGATCACAATGGGGGAGGCCATGGCAGAACGGGCCAACGGCGCTGGGACATGGCTGGGCATGTCGAGGGATGAGGCGTGGGAATTGAGGCCACGGATGCAGCTCTACATCTCTGGGCCGCAGGTGGCATTGCTGAAGCGATTACCGGCCGATGAGAGCTCGATGAGACGCGGCTTGCACGAGGCCCCCTCTGGACCTCGGCGCGATGGCTTGGCAGTCTGGGCACAGCCCATGCGTCAATTGTGTTTGCCCAAAGTCATACATGGCCGCAGATGACCACCCACCACCATGTCTCGGGATGGTTGTTGCAGATCTCTGGCTCCCCGTCGCCAGCAGCATGTACCTCCAGCAGCTAACGTTCCAGCACGTCTACTTCGTCATCTGACATTAGACTCGAGGAAGACGCAACACTTGTCCTGACTTGTCTCCCAATCTCGCTCGTGACCAAACTGATGCTTTTGCACTTTTGGTTTCGGCGTCACATGGTGGCATTGACATCCTATTCAGGACGTCGACGCGTCGACTCTGCACTTTTGAGGCGGTCCCCAAAGGCCAAAGGGCCCTTTTTGTCAAACGCACACTTGCGCTCCATACATCTCTATGCTTGATGCTTGCGATCCATCCCAGTCCGCAGACCGTGCACACCATGGCCATGCACATCAGGGAACACACACATGCTGCAAGCGAGAGCAATCGCCACCGTGTCCCGCATTCCTGGCTCCAACGTAATCGCCCTTGCCTTGCAATTAACAGCTCGCCGGTCACGTGATCCATGTTCCAATTAGTGTGACAAAAGGACGCGACGACGCTCATTAAACGCCCCCATCTATCACCCTCTTTCACATTGTATCTATCTTCACCTTCTTCCCCCATTCAACACCTCTAGCAGCGCGGCATGGATTACGGTCCCCGCGTCTCCACTGGTGGCGGAGCGGCCGACAGGCCACTCCTCGGCGTCAGCACCGGCAGCGGAGGCAGTCCCCACCACTCGGCGCCGTCATCGCCTCGGCGCGCTCACCCCCCTTCCTTCCGCGGACCCGCCGGCGTCTCCTTCTCGCGGCTGCGCCGGTGGTGGAAGCCCTTCCTCATCCTCCTCGTCCCCCCACTCCTCATCTACTCGTACGCGCTCGTCCACCCGCTTTTCCCCGACACGCTCCCGGCCTTGCCCAAAGTCAAGATTGAGACGCAGCACGGGTCATGGAGTTCGAGCTCTGATGCTGCTACCGGCGACGACAACGCGACGGGCGACAAGGAGACAATCTACGTCACGCCTGGGTCGTGTATCTGTCCCGATACCGAGCGTGGACAGCAGCTCTGCAACGTCTACCAGAGGCAGGGACTGCAGACATCGAGACTCTACGAGGGAAGCGGCGCCCGCGTGCGCCGACTGCTCGCCAACGCGCGTGAAGGAAAGGCCGTCAAGGTTGGCGTATTGGGAGGCAGTGGTGAGTCTTGAGCTATGGAGCTATGTCAGAGGAGTTTGGGACGGCCCCCACCGCCAGTGCTTTCGGGCCGCGTGCTGTGGTAAAGGCTGGGTCGTGCTTTGCGCCATCTGTGGGTCGTAAAGCCCCCACCCTCATACGTGCACACTGTTTCTGTGCACTTACCCCTTGTTCCCCTTTTGCCCAAGAGTTGAGACTGACACGGGCCGCAGTCTCCGCATGCAGAGGAGTGCACCCTTCCCCCGAGTTTCCAGAGGGCGACCCTTCGGGCCCAGGGTGCTATACGTCACTAGTCAAGCACTGGTTCCAGGACGCGTTTCCGACGACGAACATCGAGTTTAAGAATGGCGCTATCGGAGGAAGCGACTCGAGCTACTATGCCTTTTGTGGAGTGAGTTACATGTCCGAGAGCTTTATCGGCATGAGTGATGCGGAGAGATGGGTCCCACCTATCCATCCTCGCCTCGTCGCTGCGAGCCGCGGGTGGTCTGGCAGAGTCAACAGGGTCCCCAACCCCTTCCTCGCTGCGATGTGTGGAGGGTGGCGGTGCACCGCTATCTCTGGATATCCATACCACGCTTTTTTAGTGGCTGACGGCAGACTCACCACATTGCAACTGACGTCGACCTCGTGATTCTTGAGTTTGACGTGAACGACCAGTCGTGAGTGAAAAGTTGGGTGCAAGCCGTCGCACCTGCTCTTGACAAGAAACCCGCCCACTAACATTCATCTCAGCGACCCGGTCTACCAGACCTTCTTTGACCAGCTCCTTCGTGTGCTGCTCGAGTTTGAGTCTCAGCCGGCCATTGTCATCCTCGGCTCGTGGTCGCCCCAGGTCGCACAGGACCAGGGCTATGGCGACCCCCAGATTGTCCACCTGCCCATTGCACACTACTATGACATTCCCTACGTGTCGCTCAAGCGCCTCATATTCAACCACTACACGCGCTACCCGCAGTCTACCGCCAAGACCTTCTTCCTCGCCGACCAGCTGCACCCGAATGCACGTGGCCACCGCCTCTTGAGCGACATCCTGGTCTCGTACCTTGAATCTCAGCTGTGCCTGCTCGACCATTATGGCCTGCCCGTCGTGCCTCCTATCGAGCACACCATTGCGACGTCTGACCCGTCGTCTTCGCTCATCGACGTCAACTTTGACATGCCGCAGCCTTTGCGTGTCGATGGCGCCGTTGACTGGACCAAGCCGCCTGACGGATGGGAGGAGACGTTCAACGAGGACAACCTCGAGGCGATCGGCAACGAACGCCGTCTTTTTGCGCTTCCTCAAACTCCTTACGCCATCCCATTCTTCCCCATGTTCGCGCCGCTCGTGGAGTCTATCGACCCAAACAAGCCGGACCCCTCGTCGCCCAGCCACATCCTGGATCTGCGCCAGCCAGAGCTCTTCTGCGCCGATGCCAACGACGCCAAGAACCCCATGCAGCCGACGTCCCATGAGGGCTGGGAGCCGTTTGTCTGGAACGGCGAGAAGCACTACTGGGTGTCGTCCGAGGTCGACGCCCGCATTCGCGTGGAAGTCAAGGTCAATGCTGGCCGCATTGCCGTCTACTACTTCCGCTCACAGCACTATGACCTCGGCGACGCGCTCTGCTGGGTCGACGATAACGAGAAGGGTGCCATCCGCCTGTCGGGCTACTGGACCAAGCAGTACAACATGGCCGTCGTCGACTATATCGACCGCAACGTCACCAGCGGCGACCACTACGTCACCTGCAAGATTGCAGAGGAGAACAGCCATCCGCATAACCCTGACGCGCACCATTTCCGTATCGTCGCGGTCATGGCGACGTAGTGAGGGGTCGGTCTGACTACCTGGACGAGGGACTCTGGAGGATCCTCGGCATCAACGAAACATTGAAAAACGTTTCCGACGAGATCGGACGACAAACACACACATGACATGATTATCAAGGACGAGCTGTAACCATAGAACCCACATATAGAGATGTACTTGTCCCATGAGCTCGCGCTGCAGGCTGCCTACAACCTCTGAGGGCTGCGTCGGAGGAGCTAGCCAGGGATAGAGGCGATCGCGAGAAGGAAGGACAAGCGCGGGACACGGCGACAACGCGCGGGAACAACACCATCAGCCGGTCGCGTGGCCAAATGGTACGGCGTCTGACTACGATTCAGCATCTGTTATCAGGAGATCGCGGGTTCGATCCCCGTCGTGACCTTTTTGGACGCCTGCAGAGCGTCGTAGGGGACCTAGGGAAGGATGGAAGAAGGGGGAGGTGGTGGAAGAGGAAGATGGCGAAGGGAGAGTGAGTTCCCGGCTCAAGACGGCGTTTTGGGCGAGACATGTCGGTTGAGGACCCGTCATGCATGGAAGTAGGGATTGGTCCGGTACCACTACTCGTATGTTGCCGCCTGAGCTCCTACGCGTCTTGTTTCTGGGGGAGTTGATGTTGGTGAAGCCAAGGAAAGGTGGGTGGAAGATCGGCTTCCGCGCCGATCGTGTGGCGCCACCTCGTATTTTCGGGTATTTTCTGGCTTTTCCACTCCACACTACACAACTACCGCCTCTACCACAGCCCGACCGATTTCTCGCCATGCCACCAGTGCAACCCGTCGTTTCTTCGACTTGGCAAGACTTAGCGCTTCTCGTACCCCTCTCTGTAGTTGTCTCACATGCATACCACGTCTGTAGAAGCCTTCGGAGAGGCGAACGCGCGCGGCACCAAATGAACATCTTGCTCACCATCGGTCGCGTGGCCAAATGGTACGGCGTCTGACTACGATCAGTATATCAGGAGATCGCGGGTTCGATCCCCGTCGTGACCTATCCAGCAGCGAGAGCAGCTTGGAAGCATCCCTTTTGGCCTCCCTTGCAAGCTCCAGCACACCCTGTTTGTTCTCCGGACCCTGCCAGAACGTATACAATTCATCTGTGTCCTCCCTCCTACTTGACAACGTTTACCCTACCTATCCTATGACCGGACCGCCCATTTCCGCTTAGTTGACCGAATTAGTGCGCACCATGACGTTGTTGTCCTTGGCGTCGCCCGCTGAGACGTACTGCGCCGTCGCGACCTGCTGCTCCTCGAGGGCCTCCTGCGCCTTGCGGTAGTTGCGGGGGCGGATGACCTTTACGTCGTAAACGCGCATACCGCAGACGACGAGACCAGACGTGACCCAAAGGGCAAGGCAGACGGGCCATCCGTACTTGTAGTGCGGGGCCTGGACAGCGGGGAAGATGAGGACGTTGGACCAGGCGTCTGTGTCGCTGGTGAGCTCTGCTCCTTGGAGTAAGAGAAAATATCAAGCACTCACTGATGGCGTAGTACATCGTGATTGAGATACCCATAATGAGGGCACGCTGCTCGGCGTCCGTTGGGAGCATGTCACTCATCCAGGACCACAGCGGCGGAGCGTGCGACTGCAGAGGGAAGAGGATGAAATCTCGGAGGCCGTCAGGACGGGTTGTTTAGAGAATATGAGACGACTCACAGGCATAGTACTTGGCAGAGTTGGGAACGTTCCACACCGTCATGATGACAGTGCTTGGTATTCCAATGAGACAGATGATGAGAATAATGAGCCAGCGCGTCCTGAAGAAGTCGGACGCATACGCAAAGCACCAAATACCGACCACTTTGACAGAGGTCAGTAAAAAGCCACACCACTTGCACCGGGCCACCCACTTTGCATGGCGTAACCACCCATAGGGATTGCGTTGAGCTGGCTAATCCCCCACACCTTGCTGCCGTCCGGGTTTGTCAAAGACTTGAGCCACAGCTGGAAGTCTGAAACAAAGAGTTAGACATGTGCCTTGTCGAGCAGCGACTCACAGTTGATTCCCGAGACGGCGATGAGCATGCCGACATAGATGTAGATGGCCATGTAAAGGAAGGGGTTGCTGAGGGTACGCTTAAATGTCTTCAAGTTGATAGGGTTGACATCGACGCGCTTGAAGCGCTCCAGACGGGCCATGGCGATCTCGCGATCGACAGGAGTGATCCAGAACGCAAGCGGGTTGGGCTTGTCGGGAAAGTCAGGAATCATGAGAGGGCCCAGCAGAGCAAGGCAACAGGTCATGATGCAGTTGATCACAAACGTCCACTGCCAGCCTCTGAGACCATGCTTGCCCTCGAGGGACTCGTGGATGGCCGTCTGGAGTGCTCCTGCCAACATTGAGCCGACGGCTTGGCACGAGTGATAAAAGCCAATCCGTTTGGCCATCTCCAGAGGGGTGTACCATGCCACTGTGCGCAAGTTAGGTTTGATTTAGGAGAACGTGCCACAACACGTACTAAGAAGCGTAACCGTTCCGGGGTAACACGAGCTTTCAGCCATGCCGATGAGGGCACGCAGACCGTAGATAGAGGACGAGGTCGTGCAGGCCGCGATACAGCCAGTGAAGATGCCCCAGACAAACTCAAGCCCCGGAAGCCACAGAGAGGGGCGGAACCAGGTGATCATGATCTGGGACGGGATAAGGAAGATGCAGTCTAAGGGTTGTTCTGTCAGCGCAGGGATACGGAATCGCCGGTATTTGTGCCGGGCGAATACGTACAACCGACGTTGAAGTAGGTGGTGAAATAGTTGAGCTCGTTGCCCGTAAAGTTGAGATCATCGCTCATCCCAGAGACGTAGGCATTGTTGATGTTGGTCTGGCACGGGTCAGCAGGGCAGATGAAGATCAATATATAGCAAGCATGTCAAGCGCCGGAGGAACAGGCTGATATATCGCGGGCCGCCACGCGTGGCGGCTCCTTGCCCTTCCCCGTTGAGAACACACCACCCACGGTCGGAAGGCGCACTCACCTGGTCCAGATACTTGATGACTTGAGAGATACACCCGTAGGTGAGCAGGATCATGTCCAGTTTCCTCAGGAAGCGCTTTTCGGCTTTCGACTTCTCAATCTCGAGTGACTTGGACTGAGGGTCGAAAACAAGGTCGCGATCCTTATCAGCTTGCGCGATCGAGGACGCGCCTCCTGCCGACGTCACTGCTTCCAGGTCGTTGTGAGGCATCTAACGTGTGACTGGGTGTGGATGTTCAAGGTGAGGGAAGAAGGCATTGGGGGTTTGATCAGACGTTCTCTTAAGCCACATCGGTGTCCAAATCCACTAGCCCCGTGACGTTGCGCTAGAGCGACCTGGTGCCTGCCCTGCCCACCACCACAACATGCTGGCCATTGCTTCCAACTGTGATCCTGTGAGCAACTGCGGGCCCCAATGGTGTCGCACGAATCGTGTACCTGTGGCTCGCCTACACCGGTCACCTCCGTGTCCAAACCAGCAGGCCGAGCAGGCTTTGGGACCTGTCGGTGTCTTGGCACGTACGTCAGGGGTCGGCCACCTGTGGCCTCATGCCCACCGCCCACCATGGCGGACAGGACATTTAACAGCATCCCCGCGCATTTCCCGCAGCTGCATCTGGGCCTTGATCAGGGGTTTCTACCTTCCACTCGAGTTGCGATACCGGGATTGCGAACCCGTTCGGTATCTCGCGGCCATGTCGGAGGACGCCGTGAAAACAATGTTCCGCATGTAACAACTGGGGCCGAGAGAGATAACTGGCATCCACTTAAACTCTCCCAAGCTATCGTCACAATCAGTATGTACACCAAGTCCAAGTCTTGGCCGTTAAACTGCTTCGCGCTAGGAAGCCACTAGCCTCCATCCTCGCTCTATCTGCATACTGGCTCTGCTGCGGATACCGTGGCCCGATAGGCGGGTTATGACCGCACAATCAAACACTGGCCATGGGAACCTTTGCCGAGCTTGCTGGGACGGGTTCGTTCCGCCGGCGCATATTAGCGCCCGCATCACCATACTTGTCTTCTTGCTCAGCAACGTGGTCCGGGTCGGGCCTAGCTCCAGCTCGTTTTGTGTATTCCCACTTGCCGCCAGCCGAGCCACCAACGCTGTTCTTCTGTTGCTGCTGGTATTCCTTCTTGCGCGCGTCCCACTTCTCAGGTCCATACGCGAGCAGGCCCCAGACATCCGCCACTTGTTCGTCGGACGGATTGGCCGTCATGTGCAGAAGCCGTGCAATGTCGACACACCCGGGCAGAGCGCACCGCTCATAGTCTCCCTCGGAGCCAAACGCCGCAACCCAGGAAGGGATCTTGTCATTGAGGTCAACGGCGTAAAAGTCGTAAACGTTCGTGTCCCAGTCGTAGCCATACTTGCGAGCCAGACGAGTCACGTAAATCGTTGCACAGGGTTTGCCCCACTGCTTGAAGCTCTCAATTTCATAGTAGGCGTTCCGTCGCGTGTAGCCTCGGTAGCTAAGGGTGAGGATGGCGGCGACAATGGCAATGGCGATGCTGGTGAGGGCACGCATCGTGCGGATATTGTTGTGAATGCGCTGGAGGGTATTGTTGTAGCGTATGCCTGGGGGTTGTTGGATGACAAAGGAAGAGTGCGATGCTGAAGTCGAGTTGGACGACCGACGTCAGCTTGCACTGGATTTTAGCCCCTGAAGCAGGAACGACTAACCACGGCTAAAGTCGCCGTCTCCCAAAGCAACTCAGACGCTGTTTGTGGCACCAGTTGTCGTCGGTGTTCTGTTCTGCACAATGGACATCGACAAGGACGGCGTGTGTTCACCCCGTTATGAAAGCCAAGGGTAACTATGACAAGAGGTGCAATAACGCGTCCATCATACCCTAGTTGTTTTCCTCTGAGGATACCGGCAATGAGTGTGGCTGAAGGCCATTGACGCTGACAACAATTCCAAAACTGTGACAGTAAACCTCTGGCGTCTTCACAACGCAAACACCGTTCATAGATGTGCAAGATGTTGTCCAAGTGGCCAAAAATGACGTTTGACGGGGTCGAACCGCCGACCTTGTGCGCAACGCCTGACTGCGGAACAGTCCTAGTGTTAAGCACACGCTCTAACCAACTGAGCTAAATCGCCTTGGATGTTATCTGGGCAGCGGCGTCAAGGTCAGCGCCGACCTCTTTGCTGGCAACGTTGAACCACCTTCAAGCACGTAACGCAACGGCTACGAGGGAGTACACCACAACCATGTCGACGCGGTGGTCCAGAAATCCCTAGAAGGAACGGGTCACGACGTCCGGAAAATACTAAAGAATGTGAGATCCGCAGCGTTCGTTTGCTTCCGGATCGACATCTACATCTTGCCGCCAAGTCGCAGAACTTCTTCTCGTCGATACAACCCATCTGCGCGTGCTCTGGGGCATGTGCAGGTCTTCAAAAAGGTCACGACGGGGATCGAACCCGCGATCTCCTGATAACAGATGCTGAATCGTAGTCAGACGCCGTACCATTTGGCCACGCGACCGGACGATGTTGTTCACATCGGCCCAGCAGCTCGACGGGACGGTCTCTCCTTCGAGCTCTCGCTTGGCAAGCAGCCCTGTTCTGAGAACAATAACCTCACGTAGAGGTGCTTCACAGCCGATATATTCTTCAGGATCGAAAGTTTAACTGAAATGAAGGAGGGAACGACAGTCAAAGGCGAGCGAAAGAGAATAAAAGAATATGGATCCCCCAGGTGCCACATTCAGTCTGAGGTGAACCAACGGACCACTTCGAGGTCTGAGTGTCGGCCACGAACCGTTCCTCATTGCCATCCATCTGAACTTGAACATGCACAGCTTGTCCTGATGTGTGGTGCACGAGACGCAGGTCCAACAGGCCGTGTTTTGTGGCAACCCCGAAAATTTCCAGAACCAAACAATGTCACCACAATGCCATTCCATCCACCTCCTCCGCAAGTCTTCTCCTCTTCCTCTCCTGTTCAAAACCAAAAAGGAACACTTCTAACACCTTCTGGTGATGTTCTAATGGAGCCAGGGTGGATCGAACACCCGACCTAGCGATGAGCTCACAAGTTGTGAGTCCTGATGACTGAACTTCAGTCGCTCGCTCTCCCAGCTGAGCTATGTCTCCAATGATGTCAGTGAAATCTTGGGATGGTGGCGACGCTTCGCCATGTTTGCGAACCGTTGATGAGGCGACCAGTGTCGTATGTAGGTGATTATGGAGCGAATCCCGGACTCCCGCACTTGCTCTTCTTTCCAGACTCTGCAAATGTCTGCCGGCGTCAGGTGGTTGAACTGTGACATCAGGGCTACCGTTATACCCTGCACACGTCCACATGCGTGGTCTTTTGTCGAGGCAGGTCGCAGGCTGGAGTAGGTTACGTTGAAGCACAGGTCGTGTCAACTGCACACAGTATCCATGTCCCTCGAGCCGAGTAAATGACTATTGCTATAGATGCAGTGCCTCCACCCGTAAAGATGCTGCCCCCTCCCGACATCCCTGTACTGGCCCCTGGTACTGTTGGCGTGTGTTCATTTCATTTCATAACAATCATGATGACGGGCGTACACTGTAGCAGCAAACAGGACAATGCTGTTGCGCTAGCTATAAGAGATAATAAGAATATGTAACACAACGGAGATATTCTTGGGATTTCTATTATAGTCCTTCACTCCCCTCCTCCTCCTCTCACCCCCACACCTCTCTCTCTCTCTCGACCCCCCTAGTCGTCCATCCCCTTCCTCCGCCTAATCTCGCCAAACATACCCTGCAGCTCGGCGACCATCTCTCCTCCGGCCCTCAGGCGCTCAGCTTCGAGCTGCCTCTGTGTCTCGCGTTCCCTCTCCGCCGGGCTGGCGCTGCTCGCAGCGGTGAGCTGAGCGAGACTCAGGCCGCGCGCGCGGGCCTCGCGAGTGAGGGCGATACGCTCCTCGCGCGACAGTGCAGCCTTGGGACGAGCAAAGGCCACGGCGGGCGGGAGGGTTGCCTCGTACACTTCGTCCATGCCGGGAGGAGGCAGGTTGTCGTCGACGGGGAGGAGCATCTCAGACTCGCCCGACTCGTCTCCCGGTCGCACAATCTCGGGTGCGCCAGGGCCAGGCGCGAGTCCCCAAGCGCGCAGGAAGTCGGGGACGGGAGAGGCGGGTCGTTCATCCACAAAGTCGGACAGCACCTCTTCTTCCTCCGCCTCAGATGACTGCCAGTCTCGACGGGCAGCCTCGCGTCCGCGCTCAACGTGCCGAAGCATGCCGCCGACATCGGACCGCACGTCGCTCCAAGCTGCGACGAGCTCGTTCGTTTCGCCCGTCTCGACGCGGGAGCGGAGATCCTCGCACCGCGCCCAGACACGGGCGAGGGTTCGCTGCAACTCGTCCACACTCGACAGGATGGCTTGCTCCGTGCTGTCGCGAGGCGCAAAGTTGTTGGAACCGGTTCGCGCCATGAGCGTAAGCGGGACACCACCCAGGCGGGGCGGAGTGACAGGCGGCTCCTTGGTGATGGTGGCAAGGGCCAAGACAGCGGCTGCCTCGCGCTCGGCATCCGCACGTAACACCTCGAGACGTTGCTTGCTGGCGGTGATCGCCTCCACCAATGACTGAAGAGTGGCGCACACGTCGTCCCAGTACTGCCCATCGCGAGCCTCGTCAAACCGCAGGCCCAGGAGGCAGCATGCAACACGACGACGTTTCAAGTGAACACCGAGGTAGGCCGCCTTGAGGCCTGACAGGGTGAGCGGGGACACGGACACGACACGCGAGGGTCGCGGTATGTGGCGGGGGAGGAAACCATGGCCCAGAGAGGCCGCATCCTGTCGGTACGAGTCGGCGGCAAAGATCAAGGATCCGCGCTTTGACGCAGGGGTACTCCCCGTTGGGCGGCCGAAAATAGGTGACGGGCTCTGGCCCATGATGGTGGACGACCGCATGCTATCGGGACTCATTTGCTGCTGCATGGGCTTCAAACCACGCTGCGACTGAGGCAACGAACGTGCGCGCTGCAGACCTTTGCCAGCGGCGGCGATGGCCTCCTGCATGTTCTCCTTGTCCTGTGGAGTGTTGGAAGTCTGGAGTGATCTGCGGTTGGCACTCGACATGTTGGCGGATGCGCGGGCAAGAGCGAGGTTGGCAGCAGTGTCTGCCGACGAGGTGGGTGAGGAGTGGATGTAGGGAATGTCTTGCAATGAACGCCGGTATGCCGAGGTTGACCTGTTCTGCATGACGGCGAAGGGAGCGTGAAAAGAGGATGGTGGAACATAAGAGCTGGGTGGGGTACCTTCGAGTTGCTGCAGCGCCTGTGCAAGTGGAGAGGCTCGCTTGGGGGCAAAAGCTCCCAGTCGTTGGCGAGGTCCGTGTGGAGGAGACATTGACGGAGCGAGAGTCTCTGGAATGGACGCCGGAACACTACTATCCGCCGAGCTGGCTGAGAGGACGCTCTCGTTGGCCACATCATCCTCAATGTCGCGTTCCTGTCGCTCCTGTTGTTGCTGCAGCGGAGACACTGGTCCGTCCCAGTCCTGGCTCCAGCTTGCTCGCCTATGCCGGATGGAGCGGACAGGCAGCGGAGTGAACTTGTCATTCGGGTCGAACGGAGATGCCTCATTGTGACGGATCGGGGACTTGGCTAGTGCGCGTTCCCTGGGCGTGAGGAGCCCGCCCGTCAGTAGGTCGGGCACCCAGCCTGTAGCCGATGACGACGAAGCACGAGGACGAACGTGGTGCGTTCTGGCAAGGGGGCTCTCGTTCTCGTCATCGGTGCTGCAATGCCGAATTCGGCGCTGCGGTTTGGTGACGGGAATGTCGTACATGTCCTCCAGAACAGTGAGTGCCGCACGGTCGGCCATTGGCACGAGCGTCGAGGTCGCTGCCGCCAAGCTGTCGGTCATGTCCTCCATCACGCGATGGAGAGCGATGCGAAGCTCGTGTGCTTGCTCGGTGTCATCGGGTTTCGGTGCCAACACTTGGAGCGATGTCGCGATGGAGTGGTCCAGACTGCGAGACTCTGTAAGGAACTCGTCCAGAGAGGTCATGACGCTGTCGGCGGGGGCCGATGTGGGGGTCGTCGGTGCCTCGTCAATGGGGACGTGGCCGGCGTCGATGGATGGTGGCTGGGGTGTTGACACGCGTGGCGGTGTGGCAGGCGGTGTCCGTGTCTACGGTTAGTCTCGTGCTTGGACGACAAAGCGACTCACCAGAACAGTTGGCCTCAAGTACCAGGCGCCACCAGCACCTGCTGTCCCGATAACAATAGCGACAACAGGACCAAGGACGTATGCGAGCGAGAGGACGAGGACGGCGACAGCACCGACAATGTCCCATCGCAGGGTCATGTTCTCGGAGCGTGCCTCCGACAGTGCGTGAGGTACATTGTCAGGGGTGGTCATTGACTGAAGCGGGCCGGCGACGGTGGGCTCGGGGCGCTCAATGTGGTGCCCGACGCCATCTCTCCGAGGTGACGACTTGCTCAAGTCGAGCTGGGACTTTTCCAAAAGTCCACTGGATGCGACGAGGTACTGGAACCGTCCGACGAATGCGTTGTCAGTACCCTTCCGCGGCATCGGCGCCAACAGGGAGCCCCGACCGCCACCACTGCCAGCCACTCGGCTGGGACCAGCGTCATGTGTCTCTGTGTCTAGAGGTGTACGTGGTGTGTCGCCGTTGCTTGCTCTGGTGGCCGCTGGCGGGGTGGCAGGTATAAGAGCAGTTGCTATCCGTGCAGGGGCGTGTCCTGGAGTCGGGGAGACGCTGCGCCCGGGACTGGGACGCTTTCGGCGGGCAATAGTGTTGTCATCATTGGGCCGAAATGGCGACCCAAGAAGGTCCGAGTCGAATGAGCGCTCGGCGTCTGCGGCTGCATGAGTGGGTGCACAGGTATGAGACACAGACATAGGGGCCACTCACCAGCAAGATATGCGCCTAGTGGGGAGTCGTCGCCCTCCCCGCCGGCGGAATAAGATGGCGGGGGCGATGTGGAGAGGTCAAAGTTGTTCATTGCCGTTGGCTGTTCATTGTTGCGCGCGAGGGACGACGAGATGGTGTTTGTAGGTCGTGAGCTGGAAGATGGGGATTGTCGACGGGGCGGATGGGAGATGCAGTGATGATGACAACAAGGACGATAACAAGACGAGGACGAAGAGTGTGGATTCGATGGAGAGAGAGAGAGGGAGTTGAATGTTGACACGACCAACTCTTCTCTCTGAACGGCCTAGCTCACTCCTAATACCCCTTCTCGCGCGCAGCATGGGTGTCCTGGACGCGCGCGGTGGAACGCGTGAGAAATGATTACGTAAGTATTAAACTGAAACATGGAGCTAAATCGGGCCGCTAATTCAAGAAAATGCTTCCGTTAATGACCCCCTATTTGCAAATACCACCCCTGGCTGTGGCAGGCGCGAACGAGCACGACGGGGACGACGACGAGGAAGGCAGCAGGGATGAAAGGAAAGGCAGGACAAAATCTAACCTTGTCCGATTCTGGCTCATCACACTTTCTCCACCCTATCGCGTTTTCTTGTATGTTTTGAGCGACAGGTACCGCAGCGGGCGGACTCGCTCCTTGAACTCGCGGTCCTCGATCACCACGCCAATCCTCTTTTGCTCTCGCATGCCTAACCGTCCTTCAGCGGTGCGAGATATCTACGATACCAGAGCATGTATGTCCCGTCGTCACTTCCCTTCCACGCTACACGCGATGGGGCGAGATAGCCGTCCTGACCTACTTTTACTTTTGTCTTTGTCGGACAGCCCGGGCAAGTCGGAAATTCAACGACTTTCCGCTTCCTGTCGGCAACGCGACTAACAAGGGAGATCGCGCCAATGCTCACCGATGATCTATCGACACCTGTGGACATGTGGACCCCTCATTGGCGCGTGGCGGCTACTTCACATGCGACATGCATGCGGGCAGCCTTGATCAACCACGGTGTCATGAGAACAAGGCGCCAGGGACCTTTCACACGCGAACGAACAGCATTCCACGATCTCTTTGTGCCACGCTTTTGTTGTTGAAGGCTAGAGCGGTAAGCGGTTACCTAAACGTCAACCATCAGATCACCTACGGCGGCTGGTAACAACGCCTTTACCTGATCAATAAAGGGAGAGGGTGTACGAGGATTGATGCGCCCGCGCACAGCACCCGCAGTTCGTGACCGCACGACACGTCGCCACAAGTCGACGTCTCAATCCTCTGTTCACTGTGGCACACCCGCCCTCAAGAACCCATCTTCTCGGCGCTCGTACGACCATTCTCGGTTAGCCTGGTGACATGCACGTTCTTGCGCTGAGCAGGCGATGCTTGTCTCTGCAGTGGAGGGGTGGAGTGGACAGAGATGCACACCGACGCCGCCTCACGACCGGACAAGTCTCTTACCGGTGAACATGTTCCAGTCGTGCACATTCAGTCACCTGAACAGCACAGAAGGTTATCTAAGCGAAGCACACTCGATGTGTATCTACACATCTCGCCCTTTCTCCGACGACCGAAGGCCGCGCGTTGCGTCTCCAAGCGCTGAGACAAATGCTCATTGCAGCAGCCGGAACATGTTCAACACCGTCCGCTCGGCGTCCGCATCGAACACCGGCCGCCGCGCCATCCGGCGTCATCCGCCCACCAAGTAACCGGACCGACCGGAGCGATGGGGGTCGCCACCCCCAAACCATCCACCATGCAGGCCATAAAGCAAGGCTTCGCAGGACCATCCATGGCCTTGTCTCTCAACCGCGCTCTCGGCATCGCACAATCCTCTATACCTCCCCAGTACACTTCGCAGATCAACATGGGCGACGTTACCACCTCTGAACCCTCTCTTCTCCACCTTGCCGGCGGTACGGTCCGGGGCACCATTGAAGAGCACGGCGTGCGTCGTTTCCTCAACATCCCTTACGCTGCCGCTCCTGTCGGTCCCAACCGCTTCGCCGAGCCTGCTCCGCCAGCCGCATGGGAGGGTGAGCGCGACGGTACCAAGTTTGGCCCCACGGCCCCTCAGCGTCCTTACGACAGTGAGCTGGGCAAGCTGCTCAACTCGGACGGTATTCCCGGCGAAGACATTCTCTCGGTCAACATCTGGACGCCAGCCAGCGCACACAAGCGTCCCGTCGCCTTCTGGATTCACGGTGGAGCCCTCGAGCGTGGTTCCTCGGCGCAGCCAGTGTACGACGGCGCTGCATTCGCCCGCGACGGTATTGTCTTCGTGTCCATCAACTACCGTCTTGGTGCTGAGGGATTCTCAATCCTGGAGGGCGCGCCTACCAACCTTGGTCTTCACGACTGTGTTGCCGCGCTCAAGTGGGTGACCCGCGAGATTTCCGCTGCTGGTGGCGACGCCAGTCGCATCACCGTCTTTGGCGAGTCTGCCGGCGGCGCCCTCGTCGGCGGCCTCCTCGCCCTTCCTGAAGCGCGCCCTATGATTGCGAACGCTATTATCCAGTCTGGCCCTCTCGAGGCTCAGCCCCAGCGCAAGGCGGCTCGTGTTACACGCGCTCTGGCCCGGATCCTCAAGACTCCGGCCACGCGCGAGGCGTGGTGCGGCCTCACACAGGAGGACCTCGTGGGCGCTCGCAGGACGCAGGCCATCGGTACCACCGCCATGAGCACCGTCCCAGGCTTTGTCCTCACCGTCGATGACCAGCTCCCCGTGTCTCCACACAAGAAGCTTTGCGACCCCGCCACCGACAAGGACATCCCCTTGCTGATCGGCTCCACCACCGACGAGTACCGCCTGTTCCTCACTCCCGAGCAACTTGCCAAGATCGGTTGGGCTGCCTACACCGCCGCACGCTGGTTCTTGTGGTGTCCCTACAGTGCCACGTTGGCTCTGTGGCGAAACTTCCCCGGTGCGAGCTATGGCGAGATCCTCGGCCAGATGCTCACCGAGCACGTCTTCCGCCTCCCCGCCGTCCGCGTCGCCGAGGCCAACCCCACCACCACTTGGATGTACGAGTTTGCCTGGAACTCGCCCGTCCGCGACCTTCGCGCCGCGCACGCTCTGGAGATTGGCTTTGCCTTCGACAACCTCAACACGCACGAGGCGCTCAACCTCGCTGGCAAGGACGCGCCGCAGCACCTCGCCGACGAGATGCACGCTGTGTGGATCCGTTTCATGAAGACTGGCAAGCCTGGCTGGGAGGCGTACGGCGCCGAGAAGAACGTGCGCGTGTTCAATAACGAGAGCTCGACTCAGCCGCTCCCCCGTGCCGACATTATTGCGGGCATGGGTTTCAAGCCTTGACGGTAAAGTCGAGCTGAGATGAGGTCTAGTTGAAAACGGATCCAAGTGCTACATTCACGAGAGTTCGAAATGTTCAGAAGATCAGAAGTGTTGTTTTTGAAAGTTCCACATGCTGTAGGAGACCCATTGTAGTATGAAATAGTATTCTGTCTGTGCACATGGAGCAGTCCACCCCGCAACAGTGCAACAGGTGCCCCACTGCAGTGCGCGCAGTGTTCTCTCTCTGCCACGACTCTAAATGTGCATATGTGCATCAACTGGAGCAGCACATGGATCGACGATCACGTGATTCTTTTCGGACGTCGGTGCCGAACGATGACCACTCGCCGGTTTCTTTCGGCAAGCGATGTCAGTTAGTCACAACATCCCCGTCGTCGTCTTTCTACCGGCTCCTCTCTTTCTCTGTCCATTGCCTTGGCCACCAACGGCGTCATGTGGGGCTCGAATGTCGGCCTCCGCCTTAGTCTCGCTCCCCCAGGGTGCAGGCCTGCATGGCGCGTAGCGGCCTCTGGAAGTGAGTTTAACAGACCAGGTCACTTTCGCTTGGCCTCAACTTTCGGCCCACCCCGAGACGAGCTACAAAAGCTGACCAGCCAGATCGTGCACGCAGGCTACACACTCCAGCTACATCTCGTGCCGCTCTCCGTCCCACTCTCTCCGCTTCCAGCTTGATACCCACCCGCCTGGGCCTGCGGTTCAACTCGTCCTCCACCACTCCCTCGACCTCGACCACGACCACGACGTCTGCCTCCGAGCCCGTCCCTATCCCCCCAGTCCCCAAGCTCAAGGATGAGAAGCCAAAGTCGTTCTTCGCTAGCATTGCTGCCCGGTTTAATCCTTCGGCCTCTGAAGGTGATGCCGAAGCAGGCAAAGGTGAATCGTCTGTTGCAAAGCTTGCCGAACTGGCGATCCCAGAGAAGAAGGCTCTCAGCATTGCCGTCGGCCTCCTCCTCGTCTCCTCATCGGTTTCCATGCTAGTCCCACTGAGTATTGGAAAGCTTATTGACTTTTTCTCGGCCAACGCGGTACGTCCACGGTTACTCATTGTCGCTACGTGTGCTAACCGGTGATCAGGCCACATTTATGGGCCTCTCATTTCCTGTCGCTGCTGCCGGCTTGGCTGCCGCGTTCCTTGTTGGAGGAGTAGCCAACGCCGGCCGTGTCTACCTGATGCGTACGGCTGGACAGCGCATCATCGCCCGTATCCGTGACCAGGCCTACCTCTCGACGCTGCGTCAAGAGCCCGAGTTTGCGGACAAGTCGGCAGGCGACATTGTGTCGCGCCTCAACGCCGACGCCAACATCCTCGGCGACTCGGTCACCAGCAACCTGTCGGACGGTCTTCGCGCCGTCATCTCGGCGTCTGTCGGTGTGGCTGCAATGTTCTGGATCTCGTCCCAGCTCACCATGTTCATGCTCTGCGTCGTGCCGCCCATTTCGATCGGCGCTGTGGTGTACGGTCGCTACTTGCGTCGCTTGTCAAACCAGACACAGGAGAGCCTGGGTGAAATGTCCAAGACCGCCGAGGAGAAGCTCAACGCTTTCAAGACTGTTACTGCATACAATGCGCAGGGTCTCGAGGGGAAGATGTTCGAGTCCAAGGTGAAGGACGTTTACGAGTTGGCCAAGAAGGAGGCTCGCGCCAGTGCCATCTTCTTTGGTTCCACCGGTCTTACGGGTAACCTTGCCATGCTCGGTCTCCTGAGTTACGGCGGACACCTCGTGTCCACCGGTGCCATCACAGTTGGTGACCTCACCTCGCTGCTCATCTATTCCGGCTACGTCGGTGGGTCCGTGTCGGGCCTCACCTCGTTCTTCAGTGGTATCATGAAGGGCGTGGGTGCAGGAGCACGTGTCTTCTACCTCTTGGATCGCAAGTCGACCATTCCCCTTGGTGTTGGCAAGCAGCTGTCGTCGACTCGAGAGGGTCCCATCCGCTTCGAGAACGTGCGCTTCACATACCCTTCCCGCAAGGAGGTCGAGGTGCTCAAGGGCATTGACCTTGAGATCAAGCCTGGCACCTCGGTCGCCCTTGTCGGCACCTCTGGCAGTGGCAAGTCGTCCATCCTCACCCTCCTCGACCGCTTCTATGACCCCACCCACGGCAAGATCACCTTCGACGGCAGCGACATTCGCTCGTTCACTCCCGAGTCGTGGCGTGACCGTATCGGTGTCGTCTTCCAGGATCCCATCCTCTTTGCCGGCACTGTCCACGACAACATTGCCTACGGAACGCCCAATGCCACCCGTGCAGATGTCGAGAACGCTGCCCGGGCCGCCAACTGCGAGTTTATCTGGGACCTGCCCCAGGGCTTTGACACTGTCATTGGCAAGTCGGCCCTCTCCGGTGGCCAGAGGCAACGCATCTCCATCGCCCGTGCGCTCGTGCGCAACCCGTCCATCTTGTTACTCGACGAGGCCACCAGCGCGCTGGACAGTGCAAGCGAGAACGCCGTCAACAAGGCCATTGACGACATTATCCACCAGCAGCACATCACGGTCATTCTTGCTGCCCACCGCCTCAGCTCCATCGCCAGGGCGGAGCGGGTGGTCGTGCTGGAGAATGGCGTCGTCTCGGAGCAAGGAACGTACGATACCTTGTCCAAGGCCGAGGGAAGCAGGTTCCGCACCCTGATGGCCGCGCAGCTCTTGCTTGAGCAGTCGTCGCCGTCGGTGACGGTGGTGGCGGAGAAGAAGGAGCAGCACGAATAGAGATTATAAAAACTTACCCTTACAATCGCATGCACATATACATCTTAAAGTTGGGCATCCGCAGTTGCAGCTGGCCCCTCTTCGTTGAGATGGTATGGTGGCTATGGGGTTGACAAGCCGGGCGGATGGGCCGTGTGTCGTCGGATACCTTGGCGGGTTACTAACGTGACAGTTCAGACAGTGGTCAGTGGCGGTTTCTCGGCCAGTAGCGTCGGTCATTTTGGGGCACTTTCTGCACAATGTGATTTCAAGGCCGTCGCATTTGGGGAACATGGAAGGGTACAGATTACACACTCTGCATGCATGGTCATTCTAATTGGGGATTTTTGCCACTGTCTGCAAAGACATCAGTATTGGACTGTCCAAGTCAAGACTACTAACCAAGAGTGTTGCACGCCAACTGATACTCATTCAAGTCGAGCTCCTTGTACTTCTCAATGGTTATGAAGCTGATGCTCCTCAACATTGCAGTACAGTATTCCGTAGCTTTCGGGATATCGGAGCCCTGAGGGCTCAGACTCTGCCAAAACGCCGTCTCTAGTGCATCTTGAATAACCCGCTGACGGACGACGAGGTCCGTGGCTTCTGGGTCAAACCCAAACCACTCACCGTCCATTACCTCCATTCCTGCAATGACCATCTGCAAGGTCGGAGCAGTTACTAAATGCTGGAGGAGACACTGGACAAAGTAAAAACGAGGTGGGTGAATCCCGACGTGGACAAAGGTATCACTCTCCGATGGCACACGATACTTTGTAAACAAGACCATGAGGCACTTGGCTGCGTCGCGGTGCCGCAGCGGATCCCACAGGAACTCAGTGTTGGCCACGGCGCGCGAGGGGTTGTACCGAACGTTTACCACCACAATGCCAGGAGACCAATAGTGCGGGAGCTTGACGTGCTGCACTGGTACGGCAGTGATGTCATGAACGACTGTTGATGTGACTGTCGGTTCCAGGCGGATATTCGTAGGGTCGGCATCGTTATTGACGAGGTTGAGCATCTTCAGGTTGCGCATGTGGCCAATGTCGAATGGCAGCTCTGTGAGCTTGACGGACCCAAAAACAGAGATGCACTCCGTGTAGAAGAGTCGCGAGTCGACGGGCTTGATGGGGATACGCGCTCGGTTCCACTGGAGAATGACTGGCCTGTCCAACCAAGACGCTGAGTGGACGAACAAGTGTTGGAACATGGACGCGTCGATCCTCTCTCTCCAAGCCTTCGAGAGCGCCCGGAAGGCAATGAATAAATCTGGATATCCGGCCAACAGAATCTCCTCGATTATGTGCAGGAACCCGTGGTGGTCTATGGTGACCCGGTGGTCCTTGGCTTTGGGGTCCTCTCTGAGAGCGACTCTCGTACCGTCGGGAGCAGCCATATTAGGCTAATGGGTTACTGCGTGAGTATGAGGACATGCAAGTCCGCGGGAATTACTAAAGAGTTTAGTGAGGGCAAGGGTTATGACTGAACGTGTGTGTTGCACAGTGGTTGAGCACTGATGATTCGTGATGGACTGATGGGCTCCATGCTCGTTTGGAGTTGACACTTGTACTGGGTGCACCACTGATGGGCGAGTCCAACACCATCACCTCCTCGCCGTTGAAACGCAGGACGGAAATCGTGCAACATGTCAGGGAACACAACAACGTCAACAACATCAACAAAACATCATCGGGCGTGTAGCTCAGTTGGTAGAGCGTGTCATTAGCATCTTCTACCCTACTTGACAAGGTCTTTGGTTCGATTCCTAACTCGTCCACTCTTTTTAGGGCCCTACATGTCTTCCTACGTTGTTGTTGCTTGGGCGGAGGGTCAGAACGAGTTCAGGAAGTGATGAACAAAATCGGCAGATGTTGATCGCCGCAATTCACCGAAATGATAAATCTCCGTTTGAAAAGTTGTTCTAATAAAACTCTAATCGGCTATCTTCGGCCCCGGTGTTTCCGAACACATCCGCGATAACTCTTTTCTCGGGGCCGGTCGTGCATCTCCATCTCATCGTTACCCATCTCACCATGACTGTTGTTCCAGTAGAGGCCGACGAGGACTACGTCAACGACTTTGTCCAAGACTACAGCGACGCCAAGCGCCTGGCACCGAGCCGGTCGCAAGAGCTCGCGGAGAAGGCGCTCAGCACCGAGCAGCCGGCCCCACCCGATGAGGACGTGAGTTACCCCGTGTGGGGAGTGGAGCACGGGGGTCCGGGGCTCGCACACGACCCTGCTCCTCAGAACCTGTGTGTCACCTAGTTGCCTTTGCTAATTATCAGGCATGCTGCGGCTCAAGTTGCTGTCCTTGTGTCAACGACCTCTGGCGCGAGGAGGTCGCCGTGTGGAAGGCCGTCCGTGACGGTACGCCGGCTGAGGAGCTCGCCACCAAGAAGTCATTCAAGCAGTGAGCGACCTTCAACACCATGTCACCCCCGACCCCCATGGACCCATCTACTCCTCAACCCTCCACGTCTGCTCCCTCTCCGGCTCCATGCTCCACCACCCATTGTCCAGCACGGTCGAGCTTAGACCTTTACACATCACCCATCGCTCGTGACTCGCGTCAACACCTTTTGAGACCCCCTAGACGCTAGACGTTTGTATGTATGGCTGTTGTACGGCTACCTTTGTTCGCACTTACTCGTTCTTCCTGGGAGTGGCCCTCACGCTACGCTGCCTGCCACTATTGAGACCCATGTGCCTGTCGTACGCAACGAATGGCTTGTGCACTACGCTGGGAAAGCAGTCACTGAATGTTCCCTACGTGCTGACCTGAGCTTGACACGGTTGAAGATTGAAGCTTTCCGTGAGTAGCACCCGATTCACAGTAGCCGTATAGGGCTCTACGCGGCGTCACTAGCCACTGTCCATCGACAACTCATAACTGAGGCCCGTTACGAGAACCTTCCAACAACCTTGACCGCACCAGACATCCGCATCGTTTGACGACTCACGCTGTCGGTAGCCACATGGACAAGTACCCTTGCAAAGACAATATCAGGCATTCGTTGTCGCCGACTCGAGTCCTTTCCAATACCCGGCACCCGTGGTGGTGCCACACTGTATGGTACATCTGAGATCAAAGACAGCCTCCCCCTCGTCCGAGAAGTGGATGCCGTCTCCAACATGTCGCCAGGCAGCTCACCAATGCCATCTCCTCCGCACTCCCCACACACAAATGGGACGTGCACCAGGACGGCTACAGGGTTGAGACCAGGGCGCGATGGCTTTCCAGTGATTTTGCTCACCAACCTCCCCCATCCACTTCCTGCGTCCCCGCCGCGCTCGCACCAGCAGCAAGGCTACCAAGCTGTGGGTTTAGCACAGTGGTAGTTGCGAGAGATTGCAATCCAACGGGCACACCACCTGTAGGTTCGGAAATCATCTCTAGGTCCCCGGTTCGACCCCGGGAACTCACTTGCCAACGTAGGAGCACCTCCAGTGTCCCAAGAGTTGTCGTTTTTGACCTTTGTTCATCACCTCGAGAGTCGACGAGGACGTGAAGGTCATGGAGAGCCGCCAGAAAGTGTTAACATTAGGATAGAGACTATTTGGACCGTTTCTATTGCCCTAGCTCGTTATTAGGTTCTGCTCTTTGTATTCGTGCTATGCAGACTTGTTCTCGTTACTCTATCCTCTATCGACCTTTCCAACCTACTACGCATCCGCTTGCAGCGTCTGGAGAGTGCTACGAGTCTCCTCTTTACAGATTAAGAGTCAAACAATCTGTCGACGCGAGTTCACCATACCTACGGTCGAGCTCGCTACCTGCCCATACAATCAGCTCGCGAGAGCCTATCTCGGGCCAAACCCATCCCCCGTCGTCAAATCAAGTTCGCACGCACGCCCTCTGGGATACCGAGCCTACGGATACAAGTTAGAGCCTCATAGGACCACGACTTCGTCGTCGGCACCGTCAAACGAGCGCTCGTCGACACTTCCCCGTACTCGTCGTGCACCTTCTATCGTCGACGTCCCGCTCCACAAGGCTTCCCACACGTTATTGCAAATACCTACGTAACCGCCAACCTTCCCGCTTCGTGCTAGTCTCAGTTCAAGGCTCTGCAACAAGCTTTGTCCCGGTAAACCTACAAAAACAGTCTAAAAACACAAAAATCAAGTCGTACTCGTCAAAGCGTCATTGCTGCGTGCCTCAGTATTACGTAAACCTTCAAAACACCATTTCACGACTGATTTCAGTTCAACTCAATAACAATGGAAACCACCAAAGTCTTCGTTTCTGCAAAGCGCAACGATTGGGCCGATCTGGCCACGAGCGTTAGCAAGCTCAAGGGAGCCAACGACTACGACCGTTGGGATATCGCCCTATCAGACTACTTGAAGGGCAAGGGAGCCTACGGTCACCTACTCGGCAAACGTCGCGAGCCCTACCGCCGCGTCGATATCGTCGACGGCGTCGATCAATACGTTACGCCAGACCTCGAGCTTGGTGAAGCACCTCCTCGTGGCCCGTACCTCGACGTCGACACTCTACGCGAGAAGCTAGGGCCTGCAATAAGCAAGAGATATGACGATTTAGTCGCCAAGGGCGTTGTGACGCCCACGCAAGCTATCGTCTCGACGGACGTTTCCCTCATCTCTCGTCTCTCAGCTCAACTCTCGTCACCCAAAACACCTTCCAAGGGCTCGTCCGTCCTTCCTCCCATGTCTACACTTCTCTCAAAGAGACCAGAAGCCGAGGACGACACGATAAAGCCTGCCGATAAGGATCTCTCACTCTCTCAGATAGAGACGCAGATAGAGAAACAGGTCCTTAACAACAGAGAGCTTGCTACGTGGTCCGACTGGGCTAACAACGAGCGTCTTGCGCGTGTCGCCATACTCAAGACCATCCCTGACGATCTAGCGATCGACGTACGCGAGAAGTTCTCTGCACAGGATATCTACGAGCATCTCAAGACGCGCTTCCGCAAGGAGAATGTTTCTAGAATCTCTCAGATCAAGGCAAAGGTCCACAGCACGCGTCTACAAGCTGGTGCAAACTCTGTAGTCTGCAACACATTCTTCAAGAGCTTCATAACGAACTACGCCGCCATGGCTAGGCTTCAAAAGCCCTACGCAGACGACGAAAAGGTGTCCACCATCATTGGCGCCCTACCTGTGACCTACAAGATCCTCATTGAGACGACCTGGCGCGCGCAGACCGACAAAACTTGGGACAACTTCACCTCCGTGTTCTACGACTTCATCAATGACCTCAAGAACACCGAGCGTATCCCTGCCGTCGAGAGCAACGCCTCTTTGACGATCACCAAGGGCGGCAAGGCTGGTCAGCCAAACGCAGCAAGGACCAAAAAGGGCAAAGACGGCAAAGTCGCTAAACACTGCGATAACCATCCTAACAGCACGTCGCACGACACGTCAGAGTGCGTCAAAGGCCCGCCGCAGAAGGGCGACAAGAAGAAGGACCAGAAACAGGTCGACAAGGCGCCCACGCCCGCACCTACGAGCAGCGCGTCGATCATCGAGATTGAAGACGCCTATTACGATGGCTCTAGCAGCAGCATGGCCGTCAAGCACGTCCCGTTATCATCCTCCGCGTGCGTTTGCGCGTATCATCCTCATAGCGCGCCGCACGCCGTTTCTGAGTGCGTCAGAGGGTTGCATACGAGCAGTTGCGACGCCGCCACTACTAAGCGCCGACCTGTCAATCGCGTCGCTAGCAACAGTAACATGACCGTCGAGTGTTTCTCATCCTCGTCTTCCTCCTCCTTCAAGTTCCTCGTCGACACCGGCTGCACAGAGCACATTGTCGGCGATCAGTCAATCCTCTTTGGCGTCAAGCCAGTTCCGGTTCCTTTGCGCGTACGCCTCGGTGGCTCGCGTTTCCACCTCATCCTCTCTACTGTCGGCTCTATGCGCATCGCGCAAGACGACAACACTACCGTTATTCACGACGTCTACTATTCTGCGGACACGACCGATTTGACGATTTCAACCAAGGCTCTACGCCGTCACGGTTGGACCGTCGACCTCCACAATTTCCGCATCTACAAGGGCAAGGTCATCTTCAAGACGGACGACAGCTACGAGGGCGGCCGGCCAGCGGTCGATTTGCAGGTTACCTCGTCGTCCTACGCTGCCATGACCACCAGACGCCCACCATCTACATCTGCGAGCGTTAAACCTTCAAACGCGCCCAGAACGCAGTCGATTCCCACGCTCGACGCTACGCAGACGAGCGCGCAAACGCCGCAAATGCCGGTCGTGGCGCCACGCTAAACTCGCTCTAACCGCTCGCAGACTGCCACTACGACTCAAACGACCTCTGCAGTACCCTCTGTCGCCCTGCAAGTTAGAGAACGTTCCCCCTCCATCCTTTATCGTCTTCACCATCGTCTGGGCCATGTTGGACGCCCTGTCCTCATTCGGCTCATCAAAAACGGCGAAATTGACGGCGTCAGTCTCGACGACGTCAAGGACGATAACTTCAAACTAAACGATTGCAACCATTGCCTAGCGCATAAAGCTACTACGCGCACGGGCAAAGGACCATCACCACGCGGCCGGGACGCACGCCATGAATTCGTCCACGCAGACATTAAAAGCTTCACGCAACCTAATTCAAAGGGTCAGCGTCATTGGCTCTCTATCGTGACAGATTTCACAGGGTGGCGGACCGGCATACCTCTAGTTGAGAAAAACGCAGCGACACCGCAGTTAATGCGTGAGATTGTCGCCCTGCAGAAGAACTGTGGCGTTTCGGTCGTCGTCATTAGGACCGATAATGGAACAGAGTTCGTCAACGCTACGCTACGCGACTTCACTAGTCGACTAGGTATACGTCACCAACAATCTCCACCCTACTCGCAAGCCTACAATGGTGTCGCCGAGCGTTTCAATCGCACGCTCTCTGAGATGGTCCGCACCATGCTAGCCGCCGCCGGCCTAACACACGACCTTTGGGACCATGCTATGCGCTACGCCGTGACGATTCTCAACATGACGTCGATACGTCCCGACGGCAAGTCCCCATACGAGGTTTACTACGGTCGCAAGCCAAACCTGGCAAAGCTGCTGCCTTTTGGTCAACACGTCTACGCACGCCGCCGTCAGAAGCAAACGCAAGTAGCCGCGCTCGAGCGTCCACGAGCCATTCCGGCTCGTATCCTCAACACCAACGCCGACACACCTGGCTGGGTGGTCCTCACTGACGAGGGTCAAATATACCACTTTGCCGACGTGTATGTGGCCAACAATGGCCAGCAAGGACGCCGCATCCCCGACTACGATGACGAGGACGTCCCACCAACCTTGCTTGACGAGGACGAAGATGCAATCGACAACGTCGAGACCCAGGTCCCACCAGAGACCTTGGACGCCATTTCAGACAACCTCAATGAGGATGAAGAAGACGAAGCAGACGCGCACGCATCAAGCGCTACTTCAGTTAACCACCACCCTCGTACCAAGGATGACCTCGACTTCGCTTACCTAGCGTCGTCAGCCGCGCAAGAGACCTTTACCGATCCCATATCCCTCGCAGAAGCTCTAAACAGTCCGGAACGCGCTTCCTGGATAGCAGCAATGCAAGCAGAGCTCGACAACCTCTCTAGCAAGGGCACGTGGACCGAGGTCAAAGTGCCGCAAGGCCGTCGACCTATCACTGCAAAGTGGGTGTTCAAACGCAAACGCGACACAAACGGTGTCGTCGTCAAGTACAAAGCACGACTCGTCGCTCGAGGCTTCGACCAGACACCAGGTGTCGACTTCGAGGAAACCTACGCGCCTGTCAGTCGTCTCGGCTCGCTACGCATACTTCTGGCTCATGCAGCCACCTTCAATCTTCAAATTTGGCAAATGGACGTCGAGGGCGCCTACCTCAACGGTCCACTGCAAGAAGAACTCTACCTCGCACCACCACCAGGTTTGACGCTTGACGACAAGGCCTGTGACGGCCTACGTCTCAACAAAGCGCTCTACGGCCTAAAGCAGTCAGGCCGCGCATGGTGGCTCGAGTTGTCGCGCGCGCTAGATGAGCTCGGTTTCACCCGGTGTCCTAGCGAGTGGGGAGTCCATGTTCGACGTCGCAAACACGGCTCTATCGCCTACGTTCTCGCATATGTCGACGACATCCTCATCTTTACGCACGGCAAGACCGAGGCTGATGACATTATTAACGCTCTACGCAAACACTGGGTTTTGACCGACCTAGGGGAGCCTACGCAAATGCTGTCGCTTGCAATCGCGCGCGATAGAGCAAATCGCACGGTTTCTATCAGTTCAAAGGCGTACATCGAGTCGTTAGTTGTCCGCTTCAAGCTCGACAAGGTCAAGACTGGTCGTTACGCGCCGCTGCCAACAGGGGAGGCGCACCAGTTAGTCCCAGCAGACGATAACACGCTCGTCGACGCTATCGACAAGTCGCTCTACGCTGTCATGGCCGGTTGCGTCGTCTGGCTATCAATCACGTGCAGGCCGGACCTATCCTATCCGGCAACCATCCTTACGCGCGTCCAGCACGCGCCCACACAAGAGGCGATGAACATGGCTCGACGAGTACTCAACTACGCTGCACAGACGCACAGCTTCGCACTGGTTCTCGGCAACAAGTCCCCCACAGACCTTATACACGCATACGCGGACGCCGACTACGCAGGCTGCGTCGTGACGAGGCGGTCCACCTCTGGATATGTCGTTTACCTCTATGACTCGCCGATCTCGTGGGCATCTAGACGCCAAGGCTCTGTAGCGACGTCTACCACTGCCGCTGAATACATCGCAACGTCAGAAACTGCTGCAGAGGTACAGTGGCTGCGTCAGTACCTCACAGAGCTGTACATGTTCAAGCAGAAAGAGCCAATCACCATCTTCGTCGACAATCTGTCAGCTATCGCAATCGCACGCAAACCTGTGAGCTTCCCTTTGAGCAAACACATCGACGTCAAGCACCACCATGTGCGTGAGCTTGTCGATAAAGGCGTAATCACGCTCAAGTACGTGGGAACCGCACAGCAAAAGGCAGACGGAATGACGAAAGCGCTCGGTGGTACACCGCACACGCTAGCGATGCGCGCACTGGGTCTCAAGGACGTCAAACACCTATAATAGACGTTCAACGACAGCGCAAGAGTGTTCCTCATCTTCTCAACAGCATACCTCGTGAACACTCGCATATCCACCTCGATCCAGCACATCCCGCGTCCACATCTTTGACTTCCTCAAATTTCGCCACTTTCACACTCAATTCGCCACATTCATCCACACTTCATTGCATATCACGCTTCAAACAATGGTCATGCCCCAGCAAGTCAACGCACCAACCCCCGTGACTCAGACGGATGCCAACGGCACGTCGAGCGACTCCTCAGACAGCAACAACGGCCAACAGGCTCAAACGCAAAGCTCTAGCGAGCAGGACGACATGTCCTCCAGCGGCGAGATTGACTTCCACGACTGGGATTCCATTTCAGCCGGCTTCTACGACGTCGACACGATTGGCTACAATGACCAAATGCACCATCGCAACGGTTTCGTCCACGACATCCATGGTGACGTGCGCAACGCAGACGGCTCAATCCACCGTACTTGGGCGTCGCTCTCGACGGACCTGCGCACGATTGACCACCTCATTGACGGTAATGTGCGCCTTTTCCACGAGTCCATTCCCTTCCGCACACATCAGCAACATCTTGAAGCCTACGAAAGGGCTCACCAACGCCGCATGGACGACCGTCTCGTCGACTACCTGCGCGGCGCGTATCGTTGGCCCTCAGAATTTGAGTACCCTCCTAACAGCGACCCCGACAACGTGGGCTTTGCCCCTATGCGCTACACGGGGGTGTGGGAGACCTTGCTGGCTTCTCCTGAGCCGAGCGCATCTTAGCTCTCGCTATCGAGCAAAGCTCTAGCGTATGGTGCGCTCGAGGGGAGTGTTAACATTAGGATAGAGACTATTTGGACCGTTTCTATTGCCCTAGCTCGTTATTAGGTTCTGCTCTTTGTATTCGTGCTATGCAGACTTGTTCTCGTTACTCTATCCTCTATCGACCTTTCCAACCTACTACGCATCCGCTTGCAGCGTCTGGAGAGTGCTACGAGTCTCCTCTTTACAGAAAGTGACGTAGTTGTGGGTTTAGCACAGCGGTAGTTGCGAGAGATTGCAATCCAACGAGCACCAAGCTCGTTGTCGGTAATCATCTCTAGGTCCCCGGTTCGATCCCGGGAACTCACTTTCCAGCGTCTCAGGAGCACTTCCAGTGTTCCCAAGGTACTCATTTTTGAGCGATTGACCTCTTCTTCATCACCTCAAGCGTCGACAGGAACGTGATCGGCATGGAATGTGGCAAGAGAGTGACGTAGTTGTGGGTTTAGCACAGCGGTAGTTGCGAAAGATTGCAAAGACCTTCGGACCATCCGAGGACGTTTGGGACATCTTTAGGTCCCCGGTTCGATCCCGGGAATCCACTGCGAGCTTCCGAGAGCCTCTAGCGTTCAAGAGTGGCTTCGTTTTTGGTGTTTTGTTGGAGAAGAAAAGTTGTCGGAGGAAATGTGTTGGCGTGCCACACTCAACATCAATTTTTGACCGTTGCCGCTTACCTCTCGGTCCAACTTGCGCCTACGTAGGTGCCTTGGACCCCAAGGATTAGTGCCATCTACCTTGGACAAACACAGCAAGACATAGGCGAGTGGTATCCGGGTAACAGAGGTCGGAGAGGGCGCGGTTCGGAAGGTTGTTCGTTTTTTCGACAACAGAGATCCGATGGCCACTCTTTTGACCGTCGTTTTTGCCTTCCAAAAAACAGCAAGAATTCGTGACATCTCTCACCCCCTTCCCAAGATGTGTGGCGACCTGCGACGAGCGTGTTTATGCATACTCATCCTTGCACACGGTCCAAACCCGCACAAGGAGTTCGCTTACGTAAACGGGCGTGTAGCTCAGTTGGTAGAGCGTGTCATTAGCACCTTGTGCCACTACTTGACAAGGTCTTTGGTTCAATTCCTAACTCGTCCACATCTTCTCTTTTTGGATCACTGGGGAGCGGTGCGAGGTCCCCACGGGTGCACAGTTGGGTCATGAGGGCTTGTCAGCGGTAGACGTCGATCCTCGCAAGGAGGGTGTAATAAAATACCAGAAAATAAGGGGAAATACCACTTTCACAGCGTTGTGTCCGTCTTCGGCCCACGGCCTATCTTTCTGGTCTGCGTACAGTTGCAACACTTATGGAATCACTTGATGCGTACATAAAAAACTATCAGGAGTCTGTTCTGCCTGACGCCCATGCCATGGTTCTTAAACACTTCGCCACTGACGGTCCCTCACGCCATGGCCGGAGCTGCCTTCCTCAACGCGATCAACCCATTCGAATGACGGCGGCTGCCCGGATGGCTCAGCGGGTCCAGATCAATCTCGAGAATGGGGGTGCGCGGCTCAAACCGGTAGTCGATGTATCGGACGTTGACCATCGCCAGCGCGTCCATGAGCACCGTCATGCCCTCGGCGCTGAGGCGGTGGCGGTTGATGCGGAGGTGTTCGAGGCTGCGTCCAGCCTGCGAGCCGAGAAACGCCGCCAGCGCCTGCTCGTCGGCGTGCGTCAGTCCCTGGTCATAGTGGAGCATGCGGAGTCCGGGGACGAAGAGCGACTCGAAGAGGCGGGCCGGGACGTCGGGGATGTCGGGGCGAAACTTGATGCGCAGCGAGTCGATGCCCGACGAGTTGAGGCGCACGAGCAGGTCGTCCAGCTGGGATACCTGGGAAATGTCAGGTTTGTGTGGGCACAGCTGCGGTGGCGGCGTACTGGAATCAGTCGGCCTCGGAACACGGCACTGCACCGGAGGGGCTCCGCACGTACTCGCCACCCCTTGACGACCTTGAACGCGCCCACCATGCGCGACCCGCGCCGAGGCTTGTCAACCAGCTCGAGGAGGGGAGCAAGCGGATGAGTCTTGGGTTCGATTTCGTACTTGTGGGTCACTTCGATGACGACCTCGTCGACTGCTGTCAGTTGACTTCCAAGCAAGGGCCAACTCACACTCTGTGACCGTGTGTGGGTCTACCTTGCGCTCCATGATGAGAGCGAACAAGGCTTGGACGAGTTCCTGCAATGAGCGTATCGTGGTAGAATGCGAGCTGGTTGGGGGATGGAGCAAAGCGTGGAGGAGCGCAAGTTGAGTGATGATGACGTTGAGCGGCGGGACAGCAACAGAAGCGGAGCACAAGTGAGAACCACACACGCCTTGCGACGGCCTCGCGAGTGGAGTGATGGCCCGCGTGGTGTCTCGTCTGATGTGTGCCTGTGTGCGTGAGACCAATGATGGAAAGAGTAAGTGTCGACGCCTCTCTGACGGGCAAGAACGCATTGAGGCTGTGCTGGATCCCAGGTCTCGTGAAAGAGAAGCATGTCTGGAGTGGCTTGAAGAGGTACTGGAACCGTTCATTGTTCCGCATGCGTCTGGGTTGGCTTGCGAGGTGGGACATGCGGCGGTCAAGTGGTGATTGACAAAAACATCGCAGGTCGCGTGGCCAAATGGTACGGCGTCTGACTACGATTCATATCTTCGTTTATCAGGAGATCGCGGGTTCGATCCCCGTCGTGACCTTCTTTTCTCACCTGTGCTGGTGTGCACCACTTTTTCTCTGGATAACAGGCGTGAGAGTCTGCGCAACTGCCACTGCCTTTTGCCCGACTGCCACTCGCCTGTCCACCCGCCTCCCTAACTCCCCTCCATTGTACTTTACACCTGCACATTTTTTTTACAAAGAACCACGGGTCATCCAATGTCGACGAGTATGGCCAACGCCACGCCAAGACTTTCCTCGTTGCGTACCTGACCGGCGTGCGATTCGGCGGCCGCGTCCACCAAAGTCAAATTATTCAGCGCTGCCAGCACGACCGCGGGCGTCTCGGCCATTCCGCCCAAAAAAAAGCCACAAGCTTGGCAACGAACGACGGCGGCGACCAGAACCACGGGGGCGCCGGGGTTCCGGGGTATGAGCGGGGCTTGGCGTCGCGCGTGTGACTGGTACCCGGTGTTGCCTGTGGCCTGTGGGGTTCGGCGAGACCGCACAATGCGAAATCTCGACGAGGGAGGCAAAATGTTCACGTCATCATGGGCGGTTACTTGGATCGACAGGGCGGGCGCATGTGTGCTTGTCGTTACTGCTTGTTTACACGACGACATAACCAACAGCAGCAGCAGCAAGATGTGGTAGCAGAAAACGATAAAACTGTCCATTTACATACACAAGGGGGGTACTGTACAGTACACTAAAAGCTGTACAGACAAAATGAAATTGATTAAATTAAGCAAGCACCTGGGGCTTCTCAAACTTGTTCCAGAAGCGCTTGTTCTCCATCTCCCAGCGCCAGCAGCCGATTTCCGACAGCCACGCTTCGCGCACCTCAATGCCCTTGTACTTGCGCGCCGAGGGGGGAGCGGACGGGTGCACGCTCTGTTCTGCCTTTGCCATGCGCTGGCCCATCTTGTCGACGTTGTCCTTGTCGCCGGCGTGCATGCGCAGGCGGGTCCACTGGGCGTCCGTGAGGGCCTCGGCGTCGCCACTGCAGTGGCGGGCGATGAGGATGCGGACCTCGGCGGGCAGGTCCATGAGCGGGAAGTGCTCCTGCGGGGGAGCGGTAGCCTCGAAAGACGTCTCGGCCATGACGCGGGTAGCCGTCTCCATGGCTGTGGGCTGGCGCGCGTGCAGGATGATGCGTGTGGGGGAAATGGCGCGAGCGGCTGCGCGGCGGACGCGCATAGTGAGGTCGGCGTTGCGCTTCTGGAGCGCAGGGACGCGGCGCTCAATCTGGGTCTTCATGCTGCGGGGGTCGGTGGGGTTGATAGCGAGCGTCTGGTCACTCTCCCAGACAGAGTCGTAGTCGGACTCGCCGCCGGCAGAGCGAGCGGGCGAAGGAGATGCCTCGCGGGCCTCGCGTGCGGTGTTGTTGGCAAACATACCAATGCGCGAGATGCTAAAGTTGCCGACCTCCAGAGCGTCCAGGATAGATGTCACACCACAGCGGCCGAGCGAGTTGCCGTTGAGCTGGAGGAGCCACAGGTTCTGGCTGCGTGGGCTGCGGATGAAGTCGCAAATAGCGGGAACACACTCGGCGGGGATGTTGCATGCCGAGAGGTGCAGCTCGCGGAGGGTGGGAGCGTTGAGGGTCTCAAAGAGGCGGATGACGGCGTCGGGGTCCAGAGGGTTGGAGGAGAGCGAGAGCTCGGTGAGGCGGGATGCGTTCAGGCGCTCGACCACGGTGTCGACGATGCCGTCAAGCTGAATGTCAGCGTTTTTGTCATTGCGTGCGCAGGCATGTGTGGTGGGTGGGGGTTTGCCAACGAGCTTCTGAGAATGCGTTTGGACGCCACCAGGATGCACGTGCAGGTGTACCAAGTTCCTTGGCGACGCCTCGTGCGTTCCCCACACCCCACAGATTTTCCCAAAAGACGACTCACAGTGATCCTGTTGTCCTGAAGGAGAAGCTCGCGCATCGCCTCATCCTTGGAGACGTAGTACGTGGCTGCGAGGAGACCGTCGTTGCCCACGTTGTTGCGGGCGAGGTTGATCTCAGACATGCCCCAGAGCTCGGCGGGACGCGCCTCGTGCTTGCGGGGGACACGCGAGGTGGCGGCCGAGCTGGTAGCAGACGTCGCGGCGCTGGACGCGTTGCTCCGGCGAGCCGGGGCGCGCGAACGACCACGGAACTGCTCCTCCTCGTCCTCCTGAGGCGGGTGGGCAGCCGACTCGGTGTCGATCATGCCACGCTGGCTGTCCTTCTTGACGCGGCCAGGGGTGACGATGGTGACGCTGGGCTCGCGGCGACCCACAGACGAGAATCGCCTGCGGGCGTGAGAGAGGCCGTCAAAGAAGGCGACGGCGCCGTCGGTGCCCAGGGCATTGTGGCCGGCATCGATGCGGTGGACATCGGCCGAGATGCGCATGAGCATGCGGTGAGCTGGAGAGTCAGTACATGGCCATGGGGACGTGTGGGGTGGGGCGGGGAAAGGGGGCTGGTGTAGGGAAGGTGACACATGACGTCGCGTCGGCAAGAGCTGCGGTGGGGCCGCGGCCAACGCAGACTTTCGGCAAGACGACCTTCGGTCTCTCCGAGCACAAAGCGTATGTCGTCGTCGGGATCGTCGGGAGCAGTGTCCCGACGGTACACTATGACTGTGGCTGCTGGCGTGCTTGGACGCAGAATTGAGCACCGCGCGGTGGGCAGAGGCGCGCGTGTTGTGGCTGAGCCAGCTAGCCGCCATCATTGACGGTGGGGCCTAGCCTTGCTCGCCACTCTCGCCGACGAGCACGCGCGCTGTGACCACGAGGAGCATGCTGTGCACAGCCATGCAGACCATCACGGCGCCAAGGGCCAGTCCAGCGAAAGCTGCCATTTACAGCAACCATCACAGTCGTGGGGGTTGACGAGACATGGCGTCACTGCAGCTAGCCGCCGAAGAACCTCCCTTTCCCCCATCATCGCCACCGCTTTGAAGCTCGACACTCACCTCCAGCGACACCGTTGAAGTTCTGATCGGTAAAGGACGCGAGGTCCGATGTGATGGTAGTAGCCATTGTAGCTTAATGTATGCTTGGTGTGGTGTGGTTGAGAGGATGGCGGTGGCACGGGGTGTGTGTGTGTCCTGGTGGGTTACGGGGACTGTTGATCTTGAAAGTGGTAGATGGTATCGCTCCAGAAAGATGGCCTCTGAATCATGCGAGTGTGTGAGATGTCAAGAACCGACGAGGTCTATAGGCAGATATATATGGTGCTCTGTTGGAGACGGGCGTGTGGGGGGGGGTTGACGTCTGTTGATGTGTGTGGGGTTTGGGGGGCATGCGTTTACCGACTGGACACGGGGGCTGTTAAGTACCCTGCGGTGGTCTGGCCGCGCAGGTCTGGTGATGTATTTTCGTGTGTTGCAGCTCGTGTCTCTAGTCTCTCCCGCTCGGTAAGCGGCAGGCGGCCGGGTGCACCGCGGGGGGTCACGCGCGTTGCGTTGTTGCACAAGAGGCGAGCGAGATGGCTGCTGCCAAGCACCGCGTTGTCCCTGTGTTGCCTATTGTCACCCCCCCGTCGTGATGATTCATTCACCCAATTTTGCCATTTTCCCAGTGGTGTCGCTCCTCTTCTTCTCCCCCGCACTCGCAGTTCCTGCCCAGCATCCAGGGAGAGCCTCTCTACCCCACGACGCTGCGGGCCCTGCGGTGCCAAGAGATCTATCCTTGACTCGCAAGCTCGGCAGTGGAGAGTTGCCGTGCACTGGAAACCGCGGTTTAGCCTGAAGGGTACACTCTTTACGGGGTCACGTGATCTTCCCCCGTGTAACCGGCAGGCGGCGCAGTCGCGTCTCGGCGTGTCCCCCTGTCAGATCGTCATCGATGACAACGTCGTGGGCGAAAGTCACGACTCGTCTCAAACGCCACCCGGGACAAATTCCATTCCGACTCGCCGTCTCTCGTCGGTTCTCGTCATTGCCAGACCTGGTGTCGCAAAAGCAAAGTCTTGGCATCCACGGTCTAGAACCCCACACACGACCCACAGACCAAGAAGCCACGACACGACACGACACGACACGACACGCCAACGGCAAACATTATGTTGTCCGTCATCCTCGTTCTGGAGGCGTTGGCGTTCCTCGTCGTCCTCCGGCTCCTGGCCATCGCGCCGCGAGGCCGCGGGCCGGCCGTCAAGCGCGACAAAAACAACAACGACAACAACAACAACAAGACCGCGACGACGGCCTCGCTCGCCGTCTTCCTGGGTTCGGGCGGGCACACTGCCGAGATGCGCGCGCTCCTCGCGTCTGTCGACCGGCAGCGATACACGCCGCGCACGTACGTGTACTGCGCGGGCGACGACATGAGCCTGCGCGCCGTGGCAGACTTTGAGGCCAGCACAGAGGTGCCCGGGAGCGCTGGAGCGGGAGCGCGCAACCCCAGCTACTCGCTGTTGAGCCTCCCGCGCGCCCGGGCCGTGGGCGAGGGCAAGCTCAGCACGTTGGTGTCGGCCAGCAAGACGTTTGCCGTTGCGCTCTGGCACGTGTTTGCCCTGCCCACGATGGCGAGGCCGCGTGCGCCGTGGGCCGACGTCCTGATTCTCAATGGGCCGGGCACGGCGGTCGTGCTCGTTGCCGCAGTGTACATTCGCAGGGTGGGTCCAAAGCAGCTGAGAGAAGCCTGCTGTTGTGTAAAGCGCACGAGCTGACGGACAAACGCCAGATTCTCGGTCTCTCATACACCCGCATCATCTACGTCGAGTCGTTTGCCCGCGTCAAGTCGCTGTCGCTGTCGGGAAAACTCCTCAAGCCCTTTGTCGACACGTTTGTCGTCCAGTGGCCCGACCTCGCGGGCGAAAACGTGCCCAGCGCAGACATCAAGGTGAAAAAGGTCAACAAGGGCGAGCAGTTTGAGGGCTCGTTCATCCCCGGCACGACGTATCGCGGCTGGCTGGTGTAAAAACACATGTACAACACATACATAGAGGTATTCCGCTCCGCTATAAGGGGGGTCATGTTGGCTTATATACAGACACTCTGGTGCGATTACTGAATCACTGACTCGTTACTTGCCGCCCGTCGACGCGTACCTCTGGAGGAGCTTTCTGGCGTCATTAGCTTCTCACCGCGTGCAAGGTATACCTGAAGCTACTGACTGATAACTGTCTGCCATCTGATGGTCAGCTATAACATGAACCTTCCAGCTACACTCACCATCTTCCCATGACTCGCCGCCGCGGGGATGGTCGAGCACAGCGCGAGTGCGAGTTCACACCACTGGCAGCCTTGAGCGACGTCTGACGCCCTGCTGGGTCAGATTTCGTCACGCGGCCGGTACCCACCCAAACATTGTCATGCCCATCTGCCAAGCGGTGGCCAGAAGCCATTCACCCTCGTCGGAAGGGTACGCCTTGAGACACGCGTCCGAGACCATGACCTCGTGCGCCTTGGCTATAAAGTGCAGGGCCTTGGCGTTGTCCTCCTCGCCATCGCGGTTCAGGACGATGGTGACGAGAGAGCGGGTCCACCGAGCGACATGGACGACGTCGTTGAAGTCTTGTGGGGAGATCTTCTCCAGTGCGCACTGGACGCGGTCAGTGTCCAGTCGGGACTGTTGGTGGCTTACTTCCAGCACGCGGCAGGTTACTGTTGCGTCAGCACAGTCACGGACGGTCTCTGCTCACGACCAGTAGGGCAGGAGGGGTATTGCGCCTGCGACTGTCAGGTGTACGGCACCGCAAGATAGCTCACCAGTACGCTGACCACGGCCTGTAGGGCGCGGCTAGAGCCCTTGGGGTTGCTCGAGTCGTTCAGTACCGCCTGGCGGGTGAGCGCACGACCTGGCCTGCACCCACCTGGACAGTCTCGCTCAGGCCATCCCAATCGCCTTGCTCGCACATGAGCTCGGTCTCGAGAACGGTGGCGGTGCGGAGCATGTGCTCGCGTTTCTCGCCGTTGGGCCCCGTCGGCTTCAACGCTTTGATGGACGCAAGCAGGTCCGGGGTGTAAGCGATGAGGGCCATGAGGAGGTCGGCCTGGTAATGTCAGTTTCTGAGCAGCAATCAGGCCACGCACTTTGTCTGTGCCATCCTCCATGTCGCGGTAGACAAACACTGTGGAGGTTAGACTCTTCATTCGCGCGCCTTCAACCTCACGCTCTCCGCAAAAGCACGCAAACATGGCAGTGGCCCTTTGAAGCGGCAGGTTAGGGTCACAGTCGAGGGGAGAGGACGCCACGTAGTGATCCATGATCTGCGGTTAGCAGAGCCATGCCATGTGGATGACGCACCTGTACCACAAGGTTGAAGATGTTGGACAGGAGGGAAGGACTCCAGCTCGTGGCTTGTTCAACGCCGACGTTGTAGGCTGGAGTGTCATGTCAACGATCAGCCTGGCTGTGGAACGCACCAGTCTTGTAGATCCATGCAATAGCCTTGAGGTGCTCTTGAGCCTCACCGTGCTTGAGCAACTCGTCAATGAGGGAGTTTGCTGAGGGTTGGTTACCGCGCGCCACGAAGCGCTAACTAACCATTCTCGAGATAGTAGATGAATGTGTGAACAAGACCCTCGCTGCTGGGTTAGAGACTCCTCTTCTTTGTCTTGCACCCACTTCTCCTTTTCGTGGCCAATCTCGGACAAGGTCATCTTCATGAGGCAACTGGGAACGTTAGGCAGCTGATCGCCATGTAGCGTACCGAACAAGTGTGAGGCCATGGACCTGGACGGCCGTCGCAACCTCGGGACGACTGATGGCCGTGAGAAGAGCAGAGAGGCTAGAGGTCAGGGCACCATGGAGACCCTTGTCATTGGCAACTTGACTGGTGAATGTCAGCTGTTGGGCAAACCGCAATCAGCTTTGACCTACGCCATCAACAGGAGCTGCTTGCCGTCGAGATCGGGACAGTTAAGAATGGCCTCAAGGGCGGAGACGGCTGAAGATTCAGCTTGCAGTAGTTGATGCCAGCTAACCTGCTACTTCACGTCCCTCATGGACGGCCACAAGAAAGCTGAGGTACTGTGTAGTTGCTTCGTTGGAAGGACATTGATCGAGTTCATGCTGAGCACTGGCGAATGCGCCGGCGTGAATGTGGGACAAGGCCGCCTTCCTAGAACTGTTAGTAACCTGGGGTGGCAGTAGTGAGAGTCCCTCACCTGCGGCATTTGGCAAAGTTGTCACGACCCGCCGGGGAGAGTGCTTTGTGCGCGCCGAGCGTATCTGCAAGGTTAGCAGGCTGCTACGGACAAACTTTGGACACAAACACCACTCAGCTGCCTGGGAATGACCGCCACCGCGGTATGCCTTCTCGCCAAAGCTCCAGATAACCTGCTGTCAGTTCACAGTTCGTCACAGAACCTACTGTCTGGCAAGCAATGACTGCCGTGGGGTCGTCCATCTCAACTTCCGCCGAGGTAATGCCTAGATTAAGCTCACAGTAACGGCCTTACAGAGCTTACGGTCGAATGCCTGGGTGACTACCCGAAGAGTCGTCTGGTAATCGAGATCCTGCTTGCGAACGGCGAGTAGAATGCCGAGAAGGATGCGAGGAACAAACGAGTTACCTTGCGGCGTGGCCAGGGCGTGAATGAGGAGCTGCTGGCGACCGAACGTCTGCATATCCGTGCTGTTGCAAGTCAGCACAGGAGAGCATAGGTCCACTCACTGGCTCGTTAGACCTCCAATTTCAGCCAGGAGTCTGCGAGGTCAGTCCATGCTGCGACTAGCACGTACTCGGTGACGTCCTCGTCCGTCCAAGACACCCCTTCGATGACACTGGAAAGAGCTACTGTCAGGTTCATCTTGACAGTACCCTCACCTGAGCGGACGTGGGCTTCCTTGGCGCCTTGTTGCTGAAGAATATGAAGCTGCAGAACCTTGATCTCCTGAACGCTCTTCGGATCCTTGTGGGTCAATCTATGCACTGGACAGCAAGCCATACCAGGGAATTGGCCAGCGAGGTCAACTTGGTGAGGACGATGTCGACGCGCTCGAGGTCCTGGCGATCAAGGGTTCCTTGAGACAGTTCGGCGCGAGCTGATTGTCAGTGTGTAGCCAAAGGATGCCAGCTCATGCCGTCCCAAGAGGCGAGCTCACCAGCAGAGCGAAGCAGCGCAATCTGTACCAGTCAGCATTTATCAAGACACACAAGAGCCGATCCTCACCTTGAGCTCCGGAACACCCAGCACCTGGTCCATGCCCTCTGCGCTGTCGAGAGTCTCCAAGCCAGCATGCAGCCAGAGGCACGCCTCCTTTAGCTGGTCCGGGTTCTGGCAGAGGAGAGTTCCAATCTCCCAGTGCTTGATTGCAATGGCTTTGATCTGGCGTCAGGTAGATTCCCCTCTCGTAACGCACATGCTCTGGTCCCAACACCCCTTGAGGGTCGACGGCTCGCTCCGTCAGCACTCCCGGGCAAATCGTTGACTCACCAATTCCGCGCTGTGCCATTGAGAACGCCAGACCCTCGTTGTCATCAGCCATGGCCTTTAGTTAGCTACATGTATGAAGGAGTTAGATAGCTTACAGCATCACAACGGGTGAGGTAGTAGATTGAGAGCGCCGCTAGCTTCTCCTGGATCTCGAACGGATCCGCGGCAGTGGGGCCATTGACGAGTCTCTTCTCCAGCTGGTTGTTAGCTAGGAAATTGGATGCTTAGCTCACCTCTGCAGCGACCACAACGAGCTCTTGCCACTTCGCTGCGTCACCAGCGGCTGTAATCTCGTAAGAAGGTAACGGAGTTCCAAACATACCAATCAAAGAGGCAGTGGTCTTGGACGCAATGGACAGTACGCGAGCGAGGTCTAGAATGTGAGCTGGCAGGCAAGGCGGTATGTAATAGCTCACATGGTCCAACAGCTTCGCCATCGGTTGCCGTGTCAATGAGCTTGAAAGCAGCGTATTTGACTGATGGGTGAGAAGCAAGCTGATGAAGACAGAAGGGGAGCGTACGATTGGCAAGCAGCACAAGATCCGGCTGCTGGGGCTCCTCCATGAGTCGTCCAGCGGAAAGAACATGGTTCCACAGCTCGACACCTGCTGGATCAGGTATCGCATGACAAGTCAACTCACCTTGCTTGTCGAGCCAGTCGGCACGGCGCCCTTCCTCGTCACCTTCCTTGCGTTTCTTGGACCGTTTGGGATAGTTGTCAGTGGCGACATGCAGGTTGTGGATGGCCTTGGAAAGTGTGTCACGGTCCAACGGAGAGGTATCGGGGCCGGTGGGTATGTGGTGAATCAGAGAATAGAGGACGTCCACGGCGTCTGTGTAGTTAGCCCAAGAGGGAAGGTGAGGGGGAGTGTGGGATGCAACCTGGGTGACTCACCTTGGACCGCCGCGAAGCTCCCCCTGACCATCTTGGGACCCAGTGGGTGGGGTGGGTAAGAAAGGTAAGCCCGAGTAGCGGCGTGTGAGTCTCTGAGAGTGTCTTGGAGAGGTATGAGTGTACGTGAGATGGAAGGAAGAAGAGGGAAGAGGAGGGAGACGATGGGAGGTGGGAGATGGGAGATGGGAGATGGATGCATGGAAGGGAAGGTCAGTGCCACCAGCACTAGGCGACAAAGTGCGGGGCACCGGAAAAGTCGCGTCAGGTGATGTCACGAGGACGTGCCCGCAGGCGGCGGCGACGGGTGCTTCTGTTCTGGGGGTGGGTTGATAAGGATGATGCCTTGCTGCAGCGGTTGTCCTCTCGAGTCGTCCTCGCCTGGCCTCGGTAACCCTCTGCTTCTCACCGCCCACTCACTCACTCACAACCGTCCTTCACATCCGTCTCGCAATCATTCGACACCCCCTCTCTTTCCTTCCTCTCCCTCCTCTCGTTCTCTAGTTCTCCCAGAACACTCCTTTTGCCACCCACCGCCCCCCAGTCTACCCCGCGTCAACCACCCCTTTTTGCCACCCACCCACCGCGACACCCACCATGCCAGCCTGGATGCGTCCCCAGGTGGCCCGCGCCTGGCCTCCGCCTGCGTCCCCCTCCCTGTCTGAGAACTGTGGGTATCCTCACCTCGAAAAGGACGACACTGACCTGAACAGCTGCGTTCATGCGCCTGACGCTACTCGAACACAAGGACCCCCAGACAGTGCGGGACTTGAGCATTGGGGACATTATGCGCTCCCGTCACGATAAGAGCGGCTCGTCGCTGCTCGTCCCAGGTGGCTATCTCATCGGACGTCGCTCTAGTGACGGTCTTCCCTCGGTAAGTAGCAGTGTGCACGCAAGGGAGACTGTGAAATGGAGCCGCGTCATGTGCATGGGGAACAAAGCATGTCCCCGTCGTCGCCACCTCCGCCCTGTCCCCCTTCACACTAGCCGCCTGAAACGGGTGGGTGCTAACGTATCCGCATTAGGCGTTCAACTCGCGCGTTCTCTCCCGCACCCATGCTCAGCTCGTGGTGGACACCAAGGGCCATGTTTTCCTCGTCGATCTCGGAAGCATGCACGGCACGCACATCGAGCCCGCCAACGGCGCCCCTATCAAACTCAAGGCCCGCGCGCCAGTTCAAGTGCTCAATGGCGACACCCTCATCTTCGGCAAGGCTGTCGACTCGAAGAGCGAGCACCACCAGCCCGTTCGCGTGTGCATCTCGTTCCGTTACAATGAGAGTGGACCTCGTGACGCAACCCGCAAGGCGATCACGAACCCTGAATTCGCCACCAGCAAGGACATTGGCAAGGTTGACGTTGCGCTCAACGGCAACCAGAACAACAGCATCGATGTCAGTGCCTTGAACAAGGCCTTTTCCAAGGGTCTCAAAGGCTACGGTATCGAGCAGTCGGCTCTCTACGAGTCTGAGCCTGAAGAGCACCTTCCTCGCACCCAGTTCCCTCTTGGTGGCTCTGGCCTTGCTCAAATGCCCCCTTCCGGCCAGGTTGTTCCTTCTAGCGACAGCGAGGACGAGGATGACGATGTCATCGAGATTGCCCCACCTCCCGTCTCCCTTCACGACGATGATATCATTGTCATTTCAAAGCCCATCTCCGTGCGTTCCACCTCGGTCGCTTCCGACGAGGACAACGCGCCTGTCGCTTCCAGCCAGCCCGAGGCAGACAAGGCTGTTGGAGCCGAAGCCCTTCTCCTGGAGGAGCCCATCTTGGACTGTCCTTCCAGGTCCCTCTCGTCCTCTGTTGAACGTGGTCTGTCCGATCAGGAGGATATCATTATCAACGAGGAGGACGCTGCAGGCGAGGACGACGACATGCAGTCTCCCCAGTACGACCCGTTCGACAACCCCTTCGGTATCTGGCCCGACGACCTTGCCATCGCTGAGGCTGAGGCTCAGGCCGCGGCCGAGATGGACGACGACGAATTCGACGATGAAAGCGAGGCGTCGTACAGTGGCCGCGAGAGCGACTGGCACTCGGGCTATGAGGACGAGGAGGAAGAGGCCAACGCTGAACACGACCAGACGGCGCCGCTCGATATCAGCTCGGAAGACGAGGAAGACGCCGAGGCTGACCCCGACGCCGTCAGTTCCGAGTATGCTTCTTCGGAGGAGGCCGAGGAGGGTAAGGATCCTCTCGATGTCCTCTCGGACGGCTGGGGCGAGGATGCCGAGGACGACTCTGAGGGCCACGACAGCAGCAGCAGCCTCGACGACGAGGACATGGACGACGAGGATGCCGATGGCGAGGACATTGAAGACGAGGACGAGGCCCCCGCCCTTGACGCCTCGATCCGTCAGAACCTCAATGCCCTCACCTTTGACGTTTTCCTCCGCAACATTGTCTACCTCGCTACCGACGACTCTGACGTCGACGACCAGTCCGAAGCTCCATCGGAGGAGCCCGTCCACGAGCCTACCCAGGAAGCTCAGCCCGCCCCACAGGCGTCGGCTGCGTGCACGACCCGCCCTGTTCTCGAGGCCATGTCGCCTGTTTTCGATTTTGCGCCTCAGCCAAACATGATGGCTCTGGGCCGTATCATGTCCGACTTCCCTCAATCCGTCAACTCGATGCCCCCCTCGCCCCCTCTCTCGAGCGGCACCCCAGAGGCCGAGTCCAAGCCCGAGGAATCGGCTCCGCTTCCCGTCGGACTCGCCACCCCTCCTTCTCCGCGCAAGCGCAAGTTCTCCGACTTTGACGAGGCCACGCCCTCCACGCCCGAGCCTGTGCGCCAGGCTGCCGTCGAGGAGACCAAGGGCACGTCCGAGCTCCAGGTCACCGCCGCCTTTGTCCCCGCCACGCCCGCTCCCGTCCTCGTGGACGCTGGCACCCAGGCGCTTCCTTCCCCCGTTGCCACGCCTGAGCGTCCCTCCAAGATCCGCCGCATTGTCAGCGCCGTCAGCCTCGTGGCTCTCGGTGCCGCCATCGGCAGTGCCGGTACCATTGCTGGCCTGCTCCAGCTTGCCGACTAGCAGAGCGGCCCGTTGCGTTGCGTTGTATACCCCCATGTGTAGTTGTATGTGTGTAGTGTGTATGGAAGAAGTACCCAAGCAGGCGGCAGGCGGCAGGCGGCAGGCGGCAGGCGGCAGGCGGCAGGCGCGGCAGGGCTCGTACAGGTGGGGCCAAATGTGGTCTGCTGTGTCGTCGCTCGGCCGACATGTCGTGCACTGTGCACTGACCGCTATGCGCCCAGGACGGCAATGAACGAGTCCTTACGCCCTCGCCATCCGTGTCTGGGCGTACACGAGACGGGGCCGACGCCGGCCTGTAACCTGGCAAGCGCTGGTGTATGCCAGCCTTGTGCTATGCGTAGGCGTGGCGGCGGCCATAAACCACGCTGAAAGTTGGCCAGAGCTGGGGCTGGGGGCTGGGAGCAGGGAGCAGGGAGCTGGGAGCTGGGAGCTGGGAGCTGGGAGCTCTGGGAACGCACTTGTACTTCGACGTCCACGTCTGTTCTCCCTCTCATGAACACCTTCACCTTCACCAAGGATCCCTCATCCCCCTCGCGCCCGCCTGGACATGGCGGGTGTGCGATCCAAGCACCCAGACGTCGTGTCCAGAAGTATTCGGGAAGGGCGAAACTTGGGTGCCACAAAAGTCCGCCAAATCCGCCATCGGGCCGGGGGTCCGATAGCCGCGACCAGGGGCTGCGTGGGCCCGCGTACCCGACATGAGTGCGCGCGAGAACGAGTTCCGCAAATAGGGCTCTCCCAGCCGCTGTTTTCGTCGAGCACTACCGATGCCCACGTCGTCCGCGCTGCATGCATAGGGGGTGCTCGCCGGCCTACACCTCTCTCGTAGCCGACTTGCACCAGCGGCGCGACAGGGTGGTGCGGAAAGTGTGTACGTGACGCACCACTGAACACGACAAAACCGAGAACCAAAGCCGTCAGTGTGTGCAGCTGGTCTTCGTTTCTACTTTGCAACGTGCTGCTCAGCAAGGACACTTTTTACGTGTGCCTCGCCTGCTCGCCCATGCATACTACTGCTCTTCTCGCAACGCTACCAGCCAGCCGCTTACTGCGACTTGACAAAGTCAACACCCTTCTTGATGTTCTTGGCGAGCTCGGGGATGGCGGCCTTGAGGAGGTCCTCCTCGGCGGCGGAAAGGGGGCCGAGGGGGAGGATCTCCTTGACACCCTCGGGGCCGAGGACGACGTTGGAGGCGAAGAAGTCGACACCCTGGTCCTTGAAGAGGGGCGAGTCGACAAAGGTGGGCTCGACAACGTTGGTCTGGCCGTCAAGGGCGCGGAGGAGGGCGTCGGCGAAGCGAGCGCCGGCGTAGCCCATCGAGAGGGTAGCCGAGCCGGTACCGGCCTTGGCCTGGACGACCTCGTCACCGCCGAACTGGATGCGGTGGACAAGGGCCTTGTAGGCCTCGCCAGCGACGTCCTTGCCGGCCTCGGTCTGCGAGAGGAGGGGGATGATGGTGACACCCGAGTGGCCACCGACGACGGTGACGGCAACGTCCTTGGGGTCCTTGTCCTTGATCTCACCAAGGAAACGCGACGAGCGGACAACGTCAAGGGTGGTGATACCGAAGAGGCGCTTGGGGTCGTAGACACCGGCCTTCTTGTAGACCTCGGCGAAGATGGGGACGGTCGAGTTGACGGGGTTCGAGATGATGCCAATGAGGGCCTTGGGGGCGTACTGGGCAGCGGCCTCGGCGAGGGTCTGGACGATCGAGGCGTTGGTGTTGAAGAGGTCGTCACGGGTCATGCCGGGCTTGCGGGGGACACCAGCGGGGATGATGACAACGTCGGCACCCTCAAGGGCCGACTTGATGCTGAGGCGGTTGTTAGCATACTGTTTGTCGGGCCGATCCGTGCAATCTTCAAGCCCAGAGGCGCACTTGGTGCGATCCGGGCTCTGGGGGGCGTATGTATGCACCTGCAAAGTGCATACTGCAGAGCGGCGGGGGAGTGGACATGGCTCATCTTTTCAAGACAAGTAGGATGCAGCGGTCACGGCAAGAGGTTCTGCCAGGTGCCCAGCGAGGACCGTTGCGGTCCTAGCGCTGGGCCGGCCGAATCCTTGCCGGCGGCTTGTCTTCCGGCAATACGCCGAGGCTTTCCCCAACCATCCGCGTCCTTCTTTTCGCGTCCCTCCGCCCTTTTCCACCAGGACCATGCGACTCACTCGTTCTGCTCGTAGCCCTTGACCTCCGAAGCGGTGTTGACGTGCGAGATGTCGGCAGCTGCATGTGGTTAGCAAAGAAATTGATGTGCGTGTTTGAAAAAAGGAAACATGTCTGGGAAAAACCGGGAGACACATCGTCCGTGAACGGCACAAGTCTCCCGATAACTCAAACACCACCAGAACTATCAGAAAAGACGCCTGCGTGTTCTTTTTACAACGTTTTCGCCATACCTGATCACTTACCGACGCCGGGGGCTCCGCGCACATCATACAAGGCAAGCTGTTCTACGTTAGCAAGAACGTAAGGAGAGACGGTGTAGAAGCGAGTGGGAGAGAAGGGGGAAGGTGGTGAAAGGTGTGAGGACAACTTGGTGTAAAACCGAGCGTGAAACACCAACGCCGAGGGCTACTAACCTTGGTGACAAGGGGGTTGCCCTTGAGGAGGAGGGACAGGGGCTGACCGATACCACCTGGAGGTCGTCAGTGGCCATCATCATTGACGCGGCGCAGGGAACCGATCTTGTTGAGAGAGAGAGACTGAGACTCTCGACATGGATCGGTGTCTCTGGCTTCCACAAGACATACCGGCGGCACCGAGGACGGCGCACTTGAAGGGGGCGGCGGCCGAGGTGGAGAAGCCACGGGCGAGGGTGGTGGAGGCAGCACGACGAGCAGCGAACATTGTTGTTTTAGATGAAGAAGTGGATGGAAAGAGGGGAGATGTGTCGAGCGGGGGTCGTTTCTGGCAGAGCGTGTGTGGGCAGCGAGAGTGCGTGCCCCAATCATAGGGGGATCCTGCCACGCTGGTCGGAAGGGCACGGCGTTCGCAATACTCCGGTCCATCCGTCGTTTGTATGGCGTCACCGCTCGGACGCGTTGCTAACAGGGGGGCACTAGTAACGGCCACCGGCAGCATATATGTACTTATGCCTAGAGGAGGGGGCATGTGGCGGTCTCACTTGCTCACTTGCTCTTATTGCATCGTGAGGCGTGCTTTGCGTGCCCGCGATCGCTGTGTCTGGCTTCTTCTTCTAGTCGTATTGTAGAGCCATGCTCATGTATAATTGTCTGCGGGGGGGTGGTAGCAGCTGTTCTCGGCCCCATGTATCGCCCTCTCGGCCAACCTCCTGGTCTTCGCGCGGATCCTCATGGACTCGAGCTTCATGCCGCCAATTGAGACTTTGCTCGACCCCTCCTTCACCGCAGGTGGTGCACGTCTCCTCGAGGTGGAAAACGACGTGTAAGTGCCTCTGAGAAACACAACTCACCAGTACAGTGCCAACAACTTCGTCGTCTCCTGGAGCGCCCAGGGCGACGCCAAGACTCCGACCAACGGCATGGTCAACTCTTGGCTGAAGACGGTCACATCCAACGCGGAGTTCGAAAAGCCTGTCACCACACACGCTTTCCGCCACTTTGCGTTGCATGTGGTGTTCAGGAAGGGTGAGTGTACATGCCACCTCGTGTTCGGAACGTAACTAACCCTCAGGCGGTCTTGATGCGACCCGCATGGTCGCCGGCCACGCTTCGCTCCGCGTCACCCGCGGCTACCTCGCCAAGATGCTGTGAGTACCGGTGTAGAGAGTCCTTGACTGACTTGTAGGCCCGATCACGTCTCTTGGGCCGCGTTTGGCGACGAGGCCATGTCGCCCAGCACGTTCGAGCGAGTGAGCAAGGCTGCTGTGCCTGCCACTCACCACGGACGCTGGGTCGACCTCGGCCAACGCCTTGAGCGAGTTCTGCGGCACCCTGGACGTGTGTATCTATATGAACCTTCCCTTCAGCGCTGACTTCTCTTAGTGGTCCAGAGCCGCGAGTGGCAGGCAAGGATCCGCGACCAGGTCGCCACCGAGTTTGCGACCGTTGCTTTCGCCCCTCCTGATCTGCGTGAGCAGTATGAGGAGGCCGCTGGCGAGTACGCAAAGGTGTTCAAGCGCGTTGTGATGGTCGAATTCCCGTCCGAGGGTCTCCGTCGGCCGACCCCGTCGGGATGCTCGATAATGATGACGAGGGCGCTCTCGACATCCAGCAGTTTGAGATTGTACGTCGACTGGCGGCATTCATCGTTCTACGCTAATGGCCCAGCTGCTGCACGAGGTGATCCTTGGCGGCACCGAGGAGTCGACGGTAAGCCTGCGTTCGGCGTCACGTTTTGGCTATGGCTGATGGCTGACCGTATCAGGGGCGCACGAAGACACAGCCTACGTTCGACCAGACGGTGTGGCAGCAGCATCTCTGCAAGCTGCTGGTGGGAGGAACTGAAGGCTTCATCGAGGCCTTCAACATCATGAAGCAGGTCGAAGGTAGACATTTGGATGATTGTGACGGGGACGACGAGGACGGGGTGGAGAACGCTGATGGCGATTCGGACACTTCAAGCGATGAGGATGAGAAGGACTCGACTCACGATGCTGCACGTGAGACACCTTTGTTTATACTATTTATGCGACACGAGGACTCAGCGGCGGGGTTCCATTTTTATATAATACGGCGTCATGGCAGTCTTGTAAATGCCGGTCACATATGCACAGTCGACGAAAACTCGTGTTCAGGCTGCCACACTGCATGGCAGGAGCCACCTCAACGTGGAATCAGATACACACATACTGGTGTCCAGGCTACTGGCACAGGGTTAGCATCGTGCCACATCCGGTCTGTGGCGGCGAAGTGTCCCCTTCTGGGACGAGAACAGCCGGAAACCCTCCTCACAGATATCGTTCTGAGAGCCTCTCGGGCCCATCGGCAGCACAGACAACACTTTTCATGACTCGGAGGTCAAATATGTACTTGGCACTGGGAGTCATCTTATCAGGTTGGCGGTTCTGCGCAACGGATAACAGCACAGGCAACCCCAGTCTCGGCAATGGTCGAGAAAGCGACGAGATGAACGAGGTTCACTCGAGGTATCGAGTGCATGGGGGGCCTCATACGTGAGTCCGTGCCGGCACCCCCCAGTCATCTTGGAAGAGGTGGTCTTCTTGGCAGTGCCACGAGTGACACCGTCAAGTCGTCAACAGCATTTTGCCGCTCGATAGGCGATGGAGCTTGTTAACCACATACTGTGTAACGACGGAGGCTCCCCCGGACCAATGCACTGGCTTAATCTCTGGGTTTAGTACTAGACTCGTGCCATCTGCTGCATCCTGTAACGTATTGACAATGGTTGTACAAGTGGGGATGTATGTACACTGTGTTCGTGCATGTCTCCTTTGTCTCCTTTTCAACGCTTGGTGTCGGGTGCACAGGCCACCCCGTGTTTGGACCCGGTTCTTGAATTCTTGACTGCCGATCTCCTCGTGTGCGCGGTGACCTTTGTGCATGCCGTTCGTGTTTTGCTTCAGGTCCTCGCCTCCCCCGTTGCCCCTCGTCCGCGGTGACCTAGCGCAGCTCGAACTCCTTGATAGCATCCCCGGTCGCGGTCTTGATGTGGTCCTTGGCCGCATCGGAGAGCTGCGACACGGCTGCTCCGGACTCCTCGCGGCAGTGCTCGTACGAGAACACAAAGCCGTTGACGTTCTGGCGGAAGGTGCTGGCCGCAATGGCCTTGCCCCTGTACTTGCGGGAAGCGAGGATCCGGACGAGCACACCCAGCATTTGCCTGGGCATGGGAGGCGCGTCCTTGCAGGTCAACTCGGCCCAGTTGTGGCAGACATAGTCTGCGGAAAGGCGAGGAGGAGACTTGAGCTTGGAGAAGATGGTGTTGATGAGGTCGGTGGTCCTCGTCAACGTCGCCTTTTGCGAGTCGGTAAGGTCGAGAGGTCTGTTGTTGTCGTACCTGGCCACGATCCCTTCCAGGTGCTCCATGGTCATGCCCCTGGCCTCGAACAAGGCCATACGACGACGTTTGGAACGTTCACGCCTGTGAGGGTATGTCAGCTCCTAGACGACGTTGCAGTCTGCGTCTGAGTACATACCGCTCGGGACTGGAGAGGCGTTTCGATCCGCTGCTGCTGCTGCTGCTGGGAGTCGACATGACGTAGGAAAGGTGGCTGGGGATGCTGCCGAGGACAGGCTGTAGAAGATGAAGAGGAAACGACAACGTTGAGCGCGTCACGCGTCGCGCGCGTCGAGGTGGGTTGGGCTGTCTTGCGGGCTCGCCTGTAGTATGGTCCCGCCGCGCCTAGTCGTGATCGTACGCGCATGCGCGCATGCGCGTACCCGTGCGTACGCGTGCATACGCGTGCATACGCGCGTGCATCTGGAGCGAGGAATAGGCCAGCAAAAGGAGGGACAGACGATCTTGCCAGTCTGTGGTCGATATGTCGATCTGTGGATGCCCCACAGGCCACAGGCCACAGGTCGCGTAGCGGGCTCGTTGGAGCTGGGCTGTGTGGCAGTTGCAGGGCGACAATTTCCGGGCCACTTACATAACACTTAACGGGCTTGCACGCGCTCGTGCTCTTTCCATGCTTACGCTCAACGTCAAACAGCGGCATTTCACCTCTGGTGATTCCTTGACGTTTCCAGTGTAACGTTTGGCCGGTCATCATTGAGGCTTGAAACGGGCGCGGGACAGAGGCACTGTCATGGGCAGTGTCTTGACGTTCCTGTGTGATTGTTGGAAGAAAAGGACCGACGAGCTCGACAGCAGGACGTGTACCGCATGCCAGCGATACCTAGCCCATTCGATCCACTGCCCTTGGTCTCTTGGTCAAGTGTCAGGGGGTAAGTTGACCGCCACGACCGACGGATACGTCAGGCTGAGCACACGGTAGCCCCCAAAAAGCCACAGTTGCGGCCACAAACACTTGGAGCATGACCACTAACAGCTCCTCGAGGTTATCTAGGTCGACGACACTTGACTGTCTGTCTGCATGCCAGCAGATTAGCAGGCGAAACATCCCATGTCGACGCTCGGCCGCACCGTTCATCTATTGTGACTCGCGAACGCGGCAAAGCTGTCGTCTGTTGCTCGGTTGCCAATCGAGATGCCCGGTTCGTTCCAGAGCCGCTGCTTCAGTGGGCGTATACTTCATGTAGGTCGTGGTGAACGCCCGCGTGCAGTCAGTAGGGCCATGGTGTCTTTGGATGATGGGGGCCGATGGACAGTGTGCAGTAGTGCAATGGACAGAACAATGGCTGAGTGGCTCATGCACCCATTGCTCTCGTTGGGTCAAGACGAGATCCGAAGCAATCGGACAACTCGAGCCAATGACGGCACTCTGACCACTCCGATAGGCGATACCCGATGACAGAGTCGACCTGCGGTCTTGTTCGCGTCCGACTTCCACTCTCCACTCTATTCCATCAGCATCACCCAACAAGGACCAAGTGATGGCCTCGTACTCTATCTCTGCCCACGCCGCCGTCCTCCCGGGCAAGGACACGCCCGTGCCGGCAACCCTCACCATCACCAATGGCAAGATTACCGCCATTGCTGAAGGTGTCGACGAGGGCGCGGACGTGGTCGTCGCCGAGCCCAAGGTCCTGCTCCCTGGTCTTGTCGAGTGAGTCAAGCTCTCGTTAACGTAAACTCACACACCCAGCGCCCACGTCCACCTCAACCAGCCCGGCCGTACTACCTGGGAGGGCTTTGCGACTGGAACCGCTGCCGCCGTCGCGGGCGGCGTGACGACCATCATCGACATGCCGCTCAACTCCATCCCGCCCACGACGACGCTGGAAGGCCTGGCCGAGAAGCGCGCCGCGGCCCTCGAGACGGGTGTCAAGTGCGACGTGGGCTTCTGGGGCGGCATTGTCCCCGGCAACGCCGACCAGCTCGTCCCGCTTCTCGAGCAAGGCGTCAAGGGCTTCAAGTGCTTCCTGATCAACTCGGGCGTGGACGAGTTCCGCCATGTCGAGGAGTCCGACCTGGTGATCGCGTGCGACGCGCTGGCAGCGGCCAACACGAACGCCTTGGTCCTCTTCCACGCCGAGCTGGAAAAGCACGCCCACGAGGGAGCTGAACCCAGCCACGAGAGCCCCGACGCCTACTCTACGTTTTTGGCCTCGCGCCCCGAATCGCTCGAGACGGACGCTCTGGCACTCATCCTCTCGCTCGCGCGTCGCTACCCGACACTGCGGTTCCACATTGTCCACCTGTCCGCCGCCGAAGCGCTTCCCGCCATCCGCGCCGCGCGGTCCGGAGCCGACGGCGGCAGCCCCGTCGCCAACCTCACTGTCGAGACGTGCTTCCACTACCTGACCCTGCGTGCCGAGGACATTCCCGCCAACGCCACGCAGTTCAAGTGCTGCCCGCCGATCCGCGACGAGACGAACCGCCTCGCCATCGTCGACGCGGTCCTGGACGGCACGATCGACTTTGTCGTCTCGGACCACTCGCCGTGTACCCCCGAGCTGAAGAAGGGCGACTTTATGAGCGCGTGGGGCGGCATCTCGGGCCTGGGCTTTGGCCTGCCGCTGCTGCATACGCAGCTGGCCGGTAAGGTGACTCTGCCCCGGCTCGTGCACCTCCTGGCCACGGCACAGGCGCGCCAGGTGGGGCTGGACAAGACCAAGGGGTCGATCCAGGTCGGCGGGGATGCCGACCTGGTCATCTTCGACCCCACGACAGAGTACAGCTTGAGCGAGCACGACCTGTTCTTCAAGAACAAGCTGTCGCCGTACCTCGGCCGCAAGCTTGTGGGGCGGGTCGAGCGGACCATTCTGAGGGGCGAGGCCGTCTACGTGGCTGACAAGGGCCACATGGGCGTGAGTGGTGTGCTCGTGTGAGAGAAGGGAAGCCATTATTATTTTAGCATGCATTGGATCCAACATGATTATCCAGTGGAATTGAAGCAGGGGCCCTGCGATGTTTGTCAGTAACAGCCATACCCCGGTGGGGAGAAGATATATACATCCAGTGCTCTGCACTGATATTAAGCGATACACAAGACTTTTGGCTTCGCAGCTGAATGAGCTAGCCAGCTAGCTCACATGCTCTCCCTCGCCCCCAGCTCTAGGTGTGCCCCGGAACCTTGCGCGTCAGCACCCGCTAGCAACATGCCGGCAGGGCACATGTCCACATCCATTTCCCTCCCTCCCTCCCTCCCTCCCTCCCTCCTAGTCCTTGTCAAGGAAACCACCACTCACCATCCCATGGTGACCCAGGTTGCTCTTGGAATGCACCGGGTCAATCCCGCCATACCTCCTCCTGCTCTCCTGTATGGCCTCGGCCCAGTCCTCCTGGCTCATGAGCCGCAGCTGTTCGAGCATTTTGCCATTGATGACGGCAATGTCTTTGCCGTCGTGCTCGGCGGCAATGTCCACGTCGCCCCACTTCTTCATGGCCGCAATGGCGACGGACAGGTCTCCATCGACCAAGTGCGCGCGGTCCGTCTCGCCCACGTGCTGGAGACGCTTCATCTCGCGCACCAGGACCATGGCGACCTCGTTCCAGATGGTAATGATGAAAATGTCGTATCCGGTAGACAGGGGTTCGGTTTGGTACAGGTACATGACGTTGACGAGGCGGCGGGCCACGAGGAGGGCGACGGAATTGTCAGAGTCGAGAGCGCGCATGTTCCACAGCTGCATGTATGCGTTGCCGACCAGGAAGTGGAGGACACTGGATTCGCGCGACAGTGCCACTCGGGGTAACATCACGTCATCGCCCTCGTCCCAGCGCCATGGGGGTCGGTGCTCGTCGGGCAAGTGGTCGACGTAATAGTCGAGCGCGGCTTTCACTTTGGCAAAGCCCGTTGGGTGGGTGGCATAAGGCGGCAGCGACGATCCTGGGTAGCTGCACACGTGTGGGCCCGAGGCCACGGGCTCTGGCGACATGTCGGGCATGGCGACCTCTGGCCGCTCCTGGCGGAGTTTGAGGACGCGCGCGAGCAGTGTCAAGGCCTTCATGCGAAGAACAATAAAGGAATTGTCCAGGCCCCGGGGGTTGTCCTTTGGGTCGAGGACAGAATCGATGCTGAGGTCGTCGACAGTGGACACGAGGCCCAGTTCATACTCGATCATCGGACGCGGGAACGGCGTGCGAATGTCCTCCATGGGAAGCCCAGTGTGCCACAAGTAGCCGACGGCGGTGCACAGATCCGTCTCGTAGACTGCCCAGAATGCGTAGATTCGCTCCGCCAGGTCAATGGGGTCCTCTGGCGGGGGGATGGCGTAGCCGCCGGTGCGCAACGTGCAGTGGATCGCGGCGTTGAATGGCGGTGCCGGCGTCCACACCGACGTTGGGATCCGGTCCAGACCGCACGAGATGGCCAGTCTGACAGCTGCACCACACATGTGGTAGCCGACCGAGTACTTTTCCTTTGCGAACAGGTAGTTTGTCAACAGCGCCATTCCACGCAACGCGTCAAGCAGACGGTCGTGGTTGGCCACAGCAAGACGAATCTGCTTGTCTGCAATTTCGAAAAACTGGCTCTCGAGCTGCTTGATGGCCGGCTGAGACGACACGCGGGCGGCAGTCGCGTACATGCTGTACAGCAGACCCGGGTGCGGGCGCTTGGCAGGCGGCAACGTCAGGCGCATGTAGAAACGCGGCAGGTGGATGGTGATGCTGAAATGTGCCTGTGCCGACAGACGCGAGAAGAAGAGGTCGAGGCTGGGGGCCAGTCAGCATATACTGTTTTGTAATTACCCACAGATGATCGCGCACCGCCGGCGGCACGTCGTTGGGGTCAAACCACCCGCCGACGAGTTCACGTCCTTGTGGCAAGCTTGGCAGAATCGATATTTCGCCATTCACGTCCAAGCCCATCTCGCTGCCCAAGTCGGCGTCGAGCGCGTTCTTGTCCTCGTCACGCGTCGAGGTCGCGCCGCCCATCAAACCCATCGCCACGACATTCTCAATGCCGCCCACAGATTCGATAAAATCGCGCCGGCGCCACCGGCGCACCCCGGTCGCACCGTCGGCTGGAGGGGTGACCGCTGTCATGTACAGGTGCGCCGAGAGGTCAGCCACGGGCTGGTCGAGGAACGACAGGTCGAAATCAAAGTGCGGGTCAGGTTCACCGGGGGGCCGCGGGTTGGAGGACTGGGCATAGGGCCGGCCAGAACGGGGCGACTCTGCATGTGACTGGGGAGCTGACGGACCAGTGCTCGCGCCAGAGCTGTGGTTGCCGTGTGGCGTGGCTACCATAGGAATCACACCTGGCGCAGGCGAGATTGGGAAGATGCTGCCTTGGACACTTGGAATGGCGAAACCCAGTGCCGCAGGGTTGATCGTGTGCGCCGACGCCGGCGCCGGGGCTGGTGTGCGATGGTTCTCAGGCGCTGGTGTGGCACCGGGGGTGCGCGTTTGGAGCTGGTTCTCAAGTTCCGCTGGTGAGGTGTCAGCCATACGAACGGCGGCGGCGCTGGGAGGCGGCCATCGGGCGAGGCGAGGCCATCGGCGATGACCTGCGGCATGTTCACTGCCTCGCTCGGGAATCCATTCTCCGGAAACACTCACAAATACGAGCCTTGAGCAGTGCGATGCGGCTCGTGGTCTTGCCCGTCTCATACACGCATTGCTTCTTCAGACGCACGCATGTCGCACATGCAGGCTTCTCGGCGTTGCATCTCTGTAACTGTGTCAGAACAAGCCCATGGCCACATTTCTCGTTGAGCGCCGTCGCCAAGGTCCCACGGCGCGACGCGCGGCGCGGTCTTGGTGGCCGCGTCGGCCCTGTGCGGGGGGTGCGAATCGGCATGACTCCGGTGCACAAGCACGACCTGTTTGAGAAGCACTCACAATTCGACGTCGACGGCAAGCCAGACAGGCGTCTCCGCTGCGTTGGGGGTCAGTGACAAAGCGACGCGTCGGCTTGCTCATCCGCTGGCGCTCACCGCTTGAGGGTTTCTGGAGGAAGCCATGTCAGCTGACGCGCCTTGGGTGTAGAACAAAGAGGGACCCACGCTTGCCGCCTGAACTCGGCTGCTGCTCCGAGCTGAGAATGTCGTTGCACTCGACGTCCATCTCATCGCTGCTGTCGTTATCCGGTGGGCTAGGCATGGTGGAGTGTGTGGAAGGTCGGACGACGAAGTCGACATGAATGTGGGGGGATATGTGACCTACGGCCTGGGCCGGGAACTACAGCCCGTCAACAGAAGTGGTTACGTAAACAGGACACGTGGTCCCAGATGTCTATTTGGTTCCGTGTGGGGTAGCACCTGGGGGGGCCCAGCCCCCAGACAATAACAACATGTCGGCCTGTGCCGATCGGGCCATCACTTGTGCTTCTCTCCATCTGCCCGTTGTCCTTCTTCTGGCCACCCCGCCCCAGTACCGCCTCTGATCGCTGTGATGGTTTGCACGGGTTCACCCATTTGCCACTAACGACTTGCTCCGTCCCTTCGCAGCCCCATCATGGGAGACACCTTCACTGTCCGCTCACTCTGCGCTCACGTTTTTTCCCAGACGACCAGCCTCTTTTAAGGGCTGCGAACGTCCAAGCGCAACGCCAACCTTCTCAACACGCAGCCGCGACCCCCGAAAAGCCCTCAAGCCACAACCAATATACAGGACAAGGAACAGGCCGGGACAGGCGCTACTCTGGTACTCTGGGGACTCTGGGAGGGGCCTCGACACAAAAAGACGACAACAACACAGAACCGAACGCTTCTCACTCTTCTCACCTCCTTCCCGTCACTATCATGTTCCGCGTGCTGGCCACGGGACTCGCATTGCTCTCCCTGGTGGAGGGGCGGGTGATCACACGCGCAGTGCGCGACCGTGACACCCAAATCATCCAGGCCACGAACGGCAGTCGCGCTGAGCGCGACTCCATCACGGTCCAGGCGCCCGGGTTCAGCTGGGGTGTCGCACCGGTCCGCGGCGTCAACATTGGCGGCTGGTGAGCACAGCTTAGAAGAATGATATTTGGTAGCTGACAAAACACCCCGACAGGCTCGTGCTCGAACCGTGGATCACGCCGAGTCTGTTCGAGGACAAGCCCGACTGGGTCGTCGACGAGTGGTCGTATGGCGAGTATGTGGCCAATTCCAGCAACCCGAGCGAAATTATCAACCACTGGGCGACGTGGTACGACTACTCGCAGTTTGAGGCTATTGCGGGTGCGGGGCTGAACACTGTCCGCATCCCTATCGGCTGTGAGTGGAAGTTTGGTTCGTGGTGACGGTGCTGTGGCGCTGTGGTAGTGCTCGTCAAAGGTCATTCTCACCCAAACTTGACCTTGGTGTCTACCACAAGGGCCACAGTGTGAGCCTGTGACCACGTGCAGACCTCATTCGAGCTCATGCTAATGACAGTCTGGTCCATTATCCCGCTTGAAAACGGCGAACCGTATCTTGTCGGCGCCTACGAGTATCTCAAAAAGGCCGTCCTGTGGTGTGCCCAGCTCAACCTCAATGTGAGTAGTCCACTCCTTCACACTACCCTGTGCATTCCGCCGCTATGCGTCCCATGTGAAGGGCCTGGCCGCGGCACCGACCAGTCCCACTGTAGCTCACGCACCAGGTCATGCTCGACCTGCACGGCGCACCCGGCAGCCAAAACGGGTACGACAATTCCGGGCTCCGCGGCACGCGCCAGTGGTTTTCCAACAGCACAAACTACGCTCGCGCGATCAACGCCATCGAAGTGCTCGTGACCGAGTTCACCAACGCAAGCTACAGCGGCGCAGTCACGTCCATCGAGCTCATGAACGAGCCGCTCCCCCAGTCCAGCAGCGACATTGGCGACCTCCGGAGCTACTATCAGGACGGATACGCGCTCATCCGCAACATCTCGGCCGTCGCCGCCAGTAACGGGATCACGGTCATCATCCAGGAAGCGTACCAGGGTCTGGCGGCGTGGGAAGGGTTTATGCCTGCGCCGACGTACCAGCGTGTGGCACTCGACACTGTGGGTTGAGTGCGGATGTTGCCACTGCTAACCCGTTCAGCACATCTACCCAATGTTCGACCACACGTACATCCAGCTGAGCCTGTACGACAACCTCCGCTGGTACTGCGGCTGGGAGACGGACCTGGCCACTGCGAACAACTATCTGTGGACGTTTGTCGGGGAGTTTACCGGTGAGTCGGACGGCGTGCGGAGTCCGCTGTCGCTTTGTGCCACGGTTCAGCTGGCCAGTTGTCCAGCTGTTCCCTGCGGCAAGCACGCTGACCCACCACAGTGGCCAACACGGACTGCGCCAAGTGGCTCAATGGCCGCGGCACCGGTTCGCGCTACGACAACACGCTGAACGGCACCGCGGCGATTGATTTCCCCGGCGACTGCTCCCAGCGCACGGGCGACCCCTCGGCGTGGACACAGGGATACATTGATCACCTCGCACAGGCGTTTGAGACCCAGACATGGGTGTATGAAAAGGCAGTGAGTCGTACGCTCCAGGGCGCGGCGGCGGGGTACGCTCCAGGGCAACCCGTGTCGTCGAGTGGGGACAGCCGCCAGCTCGGTGGATCTGTGGATCGCCAGTCATGAGCTGGCTATAGGCTGGGTGTCTGGCCACGACCTGGTTTCATCGTGCCCGACGGCCGTTACTGACTCTACCCCGCGCAGTCTGGATGGGTGTTCTGGTGCTGGCGTACCGAGGACGCGCTGGACTGGAGCTTCCAGGCCGGCCTGACATATGGCTGGATCCCGACGCCGATCACGTCCAAGCCACACGGGTCAGTACTCGCAGCTGGAAACCACCACGCGCCACACAGCTGAGCTGATTCCTGATCGCTGATCGCTGACGCTCTCCAGCACCCCATGCAACTACTCGTCGTTTATCACCGAGCACACGGCTAGCGCCGCCAACACGGCTACCCGCGTTACCGAGCGCGCCAACGTCTGGGTCTACGTGAGCGGCGTTGTGGTGGCTCTGTCGGCTGTTCTGGGCGCCGCGCTGGTCTAGTGTGTGACTGTGTGGCTGCGTGGCGCAAACCGCAAAGTGCCAGTTTTCTTTCACTCTTTGGGGAACCACGTCATCCTTCCCATCCAACGCATCGTTCGTGTTACTTTATACCATCTACTGTCTCCACCAAGGCTCGCTCATACGCTGCCGTTTTCCATAATACGTAGAGGAGACGGCAGTCATAGACCTGCATGCATCAGTTTGTCCTGGGTATAATGGTTCTGCGGCATGGTATTCAAGGACAGCATCTCTGAAGAAGAAACAGCGCGAAAGGAAAGAACTAGTTCACAAGCGACGCCCGCGCGCCTCTGGCCTCATGATACCTCCAAGCGTCACCCCACGGGGCCGTCCGTCTGTACCTCTGTCCCCGCCACACCCACTTCACTGGCCATCGGTCGTGGCCTTGATCGCAATCTGCTTGAGCTGGTCCTCGATCGCGGCCGCGAAGCGCTTGTAAACGTCCTCGTTCATGCCGGTGATGGGGCCGTCGTGGAATCCGCCCTTGTCCTCAAAGACCTCGACGGCGACGCCGTCGCGCCGCATACCGTCCACGAGGGCCTTGTCCTCGTCCTCGAGCGCCTCGAGGGTGCCGTACGACACGAACACGGGCACCGAGACGAGGAACGTCCAGTGGCCCGCGTCCGCGAGGGCCGGGGAGAAGAGGGGGTGGCGGACGGCGCCGGCGTTGTAGTGGCGCACAATGCTCTTGATGCAGTTGTCCAGACGCGACTTGGTGAGGTAGTCGTCCTGGTTGCGTTTCCAGCTCGCAAACGAGGTGGTGAAGTCGGCCCAGGGGGAGGCGAGGGCCAGGGAGCCCGGAAGAGGCAGGTCGAGCGCCGAGAGCTGCAAGACGAGCGCGAGGGCCAGGTGCGCGCCGGCGCTGTCGCCCGTGACGACAATGTTGGACGGGGTGAAGCCGAGGTGGACCGTGACGTAGTGCCACGCCGCGAGCGCGTCGAGGAGCGGGGCAGGGTAGGCCGTCGAGTCGGTGAGGCACTTGCGGTACTGGACGCCGAAGACGCGGGTGTGCGTGTCGCGCGCGAGCTTGGGCGCGAACGGGGACCACATCGGGTGGCCGCGCGCGTATGCACTGTGGGGGAAGACGTTAGAACACAGACAGGTACAGGGGGCGGCGGCCGCACTCACCCTCCGTGGATGTAAAAGACGAGCTTCTCGCCCGGGACGGCCTTTGCAGTACCGAGGGCCGCACCAGGAGGCGATAAGATGAACCCGGGCCTCTCTGCGCGCGGGACGATGGGCGCCGGCTCGGCGTAGCCAACACACCACTCCTCGGGGGCGGCGGGGACGCGCACGACGTCCATGGTGACCAGCTTCATCACATTGCCAAACGGCGCAATGGGGCGCGGCACGGCCGTCGCCTCGGCGTCCGTCTCTGGGTACGCGAGCCCCGTCCACTGGCCGACCGACTTGATGAGGTGCGACTTGAGGAACCAGCCATAGGCCGCGCCGGCGGGGCGGCAGAAGACGAAGCGCAGAGTGAGGAAGGGCAGGCGCGGGAGAAGGGAGAGGACACCAAAGAGGGCCAGGAAGCCGTTGACCCACGGGCCACGGTTACGCGGGGTGTCGGGAGACGCGTGCGCTCTGTATGTGAGTGCGGAGGGTGACATGGTGGTTGATGCTGCTGCTGCTGCTGCTGATGACGTCGGTGGGGTCGCGACTGCGCGTGTGGACCTGATGTCTGCACGGTGTGTGTCCAAGGTGTGTGTTTTGTTTTGCGGATGGGGGTGGATGGGTGGATGAAAGAGAGGAAGAGTCACGGCTGCACGACGACATTATATATGTCTGCAGCTTTGCCAGCTGCATTCCCCGTTTGGTGTGCGTGACTGCACTCACTGCCTCGGCAATCTGCAGCCCATGCAGCCATTGCATGACCGTCCTTGCGTCTTTGCTCGGCCACGACGTGCCCGCCCGCGCCGCGCGCCGCCAGTGACGCCACCCGGTTGTCGCCACCCACCTGGGGGGCCATGTGGGGCACCATATGGAGGGAAGGTCCCGCGCCACCTATGGCTCCGACAGCACACGAGATGCCGCCTTCGTATCTCTTAGGCCACCATCCACAGATCCTTCACAACACTCTGCGCGTACAGCACAACCATGCACATCCGACACGGCATCGGCGCCCTCCGCGCAACCTGTACACCACTCGCAACGTACACGCCCATCCCCACCAAAACCCTCGGCACGAGGTGGGCGCACGCCGCCGCGCTCGAGGACCACCCCCACCCCCACCCTGCAGACGCGACCGCCGCCGCCGGTCCATCGAGGCGACCTCGGCGCGCCAAGATGGAAGACTACGTCTTCCCCGAGACCGGTGCGAAGGGGGGGCCGCCGACGCCGTTTGAGATTCTTGGCCTGGAGCGGAGCGCGTCCGGCGGCCAGATCAAAGCTGCGTGTGAGTAGTTCAAGTACGGTGGAGGTGGATTCGGAGACGCATGTCATTCCGAATGGGGTTGTGTGCCGCCCACAGCGACTTGCTCCGGCACCGACCTCTGGTGACAACAGGTCTCTAGGCGATCACCAGTGGGTCCTCGCACTGTGTGGTCCGCTATGAAGACCCACCTGTGCATCACAGGCCATCTCCAGGTCGGGCCTAGCTCGTCCCCTCGGCGTCCTGACTAACGCCCTGCCGCAGACTACCGCCTCGCCCTCATCCTGCACCCGGACTCGTCCCACCCCTCCGCGTCGTCCGACCACTTTGCGCGCCTGAACAAGGCCTACAAGCTCCTCAACACCAACGCGGGACGCAGCACGTACCTGTCCACGGGGTACGGCTGGAACGGCGGCGGCTTTGACTCTGAATACGCCGAGTCGAGCGCCGACGCCATGGTGCGCGAGGCGATCCGGCGCGCACGCGCAAACGGCGCGCACGAGTGGCGGGGACGCGGGTTCCGCGACTCCGAGGCCGGCGCGGGCGCCTGGGGCGCGCACCGCATGGGTACGGACGGTCAGTGGCAGCCGTACGACGCCGACGGGCACGCGTCGGGCGGCGGAGACGCGCTGTACATGTCCAACAACAAGTTTGTCATGGTCATTGCCATCCTGGCGGGTATCGCAGTGTGGGCGCAGTGGGTGCAGATTGACAATGTGGTCGACACGAGTCGCGCGTCGATGATTGACAGGCATGTCCAGTGAGTAGGGGACTCGGGGGGGAGGTGGTGTGCGGCTGTGGCTGACGACTTGAAAGTGCGGCTAGGGCGCTCGCAGATGCCCGCAAGGACGCTTCAATCTATGGCCAGGAGCGTCGAGACGCCATCCACCGCCATGTCCGGCAGAGGGCTGTTCTTGACGAGATTGACAGGATGACCCAAGGAGGAAGCACGGGTCACACGGCGGCCATCCCCCCACCACAAGCGAGAGACGACGCCGCACTTGCTGCTCGTCCAGTTCCACCACCCGCACCGCCTTCACCCACGAGCCCAAGCGCAAGTCTGTGAGAGGTCAAGGAGAGGTCAAGGCAGCGAGCCGCCCTGGAGGCGGCAAATGTATTTGTTACCAGCACCTGCTCGAGCCGAGTCACTCACACTGACGTGGATGTACACTTCCCACCCGCCAATTGGCCTCACATCGAGCCGAATGGCACATGTTGCATCTTATTTATCACATTCTTTCTCTGCTATCATCGCATGAGGCTTGTTGAAGGGGTCCGGGGCTCGTAACTTGACACAACGTCGGTGTGCGCTGTCCCGTCTTTCCGGGCGTGTGCTCGTGTTTTCACTCTCCGTCAGACTCGGAAGGCCACCAGTCCGACCCGTCCTGGGCACTAAGACGAAACTCGTCGAGCTCCTCAAGCGTGGCCATCATGTATTCGCGTGACGTCGCGTGTCCGCGCTCCTCGCCGAGGCAGGTGATACCGAGACATCCCTGCGGGGTGATGATCTTGATTTCAATGTCCATGGCCTCGGGAAAGTCCATGAGCCACGAGGCCGTCTCGAGGGTAGATGGGAGACACGAGTAGATCCACTCAATGGGTCCCGTTTCGCTCGCGAAGAATGGCGGCACGTCGACGTGGTAGAACAGGCGACAGATGGCCAGCGCGGGAAGGCCCAGGTCGAGGTGGCTCGAGTCGATCGAGAGCGTCGAGTCGCTGACGCCGCTGACGGACGCCGTGTCGCTCGCTTCCCAGCTGTCCGCACCGCTGCCTTCGCTGTCCGAGTCGTAGAACTGGATGCGCTGCGTCGCCTTGGAGGCAGGGCAGTCGATGGTCAGGCACAGGTGCTTGAGTTCCGGGAAGAGCGACCAGCAAAAGCCGAGGACATGTTCGGGATGCGCAGCCTTGACGCCCACAATGAGGCTCTGAAGCTCGGTGCCCGTCGCGACGCCAATGTGGTGGAGCTGGTCGAGCGTGAGCCAGCTGCCGCCAAGGTTGAGCTCCAAGGGCGGGGGGATGTCCATCAGGTTACGCGTGTGGAGGATCCACACCCAAGTGTCGATAGAGTGCGACGGGTGGAGGGCGAGGGTGTTGGCGACGACCTGGAGGGCGAGCGGAAGTCCGTCGCCGTCGAGATCGTTGCGCAGCTTCCAGTCAAAGCGGTCGCGGCGCGTCGGCGAGATCTTGCCGACGTGCAGCTGGCGCATCGTGTGCACATTCCACGCGGCCGGGAGGGTCGAACTGTGCGTGTCGAGGCTGGACAGGTCGCCGTGGCGGTCGATCGTCACCTCGAGGAGCGTGCTGTGGTGGTAGTGCTGCGTCGCGGGCCCGCAGGCCGTCACAAAGGAATAGTTGATAAAGTGCAGCGGTTCCGTGACGCGGTGGTTCCACTGGATCTCGAACAGGTTCGGGAAGATCTTGTACAGGTCCTCGACGCCGCCGACGCCGTGCAGGCGGGGGAACGAGCCAGTGAGGAAGAGCGTCTTGACACTGGAGCGGTAGACGTCGAGGCGTTTGGTGATGCCGAATGGGGAGCCAGTGTCGCCGGCGTTGTCGGGCGCATCCTTGACCTTTGCGTAGTCTTCATAGTAGATGGTGGACCAGAGCACGCGGGCGGCAGAACCAAAGCCCACCCTGCCCCAAGTGATGTAGTCGAAGAGAGGGATACCCTTGGCCTTGTTCTTGTTGCTGGTAGATGAGGCGGTGCGAGGTGTCCACCTCTTGTTGCCGCCCAGCGTCGGGTCCAGGTCGGAGAAGATCATGCGGCGGATGTGGTCAATGTGCCACAGCTGGTTGCCCAGCTCCATGGTGCGCGGCGTGGGGGCCACGGCGGCGCGACGTTTCTTGGGCTGCTTGGTCTTGCCGGGCATGGTGTTGAGAGTGATGGTGTGGATGGAAAAAAAAAGAGTGGGTTGTGCTTGTTGGATGAGCAGATCATATGGTCAGCCGCGTTGCGCCCCCGGTTGACTGGACTACGGTGGAGGTGTCGGTGGGTCCTGGGGGACATCATAGTGTGGCAGCAATATCACAGTGCATAACGTCACCTTATCTCTTGCCTTATAAACATCTGCTCGCACTCCTTGCCAAACCCGTTAACGCTGCGGCATAGTATGTACAAACACATCCCTTCCTTCGGCTTGACTTCTCGTCACAGACCTAGTCGACGCTGCCCGTCTCGGGTTCCCAAGGCAGGTCCACTTCGGCAACCTCGTCGTCGACAGAGCCGCCCTCGGGGTCCGTGTCCCACCCGTCATCCTCATTGTCACTCGCGTGACCGCCGGCGCCGTTGAGGCCCAGAATAGTACGCATAATGTCGCCCAGCCTGCCGCGCATCTTTTCGAGCACCATGGCCGTCGACAGGCTGTACGCGAGCGAGATTCCGTGGCCCGCGCCTCCCAGACGAGTCGCCAGGCAGCCCTTGGGGGCCATGATGGCGACGTGGTGAGAGATGTCGGCTGGGAACTGCAAGAAGAACGCGGCAGTCTCCTCGACGGTTGGGACACACGTGTCCACCCACTGCATGGACAGGGCACTGGTGAGGCGCCTGGGAACGTTGACAATGTAGATGACCTGGCAGCACTCGAGCGTGCCTTGGTCGGCGGGAAGGTTGGGATCAATGTCAAACGTCGAGTCAGTCGCAAAGGACTCGCCGCTGTCGGAATCGTATTCGTGGGCGTAAAGGGGGTTGAGCAGGAGGCCGGTGTCGCTGTTACTGGGGCAGTCGATTGTAATCTCCAGGCCGACAAGGAAGGGAAAGACCGTCCAGGCAAACCCGAGCACGGCGGAGGGCTTGGGGTCCTTGACCTGAACGGTGAGGGCGTGCAGAGTCGGGCCCGTCGCCTCGGCGATGCGGTGCAGTTGAGCGACCGTGATCCAGCTGCCGCCGAGGTTGAGTTCGGTCAGGGTGACAATGTCCAAGAGCTGGCGCTTGTGCAGAATCCAGATCCACGTCTCGATAGAGTGCGACGGGTGAACAAACAGGCTGTGGATGGCCCTCTTGAGCAGGTCTGGGAGCTCGTCGTGGTCCTCGTCGTCGCGGAGCTGGAAATCGAAGCGGCTCCTGCGTCCACGAGAAATCTTGCCGATGTGCAGCTGCCGCACGGGGGTGATGTCCCACGAGGCGGGCAAATAGTTGCTGTCCATGTCGAGGTTGGGAAGGTGGCCGTCCGAGTCCACCGACGCCGCGTACGTGCGCCCCAGGACGAAATGGTCCGTGCCGCCAATGTGCGTGTGGCTGCACTTGGAGATTGACGAACAGTGAAGGTGTCTCTCGCAGGTGACGCCGTGGTTCCACTCGATCTGGCTCAAGCAGGGGAAGGTGTCAAACAGGTCCTCGACGCCGTTGACATCGTGGAGGAGAGGGAATGCACCGGTGAGGTGGAGAACCTTGATGCTGGAGCGGTAGATCTCGAGACGGTCCTCAATGTCAAACGAACCCGTGGACGCGTCACGGCTCGTTGTGCGGTTCTTGGCTGCATCCTTGACTTGGCGTAGTGCACATAGTTGGTGGTCGACCACAGCATGCGCACGGTGGAGACGAAGCTCTCCTTGCCGCACGTGAGGTGGTCGAAGAGCGGGTTGCGACTGGGGTTGAGATTGATAAAGAGAAAGTTGGGCTTCCAGGCAGTGTCGCGTTGGGCGCTGAGGTCGGAAAGGATCTTTTCGCGCAGGTGGGAAATGTGCCACACTTGCTTGGCTGCATCGATGGCGCGCGGCGTAGGCTCTCCCTTCCAGCTGGGATGGGTCCTGGTCTTCTTTTTGGTCGGCATGGGTGGAATGTGGGATGGTTGGGATCGATGATGCGGGAAAAGAGTGTGAAAAGGGGCGTGGTTCATGGGAAGTGCTGTTGCGTGTTTGGAACCGGGTGGAGGGATCCGCACGTCTTGGGGGCGCGCTGGCGGGAAACGGTTGACTGGACTGTGGCAGTGACCCCAAGTGGCGGTGATCCATTGCAGCATGACAGTATTTCCACATTGCGCTCGTAGTGACTTGCCTCCACAAGCCTAGCGCTGTACAGAACCATGTTGCTTGCATAAATGCATTGTTGTCATCAGACAGTGGCCCCTGGGGGTGGCACCAATCGACAGAGCCCGACAACCCACGACCTCCAGCTGGCGTGCGCTGCCTTGGAGAGTTCATCCCATGCCTTGGCCTTCAACCATTTAGTATTGTCCCGGTATTTAGCATTGCATGGCAACAGTGTCTCAATGGGGGTATCGGCGCTCGAGATATGACAGTCACGATGACAGGATCCAGTAGTACCAGCGTTTTCAAGCGGCTATGAATGTATGCATATCCGCAGTCGCTGCCTCAGCTTACCGCCACGCAAAAGCAGTCGCCTCCTCACGCCAACTTGCTCAAAGCGGGCGGGGCATGCGATGGCGTTGCGGACATGACCGCCTCGGGCCGAGATTCACCGACCATGCGCGCGCGCGCATGACGCTGGGTATGGCGACCGTCACCATAAATGGCGCCAACACAAACACGCCTTTGGCCTCTTGGCCCCACCGTTCAACTCTTTCCCACCATGGCACGGCGAGAGATTACAGAACCCACCGTTCTTGCAACTCCGAACGGCGACTTGGCACCGGACGCGGGGGGTTGGTCGCGCAAGCCGCTGCATACCAGCGACAACATTCCCCACGGTCTGTACTACCTGTGGCGGACGAAGAAGTGGGACTATTGGGGGATCACCACCCCCGAGCTCGTGCTGGGTCTGACTGTCGCCGACCTCGACTATGCAAACTTTGTACAGGTGTACCTGTACGACCGCTCCACAAAGGAGACCATCGCCGAGGAGCACGCGCCACTTCTGAACGGCCGCGGAGTGGAGCTGCCCACGAGCCTGCCTCCCCTCAAAGTCTACGGCTCGAGCAACGGCATCACACTCGATTTTGAGGAGGTGGACACCTCCCGTACCATTATCCGCGTCAAGTCGCCTCGCGTGACGGCCGAGCTCACGGTCGACACGTCTGGCGAGTCGCTCTCGGTCGCCGTGCCGTGGGGCAAGGCACGATACTTTTACACCGTCAAGGCGCCCAGTCTCCCCGTCACTGGCACCGTCACGATCGACGGCAGCCGCACGCACACGGTGGGCCAAGACGCGTTCGCCGTGCTGGACCGTGGCCGTGGACGCTGGAACTACCGGAACGTCTGGAACTGGGCCGCTGCGGGCGGCGTCAACCCCGACGGCCAGCGCATCGGGTTCACCCTCGGCGCCAACGCCAAGCCTAACGGCGACACGGAGAATGCGCTTGTCGTCGACAAGGTGCTCGATTTTGGACACCCACAGATCAAATGGGAGTACAACATCGACAAGCCCGAGGAGCCGTGGACCCTCAAGGCCGACTGGATCGAGGCGACGGTCACGCCGTGGCATGTACGTAAGGCGAGTATCAACAGGCTGCTCGTCGCCAGCAGTACGATCCAGGTGTTCGGCGACTGGTCCGGCTGGGCGAGGCTCAAGGACGGCACGCGGGTCAGCCTCGATGGGCTGACTGGGTTCGCCGAGGAGGCATGGCAGAGGTATTGAGAGTGGTCCCTGTAGCAGTTGTATGTAGGTAATGGTTAATAAAGCCAATGAGCAGGCACTGTTACATGTTGTATGGGGATAGGCAGCTGCAGAGTCATCGATAACAGCGCGATATCCGTCGCCACCTCCGTCCCCTCATGGCCAACTGTTGCGCAACGTATAACCATTAATATCTTCCATATACAACCTTATCATTCTGCTTTACCATTCAAGGCTGTCCGGTGCTTAAGCCTTGGCGGCAGCGGCCGCGCGCTCGGCGAGAGCAGCGCGGCGAGACACCGACTTGGGGTCATAGTAAGGACGCTCGCCGAGGGAGACCGAGCGAGGGCCGGCGCGGCGCACGTCGTCGACGTCCGGGGTGGCCGCGTGGAAGGTCGAGCGGTTGTCCCAGATGGCAAGGGCGTTCTCAGTCCAGCGGAAGCGGACCTGGAGGTCGTGGTTCTGAATGAGATGTCAGCGGAGGCCCCCTTGTCTTTCAAATACGAAACAACTCACGGCCGAAATGTGGTCAAACAGGAAGTTGAGGAGGGCGTCCGACTCGGGCTGGGTGAGCTCGACGATGCGCTTGGTGAAGCCAGGGTTGACGAAGACTCCCTTCCAGCCGGTCACGGGGTTGGTGCGGATGACGGGGTGGATGGCGCTGAGGTCGTCGCCAACGTTGTCAGGGTGGCCGCGCTCGCCGGAGCGCAGCGGCTTGTTGCGGCGGCTGGCGTAGCCCTTGAACGCCTCGTTGCTGTCGTGAACGGCAGTGAGACCCTCGAGGGCCTGCTGGAACGAGGGCGAGAGGCGGTCGTATGCCTCGTACGCCGAGGCCCAGAGGGTGTCGCCACCAGTGCTGGGGAGGTCGCGGATCTGCAGGGAAGCGTAGGCCGAGGGAACCTTCTCAAAGGTAATGTCCGAGTGCCAAAGGGACTTGCCAGGCTTGCGCTGGACAATGGACGGGAGGTCACGGTTGTAGCCCTCAATGTACAGGTCGCGGTACTCGTTGCTGATCCAGGTGATCTGGTCGCCGAGTTCCGAGTTCTCAAAGGTGAGAGGGTGAATGTGCAGACCACTCTCTTCGGGGGCTCCGCCGGCACGGGCAAGGGCAAGGACAAGGTCCTTCTGCTGCTCGGGGGTGATGTTACCGTCGCGGAAGAAGACGACGCCGCGCTCCGAAATGAGACGGCCGAGGGCGACGGTCTTTGCAGGGTCGGCGATCACGTCCTGGATGGTAAGGGCGGGCTTGTTGTCGGTGGCAGTGGCGGCAAACTCGGTGCCAATGGCGGGAGTCGAGTCAAAGGACGCGTAAGTGCGGAGGTCCACAGGCGAAGTGGCAGCTGCGACAGCAGCGGCCTTGATGGCCTCGATAGTGGGAGAAGGGGTGTTGGCAAGAGCGACTGGAGCCATTGTCAGCGAGACGAGGAGTTGTGAGTTGGTGAGGTTCTCGACACGATGTTGTTGCCATCTTATATATCCTCCGTGTGCATGGCGAGGTGCTGTTCTAAAACAGCATCGGACGTCGCCGAGTCTTCTGACAGGTCGTGCTCATTGCTGAGTTTAACGTGCGATGTAAGTGGTCGGTATGGCGTTTGGTGGCCGTCGGTCGGCCATGCCACACGCAAACAATTCGTCGCCATAGATGGTGGCCGATGGCGAAAAACGTCACCGCACAGGAGCCCCTCGCGCGCGCGACGCGCGAACCGAACGACGATTGTTCAGGCACGCACGGTTCCAAGCCGTCCAACTTGCAACGGCCAGTGTGCATGGCTTCACTGATCAGTGACGACAAGGCCTTGTTCACACGCATGCATGTGATATACATACCATCGGGTTTGGCCGAGGTTGCGTGTCGCCGAACGATGGCCAGTTCGTAATGTTGTGGCCGCCGGCATCGCAAGATTACAGGCAAGTGGTGCTCTTGGATGATGTGAGGGATGTTCGGATGTCCGGTTCAGCAAAAGATCTCACATGGTGACTGCTTGTCATCTCATCTACTGGCTACACAACATGACGTGACCCCCACGTCTGCACACGCCAGACTAAACTTGATTCTCGAGTCGATTATCTCTTCTCCCCACAACACCTTGCTAAAAGTCGGAGCTTGTCGTCGCTTCGTCGAGGTAATGGGCAATCATGGCGCGCAGCTCTGCAGGCAGCTGACAGATCGGAGATGGGCGACGCCTGAACGGCTTGCCGTTGAGGACGATACACTTTGGGGTGCGCGCGAGGTTTGAGGCCTTCTGGACTCGCTTCTCAATGTCGTTGGACACTCGGTTTCGTTCGAGGACGCGGCTTAGCCGCTGCGCAAAGTCCTTCCAGCCTCGGTCGCCGTATGCTGGCTCGTGGGTGCTTTTGAGACTCGTCGACGACCCAACATCGTTCAGTCGAGTCCCGCTGATCTGCAGAATCTCGAGCGTGTGGTTGTCCTTTTCCAGTGTGCTGACTATCTGCGTGAGATCCCGGAGACGCAGGTGGCGGCCATCAATTTGCAGCTCTGTCATCTGTGGAGTCGTCTTGAGGTACTGGACAAGGTCTGGAACCCATGCGTGCTGGATGGGGTGGTTGTTCATGCGGGTCCTACAGGTCTCAAACGGCTGGGCGGTGTTGTGGAACACTCTGGCAATGGGGCCATACGACTGACCGACCGACAGGGGGTCGAAGTCAAGAGAAACAGACGCAATGGGCAGACTTGAGTTGGAGAACAGATCGATGATGTAGGGAACCGAGGAACACTGGGGGGGTTAACGAAGTATCTGAACGGCTCCAAGGTGCTGTACACACTGGGACATCGAATCCTTTGATTCGGATGGTCATGCGCTGGTGCTTTATCGCTGGCGTGGCACGTGCAAAGGTATGAGCAACCTTGCAGCGTGGACCACCCGTGCAGTTGGCTAGAGGGTCAGTCACCCAAAGGCCCACGGCGTGGCCGTGAGCGAGTTTGGTGGCCACAGGTCGCAGCTTGCTAAGGTCACAGGAACTGTCGCCTTCCACCTGGACCTCCAGGTACGTGACTGCGGGGTGCGTCAGACGGGGCCACGGCCGTGGCGGGGATAGCTCCTCTCACGATTCATGGTGGTTGATGGTGTGACAGAGAAGAGTATGGGTGTGTGTGTGCGAAGAGAAGCGCAAAAGAAACGATGACGATGTCAGTGATCAGTGTGCGCCCTAGTGGAGTACCTCCGGCAACATACGCACTGGGCCACACACACACGCTCGCTGATGAAGGTGTGAGACATTTGGCCGCATTGGGTTGTGAAGCTGGATCCATGGGTGTCGAACAACGTTTTCCGGTCAGAAATGGTTATGCATGAGTACACTTTCGACCTTCATGCACTGTATGCGAGCCGTGCTTCACACGATTGGGTTCATCGGAAAGGCCAGGCATTAGGCAGGTGCGTGATACGACCCATTGCCACAAGTTGGCTCGGGGTTCGGTCCAAACCAAACTCACCCAGCGAGCTGTCCACTGAATCTTACCTCCCAGTGTTCCCCGCCTGAGATCATGACAGACGACAGTTGCCGCTGGGCCTTTTTCAGATAAGATCAGGTCACAAAACAGTCCAAAACCACATTCAAACGGCGGTTCATAAGGTGTCACTAAAGGATAAGGATGTTATGAGGATAATCGCCTGACAACTATGACAAAACTACTCAGGCTTCGCCGAGTATTCGACCACCAGGTCACGGTAGGTAACTCGCAACCATCAGACGTAACTCGGCCGGAAGCTTGACGAGGGGTGCAGGCTTGGCGGGAACGGCGCACTGGCCGTCAAGGACAATGACCCGTCGCTTCTGGTTGTTGATGCCGATATTGCGCATCATGACGTGGTATATCCTCCGGTCCAGGCGCTCCCATGCCAAGCGGCGACGAGTGACCATGTCCCAGCGCTTCGTACCATACTTGGGATATTCGACCTTGTGACTCAGGTTGATCTGCAGCTCCTCGAGCGAGTAGTTGTACTTCTCGATGGCCTTGACGATACTCTTGCCTTGGTTGGTGTTCATGTTGGACCCAAATTCGAACCTGGTTACATTCGAGTCTTCGAGAAACGCCACGATGCCCTTGACCGGATATCCGAGGGCCCATCCGATGGTGATGGAGTTGATCTTCGGGACGGCGCTCAAAGTGAGAAGGAGAGCGTCTGCATGTGACCTGTGGTACGAGGCGAACTCGGGCAGGTTGACTTCAACCCTGCGGATATTGCCGCGGGTGAACTTTGACAGAACACGCGCAACCCGGTCGAGCTGAAGCACGCATCAGTAAACGTCCAGAAGAGCACAAACAGACGTACAGGTATGCCTGTCCCATAGAACTTTACTGTCCTGGACCCATCGACCTCTTCGGGGCTCAGCCTCCGCGAACGCCATGTTCCGACTCTAGGAGTCTTCTGGAGCCACTCGGTAAGGTGGGAGCGGTACTTGGCACGGTTCTCATACAGACAGGTGACTTTGATGACCAGCTTGGCTTCCAGTTGTTTAGCGAAGTGGCGATAGGCGTCTCTCTCACCTGTGGTCTCGGTGTCCATCTTCTAGAGGAGGTGATATCGGGTGTGGGGTTCGCTTCAAGAGAAATGAGTCGCAGAGAGCAATCAGTCGGGATAAGTTGGAAGGTGATGTTGAGAGAAGACAAAGTTTCGAAGGAGGGAAGACGAGGAAGGACGGCAGAACACTTCTCCCCATACGAATGCACAAATGAAATTACAGCGATGACGGTGTCGATAGTGTGCCAGCATGCTGGACCGCCATGTCAATAGCGGTACCACCCACCACCTTGCTCTCAACCCCCCTGCGAGTCCATCAATGTGGCGGCTGGGCTGATGGCTCTCCTCGGATTGTTGGCCAATACACCTCGTCCTCGCTAACCTCCCCCCCCCCCAACCACCACCTGCAACCTCAAGGGTCCCGCGGTCGATCTCAGCACGCCATTGTATCAACGACAGAGCCTGACCATATGGCATTATGCCATCAAATCGACTGCCACACCGCTGCATCACCTTATAACCTCACATTCCGCAATCACCTTCGTTGTTTCGACGACGTTGTCCCGTAGTGGTTATCGGGTTACCTTGCTATTGTTGAATCACAATCAGGTAATGTGCTTTGCACTCGAGAGTTCGAATCTCTCCAGCGTCAACAATAGGATCGCGAAGGACGCGCGAGTCATCCTTTTGCCATTGCAAGCTGTCGAAGGTGGGCAACAGAGAGGTTGGTCGCCGTGGTCAGTCATCGAAGGACATGTCCAACCCTCAAACCTCGATTCGACCCTCGTCGGCTAACTGCTTCAGTCGCGTGCTGGTGCCATCTTCTGCATATATCGCACAACTACAACTCCTCCTCTCACTTCTTGTTGGCCGCGTCCTTGACCGCCTGCAGCAAGGTCCGCCTCTCGACGCCGACCGGGTCGAAGCGGTTGACAACGTTCCACCTGCCGGCACCCCAGTGCATGCGCCATGCGGCACCGAGACCAGCCCCAGCGTCCTTTGCACGCAGCTGCTGGACGGTAGCGTCCGTCAACTCGGTGACCTTGGTCTTTTCGCCATTGTGCACGCTCTCAAACGCGGCCACAATGTCGCGGCCGGTAAACTCCTGCTCGACAACCGTCCAGCGCTGGTTGGGCCCAAACTCCGGCTTGACGATGAGCTGCGCGACCGCCTCGGCCAGGAAGGGAAGTGACAAGAAGGAGAACTTCTGGTCGAGACCCTTCTCGCCCTGGTACACCTCCACAGTGTTGTTGAGTGCGTCGATGCCAAAGAAGGCGGGAAGGAGGAAAGCACTCTCGAAAAGGCCACACCGGATGGTAGTGGTCGGTACGCCGAGCTCGATCGTCTTGTCCTTGAGCGACGCCTTGCCAAAGAGGTAGACGTTGTCCTGGTTGGTCTGCTCCTCCTTGGTCCAGTTGGCAGTAAAGTAGGACGGAACATAGACCTTGAGAGTGTCGATCTGGGCGAGGTTCTCGACGAAGCGCAGCGAGGCGTCGCCAGAGAGCTTGGCCGCAGCAGAGCTGAGGGAGTCAGCCATCCATCCCATGAAAGCCCCACCTACATCAGAATGTCCACGCCGTTGAGCGCGTTTTGATAGTCGAGCAGCGTGGCAGTGTCCGCATCGAGGATACGCGTCTCGACACTGGGGAGCAGGCCCTGGACCTTTGAGCTCGCACGCTGGAGGACGATCAGACGGAGCTTGTCGTCACCGTGCGCGCGCATGAGCGCCGTCAGGAGGTGGGAGCCGAGGTATCCAGATGCGCCGATGAGTGCTACAGTTGTGAGACGCATTGTGAGTGGTGGGAGTGGAGCGAGAGAGCGTGGAAGAGGTGTTAAAACGTAAGAGATGGGCAAGTGGGCAGGTTGCATGCTTACCATAGCAACCAACTGGCCGAGCGGCCATTCCGCTAATGTCGTCATCGGTCCTGGTTATCAGCGTGGATAGCGGCGTCTCCGAAAAGGTTTGGGCGGCCATCCCGCGCTGTTGATCTGATTATGGATGCATACCTCTTCTTCCTTGCAACCATTGCATTATGCATGTTCAACGGCTGATACGGGAAACCAGCTGACGAATGGAACTGGTCCCAGAGCTTGTTCTTGTCGAATTCTTCGCTGGCCCGTATCGCGGTAGAATGGTCACCGAGCCGGCCTTCTCCGCGTCGGAGCACGGTGGGTTCTCAGCTTGCTTCTTGTTGTTGTTGGATTCACCCAGTTGGATATTGGATATCTGTAACACTGGGGGAACACCCTTGAGTTCACTTGGGCCATTTCCTGTTATGGTCCGCCCAAAGCAAGACGTATCACTGTCGACCTCTCCCCGCGACTTCTGCGTCTTTGGCACTTGATATCCCTCAACGTCGGATGCCGCCACGGGGGCCTTCCCAGTAAGCACGGGCGAAATCTGGCCCAGAACCTACGTCAGGATAAACCCGTACAATCCCGGGGTCCTCGTACAGCTTGACAGCTGCCAGAGCTTTCTCAAGCCTGTCAACTGAACTACCTACCGCTCGGCCACCGGGATCCGGCCTGGTGGCCGCAGCGAGTGCATAGTCGAGGGCAAGGGCCCAAGGCGGCATGTGCGTAGCCAAACCGCTTGTCTCGTTGAGCTCCAGGTGCTGGATAAGGAAGTGTACAAGCTTTGTGCAAGTATACATTAGTCGAGAGAGCACGGTTGGTGAATGGCGTCTTACTGCGTTTAGGATTTGTCTGTACATGTAATGGGCCTGTCAGCCATGAGCCATGTGGCGAAGGCCGCTGAGGCGTGAGCCAGCACTGACCTCGTTCGCCTCCTTCCGAAGGACCGCAATATCAGATTCTAGCACCTTTACCTGTTCTGCGGTGGTCTTGTTCAGCGCTCGCGTGAGGCTTGCATATCGAAGCAAGTCGTTGGTGAGGTTTATCCACCCTGTGATCAACCCATGTCGCGAGATCTATCCGGGGTCAGCCGTTGGGGAGCCACATGTCCCCACTCCCGCCTTACAATCCTGTATTCTTGAGGCTTTGTGACAGTATAGCTTTTCCAAGCAAAAGAGGTGTAGTAGAAGGAGACCGGGTCCGTACGCGACTGCACGTAGGTATGCTGCTCGCCGTGGAACTCTTCGGCATTGAAGGTGGTCGAGTCGCGCGCGATAAACGGTGGGTAGTCTGCCATGACCCGCTGCACGTTGAATTCACAAGAGACACACATGGGAGACGAGAGATGAAGGTGGTAGGAGTGGTAAGAACAGCGATATGTATGTGGTTTATAAATATCAGCTCCGTGTAGTGTGCTGCATCGCCACCAAGCGATCCGTATCAGCGCCATCCGATTCGCCAAGAAAGACTTCAACATGCTCAGGCCAACAAACCGTCCTGTAACACCGACGCAATCTCAGTGTTGTTTGTTTACGCTGCCCCTGTACAAATGCAATCCAAAGACAAACCACACGATGACGATCTCGAACATGTTGTTGAACGTCATTTGGCACTTGGGGGCGCCATATTCTTGGGTTGGGGACCCCACACCTCCACCTCGTCCTACACCACAAACGACCCCAACCATGTTGGTCGTCTTCATTCACTAACCCACACCCCATGTCTCCACCGTCAATAGACCACCACGCCTTCCCGCACTTGATAGACTCTATCATCGGGTACGCTCCTCACGGGTCTCTTGTCGCCCTACGTGCGGCGTCCCGCGCCTTTCGAGACAGGTGTGACGCCCTCCTAGTCCAGCACATCGTCCTCTCCAACAGGTTCCAGGACGTGCAAGAGACGGCATATGGCCAAATACCATTCCCGGTTCGCCTTGAGGGACGGAATGGCCGGATTCCCTCGTTTTCTGATTGGGACAGTGCGCTGGCGATGGATTTGAGTAACGACCACTATGCCGGAGACTGGAAGCCGCCGAGGCAGGTACCAAACAACCCAAGAGCGACCAGGCTGGCAGACTTGGACTGGCAACCTGAGCGAGGCTACCATGGTCCGATACAGTCTAGCTACCGACGAAAACGGCACTCTTCATCCGCCAAGCTCCTCGCCAATACTCGCGTGGTCGACATTATCGGGCCCGTATACGACAAACGCCGGTGCGAGCTCCTCTCCGCGCTGTCACCCGACGTCATGCTGCGCTTCCGCGTCGATTCGCACGGCCGTTCACCATGGAGCCGGCGGCCGGGATGTGAAGGGTCCTTGCGTGGTTGGGAACACGTTTACGAAGGCCGGGTGGGGTCGTTTGTGTCGTTTGAATCGGTCGACGAACCAGTACCGCAACAGCACAGCACCGACTCGGCCATGGACGACGACCCGCGGATCTGGTTGATGGACGGGGCGGAACGCGTCGTTCGCAACCTGTTCTTTTCGCCATCAGGCAAGATGGCCGAGATTCGAGAATCCCAGTTTCCGCCCTCGGTACGCGAGGTCGTGTTGGTCTTTCAACGCAAGACCAGCAGCGAAGTCAAGGGCGACGGCAAGGGCACGGCCATCGATAAGAGTCGCAGCCACGAGCACACCATTTACGAGGGCCGGCAATACCGCGCGCGTGCCAACTATGGACCACTCTTCTGGACACTTGCCGCGGCCGCAAAGTACTTGCCAGTCACCAGGCTGACCCTTGTGGGCGCCGACACCCTCCCGGCCGCCAGTTTCCTTGGCGAAGACACACCCGCCAGCGTCCGTGACGACGTGTTCCGGCTAGTCGAGAAGTTTGTGCGCTCACATGCGGCAGACGTGTGGAACATGTTTGACGACGACTATGGGTTTGACTGGGCTGGGGAGCATGGGCAGACGGTAGACGAGCTCGTTGAGAGGGCTATGCGGGGTCTGCGAGTCATTACCATGGCCGAGTATGAGGCTGAGCGCGGGGCGGAGATGTTTGCGCTCGAGACAAGGGAGTAGTACGCTCGAGACAAGGGAGTATGTACGTGACTTGTATGGATACATTGTAAGGTTCTACAAGCGTCAAGGGCTAATAGTCGTACTCGCCCTGCCCGTTCTCCATGGCGTGCACCCCGTGCCCGGCGCCATTACCAGTTGCACCTCCGTTGCGCACAGCTGCGCTCGCGCTTGGCGGCTCGTCGTCAAACCACGCGTCTTGGGCATCGCGAGCGGCGATGGGGTCTTCTGCCAGTGGCTCGGCAAAGTCAATGTCGTCGTAGTCGAGCGTCTGGATGAGTGTCAGCCAGCCAGCCAGTTGCCCAAACCTGCAGTACTCACATCCAATCCATCGATGAACAGCTCCAGCAGCTGCCGCTCAAACATCTCCACCACTGCATCCTGGTCCTCGGCCCCTATCCCAGCCGACACGGGTATGGGCGTGCCATTGGGGCCCGTCACGACTCGGGGAACCACACCCATATCCACGTCGTCGTCGTCATCGCTATCCTCAAACTCCTCCCCCACGTCGTCCATCCTCCGCTCCCGCATCCTCGCGCCCCGTGCTTGTTCCCACTCGCGCACCTCCTCTTCCTCGGCCAGCATCCGTCCCAGCCGCCCCACGAAGCGTTCTTGGCCAGGCATAAAGCCCGTAGACGCCCAGTCGGACTCGTCCCGCTGGGACGTTGTTGCGGCCGTCACGCGCGGGTCGCCGCCCAGACGTTCCCAGAGGAGCGGCCAGCGGACGCGGCCGGCCTCGGCAGTGAGGGTGAGCGGAGGACGAGGACGCGGCGGTGCGCCAGCGGCTGCTGCTGCAGGTAAAGTCGAGCTTGACGGCGCGGTTGTGGGCCCAGAGGTACCGTAGAGCACTCTCCTGGCCTTGATGCCGGGCACTTTGGCGCGATCCTTTGGACTCACGCCGCCGCCGACGTCGCGCGCGAGGCTGGGCGGCAGCGCGTCGAGGTGGAGCGAAAGGAGGGTGAGGGGGTTGGCAGGCGGGAGGGTGTCGAGGCCGAGGTGCGTCTGCACTGCTTCGAGCGTGTGTTGTGGGACGGCCATGGTGGGCGCGAGAAGTGTTTGGTGGAAGAATGGGTGAAATCAATGAAAGGTGTGGAAAGTTGCCGACCAATGTCGTCATGCGGCTCACGCCGGTGCTGCGACGCCGCTGTCCTCGGAGTTGGGCGATTACATTTCGACGCGGCGTTCTTCGTTCCTTCCTTCATGCCAGCGACAATGAGTAACCGCAACAAGTACCCTCTTGACGGTGAGCTTCCTGGCGACATTTCACTCTCAAGCTGACAACCCAGGCTACTGCCTCTGGCTCGTCCCCAGCGGCACCCAGGCCGCGGCGCTCCAGTCCCTCGTCAACGACCTGGCGCCGCTCGTCGATGCCCCCGAGTTTGTCCCGCACATCACCTTGTGCGCGCCCAAGGGACCCGCGCGCGACTCGTCTGCCCTCCTCCTCGCTGCTGTCGAGGAAGCCCTCGCTGCCGAGGACCCCGCCCAGCGCGGCCCCATGACGTTGACGCTCAACAAGCCCCAGGGCGGCACGTTCTACTACCAGTGCGTGCTGGCGCCCGTCGACCAGTCGGCCGGTGACGCCGCGAGGCTGCTCAGCTTGCAAAAGGCCACGAACGAGAATGCCAAGAATACCCGCAAGGAGAACTTCTTCCCGCACCTGAGCCTCATCTATGGCGACCTCGATGCCGATAAGAAGGCGGAGATGGCCGAGGAGGCTGCCAAGAGGGGAAGCTTCCCAGAGAAGATTGTGGTGGAGGAGGCAGTGCTTGTTGACGTCAACGGCACGGCAGAGGAGGTGAGTAGCTGAAGCCCTGTGACGGTAGTGAGCTAGAGCTAACGCGCACAGTGGAAGATTGTCAAGCGTATCAAGCTCTAGAGTCGGTCTGGGCTCTGGGCTCTCCACCTTCGCGCTTGCCATGCCACCTCGTTGTCCCCCCGGGAAAGCTCATGCTGACACGTGAGCTGTGATGCATAATATTACAATTGCGATGTGCACTACCTGGCCACCATGACTCCCATCCTCAACTTCTCTCCACCACTCTCTCAACATGCGCGACTCGGAGCTCCGAGCCACCGTTCTCTGGCGACTATGGGTACACCCTGACGGGCCGCCGGCGCCTACACCTCCGGGCCCTGCCCTGCGCGTCCGCTCTCTGCGAGGTCCCACCATTCCTTGCCGGGCACGTCAGAGGGGTGGAAGAAGGCACAGCGAGACTTGAACACTGCATGTGTCAGCTGTCGTACTAAGATGTCGAAAGCTGTCATCGGGGAGAAAGAGAAGAGGGTGGTTTGCCAAATGCGCAGGTCATCTGAGGACGCCACCCGCTGCTGCGGAGAGCGATGCAGCAGCTGGGCCTCTGAGTCCGCTGGACCACGTTACGAGCGGCCTTTCGCGTGATAAGAGCCGAGTTGGTGCGTGGTTGATAGGTAGACTCGGCGTTGGACAGCTGTGAGAGCAAACACCGCGCAGCTGCCCAGCACCAGTTCCTCAGACACACACTCTCGAGACAATCATACACCAACACCTAGAACCCAGATTCCAACACACTCACCTTCAAGCGTCCGTCTCCTCACAATAGCCTCCACGCTTGCCTCACTGGCCAGCTGGTCGGCCACGACCTGCTCTTCGCCGACGCCGCGGCTCTGGGCACCACCCTGCACGCCGGCGGGACGAGGGGGAGTAGCAGCGAGCTTGTCGTCGACGCCCTTGGTCGGGGCACGCTTGGCGGCAAGGGACGCCTCGACCGTCTGCTCGCAGTAGGTGAGGAGGGTCTGGCGGTGGGCCCAGCCGGCTGTAGAGTGTTAGGATACGAGAAGAGGATTTGGGCCAGCTCTGCGGGGGACACCGCCCAGCTGGGATGCCGCAGTGTGGTGGTGCACTGTATAGCGCTGAACATAAAGAGAAGGGCCAGCGCAGCAGCAGCTCCACCCCACCACCGCCACTCTCCTCGCGGTCACAGACCAAACTCACCCATCACCTCGGACCACATCTTGGCACACATGCCGTCGGCGGTCGCGTGCTTGCCCGTACGCGCCTCGTCACGAAGCTGGGCATTTGCGCGGTTGAGTCGGGTGACTACTTGGTCATCGAGCTTGCGGTACTGGCGCACGAGGTCTGGTGAGAGAGCGTAGTTCACAACAGCGTGTGGCAGAGGGAAGGTGGTGAAGGGCGAGATACGAGTGATCAACCGGAGGAAGACGGTGTGTGTCAGCTTCGGTTTGTTGACAATGGCGCTGCTATAACGCCTTTCAGGACGACTTGGAGGTGCCTCTGCCTTCATCAGGAGAGCAAGAGGCCATTCACCCAATGCGCAAGTCCACGCTGGCGTGTCTCGGGCATGGGAAGGATAATTCGCCGCCCAAACGCTCGTGCCAATCTAATCTCCCAATTCTGTGTGTGTCTACTCACCCCTGAAGACGGTGAGGTTGAAGCAAGTCTCGGCAGTGATAGTGAGAGCCTTTGGCGGCGGAGCTGGGAACGAGTCTGTGTATGCGCTTGCTGTTCCGAATGGAGGGGCGGGCATGGTGGTGCAGTGAGCGGTGAGAGAGCAAGTAGAGAGTATAAACGACGATGACGCCGCTCACTCGGCACCCAAACGAGACGCCGCTCATCCCACCAGTGGACCCGCGAGTGGAGGTCGTCCGGCCAAAACAAAAAGGCGCCACATGGCCGGTGTTATGGGCATATGCTTATATCGCCGCCGGGTGCGAGGCTGGGGGCGGGTGCGAGAGTATTTTGGTGCGAAGTTGCTGGACACAAGATGCTTAAAGTCGACGCTGCATCGTTCTTGCAACAACCACCATCCCTTCAACACGCGTCTGGCAGCGAGGTAAGTCTCTCACTCCCCCTCCCCCCCATTCCACCCCATCAACACGGCGCTCGCCGTTGATCTGATGACCTTCTATTCTCTCCCCGTCTTACCGACCATGTCGAACGAGATAGGAACCCCCTTCGCGGGGGGCTTCCGGACCCCGGCCACTTGCACTTTTGTGCTTGGGGCGGGCTTACGGCGCTTGCCAGTGCCTTTGTCTGATCCCACCTATTCCACAACACTGTTCTTTGAACACATACCTTTTGTGGAGCCGTGAACTGACAATTCAGTGACATTGGTGTTCTTCTGAACAACAACCACACTCGCTGCCAGGACGTCGACAATTTTCAACGTAAGTGTCAACCCTCCAACTTGTCCTCCACCTTCCCCTCCCCCTCGTCGAGCAAAACGTCATGACCTATCGGTCTACGAACCTGCTCGACGACCCCCCAACCACACTGATGAAACTCTTGTAAAAACCATACGCAGTTTCCACTGATTTGCGTCCTTCCCCGCCAGGGAAGTTTGTTTCTTCGTGCGCTGCTGCGCGTTCACCCCCATTGGTTGTAGTGCCCCCGGTCTCCGGTTGAACCTCCGTTGCAGGCTGGGGCGCACTCCCTCTGGGCCTTCCTCGCAAGAGTTGAGGGCAGCAGGTGATGCAAGGCGCCGCGAGGGCGATGCCGTGAAGTTTTTCTTCCTTGGATGTCTGAGTCCCACCCCGCTTCCGTCACTTTTTCGTGTTCTCTCTCTTGGTTGGAGAAACAGTATGCTGACTTGGTTGCGCAGGTTATCTCGGACTCGTACGAGTTTAGTGTTGGAAGTTGTTTTTGTAGTGTTGTAGTTTTGACATGATTGTTGTTTGCTGTTACCTTGCCGCTGCACTGGACCTGGCCGGCTTTTACTGATTGCTCTGCTGCTTGGGTGTCGAGGGTGCTACCATGTTACTTGATCTACATCTGCCCATAATGCATTGCTATGGCACGCAGCCCGTGGTTGCTCGAGAAATGGCAGCTGCAGAAGGGACATGGCTGATCTTGTGCCACGAGCTCCAGCCAAAATGCTCCCGCTCGCCGGCTGGACGCGACTGTGACGTTGCGTGTTCCAATACACAATGTCCATCTACAACCCATTCAACTCACGCTCACCATGACCGTCCACGCGCTCTGGGTCATCAACAAGGCCGGCGGTCTCGTCTTCAGCAGGTCGTACACAGGTATGTCGAGGCCTGAGCTGCTATCGCGAGCGCACAGCTGACTCGGTTCCCTCGCCCATCGTTGCTGCTGCTACACTACCTCGTCCTCCTTCCTCGCCTGGCCTTGCCTCCTGCCCGACACCATCGCTTCACCTGTCCACGCATGCCTCGTTGCACTATTTTCTCCCCCGAATAACCTCGCTGCTACGCCTTACAGACACCCTCCCCCCACTCCCGCTCAACACGGTGCTCATCCTCGCGGGAACCCTGCACGGTATCCACGCCATTACCTCGCGCCTGGCACCGGCCCCACCTCCCGGCGCGCCCCAGGCAGGACTGGAGAGCTTTGAGGCTGAGGGTTGGGGCGGGAAAGTGTTCTTGACGCCTACTGGTGAGTGGTGGCTGTGGTGAGGGGCAGTCGGAGAGGGGGAGACGGAGTCGGAGGGACGCTCGGGCAGGCGACGGGGCGACAGGCATGTGTGGTCGTGGGTAGCCGGCAACGGGCATCGGTGGTGAACGTTCAGCTAGAGCATTCCCCTCTAGCTGGTGACCTCTTCCACTGGTGTCAGCGTCTCCACCCAGAGTGTCCTCATTTGCGGGTCAGGCAGGAGATGGCCTGAGCAGAGCACACGGACGGTGTCTGTCTACCCCAGCTGTCTTCGAAGCCTTCAGCTGGGACGATACGATGCCGCTTGTTTCCAGTACCGTCATCTTCTGTTTAGGCTGCAAACCTCTAGTCAATCGGGATGGAGCCGGTGTACTCAGCTCAATGGCTCCTTTGCCGTCAACTTGCCGCCGTGCGTGCCCTCATCCTTTGTGAGAAGGTGTGAGCGACAGCGTGCATGAGCCGGGGTTAATTGCCAGTTGCACGCCTCAAAGCGTATAGCTGGCGCTGCATTCAATGTTGCGCTTTCCCTTGGCTCTTCTCCACTACCCCCATCCTGCGCTGCCCATACCCAGCGTTCTGGCGATGACATACGACTGACTACCTCAGGAACCAAGTTTGTCCTCCTCCACTCCATCGGCCACGCTGGGCTTGACGACCTCCTCAAGAGGGTATACGAGATTTGTGAGCTTTACCCTCGTCTCACGGCCTTGCGGTGATTCTGAAGACAGGGCGCTGTGCACTGGCCTACTTACAGCGCCTCTTCGATACCGTGGCCGGCAGCAGAGTGCCTCTCGCTGACAATCCAGACTCGGACGCAGTCATGAAGAATCCCTTCCACACCCCGGAGATGCCCATCAACTCGGCGCAGTTTGACACTCGTCTCCAGACCCTCATGGCGACCGTCAACGCGTAACCAAGGTCGTACAACAGCCTCCCAACGAGAGCAAGGAAGATACCCTGCATTTGATGCCAATGAACCATGTGACTCTCAGAAACGCAAGTGTGGACCAAACATGAACATTACGCAAAATGACTAGTGTGCTACTAATACAAAGGGGTGGAGATGTTCCCCCACCCACTGACAATGCTAAAGAACCAAGCTCTACTCGAAACGGTCATCGACAACCAACGACACGTCCCTCTCCTCCTCTCCAGCCCAGACACGCTTGGGGTCATTCGCACCAGCCACAGCGGCGCGGGCATCGCGCACCATCCCAGACGGACCCGAGCAAAACACCGTCGTCGGTCCGACATTGACGCGGGAGACAAACCGCTCCACTGTCCCCCGTACATCTGGGCGGCCGCTCTCCGCGGCCGTAGCGAGGCTGGCGAGCGACTCGTCGCCGTCAAAGTCGACGCCGTCGTCGATGCCCGCCTCGTCCTTGCCCCTCGTAACGTGAATGCGGATGTCGGCGCCCAGCTCGGCGAGCTCGGCCAGCTCGCGCGCACACCAGCTGACGTCGCGCGCGTGGCGCACGCTCCACACGAGTGTGACTTTGCCCGACGCGCGGCCGGACGATACGAGCTGCGCGACGCGGATCGCGGCTGGGACCACAAACGTGATGCCCGTGCCGCCCGCGATGGCGAGGACGTTTGAGTCGCGCGACAAGGGCGCGAGCGTGTCGCTGCCGTACGGGCCGCAGATGACTGTCGGGGTCGTGTCGAGGGTGAGGCTGGCGAGGTTGAGCGTCTCGCCGCGCTTGCACCGGATAATGTACGACTGCGGGCGGCCGGGGAGCGACAGCGGGGTGAACGGGTGCGACTGCCAGATACTGCACTGGGGAAAAGTGAGGTAAAAGTGCTGTCCGACGTCAAAGTCGGTCGCCATGGCGGTGGTTGTAGACGCGTCGAGGTCGAGGCGCACGCAGTCGCCGTACTGGGTGATTTTGGCCGGGATGGTCGTGAACGCGCCACCGGTCGGGAGGACGCGGTAGTGGATGAGCGCGGTGCGAGCGAACCGGGCGCCGCGGTCCGCAAACCAGAAGAGCAGCGAGGGGATCATGAAGCATTTCAGCTGCGCCCAGTGGCCCCAGCATGCGCCGATGAAGAGCATGGCGAGGATGTAGTGCGCCTTGCGGAACGCCTCGTAGCCCATCACACGCCGCGCCCACGGTGTGGCGAGGATCCACAGCAAGAGTAGCAGGATGAGCGCGACCACGCCCCAGACCATGTACGTCTGCTTGATCCATGCAATGGCAGTGGTCGGCTGGGGCTGGTACAGTGCAATCTCAATGACGCACCAGCCGATGGTGTGCACGACTGCCTGGAGGAGAATGACATGGCCCGTCCAGCGGTGGAGGAACGCAAAGGCGGTATGCGGCAGGCCCGTGGCCGCCGACAAGAGGCTCTCGCGGCTAGCCAGCAGAATGCTGAGCGGAGTGAGGGCGTAGCTCAAGATACCGATGCGGTCGACAAAGGGGCCCAGCGACGAGCGATAGTTGGTCAACGTCGTGTTCTTGACGGGCGTGACCCAGTGCTTGTAGCTGATGCCAATAAAGGAGAAGATGGCCAGGTAGACCAGCGCGGCAGCGAGCATGGTCACTTGTAACCTACTCGCAGCGACGATGCGCGAGTCGGGCAGTCCCCATCGTCGGACCCAAGACGCGACGCCGCGCACCTTGCGTCCCCGCCAGCGACTCCTTGAAGCGACGGCCAACACAGTGATGATGGCAAAGATAACCATCCACATGGCGCCAGCGTAGAACATGCCTCGGTCGTGCGAGCTGTACACTTCGTCCAAGTACGCGCAGGACCCCGCGTCGTTTGTACATGGCACCACGCGGTCGTAGTAGCCCCAGTGCGGCTCGAGGGACGAGGCATCCGAGTAGTCTTGGATGTGCCGGGCGGTGAGGTTGGCGAGGGAAGGGGTGGAGAAGGCTGTGGGCGCCGAGAGAGGGGAGGTGGTGGCGGTAGAAGACGACGCCAGCGTGCGTGCTGGCAGGTCGTGTGCCATGGTGGCAGTGGCAGGAGTGGTGGTCGGCGAGAGGTGTGTGTACGTACGTACGTGGGGGGTTGGATGGGTAATCTGATAACTTGCGTTCATGTGTATTTTATGACCCGAGTCGGGTCTGCTGCGACCCTCAGTTCGCATACGCCAGATACCAGCCTCCCGCATCACTCGAGCGCCACGGCCACGAGGTGAGCTGCATGGGCTGCATGGGCTGGCGGAGGCGGCGTCGGAGGAGCCAGGCATCCGTCCTGCTCCCTGCTCACCGGCCTATAGCCTTTGGCTGTCGAAAAGACTCAGGCCCTTGAGGCCTTTTCGTCTTCGCACGCTGCGCCTCGAGGCCTTTGGGCCAGCGATAAATCTGTTGGCTGGCCCCGGACAGCTGCGACGTGCACGGACGCAGAGCCAGGGTGCAGCACACCGAGACAAGTTGAGGCAAAAGGCGGACACGGTGGCAATGCCTGGTGTTGGTGATCCCGAGCAAAAATCAGGCAAAAATGGCCCTGAAATGCCAAGGAAATCCTCCCGGGTGCAGGCTCGCTGTGCTGCGAGCGAGCGAGCGGGTGGTGCAGCAGAGGCTGGCTGTGCGGTCCCTCGTGGCCCGTGGATTTCCGTTGCGTCGCAATAATACGGCAAGGCCGAGATGGTTGCCGTGACCAACATCATTCCCCATTCTACCACTTCTCGACTTTCTCATCTCAGCTCTAGAGGCACCGGCGACTGGGCGATCCCAACACCTGCACTTGCCACACGGACAAGGCAGGACCACGACACTCCTTTACCACTCTCTTTCTTTGCTGCTTTCTCCACAACCTCACGCATTCACCACCATGGACATGTCATCAAACTCGACAACATCGACGTGCAACTCGTCGGTATGTACACCTGCGCCCGCGCGGCCACAACATGCCTCCTGTTCCCGTACTCACTGCGCAGATGCTCTGGAACTGGTCCACCCTCAACACATGCTTCCTCACCGAGGGCTGGCACGTCTCGTCCCGCGCAACCTTTGCCGCATCCTGTATCGGCGTCGCCATCCTCGCCATTGCCGGCGAAGCCGCACGGCGCGCGTGCAAAGACTATGACCACCAGGTCCACGCGCAGCTCAACGCGCCCGGCGCGCTCTCGGCCGTCAACGGCCTCGGCTGGTCGTCGCGACGTGCGACACCGGGCCAGCAGCTGGTCCGGAGCGTGCTGCATGTGGTGGCGACGGGCGTCAACCTCCTCATCATGCTCGTCGTCATGACGTTTAATGGCTACGCCATCGTCTCGGTCCTCATCGGTACCGGCATCGGCAAGTTTTTCTGTGACTGGATGACCATTCCTCAGTGAGTGCGAGCGGAAGGGCGGGGTTGGTGTATGTGTAGGGAACGTGCAGCTGACAAGACCCAGTTCCGAGGACGGCTACTCGCCATGTCCCGAGGAGCGGGGCGAGGGTGCTGCCATCGAAGTGTCCGAGACCAAGCGCGACAGCGTGCACATGGTCCACTGTCACTAGATGGTGTGTAGTGCACACGGCCCGGCGGGCGGGGGAGTATATTAGACTTTTGTAGCAGCATGTATGTACGACGATTGACGGGGTGGTTGGGTACAAGCGTCCAGGACATACTATTTCATAGGCTACTAACACATCTAGAATACAGACACGAGGGGGGCATGGGGAGACGTGGAAGTCACAGATAGAGTGCGTGAGATCTACGACTTGACCACGCCGTCGAGGTAGAGGATCTTGCCGTTGCTGGCCTGCTTGACGGCCACGACCTTGATGTCGCCCGGCTGCACGACCCAGCTGCCCTCCTCGCCCTCGACGCGCACGCTCACGCCATCATGGAGCGTTGGGGTGTCCTTGCCGTTCTTGGCCGGCATGTCAAGCGACGACGGCACAATGTGGGCACTCAAGAACGACTCGACGTTGGTCCGCGCCTCCTTCTCGCTCGTCTCGCCATTGGGGTTCTGGTGGGGCTTGGTTGGCAGGGCCATGATCGCCCGGTCGAGGGGAACGAGCAAGGTCGTGTCGCCCTTGCGCGTCAAGCGGGTGGTCTTGAATAAAGTGTCAGTGCTGGATTCTGAATAACAGCAACAACGACGGCGGCGGGGCCGACGAGCAAACATGACGTCGATCGTGTGACCGGTTGCGCCCGCCAGTGCTCCAGCTTCTCCGCCGCTCATGTCTACTCACCACAGCAGCGACATCGCGCGCATAGTCCCACCACAGGCTCGCGCGGCGCTCAAGCGTCAAGGCGTCGGCGAGGCTCAGGCCCGTCGCAATGTCCGTGTGCGGGTTACTGTCCTTGGAGGGAGCCTGGAACGCTCTTTGGAGTTCGTCGTCGACATCGGCGTGCGCTGGGTTCATGTCGCTCGAGCTGTCCGATCCTGGAAGACGAACGAGAGTGGCCGAGGCGGCGGTCGCGATGGCGGCAAGAGTCAGGAGGAGGGTGAGGCGCTTCATGGAGTGGATGGAGCAGGGGTAGTGGGTAGATTGAGATGAGAGATGGATGGTTGTCGGGTTGTCGGGTTTGTTGGCGGGTGGCAACAGCCGCCGCTATTTGCCAACGGCCGGGAACAAAAACTGCTCCTCCACGACGCACAGCAAGGGCTGCGTGCTCCAAAGAGCACTGCATCTTGGCTCGCGTGGTGTAGTGGTTATCATGCTTTCTTCACAAGAACCGACCTGTCTTGTTGGGATCTCATCCCATCGTGATCCAGATCGTTTGAGTGTTAACGGAAGAGGCCGCCGGTTCGAACCCGGCCGTGGGCATTCTTTTGCTTCTCTGGCGTCCTCTGCATGGACTGGGGAGCAGTAGAAATGCTTTTGGAAAGGTGGACGACATGGAGATGTTCGTTCGGGATGAGGTGGGATGATTTGGCCACTGAACATTGATCGACATGTGTGTGTGTGTGTGTGTGTGTCATCACATTGCCCGTCGTGCCCACTGTCGGCACTGTCGCCGCTATGCATAGACCGAGAGGATCCACACGGTACACGACGCATACCACGACCCGAAACGACACGGCAGTTTACACAGGGCGCAGAGAACACTGCTGGTAAAGAGACTCTGTCCCGCAACGGTGGGTTAGAACAGCTGGCACACGGTATCGACACCCTATGCTCCTGTCTCACCACCCAACTCTCCCTCCTCACCATTGTCACCACCTTCACCGACTGCATGTGGCTCGTGCCACTCGAGCGAGACAAAAAAGCACCTTTGACAGGACCCGGTGCCTGGGCATGGGCCACGTTGCGTCGGCGGCGTTGCGAGCACCATACACGGCCTCACGGGCACGCGCCGCCGCCAGTGCTGCTTCGCGCGTTCGCCACTGTTGATGGGAACTCAATGTTGCCATTCCCCATCTTCCACTCCCAACCATCGTACTCTCAAGCACACTTGCAAACGACATGTCGGACCCTCAGATCATCTCCGGAAGCTCCAGTCATAGTGGTGCGACGACAGTTGCGACCCCCCTGTCAATTCGTCTACCAACACCCGAACCCCATCACCCACCTTGTTGCCCAACAGACGCGCTGCTCGACCACAACATGTACCCGCACATCATGGATCTGATCGTCGAGTGTGCACCCGGCGCCGCTCTCGTCGCCTTGCGCGCCACATCTCGCTCGTTCCACAAAAGATGTGACGCACTCATGTCGCGCCACATTGTTGTCTCCCACCGTCGACCACTAGGATTTGAACCCACCTCCAGCTGGCCTGTCACAATCTCATCTCGAGGAGCACCGCACCCGATCTTTTACAAGTGGGACCATAGGCAACCCATGTTTCTAAGCCCGGCGCCCCCCCGACCGATCACCCCCCAAACATCACGCGTCTGCAAGGCTTCGGGACGGAAAAGCCCCTTGCCGGCGGTGGTCCAGCATCAGCCGTGTGCGCTTGCTCTCAGCGATACACGAATTCTGGACGTCGTCGGTCCAGTTCCGTCTCCTGACAAGTGGCTCCTCCTCGCCCATCACAAACACAACATTACGCTTCGATTCCGCTATGATGACCGTGGAGGTAGCCCGTGGTCCCAACCACCTGGGTGGACCACGAACGAGTCCAACTGCGAATATCCCAGCCGGGTTGGCCGCATTGTAACGTTCGAGCACCTCAACGGCCCACAAGTAATAGAAGAGCCACTCTCACCAACGCCGAACATCGAAGGCGGCGTTCTTCCATCCTTTGAGGCGTTGATGGGCAACGGACCCAGTACGACCAGGCGCAGCTTACGAGGCGCCAAACGTGTGGTCCACAACCTTATCTTTACGGAGCGGGAGGAATTGAGGTTCATGCCCATCTTCAACTACGCGTACACGGCCACAGAAGTGTTCATCGTCTTCCAACGACGTGGACCGGAAATCCGCCAACCGCCGCCGCGACGCCGCCCAACACTTCACCTCCTCGTGGACGACGATGTGCCCAACTATCCAGACATTTTCCGCACACTGGAGTCGATTGCTCAGTGCCTCGTCCACAAGCCAGAGCGCAAAGTCACGTTTGTCAACCTGGGCGTGTTGAACCCCAAATACTTTCTCCTCCACGAGAAAGCCGAACAAGCGGACCTGCAACGCGAGGTGCTTGAGACCTTCCAAGGCTGCATTCATCACCGGTTCAGGACAATACAGGGCATCACCTACCTTGGTCCCCTCACCTCTCAGGAGCGCACCGACCTGGCCATGAAGAACCTCGCCTTTCTCACGTGGGACGAGTATCGTGCCACACTATCGGCGACAGAGTTTGAGATTGAGACGGACGAGTCGGCCGATTAGGCAAGCTCGGCGGGCCGGCGCCGCTGTTCTGCTGTCAGCATGGGGTATTATAGAACCTGGACCATGCACTTGCCCTCCCTAGGCCACCATGCAGTCTCGTTGGACTATACACGCTGCTTGTGTGCTGGGGTCCAACGACGCCGTTTGTCTCAAATAAACATGGGCCATCTTCGGTCTCTTTGCACTTTGCAACATTCATCGTCGGTCGCGTGGCCAAATGGTACGGCGTCTGACTACGATTCAATCTTCGATTATCAGGAGATCGCGGGTTCGATCCCCGTCGTGACCTTCCTTTTTCGCTCTCCTCGTCCTCTAGCCTGTGAGAGCATTGCAGCGTTTGTTTTTTGCATGGGAGGGGCAGGAGAAATATGGGAAGTGGAAGTGGTGGTCTGTGGCGACCTGGGGCCCGCACAAAGCCACTCGGGGCGGCGCAAGTGTGCGGGGGTGAACGTGTTCTCGTAATGTGCCACGCGCCTTGACTGACTACATAGAACAGGTGAGACGCCCAGACTGCGTGCAGGTCGTGCCATGGATGGCCGCGAGCCACACCGGAGATGCCACTGGAGCCGGCCTTCTGACTCCTGCCCATTACCGGTGAGACTTGGGCATCTTCTTGACGGGCCCCATGCTATAGAGCTGCAGCAGGGACACGGGCATCGCAGTTTGTGTCGACATTGGCGATGCGTTTCTCGTCGACATCGCCTGGACGATTCGAATCCAATTCGCCACCAACATTTCTCGCCGACTGGTCGGCAAATCGCTTTCGCTGCGCCGGCCACAATGACATCACCTCCCCACAAAGCCCACATACCACCAATCCCACACTTCAAGACATACATACACTCTCACTTGCAACCATAACACAACCACCTGTCCAATTATGTTCAGCGCCCACCACAACTACCACTACCGACACAAGATGCCGCCCGGCGGTGTCAAGCGTGTCAAGATGTCGTCCCGCCCCTCACGCGAGCCAACACTGAAGGGGGATGACCAGGTCCTCGACTCTACCATGTTCCCGGACCTCATGGACCTCATCTGCACCTCTGTGACGGACTACGGCACCCTCATGGCACTGCGTAGCGTAGACCGGCGGAGGCGCACCTTGGCTGAACCGCTACTGGGGCGGCATCTCTACATGTGTCAACCAACCTTCGAAGATCCAGCAAGTGCGAAAGTGGAAAAGGACCTGCGAGAGATGGTGCACATCAGCGCGCATGACGGCCGGATCCCTGTCTTTGCTGAGTGGCAGGAAATTGAACTGGGCTTTGGTGCATACGACCGCGAGCCTGAGGCAGATCAAGTGGACGTCACCATTCTCAACAAGCCATGGATTCAACCAAAGGCTATCAAACATACGACCAAATTGTCGCACCCGATGCTGGACGATGTGGTGTGGTATACGCGCCTGATTTGTTGCCTCCATGCGACACGCGTCATCGACCTGGTCGGCATAGTCCTTGAATGGCGCTTTGATGAGGTGTTGAGCTACCTCAAGCACCCCATCACCCTGCGCTTCGTCCCGGACCACAACGGCAAGGACCCATGGGCCATTCGCTCGATGGGTGACATGGACTTTGACGCGGACGCCGAAGTGATCAAGGAAGCACGCTTGACAGAGCTGTACGCCAACTACGTGCAATCAGTGGTCACGTTCCAGCACCTCAATGGTCCCCGGAGGCTGCTCCATGACGACAGGGATGAGCCCCTCTGGCCCATCATGGACGGTGAGGGCAGCTCACCTCGCCGCATGGCTGCCATATCAGCCCACCGGATGGTGCACACTTACTTCTTCCAATCCCGAGGCGACATGGACGAGCCAGAGTCGGCCAACATGACGAAAGAGTACATTGCCGAGCGCGTGTTCATGTTCATCCGCCAAGGCCCCGTGCACCGCTTCCGACTGCGCGAGGTGACCAGTGCCATTGCAGAAGCCGATCCCCTACGCCAAGGCCTGCCCCACCTCGCGGGTCTCCTGTCCGGCCTCTTTGCCGATATTGCCGCATACCTCCCCCTTGCCAAGGTCACGCTCGTGAACGTCTTCTCGCTCAACCCCGAAGTCTTCTTCATGCACTCCGAGGCAAGCGAGGAGGAGGTTACCGCGGAAGTGTTGCGTGCGATCAAGGAAGCCATCCAGATGAAGACCGAGGACGAGGACGAGGACTTCCTCCAATCGCTGCCCGACGGGTCCACGATGGATGAGCGTGTGGAGATGGTTATGAAGAACCTCCAGGTCATCTCGCTCGACGAGTATCGCGCCAGTGTCCCGCCAGAGCAGTTTAAACTCGAGACCGAGGAGTGAGCGCCGAATCTCCGTCACCATCTGCGGGCGCTGGCCGCCGGCTCGCAATCTCTACCTTTCCTCACCGCCTTTACGTATCTCTACGCTGTATAACTCCTCTCGCCTGTTCCATGCAACACTCTCAGGCCCTCATGCATCTGTTGCATCATCCATACACTGTTCGGCTACATCCGCCTCTCGACGCAGACATGGTGGTCAATGCAGTACTCATGAGCCCAACTGGAACTGTCCACAAAGTTGCGGGCAATGTTTTCAGCGGCGAGGTTGCACAATGTGGGCATCTGAGCCCCGTGATACCTCATGAGCCCCGCTTCGTCCGGGACGCCTCGACGAGCGCAGAGTTCAGCTTCAGCGCGGATAGCGTCTGCAAGACCTGTATCTGTCAGCTTCGTCCAGGTTCGCTTTAGCTGCAACCCACAGTTCAGCGCGTCCCTCGCGGCATAGCACGGCACATAACGACTGGACAGCGCCGCTAGGGCGGTATGCCCGGCCTGGATGTAGAACCACTGGTCTGCACTCCTGTGGCCCTGCCGCAGCGCGCCGATCGCGATAAGGTTCCAGAGCTCGGCCTTGCTGTACGTTGAGCAGTAAGTGTGGGTCCTCGGCACAGCGGAACACGGGATGGGCTCACATGAAGGCAATCTGATACCCGAACGCTTCATCGGCCGAGAACATGAGAGACGACGAGGCCCATGGATAGAGCTCGGACAGGGCCCGGCAAGCGTCCTGCATTGCGGACAGGTATGACTCGGTGACAAAGCTAGATCGGTCAGCCAGAGGCAACCCCGACAGTGACACTTCCCCCACTCACTAATCGCGGATGGCTTCCAGGCGCTTCTTGCTACGGACAACTGCCTCACCGAGCGCCGTGACGCTTCCTTCCTCCAGACGCGCCCGAATCGTAGGCATGAAGTCCTCGCCATTGTGTTCCTTGACGTCAAGCTTGCCGTAGAGCTGCTCCAGGTGGTGGAACTTGAACATGAGGTGCCACTTGTCGTGGTTCTGGCCCCAGCCAAAGAGGACGATCCGGGGGATGATGGGGTTGTCAAAGGTGATGCCAAACTGGTCCAATACGCGACTGGCAGAATGAGCGATGGGAACAACAACTCACCTGTGGCGAGATACTGTACAGAACACTCACGCTTCCTCCACAAAGAACGTCTCCAAGTACGCCAACCGGTCCTCTCGACTGCCCCAAAGCCGCTCGTCGCGGTAGAGCGCCCAGAGCATGTGGTTGGCCGACGCGTCCTCCTGCTTAAGCTGGGCTGAAGACATCCACACGATCTTGGTCGGGTTCATCTGGCGTCCACCGCAGGTGAGGGCTTTCATACAGCTCTGAAGCTTGAGCTCAGACACGTCCCTGGAGGTGGCTATAGCAGTGCCGTCCGTGTTAATGTCATTGTGGTGGGTATTGTCGTGGCTGGTGGTTTGGGAATCCCCGTGGTCGGTGGCATGTGAGGGTTGGTCGCTGTGGTCGGTGGCTGGGGTGTTGGATTTGGAGTTCGGCTGGGACTTGGGCTTCAAAACCGCTGCAGTCCCGCCAGCCTGCGGGGTGCGCCGAGTGTACTTTCTCTTCGGCTTGACGGCCTCTGAAGAGGTTACAGTCGGGGTCGAACTCTTGTTGTTGTTGGGTTTGGCAGGGCGGCCGCGCTTGCGCACTGAGACTGGGGCTGGCTCGATTACCGCGCCTAGTTCCTTCAGGTGCTTCACATCGTCGTCCGTCCACTGGCTGTGTACCGCTGCGGAGCGGGGTGGTTGATGGGGCGCCTGCTGGACATTGATGATGGGAGTGAGTGGTGGTCGGGGGCTTTCATCGTTGGCATCGGAGCTGGTGACCGGAGACCCTCGGCTGGTGTCCTCACGGCCAATGGCGGCTCTGACGGGGATGTCTGCGGGCATGGTTGGGGGATTGATGGAGTACCAGTAAGACAAAGACAATAGTAGCCAGCAGCCGTTATATCAATGTTGTGTCGTGGAACTGGTGATGGCCGTCAGGCAATACCGACGGAGAAGGTACGCCATAATCCCACCACCAGGGGAATGTGGAAAGTGTTCCGCTTCCATCAGTCAGCAACCTCCCAGATCCATCACCTTCATCAGTGTGTGTAGCGAGCACTGAAATTACTGCTACTGTGACCCCTATTGACTCAGTGGTGGAGAGACTGTCGGTGTAGTGATCACTCACAATTGGGAAACTCAGGTGCAACTCGGATGAACGTAATTTCGGGGGCATTTCCAGCCATTTCCACGGCTCGCGGCATGTAGTCGTTTCATCGTTTCACGCTTCCACCAGGTGCTCTTCAAAAGACGAACAACGCAAGATCAGGGTGATCAAATACAGAGGTGAAACACGTGTGGCAATGATGGCAGACAGCCAGTCAACATGGCAAAACGTGACCCATTCACGCACTAAACATTCATTTCCCGGCTGCCGCCCACATGCCAGACCTCAAGACAGCTACACACACGCAAAGCAAAAGGTATTCGCAAGCTTGAACACTTGCTGAACAACTAGAAGCCTAGTATGGGGCTCGAACCCATGACATTTTGATATCTTAACAATGGAGTAAGAGTCAAACTATCTACCGACTGATATAACCAGGCTTTGATGTTGAGGAGGATGTTGTGGAAGGATGACGGGATGGAATTTACCAGCCCACCTCCAACTGTAGAGACGTGGGCTTAGGCAGCCTTGTAAGGCGTATCGTGAATGGACTGTGCAGTCCAGATGGACGTGGGGTCTGGGGTCGGGTAGTCAGGTCGAAGGATACTTGCCCTGCAGGAGGAGCGATGGGAATGACGAGGAGCAGATTTTTCGGCCATTTTTGCAGATTTTCTCATTGACGCACTGTAAATGCACTGCGATTGCTATACCCATGCAATCTCTCCTTCATGCACTCCAGAGTAATTACGTGTTATTGGGATTATTGATGGTGATCACGTAGGCTTGCACTGGTGGTCAGTTCTGATCAGTGAGGGAATGCGACGGAATAGGATCTGGCCTGATTGTTCGTGAGCGCCCAAAAATGCCTTCAGCGGCCGATCGCTTTCGGTGGACATGTCCACAACTGACTGGCAATTGACACCATTCTCTAGAGTTATAACAACCATTCTCGAGAGACATGCACTACCATCAATCTTTCCAGCTCATCCGGGGCGCCACTTCTATCACTTCATACTACCACTTGCGCCACATTAACCAGGGTTTTATACATTTCACCATGGTCGGAATCCTCTCCAGGTGCCTCTTGGACTCACAGATGTTCCCCCACATCATGGACGAAATCATCTCGTATGCATCTTACTCGGCCCTAGTCGCCCTCCGTGCGACATGCAAGGCCTACGAAAACAGAATCACCCCGATGATCGGCGAACATGTCAAGGTGGAGACCGGAGTCGTCACGGCGGTCGACGGCCGGTTCCCCAGCTGGGAACACCCAAACAAGATCCCGTACGCCGTCAAGGAGGCGTGCGCTCAATACCGTCGCGACTACGCTGCGGGACTCAGCAGACGTCCCATCGACCCGGACCTCGCGCTCAGGATCCGGATGTGGGACCTGGACAGGATGCACAAGTACATCCAGCACTCCAAGGTGGTCGACATTTGCGGTCCTGTCAAGCTGGATTTCCTCCGTGGGCTACTGATGCGCACCCAGTCCCCTACGTTGCGTATCAAGAAGAGCAAGTTTGGCCAGCGCTTCTCCACCCACCGGATGTGGGATCTGCTCCAGCACGTCAACGTCGACCGCATTGTCTCGTTTGAATCGCTCGGAAATGACAACAGTGGCGGAACGTGGTTCCGCGCCGCTCGTGTAGTTCTCAACTACTCCTTTGTGGCTGAAAGGGGCATTCGGCGACCGCACGACGTCGCGCTCTGCATCGAGACCCTCCGCGAGCTCGTCATCGTCTTCCGCCCCGCCACCAAGTCCAGGGCCGGGTTTGCATCCGTCCACCTGTACACCTTGCTCAACATTCTCCAACGGGTCGCGGAACACCTCGTCGACACTCTCCTCGTGTACGGCAAACCTGTCAAGGTGACCATTGTCGGGTTTGATAGCCTCCCTCCGCGGGCCATTCTGTGTCCTGACATTCCGAGCTCGAGGGAGTGGGGCGGGGACGACGCCGTCTGGACGACCGACAAGGGGAGGAAGGAGATGGAGAGGGTGGCGAGAAACGAAATGGCCGGGTTTGCGCACCGCGCAATCATCGAGGAGGAGGGCAAGAAGGCTTTTGAGCCCAACCTGAACGAGGTGGTCATCAAGTTGGCCAGTGGCGTAGAGTTCCTCACCTTGGACGAGTTCCGCCAGACCATGTCGCCCGAGCAGTTCAAGATTGAAACCGACGAGGGCCACATTTATGATTACGACGGCTGAATTAGTTTGTTATTTGCCAGAGTTCTGCCATTCATGAGTTACACCATGCCACTGTGTATGCATTACATGGGATGCCGTGTCCAAGAGACCAGACGGCTTTTATTGTGTTTTATGTATGTAGTCCTAGCCTCCTGGGCCAGCTCCTCTATCATACAAGACGCCCAACTTCACGACAAAACTCTTTCTCTATAGCTTAGTTGATGGAGACAAGCTTGACGTCAAACTTGAGGGTCGAGTTGGCGGGGATTCCGGGAATCTTCTGGTTGCCGTAGGCGAGCTTGGCGGGGATGGTGAGACGACGCTCGCCACCAACGGCCATGCCGGCGAGACCCTGGTCCCAGCCGGCAATGACCTCACCGCGGCCGAGGACAAACGAGAAGGGCTTGCCGCCGGTGTTGGCGTCAAACTGCTTGCCGTTGGTGAGCTTGCCGATGTAACGCATGCCGAGGCGCTTGCCGGGCTTGGCGGCGGGGCCGTCGCCGACCTTGACGTCCTCAATAACAAGACCCGAGGGGAGAGTCTTCTGTGATGGCGTTAGTTTAACTGACACAGGTGAGATCAGACTCTGACGACAGCCGAAGACGCGCGATGATAACACAATTAGCACCAAGCCCAGTAACCGCAACAAAGAGAGCAATGCAAACAGCGGAACAACAAGTTACGCTGTGCATTACTTCCTATAGTCGTGAGGGTTGGCCCAAGGCGGCCTTTCTTGGTGCAAAATAAGGTGGAGGGGGTCATGAAGTTGGGGAGGACGTGTTGCTAGACTTGAAAGCTTGGAACGGCTTGAGTCTGCAAGGAAGGATGGAGGAGGATGGGTGGGGAAAAGATATCGCGCGTTCTTCGATTGTCGAGTCGTCGTCTTCTAGTTCTTCCTCACCTTCTTGGTCTCCTTCTCCTTGGGGGCGGCGGGGGCGGCAGCGGCGGCGGGGGCCTCCTCGGTCTTGGCCTTCTTGGCGAGCTTCTTCTTCTCGGCCTTCGAGAGGGCCTTGGCGGGCGAAGCCTCGGGCTCCTCCTCAGCCTTGCGCTTGGTGGCCTTGACGGGCTCGGCCTTCTTCTCCTCCTTCTTGGCGGCCTTCTTCTCGACCTTCTTCTCCTCGATGGCGACAATCTTGCTGTAAAGGTGTTAGCTGTGCTCCGCATAGAGGCTATATCGACTTACCCCTTGGGGGCAATCTCCTCGTCCTCAGAGAACTCCTCGACCGAGAACTCGTCCTCGTCGAGACCCATGTCCGAGTAGTCGTCGTGCGACTCGCAGTCCGAGTCGCAGTCCGACTCCTCCTCGGGCCACTGGTTGACGTAGTTGCCCATGAGGTGGACGGCGTTGGGGCCGGAAACCTCAAAGATGACAACCTCGCCCTCGACAAAAGTGAGGTTGAGGACAGCCTGCTCCGACTTGCCGGCGGTGAGCGAGCAGAGGACCGAGGTCTCCTCAATGTCCTCGTCGTCCGAGAAGTCGTCCTCCTCCTCGTCGTCCGACTCCTCCTCGTCGTCACCCTCCTTGTCCTCGGCCTCAGCGGCCTCCTCGGCGTCGTCGTCCGACTCGTTCTCGGCGATCATGGCGTCCATCTCCTCGTCGTCCATCTCCTCGTCCGAGTCAAACTCAGAGTCCGACTCAAAGGCAGAGGCGGGGATGGGGTGGTGGGTGACCTTGACAACCGAGCGGCCGTCGTTGGAGCGGAGCTCCTCGGTGAGGGCGGCGTTGGTGATCTGGAAGTCGCGGCGGACGTAAAGGGGGACCGGCTCGCCGGGGACGAGGGTGAGCGACTGAAGGGATGGTCAGCTACGGGGGGGTGGGGAACAAGACAGGTGGTGAAGCTAGCATGTACGTACCCAGAGGTTCATGCGGACAGTCATTTTTGGTAGAGAGAGTGTTGGGGGGTAGTGGAGAGGGAGAGAGAGAAGAGGATGTTTTGGTGGGATGTTTGGAAACGTTCGTCCGGGGCCGCCCTCTATTAACTAGTGTTCTGGCGGTGACGTTGGGTGGATGGACCCCCTCTTTCAAACTTTTTACTTCCGTCCATCGAGCTCTCTTGATCCTTCCGCCAGCTTCCAGGCACACTACATGAGCGCGTAGAACGCCCAGCCACCACTGCATGCCCTGCACGCGCCGCGCATGCGCCGCCCGCAGTCATGGAGATGAGCAGAGCGAGCGGGGCGAGGCGAGAACGCTTACGTATAACTAGGAAGCAGAGATAATATAGGCGATTACTTAGGCTTGCTATCCTCTCCGTGTGCCTATTTTGTTTACGTAATCACGGAATTCAGGGCAGGCTGTGACGCACCCACAGCCCCGACGTCGCTCGTCGTGTCCAGCTCATCATCGCCGTCACATCTACACCACCTCCAACGCCCTCCCCGTCCTCCGCGGTACCCTTGCGCTCCTCACCCGCTGGATAGGCCTCTCTTTACTCCTCTCCTCCCTCCTCCAAATCTATTCGCCATGGTGAGCTGTCTTGAAGGGCTTTGACAGCTCCTCGTACGGCGCACTGACACTCTCTCCAGTCCAACACCCTCCGCCCTTACCTCAACGCCGTGCGGGCCACCCTCACGGCGGCTCTTACGCTGGAGAACTTCTCCTCGCAGGTTGTTGAGAGGCATAACAAGCCCGAGGTCGAGGCTAAGTGAGCTTCGGTACTCGTCCGCCAGGCGCACCACTGACCCCCAGGACCACACCCGAGGTGCTCCTCAACCCTCTGATTGTGTCGCGTAACGAATCTGAGAGGGTGCTCATCGAGCCCTCTATCAACTCGATCCGTATCTCGATTTCGATCAAGCAGGCGGACGAGATCGAGAAGATTCTCTGCCACAAGTTTACGCGCTTCATGATGATGCGCGCTGAGGGTTTCGTCATTCTCCGTCGCACGCCCCTGCCTGTACGTGTCTCCTGCGCACAATGTGCATTGTGTTGTGCTGACATGACTTCTTCCCACTCTGCCCGTTGCCTCTTGTCGTCTATGCTGCTGCATGCTCCGCCATTTTGCTATATTGACCTTGCTCGTGCATTCACTGGCGACTGGCTTGCAACAACAGGGCTACGACATTTCCTTCCTTATCACCAACTTCCACTCCGAGACCATGCTCAAGCACAAGCTCGTCGACTTTATCATCCAGTTTATGGAGGACGTCGACAAGGAGATCTCCGAGATGAAGCTGTCCCTCAACGCCCGCGCGCGTATCGTCGCCGAGAGCTACCTTGCCACTGTAGGTTTCACAAGCTGCGACACCGTGCTAACCCATCCAGTTCACGTGATTGTAGACGGTCAGAAGATTGAAGTGTACCAGGGATGCCAAGATACCCGCACGACGTGCTGGATGCACAAGTACTGATGGGCTGACAACTGTGACGGGGTGAGTCGCCGACCGATCGACAGCCGTTACCACCACTATTTCCACTTGCCCAACTGTGCTGCCACAACTCACCCCTCCTCTCCACCTTATCCGCTTACCGCATCATCCATATACTATGCATGTGTCTGTCTATGATGAAACCAGTCCACAGGCCACTGGCCACACCGGCCACACCAGACATCGATATCGCGGCATCTTTGTTGAATTCTATAGGCATGCTGGCACGGGCGCACGCCTTCCAATTCCAACACCGTCCTCGTTCTCCGCCGATTTGCTTCCGTCAACTGGTGAACGCTGACGCGCGTGTGTTGAATCGACCACCAAAGCCGTCATTGATCTCGAGCAGTTCTCTCCAACACCCCAACCCATTCATCTTCCAGAGGATAGCGGCACCATGCCCGGCCTCACCACTGCTCAGGTGAGCTTAACACCGCCTTGTTGCAGCTGACATCCAGGTTAACGAGCTTTCCGCGACGAATGTGTGAGTGTCAGCTCTGCCCTTGCGCGTGTGTTCATCCGGCGCTTCTGATCAAGAGGTGGTGGATAAGCCTGGCGCTGGGGCTGTGCTGTACTGTGCGGGTGCCTCGGCTACCATGGCGTGAAGGCAGCTGCATTTCCCAGCGCGAGGGTATCGGACAGAGCAGAGGTACTAACCATCCCTCCAGCGTGATCCACCCCCTTGTCCTCCTCTCGGTCGTCGACCACGCCTCGCGCGTGCCTCTTCCCAACAAGAAGCGCGTCCTCGGTGTGCTCCTGGGCCAGGACGACGGCACTACCATCAACGTTGCCAACTCGTGAGTCAGCTGGGAGGTGTTAATGATTTGAGCTGACAGTTGTTTTCCTTTCCTTGTCGCGCCGTCCACTCGTTCTGCTGCCTGTCTATTGACCTGTCATCGTCATCAAACGCCTTCCTCCCTCCTCCCTCCTTCTTCCTCCACCCTCCGTCTTCCTTCCTCCACCTTCCCCCGCCTTCTCCGTGGTTGTCCACCTTTCCTTGAATCCACAGGTTCGCTGTTCCGTTCGAGGAGGATGAACGAGATCCCAAGACGTTCTTCCTTGACCTTGACTATGTGGAGGAGATGTGGCGCATGTTCCGTAAGGTGAACGGTAAGTACAGCTTGTAACTGTTTTTGTCGAACCAGCTGCTAACACCTCTTCAGCGAAGGAGAGGCCAATAGGCTTTTACCACACCGGCCCGCGCCTGCGCTCGTCGGACCTGGAGATTAGCGAGTTGTTCAAGCGCTTCTGCCCTCGTCCAGTGATGGTGATTGTGGATGTGCGCGCGCACGGTGGCCGTGGCGACACTGGTATCCCCACGGATGCCTACTTCGCCGTGGAGGAGATTCGTGACGACGGTACCGCCACTCAGCGTACCTTCACCCACGTCCCAACATCGATTGAGGCAGAGGAGGCAGAGGAGATTGGTGTCGAGCACCTCCTGCGCGACATTTCCAACTCGTCGGCATCCCAGTCCTCGTCCCTCCTCACCACCCAGTCGCTCTCGACCCGTGTCGCGTCCCAGCTCGAGTCGCTCCGTGGTCTCCACGCCCGCCTGGTCGAGATTTCCGAGTACCTCAACGACGTCCGCAAGGGCAAGGTGCCCGTCAACCACCAGATTGTCTACCAGGTCCAGGAGATTGTCGGCCTCCTGCCTCAGCTCGGCGGCGACGTCGAGCTCGGCAAGGCCTTCCGCGTCCAGGTCAACGACCAGAACGTCATGGTCTACCTTGGCCTTATCATCCGTACCGTTCTTGCTCTCCACAACCTCAGTAAGTGTCAGCTGTAAATGCGAGGCGTTCTTTAGCTGACAAACTTCCACAGTCGACAACCGCATTGCCAACGTCCAGCAGGAGATCGACGATGCCAAGTCGCCCGAGGAGAAGAAGACTGAGCGTGCGGCCGAGGCGGCAGGAGTGAAGACCGACGACGTCAAGCGTGCCAAGCAGGAGAACACCGAGGACAAGGACAAGGACACGAAGCAGTAAATCGTGTACATGTACACTACAATTACACCATGCAAGATTGCTACACCATGCACGATTGTTTACAGAAGCGCTGTTATGGCGAGTCTTGGCCAGTAGCTGTGCGGCAGAGCCGGCGGCAGTAGCACGGCCCCCCGGGCAACGCACACGACCGTTGGCTGCCACCATTTTTCAACCTTTGTAGTGACTGCCCAGTTCCCACGAGTAACAATAATAATGTGTGCTGCCAGTTCAAGCCACTGTGCGCTGCCAAGAGCTGGCGCTGAGACAACGCTCTGGCACTGGACAATGCCCCATGTTGAATGCCTGCCCAACATTCCAACGACTCTTGTGATTATTTCCGTTCCGCCCCGCCCGTGTGCCGATCCCTCCGTCAGTCACCGTTGGTCGTCTGCAAAACCCCAGATATATGACGTCGCGGTCCCCCACACTCGGCAACGCATGCCCCCCAACTTGCGCGCACACTCAACAACAAACCCACCCGTCTCTTTTTCTTTTCCTTCCACCACACCCCCAACCTTCCTCCCTCTCCACCCCATGTACACCATGGAAATCTCACAGCACACATGGCGCGCCCTGGGCATGTCCGTCTCGGGCGGCTACTGTCTCCTCGGCGCCCTCGGCATCCTCTTCCCACACGCCGCTGCCGTCCTCCTGGTCGGCCCCGTCCCGCAAGCTGCTGGCACACCACGACCGATCCCGTCCCCCGCCGAGCGTGCAGCGTTCATCAGGGCCGACCGGGCCAACGACAATTTCATTCCCAACGTCATGCCCCTCCTCGGCGCGCGCGATCTCAGCATTGGGCTCGCGCTCGCGCTGTTGGGGCGCGCCGACCGATGGCGCGAAGTCGGCATCGTCACGCTGGCGGGTCTCGTGCTGTGTGCAGCGGATGTGGTGACAGTCTACAAGCGCCGTGGAGCTGCCTGGTGAGTCAATTGGCACGACGGTCGTGACGGGGATGAAAATCGCTGACAGAACAAAAGGGGTCTGCTACTCGCTGCCGGCGCGGCATTTTGGGCGTTCATTGGATACGGCCTTCTTTCGTACTGAGCAACGATGCCTCGACAACTTTCCGCGTACACACGACGAGACGAGGACGAGAACGACGGCGGCGGCGAGGACGCGGCCAGCACCGTCAGGGCACGTATTCGAGCGACCATCACAGTAAGAAACGTGGAGGTGTAGGGAATGGTCGCGTGGGGCAGGGCATCCATGTATAACCATGTTCATTAGGCCCTCAGCCTTCGACTAAGGCGTCCACTGCTGTTGACCGTCAACTGACCTTTCCTCACTCACCCCAGTCCCCCAGCCGTCCATGACCGATGGCTAATGGTCTGCCGGCGTGCGAATATGCAGAGAGGTGGTGGCTTCGGAGAAGCACAAGAACCATTCTTTTGATGCGCGTGCCTCACGACGCCGCGAGTCTCTTGTGTCCTCCGAGCTCGGTGAAACACGGTGAAACCCGCGTCAAGACAATGGATACAGATAACGGGTAATCTGGTCATGGACCTAATGCGCTCACAACGTTAACGCGAAGGTGAGCGTCGGTCACGTTTCATGGAGGATGGGCGCCTCGGAGTTTTGGGGAGAGGGGCAGCGGCACCATCACTGCCGAATGGATCCCCTGACGGGCGCCAACCTGGCGTTGATGGATGTCCCCATGCAGTGTCTGTCCTCAGTAACTGGTTTACAAGCTCGCCAGCTGTCGGAACCTATGTCAAGGGAGGGGAAAGGTGAGACATGCACCACCAGTCTAGTGTGGCTTGCTCCCTGTGCACAGTCACCATTCCTCGCAGTGATAGGTTCCAATGGGTAACAGACGCTCGCTTCTTGTGGGTTAGGGGTAGTTGCCACACATGCTCCCCAGCGTAGCACCTGGGCGAACATATGGCGGTAAGCTACCCGACACAAGCACTGTCCTACAGGCAGATGATCAGATGACCATCCTCCTATTCGTTAGGCTAGGACATGGTACATGAGGGGATGGGTACTAGGCTGGACACGAGGCTCATTGTTCGACATTTTGCTCAAGGTGGCGTTTTCCGGAGTGACCACTTGCTTTTTTCGATCACTCTGGCTTCTCCCCGACTCATCAGTGGATAACATACACGACGTCTTGTTCTGTACGTCGGGAAACTGTACGAGGCACAGGGTATCACAATGCATAGTACTTTTTTTTGGCTTTTATTCTTTTAATTTTGGTTCTGGTTCTGCTATTCTTTCTGAGATTCTGACACTTTCTTTCGGGAACTTGAAAAACTATTCTTTACTGAGAATTGGCTTGAGGCAGGGACTCAGGGGTGGCAGGGGTGGTGACAGTGAGGTCGCTGTTCTTCTCATCAGATTCGGCGTCCTCGGCCGGTTCCGACGCGACGAGACGGAGGAGGGGATGGTCGGCATGACGGACCCAGACCTCCGCGTTGACCTCTTCGAGAGTGGTCGGCTCGTCACCAGCAGCCTCGCCGAGCCAAGCCTTCCTCAGATCCCACCTCTGCTTAAGAGTCATTGGCCCCTTGCGGTTGTACATGGAGTCCATTGCAATCTCCAGGAGCATGTACTTGTACGTGTCAGGGACTGTGGCTGCAATGTCGGGCCTGCCGAGGGCGATGAGCTCCTCTTGATAGAGGAGCTGAAGCGGGGTAAGGTTGGGGGTGAGGTCGCAAATCATGCCGTCCCAGGTGAAGGCTTGAGCGAGGGGCACGGTTCGCGTACTGGGGGTCAGTTTGGACCACGAGCGGGAACTTACAACTCCCAATCGATGATGCCCGCAAGGCTACCATCGGGTTTAAGAAGGAAGACATTTGGCTTGAGGTCAGCGTGCTTGAGGTACGTAGGGCCTTCCTCAAGAAGGGCTGGGCACATGCTGATCATGTCCCGGATGTCGAGACACTCGAGGATCTTGCCAAGATTCTTCTTAGCCGTCTCAATGCCGGTTTGCTTGCTGAAGTGCCCAAGTGACCGGTCGATCATCGCGTAAAACAGCTCGGCCGTGGAAAGGTAAGACCCCTCTTTAAGTTTATAGGAGATGCGTGGCACATGAAGACGGCCCACATGTGGAAGGGCAGACGGGTCGTCTTGTTCTGGAGGGACTAGAGAACCAATGCCGGTGAACGAGACAGCTGAAGCTTGGACTGCAAATGCGGCGAGATCCCGAATGGTGGCTCGGTTCCATCCACGAATGTCGCAGACGTAGTGAGGGCGAACCAGCAGACCCTCCGAGTCCTTGGTTGGCTGTCCGTCGATGTACTCCATAAAGTAGTATTCGGGACAAACTGTATGTTGTTAGATGACCCGCTTCAAAAATAAACCCACTTTGATGGGCTGCTGTGCGCTCAGGCTTCCACACCCTTGGAATGAAAGACGGAGCCACCTCATGAAGGACCTTGAGAGTCTGGAACTCGCTCTCCCTTCGTGCACGGCGGCGCTCGGAGTTGGGGTCTTCGCTGTAGGAGACTCCCTGCCCGACACGAGCCAGCCAGCGCTCGCCCGTATCGAAGGTAATCGGGACGTTGATGTTGAAGGCTCCAACCATAAAGTGCTGGTATAAATCGACAAAATCGCTCGGCTGGGGCAGCTGGACAGTGCAAGTGGAGGCTTGAGGATTGAGGGCCAGTGCGTCTTGCTTCATTGGAGCTACAGCAATGTCGCGAATGACGGGCGCCCATACAACACACCCGGCAAACATCTTGGCAAGGTGGCGCTCCTCCTCCTGTAACGTCAGCTGTCCGTCATTGGTGTTAACCTACGGATAAAAGCTGGCAGGGATGATGTTCAGTGCAAAGCTTTCGATGGCACAGCCAGCACTGGAAAGGAGCGAGGCCCATCCCCACCGCTTGGGATCCTGCCGTAGCAAGCGCGGTGCACCCGTCGACACTGCACTCGGGAGGTGACATGGGTGATTCAGCAGTGAGTAATGTTGGTGAAATGACGAGAGATGCAGAAAGGGAGGGAGAGGGGTATTTCGGCGTTGTGCTGGGTACAAGTGTGGGGAAATGGAATGCCAGGGGCTCTCCATCAGCGAGTCGAGTCGAACCGAGTAGGTGTTTTCGCCACCACATCATTCCATCAGAATCCCACCGGTGGCCGGCTGCATAGTACCATAGCACCCTTGTACTATTGTGTTCACGCCTACACAGTCTTGGGTAAGCGGTCCGTGCTCATCCCCGCCGCGGTGAGCCGTGGGGCGCAAACATTCCTCACAGTGCTTCGCAGCAAGTGACCACAACCTCGCGAGCACGGCCCTCACGCCTTGTTTCCAATTTCCAGTCCACCTGAGAGAAAGCCCAGTCACAATGTGAGTCACAATGCGCACCTTACTGTACAGGCGTACAGGCAACTAACACCATCATCATTCTTCACGGAAGGCAGACGTGTTCAGACGTGTTCAGACGTGTTCAGACGTGTTCAGTGCCATGCATCTGTTTCTAGTGCCGTTCGCTGGCTGGCGCAAAACTCCCCCTTGTGCTTCGGTGTGAAACAAGTTCATCATTCATTTGTCATCACACCTCGCTGACTTTCATACACGTTGCTTCCCAGAGCTCGGGTGGCCAATCACTCTCCACATTTTAAACCAGCATAGAGTTGATCCCCTTTAAGTGCAATCTGATGCGCTCCCCGCTGCCTAGACTATATACAATTATCATGCACTCACGAGTTTGAGGCATTCCAGTAGCAGCCATGGCAGGTCCTTACCGCAGCATGGCATACGAGGTTGAGCAGTAAGGCGATGGGGTCACTACAAATCGAACAAACGCTGGCAGTACCGCAGAAGACGCCCGTTGGCACCCACAAGGCCCACCCAGGAACAACGAAAACCAGCAGTGGAGTGTTGTTACTTCGAAATAACATGCACCCTGGAATCTCTCATTCGCTGCACACGTCCAATTAAGTGAATGGTGCTTCTTATGGGCGAACCGCGGCGTCAACAAGCGCAAGGACCACGCGAGTGCTCACGCACCAGCCACAGCCACTTCCACAAAATCCCATACTTGCTGGTGCATACACCGAAGCTTCTTTCTTCAACACGTTCAACAACATCATTGACATAATTCACTAAACTTAATGGCGCGAAGGTGGCGCCGGTTTGGACAATTTAGGTATAGCACATGTTTAATCACTGTCACTTTCGGACCCGCTGCCCACGGAGCCAGGCAACCAGTCTGATGGTCAGTGGACATGATAGAGCTTGTCAGACACAAAACTCACGATCAGGACAATAGTAGTCCCCGTACTCGTCCTTGTAGCATCCTTCGTCATCGCAGCCAAAAGACTCGCAAGTGGGCATCTTGAGAGGTGGATCGTGTGGGTTTCAAACGGGCGAGAGGAGGTGCTTTCGCTATGGAGCGAGTGCAATGCGATACTTGGGGAGGTCGAATTGCAGAAATTGACCTTCTCTTATATGCATCTGGTCTTGGGGAAAGGGGCGAGGCAGCAAGGCTTCTGAGCCCGCGATCAATCGTGAACGCTGCGACCGGCTAATGACCGTCTGGTATTGCACGAGAACTATGCATCGCTGTGAATTCGAATCTGTGAATTCGAATCCACGAAAGGCACAAGAATGATACCTAAGCAGCACGAGCAATGGGGCCAGCAATGGGACCGTGCGAATGAGTGGGAATAATCGGGGGCGATGACAGCGGGTGACAACAGCGGGCCGTGACAGCGGGCCATGACAGCGGATCATGGCATCAGGGAGTGACACGTGAATCATGGGTTTACTGTACACTGCCTTGGTGTGCATGTTGAGTCAAATACGAGCAGGGCAGGCTGTCATTCGTCACAGCCTGTCTTCTGACCATGGTTGGGTTTTTTCAAGTTAAGCATGTGGCAATTATAGTATGTGTATGAACAACTATGTACGGGCCAGGTCCGGAAGGAAGTAAGGGTCCCCCGCGAATCTACATTTCTCTATCAGTTTTGTTGCTAGAGCCAGTCAACCAACACCGTAGAATAGCCATCCAAAGGTGCACAGACTGGTATAATGTATGCATTCCGAGGACAAATACAGCGCTCTCCCAGAACAGCACTTTTTGAGCTTTTAGGGGCGCAAAGGTAAACTATGGCGCGCCTGCCACGGCCAGCGCGCACCTATCACCTCAACACATGGCACGTATAGTATGGCACGCGACACGGCACAAGTGGCGCGGCCATGAGCGACAGACAAACTGCCGCGCAGCGGCGGTAGTTACCTTGCACTGCACACACTGACTGTCGGTATTCACTACGAAGGTATGTGAGCTGTACAGTCCTATACAGTACCTAAGATACTGGGCATACTGTACCCGCCCGTAATGTAGAGACACAGCGCTTGCACAAATTTAGAGTCCGGTTCAGCTATGTAGAAACCCCTGCCGTATGGCAGGTGTACCGGATTTAGGTAGTATGACAGTTGCATACGATCACCAATACTTCACTAGATTCATACTCAAACGGCGCCGGAGGGACTGAGGTTTCACATAATTAATCATCCTCCTCGTCACTGCTGGGCGGCCCCGAGTTGTTGCCGTAGGTCAGGGAGTCTGGTAGTCAGCGGCTACTTGCAGAACGGTGGACCTTGTCACACACGGCGGCACTCACGTGTAGCACAATACTCCTTGTTAGGGCCATAGGCAGCCGGTTCATTGCAACCGTTAGACTCGCAAGTGGGCATGATGTTGGGAAGTGGGTTAAGGTGAGAGGAGAGGAAAGGCTGGGTGCGGAAAGGTTGGAATGAGAGATGTCGAGAGGTTGAGTTGCAGAAATTGGACCTCCTTTATATCCATCTGGTCTTGGGCAAGCTGCTGCGGCACGAGACGCCGACTCGATCATGGGCGCTGTGTGAATCAACCTTCCGATATCGTGCCACGCCAAGAAACGCAGCAGCTCCCACGAGCACACACAAGGGGAATGAGTGACCTGCAGCCGCACAGTGTGGCCGTGATTTGACCGCATTGCCACACTTTCAGGTTGCATCTCCTTTCCATGAAAGGCCTGCTATGCTATGGGGATAAGGGGGCATCCTGCTGTTCGTAACATTATCGCCTTTGCTGGGAGGGATGAATCTCGCAGTGATTGGGAAAGTGAATGTCTGATGCCATCAACTAACTTTCGAAAGTCCCCAGACACTGAGAGCCCTGACAGCGGAAGCACTCGATAGCTGACAGGCCTGACCTGGCAAGCGTGAGGGGGTGAGAGAGTGAAAAGGGTGGGTCCTTGACCTAGATGCATGATTGCCTGGTTACAAACTAGGTGACCACCCAACTGTTGTCCGCAGAGCAAGTGGCTTCAAAAAAGTAAATTTACTTCCAATACACATATATTGGTTTCATCTTCTGCACGGGCGCACGGGCCGTGCCCTCTGTCTTCCCAGTGACCATTCCTGCCCCACTCATTGTCACCGTGCCCTCGAAGTCCACATTCCTTCCCACAAACACCTCTCGTATGCTTCTGACAACCGGGTCGCACCACCCCTTTCCGTTCATTCTCACCTTGTTTCCGAGCTTTACACATTCCCTCGCCTCGTTTGGCTCTATTTTGCTCCGTGACAGAAACGTCCCAAGGTGCTCAATGTTACGCCCCGACGCCACTTTCGCTCAACGCCACCCCTTCCGCGTCTCTCCATGTCCAACAAGGATATGATCTTAATTCTTGGTTGCTCATCTCGCCCTTACTCACCCTCGAGCTTCTTGTCAATCCCTATCAGTCCCACTATGCATAGCGAGAAGCGAGCCCTGACCCCGAGATAGCACCCAACACCCTAGCTTGCATCGGCAGGGAGGTGTCGACGCTGGCCCCTCCCTTTCACTAGGATCTTCTGTAGGCGTACTCGTGTTCAGATAGGCTGCACTCCCTATAGTGCTTCTGCCCAGCTTTTCCTTGGCAATAGGCTGGGTGCCTCATCCCGGGCTGCCAAGACCAAGGCCACTGTCGTTGCGCAGCATGTAACCTCGGCCATCATACCTCGATGTCTGCACAAGAACTAAGTGGCCACAGCCCTTTCTGAGTTGCATGGGCCGCCGCAGTTGACAATTCACACGTCACCCCGCACTGTACGCCCGTTGACTTGCTTCACCCAGGTCGCACTTCTGTCTGTGTCCTAAGCCATCACTCGCAGCCGCTGCGGTTGGACGCGGTCCACATATCATGTTACTGTATTCGGTATCGTTATATTTCCCTGTGAACGTTGGCTCGCACCGTCTAATGTGTAGCGTCTTCTCTCGTGACATTTCTCACGCCTCCTTTTCGAGAGTCGCTGTTCTCACCACAACCCTGCAAGCGCTATCTCACGCTTTCCTGGGACTGATGCTAGATCAGATCTGCGAGGTGTGTAGCTCCGGAATACCATCGGCGCCCGACTGCGTTTGGGAAGCAGACACCCAGCATCCGATCGGTGGGACAAGGATGCATCATTTCTGTAAGCCATCCCCCTCGCACCACTCTACTCGTCCTCCTCGGGCAAATTCTGCTCGACGCGTGGCAATGTGGCTGCCTGGTAGGCAGCGCCTAGAGCCCCTACGACCAGCACAAAGTCGATGACGTGGTATCCTGGGCGGGCATAGTACGCGCCCATGAAATGCGTGGAGTTGTACAGCATGTGGAACGTCCTGCTTGCGAGCACCATGTAAGCTTGGAGGGAGTACGCGCCCGCAAATGACCTTGCGCGTGCGTTGGTGAACATCTGCAACAGTGCGGAGGTGACAAGAGCCGGGATCGAGATGATCTGCAGCCAGTCTGTGTCCGTGGTGCGCTGCTCGCGGGTTTGTTCAGGCTTGACCAACCAGCTTGTGTCGGGCCCTTGGCAGATCCAAAAGAGGCCCATGGAGGCGAAGAATAACTGTTGTTTGTCAGTCCCGATAGCGGTCGGTACTCACTCCGAGTGTATACAGCCACGACAGCTGAAGGCGCATTGTTGCTCGCTCGCGATGTGTCCACCGGCGCCAGTGAATGGTCCAGCCATCGCCAACTGTGATCGGCATAACAAGCCATACTTGGAATAACAGTGGTACCTGGCCGATGCACGTCATAGTCAGAGAGAAGATCTTGAATCCCTCGTCAATCTCTTTAGAGGCACCGATCCGAGAAACTACGAGCGTTTTGGAGACCAGCATGAGAAGCGCACTTCGATGATTGACACCTGCTGTCGTCCGGCGTGTGTACCAGTATAGAACTGCCAGTAGCCAGCTCAAAATGTCGCCCGATAGGCTGCTGTCAACAGATAGTTTCGGCGACGACTTACTGTAACACAACGAAGAGAACTCGCTTCCACGCGTGTCCAGTGTCCACTGTGGACCCCAGGAGCCCATCTTTCCGTCAGTCAAGCTCGGGTGAATGAACTCACGAGACAAGTCCCACCAGTAGTGAGCCTGCTTAAGCTCGAGTTCAGTCTGATTATGGGCTGGGCTCATCGCGTTTGTAACGTGGTCTTTCAAGTGAAAGAGTCTCTCGCGATAGGGGTTGAGAACAGACACTCGGAGGGAGAGGGTCATGTTGATGCTGGATGGACCATGCTGTACGTCGGGCAGGTCTGAGCCGTCTGGTATTAGCATAGGCCGGCAGCTGCGCTCACCTTCCATGTCGGCCATGAATGGGCGAGTGATTGGCAGTCGAATGCGGTGCTGACATGAGCTCTCTCACTATCCAGGGGTACGCACCAGTGGGCCAGCGCCATGCTGCATTACACCAATGTATGGGCTGTACGCCAACGGCCGATTACCCTCCTTGTCCACGTCGCCAGCCAGCTCGTACCCGGCTTCCCAGTGGCCCGCGACCTCGTACGACGAGTTGTGGCCGACGAAACGGGTACCGTTGACGAGTGACTTGTCCCTCTCCCACTGTAGACGTCAGGTAAGACAGAGAGCCTGAGCGTACCCCTTGTTCGCTCCACATCTTGAACTTTGTCTCCCACATTTCACGATCGAGGTGGCGCGTCTCGTTGACGAAGTACACATGTGCCCTGGAGTCAGCGGGTGTTGCAGCATTGAATACGAACCTGTTCACTAAGTATGGGTGATGTCTGAGCCGTTCGTCGGCCCCAATGGGTACATTTGGGTACAGATACTCGTTCCTCGGGTCCGGGTCGTCAAAGTCGTCAAAAATGATGTCATATTGGTCGACAAACTTGACAAGGGGGATAGACACGGCCATGTTCTCGACTACGGCACGGTGTACCGAGCCATCTTCACCCCATGCCAGGCTATACACGTCAGACACTGTTCTTCAATGGTAACTCACCTAGGGTTCAAACGGGGCCATTGCATGATTGTAGGTTTGACCGATGTGAAGTTGGTGACGTGGTCAAGTACCGACGGAGACCGTGGGTTGATGACCACTGTGACACGAACGTCGTTGGGATAGATCCATTCGTCCTCGCTACTGATGTCAATTAGGTCGATAACACCACTGGATACTCACAAGCGTGCCAGCGGTAACTCAAAGTTCACGTCGACGTCGCGGTCCTTATCGTTCAGACTACTATCCTCGATGACAATCTTCGAGAATACGATGTCCTCCTCCGGTAGGTGGCTGAGCTCGACCAGGGGCATTCCGATACGAGAATACAGAAATCTCTGGGCCTCTGTAACCTCAGCCTCGTCCTCCCAGTCGTCCGCGTACATCTCGGGATGTGCTGTGTCGGCATTGGCGCGGCGGGCCCACACTGTCACCGCGACATCGAAGCGGGTGTCCGTGTCGATTAGCGGCTGGACGGTGGACCTGTTTGCACCCGGCGCGGCGTATAGCTCTCTTCCGAGTGGGGAACGGAAATGCCGCACCAATGTTGTCGTCGTCCTCAGCAAGAGGAATATAGTGAGACTACCGACAACGACGCAAAGAATGATGGCCAGGATAGCACAGCAGCGGAAACAAGAAAAAGGCTTGACCTGTCGGCGACGTTTCAGCGATTTGGGTGTCACCACTGTATCCTCATAGGCGTCCACCACAGCTGATCCAGGCGGGGGCAGCGACATGATGGTGGGCGGTGTCGCAAGTAAGGCCGGTATGCGTCGTGGCGATGAGTGCAATGCCGAGGGAGCGGAATGGTTCAGAGATCGATCAGAGAGGTTGAGTAATCCGCAGGAACATGGTTAAATATCCCTGAGGTCGGCACGCGCCCTCGCCTTGGCGTTGGGCCAATGCGGGCCAGGGTTGACCTCGGCATGTTGGCATGTGAGTGGTAGGCATACGCGGCCGTAGGGGAGGAGGCTGACCAGACGACCGATACCTGGTGGATCCGGGATAATGTGACGTGGCGGCTCTCTAGAAAGTAGCAGGCTCCTCACGGATCACGGAGGAGCGTCGTGAACGTCATGTTCACCCAATCCACAGTGACACACCCATCCGCAGCGGCAGTTGTGCTTTTGCTTGTACATGAGCACTTGCAGTCGCGTGCAGCCAGTTGGTACAGGTTTGTGCTTGAACCTGGGGATCAGCGGGGAGGTGATGTAGCAACAAAGACATATGCCACGCGAGTACGAGTGGCGATGACAGGTGCTGTAGCCTTCACCTTTGCGACAGCCGTCACGAGTCTTCAGCTTGACCACCTCCGGCATTGCTGGCCCACCTTGGAACGTTTTCTTTGCTTGGTACATGAAGAATCCTGGACTGGTAAGATTTTAGAGTCTTTTCCGGAGATTTGTTGGCACCGCGCCACAAAGTTGCTAAACGAGGCCCACCTGTGGGCACCTCCTCACCGACACCAAGCTGCTCCAGTCGCAAACCGACTGCAGGTACAGGTCTGCGACACAAAAAAGCTTGATTCGAGCCCTGAGAGGCCTTAAATGTGCACCAGTTTCAGCCTAACAACATCGTGGCTTTAGCACAGCGGTAGTTGCGAGAGATTGCAATTCAAGAACATCATTGGTCTGAACCACATCTCTAGGTCCCCGGTTCGATCCCGGGAAGTCACTGTTTTTGCTGCCAGCCCGTCCTGGAACACGTTCTATGCTTGTGCATGCTGTGGCGAGGGAAGAAGAATGATCAAGATCAGTGTTGGTTGCATCTGCGCATTGGGAACGTGTGGGTGGCATCGGGTGTTGATGGAAAAACACCGATGAAAACCCCTTTTCAGACCTTTGGAGACAGAGGCCGAGACTTTCAGACTTCTAGGACAGAGGCGGATCACTCAGCGTGTTGTGTTCCTGCCAAACGTGGTCTGCTTCAGCCGCGGAGAAGAGAAACGCTGACCACAGCGACATGGTCAGCGTTCTCCGGTAACTACTGTACTCCCAATAACGTCGCCTGCATGTCTCCTCAATCACCGCCCAGGCGCTCTTATTAGGTTCTGTATCCGTGTTCAGGGGTCTCCACTTGAGTGCTGTGAAGCGGTGGCTGCCGCACACCGTCGGCCTTTTGTCGCTACGGCCAGTGCCACTTCCTCAGTCGCGTTCGCGGCACAGCTGGCACAGGCTTGTACCGGACTTAACACGTCCTCAATACGCTGGTTCTGCATGCCGGTCACGCGCTTGGACTTGTTGCCAAGCCGTAAATACGGCGGAAATAGGTCCAAAACTCCTCCGGTCACGGACTCCACCGACAACCCCGCCCAGCCCCACCCGTTGCCCTCGTCCGGCCCGGTCAACTCCGGGTCAAGTCATGTCCACCAACAGTGCAGAACAACCTCCCGAGCGGCGACCAGCATAAGACTGCTTACCAACGCGATGGTGTGCGAGCACCTACGGCATGGTCCGAAGTGGTCAGCAGGTCAATAAACTACCGAGCGCACAGAACAACTCACCAGACTGATGCTCGGCATCCCATCGGCATCTTTACAGAGCCCAACGCCGGTGTTCCTGGTATTGCTCTTGTTGACTCAGCCCTGTGTGTAGTGGTCCGGCGCCGGGCCGCCGCAGTTAACACAGGTGTTTCTTCAGTTGAGCCGCGTGAGCGAACGAGCAAATGCGCTTTATGCGAAATATGAACATGTGTTGCATTCGTCTCTCAACCTTGGCATTGTCACATACGACCACCACCTGTTCATTTGTTCTCCATCTGAACGACTGTTGAGGACGACCAACACGGCGACCTTCCCGTTCCCTCCCCCACTCAACTCTCCCCGCCATCTCTGACTGTCGGTGACAGCCGACTCCACGCGCGCACCATGGACGCCATGGGCCCTCTGGATCCCACGGATCCCGTAGAGGACGCTGAGCTGCATCGTCGACTGCACTGCGATGTCGAGGCCGAGGTGCGCAGTGGACTGCACAACGAGACTCAAGCGTACTCGGACGAAAAGCTGCACCACGCCATTTCGCGAGGCTCCAGACGTTCGACCGACCGAGCACCAAGTCCGATGGGCGGACTGGACTACGGAAAGGAGACTTTGCCGGAGGAGGCGGGGAACCCAGACATGGACTGTGGGATCAGCTCCGGTGCCCCAGAATCGCAACATACAATCGTAGAGGAGGTGGACGACGACAAGCCGGTATACGAGGACCCCGGACTGTGGGGGTGGCTCGACTGCCTGGGGACCGTGTTGGTGAATATGATCTGTTGTGAGTGGCAACCAACGAATTTGCCTGTACTCGTGGCTGACGTAGAGCAGATGGCATCACCCAGTCTGTGCGTATTCGACCTCGTGGCGTACATGTAGAATACTAACAACTGCCTCAGTTTGGCGTGTTCCAGGAGTACTACAAGAGCAACCTCTTGAAAGACAGCACCGGCATGGCCATCTCGTGGATCGGTGCTATCCAGTTCTGTCTCTGTCCCATGCTGGGATGTATCGCCGGTCCCCTCTTCGATGCCGGTTACCTGAAACCCCTGCTCATCGCCGGTGGCTCCCTGTACAGCTTCTGCCTGATGATGACCTCCATCTCGACAGAATACTACCAGGTCCTCCTTGCGCATGGCATCGGTGTGGGACTGGGTATGGGTCTCATTTTTAGTCCCTCGGTCAGCACTTTGCAACACCACTTTGGGCGGTCGCGCTACCGTACCCTCGCCTACGGGTTCCAGGCTTCGGGCAGTGCCATTGCAGGCATCTACTTCCCCATCGCGTTCAACTACCTCATCCCCGCCGTCGGTTTCCCATGGACCATGCGCATTTTGGGTTTTATCGTCCTCCTCTTCGTCTCCGCATCATACGTTGTGCTGTCCACCACCGTGCCTCCGCGCAAGGAAATCGCCCTCATGAGCCCCAAAGTGTTCAATAACCCGGCCTACGCCGTGTACGTTGGCGGAGCATGTCTCTGCTCGTTGGCAATCTATGCGCCACAGACGTTCGGCGTGACGTACGCGACGTACCGCGGCGTACCCCTCACCATTGCAAACTATACGTGAGTGCCTTCCCCACCATTCTACATGGCCCATGCTGATCCTTGGCCAGCCCCGCAATCTCCAACGGCGTTTCCCTCATCGGCCGCATCCTTCCTCAAATCATCGCCCAGCGCGTCGGCCCCATCAACGTCTTGAACGTTGCCGCGTGCATGTCTGGTGTCGTCCAGTGCCTGTGGACGCTGACACGCGGAACCGCTGCCATCCTCGTCTACGACGCAATGTACGGTATCGTTTCGGGCATGTACGGCGCCTCCCTCAACCCGGGAGCAGCGACGTTTGCCCCGCACACAAACCAGGCGGGGCTGTATCTCGGAATGTGCTTCTTCACCACCTCCTGGTTCTGGCTCGCTGGTACCCCGATCAGTGCACAGCTGATCGACGGCAAGGGGTCATACCTCGCCGCATCGCTGTATGGCGGCGGCGTGTTGTTGATGGGCGGGTGTCTCATTGGCACCGCACGGTGGATGCGAGGGCGCCAGGTGGGCACTCCTTGGGTCTGAAAGCATCTGTACTTTTATTTCTCTGTATACACTAGAAAAAAAAATCCGGGTCTATGCATGCAGTATTGCTGTTCTCTGTGTGCTAGCTACTACGATACTCCTACTTCCTCACCTCGATACGCTCGATGATACCCTGGCCCATACGCGCAATCTCGGCCAGGATGGCCTTGCGGTTGATGGCCACGAGGGCCGCCTCGCCCTTGGACGGTTCGGCGCTGTACCCGATGAAAGGCTTGAACGCGCGGGGAGCGTTGCGCGCCGGGTTCCAGAGCAGACCGACAGCGCGGCCGCCGTGCAAGTCGTGGAAGACAAGGACCGAGTCACCATATGTCCTCTTCAGAGTGTCGACGAGGAGGGCGGCCGAGTCAAAGCCGACACGAACAGAGGTGCCCGAGACAGACGAGAGGTTACGGAACGCAAGCTTGCTCTCCCACGCCGAAGTGTCGGGGTCGAGGGCCTCGGCGGCACGTGTACCCTCCGTGAGGTGGAGGACGGCATCGTAGTGCTCGAGCGGAGTGGCGAAGAGGGTCGAGACCTCGAGGTCACCCTCGTCCTCGGCCGCGCGCACCTGCGCGAGGGTGGCGCCAGCAAGAGCAGCGACACGGGCAGCGACAACCTTGCCAACACCAGCGGTCCAGCGGGTGCCGCCAACGTCGTTCTCGGTAGCCACGACCCAGGCGGCAGAGTGGACGTCCTTGTCGGCAGCACGGCGCTTCTCAAAGGCAGCGACCACCTCGGCGCGCTTGGCAGCGTCGAACCGAGGACGGCCAGACGCGCTCGCAGCGTCGCGGGTGACAGCCTGGAGAGGCACAAAGGCAGGCTGGGTGTTCCAGTCCCACGACGAAAGGAAGGCGAGGGTGCGCAAGAATCCGGCAGTAGCTGAAGACGGGGTGGCACGCGCGCCAGAGTCAAGGTACGTCCTAGCCACGATGAGCTCAAGCGTCTCCGAGTTCAGGTGCGGGGAGAGGAGGTGCGCGGCAGCCCAACGCTTGAGAATACGAACAGCGGTCGAGAAGCTCGGGAAGCGGTGGTGCATCGGGGCGAGGGAGGCGTGATGAGACGGGGCGTGCTCAAAGCGACGGGTGTGCAGCGCAAGAGCGGGAGTGACCAGGCGACGGGGAGGGGGAGGCAGCTGGTTGGGAATGCCTGGGGGAGGAGGGGCAAGAGCACGCTCGAGAAGAGTCTTCTCGCGGTCGTGGTGGACGCGGATGCGGAACGCCGAGCCGGCAGGAAGGAAGACCTCGAGGGAGGCAGCATCCTCAATCTCGGAAGCGCCGGCGTCCAGGGCAATGTTGGCGCGCACACCACGCATGTGGGTCTCGACGACGCGAGCGAGCTTTTCAAGAAGTGCGAGCTTGAGCTTTTGGATGGCCGCGAGGTCATCAGGCCAGCGAGGCGACGACTCGAACTGAAGGGTCACCTCGGCGACGGGGGTGTACGACAGGCAGGCGGGGGCGCTGGCGGCACGCGCGGCATCGAGGGGGTGGGGAACAAAGGTAGCCGAGTACCGGAGCAGCTCCGAGGCCGGGGCGACGTGCAGGACCGCAAGAGGGAGCTGGTCGTCAACATTCTTGAGGAGCTTGTACAACGCCTCGTAGCCTTCCATGATCGGGCGGAAACCAAACTTTTCAGCGCCGGCAGTGTTGACAGCGTCGCGCGCCGAAGCAGGAACCTGGAGGATGGAGAGCCACTCGGGAGTAGCCGACACCGAGACGGCTTCAGCGCCGAGGTGGCGCTTGACGAGCCACTTGACAGCGAGCGAGGGAATGAGGACAGCGTCCTCGGGACGCGCAACATCCCACACAACCGACTCGGCAATGGAACCGTCCTTGAAGCGGCGGAGGTCGGCACGCTCTCCCCAAAGGTCGCGGAAGGCGGCACCACCAGCCTCGTCGCTAGAAGTGGGTCCCATGTCGAGGATACGGGTGGCATCGGCGCCATTCAGGAGGAGGCCGACAGCAAAGGTCGAGTCGGAGAGAACACGGGTGTGGACGAGCGTGGCGCGGTCAGTGAGACCACGACGCAGAACGTCGGCGGCACGGCGGGCCTGGCGAGCGATGCGGCTGGGCCATTCAGCCTCGTCGACAATCTCAACATCGTCCTCGTCGTTCACAGTGACCACCATGTACTCGTCAAACGAGGCCGGGCCGAGGGTCTGGTCCTGGAGGAAGACCTCGGCGAAGCGGTCGACGTTGGCGTCCTCGAGCATGGCGAGCGTCTCGCGCGCGTGGTAACGAAGGAGCTGAACGTCTCCCTTCTCCCAGTCGCCAAACACATTGACCGAGCCCGTTGGGTCGACAAAGACGTCGCCCTTCTCACCAACCAACTCGCTCTTGGGGATACCTTCGCTGCCACCCGCCATGAACACGGGAGTGGCCTCAAAGTCGGTGTGGGCAAGGAACTCCCATGCCGCGCGGAGAGCACCCCATGCACCAAGACCGCGACCCAGGCCGCGCGAGCGCTTGGTGGCCGCACGGTCGCCCGAAATGCCACCGACCTCGCCGCCGTCGACGACCCAGCCGAGGAGGAGACCGGCAAACCATCCGCTGGCGCCGTGAGCACGGTCGAGGCCGCGGCGAGCGGCCCAGATACGCCACAGAGCGAGGAACTTGGCAGCCACACGGTCGTCGTCGCCAAGGGCCTGAGAAGTGCGGTGAAGATGCAACAGGTGGGCCTTTTGCAGAGTGTCGTGAAGGATGGAGGTCGAGCACTGGGGAGTAGGGTTCGACTCGTCGTCGTCGCCGCCGCTGCGAATGAGCGTCTTGGAAGGGTAGAGTGTCGACAGCTGGAAGGTGTCCTGGGGAACCGAAGCGTGGACGCGGATGTCAACCGCGTGCTTGAGTCCTTGTGCTGAGGGGTTAGCTAAAACAATTCGTCCCGAGCAACGCACCCTTGCCAGCGGCGATGGAGATGATGGGGCGGCGGTCGTCCGCGTGCTCCCACTCGATCTCGACGCCGTGAAGAGGCGAGTCCGTCTTCTTGGAAGCCTTCTTGAGGGCATCCGCAATGACAGCGAGGTAATGTGCGCGCTTGTGGAAGTAGCGGTATGCCATGCGGTCCTTGGGGGAAAACATGGTCTGGGGCATCACCACGACAATGTCAACGTTGCCAGCCTGGCCCTTTGCCTTCTTGTAGCCGCCGCACACGGCCCACGAGCCTGCAACAACGACCTCGGCGGGAGCCTCAAACCCAAGAGTCCACTGGACAGCGACATCGCCCTTGATGGGGGACAGCTCCTTGGGGCCGGGGAAGGGGATGGGAGTGCCCTTGAGACGCGATGCGGCCTTGCGAGGCGCGACGGCAGGGAGGGTAGGGATGGCGTGCACGAGGTCGTGGACGGCGCCAAGAAGAGTCTTGAGCGCAGGGGCAGGGGTAGTGGGGAGGAGAGTCGACTTCAAGAGCTCGTCGAGCTGGAGGGAGAACTTGTTGCCGCCCGACGCCTCGGCGGCACGCAGCTCGTCGAGTTCAGCGAGGGTGGGGGCGGCGTACAGGTTGCGCGAGCGGGAGGGGCCGGCGGCGGCGGGCTGAGCAGGCTCATCGCCAAACTCCTCCACACCATCGTCCTCGTCCATCTCCTCGTCGACATCCTCGTTCTCGTCGTCGTCGTCGCTGTCGTCGTCGCTGACCTGCTCGTCGATCATGGGGTCGTTGAGGGTGCTGTTGGCGGCAAACGCAGCCTCCTCATCCTCAATGTCCGACTCGGGCTGCGCCTTGCGAGCCTGCATGTTAGCGCTGAGCAATAGCTATGTACACACCTTCTTGGGAGCCTTTTCTGACCCGAGAGACTTGCGCTTGGGTGCCATGGTGGATGTTGTGTTGTATTGAGTGTGGCCAAATGGAAATTTCAACTTGGGTGGAAACGAGGCCCCGCAAAATCTGACCCTGACGGGGGTGCGCGGCCGTCGCCTTCGACCCATGTCCTCGACTTTTGTTGCCATCTCGTTCCGACTTTTACGCAACATCAACACCATAACCATGTCTTCCACCGACACCCCACCGCCTGCAGCGGTTCCTGCGCACGTCCAGGCGATGGACGACGATGACCCCAAGGAGTACAAGCCGAGCCCCAAGGTCGCCGTTGTCGTGGCCGGCGCTGCCGTACGTTCCAACGTGTCTTGCCTCCCGTGTCGGTTCTGACAATCGCAGTTTGCACTGACGACCGGTTTGACGCTCATGGTCTTCCCGTTTGTGAGGCAGGCGGCCAAGATGTCCCAGAGGACCGAGTTCATGTCGCACGCACACCGCTCCAGGCCATTGAGGACTCCCCGTGTTCCCATCCAGGCCGCACCTCTCACCACCACTGCTCCTGCACCTGCTCCTGCTCCTGCTGCACCCGCCCCCGCTTTGGTAGCTCCCGCAGCCCTCACCTCAGCGTCCACCTCTACTCCTATCGCTACTGTCCCACAATATGAACCGGTCCACCCCGTTCTTGAGGCTGCCCGTGAATTCAACGACAAGGAGGAGGACTCGCTCTGGGGTCCGACCATTGTCGACGAGGAAGGCAAGGAGGTCGAGCCCGCTTCTCCCTTCCTCGGCATCCAGGCCCTGGGTATCGCAACAGCACTGGTTGGTGGATTCACCGCCCTTGGCGTGTGGGTGACTGCCAAGGTTCTCGGTGTCAGCAGCGTGAGTTCAACGGGCGAGCGGGTCTTAACGAGTCCACAATCATCCCGTTTACCAGTGCTTATTCAATGCGTGACTGACTTTTCAGATGGAGGAGTTTACGGCCAAGATGCGCGAGAACGTGGAAGAGTCCATGCCCGAGTTCATTGAGAATGTCCGCCGCGAGAGCGAGGAGCCTGCCCCCGAGATCCCGGACCTGCTCGACCGGAAGGGTATCGATCTGCACGAGGGCAAGCTCTACGCATTTGTCAAGAGCTGGGGCTACGGCGACGAGGACAAGTAGGCACAGACATAGAGGACACGGACAGGTTTTTTTACACATGGCATTGCATAGCGATATATATCAACAGACACGGGCGGGGCTCGGCCCCCTCCTTGAATGGCTTGTTGTAAGACTTCTGACCTTTTTTGACAACGTTCCTCGTTCTCGTTTTGACTTTGGGTTGCAGACTTCTGATCCTCTCTTCATCCCTTGGTGTACTCTACTCGTTGACCAAGGCAGCGCCCGCCACCCCTGCCTGGCCGTCCCCTTTTCTTGACAATGTGGCGGCATGTCAGCATCCGCTTGTGGCTCCCTCGGCAGCAATGGTAGTGGCTACACGTGTGGTGACCAAGGTCCCCTGATCCTGAAGAATCGGAAAGAAGAAAAGCGTGCAGAAGTTTAGTCGCGGCCGTCCTGTTCACCGTCAGCTCCAAGGTTGTAGGCTGTCTGAGCCCACCTGGTGCATCTGCTGGAGGTCACCAAAGTTCTTGCCTCCTGTGACCTTGTGGTTCTTGCTCTTGGGGTCGCGGGGCTTGGTCTTGGAAGGGTCCTTGCTGGCCTGGCCTGTCTCCGCCGACGGAGGGTGGATCGTGGATGGATTGCCCGCCTTGTACAGCGGTCCCTCGGTCTCGGGGTTGGCCTTTGCGTGCGACTCCATGTGGACGGCACGGGCGGCGACAACGCGAGGGAGGACCAATGCTGGGCGAGCGGCAGTGCGGAGAGTGAGTGCAAGCATTGTGGATGGGGTGTCTCAAGAGTCGTGGTAGCTTGTGTGTGTGGTGGACGATGAACGGCGCGGTATGGAGCGGTCTGGGGTGGTGTATGAGATCTACTGGGAAGTGGGGGGGCTCTCTGGTGGCCGAAATGCTTCTTCAACTTCTCCCACCATATATAGTCCGTCGGTGGGGGGGGCTAGTGGCCATACCCGACAACCGAGAGCACGGTGACCGAGCACACGTCTGACCGGCGGCTCCGCAGTGTGTGTGCAGTGTTCTGGCAGGAACAGTAAGCCGTACCCCGTCGTACCGTCGTCTTTGTCTTGGAGCGCAACGGCGTCAGACGACTGCGGCATTGGCGGCAAGGGGTGGTGTCCGAGTGCCAATGATGCAACAGACCCCATGACGTACACTGCCAGACCTTTTTTGGCGGGGGTTTGCATCTCAGCTGACCTCCAAGCACCGGCCGACCCGAGTCTGATAGGCTGCTGCCCGCGTCTGCCCGCATGCCCATGGCGTGATAAGACGATAAGGCCTCGGTAGCGATGCGTAAGCTCTGCAGGATGGGTGGGTGGCGAAAAGAGTTGGAACTTTGTTCCACACGCGACGTGTCGTCTGCGTGGTGCCGGACCATATCAGAAAGAGGGCACTCCTTGGTTGTGCCAGATGCCATGTCATGCAGTGCACCGTGCGCAGTGGGAAATAGTGATACGCGATTGCCTGGGAACAGTGAAAGGAACTGGACACACAGCTGGCAGAGATAGCAACCACCCAACCGTACATGGGGGGTTACTCCATGGATCCATGGGATCAACCATTCCTGTGATTCTCAGGCCGCTCCACACGACAATCGCCACCGCCGAAGCAAATGTATCTTTTAAAAGCTGGAACTTTTGACTCCAGCGTTCGGTGACGTCGGCATAGCTCAGATCCATATCATAGATCTGATGCTTCGGACCATGCATACCATCCTGTTCGGTTCTCCGGTTGGCACTTTGCAAAGGACAGGGAGTACGACCTCCCTCACAGGTGGCGATTCGATAATCAGCCCACCTCGGTGCCTCTTCACGTCCAGAAACGTCAGAACCCTCCTTTGTCTGGCATTAGTCTGGGCGTACAACTTCGAGTGTCAGGAGCTTTGAGCCTGCTGGGGAGGCCAGAGGTACCGAAAGATGGGCATGGCAATGACGGAGGATGAGGATGGGACGGGATGGTTATGCAAACGTCACATGATGTATCGGGCGTGCCTTGATTGAGAGGCCACTGCTGGATGCTGGATATCCACTCCATACGAGTGGCGTCTAGAACTGCCGAGCTACCCGACTCACCGTGGAAAGGGGCTTGGCGCCGGCACTCGTATCGACAGCATTGAAATCCCGGCTGGCACCATGAAGGGACGTTGCAGGTGGCTCGGGTGATCGTGCGATGGGTCGTTGATACAGTATGCAGACTGACAGTCATGTCATCACTTACGCGGGTTTGGCACGCGTGGCCCAGTATGTATTAGGGGTGTACCATGAGAAACACACTGCTCCTCCACTAGTCAATCGCGTTAACTTGCGTTTGGTGGGTCCGGGGTTATCCGTTCTGGCGAGAAACCCATAACGCCATGATCTGGCGCGGAGACCTGGTCCTAGTTCGTTTCTCACCTTGGTGGCAGGGGCGTAAGCCCCAACAACTCCTTCCTCCTCGCCCACGCTGTTCAGTTGTTTCACGGACCTGCAGCCATCCACAGCGTACATACAGCAGCGACTCAAGAGTTGCATGAAGGCATACAGGCATGGAAACGAGAAGCAGCCACCTCACTATATCTCGGGCGAGGCGGCACCAGGACAGTGGCCGACTGACGGTTCACTGCCAGAGTCTCCTTGTGCGGCCTCCCCAACAACAAACAGCATAGGAGATGGCAAAAGGAACACGCTCTCGCGCGCTTGTTCGTCTTTAGACGACGCTGGAGAGATTCGAACTCTCGAGTGCAAAGCACATTACCTGTCATGACACATAGCAAGGTAACCCGATAACCACTACGGGACAGCGCCCTTGCTGTTCGGGGGTTCATCAGTGAGAATATATATAGCTAGCCATTTGCACTCAAGTTTGGGTCACTCGACGGCTCAGAGTATGCCTCTCCGCCAGGTCTAGACGCCTACATTGGTCTATGTTTGAGCGTCCAGGAAGAGCAGAATGGTCGCAAAAGCAGTGTGAACGTGTTGCGCGTCGCAGCTCTGTAAATGATTCAACGTGTAACGTGTCTCGTATTCAGCGTCAGCCGTGATCTGCGAGTAACTGCAACGACTTGAAGTCTAGCTCCAGCACTCGATAGCCAGAGAGAGCAGCACAATGGTTCTTGAACTCTGAAACCCTCAAGACAGTAGACACTGAGATCTCGGAGGGGGGGCACCGGAGCGTGGCGCTGACAGAGAACTGACATGGGGCATTGCAACACACAGTTCGCATCCCCCATGCTCCTCCGGGGGACAAGCATGAGCGACCCATGGCCATCCTTGCAGTAACCTGGAATAACGTCTACAGTATGCAACCTCTCGTCGAGGAGGTGGCACCTCTGCGGAGCCATGGCACTGTGGTGTAATCCCGTTCGAAATTGGCTTTTCGCCCATCGCCCATCGTCCTCGCTGATCGTCCTGTATCTATGCCAGTTTCACTGGCCGGTGACTGCACAACTCCTGTTATGAGTAACAAGGTCTCTAATTATGACCTTAGTTCGGGATCAGTAGATTAGAGACGCAAATATGGTAAGCTGTTCCGAAGGAAGCCTGCGGGAGTTATTCTCCCGCGCTCGGCTTCCGCCACAGAGCGAAAGGTGTGGTCACCGCACGACCGACTGCTGCCCCCGATTCCGAGATACCACCACCCCTATTCATTGCAAGAGGGAATTTAACAATGTAGGCGAAAAGGCAGCACACATACCGGTGGCTCTACGACCTTTCTCGGCCCAACAATGGCGTTTTACGGCACCTTTCCAGTCTTCGACAAGTCTGATGACAGCGCGATGAGAGCCTCGACGCGAACCTCTCTCAAGCCCGCAATGCTTCACTGATCCTCTTCGTACTTTGTACAGACCTAGTAGTCGTATAGGGTTTTCGATAGCCCCTCGCAGATTGCACATACATGCATGGGGGCGTCCAAAAAGCATGATCTACTGTCGTAGATCATCAGCAACCCACTGTGGGGATCGAACCCACGATCTTGTCCTCGTTTTCTGGTGCACAGGACGTCCTGCGTCCTAGGAAAGACACGCCGTACCACTGGGCCAAGCGGGCGAAGCACGTGGTTTTGCGCCCCAGCAAGAGCGCCTTCGGATAGGCAGGAGGCGAGAATACGCCACTGAAGATGTGGGGGGGGAGATAAACACTTTTGCGCCTGTATCTTCTTCTACATGGCCGACGCTGCACGTGTGATACCTTTAAGGTGCTCTCAGATGTTCTGAGGACCCACATGCAAATTTTGGTAAGGATCTGAGCGGCGGTTGACGAGAAACATGGGCCGGAGCAGAAGAATGTCCGTGAGGGCAGGAGGATGTTAGCAATCAGTGGCGGCGCTCACTGGGCGGGGCTCGGCAGGTCACAATCAGCGAAGACTGCCTGCTACGACTTCTAATATGCATACATGCATGCATGTCGGCGACCAAGTACTGTGTGAGGTTCATTCATGGATGCGGGGGTGGGTGGGCACAAGCATGAAGACGGGTGGATGCATGATGAAGAACACACCCCAGAATGTGGCCGCCACGAGCATCACACTCATCTCTACGGCCTCAGCTGCCTCACTAGTAGCTCACAAACCCGAGTTCCCACATGGAAAGTCATTGGATGTTCACATCACTCATGGTGAATATACATGTCATGCTATGCTAATGCTAGGTATACACAAGCGCACAAGCGCCGTCATGTCTTCATGCCACCATCTAGTCCGAGTCCAGACTAATGGCGCTCTCACGCGTGCTGCCCTCATTCTTCTGGCCACCCGCAGGGAGCGAACGGCCACCAGGCCTCTTCACCTTCTTTTCCTTTGGCGCGTCCTCGTGGGCACCGGCTGGTCGCTTGATCCTGCTGCTGTAGGTCTTGGAGTCGGTGCGATTACTGCTGCCAGCCTTGGTGGCCTCGGCCTCAGGGCCACGCACACTGGTCTTAGGGGCGGTAGGTGGATGGTTGCCTGTCGACTTGCGGGCCATGGACTTCTTCTTGACCGAGGGCTTTGGGGGCACATACTCGTCATCGGCATAATCGTCGGTGTCATCGATTGAACGCGCCTTGGTACGAGTCACGCGTGGGGAGCGTTGCGAGTGGGACTTGGTCGGGGACTGGGGAGCGGATTTGACTCCCGTGCCGGGTGGGGAGGAGAACAAGTCGTTGAGGCTCGCGTTGCTGGTATCCGCCTGCTGACGGGCTGGGGTCATCGGACGCTTGCCTCGTTTGCCTTGCTCGTCGTCAGAGTGCGAGTTCAACAAGTTGCTCCCGTCGCCCTCATCTTGGCGCGGGGAAGCGACATCTTCAGCAATGGTGGGCTCTTCAGCAATGGTGGGCTCAACGTGAGTCGGCCCGACGTTGCTCTGGTCTGGTTCACCCTTGGAGTCGCCCGACGCAGAGCTGTGGCGGGAGCTCTCAGGAAGTGAAGTCGATTGAGGGCTTGATGGGCTGCGAGACTCGACTGTTGCTGGTGCGTGGTGACGAGAGTGATGCTGCATCTTGCCCAGGCTGTTACGCCCCTTCTCGCGTCGAACTGGTGCAGTCGGGTGGGAAGGACTATCGTTGCGACCCAAGCCGGCAAAAGGCGAAGGCGGAATGGGGGCAGACGGGCCGGCGGGGTCGGATGCCGGGTCTGGCCTAGGTGATGCCGCTTGCTTGGGCCGAGGCGATGACGCGTGGTGCTTCCGTTGAGACATTAACTCGTGCGGCGTGGTCACCTGGAAGGTGGAAGGGATACCTCTCTTGAGATGAGGCCTGGTCTTCTCTCGATCCTCGTTCTGTGCTGCCTTCTTCGACTCTTCAATCTTGCCAGCAATGTCGATTGCGACATCCGAGTCCGAGTTGCAATTGCCTTCCGAAAAGGTCCCAGCCTCGGCACGAGCAAGTGGGTCGTTCAAGACGTCGATCGGAATCTCATGTGCCAATTCAGCAACGACAGTATCGGGAACACTGTCCTCGACTGTCACTGGTTCTTCTTCTGACTCGGAATCGGAGAGCACCGCAAGTGGCTGGGTGTTGTGCTTGGGGCGGGGCGGGGACATCTTTAACAGGTGGTGTTGCGAAATGTCCGCAATGGATGGTGGCTCATCGGCAGTGTCGAGGTCGTCAAGTGCCGGTGGCGGTGGGCTACCTTTAACCGGCGAAGTGACAACTACAGAGGCCTGCGAGCCTGGAACCTCGGGGACCGACTCCTTGGATGCCGCACCCAATGCTTCTTGCTTGCTCACGTACTTGGCAGTGAGGTCGTCGATAGTGAACGCCCAATCGGTGCGGAGCTCCGCGGTCTTGTTCTGCGCCCAGACCTTGTCGCGCTCGATCGTCCATGCCTGCCTCTCGGGGGCACTGGGCTTGGGCGGCACTTTCTGCCTGGTCAGCTGCAAGTCACGATGGGCCTCGAGACTCACTCCTGCAAACCCCAGGGTGCCTTCTGGATTCTTCAGAAGCATGTGGACGTAATGGATGAGAAAGACGCCGCAGTCGGAAAAGTTGGGTTGCTGAGGAACCTTGACGTCGACGTAGTGGGCAGGGGTCATGTCATGCGAGATACTGAGCTTGTCTCTCGCCTCAAACTCTAGCCAACGCCTGAGGGTGTTACCCACAGCCTTGTGGGGTGAACCAAGGGAATCAAACGTCATGATCCAGGTTCTGTGCGTCAGCTAGTGCCATGCACCTGATGCTTACTCGTCGCTGTTCCAGATTTGACGATCAACCAGTTCGGGGGCCTTCGGGGTAGCAACTACGTCGGCCTTGGGGGACGGTCCACGTTCAGACTCGAGCTGCGCGAGAGCAACAGGATTGTCCTGGTTTATGATCATCTGAAAGTCGAAGCTCGCGATCGGCTGAGGAGGAGGAGAGATCTCTTGAGGAGACGGAGCCCGAGAAGGAAGAGGCAGGTCCACCGACTCGCGCTCGGCCATGCGCTGCTCTTGGCTCAGTGAGAGCTTTTCAACATGACCCACGAGAACTTCCGAGTCGGAGGACACGGCAGTGGGGTCGATCTCAATGGCGTCGCCGTCACCTCCCTCGGAGTCGGAAAGGACAGTAGGGCGGTCGATCTCAATGGCGTCGCCATCACCTCTCTCGCTCATCACGTCCAGAGGGTCTTTGGAGTTATCACCGTCCTGCGCCTCTTCGGCTTCTGCAGTTGGTGATTCCATGTGAACAGTTGGAGTTGTCTGGGACGAATCGATATCGTCCTTGGTTGAGATATTATCGTTGGGCAACGCGTCATCCCTGGGTGATGTAGTGTTGGAAGGTGCGGCGCTGTCCTTGGTCGACGTCACATCGTCCTCGGCAACTGTGGCGGCAGCGGCACGCGTGACGGGACGATCGGTCAGATCATCAGCCTCGACCACCGCTTTGGGCTTGAGAATACCCTTGGGGTTGTAAATGACGGCGAGGAACCAGTGGAACGACTCGTTGATAGGCACAATGAGGAACTGCTTTTCGAAGACCTTGGCAGTCTTGGTCCACTTCTTGACAGTATCGTACGCGGGCCAGTGGTCATCGGATGCCTTCCTAAAAGGAGTTAGAGATGGAATGACGACGGTCACTTACGTCTTGTCTTTCTTGGCTAGACGCTCATAGAAGAATGAGTTGAACATGTGCACGTGCACATCAGGAGTGCGCTCGACAGCCTCATTAAGTGTGAAACGCAAGCCAAACTCGAGGAAGACGTCGTTCAGGAAGTCCCCGTCTGTAAGACGGTACTTCTCGCCCTTGGTGATGTTGACGTCTACGCGGCCTTCAGGTGGATAGGGGAACAGGCTACATACATCAGTTCTGATGTGACGGAATTTAGCTTACAGGTCGTGTTTGTCGAGACGAGGAGATTTTCGGTGAGGCGGAGCAAGGGCGGTAATATCAGAGTCATCAGGCTCTTCCTCCTCCTTCTCCAAATACCGCGAGGGGTGTGGGGCGCCAGAGGCCCGGGTGCTGCGTCGAGGCCGGGACATGACAGTGGTGCTGTTGCGGTCCGTACCACTATGAATCTGTCAGACGAGCAACCAGTACTAATGGTACTTACAATGAAAGCTTGGACTGGCGGCCGTCTTGATCCCTCTCCCTCTCCTTCCCTTTACCCTTGGCGTGGAAGGCATCCGAGTCCGTCCTCGAGCGACCGCCGTTGGATGAATGTGCTGCACGAACAAGTGCGGCTTGACTCGCATGAGAGGCCGCCGCACTCCTTACCGGACGAGGCCTGATGGATGGTTCGTCGTGGAAGTTTGCAGGGTTGTTGTACACAGTACGGAAGGTCGCAATAGCACTCGCACTGGGACATCAGCACGGATTAGTGCTTAAGCAACCTTTCAACGCACTCGACGTAATTTAACCGTTGCGCGCAGTCTTCCTGGTCCACGTCCCTGCGGAGCAGGTCATTCTTGAAAAGATCAATAAGACGCTGTAGAAGTGGCGCGCTCGCCTGCTCCGAGGCAAGGTGGAGATGTATTGACGTGCAGTTTGTAAAGGCTGGCGTTCAGTGAAAGTACTGGAAGATTGAACTCACTGGTTTCTCGCCTCTGGTCAACAACGTTGAACAAGCTCTGGAGTTCTTGGGTCCAGAGTTCTGTCTTCAACAAACAGAATGGGAGGGCGCGTAGGTTCCTGGACACCTGATTGTCAGCCCACATACAATCGCTACAGCGAAACGGACCTCAATTTCCTGCACACATGCAATGGGAATGGCCGCCATGGCCGACACACCGTTGGAATCGGCCTTGCGGTGCAGTTCCAGGAGGCGGCTTGTTGCGTTGAGCGATACAGCGCTCAGTCTGGCCTTATAGTTCGTGCCGTCCTCGTCCACTAGGAAGCAGAATTCAACTGCCGCGGGCACGTAGTTGCTGACGTTCGATGATGGGATGTTGATGAGTCTTCTCGGTTTCTGGAGCGGCGGTACGGACTCGGCTTGGGCCGTAGTGCCGTCCTTCCTTTGCATAGCCCTTTTCTTCCGATTCGCGCCTTGGCCGGATGGCGCAGCAAAGGAGGAGGAAGTCGTCGCCGCCGCCAACGGCTTTCGTACCGTAGGGCCCCCCTTGCCTTTGGACTGGTCAGGGATCTCGGGATTGTCTGGGGTAGGCGTGAACTGTTCGATGGGTTCCTCCGGTTCTGGACGGTCCTCGACGGGCTCTTCTTCCTCTTCATCGGAGTCAGAAACAAGCCTGGATGAAAGGGCACTGTTCAAAACAGTGCGCTTTGTGGGACTGGACTGCGTGTGACCATTGGCTGGGTGCCCCCGATGGTTGGAATGGTTCGAGTGGTTGGTCATAGACGGCCTGCCCACTGTGCTGCTGTTGCCATGGTGTGGAGCGTGCTCGGCAAATGAGTCGCTGCGTGTTCGCGGTGGAGGTTGGTTCTCCTCGCCAGACGAGACGCTTAAGCAGGTAGGGGTTAACTTGCGGCTCTCTCGGGAGCTCTTGCCAGCGTTCGGTGGAAGCTCATCTGCCTTAGAACGCTCACGGCGTTCATGGTTAAGCTTTGGGCGAAGAGCGGGCAAGGCCGAGGCGACCTCGGTCGGAGGGGAGGAGGGAGGGAGTTGGCGGCGTCGTTGGCGAGAGGGACCGGGCCGAGGCTCCTCGTCGTCGAGATCGTTGTACATTTCCTCGTTCGCGTTCTTGGGCGTTGATGGTCCCCACATCTCTGGAAGTTGATGTTGCTGCCCGGAGCGAGACGCAGGACGGCCTGGGTCGAGATTCGAGCGGCGAGGCTGGCGCATCTCTGGCCCATAATCTGGTGACGACCTGCGTGGTTCACGCTGCCTCTTCGATGGGCCAGTATGAGAGACCGCAAACGGTGAGCTGTTGTTCTTGCTCTTGCCCTTGTGCGCCTTCTCTGCTGCTAGTCTCTGCTCAAGTCAGCTCATGTTTGAATGTAAACGGAGGAGGTGCGTACCACGGCCCTGCCTTCCCTGCGCGAAGTTAGTACGTTGACATTGAACGGGCGCGCCGTGATGCTCACCTCTCGAGGCCAAAATGTGGCTTCCTCACGCCAGCCTTGTGTACCTCGTCGGACCCCCCTTCCTCTCCCATACTCGCCTCCCTGCTGGTCTGCCGGCTGGGTTCTCGGTGGACGGAGTTGTATTCCATCCTCTGAGCCGGAGGGGGATTGGCGAGGTCGTCAAGCTGCGCGTTGGTGAGCTTGAGTAACTGTGGGAAGCAAGGGCGCTTAACACGTACTGCTTGATTATGCAGCGTCCAACGTCATGTCGCGGCCAGCGGCAGGTGAAGCAGAACAGACGGACGGAGAATGGGAGGAAGAGGTGGAGGGTGCGAAGGTTCGCGGACGGTAGTAGCGGCAGAACTGGCAGGGGGCGGGGACCAAAGAGGTGTGCTGTTGGAGACTGGGAAGGATGGGGGGGTTGTGACAGAGGTCTGGAGATGGGGTGTGTGCGATAGGTGTGGCCGGTGTGCGAGGGAGAATGGGCAGTTGTTGATGACGAGTTATCCGGTAGGGGCGCGGATGGGATCTTGGTGAGCGCGTCGTCGGGCGACCATAACCATTAGGGCAAATGAAATATTCAATTTGCCACCGGTGGCGTTGACTAACCCGTCCACTAATCCTCAATCACCCATCCACCCACACCCCAGCCAAACATCTGCCAACTCAAGCTCCCCATCAAGTGACCCTGTGCATTGGTGCATCTCAAAGGTCATGCAAGAAGACTCTCTGCCAGATGCAGGCCCGTCAGAGCAGCTCGAGCAGTCGGCATGGCCGGCCCCGCCCCAATACAACTGGTCGGCTTCTCCGGGCGTCATGACGTCGGTTGACGCTACAAATCTCAGCTCAGAGGTGCAGGGTTGTTTCTTTCGCAGCGCACGATGGTATGTAGATGGATGTTGTAATATGTGGTAGCTATCTGACTCTTCAAGGACGGCAGACGCGAGCTCTGTGCTTACAACGGCAGAGGACCGTGTGCTGAGGGTGTACGATATGTGCGTGACACCACCCGAGTCGACGAACTGACCTCCGCAGTGTCTACGACGGCGACGCACCTTGCTTTTCAACTGCACGCGAGTTGCCTCAACCTGATGCTATCAATGCTGCACTGTGGTACCCATCAGCGTCAGCCCATGCTCCCGAGACCTTTTGCTTTGTAGCCAGCACTCGAGACTCGCCAGTGCGGCTGGTTGACGCTGGCGATGGACGAGTGAGCTTCCTCAATTGACTCGGACCCAACCTAACAGCCAGATACGCGCTTCGTACCCCATTGTGGATCATCGAGAACGCTTCATCTCGCCTCATAGCTTTGCGTTCAACACCACGGCCACTAAGTGAGTTGGCTCGCTGATTCCTTGCTGACCCCGAGACTGTATTGTGGCTTTGAGAACGCCATCGAGGTCCTGGACATTGCCAGCCCAGGCTACCACAACTCGGACCGGCTAAAGATGGGCCTTACTCGAAAGGAGAAGGGTGGTCAGAAAGGTGAGCTTGTCTGGCCTGGTATGACGTTAACGGCAGGTATCATCTCGGCTCTGGCATTCAGCCAACACATGCCTGGTGCCTTCGCCGCAGGATCGTTCAGTGGCTCGGTCGTCCTTTACGACGAGGACACCGGTAACCGAGCCGCAGGCCACTTGTACGGTGTCGAGGGTGGAGGCGTGACTCAGCTCGTGTACCATCCCTTGGACCCCAATACGATCTTTGTCGCCTCGAGGAGGTCGGATTCGTTACAGGCGTATGATCTTAGGGACACGTCGCAGCCCGTTGCACGCCTGGAGCGACCAACGTCGACCAACCAGCGGATTTGGTTTGATGTGGATCCATGGGGACGCTGGCTGGCGTCTGGAGATGAGGTGAGCTCGGTATTGGACCGCCAACTGACGAGAAGAACGGCACAGTGCGGATCTGGGATATCGGGTCGCCCTCGTACGATGCCGTTGCGGACCTCAAGCTTCACAATGGTGAGGTCGTCCCTTGCATTGTCCACAACTAACCTCTTCCAGACGCCGTCAACTCTGTCCAGTTTCATCCCTTCAAGCCACTCCTTCTCACCTCGGCTGGATCGCGAGCCTTCCTCCAGAGCGAGGACCTCGAGTTGTCATCTGACGAGTCCGACTCGGACTCGGACTCGAACGACGAGCCAGCACCCATCTCAATCAAAACGGGACCCAAGGACAGCCGCATGGCCATCTGGTCCATGGCAGCATAAATACTACTGTAGCATAATGCAATCTCTCTCTCTCTCTCTCTCTCTCTCTCTCTACCTTCTACTGCCCTCCTTTGCTGCCCAACTTGGCGGCGAGCACGAGTCCGCCGAGGGAGAGCATGATGAGGGTAAGGCTATACTTGATGAGTTTGTCTCCCATGGACTGTTGGGGTTCGCCGAGCCTGACGGCGTCGCGGCACGCCACTTCGAGTTCACGGCCGAGCGTCTTGGAGCTGAAATGGTCCCGCACGCGCTTCTTCGCCGCCTCGGCCACCTTGGCACGCTGCTGGTCCGAAACGTTGATGAGCGAGGCGAGGGCCGGTGCCCATTCGTCCGCCGTGGGCGAGCGGAGGAAACCCGTGCCATTACCTGTGTCGTCCTCAAAGTCGACAACTGTCTCGGTGGGGCCGCCGGTGTTGCACGCCAGAACGGGGAGACCGCACGCCATTGCCTCGATGGGGACGATACCAAAGTGCTCGTTCGTGGGCGTGTACAAGAGCGCGAGGGTGTGGGGAGAGAGAAGGAGGGCCGAACGCTGCTCGGTCGTAAAGTTCAAGATGAACAGGACGTCGACGTCCTCGGCTGGCGCAGCTGCGGTGGGCGAGGTGAGGATGTGGTAGGTGAGGCCGAGCTTGTCACACACGGCCTTGTTGGCCTCCAGGGTGTCGACGTTGTCGTCCATCGAGTCGTCGTAGCCGCCTCCGATGACGAGGCGGAGCGCACGTGCAACGTCGGCCGGGACCAGCCCACCGTCCTTGATCCTGGCAAACGACTCGATGGCGAGCGCAACATTCTTCTTTGCCTCAAAGCGGTTAAAAGACACCACAGTTGGACGGCCACTGGAGGTCAGCTTTCCGCTCACGATTTCTTAGCTCACGAGACGACAAGGTCCACGCCGTCACCAGCCTTGGCCTTGGCCTTGCCCTTACGAGCGGTGGTGCCCTGGTACGCGTCCACATCGATACAAGGGTAAACAACTCGTGGTGGGTTCTTTGCCAGAGAAGGAAAGGCAGCAGAGTAGACGCGAGACGAGAACTTTGAGTTGGCAAGGATGACATCCGATTGACCTGGGAGTTAGTTCGGCTCCTGACGCCCCAACTCACCAGTTGTGACCTCTTCGAGCTTGTCAATAGGCCAGCGGTAGGCACGCTTGAGCAAGCTGACACCCTTCTGGCCACCGAGACGCGAGAGGTCCACACCGCCAGCGGCACTGTCCTCAGTGATGCCCCAGCCGCCACTGAGGAGCTTGTCGGGGAAGTGGCAGTAAAAGACCACTGGCGTGCCAGTGAGAAGGCGGATGAAGGGGACGCAGACAGACTGCTGGTCCACGATAAAGACGTCGAAGCGTCCCAGAGGGGAAAGTGGGTTAAGTGGTGTCGCTGGGGAAGGGAGGACCTGCGAGAACCACAAAAGGAAGGTAAGAAGAATGTTGCGCAGGATGGAGAAGACAATGGTCATGGGCAACCGGGGGTGCAGGCTGCGTGGCAGTGACGAGCCGAGGACATGGACCGGGAGGGTGCCTGCTGTCAGATCAATCTACAAGAGAGTGGAATCTCACCATTACGAGTCTCCTCAAAGCACCTTGCCGGGTCGTGTCGCGATGTGAACATGACGACCTCGTGGCCCAGCTGCTGCAACGCGACAGCGGCGTCTACAACGAGTCGCTCCGCTCCGCCTGAATGTCAGCTGCGTCTTCAAGTTTTTTGGCTCACCAATTCCAAGATCTGGGTGAATGAACCCTATCCTCAGCTTCTTGCTGGCCACAATGTCTGCCATGGCGGATGTTGAATGGTTGCTGGTAGTTGCAAGATAGTCAAGGATGAAGCAGGTCACTGCGGACATTGACAGCACGGCGCCGGTGGAGGTATTTAGCAGGGAGGATTGAATAAACTCGGCGAGCGAGATTTCGTCAAGGTTGCTTACAACTCTTGAGTCTTGCCACCTGCTTTGCTCCATTCCATCACCGCTACAGCAGTCATGGCAGCAACAGCAACAGCTGCCTCGACCTCGGCAATCCCCGAGATTACCATTCTCAAGCGCCACCGCGAAGATTTGCCGCTGGCCCAGAACAAGTTCCTCAAGAAGACAGCAAAGGGCAAGGTCCTCCAGTGTGAGTCATACTCTGCCCGTCAGTTCGGCCGGCACACTTGCTAAAGCTCTCCAGTCCTTCGTGAACGCTACGTCCGTGACGACATTCCCTGTGGTTTTTCTGCGTGCGCTCTCTGTAATGAGTTCCCGGGCTACCGCGCCGTGCTTCCCCAGCGCGGCTACGCGCGCCATTCCAAGTTCACTGGCAAGAATGGCCACTGGCTCGTGATTGACACCAACGTTGTGCTCCACCAGGTATGCCACTATTGGGCGTGTTCAACTTTGGCTGACATTTCAGATGGACTTGTTGACGGCGCTGCCGCCCCAGCTTCCCATTATTGTTCCCTCCACCGTCATCCGCGAGACGCGCCACCGCTCCCTGCCCTTGTTCAACCGCCTGCAGCAGCTCGTCCTGGACGAGGACCGCTGTGTGTGGGTGTGGTGGAACGAGGAGAGGCGTGAGACTGCGACATTTGGTGTTGAGGAGAATGAAGTGGTCAACGACCGCAACGATAGGGGTGAGTTGGGCGAACAATGGGCCGATCTGACATTGTTTAGCAATCCGCCAGACTCTCCACTTCTACCCCAAGCACCTGTCCGAGTCGGCCCATGAGGCACCCGACCTTATCCTCCTTACCGATGACCGTCGGAACCGCGAGCTCGCAAATGCCGAGGGTCTCATTGCCACCAGTACCCGTGACTATGTCGACGGCCTCCAAGGCGAGGTTCGCGACCGCCTCGTCGACCTTGTTGTTGGTGGTGTCGATGAACGCGAGCCGACCGACCGTCGCGCAAGGCGCATTTACGATGAGGTGGGTGTCGTAGGGTGACCAAGATCTAACCCAACAGTACCTTCCCCAGGAGACGTTGAACGTTGGTGTCAAGAGCGGACGTTTCCTCCAGGGCCATTTCAATGCCGACCAGTACAACTACTTGGAGGGCACTGTCCGTTGCCACGGCATGAGCAAGCCTGTTCTCCTCGTCGGTCGCCAGGCCATGAACCGTTCGGTGGACGGTGACCTCGTTGCTGTTGAGCTCCTTCCCAAGGAGGAGTGGAAGGCGCCAGGCGATGAGGTTCTTGACCAGGACATTGCGCTCAAGGACGACGATGTCGAGGGTGACGAGGGCGCTGATAGCGAGGCTATCAAGGAGAAGGAGGAGCGCATGGATACCGCCGAGGTCACCAAGAAGGCCCCCAAGGAGGTCCTCCCCACCGGCCGTGTGGTCGGCATCATGAAGCGCAACTGGCGTGCGTACGTCTGCCACATTGACCGCTCGTCGCTCTCCGAGGCCGCCCTCACCTCGCTCTCGCAGCAGACCATCTTTGCCACTCCCCTCTCGCGCGCTCTGCCTCGCATCAGGTTGCGCACTCGCCAGGCCCCGGCTCTTCTTGACCAGAAGATTCTCGTCAACATTGACTCGTGGTCGGTCAACTCGCGTTACCCCGACGGCCACTTTGTCCGTGCCCTGGGCAAGGTTGAGAGCAAGGAGGCCGAGCAAGAGTCGCTCCTCCTCGAGTATGAGGTTCCCTACCGTCCCTTTGGCAAGGCCATCCTTAACTGTCTCCCCAAGGAGGGCGACAGCTGGGTGGTCCCGGAGAAGAAGCCCGAGAACCTCGAGTGGCGCGACCGCGAGGACCTGCGTGATCTTCTCATCTGCAGTATCGACCCCCCAGGATGCCAGGACATTGACGACGCCCTCCACGCCCGTGTGCTGCCCAACGGCAACATTGAGGCCGGTGTGCACATTGCCGACGTCTCGCACTTTGTCCACGCGGACAACCCCATGGACTCGGAGGCCGCTTCGCGTGGTACGACCGTCTACCTCGTTGACAAGCGTATCGATATGCTTCCCGAGCTTCTCGGTACCAACCTGTGCTCGCTTCGTCCGTTCGTGGAGCGCTTGGCGTTCTCCGTCATTTGGGAACTCTCGCCTGATGCCAAGATTGTCAATGTGCGCTTCACAAAGTCGGTCATTGCGTCCAAGGAGGCCTTTACCTACGCCGCTGCTCAGCAGCGCAAGGACGACAAGGCGTTGAAGGACCCCCTCACCGACTCTATCCGTCTGCTCAACAGCCTCGCCATCAAGCTCAAGGCCGGGCGCATTGCCGCGGGAGCGCTGTCTCTGTCATCGCCCGAGCTCAAGATCCACCTGAACTCGACCGAGTCGACCGCGCCCATCGACGTTGAGCAGAAGGAGCAGCTCGAGACCAACTCGCTTGTCGAGGAGTTTATGCTTCTCGCCAACATTAGTGTCGCCAGGAAGATCCAGGAGGCGTACCCGGCCACTGCAGTTCTGCGTCGCCACGCCCCGCCTCCCAAGACCAACTTTGAGGCGCTGCAGGACATTCTCCAGAAGCGCAAGGGCATGACTCTAGATGTGTCGAGCTCCAAGGCACTCGCCGACTCGCTCGACCTGTGCATCGACCCCGAGCTGCCCGAGTTCAACACCCTCGTGCGTATCATGGCCACGCGCTGCATGCTTGCTGCCGAGTACTTTGGCTCTGGCAGCGTGTCCAAGGAGGCATATGGACACTACGGTCTTGCATCTGAGATTTACACCCATTTCACTTCGCCCATTCGTCGTTACGCCGACGTCCTCGTCCATCGCCAGCTGTCCGCCGCCATCAACTACACGCCTCTGCACCCGACGCTCCAGTCCAAGCAGCACGTCGAGCGCGCGCTCAACGTCGTCAACAAGCGCCACCGCCTGGCGCAGATGGCGTCCCGCGCCTCGGTCGAGTTTTACGTCGGCCTCGCACTCAAGTCGCGTACCGAGGGTACGACCAACAACGCCGTCCGCGAGGAGGCGTTTGTCATCAGGACGTTCCGTAACGGTCTGGCCGTGTTTGTGTCCAAGCTCGGTCTCGAGGGTCTCATCACTTTCAAGCACGACACGCACGAGTTTGACCCCGAAAACTACCTCATCAACGTGCCCACGCCCAACGGTGGCTCCAAGCAGATTGCGGTGTTTGACCGTGTCAAGGTGGATATCTCGATTGAGAAGGACCCCAACACCCAGCGTGGAAAGGTGGTCATGACGCTTGTGGAGCCTGTTAGCTCTGTGGGCCTTTAGTGTATGCATTAGATCTGTCTCTGGAGGTTTTGTGGTGTTGCGTTGGTGGCGCGGCCAACGGATTGGGTTGAACAAAAAGCGGCGAGGGCTGCTGATGAAAACTGTCGATGAGGAATGACTGATGATGATGGGATGGCGGTGTCCTGTGTGGCTTCTCTTGTGTTCTCAAAAGGGACATGAACAGAAGTATGGAACCATCAGTGAATGTGACCAGTGGGCCAGTGATGGCCAAGCATGTGCTCTTATGCGTCGAGATTCAGACTAGTTCTTGCCCGTCTCTACGCTCCCTCCCTCCGCCGTACATTTCACACCATGAGCATCCCAGAGTCAGGTTCGGTCTATCCGTTCGGCCACAACGCAACTGTCTTCCTCTACCCTGCACAAATAGTGAGCTTGCCAGTGTGTCGTGTTCCACCCAGCTGACAGTCCAGCACTATGTCTTCAGCACCACGGAACTGTTCGGCCGCTCGACCTGGGACGGGCTCTACAAGGACCTGACAGACGAGTTGTGGCACTATCGGGGTACGTAACTTAATCCTCGCTTCTCATTCTCACACCACTGCTCCAGTTCCTTCGATCTGGTTGGAAGAGTCCATCCGCGACATCCAGGGACAACAGTTCAATGTCATGGACATCCACATTGTCGCTCCGTCGATTGCAAAGAACAGGTGGGAGCATTCGGCGAGGGAGACCATCCTCCGGCATGCAGGATCTGCACCAGCGTGAGTTTGTTTTCGTGACAGAGCAAGGCTGATGGTTAGGCTCTTCATCCTCCATCATTCGCAGTAGTCGAGGGGCGCGTTTGGTTCTCCGATGCATTGTCATTCCGTTGCTTCGATACCGGGACGCATCCTGGTCGAAGCGCGAGCTTCGCACTGACCCGTGTGACCGTGTGTTCCACGAGATCTTTTGTTGGCCTAATGTGACAAACTCCAGCTTCAAGTGCACACTTTTCTTTTGTCCTGCTCACCTCCTACTACAATGAACTCCCCACCATCCCTCCCACTTCCCCTTCTTCCTGGTATGAGCGTGCGTCCTCCCCTCCTCTGAAAACACCGCTAACAACAGCACACTATCTTTTCTACCTTGAAAGTGTTCGACGAAGACGAATGGAAGCAGATGTTTCGACCGCTGTGGAGGGCGCTCGTTCCACTAGGTGGTCAGCTACACCGGACCATGATCAAGCTAGTCGCGCTGATAACTTCAGTCATGTTTGTGTATCGCGAAGAGACCTTTCGGACCATCGATCGCAACTTCTTTCGAACGGCGTGCGACGTCAGCTATGTCACGGACGTCCATGTCATTGCGCCGCGAGAAATCGACGACAATTTGGAGGGTATAGTTCAGCTTATCCTGATCAAGCATACAGGCCAGTGTCCTTTGTGAGTGCTGCAATTTATGGTAGAGTGCGTAACTGGACTGGCAATGGTGCTGATGAAAAGGAGGATGAGTCTGGCATAGCGCGAGAGAGTGACGCGCCACTTTGTGCCAATTGTTCTTTTATTTTCAACCGTGTGCCATGCCTGTGTTTCCAACACAACTTCCACGTCTACCATTGCCTCACACTCCTTCGGCACTTTGAGAATAGCCGACGGTGAGTGTGGGACGAGTGCATTGCCTTGTGACGTTGTTGTGGGGATGACGGGTGGTGTGAAGGGCGCGCCAGGCGACAGATGTGTGGCTGTGCGACCCAGACATCCCAAACGCCCTTGCTGGCCGGCAACTGGGGGCCGGGTGGTCGCGTCAGTCAATCATCGCTCCTTCTATCCCACCCTCTTTCACCATTCACCCATTAACTCTTGGAGACCTGCTGACCTCGCAGATGAGTACCAGTACAACCGCTGTTGAGCGGTCAAGCCTCCCCGTGTTGGACCTCGCCGTACCACCACCATGGGAGGCAAATGGGGACTCGCCCCAGAGGCCCGTTCGTCTTTCGCGAATTCACAGGCCCCTCGCCATTGGATTCATCTCCATCATCTCCACCGGCCACCGGGCCACCCACCCCCTTAGAGAAGATGCTCGTGAGTCTTATCGTGAAGGAGCCCCGCGCGCATGGTTCGCCCGTTCCGAGCAACGTGTGATGGGGGCGGAAAGGGACGCACCCGCAGGCAGCCTGCGACCAAAAAAATCATCGCCCGCTTGGCCCAGTGGTACGGCGTGTCTTTCCTAAGGACAAGATCGTGGGTTCGATCCCCGCAGTGGGTTGGTCAGTGCATCGCAGATGCATGACAACATCTTTTGGCTGGTCGGTGAGGGTGGAAGAGAGCGAGAAGGTCGCACGCAGGCAGAAAGATGAAGGATGGACGGGGATGAACGGCTCGAGATGGCGCTGGCCCGCGGTGGTTCCATACAGTCTGTTGTGTGTTGCCTGGGGGCAGGGCGCTGGGACAGACCCCTCCGTGGATTCCGTAGCTAACACTGGGCAGGCTGTGTGTAGGTAGGTAGGGCTGGGGATGGCTGCTGCGGTTGGTCCTACCGGTCGTCAGCGGCGGAGACGCATAATAGAGCCGACGACGAGAAGTAGCAGTGACGGGACGAGTGAGGGCCCACTTGGACTTGGAGGGAGGTATGCTCTGCGTGGGGTATCAATAACCTGTTTCCTCTATGTAGGCACTACTGCTGTGTTTGTGCAAATTCGGTAAAGCCTTTGCAAAGGGGACTTGTACCGTGACGAGGTGGCGTGAACATGAGTTAGTGCGGGAGGTGGAACAGGTAGTTGTATGAGATGCCATCTGGTCGGAGCACGGAGCTGGCCATGCCACGCACTGGCCGAGGAGTGTTGTTGGGGCGATTGGGTGGGAGACCTAGTCATCTCAAAGTGGTCTGCACAGCACAGTCTGCGCGTCGTGCACATGCATCAGCGATAGCTGCGTGGGTTGTGTCGGTGCCACAAACATGCCCATATGGGGGCCTTTGCCCACTGCGGCGACCGCCGCCGCCGAGAGTGTGCCTGCCATCCGGCTACCACCTTCCGAAGTCCGGGGCATGCGATCCAGCATCATCCACGCACAAGTCTTACCATGCTCTCTTGTTCTCTCCCTCTCTCTCTCAGCGTCACACTGGCACAAACACCCTGTGACCATGAAACTCGTCACTGCAACGGCCACGTCGGGCTTCTTCCAGCCCCAGCCAGTGGTGCCCAACCAGTACCGCGATGACGTCGCGCTGCGTCGCGCCGTCTCCCTCTTCACCCCGCCAGAGACGATGGCCACCCTCGCGCCCGACCTGGAACGCTTTGGCGATCTCGTCCTCTCGCGCGAGGTCCTCGCCCACGTCGTCAACGCCGAGCACGACCTGCCTTACGTTATTGGCAGTGGCTTCACCGCATTTGGCCACCCGAACGCCGACGCACTCGTTACCAGCTCGGGTTGGAAGGAGCTGCAGGACATCGGAATCCGCGAGCAGATTGTGGGGCGTGGGTACGACCATGGACTGGGGCCCTACGCCCGTCTGGCGCAGTACTACAAGCTGCACCTGTGGAACCCCAGCTCTGCCGTCGTGACTTGCCCCAGCGCGATGCAGGACGGCGCCATCAATGTGCTGGCTCGCGACCTCCTCGCTCGTCCCGACATGGACTCGTCCCAGCGCTCCGTGTTCACGCGTGCCCTCGAGCGTCTTCTCTCCAACGATCCACGCGAAGCCTGGACCTCGGGACAGTGGATGACCGAGCGCCCCGGCGGCTCGGATGTGGCTGGTACCGAGACGGTCGCGACACTCAACGGACCGGCGACGCGCGCAACCGACGTCGACGGCCTCCCTCTCGGCCCATGGAGTGTGAGCGGCTTCAAGTGGTTTAGCTCGGCCACAGACTGTGGGTGTGTCGTCCTCCTCGCCAAGACGGACACTGGCGGTGGCAGCTTGTCGTGCTTCTTTGCGCCCACGCGCAAGGTCGTCAATGACGGCTGTGACGTTGAGATGAACGGCATCCGCATCAGCCGTCTCAAGAACAAGCTCGGCACCAAGGCGCTCCCCACGGCCGAGGTCGAAGTCAAGGATATGCGCGCGTGGATGATTGGAGAGGAGGGCAGTGGTGTCAAGATGATCAGCACGCTCCTCAACATTACTCGATTCTACAACGCTGGTGAGTGCGACAGGTGGGTGTCAGAGGAGCTTGGCTTACACACAGTCTCGGCTGTTGGCTTCCTCGGCCGCTCCCTCGGTGTCGTTCGTGCCTTTGCTCGCGTCCGCCCGTTCCCCTCCCTCAAGCCCCCGCATAACAAGCTCGTCGACCGGCCGCTGTTCGCCAAGACCATCGCTGGCGTGACGCTGCAGTATCGCGCCGACCTCTTGTTCACTGGCCTGGTCGCCGCCCTCCTCGGCGCAAGCGACTCGGCATCGCAGTCCTACTCCCCTCTCGTTCCCGACGACCACCACCAGAGCCTCCTCCTCTTGCGTATCCTTACTCCCGTCGTCAAGGCGTACACTGCCAAGCACGCCATCGCCGGCGTGCAAGAGTGCATGGAATCCCTCGGCGGCGTGGGATACATGGAAAACGTCGAGAGCCCCGAAATGAACCTGGCCCGCATCTTCCGCGACACCAACGTGCTCGCCATCTGGGAGGGTACGACGGACGTGCTCTCCACCGACACGGTCAAGGTCCTGCACCACGGTCGCGACGGCCACAAGGTCCTTGCCGCCCTCGACAGCTGGTTTGAGCATGCCCTGCCCGCCGGGAGCCGGCTGCACGGCGACGAAAAGGCCGCAGTCCACGCCGGCTGGAAGGCCCTGCGTGCCGACATTCCCAAGGACAAGGAACACGCCCTGTCCGAGGGCCGCGAGATTCTGCGCCGCATCGGCGACCTCGTGTGTGCGGCGCTGCTGGTGGTCGACGCCGAGCGTGACGGCGACGAGGTGGCTGCTGCGTGCGCGACCCGCTTCGCGCACACCAGGCTCGTTGCGCATGTTCCCGCAACCTCGGCCGCTGGCAAGAAGAAGGCCAACTGGCACGCCGTCACCAAGGAGGACATGAAGATTGCCTTTGACGGCCACCCGGTGGCGGAGAAGCACCACGCCAAGCTGTAAGCGACGGTAGACGGGTAGGGGCGGAGCGGTTGTTTGAAGCAAATGTTGTGTGATAAAAGTAGAACCTATGTGCATTTTCTGTTATTGGCTTGAGGCGAGGACGAGGAGCGGCTATGGACACTACGCACGCTGGAAGACGACGCTGCATGAGGGCATTCTCCTGTCTGCTGTGACGTCAAATGATATGCATAGTTATGCCTCAGTGCAGCCATGTCGTGGTACCAGGAACTCGTGTGTGCGCGTGTGTGTGGATGTGATGGGACTGGGTCGGTGCGCAGAGCTGTTGTTTGTGGCGCCACATCATCATCAAAAACACGATACCACGTCCTTGAATGCCTCACAGCATGCATCCACAACATGATCTTGTGCATCGGCTAGCAAAATATGAACCGGGGGCTGGCCAGGATGCACTCGACACTGGGTTTACGCCGATACGACGCGATGCCGACCGCCTACGGGGCAAAACGTCCTGTCCTCCTCCTCTCCATCACCCGGTCTTCTCTTCTTCACCATGGCCAAAAGATGAAGCTCTCCTTGTTGGAGAGTCCTAGCAACCCCCTGCGGGGATCGAACCCACGATCTTGTCCTTAGGAAAGACACGCCGTACCGCTGGGCCAAGGGGGCCAGACATTTTTCTCTTCGCCAACTCTGTGAGGTCAGTTGCGACCATAGAACGGAAATGACAAGTACGAGGCCAGGACAAAGAAGTAGAGCGGTGTGTTCCGAGGTCCAACGACGTCTGGAGACGGTAGAGCGCACCACTTTCCAGAAAGAAAAGGTCAGGGAAAGGCGCCGGCGAAGGGTAAAAGCAGGGGAGGTATGTCGACCGAAGGGAGTTGTGGCGGCGGTGGGGTATTCTCGTGCAGCTCCAAGTGGCCAGTGGGTTGGCCAACCTTTCGCAAGCTTTGCAGTTTGTTATCCATGCACATGGATTCAGGTGCAGTGGTTACCTTGCTAGTTACTTGGCACATCGCATGTCTTAGGTTCACCAGTGGCAATTCATCGCCCTGGCCCATATACGGAACTGCAGCTAACGCCAGCCAGAAGTCGGCGGTCAGAACCATGTCCTTGGTGTTGTAGTTCAGCTCTACACTGACACACTTGAGCCTTCTGCCTGGCTGTGCAGAGCGGCAGTGGACAAGCACTGTGGTCCAGTTGAACGGCCACTCCCCCGCATGCGCCGTTGCCACTCGCCGAACCGATCGAACCTTTTTGTCAACAATTTCCGTCGGCCTCCACTTTTGTAACCTCCACATCCCACAAATGACTTCGCAACCCACACTCGCCGCCAGCGAGCAGCCGCCAGACAACGACGACTGGCCCCTCTCCCCCGACGAGTACCTGCGCTATGGACGGCAGATGATCATGCCCGACTGGGGCCTCGAGGGTGAGCTCCCTGGTTTGTCATGTGGTTAGCTAACGGTCCAGGCCAGCTCAAGCTCAAGTCGTCGCGAGTCGCCGTCGTCGGCGCCGGTGGCCTCGGGTGCCCTCTCCTGCAGTATCTCGCTGGAGCGGGCGTGGGCTCCATCACCATCTTTGACCACGACACAGTGGCCGCGTCCAACCTCCATCGGCAGGTGCTGCACACCACCGAGCGCGTGGGGATGAACAAGGCGCTGTCGGCTTGTGTCACGCTCAAGGGGTGAGTCCCACCACGCAGGCTACAGCGATTTCATATCTGACACGGCGCCAGACTCAACCCCCACGTCGAGCTCATTCCGCGCGCAGAGGCACTCACGCCGTCCACGGCCATCGACCAGCTCTCCGGCCACGACATTGTCGTCGACTGCACAGACCGCCCGTACACGCGCTACTTGATATCGGACGCGACGGTCCTCCTCGCCATCCCTCTGGTCTCTGGCGCCGCTATCGGCGCCGCTGGCCAGTGGGCTGTATACGGGCAGCCGGGGCGGGCGTGCTATCGCTGCCTGTGGCCCCAGCCCGGCGCGAGCCAGCGGTGCGACGAGGCGGGCGTGTGGGGTCCAGTGACCGGCATGGTCGGGTGCGCCATGGCTGCCGAGGCGCTCCGCGTGCTCGTTGGAAGTGGCGATGCCCCGCTGCTGCATATCCTCCATCTGGGGGGAAGCCCTGCCGTGCGGAGCGTCAAGATGCGTCCGCCTAGTCCCAAATGCGCGGCTTGTGGGCCCAACAAGACGATTGCCAGCCTCGAGGATGTCGACTATGCCATGTTCTGCGGCGAGGTCGCCACGGATGAAAGCACCGGCACGGCGCCCGGCGGTGTCGGGGAGCGTATTGGCGTCGAGGAGCTGAAGGGCGTGCTCGCCGCTCCGACGGACGACACGGTTGTGGTCGACACGCGCCCGCCCGTCGAGTACCGTATCTGCGCGCTACGCAACACGACCAGTGAGTCCAGTAGACTTCAACCGCGCGCCACGGGGCTGACCTTCGCGGACATCCCACTGGCCACCATCCTCCGCACGCCCGAGGCCGTCCCGTCCGCGGCCAACGTCATCTTCCTCTGCCGCCGCGGCAACGACTCGCAGATCGCCGCAGCCAAGCTGCGTACCGTCCGCAACGACGTGCGCGTCACCGACGTCCTGGGCGGACTACTGGCATGGACACGGCGCGTGGACCCAAAGTTCCCCACATACTAGATAGAACACACAATCTCTTGTCCTGTAGACTACAGTGTATACATCTCTTGAATCAATGCCTGGGCACCAGCGCGCGGCGCGCAGGGCTGCAAGTCGAGGGGAAGGTCGGGCGGAGGTCGAGTGAGGCTCGCTCGGTCGCTCAGATGGGCTTTGAGAAGAAGACCACCTCGTCACACCCCACCTCGCTGCGGACGCAGACAAAGGGTGGTCCCTCGCCCTCGTCGCGCGGCCTGTCGTCGGGGAGCACGCACTTTGTGTCCTCGCTGTGGGGCGAAGGGTTGCGCGTCAGTGAGGTGACGCCGGAAAAAGGAAGCAGCTCACGGGTATGGGCATGGGCAGTCTGCCGGGGTGGGGACGCACACGAGCGAGGCTGGGCAGACGTAGCCTGCGCGGCAGGGGACTGGGCGTTAGATCGTACTCGTCGTGTAGGCGCGGTAGAGGAGACTCGGACGAGGGAGGGGGCGAGTAATGGGCCGCACCAGCTGACTGGGTAGGCGCGACAGCTGGGACCCACACACTGCAGCTCGCCTCCCTCCCTCCCCACTTCCCCAACACTCGTGCCTCTTGCGCTCCTTGCGCTCCTTGCGCTACTCACCCTCGTGCATCTCGTGCCAGCCCTTGTGCTCCCTCCGGCCGGCCGGGTCGCCTTGCTGTTGCTGCTGCTGCTGCTGCTGGTGTCCGCCAAAGTTGAACGCCTGCTGGAAGAAGCCGCCAAACTGCGCCGAGGCCGGCACAGCCAGCGCAAAGGCGAGGACGAGCGCAAAGATCAAGTTGCGCATGGCGGTGTGTGGGGTGCAGCGAAACGGAGAGGGCGGGTTGAGACAAAAGTGAGATTGTGTGGTTGACGCCGATGCAACCGACGCGACACGTCAGAACCGCATCAAAAGGTGGAGGCCGATGCAGGCACAAGTTAGTCCCCCAGGGCGTACACATGCCAACTTGGTGTCCGTATTCACGGCCGGCACGCAAGCCATCAGTCCGGTGTACCAGTGTCCCCATGCTCTTGCAGCCTTTGCTCCTGCTCCTGCCTCTACTGTCACTAAAAGATGCAAACGAGTGGTGAGATGCTATGTAGGTGATGGCTCTGTGACTCGTCCAAGACAACTGTCCCCCCTCCTTCCGACCGAGACCAGCGCCCGTCCCGGTGTCTGTCCTCCGTTCATTAAGCGCCGATGCGCGTCGTCACGAGCCTGTAGATCGCCTGCTTGCCGTCCACACCCGCTGACGCACGCTTGCGCAAACACTAACACTTAGCGCTTGGCACCGGTACGGCGCTTGCCGCGGAGGCTGTTCTTGGCTCCGCGCGCAGGCTTGACGGGCACGTTGCCCTGGATGTACTTGACGAGCTCGTCGACGTCCATCTGTCCGCGCTCGGCGGCGCCGGCGCTGGCGTCCTCGCCCTCGGCGCCCTCACCGGCCTCGGCCTTGGCCTTGGCGGCAGCGGCAGCGACGGCGGCAACGGCGGCCTGGGCAGCCTGCGCGTTAGCGGCGCCGAGCACGCGCTTGCCGCCCTTGGCACCGGTGACGGTGGTGGGGACGGGCACGGCGGGGCGGGCCTGGGCGGCGTGCAGGCGGTCGAGCTGCTGCTGGCGGACCTGCTCCTGGGCGGCCTTTTGGCGCTCGACGTTGTCGACGACGGCCTTGAGGAGCTCGGCGTTCTTGCCGACCTCCTTGGTCTGGGCGTGCTCCTCGCCGTAGGCGACCTTGAAGATCTCGTAGGCCTTGGTCGACGAGTCGAGGGCCTTGGCAAAGTCGCCGCCGAGGAAGTGGGCCTGGGTGAGCTGGTGGAGAGCACCGCCGTACTGGGTGTGGTTCTCGCCAAACTGCTTGGCCGTGCGGGTGGCGGTCTGCTCGAGGAGGGCAATAGACAAGGTGTTCTCCTGCAGCGCCTGGAGGACGATACCAGCGTTGGAGAGGATGGTGTTGACCTCGGGGTGGTCGCCGCCGTAGATGGCGTCCCACAGCATCAGGATGTGGCGGAAGTAGCGGAGCGAGGCCTGCGAATTGCCCTCGAGGTTCTCGAGCATGGCGAGCTGGAAGTAGTAGGCAAGAGTGTCCGGGTGGTAGACACCAAGGGTACGCTCGGCAATGATGACAGCCTGGCGCTGGAGGCGGAGACCAGTGGCAATGTCAAGACCCAGGGGCTGCTCGGGGTCGGCGTTCTCCTGCTGGGCAATCTGCTGGATCTTGATGCGCGCAAGCTGGTGCAGAGTCGAGGCGTACTGGTTGTACGCGGCGGCAACCTCGGGGTGGATGACGGTGTGGATCGACTCGTAGAACTGGATACCCTCGAGCATAAACTCGAGACCCATGTCAATCTGGCCACGGTTGATGGTGCTGCGACCGGCCTCGAAGATCTCCTCGGCGACCGACACGCTGGGGGCGGTCGAGTGGACAATGGGCAGGAGAGTGAGAATGTCGGCAGCCTCAAAGGTGGTGGTGCGCTTGGCAGGGGCCGAAGCCGACTTGGTCGACTTCTTCGACTTCTTGTCCTTGGGAGCGGCGGCAGCAGCCTGGCGGTTCTCCTTGTCGCTGTCAGTGCTGGAAGCCTCGGCAGAGGCCTCGAAAGCATAGTCGCGCTGGACGACCTGGAAGGCGAAACGCGAAGCAAGCTCGCGGAGGAGCTGGGGGCGACGGAGGCCCGAGACAAGGAAGGCCTCGTCAAGGTTCCAGCGGAAGCGGACCTCAATCTCGGCGATGATCTCCTTGCGGAGCGACTCGGGGGTGAGCGAGACAAAGGCGGGCTCGGCAGTGGGGCCGACGTCGGCACGCTCGTAGACGGCCTTGGGCGAGGCGTTGAGGCCAGTGCCAAGGAGACAGTTGAGGAAGTGCGAGACGGCAGCGGGGACGTGCTCGGGGAGGAGGTCACGGACGTTGCGGCGGAGAGCGTGCTTGGCGGCACGGAACACCATCTCGTGGAGGACAATGTCCTTGAGGGCAGCGAGGTGGCCGCCGACCTGGTTCTCGTTCTTGGAGAAGCCGTCAATGGCGGCAGCGAGGTGACCGAGGTAACGCATGTTGATACCGCGGGCGTGGAGGTGGCGGGTGAGCGAGATACCGTCCATGATGCCCGAGGCGGCACCAGTGAGGACGTCGACAGCGACGGCGGGGACAGCAATGGTGCGGAGGAAGACCGAGGCGTCACGGACAGCCTTGATCGAGGCGTCCGACTCGTCAGTGTACTTGGCAGCGGTAAAGCCCTCGGCGCCGTCCTCGGGGAGCGAGTCGACAAACGCGTCGGGGTTGAAGCGGAGCTCAAAGTCCTTGAGGGTGGCAATGGTAGAGGCGTCGATGATGGGCTCGGCCTCGGCGGCCTCCTCCTTCTTCTCCTCGCCTTCCTTGGTCTCCTCGCCCTCGGTCTTGTCGCCCTCCTCGGCCTTCTTCTTGGCAGCCTGGTCGGCAGCGACCTGGCGAGCCCAGCGCTTGAGCTCCGACTCCCAGAAGAGCTCGACGAGCTCGGGACGGAGAAGGGTCATGCGGTGGGGGTAGACGGGGGCGTCGGCCTCCTTCTCGGGACCGGCGAGCTTGCCGGCGTAGTCCTTCTCAATCCACTCAATGTCAACGGGGTTGAGACGGGGGAGGTCGAGGAGGTAGCGACGGCCATCCGAGCCACGGAGGCCCTTGACCTCGGACGAAGCGTAAAACTCCTTCTCCTCGCCGCCGGCCGACACCTTGTGGGCGGCCAGACGCTGGTGCGAAGCAATCTTCTCCATGACGGCGTGGGTAGCCTCGTCCCAGTGGAGAGTGGCGGTCTGCTCCGAGTCGACACCGTAGATGATGAGGGGGTTGGCAGCGGGCTGCTCGGGGTTCTCGGCGTCAACCTTGACCCAGTCCTCCTTCTTGTCGCCCTCCTCTGTAGCGGCAGCGGGGGCGGCGTCGGTGGGCTCGCGGCGGGCAAAGATACCGGGGAGGACCGACTGGCAGACCCAGCGGTCACCCTGCCAGTCGACGACAGTGTGGCCAAGGAGGTAGGCGCCGTCAACGTCAAGACGGTTGAGGAGGCGGACACCCTCGGCGTCCTTGGCGTGCGAGACGTGGGCAGCGGCGTCACCACCAATGTGGGCGTAGGCGTCGATCGAGTCGATGGCCTTGGTAACAAAGATGTTGGACGCAAGCCACATGTGCGAGCGCGAGGGCTCGTTGGGGTTGAGAGCAATAATGTCACCACGGGCAACGGCGAGAACGGCACGGAGCGAGGCCTGGGTAAACTCGGACCAAGTCTTCTGGGCCATGCGCTCGCGGAACACACGCTCCTGGATGGTCGCGTGGGGGAGCTCCTTGACGCCCTGGATCTCCTCGTTCCAGTCACGAGCGCTGTCGAGGGCATCGGGGACAGTGGCGCCAGTGTGGAGGTAGGCCAGCTGGGTGCGGAGAACGTCGGGGACGGTGGCCGGCTTGGGAGCGGGGGCGATCCAGGGGTAAGCGGGCTCGGCCTGGGGGATGGCGACGGTCGAGAGGGGGTCGAGAGCAGGAGCCGACGACGAGAGGGAGGGGAGGGCAAAGAGACGCTCCGAGAAGAGAGGCGAGAGCGAGTGGAGGAGGTCGATCAGGCTGTGGGTAGGAGCCGAGCCGTCACGCGGGGTAGCGTCAAAGTTGTTGACGTTCGACTTGGAAGCGTACCAGCCGCGCGAAGTGCACACAAGAGTGTAGACGTCGCCCTCGAGGATGGACACCTGGAGGTAGAGCTGGTGGCCCTGCTGGCGGAGGTGGGCAGGAGGGGGGTTGAAGGGCGAAAGCTGGATCGCGCGGAGGCAGGGCTGAACCTGGATGGGGTTCTGCGCAACGGGCAGCTTGGAGAGGGGCAGCGAGGGCCACTCGGTCCAGTCGGAGAAGGCATTCTTCTCCTTGTCCTCGTCGGCGCCGGCCTCGGCAGTCTTGGCCTTCTTCTTCTGGGCCTCCTCGACAACAGCCTCCTCGCCGGAAACAGCACCGTCACGGACAGACTCGAAAATGGTCGCACCGGGAGCAATGCCAAGAGGGGTCGAGAGAGTGTGAACCGAGGTGCCGGCAGGCTCAATGTAGTCGAGAAGACGGATCACAGCCTGGCGGGCAGAAGCCTCAGTGTAGGGCTCTGGAAACAATGGTCAGCGCGCCATTGACAAAAGAAGACAACGTTGTGGTTTGTTTCGCTTACCCTTGACAACCTCGAGAACACGCTCATCGTCACCCTCGGGAACGTGGGCAAAGACGTCACCGACCTCGAGCCACTCGGAGAGCTTCTCGCCGGCGTGGATCTCAATGCCGTCCTTGGACTGCGAGAGAGCCTCGGCAGGCGAGCCGGGGAGGCGGAGCGAGTAAGGGCCGAGCCAGTAGCCACCAACCCATTCGGACACGGCAAGCTTGAGCTCCTGGACAGTCTCGGAGGGCTGCGAGAGGAGGGTCAGGCTCGAGTAGGTCTCGTCGCCAACAGGCTTGGGGAGCGTGCGGGCATTGTTGGGCTGGGGCAGACGAACAACCACGGGAGGAACTGGGTCAAACAAAAGTCAGCTTGTGCAAGGTGCGAAAGATCCGCCCGGCGCCCGGAAATGGGACACGGATTGAGCGAGACGACGCACTGGTCTGGAGCTCCTCGGCGGCCTCGGGAGCGGCAGCCTCGACCTCCTGCTGGGCGACGGCCTGCTCGGCAACGACCTCGGGGGCAGCGGCCCCGTTCTGAGCCTCGGTCGCGGACATTACGGCGGTCACGGGGCTTTGGTGGAGCTGGAAAACCGAGAAATCAACCTCGTCGCAAGGGAGAGGGATGTGTGAACAAAGGGGGGAGGGGGGGGAGAAGAAGTCTCTACGAGAGCCCGTGTGCGCTCGAAGAGGTTTTAGGGGGGGGGAGAGGGAGGTGTGGGTGTCACAAGAGAGAGGTAGAGGTAGGAGGAGATGGGTCGGCTGTTGCGGGATGTTGTCTGGTGGATCGTCTCGCTCGCTCGTCTGCCCGCCGCACACACTCCGCAGAGCGACTTTTTCGAGTCCTGGGTGAATACCGGGGCGGCCGGCTGGCTGTGGGCGGGCGGACCACTGCCAGGCGGAGGTCACGTGTGCCCGCCAGTCCGACCGACTTAACCCGAGCTCCGTCATCGCTCACGTCTCTCAACCGTGCGTAATGATAACTGACGCATGCATGTGTGTGATTGTATGCATCTCACAGCAACTTGGACGCGCATCAACCGGGCTTGTAGTCGTCTGTTCCACAGATCGCTGCTGGGAGTGTGAAAAAAAAGCATCAAAAAATGACTTTGATATGTCTCTCTCGGCTCGACAGCCAATTTGGCCGAATTTTGCCAGTGTTTTTTTCTTTCTTTTACCAAAATATAAGCGAGATTGTAATGCGGAGACGGACAACGACACAAAAGGGCGGCGGCGGCGACACACGACACGGCCGGGTCATGTAGTTCAAGGTGACGTGAGCAAGAGCATGTGTCTACAGCGGCGTTGCGGGGCCTCGTATGCAAAAAGGAACAGGTAAAGATGCATGCTTGGACTCGACTTCTTTAAGTAGAACCCCCCCCCCTTGCCGCCACCACCACGTATACCACGTACCACCTCGCTCGCCCCCAGCTTCGACGTGGCATCGGTCTTGCCTCCGCCCAGCACATCCGCTGACGGGCCGATAACATGTCCACGGGCCACGTCTGACCCCATTCTAAGACACCGACGCAAACCTGTGGCTGCCGTGGCGATCTGCCGTCCCCCTCTGCATGCCCCCCCCCCGCACGCCTCCTCCGCCTGTGTCGACACAAACCCCCTTTGATCCTATAAAAAGGTTGATGGATGGGGAGTGTGTGGCTGTTTGATGGTACCCGATGAGTTTCAACCGACATCCCTAGCGCGCGTGATGATGCAGGCCGCGGTAAACGCCGCTTGTCCCAAAGCAGAAGAAGCAGCCGGTGTTGGGTCCCCCTTGGCAAGAAGCAAGCTAGGAAGCTTGCGTGGCAGAGCAGAGAACGTTGCAGCAGCAGCAGCATGTGCGAGTGGAATGTCATGTGCGGAATCTAATGTCGGCGTCGCTGGCTCACGGGCGCGCTGACTGGCGCTGGCTAGCGCTGGCTGACCGATGCTGTGGTGCGTCTGGTGCGCGTCGACGTGGCAGGCGCGCGCACGAATTAACCGGGCCGCTGAATGGGACTGCCCCCTTTGCCCCCCTAGACACCACCCTGGACCCGCCAGCAACGCGTCTCTTATTATTGCTCTCTTCCATCTTCCTCTCACCCTTTCTTCCATCGTTCTCTTCCCCCCCTCACACTCCTTACACAATGCGTGTCGCTTCGCTTCTGGCCCTCCTCCCCCTCATCTCCGGCGTCTTCGCCTCGGACGTCCTCGACCTCAACAAGGACACCTTTGAGACCGAGATCTTTGACGCCGACCTGGCCCTCGTCGAGTGAGTGGCGCATCCTTGCATGACGCGACACAGAATCCATGTTGCCAGCCAGCCAAAAGAGACCCGTTGCCCGTTCCACCTGGCACACTCTTGAGCCTGGGGCACCGTCTCGTATGCTTGCAACGTGCAGTGCAACGTGCTTTGTCGCGTCCGGACACCAGAACACTAGCGCTGACCACTGCTCTCTCCTCCTTCTCTTCTGCTTTGTCATCCAGGTTCTTTGCCCCTTGTAAGTTTCTTTTGGACTGTACCGTGGCGCGAGGCAAGTATGCTTACACGTCACAGGGTGTGGACACTGCAAGAACCTCGCCCCCGAGTACGAGGAGGCCGCCACCATCCTCAAGAAGACTGGCGTCAAGCTCGCCAAGGTCGACTGCACTGAGAACCAGGAGGTCTGCCAGTCCTACGAGGTCACCGGCTACCCTACCCTCAAGGTGTTCCGCAACGGTGTCCCCACCGACTACACTGGTCCCCGCAAGGCCGACGGCATCATCTCGTACATGAACAAGCAGTCGCTCCCTGCCGTCACCGTCCTCACCTCGGAGACCCACGACGACTTCACCAAGGCCGACAAGGTCGTTGTCATTGCCTACGGTGACGCCAAGCACCCCGTCCCGAAGTCGTTTGTCGAGTACGCCAACGGTGCCCGTGACTCGTACGTCTTTGGTACCTTTGAGGGCGAGGACCTGCCCGAGATCCCCGGCAACCCCTCGCTCCCCGCCGTTGTCCTCTACAAGTCGTTTGACGAGGGCTCGGCCGTCTTCCCCGGCACCGAGGTGGACGCCGAGGAGCTCGCCGCGTTCGTCAAGGGCCAGTCGGTCCCCCTCTTTGACCAGCTTGGCCCCGAGAACTTTGCCACCTACGCCGAGGCTTCGCTCCCCATCGCCTACCTCTTCATCGACCCCGAGGACACCTCGCGCCAGTCCATCATCGACGGCCTGCAGGAGACCACCAAGGCTCTTCGTGGCGAGGTCAACTTTGTCTGGATTGACGGTGTCAAGTTTGCCGAGTACGGCAAGACCCTCGGCGCCCAGGTCGACAACCTCCCCGCCTTTGTCCTCCACGACCTCGAGACCTCGATCAAGTTTGTCCTCCCCGAGAAGGCCACGGCCGACGGTATCCACACCTTTGTCACTGGCGCCCTCCTCGGCGAGGTCGAGCCTACTGTCAAGTCGCAGCCCATCCCCGAGACCCAGGACGAGCCCGTCTACAAGCTCACCACTCTTGGCTGGGACAACCTCTTTGGCGACTCGACCAAGGACGTCTTCGCCGAGTTCTACGCCCCCTGGTGCGGTCACTGCCAGCGTCTCGCCCCCACCTGGGACACTCTTGGTGACAAGTACAAGAACTCGAACGTCGTCATCGCCCAGATGGACGCTACCGAGAACGACATTCCCCCTACTGCCCCCTTCAAGGTCCAGGGCTTCCCCACCCTCAAGTTCCGCCCTGCCGGTTCCGAGGAGTGGGTCGACTACCAGGGTGACCGCTCGCTCGAGTCGCTCGTCGAGTTCATCGAGGCCAACCGCAAGGGCGAGGCCGTCGAGGCCCGCGACGTCGTCGAGGACGAGGCCGTCGAGGAGGCCGTCCAGGAGGAGACCCCCGCTCACGACGAGCTCTAAAATGGCAGCAGCAGCTCTCTTTGGCTCTCTCATTTTTAGAGAGAGCGGCGCAGCTTAGTGGTTCGTGTAGGCTCCCCAGACATGCATAGCATACTCAGAAGACTGGATATTGGTGCTACTGACGAGGACGAGGACGAGGACGAGGACGAGTTGGGTTGCGTGGCATCGGTGTCATGTCGAGGGAAGGTGGACAAGCTCCAATACACTGACGAGTTCGTTGTCGACGAGTCCAGCGTAACATATTGTCGAGTTAAGAATCACACGTCGACGACGTTGACAACATACCGGCGAGCTCATGCCGTAAGCAACAACAACCAAACTCCAACGACTTCATCGGCGACCCCATCCCCAGCTTCCTTCCTGCGGCCCAGACGCCCCCCAGGCCAAAAAGCAACTGCTGCTCCTCAGATACCAGGACCCAAGGACGTGTAGATACACCGTAAGGGAGTCGAACCCCTGCCGCGTCGATGGCAACGACGCATGATACCGTTTCACCAACGGTGTAGATGATATATGTCGCTGGCAGATGTCGCCGCTCTCGCGGATCGTGTTCTCGAGGGATTTGCGGGGGAAGTATGCATCGGGAGATGAAGGAGAGGGCAGGGTTGGATGGGGGAGGGGCAGGAGAGTAAGTGGAGGTGGTTTGAGTGGGGCTGGGACGAGTTGGGGAAGAAGGATATGGAAAAGGGACGATGTAAGAGGTCAGAGGTGGGAGGGAGTGGATTTCTGGTTGTTTTTTCTAGGAATTTTCCGGTGAGACCACGCTGCTGTGGATGTGTACCGGCGTGCATTGCGCATTGAAATGCACCCATCATCTCAAGTGTACATATGGATCTGGGGGGGAGCTCTACAGTATCCAGGGAACTGGACTGTGGCGCTGCTGACTCGCAATAAGTTTGTGAAAGACATCTGTCAATTGTGGCAAACATGGTCTTTTGCCGCATTGGCCTCGCGATGACACCAAACACAACCCTATTTTCCTGCACAACACTGTAGCGCATCTCTGCATACGCTCACCAAGTCTGCTGGCTTGTTCCCTACGCCACAACAACCCAAAAACGTCCCAGAGACGGTTGTGGAGAATCGACGAGAATTGCCACAGGTGTGATTGGGCGGGACCAAAAGGTGGCTGCACTCGCTGCATAATAATGATCCCGCGCACGCCTCCACCGCGCACACACCGGGGCACGCGCGCGATGATGCTGCCGCCGCTCGTGTCGCCGCTGGCCGCTGGAGGGGGGCACGCACTGACATCCATCCGTGGGCCACATCACACCCCGTCCTCCTCATCACCCACAGCGACGAGCCTCTCTCCCGTCGACCCCGTCCCCCCTTGCAGGCCCCGCTTCTCCCCCACGCGTATAATCCACACCAACAGCCAACCATGGGTCAGGCAGAGTCGAGCGTCTTCAGCAACCTCGAGCGGAACTCGAACTGTACGTTGTCTTCTTCCCAGCAACACCGACTTGGGCGCTTGGTCGTGTTGGTCTTGTTCATGAGTACGACGCTGACGCTTTCTTTCCTAATCTCTGTCTTTCTCACACCTTGATGTCCACGCGTCCCCGTGTCGCTGCTTGCTCTGCCCGCCGCACACCACGTCGTCGACCCCACGCGTCTTCTGTTCGCCCTCCCCGCTGCCCTCCGTCTTCCCCGGACTGCCTTGCTCGGACTGTGCTGCACCATGCTGGCCCTCATCATCGCGGCCACACCACGACCTCTGTGCGACCTTGCCCCATGTCCCCTCGCTCTACGCGATCATGGTGACTTGCCCTGACCCTGTGAACATCCTCTTCGCGCACAATGACTCATCGCCCATGATCGTGCGACCATACCGCCCTCCACTCTGCACTATTCCTACCTCTTGCGGCTCACTTGCGGCCCCGTTTGTCTCCTCCATCATGGAACGGTGATTGCTCGTCCGGCAGTCTCCGCACCCGAGCTCGTGCGTCTCAAGAAGCGCTTCATGAAGCTCGACAAGGACGGTTCCGGCTCGATTGACAAGGACGAGTTCCTCCAGATCCCCCAGATTGCCAACAACCCGCTGGCTCACCGCATGATTGCCATCTTTGACGAGGAGTGGGTACCAGCTGACCTTGTCAGACGCAATAGCTGACTGTCCTCTCTTTCACTTGCTCCGCGTCTGTCCTACCCCGTTGTCAACTCGTCGCGTTCTTCGCATAACCTCGCTCTATCTGCGTCCACACTGCACCTTACCCCCCCTCGCCATCCCCAGCGGCTCTGGATCCGTCGACTTCCAGGAGTTCGTCGGCGGCCTCTCGGCCTTTTCGTCCAAGGGCGGAAGGGACGAGAAGCTCCGTTTCGCGTTCAAGGTCTACGACATGGACCGTGACGGCTACATCTCCAACGGCGAGCTGTACCTCGTGCTCAAGCAGATGGTGGGGAACAACCTGAAGGTGAGTGAAGGAGGAACGAGGGGAGGGGCGGTGGGAACGTGGCTGTGTGGCTGGGGTTGCGGGAGCTTGGAGACAGCTTTCTTTTTCATGTTTTAAAGCTGGTTCCTCTCCAATGGCTCTCGGAACAGCCTAGGTGTTGGGTAGCTGAGGCGCTGCCATCAAAGCTCAGCTGTCCAGACCTCCAACTGGTCAATTAGTGTGCCACCTGCGTGAACGACTCTTACTCGGCCGGTCCCCACACCGTGCCAGCCGAACACCCAATCTCCTCTTCCCAGCCTGCTGTCTATGTCCTGGAAGACCCAAGCTAACGCTCCCCAGGACCAGCAGCTGCAGCAGATTGTCGACAAGACCATCATGGAGGCCGACAAGGACGGCGACGGCAAGCTCTCCTTTGAGGAGTTTACCGACATGGTCGCCAGCACCGACATTGTCAAGTGAGTAGGACAAGCAGCTGCCGGATGGAGTACCCAGCTGACATCCTGCGTACAGGCAAATGACGCTCGAGGACCTGTTCTGAGGAACGACACGCCCATTGACGCTGATGATACCCCCCCCTCTCCCTACGATTTCCGAGATGCCATTCTGCATACTGTAATGATGAGACAGCTTGCTCTGCGCGTGACGCAAGGGTTCGTCTTTGCGTCGGTTACGGAGGACCACTGGTGTCTCCTGCTCTCAATGTCGGTGTGTGCCGCGCGTCCTCGCAACTGACTTGATGGCGTCAAGGCCCGAGACGGCCAGTAGAGACTCGCTGACAAACTTGATCTGTCGCGTCAAAGCACTTGCTGTCGCTGTCACTCAAGACGGCAGCGCACATGGCAAGGGGCAAGAGGCAACAGGCCCGGCGTGTCAAAGGCTCAACGGCATAGCGCGACCAGGCCTCCTGTGCTATTCAATGCGTGTTCTGTTCGTCAACTGGAATTCACCCGAGAGCCAGTCAGCCGCACCATTGTACCCCGGACTGACAGTGCGCTTGGCAGACGTCACCCAATATATATATATATCGGATGATGCCAGGGATTTAGAGATCCAGAGATGCTTCGTGCAGGCGGGTGATCGGGCGTGGTCTTGTGTGCTGGCCAGTGGTCCAGTGACGTCGTGTGCGTCATTCCAGAACACATCAGGCGATCTGGCCAGTCGCATTTACACACACTAGTTACTGTCAACATTGTGATACTGCTGCGGCAGTGTAGATCCCTGTCCGCGCCACGGTGTGTATCGCAAGCGTCGACGGGGCTACCGAACCGCACCCCGTATCGCTCAGCAGGGACTGATGTGTCTCCAGCCGTCCCGCCACCATCACATGGCACCCACCTCTTGATGTGCAATACGCCACCTGCGACCTGTGACCTGTGTGCGACCTGTGACCTGCGACCTACGCAGCCTGCATCGCATTCGGCGTGCGTGCGTGCGTCGGCGTCGTCGCCGCCGGCGACGGGCCACTACTGTTGCTGTTGGCCCGGCACGCGCCCTGCGGCGAACCCGTCACTGTCACTGTCACTGTCACCGTCACCGTCTTCGCCTGGCCGCAATCCATGCCTGCCACCTCTCCCTCTCTCTCTCCGACGTTTATCCTTGATCCTTGATCCAGTACCAACGGGTGCGGCATCTGTGGCGTTCGCGTCCGGTCCCACGTCCTGGCCTCCTGGCTCGAGGGCTCGTGTCTAGCCCGCACCGATGCGCACCACATGAGCCAACACCGTCCGCCGCCGGCCGTAGTTGACCGAGCGTACTAGTGTCCCTTTGTTCGGGCGTCCACTGATCCAGGCCGAAACGGCCACCTGAACTGTGGTGTGGTTGTGCACCCAGGTGCCAGGTGCCAGTAAGCGGTCTGCAAAAGGCAAAAGGGAAAAAAAAAAGAAATCAGGCGGAAGGAAAGGTCAAGTAGGGAAAGGGGGGCAGGCAGGTGTGTGGCGCCTGCGCCGCCACCGAAACCGTGTTCGTGGTCGGGCCAGCCAGCGGTCAGCACCGGAAGCCCCCCCCCCCCCCCCCCAATCGGTCCTCAAACACGCACCTAGCGAGCGAGAGCGCTAGAGCATAGACTCCTGGGATCATGCCTAATTGCTACACAGCCGCAGCCACGCGCAAGCAATTGTAGGTTTGCTGGGTCTACATTCCGGCATGCGCAATGCGCCATGTAGGTCAAAGGCCAAAGGGGTGGAAAGGTTGGCCGCTGGCCGCTGGCGGGCTCCAGAACGAGGACGCAGGCGTGGGCGTGCACTACGCTCTCGCTGCGGCGGTTGCCGGTGCCGGGTTTTCCCGTTGCTGCGATAGCGGGTGTGCAGGTGTTGTTGCTTTGCTCGCTAACGGGCGCGTGGCGGCGTGTGGGCTAGTGACAATGTGAGACTGGGTGGCAAAGGGGTTAGTGACAATGGCTGCGATCGCGATATGTATAGTGCGAGATTGCAGTGCGGCGGCTGGCAGACTGCCAGACTGCCAAACTGGCTGCGGGCGACTACGGTTGCGGCAAAGGTTATGCATCCTGGTATCCCTATGCGATGGTAGATTGGTAGATTCTGATGAGAGAGAAACAAAGTTGAGGGAGAAAGAGAAGCGGGCAATTTGTACCGGACAAGGCAGGCGTTGGTTGAGTGTGGCGGAGGGGAGGCCATTGTACGGCTAGGCGAGAAACAACATGGGTGAGAGGCGCGCGGCGCGAAAGAGGGAAGAGAGGTGGGGAAACTGAAAACTGTATGGTGTGGTATATCGTGATGTTGAGAGATGTGTGTGTATGTGTGTGGTGACCCGAGAGGACCAGGGAGACGGCAGGACAGCCAAAAATGGAAGAGAAGGGAGGCAAAAAAGGAAGAAGAGTCTATGTCGCAGGTTGCAGCCCCTGTCTACTCGACGGCGTTACCTGCCGACGTGGTGTTGTGCACCTTGATCACTACGACGACAATGATGACGGCCGTGCCGACCAATGTAAAGATCAGGGGGAAGACAAAGTACGGGTTGACCCAGATACTCCTCTTCTTCTTCTTGATAAAGTCCGAGTCCTGGCGGTTGTCCATCTTGTTCATGGTCGACAGGCGCTTCCAGAAATCAACAGTGGACACGCGGTTGCCGCGCGGGGCTCGAGGCCCAGCCTGGCGCGCGTGAGGCGAAAAGGGCGAAAACACCTCGGTATCGTCTTCGCGGAACGTGGCCTTCTTTTCCTTGATGGCGTCGAACGCGCGGACGGACGGCGACGACGGCGGGGTCATGTCCGACGCGCCCATGGCAAAGTGCGCACGCGGAGGCGCGGCGAGCATGGGCGACACGGGCGCGGCGTTGGACATGACAGGCAGCTGGATCTTGATCGAGGGCCGGTTCTCGTGGCCCCTGCCGGCGAACGGACCAGGCGACTGGCGGCTGGGTGTATCGGGGGTCGGGGGGAAGCCGCCCTGTCCGCCCATGCCCATGTTGGGGTTGGGAAAGTCGACAATGACGGGCGCGGCACGCTGCTGCTGCTGCTGCTGCTGCTGGAGATGTCCGTGGTGGTGGACAGGCTGGGGGTTGGGGAACTGCTGGGCGTGTGGGCTGGGGAACTGCTGGGGGCTGGAGAACTGCTGGGGGTTGGGGAACTGCTGTTGCCTGTTGCGCGGGGTGAGCGGCGCAGTGGCGGCGTGGGGGGGCACGCCGCCATAGTCCGACTCGTCGTCGGTGTGCTCGTGCTCGCCAACCGCAGCCTCGAGGGACTTTACGCGCGCATGCAGTTCGGCGCGGTTCACCTCGACGTAGTGCTGTTGCTGACGCTCAGGGTCTGAGAAGGATCCGGTGCGCGCGCGGCCCGCAGCCTTCTCGTCCTGGAATGACGAGCCAGAAAGCAACAGACCGCCGATAGAGGACAAGTTGGCAGAGTCGTGGTTTGCGTGAGCCTGGACGGGGCCACCGAGGCTGTCGGTCGACGACGAGAAGGGGTTCCCCTGCTGAGCGTACGGGGGAGCCTGTTGGGGGTGGGCGCGTGGGGTCGAGTACATCTGAGGGATACGGGCGGCCATTGTGTGTGCGTGTGTGGACGGGTGGCTCGCGGATAGGGGCGGGGGTCTAGGGTGTTCGTTCGTGCACGGGGCGTGTGATCGTGAGTGGCGGGTTGTTGTTAGATGAGGATGGTCTAGCTGATGGCGAGCAAGGCGGTACGGGTGGGGTTGCAGGTGATGAGAGTGCCGGTGTTGTGAGACAGAAGACGGGAGAGGGGGCGGGTAGGCAAAAGGGGGGGAGAGGGGAGCAGGGGGTGGTCGTAATGAAAGTCGTTTGTCAAAAGAGTGTCTGTTTGTTGTAATGAACGTAGGGGGCGGGTTGGGTGAGAGAGAGGAGAGGGAAGAGGGGGGAGAGAGACAAGCACAAGGGGGAGGGGTCGAGGTTGTGGATGAGAGAGATGAGAAGAAGAGATGGTCAACAACAGAATCAGAACTGATGGAACACAACTGCCGCTGGCCAGAGGCAAGCACAGGAGCATTGCGTCAGGGGGGGGCAGTGGCCAGTAGTCCGCGACGACAATGGGTCTCGCGGCGAGCGTGCAGAGTCATACAGCGAGCAAGGCCCATGAAACAACACACGACACTGACAAAACGCCACCCCGGTAGACCCTCCCCCTGGCTCTCCGGCCGCCACTACCGCCACAGCCCTTGTCCAACCCGGCAGCACGCAGCACACGCATTGGCCGTCTGCCAGCGCGTTGGCCGCACGGGGCCGCTGGCCGCTGGGTGCAAGCCGACGGATAGGTGGGGGTGCATCTACATCTAGGCTGGGGCCCGGCCCACCGCTGGCGTGCTGGACGCCATCTTGCCTGACGCAGGCTTTTGCAGGCAGGTCGAAAGGGGTATGCAGGAATCCGAGCCCCCGAGGCGCCACGCCGCGGCCCGTCTGATGAGATGCCGCGTATGCGTACGCCAGACGTGCCAGACGCGGCCAGACGGCGGCGCCGGTGCAGCGGTGCTGCATGAGCTCATGAGGAGGTTTGTGCGCACGCTTGTGAACCAGCCATGAAAGCGGGAAGAATCAAGTGGGAGGTATATGAGCAGTAGAATCAGATCTCAGAGAGTGACCCACGCGTGTCGCGTGTTGTAGTGCGTACAGTACAGCCCCCGCGTTTTGTGTGTGGCCTGTGTGGTGGCAGATTCCCAGGATCTAGAGATCCTATACAGTATGTACCGTACGCGTCTGGGCGTCTGGCCAGGTTCCAGGTTCGACACGCGTCGTCGTGGTGGCACGCACATGCGTGCATGCGCACACGGCGGTACATACGCGTGTGGACGCCAACAACCAGAAGGAAAGGAAGCCGCGAAGGCAGACGCGAAGGCAGACGCGACGCCATACGCCGAGGAGGCGTGGTGGTTGACTGCTGTGCCCCCCTTTGCCAGAGCCGTTTACCCGTTCAGCGTGAGCTGCGGGTACCCGTGATGAAAGATGAGGCAGCGACGGAATGCGCGGTCGCGGGACCGGAGAGACAGTAAGGACAAGGCTTTGCCCCCAGCGTCATACACGGGAGTGCCCGTCGGGTTCGTTGGTCGGTGGGATATGGTTATTATGATCGGAGAGAAAGAGACGTGGACATTGACAAGTAGCGCGGCGGCATGAAATGGATCTGGCCCCAGAACATGGATGCTTTGCATTCATAAAATAAAATAAAAAGGCCCATGCCACGGACTGCAGTGTGTCATGTGTGTGGAGACCTGCGCAACTGGTGTGTTCTGTCACTGGATTTCTGATCTCTGGATCTCTGGATCACTGCACCGTGTGCTTGGCGACATGGTCGATGACAACGCGACGACGCGTTTTGCACGTGTTGACGCGACGTCCATTTCTTTTTTTCCCTCAGGGGGGACAAGGTAAAGGAACCAGGAATAGCAGCAGCAGGAGCAGCAGCACACGGTGGTGGGCAGAACGGGTGACCACCACACGGATGCAGCAGCCCCCGAGTGAGGCAGTGCAACAGGATTATCCAAGAGGTGCGATAATAGACCACCCAACCTGCCACCTGGCCACCTGGCGCCGTCTTCCCTGGCGCAGCACAGCTGCACACTAAAAATATCTAACCGCGGGCACCCTTGCGAAAACCCACACACCCCCGTTTCTGCAGCGTCCCCTTCCGGTGTAGTGTGTTTCTCCGGATATAATACAAACAAGAACAACTATAATGCCCGGCCACTATGCCCACCTAATCAACTAATACCCTGCAGGTCCCTGACCCAATGTCTCTAATAATACCTTAGACTGGGCTGATAACTGTCGTTCCCCCATATAATGGAGAGGTTGGGCGGGTAATAAAAGAGTAATGTATTAAACCTAATGTCCACCAAATATTATGTAATCACCTGTAAAGTGGTGAAACGGGTGCCCTCCGCGGAGGGGAGGCCGGACGCCCGTACGCCCGCGCGCCCAAGGCGCCCACCACGTGGACCGGGGGACCTTTAGCCTTTAGCCCCCTTCCCTTGTGTACCTATGACTTTATTTGTGCCGCCTACATATACCCGGATCCACCCCCGCCCCCCAGAGTTAGGCTGAAACGCGCGGTCTGTGCAAGCCAAGCAATCCCCGCGCGCACCAACTGCCACCACTGTCTGTCCAGCGCGTCATCGTTGGCCAACCCAAAAAAACTTAAAGTGAAGGCACCCGATCTCCATGTGGTGTCCTGTCCGGATCTGGTGGATGCAGCGCGCGCAAAACCGAGTGGCATGACGATGACAACGACGCCGACTTCACGACGAGGCTGCCAGGCAGAGCTGGTGCGCCGGTGGGTGTCCGCCCACATATCAGGGACAAAGAGGGGGGGGGGGGCCAAAAAAGAGAGACGGCGAGGACGACTCTCACTCCACACGACCACAGGGGGGGTTTTTTTTTGTGCCGACAGTGGTGGATCCCATGGGGCCAAGGAGAAGCCCAAGAACATGTGCATGGCAGCGAGCACACACACACACACACACAGATAGACGAGAAGAGAAAGACAAGAAGACGATGTGTGCGTGTTGTGCCTGTGTGCATGGTATACACTGGCCAAGAGAGACTGCCATTTTACCTAGCGCACGCCACCCAGCGGCCGGCGAGAGCGAGAGCAGAGAGAGAGCAGAGCGAGTCCCTGCCCAGAGCACTGCCCAGAGCTTTTTGTCCCTTGGCTGTCTCTCTGCGTGTCGAGCACCTGGCCACCTGGCACCTGGCCACCTGGCGCGCACGCATTGCGCGCACCGTATCCCATGCACCCACGTCCACGCCGCCGTACCGCCGTAGCAGTCATCGTACTCTGCCATCACATCAACAACCACCACCACCACCACCACCACCATCTACTACACTCACTCCATCATCCCATCATCCCTCCTATTACCTTGCCCCCCCCCCCCTCCTCGTACTCGGCCCCGATCTGGCACATAGCCTTGCAACTCGCACCACCCCCCAACCCCAACCCCCCTCCCTCCCTCCCTCCCTCCCTCCCTCCGCCCGCTTCCCGCTCCATTCACGGCACACTTTGGCCCTTTGCTTGCTCCGCTCCTCCTCCCCCCTTCCAAGACTTGCCATTCCCCTCCCCCTCCCCTGTCGTCCACCCGCACACGCCCACACTTCTCACTCGCGGATCTCGGATACACACCTTGGCACCTTCTAGGCAAAGCCATCATCATCCCGGCCACCGTCATCGCTGGCCACCCACACCCCCACACCAGCAGTAGTTGAGCCACACCCATTGCTGCCCCCGCCGCTGCTGCTCTCCCAGGTCTCGACTGCGCGAGAAAGTAACAAGCCTCTCCTGTTACCCCGCTTCCCTCAGCGCTAGTCCAAACCCAACACCCCCACCCACCGCGACACTCTTCGACCCCGTGTCGTTTTGTTGTCGGTACGCAGGGTTCCCCCCCTTTGAGTGTTAAATAGCAATGTTCAAGCACCGCAACCAAGGTTCACGGAAGAGTGCCGGATTCATCCCTCCCAACCTGGTGAGTGACAAAGCGAGCTGGTGGAGAGACGAGACAATCATATAAGAGCCTGCGGTCACCTTTTGGCGTGTGTGTGCGCAGTCGAGTGGAAAACCCAGAGCCCGGTTCCAGGCAGAGCCGCAAAAGGGCTAGGTTTCGCGCAGTCGAGCATGCGGTATGCGCGGGCGGTGCGGCCAACCCAACCCACACCACACAGCCTGCCTGCGCACATCCTGCCAGAGCGCTGCAGAGCTGCAGAGCTACCCAGAACTATAGACTCTAGACCCACCCACGATCGCTCCGCATTTCCCTAAGTCTTCTGTGCTCACACAATTGTCCCCCCCCCCTCCCTCCGTCCCCCCTCTCGCCCATTTCACAATTCCCTCTTGTCCACTCCGCGCGCAAAACATCATCGATATCATCACCGCCGTCATCACTTAACACACGTACACACACACACACCACCACTGCATTGCCTCATCTTCGTCCACCGCGTCGCCTTCACTCTCTCTTTCCTCGCCCCCTCTCACATATATGCCTCTGCGCCTCTCGCAGTTTGGCCAGTCGCCCCAGTCGGCTCCCCTCCTCGCGTCCGCTCAGACCCCTGGCGTGAGCCAGAGCCGCCTGTCCGAGACGTCTCTTGCATCTGGTTCATACGAACGCGGCAGCTCTGCTCCTGGTTACGACTCTAGCAACTACGGCCCATCAGCAAACATGGGTCCCTCCGCCGCCACCGCCTCGGGCCCTCGTTACGGCCCCTCGGCCACTGCGTCTCCGCAGTCGTCGACCATGTCGCGTATCGCCAACAGCGAGCAGATGCCGCTCCGCGGTGGCGCCGCTGGTATGGCTGGCGGTGCTGCCGCGGGCGGTGTCATGGCCGGTGTCGACGACGACGACCTCGATGACCAGCTCCACACCTTCACTGCGGCCGACCGCAAGGACCTTTCATCTCCTTTCACCCTGAACTCGTGGAGAGGTTGGGCCAACGGTTTCACCCTCTTTGTTCTGCTGGCAGGCTTTGTCGTGTTGTTCGCCGGCTACCCGATCATCTCGCACTACGCAGACTCGAATGCGTCCAGCGGTTCCAGCACGTCGGGTTACAACCTCGGAGGTATCAATGCATCGGGCCAGTACCCCGAGATCACAAACTTCCCCACCCTCATCGACGCCGACACCCCTTCATCCGCCCTCACCCGCACTGGTACCGACGGCAACAAGTGGACCCTCGTGTTCTCGGACGAGTTTGAGCGCGAAGGCCGCACGTTTTACGACGGTGACGACCCGTTCTTCACCGCTGTCGACATTCACTACTGGCCCACCAACGATTTCGAGTGGTATGACCCCTCGGCTGTGACCACAAAGGACGGTCACCTCCTCATCACTCTTTCGCAGGAGCCCACCAACGACCTCATGTTCAAGTCTGGTATGCTCCAGTCGTGGAACCAGCTGTGCTTCAACAAGAACGCCTACTTTGAAGTCTCGGTTTCGCTCCCGGGCAACAACTACATTGGTGGCTTCTGGCCCGGTATCTGGACGATGGGTAACCTCGGCCGTCCCGGTTACGGTGCTTCCACCGAGGGTCTGTGGCCCTACTCGTACTCGTCGTGTGACGTCGGTATTCTTCCCAACCAGACGTACACCAACGGCTCGGGCCCCGCCGCCGCCCTCGACACTGGCTCGGACAGTTACGGAGGCACTCTGTCGTACCTTCCCGGCCAGCGCCTGTCGGCGTGCAACTGTGACTCGTCCACCCACCCGGGTCCCTCTGGTGTTGGTCGCTCTGCTGTCGAAATCGATTTGATCGAGGCCCAGATTGACCTCACCAACAAGAAGGGTCAGGTCTCGCAGTCGGCTCAGGTCGCCCCCTTTGACGACTACTACCAGTTCAACAACTGCTCCGACTGTGTCAAAATCTACGACTCCGACCTCACATACTACAACACTTACCTCGGTGGTGTCTACCAGCAGGCCGTCTCGGGTCTCACCTATGTCGACAGCTCCATCTACTATGGCACATCGGCAGAGTTTGGTACCTTTGGTTTCGAGTTTGTGTCCAACTTTGACGACCCGACCGACGGCTACATTGAGTGGGTCAGCATGGGCACGGCCTCGTGGCGTATGAACGCAAAGGCTGTCGCTGCCAACGCCGCCGTTGGTCTCAGCCAGCGTCTCATCTCGCAAGAGCCCATGGCCCTCATTTTCAACCTGGGCATGTCCAACAACTTTGAAAACGTCGACTTCAACCACATGCCCTTCCCCAACTACATGCGTGTCGACTACATCCGTGTCTACCAGCTCGATGGTGGTGACGGCTCCATTGGCTGTGACCCAAGCGACCGCCCGACTGCCGACTACATCTCGACCTATGCGGAAGTGTACGCCAACCCCAACCTGACGACTTGGGAGGGTGCAGGGTACACTTTCCCCACCAACAAGATGACCAACCCCACTTGTTAAAGCATGCTGCCTGCCCACTTGCAACCCAAGCAACCTCCCAACCCCTCAAGCTCGTAGAAAAACGCCAGCATCAAATCGTCCCCGCGTTGGACACTTTTTTGTCACGCCTGCATAACGGATCGTAACGACGGACCTTTGGCGGTCGCTCTGAGCAGACCGACCCCACTCCCCTCCCCTCCCCCCTCTTCCTCACACCTCTACCTATCTATTTCCCTCCCCCCCTTCTTCTTCTTTCTCTCTCTCACTCACCCCATACTTCAGCATTCCCGTTCATAGAGTTTTTGATATACGCTACCCATCAGGCTGAGCCGACCCGCCGCCATACCACCAGGCGGCTGCATTATGCAGCGCAATGCATTTCATACCCACCGAACGCGAACGGCCCGAACGCAACAAGCCAATGTCCAAATGTCCTGCCCGTCGTCACTTGCATCACTTGTCTCGCATCATCGTCATTGCGCCTACATTACCCAATACATAGATCAATAGGTCAATAGACCCAGTGCGCCAGTGCGCAATGCCTCCAGTGGATCCGGATAACGCGCGCGCCTCACCGTGCCCAGCGTGCGCGCAGCAGGGACGAGGACAAGGGTTGTTGCGAAAAGGGGTGGCACAGGACGCCACAATGACCCGCGCGGCTGGCCGGCGACACCGCTTGGGTCCTTGGCTGGGCAAACCCTGGAAAACCTGGACGACCTGGGCCTCGGCGCGACGTGGCGCGCAAGGCAAAAGCTCAAAAGGCAGCGCAGCATGTCCAGGCGCATGCAATACGCAGGTGACATAACCACAGATCCATAGAACCACAGAACATGGAGACAGAACACGACCAACCATGCTGGGTGGCCAGCATGGAGCGGCCATGGCAGTGGCGCTTGTCCCATGGAACCCCGTGCTGCAGTTCCTCGTACCAAATTCCCATTCCCAGCTGTTTCGTTTCATTGTGCCCTTGTTCTTTTGCGCTTTTGTCGCAGCCACGGATCCACGGACGCGCTCGCAGTCGGTCCGGTGGGCCTGGGGCTGGCTTGGCGGGACTGCGCCGGTGATCCCGAGAGGGGGGGAGAGGAGGGGTACATAGGTGCCAGACGGCTGGGCTGAACGCGACAACGTGTACGTGCGTGGGGGCGAGAATAGCCAGCGGCAAGCGGCAAGCAGGCCGACAGCTACATACAGCGGCCAGCGGGGCGAGGGGCATGCATTTGTCCGTTCAGCGATCAGGAAGTGGCCAGTGGCCAGCGTCCCACCGTGTTACAACGGCGGGTGCCACTGGCACTAGTCCGCGAGTCTGCGACGGGTGTGCGTCATGGATGGATCCGTGCCGCAGCGTCCTTCTAGGTGCCCGTCGCAGTACCCACAGAGTGAGGCGCCACCAGGTGCCAGAAGCCAGGTGCCAGGCGCTGCCGATGGTCGCAGCCAAGTCTGACTGCGTGCTGCTGCGAATGACGCGCTTGCAATCTCGGCTCCCTCCCGGGCTCCTCTCGGTCCTCCCTCCTACACAAGTGGCCAGTGGACGCGTACACAGCACCTCTGGGCGTCCAGATGTGGCCCAGATAACAGGGCCAAAGGGAAACTGAACTGGCGCACAGGGCACAGCGTACAGCTGCACGCCCGTGGCAAAAAAAGGCAAAGGACGCGCCGAGAACGACCCCATATGGGCGGTGCTGTAGCCTGCAATACCCGTGGATACCTATAATGGTGCGCGATATGAATGTCTCCTGTTGCTGGCACAGCTGTACAGTACAGTTCAGTTGATCAGTTGATCAGTTGTGCAGTTGCTTGGCACATGTTTGGGCACGTCGCAGGGCCCGGACACAGCTCACAGCAGGGCGGGACACATGGTGGGGTTGGACCCAGGCTTCCTTGGCGAGCTGTCACGAAGCGACCCACCAGCGTACCAGAGTCCGTCAGCCGATCGCTAATCGCTAGATCGCTAAACGGATACAGGACGGGACGTCTTGGAGGCCCATACATAAATAAATGGGCCTCATTTATCTGGGTCTGGAGTCTAACCGTAAGCAAGTGGAAGTGGTCGGTGTCGTGCGCATTTGCGCGACGAGTTGGTTTCCCGCCGCGTCTAAGAGTTTGTGAACACTCCTGCCCAGATTCCGTTGCCATTTAGCGAGACATGAGTGTACAAGGGTGGGATAACCGTTGTTCGTGCAGCGGTATGTGCCAACAAGCTACCGCTGGGGGGTATACGTCGAGGTTGCTTGCAGCAGGACAAGCATAGAACCCAACACACCAGGAACGCAGGTTACACCTTTGCACCTTCGACGCGTCGCACGTGAAAGTCACGTGGCCGCGCATGACGACGTTGACGCACCTTCACGTTGGAACACATGTTGTACACAGCGGCCACCCTTGCCAACACCACCATTCACCTACCCCCCCCCCCCCCCCCCCCCATGTCTAGCTCCCCGACGGCCTCGGGGTCCACCCCACCACGGCGTCCCGCCAAGCGAGCAGGACGCGGAGGCGCGGTCCCCGCCAGTGATGAGCAGCAGCAGGCGGCACTGAGACGCGATCCGGCCATCGCAAAGGCGTTGCAGTTGTCGACGTTTGAGGTAGGTGGCAAACAGTGTGGGCAAGTCGGGCTGACCGTAAAAGGAGGACTACTCGACAGAAGACTTTGTGGGGACACTGAGCGAAAAGCTCATTACCCAGAGCAAGGCGGAGGCAGGTCGTGAGTTGCTTGCATCTTGGCCATCAACTGACTCGGCAGCCTTCAACCCGGCGCCGTTTATGCAGACCTTTTCGCCCGCGCTTGACGCGCTTCTTGCTCTCCGTGCGCAGGTCGCGGAACAGACCAAGACGATGGAGGGAGATGTGCGTCTCGCAAACCGCGAGTATGGCAAGCGGTTGCGCGAACTGGACGGTGGTTTTGAAGTGAGTTCGCTGGTTGCTGTGTTCTGGGCATTGAACTGACGACGCCAGGCCGTTGGTAGCTCGTTCTCAAACCTCGAGAGCAAGATTAGCGAAGTGGGACGCACAGCGGCGCGTATCGGCGAGCAACTCGAGAGCCTGCATCAGAAGCGCAGTACCGCACAAGCGACATCGTTGATTGTGTCATATTACCTCTCGCTCGTGCACCAGACCAGCACGACTGGCGAGGAGCCGTCCCCACTTGACGCGCTTTACGCGACAAGGACAAGTCGCGATGGACGAGCGCGTATCGCTGTCGTCCTCCGCCGCCTGATGAGCGTGGCAAAGGACATGGCCGACAGCGCTGCTCTGGTTCTCGCGGACGCCGAGGCGATCGATGCCAAAGAGGGAGGAGGCACACATACCCAGCTCCATCGCAACGTTCTCTACCGCCGAGGCCAGCAGGAAAAAGCCGACCGTGTGCGCGACGAGGTCCAAAAGTACTGCGACATGTTTGAGCTCGATGTGCGTTCCATCTTTGACAAGGCGTACAAGCGGGGCGAGCCAAGGATGATGGCGCATTGCGCCCAGGTGTTGCAAGACTTCAACGGTGGAAGCTCGATTATCCAGATCTACGTCAACCAGCACGACTTTTTTATCTCAAAGGACAAGCTCCTCGAAGAGGCCGGGACAAAGGGTGCAGACGATTTCTGGAAGAACATTGGCGACCCGGACGTCCCGCCACCAACATCCGAGCCAGGTCTCGAGGCCCTCTTCAAGGAGATTCGCGAGACGGCAAGCCAAGAGGCACAGATTGTCCGCGCCGTCTTCCCCAACCCCATCGCTGTCATGCAAGTGTTCCTGCAGCGCGTGTTCGCCCAGGTCGTTCAGCAACACATCGAAATGCTCGTCTCGCGCGCCGCCGCCCTCTCGACGCTGGCGTCATTGCGCATCCTCCACCTCTCGCACACCATGTGCACCACCCTTGTCGAGGACCTCAAGACGTACGACGTTACGCTCGGTGGACCTGGCGTTGGCTCGTCCAGCAAGCTGGATGTAAACTCGGGCGGGCCGTTGTCCACTCTCCTGGACCAGAGTCTCGAGGAGATGTACGTCCCCTGGCTCGAAGGCTCGCGCTACCTCGACAGCGAGAGCAAGAACCTTGCCGAACTGTATGGTGGCCTTTTGAGTCGCTTCACACGCTACCACGAGACAGTGCTCAAGGCAAAGCCAAACTCGCTCCTCGACCGCGTAGTCAACTCGATGTCGACCTCGGCGCCAAACGCTGTGGCTCCCACCTCCACCGCACACGCCGCAGCTGCCGCCGCGCGCAAGTATGCCAACCTGTTTACCACCTCGGTCAACACTGCGGCCACCTCGGCCTTCTCCAGTGGGCCAGGAAGCCGGCCCACAGCACCGGCACGGTCGACGGCACGCCTCAGCATCCAGTCGCCGCAGTCCCTCTCCCGCTCCGACAGCCAGAACCGCACGACCGACGGCCCGGTCGAAGAAAAGATGTTCCCTGCCGATGGTCTTGTGACAATCCCCATGGCCGAGCGCATGCTCCGATGGCACGCCGAGGCCGTGGGCCGTGTGGTCGAGCTTAGCCCCAGTGCGGATGTGGCCAAGAACATCTCCGCGCTGTCCAACGTCCTCGCCGAGGCCGTCGGTCGCTCGTTTATTGAGACTGCCCTCGATTCTGCGCTCGCACGGCTTGACCAGTCGGACGCCAGGACCGAGCCCGACTTGACCATCCTCCAGGTTTTGCGCCCAGCCGACCTCGTGTGCCACTTGTGGCAGCGGTACGCCAACACTGCACTTGTCCCCCTCACCTCGTCCAACGCGGCGATGCGTCGCGAGGTGACCACGTTCAACCAGCACAACGTCGTGCGCATGGAGGGCAAGATCAACTCTGTCATCCAAAAGGCAATTGACACGCTTGTGGTGTGGCTCAGCTTCTTGCTCGCAAAGCAAAAGCGCAACGACTACAAGCCAAAGGACGACGTCATGTCGTTTACGCGCACCAACACGGAACCATGCGAGCTGTGTGTGGAATTCCTCGGCTCGGTGCAGGACACTGTGGGCGAGAACATGAGCGGCAAAAACAGCGAGCATTTCCTCACCGAAATTGGTGTTGCGTTCCACTCGCTCCTCCTCGACCACTACAAAAAGTTCCCAGTCAACCCCACAGGTGGTCTCATGCTCACCACCGATATTGCGGCGTACCAAGAGGCCATCAAAGAGTTTGGTATTCCGGCCCTCAACGACCGCTTCGAAATGCTCCGCCAGCTGGGCAACTCGTTTGTCGTCCAGCCCCAGATCTTGAGGAGCTACATGACCGAATCGCACTTGGGCCGCATCGACGCCCGCTTGCTCAGGCCGTACCTCCAGCAACGCTCCGACTGGTCCCAGTTCTCGCGCTCACTCGCCCTCGACGACGGCGTAGACGACACACCCGTCTCGGGCACCGCCACCCCGGCCTCGTCCATGCTCCAGCTGCGAGCCAGTAAGCGCCTGAGCGCAATGTCCGGCGTGGCGGGCGCGGGGTATGCGCGCCTCCGCGAGGCATTGCGTGACTTTGAAACTCTTACTGATAGTGAGAAGAAGATCAGCAGCAGCAGCAGCAGCTTCGGTACGGCTACAGGGAACGGCAACGCCGCGGGCACCGCCCCGCCTAGTGCGTTTGGCAGTCGCGCAGCCTCGGGCAACACGACGCCGGCACCGCAGGCGCCACCCCGCAAGCACTACCCCCCGCCCATGTCGGGGATGATGTACATGTCCGGAATGCACTGAGCGATGTACATGTGTTTAATCTCTGTGTGCGGGAACGTGTAGTTTGAGAGTGCATATGAGTTCAGACGGACGCACAGGAGTAAACGTGTTGTACGAGGAAACAGCTGCATCGTCCTTTGTGTAAAGGTTCTTTTACCGGCCCGTCTCTAGGGAACAGATTTTTAAGCAACCCAATTTGGAGGCTCTGATGTGTCCCTAAACCATGTGTCGGTATTAAAAAAAGAGAAACCGTAAAGAATGAGCTACAAGCAACCGGTGAAAATAATAAACCCAAAATATTGCATTTCATTAAGCAGCAAGCAGATGCCACGCGCTCGTTACGTCGTCATAAATTTCAGAGATAAATATTCCAGGACTCTACGGCCAGCATGGGTATGGGCGAAAGGAGGAGGAGGAGGAGGGGGAGGACAACACAGACACACACAAAAAAAACAACCCCAGCAGGACAAGAAACAACTTAAAAAGCGCCGACGGCGGCGGCGGGGCGGAACGTGATCTCGTCCCAGCCCATCTCGCGACCCTGTGATGCGAGGTGGCGCGTCCAAATCCACCAGAAGAGCATGGCGGCGAGGAACGCCTTGGCGAGGTTCTTGATATGCCACAGGGTCTCTGCCGTGTCCGACTTGCCGAGGAGGCGGAGACGGAGGCGCGGCGACGGCGTGGTGGGCGGCGCGTCATTGTCACTGCCGCCGAGGTCGTTCTCGCGCTCCTTGTCCCGTGGCCAGCCGCGGTGGGCTAGCCGAGACGACAGTGCACGGTTGACGCGCGAGATCTTGGGCGAAGAGTTCTGTGTAGGCGTCGGTGTGGGCTCGGGCGTGAGCGTCGCTGGGGGGATGGTGATGCGCACCTGCCTCGCCTGCCTCGAGACGCGGATGCTCTCGCGATACCCGTCCACGCAGCGCTCCATGGCGTCCCACCACGTGAAACCCTGGATGCCGTCGGTGCACGCCTTGTGGCCCATGGCAGCGCGCTCGGTGTGGTTGGTCGTTGCCCGCGCAAGCAGCTGTGCGTAGCCGTCCACGCAGACGCTGAAGAGCGGGTGTGACACGTCTCGGCAGATGGTGGGCCATGTGCGTGAGGGGTTGACCTTTGTGTTGGCGGCCGCAACGGGCGGGAGGGGCAGGAGGAGACCTGTGGACGCGTGCTGCACGAGGTCGCGGGTCCCCTCGGCATCCAGGCCAATGACGGGCAAGCCCGAGGCGAGCGCCTCGAGGACCACCTGCCCAAACGTCTCCGTAAAGCTGGGAAACGCGAAGATGTCCGCCGAGGCATAACATGCTGCCAGCTCCTCGCCTTGGCGGTGACCCATGAACGTCGCGTCGTATCCGCGGTCAGAGCAGATGGTCTCCAGCTCGGTCTTTGCGGGACCGTCGCCCACAAAGACGAGTTTTGGCAGCGGCGAGCCAGTGGGCAGGTATGCCGACAGGCGGCCGTAGGCGTGCAGGAGAAGAACGAGGTTCTTCTCCCACGACACGCGGCCGACATAGAGCAGACAAACGCGGGAAGGGGCCGAGTTGATGGCCATGGGCTCGGCGGTGAATGGCTGAGTCTGGCCTACATCACCAGCCGGCACGACAATGGGGCTCGCGGGCGGTGTGAGCGGCAAGCTTGTCTTGCGACCCGAGTGGTGCACGCCAACGACCTTTGAGTTTGTGAGGTCGACGCTCACTCGGCCAGGAGCCTCGCCGATACCCCACAGCTCGCGCATCTTGTTACACCGCTTCGAGGGGCCGAACTGCGACAGGTCCACTCCACGCGGCCACAGCCTCACGTTGGAGAAGGACTGGGACTCGAGCATGGAGCGGGTGGACGGGGAGGGGCAGAGCGTGAGGAGGGTCCTGGCGGTCAGCATGTGATGGGACAATGGTGTAATGTAACCTACTTGGAATAGAGCCACTGCTGCAGACGCCACATGATCGGTTCAAGCCACGACATGCCAAAGAGTGTAGCGTAGGTTGCCAGGTTGCTGCTTGTCAGTTACAGAATCGGGCGACGGAACACACGTGTGGTAGCTTGCGACAACGGCGCCGCTGATGCCGGTGCCAATGGCTGGTCCGCCCTCGCCCACCCAGTCCTCGCCTGCCCAGCCGAGCTCCATGGCCATGAGGGTCTGGGCACCGAGCCAAATGGGGTCGACAAAGTGGACGACATCTGGCTGGAAATCTTGGATGGTGCGGAGGAATTTGGGTCGGAGAAAGTTGAGCTACAGGTGTAAGCTTGTGCCACCGTATGTACCAAGAAGTTTACCTTAAGGCCTGGGTAGACGACGAGTGGGACACCAGCAGTGCCGACCAGTGGGTGGGACGCGTAATGGCTCTAAATGGGACGTTAATAATGGTGCTAAATAAACAGTTGGCTTACCATGCCAGTGCCTGGGCCGAGAAGCATGCAGCTATGACCTTCACGCTCAAGGTGTTCGAGGAGACGCGCCAGTGTGCGCGTAACACCGTCAACCTTGGGTAGGAAGTTCTCTGCAAGGCGTCAGCTCACGAGCACACTGCTGTGTCCACTCACCAGTCACAATGACGATCCTCAGCCCTTTGCGCCCACGTGAAGATGAGATCCAGTCTTCACGCGCGTCCCGCTCCTCTGCAGTCATGTTGGGCCTCCATGGCATCTCATTGCCGGTGAGGGTTGCTTCAGTCTGCTCAAACGAGATGGATGGTTCGGGGAGATCGAGCTCGGGGATGGCCTCGAGATGGGGCGGAAGAACACCAAAGTCCTCTGGGGTGGCAAGCGGACTGGGCAAGGTGGTGCGGCGGGACTGTGACCGGGTCCTAGTGGCAGAATGCACGTGTTGGTGGCGGCCACTGTCCATGGCCGACTTGATGGCCGGGAACGTCTTGGGCGTAAGCGGAGGAGTGAGGAGCGACATTGTGGTGCAGTTCAAGCCCCTGCTGGTTGGGTAAGGTTACGATGGGGAGTGGGTGGCGAGAGATGGCCGACGCGCCTAAAGGGGTGATGACTCTTTGGGCAACAAAAGCGGTAATGATTGGCGTCGCGGTTGGGTATCACGTTCGGGGCTGTTCCTCTTGAGGAAGCGTTGGCTTGTGTGTTGAGGAGGCGATGGTCCAAATGCACCGCAATGTGTAACAGTGACTGTCTGGAGAGACCAGCGGGGGTGAGTGACTGTTGAATGAAGAGAAGAGGAGATGAGATGAGACGAAAGAGGACCGAGAGGACCGCGATCGGGAGGTAGTCATATGTGTCGGTGCCACTTGGTCCGTCCCCAACGCCGACATCAGTCGAATCTTCACATGTGTGTGGGGCCGTGACATCAGTTTACGCCTCCTGCCCTGCGCCGCCAAGAAGCCAGTGCTTGTGTGCTGCACATATCGGGTACTTGCCATTGGGTTCTGCTACCTGTCTGTCACCCCCGAGGCTAGCGGGCCGGAAAAGAAGCGACATGTCAACAAAGGGGCATGGTCAGGAGGGTCCTGCACGTTCGTACATGATCCATCCAGCTGCCAGCGGCCGTAGATCGCACATATTGTGGTAAACAACTGTCGCGGGTATCCTGGGCCATGCCATAAATATTCCAGTAGAGTGAATGGGTGGTTGGGGGGTGAACGTGTTTGCCGTGTTTTGGCACGTTTGCCAACGTGCGTTCCTTGCGACCACGCAACATGAACAGGATATGGACATTGAGAGTGGAGCCCCCACGTTACGTAAAGTGACGTTGTTTGTTGTTTGTGTACGTTGATAACAGTTGCCAGTTTAACGTGTATATACAGTCAGGGTAGGGCCTCTTAATACTAAATCGAAATTAGGAACCGCAGGATGGCTATTAGAAAATGGGAACGTGATTAGAAACGCGCAAGAATACAGGTGTGTGTGTGTGTGTGTGTGTGGATCTCTCTATGCATCTATGTGTGTAGGCTGTTGCTTTCCTGCCGCGTGGTGGGCGCTTCGGACCCGACGCTTGGGCTGCCCGATGACTAATTTGACTCGAATCGAGTCGGACAGTGGCGTACAGTGGACGCGGCGGTGGACGTGGGCGCAACAACACTGCTGTCGCCATCATCGATCTCTAGAGACCGGGGAATGCATGCAATTGCAGTCAAACTGGACATGTCCGCAGATGTACATCTTGACCGTGACGCTGCCCACTTTCAGAGCTGTAGGAGACTGTATGCATGCACAGGTTTGCATTGTACAAGGCAGCATGGATGGTGCCACTGGTGCCACTCGGCGTTACAGAGCGGTAAAGTATTTGCAAAACGGCCATTTGGTTCCGTGTCATCCAGGGCACCAAAATGCCAACCGAGAGCGTGTGTGCCCGTGGTCCGGACCGTTCCCCCCCCCCCCCCGGTACAGTGCGTTTTCCTTCATAACGTGTCTCCCCCTCCCCCTTTGTGCGCTTTTCCCCATACATCTCTTCCATCAGTCCACTTTCCCATCATCAACAACAGCCTCTAGCTGCTCCTCCTCCACGCCCCACCAGCAGCTACTACATCCTATTGCCTTTGGCAGTGAACACACCGCGCCCACCTCGTGTCTGATAACATTAACCTTGCCTACACCTCTGCTATTCAACATGCAGTTCTCGTGAGTATCCGCCTCCGCACAGACTGCCACGTCGTCCCTTCCTTCCACCCCCGCCTCCCATGGATCCCATGGCCTCCTTGTCAAGCACAGTACTCACCTCCCTCCAGCGCTTAAATTCCCTTCCTCAACAGGAAGCTTATCGTCCACCTCGGCGATTCACACGAACCACTTTAAACCCCCCCAAGTCATCTTCTGAACCCACCCCGGTTCTTTCATCTGCCCACCATGGCGTCCTTCACCACCTCCCCCCAAGAAACCAACTCGAGCTCCACAACATCCCCAGTGAGCCCTTCCACCCTCCCCTGCGCACCGCGTCTGGCACAAGCCCGTCCGATCTCAACAACAACACGATAAACATCGACTCGTCGCCCAAGGGCCCCCACAGTCAAGTTTTAAGTTCACTCCCGACTCCCTTTCCGCTACCCAGCGGCACTCTTCCAACAACGAGCTCTAGCTCCAAGAACAGCGTCCCCACGCTCAATAAGAACGAGACGGTTCAGCCGACCCTTCTCCACAACCAAACCTCCAACAACCCATCCGAAATGATCGTCGACGACATCTTTTCGTCCAACGCGCTCCCCGCCTTTGACTGGGACCAGTTCCTGGTTGGCGACGCGGACCGAGCTGCCGTTGAAGTTGCCACGGCTCTTGACAAGGGTGGCCTCGCGGCTACCCTGCAGTCGTCGCAGCCCAACACCCCAGCCTCCGACTTTGACGGTGCCACCCCCAAGTCCACCGAGTCCGAGTCGAGCAAGGGTCTCGATGTGTCCGAGTTCTTCTCGTTTGACGAGCTCGACCACTTCGCGGCCCCTGCCGGTATCACCCACGACCCTAGCGACCTTCTCTCGTCGTTCACCGCCTCCACCCCCGTTGTCCCCGACTCGTCCATGGCTGCCGACCCCACCATGCTCAGCACCTTTGGCTCGACTCTGGGCAACTTTGGCAACCTTGCCTCGCTCGGTAGCGACGCCGTGTCCCAGCTGCAGCTAGGCAACCTCCTTGAGCAGCTCACTGGTACTGCTCCTACCCCTGCTCCCGCCACACTGGCACCCTCTGGCCTCTCCGAGGTGTACGCCTCGCTTGGCTGGCCCCTCACAGGCCCTGTCAAGGAGGAGTCTTCCGCCGCTTCTTCGCCTGCCCTCTCCTCGATGGCCATGAAGCGCAAGGCTTCTGACTCGTCCGACGACATGTCGTCTGCCAAGCGCTCTCGCGGCCGCCCGGCATCGTCGACTCCCGTCGCCAAGCGCCCTTACCGTCGTCAGTCCAAGAACGGCCTTAGCCTTTCTCAGCTGGCTGCTGCTGCGGCCACTGGTGCCCCAATCATCGACGAGAAGCGTGCCATGTCCCCCACCCCGGAGGTTGAGGACGACGACGAGGCCCCCGTCCGTCTCACTGCCACTGGCAAGCCCTCGACCGCGCGCCCCAAGGCCGTCGTCCCGGAGAAGTACATGAAGAATGGCGAGGCTCAGGCCATCACTGGCATGACCACCGAGCAGATTCTGTCTTTCCCCAACTGGTCGACCCTCATGGAGTGCGTCGACGAGGCTCACCGTGCTGGCGCCGAGGTCTTCGGCAAGATGATCTCGGAGAACCGTGACAAGGCTAAGTGGGCTGCCAAGAAGTCGCGTGACGAGCGCAAGGCCAAGGTCGAGTCCCTCGAGGGACAGGTCGACGACCTCCAGGGCAAGATCGCAGAGATGCGTGGCCTCCTCCTTGGTCTCGTTGGCCGCGGCCTCGTCTCGCTGGCCGACGTCGAGACCTACATCTAAGCGCTTTCGCTCGTGGATTATACCTCCCCCTCCCTCGAAGTTGTTGCGTTGGCACCTTCGTCATCGTCTGCCGGAGCGTCGGCATTGACGTCCAAGTTGAATCGACATCCGTGATGGGTTGTCTTCAAGGTGAGGCGTGACTCTTAATTGAGGCCGCGTCTCGAACGTGCTCTAGCAATATGGCCTCTGTGCCGCTAGTAGCCTCAAGACCCCGGACTCGCCTAGTGCGAACGTCCATCTTTCCGCTTTTTTCCGACTTTTCGCCCTTTTTCCTCCTCTCCTTTTACTTCTTCTTCAGACCCCCTCTACTAAAAACCTGCGCGCCTGCGGGACCGGACTTTGTTCCTGGTGCAACATTGGGTCTGTTGTTCGTTTATATTTTGAATGCAGTTAATGAGTTTACCTGTGGTTGCCGAGCCCGAGTCGCCGCCCCAGCGGCGACGTGACCATCGCCACCCCCCCAGTAAGAGTACCCCAGTGTTCACTCTCACTCCACTTTTGTGGGGCCATTCTATTGACCCCCGCCCGACTGAGGGAATTTATACATGGGAGTTTAGTGTGTGATGGAGGATTGTTGGTTAGATTGTCAGTGTTGGGCGACACTGGCGCCCCGCGCCGTGGAGACGGTGGGTACTGGGTGACGCGTTGCCACACCAATTCGATTGCCGCCTCCACCTCTGTCCTAGTCCGGTGATCCGGACCTGTGAGAACAACTCCCTTCGTCTCGTCACATCATTTCTCAATCCCATACCACTCTCTCGCTCCCCAGATTGCTCCATGGTCACTGTCCTGCCATGACAGAGCGCGACAAGGTCACCAATCCCACATCCGAATCCCCCGCTTCCAACGACTGGGCATTCTGGGCCCCACTCAATGACGCTGGGGAGGCGCTCATAAACCTCGCGTCAGCGGCCATCACTCCCATCGCATCGCCGCCCACCCAGACCGTTCCTATGCCCGAGTCCAGTTAGTTGCCAGTGCAGTGCTTCCACTGACATGTGTAGCTGTGCCTCCCAAGGTGCCTGCAGCGGCCACTGCTCCTCCCGCCCCAGAGAAGCCGGTGGCGAAGGACCCCATGGTGGCCAAGACAAGGACGATTCCCAAGGCCCTCGATATCGCCAACGGCGGTCCACTCACCTCAGTCTGGGCGTCGCACCCATACTCGGCTGCCTTTCTCTCTGGAGCAGGTATGGCCGCCCTTATCGCAGTTGGCTTTGCCACCGCGACGTTTGCGTTCAAGACCGGTCCCAACATGGCCGCGCCTTCGCGCAGCATGTACGCGGGCCTCACAGGTCCCGCGTCAGCTCTGCGCGAGCACCAAATGCGTGACACCGCCTTGATGCAGATGCGCCGTACCAACGCGGTCGAGGCCGGCACCAAGGCGGCGGAAGGTGTACATGCGGACCTGTCCCGCCTGGAGAACCTTCTCCGCGAGACAAACTCGACACAGGCGCGCATTGTTGAACAGATTGCTGCTGTTCCAGGCCTCGTGAGCCGTCTGGCCAGTATTGAAGATTCGTTGTTGGCCGAGGCAGCGGCGCGCAAGTCGTCCATCGGTAGCCTCCAGGAGCTGATCCGTGCCAATAAGGTGGGGTCAAAGTCGTGGGCGATGGTATTAACGGACAGTCCGACAAGGTCGGGGTGGATGCCGAAATCAAGGCTATTGTGAGTTGTACGTACGTGGGGTGTCGTCTAACGGTCAGGCGAGCCACCTAGAGCAGATGCAGGCGGACCTGCGCGTTGTCAGTGGTCACTTTGTTCGTCCCGTCGCCGATACCAAGGCCGAGACCGCCCTCCCGCGAAGCGCAAAGAGCCGCTCCAGGAACCGCTCCAGTGGCGACCAGAGCCGTCATGCCAGCATCAATGACCTCGCCAACGAGGGTCTCCTTGGAGACCTCCACCCTGGACCGAGTGCAGTCGAACAGCTGTACGCCGATATTGCAGCCGCGAGCGTTGCGGCTTCTCTCGAGACCGAGCCTCTTCAGGCTTATCAACCTAGCCAGGCTTCTCAACCGACGCCTGATGTTCCCAAGGTGCCCCAGGCCAAGGTCTCAGCAGACAAAGATTCAACCTCGAGCACGGATCCGAAGGCAAACCCGGATGTGGCCGAGTTTGCCGCCAACCTCAAGACGCCGCGCACTGGGCCCTTACCCAACCCCGTGTCCTTCCCTTCGGTTTTCGTGGACCACAGGATGTATCCGAGGCGTGATGCTGTCGTGGACATGTTTAAGAAGGAGGCCAAGCAGGCTACCGACCCACCCGAGGACCCCATCAAGGATGATGTCCTCGCATCGTTGCCTCAGTACGAGTCGGGTGAAGCTGTTACGCAGGAGGAGATCGACCTGCCCGTCCAGCCCGTCCAGTTTGCTCCGTCCATCGAGCCGCTCAGGCCGCTCAAGCCCGATGCGCCTCCCCAAGAGATCCCGTGGCTTCGTGGCAACACCCTGAGCCGCTCTGAGTCCCGTAAGAGGCAGCGGGCGGCTGCGGCTGCACTCCACGCGTCCATCGACCCGTCTACTGTCCACAAGACGGATGGGCCAGCCTGGGTGCCGAGGGACGAGGCCGAAATGCCCACGCCAGCCCCGTTCTGGAACGAATTTAACGAACCGAAGGAGTCGCCATCGCCGATGCCGGAGCCAGTTGCTGCCGCACCAGGGGTCGTCCAGGGGGCCAAGCCAGATCCCATCCCAGCACAAGAGCAACCCAATCCCGAGGCCAAGCCAACGCCAGAGGAGGTGCAGCCTACCGAAAGTGCCACTGGCCGCGTTTACAAGCCGTACTCTCACCAGCCAGTTCGGTACCTGGGTGTCAACGACAGTGGCGAGTGGAAGTTTACCTTTAGGCCCAGCCACCCAGACGACAAGCCTGCACCCTGTGTCCGACCTCACTTTATTGTGGTATGCCGCAGGTCTCACCAGTCGTCGGGCGAGGCAACGCCGTTCTGGTATGAGAAGTGAGTTGCGGATAAAGATCAAGTCTCCGCTCCAGCGGCGACGTGACCACAGTCACCGCCTGGTGTTCGTTCACTCCACTTTTGCGGGGCCAGCCACTGACGACCCTCCTGCAGGAGTTCGACGTACACGGTCGGGCCGTTCAAGACGGCCATAGTTTTCAGTCCCGAGGTCGACATGATTCTTCTTGATGGTGCTTGGTGGCGCTGTAGTCGGGACGGTGACCTGTACACCGTCCGCGAGAAGGTGGCCGACGATCCGAGCGCCTAGGTCCTCGAGGACCTGGAGGGTACCAAATATTGTAAACCGAAACCTTTTAAAGTTGTAAGAAACTCCGCACCACTCAGAAGTGGGCGGCACTGTTGAGAAGAAGTGAATGCAGCAAGTGTTGTCCTGCAAGCATTATGTATACACGGCAAGTCGACTGGAGCGCTGACTGATGTGGGTATCTCTCGAGTCCGTGGGCGGATGATCGACTCGGACTCGGCTCCCTCCGGTGGACCACCTCCACCGGGTCCGGAATCCCGCATCTTCGGCGCTTCAAAACAACCACTTTGACCGCAACTGATTCCACTCATTCAACCTTTCACTCACAACCATGCCCCCTCCTCCTCACCTCACCGCCGCCCAGCTCGCCAAGCAGGCTGAACGCAAGGCCGCCAAGCTTGCTCGCAAGGCTGCTTCCGGAGCCGCAAATAGTGTTCCAAGCGCTGAAGAGCTGGAGAAGCGCCGCATCATCAAGCGCGAGTGGATGAACCTTGGTCCTAGCTCGGAAGGCAAGCGCACTGCGCAAATTGTTACCTGGAACGTGAGTTGCAGTGCCACTGGATAAGGACTGACGTACAGATGCTTGCCCAGACCCTTGTTCGTGAGTGGCAATAGTGCTCATTGTTATTGAGCTTACACCCACAGGCCGTGACCTGTTTCCCGGCTCCGACTGTCTCCGCTGGGGCGACCGCAAGGCTCTACTCCAGGCAGAGATGGAGACGCACGCACAGTCGGACGTGATTTGCCTGCAGGTGAGTTTTCACTTGTCTGTCACTGCTCTAACAGCAGGAATGCGATAGGCTTGACGACGTTCTGGGCTCCGTGCCGGACCACCGGCCTGTGTCCGCTCGCGGTGTTGGAAAGTTGCACGGTCTGGTGGTACTGTACCGTGCTTCGCGGTTCTATATTCGCTCGCAGAGGGCCGTGTCTCTGGACGACGAGGAGCTGAGTCCCAACGCTGCGACTGGCGTCGCGCGTCGCGGGGTCTCTCGCCAGACGCGCAACATGGCACTCATTGTCGCGCTCGAGGAGAATGAGGACAAAGGCAACGGTATTGTAGTCGTCACCACGCACTTGTGAGTTTGAACACGAGTCCCTCACTAACATTAGGTTCTGGCATCCCAAGTTTGAATACGAGCGCACGCGCCAGATCATCGTGCTCCTCCGTGCTATCCGCCGGCTTCAAAAAGAGGAAGGTTGCGAGTCGTGGCCAGTCGTCTTTGCTGGAGGTAAGCTTAGAGCCCAAGTCGCTGCTTCTAGCCACATGCTGCTCTGGAATATACTAACCATCAGACCTTAACACTCAGCCTGCTGAGACGACGTACCAGCTCCTCGCGGCACCAAGCACCCCCTTGCACCCTTCCCTTGTCGAGTCATTCAACGCCTCCCGGTTGAGGCACACCAGCGTGGAAAAGGTTGGCGTCGCATCTTCGGAACCGCCTTCCGAGGCCGCAAGCGGGACCGCTACTCCAGAGGCCAAGGACAAGGACGACGAGGACGAGCTTCCAGACAAGGATGAGAGGTCGATCGCCAACACTCGCGACCCGGTCCCTGCGGACGGTATTCTCACCCTCGACCAGCTGTTGGAGCTGGGCCGCGAGCTACTCACCGAGCCAGCTAGGAGCGCCTACGACTCGTCCAAGTACGGAGACGAGACCTATGGGTCACGCGGAGGGTTCCAGAAAGGCGTCACCGGTGCGGGTGCTGGTGAGCCGGCGTACACCTGTTATACTCCTCTGTTCAAGCTTACCCTTGGTACGTCACGCACCACTTGCAAACAGCTAACCTTGTCACAGACTATCTCTTCCTTCTCCCACCTGGCGCGGCATCACGCGCAGAGTTTACACGTCTACTCGTTCCTCCTGAGACCAAGGAGCTGGGAAATGGTCTTCCGCGGAAAGGAATCTCTGCAAGCGACCATCTGCCTGTTGGCTGCGAGATTGCCTGGTAGCCTGGAATCACAAGGCTCTCGCCCTTTGGAGGCCTGACGACAAGGGCTGCCAGCGGCTCGAGAAGGTCCGCCTTGACTTGTATTGGGGGCTTGCTTGCTTGCTTGCATAACACACATACATATCCTCTCACGCCGTGGCGTAGATGCCTATCTTGCTCGTTTTCCCACCAATCCTGATCAAGCTCACGCACATTTCCAGCGCACAGCGGACGGGGTCGAGGACCACCATTCCAGGACGACACGCTTCCCTGATGGCCGTGTCCAAGCCCACCATCCCTGCACAGCCAAGAACAATCACGTCCGCCTGACGGCGGTCCTGCAGCTCTTCCCTGGCCTTGTCACAGAGGCGACGCATGACTTGTTCCCGTGGCAGACTTTCCAGATCCAACACTTTGAGACCCGAGCTCACGACGCCTGCAGCGTTCTGTCCTGTGAGGTGGAGTGACGCAACATCGTGGTTGAGAAGCGGCTCCCAGCGTGGGGAAGTGGTGAGAATCCCAACGCGCGAGCCAAGTGTGGATGCGTACAGCAAAGGTGCCTCGAGGATGGACATGACAGGGGCAGATGTCAGTTCACGCAAGGCGTTTGTGAGAGGGTGGGCCGAGAAGCACGCCACCACAAACTGCCGTCAGCCTGATCTGCAGAACAAATCGGCACCCACGCCATCCCATTTTCCAACCTCGGTTCGCAGTTCCTTGAGGCATGCGGCGGCGGACACGACTGAATCATATGTCCCCTCAATGGACGCAGGAGCAGTGTCGGTAGGTGCTGTGTAGAAATCGAGCTGCACGTCCGTCGCCCTGAGAGCCGACATCATGGCTTCCGTGAATGCCTGGAAGTCAGTTATATCAGATACCCACCGGGAAAAGTCGGCTCTTTGTCTATTGCTTACTACGGTGGAATTTGGGTTGATCACCAGAACCCGCGGACATGCTGATTGGTCTGCTGAGAGGTGGAAGGGCATGGCGGCTGCAGCTCGATGAGCGTCCCAAGAAAGACCTTGGGCGTATCTATAGTGGCTTTCTCAAGGCGTTTGCATCTCCCGAATAGCTGGGTCCCACATTGACCGGCAAAATGGCCGGTGGGGAGGGACGTTGTCGATTGGTGGAGAGCCGTTCACAGATAGCTTATCTTTTCCCCACTTGCTGGTTCCTGGCGTCGCCAGCTCCGATCTACTCCGCCGAGCCGGCGTGACTGCTTGGCTGAACGGTCAACGACGACGCGGTTACATTGGAACGTGGGGGAGAATGATATCGACCAGTAACCCGCCTGATACAAGATAGGTGAGCGGAGAATGCTGTTGCAACGATTGGATTTCGGCAATCCAAAAGTCCGACATGGCAGACATGGAGATATCGCATGTGGAGCCTCGAGATATCGAGAAAGCGCAACCCTTGCGACATTGCGACACTTATAAGACTGCTTCTGCATAAACCAAGTCTCCCTACACATACACTTTCGACAGACAACATGGTAGCTGCCAAAACGCTCCTCTCCAAGCTTGAGGCGGAACATCCCGAGGGGATGACAGCCAAGGACATGCTCCTTTCCAACACTGACCTGTGAGTTGGGTAACTGAAACCATGTCTGACATCCCAGTTTGCCAGTATCGGACGACAAGAAGACATGGAATCACTTCTCTTACGTGAGTGGAATTTTGTCTTTCCAAAAGCTGACGGTTTAGGTGTCATTCTGGATTGCCGACTCGTTCAATCTCAACACTTTCACAATTGCTTCGTCAATGATCACCATGGGTCTCTCTTGGTGGCAAGCCTTCATGTAAGCGAGCACTGGATCACATGTTCAGCGACTCACGCGTTCAGTTGCGTCATTATCGGATACACACTCGTCGGTCCCCTCCTCGTCCTCAACGCCCGCCCCGGTGCCGTCCACGGTATCATGTTCCCAGCCGTGAACCGTACCACTTTTGGCATTTTTGGATCCCTCTGGCCCATTCTTAACCGTGCTGGAATGGCATGCATCTGGTGGGGTGTCCAGGCGTGGCTCGGCGGAGAGTGGTGAGTAGTTGTGTTCATCTGGCGTGTGGCGCAATTTAACCTTTGGCTTCAGTGTCTATGTTCTCATTCGCTCCATCTGGCCATCGTTTGCTCGCCTCCACAACAGCATGCCCGCGTCGAGCGAAACTACAACCGCATACATTGTGTCCTTTATCATCTACTGGATTCTCTCGCTGCCTGTCACCTACGTCCCGCTCCACAAGCTTCACTGGTTGTTCATGGCCAAGGCTGTTGTTGGCCCCATTGTCGGATTTGCCCTCTTTGGCTGGTCCATCACCCGTGCTGGCGGCATCGGTCCCGTCTTTGCGCAAAAGTCGTCACTCCACGGCTCGGACCTCCACTGGGCGATGCTTACCGCCATTTCGTCGTGTACCTCCAACATGTTCACACTGGTGACCAACGCGCCCGACTTTGCGTCGCGCGCCAAAACTCCAGGTGCCGCTGTCTGGCCTCAGCTCATTGCACTCCCCGTCGGTTTCACGATCACCTCGTTCCTCGGAATCGTGATTGCCTCCACCTCGGTGCCTCAGTTTGGTACCCAGATCTGGGACGTTGTCAAGATCATGGACACTATGCTCGACAAGGACGGCTCCTCCAAGACCCGCGCGGGAATGGCGTTCATTTCGGCCGGCTTCATCTACGTTCAGCTCCTCCTCAACGTCGCCGCCAACAGCCTCAGCGCTGGTTGTGACCTTACGGCCCTCTTCCCCCGGTTCATCAACATTCGCCGTGGCGGTTACATTTGCATGATCGTTGGCATCTGCATGAACCCTTGGCTCATGTACAAGAGCTCGGCCACTTTTGGATCGTACCTTGGCGCTTACGGTGTGCTCCTCTCGTGTATCGCTGGTCCCATGATTACCGACTACTGGCTGGTTCGCCGTGGTCACATGCGCCTTCACGACCTTTATACCTTTGAGAAGAGCGGCTGGTACCATTACACGCTGGGTATCAACTGGCGTGCGTACGCTGCCTACCTCGCTGGCTTTGCCATCAATGCTCCGGGTTTTATTTACTCGTGCAACCCAAACATCAACGTCCCCCTCTCGGCTCAACGTATCTACACCCTGTCCTGGCTCACCGGCACTGGTGTCTCTGCCCTTGTGTACTACATCTGCTGCTTTGTCTCTCCTCCTCCGGGAATGAACAAGTCGTTCGAGGAGATTGACGAGTCAGAGTTTAGGCTGGAGCTCTTTGACGCTGCGCCACCTGTGGACTATAAGGATGGCGCCGATGTCCAGGTCCAAGCGGTTTAAGTTTGGACAGTTGTGTTTGTACCATATGTGTTTGGGGGTATTTATTTACGAAAGGTTATGGATGTTAATCGGTTCTACGTTGTGTATCCACTTGCGCCCCCAAATTGCTTTCTCATGACGGACTCGAGGCCCAGATATGTGTGCCTCTCAGTTCGCCGTTAGCCTAATGGACTGTCAATAATTCGCACCAGCGCAGTTCTCACTGGGAGTCTAAGTGAGACCTTTATTATCGTCAGCGGTCTCTTGGTCGTACAAGAAGGTGGACGAGGGCCGCAAGGCCATGAAAGCCACCAGGCCGAAGAGGACGAGCATCGCCATGAGCAAGTGATAGGTGCGGTCCAACATGTGTTCATTGACAGGCACCTTGATGATATAGTAGGGGAGGTCCTCAAACAGCAGGAGGTCGTAGGCGGCGACGTCAGCAAAGTTTGGAGGTGCCATGGTAGGATTTGTCAAAGAAAGGAGTCAATGCGAATGGTTAAATACGACTGCAGACTGGTGCAAGTGTGGGTCCCAAGTTCTCACTCTCACAGTGAGGTCCGGCCGAGGTGGATACTGACTGTTTATGGCATGCGGTTTCTCACTCTAGTAAAACCCTACACCTGTTCTAAATACATACCTCTGCCCTTTCAGTCCTCAGCCAGCTTGATGTTGCGCGCCTCGCCCCGCTTCTGGACCATTTGAGCCATTTGTTCACCCTCGGGTGTGCCAAGACCACGGAATCCGTTAACGACACCGCTGTAGTCACCGTCGCTCAGCTCCTGGCTAAGCTTGAATCGGCCCTCGATGCGGTCAATCGTGATTTCGAGGCCGACGATCGCCTTCTTAAGCAGGTCGGTGTACTTTGTTGGCGCATCCGACACCTTCCAAGGGTTCTCGACGTGGCCTGCTGCGCGTTCATTCTGGTCGGTGAGGTCGTTGACCTGCTTTCCCAGGAAAGCGGTCGTCTCGTCGCCCGTCGAATACACACGGAGCTTGCCGTAGACCTGAACGGCCGCGTAGTCCCAGGTCGGAACCACCTTGCCGTTCTGAGGCTTGGTCTCGGTGTAGAATTTGGGCGTGACGTACGAGTGCACAGGTGCGTTGAACAACACGAGCACCTCGTCCTCCATGACGGGGTTCTCCTTGGCCGCTTCGATCAAGACCTTGGCCTGAGGGTTGGCGCGAGCCATGTGTGCACGGAGAACGCCAGGTGTACCATCGTCAGGCGTGTCGATGACAAAAGGGATGTGTGTTGTTTGCAAGGTGGCAATGCTAGGATGTTTGATTGCCGTGGTGAACATGCCAAGAGGGTAGGAGCGCACAAACTGCTGGAGCGTCGGGACGTCGAGCTCGGCATGAGCTGGGCGGATGTACATTGTGCGATAGAGTGTTGCCTGTAGGCGAGGAATAAGTGTTGGTCTCAAAATCTTGGAAGATGGTGGAAGACGAGATCTGGGCGTGTTTATCAAGAGTTGCATGGCCATCGACTCGGTGAGCATAACTCGTGCAGTGGAGGTCCGACGGCCGGTGGACCGGCCGGCGTTGCGGGGCCTCATTGTTGCAGCCGACGGATGGATAATAAACGAGCCAGTGACATTGTCCCGAAAGCACATCGACTCCACCAGTGAAGCCCGTCGACTCGACTTGATTGCCGAGTGGGCGATCAAGCGCAGCCACGCATGGTCCGACAATGCGAGTGGAGAGCTCTACGGCGTGACGTCTTTGCAGACCATACGGAGGATCCACAATCAAGGCATGCAAGGCACGTACTGCCCGCGATCGTGTATTCATTTTGCTTCATCTTTTGCGTGTGGCAGTCACACCCCGCGCTGCACATCCACTTTCAGAGCACTCTACTGGAGCCAGTTACCGACACTCTTGAGCGACGCGTCCCAGCCTTGGCCGCGCTCAATCTCCTTGAAGCTGTCAATGTCCTGACCCTCGAGAAACGCGTAGAGGTGGGGATAGGCTATCAGTCAGTACTGACGCAGATGTACATGTGAGTGAGACTTACATTCGCCGCTGCTGGTCTGTTCCCAGCGGACACGCTTGAATGCCGACAGACGTCCATAGTCAATCTTCAAGATGGCAACCGAGTCGACGTCGGCAAAGAAACGGTTCAGCACGCCAGACACCTGCTGCACCGTCGACATGTGGATGTAACCGTCATTGGAATCGAGCTCTGTGAGGAAGAATTCGTGCGACGATGGGATGGGCTGCGGGAAGTAGAAGCTAGGGCGTGATGAGCACAGGGACCACACGGTGGTTCGAGTGCAAGGGCAAGAGATTCGTGCTTGAACTTACCGAGAGTCCACCGCCGCCGAGGGGAAGATCTTGTAGACGTAGTTGGGAGACTGGGCCATGGTGCTCAAGCGACGTAGCCCTCGCAGTGCTTGCATGTGAGGTAAGAAGCGATGTGTAAGACCCACACCACGGTGTGACGATGGTGATGGTGACGGTGACGCAAGAAAAGCGGAGTTCGGTACAATCTCCATTTTCGCCTCAGCGTTTCTTAATCGAGCCCCACGTCCAGCCTTTTTCGAGCCTCTCGTCAAGATTGCAAGGTTTCGCGGCGCCCTGAAGGTCTTGGCAAAAGTTGCAAGCCGACATACAGAGTGCTGAGCGTGTATTCTACTTGCGTGACAGTGACGAATCGAAGCAAGTGGAGAGACAGAGACACGCCCAACCGCCGACCCCTTGTTCACAAGCGCGCGCTCCAGCCAGCTGCGCTGATGTGGGTGGGAGCTTGACCAGAACTGACCTACCGCTGTCCCGCCACCTCCCGACTGGCCACTGGCCACTGGCGTCACACAGTTCCTCACACGCAAACATGCAACGGTACGGCGATGATACGAGCTGCTACGCACCTACAGGGCCAGCTGTCGCGGGCCGGGCCCACCGTTGTTTTAACGCCCTCGGCGCCCTGTGTAAACCCGCCACACCCCACAGCTCGCCTCTGACTAAAACCCCGAGATTGCCTTAAAAATGACGTGTCACACTGATAAACCGCTCCACCGGCCGAAAGCCCTACTAAACCCGCGGCCAGTTGACGCACCACCTTGGCCACTGCGGGTCTTCTCGCGTGGCTTGCACGTGACCGGCCAATTGTCCTGAAAACCGTCCCTCGGTTTCCGTGTCGACGCGCGGATCTACGAGCGGACTTTGACGGACAGGTGCATCTCACTTCTATACCTCCTATCCACCGGCTGCAGCTAACTGAAGATCTGATGGAGAGCAGGGGTCAGAAGCCATATATACCTGATAAGATGCGACTGACCCACAACAACTCCCCAGTCTGATTTTCGGTCACTTACACCTCCTGTCTCTCACTTGTGGCAACTGTCCACCTATTCCCCCGCATTTCGCAACCCCGCCGCCCACCCACTTTCCCGACACACCTCCAGCCACAACCCCATCAGCACATCATGATTGAGCCTGTCGAGGCCGAGTTTGCCAACCCACCAATCTTCTCAAACCAGCAGGAGCGCATCCTGGAGGACGAGGTCATCGAACAGCCTGGTGCCATCACCCACGCGTCGGACGACGAGACTCGCGCTGGCACCCCCGAAAATGAAAAGCTCAAGGGCAAGATCATTGTTGACTTTGAGCCTGGATCCCGCGAGGACCCCCGCGAGTGGAACAAGGGACGCAAGTGGTGCGTGTTCAACAAATGTGCCATAGAGCAAGTCTGACTGATTCACAGGTTTGTCACTCTCTCATGCGCCGCGCTTTGTTTGACAGTGGCACTTGGCTCTGCCATGCCCACTGGTGACCTTTCCGGTACCGCCAAGGGCCTTCACGTCTCGGACGAGGTCATCTATCTCTCCATCACCCTCTTCGTGCTCGGTTTTGGTGTCGGCCCCCTTCTCTTTGCCCCTCTCTCGGAGATGATTGGTCGCAAGACTGTCTACTCGATCTCGATCTTCTTCTACTTCATCTTCACCCTGCCCTCGTGCCTTGCCACCAACATTGCCACCATGCTCGCTGGTCGTATGATCGCCGGTATCGCCTCGTCTGCGCCCATGACCAACGTAGGTGGCTCTATTGCCGACGTCTGGGCCGTTGAGGACCGTGGTATCCCCATGTCCATCTTCTCGATGACTCTCTTCATGGGTCCCTGCCTGGGTCCCCTCTTCGGCGGCTGGATCGCCCTCAAGACTGGCCAGTGGCGCTGGATCTACTGGGTCCTCTTCATCCTTGTTGGTGTCGTCGCCGCCTTTACCTTTATCGTCCCCGAGACCTACGCCCCCATCATTCTCCGTCGCAAGGCTGCTCGTCTTAACAAGGAGAACAACACCGACGTGTACATCTCCAAGCACGACCTTGGCAACACCACCACCCTCAAGGAGTCGATCAAGGTCTCGCTCATGCGCCCCTTTGTCCTCATGTTCTGCGAGCCTATCATCCTGTTCATGTCGTTCTACCTGTCGTTCATCTACTCGCTCCTTTACGCCCTCTTCTTTGCGTTCCCCATCGCTTTCGAGGAGATCCGTGGATGGAACATGGGCATGACTGGTGTGTCGTTCGTCTCGATCATTATCGGCATCGGTCTCGCCATGTGCATCATGCCCGTCCAGGAGAAGCTCTACGCTCGTCACTGCGCGAACGGTGCCGTTCCTGAAGCCCGACTCTACCTCATGATGTTGGGCTGTATCATCATGCCCCTCTCCCTCATGGTCTTTGCCTGGACTACTTTTGAGAATGGCCCGGACATCATTTGGGTCGGTCCTGCCGCAGCTGGCGTCATGTTCGGCTTTAGCATGCTCGTCATCTACATCTCCGCCAACTCTTACATCGTCGACTCGTACTCTGACTATGCTGCGTCTGCCGTTGCCGCCAAGACGTTTATGCGTTCCTGCATCGGCGCCACCGTTCCCCTTTGGGTGAGTTTTGTTTTCATGCGAGGAAAAATATTTTTAAAGGCGGAAAAAAAGCACTGCCACAAAACTTGCCCACACCTCCTTTCCTGCCCAAGCCTTTGAACGAACGCTGACGGCCCAGATCACTCAACTGTTCCACAACCTTGGGTTCAATTGGGCTGGCCTCTTTCTCTCGCTCGTTGGATTTTGCATTGCCCCCATCCCTTTCATCTTCTTCTTCAAGGGAGGAGCTGTTCGTGAGCGCTCCACCCGTGCAACGAAGAACGGGGCCGAGTCCCGCGACGTTGCTCACTAGAGCTCTCTTTCGCCGGGCGTGGGGGGGGGGTTAGACTGGAGGAGCCATTTACACATATATATACAACCACCTCGCGCATACTATCATACTTTAGACACAACATTCAATCATGCATTGCAGTATAATGGTTTTACGTTCTCGGGGCGGAGGTGATTTGTTGGCTGCTTTGGATTGTGGGCGCGGGCCGGGCGGGCGTATGGCGTGGGCTGTGAACAGATTGGAGCTGATTCAGGCCTTGCTAGACCAGCCTGATAGAGCGACGCAGTGTCGAATCCACACCCGAGTGTCTCGACGCAAGATTCAATGCAGGGCAATGTCCGTTGCTGATATAACCACATTACCACATTGCAACCCCCTGTCTTCATCATTCATGCTAATGTACGACGTCGACATGACTACCCCCTTTCAAGGTCCACTACTCTTGTCCATCCCCGCAACAAGCGCGTTGAGGCCGGCCAAGAACCGAGACTCAGCCTCAGGCCCGTGCCAAGCCAGACTGGGCTCAATATGGATTCCCCCTTCGTCAACCTGGATGTCAACGCTGACGCCATCGTCTTGGAGACCCCTGAGGAGTGCTTTTCCCTCATCTGCAAATGACTCGAGTTCGCCATAGGAAGCGTACACGGGTGTGTCCTTGAGAAACGTCCACGTGCCGCGTGGCGCAAGTGGTGGAGAGAAGAAGGGGTGTAGTGCTGCCTCTGGTGTGTAGTACCGCATGGCTGAACGAATGGCACGTTTGAGCTTGTGTTTGAAGACAATGTCGTGCGGGCTTGACCACGAGGGATACGAAAAAGTCAAGTCTACCCAGGGTGAAGACATGGCCAGGGCGCCAGGCATGGGCTGTCCCAGTTCGTGAAGTTGGGTCACCAGGGCCATCGTCAAGTGACCACCAACGGAATCCCCCATCACAATAATGTCTTTGGGTGAAAAGCCGAGATCACCAAGGTACTTGTATGCGGCCATAATGTCGAGAAGTGGAGCTGGGTATGCGGTATCGGTACTGAGGGTCTTGCGATAGTTGGGTGCTAACGTCAGTTTGAGTTACAAGAACTGGACTCACTGAACACACGCAGTCTCGTCCTAATGGCGACCTTGGCGCCGAGAGGCAACGCAGTGGGGTGACCCTCATTGTAGCCGCCGGCATGAAAGTAGATAATAGCTTTTTCTCCCTCACACGCTGGCTCCTGACCCCTAGCGAAAGCGTTCTTGGAGGAAAAGATGTAGAGGGGACGGTCGATTGCCTCAACAGGAGCGCCAGGTGGGATGGTCGCGAAACCCCTCTGGTCCGCCAGTGGAAGCGGCGGAACGTGCACGACGTCAATGTTGATGGTGCTGCGCATCTCCTTGGTAATACCAATGATATGCCTTGGGATCGCCGAAGCCCCCTTTACCGTGTCTGCAGGAGGCAGGAATGGGTTCAATAGCGACATGGTGCGCACGCCGCGGAAGAAGAGATATCGCCACAGAGTTGTGTATCCGGTGCGCGTAATGTAGTAGCGGGTAACGTTGAACGGCAGAGTCGATAGCACCAATACGGCGACACCGAGCTGCCATATGGCATGTATTGGGCGAGGCCAGCTGTTCGGTGCGCCCATATCGGGAGTTGTCCGGAAGAGCGTGCTCATAACGACGTGGGTGGGTGGAAGGAAGTACCTCGTACTCAAACAACAAGACTACTTGTGGCACACGACATCGATATGACAGGATGGGGACTTGTAAGTTCAATCCTGTTCGTTGAGTCATGCTCAACGGTCATCTGCGAGACTCCCCGTGCCGACGAGAACGAAGAGTTTATGGTTGGCCGTGCCGGGGCGTTCCCGGATGACCGTGGCGGCCCCGAATGACCGTGGAGCTCACACACCAGGGTTATTCCGCATTCCGCTTTCCGTCCATGTGAGTCTGTATGTGGTATGCCTCTTGGCTGAGAGGTGGGCCGCGAGTCACCCCCAAGTGCGGTTTGTCACTGAAAAGACCGTACATCAACATTTCGTAGATGACTATTGCGCCCACATATCCGACAACTAGAATTGCACCTTCTCTACGGTCTCCAGGCGGAGCGTCTCGGCGTCACAAGGGAGGAGGAAACCTTGGGCCACCTGATGTCCTATGGCCACACCGGCTTGATGGCGGTAGTTGGCAACCGTTCCGTAGAGTTGGCGGAGCCTGTCTTGGGAGAACTTCCACTCGGATCCTGGCAGGTTAGCACGCAAAACGACTCTAGAACCTACCGCAGTACCACGACGGCCGGCCCATTGGCGTGGCAGCGACAACACGGGAAGTTGGCACTTCTGTATGAAGAGACCGCACCCCGCCCATAGCGTTTCCATATTCGTCACGGACAAGTTCGTCGCTCTCACCAAGCGTTTCCATTACTTTGCTGCTCGGCGGAGGCACGTTATCCTTCCGCGTCCACCTGTCCGCCGCCTCAAAAACGGCCGCATAGACGAAAGAGTTTGGGAACGTGCTCCACTCTGCACCACCCAAGTCGCACTCATCCCATCGGTTCTTGTCAGACGCCGAGAAATAACGAGATTCCCGGTGGGCCATACCAGCCACCTCGTAGAGTCTAAAGCTGTCTGAGTCGGGCCTGCGATGGGATACGCCACGAGTTTGGCCCGACACGCCACAGCTCCAGCGCACCGATTGAAATTCGGCCTCACCCAAAAGTTCAATCACTTTGACGCCCGGGGATGGGTCGGGGAGGGCTGGACCACCAGAGGCGGCAGGGATGAGTGCGTTATAGGGGTCCCCACCATCAGGGAGGCGGAGATGAGACGAGTGGGTGATGAAGCGACGTGTAACGCCGCCCGTCTGGCTGATACCGCTCAAAAAGACACGGGTGGCGCGCAAGCCCATCTCGCCGCTGCGAACTGCGGCCGACGCCGCCACGAGTACCTCTGGCGACTGTGGGGTTGCCGCCCACCACTGCTCCATAAACTTAGTGTACTCGTCCTCGAGGGTCTGGCGAGTAGGATTGGGCGTAAATGGAATGTTATCCTTGAAGTCCTTGGCGAGGGGGCCGGGAAGGAAGGTCATCGTCTGGTATCGATTGGGGTTGGAGGCTTTGACTACGCCGATTGCCACCGGGGACTGTGAGTCTACCTCCATCCAGGCGTGGCCTGGTGTTAAAAGACGATCATTTTCAATGGTGCTCACCGTTCCGCATAATCCAGCGATTCGAGGCTCTCCAAACGCTTGTTCCCGACCAAATGTGCGACGTCTCCGTCACCACAAGGCCGCTAAACTTGCCGACATCACGAGGGCAACGGAGGAGAAGACGAGTGCAAAAGGGAGCGCCAACTGCAGTGCCGGAGACGAGGTACTCGCGCTGCTCGTAGTCATATTCAGGCAGAAGGTCGACGTGGTACGGTTCTAAGATTGTTGGAGCAGAGTCGACTGTGGCAGGCAGGTATGTGACGGTGGGCAAAGAGATGGGCTGACTGAGCGAGTCAGTGGCGATTGTCATTGTTGTGGACGTGATGATTGTGGCAGACGAGAAGACTATCAGCCTTTATCTGCATCTCCACTACCTAATCGTTACTCGTTTGTGTCGTGTCGCTCCGTCCTCCTCAGTGTCATCCCCAGCTCGGTGGACGAAGTGTTGGCGACCTTGTCGGGCCGACAAGGTCGCGAAAAACATGCGACAGTGCCTGAATAATCGCGCCGAGAATCTCCATTCGATCCGCCCACCCGACAGTGTTTTCAACAGTACAATCTATCGCCACTCACTTGTGCGACTATCACCCGATGCCCCAACCCCTTGTCGAGGCGGAAGCATGGGCCAGCGCCAAGGACAACTGTTGCCGATAAGCGGTTCCGCACGACGTTTATAGGCGCCCTCTCAAGACCTTGTTGTCTGCTCAGACCACCGGACCCCAGTCTGCGATAGCCCTCACCAACTCGACCTGTTTCCAACCATGCCCCACAACCAGTCACCTGGCGATGCCACCGTCGAACTCAAGGATGATACTCTGACCAAGATCACCTCCCCCAATGGCGATACCGACAGTGACCAAGACGTCTACAACAATACCGAACACGTATCCTATACCGAGGCAGAGGGTCGTCGCGTTCTTTGGAAGATCGACTTGGTCCTTCTCCCCCTCATGTGCGGCTGCTACATCTTCTCCTTCATTGATAAGACCTTGCTCAATTACTCGTCGACCTTTGGCCTTCAAAAGGCCCTTCACATGGAAGGACAGGACTACTCTTGGACCGGAAGGTGTGTTCGTTGAGCGACACCTGGCTGACTTGGCAGCATCTTCTACTTTGGGTACATGCTCGGAGCGATGGCCTGGTCAAAGCTCGTCCAGCGCTTCCCCCGGCACGTCGGCAAGCTCATCTCAAGCGCAATCTTGATCTGGTCCATTATCATCCTTCTCACTCGTGCGTAAGCAAACTGAAGTCTTCTGACCTCTAGCCCTCTGCTTCAACTTTGCCGGTATCATGGTCAACAGATTCTTTCTAGGCCTTATAGAGTCTATCACAGGCCCTGTTTTTGTTGTTGTGACAAGCAACTGGTGGACCCGTCGCGAACAGGCCTTCCGCACTGCCTTTTGGCTCGGTGGCACGCCTGTGAGTTTTTTGCTACATGGTCTGAGCTGATCCCAGATTGGCAACTTCGTGGGTGGCCTTCTTTCGTATGCCATCGGGCACAGTGAGTCCTCCGTTCTATCTTGATTATTGCTCACGCCAGTCCACTCGTCAATCCCCACTTGGAAGATCTTCTTCCTCTTCTTTGGCTCGTTTTCTTTCGGCTTTGCGATCATAATGTGCATCCTCATGCCCGACCACCAACGCAATGCTCGGTGGCTCAACGCACGCGAGCAAGAGATCGCCATCGAGCGCGTCCGTGCCAACAAGACGGTCACCTCGGACCACCACTGGAAGTGGTCACAGTTCTGGGAGGCTTTGTATGACCCTCAGACCACCCTGTTTTTTATCACTGCCATGTGGGTTTTGATCTTGCAATGTACACCGAGCTAACCCGTTGCAGTGGTAACACCATGCCCTCGACCTTTGCCTCTCAGTTCTCTTCCCAGATTGTCAAGGGCTTTGGGTTCACTGCCATTCAGACTACCCTCGTCTCGACTTGCCCCGCCGCCTCCATCCAGCTGATCACCTTCCTTGGAGGCTCTTGGCTTGCTGGGCGTATTCCCAACTCACGCCTGATCCTGGGAATGATCTGCTCCATCCCTCCACTCATTGGCGCATCCCTTCTGCACGTTCTCCCGACGTCGAACGTCCATGGCAGGCTGGCGGGTTATTACCTGACGTACACGTGAGTGGCATGAGTGGGGGTCGTCCTTGATTTATATATATATATTAAATCCTTGAAAATGTGCTGAGTCCAGTCACACCATGTCTTTCACCCTCGCGACCAGTCTTATGGCCTCCAACTATGCCGGTCACACCAAGAAGACAACGGCTACTGCCATCATCTACGTTGGTTGGGCTGCGGGGTTGATCGCCGGTCCCCGTAAGTTTTCTCAGTTTCTCTTGGGGATGAAAAACTCACAAATTACAGAATTTTTCCTCACTAGTCAGGCTCCAAACTACCAGATGGCGTTTGAAATGCTCAGTGAGACAACCTTGTTTATCAAGAGTACTTTTCTGACACACTACAGTGGTGTGCTATGCGCTCATGATTATCGTTCCACTGCTTCAGCTCTTCTTTTACATCCGTGAGAACCGCAAGCGCAACCGTCGTGGCGGAGACGTCGTGGACGAGGGCGAGCTCGAGTTCACCGACAAGACGGACCGCGAGCAGTGGCGCACGTTCCGGTATGTCATGTAAGAAGTATAGGTTGGGTTGTTTGAAAAGGAAGGGGGTTATTTGTTATCCCCGTGTGGCTCGTACTGTACATAGTTTCTGGTGGAGACAGGACGTTTTGGTACAACCTTCTAAAACATGAACTCCCCTGTCGTTTCCTGCATTACATCTTTCACGTCAACATACCCTTGGCCCTTCTTGAGCCTCTCCACCACAGCGAGCAGCAGCTCTCGCGTCAAACGAACGTTTGTACCCCACCGCTCGCTCCGTTCGAGATGATCGCAAAGCCACGCTCGATAAACCGGGTCCGTCGTGGAAATACCGGCCATGAAAAGGGCAAACGGCCAAACGGACGAGGGCGTTCCGCGGCGCACCGGGTCTGCGCGAGCGGCAATGTGAAGGGTGAGGATGCGAAGAACGGAGGGATGTGGATTGAAACCAGGCAGTGTCTGAGGTTCAGCTTTGGGGACAAACTCTTCGTACTCACGCAGATGTAATTAAGATAAAGTAAATCCGCATGGTAGCTCGCCGTCACTACCCATTGGTTATAGTGTACCGCGTCTGGATCCCCACCTTCGTCATGAAGGTCCACGCTCAGGAGGTCCGCTTCAATCTCGCTTCTCAAGCGCGCGACTTCATCTGGTCGCACCCCGCGGCTGCTGACCACGTCTTCAGTTAAAGCGTTGTGAAGTCGTTGGTCGATATCGGAAACTCGCAAACGAAACAGGTTGGAGCGAAGGAGCGCAATCGCTCCGCTCATCCCGTCTCCGGCGGGCGAACTGTCGAACAAGTCTCGAAGTGTTGGTACGCTCCGCAGCTGACCGACAAGCCCGCCCCCACCAAGTCGGAAGAGGGCTGCTCGGCAATCGACGTATGCGAGCCTTAGCGTTACCCTCCGCGCAAAGCCGCCGACTTCGCCCACGGCTACCACACCCCTCGGACTCGTGATTACGTCCCCGGCGACGTCCAGCAGACTTCGTACTCGCTGAATACTTCCATCGCCACAGGTCATATGCTCGCGTTTGGTGAGAATGAAGATTGCCGAGAGAAGGCCTTCGACGTCGATATTCACGACGTTACCCGAGATCACTTGGACGAGGGCGTCCGTCGCTGCGGTCGTGTGCACGTCTGCTTTTTCCAGATAGGTCGGGTCAGTTAGACCCAGATGCGATGCCGAATACGCCAGTATGGCGTGGAAGAGGGCGGGAAGGTAGAGAGCTCTGGTGAAAGCAGAGACGTAGAGGTTGTCCGAGTCGCGAGTCCTGTCCTCGACTTTGGCAAACGATTTCATTGTCTGTTCATTAGTCAAGAATCTTCTAGGCTCTCACCTCGAGATAGTGCTGAATCAGGTGCCGGTTATCGCCATCAACGAACGGGGTGTTGACCTCGTTCGTGTCCACCATTGTCGAGTCGGCGACTCGTTGGCCCAAGGGCGGCTCGTTGGAATCAGCTCCACTCCCACTTGCAACTGGGGTGGACTCGAATTGCAAGTCGTCCAGCGGCGGAAAGTCATACGACAGCATTGGAGTGATAAAGTCCAACCCAGGGACCCATCCCAAATCTCCTGCTGCACCGAAGAAGTCAAGCCCGTCGTCGAGGACAGGCGATGACTCCATCGGGATAAGGTCGCCGTTACTGTGTGGTCCTGCTTCGACATTCAAGTCGCTTCCTGCTTGCACCTGTCCGCCAGCCAACCCGTCGGGCAAAGACAGCGCGTGTCCCTCGCCAGTCCCCGAATCAGAGTCGATGAAAGTGCGCCGCCGCTTGGGAGGTGGGACGTACTGTTCACCGGGCTCGGGAGACTGCCAGCGACAGTCAAACGCCAGGCGATTGCAGTTACTACACTTGGTCGCCTGCAAACTGGAAGACGGAGCGGCTTCGGTGCAGCGGACCTGGCAAGAGTGAGCATGTGTAGCAAACCCGCTCACCGTTACCCACCTTGCGGAAGCGACAAGTGTAGCATCCTGACGTCAGCGTTGTTTGTTTGCATCCTCACCTAGAGCGCTTCGTCGTCGGCGGCGAGAGCGGGGTTCTGATGAAGGCCCTCCCAGGATGTCTACGCTACCGTTCTGAGAGGTTGCGGGCATATGTCCGAGGAGTATGAGGTGAGAAAGAACGAGAGAAGCATATCGATAGAAGTGGAGGCGGCCATGTCATTTCAATCTGAACCCTTGTGCGTCGGATCTGCCCGCCTTGTTCCCGACGACGCGTCGCAGCGGTTGTTCGACCCTGCCGTTGATAGGAACACTTGATCTTGGACCACTTCCATCACTGAGTCGAGTGGGCATGCTCGGCTCCGAGTAATGCGATGCTTTAGCCTTTGGGGCAGTGCGTGAAGCAGTGATCCGACCACTTGCGGGCGGTCCTCATTGCGCACTGGGGGCTCGTTTACAGGAGCGGTGTATTACAGCTAGGATGATTAGGATATTTGATCCCGTCTGATGTAATGACGCCCCATGTCACCCCCGTGTTCCGTCCTCCTCGCTGGCACTGGCGATCTCATTCCATCCACGCCGTTTTCCTTCCTCCCACTCATCCCATCCCACCTCCCCTCCCCCTCCCTCTCCCCCTCTCCCTCCACCGCGTCCTGAAAAGCACGAACAGTACCTTCCGTCTCACTCGTCCCCCCTCCACCCTCCCTCCTTCACCCACTCCTTCCATGGCCCCCGCCGTCTCCAACTCGAACGGCGTCATGTCGCCCCCTCAGTCTGTTCGCTCTGCTCCCCAGCAGCCCCCCCGCGTCATCCTGGGAGGCAACTCGGCTCGTATCCTCTGCGTCGCCGACATTCGCGGTGACTGTGCGTTTGCTGCCTGCTATAGCGTCGCCGCTGACCCTGTGCACAGACCATGAGCTCAATCGTCTGATCCAAGAGCACGAGGCCACTGCAGTCATCCACACTGGCGACTTTGGCTTTCTCAATGCCGAATCACTGGAGCGCATGGGCGACAAGTGAGTCTTTTGAACTAGCATTGCTGACGAGGCCAGGATACTTCGCCACCTTCTCCAGTACTCGCCTTTGATCGCGCCGGCCACACGCAACCAGCTGCTGCAGATCCCTCAGCAGGCTGGCCGTCAAGCGATCATCAACGAGCTCAGCAACCTCTCTGTCCACTTTCCCCTCTCCCAGTTTCCCCTTCTCCTCTCGGGTTCCATCACTTTCCCCGTCCCAGTCTTTACTGTCTGGGGACTGATCGAGGACGTCCGCATCGTGGAGAAGTTCAGGACGGGCGAGTACGAGGTCAACAACCTGACTGTTATTGATGAGGCGTCCTCGGCTCTCATTGAAACCGCTGGACTCAAGCTGCGTCTGTTTGGACTTGGCGGTGCTGTCGCCATGCACAAGATGTGTACGTCGTTTGCGTTTGGCGGCAAGCTAACTGTGTGCAGTTGACAATGGCGAAGGCCTCGCGACCATCGCCGGTGGCCAAGGCACCATGTGGACCACTGCGCTGCAGATGGGCGAGCTGGTTGAGACTGCTCAGAGGGTGGGTCGCATGCAAAAATGTGGGGGCACAAACGCTAAACGGAACCTACAGGTGTACGACCCAACTGAGACCCGCGTGTTGATCACTTCAGCGCCCATCAGCCGTTTCGGCCTGCTGTCGCTGTTGGCGTTGGCGGTCAAGGCGGACCTGACCATTTCATGTGGCCTGCACTTCCGCTACCCGGCCTCGCTGAACGACTTTGCCGTCCACGGCGACTTTGAGTCGTACCGCACCAAGCTGGTCGCTGCCCGCGACAGCTTTATCGGTGTCTACGACGTTGTCAAGGACCGGGTGGAGAGTAGTTTGAACGAGCACCAGCACGTTCTTCTCAAAAAGGTCCTTGCCATGGTTCAGAAGAGCCCTACCGCCGACGACAACACCTGGACCAACACTTGGCACTGGGTGCTTGCCGACGCCATGTACGGCCACTTGCTGCTGGCGATCACTGATGGTCGCGTGTCTGCCGAGATGAGGAGCAACGGTCTCAACTTTGCCCACCGCGCCAACCAGACTCAGCAGCCACCTAGTGCAGCCTTCCAGGGCGGCCCCGCTCCTCTGGCTCGTCCCACTGCCGCAGACATCTCCAAGGCTGGTGCCGGTGTCCCTCCCAAGCCGGTAGCCGCAACCGCTTCCGTCAACACTGCTCCCAAGCCCGTCCCCGCGAAGCCAATTGGTGCCCCCGTCAAGCCTATTCCACAGGCCGGCAAGCTTGTTCCTCAGCAGCAGCAGCAGCAGCTCCCCCTGCGTGGTGCTCGCGGCGCGTCTAGCAACTTTGCTGGCCCTCCTACCGCCATTCCCGCGGTCAGCAAGTTTGACGGCAAAAAGGACCGCATCACGTCCCCAGGACCCACCAAGTCCAAGCAGGGAACGCCGGTTACCACCAGCGCCGCTCTGCCCAAGGAGTCAAAGAGGGGCGACAAGACGAACGGCGACGGTGACGAGTCTGAGGGACCCAAGCCTGCCCCCACTCCGAAGCGCTTCTCCCTGTACGTCAAGGGCTTGCCAATTCCCACTACCGAGCCCGAGGTGAGGGCAGTCTTTGGCTCCGAGGCCGACAAGATTACCGGCGTCAAGCTTGTGTACGACCAGAAGCAGACTCAAAAGAACTTTTGCTATGTCGACTTTGCCAACGAGACCGACATGCACGACGTTCTCAAGCTTCACACCTCGGGCACCATCCGCGATGCCACCATTGTCATTGAGCTTTCCAACCCTCCTATCCGCAACGTGAGCACCACTGGTGAGCGCGGTGGCCGCGGCTCGCGGGCTGGTCGCCGTCTTGCCCGTGGCGGCAGTACGTCGTCCAAGGAAGCGTTCAGGTCCGAGCCACAGTCCGAATCCAAGTCTGAGACGCCAAAGCCCGACGCTCAGACCAAGAAGACAGAAAAGTAGAGCAGCAATTGCATTGTCATATACATTTATACCGTCACTTTATGCAGAACAGCCTCCCAGCGGGGGAGGCCGAGTGCGATTTTATTCTGCTTTGCGGATCACGACCACGTCCGTGTTGTACTTGTACTTGAAGATGCCGTTCTGAGACACAGCTGTCAGCACGACGACGCGCCCGCGCGCGCTGTAGCTCACCTTTTCGTCAATCCATTCGTGTGGGCCGTCCGAGATAATCTTGCGAACGTCCTTTTCAAACTGGACGCGCTTGTCGCCATTGAGGTGAGCTTCGGTGAGGTACGACTTTGAGAAGAGACGGTCCACGACCTGGTCTTCCGTCATACCAATCGTCCAGGAGAATTGCTTCTCCTCGGCCGGCTGGAAGAGCTCCTTGTACGCCTTGGAGTCAAACATGGCTCTCCAGAGCCCGCGGTAGTACTGCGGCGTGCCGAGGTCGTAGGCCTGGTAGTACTCGCGGAGCTTGTGGTTCCATGCGTCCTCGTTAGACTCGAGGTTCCAGATGAGAACGAGCGGCGCCCCGGGCTTGAGTGCGGACGCAATCTCAGTGAGCGCCTTTTCGTGGTCGGGACACCAGTGCCATGCCTGAGCAATGATGACTGCGTCGGCCAAGCCCTTGTCGAGACCAGTCTTGGTGAGGTCGTCAAAGCCGCCGTCCACGGTGCGTGCGTCCACACCACCCTCGAGAGCGTCTTGGGGTACCTTGGCAAGGCCGCGCTCCCAAGCCCCGCGCATTCCAGAGCTTGGCTCGACGGAGACGAGCGTCTTGAGGTTGAACGACGGGTACTCCGGGGTGGCGGGGGCCAGGAGAAGGCGGCTAAAGATGCCAGTCCCCGATCCTGGTTCCACAACGGTGAGACCAGGCTTGTCGCCAATGGTCTTGTAAATGTAGTCGAGGGAAGAGGCCGGGTACGATGGGCGAGCACGGTCATACTAAAGTGTGAGTGTGTGTCGACATATGCAAGTTCTTTGTGCTCACGAGATCATTGGTGCCCTCGCCAAAGCCCGAGACGGCGACACTGTGGACGTGGGCTGCAGAAGACATCTTTGTGAGGGTTGGCAGAACGCGAAGGGAGCGTTGCAGCATGGTGAAATGGGAGGAATGGAGAATGGAACGTTATTTATGTAAGCTGGATAGGCACACATCGTCACCTCGTGTGGACTGAGCCGAGATGGCCGAGAATGGCGTCACCACAGGTCTATACTGGGGTCGGTCGGCTACATCCGAGTCGAACCATATTCATCCCCATCGGTGTTCATGACACGACTCTGTTAGGAAATGCTCGGCATTGTCTTTGGTGAGACGACTACTCTGAACAGTACGGATTTTGTCGGTCGATGGGGATCCTCGACGGTCTTTTACGAGAGTGTGAGAGGAGTGCTAGAGCCTGCCCATGACTTTTGCGTGTCAACAACAGCCTTGGCGTCGTGCGCAAGCTATTGCCGGGAGTGACCCGCATCCCGCAGGGCCCTGCAGTACGCAACTGGCCGTGTTTGGCAGTTGACCAATTCCAAGGAGCACTCCACTGGCCACTGTACTGTGCTGCGCATATGTAAATATCTAGGTCTGGCACTGAACGCCAGATTGCTCTTGTTGCACCCACAGACGTCGCGCAGACGACCCAGGGGTGACAAAAGGTGTCCCAGGCACGCTCACGCAATAAACCTCGCTGATGGCCACTGGCCACTGGCACCGATGCCCACCTAATCTCCTCTGATCCTTTGATAGCGGAATGGACTTGTCTTGTCCATCCCTCTACACACTTTTTGCACACAATGTCGGCTGTCCTCACCCCGGACACTGTGTCGGCCAACAACCCGGTGACTGATGCAAGCGTCCCTGAATTCCTCGTCAAGATGGGTCTCGAGCTGCCAGCGGACCAGCTGCCCGAATACACTGGCTTCCTCAAGGGCATCTGGGAGGTCTGGAACGAGGTCGACGGCATGGAAGACTACGTGCCCGCTGTCGACGAGACTCGCTTCCCCCGGCTCAACGTCCACCGCCCCACGAACGAGGAGAACCCGGCCAACGCCTGGGCCTGGCGTGTGACGATTGAGGACCAAGAGAACAAGGGTGGTTTACTCCAAGGCAAGACTGTCTGTCTAAAGGACAATGTTGCGGTCAAGGGAGTGCCTTGTCTCGTGGGCACCGACTTTATTACCGACTGGGTGCCCAACACGGACGCAACGGTTGTCACCCGCATTCTCAAAGCCGGTGGTACGGTGCTGGGCAAGGCCGTTTGTGAGAACCTGTCGCTTTGGGGCGCGTCCAACTCTGCCGCGACGGGTCCGATTTCCAACTTTCACGCGCAAGGATACTCTGCTGGCGGGTCCAGCTCGGGCACTGCTGTTCTCGTCGCGCGAGGGGACGTCGACCTGGGTATTGGAGGCGACCAGGGAGGGTCCATCAGAATGCCTGCCAGCAAGAACGGCCTGGTGGGCCTGAAGCCGACGACGGGTCTTGTCCCATACACGGGTGTCGCAAGCCTTGAACCCACTCTTGACCACGTCGGGCCGATTACGAGGGTAGGTGACATGCGTTGGACAAGGCGACACTGACAAACAGACTGTGCTTGACAATGCGTTACTGCTTCAGGCCATTGCCGGCGCCGACGGCATCGACGACCGCCAGCAGGCTGGGTGCCCGTTCCCAACCCAGGTGGCCAATTACCCCGAGCTGGCCCAGCTAGGCGTCAAGGGTCTGCGCGTGGGGATTCTGAAGGAGAGTCTGAACTGTCCGATCCACGACCAGCGCGTCAGCGACTTGGTCGTGCGCGCGGCGTCGGCGCTGGCTGAGCTTGGCGCGACTGTGGGCGAGGTGTCCGTTCCAATGCACCGCAGAGCCCCCGACTTGTGGGCGGTCATTGGACGCCTCAGCTCTGCGGTGTCCTGGACAGCCAAGAACTGTGGTCGCCGCCAGTTGTTTCTCAACGACCTAAACGACAAGATGGTCCCTGTGACCCAAGGGCGGTTTGACAAGCTGTTCCCTTCTGGCGTCAACACCATTGTCAATGGCCTGTGGGCGTGGGAGCACTGTCCTCCGACGCTCCTTGGCAAGGCCACCAACCTCGTCCGCAAGCTGCGAGACGAGTACGACAAGACGCTGGATGACTTTGACGTTATTATCACGCCGACCATTCCGATCCTTCCGCAGCGGCTGGCGCCTCAGGATGCGTCGCCGGCCGAGCAAATGGCCAGTGCGGCAGGCTTAACACTAAACACATCTGCGTTCAACCTGGTAAGTCTAGGGTACGGCTGTTATAGCGCCACATTTGTGGCCACAATGTGGCCTGTGGCCTGTGGCCTGTGGCGACCCGTCGCAAGTCTTGTGAATTTCTTGGACGGCGGCGGCTGAAACCCAACAGACTGGCCACCCGGCGCTGACCATCCCCGTGGGCGTGCTCGCTCCCGATGACGGCGAGCCCGTGCGGTTGCCTGTGGGGATGCAGGTGGTGGGCAAGTATTATGACGAGACAGTGTTGTACCGCGTTGGGCAAGCGTGGTCGACTGCCCATGACTGGCAGTCGTTCTAAATGTGTATCGATCAAGATGGATGGGAGCAGGGAGCTGCAGGTACTGTAGGTTTACACGGTCTGTCAGCGTTTCCTGGAACCGAAATAGAGTGTGCATGGTCCGGCTTTGGTAACCCTCTTTACGATTCTGTACCTCTACGTGTCAGTCAGGTATGCCAATGTGTGGGCCGTGTATCGCCAGGGTGCCAGGGTCGCGCCAGGGCGGCAGAGGCAAATGAACGCTTGCCACCGCTGTGTGATCTGTGAGAGTGGGGTTTGCGCGCCGGTAACAATGGCCAAGACCCCCCAGGGGTTTTCGGGACCCGTTACGGTTATGTATGTGTGTACGCATGTACCGTACTTTTATGTGCACAGAGGTGGGCGGCCCCTCTTCTACCCTCCTTTTCCCCGCACGTCGTCCCGTTCCGCACCGACGGCCACCACAGGCCACAGGCCACAGGCTGGCCTGTTGGTGCATGTGGTCGGCTGGAAGAAGAATGCACGCTCGAATGCGTGGCCAAGACAGCGCGCGTGTATGTACGCGCGTGTGCGGTGCCTGGTCGGCTGCGTCGCGTGTGCGGCAAACTCCCAACCCCCCCCCCCCCCCGGGGGCCGCGGGCGCGTGCATATGGTCGAGATACTGCGCGGACCGTGTCCTCGGATGTGCCCTGGCGCGGGCCCTGGCATGTTGGAACCCTGTGTCTCAACCGACAGGACGCGTCCGACGGCAAAGATCCAAGAGATCCACCCACCCCCCTTGTCAGCGCAGCCCGTTTGCAGCCCTTCCTCCTCGTCGTCTCACTCGATCCTCTCACTCCCTCCTTTAGACTCACCACCATAGAACATCCCTCCTCGTCGACTCTCTCCCCCATCTCTCTCTCTCTCTCTCGCGCGCCAACTCGCCGACTCTCATTTTTTATTTTATTGTTTATTTCTTTCATACTATTGCCTCGCCACGTCCCAGTCGCTGGCCGACAGCGTGACTCCCAACACACACACACAAACGTCTCTCAAAGGCGCGCGCCCAGACCGCTTCTCTGTGCGGCCCGAGCCACCAACCAACCTACCTACCTACCCCCCCCCGCATCCCTTTCCTCAGGCATCGCCTTGAGCATCTGGCCCTACCGCCCACCGACAGCACATCCTACCCACCCACCCACCCACCGGCCACACACCCTCGCACCCCGCCCACCTTAATACTCTCTGGTACGCTACAACAACCCATTCCTCCTCCATTCTTCTCGTCCTCACCTCCAGTCGTTCATTTTTCAAAGTCTCTTGTCCTTCGTTTTCGGTTCGCAAGTGGTCCCACACACGCCGCCATGCTCGTGTCGTCGTCGCTTCTCCTACTGGCATCGTCGGCCGCCGCCTCGCACCAGCTGCATCCCCGCAGCTCTCGCCATGGCAAGCTGATTGAACGCGCTGCCAGCTCGATGATCGACAGCAATGCACCGGCCGGTAGCTTTGACATTGTGGGCAACTCGGGTGTCTCGGCACAGATGATGTTCTTGGGTACAAAGGACACCGTCTACATTCTCGACAAGGCCGAGAACAACTCAATGACCGTCACCACCAACGGTGTCACTCACCCGGCTTGGGGCACGACATACGACCTCTTGACCAACACGGCATCGTCCATGGAAGTCTCGTCCAACACCTTTTGTGCCGCAGGTGCTGCCATTGCCAACGGCTCGTGGGTCGTGTTTGGCGGTAACCAGCCCGTCACCTACGGCGGCGTGGCCACCAACGACACCACCAACAACCCCACCGGTGCCAACCCTTACCTGGACACTGCAGGTGGTGCCGCCATCCGTCTCCTCACCCCGTGTGATGACATGTCTTGCTCGTGGGCCGAGGGCGGTGACGCACTGACCATGACCGTGAGTTTCCCTTTTTTTAGACTCCCGAGCTCATCTTCCTAGTCCAACCGTTGGTACCCCACCACAGAGGGCCTCGCCGACGGCTCGCTCATCGTCATCGGCGGCGACAACAACGGTGGCTACGTCTCGACTTTTGCCCAGAACAACCCGACTTACGAGTACTGGCCCAAGCAGGCGTCAGGCAAGATTGCCATGTCCTTCCTGAACGCTACCGTCCCCGTCAACCTTTACCCCCTCACCTGGCTCCTGCCAAGCGGCAAGCTCTTTATGCAGGCCGCCTACAGCACCATTCTTTACGACATGGACACCAAGGTTGAGACCACCCTCCCCACCATGCCCTACGCCCAGCGTGTTTACCCAGCTTCCGCTGCCGCTGTCATGCTTCCTCTTACCCCTGCCAACAACTACTCGGCGGAGATTCTCTTCTGCGGTGGCTCGGCGGCCGACCTTTCCAAGTCGAGCGACGGCGGTGCCGGATTCAACGTCACGGCCGTCAAGGCCGACGACTCGTGCGTCCGCATCAGTCCCGACGACGCTAGCCCAGTCTACACCGACGACGACTCGCTCCCCGAGGCTCGTTCGATGGGCCAGCTCGTCTACCTTCCCGACGGTACCATGTGGCTCGGCAACGGTGTTGGCTACGGTACCGCTGGTTACGGTGACGACGGCTACTCGATCGGCCAGTCGTACGGCCAGGACCCGGTCTACATGCCCGCCATTTACAACCCCTCGGCGGCAAAGGGCTCGCGCTTCAACCGCGACGGCCTCACCGCGTCCACCCAGGAGCGTATGTACCACTCGACTGCCATCCTTCTCTCGGACGGTGCCGTTCTCGTTTCCGGCTCCAACCCCAACAAGGACTTTACCACCACCCCTTGGGCTACCAAGTACTCGGTGGAGAAGTGGTACCCTCCTTGGTACAACCAGCCCCGTCCCGTCGCCAGCGGCTTCCCCTCGTCGCTTTCGTACGGCGGTGCCGCTTGGAACCTTACCTTTACCAACTCGTCGTGCGACCCGTCAACCATCAAGATTGCCATTGTCCGCACGGGCTTTAGCACCCACTGCATCAACTTTGGCCAGCGCTACCTCGAGCTCGAGACCTCGTACTCGATGAACAACGACACTGGTGTCGTGACTGTCTTTGCCTCGCAGATGCCTCCCAACGCCAACGTCTTCACCCCCGGCCCCGCCATGATCTTCCTTGTCGTTGGCGGTATCCCCTCCGAGGGTGAGATGGTCATCATCGGTTCGGGTGACATTGAGACCCAACCCATCCTTGCCGCCGCCACACTCCCCGAGTCGGAGATCGTTGTTACCACCAAGGAGGCCACCACTACCTCTGCTACGGCTGTTGCTGGCGTGACAGTCGCTGCCACTGGATCGACCATCAACAGTGCCGCTCAGACAAAGGAGACTTCGTCGGGCTCAGCTACCGTCACTCCATTCCTTGCCGTAGTCCTCGCGGCCATGGCTTCAATTGCCTGGATGTAATCAACCCCCTTTGGGTCTACATGAAAGGACTGTCTTGCGCTCTCTTATCATCTCTCTTTCTCATCATCCAACCATCCTCTCTCTCTATCCCTCCCCCTCTCATACACTCTCATTAGCACCTCTGTTAGCCAGTCACCCACCCGTGTTCACACACTTTGTCCATTGTTCATAGCATTTATGCCACCTAATCACTTTCCTTTATCGCCAGACTCTCTTTTGCAAAACTTTCCCTTCGTAAGCGACTTCACAACATGGACATGCATTTGACAAGCAACTCGAGACGCGTATGGGTACAAATAAAATGATGGCGGATACTGGTGGGATAGACGGCAGGTGACGTGGGCGGGAGGACACAGAAGGGATGAGGGAACAAAAGCAAAGAGGCTACAAAGCATCCACCTCTTGCTTCAAGCCCTCCTTGCCGCCGGCGATGACGCTCTGCGTTCCCAGCTTGCTGCGTTCCATTGTCCTGCTGCGTCGGGTCGTCATGGGCGTACGGACCGGCTCGACGACAGGCGGTGCATTCTCTTGGTCATTGTTGTTTGTAAACGAGCGCGGAGCGGACGGCTCGGCGCGCACAGACGCGAGGTCGGCGTAGATGACGAAACCAATGTCATGGATCGCCTCCCTCTCGCCCTTTGTGACTGCCCTTGCGGTCGTGGAGCGCGTAGAGCGACGGGTTGCAGTGAGTGGGGGAGAAGGAGCGAGGGTGAGGCAAGTCTTGGCGGAGCGGGATGAGCTTGGAGGGCTGTGACTGTTCAGCGGCTGTGCATTCAATTTGTTTACACGTTTTTGATGCGCGTATACACTCACGTATCCGTAAACAGGCGACGGGCGGGACTCCTTCCCGTTCCAAGGTCGTCTGCTTCCAGGATGGTCTCGTGGACGCGGCGCTTGGGGGTCTGGAGGGACCCGGAACCCTCACGGATGGGTGTTGGAGGGCCGCGCTTGAGAGGAAGGGAGACCGGGGAGGGAAGGTTGGTCGAGTGAACTGGTGGGAGGAAGAATGCGAGGGGGAGGTCGACCAGGGGCCCTCTGCGTGCTGTTGCGGCACTCGACATGCTGGCAAGATGGTGGATGTGAACGACGCGTTGATGGGAGTCAAGAATGGAAGGCGTGTGAGACAAAAGCACAAGAGGGGGATGATGTGTGGATGTGTCTAATTCACTCGTTGGGTGGGGCGTGTGCGTGGTTGACTGGACTGCAACCCCTCACGTGTGACGCCCCTGTTATCAAATCAACAATAGGAAGCGTATTCACCATTATCCACGTCATTACATGTAATTAGGTAAGCCTCGCCACCTCCCCAAGCACTTGCCGAGCCGCAGGCGTGTGCCGTGCCGGCGATGGGTTTCCGGGTTTCGTCGAGTTATCAGATTTCAATCCATCACTTCACCCTCCCTTCACCCTCCCTTGGCATTATGGGCCACCCCGACCTCGAAATCCCAGGCCTTCCAGATGCCAGCGAAGATCTTTCCCAAGATTTCGACTGGCCCGAGGCTGGGCCTTCCAAACCTGCCGCCAATTCGGGCATTGTTGGTCCAGTTGGAGCAAAAGCCATTGCCGCAATGACAGGTGCCATGACAACCAGCCTGTTAAGTGAGTTTGCAAAACCCTGCATAGTCATGCTGACAGTCAGTGACTCCGTTCGACGTTCTCAAGACACGGTTGCAAACCGTGCAGCCCCACTTGCGACCCGCATTCTTACCACCACCCGTTGAATGTTGTCAAACCCCGCTGCTCTCCACTCAAGCAAACGTCATCTGTGGTACTTCTACCCTGCCCGGAGCGGCTCAGCCTCGGCCAACAGCCACCATTGCGGTTGCTCCAGCTGGCTGCTATCACCCATCCAAGTGGGCAGGGATTTGGGGCGAGGCCATGAGCTTGGAGGCTGCTCTCAGCCGTGGCGTACTCGGACCCAAGGGATCGTTGCGTGCTGCTTTGCAAAACACACCCAGTGGCTTTTGGTCCGAGGTCGCCACTGTGCGGCGTGAGAATGGGTTGCGGGGACTGTGGAAGGGTGTGGGCACGACTCTGTGGGTGGAGTTGATATGTACCGTTGAAGGCTAACGACCACACAGCACAATGTCGGTCCCATCATCGGCCATCTACATGCTCGGCTACGAGTATCTGCTTGGTGTGATCTCACCGCTGTTCACCGACTCTCCAAACGCTACTCTTACCCCTGCACCTCTTCTTGCTGGGTCATTGGCGCGCACATTTAGCGCTACTGTCATTTCACCCATCGAAATGTTTCGTACCAGGCTCCAGGCTTTGCCAATGCGTAAGTGGGAACATTGTTGTGGACGGTGCATATGCTTACTCCTGCAGCAAACCACCCTTCTCCCACCTACGGCTCCACATTCAAAGACATGACACAGCTCGTTCGCGACAAGGGCGTGAACATGTTGTGGCGCGGCCTCGGACCGACCCTCTGGCGCGACGTGCCATTCTCTGGTCTTTACTGGGCCGGCTTTGAGTTTACCAAGTCGTACCTCAACTCGTCCGACTCCATTCTGCCGCCCCTCACGCCCGTCGTCACATCATTCATGTCGGGTGCCCTGAGTGGCACCGTTTCTGCCCTCGTCACGCAGCCATTCGACGTCCTCAAGACTCGCAGGCAGGTGTTTACGCCAGCAGAAGGTTGCGCTCCCGAGGCGCTCCGCCATCGTGCGAGCACCCTCCCACTCGCCGCACACGTGGTTCGCAGCGAGGGCCTGGGTGCACTGTTTGCTGGCGTGATCCCCCGATGCGCCAAGGTCGCTCCGGCCTGTGGTCTCATGATTGCTTGCTACGAGGGCGTTGGACGTTATCTCGGCGGCAGCCAGCGTTAATTTTTAGAAACTCTAGACAACAACACATGCATCATACAACTATTCTAACGCGCACTGGCGTCTAACGTCAAGTTTAAGCCGTCGCGGTCGCCAATGACGCCGACGAGGACGGAGATATCGTCTTTTTTGCCACCCACAAAGTCGATGCCCTCTTCGATGGCTCGCACCATGAACGGCGTCGTGGCGGTCATTTGCTCCGACACTAGCCGAGCTCGGTCGCGAAGCGCTTCAGAAACGAGCTGAGGAGAGAAGGGAGGTAAGGTGGAGGCAGGCGAGGAGCCTTCGGGTGGCGCAAACTCGGAAAGTGTTTCCAGAATGTCTTCGTCAAACTGTATCGAGTCAGTATGGGGCACGTTTTCCCATGCAACGTTTTTGCACTTACCAGGTTGTCCATGAGGCCATCGCTGCCCACAATGACAACATCCTCCTTTTCAACAGGGATGTCATATCGCTTGGCGTCCTTCATGGGTTCGTCACGCGAGTGGGTGCCGAGTTGCATGGGAAAGTTGAAGGCGTGCTGCATCTCCGACGTTCGGAACACCACCTCTCCACGGCGAATGAGAAGGAGGCTGCAGTCACCCACATTGGCAACCAGCAATGTCGAGTGGTGAAGCAAAGCCAACAGGCATGTTGACGAGCCGTAGATACCCTGAGCGAGGTTAGCAAATAACAATCATACAAACAAGACTTGTGACTCACCTCGGACGCTGCGCAGGCCAGACACTTTTCAAAGCCCTTCTGCATAATCTCGACTGGGTCGAGGGGGCGACGGTGACGTCCACCTTCGGAACCGCGCTTCCATGCGCGAGCTGCCCAACCAGAAACCTCCTCGTCGGTGGCGATATACTCATCCGCACCCGCCCACCAGCGTGCAACTTCCTCCTCACAAAAGTGAGTCAAGAGGCGACTCCAGCGGCCGGGGTCGGCCCCTTTGCCGGACCGAGACCAGCCTCCAACACCGTCGGCGACACACACACCATCGACTCGCGCAAAGTACGAGTCTTCGCCAACGGCTGTCGACTGAAGATTCGTTGGGGGTGTCACGTCTGGTAATGGAAAGGAACGGGGCCGGGGAGGAGGAGGGGTCGTTGCTGCTTGCTTGCGACGAGGAGGGGTCGGGGATCGCTCTTTGGGGCACCCGCTCGCTCCCAAATGGAATATCAGGTTGGACGAGTAGACACTGAGGTTGTTCGGGTCCGGGATGGAAGCTGCGTTTTGAAAGTCGACTTCATCAGGACGGATTCCCAGAAACGTGATGGGTGGACTGGGCGATGGCGAGGGCCCATTCTGTGGCTGTGGAGACGGCGAAATGATGGTATGCGCTGCTTGAGATGTGCGAGGTTGCTGAGGTGCTGCCGCAGGGTGCGGTGGCGAGGGGCGGAGTACCATGGCCGGCGGCGGCGGCGGTGGCGGCGGGACATTGTAGAACTCATTGAAGAAGACTTGTGGCCTGTCGGACACGGACAAGAGAGAGGTGGGGTGGTATGGCGGAACAAACGTCCCCGCAGAGGTTACTTCAACTGTGGATGCTCTCAGAGGTGAAGTGGCCGTGACGTAAGTACGACGACCAAACTCTGGAGCGTCCCACAGGGGAAGCAGAGCCAAGTGGGTTTGTACAGCGGCTGGTGTCCATGGTGATGGACGGGGGAGAGAAGACAGGTGCAATGACCGCGATGGAGTCGAGAAGATGGGTGCCAGAGGGACTGGGGGATGAATGGCAGCTGTCGGCGCGGTCGGTACAGAGTGGGAGTGGGCGAGTGTGCGGGCAATGCCCTTGCCAAGACCTGGCTTGGGCTTTGACATTGTGAGCCAGATGTGTTGCGGGGAGCGAGGGGATGGGCAGGGGGGTTAGCCCAGCGGCGAGGGCCGTTGGGATGAGTGCAGCGATGTGGGTGGTATTGGGTGTGTGGGGAGTTGTTGGGGATGTGAGGAAGAGAGAGCGACGGATATGGTGGGTGTGTGAGAGGGGGGGAGAGTTGCAAGCCAGGCGACCCACATACACACAGGAACGGCGGGGCAGGCGGAGCAGGAGCACAGGCGGGGCGGTGGCAACAGAACTGGGAACGGAACCAGTTTTTTGGCAGAGTGGGTAGGTCTTGCCCCGGCCCCCCGTGCCCCCGCCCGCCCTCACAACCGCGGCCAACCGCCAGCCGCGCCATTGTGTGCACACCATTTGTTGCGCCGCCTCTCATGTTTTTGCCGAACTGGGGGGCCGCCATAGCCGCAACCGCACATCCGACAAATACAAGTCGCACTCTCGTCCGTGTAACCCGTGTGCTCCTCGCAAATAACGTATGGTACCCGCAGCTGCAGACAGTCAAACAGAGCATAAAATGGTCATCTCAATCATGTTGCATGTTGCTTCTATGCCCCTGCGCCAACCTTGACACGAAGTCCATCCAGCCCTGTCTTATCAGCGCAGTTCGCCACCCGATGGCGCTCTCCCAACTTACATCGCTGATACAGCTGGTCGGCAAGAGGGCTCCGGTCCTTGATAACATCGCTTGGAGTGGTGGTGGCGGCTGGCGTTGCTCGGTCCCTGCATTGTCAGCGACGGAACCGCCAACCTCGCAGGTTACTCACATGCGTTCAGTCACCTTGCTTACAAGGTCAATAACCAGCTCAGGGTTGTGCTTCGCCAGTTCGGCAAAACCTTGCTGGATTGTGTGGACCGCATTTCTAGCAAGTGGCGCATCCTGGCTCAACTGTCCTGGTTTAACTAACCGTGTGCATGTGCTCGTGCACTCACCGAATCAAGAGCAGGGTTGATGACCGTGGCCATCATGGTTCCACCAGGGACGAAATCCTCAAACGCAGGTGGAAGAGATTGTGCAGGGGCCTTCTTCAAAGGCCTCATGGTGGAAGACCTAAAAGCACCCGTCAGCTACGTTGGCCGATTGTGTCCTCACTCTTCTCCAATATCCGACTTGCGGACAGTCGTCTGAGACACTGGTGGCTTGGCCTCGCTCGCTGTGGTGGGTTCCCTCGAGACAACCACCTGGTCTTCCTCATCGTCATCAAAGTCGCCCAAGTCAAACTTGACTGGAACCCCCTTGATGGTGCCGCGGATTGTCTCATCAAAGTCCCATTCCGTCTGCACAGGTCCGCCAGTCGCCATGACTGTCTTGTAATCCTGAGTGGCAGACCCAGGCTTTGCCTTTTGCTCTTGAAAGTCGCGGTATCGCTCAACGAGGTCGACGAGGTCTGATGTGCGAGGAGCAGAAGTGATAAAGGGGTGTCGAAGCAGGTCCTTTGCCAGCGGGCGCTTTTGGTAATGGTCAGCAGAGAGGATGTAACTAGCTGCGCTCACGTTTCTGGGTTGCTTTTGAAGACAGGCTGCCACAAAGTCGCAAAAGTCTTTGCTCCAGCCAGACTCCTCCAGCCTCGGTGCGTCGGCCTTGGGAATGAGGAAGATGGCTTTGAACGGGTGGTTCTCGGCTAGTGGTGGTTCACCCTTGGCCATCTCAATAGCTGTGATACCCAATGACCAGATGTCGGCACGCGAGTCGTAACCGGTTTGACGAATCACTTCGGGAGCCATCCAAAATGGTGTGCCAACAAAAGTGTGACGTTGCGATTTGTGGGACGACAGTTGAGCCGCAACACCAAAGTCGGCTGTTGAGGACGTTAGAGAGTCCACTGACATGGATTAAACCCACCAAGCTTGACATCTCCATTGGCAGCGAGCAGAATGTTGGCTGCTTTGATGTCGCGGTGGATCTTTCCCTCGGCATGCAGGTATTGGAGACCCAACAGGATCTCGCGGCAGACAATCGCAATCTGCTGCTCTGTAAACACACCAGGTTTGAGCTGCAGGCAAGTCAGTGATGGACGTTTGTGAGGCGCAAAACACATACCAAGTCTAGACAACTGCCGCCTGCCATGTACTCCATGACGATCCATAAGCGATACCCTTTGACAAAGCTGCCATAGTACCGAGTGATTTGATCTGATGAGCAGGTTGACAAGTGGGAGATTTCGGCCTGAATCTCTGCAATGTCGTCGTCGGTAGATTCCAGGTCTGTTATGAGCCAAGGACCATGTGGTATAGAGGCACTCACCGACCATCTTGATGGCCACGACATCCTTTGTGACATTGTGAACGCTGTTGAAAGTCAGCAGAAACACAATGAATGAACCAAGGCCCCTCACGCTTTCCATACTGTGCCAAAGTTGCCGACACCAAGTTTCTCCATTAGCGTATATGCCGACGACTGGTCGGCAGTTGAGGAGGCCATCGTAGTAGGGACTAGACGATGCTGAATGGAGAGGTTTGGAGCGCACCTGTTTGCGCGACCGTGTACGTTTTGTGATGCCGCTGCGTGTTTGGTTCGGTTGGCGACATTTGGACCCGTTCCCGCCATTTGCCACCCAACGGGAGTATTTCGAGATCAAACGTGCTTTGCCGTGATCTCCATAGGCCCACCAAGGCAACGACGACAATGGTGACTAATGAACTGAGAGAACGTTGTACAGTACCTATCTTCTACATATAAAAGCATCATGAGGGCCTACTTTTACGACGACGTCCCGTAAGTGGCAACCTGTCACCAAGCCAGGTGCCCTTATAATGACACCCCCAGCGGCGACCAGCGCCTCGCCCACGACTCGGGCAACAACGTTTCGGTTCAGACGCTTGCCGACCTGGGAGTCGTCTACCGTACAATCCCCATCGATGCCGACGGCAAGTGGCAGGCGGAGATTGACGCGTTTGCCAAGGAGAGGGGTTACAAGAACGCGAGTGTCGTTGTTTGAAGAGCGAAGAACCAATTGGGCTGACATACAATAGCGTGACCAGATCAACGTGACTCCCGAGGGCTTGGGCGAGTCCTACGAAGCCAAGATTCGCCAGTTCTTTGACGAGTTGGGTCTAGCCTTGGTGTGCAGAGCAGCCAGCTAACGATACAGGCACCTTCACGAGGACGAAGAGATTCGCTACATTGTGGGTGGCACTGGCTTCTTTGACGTCCGCGGTGAGTCTCCTTTGAGGATGGGACAGGTGTGGAGGGGCTGGCTTTGCTGACCAGATACAGCTGGTGACGGTGCCCTGGACCAGAAGTGGATCCGTATTGCCATGGAGAAGGGCGACCTCGTTGTGCTTCCGGCTGGGTAAGCCCCAGACAGCATGGCCAGTCGCTTACAGTCCAGCATCTATCACCGTTTCACCGTTGACGAGGCCAACACCATTACGGCCATGCGTCTTTTCCAGGACGAGCCGAAGTGGACACCGTACTCGCGCACCGAGACCAGTACCGAGGGTCGCCCGGCAAGGAAGGAGTACCTGGAGCAGATCGCCACGACAGCTTAAGATGAATTCTATTGCACATTCAGGTTTCCTCGGCCTGACCGCCGGGAGCGGCACACTCAACCCACTGCCTCTGAATCAAGTCGTGACTGGTGATCGTCCACATGCGACTGTGTTGCAGCATAAAGGCCATTTCTGCTTCCCGTTCCCGAGTCGTCTAGCACGCCTGGTGAGAGCAAGTTTGACCTGGGTGAACTGCACGGGCAGCCTCTCGATTTCATCTCGTTACGCGTCATGCACAAGGGCGACCAAGGATCACATCGCCAACAGCACCCATGCCTCGCTCCTCTCTCAGCCAGGCGAAGATCACATACCTTCCTCATCTTGCTTCCTCGCCTGCGCAACTGCTCTTCCTTTCACTCACTTCTTTACTGATATATTGTCTTCCTTGACGTCTTCCTTCGGCTCCATATCGTTTTCACCCCTTTCTCAGCCCGTCTGTCATCCTCGTTCGCACCCTTCGTACTTCGCCGCCCACCAGCCTTCGGTCCCACTTCAAGCCTTACCTTTCTAATTCACCCCCAGGTTCGACTCCTCGACAGAAACGCGCTTCCCACCCCGGACCGCGACCTCCCTTCAAGCGAAAAACCACGGTTAACACGCCGTCAGGAACACCAGGCGCGTGTTAATGTGTCACCACATGTAGCCGCCGAGATGCGGATCGCGTTTCCGAGCGAGTGCGGATTCCATGGTAAGTCGTTCCCCACTCTAACCCACCGTACCACCGTTTGGCTCGACCAGATCCTGTTCGACTGCGACGCCTCGTCGCTTTGGAACCTTCGCTCGGTCTGCCGCGCCATGAACATGGTCGTCTCCTCCCATCTTCCCCGAGGCACGACGACCCACGTTGTGGAAGCAAGTACCGCCCTCCCAAGCTGTCTACTGTGCTTGGAGTGTATGCCGCGCCGCAGTGCACGACTCCTCATCGCGAACGAAAGGGGCGTGGACGCTGGTCGCGGCCGATCCTCGACTCGCCGCTGCTTTTAAACCCATCTTTGCAGCCAGCTGCTTCGAGTTCACCGACGTGTACATTGACAAGGACTGCATTGAGGCGTTTACGTCTGTCATAGCCGGGCAAGGAGTGTGCTCACCATGGCGCCATTCACGGATCACGGATCACGGACCTGGTGCATCTGATTGCACGCGTCGGGTTCAATTAACATCCACACGGACGCTCGTTTCTTGAACCACAGGCCCGGCCAATGGACACGCGGACACGAGCACACCTACTGTTCCGCTGCCTGGCGGACCACCTCCAACCGCGTCGCATGGTGGCTGTGAACATTATCGGTTCCACGCCTCTGCATTGGGACTTGCCTGTCCATTCAGCCCGAGGGTCCCGACTTGCAAGTATGTGGCTCTTCTACATATACTTACCTACGGCCCTGCACCAGCTTCAGACTTGGTCAAGGAGCGTTGGCCACTCGCGGAGGCGCTCTACCACCGCCTTTAGTTGAAGTATGAGATGAGTAACAAGTTGAAGGTGTTGCGCAAGACAAGTTGGCTGCACGTCGCCTGCCTTGTTCGTCGCACAGGCGCGGTATTGAGAAGGGGAGAGAGAGGAGGGGGCGCAATGGTCCGAAGACTCAACTCTCCTATCAGTCGTTTCCCCTTGTCCACTTCCTCCTCCCAGCGTTTACATATCGTCGTCGTCACCAATCAGCTTCATCATCATTACCATGTCAACCTCACATGACCCGGCCTCAGATCCCCCCGACCACCTCCGCCAGCTGATTGCTTTCAGTGATTTGTCGGATGCCACCTTCGCCTCCATCGTTTCATCTCCGGCAGTCACCTGTTTGCAGTTCTTCGCCGCCCGTATCGTTATGTAGGAGGCGATCAGCAAGGCAGTACAGGGGGGCGTAGTCGGTATGTGAGAGTTTGGGGACTGGACGTGTCCGTTGTTACCACTCATTGACATTCTCCACTGATTGACATTCTCAACAACATATCACCCTACCTCAACTAAATCCTCACATGGGCAGCACAGGACGCACTCGTGGTATCGATGACATTAGAAAAGCGGACTGGGAGCGATGGCCCTCCGTGTTGTCAGGAGTAAGCCCAACGCAATGACTAAGTGTTAACGTCCAGCACACTCGCAACCGCCCGCAAGAGTGCTCCATCCTCCTCGCGCCCCCCCGACCTGATGCGTGACCTGCTTTCCAGCGAGAACGATGGACATAAGCGGCACCCCAACGCTTTTACGCACACGCTAGACGTGGCGCCCGGCGAGAGCAAGAGCGAGGAGATGGAGGGACCACCCGCGTTCGCCAACATCAAGGACGACGCTGTACCTCTCGAGGCTCTGAAGGAGCGTAAACCAGACGTGGATCTCGAAGAGGGATGGGCTCTGGAAGAGCTGCCAGAGGCAGAAGGAGGAGACTCAAGCTTAGAGGAAGCCGAGGATGCTGGCATCGAGGATCCCACCACCCCTCAAAGCTTCATCAAAGAAGAGGGCGTGTACTTGTCTCGCCGTGACCTCGAGGCCATCAACGTGCAATGCAGTCGCTACGCACAGCGCTCGAAATCAAGTCGCATTCACGTCTTAAAGGCGTACGTCACTGCCAAGAGGATTTCGCAGGAGTCTGGGCAGCAAGAGGTGGAAAAGTTGTGCGCGATATCGGCAACCCGCTTTTTGGCCAAGATGGCGCATATGTACCCTTGGATGTACAGGTGAGGTTGACACAAGTGATTAGTGCTTACCTCACAGGCTCGATGGCGACCAGCCCCGGCCCGCCGGCGTGCTCTGGAAAACGGTGTTAGCTGAATCGATGGTCATCAGTGTCGAAGGCACCTCGCTATACATGTGGGCGCTGTACAAGGCGTACAAAGGCAACAGTAATGGAGAGGACGTGTTTCGCGAGTAAGTGGTTAGCTCGTGAATCGGGCTCCTTACTGAACTGTCAGGCTCCTCAAGCCCGATGCCGACGTCGACGTGTTGTTCTGGCGCACCTTTAGCGACGAGGAGCTTAAAGACCTCAACTTTAGCTGTCTATACGTTTTCGGTTCATCGCCCGAGCCGAATAAGAGGCGGCGGGCATATGTGGGAATGACGAACAATCTTCGTACGAGGTGGCGTGGTCACCGAGGAAAGGCAGTAAATCACAAGATTCGGAAGATCCAAGAACATCCCGACGGCGCCTTCGATAACTTCCAATGTGGGGTTGTCTTCCGATTCGACGACTTCCCTCCCATCATGCAACACGTCGTGGAGCATGTACTGGTAGCAGGATTCAACACAGTGAAGGGGGGCCTGAACTGCAACTACTTCGACCTCTTCACGTACAACGTTATGCTGTCCCGCAAGCGCGTCATCAAGCTCATTCAGGCCTTGTCCTACGCATACGACAGCGACCAAAACTTGAAGTTCCTTAGAAGGCTTGACTCTATTGCGTGGTCAAGGGTATAGCCATTGCGGCCTTGGGAACGGAGGCAGGAGTGGCGAGTGGGTACCTCGCCGACATCCTCCGCCAAAAGAGGACCGCGTGGGGGTGGCTCGCCAAGTACGGCTCGCCCGCGTTCCACTTGGCCACCGCCAGCCCTTCCAGTAGCACCCCAGGTCCCGACGGCCTGAGGCACTGGTGGATGGTGGCTTCCCAAGAGCATGTGCAACAGATGTGGAAAGTGCAGGGCGGCTGCGGCGCATACAGCGCCAGCAAAGGTCTCGACCGTCTCGTCGCGCTCGTGGAAGAAGGTGCACATCTCGCGGCTGCCTCGTCGTAGCCTTGCGCCGGCTCTCCCCTTTGTTCATACCCGTTGTCAAGTCCCAAACTCCCCTTCAAGTCTCCGTGGGATAGACTCGACTGTTGGTCAGGACACATAGCATCTTCTACGCCATGCTCGCCCTGCCCCTCCCTGGGTGGTGAGCACGAGCTTGGGTGGACCCGTCCGTAGCAAGACGGCGGCAAGGTGGTCCCAGGGGTCTTGAAATTACCGGCCCAGCTCGCCTCGAGCAATTCTGTTGCTTCCCATTTGTGTCCTTTATATGCATTCCGGAATGTACAGTTAATCCTCTTTTGCTGCGCCAGTGGCTAGCAGGTGACGGCGTTGAGAGGCGGCTGTCAACGTGCGGCCTCAGGGCCTAGCCGGTTTTGATATCCAACGCATCTACCACCTCTTAGTGGTCGTCGTCCTCTACCAGTTCTACAGTCTTTATCAGGGTGGCCTGGCGTGGTTGTCAACCCTATGCATCTCTGGACGAACTGTGCATAACGCGTAGTGATGTGATTATATATAGATCTGACCCGGCCAGGTGGCGATGTGCTCCAGAGACGTGATGCCTGCTGTGTTGCTTTCACGGTCTGTCACTCTCATTGTTGGACGAGGCCAAGCGTCATTCTGGCTATGGGCCTTGTTTATGAAACACCCAGTTTGTAACGCCCACCTCACGCCCCTGCCATGGCCCAAGACCAGCCCACCCGTGACGGAGGACAGATCGACACTCGACATGACGGTGAATGTGGCACTCGAATTCCTCCGTGGCACCCACCACCCTCCATTAGTTACCTTTTGGTGCTTTGCTCTCGAGGCAGTATGCAATGTGAAATCCATGTTAACCCCCTGTCGTGCCCTTTTGCATGTTTCTGGGGTATATAGGCCCGCCTCGGATGCGTAAGGGGTCCCAACAACGCGCGCAGTCACAGGGCAGGCTCCGTGTGGCAGGAAACATCCGAAATCCGCCACTCGTCTCCTTTCTTCAAATAGCTCGCGTCCCAGACCTCGCACAGCGGTCCTACTGCCTATGCCGTATTGCTGGGGACCAGGGCTATGTTTTAAGCCAAGTTTGGATGCACGGGAGGCCATCCCCTAATATTGACCGAATTAACCGACATCGGGGATTTACACTTCTACTTGACAAATCCACTAAAACTGCATCTTCTACGCTGGTACTACAAGGTTTTGTGCTTCTCCACTGCTTACAGCTTCGTCTTGGAAGCGAATTGGCCCTCTGTCACACCTGCACCCATAGCGGCAGTGCTCGATACGCCGCCGGTCACGGTCATCAACATCTGTGTTATCTGTCAGTCTTTGTATCACCTGGAGCACATGTCACCTCGAGAGGAGCACCTCGGCGAGGAGAACCAGACTTACAGCATCTGCGAATTCGGCGCCGCTCCATTTTTGATGGGTGAGAACGTCGCAGCCAATGTCGCGTTCGCGGCGCTGGATGAGCTCGACGTAGGCCTTCATGCCCTCCTTGGCAAAGTTCTGGGCGAAGAGGTCGTTGATGTAGGCGTTCGAGTGGAGACCAGCGAGGGTAATGAACTGGAAGACGAAGCCCAGCTTGCCGAGGTCCCAGACAAAGTCCTTCATCTCCTTGGCGCCAAGGCCAGCGGCATCCCAGTTGAACGAGGGCGAAAGGTTGTAAGCGAGCCACAGTCCGGGGGCCTTGGCGTGGACGCCCTCAGCAAACTCCTTGGCCTGCGAGTAAATGGGGCTCTTGGTCTCCATCCACACGAGGTCACAGAAGTCAGAGTACGCAACAGCACGGTTGATGGCGCACTTGGTGCCACCGCGGTAGCGGAAGTAGCCCTCGCGAGTGCGGGGGGCGTTCCAGTCGAAGAAGGGCTCCGAGCGGAGACCGTTGCGCTTAGCAATGGCCAGCGCCTGTGCGTTCGAGGCGTTAGAGACCTCGTCGAGGAATTTGGCGGGGTTGCCACCCTGCTTCTTGATTTCACCAGCGAGGAGGTCGTTGTAGAGCTGGAGGTTGGCGGCCTTGAGCCATTCATCCTCAATGGTCTGGAGTGCAGGGCCAAGCTTGCCGGCGGCCTCAGCCTCACCCATGACCTCGACGAGGGGGCGGAGCGAGGGGTTGGTCGAGCCGAGGATGAAGGCGTGGTCGCGCGGGTCAATGTTGGAGGTGATCAGAGTGGCAGCCTCCGAGTCGGTACGGGCGACCACGAGGTTGGTGGTGCCCATAATGTCGCACTGGAAACGGATAGCGACAAGGCGGTTGATGTGCTCCGAGATGGGCACAAGCACCTTGCCGGCCATGTGACCACACTTCTTGGTACCGGGAGCCTGGTCCTCAATGTGGATACCGGCGGCACCCGACTCCACCATCATCTTGGTAAGCTTCATGACCGCGGTGAGACCACCGTGGCCAGTGTCACCGTCGGCGACAATGGGGCGAAGGTAGTCGGTGTAAGCTCCAGGGTCCTCGCCCTTGGCAATAGCGGTCGAGCGGGTGAAGCGCTGCTTGCGGTCGTGGAAGAGCTGGGCAGTGAAGAGCTGGGCAACCTTGTTGGGAACAGTGTTGGAGGGGTAGTCGGCAAGATCCGGACCGGGCTCGAGCGAACTCGAGGCGGTCGACGAGCACTGCCAGCCCGAGACGTAGACGGTCTCGAGGTGCTTGGCCATCTGGGTGATCTGGACGGGGTCAAGGCTGTGGGGATTAGCGGCCGTTTCATTCCACATACTGTTGCTGCCACATGCGTGGAGCTGGGGTTAAAACTCACGCGCCGTAGGTGAAGGTACAGCCACCACCCTCGCCACGAGCCTTGGCCTCGAGGATCTTCCAGAGCTTCTTAGCCATGAGGTCCGAAGGGTAGGTGGGCTGGATAGTGCCACGCTTAGAAACGACATCGGCGGTCGAGTAGGGGCGGATGGTACGGGCAAAGCGGGGTTGCTGTGGGCAACGTGTCAGCATCGCACACAAAAAGAGTCGACCAAGCAGGCTGTCATAGCGAGCAGCGAGTTGCTCACCTTCTGGAAGGCCGCGGTGGCCTTGACCTCGTCCTGGAAAGTCTGGATCTCGCCCTGCATGATGGATATCGATGTTTCTTGGGGAGGAGAAGGGGGGCAAATGTGGGGGGGATATGGGGGCACAATAATGCATGCAGCCAGGCCTTTTTAAACATTCTTTCGACCGCCTCTTTGCGGATTGCGTTGGAGCGCAAAGGGGAGGTGTGACCCATCTTGTGACTCTCGGGTACTCGTTTGGCGGGTGTGCCGGCCGGCTACGCCGTGTGCCGGCCTTTTCCTGGGCGAGGTTTGGCCTGCGGCAGGGACTGGAGGCGTCTTTGTGTGGGTTTTCTGATGACGCTGTTGGGGGGGTGTGAGCTGCTCTGGGCGCCGTTCCTGCGGCTCTAAGCAGATCGCAGAGTGTGTTGCAAAGGGGCCACAAGAGGCCAGAGGCCAGAATGTGTGGCAAAATGGTGGCCAAAACAGGTTGCGTGGAGCCTTATTTGCCGTCGGAGGCCGATAAAGCCGTTGAACCGTCCGCCCGGCTCACAGCTCTCACAGCTTTCATGTGTGTGCGGCGCACAAAAGCACCAGATAGCCACCACGGCCACCACAGTTGCGTAATACCCGCGCATCGACTCAGAACACATTTTGGGTCGTCGGTCGGTGGCCCCGACGGCAATGGTGTCTTGTCCTGTCCAAGGCCTCAGGCCGAGATGTCGGCCCAAAGAGCCATCCTTCAGGCGATGCTGGGAAGCTGTGACTCGTTGTGCACATCTGCCCCCGATCACATGCATGCATTCCACAGAGGACGACTCAAATGCTCGGCATTCGGGACTCCAACCTCTTTGTCTCCGCCTAAATGACGCTGTCCCGCATTGTGTCCCGCGGGGCTCACTACTGCGCTACTGCCCTCCTCCCCCCCTCCCCGGGCGCCCCGCCCAACACCACCAGTCATGCGACCAGAGGCCAGAAAGTTGTCTTTTTCGCGGCATTCATTCGGTGGATCGGTGGATCGGTGGGCGCGCGATTCCGGGTCGCGGGTATGTCAACCGGGTTCGCAGAGCCCCGCTTCCGGCTGTTTGTGTTGACCGTCGCACAAAACCGTCACTGTACACACACGGTGGGGGGGCTCTTCATTCATCAGCGGCCGCCTGGGCAAAGGGTGCTAGCATGATGACAGCTGGCCACCGTTTACGTGTATAAGTGACGTCCTGCTCCTCCGCTTGTGGAACACATAATAGTCTCTGGATGGCGTTCTTGCAAAGCCCCGTACGGCCACTTGCAGCCACCATTCCACGATAACAATGAGCAGTGCGTGGTCGGGACATGGGGCCAACCCGAGATCACCCAGGCTCGTTTAAACACAAAACACCGGCCGTAGACTGGCATGCATGCGGCATTGAAAATTCGAGGCGCCAGTACGCCAGTCAGCTTTAAGCTTTCCAGCTGCTCTCTGCTCTCTGCGATCCGCCAAGATGGACAGGAGCCAAACAGTGTCCACTCACAGCGGTGGAGGTGGTGCCTGAATCACGTGACTGTTACCCAAACTTTGGCTCCAACGTGCATCACCCAACGGCCACCTTGACGCAACCTCACACTTGCCGGCCAGTAACCACCATTTCTGTACGCGCCTCTCACAATGAGCGACGCAGATGGCAAGCGCCCACGTCAAGACGACGGCCATGGGCCGGATCCTAAGCGTCCTCGCGAGTCCGCCCCCGCTTCTGGAAACGCAACTCCTACGTTGACCAATCTTCCGTCCGATGTTGAGCCCGCTGTCTCACGTTTGGGACTGAAGCCTCAGCTCCCCGAGCTTCCGCCATCCCTGGAGCTTGTGACTGGATCGAAGCCCGACCTTGCTGCTAGGCAAGGCTTTGTGGGAGAGGCCGACGTCGGCATCATTGGCTATGTCGGTGACGCTAGTTTCCAAGGCGTTCAAGGTGTCATCAAACAGAGGTGCATCTCATTTGTTTCCCATCCTATTGACCTCTCGCTGACATGTAGGTACACGGACTTTTTGGTCAATGAGATCTCTTTGGACAGTGAGATTCTTCACCTCAAGGACATTGGCAAACCGGTGGAGCCAGAGCCGGAACCGAGCGAGGCTCCCAAGGAGGCCGCCGCCGTACCCGCTCCTGAGCAGGACGAAACCGACGTCGGTCTGCCAGCTGAGCTGCAGTTCGCGACTCACGCCAACTGGTCACAGAAAACCACTGTGGCCCTTCGCTCGCACTTTGATGACAAGACGATCATCAGCCTGCACGCCTTGCTCGTCGAAGGCAAGAACCCACCCCCTAAGCAAGACTCCGGGTGGGGTTCTCGCCCCACCCAACGCACAGAGCAGACAGAGGAAGAGATGGCGCTCAACATTCAGGAGCAACCGGCTCCGACCCAAGGTCGCGACCGTGGCAAGGGCCGAGGTGGACGTCAAGGCGGAAAGGGAGGTCGTGACGGTCCGTGGAAGGCCGAGGACACTCGTGAGGTTGTCTCGCAGGTGATCGCCGCCAAGGATAGTCGTACCGCCGCCCACGGAGTCATCCGCGAACAATTCAACGGCACATTCGAAACGTCGTCGCGTGAGGCTGTCGAAGGACAATGTCTGGTCATCAAATGGTCGTCGGCACGCCAGGGCCGCCAAGACAGGAAGCGTCAGTCTCGACCTCCCCCCCCCCCCCTACATATGTTTGGTCTGACACTTTCACAGCTCGCGGTCCCCGTCTTCCCCCTTACATTCATTTTACGTTGCACAAGACTAGCAGGGAGACGCAAGACTGCCTTGGTCACCTCAGCCGCATTCTCAACGTCCACTCGAAGGACTTGACTGTGTGCGGTACCAAGGATAAGCGTGCTGTTACCGTTCAACGTGTCTGCGTCAAGCGTGGCAACCTCACTTTGGAAAGCGTGTGGAACACTGTTAACGGCATCAAGTCTGGTCGGAGGACGGCCGAGACTGCTGTTGTTGAGCGTGGAGAGCGTGGAACGCGAATCGGCGATCTTGCATACTCGCAAAAGCATCTCGAGCTGGGTATGCTCCGCGGTAACCACTTTACTATTATCCTAAGGTATGCCCAGACCAGAGAACTTGCGTGCTAACGAGGCAGGAATGTTCGCGTCGACAGTGTGGAAGAAGTTGACCGGGCTATGACCTCCATCCGGGACCACGGATTTATCAACTTTTTTGGTGAGCACCCGCTCAACCAACCTCACGCTGACTTCATAGGAATGCAGCGCTTCGGAACATCGACGGTTCCAACGCACGTTACTGGTCTACTCCTTCTGCAGCAAAAGTGGGGTCAGGCTATCGATTCTATTCTGTCGCTTCGCGATGGCGAACACCCCGACTGCACCCGCGCGCGTCTGGCGTGGCTCGAGGATGGTGACTACCGCAGGGCTCTGGAGCTCATGCCCCGTCGCTCTGTCACCGAGCGGGCAATCTGGGAGTACTGGAAGAAGGGGAACCGTCTGGAGGACAAATTGGGCGCCCTTGCTAGCGTAAGTGTCATTCAAAGCTACCAAACTAACTCGTTTATAGATACCCCGCAACATGCGTACCATGTACGTCCACGCGTACCAAAGCTATATCTGGAACCTCATCACTTCCGAGCGTATCAAAATGTCGAGCACGTCGCCCCTCGCGGGTGATCTCGTCTTCGTCGATGGAGGAGATGACGAGCAGGGTGAGTGATGAAACGCTAGGTCGAATGCTAACGTCTTGTAGACGAGAGGCAGGCTGAATCGTCGTCGTCTCGCGACGTGAAGCACCTCACTGAAGAGGACCTCGGCAGCTACACAATCCAGGACGTCATCCTCCCCATGCCTGGGTGGAACGTCGAGTACCCTGAAGGTGCCATTGGCAAGATGTACCAGGATATGCTCGCGGCGGACGGGCTGGACGCCAACCGCATGCGTCGCGACCAGCGGTATGTTTGCCGCAGTTTGCTCTTTCATTTTGCTGACCCCTCCAGCGAGTATTCGCTTCCTGGATCGTACCGTAAGGTGATCCACATGCCAACGAATGTGTCGTGGGAGCACATCCGTTACACAGACCCCGACCTGCCGTTGTCGCAGTCGGACGAGGACCGCATCTTGGGCTTCAACCCGCCAGCGGCGGACGACCCCGAGGGCAAGTTCCGCTCTCTTAGCATCTCGTGGACACTTGGAACTTCGTCGTACGCCACCATGGCTCTACGTGAGATTACTCGTCAAGAGACCGCCACCTGGAACCAGATCAGTCTCACCTTGGAGGGCGAGGACCAGGCGCACAAGGGCACCGGAAAGGAGGCCTAAGGGAATGCCAGAGGATGATGTTCTATGTTCTTAGAGAGCGACACTATGTAACCCTGTAAATGGCTTAAATGACAGAGCGGAAGCAAAAACGCGTCAGGACGCGTAGAGTGTTCAGGGCGCAGAACGAGAGTGGAGGTTGATTTGTGGTGTAGGTCGCGTCCTCGCAGAGTGAGACGGCAGTTGTCACTCTCTTTCCTGCTCTCTCTCTCTCTCTCTCAGACTCTCACTCTCTCGCGTTTACTGCTCTTCCATCCTCTACATCGCCAGTAATGGCGGTGGCAGAAGGCAGAGACCCACTGGGGTCGATGTCTACCAACATCATGCTCTCCTCCAGTCCGTCACCTCCCGCCAAGCGTACCCTCACGCCGTCCCCTCCCAAACGTCTGTTCCCAATCTTCTTGAGCAAACCAGACATCTCGCCCTCATCTTCCTCCTCGGATGCCGACTTCAACAAGTCTAAACGCGCAAAGATTCACACTTCAACGTCGTCCCACAAGGCGTCTTCAAAACGTTCTCGGCCAAGCAGCGAAACCGAGGAGATCCCGCCGACGCGCACGTCGCTCCCAAACTACTTTGCCCCAACCGTGCCATTGCGAGTGGCTTTGTGCTCGCGCAAACCATACCCAGTCGAGACCCCGGCTGTGATCAGCACTCATCCACAAGTGTGGAGACGGTCGCGCAAGCGTCTTGGGCAGCCTGCCCTGGTCCCAAGCAATAGTGAGTTCATCTATCAAACGACTTTTTAACCAATGCCTTCCAGCGCGACCCATCCGCGTCACATACCTCTCCTCTCTGGTAACGGGGTTGACTTCAAACACGGCTTCACCGCCCTCGACTGTCATGATGCCTTCACTGAACAACCCAACTGGCCACGATCGCGACTTTGATCCCTCGCTGGTGGTCGCATTCAACAACTGTGCGAGAATGTATACTTTGGACGAGGCCAAGCATTTGGCCAAAAAGAGGCTTCTCGCTATTGGGAGTGAAGAAGGTGCAGTGAGGATTGTCGACATTGATGAACCCCAAGAAAATGGGTCCTCAGGCGGCCTCTGGTGGCAAGCCCACGCCAATGGTGTCTTTGATCTCAAATGGACGTCCAACGACTCACGTCTGGTTTGTTTCCATCCCAATTGCCTGTGTCCGCTGACATTTTTCAGCTCTCTGCATCAGCTGATCAGTCGCTGAGACTTTACGACGTGTGCTCGGGCAATCCAAAAGTTCTCGCTACTCTCCGTGGACACACCTCAACTATCAAGGCAACCGTTTTCCTCGACGCCAATCGCGGAAGCAACCCCGTGTACGACTGCAATATTGTGGCATCGGGGGGTCGTGACGGAAACATCAACATCTACGATCTTCGATGCCAAGGAGTCAGCCTCGGCGATGACGAGGTGGACTCTAGCCGGCGGAGGTCTCATCGCATGCGCAATAATGGGGCAATGCCTACGGCAACTGCGACCGATGGCCACATCATTCATCCTGTGATCACATTGCGCCAACCCCATAACGCAGCATCGAGTCGACGTACTGCGGCCGATCCTGTAGGCCACACTTTCCCCTCTTCCAACTAACATCTTCAGAGATCCGTGTCGCGAACGATCACCAGTCTTGTCGCACTAGAGTCGATGCCAGGTATCCTCGCCTCGGGTGGTTCGTTCGACGGAGTGGTGAAGCTTTGGGACATTCGCTGTCCCGACTCGACCTCATCAATGCGACCCAAGGCCACACCTTACGGGGTCCTGCCAGACCCCACCATTGCTGGAGCGAATCCAGCGCGCCGTGCCCGTTCCATCAATGCTCTCTGCGAGCAGACTTCGAACGGCGACCTCTATGTTCTGAGTGGTGATTCCAAAATCCACATTCTGCGACCCTCTGCTGCCAAGGAAAGCCTTGTGGACCCGACCGACGCAATTCTCGGTCAAAAGTTTGTGCATCCCGACCTCGTCACCCGCTCGTTTTATATTCGAATGTCGCTTTCGCCAGATGGCCGATACTTGGCTTGCGGCTCGAGTCACGCAGGTGTCATGGCATGGGACACAACTCAAGTTGGCACGTGTACTTCTGACATTGTGGCGTCCCGCCTCCGCATCCCGGCGTACGGCGACCATTCCCCTGAGGTTATTGGTGTCGACTGGGCAAAGGATGCTGTGAGTCCCACCCGGGGCCGTGTTACCTACCTGTTTGTGTCTGCTAACAGTTGTGCAGCTGGCGGCTTCGTCTGACGACTGTGTGACTCGACTGTGGCGTGCCAACCTCGAAATTGCACAGAAGGTGCGAGAGGATCCAGCGGGAAGCGGTCGTGACTGGAGCGGTATTGTATGAGGCTTGGAAAACAACAGCATTCAGCATTCGGCACTGTGTTTTGTATGTTTCTTGTAATTACTAATGTTAATGTGTCCTTGTGCTGCCTCTGCATGTTGTGTTGTCCTGCTGTTCGCGCATGGAATGTTGCAAGTACTATCTGCAGTAAAGACCGCGATCCAGATACAGGATTGCTGCAGACCCACGACAGAACTACAACTACGGGCCAATTGGACTGAGACGTGCCTGAATGCCTAAAGGGTGTTAAACGAACCGGCGAACAGCGGTAAGAGTGAGCTAGAGTGAGTGTGTGCGAGCCAGGCGACAGACAACGGCGGTTGCTTTGGCGCGCTAATCAAACGAAAGCGCTTGTGACACTAAGCGGGGGGGGGGGGGGGGGGGGGGGGGGGGGGGCTGCGACGCCTGGAGGTCGCTTGAAGCTCACTTGATCACTTGCACCACTTGATCGCTTGGAGCGCTTAAGCAGACACAATTAGGGCATCAACGGCATTCGTCAGGAAAGATGCGGATATAGAGTCCCTCCGCATCAACCACGTCCACCTTTCGGCCGCAACGAGTTAAGGCGGCCTCGGTACGTCGTCCATCATTTCAACCATCATCACTTCTTCCACCCCACTTTAACATACACAATGTCCGGCCTGGCTCTGCCAACAGCAGCCAAGAGACCGATTTCCTTAGCCCTGCCCACCATGGCACAAAGCAACTCTGCAACAAACTCGCCTGCTCCTTCGGGCCCTGCGCCAACACCCGCACCACCTCAACAACGACGAGCTTCGGCCTCCCCTTCGCCAGACCCAGAGGATGATGCCGACGCCGACGCCGACGAGGATGACGAGGAGATTCTTGGTCAGACATCCAAAAAGTCGAAGAGCTCGAAGAAGAAGAAGGCGGGGATGCCTGCTGGTCTTAGCGGCCTCGAGTCGACAGCCAAGCAAGAGTACAAGTACACCAGCGAGATCTCCCAGATGGTGCGCATTCTAGGCGACGGCAAGGGCTAATGTGAAGATGTTCGTGTTCGGTGAGGTTCAAGAACCCCTCCAAGAGACTGTCCGTCTCGTCGAGGACGTTGTCCGCGGCCAAATCATTGAGATTGTGAGTCACCAACGATGACCATGTTAGCTGACAAGGGTTAGGTGACTCGAGCTCGCCTTCTTACACATTTGCGTTCTTCGCGTTTCCTCTCCGCAGAGGATCTCATCTTTCTGATTCGCGACGATCGAGGCAAAGTGAATCGCCTGCGGACTTACCTCAGCTGGAAGGAAGTGCGCAAGCGCGCCAAGGAAGACGAGGAGGGCGGAGACGTCGAAGTCGACGATGCAGGCGCGTCTCTTGGGAAGAATTCCGGAAGGCTGACAATAAGCAGACAAGAACGCAATCAAAGGCCGTAAACCAATTGTCAAGCTCTCTTGGGAGCTCTTGACCCCATTCTCCGACTTCCTTCGTGCCTTGCCCACGCAACAAAACCGTGCAGAGGAAGACGAAGATGAGGACGAAGACGAACTGCAGGCCCATCAGGATAGCATGCAGCGCTTGCGGGTATGTTATCACGACCCACCTGTTTATGTCCTAACGATATTTTAGGATGCCGACGAGATTACAAAAAAGATGACCAAGGACGAGTATGTCCACTACTCGGATTGTCGTCAGGCATCCTTCACGTATCGCAAGGGTAAGCTTTTGCCGTTTATTTGCAGCTGACACTCATAGCCCGACGCTTCCGCGAGTTTATTAACTTCAGCGCCTACCTCGACGTACGCCCTAACGACGACATTATCGACATCTTGGGCTTCTTGGCATTTGAGATGGTGCGCTCTTTGTGTGTCACCGCCTTGGAGGTTCGCGAGCAACTAGAGAAGTCTGGCACGTCGGTTGCGACCACTGCGCGTGGTGCACCGGTGTCTCCAGTGAAGCGTAAGGCAGCTGGTGGAGACAACTCGCCAGCAAAGCGTCCTCGAGTCGACGGTGTCACCTCGCCCGATGAAAGCGCTACGCCAGGTGGTGCGCCTGGAGCTGACAATGTCAACTCGAATGGCCGCCGCTACACACAATCTGGTAACCCTTTACCCCGTTCACTCTTCGCTCCTCCTCCCAGCGCAAGGCAGCCTCTACTGCCCAGTCACGTCCTGGAGGCATTTGCACAGATTCAACGCAAGCAAACCTCCAACCGCATTGGTGGACTGCGCAACTGGCGAGGCGGAATGTCAAGAGGGCGTGTCGCTCTTGTCTGAGGCATTCTGTGGCTTGCGCCTGTAATTGCTACTGTTGTATACACATGCATGCGTGCGTCTCGTGTCATGAACTGCTCAGTCCTCTTCCATGCCCTCTTCCAGCGCGGCCTTGGCCTTGGCCTCGGCTTCGGCCTGGAGCTCTCCTGGCACAGCCCTGTGCTTGCCGCCAGTCTCGGTGCTGACCCAGGTCATTTCCAGCTCAAAGTCCTTGTCCTTGTTGTCGTCGTGGACGAGGTAGATGCTGCGGATGAGTCAGTGCCGAATTTCGGTTCATCCGGTTGCATGAACTTACATGCGCGCAATCTCGTCGATGGCCTCGCGACAGGTGATAGCTTCACCACCATCCGCCTCCTTGGCAATGAGCTTCTCGAGCTCAGTCTTCGCCAACGCCTTGCCCTTGCCGATGGCACAGGCGCGGTAGCCATAGAAGACTCCCGAGGGCTCGACACAGAACAGGCGGGGACCGGTCTTGTCAACACCAGCAACCAAGCTCGAGACACCAAAGGGCCTAACGGAGCCGTAGCAGGTGTAAGCCTGGACGTAGCCAGACAGGCGGTCCGAGAGAATCTGAATGTCAGTCGGGGGGACAGAACAAGGCGAGGCTGCGCAAGACTGCTCACTTGAACGGTCGCGGGAGCATTGTACGTGTCACGGAAGTTGTATGCCTCATCGCGGAGCCTGGTGGCAAGGTGCTTTCCATCGGCGAGAAGGCCTGCAGTCGCCAGTCCAACGTGCTCGTCGACGGACTGTATCCTGCGGTTACCGCCCTTCACCAGGAGCTTGGAGTGGAGGAGACGCTCAACGCCGAGAACAATGCCATCGCTGCAGCGGATACCGACTGCGACACTGTAACGCGTCAGTAACATCCCCCAATGACGCTTATCAGCTTGCCAGCACGTACCCAGCGGCCTCGACAGCCTTGTTGGCATATTCGACTTGGAAGAGACGGCCATCAGGCGAGTATGTCGAGACCGAGAGGTCGTAGCCTGTGCCGATGGACGACATGGTTTAAACTGGTTGTCGAGTTGGGGTCAGAGAATAGAGAGGATCCAGGAGTTCGAGCGGGGTGTGGGTTGGGGAAGAGCGCAGGCTGGTGGTGGCGTGTGGGAGAAAGCAGGAGGTTGGGTGGATGGCAATGACCGACGACGACCTGTGTTGCGTCACGGACGATGATGATCGATGACTTGGTAGTAGTGGAGGACGCGCGGCCAAGCTGCAACCAGGCACCGCCACAACACGTGGCCCTGCCCCAAAATCACAACGCCGAGATACCGGCGCTGGCGTCATGCAGAGTCATGATGTTGTGTTCATACATGCATCACGTCAACGATTCCATACAAACTACACTCCAAACACCCTCCGTCATCGGTCACCATGCGATTGAATGCAAACACAATCATCTGCGGAGACAAGGTCATTCTTGTGCCGTACAGGTCTGTCCCTTTCACCCGGCGTGTTCTGACACGTTCTGACGGACTGTCAGAGAGGAACATGTGAAAGTACGCCCAAGTTGACCACGACATTTGCACCGATCTGCAATCTAACAACAGCAACAGACCTATCACGAATGGATGAAATCGCCAGAACTCTTGGAACTGACGGCGTCGGAGCCCTTGTCGTTTGAAGAAGAACTGGACATGCAACGTGAGCCGCGTAGTGGACTTTTACCCCTCGTAAGCTGACGTGCGCGAAGGGAAATGGAGAGACGACGACGACAGTACGTTCCATAGTTTTGGCTTGTAACACCCACTGATGGATCAGAGCTCACCTTCATACTCCTCGCCCGACCTGACGACATTCCAGCGGCAACGAACCGGCTCTTGTCCCCTGCAGAAGTGGCTCGCTGTAGGATGGTCGGCGATGTTAACATTTTCATGCCCAATGGTCCCCAAGATGACATTGAATGCGAAATCATGATTGCCGGTGGGTAATAGTAGTGTTGTCGACCTAACGTGTCCTAGAACAGGAGGTTCGCCGCCAAGGCCTGGCTCGCGAGGCTTTGACAATGTTGTAAGTTGAAAGCGCCAGCCTCATTCAGTTATGCGTACTGAAGGACAACAGCATGAACTATGTCGTGCGAGAGTTGGCCGTTGCGCCCACCAGTCTCATCGCAAAGATTAGTTCCAAAAACACCGCCTCTATTCGTCTGTTCGAGAGCCTTGGCTTCGGCAGGGTTAAGCTTGTGGAGGTGTGGGACGAACTGGAGATGCGGTGGGGCTGGACCGGTTCCGATTCTGTCAAGGGATCCACTGTACAATGGCCCTCCCTGTCACTGGATGGCCGCATCGGGATGTACGATGCAAGTTCGTAGAGAGTTGTTAGATGTAAATCCACAACCAAACACGCGTCTCGGGCCCTGTGTTGAGCCGCGTACCGACTCGGATCGCCCGCCAGGACTGGTTATCCACTTGCATCCTCTTCGTTCTCTAGTTAGAAGTTCTCCTCCAGTTAGGAACTCTCTTCGACGAGTCCGAGGTTCACAATAACACCGGTAGCAGCCTTCTCAGCCGCTTTCCGGGCGTCGGCACCTTCACGCGCCTGAGTCTGGACAAAGTGCGTCTTGATCTCCTTGGCGCGCGCAATCTGTGGGTCCATGGTCAGTTGGCGTACTAACACGGCGACGCTGGAGTATCGCTTACCTCCTTTGTCCTGTGAAGGCACTCAAGGTAGTCCTCCTTCTGGGCGATACAGTCGTTGGGTCCTTCGGCGCTGGCGTAGCACTGCACAGAGTTAGTTGGCTTGTACATTCCGGCCCCACCAACCTTGCTAAACTCCTGCCAGAATGCGAAACAGCGGGTACGACCTATATGAGAGTGAGCACGATGTCTGCTGAAGCCGACGTTGTAACGAACCGCCGGTGTAACCGAATCCAGACTAGAAGGGTCAGTGACGAAGGTCCACACTCGGTAGGGCCACACGACAACGTACAGCCATTTCGAAAAGGAGATTCTAGGTTGATAGCAAGCGGGTGGGAAGGCGCGACTGATCCGATAAATGGGTGGCCGAGATCTGCAGTTGTGATGTAGCCCAGATGTGCCGGGTTGTGTTGAGGTATCTCAATGCTCACCTCCAACCGTCAGTCGAATGAGGTGCGTGATGAAGCGCAGACTCGGGGGTCCTTATCAATCAATTCCTGTACACATATACACGGCATTGTTTCTAACCACGTGACATTCTTTCCGTGGCACGTGGGGCGTGCCGATTAGACATTAGATATTAGTTTTGTGGATTTGGTTATCTCTAATCCTTGACACTTTTAAAAGTGCCGACTACTTGTGGCCTTCATACTTGTGCATAGGAATATGTCTTGCGAGGCTGGTCAAGCAAATCGCAGAAACTGTACAGATGCCTGTAAGGGTGCAATTGGATCCACGCTGACCAGTGATCCAGTGACAAGACAATGGCGTTGATCTGGGTCTCAACAGGAGTAATGGAGTGTTGTTATGTAGTGCACAGTTTTAGGCTCGCTTACGCAGTACTGGTACCCCTTGGAGCAAGGGACCCCGCTGCACGTTTGGGGCAGACAGTTTTCCAAGGACGACATTTTCCCAAGGACTTGTGACCTGAACGAGCGCGAAGAGTATGCATGTAGCTAACTGTATGTACGCAACGGTAGGTGTCCAAGGCACCGTGACGCTAACCTCCTCAACGGCGGCTCCAGCCGACTACCACCTGCCATACGCCCTCTTGTGGACAACGCATACGCCCTCTTGTGGACAATGGACAACGGTGGTGCCTATAAAATCTATAGGAGCCTTTTGACTGGCGAGCGACTGCTTGGGAATCTCGGGAGTGGACGGTACAGCCCCAGAATTTGCAACTGACAATAAAATGCCACCAACCCACGTCGACTACCTTCAAGAGTGGACGCATCTGTTTTCTAACCCTGGTCAGCTTCAGCGGCCCCGTACTTCTATACCTTGTGGCCTTTGTTAGGCGGGTACTGTTTTGCCGTGACTCCTGGCAATATGAGCAGAACCTCCCAAGAATAGTACCAGTGCCAAACTGGCCACATCGTTGCGTTAACCTGGAGCCGTTACCGCACTCACCTTCGTGTCATTGTCAAAACGGTGGTCCTCCCGGCTCACTCAGGGCTCCCACGTGAGGGCTGGTATGGTGGGGGGGGGAGGGGGAGGAGTCACCGCAAGGGTCAGGCAAAGCCTCCATGGTTCCCGGTGGCTCCCTTGTGGAAGAGCAGTTAATATTACATGCCGACGGTTTGACATTGAGCCTCAAACCCGGCACAACCCCCATTTGTCTAGGCACCATGCTGCCGCACGTAAGTAATTGAGTCACAGGAATAGTTGGCCCAAAAGGCCGCGCGTGCATCAGTTTGTGCCGTTGTTGGGCATAATTTTTCGCTTCATCCAGGTGGCCGTCCTCATACATATTGTTCTCTTACTTGGGGTAAGACACTGTTCAGATATAAAAACAGGTACAGCTTCTGTGGAAACATGCTCAATGATAGCATAAGACTGTTGGCCATGTCGTGAGTTGCATAGGTGCATACCGCACGTTGGATTTCTTCCAGCTAAATGGAAGAGGCAGAAGAGCGAGAATCAGATGCAGATCAACAACCAGGAAGCGAGCCCCGTGGACCCTACATACAGTACTGAGTTACTGAGAGAGTGGACATCTATCTAGATACAATTGCCCGGAGTTTACGACCGCATAACATGGCCTGCTATGTATGCAAATAATTACGTTTGCGCTGTGGGTATTTCCCAGTACCACATATTCAGTTGCGGATTCTGTGGAGAGAAGACAATTAGAGGACTCGTGTGGAACTCGGGGGTATTGAGTTTTACAATCGCTGATAGGGAAGGATCAGCAAAACAACCGTGTGTACATAAGCTAAAGTTGTTGCGTCATGTCCTCTCTCGTATCACCGACCGCTTCTCGTTTGGATTGAATGTATCCGCAGACAGTTAAACTGTGTATGGCATGTGGGGTAGGTGTCAGGGACAAGGTCGATTGATGTTCAGCACCATCCGTTGCTGTGTCCACAGGAATCCCGTATGATCACTGGCGGACGGGTTGCCCAGAGGTCACAGGTGCTGATACTACTGTCTGGTTTTGTAGCTGTTCATCTAGCTAGAACTTTCTTAGACGATTATCCACCATTCCATTCCCTCATCGGCGAAGGCGATATTTAGAATAATCACTAATAAAAAGCATAAAGAAAAGAAAAGAAAATGACGCACGAAGCCCTGCTTGCGAGCGGGCCTTACGTTGTGAGAGCAGCCAAATATCCTTGGTTGCACGGACAGAAGAACCCTTTAATGGGAAGGCTTCCTGTTATGTAGCCCATTGCTGATGGGACCAGTGTTCATTTATTTTACTTAGTCGGAGTGTACCCCATCGTTTGTCTCCAGTACATAGTGTTTTCGGTATTGTTTCCACAGTACTGCAATTAATGTTTTCGTTGTTCTGGAATAACATTGTGACTCATCAGGTTGTCCCGCGACGGGGGACGGGTCTTGATAGTTGTGGATCACTGGCAATCTCCAGGGGCGTAGTGGGCGCGGCGAAGACCATCAAAGCCGTTCGGTTTGGGTGTCAGTCTCTCTAGAGAGTACATACCACCAGTTGATACCCTCATCTAATCTGGTTCAAAATGTGACCCGTTGCTGACCTGAGGGTGACATAACATGCTCCACACACGAGTGACTAGCCACTGGCCACTGGCGCGTCAACATCCACATCGCCACCGGTGGCGAAAGAGGAGCTGTGCGTTGTGGCTCTCGCGACCACTCTTTTACTTAGGATCCAGGGCCTTGAACTGGGAGTCGGACTGTATGTAGAAGGAAGGCCCGGGTATCATCCATGTTGGCTAGTGTCATTGTCGAGAACAAGTGGTGCCCACAGACAAGGCATTGGGTGAGCCAGCATTTGCAAACAGTCACGATTGTTGCCTGTAGATGTACATGCAGTACTTGACTTCCGCAGCAAAGACTTTACGAAGACTGAGCGTGCAAGCTGTGAAGGAGGCATGGCCCTCCGCAGAGGTCCAAAAAAAGGAGGTCGGGGTGTTGGCGTGCTGCCGCGTGTGACAGTGAGGATGCCTGTATTGGGCAGGACGCGTATGATCTGGGGACAGGCATCCGTTGTGGCGGGCGATCCGGTTAAGAGAGTCCGAGAACGCCTGGCAGTGTTAAAAGGGATCGTGATGTCTGATGTGCAAGGGGTATCCACACCAGCAGAGTTCCCCGACCGTCATCCAACAAAGGGTGATTGAGAGCAGGTGAGGTGAGTGTGCTAAACAATGAGCAAAGACGCAATATATGTTACAGTCACGGCTCTCCGCGACGATATCAGCACCAGACTTTGATGAAGCAGCCGTGATGATCAGGTTAGTACTCTGAACTGCTGTCGACAACGCGTCCCGCCTCTTGTAAGTCAAGGACAAGGCCCGGTGTTAATAGGTAGCTTTGTCGAAGTGCCCTTGAAATAAATATTGCTATGGTGTTTACGAGCAGACGTCAGCACATGAGCTAAGGAGTGACCTCGCCTCTCGCTCATGGGGTGCTCGAGATGAAGAGATGGGGAGAGTGGATGCGTGCTGATCACCTTGCTTCCTATACTGTGAACTGCGTAAATTCAGGTCAGCTGTCTGTAACATTCCGCGCCTGGGAGCTGCGACCTGCTTCAAATGAACAATAAGCATTGAGGAGTGACGCTGTTAAGCTGTTACACTGCTGGAATCCTTTCGCCTGTGCATCCCCATGAGTGAGTATCGTAGGGATGACGAGTGCAACCCCGCGATCGAGAGAGAGAGGAGGGAGGGAGGGGGGCGGGTCAATGTGGTACTTATTGGGTAGACACTTCACCCAACATGGTGAGCGCCATGTTTATTGGTTGAGGCCATGAAAAGACACACAGGGACAGAGGGATGGGCGAAAGAATATGGAGTGGTGCCAGTGTCGGGTCACTTGTTGGATAGCGTCCCTACGCATGCAGAGCTCTGCAACGAAAAGTGCTGCATTCGGTAGCCGGCCGCCGGCTACGGAAGTGACTGAGACATGTAAGCAATAATGTTACACAGTCACTTTACCTTGTACGGAGACCCAACGACTCGATTAGACGAAGTATGGGAGTGAGGCGCCATATCTGATTTGTAGATGTGCCAAGATTGAAATTGTAAGACCTGCTTTGGCCCCGAGGACAGCAATAATAAGTGGGCACAGTAGTTTAACCAATGAATGTCAAGTCAACAATGAAAAGACTAACTAACATAGAGACTGGTTGCATTTCTTGACACCTGCAGCCTTTGCCGCATCCTGACTTTTTCTCTATCTGGCTCGTTCGACTGCCACAGTTGCAGAAACTCAAATGCTACTGAGAGCTTGCAACCCAGTTATGTTATGGCCGTGTTAAAAGATGGGTAGATACGAGGGGCTGCAACCTCCAGTTCAAGGATGCGTCGCCAGGTGGGAGAGTGCACGGAAAGCAGGTAAGGTCAGTGTAACAATATTAATGTAAATTAAGTATGATGTCAATGCATGTGCCATCAACGTGTTTGACCACCCCAATCAATACCCTCGGTAAAGAGACTACCATGCTCGCTTTTACCACCGATCGGCGAGCCTTGGAGGTCTACACCATTGAATAATATTGTTGTCTCTATTACAACAAACTACCAGCTAGGAGCAATGGGAGTGGCCCTAACCAGCAATAAAATAGAACCCTATTGTATGTTTACAGGCGCTGTCCGTTTTAATATTTGTGGCCTGTGGCTACTCGCGATGTTAGCAAACATTGAGGGTCATTAGTTTCGGGGGTCCAGCAGTCACAATTTCTCGTAAATGCAATGTCTGTTATGCCAGGCCCCAATTTTCGTCGCACATATAGTCCTCATAGATGACCTTGCACGCTCTGATAAATTTCGCTACATGGCTGTTATCTGACCTGATCAGTCTCCAAATGGTGCATAG